ACCCCCTAACCCCCTAACCCCCTAACCCCCTAACCCCCTAACCCCCTAACCCCCTAACCCCTAACCCCTAACCCCCTAACCCCCTAACCCCCTAACCCCCTAACCCCCTAACCCCCTAACCCCCTAACCCCCTTAACCCCCTAACCCCTAAGGTCTGCCTCCCCCCCCCAACCCAGACCAGCCAGAGTAAGGTTCCACATCCCATCCCCAGTGCTGTCCTCCTCCTCCTCCCTCCCAGAAGACTGGCAGTCCCCCAATCCAGTGGCCTCACCCAGCTCAGGCTGGAATGATGACAACTCTGACTCCTTTGAAGGAATAGAGTCTGCCTCTTCCATCTCCTCCCCACCTCCCCCCAGGGCTACCAGAAGGGCTGCTGGCAAGTCTAGGCCTCCTCCCAGGACTAGAATCCAGCTGTCTGACTCAGAGTCTGACACCCCCCCTCCTGCCCCAGCCTCCACCCTCCTCCCCACCCAGCCCACCCCCCCCACTGCTCCCAGGCCTCCTGCTGTCGGGTCTAGGACTGTCCTCAGTCCTGCCACACAGCCCCAGACTTTGGCATCCCTCCCTGGGGTAAACATGCCAAAATTCTACAAAGATACCCCCATTCCACTTTCCTTTCTCTTTCTTCTCTTCCCACCACCCACAAACCACTCCACCCAAGTGTCTACAAGGCCTTTGTCCAAGCAGCAGAGAAGTGTGCTCAAGATTTCCTATGTGCCCCCAGCAAAGGCACTGTCCTCAACTTCCTTGCTCTCCCCAAAGTAGGTCTTGTTCCAGCACTTTACCAAGGTGGGAGACCCACAGACAGACTGAAGAGCTACCCTTGGGTCACATTCCCAGAAGCATCCTTCAGAAAATCTGTGACTCCCTCTGCCCCCTCTGCCCAGAGGATGGTGGAGATGGGAAGGATCAGTGCAGCTGCCCACCTCCTAGAGGAAGGCTCTGCCAGTGTCCAACCCACACCAGAGGTGGTGAATACCTTAAAGGCCAAGCACCCAGCTGGTCCAGCCAATCCCTTTGGCAGTGGTGTGGGCCCAGTCAATGGATCATGTCCAGACACTGAAGCCCTCCACTCTGCTTTGAAGTCATTCAAAGTGGACACTGCCCCAGGTGTATCTGGTTGGACTGTGCCCCTGCTCAGAGCTGCCATGAGGTCCAAAGTAGTCATGGAGATGATCCATTCTCTGTGCACTATGATGGTCTCTGGCACTGCTCCTGGACAGGAGATGTTGTGCTCCTCCAGGCTGGTAGCCCTTGCCAAACCTGGGGGAGGGATCAGACCTATTGCTGTTGGAGAACTGTTATACAGACTCTGCACAAAGGCTATCCTAAGGCACTCCTTGAAGCCAGACTTCCTGCTGGGCAACCAGTTTGGAGTTGGCAGTAAAGGAGGTGTTGAACCTGTGGTCCATGCAGTTAACACTGCACTGGACAACCACAAGTTCACCCACCTGACCAGTCTTGATTTTACCAATGCCTTCAACAGTGTTGGTAGGCAACTTGTTGCCCAGGCTGTCAGGAAGTATTCCCCAACCCTGTACAGGCTTGCAAAGTGGGCCTACAACAAGCCCACTGACCTTGTCCTGCCAGGAGTACCTCCTCTCCACTCATCCCAGGGAGTCAGACAGGGTGACCCTCTGGGTCCCCTCCTGTTCTCTGTTGGGATCAGACCCCTCCTAGAGGATCTGATTGTTGCCCTAGGTCCAGAGTGCACAGTCCTAGCCTACTTGGATGACATTTATGTCCTGAGTAGCTCTGACAGCACGCTGAGTGAGGTTGAGTCCTTCTTTGCTTCCCAGCAAGATCTCACTCTCTCACTCAACATGGCCAAGTCCTCCATAAAATCTCTGAGTGACATCAGAGACAATGGGCTCGGAATCCTGGGCAGCACAGTGGGTCCCAGGTCTGCTAGAGAGTCTTTCCTCAAAGACAAAATAGCAATGACCAAGGCCAAGCTTGGCAAACTGGTGGACCTCCCCCACCAGCATGCCCTGCTTCTCCTACTCCAAGCAGTCCAGCAGGACCTTAGACACCTCCAGAGGACTCTCAAGTCTGAGGATCTAATGGAACTCTGGGAAGACTTGGACATGGCCCTATGGGACAAGGCAAGAAGTATCAGAGGGGCTGCACGTGTAATGGACCCAGAGAAGGACAACACCCTCTTGTCTCTCCCAGTCAAGCTGGGTGGCCTTGGCCTTCTCTCCCATTCCACCTGTGCCCCCCTGGCTTATGTGGCCTCCACTGGAGCTGCATCTGTCATACTTCACCCCCTCCTTGGTGATCCTGGTCCAGACCCTCCTGAGCCCCCCTCCCAGCACAGTCTCTGTCTGGATGCCTTCAAGTCCGCCCAGGCAGACTTGACACTTGCTCTGCCTCCCCTCCAACAACAAGCACTGGTTGAGAATTCCTCAGCACTTGGCAGGCAGTGGCTCTCAGCCATCCCCTCCAGTGCAATCCTGAGGCTCACCAACTTTGAGGTGGCAGCAGCTCTGCAGCTGAGGACAATGGTGCCCAGCACCTCGCCCAGCTGCAGACATTGTGGACATGGAAACTTCCATGGACATGATGAAGTGTGCCCACACAAGTCCAAGTGGACTGTGGCTAGGCATGAGCAGGTGAAGAAGGTGATAGCTGGCACCCTCAATATCATCCCAGACATTGAGGTCCACCTTGAACCCTTCATCAGTGACACTACACACAGGAGGAATGACATAAGAATCTCTGGCTCCCATGCCTCTGGGCTGGCCAACCATGAGTATGACATCTCCATTGTGTCACTGGGCTCTGTCCAGGCCAGGACCACTGTCTCCCCACCTGGGTTCACTGGATCCACCCTGGAGAGGGCTTCTGCCACTGTCCACAAATTCCTTGACTCTGTATCTAGGGAGAAATTCAGAAATCTCCCTAGCTCTGCTGCCACCCCCTTCACTCCCCTCATCTTTTCTTTGGGTGGTGTCATGGAACACAGGACTGCCCAAGCCCTCCACACCTGGGGTGAGGTCCTACCTCCCCATTCCCACAGGATGCTTTGTATCAGACTCAGTCTCACCCTCCTTCGCGCCAGAGTGAGAAACTTTGATCTCTGGTCCCATTGAGCCAAGAAACTGCCACGTCTACTATAGTATCCTCCTCCCATAGTTCTTAGTAGTCAAAACCGATGCAGCCCCCTACCCCCTAACCCATGCTCTCCTCCTCGCTTCCGTGCCGGGGGTCACGTGACGAGACCCCTACATTACGTTAGTAGCGTCTAGTGGGCACGCCTTGGACAGACCCACCACCAAGGCGTGCCCACTAGAAGCTACTGTGGCCGGAACCAAACACGTGTACACCACATGTCGATCACGTGTCAGTTGACGTGTCATGTGATCTCCACCCGCCGAGCTTTTATTTATGAAGAGTCGATTGAACGTTTGAATCATGTCACAACATTCATCATCCATCGACCTCATGGACGACGGCGAGCCAAGGACCATTATCGGACCCTCCGCTGGGATCGTTCCGATGCTCATCGACGAGGCATCTGCTCCGGAATGGCGTCGTAAGCTCGTTCAGTGTCTTGTCATCACCGGGTATGCCAACACACTCGACGAACTCTCTGCGCCGCCGGGTTGGAAGTGGTGGGCCAAACCATCCGAGTATCACGGTGTGACGTGGGATCAGCAGCAAAGCTGGGCCTTGGGACTTCTTCTTCCGACCATGTCCGAGGAGCTCTGGGGCGGTCTCGCAGAGCAGACTGAAACCATCGCCGCTGCCTGGAACCGACTCAACACACAATTCAAGCCAACGCAAGCCGAGATTTCCGGCTACTATCGCTTTCCAACCATGCGCCGAGGGGAGGATGGGTCCCCTGTCAAGTGGCCGGCTGCAAAGGATCATCTCTCCGTGTTTGAACAGCGATTCATCCTGCTCGAGGCATGCGGGATCCAGCTCACAGATGACATGAAGGTCGGCATGTTTGTGGCCTCCCTGCCGCACGACTGGGACCTCGACTTTATCAGCACGCAGAGTCGGAGGTCGTGGGCCGCGTATAGGAAGAGCTTCAAGTGGATCACTACTGGGCCTCAGAACCGTGGAAAGCATCAAGGTAACTAGCACACAATAAATATCTAAACTAACGGAGCAGGGCCACCCCCCGAGTCGTCGCAACAGGGTTCTTCCCAGCGCGGCCAGCAGTCGTCAATACCATCGCATAGGCGGTCATCTCAGCCCTCCCATGCTCAACCAAAGAACAACAACTCCAAGCCGCTGCGCCATCAAGGACCGCAGTCCACGTCACGGAATGCCACAGCCCACGATCACAGCAGCGTCGGAGGCGTCTCTGGTGAAACGGTGGGAGCTGGCTCCAGTCGGGGAGGCACGCAAGGATCCAACTCGGCAAACAAGAGCTCAAGTCAACCGCCGACTACGTCAGCACCTAGTGCGTCGCGCTCGACGATAAAGGGGGCAGCGAGCGCCAAGTCGAAAGAATCAAACAACCCTTTTGATGTCCTTCGTGACATGGAGGGCGGCGACGAGAAGCATGAGGATGGGGCTTCTGCTGCTGCTGGCCCAAGCACCCTGGTTAACAATGATCTTTCAGATCAAATGTCCCGGGTAGCGCCCACCGACACCGACACGGGACGTAGACCCCATCGTCCATGGTGCAGTCACTGCCAGGTCCCTGGGCATACTGTCTCCAAGTGCCGAAGGAAGGCGATGGGGGCCCCCAAGCGACCCCGACGCAAGGGGCGCGATGATCAACATCGCCCAACTGCTGAGGAGGATCGAAATGGGCACGGGGACACCGGTCCCGGGGTCCTTGTTGAGGCGTCACACCTGTCCCTCATCAACCCCACAAACCTCTCCGAGGCGTGTGAAGGTGACGAGGCTCCGTTCTGGAGTGAAGCCATGGAGCGCGAGGTCGCACGACTGAAGAGCAGCGGTGTCATCCAAGCCGTCGTACCTCCACCTGTCGGACAGGATGCAACCGACATCTCTGCGGTGGAGTGGGTGTTTGCTCGCCAGATCAAGAACGACTTGGCAAACTATCGTTGCCGTGCCGTGGTTGCCCATCAGGATGGACGCGCCGATGAGGCCGCGATGGGGAGCATGCCCGCCTTCCGTACGGTCCTCGCATTCGGAGCAAGCATGGGGATGCGGTTCCGGCACCTCTCAGTAGACATTACTGTGCCGCTCCCCGAGGCGGTATATGTCAAGGCGCCAAACAGTAACACCACCACCTGGAAACTTCAAAAGATGTTACGCGGCATGAAGGGAAGCGCAAAGGCGATAGATGGTGCCATTCGGGACTGCCTGCTTGCATGCGACTTCAAAAAATGCAGCGAAAATGGAGTGTTCGTGCTGCCAAGTCCTCAAGGCCGCCCGCGCGCCATCGTATTCCAGTGCGGGGATGAACTATTGGTTGCCTCATGGACTGCGGGCCTCAACGCCTTGATGCCCATCATCAAAAACAAGCTGATAGCCGAGGGCGCGACCGTGGACGACCTGGGCGAACCCGCGCTCTTCATGGGCATCGGCGTCGAATGCTTCCCTCAAAACTGCGACGTCCTGCTCCAGCAGAACCATTACATGGACCATATCCTGGACGCAGTTCCCGAGCTCGAAAGCTGGAGGGAATGCACTGTGCCTATGGCACCGGAAACTCTCGAGGCACTGGCAGCTGCCAAACCTACCGACGCCACAAGTAGCACCAACTCTGCTGTCGACCGCAAGTGGTGGCGAAAGGTTATCGGCCAATTGTCGTGGCTGGCGCGCTGCACGCGCCCAGACATTGCCTTTGCTGTCGCATATCTATCGCGCTTTTCGTCGTTGACTACGCTTGGGCCAGTGCACCGTGCGGCACTGTTCGACGTTCTGTCCTACCTGCGTACGGGGCACGAGTTTGAGTTCAAGCTGGGCGCTGAGGAAGACTCGATCGAACCGCACGAGACGCGAGCATACACGCATGGCTTTGTTACCCCGTCCATGGACAAGTGTCACATCGGATGGTGTCTTTTGCTGGACGGAAGCACGATCGACTGGGCGAGTCACAAGAGCAACGTGGCACAGACCGAACTCGAGGCCGACCTCTTTGCCCAGGGCGAAGGGGCGCACCGCCTGACGTGGCTCGGCGACTTGCTCTCCGACCTGGGCGTGCCCGCGTCCAAGCCCAGCCTGCTCCTCGGTGACAACTGCGGCATCATCGAGAACCAGGCGGCCCTCGCGGGCGTCCTCCAGTCCAATAAGCATCTCCTATCCGAGTACCAGTTCATGCTCGATCTCGAGAGCAAGGATTCTCTCCGCCTCCACGAATGCGACGACGGCAGCCAGCCCGCCAAGCTCTGCTCCATGACCACCAAGGGGGCCGAGTTCACGCGCTTCTGTCTGATGTATGGCCTTGAGCGGCAGTTCAGCGTCGACGAGGTCGATCTCTGGCGTGGGGGCGCCGACATTGAGGAGCTCGCATCCCGCGTGCACTCGCTGTACGCGCGCGACTTGGCCTAGCGCTCGCGTATCTGGCAGCGGCGCCCCCGTCTGCCTCAGGCCCAGGGCCCTCCGTATAGCTAGCAGTATGATAAGGGATAAGGTGGGACACGCACAAGAGAAATAGACACATTCATCATGTGGACGTACAGTGGCCCAACAAGGGTGCAAGAAGAGGAACGAATACCCGCTAATTATTATCTATTCCAAGTCAGGCTTAGCGAGCAAACTACCCCGTGTTCCACTTCGGCCTCCCCTGGCAGGCAACTGACCACCTCGACGGGCTGATCAAATTCGAGCGTCACGGTGACATTTGCTGTGGTTTTCCAGCTAACCATGGCACGGTTATGGCCGCCTAGCGCTAAAGAGCAGTCGACCTCGGCGCTCAGTTGCAACAGCGGAGCGAAGCGAACCTTTCGCCAGCCAGGATGTGATTCGACAGGATGCACGCCGGCGACCTCGATCGGGTATTCGTACAGCGCAATACTCCCCCAGGCATGGCAGTCGGAGCGCTCGCTGACGGAGTCCTCGTTCCACGTGATCAGGTTTTGGCCCAGCATTGCCTCCCAAGGTCCCCATGCCACATCCCAGAATGCAGTGTATGCTTGTGCGCCGGCCAAAGCGAAGGCGCGGAAGGCGTAGTGCGTCATCACGTAAGAGCAGCCAGTGAACGGCTTCGACACCCCTAAACCGAACGCGTCGAGGAGAAGCGAAGGGGCTTGTTCCACTGTCGCCGCGCCACATAGAACGGCCCAGATCTGGGCATGCTGGCTGTAGTCGCCTGCGGCATCGGTAGTCGAATCCAGGAAATACCTGCCGTCGAAGCAATGTTTGCGAACTGCATCGACGGCAACGACGGCGCGAGCCTCATATTCCTTCGCCATGGCTAGTCGTCCAACCTGGCTGAGTAGCACTGCGGCGCGTTGTAAGGTGTACGCGTACAGCATCGTGTTGTACGAGAAGACGTTGTTCTCGCGCCCCGCGACAGGTACGCCCCCATTACGGTAGCTCGCCGATGCGCTCCACTGCGGCGTCCAGTCCACAAATTGCCACATATGCACCGCCAGGCCAACCACTAGCCCTCTGTTGTCGGTATGGCGAGCGAAGAACTCTAGCACCCCGTCAATTGTCGGCGTCATTCTACGGGCGAAATGCCGGTCGGCAAAGAACTGCATGTGGTCGCACACCTGCATGACCCAGTAGAGCGAGAACGCTGGAATGATTTGGCCCTGTTGGCTGGGTACGCGGGATTGCGTCAAGCCACACGGCAGCGCCGACGCTGCGAATAGACGGATGGCTGAGCGCATCAGCCGGTCGTCGCCGCTGACCAGATAGTGGAACAATCCACTCGAGCGTGTGTCCATTGCGTATCTACATTAACGTTGACCACACTGATCGACACTCACTGGAGCTGCTCGTAGAAGGGACAGTCCGAGTACCCGTCATATAGGCATGCGCGCAGAGTTGACACGCTCACTTGCCAGATACGTTGCTCGACCACAGATGCCGAGGACCAGCTTCCAACAAGTGGAAGGGGGTAATTGGTTTGCGACGCACAGAACGATTGGAGAGTAAGGTCGCCCTCCCCCACGTCGACGTCGATGGCTAGGAAGCGGAAGGCGCGATACCAAAATGGTTCGTAACTGGCTTCGCCGCTGACGGTCACGCTATCATACGGACCGTAGAGCTCTCCGGAGTCGGGATCCGTGCGGTCGCCCTTGGTCCGCAGCCATGGACGCATGCGGGGCTGCTTTTCGTATCCCTCCGAGTAGGTGATTCTGACATGCGAGCTGCCCCCTGCTTGCAGGAAATGCCAAGTTGTGAAAGCTGTCATGTAGTCGGAGAACTCGAGCTCCAGACGGTGCTGCGATTGTGGCGGAAGACAGATTGGCTTATCGTGCAGGAAGAAATCGGACCAGGCCGAGTCGACGTGAGACGACACTACTCGCACAGTTTGAACGTTCCCTTCGGACGCAACTGGCAAGGGGTTAATGCGCGGTTCCAAACTCCATGGTGTCATGCCCCCCGTGGACGTGGAGAAAGAATACGGCTGGGCCTTGGTAGGAATGTGAAACGCTGGCAACTTGACCTCCTCAAACACCTATTGTTAGCGCTACCGACATTCCTAAATTTACCTTCAAGAAGGCATCGTCTTCCATGTCGATCGCGAAACGCAGCCCGGTCTCGTACGCTGTCCACCCGCTACATGAGTCGAGCACGCAGTCTCCTTCGGCCATCGCAACTCGCCCCACGACTGTTAATCCTGGGAGGGAGGAGCGCACGAATGGCGTTCCACCCTCGGCTGCTGGGAACAGACGCATAACGTGCACTGACACTTCATTGTGACCTTGTCGAAGGAAGGCGCCGATGTCGACAGTGTCGAAGAACCACAAGGACGTAGTACTCCGCGACGGACCTACAGCAACGCGACGGCCGTTAACGAACAACTTGTACCGTGTGTCGGCTGTCAGATGTATGGTAGCAGCTGTAGGACTACCTATGACCTCGAAGTTGCGCTGGAAGACTGCAACTTTGCCTGTAGAAATCGTCTCCTCGGACCAATGGGGTAACCAGATCCAATTGGTCTGCAGTTGCTCTCTCGTCAGCTCAGGAAGTGGGGGCCCACGTACGTCAATGATGGAGTCGCCCATAGTTATTGCGGGATGACAAGAGAATTGTTGAGGTCCAGGTCACTGTCAACGCACAGATAATATATGGGAGACAAGTGGATGAAACAGATGAAACAGCGACCGGCCGAACTATATCCGGTGACCGGCCGGTGGAGCGGAATAGGGCGTCGGGCGTCGGATTATGTCTTAGACCGGTATCCGGATTACAAGCCGGGGTATGTGAATTAGGATTTCCGGAATTGCTTTCGCTGTCGCTGGTGGTTGTCGGCGTAACAGTAGTCGCGTCAAATGCCCTCGCTGATCCGCACTGAAAGCCGCACGGGGAGATGATATCCCGACCTATCTAAGGCGGTGTTCGATTTCATGATCAGGAGCGATGGAGGTATAGGGGACTTGCCAATGAATGATGAGATCTGGCCGTCGTAAGGAGCACCAAGGGACCCCCCCTTTGATGGTCAGGGTTGATTGCCGAGCGTTCCTCCAGGCTCTGATGCGGTCTCACACTGCGGAGCAATTGCGCGCAGAGTCAGATCAATTCTGCACATATCCATCCATTGATGAGGAGTTGTGAAGTGCCAGTAACGGTCTATCGTTGCGGAAGAGATCGCAAACATCTAGCAGATTGCGGGTCATTGACCGTCCGAACACTTCTGCGTCGGAACAATGTGAGTGTGGCACTTGAACATAAAACGGCAGCTCCACTTGGGCGTTTTTTTTCACTCAACAGCTCCACCTCGACTAACAACTTCAGCACATCCACAATGCCCTCAAGCGACATCGCCGGCTGCCCCCCTCAGCCCAACCTCGACCACTCTAGATGGTGGCGACACCGCTCCCTCGTCGTCCTCAATGTTCTGCTCTACCTCTGCCCTCTCCTGACCACCTTCACCATGGGCTTTGACGGTAGCATGTTTGGGTCCCTCCAGGCCTCCGACTACTGGCAGGACTATTTTCACCACCCAGCTGGGACTATTCTCGCGACTCTTGGTGCGGCACCCATTCTTGGTGGATTCATCGCCTTCCCCTTCGTTTACACTCTTTCGGACAAGATGGGTCGGCGCTGGTCCATGTTCATTGGCTCGGCCTTTATTGCAGTCGGTAGCGGTATTCAAGCTGGGGCGCTCAACCGCGCCATGTATGGTCTTGGCCGTGGTCTAATTGGCTTTGGACAGGCATTCTGTGCTGTCTGTGAGTAAATTGGGTTTTCTTTAACTAACATGCAGCGGGACCTGCCTGGGTAGTCGAAGCCGCACAGTGAGCGTATTTTGGGAAGTCTGAACTGACAATAGCCCTCGTCAACGTGCTACTGTAACGGCTGTTTATGGTATTAGCTATGCCCTTGGATCGATTGTGGCTGCTTGGGTTGTATTCGGCACCATCCACATCAACAGTAATTCTGCTTGGCGCATTCCTTCAGCTTTGCAGGCTCTCCCCGCTATCATTCAGTGCAGCTTTGCTTTCGTCTGCCCCGACTCGCCTCGTCACTTGTACTACAAGGGCCATCACGCTGAGGCCAAGGCCATGATTATCAAGTACCACTCCGACGGTCAGGACGACGATCTCGCTCAGTGGGAGTACGACGAGATTGCCGTTGCGCTTGACGCCGAGCAAGCCCTTCCCAAGGGTATCTTCGCACCTCTCTTCAACGCACTCAAGAAGACTGGTTACCGCAAGCGTCTCTTCATTATTATGTGGCTCGCCATCTGCTCCCAAGCCTCTGGAAACAGTTTTATCTCGTACTACCTCTCTCCCGTCCTCCGCTCGACCGGCATTACTGGCCAGCTCCAACAGACAATTATCAATGCCACAAGCCAGATTCTCTCGTGGCTCTCAGCGATGGCGTTTACTGTCCTCCCGGCCCGAGTTGGCAGGCGCACCCTCTTCCTTTCGTCACTGGCGCTTCTCCTCCTCGTTGTCAGTGGCATCACGGCCGCTTCGGCCGTGTTTTCCCAGAACCCCAACAACAAGGCAGCGAGCTATTCTGTCGTAGCTCTCATCTACCTCTTCTCACCCTGCTACAAGTGAGTAATTATTGTGACTCGGCTAACAATTAGCCTCGGCTTCACTGGCAACCTCAACGTCTTCATTTCTGAGATCAACGAGTTCTACCTCCGCGCCGTCGGCATCACCCTGTTCGGCCTCGGACAGCAGATCATCTCCCTCATCTTCCAGTACGCCACGTCGGTGGGCCTCGAGCGCCTCGGCTGGAAGTACTTCTGCATCTTCATTCCTTGGATCGCAGTCGTGAGTCATTAAAGTCTTTTTGTTTCAATTCATGTCTGACAAATGCAGGAACTGGTTGTCGTCTACTTTGTCTTCCCCGAGACGAAGGGTCTTAGTCTGGAGGAGATTGCCACAGTCTTTGGTATGTTCAGAGCCGCAGATGTAGCACTGACAGCAGATGGCGAGGCCGCACCTCTCGCGCATGGGCGCATGGTTGAGGATAAGAAACCCGAATTCGAGCACAAGGATACTGCAATGGTATGATGGTGCACAAGGAGACTCTGATGGTGTGAACGTGGCTATATTCCAGCAAAGCAATCATTGGAAAAACTGGAGGAGAAAATATGAATTGTAGGAGCTGTTATGCAAGCGGAATTTGTGAGATCGAAATCTGGCGATCCTCGTGTTCTTCATACTCAATCTCGCTCACACTACATAGCAATGGAGCGGTGAAATAGCCGTGAAAGCTTTTGCACGTGTGGCATCGTGCGTTTCTATTTGGCGCTGGGTAACGAGTCTTGCAAGATGTTGCAGTGAGAGCTGCCCGATCATTTTGCCAATGCAAGTACTTACACAGCACATGAAAGGGTATAATCAATGAGCCAAGCTAGTTGCCAACATGACGCTCCTTGCGCTTCGCGCTTCGTCCCAATGAGCCACGCGAGATTAGTCTTAATTTTGTCCATATCCTCCGCGCTCTTCCTTTTCGCCCATCGCGGGCTGGCCACGCTGGTGTAGTTGGTGGGGCTGGTGCTGCGCTCTGCCTGAAGATGACCACCACCCAAGAGCCTATCGACGTGTCAAGTCGGCTATGACTCAATCGTAGAACCAAGGATGCTTCTAATGGAGTTACTGTATGAAAACATCGGATTTCCTTCGCGGAAATAAACGCATTCCTGGCTTCTGTTGCGATAATAAACCTCGGACGCCTCTGAGCACAGGGCAACAACTGGGATGTGGTCATACACCTATGATGACTGTGACTGTGCCATTGGGGCACTAGCAAATGAGAACCAGTCTATTGGATTTGGCCAGACCACACTGACGGCAGCCAGTACTACACACTTAATAAGCCGACGGTTCATTATCCTATGTACATATGTACTCGGCTTTCTGGCTGACGTACTGTCATCTGAACTACGCTCACCGGACAGTCCGTCTCATCAGCGCATAACCGCCTAACCCTTTCATAATTATCGGATACGCTGCTAAGTCTCCAAGTCTTCAGCGGGCCCGAAGAACTCGTAGTGGACTCTCTCTTCCGGCACTCCCATAGACGCCAAATAGAACTTGACTCCCTTCATAAACGGCTTGGGTCCCAAAAAGTACACGTCCGATTTCTTCGCATGTGGTAGCCACGATTTGAGCTGGTCGATCGAGAGCAGGCCTGTCGCATCGGCAAGGTGGTGGGGGTCTGTAGTCTCATAGACGGTGTACACCTTGACCCTGTCGGGATTCTCCTTAGCGATACTTGAGGTAAGAGGACGGAACGCGTGAACATCCTCAGAGCGAGCACAGTGGATAAAGGTAATATGCTTGCGACCGGCAGCAAGAGCGTCCTTGAGCATGGGAATAGTCGGAGTGATACCAGCACCGGCAGAAATGAGAATCAACGGCTCGTTCGCCCGCGATGCATCGAGGACAAACTCGCCTGCGGGAGGATAGACATCGAGTTCGTCGCCAATCCGGACGTGATCATGGAGGTGGTTCGATACCGCGCCTCCCGGCTCACGCTTAACGGATATCCGAAGGTACTCGCCGTTGCCCGACTCTGAGACGGAATAGTTGCGGCGCTGCTCAACCCCATTGGCATGGACGCAGAGACCAATGTATTGACCAGCCTCGTGCTCGATAATCGGTTTGCCATCCACGGGCTTGAGATAGATGGATGTCATGATACCAGTCTCCGGCACCTTGTCTGCCACCTGAAACCTCCGGGCACCACGCCATCCTCCGGGGACCGTCTCCAGTCGATGGTAGATGGACTCTTCCGCCTGGATGAGAATGTCGGCAAGTTCCCCGTATGCTGCTCCCCATGCAGCAACGACCTCGTCCGTGGCAACATCTTTGCCAAGAACTTCACGAATGGCGCGGAGAAGCGACTCGCCAACAAGTGGGTAATGTTCTGGGAGGATTTGCAGTGCGACATGCTTGTTGGTGATCCTCGTCACGGCCTCGCGCAACGGAGTGAGGTCATCTATGTGCCTGGCGTATGCGAGAACGGCGGCGGCGAGCGCACGAGGTTGACGGCCTGAGCCTTGATGGGCGCTGTTGAAGAGTGGCTTCACTTGGGGATAGTTGCCAAGCAGCAAATGGTAGAAGTGCGTCGTGAGGGCTTCACCGCCGCTCTCGAGAATTGGTACGGTTGCTTTTACAATGTCCTTTTCAGATTGAGTAAGGAGGATAGTCCGCGACGAAGAAAATGGTCGCAGTGAGCTCGTCGAGCTGAGCGCAGTGATGCGTGATGTCCGAAGGAGTGCACGGGCGGTCATTGTGGTTGTTGGCAAGATTGCGTTGTTGCAAAGGATTAGAATGGACGTGGGTTGTAACATGTGGTGTGTGGGTGACGCCCTAGGTCTGTGAAGTAGAAGCAAGCCCAGCAATTTATTGCATTGGTTGGGGCACGTTCGGGGCATGGATGCTGCACCCATGCTATTCCGCTTCGGGATGTTGCCTTCAGGGACCGGTGGTGGTTTACATGAAAACGGTGAGTGGGAGCCGTGCGATCTCTGTGGAGCTGACTGAAACCGTCAATGCTGTATCACCCAACCACGTTTGTTGGCAACCTGCGGTCAGTGATCAGTGACGCGCGCACGTACCTCGTTGAATGCTCACGTGCCAATCAAGTCCAAAAGATTATGTGGTCCTCCTCCAGGCCTCCAGCAGCTGGACCTTGATCTCATTACGCAGACGCGTAATCTCAAGTGCAGCAACGTGTCTTCGGTCCGTCGTCATCGAGCGCGCCACCTCCGAGTGCTGGTGACGGATTACCATCGGGGTGCCAATCCACATTTAAAGTCGTCCACATCTCTCCTTGAGTTCTTCACCATCACAGTTTCGACCATCTCCATGGAGGTCTTTCCAGGAGCACTTGTTGCCAGACTATGCCTTGCCGCTGCCGCTGTGCTCGGCGCCTCAGTCACCACTGTTATATCGTCTCGCATTACCTTCGATGTAAGTGTCCATATTACCCACACTGTCGCTCATCACACACCAGCTGGGCAAGATCGGTGGAGTGACCACATGGGCATTCTCATGTACCACATGGCTTAGTGTACTCACCCTGTGCATTGAAACGCTTCTCCTTACTGCGAGGACCCAATCAATCGGGGAGGGCCGACGAGACGACCACAAAATGGTCATTGATTGGGACCAAGTGGATCGCGTGTGGTCGGTCACAATATGGGTCTTATGGCTTGGTGAGATGCCCGGAAATTCCACTTTGATAAGGTGACTGACCCTGACCTTCTTAGCCGACGTGATGTGGGTAACGAGAATATCTAGCTGCTGCTCATGGTCCCGTAAGCCTCCCCCGTCTGCCCCGCTAATTGACCTCCCAGCGTCGATCTGCGTCAATATAGGAGCACTTTGCGCCTGGACCTGGGTTGATTGGCTGCTATTCAGTTCTCGCCTACTCGTCATGGCCTCCGAAACCCTCAGGATCCGACTGTACCACTTGATTCAAGCGCTGAATAGGAAGCTCGCCCCTTGGTGGAGAGCTATCAAAGAGCCAGTGGTCCAGATTGCAGCTTCGGTTGGGGTATTGTTGTCGGGCGTAGTGGCGTCCTTGGGACTGCTCGCCATGGGTCTGTTCGGTGTAGTCGACAGAATATTCGCTGTTGTGGGCCTTGGTGGGATGAGGAGAAAGCTGATCAGCCGTCTTGGATTGTTCAAAGTCGCTTCTGGGGTTGACAAGGTTTTCGCCACCTTGGGCTTTAGTGGGCTCCGGCTACTCGGCGACTCGGGATCCCAGGAACCGGATGAGTTGGGTGCGAACTCTGTCGCGGACGAGCTTGGTCTTGGAACTCTGACTGGAGACACTGGAAAGAATGGGGAGTCTGGCGGCCTACCAATCGTCGGCAGTCTTACCTCGGGGATAGCCTGGGCTGTGCAACAGCCGCTGAGGCCCGAGGGCAACACATTGAGGAAGAGAGACAGTGTCGGTGGCGGCTGAACGCACTCGTAGCGGGAGGAAATGTATGAACAGTAGTGGGAGCCACAGCGTCCTTCTGTCTCCCACAGCGCGAGACAGAAGGACGCTGTGGGAAGTCAAAACATCCACGCCACGTTGGTTTGGTGCGGCCGCAGAAATCCCGCCGGGAGTGCCTTCGGCATGAATATGATGACCGCGATGGGAGGTAAACTGCAAGTGAGCACTGGTAGCTGTGACGACTCCATCACCGCTCTTGGAGATATCGGGGCTACCCCAATTTCGAGTGCAATCATCCCACACGCTGAATCTGAATCGTCACGTTCGTGGAGCAATGCTGAACAGATGGCTCCTCCACAAACAAGGCATCATTCTGTTCCGTAGCTGTGTCCAGTATGTGCGGAGCGATGAGTCATATGAGATCCCTACCTGGGTGACCCTCTTCCTGAGCACCTCCTCTCAGCGTACGCCCGTATGTTACTCCCACTGCAGAGCAGAGGCAAGAAGGTGGGTTTCGCGTCTTGCTTGTGTAGTTGTAGGTCGAGGGTCCTCACATTGGAGGCCACACGTGTGGAGTTGACCTGAGGGATCTTCAAAAGAAAAACAGCGGCTCCAACGAGCTGACCCCAATGCTAACTTGAGCAGCAACCTGTGGGCGTGTGGTTGTAAGAGGCTGACACAGTTGAGTGCTTGGAGCGCATCACAGTTATCAGGTGCAGGCCTGAGACAGGATGATGGGCCGAGGGGTCCAGCCCCCTTCCAAAGGAGCAGTGGAGCCCAGTTCTGTTTCAGTTGCTAAGGGAACGCTGACGCGGACTGACGCGCACTTTGGGAGCTGGGGTAGGTTGCTGAATATGACGCAGTCCGTAGATTATTCTGCGCACCTCGCTATAGCTTTTAAACGTGTTGAGAGACGAGCTGTCTCTTCAACAATAACCTTGAACCGCAACCGACAATTCATTTTAAATCTTAAAGAGACACAAAACTTATCGAACTCGAACTCGACGCAGGATTCACGACCATGTCTTCCACTCAAACAGAAGAGTGAGTAATCTGCCTCTTTCGTGCGCTGAAACGTCCACTTAGAAAGACCCAAGAACATTACGAGGACTCCTCGCATCCGGATGACAACGCTTCCGACCATGAGATGGAGGACGGAGGCCAACAGCAGGAGCACCCGACAAAGCAGCAGCCGCTGAAGAAGAAACCCGCTCAACAGCTGCGGAAGAAGTTACAGCAGCAGCAGCCCTCCACTGAGCGTGCGTCGGGTGATGGAGGAGGTAGAGTCCTCGGCAACACGATGGAGAAAACGAAGCAGCTGCCAGGAGACGAGGAGTTGCAGCAAGTGACTCTTCCCGCAGGAAAGCACGACCTGATCAAGGATGTGGCGATGCAGCCCCTGAGGGGGAGAAAAGAAATGATCTCCCAGACGATCGGGGACGGGGCGATGAAGGAGATTGAGGAGGCACGGGAGAAAGATAAAGACGAAAAGCAGAGTCTTCGAATCAAGATCTCTCTTGATCTAGACGTGGAGGTTCACCTATCGGCAAGGGTCAAGGGAGACATTACAATCGGACTCCTTTGAGTAGCGAGTAGGACTGGCACTTCTGTATCTGACAACCGAGAATGTACATGATGAGTTTGAAAGCCGTGAACTTTCTGTCCAGGTTCCGTCCCAATCACTTCCTGCGTGGCCTATAATCCCCTTTCATCCCCAGACACTATGGGGTTAACAAAGTGCATAAGTAACTGATCATTTTTTTCTTGGGTGCAATCATTTCAAGGTGCGAGTGCGATTTGTGTAAACAACATGAAGTCCAATCGTTTCATTGTGCAAGTTCTGAAAATCGTTGATAGAGTGGACGTATGTACTCACCTTAGGTGAGTGGATCATCACCGACTCGGAGGTAAGGATATCTCGTCGAAGAGCAGGCCTGCATGCCAACAATATTGGATTTGGAGACTGCACGAGCAAGCAATGGAAAGCAGAAGGTCACCGGTGCTGGGAGTGTCCTTTTTCCCTCCGCAACTTACGTCTGCCGATCCAGCGCCGACTCCTCTTCCCGCTTGACACTATCCTCCATCGCCCTAATCCTCTCCACCCTCTCTCCTATCGCCATATCGTGAGCCTTTGGCCTCTCTCTCCGGACTAGCTGCACTTCCAGCATCCTGTACCTCCTTCCCATTCCTGTCTTGTCCGCGATTAACTCCTTTCGGCGAAGGCCATCGTTGTCTAGGTCGAAATACAATGCCCACAGGTCATCGTCCTCGTCCTCCTGGACAGCGATGAACCCTTCCCATCCTTCGAATGTCATTCGCTTGTCGATAGACGTACAGTCCCATGGCCCGGTATGGTGGCTCTTCGCGATTGACTTGACACCATGTCGCACCTCGTGGGTCTGACGGTCGACATACACCCAGTTCAGGTGGTTTTCCTCGTTGACGGTGGTGACCAGTCCCTCGCCCTTCCACCCAGCGGTCTTCCATTTGCCCTGGCTGTCCGGGTATGGTAGATAATACCCGGCGAAGGGGTGGATTGTACTGGGAGAGAAACTCGAGTCTGCGTGCTGGACAAATAGCTCGTCATGTCAGAAATGTGCTTCCTTTTCTCTCACCTTGTGATCCTTGAGCACAACCAATGCGCCATCAAATTTTGGGCTGTAGGCGTTCTTGGTGGGAAGCTCGACAACAAGGTTGACCTTTTCCCCGCGATGTCGTTCCCTCGCGTTTGCATTCTGCCCATGTCGCACAGCTTCCGTAGTTCCGACAATTGCTGGGCAAGCAGCTACGGCGCTCAAGAGTCCTAGAACCATCGTTTGGTGGATGAGCAGGAGGTGAATTTCAGAATTATCTTTCAGAAGCAAGCTCGTACAGTCGAAGTTGGGAGCGTCAGCCGGGATGTACAACTGCCACAGAATAGGGTCAGGGGGTACGCACTTTGAGACAAGGAGATGCGTGGGCGGTGGAGCTCGGGTACGCGGGCGGTGGAGCTCACCGGAGCTCCAATGGAGCCACTGATACCGGGAGACGACACGCGCCTCTGCGGGAACATGATATGTACAGTACGAAGTGAATGTGACGCGTCGAGGGAGAGTTCAATCCGAACAAGTGTGGCGAACTAAACGCATCGAAGACTTTTGGGCGTGAAGGCGAGACCCAATGCTTGTCTCACATGGACATGTGGTGAACTGTGACGAATCGGCCATCCTGAGAAGGTGGATCCATTCTCGTATCTGCAAAGACATGTGGTGAACTATGACGCATCGCAGACTTTCAGCAATGAGGTCGGGCTCCAATACTTGTCTCACATACTCACAACACATGTGGTGAACTCGTGACGCATCGACGACCGTAAGAAGGGTGGGATCCATTCGCCTCTACAACATGTCTTTGTAAACTATGACGCATCGAAGGCCTGCTCCAATGCTTGTCTCATATAGACAGGTGGTGAACTGTGACGCATCGACGATCTTTAGCCACAAATACATACGGCATGACGTTTCAGACGCCATGCTTATTGCGGGTCTCCACCAGCTGTCCAAGTACGCATTGTGCTTCAGGTCGGCTTTGTGACGTATCATATCAGCCATGACGCACAACCAACGCTCTGAGGCAGCGCCACGTCTGTATAAAAGGGAAGGCTTGCTTCTCCAACCGCCAGAATCGCAACATTGCTTCCCCAAACCACTTCTCTAAACCATTCATGACCGACATCAAGACATCAACCGTTTCTAAGGGTCCGGGCTCCACCACCAGGGACGATGCGGCAAAGAAAGCTGGGTCAGCCGCCGGTACTGCGAAGCCTGGTGCAGCCAGCGGCAAGCCCAAGAAAGCTGGGTCAGCTGTCGACTCTGCCAAGAACACGGGTTCTCATTCCGAGAAACCGCCCACGCCGAACGTCGACCCCAAGGCAGCGAGCACTGGCAAGGCGACCACAACGGCGGGCCAGTCTGACGCAATGCCCCAATCGGGAAGGGGTGACACTCACGACCTCACGAAGGCCGCCGATGCCCTCCAGTCTGCTTTAACGGACGACGAGAAGTCCAAGCTCACTCCTGGCAAGGACTCCGGCAAAGCGACCGAGCCCCTCGAATCTGCCTTAACAGACGAGGAAAAGTCTAAGCTGACTCCTGGGAAGGACTCTGGCAAAGCCCTCGGGAAGGGTACAACAGAGACCGCCACAAAGGAAGGCCAGACTGATACCCAGCAAAAGGAAGAAGCAGTTGAAGGAACAGATCCAACTGCTCAGGGTGTCGAGGGTAGTGAACAAAATGGACATGCCTTGAAGGAGGGTGAAGTCCCAAGCGAGGCAGAGGATGTCCCTGAGGCCCACATCTCAGAAGACGACCTTCCCAAGGACGACGAGGACGAGGATGACATTTCCGAAGGCGACCAGCTCGAGGGCGACGAGGACGAGTGTGGCAAGAATGAATTCGACATTCCCGAATACGAAGACGATGTTCTTGAGGACGAAGGTAACCTTTCCGCGGAGGAGGGTAACATTCGCGAAGACGACGAGGACGAGGGCGACATCCCCGAAGGCGACGAGCTCGAGGGCGACAAGGACGAGGATGGCGATAATGAATTCGACATTCCCGAAGACGATGTCCTCGAGGGCGATATTCCTGAAGACGAGGACGACGTTCTTGAGGGCGAAGGCAACATTACCGCGGAAGAGGGCAGCATTCCCGAGGACGACGAGGACGATGGCGACATACCCGAAGGCGACGTTCCCGCAGGCGGCGTTCCCGAGGATGACGTTCCCAAGGACGACGAGGGAGAAGTCGGGTATGAAGCAGCTGGCGAGGGCGAGAATGTGGCCCAAGACGTTGAAGGCGGTCTTGAGGATGACGGAAACGGTGAGGAAGCCTCCTCCGATAAAGTCGTCCCCGACCCCTCTGTCCTCAAGGTCCTCAAGGACGGCAGGGTGAACAAAGGTGGAAACGTGATCGACCAGGACAACAAGATTGTTGGTCGCGTCAAAGAGGGGGTGCTCGCAAAGCTCGTGGGAAAGCGTGTCGACGAGAACGGAGACATCTGGAACGACAGTGGCAAAAAGGTCGGCGTCGCCGAACCGATCCCGGACGACGAGCTTGAGGCGATGCTTAAAGAGCCTGCGCCCTTCGAGGCCTTCCCCGACGCGGTTGTGGACCGCGATGGATATGTGATCTTCAATGAAGAACGCGTAGGAAAGGTCACCGAGGGGGATGTAAAGCGACTGCGCGGCATGAAGGTCGACGAGGATGGCGATATCCTTGACCGAGTCGGCAGCGTCATCGGACATGCCGAGCGATGGGAGGAGGAACCAGAACCTGAGCCAGAGCCGAAGGAGGAAGAGGACCTTTCCATTCTTGCCGGCAAACGGGTCAACAAAGGTGGCTATGTTGTCGACAGCAGTGGCAACATCTACGGCCGCGTCATCGACGGCGACGTCAAGCGCATGGTCGGTCGGATGTGCGACAAGAAAGGCAATATCTTGTCCGAGGGCGGCGATGTGCTTGGCAAGGCCGAGTTGGTTCCCGAGGGCGAGCGCGACGGCTCAAAAAGTGGACCATTTACCGGCCTTTCCGGGTGCACTGTAGCCAAAACTGGCAAGGTGGTGGCGCCCGGCGGTGACATTGTTGGCCGTCTCACCGAAGGCGACCCCAAGGCTCTCTCCGGCCGCGTCGTAGACGATGATGGCGACATCTGCGACAAGAACGGTAATGTCCTCGGCCATGCGGAGCGATGGGAGGAGGAGGAGATCGAGAAACAGAGGGACCCGATGTCGGGCCGCCGCGTCAACCGCGAGGGAAACGTTGTCGACGAGACCGGCAACGTTATCGGCAAGCTGACCTCGGGCGATCTCAGCATCTGCTCGGGCAAGGAGATTGACGACGACGGCGATGTCGTCGACGGCAAGGGTGTCACGGTGGGCCATGTATCCCTGATCCAGGACATTCCGGAATCCGAGCCCGAGGAGTCTGCCGAAGCCAAAGAGACGCGCGAGCAGGCTGAGAAGGACAAGAAGCTTGCCCAGCAGATGGCATACTGCGTGACGCAGACTCTCGACAAGGTCAAGCCAATCTGCGACACGATCACCAGAGTAAGCAACTTTTTATATCGCTCCTTTCTGACGCCCAACGCAGAAGATCGAGGCAGCGGAGCGAATGCCGAAAGAAGAGCTCGATGAGGAGCAGTTAGTTCGCGAGGTCCGTCCCCTTATCGAAGACGGCGGCAAACTCCTCTCCGAGGCCAATGGCATCATTCGTGGCCTCGACCCGGATGGTAGGATCCAGCGGAACGCCAAGCAAAAGTCAGCGACGCACGAAGCCACGCCGGAGGAATTCTTCTTGGCCGATGTCCTCAAAGAGCTCACCGTAACCGTCGCTCAGACCATTGAGAGCGCCAAGAGAAAGCTTGAGGGAATGCCACACGCAAAGGACGAGCTGAACCCCCTCTGGGGTCTCCTGAACGAGCCTCTTGTTCAGATCCTCGCCGGCGTGGGGTTGCTCCTGGGAGGCGTTCTCGGCATTGTTGGCAGACTAGTGAGTCGACGAAAACCATTGCCACAACATGACGTCCCGTGGCTGACCAATGCAGCTCAACGGTTTGGGGCTCGGTGGTCTCGTCAACGGACTGCTGGGCAATCTTGGAATTGGAACCGTTCTCGACAAGTTGGGTCTCGGGTCTGCCACAGGCAAGGGCAAGGGCAAGAAGAACCAGGGGCTTCTCGGTGGTCTCGGCTTGTAGACAACACCGAGCGCCCCCTGGGGGTGGGGTTCCACCTTCCGCCCGGGACAGAGGTTATCACCGCCGTCAATGTAAGAAAGCCAGATGCATTCCCTCGCTCCACATATCTATCTACGCGTCGCCGAGACGGCGTTGGACTATGTACTAAACGCATTTCAGCCTCACCCAGCGAGCAAGACAGCTCCAGCAGCGGCCCACGTTTGTTGTGCCAGGCACCTCAGCGTGTGTTAGTTCCTGGACTCGATGAATCAGATGACTGTGCTGGCAGTGTTGTTACCCAACGCAGGCCGCAATTCCCGTTCATTATACTGTATTTCGCGCTCAAAACCATGCATCGCAAAGAGGGGGTGGTAATCAATGTCCGTTTTCATAATAATAATAACGTTGAACCAGAGTGGGCTCAACGGCGACGGCGTGCAACAAGGCCCGATGTAAAGACCTGGTTGTTGTTGCCGCTCGAGCAAGACCAGACCTGGAGCTGGTTGCCGTTGGTGAGGTGGCCGTCGGTAAGGTCCACGCACAGGCCGCCATTGTAAATGGCAAGACGGTTGTCACCGGTGTACCACCAAGTCTGCTGCTTGAGACCGGCGTAGCACTGCCAGATCTTGAGCTTTGAGCCGTTACCAGGGTTCTCGCCTGCGTCGAGGCAGAAGTTGGTGCCCGAGACGCGGACCTGGCCAGCAGCATTGCGGACCAGCTGGAAGTTTTGAGCCGGGGTGCCGTTGCACTGGTAGACCTGAACGGGGGTGCCGTTGGCAAAGTTGGCACCCTGGACATCAACACAGTAGCCGCTGTTGCCGTTGGGGTGGAGCTGGGTGATAATACCGGAAGGGGTCGACGTGGGCTGCGTAGTGGTCGTCGACGGCTGCGAGCTGCCACCGCCACCGAGAAGAGTCACAGGAGCAGCCACCTTCCAGTTGTTGGTATTGATGCCGTTCGAGATGGTGGCGTAGGACTTGCAGTTGGAGCGCTTAGGGAGGAAGGCGGGGGATGCCGGGGTGGGCTGCTGCCCCTGGTACCATGTGCTCTGGCCATAGACACCAGGAGCGGCCGCAATGTCGCTGTCGCACGACTCGAAGCCGCTCATGCCGTAAAAGTTGTCAATAGCCATGACCCACTGGCAGCCCATGAGGTCGTAGATGTGGTCGCATTGCTTGGCGACGGTGACCCCGTTGACGTTGGATGTGCAGATACGAACGCAAAACTGGTCGTACGAGACAAAGGCCATCCATTCCTGGTGGGCTGTTAGACACCTGGCACCCTCCTCACAGCATTGAAAGGCTTACCTCGTAAAAGACGTCGTGTCCGGTCGCAACGTTGGTGGTCACGTTTCCGCCGACAGGGTTGCCCTCTCCGGTAGCGCCATGAGGGTCGAGCTCGCCGCCTTGGTCGCCGCTCATGATGTCAAGCTTGGTGCCATCCCACCAACCCGATACCTGGACATAGGCCGGGGTCTTGACAAACTGGGCCGACTTGATGGTGCCGTCGGGGATGAGGCTTGCGCGCAGGGGTTAGAAACCGAAACCGACACGGGCCACGGGACGAGGGATTGATTTGACTCACCGAGCATTGTTGCGGGGCTTTGTGCACCACGCGACCACGCTTTCTTCGACGTCGCCAATCTTGGAGTTTGGGTTTTGGGGCGCATACAGGCAAAAGTCGTCAATGGCGTTGACGGTGAGCAGGCGCGCATTGGAGTTTTGGTCGACGGTCGAGCCGACAGCGGCGAAACCGGGGGCCGAGGGGTTGGTAGGGCCGTTGGGTCCAGTGGCGGTGACCTGGGCGTTTGCGGTGGTGACGAGGAGATGAGCCCAGAGGAGTGGGAGCATGATGATGATTGAGGTGTGGAAGGGAGACGAGAGAGACAAAAAGACAAGGAGAGAAAGAAGCAAAGAGGAGGAGGAGCGTAGAGGGTAGAGGGTTGTGACTGCTGCGGATCGGGGGGGGGGGGGGGGGGGAGGTGGGGGACGCTTGCTCGTTATAAACAGCAAGGGAGGCGATGCGGGGGATTATGGGCGCAGGAAGCAAACGGCGACGCGTCTCCCAGCATCTCCCAGCGTCTCCCAGCTCGGCCAGCTCCCCGACTGACTGTCGCACTGTCGCACTGTCGTACTGTCGCTTGCAATCGGGAATCCCAGGTACGGAAAACAGAGCTTAAGAGCAACAATGCCCTCTGTTTCAGGCACAGCCCCAGACACAAACCGGCGCAACCCACGGGGTCACCGCGCCACCGGAACGCTTTACAAAACTCAAATTTAATTCAGTCAGATAAGGGTTTGGGGTTTAATCACAATCACAATAAACAAAAACAGCACGCTTAAAACCAAACTAGTGCTGTTGTTTGTTTGCCAAACACACAAGCAAAGCAAAACAACATATATGCTCTCAATTGACACAGTAGTGTTTGAAATGGTTCGTGTTTTGCAGAGCCAGTGGCCAGTGACCCAGTGACGTCAGTGAATTGGAGACGGGGTTCCCAAACGGGTCCGAGCTCTAGGCGGGGCGGCGCTGGTTGCATGTGGTGGGGGCCGTGTGGTGGACCCTCCAAGCGGCCAAGAGCCAAGCGGTCAAAGAGCTAGCTCATAGCTCAAGAGAGTCATCGCCCCCCCCCGTATGGCCGTATGGCCCCACGAGATCCACGAGAACCTATAACGCCCCACATGCTGTGCAGCGGGGCGTTTGGGCGTAAAATGTTACTGTTACGTAAACAGTACAATACCCGTCTCATGAGGTATTATAGTTCCGTTCCACCCGCGTTAAGTTCGGAACTTTAAATGGTTTCGCATACCCGTCACACCACGTCGCCCCGCCGCTTAGCCCTCTGGACCCGTTATTGGAGCGGGCGGTGACCTTGCCACCGCCCGCTCCAATGTGTTCAACTTCTCATAACCCATACAATCCGGCTTGGACCGTCAGATTCTTCGTCATTGTGCCGCCATAGTGGCAACGTCATGTACCGGGGCGCCTTCCACCTCCGACGCCTGCTGTACACAACATCCGTACGCGCAACGTCCAGCAGGACGGCGCTCACCATCACCTTGATCCTGGCGTCCTTGCCTTTGCATTGAGTAATTCTGGATCGAGGCATGGGTCGCCTCGCTTCCGTCCTTCGACATAGACACCATGCCACTGTCTATCTGCCGAGAATCTCGCTACAGTCTTCAGGAGACGTATCGAAGGAATCACCTGTCAACGAGGCCACCCGCTCCTCTCATTCAGGTCCCTCGTTCCATAAACCACGAGAAGAAGTGCAGACGCACGCAAGGCTGGATCGCGACTCGAAGCTAAGAAACGACATTGCAGAACAGCTCCCGGCAGTTGTCTCGGACCCTTACCCAGTGATCCAGTGATCCAGTGATCCAGTGATCCAGAGAGGTGGGCGCGAAACATCATCTTGTCGCTGCCAGGAACAGCTGGAACTTGTCATAGGGACGTGTCGCCTTGTGCCATCTCAACGTATGGTTTGCTTTGCTGGGCAGGTCCCGAGGCCGACAAGATTGACTTTGCTACGAGTGTACATACATGACGTTGTCATTGAACTGCCAGTTGGTGCAGGCTCCAACGTGGCTACGACATGGTCCTGACATCGGGATGTCACGACTGACAATTCCAACATGGGGCGGGCATGTATCCTCTCGGCCGTAACTTGATGCAGCAGCATGCGCTCGTCAACCCCCCCCCCCCTCCCACATTCACTTGGTACAGTGTTTGTCCTCCCCGTCGTCGCGTGCATTCCTTTCGCACCCCGGCTGTGCTCTGCCGGCCCTCTCACAAGTCGGAGATTCCGCCATAAGGTCGTATGCATGAGATCGTTGGCGCGAAAAGAGTCCGGCGCGTCCTGAAGGCAAAGCAGTACCGCGAATAGCCGCGACACAACAGCCTCTTCCACGCCGGCCTGCAACGGAACCTGTACTAGGGGCAGGGTGGAGGTTGAGTCTGAAGACGTTTTTGCAGCAGTGACGGACGGGCATTGGTGCTGACGACATGGCACAGCAGATGCGCGACCATCGCCCCAGGAGGCTCCCAGGCCGGCGATAGCCGTCGGCACCATCTGGAACAGAGCACAATCATAATACTCCGGCCTTATTCCAGACCTCTCCCGTAAGCCTCCACCTGCCCTCCACATCTCCTCCACCCCAAGAACCCAAAGCTATAAGACGAGTGCGATCATACTAGCCCCTCTTCTTCACGTCAGCTCTCTTACTACAATGACAGTCAAGCTTGTCACATTTCAAGACATCCAGGTTCCCGCCCCCGGTTTTGGGTGAGTACGGCTTGCGTCGATGTCGTTTGACGCCAGTGCCATGGGTTTATCCCAGTCCTACGGCCCAGCCGACGACAATGTATCACACCAGACGCTCTCGAAGGCTGTCGACATTGGCTGTACGTTCTGGGACACGGCCGTTGTATACGGCACCGGCCACAATGAGCAGCTTATTGGTGACTTCTTCCGGAAGACTGGGAGCCGCGACAAGGTGTTCATCGCGTCCAAGTGCGCCATTGAGTGTATAGGTGAATCGGCTGGGCGTACCATCACGAACAAGCCTGAGCACATCGCCGCCTACATTGAGGGTACCAAGGAGCGCCTTGGTTCATACCCCGACCTCTATTACCTCCACCGAATCGACCCCGACACCCCCCTTGAGGAGTCGATTCCTGCCCTGCAAGCACTCAAAACCGCCGGCAAGACCAAGTACATTGGCCTGAGCGAGTGCAGCGCTGCAACCCTCCGCAAGGCTTGCGCCATAGCCCACATCGACGCCCTTCAGATCGAGTACTCGCCCTTCTTTACTGGTCACGAGCAGAACGGCCTCATTGACACCGCACGCGAACTTGGGGTCACCATCATTGCCTTTTCGCCACTGGGGAGGGGAATTCTCAGCGGCAGGTTCCGCAGCCTCGATGAACTGCCAGCAGATGACTACCGCCACACCTGCCCTGTCTTCAGCAAGGAGAACCTTCCGGGGAATCTGAAGCTTGTGGACGAGTTTGAGAAACTAGCTGCCAAGAAGGGTTGCACTTCGTCACAGCTTGCTCTTGCCTGGGTCATTGCCCAGGGCGCGATCCCCATCCCCGGCACCAAGACCAGCGCGCGTCTTGTCGAGAACTTTGGTGCTGGTAACGTTACTCTTGGGGTCGACGAACTCAAGGCGCTCCGTGTGCTCATCGAGGCCAACAAGCCTGTTGGCGACCGCTACTCTGCAGTAAACATGGCTGCGGTGGGCAAGTGAGGCCAGGAGAGTGCTTGACCACTACTCAGATAGTCGTCCCAATGGTCTGATATGCACCTGCTATGCCAAAGTGTTGAAGTCTCTTGCAGCAGGCGTTGACTTTAAAATGAACGCTGAACTACTGGTCCGCGAAGACATCGTTGGCGAGGAGCGTCCGGTCTCCAATCCTCGTGTCGCGTAGTACATACATAGATTAGTTGCGAAACCCAAATGCTATTCAACATAACAACCTCAGCCCCGGTTGAAATAGTGTGTTTGTTTGTTTTTGTGTGCGGGGTAACAGGGCCGGTTGGCCGGTTGCCCCGCGCTCTTCCCCCACCGGCCACATCGCTCGCGCACGGATGCCGCGTCTCTCGCAGTTCACCGAAATCACGCCATGACGCACCATTTTAGCTTTTATGCGCTTTTCAGCTGCTGGCTGCTGCGACGCCCGGCTTCTGAAACGGCCTCTGTGCCGTGCCGGCGTGCGTTCCAAGTCGCCGGCACACACATCTCTTCGTTATTCACCTTTCACTTGCCCATGTCGCCAACCTCCCCCGCCAGCCCGTCGCGCCCGCGAACATCAAGAGCTTGCTCAGCTTGCAATGTTAAGAAACTGCGCTGCGACGGCGCTATGCCCTGCCGGCGCTGCGCTGCCACCGGCGCCGCCTGTGAATACGTTCCCTCTATGCGCGGCAAGACACGAAAGCGCAAAGCAACGACATTACCCTCCCGGCCAGAGCCCATTGTTCCGCGACCACGATCACCGGAACCCATTGGCACGCGCAAGAAAGAGTACGCCCTGTGGCACAACTCGAGCGCCGTTGCGCAACATGGCCCTCGGATCAGCAAGCTCTGGGGCCCCCTGCCAGACTCAGACTCGGAGCCCGTTCAGACCACCCTTCCTCTCCCTGGCGACGTGCCCAATCCACTATCGGTCCTCGCGCAGGCGAGCGAGAACGAGTACTATGCCCCACTTCCTCGCGACCTCACCACAGACGAGGCGCCCCACATCCTCAGCCTGATCGACATTCACGAGGCCGAGGCGCTTTTCGCACTATACCACCAGCACTTGCACCCCCACCTTCCCGTCCTCGACCTGGAGCACAGTTCGCCCTCCCAAGTTGCGCGGCGGAACAACTTTCTCTTCAACGCAAGTAAGTCCATGCACAGAGTTTAAACTGACTACAGTCTGCTGTGTTGCCGCGCGCACCTTCAACGTTGTCCTCTGGGAGCGCCTGAAAGACTTTGCCCGCTATGAGATGGAGCGGATACCAAAGGTGCGCAAAGTGGATGTCGTACAGGGCCATCTCATCTATGCCACCTGGAACCTCGTCATGTCATCCAGCTTTGAGCAAGACATGACATGGCTGCGTATTGGACTCGCTACCCGTACTGCACTCGACATCAACCTCCACCGCGTCGCCACCATCGTCGAGGCCCAGGACTCACTCCCCGGCTGGCTCCTTCGCAGCATTGTGCGGACATGGCTGATGGTCTACGTAGTGGACGGCACGCTGTCGGCCCAGCTCGGCAAACCGGCCTCCCGCTCCCGCGAGGACTACACGCAGTATATTCAGATCCTGCTCAACAGCCCGTTACGTGACGACACGTACGTCGCGGCGCTTACCGAATGGACACAACTACTCCTCCGCGCGATCGAGCTGTTTCGCACAGAGTCAGACCACCTGGTTCCGACACTGACAGCGGAGTTTAGCCGCTGGCGTGATCGCGTAGAGCTGGCCTCTCCTGCAGACGCAGGATTGTTTCAGTTATACACGAACTACGCCCACCTGGTCATCCATTCGTACTCGCTCGATCGCGCCCTAGATCGCGGAGCTGTGGTGGCTGCGATAGAGTTTGCCGAGTACCAGGCATCAGCAGCCCGACTCCTGCACTGCGAAGAAGACCTCGCACAGGGGTGTCCCGACTTTGTCTTCACGGCCATCACGTATGGAACCGTATCGCTTCTTAAGACGCTTGAGCCGCGGCTGTCCAAACTGAACTCGGTCGTCGGCCGCGACACGGTGCTAGCTCTTAGTCGCAGAGCCTCAGAGGTTCTCGGGCGGGCAGCCGTCACACGAGATCACCTCCCTGCGTCCCAGAGCAGCTTCCTCTCTCGTCTTGTACAGATACGCTCGCAGCCTCCCGCACTGGACGTTTCCGAGCCGGCCCCCGCATTCGACCTCTCCGCGTTCATCACTGCCGAACCACCGTCTCCGGTATCCGAATCCCCCACCAATCTTGCGACGTGGGCAGCATTGCAGAGTGCAAACTACTCCCTCCCCGGTGCCGCACTCGGCCTCAGCTTGGGCAGTTTTGGCGACTCCAGCCTCTTTTCACAAGATAGTTTCTGGCAAAGCTTTGTCACATGATGTATATTGTATGCCCAGAACTTGGTTTTCCCGGCGCGATGCCGAGAGGGGGCGAGGTTGTCCGCAAGCCCAGGGTGGTCGAGCTCGATGCAGCTTCGGGCCGAACACCCTCCCCAAGGACACTAGTCACGAGGCAGGGCCAAACGGGCTGTACGCCATTACATATATGTTGTAAGCTTTCGCGACATCGAGCATCGGCTATCGGACCACAAATCTGGTTTGGTCCGTTTGAAATCCGAGCATGGGTTGTTCCATCACCTGATGCAGTTTTGGTTCAACGTAAAATACACAACCACTGAAAGTGTGTCACCGGCTGTTCGGCTTCATGGCGGCCAATGAGGGGTTGTCTGACGTGATCTCTGACGTGATCCATCAAGCCGAGATCGCCGATAAATGTCGGGTCTGCCCGAAATGGTGTGCAAGCGTGGTGTGGCTGTTCTTGCCTGCACGAGCTTATAGTACATCGACTTCTCTTGACCGTCCTCAGCCTCACAACCCACCACTCCCAACAATGACTGTCACACCCGCCCCCGTCGAAGGTTTGAAGACTCGCGTCGACCCAGGACGCAGCCGTCTCGACGGCCCAATGGCCTACCAGGGCTCGCTCGACGGCTACAGCCAATTTGAAGTTACGCCCGCCGTTGGCCGCGAGTTTGGCGCCGACCTGCAGCTCTCGGACCTCATCAACTCGCCCGATTCCGATGCTCTCATTGCAGACCTCGCCGTGCTGGTCTCGCGCCGCGGAGTCTGTTTCTTCAGGGGCCAGGACATCGACCCGGAGCAGATGATGGTGCTCGCAAAACGCATCGGCGAGCTGTCTGGCCGTCCGAGCGCCTCCAACATGTGCATCCACCCCGTGAGCGACGTTACGCCCGAGCTCGTGAACACGCCCAAGACACAGCTCATCTCTGCCGAGAGGCAGAACAAGGGTGGAGGTATCCGCCGCATCCACGATGACCTGAGCCGCTGGGCCTCGGTCGCGTGGCACTCGGACGTGTCGTTCGAGAATGTCCCTTCAGACTATTCGATGCTCAAAGTCAACGTTCTTCCGGAGGCTGGCGGCGACACTCTTTGGGTCAGCGGCTACGACGTTCTCGACCGCATAAGCCCCAACTTCCTTTCGTACCTTGAGACCCTCACTGCGGAGCACAACGCAGAGTTTTTCCACCAGGAAGCCGCCAACCTTGGCATTACTGTCCGAGACGACATCGAGCGCGGCAATCCCCTCAACAAGGGCCGCTACTTGGCCGCCCACCACCCGGTGATCCGCACAAATCGTGAGTCCTCCTGCGAACTCGGCTGACCGCAGCCGTCACCGGATGGAAGGCACTCTTTGTCAACCGGGGCTTCACCAAGCGCATCGACGACGTATCCAAGGACGAGTCTGACATGATCCTCAACTATCTCAACCAGATCATGATCCACAACATCGACGTCCAGTGCCGATTCCGCTGGGAGAAGGGCTCTGTGGCTCTCTGGGACAACCGGTGGGTAACAATGTGTTGCGCGTACTGACAATAAGTGTCACATGGCATTCAGCAACGTTTGATTATAGCGAGGAGCGCAGTGGCGACCGTGCAAGCTCAATCGGCGAGAGGCCTTACTTTGACGCTGCCAGCAAGCTGAAGTCTGAGGCGCTGAAGGAGGAAGGGAACAAGTGGTAGAACAAGAACACGATTAGAGTGTGAAATGCATGTATAGCAGTCATCAGTTGTGGACGAAGCCGAGCGTTTGGGTCATGGGGAGAAGATCACTGCGTGGAATGCATGGCCCGGTCACCGTGCTTGGTCGCTAGTCTTTCTGCTTCTGTTTTTTTTTTTTTCATGCGACTAGAAACAGGGATGCGGCCACTTTGGGGGCCACTTATAAGTGATACGGTCGGGTTCCAGTGCTGCGACCAAGCATATGAGTAGGGGTATTCATCTGGACCACTGTGCTACAAACTGTAGAACACTGAGTTGGTTGAACGTGAAACATGCGCGGAAAAGGATGTAACATGCGACGGACGTGGTGGCGTGCTGACGTGCTTACGTCTCGGCCTCTCCGCGAAGTGGCTGCCGGGTTTGTAATTAAATATTTCCAAAGGGGCTGCTCCGGCGACCTCCTTACGTGCCGGGGAACACACATCGAGGTGGCATCACGTTATGGAGGGCCCAGTTGGACAGGCCGCCCACTCAGTGCGTAGTGCATACCAGTGGCTGCTACATTCTTGCACACCTCAGAGCAACTGGGACCGACGACAAGGATGGACGATGTGGTGGGCGGGCCGAGCGCTCATGACTCGGGAGCAAATAAGAGTCGGCCCCACATTGCGGGTAAGCCACCAACGCTCGAGCCTCGTTAGCGAATTTGCAAGCATGGTGACATCGCACCAGTATCAACGAGGTGAGCATGAGGCTGAGAACACCGAAGAAGCCGCAGGTGGGCGACAGCTGGTCACAAGATCGCGAGCATTCATGTTAACCGGGGCTAACGATGGCGACATCAGCCAACCACACGCCGCCGGATTTGTAACGCGGCGACTTCGGTGTCTGAGCGACTGCGGATTATCACGAGCTCAGTAGTCAGCCGCAGCACCCATGACGATCTCTTCTTGAGTGTGCAAGATCGTCCTTCAGATGTCGGCGACTTCGGTGTCTGTTCTTATCCATTGAGCACATGGGCTGTTGCGGCCTAAGTTATAATTGACCGGGACAGGTTCTTGACTTCAGCATCCGCCCCACCATTCGCCATTATGTCGTCTAACAGTCTCAGCGACAAGACAGACCCTCAAGCTGTTGGTAGTCCTCTCTCCGAAGCGGCCGCCAGAGCCCGGGCCGCCGAAGCGGAGCTCACGCTCGGCCAAGCGTTCAAAAAGTATCGATGGGGCATCGCATGGTCGGTCATCGTGTCAATGGTGAGTAACCGGATCGTCTAGGCTTGCCTTACCCCCAGAACATCGTCATGGAATCCTATGATACCATTCTTCTCTCGAGCTTTTACGCCTACGACTCGTTCACAGAGAGATTCGGCGAGCAGCTACCAAATGGCACGTACTCGGTGTCTGCAAAGTGGCAGAGTTCGCTCTCCCTCGCGTCGTCTGTTGGCATCATCATCGGTATCCTCGCCAACGGTCTGCTTATCGACCGTTATGGCCGTGAGTGTTACGGCAACAACACCTCTGACATTAGACAAATTTATCATGATCGGCTCCATCATTTTCCTCAGCGGAACCATCGGAATTATCACCTTTGCTACGTCGCGCGAGATGCTTCTCGCCGGCCAGTTCCTGTCTGGTCTTCCGTGGGGTACGCTCAACGTTATTGCTCCCGGTTATGCTCTCGAGGTGAGTTGGTGCTGAGATTGGGGCTAATTAAAGGTCGTTCCCACCATCCTGCGTCACTACGGCCCCACGTTTGTCAACCTGTGCTGGGTCATTGGACACATTATCGCCGTTGGTGTCCTCACTGGCTTGAACACCAACACTACAGAGTGGGGATGGAAGATTCCGTTTGCGCTGCAGTGGATGTTCCCCCTGCCGCTCTTGATTGTCGCCTTCTGGTGCCCACCTTCCCCGTGGTGGCTTGTCCGCCGCGGGCGCCGCGACGAGGCCGTAGCTGCCTTGCGTCGTCTTGGCGACGACACGGTCAACCATGAGGATGCGGTCGCCTTGATCGAGCACACTGTCAACCTTGAACGCGAGTTCGACTTTGGCTCGTCATACGCGTCCTGTTTCAAGGGTGTCGACCGTCGCCGAACGGAGATTGCAGTCGTGTGCTGGGTGGCTCAGGTCTTGGTTGGATGGAGCATCAGTGGATACCAGGCCTACTTCTTCAAGCTCGCGGGCATGGCTCAAGGCGATTCGTTCAAGCTCACGCTTGGGTCTTACTGCGTCGCCTTTGTCGGTACCTCCTCGGCCATGGCATTGCAGATCAAGTTCGGCCGCCGTTCGCTGTGGTTTGGCGGTCTCATTGCGATGTTCGCCTCCATGATTGTAATTGGTATTCTGGCCTGTCTCCCTCAAACGACCGCGATGCTCTGGGCCGAGGGTTCCATGGTGCTTGTGTGGTTTGGCAACTATGGGGTGAGTCTGGTCTGAACGGTCGTGCGTGGCTAACAGCAGTGGTCCGTCGGTCCCCTCCCCTACGTCATCTGCTCGGAAATCGGCTCTGCTCAGTTGAGGCAGAAGACAATTGCAATTGCTCGCGCATCATACTACGTCGTCGGCATTGCCAACACCGTGTCAACGCCCTACATTCTCAACGCGGCAGAGGCCAATCTCAGGGGCAAGGCAGCGTTCATTCCGGCCGGGTTCATTGTCCTCCTGGCTGTGTGGTCATACTTCCGTCTCCCCGAGACCAAGGGCCGGTCGTTTGAGGACCTGGACATTATGTTTGCGGAGAAGATTCCGGCGCGCAAGTTCAAGAACCACGTTATTGGCGGAGAGGATGGAGATGCCAAGGCCTAGAGGTATATATTTTTTCTTATTCCGGCGTAGTGAACCTTTTTTTTGGCCCCAGCGTAGTGTTCTTGTCAACCCATTATAGTCTTTCTCAAAGATGCAGACTGCAATGCTCTTCCAAACCGGGATCGTCCCAACGAGTGGCGATCTAGTGATTGGTCCCATGCTCGATAGATTTGATCAAATGCCTGCTTTCTTCCACGCTGGTATCGTCAGCCATGTCAGTCAGTGGCCTTTACATTGCAACTAGGCGTGACCACGTGGGTGTTAGACAAGCCAAGATGGTCCACCCCACAGATCACAGCTGGGCAGACTATTTGGGTGCCCGACAGCCCAATCCGGTGGGTGGGTTGATGTGGTCTCCATGTCCCTGACGCCGAACACGGTGTACATATACAGTATGTACGTGGCATGTGGGGACTGTTGCATGTGGAACTGTACTTGTGTAGCGATACGGTCAGACAAGGTGCACGCCCAAGGTGCACGCCGTGAATTGGTGTCCCCAATCTTGAACAGTCCCCATTGCAGAGGACCAGATCTTCACAGAGACATCGGGACAGACCCACTCACTGGTCCGAGAGTCTGTAAGCGAAGCATTTTATGTATGTACCGTAATAGACAACTATCCCCTGTATGTGAGACTCATGCGACATCTCGAACTGGCGCCTCGAATCCGGTTATCCGCTTCCTCGTCACACAGCAGACTTATCCCCATTGCCTCTGCATGCACGGGGTCCCTTATGCTTAGGGTATACACATATAAGTATCAATGGCAGTCGCTTTTCTTCCCGAACCCTATGTTTTTTTTTTCACTTTTGGCGTCCAATAACGGTACTCTTCTCCACTAGTGCTTTTGGCCGGACCGCTGGGCCCGTGTCACGTAGCTCTTGGTCTTACGTGGTGGCACACCAACCTCAAACATCTCATCCACCTCGGCAAAAGTCCGCCCACGGACCTGCGCACGCAATCAGCCGCCTGTTCCCCATGTGTTCTGGCTCACCTCGGGAAGGAGGAAGTAGTTGACCACGAGCCCGATACCCCCGAGACAGGCAAAGAGGTACATTGTCTTCACGCCCCAGTTTCGTGCGCCGGAGCCCTTAGCCGCAAGCATGAGGGGCACCTTGGACCGTGAGCCCGATGCAGCCAGCACCCCACACTCTGAGCCCATACCCCCTTGCCCACTTACGGTGTACCCAAACAGCAGACTAAAGCAGGTGGACATGTTGACGACTATGCCCGTCGTACGCGCTCGCAGTCGGGGCGTTGAGATTTCCGACGTAAGGCCCCAGCAGACGCCGCCAAGACAGCCAGCGTAAAACAGTACCCAGATGCAAATGACCGCCAGCGTTACGTTAAGCACGACGTCGGTACGTTTGACGACGCCAAGAGTTCCCAAGACAATGTTGCACACGAAACAGCCTATCCCACCCACAAACACGAGAGTGCGACGACCGAAACGCTCAGTGCTGTAGAATGATACCCCGACCATGAACACAAGTAGGGTGCTTATGTTAGCAGCCGTCACGTCACGGTAAACCCACAAGATAATGCAGGAGCCTTGGAATGGGTCTTTGATGCCCGCCTGCTGCAAGAAGTCTCCGGTATCAGCGCCACACCACCGGATAATAGCCTACAAGTGGCATAGGAAAAGACCACGGACGCGCCGGACCACTGGACCATGATCACTCCGAAAAAGCTGGGGAGCGTGCGCCACAGATTCGTCCCCATCCAAATTTCCTTGAAGGTAGAGTCATGGAGGTCGCGCCGCATGGCCTGCTCGTGGTCCAACTCGGCCTTCATTACAGCATACTCATGCTCAATGTCGTAGCCCTTGATCATTCCGTAGAGACGCTTGAGGGCTCCTTTAGCCCTGTCGTCTTGGCCCTTGCGTGCGTAGTACCATGGCGACTCGGCAAGGAACGGTAGACATACGAGGAACAGACTGACCAGAACCCATTGCGAGTAGATTGCACGACGCCACTGTTCGGGGACTGTGTCTTTGACAATGAGGAGGGCGACAGAGGCGGAGAGCTGTCCAAGAGCGAGGAATAGGGCGTAGCTACCGAAACGTCAGCACGACAAAGCACTGCTACCCACCAGCACATGAGCGCGCCACGTGTTTGAGAAGGGGCCACTTCAGATAGATACTAACAAACGTCAGTCAACCGTCCAACCAAAGGTACGCCCACGGGGGTTGTCCTTGCAAGTCACGCACCAGAAGGGAGGTAGCCTGGCCCATTCCCGAAGCCATACCTGTAACAATTTTGGCACCAAGCCAACCTGGCATGTTGGACACAAACATCTCCAGAATGATCCCCTGCGAGATCAGTAAAGAACCTGTACATAGATGAAACTTGCCGCAATGACGACAGCCGTGGCCAAACAGAATGAAAAGCGGCGCCCAAACCGGTCAGCCAGCAGAGTGCTGGACTGCTGCCCAATAATGGCAAACACGCTAGTCTGGGACAGTGTCAACCTGGTGTGTGCTTTTATTGTCCTTTGTTCTCACAGTGCCACCCCAGGCGGACACGTAGCGGGCATCGAGTGACTTCTTGCCATCCGCAGATATGACAGTGCCGAATTGGTGAATAAACCCGGAGTTGCTCACAACACTGCCTGCAAGCAAAGTAAGTCGTAGCACAAGCAACCTAAGACATACCCGAAAGAGAGGCCTGGTACCCTTCCATGAGTACGCAGAAACCTGCAAAAAAACAGCACAAGGTTGCGCGCCAAAATGTCCTGGTGGCTTGCCACTTGTTCAGATTGACAAAGGCACTTGCGAGGGGTGGGGGGTCCGTGGCCGTAGATTCCAGATCCCGATTGTCAACGACGACATTGGGGTCTCTAGTAGACATGTCGGTTGATGATACTCCAATGAGTGCCGATTTGGTATTGTCCATGGCGTTGACCAGGCTGTCCAATCGTCGGGAGTCTTTGTTTGGGGAAGGGATATGCCAGGGTTAGGGGAACTGTTTATATGTTGCACGTCCCATTCGTCACAGGTAACAGGAGTCCTAACAGGAACGTGCAAATTGGCGGCCGCTGTGGAGAGAGTGTGTGCACATGGAAGACCACCTCCAACTATCGAGATGTTGTCTGTCGGTGCAGTTCAGTTTCAACGTGCACACTCTGTGGACGGTTATGAGGCCCTCGCGGCGTGTTAGCCGAGGCCGGATTTGCTTTCCGTGAACCTCACGTCATTTGTGAGATCTGAACCCAGGAACTGGTGCGCTAGCGAGACCCCGCGCGCACAAATGGCGCGTTAATTGTGCGCATTCCGCGCTTTGAATGCGGTAAGATTGACAGTCCATGTCTCCACGGCTATCCGGACGAGTGCAATACCAGCGACTTGTTTGTATGTATCCTCGCGTTGTTTATCCGCCTTCAACGTGTGTTTCCCAACGTGTGCGAGGTGGGAGTACATGGCTGCGTGCAACTCGGAACACCCGACAAACACTCTTCATATAACCAGAACCGACGAGAGGACCCACGTTTGACATCCGCCTTTACAACCAAACTCCAACATGCCGGCCAGTCGCACTAGCACAAGCCCATACCCAGACTACGACATTCACAAGGTGATCCAAGCTGTTAGGAACCCCACCCCGGACCTGGTCAACGTCTTCGCCCACCGCGGCGTTCGCCTGCTGGGAGGCACAACGGAGAACAGTCTGACTGCAATTGCAGCTGCTGCCAGGGCTGGATACGAGGGAATCGAGATCGACTTGCGCCTCACAAAGGACAAGCGGGTTGTCGTGTTCCACGACGCCGGTCTAGGGCGATTGACTGATGTCAAGTTGCCCAAGGGAGAGACCTACTACAACCCCTTCACTGGCAAGGGCTACAGCCCTCTCGTCAAGGAAACCAAATGGGTCGGCGAGATGGAGCATCTCCATCTCCGCGATGACAGTGGCGGCGTCACGTAAGATACCAAGCATATGCAACAAGGCTAAGCCACAGAGATGAGCGCCCTGTGCTCCTGAAGGAACTGTGAGTCGTAACGGTAAGCACATCACTGATCGGTGTCCTAGGCTCGACTTCATGCGGATAGAGGGCATTACCATGCTCGTTCACCTCGACATCAAGGACCCAGATCTCTTGCCCTATGCGTATGATATCATTAGCAAGGCTGTCAACCCTGCAGGCGTTGCTGCCATGGGTAAGATCAGTGCGTTAAGCGGGACAGCGTGCTAACAGGTCCGTCAGAATGGTGTCTCTGGAAGCCACCTGCCCATCTATTCCCAACCCCCGAGGTTTGGGAGCGTCAGGACTGGGTGCAGCGCGCTTTGAAGAGTGGCCGGGGCATGGCTTTTGTTCTCTTGCATGAGAAGGAAGACGAGAAGAGTGGGTTTGTGTGCAGCCCTTGCAGCCTTTCGGTGCCGTACTCACCGTGTAGCGTTGGACTCGATTAAGGCCTGGGCAAAGTGTGACTACTTGCTCACGTTTGAATTGCACGTCCCTCTTATCGGCGGGCAGCTTCAGTCGACTCTCGACTGGGTTCTGTCTCAGGGTCACGGTGTTGGTTCGTGGTACATCGGAGGTGATGTTCCGCGACAGTACTATGACGAGGACACGGACGGAGGGCTGTTGTGAGTACACGACGCATTTAGGCGTGTTTGAGTCTGGCTGTGAGTGTGACACTGAATATGCAGCTGGGACGACTCCAACTTCCGCAAGGACATTCTCGCGAGCGGCCCCGGGGTCAGGGCGATGTTGCAGGAATGGTAGGTCTTAAGCGTTAGGGGGTGGCCGATGGACTGACTGCGCTCCAAGGATTGGCTTGATCTCTGCGGGCGGCATAATTGGACAACCACCGAACAACAAGGACACAAGGGTTGACCTTGATGCACTCGTCAACAAGCAGCGCTTCACGTACATCGTTGGTGGGTGTTGTCCGTCGCCATGAAGGTCTGATGCTAATCACGCAGCCGACCCCTTTTACGATCTGAATGCCGAGTTGACCGCCATGGGCAAGCGCAATGTTACTCGCATGCTGGCGACAAGGCTTGATGAATGATTGTAGAAATAAGTGACTGTTGAGGTATGAAATAAGTGCTTTCGACTTTGGTGCAGAGGGCGAGTCAGGACGGTGTATATCAACACAAAATATGCGACCAAGCCAACACTGTTGTGTCGCAAGAATGCTTGGAAGATCATGTCTTAAGTCTCGCCTGGTCGAAGCAGGGACATCAACATGCACTAGAATTGCTCCGCTTCGTGCAGAGGAGGCGCTACACAATCACTGCCGTGCTAGAGCTCACTCTTGATGTCATTCATGATTTGGACCACCCCGAGCATGTACGTGTACTACAACTCAACCCGCCGAACTACTGACTTAAGGCTCGATACTTCCTGTCGTGTCGTAGAATTCTTTTACAAAACGCCGCTGTGTCTCGAAGGTCGTTTCACCCTGGGTGTGCGAGGTGAGACCTGAAAAGCATGGGGTATATCTGACTGTGGCTTACTTCTGCAGGTGCAATGGCACGGACAAACACATACTTGCGACAGGCTGCAGCATTAGCGCCACATGGAAATCAGATTACAATAGCGTACCCAAACGCTCGGCATCGACTTCGCCGCTGAGTGAACTGTCCTTGCCGCCAAAGGTGACCCCACCTGCCTCTGTGAGGATACAGATGCCCGCCTGAAGAATCAGTCAGAAGTCCGGCTATTCATTGTTTTCTCACACAGACATCCCATGGCCATCCCTGGTTCGTCAGTCTGTCGCAGAAGTATAACCGCATTGACTGACCCCAATCTCCCAGTGCCTGAGCGTCTGTCAGCTCGCCACTTGCGACACAATGAAAACCCACATGTCCTGGCCACCGCTGGCAACCTGGCAAAGGTTAAGGGAAGTACAACCAATGCTACGGAGCGAGTGTACCATCTTCCCACCACAGCCTGGCTGGACCGCGAGTGTTTTGAAGGCATTCAGCCTGCTTGTAACTCCCCCTAAGCTTCTATCGGCTGTGATGTCCACCGAAATCCTTAATCATCAGGTCTATAGCTTTCACGTGGTGATGGCTTACAGTGCATGACCCAAATCGGCCAGCGGTTTGGGCTTCCCAGTTATCGGCAGAGGTATCTTGTTGTTGAGGTAGGCGCCGCGACCCTGCGCTGCCGAGTACTGGGAATTGGTCAGAACACAAAGTGGGTAGAGGTTATTACTAGAAGGTCCAGGAACGGATTGTACACGACGCCGACGATGGGTACGCCGTGGACAGCGAGCCCAATAGACGTGGCCACTTGTGGGTAACCGTGGATCTGTAAATTCAGTATAAACGCTTGGGCATGTATTGCCGCGAGGGTCGAACATACAAAGTTGGTGGTACCGTCAATGGGACTCCAGTCAGCGCATCATCAGGAGGGGCTTCTCACTCAACTGCCTTGTCAGACGGGTGCTGTACTGGTTACTCACCAATCCAAGTTGGGTCATCCGTGATTGCCTCCCCGGCATATGTTTCCTCTCCCATGCTAACAGTCAGAGGGGGGGACACAACCACGCGATTCTGACCCACAACTTGTGGTCAGGGTAAGCACTGCTGATTCGCTTCAAAATGGAAGCCTCGACGGCCTTGTCTACCTCGGTTACTAACTACAATAGAGTCAGCCTCTTAGGTTCCTCTTGGAAGAATGGCTCACGTCGACCGTGTTCACTTTCGTGGCCTCGACTGCTGATTCGCAAGCAAAACGTCGTGCCTGGCCAACACGAATCATTTCACCAGCCTGATTTGTCAATCCCGGTCCGTGGCGTGAGCGACTAACCTCCAATGCGAGCTTGATCGTGAACGCCAAAATCTCGTCGACGTCCACCTGCGGGCTCATGTCGTTGGCGATCATCCTGTGCGGATTCTCAATTGGCTTCTGATGTTGACCGTCAATGTGGCGAGAGTGCACACTACCTGTGTAGTGGTTTTTTATGTGGCTCGTGTACTTGCATTCGCAGTTCAAGCGATCAGGGTGCAACATCAACATTAAGCCGCGATTTTCCCGCACACGGGCATTGGGCCGCGATTTCCGCGCGCGCGGGGATTCAGCGCACCGTAGCACCTTAAACACCTTGCTGAGCAGACACGTGCCTCCTGATGTCACTGGTACACTGGAGGGTAAGTCGGGTCGTCTGGTGTGACGTCATGACCCATGTCGGCCATGTCAGCAAGACTTTGTATTCCTAATGGAAGCTAACGGTTTCCATTGTCGGATCTAGGTCATTCAGGATCGCCTATTACTGTATTACACTCCGCAGAATCCCATTTTTACGTCTGATAAGCGGGAGCAAATCGTGATTCAGCAATGTTAATGCGGTTACCCCAGTTACAATAAATTAATTGGATTTGAAAGAGTGTAATAATAGGCGATCGTCATTCAGATGCACGTGGGTACTTACTTAATGTACGTCGGCGCGTCGCGCGTCCCCCCATCTGGCTAATCCATCATCCACTGTGGTCGACCAGACTAGTGGACTCGGGGCTCTCCCGCTCCTAGGCCACTGTATGTACATATACAGCAATTTTAATTCCGGTCCCCGCCTTGCGATGAAGCGTTCCCTCGTTAGGTCAATGGCGACTCCATCACCTCACCCTTCACCTTGTTATTTGCCTGTTGTTTCCATATCCACCCTCTGACATTGTGGCTCCTCGCAACCCCTACAGACCAACACACTGCAATGCAGTCCAAGCACCAAACAAACCCACGCAAGGCGGCGTCGTCCACGAGCAATGAGCAGAGTGCACGAGCACGAGTCCAGTCCCGAGAACCATCCCACTTAATGACTCAGTCCTGCGACCAGTGTCAGATGAGGCGAAAAAAGGTGAGGGCGATGGCCAATTGTCTTTGGACCTCACTGACGTGGGCCAGTGTAACCGAACTCTACCATGCACGCTTTGTGACAAGTCCGAGCTCAAGTGCACATATGCCAACAAGCTGAAGAAACGGGGGCCTAAGGGAAAGATTGTGGAGCGGATTAAACGATTGCAGGCCCAGGAGGACCATGGGGAGGAGAAAGAGGAGGAGAGCGTGTTGTCAATAAGCAAACGTATGGTAAGTCTCTACTCTCATTGACGAGGCTGATCTCGCTGCTCGTCCCGTGCACTTTGTCTGAGGACGGCGTCCATGAGGGCGCCCTGATACTTGGCTCATCTAGCACCAACCTCCTCGCCCCGATGACTTCACCGCTAGCCATCCCCCTTCCACTTCTTCGTAATGGCTCCTTGTCTATCCTTACGACATCTGACATGCACTCCCTTGTCACGACGTACTTTCAACATATCCACCCCTGCTACCCATTCTTGGATCGGGGGTGGCTCTTGGGGCGTCTCCGAGCTGGCGAGTGCGTACAGGGAGAAGACACCACGTTTGGAACCATGGTCTTGGCCCTCTGCGCGCTCACCATGTGCTTTGTCTCCGAGGTTATTCGGAGCGATCGAAGCCACGAATTCCGAGCCCGCCGTGAACAGGTTGCATCAGAAGTAATTCTTCGCCATTATAGGCGCGCGTTGGGAAACGACACCCACATTGAGGAGGTGATTACCACCTTTCATCTCGGACTGTACTTTTCAATCCTCCATGGCGATAAGGCGGGCCACTTTCGAGTAGCCGAAGCAGCGCACCTCGCCAGGTCTATGGGGCTCCATCGCGCCATCACCTACGTCGACATGGATGCCGAGGAACGCATTCGAGCCATGGCAGTGTATTGCTTTGTGGTCGTTCGAAACAGGTGGGTCTAGGCCACAGTCCAAAATAATGCCAGTCACTAACCAGCGCAGAGCCTGTGAACTGCGACAAGGCACCAGCGAGGTGGTCTACCTTGGACAGTCGCCCCTGCTACCCGCGTTTGACGATGTCTGCGGTCCCTTCTCAAACCTCGCCAGGGTAGACTCGCGAACTGAAGAAATTTGCCACCTGTTGCTCCTCATCAACCTTTACGAGGTGGTCACTCCAAACTTTTGCTGTTGTGCGCGCGACTTGTGCGACCCTTCCGAGTGTCGACTCAGCGCCTCTGACCTGGTTCGGTATGCTGCCAAGCTAGAGCGAGCTTTTGAGTCCGAGAACGTGTTTGGCCATTCGGCCCGCTCTCGGCATACTGGAGCAGGCGCGCTGGGTCGAGGTAATGCTCGCTCATCAGTGGATTGCAGCCCATGTCTATCACATGGCAGTCCGTCATGACATCAATTTCGCAGAACAGGAAGGGGGTAAATACCGCAGCTGGCCCCTCGAAATTGTGGATTGCGTTGCTCAGGTGGTGAGCACGGCCATGTTGCGGTCTCTGCACATCCAGGGGACCGGAATGGTGCGTGATTGTCCGGTGCGTTCAAGCCTTATGTACTGACTAGGTAGGCACACCGGTTGAGCTATATTAACGATTGTGCTTCTGCGTATGTCCAGGCGAACGCTGTGGACGAACGTGACCTCGAGCGAGCGCTACAGAACATGCGGACGATCTCCGACGTGGTGCTCCGTTGGGATCCGGTGTGCTGGACGCGATGTTTCATCTAATACTGAAGGTATACTGTCTCTGGAATACGTCTGCATATGAATATACAAGCCTCCCTTTACAGACATAACCAACTTGCGCAGACGTGCCACCGCGCCAGGTTGCCTTTCCCAGACAGTGAGACCAGCGATACGCTTATGATATCCATGGGCTTGATTGGCGGCTCCATCCTTCGAGAATACGTGCATTTCCTGTGCTTGTACCCCTACCCGCCCAATCCCTGGCACTGGATCAAACGTTACATCTTACGAATTTTGTAGTTTGTGCATTTCACCTTCAACTTGTTACATACTGAGCTCGCGTTTTTATGGATTTTATGGATTTTGCTTTGTTACTTGGATCCGTGTTCCGTTGCAGTAAATAAAGTGTGTTCTTAGTGGTTGGGGTAGAGGTCGGGATGAGCGGCCTTGATGAAGTCTGAACCCTTCTCGGCCACCATGTAGACGACGTTCTGAATGCGACAGTCCGGAATGATGGGGAAGACTGAGGCGTCCATGACGCGGAGGTTCTTGACACCGTGGACGCGGAGCTCGGGGTCAACGACACCCTGGTGAATGGTCTTGCCAATGCGGGCGGTACCACAAGGGTGGAAACCGGTCTGGGAACGCTCCAAGATCTCGCGGTCCAAAGTCTCGTTCGACGAGCGGTCGAGAGGCCAGGGGTAGTCGCCCTCGATGATGTCCTTCATGCCCTCGCCGTTCATGACAATGTCGTCAATGTAGCGGACACCTTCACGGAGGGCGACAAGGTCAAGCTGGTGCTCGAAGAAGTTGATGTTGATGTAGGGCTGCTCGAAAGGGTTGACCGACTTGACCTTGACGATGCCGTTGACGGAAATGGGACGCATCAGGTCCACAATAACGGTGAGATACTGGCCCGTAGTGGGAGTAGGGAAATGCCACTGGAAGGCGTCGGCGAAGCATGGGACAAAGTCGACCTCAAAGTGGGGCTGACCATCAGGACCGAAGGGGTCCTTGCCACCGTTCTGCTGCTTGTACTCGTTGTACTCCTTGTTGTTCTTGAGAAGCTCGTCAACACGCGGGAAAGCAACCAGCTCCAGGAGGCCACTGCCGAGGGGTCCAGAGCGGTTCTTGTTGTACTGGGCGACGACTCCGTCCTGGAGCTTTCCAGGGCGGAGCAGGTGGTCGTCAAGACCATAACCGTCCTTGAGCTTGAAAACATGCGAGAAGATGGGGTGGTCGAGAAGGTTCTCGCCCACGTGCTTGGAGTCGACAACGCACTGAATGCTGAGAGCCTCAAGCTCAGCCTTGTTGCCAATACCAGACAGTTGGAGCATCTTGGCAGACTCATAAACGCCCTGGGTGAGGATAACCTCGCGGTTGGCACGGAACGTATACTCTTGGAGGTCGGGGCCGATGACATTGACTCCGACTGCGGTCTGGCCGTGGAAGATGATGTTCTTCGTGATAGTCTCCGAGACGATGGTGACGTTCTGTTTGCCCTCCAGGAAGACGGCTGAAGTGGAGCGGAGACCGTCGTTGACAGTGCTCACGCACTTGAACAGGCCCTTCTGAACTCCGTCGTAGACGTTGAGGGTGAGCTCACCGCCCTTGCTGACCCACGCCTTCTCAAGGTTGTCACGGAAACCCTTGGTCTCCGGCATGAGGGGGGCAATGGAGACGGGGAGAGGACCTCCCTTGTTGCCAATGTGGTGAAGCTCAGGGTAAAGACCATCGGGGTCGTTAAACGTGGGGGACTTGTTGAAGTAGTCCTTGGTGTTGTCCCAGTTCCAAGTGGTGCCGCCGTACTCGGCCCAGTCATCGAACGTGGCGGCGGAGCCACGGACCCAGGTGTAGTAGTTGAGGGCCGTGGAGCCACCGAGGACCTTGCCACGAGTGTTGGGGCACTCAATACGAGTGTAGTTGGGACGGTCAATCATAGTGGTCTTGAATTTCCAGTCGTAAGGGGAGCCACGAAGGGACATTGCCTTGGCGGGGGTCATGATCTGGGGAATCTCCGAGGGGTTGCTGGGAGATCTGTCAACACTATCCAGAAGCGGTTGTAAAAGAAGTAGGACTCACTGAACACCAGCTTCGACGAGGAGCACAGAGACCTTGGGGTTCTCAGCCAAGCGACCGGCAATGGTGCAGCCAGCGGCTCCACCGCCGAGAACGATGAAGTCGTATGACTTGGGAGCGTTGTTAGGAAGAGTTGCGGCGTGAACCATGTTGTCTGATGATGTAGTGATAGAGGAGGGAAGGACTTGAGGAAGAAGTGGTTGGGATGTGTCTTGGACAACTGTCTGGGACGCTTCTTAAGTACTTTGCATGATGACGGCCACGAGAGATGCGCCACATCGTTCACACTATGCATGGACACGTATGCCATCAGCCCCTCTGTTTTCTGCCAGTTGCTCCATCACCCAGCCTGTATGCATGTCATGCGTTGTGAGCATGCAACCATGCAACGTGCTCCCAGCCCCAAGCCGTGCAACACGCTGTCACGCTGTCTAAGGTGTGCAATGTGGTGCTGAAGCCGGCGGAATAGCTCCCCGGTTCGGAGTTGCCACAATTCATGCAACACGGAGAATCATCCACGAGCCAGGAGACGACCTATTTCCCCGTCCAAAGGGCCGCTTAACCGCCACATGGTGTCTCAGATAAGCTCCTTTTCTCAAATATCGCTTCTTTTCTCAAATAATCGTCCTCACCGGTCGGGATTTTTCTTGCAAAATGATATCCGGTGGCGGAAACGACCTTGCGTGTCTGCTGTGAGCCACCATGCGTCTTGCTGGGGATCTCCCGCCAACGGTCTACGTGGTCACGATTGACACGTCTTCGACATTCACACATACACTCCAGGTCTGGTCCATATCGGGGTTGGTCAGGAAGGATCGACGTTGAGGGTGTGTTCAAGTTGTGACGACAGTTCAAGACACCGTGCCCGGAAAGTGTGCTTGTTGTTGGGGCAGCGTACGGCAATGATGGAGCGTCATGCAAACGCCCAACGTGTGGTCATTTTACACCCATAAAAGGGAACAGCCCATCAGCGACAATCTTACAACCCCAACCCTCCCATCATCCCATTACAACACAAGACACGAATATGCCAGCTTCAAACCAGTCCGTCCCAACCTACACTCTGGGAGAGGGTAAGGCGATTGACCATGGCGCACACACTAACAGGCAGGCTGTCCCATTGCCGATCCATCGACTCAGCAGCGTTTCGGCAACGAAGTCCCTATTCGCGGCCTCATGCTGTTGCAGGACACACAGCTCATTGAGACGTTGGCGCACTTCTCACGCGAGCGTATCCCTGAGCGCACGGTTCATGCCGCAGCTGTAGGCGCTTGGGGGGAGCTTGAGGTCACTCACGACAACTCGTGGCTCACCTCGGCCAAGTATCTGAACGGTATTGGCAAGAAGAGCAAGGTCCTCTGGCGCCTGTCGACTGTGGGACCGGAACGTGGATCTGCAGACACTGTCCGCGATGTTCGCGGCTGGGGTATGAAAGTATTCACTGAGGAGGGCAACCAGGACTTTGTGTTCAACGACATTGTGAGTGGCAAGGGAATGGGAGGGTGGTTGACACATCAGCCTGTGTTTTTTATCCGCGACCCGATCAAGTTTCCTTCCGTCAACCGTTCGCACAAACGCCTCCCGGACAGGAATGTGCCTAGCTCGTCCATGGTGAGTGTTGAACATATTGCGGTGCTTTAGAGTTCTCGCTAACATGATGCAAGTTCTGGGAGTGAGTGCCAGCAAGCCTTTTTTAAGTAGCAATAGCAAATTAACCAACCAGTTTCCACACCCAGAACCAGGAAGGTATCCACGCTTTGATGATATTGTTCTCGGAGCGTGGCATTCCCAACTCGGTCCGTGAGCTCAACGGTTACTCGGGAAGCACCTACAAGTTTACCAAGGACGATGGCACCTTCAACTATGTCAAGATCCACTTCAAGTCCAACCAGGGTGTCAAAGGTATGGACCGCCAGCGTGCCGCCAAACTGGCCGGGGAGGACCCCAACTACCATTCCAACGACCTCTGGAATGCCATCGACAGCGGTGACTTCCCGTCATGGACCATGTGCGTCCAGGTCATGAGCCCCGAGCAGGCTCAGACATACCGTTGGAACATTTTCGACATGACAAAGGTGTGGCCCCACGACGATTTCCCGTTGCAGCCCATTGCCAAGTTTACGCTCAACAAGAACCCGGACAACTACTTCTCGGACATTGAGCAGGCTGCATTCTCCCCTTCGACCATGGTTCCGGGCTTTGCCCCCTCGCTTGACCCCATGCTCCAAGCCCGCATGTTTGCTTACCCGGACGCTGCGCGCTACAGGTTGGGAGTCAACTACCAACAGCTCCCTTGCAACCGCCCCGTTGCTCCCGTCTACTCGCCTTACGAGCGTGATGGTGCTATGCGGCACGCCACCAACTACGGTGGCGATCCCAACTATATCCGCTCAACCCTCAAGGAAGTCAATTTCGCCGGCAAACTCGGCTCTCAAGGCTTCTCCACGGGCTGCGACCATGACAACTGGGCTGGGCAGACCGCTGCGTTCACCTCCGAGGTCACGGACGACGACTTTGTCCAGGCAACCATGTTTTGGGAGATGCTTGGCAAGCAGCCGGGGCAGCAGGAGGCACTTGTAGGCAACCTTGTCGCTGACATTGGCGGTGCCATTCCGCGCATTCAAGCCGCTACCGTCGACATGTTTGCCAGGGTCCACAAGGACTTGGGCAAGGCGCTCCGCGATGGTCTCGCCAAGAACACAAAGTAGCAAACGGCTGTTGGGTTACCGTTGTCGAGTTGTACACAAGAAATTCAAAGTGAAATGTCAAGATTGAATGTGTGCTGGATCGATGAGTGGCGCAGTGATCCCGGCTGTTATGGTCGTGAGCACATGTCGCGACACTACCAGCCTGCATTGTGCCGTTGATATGCCCTTCATCCGACTTGGAGGCCTCACTGCATGCATACCGTCGACGCCGGATGCAGTTGTGCTGTCGTGAAGCGAAGGTCAATGCGAGAGCATTGGACATGCGGGCTCACGGATATCACGGAGCGGCACTGCGGCGGTGTGGAGAACGCCGCACCGGTGACTGAACGCCGCATCACAGCGATGAGTGACCATGGCGTGCACGCATGGTCAGGTCCGTCAGTTAATTGGTCATGGTCTCCACAGCTTCAGCACAACGACGGCTGGTGTTTGTTTCTACATTGCTGCATGCCCGTATTCCCATATTTCTCTCTCTAGAGCTCCCAGTCGTAGGCCATGATCTCTAATGCGGCGGTCAGTGTCCCACTCGCGTCCACTCTTAGCTTTGTGCAACTCACCGTCAAAGTTGGGCTTGATCTTCTCGGTGACAACCTTGAGGTGGGCCTCCGAGACAGCGTACTTGTCAAGGGTCTCGCGGTCGGGGAAGATCGAGTAGAGACCCCAGTTGTAGCCCTTGTTGCGACCCTCAATGGCGGGGGGGCCAAGGTGCATGAGCTCGGGGCCCTCGAGGGTCGTGAGCTCGGCGATGCCGGCCTTGATGGCCTGCTCGGCAGCCTCAGACGCAAAGGGCTTGAGCTTCCAAAGGACGATGTGCACGATCTCTGCGGGTGTGGGTGGTGTGGACAGGCGAGGGGAGGTGCGAGATGCGGGCGGTGGAGACGAGCACAAGAAGAGCCAGGTGTCAGCATGGTGGTGATGCATGGAGGGGCAGCAGGAAGCTGTGGACGACGCCGAGAGACGGCTGTGTCTACGTATGCTTGTGCACTACTCACTGCCCATGATGACTTGCGCGTGGGTTGAAATGAGAAGAGAGATGAAAGTGACAGATCCCCCACCACCGTTTGTTCTTATCCGCCCGGCCGGTCCGCGGGCTTGGTCGGCATCCATCCACAGCCACGCCGCCCCGCCGCCGGCCCCGTCATGTCCGCTGCTGTCAATGTTCCATTCCATCCCATCCATCATCCCCCGCAGCCATCCCAAATGCTGTCCATCCCCCTCGCAGCTATCGCCACACCATCACTGCAAGCACCGGGCCCCGCAACGACGCTTGGCTCTGCAGCAATTCTAGGTCCCGTCACCCCCACCGCGCCGCTCCGTCTCGCCGACGCCTGTCTCGGTATTGCCGACCTCCCGGCGTTCACTTCCGATTCCGAGCGACATCAAGATGGATCAGGACCGCGAGCAGGATCAGAACCAGGCTCGACGCCGCTGTACCAGCGGCGCCGCCGCGCGCTGATTGTGACCGGCCCACGGGCAGCATGGCACACGGCGCTCGAGGACGAGGACGACCCGTGGCTCCGTAACAGCAGCGACTACGACGTGCGCGACCGACTGCAACGTGTTGACATGCGGTACTGTCCCTCCGCGCGGCATGTGCGTCTGCTGCTCACCCTCTTAACCTCGACGACTGCATCCTTGGCATCGACAGCACCGGGTGCGCACGAGCTGCCTTCCCCGCCAGCTGTCATTGTCCTGTACGATCTCCTTTCCCTCCTGGCCGACGAGCACGAGGACGGTGTCAACGACGAGAACCGCGCACCAGGTCAAGGCGTGGACATGCGACCGACAACAATACAGTCCGACGCGTTTGCAACGTGAGTTTGAGCGTCTCTCGTGACATCCTTGCTGACAGTTGGAAGAACACCGGCGTCGGCGTATCTCGATCTCATCGCCGCTGCCCGTTCTGCAGCGACGTTCTTTGGCGCCCACCTGCTTGTGCTTGAGCCGCGGGCTCCTGACGCGCTCCCCATTGCCCCGGCCGGTAAAGGAAGTGGCGGTGTCCCGCCAGCTGCAAGGGAGCGCAAGGTTCCACTGTCGGACACTCTGCGACGACTCCTGGGTGAGGTGGTCTTGATCGAGCCGAAGCAAGTTGAGGAGCAAGTTGACGAGGAAGTGGAATACGCGGTGGTAGTGGACGGCGAGACGAGCGGCATGCGCCGTCGTCGCTGTGCGAGGGCCGAGTTTGCAATGGCGCCAGAGGGTGAAGTCCACGGTGCATGGGAGTGGGTCTGGGTGTAGAAACCAATGCTGGTTTGCATGTTGTAGAAATTTGTACATAAGTCTCATAAAATGTATGGCATCTAGCTGCTGTTGCCGGTCCTCGCTCCCCACCATCCCTTGCCATAGCTCACGAGCAACTCCTCGCCCTTGTTGATATCTCGCCTGCTCCATACCTCCATGCGCATCTCTCCGCCCTCGCCACGTCCCAGACGAAACTCGGCGTTGGCTCCAGCCCCGCTCACGCCGCGATAGTCGTTGACAAATCGCGCCGCATTGCCAGCCTGTGCTGCGTCGACGCCGATACTGACATGCGTGCCTGGAAATGGGTTGCGGATGTCGCTTGCGGACAGACGAAGCAGAGACAGGTCGTAGTCGCTGTCAGCGTGCGGGTCTGGGCCACCCATGTACTTGAGCGCAAGAGGGTTGGGTGTTGTCGCGGGATCGTCGACAGCGGCGGTCAAGGTCGCGTGCAGGACGCCGAGGTACGGCAACACCAACGTGTTTCGCGAGATACGCTTGAGGGCAACGAGGGAGCGCTGTCCGTGTGCTGGGTGTGATGGGTCAGACACAATCTTGATGCCAACAGAGGACGGATGGGTGGACGGGCGAGGGTTGAAGGGGACAGCGTTGGTTGTGAGGAGCGGCACGAGTTCTTTGGGGAACGCTCTTTCGAGCCGTGGACGGACGAGGTATGCGACTCCCGGAGGCCACGATGGCGGCGGGGTGGCGTCGTTGCCTGCCAATGTGCGCGACAGAATGGATAACGAGAGAGGGGAGACAGGAAGAGAGAGGATGAGAGAGCGAGGAAGAGACAGCGAGGAGGGGGTGAAGTCGAGGAGACTGTAAACGGAAGCAAACTATCAATCAACAACCAGCAGAACCCAGGAGGCCAGGTTGTTGTCGTACCCCTGCATGTGCCAGCAGTGCAATTGTTCTGCTACGCCATGGGCGTTGTCGTCTCTACGTTCTACAAGGCAACGTTTTCCAGCGCTGTCGCCAGACGAAACCTCGCTGCACGCTGCCCATAATCTTACGTCGGACGTCGCCGTCTCGGCAAAGTCGCCGCCGCCCCCACATGGCGCGTCATTATCTCTGGCGGGTTGCCACATGTGCTTCACGGGTTTGTGATCCATCCATCGCTCTTGCTCACTGACACCATGACTGTCCGCATCGACCCTGTGTGGGAGGTCAGTGTCATCTCGTAGAGTCGTCTCTGCACACACGCAACAGCCATCACTGACGCGCTCCAGGCCGTGGGGCCCTTCCCTTCTGGTATGCGAGAACACCCACTGCTCGCATCCCCCCTCTACGCGTTCCCGCCGCTTGACGGCACGCACCCAGACGTCGACTTTGCCCTCCGCCCATACGGCGAGGGAGACTGGCCATCGGCGTACCCTACTGGCGGTCGCGCGCAATGGGCATCCTTCAAGGCCGACGACCAAGGAGAAATCGCAGTCTCATTCCCCGAGGTTGACTGGAAGGCCCTCCGCGGCGACCACGGCTGGGCAAGCGTACAGTACCGCACCGAACTACGAGGACGCGTTGCAATTCCTGACACGGGTTTGCCTGTGACGCGCCTTCGCATCGATGTCCTCCAAGCAGCCGAGTACGCGTTCATCCCTGCCCAGACTACGCGCGGCGACTCGTACACCCCCGTATGGTACAATGGTGACGTGTACGCGTTCGGGGCCTCGCCAAATGGCCAGCGCGACGCTTCTGGCGGGGTATCCAACTTTGCCCGTTCCATTGCGCTCCCGCCTGGTGAATATATCATGCTTGTTCGCGCGCTGTATGAGTGCCGGATGTTTGGGGACCCCGGAGACCAACCGCCAACCATCCGGGTCAAGATTCATATCAACCGTGATGATGCCGCCCAGCCAGCCGTCTTGGAGCCTGGTGTTGGCGCACTCCCCGACATTGTGGATGGAAAGGCTATGGGACAATGGGCTGCCGTTGGGGTGCGTGTGCCACCAGGATCGACTGCAGCCATCGTCGACGTGGACTGCGAGTGCAACGGTGGTTTCCGGTTCACCACTCCGCAAAGTGTGCGCATCGCACCCGGCCAGATGCGTCCCGTGCCGCTGAAGATTGATCAGGCCGGCTCCACACTAGTGGACGGGCTCAAGATCGTGCTTCGCGTGCGTTCCGACGACAGCAGCGAGCACACTCTCATTTGGTCGCCCCGTCTCACCCATGTCCGCATGTCCAAGCCGTTCCGATTCACGTTTGCGTCGCCTGCCGTACCCCGAACCCTTCCTGGAGCACCGGCGGGAGCGCCAGCTCTCGTCTCATTGGGCGTCATTGTTCCCCCAACTGAGCCTGCCCCTGCCACCAAGCTACCTCCCGTCCTCCTTGCGCTGCATGGTGCTGGGGTCGAAGTGACCTCTCCGTTCTGGGTCGAGGCCATGCCCACAGCACCTGGCATGTGGGCAGTCCTCCCCTCGGGGCGTAACGAGTGGGGTGAGGACTGGCACGGTGGCAGTATGGTGGACGTGTGGGCCGCTCGTGACGCTCTACCTTTACTCGCCAAACTATGTGGAGCAACAGTATCAACGGACACGCTCCTTGCCGGTCACTCGAACGGCGGCCAGGGTGCATGGCATGCGGCTGCGCGGTACCCAGACCGTATCGTTGGTCTTATCGCGTTTGCAGGATACCTCAAGATCCAGGATTACGTACCGTTCAACGAGCTGGTGTCCCACAACTACGCCGACCCAGCCCTCATGGGACTCCTCCTGGCTGCGCTCGCGCCGTACAACAACGACTTGTACGCTTCCAACCTTGCTTCGGTGCCGGTCCTCGCTGTCCATGGGGCCGCCGACGACAATGTCCCACCTCGCCACGGGCGCACCCATGCCGCGCTTGTGGCAGCCTGGACCCGGGGCGGTGCCGACATTCAGTATGTCGAGGTCCCTCACAAAGGCCACTGGTGGGAAGGCGGCTTTGCCATGCCTAAGATCCAAGAGTTTATTGCAACATTGCCACCCAAGCGGCCAATGGATCAAGTGCGCCGCTCTGGGTTCACGCTCGCCTCGGCCAACCCGGACGAGGCCGGAGGTAAAGCTGGTATTCGAATTGCCGAGTTGGCAGTACCTGGACGGCTAGCGCGACTCGACGTCAACATGCCCCAGTGGAACGGCGCAGGGCCTCTGGATCTGCACGGTTCCAACGTCAAGCGTGTTGAGATTATCGGCTGGGCTGGTGCGGCCGCCTCCGACAGCAGCAGTAGCAGCGGCGATAGTGACAGCAGCAAGCCCACAAGCCTCGTTCGGGAAGACGGCGTGTGGCGGCCGGGACCTCTGCCGCCGATACGTGCCTACGGGCCGGTGATGCGTCTTTTGGCGTCCGACGGGCCTGTCACCTTGGTGGTCCCGGCCAAAGCGGACGATTCGGGCGCAGCTGGCGAGTCTGACACCGCTGCGGCGGCGCTTTGGGCATTGGCAACACTGTACGCCCACGACCTCTATGTCTACCACAGGCTAGACGCCGTGATTGTGCCTGACGGCGACGCGTTGCGTGCTGTTGCGGCTGACACGCTGTCACCGGGCAGTGTGGTGGTGTTTGGCGCTCCCCACGAGAACAGGTTTACGCGCTGGATGATGGCACAGGAGCGCACACCGTGTGAGTGGCCGAGGTGTCGGATGCAGTGAGGGGAGAGGCGCGTAGCCACGAAAGCCAAGCCCCACAATGCTGCTGGAGGCTGCAGACCTCGATCGTGACTGGGTGACTGGCCGAGGCCTGTCACCATGTGGCCCCACCTAGTGCAGTGGACAAGCTGACTCGAGACACAGTGAAGTTTCCCACCAAGGGGGTCATGACAATCGACGGCCGGATTGTGTATGAGAGTGGAGCTGGTGAGTGGTCGCGTCGCCTGTGCCTCGTGCGTGTTAGGGTTCATGATATCGCTACTGGTGGTCGTTCGACACGTTTGGTTCCAGTTATCGAGCGGCACCGACACAGGCACAGGGCGATGAGAGAAACTCGAAACAGACACGGAGGGGCATTCCAGCTGACCACCAATCTCTCAATGCTTTTCTGTTTTTTCGCAAACACGTCCATACGTCGATCATACAGGTATCATTGCGCTCCACCCGCACCCTACCAACCCTCGCGGTCTTGCGGCAGTCGTGGCGGGCAACGACAGGGCCGGACTTGTGGCCGCAGCGCGGTTGCTGCCGCTGCGAACGGGTGTGCCGATCCCGGACTGGGCGGTGGTGACGTCGCGGTGTAGCTGGCAAGGCGCCGGAGGACTTGCTGGGGCTGGATTCTGGGACGGCAGTTGGGGTTGGTCCGAAGGGATGAGCTGGATGGACCGTGAGTGACGGTAGTGTAGTGTGTATCGTAGTGCAGCGTGCCAGGAGTTACCGGCGATTTAGCTGGTGACGGTCGAAATGTGGTGGGGGTTCTGCCATGGCCGTGACTGTCTTTTGCGCCAGGATCCACATTTCACAGGATCCGTTGCACAGGGTTTCCAACGCAAAGGTCCGGACGTTACACTTTTCGTCGGTCCAGCCTCTTTGCATGGATACTTCAGCCTGGGTGAGGATGCACGTGCCCGCCTGGCAGAGGTATGGAGGTACTGTACAGAGGTCTACAGGAAACACCCTGTAAGGGGGGGCCATATGGGGTGGACGGAGGGTCAGAGGTAAACAAGGTGTGTGTCAGATGTTTAGAGTGGGTCTGACACTACCACTACTTGGCTATTGGGCACTGGCGCACTGGCGCACACTGCGCACTGGTCACCAGGCGTGCGTGCGTGCGAGGACAAGTCATGCCTCCCTCGTCCCCTCGTCCCAGCTCTCCCTCACTCTCCCCGCTCCCTTTGCATGGCCCCTGGGTTTTGCGCTGGCGCGCTGGCCTAGTGCTGCTCTTTGAATTGCTTCCAACGCCGTGAGCTGCTTGAGCTGCAACAATCCTGCACCTGGGGCCTACAATTGTCAGACGCCGGTACGCCGGTACGCCGGTACGCCGGTACGCTGGGTTACACTGGAGGGAAGGGAGGAGGAGGAGGCAAGGAGGAGGCAAATAAAATAAAATAAAAAACGAGACACAGGTACACAGGATGCACAGGATGCACAGGATGCACAGAGGCCAAAAAGGTCCGACGTTGGTCCAGGACATGTCGGTTAAACAGGGACCAGACAAGAGCGGTGGCCAGTGGTGGTCTCCGTGGATCCGTGGTGGTGGGTGGTTGTGCCGAGCGGGATGTGATTGTACCTGCATAGAAGAGAGACGACGACGACGGCGACGACGGCGACGGCGACGACGACGATGGACATCGAGATACAAGTGGTTTAAGGACAGATGACAATATTGCCTCATGCAGCAAAAACAAGGGGAGGCCGGGACAGCCGTCATCGTCATCGCATGTCTCACTGGATCACATTTGCTGTTGTCGTTCACAGGTGGCACAGTCTTGTATGAGAGTGAGAGAGAGGTTCACTGGATCACTGGTCACTGAGAGCTGTCTCGGGACCCACACACGAGCGAGAGAGACACCCCACAGGGATACAGACAGCAGGAGCGAGCGAGCGACGTCCGGCCGACCCATCCATCCTTTCGTCGCCCTTAGAAGCACCAGGTTGGCCAGGTTGGGCAAAAACGCCACGCGCCAACAACGTCCGCCATCCATCGCTCGGGTCTTTCCCCCCCGCGCATGCACCCACGGCCACCCGGCCAGCACTCGCGAGCGCGTGTGCTCGTCATTTCCCATTTCTCTCTCTCTCTCTCTTTCTCTCTTTTGCACCGTCGTCGCGTTGCAACTCTCAACCACCCCTCCACATCGTTTCCTCCGCCTCCTCCACCTCCCCCCCCCCCCCCCTCCCACCAAAACACATCCTCACGTCACCGCCAATAGTCCCGTCGTCGCTGCTGCCCCTCTCGCCCAGTCACACACACACACACATTTACTTTAACCCCCGCCTTTAATCCCCTAGTCCACCTCGACCACAAACCATGTCCAAGGTTCGCCCCCTCCCCTCCCACTTCCTCCTCCCTCTGCTCCTCCTACATCCACACTCACACCCCCATGCAGGCCCAGTTCCTCCGCGAGTACAAGCTCGTCGTCGTCGGCGGTGGTGGTACGTGTTCCGGTCTCTCTTTCTTTCCCTAGCCGCACGCGCGCCCGCCCGCGTCTCAATGTTTGCCCGTCCCATCGTCCGTCCGCGAACCAGCTGGCACAAGTCACACGGCCACGCCTGCACAGTGCATGCTATCGCGTGCGCGCGCGCGCGCGCGCGAGTTGCATCCAGTTGCTCGCTGGCCGCAAGAGCCATGCCAAGGACGCGCAACGGACGCTTTGCCCCCCCTCCCTCCCCAGCCCAGGCGGCGGCGCGCACGGTGCGCCTGGCGCCGCAGCGCATTCCCCAACGCAGGCTCATCCACCTGGCCGATGGCGCGCGGCGGGTCGTCACGCTTGGCACACACGCCCGTCCACCCCACAACCATGGCCCGCATGCATGGCGCGTGCATGACAGTTCCAGCGTCTTGCAAGTGGGGACAGAGCGCTGACCTCTCCGCGCAGGTGTCGGCAAGTCGGCCCTCACCATCCAGTTCATCCAGTCCCACGTGAGTCATCTCTATCTCAGTCTCCCTCTTGCCAGTGACGTTTGCTGACAGCCCCCAGTTCGTTGACGAGTGAGCACCCTTTGTTTCGCCCCGCACAAAGCACGCACAAATGTGCCGGGGCGTGCGCTTTCTAAGATCAGTGCTGACAACCGCCCCCCAGGTACGACCCCACCATCGGTACGTTTGCACTGCTCAACGAGCACCGGCCCCAAAGGGCACGCAGGCGATGAGCAGAGCGGAGATGTTGGATGCTGCGCCTCGGAGGACCTGTCCTCTAGAGGGAGCTCGACTCACTGCGCATCGCCCGCTTGTTCGCCCGCTCCATGATGGCAAACTCGCGAAAACACACACACTGACGCAACCACAGAGGACTCGTACCGCAAGCAGTGCATCATCGACGAGGAGGTCGCCCTGCTCGACGTTCTTGACACTGCCGGCCAGGAGGAGTACGGTGCCATGAGGGAGCAGTACATGCGCACCGGCGAGGGCTTCCTTCTCGTCTACTCGATCACGTCGCGCAGCTCGTTTGAGGAAGTGTCGACCTTCCACCAGCAGATCCTCCGCGTCAAGGACAAGGACTACTTCCCGGTCGTTGTCGTCGCAAACAAGTGCGACCTCGAGTATGAACGCCAGGTCCAGCCTCACGGTGGGTTTCAACGAGCTTGCTGCAGCGACTGACAATCTTTCAGAGGGCCGTGACCTCGCCAAGCGCTTTGGTGCCCAGTGCATCGAGACTTCCGCCAAGCAGCGCGTTAACGTAGACGACGCCTTCGTTGCCGTCGTCCGCGCCATCAGGCGGTACCAGCGCGAGACTGGCCCCGCCCAGGCTCCCCCTGCTGCCGGCAGCAGGCCCGGCCCTACCGGCGGTGTCGGCAGCCGCCCCGCCGAGAACCGCACCGAGGACGTTGACAAGGGATGCTGCGGCGGTTGCGTCGTGCTCTAAGTGAGCGCGTGCAGGTAATGGACACAAACATTTCCTTCTACAGCCCCAATCCCCCTACCACCACCACCACCCACCCCCACCCCGCTCTCGCGCTCGCCTGTCGCTCGTTGTACATATAAAGATAGTCTTGCGGTCGTCTTTGCGGTCTAGTAGTCTCTTTTTTTTTTCCTCGCTCCTTTATCACGTCTATACAGCTGTCCGAGCGGTACATGTTCATGCATATACACTGGGATGACGCATTTGCAGGTGTGCGGTGACTACACGCTGGTGTGCGGACACGGCCTCTACCCCCGCGGCCCACTGTTTGCGCGACCCACAAAACGTCACGTTCCGAACATTGCCGTCGCCGACTTTTGTTTCCTTCCATTCGCTTCATTATACAACATCCCACCATGCGTCCAGCATTGAGACTCCTCGCAGGTGCATCATCAAGAGCCCCTGCTCGCACGGTTACCCGCCTCACACCTCAGCAGGCTGCGGCCGCAAGAGAGGCCGCCCGCTTGGCGACTCTTCGTAACCCTCCTTCACCAACACCTTCCACCACCGCACCGTCGACTGCTGCTGCTGCTGCTGCTGGGGACACCGACCAGCTGCCCCCCGGATCACGCCCCGTAGCCACGCCCCGGCCGGGCGGACCTCAGACGGATCGTCGCAAGAGCCTTGTGGACAGTTTTAGGAGTGAGTGTTGTTCGCCGTCCCTGTGTGTTGCCTGGTCTTTGCGAGCAAGCCTCAGGCGAAGACTGTCACGCATACTCCCACCACCGTCACTAGACTGTCGTTGGCCCTTGGTCCATGGTTGCAAGCCACCCCGCGGGAAGAACCTGAGCCTGGCGAAGAGGTGACTGCTTTCAAGGAGACCTTTGGGCCGCATCGTGGTATGGCTGTGACCCACTGTTCGTCTAGCGTCCAGCTGTTCCTACTCTGCCTCCATGTCCAGTACCAGCTCCAGGAGCCATTGGAACCAGGCTCCGGACGCCCCAATGACCGCACACGCGCCTCGTTCCCACGGTGCAGTGGCGCGGGGTCATGGCGTGGTCTGTTTTGGGTCTAGTCGACAGAGGTCTTCATTCCGGGTTCTCCATCTCATCTCATCTCATTCCTTCTCCCAATGACCGCGTTGAGGCTCGACGCTGACGACCACAGGCCTGTCTTGGAAGGGCAAAATCTTTGTTGGCGTTCTTCTCGCCAGTACCGCCATGCTCACCCAGGCCGTTGACTACTTGGTCCCCGAAGAGGACGCGGAACAGCCGTCCCGTGGTGTTGGCGTCGGCATCACTGTTGTTGACCGCAAGTAGCGCGTGTCCGAGGGGCGAGGCATGCGACGCACATCGGCGCGTCGTGCTCGTGGTAGACTGTAGGCATATATATCATTCTCAACGTGGTGCTCACTGACGAACCTGCTGACCTGCGCTCGCAACTCATTGGGTCTACTGACAAGCATAGAGACTATGGCACAAGACATTTTGGTCCAGGACACACATTCTAAGCGTCACTTAGCTACGGCGCCTACTAGAACACAGATGCAGCTCCGATAAAGACGGCCACAACGCTGGCACCGACTACTGCAAACGGCGCAAGGCTGTACGAAAGAGCACCGTTCTTGAGGGACGTTGTGGTCTCGCCGGGGACCGCGCCGCTTGCCGCGCCAGGCTTCTGAACGGTCACATCGGTCGGCCCAGACTTGCCAAAGTCGGCACCGCACTGGCCCACGACAGCAGAGCCGACGACGGTGTTGGTCAACGTCGAGTTGATCTGGGTGGCTTCGTAGTAGATGCTGATTTGTGAGTTGTCTGGCGTGTGTGTGACAAGACTGCACAACAAGGGCGCGCGCGGCGTGCTGCGGCATACCATTACCCACGTCCTACTCACCCAGCAACACAACTCGTACACATGTGACCCGACTGGAAGCTCTGCTCAAGGGCTGCGAAGGAGCTGGTATCGCCACCGAGGATGCCCGAGAGGTAGGCGAGGGTAATGTTGTTGTTCGTGTCCGTCTGGAGAGTCTCCAAGGTCTCGGTCACGCAAAACTTGCTCGTGCTGTCCTGTAAGTAGAAGACTTGGGGGGCCGACGCGCCAAGCACTGGGCGGCTTTGCGTCATTAACTCACGTCGAGTTCTTCGAGCATGCCGCAGCGTATATGTTGTCATAGCTGTCAATGACACTGATGAGGATGGTGGCTGGGGACGTGGGGTTCTTCATGTCCTCGGCACAGCCCTTTTCGAGAGACGACTTGGCGCTCGAGAGAGTGTCGTTGCTGCATCCGGGCGTGGAGTTGCTGCAGAGCTTGGACAGGTACGTGTCGAGCGGCTGGACAAGGGACCCGTCCGCGCTCATGAGGGGCAGAAGGTCGGTAATCGACAGACAGCTGCCAGTGTCGCCGACAGCCAGGGGGAGGATGGCGTCCTTGCAAGAGCTGGGAGGTGGTTAGTGGCTGTTCCGCCCCACTTGTTGCCAAACTCGCCTGGTGACATTGGGGATCGACTGGCTGTTGTGGTACGTCAGTTACTGAACCCAGTTCCGCAGCGGTGGATACATACGCCACGGCAGTGGCAGCGAGGGCCGTGAAAACAACAGCGGTCTTGAACATGGTGTGAATGGAGTAATAAGGGTGAACGAAGAAGTGGCTTGGGGGTTGGGGCAAAGCAGAGAATGTGGTTGCTTTTGTAGCATTGAGCACACAGCACCACTACATGCACGGCCTGGGCATGGGCTCCCACTGTCCAGGTGCAGCAGATGTGAGCGACCTGTCCATGGGGTAAACTTGGCAGGTGCCGCCGGACAAGCGCGACCCAAGGATTGAAACGGCCACTGTGGCGGTGTAGAGCGACGTAACCACAGGCACTACTTTGTGCTCCGGGATGGGCGGGTCGCGCCGTTGGAGTTTGTGACGTAGAGACGGACAGGGCGAGGGCCGTTGAGAGGGCAACCCGTTCACTGCTTCCGATACCCGGGCAAGCAGCGAGCGATATGCCCAGCACACTTGGCGTGGGGATCCCTGGAACGTCTCCTTTCTACAGCCACAGTGGAGTGTTCCGCCAGAGATACTGGCCGAGATTCGCCACTGAGCCCCATGTGTACGTTTCCTGATCGGTAGTGTCTTCCTGCGGGTTGCCCTTGTCTCTCTGGGAACTCTGAGTGTAGTTACTGAACTCCCGCGACGTCGAGCGTCCTGCCGTCTTGGCATGTGTGACTCGGCCATTGGACAACTGACCCCATCCTTCTGCTGAGAAACAAAGCAATCGCCAGACAGCCGTCGTCTCGTAGCCGTCCCACATTTTTCTACTTTCGGAAGCAGCTATACCCAAGTGGTTACGGGGTGCCACTCAAGAGTCCTTTATTGAGTTCTTCCAGCGATTTGCTGGAGCTTTGGCATGCATATGCATCCTGGGTTCGAACCCCAGTGGCTGCATTTCCTCTTTTGGACCCCTCAGGTCTTGTTTTATGCCCAAATAGCAGTGTTTGGACGTGCGGGAGACGCCAAAAGTTGGTCGGGAGTGTGTGCAGGGTTTGCAGATGTAGAAGGTGTCGCCACATGCCACATTCACCCAATTTCAAAATACCTCCGCTAATATCCCGGCAGTCCAATTAGGAAATATGGTCTAATGCTTTACGAAATGATGTTGTTTGGCTCGGAATTCCTGGATGCAACACTCGCAAACTCATTGTTGTCTCAATCCCCTCTTTCTCTTCATCCTCCATCCACCACCACCGCAGCCATGACCACACGCACGCTGCCCACCATCATAGCGACGCGGTCCGTATTTGGCATCATCCCGTCCACGACCCGCCGCAACGTGGCGTGGAATGCCGACGGACAGTGTCTCATCCTCACAAGACAAGGTGTGACCGTCGCAGTACGTCATGGTCCTTTCTCCTCGTTGCTCCATCCTGCAATCCTGACACCAATAACAGACCCCCTACCTGGCTACAGCATTGCCGCTCCCCGAAGCTCCGCTCGATGCATCCATGCAAGGAGGCGGAGCCGGTGCGAATGGCGTCAAGGAGGAGGACATCGAAGACGACATGGACATGGATGTCGACGCACCGAGCTCGAGTACAGTCAAGCTTGGGCGCCCTCGTACTGGCGAGATCAAGTGGTGGATTACGCCCATTGGCATGGACAAGGGCAAGAACCGCGAGGACGAATTTGAATGGGCAGAAACCGGTGGTGGGTGTCACAACACAAAACTCTTGCAACGTTCAACCCCGCTCACGTCGCAGACGAGTTCAGCGGCCTCATCATCGACAAGGACAAGGAACGCAACATCCGTGCCGCTGTCTGGTCACCGCCCGGTATTGGCGGAGGAGGTGCACTCATGGCTGTCATGGCTAGCACCGCTCAAGTGTCCGTCTTCGCGCCGGGCCAGGACCCGTACAGTAATGAATACGTTGAAGTGAGTCCCGCGGTGGAAGGACGGCAACTGACAGCGACAGATTGCAGACATCACCAGTATGACGATGGACCTCCTCCCGGACTCTGAGAAGCCAGACGAGATCCCCACTATGGCTGGTATGCTCCGCATGCGTTGCACGGCCATGGAATGGTCTCTTCCTCTTCCCCTCCCAACCATGGTCGGAGTGGACGGCAGTGTCTTGGCCCTGGCCAACCGTGCCGGTGGAATCGACTTTTGGAGCGCAAACACGGACAGGTCGTTTGAGCGCATTGCCCAAGTGTCGCTTTCGAAGCCGTGGGCTGTCGAGCTGACCTGGACCGCGTGGGTTGCTGTTGATGAGCATACTTGTAAGCAAAACCCAACATTAGGGGACGACCGCTGACGCTTCACAGGTTCTGCAGAGCTGGCTATTGCGACTACGGACGGCTCGGTGTGGATCCTTGATGTTAAGCGCGTCGCAGTGCCGCTCGAGGCTAGGTGGGAGTGCCAGGTCGGCGACCTCCGGCTCGTGGCTCCAGCCGACAAGCGCCAAGTGACAGCCCTCCAGTGGATCACTGTGGGTATAGGCATGGTTGAGTCTGATTTCTGACCCACCAGGGCGACCGGCTGGTCTGGGCCAAGGCCGGATCTGTTCACTTTTGGACGGCAGGAACGACGCCCTCGATGGTCCGCCTCGAGCGTGTCGGCAACTGGGCGGGATGCAATGCACTCAACCCTTGTGTCGGTAAGTTCCTCCTCTGTGGGTTCTGGACTCACTCCCCAAGGCCTCCATCTCCGCGGCACTACCGTCACCGTTGTGCTCGCCTCATTGACGTACCACCTTATCGAAGACGTCTTCTCTGCACCAAAACTGGGGTCCAAAATCGACTCTCTCCGTCTCACCCTCTCTGCGCGCGACGTCTTCCTTGACTGCGCGAAGCGTCGTCGACGTGGGTTTGTCGCCATGACTGACCGCGAGTTCACCGCACACACGGCCGGATGGGCTCCCCTTGATGCTTCAGGCGATATTGTCTCATGGATGGCCGAGTGAGTTACCAAAGCAAACGGACCGTGTCTGACAGACACCTTGCAGACCCATTACATTCCACAACCTCGACAGCGCGACTGAGGTGAACCGTATTGGCGATTTCGTGGTTGCGGACCTGCACTCGACTATTGTACCCGACGAAGCGGTAGTTGCCGCGATCTCGGCCACCCTGGCCCACCCGCCAAGCTGTAAGCGCCCACTTTTGTGATATTTCCTTGTATTAACTCCCCACCAGTACTGCACAACTCGCCTTTGGGGGTGCTGCTCCCCCATCTGACACGGGCGCTAGTTGCCGACGAGACTCTGGCACGATTGCTTTACACCCTTGTCGAAGCTCCCCATGAGGCAGCGCTTCCTGTCGTTCCTGACATTGCCGACAAGGAGCGCGCGCTCCTTTCCATGTTGTGGGGCGCCGGGTGCCCAGACTCTTTGCGACTGCACTACGTGTTTGCGCAGTGGGGTGCAGTGAGTGTTTACTCTCCTTCCCCAACACCAACACCTGGCTAACCCTCAGCGCGCGTACCCATTGCTGTCGCTCGAGTTTGGCGGGGCTGCCGAGGCTTACCTTGGTGTCGTTCAGCGCGCTCTCGCTGCCATTGCGCTGGCATGGGCGAGCAGCGCCCATGGGGAGACGGTTGGACCTTTGGACGCCCAATACCTTGGTCATTTGCTTGCCATCTCCGGTCCAGATGTCCAGGTCGACACCTCTCTGCGTGCTCTCGCGTCCGAGACTGGCGCAGCGACCGCCTGCCCTGCATGCGGTAGCCCCGTCGAGTTCGGAAGCGGGTCGTCGACGTACTGCAGCCAGGGCCACGAGTGGGGTATGTCTGTTTCCGTTGTTTCCGTTGCCTTTTTGCTGACTGTGCTTAGAACGCTGCTCCATCACGCATCTTCTGATCACGTCGCCCGAGTATCGTCTTTGCACCGTCTGCCCCGCCGTTGCGCTCCGCCCCGAAGCAAGCGGCGAGGACAACCATCTTGTCCATGCTGCGCTGGCTGCGGCCGTTGACTGCCAGACCTGTGGCGGCCGCTGGGCCCGGCCCGTGTGAGAGTTTCCTTATGCGCTTTGGAGGAGGTCATGAGAATGCAATGTGCTTGAAGAGCCTGTGTGTGTTTTGCGTCACATTCCGTGTGCTGCCCTCCCAATCGCCCTTTTGGCTTCTGACCTTTGTCAGCCGCAGTCATGTCGTAGGAGTATCTCCCACTGCAGTATAGACCGATCCGAATCGGAGACGGAGGCCGTGGAAGGAAAACACGACTGTTTGGTATCCTTCAGATGCCGGTTTGGTATGCGCAAGGGGGAGCAGGGTGCGCAGGGTGGTTCCCATGACGCCGTTCTTCCGAACCGGTAAACCGCGTCTGCCTGTTGGTCGCTATGGATCTCGCTGTGGATCTCTGCTGATACAGCAGCTTGGCGCGCGCCCCCTTGATGGCCCATGCCGGCGGCACATGTCCCCAGATAACGCCTTGCCGCTGCGCTTGCTGCCAAATACGAGCCGGCAAGTGGCGACACCAAATTACTCACCGGCGACACACCGTTTGGCCGTTTGGCTTGTCCGTGTCTCTCCGCAGAACACATGTGCACGTTCTTGCGACCCACTGGCGTACTGGCCACTGGCGCAGTGTACATACTGGCAAGCAGGCAGCCTAACACTTGACAGATTACAGATCTAGCACTGGGTGGGCCGGTCCCGTTCCCTTCCGAAGGGGCGATGCGGACTTGCCCGACAGTGATCACCGTATAGACCTGTGCATGAAATGTTTTGGCAGCGTGAAAGAGCGCTGGGCAGAAAGTTGTTGAGAAATCGAATGCCAACAGAGAAGCATTAGAAAGCGCACACCGAAACCTGTTAGACATGCGCGACATCCTCCAGAGAGCAGCCAGTTCCATTGGGTGTCTATTGTCCACGAGGAAGCGACACACCGAGTGACTGTAAGGGCTTTTGGGCGCGTGCCTCATACCGCGCGACTCACGATTACAGCCATTCCCGGCGGCAAGCTTCGGGCGCGACATCTCCCGCAGATTATGCCAGATGGCCAGATGCCGCCCGGGTGGCCCACCACACGGCCACCTCACGCGCTCGTTTGGTATTTGCTCTGTCTCATCCGCGCCGTCCGTCACCGGGCACCTGGAGGGTCGCCCGGGTACTCACGCATCTGTCTCGTCGTGGGGAGAGAGGGAAGGGGCGGCGGCGATACACCGAGTCGACACACAACTAGCAGCTGACAAGGAGCTAGGAGATTATTTGCCTCGGTCGTGGTGCTCGATCTGCGTCAAGATTGCCGTGCCCGTCGAGGCAGACGTAGTATATAACACTCTCTGACGACTGACCATGAGTAGATCCCCACTCACTGATCCAACACAACACCACTACTGCTGTCACAGTCGCCCTCGGGCACTCACCCATCCACCACCACACCACACTACTTTCCAACCACAATGTCCCTCCTCGTCTCGCGCAATGTGACCCGGTCGGGTCTCATCTTGGCACGCACCCTCCCGGCGAACCGCATTGGTATGCCCGCTGCCGCTCGCCTGTACTCGGCCATCCACACTCAGACCTCGCTCGAGGTCCCACACCGCTCACGCACCGCTGATGCCGACGGCAGTGCGGCCGCGCTCGCTGCTGGTCGTGCCCACGCCACTCGCCTCGCTGGGCTCCACATTCCGTCCGATTCCTCGCCACATGCCGCCCTCGCGAGCGAGGCGCGCCATCTTGACCTGGGTGCCTCCGCCGCCGCCAACATTGCTGGTATGCACACGTCGACGAGCAGCTCTGCGGCTGCACTGGGCTTGAGCCAGCACGATGTCGACGCTGAGAACAAGGCTCCCGAGGGCCTCGTTGGCCACCAAGGCCGCGGTACAGAGGGCGCGCACTACAATGGCAAGTGTCTCTCTTTTCCATCCCACTGAGCCATCAAACTGACTTGGGTTGAAGACAAGCTGCCTGAGGCCGCTGCTCCACTCACCGACCTCGCCATCGATTCTATGGGCGGCTGGACGATGATGAACCCCATCTACACCGAGGCCGAGCTCGACACTGTCAAGGTCGTCAACCGCGCCCCCGTCACGCTCAGCGACAAGGCCGCCCACGGTGTCGTCAAACTTCTTCGGTGAGTCAGCCGAGTCACTGTACCTTTGTGCTTGCGTTCCTTTCGCTAACGCACATAGCCGCTGCTTTGACATGTTCACTGGATACATTGCCAAGCCCATCCCCGCCGAAGTGCTTGCCCAGAACCCCATCCCCATTGCCGAGCTTCGCAAGAGCGGCCAGCTGCTTAGCGACAAGGCCTGGTTGCTGCGTATCATCCTCCTCGAGTCGATTGCCGGTGTCCCCGGCATGGTTGGAGGTACTTTGCGCCACCTGCGCTCTCTGCGCCTTCTCCGTCGCGACGGTGGCTGGATCCACACTCTGCTCGAGGAAGCCGAAAACGAGAGGATGCACCTCCTCACGTTCCTCACTGTCGCCCAGCCGACACTCATCACGCGCGCCCTGGTGCTCGCGGCCCAGGGCGTGTTTTACAACGTCTTCTTCCTCACCTACCTGGTGGCGCCCAAGACGGCCCACCGCTTTGTCGGTGCGCTCGAAGAGGAGGCTGTGAGGACGTACACGCACTGTATCGAGGACGTGACGAACGGCCTCGTGCCCGAGTGGAACGACAAGCCCGCGCCGCAGATTGCCATCGACTACTGGCGCATGCCTGCCGACTCGACGCTGCTCGACGTCATCAAGGCCGTGCGGGCCGACGAGGCCACGCATCGCTTCGTCAACCACAGTCTTGCCAACCTGAACCAGAAGGAAGACTTTAACCCGTTTGCCCTGGCCGAGGCGAGCCCCGAGCTGCGCGGTACGCGTGCCGGATTCACGCGCGAGGAAAGCGCCGAGTTTGCGCGCCAGACGCAGAGCAGGATGCTTGGTGCGCCTCGTGCGAACAAGGAGGACGCCGAGTGATGTGGTCGAGTCTAGGATAATAAAGTCCGATTAGGGGGGCCGCCTTGTGAGGACCCAGTCGAGCCAGGAAGGGACCCAACGATGTACTCTGTAGGATTCATGTAACATAGTATGGTTTGAGGCGTCTTGTCCATGCCTGTGACCGTGAGCACCAGTGAGCTCGTCGTTACTCTCCGGATCAAGCACGACAGAGGTACAAGGTTGCCTGCGGTCCGCATTGTCCTCGGCATTCAGCAAGGGGACGCTGTCGCACCCAGCAGTCGGTCTGACAGGAAGTCATGCTTAAGGTTGGCCAGGGGCGTTAGCTTCCCCGTGGCAGGAGGGATCCAATGTACGACGTCACCTGCGTCAGTCTGAGAGCAAAGTGAGTGGCCTGGTAGCGACATAGGAAGACCACAAGTCCGAGTGCATGTTTGGTGTTGTACAGTGTCTACCAGATGTCAGCGCCGATACACGCACACGCCATCGAACTGGCATTACTCACAGCAATATATGAGGCCTGGCTTGCACCCTCGTGCCAGTTCTCTCGTTGCCGCTTGGTTGTGGTGGGATCTTGAACCCCTGCGCGGCGTCGCGGGCGTCGTCGTTGTTGTTGTCATTATCGCCCCCTGCCCTCTCCGTCTATCTCTCCCCTCCTCCCCTTTTTTTGCATCTAGTTGAATCCTTCGACGGGCTTGCGTTCCGGCATGTCAACCTTTTCGCCGCCGTAGGAAGGGAGGAGGGGGTTGGGGAACTCTTTGCGCGAGTGCGCTGGGTCGCGGGACCGACGCTCCGACATGATGAGGAACGTGGCCGAGCCGGCGACGAAGATACCCAGCAAGAGGAAAGGGTTGGGGCCCTTTGTGGGAGGACGCGTTGGGCGAGGCGAGGACATTGTTGTTGTTGTTGTTGTTAACAGTGTGCTTGTAGAGCGCAAGAGGCTACCTTGACATGCATCCCCGATCTGCTCCTTTTGTCTGCGTCATTTGTTAATTAGTACTCCCTTATAATGGAAACGGGTGGCGTGGGGGGTTTATTAGAACTGGACGCTAATTGTGATATTTTGCCCGGGGCCGCCATAACCGGGCCTAATGACATGCCCAGTGTCCGCATTTAGCACAACACGTCCTGTGTCGGTGAAACGACATGTATGCACTGCGGGTACGCAGGGCCGCAGGGGCCGCTTGCAGCGCTTGTCCCCCAACACACCGAATGCAAGTTGCATGCGATGGCAAACCTGCGCTGGCCGCTCGCCGCTCGCCGCTGGCCGCTGGCCGCTGGGCCGTTTGGGCGTCATTTCATTTCATTTCTTATTCTTTTCTTTGCTGCGGATTTCAGTGTTAACCCCCCCACGACCGCCTGCGGATTAAAAAAGCAAAAACTGCCGCCCGAGTGGGTTAAATGGGTTAAATCGGCCGCCACGGTCTTGTGCCGCACAAATGGCGTGTGTTCCTGTGGTGGCATGTGCGGACGGAGGCGTCCCATCATCTGACCCCTCTGAACTGGAGCTATGTAGCTGTCACGACGACGACGACGACGAGGACGACGACGACGACGATGACGACGACGACAAAACCTGCAACCGGATGGGTGATGCCAACGGAAGGGGAAAAGACACGCAAGTGGGAGAAGAGGGGGAGGAGACGGGAGTGAGGGCGGAGCGGCGGAGAGGGGAGGAGGGGATGGAGGGAGGAGGGAGGCAAGGACCCACCGAAACGGCCCAGCTCGACCGGACCCTCTGATCCTCTGATCCCTCTGAGATGACATGGTGCACCGTGCATGCACATGGGGTTAATACACATGTGGAACTGGGGTGGACATATGAACATGACGCGCGGGGGTGTGGTTGTTTTGGGCATGCTGCGACGGACACGCGCAGGCAGCAGCAGCAGCAGGCAGCGGCTCCCCCTTGTTTCATGCGCGCAAACCGGCACCACCCTCGACGTCGTCGGTCATTTTTCTGTCACAGGCCCGTCTGGAACACTCTGTGGATCTGCGCTGCTGGGAGCTGCCGGCCTCTTGGACGCAAAATGTGTACTGCGACCGCAGCATACACATTTTTCATTGCGTAGTGCAGGAGCGGACGCAGCTCGTGTGTGCAAAACGGGGGGCCAGGGGGGTTATGGGTTAGCTCCTGCAAAAGCCGCGACCCGCACACCTAACATTCTACCGCTCCCATCACACCGCACACACACACACACTACACCACAGTACACACTACACCGCCCCCCCCCGCTCTGTTGTTGCTTTGGTAGCTCCCATTTCCATCGCCCCATCGCTCCATCGCTCCATCTCTCTTTCTGTCTTTCTCCACCACTCTCATCCATCCTCTCCACGCACACACATACACACACACACCCCTAGACCCAGCTGCGCATCTGCACATACGGCCAGCCGCCCCACCCAGCCGCCGCTCCCCTCCACTGCAGCCGACACACACACACACACACCACACAACCTTCTTCCCCCCGCCCCCCTCCACACATCCACCCACCCACCCACGCCTTCCCACGCGTCCGTGACGCAATGCTGTTGCTCAAACGGCGTCCAGTCCTCATCCTCGTCGTCCCCATCGCCCTCACCGTCGTCGCCTTTCTCCTCCACACCCAGACAGACGCTACGGCATGGGTCAGCAAAGCTGCAGCAAACAGGTTTCAATACGGCGATGCAGACTCGTCCCGCACAGACGACCTTGATCATCCCGACACCGCAGCAGGCGGCGCCTCAGACTCTTCAGACTGGGGCGATGCAGACACCGACGACCACATCCACACTTTTATCGGCGGGCCCGAGACTGGTGGTGACCACAACAACGCGGTTGTAGGCGGCGTCGTCCCAGAGGAAGGGTCTCAGCCGCCCGTCACCACACTCGGAGCGGGAGCGGTGGCCACCAACGCCATCGAGTCATACATGCGCGACTATCTCCTGTCCCGCGCCGAGGGCTTTGATGCCAAGGTGCATTTGGACAAGTATGGCCTCAAGCTCGGCGTCGTCAACCTCGAGGCGTACCACAGGGAGCTCTTGGAGGTCTACAACGAGTTCTTTGGCGTCAACGAGGAGACGGGCGACGTCTACTCGTTCCTGGCTCCCGTCCTCTCTCGTCTCTCCCTTCGCCCGCCCACGGCGCCGCTCCCGCCCCTCGTCAAGCAAGTGGCCGCCACCGAGAAGAACCTCGACAAGATCCCGTCGTACTTTGACGACTGGGACCGGATCATGCCCAACTGGAACATTACCCTGTTTGACGACACGTCGCTCGAGCAGTGGGTCAACTATGAGTTTGGCGGCAGCGAGCTCGAACGTCTCTTCAACCGTCTCCCGCGTCAAGTCCTCAAGAGCGACTTGTTTAGGTACCTGTTCCTCCTCGTCGAGGGTGGCATCTACACCGACAGTGACAGTGAGTGTGGACCAGTGATGTGTCAGACAAGACGTACTGACCCTCTCCTTTTCTAGCCGCCCCCGTGATCCCAGCCGAACGTTGGGGCCAGCCATACGAAGACCGCACCCCGGAGATCCTCGAGCACCTGTCGCGCCTCCTCATGCTGTCGGACGACCCCCAAGCGGACGTGTTCAACCACCCGGTCCTTGAGGAAGGTGGCGAGCTTGGCGAACCTGCACTGGTTGTCGGCATTGAGTTTGACTCGATCATGTACGGCTGGGACTGGACCAAGATTGGTGTCAGCCGTGCCGTCCAGATCACCCAGTGGACCATGATGGCCCGTCCGGGCCACCCCGTATTCCTGGATGTCGTCGGCCGCGCTTTGCACAAGACCATCCAGATCGAAGAGGAGCGTCGCAAGGCCGAGGAAGAAGGAAGGGAATACGTTGACGAGTGGGCTGTGAGTACACTGTTTTTACACCGTGTTCCCGGCGATGGTTTTTGCTGACACACAACCAGCTGGAATGGACCGGCCCCGGCGTCTGGACCGACTGCGTCTACCGCTACCTGCTCGCTCGTTATGGCTTTACCCCGGAGATGCTCATCCGCGTCGACCGCCCTATCCGTGTTGGCGACGTCCTGATCCTCCCCTCCAAGACGTTTGCTGCCTCGGAGCGCAAGGAGGTTTCCGAAAAGAACAAGCCCTTCACTGCCATTTTCCACGGATTCAACGGCCGCTGGCGTGGCGAGGACCCGACGGTCAAGAAGATCAACGAGCTCAAGAAGATTGAAAAGGAAAAGGAGGAAAAGGAGAAGAAGGAAAAGGAGGAAAAGGAGAAGAAGGAGCAGGAGGAAAAGGAAAAGCAGGAGAAGGAGAAGGCGGCGGCTGAGGCTGCCGCGGCCGCTGCCCAGGCGCAGGCTGAGCTGGACGAAAAGGCCGCGGCTGAGCGCATGGCCAACGAGGAGAAGGAGAGGCAGAGGCTCGAGGCGGAGCGCAAGGCTGCCGAGCAAAAATTGGCCGACAAGGACGACGCGGCGACGAGGTAGCGCGAGGGACGCGTCAGGACGTGGACCCATGGCGAGACCCCCGACTTGACCCCGGCCGACCAGCGACCCAGCGACTCTGTGGGGGCAGGAGTAAACCGTCATCTAGAACACCAATTTTTCGGCACTCGACCGGGGCATTCAGAGTAGACAGCATGGCCCACTCGCTTTGCCGCCCCCAGCCGCCCACCGAGACCCACCCACACCATAGAACCACCCAAACGGCGTAGCCAGGCGTAGCCAGGCGTATAGATAGAAGGACCACAGAGTCCTCCAAGGAGTGCATGCGGCCAGCCGCCCCGTGCACTACTTGTTTGTAGCATCATCATGTGACCCCACTAAGCCATGTTACATGTTTCTCGTAGTACAAGTACACTGGTGGGTTTTGTTGTTGGTGTGTTTTTGTTGGAGTTGGTGTGGTTTTGTTGTAGCTGTGATGTGTGTGTTTGTGTGTGTGTGAAGAGTGGAGAGAGCCAAAGGTAACGACGATGACTCATGCTTGAGGTGTGCTTGGTGCTGTTGACTCGGCTGGTGGGGCTGGTGCCGCGGCCTTGTCCTTCCCTGTTCTGCGTCAGCTCAAGGATATGGAGATGGGCGGGAGGGTGGACGGAGGGTGATGCTGGAGGGAAGAGATTGCACTGCCGGTCCACCAAGTGTCACACGAAACGGACGACGGCAGGTTTGGTTCTGACCAAGCATACCCCGCCACGGCCGCCACGGAACCGCACACTGCTGAAACAGCGGCGCGGCGGCGGTGTCCCGATCGTCAAGTGGTGGCTTTGACATGCCGCAAGAATGACAAAAAAAAAACAAAATGCGTCGAGGCGGTGCACGACAAAGCGTACAGTCGCCACGGCAAATTGAGCCGGGATGACCTGTGCAAAATAGGCCAAGTGCAAGTGCCGAGCAAGGTGCCGACAGCCACATGCAGCCAAGTGCGCAAGTGCGGGGTTGAGCCAATGTGTGTGTGTCGTTGCCCGGGTTCGCCAGTCACGGCCCAGATCTTGTTCGTCGCAAGATCCCAAGATCCGGAGCGAGCAGGATCAACATGCCGAATCTCAACAATCCGACATGACCCGGAAACGTCGGCAAACGACAAGAATGCTCGAGCCCTCTGTCCTTGTCTTGAGATAGCGATCACTGTACCACTGTCCAGGCCGCAAAGGAAGAGACCAAGCAACGGAGAGCAGGAGGGATGTGATGTGGGAGGCAGCTGCTGCAAAACTCACAGTACTCGTAGCCCTTGTCGGTGTCTCCCATGGTACGCAGTGTACGCTGCTCCTTCCAGCGCTTGTCATTCTGGCCCTTGGCCCAGATGTATGTCCCGAGGGCACCAAAAGTGAGCGCCTGGGCGTGTAGTGTCAGTGGAGGTAACGGTAGAGCGAGGGAGGGAGAGGGAGGGCAAGGTGTCGGGTGTCATGTTGTAGGTTGAGCGACAGCGAGTCCCGGCCACCACCACCACGACCACTACCGGCTGTGACGGCGTGTACGCTGCTGTAGGCATGCCCACAGCAGCGGGCACACCCCCAGACACAACAAACAGAACGGCAAAAGGTACGTACCACCCATCCGTATGCGACCTTTTTTGGGGACGTGCTGTTCATGGTGACGGGCAAGAGAGGGCGAGAGAGATTAGATGTGAGGCGATGGGGAGATAGCCGAAGAGCAAGGCTGTGTAAGAGTGAAGAAGATGTTATCAAACGGGCTGTGCAGGCGAGACAGATGTGGGCGATCGGAGGCGATCGGCGGTGCTTTTGCGTTGGGTGCGCGGGCAGGCGGGCGGCGCCGGTGGTGGCGGCGGTGGTGGCGACGACGACGACGACAATGGAGCGAGGAAGCCGATTATTTTGATTCCGTTTGGGAGAGGACAGACGAGCCGCCACCCGGGATCAAACACTAGCATGGAGAGAGAGAGAAGCCTTCCCTCGTCTGCCTTCCCTGCCTTCTCTCGGGGCAACAGAGCAACAGTGTGTGTGTCGGTCGCTTCTTCTTCATTCCCCCCATCTCTCCTCTCTTTCCGTCCGTCCCCGTCTGCCGTCGTCGTCCTCGTCGTCCTCGTCGTCTGCTGCTGCTGCTTGCCGCCGCCGCCGCCGCCGCCAACACACCACAGCAGTCACCAACCACCACCACACTCACGGCCCTCTGCTATCTATATCCCCATCCATCCATCCACCCGTCTCATCCCCCCCCTTCTTACACATCCCATCCACCCCCCCTTCTCCCTCCCCCCACCACACCCCCACCGCTCCCGCCTTCCCACGCCGTCGTCCATCCACTCGATCCACTCGTGGCCAGGACGCGTGGTTGGCTCTCAACACCAACCAACCACACGCACACCGTCTCGCCTTCCCACACACATATCACCCTCCTCCCTCCGCTCAAAACACATACTCGTCATTGCTCCCCTCCCTCTGCCCCCATCCACACCACACGTGCTCGCTGTCGGCCGCACCGGTAACCCACCCATCCTCCCTCTAGTGGAAACAGCCTGTCTCCCCCCATCGGACTCTCGGCCTCACAGTCGCCTCCTCCTCACACACATCCCTTCTTTGCACCAAGTGGAGGCCGTGTCCTGTCCGAACCGTGACCGCCGCCACCCCTTAATCCCTGGCTTCCCTCTCCCTCTCCCCCTCAACTCACCGTACCGCTTCTCCGCTTCTCCCCCTTTGTCCCCCCCTCCCCCTCGGCTTTCTGGTACCAGGCCGCAGCCGGCCTCCCCCACACCACCCATCCACCAGCGAGGACGCACACGGACGTACAGAGGCCACCTCTCTCTTTTCCTCAAGAGACTCAGTGAGTAGCAGCGCAGTGAGGGGCGCTTGTGGGCGCGCCCGCATGCGTGGGGGAGGGCGGCGACGGTGGCGCTCCGAGCGCGTACAAGACATCCGATTAGACACCCCGCGCGCTACTCCGGGGGAGGCGATGCAAGCCCACGCCGTGAGCTTTTGCGCTGACCATCCCCAGCTCGTCGCCGTCTGTCGCATCCACGCGAGTCTTTTGCCTATACCCACCTTTTCCCCACCTCCCCCTTTACCAAAACACCAGATCTCCCACACTTTGGGCTACAACAACCATGTCGTCGCCGTCCTTTGACGGCTTCTTTAGCACCCAGCAGCGCCCGTCCGCGCAACAAGACTCGCTAGAGTACCCGCAGTCCACCACGTACACGTCATCTGAACAGTTTGGCGCCATCTATGCCCAGCAGTTGGGCGAGGAACCTCTGCAGTTTGTCGACGAGCCTCACGCTCTGCATCGCCAGGTCTCCAGCGAGCATCTCCGCCAGCAGCTGCACGGCCCACGTGCAAACTCGCTCCGAAGCGACGTTGAGCGAAAAGACTCGGTCCCATTTGACCCCACTAGCAGCAGCACCCTTATCGCAACCGCATCCAACGCCCCACGACCGGGTTTCCTTGGCGGTGTGGTCGGCGGCCCTCAACAGCAACCACAGTCGCAACAGCAACAGCAGCAGCAGCAGCAGCAGCAGCAGCAGCATGCTCAGCAGTTCCAGCAGATGCAGGACCCCAGCTATGCTCAGTACTATGCCGCCAGCGGCCAGCAGCAACAAGCATTCGCCGCCGCGAGCCCCCAGCCGCCGCACCCAACAGAGTACTCCTCCAACGAGCAGTTTTACGACACATCACTCTCAAGCGCACCTCAGTCGGGTGACTGGAACAGCAACTTTCTTGGACAACAAGAGTCGGCGGCCGAGGACCACAGCTCGCGTCGGCAGAGTTGGAACGGCAGTGTGTTTGAAGACCAACAGTTTGAGGAACTGCAGAGAATGTACGTCCCTGGGCCCAGTGTAGTGTGGTTCACACCCCCAAACACAAGCGTGCACACCCCACACGCACACCACACACCAACACACACCCCACATACATCCTCACCGCAAATGATGGCATCGCTAACGGCTTGTCCAGTATCTCAAATGCGTCGTCTCACGCCGGTACGCCGGGAGAGGTCTCGCGGGTCGCTTCACCATTTATGGCGGCAGATGCCCCACCCGCAAACGCTTTCCCCAGTCACGTTCGTCACGACTCAATCTCCAGCATGGGCCGCTCTCCCAGTCCCTTTGCCACTCCCTCCATGGCGGCTCCTTCCCCGCCCATCTCACACCACCTTCATCGCGCCAGCTCGACGTCGCTGTCAGGATCGCCTTCGTTCTCAAAGCCCCAATCGCCACCAGCGTTGATCATCCCCAACACGTCCCCTTCCCCTTCCCTCCCTCCCATTGTCACGCAGGTGGTCACCCAGCCCTCTGGTGGCGCACCAGGCGGCGGAGGTGCGGGCGGCAACACTGGCGCAAATGGTGCCCATGGTGGAGGCCAGTTTGGTAACAGCCTCCTTCCCCCAACAAACCCGGCGCTCGAACACCTCACCGGCATGGCCGGTATCAGCCCCATCGCCCCCAACGCGGACGGCCCAATGATCTACATTCAGCCAAGTACGCCCATCTCGGGTCTCAAGGACAGTGGCGGTCTCTTTGACGAGGCTCTCCGCCGCGCCAGTGCTGCCCAAAGGCAGCAAAACAGTCAACAGCAGCAGCATCAGCAGCAGCAGCAGAACGGTATCCAGCAGTCCGTACCGCCTCAACCCCAGACCACACAGGACCCGTCTTCGTCGTTTGTTCAAGACTCGCAGCAGTGGGCGCAAAACCTCGACTTTAGCAACCTCGCTGTCAACCAAGGCCAGCGCCCTCGCGCCAACTCTGACTCGTATGCTCAGACGGGCAACAAGTTTGAGCGCCAGGCCGTCATGCAGCTCATGAACAGTGGCGTCATGCAGGGACACCAGTTCTCCATCGCCCAGGCCATGCAGCAACAGCAGCCGCAGCAGCAGCAACAGCAACAGCAGCAGGGGAGCAGCCAGGCAGCCCCCACCACCCAGGACCAGTGGATCAACGCCTGGCGCATGAACCAGGCTGTCGAGCAGCAGCAGATCATCGACCCGCGACAGCTGCCAGGAAGCGAGCAGCTTCTTCAGCAGCAGTTTGAGGTGATACAGGCTCAGCAGCGTGCCCAGCTCTCTCAGATCAACACCGATACGGGTGGCGTCTTCAAGTATGAGCCCCAGCCTCACTCCCCGACCACCATGGCGTTCCTCCAGCAGCTCGGCATGCAGCAGCACAGCAACAACATGGGTGGCCAGGCCGACATGAGCGGCCTCCTTCCCCCCGACGTTCAGCCTCGCCGCCGTTCCATTGCCGAGGGCCACCCGGCCGCTGGTGCGGGTACCCCAGGCTATGGCGTCGAGTTTATCGTGCCCGGTGGTCTGCGGGGACCTCTGCGCGGGGCCCACATGGGCCATCGCCGCGCAGGCAGCGAAGGCACCGGCTGGGGCGTGGGAGCAGGCGGATCTACGTGAGTGTATGTTGTCCGTGTCCACTATACTGACTCGGCAGTGCCGACTTTGTCCACGCAATGACCAACCCTGACGACGGCACATTGTTGCCTCCCTCCATGCGTGGCCGCTCACACTCGCGTCATTCGTCCGTCTCGTCGGTCCGTTCCGCATCGCCCGCGCTGTCCGTCTCGTCGCAAGGCTCCTCTTATTCCCACCACTCGCACATGGACATGCCCGACGGCATGCAAGTTTCCGACCTCTATAGTCAAGAGCAGCGTCGCGTCGCCAAGATGAAGGTCACGTCCGTGGCCACCGAGGTCGCCAGCCAGAGCAGGCGTACCAACAGCGGTATTTTCCAGTGTCCCATTCCCGGCTGTGGGTCCACGTTCACTCGCCACTTCAACCTCAAGGGGCACTTGCGATCGCACAATGATGAGCGGCCGTACAAGTGCCTGTATGACGGATGCCCAAAAGGTAAGTTGCCGCCGCAATGTTTGTCGTTGTTCAGTTTGCTGACATGTACCAGCGGTGGTCGGTTTCGCACGACAGCATGATTGCAAGCGTCATATGCTTTTGCACGAAGGTCTGCGGCCATTCGAGTGCGAGGGCTGTGGAAAGAAGTTTGCCCGCTTGGATGCGCTTACGCGGCACCGTGAGTGAAAAAGATAACCCCACCCACCTGTTCTGTTGTTTACTAACTGTTCTTGCAGACAAGTCCGAGCAGGGTCAAGAGTGTGCAATCTCGCACCCGCTGCCGACCAACCCGGACGGCAGCCCAATGTCCGAATCGCAGTACAAGGCGTACCGCATGCAGCAACTCAAGGACAAGGGCATCATCAGGAAACTGGACCCGGACGAGGAAGCGAACTTTGTGTAGCCCCAGTAAAGGCAGACCGGACAGTCATGACAACATTGTATGCGTATGTAGATGGTAGGCAGTGGGCGTGTAGATGCAAGCTAGTTGATTCAATAATGCGGGGCGTCTCAAAGTGGTGTGCTAATTTATTATGTTTTCATCTGACACGAGCGACCAAACAATCTAGCTACCACGGTAAGTAGAGTACGAGAACGGGCTGAGGAGCAAGGGGATGTGGTAGTGCTGCGACGGGTCCGAGTAGTTGAACGTGATCTAAAGCGCCATGTCAGCCGCTGTACGAGCACGTTGTGTTTTCGCTCTTTACCTCGACAAAGGGGTAGAACGTGTCCACCTTGGCGGCGGCAAAGTACTCGCCAACCTTAAAGGTCATCTTGTACGCTCCCGGGTCGAGATGGAAGCCGTGGGGCAAGAGAGTGGTACAGCGGCCATCGGCATCGGTGACACTGAGTGGTCAGCAAAAAGTGACCGACTTGGGGGTCCGTGGGGACCAAGAACAGTGCCTCCCCTCCGCGGGCGCTGACGGGCCCACGGCCAACCGAACGAGAGCACTGCTATCGCCGTTGCCCAGATCTGTCTGTCGTCCAGAAACTCTTGCTCCGACGGACGACCAGTCTGCACCCAGATCTCGTAGCGTTCCAGGTTCCAGATCCGACAGGACCAGGACCAGGACCAGGACCTCGAAGGACGGCCCAAGGGGAAAAAGGTCGCGCACACTCACCCAGTAGCGATGGGTACCTCGTTATCGGGACGGTGCAGCTCGACCAGGACGCCCGCGGCCGGCTTTCCGCGGGACGCGTCGAGCACTGCCTGTCAGTGTCCTCTGTACACTGGAACCAAAAGGGCGTACCATGGCATGTAATGGGTGACTTGGACATTGTGTGTGATGGTGTGGAGAGAGAATGCGAGCGCGGTTCAAGTTAGCGACGGGGTGGTGGTGGGAGGAACTGGGTGGAGGTGGATTCCGCCCGTGTCGTCACTGCGCGATCGCCGATCCGGTCGGGATGAAGGGCCGTCGTGGTTGGACGATAACAGCCGATGCCGGCGGGGGGCTGTGGCACTCGTCCAATGTCCCACAGCGTGGTGTTGCTCCGGAACGCACTCGGCGTATCGAGGGCGAGGAGCAGTCACGGTGTCCAGGACAGCGGTGCGCTCAGCAAGGAGGGCTCTGAGAGTCGATATCTCGTCGATAAGCGTCTGCATCTCGTATAGGTCGGACTTGGGGGGGTCAGCGTCGTGTCGTCATTGTCTCAGCCAGAGAATGATGACCAGCTTTTGTCGGGAAAGAACAATGGACCTCCTGGGGAAACTCACGCCAAATACACCATCATTACTACTGCTGGGCTGGACGATCGCGCGGTATCCCATAACAAACCCTGTCGACAGGGAGATTCCAGCCAGTGCCGTTGCCAGAGGCCAGAGGTTGACGCCCATTCTGCCAGACAGGTGTATGACTGCCAAAGCGAGCAGTATGAGCCCTGAAAGGCTGAGGCCTCTTCTGCAAGACATGTAGATGGCTACAACCGCGAGTTGGACCTGCCAACCAGGCGCCATTCTGCCGCAAAGCGCCACACGACGCGTGTGGTTTGAGTTGGACAAAGGAAAAGTGTGGTAGAACGCCAGTATGAAGCGAGAGGTTTAGCTGGCGAAAGGTAAAGAAATATGCGGACAATGGCAGCAGGGGAATGCATGAGAGAAGATGTCAGTGACGACACACATTTGTGTCAGCCATGACTCAACAAGCCCCGAAACCCGACGACGTCAGACAACGCTGGCAAGGTGGTGGGCGCCGGGTTTTGGCGCATGTCATCACTGGACGGGATCGATACAATGCATATGTCACAGGCATGCGGGAGCAGACCACCGTTCACATACCACGAGCGGTCAGATAGTCTACAGCTTCCGTGACACCGTGGTTGACGAGAATGTTTCCAGCCTCCTGCCGCATCGGCTCGCGGGGATCGTCATGAAGCAAGAATGCCCACTGGGTCGCGTTCTCCAGATGCTGGTATCAGAGACACGTCCACTCAAATGACAACCCACCTGTTCAAAACCATGTTTGGCCTCGGCTTCGGCCTTTGGCGACTCGAAATCGGTCGTGTCGAGCTTGTCCATAAGTTGGTATGCTTCTTCCAGCTCGGCAGCCTGTTTCATGTCAGTACTCGTGATATACCCTGTTCTCACCGCCATGTCCTGGAGAGACTTTGGACCCGATTGCTCCCACTGGTGCAAAAGACGTGCGAGATCCTGCTCATTCTGGCGTCAGCTTTGCCCAAACACTGGTCCGCTTACATTCTCAAGTGCCTCGTAGTCGGCGAGCACTTCATCGGGATTCATTTGGTCTGTCGAGCCGCTTGTGAAGGCAGCAAACAGCTGGTTCTTTTGCAAAGTCGCGGTCGAATGGGCATGGTGCAGTTCTTTTGAGAGGATCTCTTGCCGACGATACTTGGAAAGTAAGCTACATATCAGTCAAGTCACGGCGATACTCACATTATCAAATGCCACCATTGCCTCGTACCTCTCCCGAAAGGCTGTGACTACAGGCGTCTCCTGCAGGGCGACCTCGGCAGCTCGGAGCCGGTCCGTGAGCTCGTCCAGTTCCTCCGTCTGAGGAAGCTGTGGGGTTAGTTGTCTCGTGTCTAGAGATGGACGTACCGAATACAAGGTGGCAGCATAGTCTCCTTGAGCAGTCCCATTGACCCGAGTTGTCTGCAGCGGTCAGTGCTGGTGTGCCGTCGCCACAGTACGCACAGTCAAGTCACAATCAAGGCCACCAGGCGAGCCATCGAAGTGGGGGACGACACAACAAACCAGGTAGCACAAGGTACCCTGCACAGCGATGACGTTAAGAATGTGCTTGATGGGCTCTGCGAGGATCTCGGGGTCGATGCAGTTGACTACGACGAAGAGCACCGCAAAAGCGAACAGCAAGTTGTTGAGCCACATTCTGCGAACCAGTATGATTTCAGTGGCGGGCTATTAGGGAGGTGAGTAATGGATACAATGGCAAAGTGGACTCACCAAGAACGGCCTGAGCTGTGTCGTGGGTCCGACAGTGGGTAAAGAAGGATGGGGAATGGTTGGAGGAGCAATGCAAAGAGTGGATGCTGAAGCCCATGGACGGCGGTGAGAAACACACAGTGACGCCATACTCTTTGTGTGCGTCATGACCGTATATCCGAACCGAGGCCACTGCCATGAGAATGGCTGTCATAGTCCCTGCCATAATGGAGGGCGATACCGGATGGTCTCGGCACGACAACGCCAGGGGGACGGGGTAGTGACGGTGATGGTCTCGGATCTCGGAGCTGTTGCCGCTGGCAGTCAGTCTGTTGCCTACTCCATCGACTTGCACCGAGGAATAGAGGCCCTCGTGTGCTGTACCTATCGCCGCACACATAAAACAAAAGCCGTTATCTCTGTAGCCCTGGCTAAGACACGCTCCTTGGCGAAGGACGCGATTCGGGGCAAGACACATGACAGTCACAGGTCATCAAAAGCCACGAGGCCCCCGACTGCCGCGAGAATATTACCCATAGCTCACTAACCGTTACAGATAGAGATCCAAGACTTGGTGGGCACACAGAAGCGTTGTCCGAAGTAATTGTCCTCTATTTTGGATAATTACAGAGCATCAATATGCCGTTGAATGGCCGTGACGTGCAGCCCAATATCCATCTCCCCTTTTGTCACTTTTCGAAACTCTTGGTGGGGGTGTTACCCCCCGACTTCCGTTATCTTCATCCCATTGACACATCGAGCTTGTGCAAGGCAGGGGGGTGCCAGCTTCTAAACGTTTGAACGAAAGGCTCGGAAACGCTGTGTTCCTCCTCGCACTGACCTTTTCGACAAGCCCGGTTATATCAGTCGGTAGATAGTTTGACTCTTACTCCACTGTTAAGATATCAAAATGTCATGGGTTCGAGCCCCATACTGGGCTTCAGACAGCTGGAGCAGTAGCTTGAGCTTCTCTTTTGCCTTTTGAGTGTTGACAGGCGTCCATGGTGGAAGAGGAAGAGGTGGGGAGGAAGGACAAGAGAGGAACCACGATCCACAGCGGTTGCTCGGCAAAGATTGTTCTGCTGACAAACGTGATTGTGACTATGCTGTGTTTATAGTCTGAACACTATGGAATTGGCAGTCTGTTCCGCATGGCAGTGCGCCTGCTCGTACCCCCCACAGACCCCGCTCATGCTGCACGTCGATGTCGCATGTCACCTTCAGACCAAAAGGCATGTGCTGGAATCATAAGCGCGCGCTTGCTTTTGCTGTTACGGACATGGCCGAAGCGCCCGTACGCGCCTACCATTTCTGGACTGCCCGCGGTCGTTTGCCTATCGGTACATGCACTCCAAAGACTGTGGAAGATGCATCGATGCACGGGAGGCCTAAGCACCTAGATCGGCTGGCAGTAGAACAGTGAAACCAGCTTGGCGACGGCCAGAATGACTGACTCGAAAAACGATGTGACCGCTGGTCGCGCGGCTGGCCGGCGGTGTGATGTGTGAAGCGCGCCGTCTCGCTTATCGTCAACAACCAGATCCCGTATTAAACAACGCGGTGGGCAACTCTACCGCTCCACCTCGTTCACGCATCGCTTCATTCACGACTACCACAATGTCCCCCTCATCTGCTGCCCCAGACACCCTTCCCATCATCACCATTGCCCCCTACCTGCCCACCTTGGCGGCAAACCACTCGGACACTGACCGCGCTGCTACGGCCAAGGCTCTCCACGAAGCATGTCGCGACATTGGCTTCCTGTACCTCAATGTCGACGGGTTCGTCTCACCCGATGAGATGCAGAACGCACTTGACCTTGCCCGCGAGTTCTTCCATCGCCCCCAGGAGGAAAAGGACGATATCCTGCTCACCAAGGCCGACGGCGCGCGCGGTGAGTTGGCGTGCTGGGTGAACTACCACCCGCTAACATCCACAGGCTATCAGCGACTCCGCCAGAACGTGACTATGGGCAAGGCCGACCACCATGAAGGTCTCGACATGTATGCTCCAAGCCCATTCCCAGACACGCCCGAGAACGCCAAGCGTCACCTTGGCGGCGCGAACCAGTACCCGGTCAACCCTCCAGCGCTCAAGCCCCTGCTCGAGGACTGGATCGTCAAGATGAAGACCCTCGGCAAAGCTGTGATGCACGGAATGTGCGACGGTCTGGGGATGGACGAAAAGGAGTGGCAGGACATGTGGGCAATCAACAACGACTCGTTCTGGAGCATGCGTCTTATCGGTGAGCTGCAGCTTGGTTCGTAGCCCATGCACTAACTCGTCCAGGCTACCCTGCTCTTCCCGACGGCCAGGACGGAATCTCTTGCGGCGAGCACAAGGACTATGGGTGTCTGACGTGAGTGGAAAGGATCGGATCGGATGACTGCTGTACTGACACGCTCAGTTTCCTTCACGCCGACGACTGCCCCGGCGCGCTCCAGGTTCTCTCCAAGTCTGGGGCATGGCTCAATGCCGACATGGTGCGCGGGTGCTTTGTGGTCAACATTGGCGCCATGTGGGAGCGCTGGACTGGCGGCCTGTACCCTGCCACTCTTCACCGTGTGGTCCACCGCTCCCCCACGTACCGCGTCTCCATCCCATTCTTCTTTGAGCCCAACTTTGACGCCCCCATCGACCTCCTGCCTGCTGCCAAGCGCAAGACTGCTGCAGAGGGCCGCAAGATTGAGGAGCCCGAGGGCAAGCTGAAGTATGGCGACTACCTGCTGTCCAAGGTTACGAGCAACTTCAAGTACGATGATGACGAGGCATAAGTGGCCGGGGGGACGAGCGCACATGACCAGTTGTAGATATAAATTGATTGAACATTCCCGTGATGCATATTTGACGTACTACTTTCCACAACTGCTCCAGACTCTGCTTGCCACTGATGTAACTGTTCACCACCCCCACTGCTTAAACTCCAACAGACATGCGACGGATGTCGTCGGCAATCTCGCGCTTCTCCCTGCGCATCTCCTCCGATTTCTTGATGCCAAAGCCGTCCGTGAAGAGGAGGCTGGTCTCGTCGATGGACAGGCCCTTGGTCTCGGGGTAGCAGAAGAGGACGAAGAAGAAGCCGAGGACAACAAAGCCCAGGTACAGCCCGTACGTGCCGCTCGCGCCGAGGGTGTCGAGCTCGGAGAGGAACGAGACCGAGACGACGAGGTTGGCCAGCCAGCACGCAGTGGTGGCGATAGCTGAGCCAGCTGCACGGATCTCAAGGGCCAGGAACTCGGACTGGTACCACACAATGTGCGAGTACGTCAGGCCAAAGCACATGACAAAGAGAATGATGGCGCCGAGAACGGATCCGGTGAGTGCTTTGGGGTACTCGTATCCCTCTACGAGCGCGCCGTTTGTCGACTTTGTGAGGAAATGGAACGAAATGAGGGCCCACACGAGACCAACTGCTTGGCCCGGAATAAAAGTGAGGAGCAGGCGACGACGTCCGAATTTGTCGACAATCGACATTCCGATCAAGAGGAAGAGCGCGTTTCCTCCAGATGGGATGAGACCGGCAGCGGCGCTGTTCTTGAGACCCAAAAGGCCAAAGATCGTGCCGCTGTAGTAAAGGAGGGTGTTGTAACTGTGGACGGTTAGTGATCTATTGCTTTTAAAGTGTTGTACCGTACGTACCCAGTGAGCTGTCCGAACGCTTGCACGCCAGACACTGCGATGATGGCGCGGCGGTAGGCCTTGTTGGTCCAGTACATTTTGACGCGCTGGGTAAAAGTGAAGTCGCGCTGGAGCTCTGTTGTGGCGGCAACGTACTGCTCGACGATCTGGAGCTTGAACGCAATGACCTCCTCTGAGGCGCCGCGGTAGATGACACGGAGGGTCTCTCTGGCTTTGTCCGACTGGCCGCGGAGCACAAGCACCCTGGGCGACTCTGGAAGCCAGTGCATGAGGCCGAGCTGGATGAGGGAAGGGAGCACACCGAGCGCGAACAGTGTACGCCAGGCAATGTGGGGCGGGACGTATGCCTGGAAAATGGCACCAAAGGCGTTGGCGATGGTCTGGCCGAATGGAATGAAGAAGGCGTTGGTTCCAATGCAGCGTCCACGCACAGCTGTAGGAGCGAGCTCTGCAATGTAGAGGGGGGCAATGACAGCAGCGCCACCGACACCGACACCCAGAACAAGGCGCCCGACGACCATTTGGGCCACAGAGTAGGAGCATGCGATGATGATGGCGCCAATGGTGAAGAAAATGTCGGCGATTGCCATGGCCCACTTGCGACCGAGCCGGTCTGCCGAGCCACCGAGGATAAGTGCGCCGAAAATGGCTCCAATAGTCGTGCCAGCAGTGATAATCTCCTGCTCCGAGGCAGAGAGTGCGTGGCCCAGGTCCTCGTGAACCATGGGCAGCGCAGAGCCAATGACCGCCGTGTCGCTGTGTGTGCGTTAGACAATAGGGTTCAAAAGGTGGTAGGCCGTATAGGTGCTCACTAGCCGAACAAGAATCCTGCGACGGCAGCGATGGAGATGAGGAATACAAAGTAGCCCGTGACCTTGTCCTCGTTCTCAGCGCGAACAAGGTTTTCGTCCTGACTGGTTAGCAAGGAGGGACCTTTGAAGCTCTGTTGCCAACTCACAATGAGGTGGTGGTGTCCCACCGACTTGGTGGGCACTACCTCGACGTGCTGCGCATCGTACTTTGCGTCGACGTTGTCGATCTCGCCCATGGTCTGGAGTTGTGGAAGTAGGTGGTTGCGTGGGGTAGGGGTTGTGGCTTGCGGGGCCGTCTGGGGATGTGTGGGGGGTACCGCGTTCCCTTTTGTACTATCTAGGACGTCCATGTCACCGGCTATCAGCAGCGAGGACTGTGATGCACTCGACAAGGTGGCCAGGCAGGAGGACGGTCAAAATCGGGGATGCCATCTTGGCCAGTGGAGCCAAATGGGTGGTAGGAACGCCGATATCACGGACATACCCCACGCTTGATCCCCGGAGTATTGAGAAGGAACGTCCCGGATCGGCCGGTTCTAGAGGCAAGGGGGATGGAGGTAACCATGGGATATCGCCCTCTGCGCGATGGGAATCGCCGTGTTACGGCAAACGTTGTTCACTACCCTACTGGGGGATGGTGGACGGCACACTGCTGGGACTATTCTAAGCCCTACAGACGGCAATGCTCGCTTCGAGGAGCTGCACGCTCCGACGATCGGCGCGCGCACCTGGCAGCTGGGATCTGGCTACATGGCACATGTTTGCAACAGCGGATAACGAGGACTTTTTTGGGCTACAGTTGGGTGGCGGCCAGCTCTTTGAGGAGCGTCTCTACCAGCTGGGCTGCCGGCATGGGACGCGAAAGTGGGGCTCCTTGGCCGGCCCAGTAAGCTCCGTAGCTGTGGTTGCCTTTGGACTTTGCCAGTGCGGTGAGCTGCTTGCCAATGTCGTATGCGTTGGGATACGATGCCACGGGCAGGGCTCCGGCAGCGGCGATCGCAGTCCAGCTGGTCGCCAAGCTGCGTGCTCGGCGACCCGAGACGACGTTCACAAGCCTCGTGTGCTCGGCAGCCGGTCCGGCGAGAGCAGCACGGTAGCCCTCGTCTGCGTCGGATTCGTCACACCCGATGAAAGCCGTACCGAGCTGAGCAGCTGCGGCACCAAGGTCGAGGACGCCGCGGATCCCAGCGCCGTCCATGATACCGCCCGCGGCGATGACGGGAATGTTGCAGTTCTTGACCAAAAGGCGCACAAGAGTGTACATGCCCAGCTGGTCGTCGGGTGCGTTGTCGTCAAAGGCGCCTCGGTGCCCACCGGCCTCGATGCCTTGGGCAACAATGGCGTCCACGCCGGCGGCCTCGACTGCCCGGGCCTCTGCAAGGCTCGTTGCTGTAGCGAACAGTGTCGCACCGTAGCCTTTGAGAGCAGCAATAGTGGACGCAGGCGGAAGGCCAAAGTGGAAGCTGACGATCGGAGGCTTCTCCTCGAGGAGGACGTCGAGCGTTGCCTTGTCCGACGCAAACGACTGGTACACAGTCTTTAGCGCCGTAGGCGGCGCGCCGCCGAGTCGCTCAAACTCGGGGCGGAGGAACTCGATCCAACGTGCGTCGCGCGCAGCGTCAGGGGCCGGGTCTTCATGCACAAAGACGTTTACGTTGTACGGCTTGTCGGTGAGGGCCTTGACGCTCTGGATCATCTTGCGAGTCTTTGCTGCGTCTGCTGCTCCGATGCCGATTGAGCCGAGGGCGCCAGCGTTGGATACGGCGGCGGCCATGGCAGGCGTAGAGGTGCCGGCCATGGGTGCCTGTATGAGTGGATGGGCAACGCCGATGCGCTGCAGGAAGGCTACGGCTTTGGCGGAGGACATGGTGATGGGAGATGGGTGGGCAGTTTGGTTGTGTTGGAGAATGAAACAGCAGGTGAAAGCCGGTATCGGGCGAATCTGGCAATGACGACAGCGGCGTGTGGTGGTGGTGGTGCGGCTGGTGGCGAGAAACGAATGCAAAGCTTCTGTGTTGGGCTGCTCTTAACGCATGGGGAGACAGCACGATGGATATGATACACTGCTGAACACTAGTTGAGAAGGGATACCGATGTTGCTTTCTCACCATCGCTCGTCTCGACTCGGCCGGCCGGGTGCACTCGGCTATCCAGTCGCCAACAGAATCTCCGACCACGGAATGACGACAAACGCTGAGTAAGTAAATGGCCCATCGTTGCTGGGGGGGTATAACAGCAGTGCATCGTCCATTCACAACAATCTACAGCTTGGCAGCACGGAAGCGGTGCGGAGACAGGCCAGAGATGTCGGCGCTGAGCTTGACGTCGTCGCGTGTCAAGTCGGTCGCGATGAGCTCCGCCATGACGACACCAGAGCCTGGGGCCAGCGTGATGCCCCTGTGCGCAGACATGTCAGCTGTTGTCACAGACACGCGTTTTATCAGCAGCAGCATGCACGCACCATGGTCCATGCCCAGCACAGACAAACACATCCCGCTGCCATTCGCCAATAAGCGGCATGGTGTCGGCGGTGACAGGGCGGTAGCAGAGCTTTGGGCGTCAGAGATCAAGACGATTCACCACCGAAGCCGGTCAGCTTACATCTGCCTTGACGAGCTCGGCGCCATTGTTAACATCGAGTGCTGGGGACACGGCAGCGCTGGAACGCAGCATGCGCTGGACAAGGTCCTGGTCCACGAGCCTGTGCACATAGCGACCAGTGAGCGGGAGACGGTTCTCGCGCCCATCAATGGTCGCGTCGCCGATGAGATTCGGCACATTGTTCTCGCCGGCGGCGTAAACTGTACCATCCGGGCGACTGTTCAATGGTCATCAGCTTTTGGGTCGAGAAGCGGCGACTCACGGGAAGAACTCGATAGTCTGCGTCCACCCTTGCTGCCTCTCTGCCGCAGAAAGGTCGTTTGACTGCCCGCCGGCCGTCACCGTCGCCGCCAGGTCGTCGGACGACCCGCTGCCGCCCACACCGGCCATCACCGCCTCTGCAGGCACACTGTCATAACCGGCCGGGAGGGTCCCAGGCTTGAGCACAATGTGGTGACCCGGAAGACTGCCGACGGGCACGCGTGGGATGTTGAGCAGTGTACACAAGTCTGCACTCCATGGCCCAGCAGCGATCAGCAGCTTGTCATAGGCCACGTCGCCCTCGGTGGTCTCAATGACCTTGCCACGACGACGGAGTGGCTGAGCAATGATGGTGCGCACACCGAGGCGTGTCACCTCGGCATGAAGAGTGGAGCAGAACTGGGCGGGGTCACTGTTGTTAAGCTGTGTGCCCCCAGCCCCACCTGCGTCGTTCGGTACTCACAGTTGGGCGGCCAGGCCTGACGTGTCGAGGTTGACATGGTCTCCACGGTACCATGGCTGCCGCGCTTCGCCCTTCTGAGCCAGAGGAAGCGTTCCGGTCGGCAGCTGGCGGTATGAGCTCATGGCATCCTGTCCGGCCCCCACGCGCAAGCCGGTGACAGAACAGTGGCGGTATCCGTACGTGTTCGGGCCATCGAGCTGGCGTGCAAGCTGTTCAAAACACTCCCAGCTGAGGCGTGCGAGATCCTGGTTTGCCTCCTTGTGCCATGCAGGTCCTCCGCCAATGAAGCCAGCAGCACGAGAGGACGCACCGCACGCAACGCTCACGTTCTCGAGGAGTGTGACATGGGTGTTGGAAGGAAGAGCAGCTGGGTTGGCGGCCAGGTAGTAGGCGGTGCACAGGCCCACAATACCGCCGCCAACGATGACAATGTCAGGCATGGCTGAGAGAGGGAGTGGACAGTGAGTGTCGTTGAGTGAGGGAGAGAGAGGGTGATGTCTACAGGTATATGTATTGCTTGCTTGCTAGGCGCCCACCCAACGTTGGCTGCTATCTGGCCGATGATCACGGAGTCGCCGAGACGGCAATGTCCGGCATTGAACGACATGGCGGCAGTGGGCAGCAAGCTGCGCCAGCAACCAACTTTGGGTTCTTTTTTCCACGGGAAATGGTAACGCTGGTGGGGAGGGAAGTACTGTCAGGTGAGGGACCAAGCGATATGCATGTCCAAGGGGCCGTCGTGCATCGGTGTCGTGTTGGTTCGACGGGTCTCTCTCGTCATGTTGTGCATGTTGTGCCGCGTGTCGCAAGGATCGCCAATGACCGCCAATATACTTTGTATTTTTTCCGCGGCCTCCCCCATATAAGCGCTTCTGTGGGTCTGTGGCCTGCGATATGGCGACGAGGCTCTGCTCATAGAGCCAGCTCATGAGCTCATGCGGCGCTGCTTACGAGGGGCGACATGGCCATCGCTGCCAGTCGCGCCTTGTGCCTGCCCGTCCACACCATAGCAAAAGTCGCATTTGTTATCATTGCCCGAGATTGACATCGCATTGCTCGCGTCCTTTTGGCGTTGACGACAAAAAACAAAACGCTACAGACGACGCCGACAATGGAGAGCTTGACCGCGGCCACAGCTCTCCTTGTCAACCATGCAGCCACTGGGGGGGGGGGGGCACTGAACGCGCTTGCCCGCGACCCCAGTCTCTCACCACACATCGCTCCGTCGCCGGCCCGGCGGCATTCCGCGGAGTCAACAGACCACCGCGCCGCCGCCGCCGCCGCCGCTATCTCTCGCCGCCGCTATCTGCAAACAACATCCGTCATCTCATCCACACTCACTCCAGCATCAGCAGCAGCAGCAGCGTCCCAGGGGAGCATGGCCCAATGAACAACGAAAAGTACGTCAGACACGCACACACGTATCGATGCGTGGATGCATTTGCTCACGCTGTGCAGTCTTCGTCCGCGGCGCTCCCGCAAAGACCGGCCCTGCGACCGCTGTCGCCGCTCCAAACGCTCTTGTCACATCACTGTCCGCGGCCAAGCCTGTGAGCATTGTCGCAAGGCTGGCCGCGAGTGCAGCTTTATTGCTCCCCCTCTCAACCGTCACCGCCAGAGGAGCACCAGTCCCGATGGCGATGCTCGTCCACACGATGTCTCTCCCCACCGCGCTGCACCATCCACATCCACCGGGGCGTCCGCTTCTGGATCCACCGTGTCTGCTCCTCGCTTCAGCGGTCCCCCCATCTCCTCGTTCCCAATTGCACCCACTGTGCCTTGGATGGGCGAGCGACCCACTTTTGCTGCTCCTCTAGCTCAACCCTCGTCATCTGTGGTTGCCTTCCTCGACAGCTTGGAAGACGACCCGCGTCGGCATGCCTCGCCGCACGTGAGTCCAAAAGCCTTTGCTTGTGTGTATCGTGTAGCAGCCACTGATAACAACAGAATGACGACGATCAGCACTACTCTTCACTCGACTTGGGTGTCACCGAAGAGGAAGAGTCGCACTATCTAGGCTCTGGCGCCGTCGCTCAACTCGCGTCCGTGTCGTTGGATGCGCGGATTGAACAGCGCAACGCGGATGCACTCCCTTATCGACAGGTCGCAGACCCACGATACCCGGCGTACTTTCTCAAAAACCCATCCCGCGTCTATGGCCTCAGCAATGCAGCATACGTCGCCGAGAAGGGTTACACCGAAGTTCTCGCCATCATCAAAGCAGAGGACGAAAGCCTTCCCGACAAGCTCATTCAACACTTTATGAATCGCACTCTACCGGCACTCCCCATCCTCAACCATGTCCGCCTGGAGGCGTCCCTCCGGGGCTGGCAAGGTGTCGGGATGTTTCCGTCTGCCCTCCTGGTCGGCATCTTTGCGCACTCGGCAGTGTACGAGCCTTGCCTGCGAAGACACCAGAAGCGCTTCTGGAGCATTCTGCTTCACGTTCTCGACAATGAGTATCGCCAGCCTCGTCTCCAAACTCTGCAGCTTGAAATCTTCAACCTGGCTGGAAGGCCAATCATCAACCCTGGCGGCAACCATTTGGGCATCTGCCGTGCCGTCGGTGCCGTTCAGCTGTTGGGTCTTCACCGCGACTCGTCCAACTGGAAGCTGCCAAAGTGGGAGCGCTCGTTGCGCAAGCGCATCTGGTGGGCGCTGTACGTTCACGACAAGTGGAACTCGTACACGTACGGACGCCCAGTCAACATTGAGGGCGAGAGATCCAACATTCCACCTCTCACCTTTGAGGACGATGACTGGGGCAAGACGCGACCACCAGACAAGGTCGGCGAAATCTCGTGCTTCATCGCCCTATGCCGCCTCAGTGTCATCCTGGAGAACCTGCTGCCCCTCTTACTCGATCGTGATGGTCAGCCCCGGCCACACAGCCTCGACAGGTCCCTCTTGCGACACTCGGCCAAGGAGCTTGACACCGTGTACCGAGACTTGCCCGAGGACCTGGTATTCAGCCCAGCAGACGCCACCTCGAGCCGTCGGCCAGGATGCCGTGAGTGTGTGCTGTTTCGTTCCATGCTGACACCCACCACAGGTTCTCTACAGCTCACGCACTGTGGTATTGCGCTGCTCATCTGTCGTCTGGGACTCGAACGTGAAGAGTTTACGTCCCTTCCCCACCTGGTACACGGCAACAAGCATGCCCTGGGAGTGATTGATGGTTTGGCCTCGCTCATCGATTGCCTGGGTGCGCACGACTACCAGTGCTACTGGTCACCTTGGTCGGCCTATCAACTCTCCAATGCCGTCACCCTTTTGCTTCAGCAGTCGATTCGTATACACCAGCACCCAGTTCTACAGCACGAGCGCCAGCACCAGGCCGAGTTTGAACGCCACCGCCAGCAATCGCTCGACGACACGTTCGCCGTCCTCGGCCGCCTCGTTACGGTTATCCAGGTCGCCGCAGACCGTGGCTTTGAAGTGGCCGACGCCGCCCTGCCGCGCATCAAGAGCTTGATCAAGTCCATGTCACCCATCCCAGGCATCGATGGGGTGCAGGCGCTTGTGGCGGAACCGGCCATGCCCGCAGTTCCAGAGTTTCCTTCCGTCGACATTGAACCCACCCACGATATCCTGGCCCTTTTCGACTGGCTTAATGGTGATATGACTTCAGTGTTCTAGGCGTTTTTTGTGTTAATGTTTTGGCTTTGGCGTCAGGCCAGTCTGCAGTTGTACTTTTGGCGAGTTTTGTGCTATATAGGGGAGAGATGCATGATGGGGGTCGCCAGAACCGACGACGACCTCGTCGGGTCTGATTCCTAAAACAGGTTTTGGACAGCAGGTGACGTTGGTCATGCTACGAGTTGGAGTTGTCCTGGATCATCTCGGTCATCTTTCAGACGTCCCGACCCATGGCAGGCAGCTTGATTGGCTTGACGTGAGCAGGGCCGCGATAACCATCATACCACTGACGTCTGCCCGCCTGCGCTGGGCGGTGAACGCTACAGGGAGTTGGGTCACGACAATCAGGCGCAGTACAGGGAGCTACACAGGGCTCTGATGTCAAGAGTCCATACGGGGCTTTGCGGGTTAGCAGTGGTGCCCCCCCCGCCCCAGCCAGGGAGGGGGTGAGGAATATATGTGCACTTCCAAGGAGGTGTTTCAATACTGTAGTGAGCGAGCTATGGCTCGGTCATGACACTGCCAACCATAAGCGTTACCCATGGTGCTCGACCTTGCCCTAGCCCTTTCCTCCAGTCTCGTCTGTCAATTCTCTTCAGGCTACACTTGTTGGTCCCGAACCGTAACCGCCACGAGCTCACGATGGACAAGGAGTGTGCCCATTTTGTGCTGGCAGCACGATTATCCCACCACCTGCCCCAACCTCGACCAAATTAACCACCCCGAGTGAGTGTCTTGGGGTGTTCGCGACAGTGCAGCAGTAACGTGCGATAGTAACATTCTAGAATACAGCAGTTTATTGAATAATACAATCTAGAAACAGTCGTGAGTCGTTACACCATGCTGCGGCTTGCGCAACGGCGTTTGCGGAGGCGTCTTGAGGGTGACGTTGGTCGTGGATGATACGCCGCTGAGACGAGGGTGACGTGGTGAAGGTGGTCGCCGGAGAATCTGAAGGCGCTCGGCAATGAGCTGATCCATGTCGTGCGATGTTACGACGACAATCTTCATGCCCATAGAGAGTAGCGCGGCGCGAACACGCTCCCGTTCTTGACTTTCAATCTCCTCCGTGTCATCAGAATCGATGGCGCTCCGGTTGTCCGTGTCGCTGGTGGCATCGGCTGCACGGGGGACATGGTCCCATTCAGCAGCAGATGTACCGTACAGGCTGGTGAGAACCATGTCCTTGCCTCTGCTGGCGTCCGATCGTTCATCTTGACGATCTGCGGGAGAATCTTCGCTCCTCGCAATACCTGGACCGGACTCAGCCGACCGAGAGCCCGTCGCGTCACCAGCTGCACCACCAGACCCTGTGGCAGACGGTGATGCACCTCCCCCGCCACCTCCGCCGGGTGCGGGACTGTCGTCGTCATCGTCATTGTGGTTTGCAAAGAAACGCGCCGAAGATGTCGCCGAGCTGTTGGAGACGACAGAGATTGAAGCGTTGCCTGCGGGTTTACACATGCGCGTCTTGTCCTGGGGGTTCTCGATGTCGATCGTCTTGCACAGTGCCAGCAAACTTGCGTGCAGAGGCATCCGTTGAACTGCCACATGGTCGATGGGGCGGACCAGCTGGCCGACGGCGTCGCGAGCCCTGCCAGCAGCCCCGATGATAAAGATGTCAACGTAAAGCTGCAGGGTTCGCAAGTCGAGCTGGATGCTGTCACCCTCAAGAGTCGAAAGGTTGTGTGCCAGTCGAAAAGCGAATGCCGAGTCCTTGTCAAGCAGCTCCTCCAGCGTAATGCACTGCGGTAAAGTCGGGGCAGCAGTCCGTGGTGCGTTGAGGAGGCGCATACTTGTACGCCTGGGATGCACAGGCTCAAGGGGCAGCCAAGGGATCGATATTGCCTCACTGGCGAGCTCCAGTGCGATGAAATCATGCGTAAGCGATATCGCCCGGGAGAACAGCACGCCTTGAAGCAGTGCACCCAGCCATCCGGATTTCATCTCGTGGGACGTCGACAGGTAGGCGAGGGTTTGGCAGAGGCCTTGTTCAAAATGTTTCCGCTGATGGGCAGCCCGCTCCGACACAAGCTTAGAGGCAGTGAATGATGTAATGGACGTCGTGAGGAAGGACTCGTACTCGACAATGGCGTTTAGAGACATGTCGCTGCGGGGATGGTAACCGGCAACCCTTGTCGCCCTGTCGGGTTTACGAATCCGCACCTGACGTTGGACCTCTATATCTGTCAGCCCAACCCAACAGCACTGTTCTGGACATACCGTCGTCGACACCTGCTTCTGCTCTCCCCTGTCTCCTAGCCTCTGCTTCTTGGTCGAAGTTGCGCTGTCCATCGCAGCCTTGCGCTTCTTGAAGTCCCTGGCTTGGTTGAGGATCGCCACATAGTGAGTTTGGAAAGCGGTGTCGTCGAATGCAATCTCGCCCGGGATTTGGATTTTGCCCATGTCCACCTCGGCGACGACACCGACCTCAGCACAGCCCGTGGGATCTGCCACCTCACGTCGCTTAGCCTCAACGACGCCCAGGGCGATGTTAAGTGCCGGCTCGTCGGACAAGCAACTGAGTTGCTTCCGCAGGACGTGAAGGAGATCTAACAGAGCGTCTGGTCCGATGTCGTTGACGGACTCGCGCAATACACTCTTGAATAGAGGACCAAAAGTACCCGGTGGTGACGTGCGAATGCTGTCGCGCAACGTTGCAAGCTCCACAGGGTATGCGTCGATGGTCTCGGCATCGGTTACCACGTCATCGTGGCCGCCTGGGTGATCATTGTCCACAGGGTGGTGCTCGTCGTCCTGGGCGTAATCGTTAACCGCAGCCGTGGCCTGTGGTGCATCGCTCGGCCGTTTCCGTTTCAACAGACGAGAGAACGTGTTGCGAAAGGTATTCTTCAATATCTCGCGGACTCCTGGCATTGGTGACACTTTGTTTGTCAGCTGCAAGACAGCAACCAGGACAGAACATACAAACCGCATATGCGAGTATGGCAAGGAGGAGGGCGAGAAGGGTTAGAATGGCGACAAGCGGGCTGGTTTTGTTGTTGTTATGCGGATGCGGCGGGGGGGACCCGTATGTCACGTGATCACGTACACGCCTCACGCGTTTGACAGGCGCGCGTGTCATGTTTGGTGTACTGCGTGTGCCATGTCTATGCATATGCATGTGTGTCTGTATATGTGCTTGTTCCCTACAACGGCGGTGTCGGCGACTCATTCATTACCCGCCTACTACTACAAGAATTTGGATGTTGTTGTCGTCTAAAAAAAGTAAATGCGCCGGATGAAGGCTTCTCTCTCTCTAGTGCTTCTCCATGTACGGCATGTTCTGTGCGACACGGATGTTGTAGCCCTTCCAGATGAGGAAGGCGCATGTGACGAGACCGAGGCCCGCCATAAACGCACCCTGGGTGCAGTCGGCCGCGAGCCATCCCCACTTCTCTCCCCACTCCATGATGAAGAAGGGGACAACAAAGCCCCAGATGCACTTCCAAAAGTTCCACACGAACATGGTGTCCATGGAACGAGCAAGGTACGACTCCATGCAGTAGGTCTGGAGGACGGTGATGGCCGACAGGGCAAAGAAGGCAATGCCACCGCCAACAAGGAGGACCATCCAGTGCCAGCCAAAGTGGAGTGCCAGGCCAGTGAGCATGTGGCCGATGAACATGAGCGGGAGGATGGGGTACGCAGCCCATACACGGTCCTCGGGCTGACGTTGGCCATTCCTGCGCTCAAAGTACGAGGAAATCTTGTCGCCGACGATACCGCCCGACCACTTGCCAAGAACGCCACCGATGGCAAAGGCAAGGTAGGAGCAACCGGCCGGGACGAGGGCAAAGTTGAACGGCGCCGCCTCGAGGACCTGAGGCGTTGGGACGGTCATGCCGAGCGAGAGGAAGCCGAAACACATGCCGCAGTAGAACGAAGTGAGCGAAATGTTAAAGTAGCGCATCATCTCGAGCGGGGCGACCACGAGCTTGAAGAACGCGCCAGGGTTCTTCCAAGGCATAAAGGCAGGACCGACGTGGCCGGCGTGCGCAGAGACGGGGGCCGCAGGGGTCTCAATCATCGCCACATCGCGCTTGTCGGCCTCGGCAATCTCGGCAGCGGTCGTAGGAGGGTTGGTGTTCTCGTTCCACATGGTCTCGGGGACGAGGAAGAAGATGAGAGCAAACTGAAGGGCCGCCATGCCAAAGTTGAGCCAGAACTGGTTGCGCCAGCTGGACACGTTGACGATGAGCGCACCAAAGACGGGAGCGATGACCGGTCCAATCAAATTAGGGATGGAGTAGGTGGCCATCTTGCGGCCGCGAACCTCGACGACGTAAATGTCGGCGATCGAGGTCGGGGGGATAGTCTGTGACCAAGCGGCAGTGAGGCCGGTGAACACGCGGGCGGCACAGAACGAGCCGTACGACTTGGCCTGGCACTCCCAGATGACCATGGGCATGTAGATGAATGAGGCGATGAGGTAGGTGGGTCGGCGACCGATGGAGCGTGAAAGAGGGTTCCACAGGAGCGAGCCGACACCTTGACCGAGGATGGAGTAGCCCATGGCATAGGACACTTGAAGGGGGGTGCAGCCGAGGTCCGCAGCAATTTGACTGTGGAAGGGGTCAGCATACGTGGTCCGCTAACCAAATTGACGAGGCAGGAATCACTCGCAGCAGTACCACTACAAGAAAAGAAGACAAAAACACCAGAAAACAACCCCAAAACATCGCCATGTTGTTGGTGCCACTTTCCGTTTGGTCCCGTTTCTGCGACGGCGATCTGGTACCTTGGAGCGTGGCTCCACCCATGTCTCTTACTCTATGCATCGTCTCGTCACAACGGTCTACTCACGGAAAAGCGACGAGGGTGATTGCGATACCAAAGTTGGCGAGCATCGCTGCGTAACTGAGAATGTAGAGAATGGCCTCCTTGCGCCAAGGGCTGAGGGCGTTGACGGGGTGGTTGGGAGGAAGGTTCGGGTTCTTGCCATGTTTGATCATGTCCCACTCGGGGGCCACGTCCGAACCATCGCTGGTGGAACCGTTCTTCTCCTTGCCGAACATGGAAAAGAAAATGGAAAATGAGGGTGGGGCGTTTGGAAAGAAGAAACTGTCAGTCACTGGGATACCGCAGCCTTTTTGTAGCCTGTCGCAGTGGCCCTCGTCAGCAAACGACTGCCGCCGGACGTTGTGTCGCCGTAGACGGCCCCGAGGGGCCGGGTTACGGGGACGACGCGGGGCGCAGTCGACAGCCTGGGGGTGGACAAGGGAAAAACGAGATGACGACCTATCGTTGGGTGTGGAGATAGCAGGGTCTCTGTCAAAGGGCTGGACAACGAATGCCTGACAAGGGCAGGATTGCGTGAAGTTGTCGGCGGGTTTGCGGCCAGGAGAAAGAAAAAAAACCGGCCCCGACGGCCAGCACCGACACTTGTCCATGCTGCCCATGCCATGACAGGCCCCAGGATCCCACACAAGGACCTGCAGGAGCCAAAGATGGAGGAGCGACCGAAAAGGGCCAAAAACAACCACGGAGGCAGACGAACAGCACCGGCGCCAGTGTCGGCGAAAACGGTATCGCGACAACATGGATTTCCCGGCATTGCACGGTAATGGATCAATGGACACGTTGCCCCCCCACATGCGCAGCAGCTGCCCGGCGGTTTGGCTCTGGCGACGCGGCTTGCGCGCTTGCGCCAGGCGCTGCAGGCGGGGTTTGACGGCCACATGCTTGGACATGCGCTTGAATGTGCCGAGCATGCCGGGACGAGACCCTTGAGAAAATGGAGAGGAACACGCGTGTCCCAATGAGCATGTTTGCATGTTCCCACAGCCCACTCAGGTGAAAAGCGTCGGACACTCGGAGCCTCCGATCAACACCCACCTTTTCCACCCCCACCCCGGGGATGTCGCGGGTCTGTAGCGGCGAGACGACACAAGCCAGCCCCGCTCCCCCGCTCTGGCCGCTGGGTTTCCTGCTCATTGAACAACAACAAACGTGAGCGCCAGTGGTCATTGCAAAGGCAGGACTGCAGCATGTCTTGCAGGTTCGCTTTCCGTGTTCCCTTACTCTCCTCCAATGATATCAGAGCGCTTCCACCAGCGCTGCGGAGCACCGGCCCCTGCGAACTGGGGGCATGCAGTGCCCCATTAGCTCAGCGAGGGCTCTCCGCAACAAACTCGGTAGGGAGATCGATGGACAGGAGGGCTGGCGTGGCAGGGTTGTTGTAGACATGTCCTTGAAACACACGTGCTGGAGGCAGGGAACATGGCAACATCGGCCCGGTGTGCGACGATGTTCAGCATAAAGAGGGGGGGGTGACGCCAGCCAAACTGGCGCCGACGCGCCCGCTCGGTATCTTGCTGAACCTCCCTTCTATATGAGCCACTGAAACCCAGATCATGTCAGCAGTGTACAACAACAGGTCTCAGCAGGTTTTTTTGGGGGCGTGCGTGTACGCACCGTTTCAGTCGCGAGGGCAGGTGGTGTCATTGCGTCAACGGGGCAGGTTTTTCGGTTGAAGCAGACTGAAAGCGACAGCAAAAGACACGCGCGGAAGGGAATGTCACACGCACACAGCGTTGTCCATATGTGGCCTGCTATGCATGGTTTGTAGCCATGCTGCTGACAATCGTGTCAGTGTGAGGCTGTGTCATTCCAAAACACCACCACCATTTACACACTGCGGGGACCCCGCGCGTTTTGTCTTGGCGGTCCACTTCCGGCGCGCGTGGGGTGAGACGACACGGGTGCACGGCCGATCACACAGCAATCTCTCGCTCTCGCATCATCCATCCGTCCATCCCCCCTTTCTCTCTCTTCCATCCCCCTTTCTCTCTCTTCCATCCCATCATCCACTACCCGTACACAATGGGGTTCATCACAACTATAGGTACGCTCTAGACCCCCATGCATCTCTCTCTCTCTCTGCCAGCTTCTGACTCCTTCTTCTCCCCTCAGCTCTGGCGTATATGCTCAAGACCGTCGTGCAATCACACCAAGCCGGCAAAATCCAGCAAGGAGCAGGGGGCGGTGCAGCCGGTGGCGGTGGTCAACAAGCATATGGTCAACAGCAAGCATATGGTCAGCAGCAACCTTACGGCCAGCAAGCGTACGGCGGTCAACAGGCGTACCCGCAGGGCGCCGGGGGATACGGTGGCGGCAGCAACCAATCGTTCTACGGAACTGGACAGCAACAACAACAGCAGCAGCCTGGCTACCCCGGCGGATATCCGTCGCAGGGAGGCAGCTCGGGTTACGGGACCGCGGCCATGGCTGGCGTGGTCGGCGCAGCGGGTGGATACGCGGCCAGCCAGTACTTCAACGGTGGCCAGCAGCAGCAAGCGTACGGTGCCCCACCCCCAGCAGCTGGGCCAGACCCCAACAAGGTCGCCGCCGTGTTGCAGAGGTGTATTCAAGAGGTGCGTCTAGACATTTGAAGTGACCCCCCAAGACACTGACGTGCATCCCAGCAACGTATCCAGGTGTTCTATGGCGATCCTCGCCAGGTCGAGGTGCTGGCACAGCGCATCGTCGCATCGGGCGCGCTCCAGCAGCTCTCAACAGGCTGGAACATTCCTCCTCAGCTCGTGTACGACCTTTCCAAGATTGCACTGTTCGACGTAGTGTTCCTCCTGGACGACTCGGGCAGTATGAGGTTTGCGCAGAATGGAGAGCGCATTGAGGATCTGAAAGCGTGAGAGCCTTGAAGCGGAATTGTCGCTGATGGGACAGGATCCTCGGCAAGGCTGCCACCGCGTGTTCCATGTTCGACCAGGACGGATTGTGAGTAGCAACAGCTCTACATCATAATGTGCGCTTACCCGCGTCAGCTCTATCCGTTTCCTCAACTCGGACCGCCAGGGCAACAACATTGTCTCCGAGCAGCAGGTCATCTCCCTCTTGCAGGGAGTCAAGTTTGAAGGCAAGTTGTCTTACACGGTGTAGAGCTGACTGGGTGCGCAGGTACCACCCCACTCGGTACAATGCTCGAGAAGAAGGTCCTGAAACCCCTCGTGCTGGATCCGGCAAAGCATGGTACCCTTCGCAAGCCAGTGCTTGTTATTGCCATTACCGATGGCGAGCCATACGGCGAATCACGCGACAAGAGTAAGACACAGTCGCTTGTTTCCCCTGCTAACGCCCAGCCGCCGAGGCCATTATACACGCGAAGAAGCACCTCGAGCGCTCCAAGTGTATGTTCAACCTTTGTCTGTCCTGTGCTGACCTGGCCAAGACGGCGCGGACGCCGTCAGCTTCTCCTTCGCCCAAGTTGGCAACGATGCGGCAGCGCAGCGCTTCCTCAGCTCCCTCGATAATGATCCAAAGATTGGCAGCTTGATTGACCAGACAATGGAGGTGAGCCCAAGTGCCGCCGCCGCGGCTTCCCACTGTGCGCACGCACTGACACTTCAGTTTGACCAAGAGGCCGCCGAGGTCCGCCAAAAGCTCAATGGGTTTGAGCTGACACCCGAGCTGTGGTTGCTCAAACTGCTGCTGGGTGGTATTGATGTGTAAGTCGGGCCAGCCCACAGTGTGTCAATACTGACCCTTATAGCGCGTATGATATGAAGGACGAGCGCCATTAGGCAGCGTGCGCATAACCGTGGGAAGGTGGTCCGCACACGGAGACCACAAAACCCATGTCTGACTCGAGTGAAGAGGGGGGGTTATACACATTGTAATTTCAAGTGTTGGGTACGTTATTGAGACACACGATGCCATGAATCACGAGGCCTATTGTTCGGTGGTGTACGCAAAGTGAACTCGGAATAACACGATCCAGAGTTTGGCAATGGCTCCACCCATTTCCTTCTACCTATATACAGCGATACGCTCTTCACCGAGTATCGTCCCCCTACAGTTTTGCTCCACCCGGAAGCCTGCCAGCCGCACGCGGTGTAATGTCTATGGGGGTCCACCATGGATACGCCGAGGGCGCGTCAGTCTCGAGGGTGCCCTTAAAGTTGACCTGGCGCTTCTCCATGAACGACTTGACGCCCTCTTTGTTGTCGGCCGTGCTAAACATGTGGTAGATGATGCGCGAATCGAGGAGGTGCTGCTCCTCGGCCGAGTTTGTGGGGCGCCAGATGAGGTCACGCATGAGTGCCCAAGACACATTGGAGCAGTTGTCGGCAATCTCAGAAGCGAGCTCGATGGCGCGGGGAAGCACGTCGTCGGCGCGCTCCAGGGTCTCGGTGAACAGACCCTCGTACAGCTTGTCGCTGGCCCGGTACACGCTGCCGGTGGTGATGAGATGCATCGTCTTGGCGTTGCCGATGAGCTTGGGGAGGAAGAAGGACGATGCGGCCTCCATCACAAGGCCGCGACGGGCGAACACAAAGCCAATCTTGGCGTCCTTGTACGCGATGCGGATCGCCATGGGAAGCGTCATGGTGATTCCGATGCCCACAGCGGATCCATTAAGAGCGCCAATGGTGGGCTTGCGGCACCTGTGAATGGCCATGGCGACACGGCCGCCGCTGGTGGGGGGTCAGTTATCTGGTACAATGTGTGCTCGTTCAGAGCTCTGCTTACCCGTCACGGTGATCATTGACAGTCTCGCCGGTCTGGTGGAATCCAGTGTCGAGGTCGGCGCCAGCACAGAACATGCGGCCATGACCCGTGCAGATGATGACCTTGACACGGTCATCCACATCAAACATGCCCCAGAGGTCCTCCATCTCGGTCCTCATGACCATGGTGAACGCATTGTGGTTGTTGGGACGGTAGAGGGTGACGATCTGGATGGGGGTCACGCCTGGCGCGTTGGCGGGGTGGTTGGAGACCTTGAGCTGCTGGAGGCCAAGGTCTGCGTATGAGGTTGGCAAGGCGAGGGGTGCAGGGCGACCGGGCATGGTGGTGCTGGTGGAAGAAAGAAGAGTGGGTGAGATGCGAGTCGGCGGACGCCGACTTTATGAACCTTTATTGACACCCAATGTCGGGCCACTGCCATAGCCGGCGGGATCCGGGTAACGAACAACAGGCCCCAAAAGACAAGTGGCCAGCGAGCCCCGGCGGCCAGCACAGCGAGTCACAGATACACAGACACACAGACACACATGCATGTGCAACGTCTGCCTTTGGGGCGCTAAACCGTGTAGCATCATCATGGAAGCGCCGCTCGCCATGGTGCCGCCGGGTGAGAGGACCCCACCCCCAATCCCGCGGCTATCGGACAGATCCGAACATCTATGAACACGCTTCTGGGTGTGTCACATGTGTGGGGGGGGGCATCGGTCCAGTTCTGCTCGTTCGTTCCCATTGTGCGAGTTACCGGCATGAGTGTACCAGACCAATGGGCCACTGTACCACTGTGTACAGCTGTATAACCTGCATGTGCCAACAGCAGACTCTGCGCCCCGCACGGCGACTGTGGCAGCTCGCGGCATGTTTCATCAATTAATCCATTGTTGGCATTTCTACCTACATACTACCTGCTTCCACCGCTACCCATTAAACACACTCCCAAGACCCATGACACTATCGCCGTTCCACTTAGACAACGTACATGAACATGGGGTTCTCCCAGTCAGTCAGGTCGTCGAACGACGAGACGTAGAGGTCGGTGTCGCCACCCTGGCTGCGGAGCACCTCCATAAGCTCGTGCTTGTACGCGTCGGCCTCGTCAAGCGACATGATCGAGATATCCTTGAGGTCGGCGGGGAGACCCATCTCGATACGGCGCTGGCGCTGCTTGGTGTTCAAGTACTTGAGGTACTGGCCCTGGCCAATGACAAGGAGGAAGAGGGTGCAGTACATGGAGATGGAGAAGGCGAGTCCAGTGTAGTACTTGGGGGCCTCCTTGGCGAGCCAGACGAGGGGACCGAAGATGTTACCCATGCACTGGCAGGCGAACATGATGGAGAACATGACCACGCGCTTGGTGGATCCCGACTGGTTCAAGTTGGCCCAAGCGTAGAAGAGAGGCTGGATGGCGGCAAAGACGAAGGTGACGTAGTAGGAAACGACCATGCCAGTGAGGTTGTCACGGGGGAGCTTGCGGATGGCAGTGGCACCAGCGATGGGGAACAGGATGAGGAAGGCGATGACTGGCCAGCGCATCTTGATCTTGTTGGTGACGTAGATCGAGAGGGCAAGGGCAATCATGCCGAGCGCACCGGTGGGCATGCCCATGAGAGTGGCGTTGAAGCTGGTAAAGCCTAAGACTGTCAGCTTGGCACATACGCAGGCGGCAGGGGGTTGGGGTTGGGGACATGTGATGCGGGAGCGATGCACTCCAACCACATCCTCCGCTACCCATCCACAGCACGAGACTTACCGAGACCCTTGATAATCAGACCGCCAAAGTTGCCGAGACCGGCACCGCCGAGAGCGGAGGTGATGTAAATCATGGCCCAGATGTAGGTCTTGGGGTCCCTGACGACCTCGCGGACCTGGCTCCACTTCCAGACGTTCGACTTGGTGCCCATGTTGTTCTCGCGGATACGGTCCAAGGCAATGAGACGGTCATCACCGTGACGGAGGAAACGAGCGGTCACAGGCGAGTTGGGGAGGAGCCATGCCACAATAGGGATGAAGAAGGCCGACACACCGCCGACGGCGAGGAAAATGGCCTGGTACGCGTGGATACCCTTGGTGACGTGACCAATGCCCCAGGCGATGAGAGGACCGGTAATGGCGGCCATCGAGTTGGCAATCTGGTACGCGACGGTACGGTAACTCTGCTCGCGACGAGTCCACCACATCTGGGTGATGAACACGAACGATGGCAGGATGGTGGCCTCGGCGGCTCCGAGGAAGAAACGGCATGCCATCATGCCGGACCAGGTGGTGGCGGCGGCTACCAGTCAGCGCGATCCGCCAAACAGGGTCATAACTCACCACAGCACATGGTGCAGGCGGTCCAGACGATGTAGTTGGCAAGAACCCAGTACTTGACGGGGAACACGACGAGAGCGTAGGCGGAGAGGGGCTGGCAGATGACCTGGGCCACATACACGATACTGTTCAGGAGAGCGTACTCCTGGCCGTGGAGGTGCAACTCGGTTTGAAGGTCCTGAGGCGTCAGCATCACGCGACTCGTCCATGTAATGCTCTACTCACGAAAAGGGCTCCGTAACCCAGCGTTGACTTGTCCATCTGTCTTGTTAGCGTCTGTCAAGATCGTGCATGCATGTTGAGGGCAGTGGCGAGTGTTCCAGGGGTGGAGAAAGGAAAAAAAATTGAGGAAAAGCAAACCGCTTGACAGCAACTGCCACTGATACCCGATTATTTGCTCCTCCCCTCCACTAATTCCCAGTCCATCGCGTCTCTCCGTTCCAGCTGATGCTCACCTGTTGGATCCAGTACACAAGACACATGGGCACACAGACGTAAAAGTCGATCCACTTGAGCACACGCTTCTTGTCCTCCTTGGAAAAGTCGAGGGGACCGGCCTGAGCAAGCAGCTCGGCAGCCTGGTCGAGCTGCTTGTTTGCCTTGTACTTTGACTTGGCAATTTCCGCGTCTGCGTTTTCGACGTGGACATCCGTCTCCAGCTGGGCTTTGGAGTCAAGGTCCTCGATCTCGGACTTGGCTGGCATGTTGGGCGACTGTGACACTGGTATAGAGAGGGTAAAAGTCGTCCAGTGGGTGTGTGTTGACGAGACTGGGTCGGGGGGGATGACCTTTAGCACCCTGTCGTTCACTATTATTATAACCAGCCCCGCAGCTGCCAAGAAAGACTCCCCTGCCGCTCTTGGGACTCCGGATTAGCTTACTCCGAGTCCCGTGGGGGCGGGAGCGGGGTTGCCCGGGTCACCTGAGTGGGGCTGAAGCGCGGCGCCGCACAGGCTGTCTGTTTTGACGGCGAGAGATTACACCGAGGCGACCAGAGGTGTGTGCGACATGGACCGGGACGCGCGACTTGACTGAATAGGCGGGGGTCCGGTTCCGACACTGTACACTGACTTTGTTGCGGCTCCGATCCTCCATGGTGCAGCTTGTACGTCACATGGCGCGGGGTATATGCCAGTGCGCCAGTGCTCGACCGGCCCGCCTGACGGGACTGACGGGCCGCAGCTGCCGCTGGTTCAAAGTCGCACCGATGATGTTCCGTGGCGGCAGGGCTCCACATGAGAGAGTGGCAGGTGGAACGCATGGAAAGACGCCGAGGGCGGCCGGAGAGGAGCACGGGCCGCTAGGAATAGCTGCGGGGCTGTTTGCGATCTCTTGGCTCCACCACCCACCCATCCCACCGACAAGAACGGAATGCGGCGGGAGGCACGGAACGAGGCGGTCATTTTTCAGAGTGCTCAGGTGGTACGGAGAGCAACGTTGCTGGCTTGGAGGTTGCTCTCTGCTCTCTGCTCTTCTGCATGGGCTGCCGCGGGCCCCGCACAACCGCACAGCCAGTTGCAGCACCTGCAGGGTCGTTTCTGTCGAAGCTGTCTCGCACAATCGTATTGACGGAATTGACGGTGTTATCCGCAATGTATCACAAGACAGTTTCATTTGCAGCAAGTAGTATGTGTAGCTTCTAGTAAACAACTATCCCTGGACAATCTCACGCGACGCACAGCGCGTCAGGCGGCAGCGACAGCTATCCATCAGCTCGAGTCTCTCGGCAAATGACTGCTGCAGTACTTACCAAGGGTGTGTCATGGGGAGGTCATCATCTTCACGCCAGTCGATGCCCCGGCCTTGGAACTCGGTGCCAATTACCTCCCTAACAGCGTCCCAAAGAACAACGTAGCCCTCAGCCGTGAAGTGGACATAGTCGAGGAAGAACGGCTTGAGCTTGTCCTCGTCTCCGTCCGCCGCCTTGAGGAGCACACTCCAGAAGTCGATGGTCGCAATCTTCCACCGAGCACCATCCTCCTTGGCCTTCCATCGCTTGCCAATGTCCAGAACAGCATCGCGGAACTGCTTGAGGCGGTCAAACCGCTCCTGCTCCATCGGCTCCATCCCCTCGGGAGTGCGGTACGGGTGGGGAGGCGTAATCAAGATGATGGACAGTGGCGGTCCATGGGCGATGGCGTACGGCGAGTTTGGTGATGTAAAGGACTCGAGGAAGAAGTCCATGTGTTCCACAAACTTTTCCACAGTGACATAACGCGTGTTGGGCGGGAGGGTAGAGTCGTTCGTGCCAAACCACAGAGTCAAGAGACGGACGGGAGTCGCTGGAGTGTCCCGCTTGGCAAAGATGTCGTCAAAGATGTCACGGGCCATGGGGGTGTTGTAGCCGCCATAACCGCGGTTTACAATGTCCAGACGGCGCGAGTACACCTCTGCAGACCATTAGCGAAGCGTTCCACAACGAGAGACGTACTGTTCATGCGAAAGTCTAGCGTTCCATTCACATTGACGGCCGCGGTAAGAGAGTCTCCCTGGCGCCTGTCAGGTGGAATCGTTATCTGTTACGTACAAACAACACAACGCTGTCTTGCATAAGGGCGGCCATGGTGGGCGTGGATGATCAAAATCAGAAAGCACAACAACGATGAGTAGTGGTGAAGTTGGTGACGTTGGTGACGTTCAGATGCCAGTGGAACGCACCAATCCGGGCCGCCAGCCCCCGCCGTGTTCCGAGGTCACCACACGGCCATCGCCGGGCCGTGGGTGGCGGCACGTCTGACATTGCGGGCGTCATCACACCATGCACACCACTTCACGAGCCACGAGGCAGCCGCCGGGGCGGGATAGAGATGTACCGAATGTGCCAAAGCAGCCGCTACTGTGGAGCAGCACACGATCGCTCGGTCGCTGTACGGAAGGTGTGTGTGGACGGCCGGCGCCGAAGCACCGACCGGTCACGGGATGTACGAATCGGATGTACGGCGCAATGTTGCGGAATGGCTGTCCTCTCCCGGCCGGTGCTTTTGTTGCTTTCCATACAGGATGGTGATAGTGGTGCTCGCCAGTCGCTCGTGCCGCTCGGCATTTAGTTAGCCCAGCTCCCAACGAGACAACCCCCTAATGACGGCCGGGCCGGCGAGCCGCTCGGCCTAAAGTTGTTGCTACTGCTTAACGCTGGGCACAAAGTTGATCCGCACTCGTTGTTCTCAGCAGCCACATCGACGGACACGGCGTGTCTCTGCGCCGAACGGCGTGAGAGTTGGCGCGAGCCGCACGCACACAGGTCACACGACTATCGCAAAGAAGTCTGCCCCTTAATCCATTATCTCGGCACCACACCTTTGGCGCAATTCTTGCGAAGCTCCATTCCCACACACGCTTTGCATTGTAGTGGCAGCTAATCCTGCCGGGCCTGGCGATCCACATATCGTTCCTTGGCGTGGTGGCCGTGGTGGGGGGGGGGGGGGGGGGGGGGGGGGGGGGGGGGGGTAGCAGCTACCGCCTGGTCACCTATGTAAGCAGGCGACGGGCCGGCACACTGGCAGGCCGGGGCGGTCGTTCTGAAACGACTGCACCGCTGCTTCCCGTACCCAACAACATCACCACCATCGTCTACGCATCACCCAGTCCTGATATCCAGAGCTCAAAGTCCTACGCAGGTTAGCGACTCCCAACCATTTGGACGTACGGTAGGCCACGTTGCAGACGATATGGCGTTGGCAAAGCTGCCCAAGTCGGCGTCTTGAATGTTGCCTTCACTCATCCAAGGAATAGTGTCGGTGGGCCACGCCTCTGCGAGGTTGGGTGTAATTGCAGCAACCTCGTCACTGTCGACCGTGAATGGAAGTACACCGTCTCGCCTGCTTTTCGCGACGGAAGCCGACAAGAGGTCACCAAAGGGGTGCGCGGGATCTGGGTCAACGCAAAGAAATCATCAAGGAACCTACAATCTGGAAGCTTGAGCAGCAGCTTGTCCATGTCAAGGCTGACTTCGTAACGATTGCAAACATCTGGAAGAAGTTCGATCATGCGGATAAGGTACAGGGCCGTGACCACAATAACAACATCTGGAGCTTGAGCACTTGCCAGCTAGCCCTGTGGACTCACGAAAGTTGTGGTTTCCATATTCCGAATCCTTTTGCTGCTTGCCGCCGCCGATGGAGGACAAGGCATATGCGGCAGAACGCATGGCAGAGGCAAGCCATTCACGACGTTCGGCGGAGAGGAGAACAACGTCATTCTTGGTGCGCACACCGTACCATGCGACGGAATTGGAAAAGACGCTGGTGCTGTTAGGAAGGCGCATGCCTCTTTATACTCACGTCGTATATGCCTTTTGGCTGCCAACTATAACGAGGGTCAGCGTTGCCAACGGGTGTCACTCACGTTCGTTTACCAAAAAGTGGTCTGATGGCAAACCAACGGAGCCTTGAAAACGTCAATAAACTGCACACCGACTTTTATTCTCACGGTAATAGTCCAACCAGTACGAGTAGACGGTGTCCAAACCCTTGTTGACTTTTCGCAGCATAGAGTCCATCTCCTCGACTCCACAGGAACCTGCTCGCGCATATGGTCGAAAGATGCACTCTCGCACCTCCAGGATTTCGCAAGAAACGACTAACCGGCTGTCATACACGTTGGAAAGTGGGTGGTCAAGGAATTCGCGTTTGAACATGGTCCTCTCATTCCCGGCATCAGCGAATTGCACGGGAAGGGCGTGGTTGTACGACATTCTGGTGCAGTGTCAGTGTCCCATCTTCCAAATCCCCTCACTCGTAGCTCTGTTTCGTAACCTGAGGCGTCAGTATGTTTCCCCCTGGACACCACTTACGGCAAGCCACAGCCGTGCTCCCGCAACCACTTGCTGCTGCCGTTCAGACATGCACTCCTCCCTTGGCGAGTTTAGGCGCGTTTCTTGGAGGTGCTGCAGACAGCGGTAGAGTCGCATGTCGACACTTTGAGGGTCAGCGTTGGCCGATAGATTCCACTCACGCAAGAGCCATCGCATGACAGCATGTGCGCCATCCATGTTCACCCCATGCTGTCAGGAGCGCTGACATGTTAGTTTAGTATTCGGGGCTAGAGACGCACTTAGGCCTTGAACCGTCTCCAGCGTGGCAATCGGTGAGAAGAGCGTGAAGCGGGCTACAGGGTCAGCGGCGAGAGAAGTATACCAAAACTCACCCATCATCTCCGCGAGATCCTTGCACTGCTGTGTGAGAGCCGATTGTTGTCGACAGCCATCCCGCGCCCGTAATGCCACCCAGAGAATGGCGGTCACAACGAACGGGGAGCGCCGACGTAAGCTCTCCCATGTGTCGACTCTTGGGTCAAGAATGGGCAGGAAGGGATGTGCGTGTTTGAAGAACGCATCGAACAGCGTCTTGGCCTCCTGTTCAGAACAGTAACCCAATGAGACGGGATCCCTTTGGTTGGCAAGGGAATAACCACGGTCGCGAATCGGCCCGCGGTCCAGCGACATGTCGTCTGGTTCAGCCTCGGAACGCTTCCGTTTAGCCCTCACGCTGTCCCCTGGCGAGCACCCGTCTGCGGCCAGCCGACGTTCCTCTTCCAGCCGCGTAAGCTGGCGGAACGGTTCGAATGTCATGGCCATCTCGACGGGATCATGGCCCTCAGTGTCGTCCTCGTCTCGCAATAGCATGCCAGCACTGACGCTAGCTGACAACGAGGAAGTGCGCATGGTTGGCCGATTTGCAGGTGGTATCGCCAAATCAGACATACCGAACGCTGCCGAGGAAGCTGATCCAATGGATGTGGAGGCTGGAGGTTAGCCGACTGAGTGAGTGCACGACCAACACTCACAATGCGGGGAGAATGTGGGTTCGGTCACCGCCGCGGACGGTGGTGCGATCGGGGGACACAATGCCGCTATGCGGTGTAGAGCCGTGGAGATGTCATCGAGCTTTTGTGTAACTCCGCCCATGTTGTCTTCCAGAGCCTGGAGTCGGCTTGCTATCAGCATGATGTAGCGGGGGTCAAAACTCACGAATTGGTAGACTTCAAGGCTTCGGTTTGCTCAACGCCCCCGCGTGAGATTGCCGGCCCGGCATTGAACTCGCAAGTAAGCTTCATGGAGCGGCACCGATAACATGGTGGGTTTTCTTTGTTGATGCAACGGATCTTCATTCTGCGGCACTCGTCCTGCGAGCTCTGTCAGGACGGCAGGGTAGAGCCAGGACTTACACAAGCACCTGGGAAATGGTCAGCGGTAGACCCATCTCACATGGCAAGCGCACTCACGTCGGGGGAGGTCCAGGCTAGTAGAGTCGGCAGGTTGGTCCTCTGGCTGTGTGACCAGTCGTCCATCATCGCTTGTTGCCATCGTGTGAAGTGTGTGGTCGTAGTGGTAGCGTATGAGTTGAATGATGGTGCAAAGAGGAACAAAGGACGTGAACCCCCACGGAGGGCGACACTCGATGCACTTTGTGTGGAGTGAGAGCCGTCCGAACCCGGAGGCCCCGCAGCTGCCAGGAACATCCGCCATTTCCGCCATTTCCAAGATGGCCCTCAGATTCCCGTTCGATGGGTCAGTCCGTCTGTTGCCGTTTAAACAGGAGGATTCCCGTTTTCTCCTCTGCCCCCCAAGCGATCGCTCGATTCGAACACTTGGCAAAGGGCTATAGCCGGTCAATCAGATCTCTCGCGTGGTCTCATGGTCTCCTTGCAACCTTGGCTCGGCAACTTGGCTGGGGTTTACGCTGGGCCCACGACATGGGAACAGCCATGGCTGGGGGCACAACAATTGGCACTGAGCACATTCAAGGTAGTGCGCCGCCACCCAAAAATTCCCGTTCGTGCGTTGAAAACGTTGTAATAATAAACCATGTGGCGTAATCACGTTTGCAGCCATGTGGGGCTCGGTCGGAGGCCCACGCCGAACTGACGACCACTTCTCGTACGTTCAACGTCCGTTCACGAGGCCACCGGCCGACATGACCATGTGTGGGGCTTTCTCTTTACCGTGTTAACCGACAACAAAGTGGGCGACGAGAGGAGTGCGTTTGAGGCTTCCGCACAAACAACTGGACCGTGGGCTCTGGTCAGCTGGCGGTCCAGTGTCAAGGGACACGATACAGGTCGACCTGGTGGTAGAGCGGGACGGCTAGCTGTAGCAGAGGAGGTTCCACAGTGGTAGTACTAGTTGAGAGAACGTATTGTTGTAGACAGGAGATGATACATTCGCTAGAGAACTACCAAGGATACAGTTGCTCTGGTTATATATACTGTTCTCTAGCTCATGTATACGTGTGAAACCCAATTAGGTTTGGTCAGAACCTTCCTAGGTTCCCGTGGTACGATACGGATTGTGGCACAGCCTGTGACATCCAGTTACAGTGTAGAGGTGTTCCATTTTGAGCTAAGACAACAAGCCCAGTGATCCCAGTGACCTACCCCCCCTCTCCAATGGCTCGCTACAAATGATGTGCTGAAATAATGGCCAACAAAAGAGAGAAGAAAAAAAAAAGACAGCAAAATAATGGACGAAATCTCGTTTTGTTTCCACTAGGTAACCATGCAGCATGGCAGCATGTGCAGAACAGAAATCGTCGAGAACCAATAGCTTATCGCATCCCTTACTACAAACGTGCATTCCTATCTGATGAACCTCGGTCCCACGACACCCCCAGATAGCGTGTGTCGGAGACCTAGCCCTATTTCTGTTCAGACCAATCCCAATTCTTAGACAGTGTGTGGCGTGGCGACCGCGAGGGTGTTGCGCTGCTCGTGGTCAAAGACATCGACCTCGGTGGTGCGGAACTTGCGTGTGGGCGTGCGCTTGGCGAAGAGCCAGTCGAGCTCCTCGAAGGTGCGGCCCTTGGTCTCGGGGAGGAAGAAGAAGCACCAGACAAACGTGGCAAAGGCAGTGCCGCCCCAGATGAAGCCGGTGTAACCCTTGAGGTTCCACTGAGCGGGGTTCATAAAGTAGGGCTGCAGCACACCGGCAATGACGCTGATGATGTAGTAGGCGTTGCGGGCGAGGCAGACGGTCTTCTGGCGAAGGCGGGTGCTGCCCATCTCGGCGGGAAGGGCCCATCCAAGCTGGCCGGCCGAGAGCTGGAAGACAAAGGTCCAAGCGAGGGTGAGAACAGCCTGGGTCATGCCGATGGTCGAATCGTGAGTCTTGACGTTGAGGATGCCGATAATGAAGAGGATGAGAGACATGGTGAACATGCCCCAGAGGTAAATGCGGCGGCGACCAACGTATGGCATGAGGAAGAACCAGTTGATGAGGGTGCCGACAAGAGCCATGCCGGTACCGCCCACGTTGAGGTTGTAGGTCTGGTCCGTCGTCAAACCGACCTGCTGGAAGAAGTAGGTGGAGTTGTAGGCAAAGCTGGAGCCAGAAAGGACCTGTCCGGCAAAGGCCACCATGGCAATGATGGTCCTGCGGCGCTCGACACCACGGAAGCAGTCCATGTAGCTGGTGCCGGCGGAGAGCTCAACCTCGAGGTTGTTGGTGTGGACAATCGTCGCCAGTGTGGCCGTGACGTCGATGCCGGCCGACTTGCGTACCAGGCGGCGGAGCGAGTGCTCTGCCTCCTCAAAGCGACCCTTACGCACCAAGTGCCACGGGCTCTCGGGCGAGAACGAAAGCACGGGGATGAGGATGGCAGGCCAGACCCACTGGATGGCGAAAGGAATCCTGTATCCCCACTCGTCGGTGCGGTGGACAAGGCCGGCGAGCGTGCCGGCGGCAATCAACTGTCCGATGATGAAGCACATGTTGGTGTACGAGGTGAGGTAGATGCGCAGGCTCATGGGGAGGACCTCGGACGCGTAGGCGGGGGCCGACGAAGCAAACACACCCCACGGCAAACCGCAGAGCAGCTCACCGGCGGCGAGAACGCCAATGTTGGGGGCGAAGAAGACGATGAAGAGGAAGCAGCTGAGGACGACGAGCGAGGCCAGCAACACGCGCTTCTGACCAAACTTGTTAACCAGGAATCCGTTGATGAGGACGCCGAAGAAGCAGCCCACGCCGGAGCTGTTACCGAGACCGGCCTGCCAAGCTGCAGAGAGCTGGTGCTGTCCCGACTCGTCGATGTACTGGCCGTACTTTTTGGCAAAGGCCGGGTAGGCGTAGAAGTTTCCGATACTGAGGCACCTGTCAGACAAGAAAATAAAAGTAATAAAAATAGAGCAGACTTACAGGATGGTGTCGTAGCCTTCCATGATGACACACATGGAAACCATCAAACACCAGAAAATGGCCATCGGATAAGCCCGGACGGCCTGGGCAGTGGTGAGAGCATGCTCGGTGGCCAGCGCCTCCTTGGCCTCGATCTCGAGGACGTCAGGGTTTTTGATGTCGTGGTTTGAGATCGCGTGCTCGAGCTGGTGGTCGTGGGGCTTTTCGTCCGACATTGCGACAAGGCCGAATGAGGCGAGATGGGACTAGACAGGAATGGGGATGGGGGTTGAAGTTGCTGTGGAGATTGTGGCACTGGGCAGTGGAGAGGGCTGTGGGTTGAGAAAACGGTTGAGGATGGCAAAGTGCGTCCCTTTAACTAGAACGTCTTTCGCCGCAGTCGTCACATCAGCAATCGGCGAAGCCCCCCGGGCCCCCGACGTTTGGCCCTGGGGGGACACAAGGCACGTTGGCTAGCCCCCACAACGACAGCCATGCATGGAGTCGCGGCGACGATCGCCGGACGTCTTTTGCCAGCGTGCCAGCGTTGTCGGCCGGTGGGCGTGTGGTGATCACGGCTGTGAGCGGAGTCTCCAATCGGGCCGGTGACGTCACCGGGCCGTGTTCGGTGCCAGGGAAGAAGCATATCAGCCGGTAAACGGCGGGTGAGGCACCACCAAAACTGGCAAACTTGGCAATCCTGCCCACCCTCCGTTGGATCTGTGGCATTGTTTTGGGTCGTCAACAAGACGCATTGGCAATCATAGGTAACCGCAGGTCGGCGAGCTGGTTCCTGATAGCGCCTCAACGCAGACGAGGAGCGACACCACTGCTTGCACTCGTTCACATCCAATGTCGGCCATCTCGGTCCGCCAAGTCGCGCCACTGGTCCATGTTCGTCGTCACCACCCCACGACGGTCAGGATGATGACGAGGTTGCATTGTTCATCTCGGTCCGCGGCCGGACGTGCATTTCACTAGAAGTGCTGCGCTGTTCACAACATTCCCGTTCCCATCCCACCCTCTCAGAACACACGACATCATGACCCAGATTCAGCACAACGGCAGTAGGTTCAGCAGTAAGCGAGTCCCGCTTACACAGCAGCGCCCAAGTCTCAGAGCATCCAGGCGGACGGTCGAGTGTTCTCACTCAACGCGCAAGGCGCCAACTACCGTTTCCATGTGGACGACACGGGAGACCTTGTCCATGACCACTTTGGAAGTCCGGCCGCGGTTCCGCCCACGGAGGTTGGACCTGAACACTTTTCCGGCTGGGCTACTCGCCAGAGCAACCAGAAGCGAGAGCTGCCAGACGCAGGGCGTGGCGACTTTCATCTGCCTGCAATTCACATTCGCACAGGTGCGGGGCACACGGTGACCGACTTCCAGTACACCGGCTATGAGGTTGTGGCTGGCAAGCCAAAGCTCGACGGCTTGCCCGCCACCTTTGGTGACGCGGGCGATGTCACCACTCTGCTCGTGACGCTCAACGACAAGGAGTCCAACCTGGAGGTGACCCTCCGCTACTCTGTCTTCCCTGCCTACAACGCCATTGCGCGTTCATACACCATCCACAACAAGGGCACCCAGGACGCCGAGATCAAGCGTGCCTCGAGCTTCACGCTCAACCTCGACGCGGGTCAGTGGGACATGGTTCAGCTTTCTGGAGACTGGAGCCGCGAGGCAAACCAGGAGCGCCGCCCGGTCAACACCGGCACGCAAGGGTGAGGTCAAATGCGCCAGTTCAATGCTAACAGGCAGTTTCCATAGTCTCGCTGGCTACTCGTCGCACTTTTTCAATCCGTTCGTCGCCCTTGTCGGCTCAAACACAACAGAAACTACCGGTCCAGCGTATGGCCTGTCGTTCATTTACTCTGGTTCCTTTGCGGTCGACGTGGAGCGGTTCGTCTTGGACAGTGTCCGCGCCAACATTGGCCTCCACCCCCTTCACCTCGAATGGAAGCTCGCCCCCGGAGAGTCGTTCACCACGCCCGAGTGCGTCGCCGTCTTCTCAGAGAATGGCCTTGGTGGCATGAGCCGCTCCCTCCACGGCCTGTACCGCAACCACCTGAGCCGGTCCGAGTGGACGCACCAGCCGCGGCCGACGCTCCTCAACTCGTGGGAGGGTGTGTACTTTGACTTTGATGACGAAAAGCTCTACGCCAAAGCCAAAGACTCTGCCGATCTCGGCATCCAGATGTACGTCATGGACGACGGCTGGTTTGGCGACAAGTGTCCACGCCTCCAGGACAATGCTGGCCTGGGTGACTGGGTCCCCAACCCGGACCGTTTCCCGGACGGTTTGGGATCGTTTGTGGACCGCGTCACTTCGCTGCCAGTCCGCGGCACTGACAAGACACTCCGGTTCGGTATCTGGGTCGAGCCCGAAATGGTCAACCCTACGTCCGAGCTGTACCAGGCGCACCCGGACTGGGTTCTGCACGCAGGCGGCCACAAGCGTACTGAGGAGCGCAACCAGCTGGTTCTCGACCTTTCGCGCCGCGAGGTACAGGATTACATCATTGAAAAGATTGGTGATATCCTCGCTTCGGCCAACATTTCCTATGTCAAGTGGGACAACAACAGGGCCATTCACGAGCTTGCTTCTCCGTCGACCGCCCATGGGTACATGCTTGGCTTGTACCGCGTCATCGACGCTCTGACGACGCGCTTCCCCCACGTCCTCTGGGAAGGGTGCGCTTCCGGAGGTGGCCGCTTCGACCCAGGCCTCCTTTACTACTGGCCTCAGTCGTGGACGAGCGACAACACGGACGCGCTGGACCGCCTTCACATTCAGTTTGGCACCTCGCTCGTTTACCCCCCGAGCTCGATGGGCGCGCACATCTCCGCTGTCCCCAACCACCAGGTTCACCGTACGACGCCACTCGAGTTCCGCGCCCATGTTGCAATGATGGGCGGTAGCTTTGGCTTTGAGCTCGACCTCCAGATGCTCGGCGAGGAGGACCGCAAGGACATCAATGGCATCCTCGCGCTCTCAGACAAGGTGTCCCCATATGTCATCAAGGGCGACATGTACCGCCTTGCCCTGCCCGGAGACAGCAACTACCCGGCAGCCCTCTACATGCTGCCTGATGCCAGCGCCGGTGTGCTCCTGGCGTACTGCATGGCGGCTAGGGTTCACAAGTACCCGCCACCACTCTACTTTGCCGGTATCGACCGCCATGCCACATACGAGATCGACGGCAAGACGTACTCGGGTGCGGTCCTGGCGAACTCTGGGCTCAAGCTCAACTGGGAGGAGAAGGACTACCAGAGCAAGGTGCTGTTCATCAAGCGCATTGAATAGGTTTTTGTGGTCTTTGCATAAGGAGATAGATGGAATGTAGCTGTGACCATGCAGTATTGAACAATGGAGATCTGTCGTGTGGCTTTGCTCCTTCCGTTGAGATTCGAAAGGCGGGTGATCAACCCATGTTCTGCCTTCGAGTCGCATGTTAGCCGAGAAATCAGTGTGGACGAGGCCCAACATCTGTTATTCTTGTATCCCTTCAGGACCTGCAACGTCTGTAAAAAGAGGTATACTGCATGCTTGCGTCATATACAAAAAAAAGGTGGCACCAGGCCAAAATGAAGGTCGAAATCTAACCGCGCTTGGTTGTGTTGGGTTGGCGGTGAGATGGGTGGTTGCTTAATAACCGGCGCCAGCGTCGGTTGCAGCTGCCGCTGACGAGTCTGTCCCAGATGCCATGCCGTCCGTCGCAGCAGAGATGGCAGCTGTGACCGCAGCGTCTGTGCCATTGACAGCCGCAGTCTCTGCCGCCACCGCGTCCGTGCCATTGGCGGGCACAGTTGAAGCTCCAGCCATGGGGGTGTAGGTCTTGGTCTTGCTCTTGCTCTTGCACTTCTTGGTGGACGAGGGAACCGCGCCCGAGTCGATCGAGGTGGGCTCCATGACAGTTCCGTTCGCGGCCGACCCCGTCTCCACGGCGGTACCGTTGGTGAGCGCATCGGTGGGAGAGTATCCGGCGTCGGTGGGCGTGTAGCCGGCATCGGTGCCACCAGTGGAAGCGGCACCAGCAGCGTCCGTCGCATCAGCGGCCGACGTATCAGCGACGGCAGCCGAACCATAGGCGGCGCCGGCGTCCTGCGGGTAGGGAACGGCAACGGCGGGGGCGGCAACGGCGGCGAGGACCGCGAGGAAAGCAGAGAGGCGAACCATTGTTGTTTAAAGAATGTGGGGTAGTTGGAGGTACAGTGGTTGGTTTGGCAAGTGCTGGGTGGGTGGTGGCCTTCTCACAGAGTTGGCCTTTCGAGGTTGTTGGGTTGGGACGGACGAGGAAGCAGCGAGTTGAAAGACAACTGCCATACCCCTCTCGCTGTCTTATATGGACGGCTGCCCCGACTGCGCGTGCGCCTGTGAGGTGGGGTGTGTGAACTGTATGTGGCAGCACAACGGGCGAGACAAGCGTTGCATCGGCCGATCAGCATGTCGCGTCGAGACCACCAGTGAAACGGTGACATGTTGCCATCTTCTGCTGCGGGGCGGATCGATCTGACAGCCCTTCATAGCACAAAAATGGCACATTCGGACCGTCCTGGTAGGTACGGTTCGGCACATTCCCTTTGCTGGTCAGACTGACACGCGGCGACTTCCGCGGTCAGCTTTGCGCGGTTAAAGTGTTCAGACGGGTGGAGAGAGAGTGAGGCCTTGAAACCTCAATGGATGGAAACATGTGGGTATGACGGGAACGAAACCTGCAACATATGGGCTTTGCGATATCCCTGGATAGTGGACGGGTTGGTCGGGGTGGCATGTGCGGGGGTCGTGGAGCAACCTCAAACTGCGTGTACAAGGTGTTAGGCTGTCGTCACCGGTGACACAAGGCCCCGAGAGGAGCTCGACAGACGTGCATGGGTCTGCTGCACACGGAGACCTTGTACGAGACCCCCTTCACGGCCGGACGCGTCGATGACGAGATGTAACTCAGGGAGCGCGATATCGTTGATTTATCTGATCTGGCCTCTCTTGCGGGTTGCCATGCGAGCTATGAGCCCAGCTGGCAGTGCACGTGCATAGTTTCTGGGGTACATGTAGCATCCTGTGAGCTGTGTTTTCCAGACTTTGACAAGGATGTGCTAATGTGCGATGCAAGGCCTTGTATTAGATGGATCGCGGTATATGGCACACCCCGCAGTAGCCTCAATGTACAGCCCCAAGGGTCCGTGAACCAGCTCTATCAGCGACTCTCCAGCGACTCTCTTTTTCACAATGGGATGGATCCAACCCGCAGCTTGAGCCTAATCCGTTGGCCTCATTAATCTAGCATGTGGCCGGTTTGCCGCGGAAGCGATGCACACCAACAGTACAACGACTGCGGCCGTGGGCCACAGCTCCATGAAACCGACTGCTGCACTGCTGCTTTCTCGGCCTCATGGTTCATCGCATAGACATGCCCCCGTGTAGCGGGTGGGCGTGCTGTTCACACAGGTTAGCCCCAGAGTGTATCTCCTGGGAAATCTGGCCCATCGCCTGGCCTTGAGACGAGGTAACGAGGGGAGACGTTGGCCAAAACGTGCGGGCCGGGCCATCACCCTCATTCTCTTTCCGAAGTCACGCGTCGCGTGCGTTCGCTTCTCTTTAGCTCTTTCCGCGCAGATGAAGACCGAGACTCGTCGCCGGATGCAGCAGGCACGATCCCGAGAGACCGACCAAAGAGTCATCAATGGACCAGCTCTGGCTGCAACACATGTTTGGTGTGCTTGGGACACCGTTTGGTGGTAGGTTCCATGCATTGTGGACCATGCCGGCAGACTCCTCCTGGCCTGTTTTGTGGTTGAACGTTGGATACATAAACAGTGCCTCTGGTTGTTTTACGTTTCACCCAACCGCTGTGATGCTTGGTCGATGACGCCCAATCGTCCTGTGCCACTGTCCGCTACTTGCGATCACCACCTTGTGCCACTGACGGTTTGTACGCCATAGTGAGCCGAGCTGGCACGCTTCCCTAGCCTCGCTCGTTGTCTCGCGTTTACACTCGGCCCCGCCCCTCAAGTCTAAAATGGCCTATTTCGTGTAAAGATGCTACAATGCCTGGAAGTTGATGGCGTGCAGCGCCCGCCTGCGCTCCGTCTCGTCTTCCCGCTTCTCACGCTCGCCGAGCCACATCACCACTATGCCAAGAACAACCACGGTCACTGCCACGGCAAGAGCGACCCATGGCACCCAGTCGCCCGGGTGAAGGAAGAGCTCGACGCGCCATTCTTTGGAGCGCTGCGTGACTGGTGGGCTGGGTTCATCGGCCTTTGCTGGCCATGGTGGGTTGATGATGACCTGCGAGTTGGGGATCAACGACTCGAGCTGGGTTGTCGAGTCCTCCCAGGCGGATGTGCCTGCGAAGAAATTCTACCTGTCAGCACAATCTCTAGGAAAAGCAAGACGTACCTCGATGTAGTTGTTGGTACGGCCCAGGCCAATGAAGGTATGTGGCGAGTGGAGCGCATGGTAGCAGGTCTGGGGCAACTGGGGCACTTTCTGTCAGCTCTGCCACAAAAGGGGCAAGCTCACCTTGTTGGGCATGGCGTGTGCCTCCAGTATCAAAGACAGTAAACTTGAAGGAAGCGCCAGAATAGCTGGCACCACGGCCCGAGTAGCTCTTGCCGCCGTCTGACGGGTCGCACGATGTGCCTTCGCATGCACCGTTCAGAACTGGAACGTCAGTTTTATGCACTATGGTTGCCAAAACCCACCCTGCGCCTTGAGGAAGAAGGCGTCGTGGTAAAAGTTGTTCTGGATAAAAGTCACGCGCTCCTTGTCTTGCTTGCCAGATCGCTGGACCATGATATCCAGCGACCCATCGTCGTCGAGGTCGATCCAGCTCGCGCCAGTTGCGTCGGTGATCCTGTCCAGGGCATCCCAGCCCTTTCCTCCGCCAACGACTAGTCCACGGGCACCCTTGGGCGCGTTGGTGCATCCGGGCACACCCTTGCCGCACGGCACGTTGTGGAGGACTTTGACCTTGGTGTCGTATCCGCTCTTGACGGTTACGAGGAGGTCGGGGAAACCGTCTACGTCAAAATCACCGGCACGAGGGGGGAGTGGAATATCCTTGGTACCAGGCGCCGAGACGAGAAGCTGGACATCGTCGCCGGGGAACAGGTCCGTGATGGGGATCGATGTGAAATACTGATGGGTCAACACATGCCAAGGGAGCAGCACCCACGTCGCTTTCTGGGTCGGTGTCAAAGTTAAACGCAGGGTCTGACTTGCACAGCTCGCCCCAGCCACGACAACCAAGGCGGCCGTGTGAGTCGTAACGGCTGGTCTCGCTCGAGCAAACACCAGCCTGGACGTTGTAGGCAATGTTGATGCTGCAGCCGGTTCCAACACCAGTGGAGGGGATGGTCTTCTTGCAGGAAGCAAACACCAGATCGAGGGCGCCATCGCGGTCTGTGGGTGGACTGTCAGCGGCCATGTCATCGTCGCTTAGTCGGTAGGGTACTCACTCATATCCGCAAACGTCACTGCGCGGCTGCCGGACGGCAAGTCGATCCGCTTGGACATGACGTACCCAGATTCGCCCTTTGCGAGCCACACCTGGAGGCTGCCCTCGTTTGCTCGTGCGTGACGGCAGTGGAGGACGAGATCGGGCTGGCAGTCGCCGTCAATGTCGACGAACGCGGACGAGTGGGGCAGAGCCAGCTGGCACACGTTCTCGTCTGGCCACAGCATGGAGCGACTAAGGGTGATCGCCGTGCCATTATTGCGCCATGAACGAAGAGCTGGTCCCTCATCTGTCTTGACATAGCCAAGCAGGGAAGCTCTCAAGGATCCGTCATCGTCAAACACAATCGGCTGGGCCTCTGTTGCGGGATCGAGGTCCCAAACGTCACCAGTGCCCGAGTCTGTGGGCCGTCAGACATATTCCATCCCAAGCCTGAACTCACCAAGTCCCCCTGGTCCTCCAAGAACGACACGCATGTCGGTCCTCATAGCGCCAGGAGTGCCCCACCATCCGCCGCCGTTGGCGCCCTCGGTCATCATGGCGAGCAGGTCGAGGCGTCCGTCTCCATTGAAGTCGGCTGGCACAACATTGACGACATCGTGCGGGAACGCGATGCTTGACGCATGGGTGTACTTGAAGTTGTCTGCCAGATCAGCAACGAAGGGTTTACGCGACGGGAAAGATGAGCGCCGCGTCTTGAACAGCCATCCCTCGAGTCTGCCCAAAGTCGCTACGCCTACGCACCACGTTGCCAGAGATACAGGTGGACAGTCTTGCCATCTTGGTCCAACACAAACAAGTCAGAGCTGCACCACACGTCAGCATATGCACTGGTCTCTGCAAACCCTCCCTCTCCCCCTCACTTTTGGTCGCCGTTGATATCTCCAATGGCGAGGACGCGGCCTCTGACGGCATCGTCGAGACCCAACGGGCCTGCGTCGATGAATGCTTCGGCTGTGAAGCGCTTTGGCTTGAACGGCCAGAGCGCGGCCGAGCCTTGCACAAGGCCCAAGAGCAGCGCGAGCTGGCCGAGACGCATCGAGACGGATAGCGATGACGGCTGTTGTTGTTATAAAGATGTCGTGAATGGAATCGAATCCGTGTATCCATCTCCTCTTGGCACATTGTGTCACTGCGGCTGGCGCGATTGAGTGGCGCATTAGAAATGGAGGTTGGATTAAACGCGGAGGTATTTTAGGCATTAACGGAGGTATATATCTTATAATTCATTAGGAAACACACCCGCCCACCCGGCGTCGGCTATGAGGGGGCCGAAAGAGCCACTGAGAGATCCCTCTCCATGTCTCGGTTTCTTGCTCATCTCTCGTCCCTTCCATCCACTCCACCATATCATTTCTCTATCGATGAGTACAGAGGCAGGGCCGTCGGTCCCAACACCACTGCGAAGGGCCTACGAGCCACGAGCACCTCTGGTCAACCAGGTAGACGCAGACAGCCTCGATGACGGTATCGCACAGATGCTCGGAGAGGGAGTCGAGCGTGCAATCCACCGCTGGCGCGTGAGTTGCCAAACGTCTAGACAGACGGCCGTTCTTTGCTGACACCAGCAGCCATCGCTTGCACCGGACTTTAGGCCCGAGATTGAGCTCCTCCTCAAGCTCCTCTGCTTTGGTGTCGGCGTCCTGGGTCCCAGCATAGCGAGTCCCGGCGCCGCACTCCAGAACCTCCGTCTGGCATCGTCGCGCCGGGCCGGACGACGTGAGTGCCGGCCATGTCCGCCTGGTCCTCCCCCCAACACCAACCCAACCAACTCTGAACTGACCAACTGCAGCCACACGCTCCTCGCTGCTCCTCTACCTCGTCCTCCACCCACCTCTCCTCCCACGCTACCTCCTGACGCGTGCTCGCAGCACGGCACTGTCGCGGCAATGGCCTGACCTGCCTGCTCATGACCGTCGACGCAAGCTGTGGAACCTGCTTGTCCGTATCGAGAATGCCGCCCGCGCCTGGGAGCTGGCTGGCTGGGCTTGGTTCCTCTGGGACGGCAAGTACCCTTCGCTCTTGATGCGTATCCTCGGCCTCCGTCTGGTCCCTTCGGCACCGCGTCTTGCCCGCATGGTCTCGTACGAGTACATGAACCGACAGCTCGTGTGGGGCGTCATGACCGTGAGTTAACGTTTTGTCCTCCAATCGCTAAACTCCATACAGGAATTCCTCCTCTTCGCTATCCCGCGCATTCCCACACTCCCCTCGGCCATCAACCCGGCCACAGTTGTCGCTCCCGTCACGGCCTTTCTCCGCCAGCCGACCACGATCGACTACCAGGCTCTGTCGGACGCGCACGCCGTCTCGTCGGCCGCACGCAAGGCCGGCGCCCCGGCCCCAGCAGCGGCACATGCCGGTGCCCTGGCCGGTATTCCCGCCTCGACGTGCCCCGTGTGCTTCCTGCGGCGTACGAGCGCGAGCGTCGCGCTCCCGGGAACAGACATTGAGCTGCCCCAGCTCGACGTTGCCGCCGGCGAAGAGGAACAGGGCGACCACGACGAGCGTATCTTTGTCCCGGCCGTCACCGACTGCTGGGGCGAGTGCAAGTACTGCTACTACTGCATCGCGGACGAGCTCGCACAGCATGCCCAGCGCGACGCCAAGAGCGAGGACAAGTGGACGTGTCTCCGGTGTGGCGGCGGTGTCACGCGTGCAAAGCGGCTCGGCGCCGCGCCTGGTGCTCTCCAGCAGCCGTCCGAGTCGGAGACAGAGTCCAGCTCGGATGTCGATTCTGGAGGTATCGAGTCATCCCACGACTCGGGCATCGATTCGGAGACGGAACGCCTGGGCCAGTCATGGCAGGACGTCGGCTTGGACTCGTCGTAGAGGTAGAAACAAAGAATCGGTAGACAAAAGTGCACATGAAGCATCACTGCCTTAGTGTATGGTGTGCTGCTATCCAGGTCTTCAACCGTCCATGAACCAGAATCTAGCATCTCCCTGCCAGCATACAACAACTATGCGCCCATGCTACCCATTGCCTTTTTGAGCCGCTGTCTAAGCTGCTCGTCCCGGGCACTACCCGGGCCAGCGGGTACCATTGAGCTCGGAGCAGGCGCAATCGCCGGTCCACTGTTGGCCGTCCGGGCGTCTGCTGACATGGACTTGGGCTCAACAGACACGCCAGCCGCACTCGTCTTGAGCGAGCCGGTAGATGTGCTGTTGGTCACTCCCGCTGTGGCCGAGCTTGTGGTGGTCGTGGTCGTGGTTGTTGTCGTTGTGGGAGCCGCCTTGTAGCCCGCAGGCACTGGGGTAGCTGCACCAGACCCAGCGTCCATGTCGCCGTCATCTGTGTTCGGCAACGGGGCGAGGTCCGGTATCCTCTGCACCGTCTCAGTGCACACTGCACGGCGTTGCCAGCGTCTCCTGCGAGTGAACTGAATGTCAGCTGTGCACCAAATGTGGGGTAGCTCACCTTGCCGAGCCCGCCACGCGCGGTCATGTTCTCCCACTTGTTGTCTCCATACACCCATCCGTCGGCGTCTGTTGCGTCATCGACGGGGGCAATAGGTGCGTCCCCGGATGGTGTCGCACCGGCTACAACGTCGTCAATAGACACGTCGCCACCTCCGCTGGCCTCTGAGCCCGTTCGCCCGCGAACGCTCGGTGCCTTTGTGGGTGACACGACAGGCGATGCCAGAGGAACATTGACGTTTTTGAGACGACCGAGACCCTTGGCAAACGCCTGCTCGGCCATGGATGGCGAGCGGGTGTGGCCATCGTCCTGAGGAGGCGACGACCCAAAGATGCCCGACGATGGACGAGGCTGCTTGGAGGCAGCAGAGTCGCGCGAGGAACTCCTGGGAAGGTCGATGGACGCGATGGAACGCGTGTCCGACGACGAATCGTCTGTTGGGGACGGGGATGACATGCCGACAATTGTTGCAGGCGCAGTCGAGGCAGTGGCGCCAGACCCTGTGCGAACAACACTCCAGTCGTCATCGAGCCAGCGCCAAGCCGCAGTGCGCCTGACCTGTGCACGGGGCTCATTCCTGGTCGGGGCCGGCAAGTCGATGGAGGTGGGTGGCGGGAGAGTGAACGCGACGGGAGGTGAGACGGGCAAGATGTGCGAGTCGCACCAGCTGGGACGCTCTTGTGGTAACAATGCACTGGTCCAGTCGAGACCCATCCACCAGCGCTGGTTCTCGTGTAGCTCGAAGCGAAAGTAGACAGGGTTGCCGGCTTGAGTTCCGGCGGCGAGTTCCTCCTCCTCAGCTTCATCGAGGACACGCTCAAAAGCCAAAGCCTCGGCAGGGTGTTGTGACCAGTACCACTTTGACTTGAGCCAGCCCATGGGCGAGCCAAAGACGTAGTTGCGCTCCGGAGAGCCAAAGACAAGGATGAATGTGAGGGCGACGAGGCGGCGGACGGCCAGCGACTTTTTGAGCAGGTTGACAACATATGCGAGTGGTGGCGACGGCAGGAGGAGGAGGATGGATCCGGTAATGGCGACGAGGACGCGGGTGCCCAGGGCGTAGCCGAGGACGACCCACGTCGCCCAAAGGACAAGCAGGCCACGCAGCAGACGCCACGGGCCAAGCTGGTGGAAGCGGTTGTAGATGACGGACATGTGAGGGACCGGTGAGGGTGGAATGATGGCGCTGATGCTGTGGAGGTCACCGACGGTGACGAGAATGGTCTCGGTGGTTGCTGGCGTGGCGGGGATCGTGTGAGTCGGAGCTGGGGTCGAATTGAGCCGAAGGCGGCCGAGTGGGAACAATGGCGCAAAGACCAGTGGGGGGATGAGCCATGCAAACGCGTAGCCAAACCCGAGGCAGAATGCCCACCACCCTCCCACCAGCAGGTAGCTCTCGACGCGCCGCTCGGGTGTCCAGAAGACGATCTCGAGGGCGGTTCGGAGCGTTGCGATGGGGGTTGCAAAGAGGATGAGGAGGCGGAGAAAGGGCGCCGGGAGGGATGCCACGAGGTCGGTAGCAGGCATGGCGGCCTGCTGTGGCTTGTCTGGCTGGGGATCCAGTGTGGCTGCCGGTGCCATGGCGGGATGGATGGCGGCGACGACGCGATGGACGATGGTGAGGAAGAGGAATCGCACAACGACAGACAGACGAAAGCCAAAGAGCACTGACGTCGCCGATCAACCGGGCCACGTGGAAAATGCTTTACGTAATGCATTCTCGCCACTCTGTCTGCTGGGTGGAGGCCAGTCAAAGATTTCAGCGCGGGTGATTCTTCGTTCTTCACAACAAACCCATAACTTCACCACCATGCCCGCTCCCAAACAGTCTGGCGGCATGCTCGACCAGGACGAAGTCATGCGCGCGATGCTTGCCATGAAGCAAGAGGCGCAAGCTCGCGCTGGCGACAGCGACAGCGACAACGACGACTCTGGCTCAGACTCTGGCTCGGACTCTGGCTCGGACAATGGGTCGGACGACCTCTCTGACACCGAGGACAAGCCCGCCTCGTCTCCTTCCACCACCTCTTCCCCACACTCTTCCCCTCTCCCTACCGTCTCCTCCCTCCCATCGCGCAGCGCCGTCGCCACAACCTCGCGCGTCAAGCTCCCTCCTCGTGCCGACCCCAAGGGCAAGACCAAGGACGTGTTCGACTCTGACCGCGTCTCTGCCAACGCGACGTTTGAGTCTATCGGCCTGTCTGCCCCCGTCATTACTGCTCTCGCACAGCTGAGCATTCGCAAGCCTACCGAAATCCAGACTGCGTGTGTGCCGGCCATCATGTCGGGCCGCGACTGCATCGGCGGTGCCAAGACGGGTAGCGGAAAGACCATGGCGTTTGCTCTGCCCATCCTCGAGTCGATCGCCCGTGACCCCTTTGGCATCTATGCCGTGGTGCTCACTCCTACGCGTGAGCTCGCATACCAACTCTCGGAGCAGTTTTTGGCCATTGGCAAGCCGCTCGGCCTGACGACCGCTACCATTGTCGGTGGCATGGACATGCTCTCGCAGGCACAGGAGCTCGAGCGCCGCCCCCACGTCGTTGTTGCTACTCCCGGTCGCCTGTGTGACCTGCTCCGTTCCGACGGTGTTGGGCGGAGCAAGCTCTCGCGTGTGCGCACCCTTGTGCTCGACGAGGCGGACCGCATGCTCACCCCCACTTTTGCGCCTGAGCTCGCGTTCCTCTTTGAGCAGATCCCCAAGAACCGCCAGACCCTGCTGTTCACTGCCACCATCAGCAACGCCATCATGGACTTGGCCAACAAGCCTCCTGCGCCTGGCAAGCAAAAGCCTTTTGTCTACCGCGTCGCCTCGGATTCGCTCACTGTCGACCAGCTCAAGCAAAAGTACCTGTTCATCCCCAGCCAGATCCGCGACCCGTACCTATACTACCTCTTGCAGCACCCACCTTCGGACATTGACGTGGCCCTGCGCGCGCCCAAGCCCAAGCAGCCCAAGCCCAAGCAGGGTAAAGGAAAGAGTGGTGGTGGTGGTGGTGGTGGCAAGCGTGCTCGAGAGGACAGCCCCGAGGAGGAGGCCCTGGACATTCCATCCACGATCATCTTCACGCAGCGCTGTGCCACTGCGCACCTTCTCCACCTGCTGCTCGAGGCCCTCAACATTCCCTCGGTCCCGCTCCACTCGCACCTCACGCAGCCCCAGCGTCTCCTGTCGCTCGCCCGCTTCCGCGCCCGCGAGGTGCCCGTGCTCGTGACCACCGACGTCGGTTCGCGTGGTCTGGATATCCCCGACGTGGCCATGGTCATCAACTGGGACTGCCCGCGCCGCGCCGACGACTATGTCCACCGTGTCGGTCGTACTGCCCGTGCTGGACGCGGTGGTGTGGCCGTCACAGTCATCACTGAGCGCGACGTCGAGCTCATCAAGGCTATTGAAGACGAGGTCAAGGTCACCCTCACGGAACTCGAGCTCCCCGAGGAGCCAGTGCTCGAAAACCTCAACATGGTCTCGGTTGCGCGCCGTGTCGCCACAATGGTGAGTGCTGTTGTAACCAGCCTGTGCTGTTGTAACCAGCCTGCGCGCCGCCGTCACATTCCTGTTCCGAGCTGACACTGCACCAGGAGATGCACGACTCTGGGTTTGGCGAGCGCAAGGCCGTCAACAAGGCCAAGGCGATCAAGCGTGCTCGCCGCGACGCCACGGCTGCGTAGATGGAGAGAGACACAAACGCACACTGAAAGCGTTTTGACTGGGAAACCCCCACAAAAGTGAAACCTCCGGCGGCAACCTCATCTTATCTCCAAGACCGTTTGGGAGCTTCTTTTCAGGAGATCTGCAACATCCGTAGCACTGTGCAAGGGGCACCACCGCGCACACGTCACGACCGTGCGTGCCGCCAATGTACGATCCCCCTCCCCCACGTTCGTCCACACTGTACACTCCCCGGCCCGGCCGCACGCGTGGGTGGTGCAAAACGTGGGCATTTAGAGAACTAGAGTATCCAGAGGGAAGCAACAAAATGTAAACTGTATACAACAACGTTTTTTATGGATTGCACCGCGGGGTCTCCGTCCCACACGGTAAGAGCGAAGTGAAATCCGGGGGGGCGGCGTGGGGCGAAGGGGGGGAGGGGGTGTGCGGCTGGCGGACATGGCGGCGCGGGGCGTATGCACATATGCACAGCATATGGACAGGCGGTAAGGAGACGAGGCGCGCTACCCGGTTGGCGGGTGGCTAGCCGGGGGGGTGAACGGACAAAGCTGGGTGGTGCGGGATGGTGGTGATTCGCGCCCCACTGGGCCTCTGGGGGCCTCGCTGCGTCATTTCCTTGCAAGGAGGCGTCTGTCCTGGCCCGCTGTCGTTGGACAGCGTGGTGGTGGTGGTGTACTGTGCATGCGTGGCGGGGACTGGTGGTTCACAAAGGGTAAAAAACAAAGGCGGTGTAAGAGAGGGTGTTGCTCGATGCTCGAAGCGAACAGCTCGATACGGGGCGGCCTAGGGTGTGGACTGGTCTGAGAGGTTTGGGGAGCTGAGTGGTTCGAGTAGTGGTGGGTCTAGTGTTATTCTAGGCTGGGTCGGTTTTTTTCGCGCTGTCTCTGGCCGGGCCAGTGGGCCGGTGGCCAGTGGAGCCTGTGGGGACGCATTGTATCACTCCTTGGTCGCAACTGGCCGTTGGACGACTGCCGCGTTGAGGTCGACCGGTCCGCTTGCGTGCACGACATAGGCCGGGAGGGTCTCGGCCGACCATGACGAATTGGCATGTTGTTGTCCGGCACAGGAGCATGTGTTGCACCGTCCACGGGAGGCCAGGTCGTGCATGAGAGCGTAGATGAGGATACCGAGACCGACGCCGACTGAGAAAGGACTGTCAGCACGACCATGGCTTGGGGAGAAGAATTCCGTTGGACGGCGGGTCGCTGTATATTGTTGCTGGTGTACCGACTCATGTACCACCATATTCCGAGACAAGTGGTTTGGAAGCTGGGGCCAAGAGGTGCACGAGGATTGAGAGAGAAGGAGGAGGAGGACAAGGACAAGGACATGGGACATGGATACGCACGGCAGAGGATGAAGAGGTCTGTTACGCGGCCGCGCTGCATCAAGGCGGCACAGGTGGCCAGGTCGAAAGTGGTGGGCGACTGACGGAGGTGGTGGAAGGGAGCCATGGTGGAGGGTTTGGTGGGTGGGATGGGGGATGGGGGATGAGAGAGAGAGGGAGTGAGAGAGAGAGATGTGATGGTCCCTCTACAGCTTTGTGTGTGTATGTATGCTAAGCTCGCTGTTGGTGTCTGTGTGTTGCCGTTCGCTTTGTGGAAAATGACCCACCCATCCATCCCAACCATATGGCCATCCACCTGCGCGGCCACACGCCCCCCCCCCCCCCCCCAAGACGATGCCAAGACCCCGCAAACGGGAACACGGATCACGGACTGCCTGGTGGCGGCTGCCGGCGTATACGCTTGGTCCAGGCACCTCTAGGCCCACAGACGCACGCACGTGCATGGAGGGGGTCAATAACGGACCACATTAGGAAAACTCTAATGGCACTCTCTCCACCCCGTTTACCATTTCACACCTCGTCATATCGTCATCGTCGCACCCTCCACACCCGCAAAGGCGATGCAGCATGAGCTATAAACAGCGACCACACGACCATAGGCTCCAACCACTCTCACACCCCAGATGTGAGACAACAACACGATGTGGGATGAGATGCACGCGCGCGTTTTACGCCGTTTCAGCAAACACACGCGCGTTGTCGTACATCATGTTCAATCAGATTGCGCACACTCGTGTGCACATGATGAGGCACGCGAGCGCCCGTGGCCTGTGGAGCTGTGGCCTGTGGCCTGTGGTGGTGAACGTGTGAAGACGAGACGACGACATCATCTGTCGCAGCTGGGCTGGTGTTCGCTTGCGTTTTGCTTTCTGCCTGCAGCTGCCTGTCCCACGTCCCAGCTTGTCCGTCTTCTCCGGCCCGCACACGGGTACGGGGGTCCAAACCTCCTTGGCTCCTTGGATCCTTGGCGCACGCGTAGATTCCCAGAGATCCAAGAGATCCACGAAGGCAGAAAGGCTGAATGCGCAATGCGTTCATTACAAAGTGTATTATTACTGTTAACGCATTAGCTCCTCCCGCTTCATTTGAATTTATCAATTTTCCCCCATTTACAATCATTAAACCTATAGAACCTATTTCCTTGCAACGGACCCATTTGCTTTCTTTGCATTTCCTAATCCCGTCAGCGGGAGCAAAATTATTTCTGAGATCACCTCACCATTCGCTATCCGACATGACGCGTAAGCAGCAACGACGAGCAGAAGCAGCGAGCGACGGCAGCGGCAGCAGCAGGCAGCGAGCACACGTTCGTTGGCATCTCTCTGTGTCTCTCTTTTCTCCTTCTCATATGCATCTTATCCCTCGCATCATCAAAACAATGTCCAGCGACAAGGGTACGCCGTCTCCCTGGGAGCTTGCCTTGTAGCTCGTTGCTGACGCTCCCCCTCCCACAGTCCTCGTCGGTGTCATCGGTGGCTCTGGCCTCTACCACCTCGACAACCTCACCTTCATGTGCGTCGTCAAAACACATCGCTCCACTCACTTGTACTGACATTCCCATCCAGCAAGAAGGTCGAGGTTGAGACTGTACGTTTGTCCCCCCTTTACGAATCTCACACATTCACCATGTACTGATTCTTTCCGCTAGCCCTGGGGCAAGCCCTCGTCGCCCATCACCATCTCGGCGCTCCCCAACGGCTCGCAGATTGCCTTCATCTCGCGCCACGGTCCCCACCACACCATCACCCCTACCGAGGTTCCCGCCCGCGCCAACATTGCCGCTCTCAAGCACCTCGGCGTCCAGGCCATTGTCGCGTTCTCGGCCGTCGGCTCGCTCCGCGAGGAGGTTGCTCCTGGCCACTTTATCATCCCGGACCAGATCATCGACCGCACCAAGGGTATCCGCGAGGACACCTTCTTCCGCGGTGACGGCGTTGTCGTCCACTCGATGTTCGGCGACCCGTTCTCGGGCCAGCTCAACGCCTTTGTCGCCCCCCGCGTCGAGAAGATCCTCGCCTCGACCGACGTCAAGCTCCACACTGGCAAGACCGTCGTCTGCATGGAGGGTGAGTATACCACGACCCCCAGAGGTGGCTGTGGCGTTGTGGCACCGCTGACACGTTTTCTTTTTCCCAGGCCCCGCCTTCTCCACCCGCGCCGAGTCGATCATGTACCGCCAGTGGGGCGGCGACATTATCAACATGTCGGTCATTCCCGAGGCCAAGCTCGCCCGCGAGTGCGAGATTGAGTAAGAGAGCTATCAGCACCGTACGTGGCACCTAGCTAACAACTCCCAGCTACACCCTCATCTGTACCTCGACCGACTACGACGCCTGGCGCGTCGGAGAGGCCCCCGTCACCGTCGAGGAGGTCGTCAAGGTTCTCCACACCAACGCCGGCAACTCGCGTGCCGTCGCCGCCGGTATCCTCGAGGAGGTCGCTGCCCACGTCGAGGCTGGCGAGCTCACCGAGATCCGCGGCAGCATGAAGTTTGCCTGCATCACCCGCGCGGACGTGAGTGCGAAAGAGCTGGCCGAGCGAAGCGAGGCGTGGCAACCGTCATCACCTTGTGCTGTCTTGACCCTCCTGCTGACAAGTCCCCAGGTCCAGCCCAAGGCTGCCCGCGAGAAGTACTCGTTCATCCTCCCCGAGTACTTCTCTTCGTAAACACACACCTGTGTGTGTGCGAGCTTTTTAGAGCGGACTCTAGATTTTCTTGGCTTTATCGTATATCAAACCTAGATGCATCTGATAACCGCCACGACACCTCGCTTCCGAACGTTCTTCCCTGCTTTGCTTTCTATAAACTAAAATCTCTAGACTCCATCCACGTCGCGTCCCCGCTCACTGGCTCCAGCCACCGACCTCGAGCACGGCAGCCAGGGTGACCTTTGCGATGCTCTGGATCTGCTCAAAGTCGTAGCCCTCGCGGTCGCTCAGGTCGCCCGAGTTGTGGTACATGGGGTCGGCGATCCAGCCGTTACGCTCAAACACCTGTGTGGCGGGGAAGTTGTACGAGAGGAAGCTCTGGTGGTCCGAGCAGCAGGCGGCCGTGCGGCCGACCACGAGCTCGGGCGCGTACAGCGCCGACAGGTTGGCGACGAGGTAGGACGCCTCGGCGAGCTCAATGGTCGCGGGCAGGCCGAGCTGGAGGGGCTCGCCGGGGACGCGGTAGGCGAGCATGTCGGCCTGGATCTGGAGGATGACCGTGGCGTTGGTCTCGGCGAGGTGCTTGGCGTAGTAGTGCGAGCCCCAGAGACCTTGCTCCTCGCCGGCAAAGAAGCAGAGCGTGACCTTTTTGTCAAACTTGACGCCGTGCTCCTTGATCGCGTGGCCCACGGCCAGGACGTGCGCCGAGCCAGACCCGTCGTCGTCGCCGCCGGGCGCGCGCGTGTTGCCAAACGAGCCGCGGCTGTCGTAGTGGCCCGACAGGATCACGCGCTCCTCGCTGTCCGAGACAGACGGGTACTCGCAGATGACGTCCGGGGCGAAGCCCTCGAGGAACGGGAACAGCTCGCACGACGCGCCAGTGGTCTCCATCTTCTCTGCAAAGAGTTAGTGCAAATCACACAGAGAGAATGGGGTCGCAGTTACTCACCCTTGATCCACTGGGCAGCAATGCGCGCTCCCTCGGTGAAACTGTGGCGGGTGATAATCTCAGAGTCCTCGCCCGTGAGCCAGCGGACGTCGGCACGGATCTGGCTGGCGCTGATGCTCTCGACAATCTCGTTGACAGTGGGGTCGAAGCGGAGACCCTTGGTGACGTTGGCGAGGTGCTCGGCGTACTTTACAGGAATGTCATAGTTGAAGGGCAAGGGCTCGGCCGGGATGCCCACGGGGACGTATCCGCGCGGGAGGAGGGTGTCGAGCACGCCCAGAGTCGAGGCTGGGACCGAGAGGAAGAGACCCGACTGGGACGCGTGCACGAGCGTGGGGGCCACGGCGGGAGAGTGGGCCGGCGACGAAAAGGCCACCTGTTCAGACTGCTGGCCGGCGAGGATGGCCGCGTCGGCGAACGAGACCGTGGCCGCCGTGGTGATCACGTCCCACACGGCGGCGACGTCGGCGCGCAAACCCACACCTTCGATACCGGCCGCACCGACCCAGACGAGGTGTGCCTCGTCGCTGTGGGAGGAGAGGGGCACGATGGAGCCCGCGTCGAGAAACGACGACGCAGACGACGCGCACTCGTTGGAAGGCAGATAGACGCTCTCGCCGGCATAGGTGCCGTGGTAGGCCGACTGGAGGCACGCCGGGAGGGAGGCCGAGGGAGCGTTGGGGGTGAGGAGCAGGAGAGGCGGGGTGAGAGCCGCCGCCGCCGTGGGGATAAAGGGCAGGAATGGCAACATGGTGTAGAGGGTGGATGGGAGAGTGGAAGACAAGACAAGACGGCAAGACGAACAGATGGCGTAACCATGCGCGTCCTTATCGGACTTGCCCGCCCGGTGATCCGACGGAGGCAACGAGAGCAACAGGTGCGGGTGGCGAGTGGCACCTGCCGGGCGACATGCATGGCCGCTGCTTGAGCGCTCGGCGTTGGAAAGCGAGCCCAAGCAACTTTGAGAGATGGCTTGTATTATCTTGTCATTACTGCGAGATGATCCTCTGCTCAAGCACTGTCTCATACACGGGGAACGCACACAGAAACCACGCGGCCACATCCTGCCACACCCACATCGCGGCCTACACACCACGCATTTGTCATTGTTTTGTTATCCTACTTGTTTTCATAAGTACTCCAAACGCTCCTGCAACTGTATTAATGTGCTTCTAAACCTCTGGTGCTAAAATGCATTGCCGCCGTCAAGCTCGTGAGCGACTGGGAGCAGGCCGCACTTGCAAACACCCAACGTCACAGTGGACGCTAATACATGCATGGGCTACAGACGACTTGGCTCTCTACATGAGAGCGTATAGTAATGGACATGAGGTTACGAAAATTCGGGAGGGGAAGGGAAAGCGCAGACAGAGCTTGTACTTTTGAGCCACTGGTATCAACAGTGACCGAGACGCGCGCCTATGCCTCAAGGGCATTTCCAAAACACTGCTTGTTAATCTCCTTCAGACGGTGGAGTAGAGCTCGGTCGGCGGCGATGTAGCTGTAGTTGCGGCCGGGCTTGTTGGTCTGGAGGTACGAGCCAAGGGCGGCGATGGCACCAGAAGTCACGTCTGCCAAGTCAGTCGCAGTTTGGTAGGAAAAAAAACTCACGGTAAATGTCCCAGTATGCGGGCGAGTCGGGGCCGGCCAGCTTGAGCATGATTGAGATTATAGCATGGAATGGGGCATGACGGTGCTTGATGTAGTGGGCCTTGCCGTTGGATCCGACAGACGCGTGTAGGCGACCTCGGCCTGTGGAATCGAGACGGAGCTGGGGCGGCGGCATAGTGAGGGCGGCCTCGCACAGTTCGAGAAGGGACGCAAGTTCGGCCTTGGATCCCGGGCGGAGCTGGAATAAGCGTGGTAAAGGATATTGGGATGGAGGAAAACTCACCTCGTTGTTAAGCTCAACATGCGTCACCTGCGTAATGGTCACGGCACGTTTGCGACCGGCAGTGACGCGTCCACCAGGCATGAACATGTTCTGCCTGGTCTTGAGGATGTGACGAGCAGCGTCCTGGGACGCGACCTCCACGTACTACTGTCAGCTTTCGCACAAGAAGTGTATTTCCGTACCATGTAATCTTTCGTACGTCCGTCGCGGCGATCGAGGCAAATGTGGATAGGCTGCGGGTGACCCACAGGCAAAACATTGGGAGGAAGGAACCTCTCGACAACCAATGGCTCAACATCCTACAGATCAGCTGCAGCACGTGAGCACCGCTTTCACTCACCCAAGCGACATTGTCAATCCTCATCACGATGGTGTCGCTGCTGGTCTCGTACGTCCATGGCTCTGGCACGGGCAGCAAGTTGTTCGCCTTGCGAGAGTTTGGTCCACGGACGGCGATGTAGCTGACTGGTTTGTACGTCTCAAACGTGGTGACTGGCTCCATGCAGGCAGGGCACTTGGCTGCACCTTGGGTGACAGAGACGGCGGATAAAGCCGAGGAGAAGCAGGTCGGACACACGAGGTCCTGGAATTGAGTGAGCGATGAGGCTTCCACGGATACGTACTTCACATGGATTGACATTGAAGACGCGTGAGACTCGTCCGTCACAAGCGACGCAGACGAACATGGTGTCATTGAAGAGGTCCGCCTCGGCGAGAGCCTGCTCGCCGAGGCGTGTCGGAGAGGAGCTGTTGCTCTCATCCTTGACGAGTGCGGAACCTGTTGAGCGAGGTGTGGTAGGGATAACAGTGCGAGGTGCAGCAGAGGCAACAGTGCGAGTACTAGCAAAGGGAATTGAGCGAGTGCTGGACGCAGGAGCCGTGCGGATGCTTGAGGAAGGAACAGTGCGACTGCTGGAGGAAGGCACAGTGCGAATGCTGGTGCCGAGTGACGAGCTGGCTGGGGTGCTTTCTTGAGAGAAGGGAATAGGGATGGGGATAAGCTTGGGCCTCTTGTGCAGTGGAATTCTGTTGGGCGCAGAGTGAGGAGCTAGACGGCGAGGTGGAGAGTTGCGAGTGTGAAGCCTCTGGAGCTGGGAGAATGGTCAGTAGACATGCCACCCTGGGCGGCGGTACCCACGAGCGACCGAGTCCAAAGGAGACCCTTGTCCACTGGAGGTGACACAGGGCTGTCGTCAACGAGAATGTCTTTCTTAGGAAGAGGCTCTTGAATCTTGGGAAGGTCCGTTTCACTTTTGCGGCGGGGAAGCTCAAAGGTCAAGTCGGTGCTTTCAAAGCTCGAGTCGACAAACATGTCATCGAGTTCGCTAAACTCTGACATGGGAGCAGAGTAGGCGACCCAGTCTGTAGGCGGTGTCGGAGGTGCATCGGTTAAAGAGTGGATGTGACCACCGATAAGGCTTGGTGTTTGACGCAGGGAAGGAATGGTTGAAGAGGGCCTTCCCACCGCCTCTTGGGGTGTGGATGTGGCACTCGAGCCGCTGCTTGACGAGAGATCGAGAACCTGGGACTTGAACGGCCCAATGATTAGGATCTGGGAGCGGTCCTTCTGTGACAAGCAGTCAGAACAAGTTATTGCATCACAACCCACGGTGAGCTTGCGGCGGCGACGGCCACGTTGGCTTTGACTCTTCCAACTGCTTCCGACTGCTGTCTGTGTTGACATTTCGGCAATGACTTGGGCAGCCTGCAGGAGGACCGAAGAATCAGACGGCATGACAGGCACGCGAAGCCTTTGAGGCGGGGATGTGTTGGAGTAAAAGGGCTGGGCCTGGATGGAAGTGGGGAAAAAGGCTGGAGCGAGGATGGCCGTTGGGGGGAGTGGAGACCGGACGTGGTGGCGGTCGTCTGGAGGAGGGTGTGGATGAGACATGTGAGCAGGCGTGGCTAGGTTATGCTGTATACACAGAACAGGGATGACAGCAGGGGAAGGAAAAGGAGGATAAAGAGGAGAGAGAGGATGAGGATGAGGATGAGGATGATCGGATGAGAAAAGGAAGAAAAGGAAGACACGGCAGACGCGTTACATACACCCCACCCACACCCACTCACTCACATCCAGTCAACCAGGCCACTCTTCCCTTCCCTTCCCCTCCCACGGTCAAGTGCGGTGGGGCACCACAGTTATTTTGCCTCCGTCCGTCCCTTCCCTCTGCGTATCAATGACGGGACACCCACGCGGATCATCGTGATTGTGCACCTGAGAGCCATGTGGGCACACTCTCGCATCCATGCATCCATTCCATTCTCAACACTTCCTCCCTCTTTTCCATTCACCCTCATCCCCTCCCTCCTCATATCCACAATGGCTGCCAACCCTAGCTTCCTCAAGTACGTCGACGACCACCAGGCCGACTTTATCCAGCGTCTCAAGGAGGCCGTCGAGATCCCTTCGTAAGTAGACGGACACACACGCCCCCCCCCCCCCCCCGTCGTCAAGCCCATCACATGGCGCGAGCGAGAGCGCGACAGAATCAGCACTGACGGACACAGGGTCTCGGGCAACCTCGAGTAAGTTGGCTCGTATACACCGGCGAATCGTTCCAGCTCCTAACCATCCAGATACGTCAAGGATGTCGAGAACATGGCCGACTTTCTGATCAAGCAGCTCACTGAGCTCGGTGTCAAGGCTGAGAAGCGCGCGATCGGTTCGCACACCATCACTGGCGAGGAGGTTGCCCTCCCCCCCGTCGTCATTGGTTCGATCGGCAATGACCCCAGCAAGGTGCGTGCCAACTGAAACTTTCCAGTGTCTAACACCCGCCGCAGAAGAACGTCCTCGTCTACGGCCACTACGACGTCCAGCCCGCCCTCAAGGAGGACGGCTGGGACTACGAGCCCTTCACCCTCACTCCTGACCCCAGCGGATCGGGTCGCCTTTACGGCCGTGGCTCCACCGACGACAAGGGCCCCGTCATGGGCTGGCTCAACGTCCTCGAGGCCCACAAGAAGCTCGGCATCGAGCTCCCCGTCAACCTCAAGATGGTCTTTGAGGGTATGGAGGAGAGCGGCTCGGTCGGCCTCGACAAGTTTATCGAGTCGGAGAAGGACGGCTTCTTTGCCGGCCAGGACTGCATGTGCATTTCGGACAACTACTGGCTTGACACCAAGACCCCCTGCCTCACCTACGGTCTCCGTGGTATCAACTACTACGAGGTCCGCATCTCGGGCCCCTCGCGCGACCTTCACTCGGGTGTCTTTGGCGGTACCGTCCACGAGCCCATGACCGACCTCTTTGCCATCAGTGAGAGCTTCTGGATTCCATGGTCAAGCTAACCCTCCCAGTGTCCAAGCTCGTCTCCCCCGAGGGCGAGATCCTCATCCCTGGCGTCAAGGAGCTCATTGCCCCCGTCACCCAGGACGAGCAGGACAAGTTTGAGAAGATCCACTTTGAGATGGCCGACATCCACGCCGCCGTTGGTGGCGACGTGACCATCTCGGAGGACACTGTCAAGACTGTGAGTGGACGTGGGAAGGAATGCCAGCCACCGTGGCTGCCTGAGTCGACTCCGAACCATCAGTGATCATTGTTCTGACGCCGCGTGTTAGCTCATGGGCCGCATGCGCAACCCCTCGCTCTCGATCCACGGTATTGAGGGTGCCTTCTCGGCTCCCGGCTCCAAGACCGTCATCCCCGCGTCCGTCGCCGGCAAGTTCTCGATCCGTCTCGTCCCCAACCTGGGCATCAACAACACCACCGAGTGCGTGTACAAGTACATCAACGAAGAGTTCAAGAAGCTCGGCTCCAAGAACAAGTGCGAGGTCGAGCTCACCCACGGTGGCGAGCCCTGGATTGTGAGTGTTGTGAACTTGATTGTAAAAATGGATGAATCGGCTGACACGTTTAGGCCGACCCCAACCACTACTCGTACCGCGCGGCCCACAAGGCCACCGTCGAGGTCTACGGCCAGGAGCCCGACTACACCCGCGAGGGCGGTTCCATCCCCGTCACCCTCGACTTTGCCAACATTCTCGGCCTCAACATTCTCCTCCTCCCCGTCGGCCGCGGTGACGACGGTGCCCACTCGACCAACGAGAAGATTGACACCTCCAACTACATCAACGGCACCAAGCTCCTCGGCTCGTACCTCTACGAGCTTGCCGCCATCAGCAAGGACTAAATACCTGTGGAGGGGTATAAATAGAATGTCGTGGGCGATTTGTGTATCGTAATCACGCAGCAATGCAGCAGTGTTTCCTTTTGACGTAGCGTTACAGACATAACATGCAAGCCACAAGAGTGTGAAGGAAGAGATACTACAGTGACGATGAACAGACTGATGAAAAAGGGAAGATGAATGACACAATAATAACGAAGATGAACGCGCACAACGCTCTTCATCCCCTGCCAAACGTGCCGTACCCATGCGACGACTGGGACACTGGGACCTCTGCCTCACTGCCCGCGCTCCGTCCGAGTAACCGCGCACTCGCGCTCCTCCTCACCAACTCGCCTGCACGCGCGGCAATCTCGTCCGCCGCGCCCGCCACGCCAGCCATGCCATCCACGAAATCGGCAATGGCGCCCTCGGCCACAATGGGCTGCATCCGCGGCCGCGGCAGGTCAATGATGCTCGAGTCGGACACGCTCGAGCTGCACGACCCGTCAGAGTCATAGTCGCAGTCGTGGTCGTGGTCGCTCGTGAGGCCCATCTCGGCGTCGAAGCGGGACGAGCCAGGCTCGGCACAGCTTCGGTGGAAGGACGCGCGTGACGCGCGTGAGGTGGCGCGGGACGACCCTCGGTGTGACGCGTTGTCGTGGTCACCGTCGAGCGCGGGCCCGTGCGCAGTCCTCGCATAGTCAAGCCCGTCGTCATCGTCGCAGTAGGCGTACCCATCCGCGCCGTGCTCTCCGTCGTCGTCGGTATCAGCGTCCGCGGCATCGGCCTCATCGTACTCCTCCAATATACTGTCGTCTGCGCGGTGGCTCCACGGCGAGTACGTGTAGGACGCGCCTGCCGGTGCGGCCGTGGGACTGGGCAACCCGCGAGACCGCGAGGATGGCGGCGGCGGCGTACTGAACAGCGGGGTAAGGTTTGCAGAGTCCCGCACTCTACCGCCGGCCTTGCCCAGCGACTCTCGTCGGGGTCGCCGACCTACACCGGCAGGTGTCAGGCTGGGCGACAGGGGTAAGGGCAGGAGAGACGGGGACAGCGCGTCGACGCCGTCGAGCATGTTGGCGTGCGCATCGTTTGCCGGTGGACCGCGTAGTGAAAAGGGGGCAAAGTGTGTAGGTGGAACCAGGCGGACGAGGAGGAGGAAGAAGACCTGGACAAACGTCAGCGGCGTGCCGTGCGGCGAGATAAAGACGACGACAAGGAGCCAACCAGTGTGTGTCTAGACGTACGTATTCAAATGAAGCGATGGCCGCAGTCTGTGCATGGTTAGTCAAGTCAAGTACCAGCTGCACATCTGCTCACGATCAAGAGGTAGAAGGCGCTGACGGGCTGTGGGTCGGGAATGTTCCGCATCAACTGGGCGGCACACACCTCCCAAGTACACGCTATCAGCGTCGCGCCGCTGGCGGCCACCAGCCACGACCCGCGTGCGCGCCAGCGCGCACTGGGGACCAAGATGAGAGCGAGGACCGCAGCGCGCACCCCGGCCAGAGCGGTCAGGTGGAGTGGGGTCGGATGGCGGAGGGCATGGTAGAGCGCGTACCCAAAGTCGCCGATGGCGAGCGGGAGGAGCGGGAACGGACGCGCGAGTGGCCACGCTGGCTGGGTGGGGCCAAAGAGCGGGGATGCTGGCGTGGGGAGAGGGTGCCGAAATGACTGGCGGCGGGGCATGGCGCCCAGGTGGTGAGTGGACGTGAAATGAGAGAGAGAGAGTATGTATGGACAAGAGTGGAGAGACTGTCAACAAAACGGACAAGCGCGTTCGACGGCCGTCGGTGTGCGCGTGTACGCTGTGGCCGGTGGAATTGCCCGAGACGGACACAAACAAAACGCTCCTGGCGGGGGGGTGTGGCAGTCACGCAGCGTACGCGGCTTGTGGCCACCAAACAAACCAAAAGAAAGTGTGACATCCATGGTACACTGGAACACTGACAACTACATACAAGCCCCGGTCGGCTGAACCTCTCTCGAGCATATCCGGGGTATTACGGCCTCCGCTGCGCTACATTCACTACGACGCCCACCACTCTACCTCCAGGCCGGGCGCCCACTGCCCCCAGCCGCTGCCGCCGCCGCCGCCGCGTTCAATTGAGAGATCGACGCCCGCGGACGGAGACTGCCGCCGCCGGGCAGCTGGTTGGTTGAAGTGGAGTGGCGCAGCCTCTTCATGCCTGATGGCAGCATCTCGAGGCTCGTGTTGCCCAAGCTCGTGTTGCCCACACTCGTGTTGCCCGGGTCCATCGTCGAGCTACGCATGCGCACCGGTCGTCCGAGTGTGCGGTTGGTGGTGCTGCTGCCCAGCGAGGACGTGTCCATGGCTCCACCACTCGGGTTGCGTGGCGAACTGTTGGGCGAGGCGGCAGGCGACGGGATGAGCGACGGCTTGCGCTTGTATGGCACAGCTCCACTGTGGAGCTTGTTACGGTCGCGGCGGGATACAGACAGCCTGCGGGCGCCAGCTACAGGGGCTGAAGCAGGAGACGCGGGCTTGACGGGGCTAGTAGACTTGCCGAGGGTCGAGTTGAAGAGGGACGACCGAGGCCTGGGAGGAATCTGGCGCAGCTCGCCAAGCGAGGGCCGGGCAGGACGCGAAGGATTGCCCAGGCCGGCAAGAGCAGCCTTGGGTGCAGACTGGGCGCCGACATTCTTGGACGGAGAGCTTGGAGTAGTACCGGTCTTGCCTAGGAGGATGCGGTTCTTCTTCCATTCGGGCATGTTTGCAATATCTTCTGGAGCAGGTACCGGGGCTGGGACAGTGGGGACGTCAGTCGTCGACGCCGAGAGGATTGGGAGGGGTGGGGTCGTGGCGCCGCCGACCTTGAACGGAGCGGGGATCGAGGGCATGGGGAGCGAGACGATGCGCAGTCCACCACGCATGGAAGGAAGTGGTGCAACATCGTCCTGCATCTCCTCCCAATCTGCCGAGTTGTCGTCAGGTTCCGCAAGACTGAGGTCAAAGCTAGAAGACTGCGAGGACCTGGGTCGGAAAGTGCGAACGGTCTGAAGCTCACCCTCACCGGCCTCGTCAGCAAAGCGGAACACTTTGCCGGCCGTTGCACGCAATGCCTTGACAGCAGGCTTGGCACGGGGAGAAGGGGGTGCGCCAACGACATAACCGCCCTTCTTTCCGGTAGCTTGCATGATACGCTTGACGGCAGGAGACTTCTTTGGTGACGGTGACGATACAGCAGCTGGAAGTACAGCGGTCGGGGCGATGGGCGACGTGAGATCGGTAGGTGGGCGCATGGGCTGGGAGGGAATGGCGTCGGTGCGGGTAAAGGCAGCAAATGCTTCGGCCACTTCGTCGTGGCAGAGCTCCATGCCGTCCTGGATGGGAAGCATAATTTGCTGAACATTTGACGGGGTAACGGTTCCAGAGACGACCATTTGATCCACGCCAGCATCGCGCTGCTTGCCCAAAGCGTGGACGCGGGCAAAGATGCTGGCAAGCTGGGCAAGTGTCTCTTGACCGCAGGCAGCGGCAGCACGGTAGCTCGCTTCGCGTGATTCCGCCACAGCCAAAGCAACACGCATGCGCTGCAGCTCGACCTGGAGCCGGAGGTTTTGAATGTTGACCTCGTCCATGTCGGGGAAGGACTTGAATTCAGTCTGCTTGAGGGACGTGTCGATTCCGGACGCAAGCTCGGCCTCGCGGCGGACTTTGAACTGGACTGAACGATTGTTGGCGTAGGCCTTGCGGTGCAGGCCAATGAGGTGGTCGCAGTACGCCTTCTCCACACCGGAGTCGACAATGTTGCTGTCCTCGTCAATCTGATTGCGGCGGACTTCAAGGGCAGTGGCACCCAACTCGGCAACGTCCCAGCGAGCACGTTGCTCGGCGCCTTCCTTGATGCCCGGCAGACCCTCGTCCACCTTGCCTGTGACCATCCGCATAGCTTCTGACACCTTCTTCTGGCCGTCCACAAGCTTGGAGAGCTTGTAAATGTCCTTTTCAGCCTGGAGCTTTTCAAGCTCCTTCTCGAGAAGGCGGATAGCGATGCCCTGCTGGGTAATCTTTTCGAGGTACTGCCGTGCTGAGACCTCACGACCACCGACGTTGCGTGAGACGCGCATCTTGACGTCCTTGGCCTTGTTGGCCCACGTAAGGGTGTTGCTGGTGTCTTCCATGTCTCTTGAGCTGGGCGAGACACAGACAATCATGACGGTGCGACAGTTGCCGCCGAGCGAAAACTTGAGCAGTCGAGTAAGCTTCGAGTTGCGGTATGGGACGTGTGGACGAGCTCCAGATTTTTGAGCTCCACACAGAGCGCTGATACAGCTACTCAGAGCGAGAAGGGACTGGTTGATCTTGGCACCCTCCTTCATACGTGCACCCATGTTGCGGGTAGCCGAGGCGCGCTCGCTTCCGGCAAGGTCGACAATCGAAAGTGTCGCTTGGGAAGTGTCGGTGAGGACCCTCTCCCCCTCCATGTCAACGTCGGCGACCTTGCTGCTTCGTGTCACGCTGATTTGCAAAACGGCGTGGGAGCGAGACGACTGGTTGTTGGCATGGGTGGACGACGTGCTGCGGCGTTCATTGCCGAGCATGACCAGGTCCATGACCTCATCGACCGACTTGGGCTGGCGCATGGAGACATCGGCAATCGTGACCCGCTCCTTTTCGTTTTCGAGAAGCTTGAGACCCCCGGTTGGGCACACAGGAAAGTTGTCGCTGAGAAGATCACGGATTTGCTCGTTGTAGAGCTCAATCATGGTCATCTCAATGTGGGTCTCAAACTTGTCCTTGGACTCCTCGATGCGGTCAAACAGGTCACTCATGGTGCGGACGATGATTCCTGGTTCGTCCTTGTTACCGCTGATCGTGTGGGTTTTGCCGCAGCCGGTGGCCTAGAACAGTTGTTAGTTTGTGACCCAAAGAGCGCGACTCCCAGTTGCCACTCACGCCGTATGCAAACACTGTGGCATTGTAGCCCTTCAGGACACCATCGAGGAGAGGCTTGGCCGTGTTCTCGTATACCTCGTCTTGTGTCGACTCCATGCGGAACACGTGGTCAAAAACATAGCTTGACGTCAGTATTCAAACGCCCAGCCACAGCACACAGCCTCTCCTCACCGGCGGTTCTTGTATCGCTTGCCGTTTCGACCAGCGATAGGCTTAGCTTCGGCACCTTCTTCAGGCTTGTCAAAGTCGATCTGGCGGTTGTCGATGACGGCTGCTTGTTAGTCGTTGCTCCAACCTCTGTGCCCCCCCGGGGTAAGACTCACCAACAATCTCTCGCAGCGCCCCATTAGGTGCCGGCTTGCGTGGTGCTGCGGCAAAGTTACCACCTCCCAAGAAGAAAGGTGTGTTCACATGCTGGGCGAGGAAGGGGAGTTCCTTCTCGGGATGCCATGGGCGTGGACGAACTGGTCCAAGCGTCAGGTGTTGACTTTGATGTGAAACGGGGGGACCTACTGCAAATGCGCATCGCATTGTCGTCCATGAGATACGCCATGATGGGAAACTGGGGCTAGCTTGAGTGGGGGTGGGAGTAGAGGGAGTGATGAGGAAGATGTGACAATGGCTAACGGGTGCGAAGAGAACGGTAGGAAAGCTTGGGACGAGGCAAGACCAAGAGGGGGGCAGAGGGGGACGGGGTGTGGACCGTGCGCTGATGGTGTGTTGTTTATGCCATGCTCAGAGGGCTGTCGTGCCCATGGGGGTGGGGGTGGTTTATGTGGGCTTTGTGCAATATGTCGGTGAATGTGGGTAGAAGGAGAGTGGTTGTGAAGGGGGATGTGGGTGGTTGTTGAGGAGGAGGAGGGTAAATGGATGGAGTAGGGACTGGGCGGAATGTGTCGCTTTGACTGGGATGTTGTTGTTGCCGTCTCCCCCAAATGCCCCGTCATAGAAGTCAGTCGCGAGCCTGGGAAAGTAAACCCAGGGCGTATAGGTTGATTGTTATTTTCTCATGTGTTATTAATAATTAATCCCATGTAATGACCACGTGGAACTGATTAGGATTATCTATCCGATCCCCTCCCTCTAACGCCTCCCCCCACCGGCCTCCGGGTATTCGGTCGCGCGTCTGTTCCGGTCCCACCCACACAAACGCAAGGCAGCGGTGAGCGGCCGGACATTCTGGATTTATATACATACGTTGTTCTTTTGCCTCTTTGCTTTTCCTCTTCAGCTTCTGGTTGTATCCCCTTCCCCCACTACATCTCACAGCCACACACACACACCAACAATGTCGTCGCTTCTCGGTCAGGTCATCCTCCACCCCAAGGTCTCCCAGGCCATGGCTGTCCTCGCAACCACAATCGGTCGCGACAAGGTAAGACCCGTGGCTAGACGGTTATGTGACAACTCCTGACACACCGCATTAGACCTACCGTCTCATCCAGTATGTGGCGCGTATCCTTGCCTGGAGCTTTGCCCGTCAAGGTGCCGTCGACCTCGCCAAGCGCTTTGACGCTCTCAAGGCCGCGCTGGGTTCTGGTCGCAAACGTAAGCTTCAATTGCTGTAACCGGCGCACGGCCACCACCCGCTTATCACTTAGTCTTCCGTGTCTTCAAGCCCGTGGAGAACCTCCAGTCGGCGCTCAACATTGCCGAGAGGCCATTGTATGTACTAAGCGATGGACGCGCCCCCCTCGGGCAACCTTAGCTGACCCTCCTTCTCAGCGTCAAGATCTCGGGCGCAGAGCAGGTTGCCCAGCTCACCCAGTTCCTCCGCCAGGTCGCGTATGCCGTCTTCCTGGGTACCGACTCGCTCGTGTGGCTCCAGAGCGTAAAGGTCCTGCGTCTTGACAAGGAGTGAGTGTTCAAGCGTCGTTGGCAAGTCATTCTAGAGGCTAACATTGTTTCTAGCAAGGCGGCCAAGGTGGCCAAGACCTCGATGCAGGCCTGGATCATTGGTCTGACCCTCTCGCTGATCTCGTCGTCGGCATCGCTCGTCAACCTCCGCGCCCAGAGCCGCCGCTTTGCTCTTCGTGCCGACATTGCCCGCAAGGACGAGAAGGGCCCCGACGCTGCCGCCGACGAGGCCGAGCGCCGCAAGCAGGGTCGCGCTCTCCTCGCGTATGTACAACACAGTCTGACAGGACACAGAACATACACGCTAACTCTCCTGTAGCCAGCGCCAGCTCATCATGTCGCAGCTCATCACTGACGCCTTTGACTTCTGGATCCCCTCCAACTTCCTTGGCTACTCGAACCTCAACGAGGGTGTTGTTGGCTTCCTTGGGTATGTTCAATTTCACCCACCCCCACCCCAACGGGAGGCTGACTTGTTTACAGTGCTACCACTTCGTACATGGCTCTCCAGAAGTGCTGGCGCAAGGCTGGCGCTGCCGCCAAGTAGAGTACTGCCGCCACACACGGGGCAAAAACGACAGGACACGAGCTGCTGGCCATTGTACCCACTGTCCGTTACGTCCGTACGCACGATATGCCATGACCCTATTGTTGTCACTATCCTGCCTACACTACTCGCTTTGCTGTGGGGAATACCACCACTGGCCACTGGCTGGACACTGGGGCCGGCCGCGGAAGACGCGGTAGAGACGGAAACGCGCGCTCATCGTGTAGCCGCCAGGCCGCGCATCTGCAGAATCGACCGGCCATGTCCGTAAGCCGGATGCCGCCTGGTGCCTCCACCCGTCGAGCGATCGAGCGCCGAGCGCCGTCCGCGGAATTCTCCTGGCCGGGTGCGGTTTTCGGAAGTGTGCTCCAGTTCTGTAATGTTACACCAATAATGTCCTCTTCGACGGGTCAAGACCAACTGACATTGACAACGGGGTCGCTGTCGCCCGCAGCAGTCGCGGCGCTTGAGACGCTGCGTAGGCAGTACTTTGCCCTTGTGGCACCGTACATGCTCCGCATTCCCGGTTCTGATGTGCTGGCGACGGCTCCTGCGCAGGAATTCCTCGTCAACCGTCTGTTGGAAGGCCCACTGCCCCAGCCCGAGGCTGGTTATGCACGAGGATTCTGGCGCCGCGTGCTTCCTGTTATTGAGGCGGGTGTGCATGCCATTGACGATGACGACGAGGCGGTGAGTATAGCAGAGTGACAGGAGGGGTGTTCTGGCGTCCAGGCTGCACCCCACCGATGGCACGACCTCCCTCTCTTGTACTCAACACAGATGCATACTAACAACACACAGGCTGTTGACGAGAGGATATACGAAACGGTGGCCGGCCTCATGGCAGCTCCCTCGACCAACGCGGAAGGTGCGCCAGCACAGTCGCACAAGACGTTCCTCTACGACCTCCCGAACAACGCGGGAGAGCGGAGCGTGACTCTACTCGAGGAACAGGTCGCTGTACAGGCCGGCACGACAGGCCTGCGTACATGGACTGCGGCACTGCACCTCGCCCACCACTGCATATATTCGCAAGACGAGTTGTTTGGCTCGGTCGAGGTGCCGCCAATTGTGGAGATTGGCGCCGGTACGGGGTTCCTCTCGATCGTGCTTGCCCAGCTTGGTGCAGACGTCATTGCGACGGACCTAGGCGGTGACGAGGAAGACGAGGAGGGAGAGGTGCGCCGTACACCTCTCGCACGGCTCAAGGCCAACATCGAGCTCAGTGGGTTACATTTTGCATCGCCGCGAGGGGCAGAATCCCAGGCTGACATGTACAGACACCAGCGCTTCCCTCCGCCATCCGCCCACTGCGCGGCCGCTCGACTGGAACCTCGCACGCGCACCAGTCTCGGAGCGCGGCGAGAGCTGGCTCGAGTGCGCTGCGCCCGCCCAAAGCGGATCTCAACGGACAGTGCTCGCGGCGGACGTCATCTATGACCCGGAAATTGTTCCCTTGCTGGTGGACACGATCCACGAGCTCCTCCAGCCGTGGAAGGCGACGGGCAACGACGACTCGGCGGCGACTGCTCCCGAGCCTGTGGCGATCATTGCGGCTACGGTCCGCAACGAGCAGACGTTTGCCCTCTTCCTGGCGCGGTGCAAGGCCCAAAACCTTGACACGGAGCTGCTCCAGCTCGCGCCCATGGATCCCCAGCACCCGACGTTTTGGGATACTGCGCTCGACGCTGGCACTCGTGTTGAGATTGTGCGCATCAAACGCAACGCCTAGTGGCCTCTCTCTGTGCGCACCTGTCCCCACCATTAGACTCTCCTCATGTAGCCTTTATGAACATGCACACGACCATAACACGCACGCAATTAGGTTTAGTTTCTTACACCCCCTTCCCTCAAATCGTATCTGCAACCGGCAACCTCTGAACGTGTCCTCAAATGCCCATCATAGTGTCTGTTAAGAATACAATGCATCGACCATACCTGCAATGAGATGGGATGGTCGACCCATCGAACCGTCTAGACCCAGCGAGAGCGATCCCGTGGTGTGACCCCGTTTTCCTTTTCGTACAGAAGAGGGAGACGTTTAGGCGGTCTCGACCTGGAGGAGGTCGGAGTCACCGGCGTCCTGGATCGACATGACACCGACGCGGTAGAGGCGACCGGCGGCGGTACCGAGGTCGACGTTGGAGCCGTCGTAGTGGTGGACCGAGGTCTTCGAGCTGGAATGGTGTTAGGAACTGGTTGCTTTTGCTTCCCTAGGTGCAGGTCTCGCGCAGCTGGGACGCCATCGTTGTGCAAGCTGCGCGACACCCACACCCATGCTCATCTCGTACTCACAGCATGGCGTAGTACTCAAGCTCAGACTTGCGAAGCGGGGGGCAGTTCTTCGAGATGAGGATGAGCTTGGCTACACATCGTTAGCATCGGGGAAATCCTTCTCAGCCAATGGCTCCAGCTCCCCGATCAAGCGAGAAGACGCGAGATCGTTTGTTTTCATGTGCGCCGTTTAATACTTACACTTGCCGTTGCGGAGCTGCTTAAGAGCCTGCTTGTAGCCGAGGGTGAACTTGCCCGACTTGACAACAAGCTGGAGACGCGAGTTGATCGACTCGGAGTTCTTGGCGGACTTGGACTTCTTAACGGGAGCCATTCTGTTTGTGTAAGCGCCGGCACCAACGGTACAGGTGGTAAGGAGGAGGGAGGTGTTGGAGAGGAAGAATGGAGGAAGCCGGGTTTGGACGAGCGTGCACGGCGCAGAAATCTTCAATCTTCCGTGCAAGGAGGAATTGACCACCTGGCTTCGTTTGAGGACGCTTTCACAAGCCGCTCCAACGCAAAGGCCCGTGGGTGTTCGAGATCTGCGTGTGCGCGCTGTCGAACGCGGTGGAGACGGCGGGAGGAGGAGGGGAGGGGGGGTCGCTGTAGATGCTCACTTTGGTGATGAGTTGAGGGATGAAAGAGGAGCTTTCCAAAACGACACACAAGAGAGAGCACGCACTGCACGCGCCAGCCAGCAGCCAGCAGCCAGGCCGCCCGCCAGGGCACCAAAGTGACACGACGGAAGTAAATTCTGGCAAATTGTTCGTCTGCACCCAGGCTATAATGCCGCTCCATATTGCCGCTGGGTGGTGGACTTGGGAGCCCACTGTGGCACTTCCCCCACGTGGCTAAAGGGAGGGCTCGAACAGGCTTCTGGTCGGCACGGATCGGCGGGCGGGTGGATCTTTGACATGCGCCGGCGAGTTCCATACGAGCGAGCTGCTGCAATACAGGTTGGCATCATCTATACCCTTCACCAACAACAACCCACAACAACAATAACAATGTCCGCTCTCGCTGTCGGTCTCGGCATCCTCGGCGCCGGCTTCGGTGGCCGTGTCCTCTACCAGATGTACCGCGGCGGCGCACGCGGCGCTGACAAGTGGATCAAGGGCGGCTTCAAGGGCAAGATGGACAAGCCAGAGGCTATCCAGATCCTGGGTCTCCGGTAAGTGTACACTGCTGCTCGTACATTGAGGAGCAGTGGGAGCATTTTTGGCCTTTATGAGGTGTTACTATTGCCCCAAAGCCCACGCCAGTCCCAAGAGCTGACCGTTCCAGCGAGCCTCTCACCTCCAACAAGCTCAAGGACGCGCACCGTCGTCTCATGCTCGCCAACCACCCCGACAGGTGAGCTCTCTCTTTCATTTGAACTTGATGTTGCCAACACGGAACTGACAATGATACAGGGGAGGATCCCCTTACCTTGCGGGCAAGGTCAACGAGGCCAAGGCGCTTCTTGAGTGAGTCGACCGCCGATACCCTTTCACTGGGCTCTCCCCGCTAACCCCTTCACAGCAAGACCGTGAAGAAGTAGACGTCCTGGTTTGTCATCTAGAGCATTGTATTACTATGGCATTGGGGTATCATGCATACAGTCACCACTGAGCGTGAACAGTGGTGAAGAGGAAGGAACTTTTCTCTCTCGGAGGAAGCCGTTTTGTCCAGTTGGACGGCTGGGTTCTGGGCCGGGTTTCTTGCTTGCCACAGTCACCAGCAGGATGGAAAAAGAAGCCAATCTGAACGGCACCACGTCACACCAGTCGTGGTCCATCTGTACGCTTACATGGATTTTGGTCATCTGTATGAGCTGCATAACGGTTCCCCCTCGCTGCCTTGGAGCGGCCCTCCTGCAAAGCACCAGGGTGATTAGTCGCCACCCGAATTTGCGCAAATGGGCCCCCACCTCGTACGCCGAATATTTCATTTCCATCTTGTGTTGTCAACTTGACACTCGACTATACCCAGATACCCCAACATGCAGCACCGCGACGACGAGGACGCCGCCGCCCTCTGGGACGACCTTCCCGTCCCCGAGGTCATGCCCGTGCGCACCATGCTCGACGAGTTTGAGACCGTCAACGTCCTTGCCCCGCTCGTCCGCTGCTCAAAGCGTACGTCAAAGTGTCGTGTGGTGTCCTTCTAGCTAACGACGCCCAGTTCCCTTTCGCCACCTCGTGTCGCTGTACGAGACCCACGTCACTACAACCCCCATGATCCTGGCGGAGGAGTTTAGTCGCAGCCAGCAAGCGCGTATCAGCGACTTTACCACGTCGCGTAACGAGCGCGGTGTGTTCTGGATGGAGCCGCGCAAGACGGGCGCTGCTGCTGCCATGACTAGCGGCGTTGCGTCGCTGTCTCTCGACACGGCCGCCCACCCCGAGGACCGCGAGGACAACATTGAGGCTGGGCCGTCGCGTCGCGTCGACAAGACGTACTATGTCCCTCCCGACGGCGGACAGCACGACCGTCTCCCGCCCCGCCCAACACCACCGACCAAGCACTCGCGTCTGGTGCGCGGTGCGCTCATTGCCCAGATGGCGAGCCCGAACGCCGCGTCGCTCGCAGACGCTGCCGAGCTTGTGGCACCGTACGTCGACGGACTGGACCTCAACTGCGGCTGCCCGCAGAGCTGGGCGTACCACGAAGGGATCGGGTGCGCTCTGCTCCGCAAGCCCGAGCTCGTCCGTGACATGGTGCGCGCCGTTCACGACCGTCTGGGCTGGAACTGGCCGGTGAGCATCAAGATCCGTGTTGACTCGGACTTGAAGAACACGGACACTCTTATCCGTACGGCGCTCCAGGCAAACGTGAGCCATGTCACCATCCACGGCCGTACCCGTCACCAGGCTTCGACTGAGCCCGTGTCCCTCCCTGACATCAAGTTTGCCGTCGAGTGTGTGCGCGGCGAGGTGCCGACGGTCGCCAACGGTGACCTGTGGGACCTGACCGATGCCAAGCGTATGGTCGATGAGACGGGTGTCAATGGCACCATGGCCGCCCGTGGTCTGCTGGCCAAGTGAGTTATGCTCTCTCTTCGCCTCAACTGACAACCAGCCCTGCACTCTTTGCCGGATACACCGAGACGCCTCATCACGCTGCGGAGAACTTTATCAATGTCTCGAACGACTATGGTCTCATCTTCAGCCTGTTGTGAGCAGCTTTGCGTAGGCACCAAGATATCAGCTGACGCTTCTAGCCACCGTCACCTCTCGTATATGCTCGAGTCGCGGATGTACAAGGCCGAGAAGACCTACTTTAACGCACTGAACAGCTCGGCCCAGTGTGTCGAATACCTCGCCGACCGTGGGCTGGACGCTGCCGGCAGGCGAAAGATCCCCATGTGGGACGCTCGCAGGGGATACTCTCTGCTGGCATAAAGCAAGGGCTCCTGGACCGCACCTCGCAGGTGCTCAGTCTGTGACGCTCGTCCGTCCCCCATGGTCGCGCGCACCAGCATCCTTATCCCTTGAAGGCCTGCGCCAAGGCCTGCGCTCCGTGCACATAACATATAGAACCCACCCTGCATATACAACGCCCATGAGATAGATGTGCATATTGAGACACACAAAGAGGGAAGGAAGGAGTCACCTCTAAGATGTCCATGGTGATCCGAGACTTCCAACCATTCTCCGCCAGCTTGGGCAGAGTGCGGGAAACGCTGTTGTAGAATCCCCATGCCCCCATGAAAAAGCACCATCGCGTTGTAGACAGGCTTGCGGAGGATGCCCACATCGTTCATCAACAGTAAGCGCTGTTCGTGATAAGGTCTGCGGCACTTTGCGATCGTCGCCCGTGTCGCGTGACAAACGACATGAGCCGAGTAACTCTGGCATTCGTTGCGCCTCGTCTGGCCGTTGACTCTCTGATATCGACTGCAGTACACCCGTTCCCTCCATGCCCAGCCACTTCATCCGCCGTGTCAGCCCCGTCGACAACGGAAAAACGCAGCGACCCGCCAGAGGGGGACACATCGCTCCTACCGTGTGGCATTTTTAGCCAGCCCCGACAAGCCCGAATGTCTTGGCAACGACGACAAGCAGAGCTAGAGATAGCGAAAGAGACATTGATATAGATAACGCGCGCCCGGCGGCCGCGCGGGGCACACCGACACCCAGGTTGAGCCGCGGCAAGATAAGGATGAGGCGGTAGCGACGATACAGGCGTCCTCGGGGGCCCAGTTGTCCCCCCCACAGTCGATCCCGACCGTGCGTGTCATCGATCGTGTGACCTGCGTCGGGCGTGTGAATGTGGCGATTGGGGCCATTGGTCTGATCGCCGTTGATTACGAACGGTGACAACCGGTTGCAAGCGTCTTAGCTCCCTGCAGTGAGGCCTCAGTATGACCACTGGCCACTGTTGGCACCCCTCCCTGGCCTCATGTATCTCGTATTTTGTCTAATTCGGTGCATGCACTATGCAAATGTACACTACTATCTAAGCTTTTTACAAGGGTGTGTGGAAGACACGTTTAGCAGGCTCCAAAGTGCGCCTGTGGGTGGGATGGTTGGGGATTAAAGAAAAGAAAATCACTGCTGGTGCGGACGCTCCTCTGCGATAGAGTCTGTTGACGCGACTGCTGGAATGACCTTTTCAGAAATGCGCTCCTTGCCGTCTCCAGAGTTGGCCGTGGTGTCCGAGTTGGCCATGGTGCTTTCGCCGTGGTGTTCCGGGACGTCGTGAAGGGAGCGGAGGGAATGGCGCGACTGGGTTGCGCGCGAGTTTGCGCGGTACAGCTCGGCCTCGCGGCGAACCTCGGCGGTGATGGTGCGGAACAGGTCGTGGGGGCCCTGGCCCTCGAGGTCACGACGGAAGAAGGCATAGTCGGCAATGTACTCGTCGTGCTCGACCTCGTCCATGCCGACAATCTCGGCCTCCTCGGAGGCACGGAACTTGCAGCCGGGGATGAGGTTGATGACGAACATGATGGCAATGGTGACAACAAACGTCCAGCCAAAGCCGACGGCGGCCCATGCAATCTGCTTGCCAATCTGGACCCAGTGGCCGTCCATCCAGCCACCGGGGATCTCAGAGAAACCGTCGTTGGCGGCAACGGAAGACTGGGCGAAGATGCCGGTCATGATGACGCCAACGAGACCAGCGAGGGCGTGGACGGCGAAGATATCCATAGGGTCGTCGACACGCATGGTAGACTTGAGGCGGGTGGCCAAGTTACAGCACGCAGCGGCGACGAGGCCAATAAGAGCACCTGCGGGGGCACCGACGTAGCCGGCGGCAGGGGTAATGGCAACGAGACCAGCAATGGCACCGGTGCAGAAACCGACCATGGACCACTTGCGCTCGAGGCGGTAGTCCATAATCATCCAGGTGATGGCACCGACGGCACCAGCAAGGTTGGTAACAAAGATCGACATGGCGGCCTTGAGCGAGGCGGCAAAGCACGAGCCGCCGTTGAAACCCATCCAGCCGACCCAGAGCATGACAGTGCCGAGGGTGACGGACGAGACGTTGGAGGGCTTGAACATGACGCGCTCGGTACCGTAGCCGCGACGCTTGCCGATAAAGTACGAGTAGGCAAGACCGCCGACACCGGACGCAATCTCGACGGGGACACCGCCGGCATAGTCGAGGATGCCCCAGGTGTTTGCCCAGCCGTTGACGGACCAGATCCAGTGGGCGAGCATGTCGTAAACGAGGGTGGTCCAGCAGAAAATGAAGATGAGGGCGGGGCCAGTGCGCGAACGCTCAGCGGCGGCACCGAGGAGAACCGCGGGGACGAGGTTGGCGAACATGAGCTGGTAGCTGGCGAAGACAATCTCCGGGAGCTTGCCGTTGCTCTCCGGAATGGGGCGCTCGAGGACGCCACGGAACCCGACGTTCTTGCCGTCGCCGAAAAACTTGCCACCAGTCTCGGAGAAGACGAGCGAGTAGCCGATGAAGAACCATTGGAAGGAGACGATGGCGAGCGAGGCCATGGACAGGAAGAGAAGCTGGAGGGCGTTTTTACGACGCGCCAAACCGGAATACAGGTAACCAAGACCAGGGATCTGTGTTCGAGTCAGCCACAAACACTCCAATACCGTGGAGCGACCGACGACGGCCGGGTCGTCGCGGGGTTGTTGTCACGCACCATGAAAATAATGAGCACAGCACAAGTGAGGACCCATGCAATGTCTCCTGGGTCATACACTGTCGATGGTCAGCGGGTTGTGATAGGCGCAAAATGTGTTTATGCTTGCTCGGAAACTCACCAGTGGTCTCGCCGGCCAGGGTGGAGACAATGTCCGTTCCCTTCGAGTCAAAGGTGTACGTGCCATCGTCGTTCTGGGTAAGAATACCATAGGTAATGTTCACCATGGTGTCGAGAGAGGGCGGTGTCCCGCGGTGTGGAGGAAGTGTGTGGGAGAGAACAAGGAGAGTGTTGGTGCACGCGACAGAGCAATGTGAGATGCGCTACCGGGTATGGTGGGGCGACCAGGCCACAGTGGAGGAGGGGGGCGGAAGAGATCCGTGGAGCAGCGTCTAGGCTCAAGAGTCCAGTGAAGAAATGGCGGGTGGCACGAGGCGGGTGGGAGTGTCGACGGAAAGAGGAGGGAGAGGAGTGGGTCCCGAGTGAGAGGAGAGTAAAGGACAATGAACGGGTGTGGGGGGGGGTGTTTGCGCGGGAGTCACTCGACGCAGAGGCTTAATGAATGTTGAGAAGAGACAGAACTGGGATGATGGTTGGTTTCCCTATGCCCTCTGTCTCCCCCGCGCGCTCCACGATCCCCCCCGTCCCCCCGTCCGCCGGCCACTCAACGTCTATGCCTGTATCTCTCTGGCGCGCGTGCGTGCGTGCGGTGCGGTGTGTGGGCCCAGCGGCCAGCGGCGCCACGGACTCCGCGATGGGCCGAACAGGCAGCGCGCATTCCGTTGGTCCCACCCACTGTCCCGGGCGGGGGCGATGAGCAAATCTGTACACGTCCAGCCAATCTCGCGAGTCCTCTTCGATCGCGATAACGATGGACGACCTCGCCCACTGCTATTGGACGATAGCACCCGCAGTTCTCGGTTGTGCCACTTCTTCTGGCCCTCACAGGCCCCGGCCGTCCCTTTGGCTGGCCGCTGGTCGTCGCGCGCGCGTGTAATAGCCGTTGGCGGCGGCGGCACGGTGGCGGAAGTCCCTGCCGTCCAACTGGAGCAGCAGAGACAGCATGACAGCAGCAGCGGAGCAGCCGAGAGAGCGTGCCAGAGATCCAGAGGCCAGAGAGAGAGCGTGGGCGGAGAAACCCTCATCATTTCAGCCTCTGTGCATGCCTCGAGGAATTTTGTGTGGCCCGGCCCGCCTTACGTCCCCCCTGTGTGCGGTGGTGGTGGTGCCACAGCCCTGGCTGTGGAGCAAAACAAACCCCCGTGCACTGTCTGTGTGTTATGCTGCTGCATGCATGCACTGCGCCTGTCCCCACGTGCCCTTGCTGGTGGGTGCTCTGTGTTGACCGACTAGAGGCCAGTGTCGATGCATGGAGACTGTATGGGAAAGCGTCCCCCCTGGCCCAGCGGGCCACACAACGGCCAATACACCCCCGCGCTGCCCTTTCGGACACGATGCGGTCATTTCGGACCGAAAATGGGTCATCCGACATCCGCATCCGCCTGCCCGCATTGGTCCGTTCCCAACCGAGAAACCTGGCAAACCTGGCGACGGTGAGCGCTAGTGCAGCAAGGCCAGGACGGCTGCAGGAGAGAGAGAGAGAGCAAGGAAGCAGAGCGAGCGAGATCTGATTAGCTTTCTTGCCGTGCGTGTTGCTGCGTGTTCCGATGCCGTGTCCTGATCTGGAACGATTATGCGTTGCTTGGCACCTCTCGCTTGTCTGCCAAGGCCCCCACAGGCCCTATCGCATGCTTCCCATGCCCCTGTCACCCACCCGCGATAAGCTATCTGCACCCCCACATCGCACACCACCAGGCCATCTCACCAGCCAGCCCAACTCTACAGAGAATGTGCCCCGCATACCACCGAATCCACCAAACGCGTTTCAGCAACGCCTCTTAATTCTCAACGAGATAGTTTCCCCCGGAGTTCTCACGCTATGCGATCGCCGGCCATGTTTTACAGCTTTTACGAACAGTTGGTCGCGTGCGCGTTTGCCAGACCGCCTGACCGTGTAGTCGGGCCCCGGTCAGATACAGCTGGAGCGGCCTTGAGGAAGCACGACGCTCAGTTCACACACATCCTTGGGCTGTCACACATCACCGGCATCCATCCACAGATGGGTGGTTGACACAATCACGGGGCGCGTCTCATTCGCTCACCGTTATCTGTCAACGATGATACGCAGGTGCTCTTGGCACGGCTATGGCGTCTGCCGCAATGGACAATGGAGCGCACTCGTTCATGTCCGACTCGGGTGAAGATGGTCAGGTCCGGGGTGTGACATGGGCACGAGTGAGGCAAAGTGGTGTGACACTACTGGAAACATGAAAGAAGACTCTTCACGTCTGCTTGTACATCCAACATCGCCCACACTGTTTACCCATATCCCATTTCATCTGTAAACAAGCACGCTCACGGCTGTCCAAACACACGACTCACTCATGACCTCGCTCTCGAGGATCGAGCACAATAGACCTGCTCACTTCGGCACGTCCATCGGCTGGTCCCCGTCGATCGCTCTACCTGCCCCAGCCGACGCTGGCTGACGTCCGTGGTCACAGATGCTGACGTACATTCATCATCGGTTCCCATGGGGCTCCCAACACGTCTCCATTCTTGGCTGCCGATGACCCGACATGCAACTGCCATTCATGTGCGGCTATCAGCGATCGCTGACACGATACCCAGAGCACTCGTTCCACTGCCGCCGGCTCCACACCAAGAATGCGCAGCCATCAGCGATCGACCCCGCCTGCCACCCAGCACGCGGTCTGCATCCCCTCCGCGCCTCCTGTACGCGCGCGTATGGTTGGTGCACAGCGTGCACGGGGTTTCCAGCACCGGCGACTGGCTGGACCACGCCACAAAGGTGTCCAGGGCCACTGTGCGCTCTGATCGTCCTAGACGGCCAATGGGTCTACTCGGACACCCCGACCTTATCGGGCCATGGCACCCACGCAGCTCGGCGACACGGAGTTGCCGCCGGCGGGTGAGGCCCGTCCAGCCAATCCGTGACGGCGCCGACGAAATCGGAAGCGGCAAACGATCGCTTGGAAAGAGCACGGGAAATACCTCGGACGGTGCGAGCACGACCCCGTGGGGTGAGTGGGGGGGTGGGTGTCTGCGATGGGATGTGGCGTTCAGTTAGGGTTGCGTTCAAGGAAGAGTCGATGATGGCGTCGACGGTCCTGCAGGTGTCATACGCTATTCGGGTGGTGACAGCTGATGGGGGCCTGCACCGGTTCACGGCCAGGTCTCTGACTTGTGGGGCGAGTGAGAGACTGCCGCTGGGACACATGCAAGGACATCGTACATCGTCCAGGCCTTGTCTGGTGTCCGGCTACGGCAGCGACGACGAAGAGCGTTGTTTTTCAGGAGCGTGGTCACCGTGCCGAGACCAGCATCAGTGCTGTTATGCTCCTAGATCTGTCCCAGCACATGCAGCTTTATCAGAGCGTTCCAATGCGATATCTGCATAGTAGCTGCTGAGGCCTCTAGGAGTACAGGAGTGCCTCGTTGAGTCCCTCGACAATGACGTTTCGCAGGTAGGTGTCGAAACGACGTCCATTGTCAATGTCCAAGGCAACCTCGATGTGGGCGCTGCCGTACCTGAGCATGAGGGCGAGCTCGGGCCTGGGAGAGCATGATCAGAGCTATCCACTCGGTGTAAACTTACAGCCAGTCGCGGCAGAGGTCGGGGCTGGCGAGGAGGTTCTTGGCCTGATGGGTCAGACCAGTTTATAAAGGGGAACGTACCATCGAGCGAGCATTGGGCTTCAGCTCGCGGAACACGTCCGGCCTCACACCGAGCCTGGGTCGGTCAGCTTGATCGCGGTCTCTTAAGCTTGCCCGTGGCACCGGCTTGGACGCAATGCCACCCACTCGACGCGGGTACACCACCTTCCCGTCGCCTTGACGCGGCCCTTGGCGTCTACCATACTTGAGCACAGAAAGGATGGTCACGCCGTAGGGATCTGGGTCCACCAACGCCAAGATACGCGCGCTCGGGAACGAGTCCGAGAGCAAGGCCAGTGCTTGCCTTGTGCACTCGTCCGTCTGTCCCTTGCCCTGCATGGCGTCAGTCGTGTGCCGTCGTTTATCATGAGAAATTCTTACCGTGATCAAGACGCCGTAGCCCAGGTTATCGGGGTTACGCAAGTGGCTCGAGGTGGGACTGTCGTTGGTGCGACCAAACGTGGCCGAGGTGCGGAGCTGCAGCTGGCTGGCGGTGCGGGTCAGAGGAACGGAGCCCAGGTCGTCATCGGTGTGCAAGTTCGCAGAGGATGCCGGAGTCCATGATGGGCTGGAGGAGCGCCTGCGGTCAATGCCGAGTCAACTTCACACATTCACTCACCTCCTTCTCAGCAAAGACAATACAGTCAACCTTGCCAACGAACCTGGCCACCTCGTCGGCGAACGGCGTGATCATCTCCTGGGATATGAGAAATGCTTGTACTTGTTCTCTAGCTCACCCGACGCTGAAAGAACGGCAGCGTAGTGCCGTCCGTCAACACGGCTTGGAGGTCGGTCGCGGCCATGATGCCCTTCCCTGAGGGGCGCTACAGGGGTCAATGGTGTAACAAGACCTCACTTACCAGTCTGAATGCCCACAGTGGCAGGCCTGCACCAGAAGCCAGCGACTCAAGCCACTACGTCGGTCAGTTGTGAAGGATCTCGGCGCGACTCACGTCTTGGACCACCTGCTCTCGGATGCCCGTCATGTCCGTCTTGCCGTCGAGCCAATACCACACACCGCTGCAACACGTTTGTCAGTCCCTGCGCATCTTAACCAGGTTCGCCGCTTACTGGGGAGTGGCCATCGTGTTGCCCTCAAAGAGGGCCAACAGGCGGTCGACCATGAGCGACACGAGCTCTGTTTGTGTCAACTTCTGCGCAAAAGGAAGGAACCAACCGGACTCTTGGAGGAGAATACCGCGAGAGTTGCTGACAGTTAGCCCAAAGTCAACGTTCAATGCCTCACCCAGTGAAGAGGTTAAGAAAGCCGCAGAATACGACGGCCAGGAAACCATCGCGCTGAGCGTCGATAGCATGGCGCGCGCGTTGCAGGTGGGCAAGCGCGGCCGCGTACTTGGCGGCAGGATCGGTGCCGGCGCCATCTCCTCCCTCTCCTCCCTCTCCTCCCTCCCTCCCTCTCCTCCCTCTCCTCCATCTCCTCCATCTCCTCCCTCTCCTCCATCTCCTCCATCTCCTCCATATCCTGCATCCACGGCCTCCCCAGCTGCTTCCATGTTACCGCTGACAGGCTCTGGGAAGAGTTTGATCTGGGGGGCCTCAAAGGTGGATGCGAAGGGCCTGAACGGGTCAGCGGGGTTCAGAGGGGGGGACTCCGATAATAGGGCTTACTGCTCCATCCAGAACGCATAGTCGGCCTGTGCTTCCGCGGCTGAGCGGGACAGGACTGTGGGAAAGAGCGGCATGTTGTGGAGAAGGTAGGAGATGCGAAAGAGTAAAGTGTAAGGTGGATGAAGGCGACAAAAGGACATCGGTGACCAGTGATCAGCCTAGCTGCCAATTAGCCTCACTCTACCGGTGGCGGTGGAACTGGTCTTGCCACGTCACGCCTCAAAGGTCGTCTGCGCGTTGTTTTGTTTGCCTCGTACGCTCTTATCAATGCAGCCGCGTCTATTCACAAAAATCAGACCCAACAAGCATAATGGGCCCGGCTGTGCTTGCCAACACATAGTCAAATGTGACTGCGTAAATTGCAAGAATCCCCTTACCGCCGTTCGTGGCGGCTGACGGCGCACCGCTCACAGATTGTGACCAACACACTACCAAGCGCTCAAAGTCACAGTACTTCGCAGTGGTGACAGTTTTGATTAGCGTGTTTTCTCTGCCAGGAGCTGGGATTGGGGATGTGCACCGGATCCCCCATCCCTCTGCGCGGTGTGTTGTAAAAATTATTTTGTCAGTGTTCTCAAAACAATCTTTAAATTAAATCGTTCTGTCGGCCATTGAAGGGGGACGTTATCTCAAACTGAGTGAAAGCTCTGCCACCAACTAACGTTCGTGTGTGTAGCGATTGCGTTGGAGACGATCTTTTCCAAACCTTTTGCTGCCGATTGGGAATGCATCGACAGAATAACTGCAAGACCCCAGCTGCCCCACGGACTCCCCTTGCCTGTAATTGTGGCAGTAGCGGATTGGGCATGAGAGGGAAGCTTGGATGAGAACCACCGTTCAATACATAAAAGGACGTCCTACGACGTACGTACTGCCCCAACTGAGTACCGCCCCCTCCCTCTGTCGCCTCATGTTGCTCGTGTATGTGCCCTCCGCGAATATCCACTCTGAGTCTCTGTGTGGGGAGCATGATCAGAATCATCTCTTGTAAGGATTTGGCACAACTCACCCTTGCTTGTCTCGCCGTCCCGGAACGGAGCACGCCACACTCCTGGCACACTTGTGAGTCTCTCTACAGGCGGATCAGATCAAGCACTCACTTGTAGGTGTTGCGTGAATCTGCTCAGGTCAACTTCAGCCCGAACGAGTGTACTCACGTCTAATACTCACGGCAGCAGCCTACAAGTTGCGCGCCTCCCTGATCTTGCCCCGGACGTAGTCGATAAAGCGGCGATCATCGCCTGTTGAGTACGCCGCCTCAATGCAGGCGCCCCCCATAACCCTCATTAGGGCCAGCTCCGGCCTGAAACCAAGATCAGTACCATCACTCAGTATAATACTCACAGTAACTCCACATCCGTGTCAGGATTGAGGAGCATGTTTTGCACCTGACGGGTTAGCCCTGTTGATAAACTGGGGGGGCGTACGATGGCAATGCCCGTGGGCGAGAGGGGGGCGAAGAGCTCGGGGCTGATACGCTGGCTGGTACCATCAGATTCCATGTCCGTCTCTCAAACCCACTGGAGGCATTCGGAGTGCTTGATGCCGATCCAACGGAGGCGCGGACACCACAGCAGGACTGGACCTTGGCGGCTCTTCCGGCTGCCGTGTTTGCACACCGTGAGGATGGTAAGCCCCCACGGGTCGGCGTCAAACAAGCCCAGCACCGCGGCCGACGGAAAGTCTAGCGCAAGGCGACAGAACAGCTCTTTGGTGGTGTGGTCGGGCTGGCCGCGGCCCTACATGGCGTCAGTACCGTACAGCTATCATCATCGCAAGTTCTTACAGTGATAATGGCGCCCTGGCCGAGATCCGGGTCGGCCAGAATACCAGAGGACACCAAACGACGAAGGACCGCCTGTTGTCAGTGCGGACTTTACACGTTCACTCACGTCTTTCTCCGCCACAAGGATGTAGTCGACCTCACCCTCAAAGCCGGCGGCGTGATCGCGGTATGCAACGAAGATATCCTGTGGTGGTGAGACGTGCTTTTCTTCGTCCGCTTTTTCTGGCTTGGTCGGGACTGACTCTCTATGTAGAGCCATCGGCGTACACAACGCGCAAGTTTGTTGCCGCGAAAGCTCCTTCCAGAGCTGGCCGCTACGGGGTCAATGATAAATTTCAAGATGCTCACTTACAATGCGAAGCCCAGGGCGGGAGTTGGGCGCGTCCAAGCCGGGATTCAATAATATAAACCGGTGGCATGGGTTCAACGTACGGTTGTCACCGGATCCTTGGAGATGTACTTGCGCAGGATATACCAAATGTCGCTGGGGAACGTTTGTAAGTCGCTGCACAGGTGGATCAGGTCGACCACATACTGGGGCGTTGCAAACGTTTTGCCGATGAAGAGTGCCAACAGCTGCGAGGCGATAACGGAAAGGTTGCCAGGAAGGTGTGGCGGGTGTTTGAGGTCAATCACCGAAGTGGTAGTGGAAGCCGTGGTGGCCACTGTGAGCGGTGGTGAGCACATTGCGTCAAGGTGAAATGGCTATGGGAAAAATGGAGAGAGGTGAGGGTTGCAGCACAAGGATGTATGGAACCAGTGGATCAGTCTGTTGTGGGTCCGGGATCATTTGCAAAAAGAAAAGACAGGCGCGCGCGGCCTGGGTGGCAAACACACCCATATATACCAGAGGGGGTTGACGTCAACTCGACACCGTCACCCAACATTCACCGTGACTTCACAACATCACCCTCAACAAACCATCCTCCTCTTCATCCATCATGCCCCAGCCCAACATGCCTGGGAGCAATGAGGTTAATGAGGTATGTGCCGTACAACGAGTTGCACAAGTCTGTAACTGAACTTGTAGCACGCCACCGTGCCCTCGTCTGTCCCCATTGCGCCGTCCGCGTCCGTCCGCTCTAGGTCGCCAAGCGCCTCGACCCACGCCGAGCCTGCCAGCATCAGCTCCGTCCCCGGGACTGACGTTGAGGGTGCCTCCCCCTTCCTGCCCGCTGCGCCGTCGACGCCTGTCCGCTCGTGCGATATAGCATGGGGCGACATGACTGCGCCATCGCCGACCATTATGCGCATGCTCATGCCCGGTTCGCCTCGGTCTGCCCCACGCCCCGCAGCCATTCCACCACCTGGCAGGCGCCAGTATGTCATTGCGGCGCCAGCATCGCCGCCCGGAGTTCCCTGGAGGCCCGAGTTGGATGCCTGTCAGTACTGAGCAGCGTTAAGCCCTTCGGGCTGGCTACTGACAGCTCAGCGGCCCTGGTCAGGTTCATTTCCGACTGGGCGGCCGGTGTCCCGGCGACCGAAACGCGCAACTTCTTCGTCCCTCCATCCCCGGCACTTGACGAGGACCCATCTCTCAGCACCGCGGACCCTGCCGCAATGGCTCGCATCAGCGGTGAGTAGCATGAAGCAACGTAAGCTGACTTTCAGCCTTGGAGCGTGAGAATGCGCGCTTGAACAACGCCGTCAAAGCCCAGGCGGAAACCATCAAGGCCCAAGAGAAAACTATCGACAACTTGCACGACACCGTCGACTGGCTGACACGTTCGGGCGTGTATGTGGAGAGCGCAGAGTCCTCGCGCAAGACCCCGACGGGTGAGGAGGAGGCTGAAGAAGCCTGAAGAACTCACGGCGACAACGTCAACAGTCGCTGCAACATACCCCAACTCGGACCGTCAAAGTCGATACCCCGAACGCGTGTTGCTGTTTCAGCTTTGGTGGACTCGCACCACAATTGGACCCTTCTTTTTCTCTTTAGTTTTTAGTTTTGTTTTGTACAAGCCAGAGATCTCATGTCTGTCGGTCGTGTGCCTCCTCCTGGTCTTCAATAAACCTGGGACTTTGATGTGACTACATTATATGCTAGTTCTCACCGTTATCACGATGCCGTTCCTGCGTGAAGATTCAAAGCCTCTTGGGATGGTGAGAAGGGCTTCTTTTGGCCACTTTTAATCTAGCTTGCGACACTGTCTCCCCAGTCTGCACAACGGCGAGGCTGGTGGTGGGCATGGTGGCGGGCATGGTGCCCTTGGTGGGGTGAGTAGGGAGAGAGTGACATGCGCATGGCAGGTCGGATTCGAGACGGTCTCTGTTCATCATCTCGCCCTTGCACAGCCGGGTTGGACATTTCTTAATTCGGCCACCGCTAACGGAACTGCCCGATCATCGACTGTGCAGCTTCCAGTGGTCCTCATACCGCATCTCACAATTTCTACATACACCTCGCTTCAGCATTCTGTGTTCTCACAATGGCCAAGTCACGCTTCGAATACGTCAAAAACTATGAGCTCCCAGACCCTCTCATGCCAAACGCCCACATCGTCGTCCGCGTAGACGGCCGCGGCTTCCACAAGTATGTCCTCTCGTTCCCGACGCGCGCGTGCGCCAAAACTGTTACTGACGTTTCTAAAAGGTTTTCGGACGCTCACAACTTTGAAAAGCCAAACGATGTGCGCGCGTTGGACCTTATGAACCGCGCCGCCAAAGCTGTGATGGAGGAGTTTGGCGATGTGGTCCTGGCATTCGGCGAGAGTGACGAGTTCAGGTACGTGACATGTTGGGTGGCAAACGAGTGGACGGGTGCTAATGGCAGCTTCCTCATGAGGAGACAAACAAACGTCTATGGGCGTAGGAGAAGGTGGGTACCCGGTGACAGTCACGAGGCTAACCTCCTTAGCAAACTCAACTCGGCCATCTGCTCCATCTTCACCTCGGCATATGTGTTCTACTGGCCAAAGTACTTCCCCAACAATGAGCTGCTGTACCCGCCAACATTTGACTCGCGTGTCGTGCTGTACCCGACCGACAAGGAGATTCGGGACTACTTCTCTTGGCGCCAGGCAGACAGTGAGTGTCGGGTGGTCGTCGTTGTGCTCGGGTCTTGTCTGACAATGCAGCCCACATCAACAACTTGTACAACACCTGCTTCTGGGCACTCATCCACGACGGCTTGACAGCACGAGAGGCGAACAAGGAGCTGCAGGGAACAGACTCGAAGCAGAAGAACGAGATGCTGTTCACCCGCTTCAAGACAAATTACAACAACCTCCCAGCCTACTTCCGCAAGGGCAGCACTCTTGCACGAGTCGACCCCAACCCCATGCCTGTGACCCTAGAGCCAGACGTCTCGGACGACGTGGCGGCCGACTCGGCCACGAGCGGCGTGCAGACCCCTGTCACGACTGACGCTGACGAGGATGACGCCAGTGCCCAGCCTCGGGGGGCAGGAGGCAGTGCCATGCCCGCCAAGCGTCTGGCCAAGAGGAAGCCCTACGAGGGGACCACAGGCGAGATTGTCACCATGCACGAGGACATCATCCGCAACCCATTCTGGCGCGCGAGGCCATGGCTGTTGGCGTAAACTGGCGCAACGCGTGTCGATGAGCACCGTCGCGTCGATACGGCCGGAACCTGGTTGTGGGTGCCTTGCCGTGCTTGATTGCCGGACGTGAGTCGGGTGTCTCATTTTTGTGTTTCTTTGGGCGCTGCGTATCACATGGAGAGACATTTTCCCTCTGTGCACGCACATTGTCCTGTACAGTAGCTGTTCACCCACCATGCATCATGCAACATGCCATATCCCTCTCGTATGCTGGCCTCCACCCCCCGGCGCAGCCCACTCGTCCGTCGCGTTTAGCCGACGAAATGTGGGGTAGAAATGGTTCCGCCGTTGGCCGACAGTGATCGACTCCCTGCGTGAGCCGCGGCCCCCGGTGGCCACGGCGAGGACCCGAAAGTTGGATATCATTTGGGCAGTCACTGCCCATTACTCTGTTGCTCTTTTTCTCTCTCTCTCTCTCTCAGTCGCTCTTTCGTCTCCACTCTCGACATGTCCGCCGGAAGCGCCCCTCCACCAGTTCTGGCGCCAGCAGCCGCTGCTGCGGCCGCCCAGCCCAGGATCCCCCTCACCCTCCCCGAAAGCTTCGCCATTGGCGGTCTGGCGGGATGCGCGGCCGTGTCTGTCAGTGCGTACGCGTAAGCAACTGCAGTGATGTGCTTGCTGTGGGGATGTCCGACCAGGGCTGCAGCGCAAAGCAGAGGCGCGAGCCTTATGTAGCTCTAGCCTGTCGAGTGCCCTTGGCACTACCCCAAGCCACACACATCGCGCGAGGATGTTAGCACCTCGTCGCGAAAACAAAAAAAGAACACCCCCACCTTCTAGGAACCGGCGCTGACCACGCATCTCCACTTCACAGCCAATGTCGCTGAGACGATGAAGACGCGTCTGCAGCTGCAGGGCGAGCTGGTCAAGGCGGACGCCAACGTCAAGCGGGTGTACAACAATGTGTTTGACGTGTTCCGCAAGACATGGAAAAACGAGGGTATCCGCGGTCTCCAGCGTGGTCTCTTCCCGGCATACATTTACCAGACTCTGCTGAACGGAAGCCGTCTTGGTGAGTTCGGACGAGGGGGAGGTCGAGGGAAGATGTTGCGTGATCAGGAGCAGAAAGTTGTCTTGCGCCATCGGTGGCGACATGGAGAAACGCAGAAACGGGTGTGACTAACGCGCGCAGGCTTCTACGAGCCCGTTCGCCACAGCGTCAACAAGCTGGCTGGATACAAGCCCGAGGAGAGTGTGTTCTGGACTGCGATCTTCGCCGGTTCGGCGACTGGATGCATTGGCGGTGAGTGGACGATTCAGCCATTCACAAGTGGCACAAAGCACGAATGGTGGTTGGCACCCAGGCATCGGCTGTGTCTGCTGGTACCACCACTGCTCGCTTGCGTCATTACGGCTGCTAATACCCCCACCAGCGACCCTCGGCTCGCCCATGTTCCTCATCAAGGCCCGTATGCAGGCGTACTCGCCTGTTCTCCCTGTCGGCGCACAGCATTACTACAAGAACAGCTGGGACGCTCTGAGCACCATTGTGCGCTCGGACGGTGTGACCGGTCTGTGGCGTGGTGTTAGCGCAGCTATCCTGCGTACTGTCTGTGTGAGTAACTCCCGAAGACAGGTTGCTGGGGAGCTCAATACAGCTCTCACAATGTCCATGTTCTGACTCTCTTTCCCAGGGTTCGGCTGTCCAGCTGCCTTCGTACAACTACTGCAAGGACCTCTTGATCCAGTACCAGATCTTCGACCCCTCATCGTTCTGGATGTACCTCACGTCAGCCTCTGTTTCGGGTGTGTTCGTCTGCGCTGCCATGCAGCCTGCCGACACGGTCCTTACCCGCATGTACAACCAGCACACCATCACGGACCCCGTCACCGGCAAGGTCCGTGGAGCGCTGTACACCAACCCCTTTGACTGTCTTTGGAAGACAGCAAAGGCCGAGGGCATCAAGGGTTGGTACAAGGGTACCACCGCCCATTTCCTGCGAATCGCCCCTCACACAGTCATTACGCTTGTGGCCAACGAGCTTATCGGCAAGGAGTACAAGAAATACACTGGTCGCGGATAGAGCCCGGGACATTGTTCTCGCTGGCGATGGTTGGTGGTTGTTTGGGAAGAAGGAAGAGCAGAGAGAAAGAGGCACAACGAGCCTCAGGATACCCCCCTCACTTGGGTGCTTCTTGTAATCGTTTCTATAGAGCCAAGACATGCATGTGCATCAATCAGCTGCGAGTTACATCTAGATTAGAATTAGGAGGGGCTCTAGGTTCGCCGTGTACTGTACTACGCCTTGAAAGGCGGGGGTGTTGTCTGGGTCTCCTCCAAGGCCTTGGGAGTCACCTCGGGGTCGTCTGTCGGCTCATACCAGGCAAGCCCCACGAGCGTCATCTTGATGGGCGCGCGCAGGCGCGCGTAACGGACGAACCGCAACGTGAGAATGGCTCCGACCTGTCCTCTGTCAGTTGGGACACGACACACGGCCACACGGGGATCCCGCCACTCACCACAACCACAAACAACCAAGAAAACGCCATACCGGCGATGGTCAGGCTTGCGACATCGTTAGCATGGGGTCCTCCTCATGTGTCCTCGCTGTTAACTCACTCGCAGATGGTGAACCTTGCGGACCCTTGCAAAGACGAATAGCTGCCACCCAGCCCACACTTTGGGTAGTGGTGGATTGTCCAGGCATAGTAGCTCGCGAATCCGATACCAATTACCAGGGCCGGGATGAGCCAGAACAGATCTGAGAGGAGGGACGTGAACCACGATCGTGGCTTGGCAAAGGTGACCACAAGGCTGGGATGTTAGTGACTGTGTCCTGTGCTGTGCTGTCCTCTGCCCTCATACTCCTCCACAGTCTTGCTCACCTGGCGGTAAAGTAGATGAGGGCAACGCCGGTCAGAATAATCTCGAGCATCATTGGCAGCACCTGCATCCAGTAGTAGACGTCTTTTTCGGTCAGTGTCGACTCCCCTCCACCACCTATGCGACTTACCCCACTGTATAGCACTACACATTCCACCCAAAGTCAGGCTGAACGTGAGGGCGGAGACGAGGATACCACTGGCATCCTCGGTGGCGCGGGTCACTTTGTGTTTGCGTAGCACGAGTGGCGATATTGGGGAGCTGTAAGACATGGCGCGAGAGGTTGTGGTCGGTGTGGTCAAGGACGACAGGGATATGGGCAGTTATATACACGGCGACATGTTGGCCGGGCAAGTCGAGGACAACCTTCCTCTGATCCTTCTGAATCGCCTTGACGTCTCAGCGGCACAGCTGATCAGCTGAACGCCAAGACATTCCGCTCCACTCCGATATCGATAACCCGTCCGCCCCGTCCCTGGCGGTGCTGACGTCTGCCTTGACAAACACTTTAGCGTAACAGATGCGGTGCATATGTGTGCATAAACGTCAGCGCTTCGGGTGGCCCCGAGAACGACAGGTAAGGCGCGAGACCGATGCGGCAGGGACAAACAACTCGCACCGCCGCCCAGCAGACGCCAAGGAAGCACGAGCTGTCCCCACCCGGTGTGCCTGCCGCATGGTGAGCGCCATCGGCGCTTGTCCGACAGTGGGTCAATGATGCCACATGTTCCGTTAGCTCTGCGATATGCGACCTTTGTCTGTTCTCCCATGGTATGGGTTGGGTTCCGTGGTCACCAAATCACTGGTGAAAAGACAGTCTGGCATCCACCATACAACGTGCAGCCACTTCCGCCATGACAACAGGTTTGCTCCTCCTCAGACAACTCAATCTCTCTTCCTGCACTGCTACCTCATGGAACGACGAGTCGGTTGCTCGCCGAGTGAGCGGCAATTGCGGTCTGCGGTAGCTAATCCCAGTGCCTTCTACACCTCATGACGCATGTGTTGTAGTGGCGTGTTCTTCAGCTAGGCGGTAACGACCTCCGTTTGACGGCCAGCCATAGCGTCGGTCTCAGCGTTGGCAAGCATGGTCTCAACCTTGTCACTTTCTGCCTGAAGGTACGGGGAACCGCCAACGAGGCCCTGCGACGCCTCGAAGTCGATGATGCTCACTCGGCCGTTTCGGACTAGGATATGGCGTGGGGCGACATCACCGTGGAGGACTCCCACATGCCGGAGCGCTTTGTATGCTGCCCGGACGTCGTTTCTGTCCGTCAATTGGGTTACAGCACAATGTACTCACGCATACGGTGCAAGCTGAGGTGCCGGCCCGGAAAAGTCTCCTCCTAGCGGTGCTCCAGCGTCACCCAACAGGGCTACAGCGAGCATGGGCGTTGACGTCTCACAGGACGTTGATGATGCGAACAGACCATAAAATCTGGGGACGACGCGGCCTTGAAGCGGTTCCAGGTTCCAGGTGTACATCCTACACTCTGTCCATACTTGCCGCATTATAGCTTTGGCGGTGTCGTAGCAGTCAGGGTGGAACCACAATGGAGAGCTGTCGGACATGTCCACGACCTTGGCGACAAGGGGTATATTGTCAACCTGGGTGCGGAAACCCAATCCCGTGCGCCCACCCGATAGCTCTTCGCCGAGCAAGATGTGTAGGTGGGATGCTCCCAGCGGATGGTTCCCTTGGAGGATGCACTCCAGTGGTGTCGTGAGAGATTCGAGCGCCGGGATAAGGTGAGCTCGTTTCAGGTCGGAATTGAGAGTCATCGTCAAAGTTGAAGCGAAAGAGTTGTCGTGAATGGCATCTTCTGCGGCCTCGATGCTGTCACCGTTGCTGACAAGGCTAACGTCTCTTGCATCATCGAGATTGTCGGTTGCCTCGTTGGATGCGTTGCCAGTCGAGCCAGCCGCTCCAGCCCCACCAGAGGAATTGCCAGTGCTGTTCTTTTTGGCTACCCTTCCCTGTCCTCCATTCCCACCGCGAGCAGTACGTGATCGCCCTCCTGCTGAGTTGTTACTGCTCCTTGAAACCAGCTTATGGGACGAGTTGCTTGGCGTCGACGAATCGGTGTAGAACCAATCGCTGCCATCATACCTCCAAATTGGATCGACCGGCTCCAGACATTCTGCTGCCCAGATCTTGCTCATGCAGCTCTTGGCCTGGTAGAGACGGGTTGAAAGAAGTTGAAGCGAGAGAAGTAGCTCGAGTGGCGATTCAACCATCATGGGGTCCAGGCGCTGCAAGGGGTCTCGGTGGAACAAACGTGAGACATGCACTTGGCGGTCCTCGCCCAGACGGATGAGCAGGTAAGCGTCCCAGTTGGACAGGATGAGTCGGGGACATTGGTTGAGGATAAGCTGTTGGAATACCTGCTGTCAACGACGCCCAGCGTATAAACTTACCTGAGCCAGGACTTTTTGAACGGTCAAGGAGATGTCCTGCCCACCAAACCAGGAGACGTCCACCGAGAGATCCTTGACGTTCAGTCGATCACCAGCAACCCCCTCGGCAGTGAACGTCACTGCCCCGTGTCGGAGAGCTTGTATGAGAGCCCCAAGGTCTTCGGTAGGCAGAGCGTTGGGTAGTTTTGAGTTGAAGAGGCAGTAAACTTCACCAGCAATAACAAGCGACAAGTCGCTCCAGCCGCCAGAGAGGCCGTTAATTTCTAGCCGATGTTGTTCGGCCTCTTTCGGCATCACAATAGGTAAAACGTCCTCGATTTCAAAGTCGTTGACATCAGTGTCATTCGCAATTGGGAGCGAGGATGATCTCTGGAGGTTGGCGGCTGGCGCGGCAACCCGTTGTCGCTTGGTTGCAGGTTGATCTGGTGGGTCGTCTGTGGTAGGTCGGGGTACTGGTGGAACAGCGGGCTGAGCAGCATCTTGACGACCGACAACAGTGAGTTTGCCCCCATGGGACATCGCAAGGAGCAACGTCGCAGCGCTGGCCAGGCGTGTGGCTCGCGCTGGCGTGTGGTTGTGGGCCAGCTCCCATTGAAGTATAGGCTGGGCGACATGAGGGTTGAGCGTGCCGGCCCTGTAGGCTTCGGACCTGTGAATATAAAGAGAGGCTGTTGTGAGGCTGTTGCGAATGACAGGCGGGAGGTCGTCGGCTTCAGAATCGATGATGTGCATCGCCAGGGTCGTGTTCGTCGCGATCCGCACAGCTTCTAGCACTTGTGTCGCCGCGGGAGACTTGCCTTGGTCGAATACAGTGTCAAGGGTAGACAAAAGAGAGGAGGGCGCGTCGGGATTCAAAACGAAACGGACCGTGGAAGCGACATGGGCTGCGGACTGTGTGTGGGCGGATGCACTGGCATGTCGGTTGTTCATGTAGATCGTTGACCAGCACGACAGAGTTATGTCCCGCGTACCAGAGTGCACACTTCGCTGGTTAACCCGATCAAAGGTGTAGCCGCGGACATAGTCCTGCATGTTGGCTGTCGAGGTTTCTGGCAGTGGGAACGTTCGAGACCTACGCCGGTGGGGACGGATGTTGGGAGGGAGGTGGGTCTCGTCTGGTCGAGATCAACAAGGGTGGCAAACGGATGATGTCACTGAAATTATCACGCCCCTCCCCCCTCATTTAGTAAAGTGTCACGTGACCATTTACCTCTCTAAGCTTAATCCGCCGCATTAGGCTTTTGTGCACGTCGTTTCACACCGCCTCTCTTGGCTCCCATGCCTTGTTTGTCTTGGCAACGCATCATGGCGTCCTCAACTCCTGAACGTGTGGCTTGACCTGTCGCCTCGCTCGGCTCGCGAGTCGCCTGGAGACAGCTGATCAACACCATGGTTCGTCTTGTCCTCGTTTCCGTTTGTACTTGTTTCCACAATCACACATCACACTCATTCCACCATGATGGGCCACTTCGACCAGGAGAAAGAACCGTTCCTGGACGAGAAAGTGGATGAATACCGCGTTGATCAAGGCCTCGATCCTCTCGACGAGAAGCGGCTGCTCGACAGTCAACAACCATTTCCACAACCGCAGGTCGTCCCCGCCGCGCCTCCTGTCGCACCCGAGGGCGATGACATCGCCCGCCGCGCCCAGGACGTGTTGGAGATCTTGCACCGCGCACGCGAGACAACCGAGTCATCAGCACGCGAGGCGCTGGCGTTAGAGTTCAAGGCTCTCCATATGAAGGGATTGCGGCGCGGCGTTCGTCCCGACATAGTCAAAGAGGCCGTCGCGCTGCGTCTCCGTTCCCTCCCCCTTGATAAAGGCCGGGCCCTTGGGATAGAATATGACTCTCTTGTGGCTGTGGTGAAATACAAGGACGCTGTATCGAAGAAGGAGACGAAGAGAATCTTATGGGTCTTGCTCGGTGCGTTGTTTAATAACCTTGCTGGGGCTGACAGCAGGATACGCAATCGCAACACCGGTGTTCTGGGTCTTCAGAGATTTCATCAGCGAGCACGCGGTGTGGGGACCGTATGCAGCCATGGCAGGAGTACTGGTCATTACTCTGTTCACAGCATTGATTGTGAGTGCTAACTGCGAGTTATTTCTCACATCAGATCCTGTTTACGAACGACAAGACCCCGGTGCTCGTACGTCCCCTCCCGCATCTCTCAGAGCACCCTAACCTTCAGACTTCCAACTTGTCTACTCGGTTCTACGATTTGCGGGCGACGGGGTTAACCTTCGTCACAGCATTCATTGTCCTCCTACAAACCATCAACGGTGCCAATGCGTGCCGTCATTTTTGGACAGCTGGGGCATGGTACAGCGTGAGCACGTCAATGCCATTCTCAGCTGACAATAGTACGCCATTACCATCTTCGTGCCCTTTGCCGTCGTTCTGTGGCCCATGTCAGGATTCTGGGTGGTCGCCACCCAGCCGGCGGTACGAATTAACCTTTGGCGCCAGCCGGCAGAGGGAAAGCTGTGCCGTCCATGGGCCGCCAAGCAGAAAGAAACCGCACAGCGTAAGAAGAACCGCAAGTCATTTCGGAGAAACTGGCGCGTACTTCTTGTCCCCATCGGTGGCGCAAGCCTGATCATGTTTGTTGTCCTTCTTCTCGGTGGAGCACCGTTTTGGCCCGCCGTTGGTATGACTGTGCTCATATTCGTTGTTAGTCTCATTATGGCGGCGTGGGGGGCGTTCGACGGCGATACGGATGATGTCGACGCCGCGACAACAGACGAGGAGGCAGTTGGCGATGCCCAGTCACCAGTCGCCCTCGGCGCTGGCCCATCTGATCGTACTGTTGCTCCTGTGTCGTAGTCACTTTTGGCGTATGAACATTACGAACCCCTTCCTTATCATTGCGCGCCTCCCGCGGCATAACTGTCGAAGACGTGAGAGCACTAGAGGAGATGGACAAACTGTAGAAAGGATGTGTAGCCTCTTGTTTGAAGAAACCAGATTACAGGCGTTAGCGATTCCATGTCAATCTGTCCGAGTTACTGATTGATTTCATGGTGCCACGACATGCATGTGCGTCAATCAACTAGCTTCAATGAAATGAGAGTGAACTATAGACTGGCACGATAAACACGATCTACAGTCCTCCAGTCGCGTTCCGTAGTGCCGACTATGTATGTGGGCGTCCCACCCGCACTGGTCACAAATTGGCTTTCCGGTACGCCACATTTTGCGGCGAGCAAAGTCAGAGGTAGCACGCGGGCCAAGCTGACGACAGCCGAGGGGCGAGATAAACGGACGCATCCCTCGCCGCTGGTACCAAACCCGTACTCAAGCGGAGGCTTGAAAAACACAGTGTCCGTCAACTAGAACTCGGTGACTCCCGCCTGGCTTGGGGCAATGGATTGTGCGTCATCGTCGCCGGCCTTGTAGCCGTACGCATACGACGAGATGGCGTCCGAAGGAGTAATGGACCCGATGGACAGCTTGCGGGCGCCGATACCCCCGTGCTTCTTCTCGTTGGCAGCGTTGAGAGCACCGAGGCCGGCACCAAGCGTCGAGGGGCCAGCAGGGAGCCGGTCATACTGCGAGTAGGCGATGCTGGAGGCACGCGACGACATGGGAGCGAGAGCGTGGCCAGGGTGGAGGGCCTCGCCCGACGACTCGGCTGGCTGCTGCGAGATGACGGACGAGGCGTATCCCGAGTACGACATCTTCTTGCCGCCAGGCATCGCAGAGAGAGGGAAGCTCTGGGTCATGGCCTGCGAGACCACCGACTGAGCATCAGGAGGAACAAAGGTGATGGTGTCGTGCGTGCGGTAGTAGGCAGCGTCAAAGCGGCTGGGCGCAGGAGCGGCAGCACGGCTACCCTTGTCGGCGTACTCGTTCGCGGGAGTCTCGTATCGGCGGAAGGGGTCCAGTGCGCGAGACAGCGACTTCTTCGGCTTGCTGAACTGGATCATACTGGGCTGGAGGTTGCTGAGCGGGCCCTCGACAAAGCATGACTTCTCCTTGTAATGGGTAAGGAGGTAGAGCCAGAGAGGGTGCTACAAAGTCAGCTCTGTGGACATTTGGTATGACGTCAACTTACCTTGCTCAGAACCTTGGGGTTACCAAGAATCACGACACCGTACTTGGCACGAGTTAAAGCGACGTTGAGACGACGAGGGTCATTGAGGAAACCAATACCCTGGTGCTCATTGGAGCGAACACACGAGAGAATGATGTAGTCCTTCTCACGGCCCTGGAAAGCGTCCACACTGGCCACCTCGACCTCCTTGTACAGCTCCTTCTTGAGCGAGCCGTGGAGCTGCATGTACGAGACGATGTACGAGCGCTGGCCCTCGTACGGCGTGATGACACCGATCTGCGAGGGGAGAACTCCCGATTTGAAGAACTTGGTGACCATCTTCTCGACGTTGGACGCCTCGGTACGGTTGAGGAAGGAGGTACCGCTGGAGGAAATCTCCTCAGTGCCCAAGTTCTGGTGGAAGAACATGGGCATGTCGGCGACAGGCCAGGGGAAGTCGACGTTCTTGCGCAGGCGCTCGGGAGCAGTGACACCGTTCTGGAGCGTGCCTTCGTAGAACATGTTCGAGGGGAACTCTGATAGGCAAGGGTGCATGCGGTACTGCACCTGGAGACGGATCGGGCGGTTGCCGAGGATGACGAGGCGCTCGAAGAGTGACTGCGAGAGACCGGCGCGGGCGGCCTTCTTGTTCATGATAACGGGACCCAGCTGCTGGTGGTCACCAACGAGGACGGCCTGCTTGCAGCCCATAACAAGAGGGATCATGCACTCGGGCTCGGCGGCCTGAGTCGCTTCGTCGATGAGAACCGTGCGGAACTTGAACTTGGCAAGGCGAGGATCACCAGCACCCACACAGGTCGTGCAGATGACGTCGGCAGCGTTGAGAATATCCTTTTCACAGGCGCGAACGAGCGACTTGTACTTGCGCTCGTCACTCTGGCTCAGTTCACCCTGGTCGTTGCGGAGCTGGATGAGCTTTTGCAGCTCGGGACGGGTGTCGTTCTGGGCAACCTGGTTGTGGAGGGCAAGGAAGGCAACTGACGAGTCGAGTGCTTCACGCGACTTGGCACAGAGACGAACAACCTTGAGACCGGTCTGGTGAATCTTCTCGCAGAGGTGGTCGACGGCCACGTTCGAGGGCGCACACACAAGGACCTGTCCGGGGTTCATCTTGGCGAGGTGGTAGACGATCGAAGCCGACGTCACAGTCTTTCCGGTACCTGGAGGGCCCTGAATAAGCGACAGTTGCTTCTGCAGAACAGCCTTGACCGCTGCCATTTGAGAGTGGTTGAGCTCGGGCAGGTTGGGAGCAGTAAAGCGCTTGGGCATCTGGATGTGTTAGCAGAGCTCGTGGCAAATCTAATGTGACCTCACCTGTGTCCGCAGAACCTGGGGCTCGAGTTCATGGCCAAGAAGCTTGTGGTACTGAAGGTGTCAGCTGCCTTTGTTAAAGACACATGTTGAGAGTACGCACGATGTAACCTGAGACACTCTTCTCGTCGATAGCAAACGTCTTCATCGCCTGCTGCATGCGGTCAAAGCTGGTGGCCTTCCAGACAAAATCGACAGCGAAGCCGTGCGTGCAGTCGGTAGGGACGTTGTCGGAGCGGCGGAGTTCAAGACAAATCTCGTCCGAGGTGTTGTTGGGCACCTTGATGACGCTGCCAACGCCCTCCCAGAGCTTGTCAGATCCACCCATAGTGGCCCAGCCCTTCATGCCCGCGCCAATAAGCCGGATGCGCAGCTCGTCACCGACAGCCAGGCGGACTTCACCGCTCTCGAGCTTTGGCATCTGGAACAAGGCGAGACGCTTCTGGTTGAGACCCATGTCCCAGCGCACAGTGATGTCAACCTCGCCCTGCGACTCCTTCATGCGCTTGTCATAGTCGGCCTCGATCTTGACCAGGGGGCCAAAGATGTTTTGATATTGGTAAGCGTCCTCATACCTGGAGGTCAGTAGTGCATCAACATCGGGTCAACTCACCTCAAGAGGATAGGCTGCATTTCCTCCTCAGTGGCCTGGGCTTCTGCGTCCTCAAGACGAGCTTGAGGGTTATCCCTCCACATCTCCTCGAGTTTCGCAATCTGCGCCATGGAGATCTGACGCGCACGGAGCTGTTCTGCTTCAGAGGGCACCTTGACAAGCCAGGAGAGGAATGAGCGATCATCGATGATAGCTGACCACTGCGAGGTGTCCCAGTTAATGTCGCGAGAGCTCGTCAAGGCCGCGCAGGGTTGACTGAGTGAGTCAGTTGGCGAACACACAGCCCAACGTTCAGTCACATACCGGCAGAGAAGGACGACAACGGTGTCGCTTTTAGCGGGAATGAAACCGAGGAGGAACACGTTCTTGCTGCCGCAGTTGTAGCCTGATGGGTAAGCTTCTGAGGACACACTCGACCTCACATTCTGGAGTGGTCTCGCCCAGAGCGCTGTCCTTGTGCAGGACAACCTCCTTGTGCTTGGCTTTGACAAGATGGTTGACAATATGCGATGCAGAGGTGTTACCGCGCGAGTTGCAGAACCACTTGTTGCAAGGAAGACACTGGCCGCGTCAGCTTTCTTCGCCACCCGGCAAGGACATACCTTGACCACACACTGCGGGTTGTGGATACCACAATAACTGATGAGGTTAGCTCACCGCACTCAGACAACATGTGGGACCCACCTGCAGGCGTGCTCAATGCCGTATCCGAGTGGAGGTTCGTCCTCGCGAAACTCGTCCAGCCCGTGGTCGTACTCGTCGCCGTAGTGCGTGCCGTTGAGGCCGCGGGAGTGGAGGGACATTTCGTCGAGACCGCGCTCGAGTCCAGAGTGGCCATGCGCATGGTTGCCACGGCCAGAGTGAGGGACAAGAACCTGCTCCGTCAAGGCGCTGGGGGCCGCCGAGTACATGGACGTTGTATCGTCCTGGTCAACGCCGTACTGGAATGGGTCAGCAGTGGCAAAGGAATGTGTTGGGAGCCTTGCGAATGCAAGCAGATGACATACCTGGGACGCGCCCTCAAAAGTTGTAAAGGGGTCCATGGCTGCGCTGCACCCTATGATGACCTTGAAGCGGGTTATCGAGGGGCCTTTGCCGCAGTGTTGGTGTGGGAGGGGGAAAGAAGAGGGATGTAAAAGTCTGGAGACGGAGGTCGCGACAACAAACGGACAAGAGACTCGGCGAGAACCCGTGGCGCGTGGCTGGCGGAGGGGCATTGAGTAAGCAAACCTAATTGGGCGGGTTCTAAATGTATTAGAAAGTCAGTGATTCCATTTACGAGCCGGCTGGAGAGGAGAGGTTTCAGGGAGTGTGGAAAAGTGGAGGTCGGCTTTGGATCTTTTGTCGTCCACTTCATCCACCATGGCATCCCTCAGCCGCTCGGTCGTGCGCTCCGCCCTCCAGTCGACCCGTGTCGCCACCCGCTGCGTCCCCTCGGGATCGCGCGCTCCTATCGGCATTGCTCACCGTCATGAGCTCCGTGCTTTTGGTTCGGCCACTGCTTCTCGCCATGCCGAAGCTCGTCCTGGTCCTCCTCTCTCGCAGACCAACCGTACGGCATTTGGGTCTGTTGGTCAAACTTGCTAACAAACATAGGTGCTGAGGTCACTCTGCGTCGTTTCTGGAAGAAGGTCAACATGAAGGAGGAGGATGGAGGTGAGCTCAGGAAGGCTCGAATGGCCCCCTGCTAACGCCAGGCTACCTCGTCCAGCTCGACCACCGCAACCTCAAGACTCCTGGAGGCACCAAGCTCATTATCCCCAAGGACCGCCGTCTCCTCGCTCTCCTGATTGCCAATGAGTGGGAGAACCAGGACGAGGTTCTCAAGCAGCACGCTCTTCCTACGGTGAGCTGCGACTGCGACCGTTGCATGGTATCTGACTCCGCAGACTTCGCTCGCGTCGCGCGCAATTGACGGCATGGGAGACGCGAAGATCCGCGAAGGCGTCATCGAGGCTCTCATGGCATACCTTGACACTGATACCATCTGGTGAGTGAACGTCATAGACCTCCACTGACTGTGTAGCTTCCCCAGTGATGCACCAGAGGCTCTCGTCCGTCTGCAGGGCGAGCACTGGGACCCTCTCTTCTCGTGGATGAAGGACCGCTACGGTGTGGACCTCATTGCTGCCAAGGGCATTGCCCCTGCTATCCAGTCCCCCGAGACCTTCGCCAAGCTCCGCATTGAGCTCGAGAAGATGGACATCTGGGAGCTCGCTGCCTTTGAACGTGCGGTTTACGCCACCAAGAGCTTCGTCATTGCTCTTGCGCTTGTCAAGGGCCGCTTGACAGCGCATGATGCCGCTCTGGCCTCGCACGTCGAGGTTGCTTCACAGATTGAGCTCTGGGGTGAGGTTGAGGACACCCACGACGTCGACTACCAGGACATTCGCCGTGCCCTCGGCAGTGTCGCCTGCCTCCTTGTCAAGGCTTAGAGAGATGCATTGATATATTTCATCATCGCTTGCCCTGGCCTGGCCTTTATCTCCAATATTGAACTGCCATGACTGTCCGAAAGAGAACGTCTCCAGGAGGGTTGAAAAGTGCACGGGCAATAGCCTCACGTACACGCAGCGTTTGTTTCGGAGTAGCTGGCGATGTGCCACAATATCAGAAACTTACAAGCCACAAGCTAGGTGCTTCAGAGGTTGATCTAAATGCACGTCTGACGTTGCTGACGGCCCATGCATTTGCGATCCTGCGATGGTATGTGAAGGATGACGGACCAGTCGGCTAACGGGCTGTCGCGAAATTGTGTATGTCTTTCTCGAGGGCAATCACAACAATGACATATCGTCCTCCACCCCGCAAACTCACCCCTCCTTTTCCTCCTTCTTTGTGTCGCTCCCCCTGGTTGAGCTTTGTGCCGCGCCACTTCTCCGTCTGTAGACGCCGTGCACGGGTCCCCACCCTCCTGTTCAGACCCGGAATGAATCACCCCCTCTCTGCCACACACACACACTGCGCGCACACTGCGCACACACACCGGGGCGCGAGAGACGGGCAGCGGCTGTGCTGCATACGTGCAAAAATAGTTGTTTCTCTCAAGGCCCATTACACTGGCGGTGCGATGACTATAGGGTCCTGCTACTAATCTCCATTTTCGAGCCTGTCGCGAGAAACGCATAGAGATTTTTGCACAAACTTGTGCAAAAATCTCTATGCGTTTCTCGCGGCCAATTACAACTTCATTTGTAATAATTAGGGTTAGGCGACTAATCTCCATTAGGGCATGCCCCGAGAAACACACAGAGATTTTTGCACAAGTTTGTGCAAAAATCTCTATGCGTTTCTCGCCACCGCCGTTTTTTGGGCTCTCTCATCCCACCGTAAACAGCAAGCGTAGCCAATGCCCGACACTCACCCGCAGCCAGTGCGTGCGCGAGCGGTGCGTGCGTTCGAGTATGTGCCAGAGAGGGGTTAGGCATTCGGGGGCCTACACGTGGGCGGGTTCAGTGCACGGCATCTACAGACGAGCCGTGGCGCGCGGAAAGCTCAACCCAGGGGAAGCGACACAGCTCGGCGACCGGGATGCAAAGAAAGAAAGGAAGTGGTTTGTGGGAACGATGCAGTGGCGCAGTGGAGCGAGGGCGCTGTGGAGAATGTGATGACACAGCCGCTTCCCATCTCTCACGCGCGGGTGTGCGCGCAGTGTGTGTGGACGATGCAGGACGATGCAGTGGAGCGAAACCGATGTGGAGAATATGAAGCTCGTGTGTCAGGAGGTGAGGAGAGACCCATTTTGGCCGATTACAACGCCAGTTGTATTGATCAGGGTTCCGAGACTAATGTCCATTAGGACAAGCCCAGAGAAACACATACACTATTTTTGCACAAGTGTGCAAAAATAGTGTATGTGTTTCTCGCCGACCTCCCGTTGTGGGGACTCCTCTCTCAACATCCCACCGTAAGCAGCAAGTGCAGCCAGTGCGTGTGAGTGTGTGGCAGAGAGGGGTGATGCATTTAGGGGCCTGCACCGATTGCAGGTGAAGAACGAGACGAAAAATATTGGGTGGCACAGGACATGTCGACCTCACTGTTACCCAATAGTGTGGCATTTGGATGGACCCTAGCTTCTGGTACTCTAGCCTCTGGCCTCAGGACTGGTTCTCCGGCATTAGTTCATGCAATATATTGTAGGACGGGCCCCTCAGGCATATCCCGGAGGCCGGAGACTGCAATTCCACAGAATGGAAGGCATTGTGCATAAGGGGAAATGTCTTGTGGGCTGGACAGAACCGCGCGCCATGGTTGAGATGTGGTCGATCGTTCCTTGCAGGTGTGGGTTTGTGTCGTTGGGGGCCAGGTGGCCGCCTGGAGAAGGCATTGTTACACCGTGTGGCGAGGCCTAGGAACCCATCCAAGTTTGGAAGTGACGTGGTGGAAATACCCATGAAATATGACAACACTGGTCACTTCACAGGCTCAGTAGTTTCTTAGGTCTTCAGCGGAAGTAGCAGCAGTGCTCAAGTTTTGACTTCCAGGAAAATGCGTCCGGCGCCTGCGGAACATGGCTTGCCGCCTCGCTCGGTTCACTACTCCTCTACACAGGTATCTGATGAACAACATGGATCGTCTCCTCTCCGCTTGTACATATGTATTGCCACAAACACATTCATTTTTAGAGGGCTGACGACTTCGACCAGGAGAAGGTTGAGCCATCTTTGCTGATCTTGCAACAGAAACGCCTGACACAGACATTTACCCAACGTTCGTCATCTACAGCAGCAGCACTCGGTCTGAGAAGTCGAGGGACAATGGTATCAAAGTGGCTGCACAGGACTAGTGTGGAATTTCTGTCATGCTTCGACTGCCGCCGATGTGTGCCGCCTGTGATTCACTGTTTTTTCTTCTTTTCTTCTTCTTCAAAACGCTTCGCCGACTGCGGGGCATCTCTTCGAAAAGCTGCAATGTCCGAGCACCGTACGTTGTCGTGTTGGCGCCCGCTGGGCTGCAACGTGTCGTGAGATAACAGTTGGGGTGAGGTGCTTGGATCAGGACCGCCGTTGACTATCAGAAATTGACATGCTACTCCTACCGAACTAACCTAACTACTGCACCTGCTTCACCTATTTCCTCGAGTGCTAGGCCACCTCGTTCTTTTCACTGATATATACAATCAACACTGGGTGGCTGTCTGCAACGCTCCTACTGCTGCGACTGAACAATCTTGGTGCGAATCCACGCCATAAGCTGGCGGTCGTCGCCGCCCGAGTACGCCGCCTGAATGTAGGCTGCGCCAGTGCGGCGCATCAAGTCGAGCTCGGTCCTGGAATCACAATCAGAACCATCGTTTCAGCTAAACTCACTTCCAGTCTTGGGGGAGGTCGTTGTGGGACTCGATTTCGTCCAGCTGATGGGTCAGACTAATTGAGAAATGGGTGACATACGAGGGCAACGTCGTAGGGCTTGAGAGGCAACATCTGCTGAATCTGGACGCCGAGGCTGACAGGGTCAGCGTTGCGCCTAGCATCTCGAGTCCTACCTGAGAAAATCCGAAATGTGCATGCCGAGCCACTGGAGGCGCTGGCAGTCGTGTGCGTCGGCAGCATAACGGTTCTCTCGGCTGCCGTACTTGTACTCGCACAACATCTTCACGCAGATAGGCTCGGCATGGAACAGACCAAGAACGGGCGCCTTACGGAACGAGTCGGCAAGGAGGTTCAGCATCCGAGTCGAGCAATCGTCCGGGATTCCCTGCACTGCGTTAGCATGCGCCACTTTTATGTACCATGTCAGGCTCTTACAGTGAGCATCACACCGTAGCCAAGGGACTTGTCCTCAAGAATCTTGGAGTTCAAAAGCTCGTAGAAGAAGACCTGCGGTCAGCGCTGACGATCCCTCGATCCCTTCTCTCACCTCCTCGACAACGAGGATCCAGTCGACCTGGCCTTGGAAGCCGATAAAGCTTTTGGCGTGGGGCATGATGTCCTCCTGGGCAGGTTAGGCCTACCATTTATGTCGTATTTTCTTCTGGCTCACGTAACAAGGGAAAAAGGGCTTGGTTTCCCCAGTGGCCAATATAATGCTGAGGTTGGACGCGGCCATCACACTGTCGCGAGCGGGCAGCTACTTGGTCAATTGCGTATCAAAATTAGTCACGTACGACGCGGAAGGCCCACATAGAAAGCTGGGCGGCAGCGGCAAGAGACTTGATGAACTGCGTATATGAGTTGAGACTGACGGTTGTGTTGGCGCGACTCACCTTGGTAACGTTGTGCCCTGAAACGGGCCCATCCAACTCGACACAATCCCACACACCCCTGGAACACGGTTGTGAGTTTGCTGTATGTACAGGTGGCTCAGATCAATCACTTACTCCACCGTGGCGATGGTCTCGCCGTGGAAAAGACCAAGGAGCTTCTTCACGACGCGCTGCACGATACCTGTTCATGTCAACTTGTGCCCGAATGGACTGAGGGGGTGAACGCACCGGCATCACCGAGCCCGACGCCACGAGGCATTCTAAGAGTCAGCTTCAGCGTTAAACCTCAAGCCCTCACCCAGTCTCGAGGTTCATGAGACCGGGGAAAGATTCCTGGGTGCCGTGGGCGAGCTGGTCGGCAAGCACCTGGGCGGCGTGCTCGAGGTGGGTGAGGGCGGCGGCGCGCTCAGTGTCCATGTTCGGGAGCTTGAGGTGGACAGTCACGTCACCAGTGGCGGTGGAAGAGCCCACAGAGGGCGATGGCACGGACATGGTGAGAGTGTTGGGGGTTGGGTTGGGTTGGGTTGGGTTGGGTTGGGTTGGGTTGGGTTGGGTTGGGTTGGGTTGGGTTGGGTTGGGTTGGGTTGGGTTGGGTTGGGTTGGGTTGGGTTGGGTTGGGTTGGGTTGGGTTGGGTTGGGTTGAGAGGATGGCGAGTTGGAAGGACAGATGGAGGAAGGAAGAAGGAAGGATGTTAGAAAGAGAAAACGACGCCCCAGTGTTTGGGCCTTTTGGGTGGAGAGTTGACTGGACCAGACATGCCACACAACACCGTCAGCCGTGTGTTTGTCCCCGGCCAGATCAAGGAGTTGTTAGACTCTCCGTGTGCCCCATGCGTGTGATGACAGTGGTACGTTATACGTGGTACAGCGTACAGCGTACAGCGGTGGGACAATAACATGGGATCATTACGCCTGCAGTGTTTACATTTGTTGCAACACCACACCGTCATCCTTCGTTACCTTCCTCCCATCCACCTCTACCACCAGTCCATCCCACCAACTCCACCACCTGTCGTAGACCTCACCCCAAGCGGCGACAACACCCCTCTCCTCCCGTTTCTGTTACCTGCCACAGCATCCCAGGTACAGCCGACACAGTTGCACAGCGTGACTGACACAAACACAGGACAAACACGCAACACCACACGAGCTCCCCAATTCCCCAACACACTTGGAAAACACTACCGGTGCCATGCCCGCTCCCACGCCTCAGCTCACCGCCGCGGCTGCCGCAGGTCCCAACGATGTTATCACCGACGTCGAGAGTGAGTTGAATGTAGGTATTCGTATTGACATCCAGTCTTCAACGCCCTTCGCGCTCTTTGCGAGAACCACGCCGCCATCCGTGACCACAATGTGAAGCTCGAACGTCGCATTGCGGAGGTCGAACGCCACAGGGCCGAAATCGTTCACGAGCTTGTCCAGCTCCGACTCGAGGTGGCCGAAACCCAGTCTACCCAGCAGAAGCTTCGCCAAGAAATCGAGCAGCTGGAAGCTTCCTTTACAAGCGCCAAAGCTGCTCTCGCTGGCCAGAAGGCTGAAACCGCGATGCTCAACGAGATGCTCAAGACGGTGAGGGACAAGATGGAGGAACTGGAGGTGGCGGCCGCCACCACGGGAGTCAAGGTCCAGGCATGAGCGGAAGGAGTGCCAGCCGGCCAGCCGGGGTTGTCGGTCATTCAAGCAAATGCAGCAAACCAGTACGGGGAATGATACAAAGGGTTCTGTGATTATGTTTCGACTAGGATACCCGCATGTATTCTCATGGAAGGCGAGCAGACTCTGGCCACCGGACATTGCACACCTGTTCTCCACCGAAACCCGTGGCTCCCCAGTCTGACCGCTGAGCGTTGGAGGCGACGGGGCTTGGTGTTTATATTACTGCCCCAGTGGGAGTGTGTGTCCGTCATCTTCTCATCTTCATCAGTTGTTAAAATCTGGGTGTACAGTCACTGCGATCACTGCTGGAGGCCGCTGACTTCCCGTACTCAAGATCTTGTCGGCACAAGTCCAAGAGCTGTGCCTAGGCACATCGTGTACGTTATGGCCCGTCGTCGCTCGTCTCCCCAAGCATCCCCTGTTGTCGCACCTCTCTCTTCAGTGCACCAGCCAGCATCTGCACAGTTTGTGGGCACGGGATAGCACAGCGGTAACAGAGGAAAAGCTCTATTCGCAGCCGTTTTCCGATGGGAAACAGCACACACATACACATATGAGAACCACTTGGCACTTCCTTCCCCACACAACGCCACACGCGCCTTCAATGAGGAGAAAGTTATATTCACACAATGACTCCCCGGGGCTAGACACCCTGGATGGAGACGTGATCTGACTTGTACATGGCTTATCTGAGCAGGAGCAGGGCATTGTGGGGTTGCGCCTGTGTACTGTATCCTCTTTGGCTGGCGGGCAAGGGCCGCTGCGGATCGAGGCAGCCGGTCGCGTCGGCGGTTTGTTTTTGAACGATTCGAGCCCGACCATGTTGTTGCTACAGGCTGCCAGCTGCCAGTTAGCTGCACTTGGCCGCCCACCTGATGTCCTGTAACATATGCATCCATACAAGGAGTACCTGAGACAAGATATCCTTTGCATCCAAAATCGCTATTCACATTAAACCCTTCTGAGCCCAGAAATCCCTCGCACAACCCCCAAAACGGTCTACATCACCAGGCTGGTGATTCCTGTGCACAGGGAAACAACACCAGTGGTCACGTTCTCCCATGTGGCACCAGCCAGCGCAGCGGGGGTCCACGCGGTAGGGTGGGCAACGGTAAATCCGGGGAAGAGGGTGTGGAGCAATGCGACACCTGTGGCGGTCGACGTGAGGCCAAAGCCCGCCGCTGCGAGGAGCGCGAGAATGAAGACAGCCTTCCTGGCGCGCTGGCGAACCGAGAGCTTCTCGGCACCGGACCAGTGCGACCAGATGGGGTACAGGTTCTCCCACCACAGCGAGGAGAGGTGGCCCGGGTAGTGGGTCCAGACGCGGCCGTTGCCGCCGTTGGCACGCATGTACGACTTGGCCTTGGTCCACACGGTCTTGTCGGCGCGGCGTTGGGTGTCGGCGATCCACTTGGTGGCAGCAGTGCGCTTAATATCGAGACGAGGAATGTGGTCGTCGCGCATGGCCTTGATGAGCTGCATGATGTACTTTGCCTGGGACTCGAGGATGAAGACGACCGACGAGTGGCCGGGGGCCGAGAACGAGCCGAGCAAGGTGAAGAAGTTGGGGATGCCAGGAGTAGCCATGCCATGGTACTGGGGAATGTCCGAGGCGTGGGAAAAGTCGCGGACCTTGGACTCGGAGCCGCGAATGTCGAGACCGTTGGCCTCGATGTCAAAGCCAGACGCAAAGACGACAACGTCGGCGTCAAACGTGCGGCCGTCGGTAATCTCCACACCAGCTTCGGTCAGACCAGTGAGACCACCCCACACGGCCTTGACGTTCGGCTTGTTGAGAGCCCCCAAGTAACCATCCTCAATGACGAAGCGCTTGGCACCAAGGGCTGGGCTTGGTTAACGCGTGGTCTCATACACCCTGCACTCACGGAAGTCGGGAACGCCATTGGCTTTGTACTCTTCGGGGAGACTCTCGCGCTGCCACTTTTCAACTTTCTGCATGTCAGCTGTAGGCCCGGAGCTTTGGGAAGCTCACCTTGCGGTTGAGGTCGTTGAGCCACTTGTTCTTGAGAGGGAAGATGATCCACCTCGAGTCCATGGCCAAGTAGGTGAGCGCGCGGGAAACGTGCTGGACAATGGGGTAGTTGTTCCAGAGCTTTTTATGGCCCTCGCTGTACGGCACCGAATTCCTAACGCGGCCAGTGGGGTCTTGGCCACTGCGGATCAGCAACTGCACCGGTCCATCCTACTCACTTGGGAATGTACCAGTGGGGCGAGCGGGCAATGGCGACAACCTTGATCTCGGGATCCTCTGAAAGAGTGCTGACGATTTGGGCACCAGCGCATCCGTTTCCGACGACGGCGACAGTCTTGCCGCGGAACGTCACCGGGTCGAGGTCAAACGGCCAGCGAGCGGCGTGCACCAGAAGCCCATGGTACAAGTCTTGGCCCTTGAGCTTGGGAGTCTTGGGGTGGGCGAACGCGCCAATAGCCGAGACGAGAACGTTGACGGTCGTGACGACGTCGACGTCCTTTTCGTCGTCGTGAACAGTGACAGTGTACATCTTCGTCGCCTCATCCCAGACAGCCGAAACGAAGCGGTGGCGGAGCTTGACGTGGCGGTCAATGCCCTGGGCCTTTGCGAGCTCTTGCCAGTCTGCACAGTTAGCATCGTGAGAAGCGTGTGCGACGTACACTCCAGGAGCTCTTGACGAGGAGGGTGGGTTTGGGACCAGTTGGGGTTCTGGAACTGCGAGTGCGAGTACAAGATGGCAGGCACACTGACGTCAGTTGGACCACGCCACATATATCCTCTCAACTCACTCGCAACGGCAGCCCCTGTGTTCTGTCAGCAATAAAAATCAACGGCGTAAGTGGAGATGCTTACGGGTAGCGATTCTGGTACCAGGTACCGCCGATTCCCGTCTCCATCTCGTAGATCTTTGGCGGTCAGCAGCACTCAAAAAGCATTTGGCGACGCACGGTGTAGTCATTGAGACCTTGTTTCTGGAGGTCAAGAGCCAGACAGATGCCGCCGATACTGTTTTGTTAGCTGGGGCCGCCGCTGCTCAGGCACTTGTACGCACCCGGCGCCGATGATCGCGACGGAAGGACCAGAGTTCATGGTCAGTGCTTATGGATCGAGTGTATGGGTATCTGAGTGAGCGGACGAGAGAGACGTGCAGATGTGGAAGACAGGGACACTGCTTCATGCTATATAGGGAGGCGGAGTGGTGCAAGCCCACCACACACGCACGGCTTCGGGGGCTCCTCGTGCGCGCGCGGGGTGGCTGATGTGGGGGAGAGACGGTCCGGTCCCTGCCATTGCCGTAGTGGCAACAAGTGTGCATCTGGCGCTTGTGTTGGTAGAACCCAAGACCAGCGGGCCCAGCGACGGCCGCCGGGGGGGAGGGCATGTGCTCTGTGGCGTTGTGCGCGTGGGGGAGAGAGATACCCGTTTGTCCAAGACATCCACGAGCGGGCAGGCGATGGGCAACAACACCGAAGGACGCGCTCTCAAGAGACCGTTGGCCGAGGGACCCATGGTGGACGCATGAACTCTCGCGCCTACCTCCCAATAGGCACCCAAGTCAAGTAGGCAGGCGGCAGCGGGTCTTGTCACCTTTATCGCACGCCTATATTTTTGCCACCAGCCACATATCCCCTCAGCCATATCTGCAGCTGTCGTCGGCCGGCGGCGGCCGGGGGGGCCGGGGGGCAGAGGCGCAGAGGGGAGACGGGGTTGATGAGATTTCAGCGGCGGTTTGTCCGTCTTCACATCCACCACATTTATCGACCATGCTCCCCGCCGCTCGCTCGCTCTTGCGGCAGTCGGCAACACGCGTACCCCAGCGGGCAGCGCTCCTCGGCGCGCGCTCAATCAGTACACCTGTGCGCTCGGCCGCCCAAGCAACCCAGGCATTTGAGCGTGTCCGCGCCGCTGCCTCGTCCCAGGCGGCACCAGCTCCGCCTACGTCAAAGCCTCCTCCTTCCCACAAGCCCCCCAAGCGCCGTCTCGAGGCCGCGTCTGCACCACTGCGTAACAACCCTACACCTACCCGTGGTCCCATCTTGCAATGCATCGCCCACACCACCGCAGAGCGCTACGATCTCGTCTTTCTGGGCGCAGTCCTGCGTCGCATGGGCGTTCAATGGAACGAGGTTCCGGAGGGCGACCGCGACCGTGCGATCGTCATTGGGCCATGGAAGGGTCGTGGTGGAGCCGAGCGCCTTATCCGCGGCAAGGACGTGCGCCGCGTCGAGGACGAAGGCGACGATGGTGACCTTGTCGACATGGGCTTTGAGTATGGCGAACGCGGCGAGATCTGGGTCTTTTCGTCCGGCTCGTTTGTGACCTGGGGCCTCACCGAAGAGGAGGGTCGCGCCTTCCTTCGCGACGTTATTCGCCACAGGGGTTCCCGTGTGGAGATTGATCGCTTGACTGCCGAAGAGTACGAGGTTGAGGAGGTCGACTTTGTTGTTGACCCCACTGCCACCACGTTTGTGCTCGGCAACCTCATCCTTCTGGGCCGTCCGCCAGAGCTCTCCACTTTCCCCTCGTCGCCTTCACTCGCCTCCCTTCTGGCTCGTTACACCCTCTCGCTGTCTCTGACGCGCTCGTCGTCCTTGTCCGTCCTCGAGGACCGCCTTGACAAGCACATTGCGTCCGTCTCCCTCCTGCCCCGTGCTCTCGAGCGCTTTGGAGCCCAGCCCATGGGCCGTCGCGAGGTCATTCGCAAGATGGGCGAGCTCATGAGCCTCCGCATGGCCGTCAACACCCGTGGTGGTGGCCTCGAAGACACGCCCGAGTTTTACTGGTCCGAGCCCGAGCTTGAAGCGTACTTCGACAGTGTCGCCAAAGAGTTTGAGATCAAGGAGCGTATCGACACCATCAACAAGAAGATTGACTACGCGCAAGAGGTCCAGAACACTCTCCGTGCTCTGCTGACCGAGGCCTCTGGCCACCGCATGGAGCTTATCATCATTCTCCTCATCACCGTCGAGGTCATCATTGTGAGTTTTGTGTTCGCATGGGGGAACCCCGGTCAGGGAGAGACGCTTGCGTTGCGAGTCGGCGGCCGTGGCCGTCGTCGCCTCGGTTACAGCCTCACCGCTGCCGCGTCTGCATTTTCCCATGTATTGGGTATGCTGTGGCTTGTCCACAGTGGCCCTCGCCGTCTACTGTCCCCTGCTGACAACATAGGCTCTCATCCGTGAAGGCCCCGAGCTGTGGCGTCACTTTGGCGCACCAGTTATTGAGAAGCTCCAGGAGCTGATTCCCGACCCAACCCGTCCGCCCAAGACCTTGGCTGCCACTGGTGACCATGTTGACCAGGGGACTGACCAGTGGACTCCCGCAGCTACTTCTGTCGTCGTTGGCACCGATAACCAAACGCACCCCCGCCTTGTATAGATATTTCATTTATATCCACATTCCACCCCACCACCAACCACCACCACCACTCGCATGTTAGAATGATAGCCGATGCACACAGTTCTGTATCTTCGCAAAACAATATGGCCATTTTCGTTTGAAACCCTATCACTAAATGCATATGCGTACAAGATCTGCTTCTGCTTTCTTTTCGGTACAAACGACGACGTCCCCTCTCCCTTGCGGCAAGTTTACCAATCGGTCTTCTTGCGGGGAGCACGAATGGGAACGACGGCCTTGCCCTTCTTGGCGTAGCCGACACCGTCGAGCCAGGGCCAGTTGGCAGTACGCTTGGCCTCAAACTCGACAATCAGGTTCTCGTGCTCGAGAGTAAGACCAATGTCGTCGAGACCGTTGATGAGGCAGTGGCGACGGAACGCGTCAATCTCAAACTTGATGGTCTCGCCCGAGGGGCGGACGACCTGCGAGTTCTCGAGGTCGACGGTGATCTCCTGGCCAGACTCGGCGTCCTTGTAAAGGACCTCGAGGTCCTCCTTGGGGAGGATGAGGGGAAGCATGCCGTTCTTGAAGCAGTTGTTGCGGAAGATGTCACCAAACGAGGGAGCCATGACGCAGCGGATGCCAAAGTCGTTGAGGGCCCAGGGGGCGTGCTCACGCGACGAGCCACAGCCAAAGTTGTCACCAGTGCAGACAAGGAGGCTCGACTTGGTGAAGGGCTCCTTGTTGAGGACAAAGTCGGGGATCTTCTCGCCAGTGTTGACGTCGTAACGGGCGGGCCAGAAGAGGGCGTCACCAAGACCGGTGCGGAGAAGGGTCTTGAGGAACTGCTTGGGGATGATCTTGTCCGTGTCAATGTTGGCCTCCCACATGGGGGCGGCAATGCCCTTGACAACAGTAAACTTGGGCATGCCGGCAGAGGCGTGCTTGGCAGCGTCGGCGAGCGAGGCAGCCTCGGCCTTCTCAGCCTCGGCAGCGGCAGCGGGGTCGATCTCGTCGGCAACGGCCTGGGCGGGGATGAGGGGCTCGAGGTAGTCGGCGTACGAGGTAATCTTGATACCACCGTCGTCCGAAACGTGCGAGCCCATGAGCTTGCGGACATCGGTGAGGCGACCGGTAAGGGCGGCAGCGGTGGCCATGGCAGGCGACACAAGGTGGGTACGGCCACCGGCACCCTGGCGACCCTCGAAGTTGCGGTTCGAGGTCGAGGCGCAGCGCTCTCCGGGCTTGAGCTGGTCGGGGTTCATACCGAGACACATGGAGCAACCAGCCTCACGCCAGTCAAAGCCGGCCTTCTTGAAGATGACATCGAGGCCCTCAGCCTCGGCCTGCTGCTTGACCAGACCCGAACCGGGGACGACCATAGCGTAGACACCCTCGGCACACTGGGTGGGGCCACCGTTCTTGCCCGAGGCGACAATGACGCGGGCAGCCGAGCGCATGTCCTCGATACGACCGTTGGTGCACGATCCAAAGAAGACCTTGTCGACCTTGATCTCCTCCATGGGGACGTCGGCAGTGAGGCCCATGTACTTGAGGGCCTTCTCGGCGTCCTGGCGGCGGCTCTCGGGCATGTTGGCAGGGTTGGGGACGGTGCCAGTGATGGGAACAACGTCCTGGGGCGAAGTACCCCAGGTAACGGTGGGGACAATGTCCTCGGCCTTGATCTCAACCTCAATGTCGTACTTGGCTCCGGGGTCGGTCTTGAGCGTGCGCCAGTAGGCCTCGGCAGCGTCCCACTCCTCGCCCTCGCGGGGAGACAGGGGGCGGCCCTTGAGGTACTTGAAGGTGACCTCGTCGGGGGCGATCATACCAGCGCGGGCACCACCCTCAATGGCCATGTTACAGATGGACATACGGGCCTCCATCGAGAGCGAGCGGATAGCCGAGCCCGAGAACTCGATAACGCAGCCAGTGCCACCGGCGGTACCGATGATACCAATAATGTGGAGGACAACGTCCTTGGAGGCGACACCCTCGGTGAGAGTGCCCTCGACGTTGATGCGCATGTTCTTCGACTTAGCCTGGGGCAGACACTGGGTAGCGAGGACGTGCTCGACCTCGGAGGTACCGATACCGAAAGCGAGGGCACCGAAAGCACCGTGAGTCGAGGTGTGCGAGTCACCGCAAACGACAGTGGTGCCGGGGAGAGTGAAGCCTTGCTCGGGGCCGATAATGTGGACAATGCCCTGGCGACGGTCGGCCATGCCAAAGTAGGTCAGGCCAAACTCCTTGACATGGTCCTCGAGAGCGCAGACCTGGGCACGCGAGTCACCCTCGGTGATGAACGACGAGACGTTCTTAAAGTTCTTGCGCGAGGCAGTGCTGCGCTGGTCAGAAAAGTCCAGCAGCAGTGTTTTTATCTTGACTCACGGAATGTTGTGGTCGACAGTAGCGAGAGTGCAGTCGGTACGGCGGACCTTGCGACCGGCATTGCGGAGACCCTCGAAAGCTTGGGGGGAGGTGACCTCGTGGACGAGGTGACGGTCAATGAAGATGAGAGTGTCACCCTCGCCAGACTTGACAACGTGGTCGTCAAAGACCTTGTCGTAAAGAGTGCGGGGAGCAGCGTTGGGGGCGGGCATGATGGGTGGGTGGGGCCCAGGTGGCGGGTTGTGGGGTTGGGGGAGAAAAGGTAGGTGGTGTAGGGCCAGCGTAGGTGCTGCCAGAGAGTTTTCGTTCAATGGATCTACTTTTTAGAGTCCAGTAAGGTAGGTCTGGTTGTGTCCAGAGAAGTGTTGATGTAAAAGGCTGGGGAAAGAATGATGAATGGTGCTGGCAGTCCGACTTTGTAGTATCCGGACAGCACACGAGCGAGTCAAACGTCCAAGACCGTCGGCCGAAGGTTGAGCCAGCCAATCACGTTGTTTTTATTACAACCACCGCCGTGGAGCGTTGAGACACATTTGTTAATGAAGGCTTACCCGACGTTGGATAAACATTACAGTTCCTTGAAGATCAATTTGAAGATCGCCCAAAGCCGCCGGGGCTCATTTTCGGAGTCGTTTCGGCCGGTGTCAACCACACAACCTCCACTTTTGACGACCACGCTCGTCAACGCTGTTGTTATGCCTGGAGAGTCTTGTCCAACTGTACGTGGTAGTGCGAGTCGCACGATCGGCGTACCAGCGACTCACAAAGGCGTCGTCAACAGTCCCCTCGAGTCGACAGTTGACCAGTGTTTTTTTACCTGTACTGCGGTCTGTCGGGTTTTAGTAGTTGGTGGTGGTGGGTGGTTGACAGGTTATCTTTTACCAATCGCGACGCGTCGGATTCACGGTCCTGTCGCAGGACGCGTATTCCAAACACTGGCGACACGTTGGTTGCTCCTTCTCACCTCCTCTTGAGATTGAACCTATGCGTTTACAGATCTCTCAGGCCCACGCCAACACTGTTCGCTCGGCTGAGGACTAAATCGAAACAGGAGAGTACGTTCGTGCCGAGCTCGTTGGTGGTAATGCGCCTCCGGCCGGTCCTTCGCTGCTACTGTTACTGAACACTGATGAATCCCAGTCACAACCAACCCTAACTGAATACGGGTTCTCTCGTAACCTTTGCCTGCGGATTTCTACATCATACCCCATATGAGGCCCTGGTTGAGCTTGGTCGCGATGAGGGCCCGTCAAACCTATCTCTGCGGCTTGAGGTCGGCGATCCGCAATCAGCAGGCGGGTCATCTCACTCTGCTTCTGGATTTTATCGTTTTGGACCCTCATAGCCTTTAGCTCACGCTCTGGCTTGACCAAGCCTCTGGCTATGTGCCAAACGCAGAAGAAGCTTCAGACGTTTGAAACAGGTAAAAAATTGAAACAGGCTTCATTCCTCTCTACCGTTTCTTTCCCCAACTACAAGTTAACGGCCACCTTCTGGTACAATCTCTGTTACAACCCGGCCATCCTCGCTGTCGCCCTACATCGATGACGTCGACGACATCGACGACATCGACGGCAGCGAAGGCAGCGGGGGCAGCGGGGACATGGAACGGAGGTGTTCTCTCCAGGCGACAATGTCGTCGATGTCGGAAGCCTTGTCTTGGAACTCCGCGATTGCCAAGCGGTCAGTTTCCCTCTGTTTCTGGAGCTCGCCGATTTCAAGACGGTCGGCCGCGCTTTGCTTCTGGAGCTTGTCGATCGTCGCCTTCATCTCCTCGAGCTCGCACTCCATCTTGGCCGAGCGGGACATGGCGTCGGACAATTGCATCCTGGTCTTGTGCTGTTCCGCCAGAACGAAATCAATGACCTTGTTGAAGGCGCCCAGCTCGGTGTCATGTGCCTTGTGACGACGCTGGAGGTCTGGATGTCAGTCTACACACAATCTTTGATGCTACTCACCCTGGATCGCGGTCACAGCAGTGTGGCGCCCAGCTGCAACCTGCTCTCTGGTTAGGAGACCCATGGGACCCTGCAGCGTGTTGCCGGTTGATGCGGATGTTGCGGCCGACTCAGTGCTGGATTCTGGGGTAGCAGCACTGGCGGACGAGGAGACTTTCGCCCACTCTTCCATCAGCCTGGCAGCACAACGTGAGGCATCGTCCGAGTCGCCAAGCTCCTGCGCAACTGCCGCTTAACTGTCAGCGTCATGCCCAGGGTGTCTCAGCTCCGAACACTTACTGGCGTCGACTCCGCGGGGGAAGGGGTGGTTTGGAAGTTGGAGGGGTGTGCATTCCTGGCCCCCATTGACGCAGGAGGCGCAAGGTTGTTGCTGTCGTCAGTGTACTGCTTTGGTGATTTGCACTTACATGGTCGCACACGCTGTCCGTCTGAACGCATGGCGCACAGGGGACGGGCATCTTGGTGGATGGGATCCTGGCAAAAGGATGGATGCGAAAGAGAGCAGAAGGATGAGAGAATGGAAAGAAGGAAGAAAGGAAAGTAAGAATGCGCCCCCTCCCAGATGTGTGTACAGTCATGTACAGTCACCCTTCCCACCCACGACCCACCGGCCGACCTCTTTGGCCACCTTCACCTCAAATAACTTCCGCCGCTGTGTTTTGTGCCCCCACCTCCCGTCACCGCTCCTACTCTCGTCTCGGGTTCGTTCGATTTGACTGCCACCGGTACTGCGACGAGGCGGACGAATTGTTTAGAGAGACCCGGAGGAGGACTAAGAAGGCGTCAACGCCATAGGTAGGAGTACCCAGACGCTCTGCCGATTGGTGTCCTGCCGTCCTCGTGAGACATTGAATCTCTATGTATGGGGCCGACGTCTCGCCTGGTGGGTCACTCCTTCATTTCTGGAATTTCTGGCCCAGTCTTACTCAGACGTGGGTTGCGAGTTCCGCTCCTTCATCTTCCCAGTGGCCAGTAAGTAGTTAACCTCAATGCACCTGTGCAGAGATCAGAGACTTGCACCCGTCATGCCGCGCATCCTGAACGACGGCCTTGGTAGACGCCGAAGTAGGTTAGCGCCTAGGACCTTAATGGGGTCAAACTCTCCACCACACCGAGGTACACACACACAGGCCGGTGGCCGGTGGTGAAAGAGCCTCAAAATGGCTACCACCTGTATTCGAGGCTAGGGGGGGGGGGCGCGACGTGACCGCGGGCACAGAAGCGAGGAGGCGAGTGGCATATGATACACACTTATCATTCTCAACATCGTCTTCGCTCCACTGCCCACCCCTACTTCCCAACCCCTACGCCTCGCGCTGCTTATGGCGGCACTTCCTCCCATCTCTTCGCCGCCCGGGCCCTATACCCCGGCACTCTTGCCGTATATACTACCCCCTCGCCGACATGTCAGCGGCCCCTACTTTCTCCCTCTTCCCTTCCGGTGCAAGGTCATCCTCGACGCTGTCCTCTGTGGCGCAGCGCTTGCTGGGTGCCGTCCACCACCGCACTCGCATCCCACCGTCGTGCCCGCCCCCTGCGGCAGGCCCTGTTGGGCGCGACGAGTCCTCCTGCGAGTATGCGCGATAATTAGTTAATTAGTACTGCCGAACGGTCATTAGGAAATGTTCGTCGGCGATCAAACTCACGCGCGCAAATCTAATGGTCGGCCGAACAACTCACCCGCCTGAGAAACAAAATACTTTTCACCCAGTGGTTTCTGTGGAGGTGTAGTGCGTTTTCGGGGTCTTTTCAAATGCCCGTGGTTAATAAGTCATTACGAACCGCTGCCCCATTAGGATGAAAACCTAATCAGCACGGCCGAACAACTAACCCGCTTGAAAAACACAACACTTTTCGCCCGGTGGTCTCTGTGGAGGTCTAGTACGTTTTCGGTGTCTTGTCAAATGCCCGTGGGTATTGCATCATTAGAAACCTCCACCCCATTAGGATAATAAAACCTAATCCGCACGGCCGACCCACTCACCCGCTCGAAAAACACAACACTTTTCGCCCGGTGGTCTCTGTGGAGGTCTAGTGGGTTTTGCCCAACGATGCAACACAGTGAGGACGACGTGGAGCCGCCACTCGCCTCCTTGCTTCTGTGCCGCGTATGGATGGCGTTAGACGCTACTGCCAGACGATACGGTTATGGATGCCACCCCGGTCTATGCGGAGGATGAGCTTGCATGAGAGGGTCCAGGGGGTCATAGTGTCTCGAAGGGTGACTTTGGCATCGGGACAACAGAATGCTGCTATTTTGACTAGAGAAAACATGTAGCTATTCCGTGACTTGCAGCTGCGCAACTGGGCCCACTTGCATAGCTCAAGCTGGCCCCCATCTTGCCACTCGCCACTCGCCACTCGCGTACTCACGATGACCATTCACCGCTCGGCGCGCAACGGGTTTGTTACCGGTTGCCACATGACTCGCACGTGTCACAACTATCCCACAGTTGTCCCCTCACCTCCCGAATCCTCCGCTGCAAAAGTCGATGTTCTCCTCGATTCAACGACGTTTGACCCGCCAGCAACACCAACAACAACACACATACACACATACATCTCCAGGCGTCGCCCACCCTCTCTTCCGCGCGTGCACTACCAACTCCCCGTCACCTACCCCTTCCCCCCGTAAACGACCCAGCCCATCATGTCCCTCGTCCGCCCCGCCGTGCGTCCCCTCGCCCGCGCCCCCATCCCCTCGTCCTCTCGCTCGGCCTCGTACCAGCGTCCAGTCAACCAGTGGCCTGGCAAGTCGCACGTCCGCAAGGCCCCCACTGTCCCCAACCCCTCCCCGCACTGTACGCCCAGAAGGTCGTCCTCTCCGACGGCTCGACGTTTACCTCGTACTCGACGGCCCCCGTGCCCATGATCAACCGCCTCACCCGTGACGTGACCAACAACCCGCTCTGGCAGCCTGGATCCGAGCGCCGCGGTCTGGGCGACAGCGGTGTTGAGGAGGGCCGTGTGGGCCGTTTCCGCCGCATGTTCGAGGGTACCGATGCCGCCGCCGCTGCTCCTACTGCCGACGGTGCCGCCGCTCCCGCCTCTGGCTCGCAGTTTGCCGAGGCCGACCTGTCCTGGATGTCCGAGGGTGCCAAGGAGGAGACTCTCAGCGACAAGCAGCGCCAAGGACCCCAGAAGAAGAAGGGCAAGGGCAAGAAGTGAGCATGAGGAGGACCATAGACGCTTTTTTTGTTTGCAATATACCATGCACCTTTCAACCATCGCAAACTCAACTGGCAAGTGGCATAAAACATGGAGCATTTCAGACAGGTCCTTCCTATATAAACACTGCTACTGGATCACAAAGGGGGGTGAGGGGCATATAACACGCGTCTTTAAAACCAAACATCTAGACCACCTCGTCCGGGTCTCGGAAGTGCTGGGCAAGGAGCTTGTTCATGCTGGCGGGTGTCAGTTGTGCAAGCTGAAAGCAGCTAGTGAACTCACGTGAACATGTGAAGCTTGTCGGTGTGGAAGACGGTCTGCATGACCGCGTCGCAGAGGATGAATCGCCTGTCCGAAGGGTCCTGGAGGTCGTTGGCCTTGACATAGTCCCATATCCTCTTGACGGTCTGGGGACGCGAGAGACGTTGTTCATGAAGAAACGCGCCGAGCGCGTCACTTTCCGGGTCAGCAAGCCTGGTCTTCTTCTTCCGAGTCTCTCACCTCAGGATGAGCTCCTTGTTAAAGGCTCCACCGCCACCACCGCGCTTCTTCTTTGGCTTGCCGTCACTCGCATCCGAATCTTCAACATCACTTGCGCTGCGCTTCTTCACCTTGTCCTTCTTGGTCTTCTTCTTTGGTGTTGGCGCCGCCGCGCGTCGGCTTCCGCGGGCACCGCGGGTGGCAGCATCGTACTCGGCCTGCATGCGGGCCGCCATGGCCGCATCCGACTCGACCTGGTCACCGCCCTTGCTGGCGGGCTTCTTGGGCTTGGGCTTGCGCTCGACGAGAGGTTCAGGCTGGGAACTCGACGGGGCGTGTCCGCTAGAGTGAGGTGCGCGCGAGTTCGAATTGGACGCGAGGGGCTTGTCATTCTCATCCTCGCTCTCGCCATCGCTGCCGCCAGCCAGCTCCTCGTAGATCTCGCCAATCTAGCAATGGTGTCAGTGACGAGTGGATTAGGCTGGGGCCCGCAGGAAGTGCAACTCACGCGCTCGTCAATCTCGCCACGGTATTCCTTGATGGCAGCCGGCTCCTCACCGTCGGTGACGAGCTGCTTGCGTACCGCCTTGGCCGAGCTGCGATGCTTGGTCAGTTCGGATTCGCCTGGGCGACACATAAATGCTACTCACACGGTGGAGAGGTCGCTTCCTTTAAGAATCTGCCGGATACGCGGGACCAAGCCGACGACGTACTGTTGTTGTTTGTGTTAGACGGCAGGCACAAACATGAGTGGTTACTTACAGCGGACATGGCACTGGATGGTATGAAGCTGGCAGAGGGACGCTGGGGGATGGGAGGATGGATGGAGGAGGATGCGCAATGTTGCTGGGGGTGATATGTGTGCTTTGCCCGCGGTTGTTGCGAGAGAGTGGCCAAGAGAGAACCGACTGAGGTCATCGATCTCAGCAAACGCGCCGCCGCCGCACCGGGCAAATCACGGAATCAAATATTTCAATGTGAGAGGCCATGTAGTTCATGTGCTATATAAAAATGAGTTGTGAGGTAGAGGTTACAAACATGCAAGGTATAAGGTTCTAGGCGCTCTTTTTCTGCTTGAGCGCACGACGCAGGGCCTCGACCGCACGGCCGGGGCGGCGCATCGAGCCGGCAAGACCCATGATACACGTGAGGACAACGGCGGCGCCGGCCTGGTGCGCGGCGGCAAGAGGAATGGGGACGAGGTAGATGAGGGTCGAGATGCCGAGGGCGACCTGGCCAAGCGCGGCAGCAGCGGTCCAAGCGGACCAGCGCTGGGTGGCGCGAGGGAGCGCGTTGGGGCCGAGACGGAGGACAGGACGGCGTGCGACGAGGTGCTGGAGGATGAGGAGCGTAGCAGTAGTCACGGCCTGGGGTGGGTGGTCAGTTTCAGGATTGGGGGAAGCATTAGCTTACCATAACACGGTGGTCAAACTGCGCAGTGACGGGGTTCTCGAGAGCGTTGCGCCAGACAAGGTCGGACTGGTCTGCAGTCTTGGAGTAGCGGGGATCAAGGAGCTCGTTGACGGGGGGCATGATACCCTCACCCATCATGGGGAACTCGTTGTAGACAAGACCGGCGTCGAGACCGGCAACAAATGCACCAGTAACGGCAGTGACAAAGACCATGGCACCGAGGACACCGATGGCGACACGGAACTTGCGAACAGCGGGCGAGTTGAGGGCGGTGACCAGCGAGTCAACCTTGGCGAAACCTTCCGAACCAGAGCGCATGAGCGAGGCCAGGCGCTCGTCACGGCGGAGCGAGACGGCAGTGTAGACCATACCAATGTAGAGAGCGAGAGCGGCCGAGAGGTGCGCGGCGAGACGGTACTGCGAGACGCGGGGGACCTCCTTGTTGTCGAGAATCTCCTGCTTGAGACCAGAGGCGACCATGTACCAACCAATCGCGCCCTGGGCAGCAATACCGAGAGCAATGGCAGCAAGCGTGGTGGGAAGACCGCGAGGGAGCTTGTAGCGGGCGCAGTAGTAGATGGCAGGAACGACGAAGAGCACACCGAGAGCACGACCGGCAATGCGGTGACCCCACTCCATGAAAAAGATCTTTTTGAACTCCTCACGCGTAATGTTGGCGTTCATCCTATTGTGGGTTAGCAAAGAGAGGTTCCAGTAAATGTGGTATGACTCACATGATACCCTCGGGGGAGACCTTGTACTTGTCCCACTCGGCCTCCCACTCGGCGTCCGTAATGGGCGGGCGAATGCCCGTGATAGGGTTCCACTCAGTAATGCTCAGGCCCGACTCGGTCAGACGCGTGAGACCGCCAATAACGATGATACCAAAGACGAGAGCCGAGCATCCAAAGAGCCAGATAGGGAGAGAGCGGGGGATCGTGCGGACGTCGGGGTTCTCTGTGGACGAGCTGGATCCGCTGGCAGCGGCGTTGGCCTTGACACCCGTAGCACTGGTCGAGAGGTAGCGCGAGGGAGTGAAGAACGAGCCGCGCGATGACGAGTATGGCAGGTACGACTGGGCAAAGAACGATCCCGCCGAAGGAGGTGCGGGCCGGGTCGCGGCAGCAGTGGACGACATCGACAAGGTCGGGCGGGGAGCAGCGCGATTGAGACCCGAAGCGGAGGTCATGAGCGACCGGAGTGCGAACCTGCTAGGCATGGGGGCGGCAGCGGCCCGGCGCGGGAGCACGGTGGTCCTGCTGCATCGTGCTGTCGAGGCGAGGGCACGGAGAGCCGCTGTTGGCGGCAGAAAGCCCGACATGGTTGGTGTAGAGATTTGTGCAACGACGAGAACGAAAGTCAATAGACCCGACAAAGACAAAGGGCATTGAAATCGCGTAGACTCGGAACAATGGCCAGGAAATTAAAGCCACATCATTGGCTGCAGTGGCAGAGACGTTGTGGACGCTGTCTACATTGCATATGCCTACACCACAAACTCTTGTAGAAGATCTGTATTATGATAAGATGGAGAGCAAGCAAGGCATACTGGCGAGAGTGTTTACTGAGCAGACCCCTGTCTGGCTCGATGACATACACCCAGCGGGATGACAGCCTGACGAGAGCCGGGGTGCCACCTTTGCAATTCGAACGCAACAGGCGCTGTTGTATGCCAAGTGCAGGTATAGACTCTCTGTGGCACCCTTGTGACCTTGTGGGGCGTGAAAGGACCTGCTCAGAGAGGCTGTGCTACTCCAGAGCCCATCCAGGAAGAATATATAAGGTTGCGAAGTGGACAGTTATTGATTGTCGTGGTGGTCAACGAATGACCCTTCCTTATTAGCAACCACAAACAGGTGAGAGCGTGTATATTATCTACCTCCTAGCAACTGCGCTATTCCCATAAGAACACATCGTACACTCGCAATGTTAACAGAAACTCGTTGGCAGTGTGCAGTGGCATTGCCGTCAGTAGAAGGATAGATAGAACCTAACCCATTAGCATTTTATTAGACATATGTATCCTAACCGTCCTTTAAATATTAATGTTTACGTAACACCATTTAGATGACCCCTTCCACCTTTCCAACTGCCGAGATTGCTCCCTGGTTCTGGATGGACAACGAAAGTCAGCTCCTCGCAACAACACACCCATCACAATCGGCCCACCATGGACATCAGGCAAGCAACAGTGAGCTTATGACATGGCGTATGCGTTTGGCTCTCGCTCACACACACACTAGATCGAGGACCTCCTCGGCATGCAGAATGCCAACCTGCTCAACCTCCCGGAGAACTACACCTTCAAGTACTGTGGGTATTACCGCAAACCCGCTGGTTACAGCTGAGGGAGGAGCCAAAAAGTGTGCTAACAGTACAGACCTGTACCACGCTCTCACCTGGCCCGAGCTGTCGTACGTTGCTGTCGACCCCAGCGGCCGTATTGTGGGCTACATCCTCGCCAAGATGTGAGTGGAGGAACACCGGCCGACGCTGGTTGGCATGTCCTCACCCGACGTAGGATGGACACAACTGACTCTATCACAGGGAGGAGGAGCCCAGCGCCGAGCCCAGCGGCCACGTCACCTCGATCTCGGTGTTGAGGCCGTACCGCCGCCTCGGCCTGGCCAACAAGCTCATGAAGCAGTCGCGTGAGTTGGCCACCACTTGCCGTCGATTGGTAAACTGACAACGTATCCTTTTCACAGAGGAGGCCATGGTCGCGCACTACAACGCCTCGTACATCACCCTCCACGTTCGCAAGAGCAACCGCGCCGCCATCTCGCTGTACCGCGACACGCTCGGATTCGAGGTCCACATCATGGAAAAGGGTTACTGTGAGTGTCGAGTTGTGTGGGACCTCCCCGTCGATGACAAACTCTAACGACACTATCAGATGCCGACGGCGAGGACGCGTACGGTATGCGTTACATCTTCCCCAAGAAGGAGGACAAGAAGGAGGAGACTGCGTCGGCATAGAGCGGGCAGGCGCGGGCGGGCGGGGCGATTGATCCAAAAACCCTCATATATCCTGCATGTATTCTATCTAGCACATGGTTTTATCTATCTAGCATCGTCTAGAGACGAACAGGGCGCGCTCCTCTTATGCGCTCCTGATACCTGACTGGTCGCGCCACTCTTCAAAGAAGCGGATCATGTCGGGCGTGATGCGCCGGCGAACGGTACGGGCCGAGTGGAGGAGGTGCGAGATCTTGACGTACGGCGCGTCGAGGTCCTCGTTCATGGCGGCGAGGGCCGCGTCCTGACAGATGGACCCGACTTCGGCACCGGAACAGCCATCGGTCTGGCAATGTCAGCTGAAGCCACGGTAACCACGCGGTAACTTACAATCTGGGCAAGCTGGTCAAGGTTCACTCCAGGCTCAATGGCCATGTTCCTAAACCTCAGGCGGAAGATGTCCTTACGAGTAGCCAGGTCGGGGGCGCCGACATACAAGATTCTGTCCAGACGACCGGGACGCGTGAGCGCCGTGTCGAGGACGTCGGGGCGGTTCGTGGCCGCCACAACCGTCACACCGGAGAGGGACTCGATGCCGTCCATCTCGTTGAGGAGGGAGGTCAGGACGCCCGACTGGACATCACCGCCGCCACCCCCATCACGCGACGATCCCAGGGCGTCAATCTCGTCAAAGAAGACAATGGAAGGGGACGCGGCGCGCGCCTTGCGGAATACCTCACGGACAGCGCGCTCGCTCTCGCCCACATACTTGTTCAGCAGCTCGGGGCCCTTGACCGCGATAAAGTTGATACCGCTCTCCGTAGCGAGTGCCTTCGCAGTCATGGTCTTGGAGCAACCGGGCGGGCCGTACAGGAGCACACCACGAGGAGCCTCGACACCGAGACGGGCAAATGTGGCGCCATGAGTGAGAGGCCACTCGACACACTCGCGGAGCTTCTGCTTCACGTCGTCCTGGCCTCCAATGTCTGTCCAGCGGACAGTCGGGGTCTCAACAAAGACCTCACGCATCGCCGAGGGGCGAATGGTAGGCAGGGTAGTGTTGACATCGGCGGCCGTGAGGAGCGGAGAAGGCTCGCTCGCCGTGTGGTTGTCTGCCCAACGTTGAATGGCGGTCGTGGCCGACTCGCGGACGAGGGAGACGAGGTCGGCTCCGACATAGCCGTGCGTGCGGGCTGCCACCGAGGTAATCTCAGCTTCGGTGAGTGAGTGGGGCATCTTGGCCAGCATAATGTTGAGAATGTGCGCGCGGCCAGTTGCGTCGGGAATGCCAATCTCAATCTCGCGATCGAAACGGCCGGGACGGCGGAGGGCAGGGTCAATGGCGTTGGGACGGTTTGTGGCCGCGATGACAATGACTCGCTCGTTCGAAGTCGAAGCGCCCATACCGTCCATGAGCGTGAGGAGCATGGCAACCACACGGCGCTCCACCTCGCCACCCTCACCACCGTCACGCCTAGGGCACAGCGCATCCACTTCGTCGAGCACGATGATACAGGGGCTGCGTTTCCGGGCCTCCTCAAAGATGCCACGCAGGCGCTCCTCAGTCTCTCCGTGGAAGGCTGACGAGAGCTCGGGACCGTTCACAACGATGCACGAGCAGCCAGGAGTGGACGAGGCAATGGCACGGGCGAGTGCAGTCTTGCCCGTACCGGGAGGGCCGTGGAGGAGCAGACCACGAGGCGGGGTAAGGCCAAAGCGGGTGAACAGTTCGGGGTTGTTGAGTGGGAGGTCGAGCAAGGCTTTGACTTGCTTGATTTGGTGGTCGAGGCCACCCAGGAGGTTGTAAGATGTGGCACCGGCTTCGGCCGGAGTGAAAATGTTGATGTAGGATGGAGGTGCGGCAGAGGACTAGATGTCAGCTGGGATACGAGCTGTAGGCAACTTACTCCTGTAGGATTGGCGCCTGATTTGCTGTCCGTTGAAGTAGGGCCCTTGTCACTCTCATCTTCTCCCTCAAACTTGATCTTGGTCCTCCACTCAGCCTCATAGACGGGAGGCGCGTCCTTGAGGGAAAGAGCCCCCAGGTCGCTGGCCAAAGCGTCGGCACCAGCACGGGGTGCCGCAACCTTTGTCGAGACGTCGTAGCCAGTGATAACAAAACGAGTAGCAGTGTCACCGAGGGTAATCTTGTAGCCCTCGTTAACATACTTGACAGCAGCTGTAGATAGCTGTCAGCCAGCCGTTCCAGTTTTCTCCCAGAAAGAACGTACTCAGAGCCTCCTTGACAGCGGCACGCTGCCACTCGAGCTCGCGCTTCTTGCCAGCCTCATCCAGATCCTCCTTCTTGGCAGCTGCCAAAGAAATCTCCTTCACAGTGACGAGCTTGAGGACACCATTGCTCGTCTGGGGAGGGAAGCGGAACATGTCCACGCTGAAAGCGCCAATGTTGCCGATTTGTGCAGGGGTGAGAGCGACGGCTGGGTGACAGGTTAGCAGACTACCAGATCACCTCAACCCACTGTCTTCCTCAATCCCAACGCGCGGCCACAACTGAGCTACCACCCACCCGATGGGGTTGTCCTCGCCTGCCGCGGCTGGGCCGGAGGCCTTGAGCAGAACCCATTCGCCTGCTGCAAGCTTTCGTGATCTGAGGAGCTCGGGGGCGAGGTGAGCGCGGCGGTTGAGGCGCTGGGGAGGCGCATCAGATCCTCCAGCCTCTAAGTCGATGGGTGCGATAGTGAGCGTCGCGAATGGTTCTGCCATTGTTGTTGCTGGGGTGGAGAGTCGGGTGTCGAATGCACTTTTGGTGGACATGAACAGGAAATGATGCACCCGGAAATGAATTGATTCCGTTCTTTGCGTAGCTGGGGCCCCAGATCCCAATTGTTAGTCTCTCGGTCCGGTTGGGATATGGGGCAACGCCATTGTGCGGGGTGTGAGATGCTGTCAGACGATGCAGTGAGCATGGCCTGCATGTATGCCTGTATGCATGAGATAATGGGGGATGGGATGCTGAACCAGGTGGCAAAGGTGACAACAGTACAGCAGCCGAGTCCCCCCGTTGTCATTGGCAGAGGTGTGGCTCAATGCTCGGTGGAAAGGCAGGTTATCGCCACCCACACAGCAGGCATTTGCCACCGACATCCCCCCAGCGGAGAGGAACAGGTCCGTTCGTTTGGTGTGTTCTTCTCTCTCTCTCTCACCCTCATCATCATATCCTCCCCCTCCTCCCCCCCATCCGCTTCCATCCCCCCACTCAGCCATCCACAACGCTCACCACACCTACTCATGTCGGCGCACCCCGCCGTTCCCGACACCCAGCCGGCAACCCATCCCGCCGCCGCCGCCGGCTTGGCAGCGACATCCCAACCCCAATCTAGCTCGGCCAGCTCCGCGAGGTCCTCCATGACTCGCACCAGAGCACAGTTTGACGCCGACACTGGCGTCGACCCATCCATATCCCCTCGAGTCAAGGCCGCTCGTACAGAGCTCACCACCGACGCCCCGACCGCCGCCGACACGATGCCGAACCCTACGGGTGAGACAGGGGTTGCCGCACCGACGCGGGCCTGCTTGGCACACCCGAATTGGCCGCTGACGCACAGTTCACAACGACCACGGCCACGACGAGACGGTTACCGCCAGTGCTACCACGCTCGCTCTCCTCGAGGAGCTCGAATGCGGCATGTGCGCTGGCGTCTTCATCGAGGCAAGTCCCACTCCCTATACACCCTTTTGCCGCCGCCTTGCCCGACGATGCTGACCTTCCCTCCAGCCCATGGCGCTTAACGGTTGTGGCCACGTCTTTTGTGGTAGTTGCGTCCAGCAGTGGATCAATGTGAGTCGCGCCTCCACTTCCCAAGTTCACCCCCCTTGCTCACACACCGCACCCTTCAGTCTCTTCCGCGATACCCCGCATCCCTCCTCCCAGGCGATCCAGTGCCCGAGCCCGTCTCTTGTCCACACTGTCGCCACGCCCCGATCCAGACCGCCACGCCATCGCGTGTGGCCAAGACAATGGTCACCCTCCTCCTCGAGCGTCACCCAGACTATGCCCGCTCGGCCAATGAGCACGCCCAGGCCGAGGAGCTTTACGCTGCCACCGTCGGTGGCGTCCTCACTGTATGTGGCGAGCTGTAAACCAGGCTGTGACACGCAGCTAACCACTGTAGTTTCCGGTGCCCCCTCCGCCGCCGAGGCAGCTCCAACGTCACGAATTCTGGCGTCCATGCCGCTCTTGCTATCCCCAAGAGGAGGGTGCATGGAGGTGCCCGGTGCCAGTAAGTGCTCGCCTTTAACCAAATCTCACTCTCGAACCAGGTTCCTCGCTTTGATGTGCCGTCCGAACGCGACAGGTGTCTCCGTGCCGACGGCGTCTGCCCCGAAGGCCACAGGCTCTGTGCCGGCTGGTAGGGCGTTAAACTGAGAGAGCCTGCCATTGACATCTCACAGCGACCGCCTCTCTCCATCCAACGGGCCTGTTGGTATCAACTGCGGCATTTGTGGAGAGGGTTTCTGTGGCGATGCCGTGGGTTCGCGTACTTGCCACTTTGCTGACCCTCAGGCGTTTGGCTGCGACTGCTCGCCCGTCTCTCAGTCCAAGCCCACCAGCCAGTTCAACGCCATCGCTTACGTTCTCGAGGACTGTCCTTCAGACATGCTCGCGATGGCGTTCAAGTGAGTTGCTCATTGCGACCGTTTCACATGGCTGACACGATAGGGACAACTGGACCGAAATGTACCACCTCGGCGTCTACTTGGGCCAGAACGAGGCCACTCTCAAGGCCGGCGATATTTACAACGCCATTCTCGAGTGGGTTCGCTCCCCCGAGGGTATTGAGTCTGGTGGTCTCCTCGGCCTGATGACCCGCGCCGACATCAACTTGCGTTTGCGCACGGGTATGGCCGACGAGATGCAGCATGCGGTCATGGCCGTTGGCGAGGGCGAGACCCAGGCTGGCATTTGTGGTGGCTGCGCCGATGAGATCTTTTGCGTGAGTCTGACAGAGCCAAGACTGAGGCTGATGACCAGGCTGGCATCTTCGAATGGTGGATGCGCGAGCTCAAGAAGCCCGAGGTGACCAACGGGCGAGCTGCAACTATGCAGGGTCGTCCGAACTGCAAGCATGGCAGGAAGTGGGTCGACCACATGGTTCTCATCCTAACCGTTACCAGATGCACCAAGCAGGACAGTGACACCCATGCAAAGAAGTGTACGTCGAGGCAAAGACCGTTTTGGAGCTGACATCTAGTCAACCACATCTGTGACCCCCTGCCGGCCGACGAAGCGGCCCAGATCCAGCAAGACGATTCGATTCCCGTTGGCGAGCCAGCGAGCGAGCGCACCGAGGTGACTGCCGATAATGCCTCTGACAGCGGCTCGGATTCCGATGACGAGAAGGAAGAGGATTCACGCTCCTACGTGGACGTCGGAACCCAGTACGAGTCGTCCCCTGAAGGTACTATTATGGTTAGGTACAGCAAGGAGACCATCCACCCTGGTTGGAGCGTTCCTACCACTACTTCATCTGGCGCGCTGCCAATGTTCAACCACCCCAAGGGCCCTTCGTCTGTTCCATCGGTCTCTATTGCCAATCTCATCAACGCGGCGCCACCACCCCCACGCCCCCAGTCTGCCAACACTGCGGGTCCCTCCTCTTCTTTGCTGCGCGCGTCATCGCCTCACGCGTCTAGTAGCAGCGCGCCCCGTGTTTCTGGTTCGGCATCCTCACCTCTGACCGGCGCGTACTCGTGGCCCACCTACTGCGGCGCGCACACGCCCCCACCTCTTCAGCACTCGTTTGCGACCAATGCGTCCTCCACGCTGTCGTCTGGTCCGAGCGGCACGCTGGCCAAGATGTCGTTCCCGCCCTCCCTGATGGCCAAGCCACCCCACCAGACTGCAGTGACGCTGGGCGGGGACCCCAATGCGATGGTTGCAGGCCCGTCTTCCTCGACTTCTGGCGCTGCGGACTTTGACAGCTAACGGCTGTACACTTGTAGTGTCTTCGTTTGTAGTGTTTTGTTGTATATAGTTCGTTGGTGTTTCCCCCGTTGCCTGTGGTCTGTGGCGCCCAGTACCGCACGCTGCGACCCTCAGTTGGAGGCCGTTGCCGCAGAACAATCGCGAGGTTTTGCCGCCTGGCCACAGGCAGGCCCGCTGTTGTGAGCGGGGGCGGGGCGCTGGGGGTGCTAAATGGGGGTGACATGTAAACAGCGCCATGCTTGGCTGCTGTCAAATTTGATTCCGCTATTCTTCTCCTCCCCAGAGCCTTTGTGAACGAGCCGTCCTCGTGTGTCGTCGACCCGCTTCCCCGCATTCAACTCGACTTTACAACAACTACACCACAGTCATCCTCATCCTCACCCTCACCTACACGCTCGCTCGCACTAGCAACAGAGTTACCCGTACTTGGACCGAATAAACCTTTAACACATTCGACGGACAGCCAAATCACACGCCGGGTATCTCCGTGCCAGTAGTTCAACACCGCAGCCATGTCTGCGCCTTCTGGCGTCAACATCGCCGCCGCTCCTGCCTCATATGACGGGGCTGGGGAAGCAGCGGGGCGCGTCGGTATCCAGCCAGCCCCCTCTAGCGACAAAAAGCGCAAGGCTCCCCCAACATCCTCGGGTGGGCGTGCCAAGGAGCGCGCTGGATCAGTGACCGAAGAAGAAGGGTCGGCAGCGTCGCCGGGCGCATCTGCTGCTGGCGGTGGAGCGACGAGCGGCCAGAGGCCTCGCGAGGCCAAGCGCACGCGCGTGCACTTTTCATGTGTGGAATGCCACCGTCGCAAGCAGAAGTGTGACCGCAAGGAGCCGTGTTCACAGTGTGTGGCACGTCGTGTCCCTCACCTCTGTCGCCCCTTTCTCAACGGCGTCGAGGACCCTAATGCGTGAGTGTCCATACAGAGGATCTTCTTTTCCTCCTCGCTCTACTCCGCCGCAACAGCCTTAGCCGCCGGGTGCTCCATCCGGCCTGTATGGGGAGGCGCGCGCCACTGGATAGCGGGGTGCACAGACCTTCCTCTTCATAGCCCAAGAACTCTTGTGTTTTGAAGCTAACAATGAACAGCAACTCGGATGTGCACGCCCGCCTGGCGACGATCGAGGGCATGCTCACTCGCCTGGTGCAAGTGATACCCCAGGCTATCCAGAGCCGTCCTTTAAGCTTGGACGCTTCGAGTCCCGACGTGTCATCAATCGCAACCCAAGGCGAGGATGTCTTCCATCCACAATCCGCACCTCCGCCCCAAGCAGCACAGGAGCCACCACGCCAGATCTACCCTCCCAAACCACCGCCTTCAGGCCTCTTCCCTGCCAACCTGTCGACCTCGACACCTGTTGGGCGCTCAGGCTTTGGCTGGGGTTTGAGGGAAGGTCGCATGATCTGCCTGTCGGTCGAGGACAATGCCGAGCTGCGCGACCTGCTCATCACCCTGCGCGAGAGTGGCGTGACCAAGAACCATCTCGAGTGGCTTATTGCCGGCGTTCCAGGTCGCCGAATGGCTGATGGTCTGGTGGAGCTCTACTTTAGGTGAGTAGCAGCACCCGCGTTTGTTTACACTTGAAGCTGACTGGACAGGGATATCGAGTATGTCAACAACCGTGCAGCGCATCAATGCCTTCATTCTACTAACATATATGCAGCTGGACTCGATACAAGATGAACCGCCCCCTTTTCGAGCGTCGTTACCAGGCTTTCTTCGACTCCATCGGTCGCAACCCCACGAGTCCCAAGATTGACGCCGACACGTTGAAATGGCTGCCTCTAATGTTCATTGTTGTGAGTGGATGCAGTCCTGGAGTGTGTGGCATGCCTTCTGACATGGCTTAGCTTGCAATCGCCGCTCTCTCAGCCGGTTCCGACGTCATGCCTGCAGACGAACAGCTTGCCTGGTCGCGACGCTTCTACGGTTCCGCGCGTAGTGGTCTCGAGTACGCCAAGGCACTCCAGCGCGACAACCTCGACGTCCTCTTTGCGGGCCTGCTCGCTTCTCGCTACATGCTTCTCACTCGACGACCAGCCGAGGGCTCCACACCACTCACGACTGCCTTCCAGCTCGGCCTGTACCGTGACGGCACCGTCTTGAATCTCTCAGACAAGCGCGAGGTGGAGGTCCGCCGTCGTGCATGGGCGATGCTGTACCACCTCGATCGCACCATTTCGCTCCTTGTTGGTCGTCCCGCCTCCATCTCCGACGCCCACACAGACGCGCGTCCGCCCGCAAACCTCGACGACGAGGAGATTGAGAGCGGAGACTTCGACCCAGCTGGCCACCCCATGACGAAGCCTACTGTGTACACTTACGTTATTGTCAGGTGAGCTCTGGCGTGGTATCCCCTTGCGGAGCAGGCTGACATTTTACAGGCACCGGCTGGCGGAAATTATGGGCCGCATTGCGTACCATACCTTTACCATCCAGCTTCCCGACTATGCCACCGTCCTCGCTCTGGACAAGGAGCTGCTCGCATGGCGCGACTCACTGCCCCCCTTCCTGGCGATGATCAACCCTGACACCAGCCTCGACCAGGCCAATTCGTACCTCTTCGTGCAGCGTCACCTTCTCGCGTGCGAGTGGTACTACACCCGTATTACTCTCAACCGGTGAGTCACACCTTCCTGCCTCTGGGATCGAGAACTGACATTCTTTAGCCCTTACCTCCTCCGCCGAAAGTCGCAGGACGGCCGTTACGCCTATTCGCGCAACGCCGCCATTGAGTCGGCCACTGCCGACCTGCTGAGCCGTCGCTCGTTTATGATGGAGAAGGGCGACCTCATCATCAACAGTGGTGGCTACCGCGTGCTCAACTCGTACATGGTCCTTGGTGTCACCATCAAGCTGGACCCAGAGTCCCCGCAAGCAGACGACTTGCGCCACCTTCTCAACGTTGTGTCCGGCCGTGCCCGTGATGAGCAGGGCCGTCTATCCGAGCCCATTGTCAAGGAGGAGCTTGCCATTGTGGAGTTCCTTACGGCCAAGAATGCGTCCAAGCCCAGTTCCAATGCTTCCGCCGGCAACGCCAACGGTCAGCAGCGCGCCGAGGGCACCGACGAGAACACTCCCGTGGACCTACTTCTCGGTCTCGCCAAGACCAACACGGGTCGTCGTGCGGCAGAGGAGGAGAAGCGCCAGCTCCGCTTGCAACAGCGTCGCGAGCTCGAAGAGCAACGTATGGCTCAGCGCCGGTCCATCTCTGCAGGCTCGATCGCCACCAACGGCAACGTCATGTCGTCTTCCCCATGGGGTTATGTTGCGCCGCAGATGCCCGGTTTGGACGTGCACCAGCCGTTCGGCGGACAGGGCCAGCAGCAGGGTGGCGACCGTCGCCTCCCGCGTCCTCTGCAGCCTCCCGGAGGCACCGGCCGCCCCAACAACGGCGGCAACCGGGACAACAACATGGACTTGTCTGACGGCTCTGTCACGGGCTGGTCGCCAGACAACCCGTTCGGTTTCACCGAAAACAAGCAGGTATCGCCAAACTTTGGCGGACCTGCGGGCAACCTTATGCCCTCGCCGCACAATGCCTTTGCGGCGGCGGCTGCTGCCGCGGCGGGAGTGAGCGGCAGCAACAACCAGCTGTCCAACATTTCGCCATACCAGGAAATGACCCTCAATTTGCCCACGCCAGAAGAACAGCTGTCCAACATGGCCGGTCAGGGTGCAGATGGACTGTTCCCTTCGACCAACGAGTTTGGCAATGCCGACGTTGGCAGCTTTGACTTTTCCAACCTTGGCGTGTCGCAGCAGGGTATGGACATGGGTTTCAACCCGTTCGCGATTCAGCAGACGGGCGACGAAGCGTGAGTGGCAGGACTGGCCGCAGTGTCATCCCCCTTGGCTAACATCCAGCAGCGCGAATGACCCTTCGCCCGATGACGAGACGACGTTCCTCAACTTTATTCTGACCAAGTTTGCGAACAGCAGCGGGGAAAACATGTAGTGTTTGCTATATATCACAGGTTTCGACAACATACCCACTTGTATCTCGAGTATGCATAGGGCTTTCAGTGTGTCTACAGGTTACACAAGTGTTTATGAAGTCGCTCGTCGGTTTGGAACAGTTGACGGGGCCGCACGCATAAAAATCAATCTCCCAGGTCACATACGTCTTGAGTCTTTCCTCCTCCCTCACCCTTACTTCATGGGTCCTAGGGCGCGGTTGAAGCCTCCACGACGGTTCATGTACTGGCGCCAAGTACGCTTCTCGTTGACCTTCGCACCACCGACGTCGGCGTTGCCCTCGACCTCCTGGCCCTGTTGGTGGTTAGCAGAAAGTCATATAGTTCAGGCATGACCAAACTCACCTTTGAAGTTCCAAAACCACCAAAGCCCATCATGGCCGCCATGGCGGCCGTGTCCTCGTCCATCTCTTCTTCTGGGGCTGGAGTAGCATCTGCAGACGTGTCGACGTCGGCTGCTTGTTGTCAGACTTGCACACTCTGGCGACCATAGAATCAGACTTACCTTCTGGCTCAATCTTGGACCCGTCATCGGCGTACTTGACACCACGCGCACGCTCCTCCTCACGCCGCCTACGGCCTTCCTCAATAGCCCGGCGGTCGAGGGGACGGTTATAGTCGCCACCAGCCCGTCCACCATCCCTTCCGCCGCCATAGCCTCCTCCACCTCGTCTCTCATCCCTGCCTCCTCCATCACGGCCGCCTCCACCTCCGCGTCCATAGTCGTAGTCACGGTCGTCCCTCTCTCGACCGTAATCGCGGCGCGACCCGGCTCCTCCGGCACCGCGCTCACGACGGTAGTCGTCCTCCGTGTCGGCATACCGCCTGTCTCGGCCATCACGCTCGCGCGGGTCGCGGGCGTATCCGGCTGGACGGTTGTCGCGGGGGTCACGAGAGTCGCGGCTACGTGAGTCTGGGTAGTCCCTCGATGCGGGTGCGCGGTCTGCTTGGGTCAGCGAGGAGGTGAGGTCGAACCCACCTGAATCGGCGTGTCGCCTGGATCCGGCGGCGGGCGAGCGACTGCGGTCGCGCCTGTAGTTGTGGGGTGGCGAATCGCGGCGTGAGGACATAGTGGAATGGTGCGTGAGATAACCAGGCCGTCACTGTGATCACTACTGCAAGAACAACGGCCCGTGATCTGTTGACGCCGGAGCGCAATATGTTAGTTGTGGCGCTGTTGGGTAACGACGTCACGTGACCATTTCAAATGCTTAATGCAGATGCCGTGACTGAGCGTGAATTGACGGCCCTTTTCCTAACTGATCCTCATGTCCTCGACGCTGGCTGGGGTAAAACGCACTATACAGGCCGCTCGACCGCCGGAGCAAAAGTGTTGCGTTTCGTGGCGGGGCCGAAAACACACTACAAGGCCACTCAACCGCCGGAGCAAAAGTGTTGGGTTTCGTGGCGGGGCCGAAAACACACTACAAGGCGACTCGACCGCCGGAGCAAAAGTGTTGCGTTTCGCGGTGGGGCCGAAAACACACTACAAGGCCGCTCGACCGCCGGAGCAAAAGTGTTGTGTTTCCTGACAAACGAATCCTAATGAATTGTACATCCGGGACGAATTCTAATAGATTTACAGGTAAGGCAATACCGTAATTACAACTACATCTGGGAAGGAACCCCCACACAAGCGTCTCCGATACGGATTAATTCACCACGCCAAAGCGTTAGTCGTCAACCCCACTCCTTCACAACATCCATATACCATGGCCGCCCTGCGCTCGTCGCTCGAGAGCTCCCTCGGGGCCCTCATAAAGTCGACAGATACGAAGCGCGCCCGCGAGCTCAAAAAGCACACCGGCAACTCTCCCCTCCCGGCTCTCGATGCTGTCGCGCTCCATAAGTCCATCTCGGCCCTTTGGTCCAAGAGCGGTGGTAACGAGAGCGTCACTGCCGAGCCGAGCTCGAGCAAGAGCAAGGATGTGCTCCGTTCAGTCCTTGACATGGTTGGCCGCGATACCGCCCTGCGTCCGGTCATCACTGGCGACCTCGCCGAACCCCTCGAGGATGCGTCTGATGCCGTCAAGGCGCACTTCCAGACCCAACTCCAGGATCGCCTCGACATGGTCCTCACGCTGTATGAGGTCGCATATGCCTCTGTTCCAGGTAGGTTTACATGTTTTGTCAAGCACTAACCTCTTAGATGCACCCGCCCTTGAGCCCGGAGCGGTCTTCATCCCCCTCTTGGAGGAGTTTACCGAGCTACTCTCCGTCGCGACCTGGCACGAGCTGTTCGGTTACGTCGAGACGCGCGCCCCGCGATTCACAAAGAACATGCCTGCCTCCAGGGGCAAGGCTCTTCCTCTGTTGCGCACGATCAACGCGTTCCAGCGCTTCCTGTCCCACACCCCTCAAGACTTGAAGCTGCGCGGGCGCGTGCAGTTGTTTGCGAGCTCGGCGATTGGCATTGCCGACAAGAGCGCCATCAACATGCGCGGAGAGTACGCCGTCATCACCACAACTTGGGAGGAACAGGTGGATGAGGGCGATGTGCAGATGGAGGATGCCGATGGTGAGCTACCGGGTCCGGCAATATCAGCTGACAACCACAGGGACCAAGCCGCTCGACTTTTACTCGACGTTGTGGTCGTTGCAAAAGTACTTTGCCCACCCACCGTCCCTTGATGGCCCGGCCATTGGTGAGCCTGCACAAACACCATTCGACCAGTTCCGGGCCAAATCCGACTTTGTTCTGTCCCGACTGTACGAGCAGACAAAACGAGAGAAGGTTCTGTTGGGCAAGAACCCTGATCGGGCGACGCGCAAACGCACCCGCGAGTCCGAGGACCTCAGCTACCCTCGCTACTTGACGGCCAAGAACCTTCTCGACTATGAGCTTGCCGACCAGCAGTTCCGTCGCCAAGTACTCGTCCAGTACTTCATCCTCTTCCAATTCCTGTTAAACCTCACCCCGGCCAGCGCCAACAAGCAGCAGTTCACTGGGGGCATGCCCAAGACGTTTATCATTGACGGCGACAAGCAGACTTGGATCACGCAGACGATCCAGGCCGTCCGTGATGAACTGCGTAACATGTCCCCGGACGGACCACGCTTTGAGGAGACCCTTGTGCAGCTCATGCAGCGCGAGAGACGATACGTGGGTTTATCGTACCGACTGCAACTGACAAGAAACAGGCACAATGGAAAAACGAAGGCTGTCCCGAGTCTGAATGGGAGGTTGCCCCTCTTGACCCCGACATGGGTCCCAACACGGCCGAAAAGTGGAAGCGTCAGTGCCGCCCCATGCGCCGGTGGCCTTACAAGCTCGGTACCGCGGGCCTCACCCGTGTGTGGGAGAACGGATACAAGGGCATGAACGACTTTACGAAGACTACTGGCACGGCCAAGACAGTGTTTGAGCTCGAGGAGGAGCTGAGCCGTATCGAGATGGACGAGGAAGACGACAAGGCTATGGGACGCGAGCCGCCTGCAGAGTATGCCGAGGTGAGTTGAGCTCTGGGCGCTGGTTTTGAACCACAGCATGCTTACAATGGCAGCAAAAGAAGACGATTCGCTGGTCCGCAATCCGCGAAGCGCGCCGAACCCACCCGCGTGTCGTCGCCCAGATGAAGGACTATGACCTTCACAAGCTGGTCGAGGCTATCCGTGAAGTCGACGAAAAGGAAGCACGATACCGTGACCGCGCACACGGCGACGCAGCGGCTGAGGAGGCGGAGACAGAGGCAGAAGCTCGGGCAGAGCATGAGGCCGAACAGGAGGCCGCAAAGGCTGATGCTGAGGAGGAGGAGACAGGAGAGGCCGAAGGTGTCAATGGCGACGCTACCGCTCATCCATCTCCCGAGACCAACGGCGACGCGACCGTGGATGGCGAGGACGTCAACATGGAGGACGGCATTGCTGCTGTCTCGGAACAGCCCACACCTGCAGCAGAAGCGACCCCTGCCGAGGGTGACGTTGAGGCCCCTGCAGATGGCGAGGCCGCTCCCGAGGGTGAGGATGCGGCTGTGACTGAGGCTCCGTCCGCCGTCGAGACTCCTGTCGAGCTTCCTACAGAGAACACGGTTGGGACTGAGCCCCACTCGCCCGAGGAAGACCTGGGCGAGGCTGAGTAGATGTAGTTTGCAGGTCGATTATGTGCTATGATTCTATGTCAACCCTGGACGCGCTCACATACAATGTCGAAGAGTCTACCTGCACCAACGGCCGCACCCCACCCGGCCAACACGATTGTGGTCGTCTGGTACGGCCTTGTAGGCAGAAGTACCCTCAGACCAAAGCCTGCGCTCATGCCGCCCAACAACCTGGTACCAGCCCACACGCGGTCGGCATCCGCCCAAACGTCAGACGCGCCGGTTGTAATGTCCGCCAACGTGGTCGCTACGCTGTCCGGCAGGCGAGCGAGAATGAATTCGGGGATGAGGGCGAGTGGCGAGAGAAACGTGCCAGTCGCTTGCGGCGACTCGTGGATTGAGGGATGGGGAGGGTACCATATCCCCAGGGCCAGCTGGAGGAGCAGAGGCAGGAGAGCAGTGTAGACGAGGGTGAGGGGGATGAGGGCCGGGAGGAACGACTCTTGACGTCCATCACGCATGGCTTCTGTACCGTCGTCCTCCTTGGTCGATTGTTTACCAGTAAACGGGTACCATCCTTTCAACCTCAAAATGACCAGGGCGAGAAGGGTGCTTGCACCAAGTTGTGCTGCCAACTCCATCCCGACTCTGACGGTGGTGAGGAGTGCGAGGGTGATGGACTGGGCAAAATCCAGACTGTGGAGAGCAGGGACGACGCGGACAGCCACTTCAGCGGCGAGTGTCGCTGCCGTTAGGCTCATTAGGTCGGCATTGACGCGTGCTTTCCTGTCGTGCACCTCGTTCCTCTGCAGGACAGAGTCCCCGTCCTTGTCCTTGACCACCTCGGTGCCTCCACTAGTCGCAGGCGGGGAACCACGGTTGAACAGGAGATGCAAGAACACGCGCGGTTTGAGGAGAACAAGATCGAGGATAATGAGGAGGGGGGGAGCCTCGATCAATGGGTCGATGAAGGCCTGGCACCGTCGCTGGAGGTGGTCAGTGTTGGTGGCAATGTCCGTTGAAGTGAACAACACGTACGCAGACTCCCAGACGGATGTTGGAAGCCGATGTATACGTTGTATACACATGGGGAGCTGGATATGCGCAAGAAGTGCACAATGGTTGTGCTCTGGCCACGGGGAGAGGCTGTGCGGTGGCCATTTGCTTGAAGAGTGACCGGTGGTGGACAAGAAGGAGATCGAAAACGCATACACGGTTCGTCAAGTCTGGTCATTATTGTTGTCTATGTGTTTGTGTGCGTCATATAACCGGGTCTATCCAGTCCCCCCATTTTGCTGCCACAGGCCCCCGTCATTCCGCCGCCGGTCGGTTACACTCTCATGGATACACATTCCCCCCACCCCTCTCTCCCGTTCTCCATCCATTCCATCTCTCGTTACATCAGCACCCCATCCCCCCAACAATGAGTACATCCCCATCGAACAACCTCCGGCCATCCCTCAAGTCTGCCCTCGCGAACACCCACAGCGGTGACGTTTCCCCGGACTTGCGCTCCCCCGGTCTCCCCGGCAGCGCCTTGGCATCACCGCGAGCTAGCTACAGTGCAGCCACGGGCACTACCCTCGGTGTCTCTGGTGTTGGGTTCCCCCGTACGCATACGGGAAGCTCCACGGTCGATGGCAAGTACCGCCGTAAAGTCGGATTCGAGGCGTTTGTGCCCCAGCCGGATGCGCTGTTCACTTTCACTTCCCAGGTAAGTCAAGTCGCGAAGGAGCTTGGTCCGGTGATGGGGTGAGAGCGCGGGGTTACGCGTCGCTATGCTGCAATATTTCTCGCTGCACGCGTAGCGAGCATGGTGGTCGACTCTGGGCATCCAGGTAACGCTGGCACCCACCGGGGGCCGGATGCCCGACGACCCGACGACGGATAAGGGAACGGGATGGAAGCGGTGCTTCTTGGATTCCTGCATCAGCTACTGACATGTTTTCCAGGCCAAGAGCGAGGGCTACAAGCGATCGAAGAATACACGTGTCTTCCTTGTCGCAGTATCGCCTGACGAGAGTGGCGAAGACGCTCTCGACTGGCTCATGTCGGAGCTAGTCGAGGACGGAGACGAGATTGTGGCCATGCGCGTCAAGGACCTGGGTGACGATGGTAAGTTTGAGTCGACGAGTGGCGAGCGGAGCGCAGCAAGTGGCTGGGAGAGGGGACTGGACTCGACGCCATGCACGTGCGCTCGAGCTTGAGTGGTGGCGAGGCCATCAGGGTTACCAATCGCCTGAAGCAGTGCTAACATTTTCACAGAACGCCAGACAGAGGAGGCTCACGAGGATCTGCGCGAGGAGGCACAAGAGCTGCTGCAAGCTGTCTTGCACAAGAATGACGAGGAGGACGGGCGAAAGGTGCGTTTTATGGGCACACACACCTGACAATCCGATTTCGGTTCCTGACACCACCCATGCAGGTCTCTGTCATTGTCGAGCTCGTGGTGGGCCGCGTGCCAGACATGCTCCTTAAGATGATCGCCCTCTACCGCCCAGACTGTACGTACCCATTAATCAGGGCGACTTTCACTTACCTGACCTGGCTTCTGGCCAGGTCTGGGAGTGGACGCTTCGCACTGAACACAGGAAAAAGAGCCTTGCAGGTCCCTGACGCGCTGGTGCAGCTCTTATTGTCGGCACAAAGGGCCAACGCTCGCGCCTGCAGAACTGGGGCAAGGCATTCGGCGCACCGGGCATGGGTTCCGTCAGCCGTTTTGCCGTGTCGCATTCGCCCGTCCCAGTCGTCGTTGTGCGTCCCGAACGCAAGGTCAAGAAGACAATGGCGCGCCGCGAGGCCGCTGGCAAGCGTGGTCAGTACGCCGCCCTCGTGGGTGACGACGACATGACGCTCTCGCGGTCACGGTCGCGTGAGCGCTCCCGTGAACGTCGTGGAAGTACGGATGCTCGTCGCTCGAGCACGTACAGTGTCGGCAGCGACGCCTGAGTTCCGAGAGTTTTGAGATAGTCGGTCGTTTTCTTGTCATCCTCGACAATATCTTACCCCCGTGCCCAAGTACTGTGGGCTCCGTTTGGTTGTATGCAATAGTTGTGAACAGTAGAATGAACACTTCTCTTGATTCTTGCTCTCGCTCGGGAAGGGACCAAAAATGGGGCTGCATAGAAAGGCAAGGGAGTAAGTAAGTACTATGGACATTGTTCTTGGGTGTGCACACAAGAGGGTTTAAATGGCGCCCGGCCAGATTATACAACGGAGCAAGCTACCTGGTCTGCCTCCAGGGTCGCGAGAAGGTGCGTCCGTGTACGTGCGCCATGCTATATGGCTTTGACTGGTAGGATTGAGACCTACGGTCGTACAGAGGGAGTGATAAGTTGGGGTGTTGCATGTTGAAGGGATAAGGGGGGTTCTTGACCAGGTTCTTGACCAGGGGGAACGAGCCTACTCGGCCCGACCCAGGATGCCACGGCTGGGTTCTGTGAACTGGCGCGGAATGGCTGGTACCGGCGGCGGCGTGGCGCGGGCCCACGGCAGACGCTGGATGGTAGGCTGGCTATACGCATCGTACACAAGCGACTGTCCGACGGGGGAGACGACCTGTGGCCCGCCGCTGTTCTTCCTCGTCGGGGTTGGAGGGAGGTTGGGCGCGCCGACCGGTGGCGGCGGTGCTGGAGACCCCGGCATGGTGCGGGAGAACGAGTTGTATGTCGCCCAGTTGTCGTGGCTCGAGTTGCGCATGTCGTTGTCGTCGACCACGCGCACAACGGGCGAGTGCGCGTCATCGTCTGATCCGTACATGCTGAGCAAGGAGGGCACTTCCGACGGCGCTTCGGAGACGCGCCGCGTGTGGTGTGCGCCACGACCGGCCATGCCTGGACCAGCAACGGTCAAATGGCTTTGCCGGTTATAGTCTCCAGACGTGGTGAACTGTTTGGCTGCGCCGTTTGCGGGGCGGTTGCCGCGCGAAAGGCGCATGGACATGTGCCTCCATCCCGAGCGTGGCGACACTGGGTCGTCGCTAAAGTCGAGTGCAGAGTGCTTGGTGGCCGTCGTTCCCGACCGCTTGAGGTGGTCGGATTTGTTATAAAAGGTGCCAAAGTCGGGCTCGTCTTTCTGCTTTCGCCTATAGAGCTGTATGGGGTTTCAGCTGTGCCCAACGACAAGGAACACGAGGCGCGCGAGATCCGGGGTGGTGACATGGGATGGGGAGATGGCGGTGTGGCGCGCCGTGGCGCGACGGCGGGCCAACACCACCACCCCGAACATGTTTCGCCACCCGGACGCCATCTTCTCAAAGGAAGACTCGGGGCACCGGTACTCCATGAAGGGCCCCAATCCAGAATCCGCCAGCGGCGTGCACATAGAGGAACACTCACCCAGATAGCCAACACGATGCAGACCATTATTGCTACCACAACGGCAATGGCGATACCTGTGGCTGTCAGCACACCGAAACCTTGGCAGTGGCGTTTTGCAGGCGCCACTGTTATGACTGCGGGGAGGGTCTGCCCGCCCCCGGGTGTGGTTTCCATGGCCTGAACCGGATGGGATGTTTATGCAACAAACTCACCAATGATGCCTGCAGTGGAGACAGGGCTGGTGGTGCCACCCACACCCACGGCAGCGAGGGCGGTGTTGTCAGTTGACGAGGTTGAAGAGTGGGCAGTGCTGGCGGCCGTGCCAGCGGAGGAACCAGATGTAGTTGTGCCTGCCACAACGAGAGTCTCAACGCTGGACGATGACGCGAGCTGTGAGGAGGACGACAAAGACACCGCAGAGGCAACAATCGTAGATGCGATGGTAGCTGCAGTCGTCGATGCGATAGTTGATGAAGCGGCCGAAGACGAATCCACTGTAACGGACGATGACGACCACGAGTCGACCCAGCTAGATGACGCAGCATCACTGGAGGACGACCAGATGGCAGAGGAAGATGCCACCGAGTTCCAGTTATCAGAGGATGTCGAACTGGACCAATTGTCGACTGTTGTGGTGCTCCATTGCTGGGAGTCGGACCAGACGTCGGAGCTCGAGCTTGCAGCCCATTGCGTGTCGGTGTCGACGTAGTTCTCGGAGAAGCTAGTCCAAGTGTCAGAAGCAGAGGAATACGAAGTGATGGGAGTGGGGGAAGGGGTAGTAGTGTCGGAGATGGTGGCCGTCTCGAAAGCAAGGGAGGAAGTCGCCCAGTCCATGTCGGAGGCGCTAAGCGTGTCAATGGCAAGGAGGTCGTGTTCCTACGTACGAGGTAGACGTCGACTGTGGGGCTGCAGAGGAGTCGACAGACTGGAGCTGATACTCGGTGGTCTGTGCAGTGGCAACCTCGGAGGACGTCTCAGCAGCTGCCAGGGCAACCTGGGTGTCGGCAGGGCTAGACTGGACGCTCGTGGCAGCTACACCCGCGGACGGGGTTGTCGAGACAGTCGATCCCAAATCCGACGATGATGCTGAGTCGGCAGTGTTGTCGAGCCCGACGGTAGAAGCGGACTGCTCCAAAGTCGAAGGGTCTGCCGAGGCAGGAGGGTCGACTGACGAACGCGGCGAGGAACGTGGAGAAGAAGAAGAAGCGACATACCCATTGCCATTGTGGTCACTGCCACCCCAACTACGACCACCACCGGCACCGCCGTCCGCGTTAGCGCCGCGATCTTGACGAGGAAGCGTTTGATGGGTGCGTGGGCCTACACGGAGACGGGACCGGGGGCTGGTGTGGGTGAGGGGCTGACCGACCATGACTGCGGCTTGGGTGTGGAGGAGCTGTCAAGTGGCCGGTAGCTTGGCGAGCGAGGCGGTGTGGGGAGGAGAAGTGGGGAGGCGAGACGGGTGCTGTGCTCGGGCCGGCCACGAGCAACAAACTACAGAAAGGAGAGAGAGAAAATGAAAAGAATGAGCGTGTATGGAGGCGAATGAAGTGATGGTGAGCAACTAGATCTAGTGTAGATGCGAGAAGACCACCAGACCGCGCTCCGCGACGGGGGTAGTGCACAGTGCGCATGGTGCGGCGGTGTCCAGGTTATGGGCAAGTATCCACGCAGTGTGTGCGCACAGCTGCTGCTGCTGCTGTAAGAGGGATGAAACAGCGCACGGGCTCTTGGGTTCGCTCTCGGCGTGGCTGCGGCGCTCAGTCCGCCACACTGCCATCGATATCGGGCCGCCATGTCAGATGGTGTCAGAGCATGCTGGCCATGTAGCGCCTGCGGGGGGAACACGCCACCCCGCGGCTCCATGTCTCGGCTGGAATGTCCTCTCTTTCTGGATCTCTGGATCTCTGGGATGTACCAGACAGACAGGTCAACAGACAACGCATCAATGTTGGAGCAAGTGGTGAGAATGGATGGCTGCATCAAGAAGGAAAACCCCCGCCGGAGGTTTGACCCTTAGCGCCACCAGTGCACACGCACGACATAAAACCGCGTGTGTTGAAAGCAAGACGACGGCCCGACGAACACTACTACGGCAATGTACGCACTGCGGTCCCTGTTCTGTCGAGCTTCAGTGGCCCTTTTTAGTGGTCCTTGCCCTCCTTGACGCGAATGGAGAACGCTCCACGCTCTCGTACCGCCTTGACCTCGTTAAAGGCCCACTCGCGGGCCGCACGGTCCGCGTGCCAGGTCGACCCTCCGCTAGTCCCCTCGTCCTCCAAGTCCGAAACGGCAACGGCGTCTGGTCCTGATCCTGGTGTCGGTTTCGAGGTCCACCGGCGGCGAGCAACGATCGCCCACCCTCGTGTCGAAGGAATGCGCAGGCTCTCCTTCTCCCACTCCCAACCGCACATGAGACCCTCCCAACCGAGCCACATAGTGAAGGCCTTGTATCGTGACTGACCAGTCTCCAGCCCTTCGTCAAACCCACCGGCGGGTGCGTGAGGGTGGGCAGGAGCGGTAAAGTCGAGCGAGGTAAACTTGGAGTCGAGCGTGTGGAGGCAGCAGGGCAAGTTGAGGTAAGGAACCGGTGTGGCGGGCAGCAGCGACAAGAGGGGGATCCATGGCTAAACAGGTCAGTGGTGTGTGCGCCACCTTGCCGCTAGAACTTACTGTGAGTTCGTCCGCATGGTTTCCCAATAGAAACGTGCCTTCTTTGACAACACACTGTTCCTTGCCAGGCCAGTCGCCAGCCTGCCACTGCTCCATTGTCTCTGGGAACCACGAGGGCATATCGATCTGGAGCTCCACGAGCGAGGCTTGCGTTGCGGCAGGGTATTGGGGCCAAGTGCGTCGCGCTCGGAGCTCGTACCCTCTACCCTTGTACCCCTGGCACAAGTTAGACTGGCACACAACGACTACTGCGCGCAACGGCGGCAGTCACTCGAGATAAAGGAAAAGCTACTCACCTCGGAAACAAGGATGTGGACGACGAGACCGTTGCCGCAACCCAAGTCGACGAGACCGCCTGGCGGACGGCCCCATTTGTCCCATTCCATGCCCGTTTCGGTGCCTTCCCTGGCTGGGTACATGTCGCGCCAAAGGAGCATCAAGAATGCAGCGATAGCAATGTCCTGTTGTCCCCAAAGTGCCAGGTTTGTCGGAAGCAGTCGATCGTCGGGTGAGCCTGCGTCCTGCCGTTGGTTGCGTTCCCGCCATGACCCACCTTCCATACATGACGCTTGACGTCTTCGACCTTGTTGCTCCATGCCAGTGGCACGCGCGAGTCGAGGTGCTTGTGGCGTTCCTTGAGAGCCTGGTACAGGTCCTGGAACGGCTCGCGAGACACAATGACCTGAACGTCGTTAGCTCAAAGTGCGGAGATCCTCAGCTCACATCGTGGGCGACACGCTTGACGTAGCCTTGGAGTGTCCCGTGGCCGTGCTTGTGCAAGCGCTCCAAGAGGCCGAGGCATGTGCGCTGGAGCCGGCGCTCCACAGCGGCCTTGGCCTCGGCACGCCCCTCTTCAGTGTCCTCTTCGAGTACGGTAGCCGGGTGTGTGGGTGCTGGTGGGCCAGCGTTCAATTCGGCCGCCCCGATAGGAGGTCCGGCGAGTGGGCTCCGGCGTCGTGCAGGCTTTGGAGGAGGCGGCAGGGGGGTCTCGTTGGCACGCGGGGTGTCGGGGAAGGGAAGGTACGCGATGGATATCCGTCCATACACCCTGGGTACACCCTCGGTGACCTCTGCGTCGGCCCCGTCCGAGTCCCACAGAAAGGCAATCTTGCGGACAGCTGGAAAGTAGTAGGGTATGTCGGCCACGGAGGACACGCACGGTGTCTGCACGACAACACCGCTGTCCCCTTCAGGCGACGAGTACATGACGACGCGTTCGTCCAGGCGTGCGTCTCTGCGCGGTTGGCGGGGGATGAAGCGCACACGCTTGTGTGAGAGCAGCTCGAGACCGAGACGGGCGGCGAGGGCGGCATCTTCCTTTTCCTCAGTGTCGGGCAAGGGGTCGGCGCGGATGATCAAACTAGAGTTTTGCTCGGGGTGAAGAGACATCTCCTCGAGGGTTGCCTGGAAGGCATCGAGGGGAAAGTATGCTGGTGCGGACAGCGGTGTGACCCAGACATCTTGGCCGGCTGAGAGTAGACAGGGCGAGTCTTTAGGCAGGTACGTTGGGTTGAATTTTGGGTGCAGGATGTCTCTGGTTGCCTTTTGAGGCTTCTTTGATGACGGTCCTGCGACGGGAATGGCCTGGTCGCCGAGAGGTGCCATGGTTGTGGAGCACCAGGTGGCTGAGAGAGTGCGATGCAGACGACAGTGTTGGGATGGTTGACAATTGAGTGGGCGCCTTGGGGGGGGTGGTTGTCGGTGGTGGAGGTCCACCGGTGGACCAAATGACGTGTGTACTTTGCTGACATGTGGCTTCTCGCGTGGCCCACGCGCTGAGAGCTGAGAGCTTGCTGTTTCGATGGCCCGATGGCAGGGGCCTGGCAGGCAGAGCCACGAACGCGCTGCTGCGGGCGTGGCGCGTTATATCTGGGGTTCCTGAGCGGCGCGCGGCTCGTTCCACGTCGTAAAGAGGCAAAAGAGTCGGATCTCATCTTGCGTTTCTTTTCTCCACTGGCCATTTCACGTTCAACCATGTCGGCCGTCCAGGAAAAGAAGGACATCAACGCGGCAAAGCCCGCTTTCACGACGTGAGTACTCGCAACACCCCCCCTGCACACACTCTGCGTATCCTCTGCAGCGGGGCATCATGGAACAAGGCCACGACCGCTGTGGAGAGGACTGGATATCGGCGGCCTATCACGTTCATTCCATCGCGTGTCTCGTCGCGCTGTCACTCTACCACCACGTCTTTTTTTCTTTTTGTTTCTTGCTGACACGACAACAGTACGTCGTACCCGGCGATCCCGAACGCTCCTCTCCCCGCTGAGGGCTCGGGCTCGTTCAACAACTGGCACCTCGCTGCCGTTGACCTGCTGGTCCCCTGGCTTGTCCAGCGCTGCCTGCCCTTCCGTACCGGCTGGACCACGTACTGGATCCTCTTTGTGCTCCTCTTCCTCCCGCTCACTGTCGGCTACTGGATCGTCACCTCGCGCTATGGTCCCCGTATCAACGAGAAGGTCCCCTTCCCCAACCGTCCCCTCAGCACCTACTACACCATTGTCGACAAGGACTTCAAGGCCAAGTGGGAGGGCAAGAAGATGCCCATGCAGGTGTTCCACGACGCTTACTTTGAGGGCAAGATTGACTTTAACGGCGACGTCCTCGACGTCATGGAGTACCGCCACGACTGGTCGCTCTTTGAGCTCTCGATCGACAACTTCCGCTACGTCCTCTTCAACCTCGTTCCCGATGTCATCCTCCACTCGCAGAAGCAGGACGAGGACCAGATCCGTGACAACTACGACCGCGGAGACGACTTTTACTCGTGGTTCCTTGGACCTCGCATGATCTACACTTCGGGTGTTATCCGTGACATTAACCGTGAGGAGACCCTCGAGGAGCTCCAGGACAACAAGCTCAACATGGTCTGCGACAAGCTCAACCTCCAGCCCGGCGACCGCATGCTCGACATTGGCTGTGGCTGGGGAACCCTCGTCGCCCACGCTGCCAAGAACTACGGTGCCGACGTCACTGGTGTGACTGTCGCCAAGACTGGTGCTGCCTTTGCTACCCAGCGTCTCCGCGAGAACGGTATCCCCGAGTCGCAGGGCCGCATTCTCTGCATGGACTACCGCGAGATCCCCCACCAGAAGGGCTACTACAACAAGATTTCGTGCCTCGAGATGGCCGAGCACGTCGGTCTCCGTCGCTACGGTACTTTCCTCAAGGAGATTACGAGCTGCTCGCCGACGACGGTCTCCTTGTCTTCCAGGTCGCTGGTCTCCGCAAGTGCTGGCAGTTTGAGGACCTCATCTGGGGTATCTACATGAACAAGTACGTCTTCCCCGGTGCCGACGCCTCCCTCAACCTCGGCTGGGTCATCAACGAGCTTGAGCGCGCCGGCTTCGAGGTCAAGTCGTGTGACGTCCTCGGTGTCCACTACGCCGCCACCATCCACCGCTGGTACAAGAACTGGCTCCAGAACAAGGAGGCCGTCGTCGCCAAGTACGGCGAGCGCTGGTTCCGCATCTGGGCCTACTTCCTTGCCTACTCGGTCATTGTCGCCCGCCAGGGTTCGTCGTCGGTCTTCCAGATCACCCTCCACAAGAACCTCAACGGCTTCCACCGTATCGAGCAGGTCCCCACCCACGCGTGCACCCAGGTCCCGGCCTCGCGCAAGATCGACCCCGTCGTCTCGCACACTGCCCTCTGGCCCGAGCACTACGGCGGCGCCGCCCCCGTCCCCGTTGTCGCCGCTGCCGTCGAGCCCATTGTCGCTCCCGAGCCTGTCGCCGCCCCTGCGCCCGTCGCCGCTCCTGAGCCCATTGCCGCTCCCGAGCCCGTCGCCGCCCCCGAGCCCGTCGCTGCCCCCGAGCCCGTCGCTGCTCCCGAGCCCATCGGCGCCGCCCTCTAAAGCGTCTACCCAGCAGTCGCATTAGGCCAATGACAAACCCGTCACCATCCCATCCCTTCCCCTCCCCTCCCCCCTCTCCTCTCCCTCCCTCCCTCCCCTCTAGTACTCTCTTGATTCAGCAGTATCCATAGAACGCATCAAAGCAGCGTTGCCTGCCGCTTCCGGACAGAGCAAAAATCGTAGCGGCCACGCCAGAGGCTCCAGAAAATTCCCATGCAGTGATGAATTGCAGGCAGCAAAGGAAGCAGGAAGCAGGAAGCAGCGTTCAGCGTTCAGCGTTCGGCGCAAGCGAAGCCAGCTAGCTATCTATCTACCTGACGGGTGTCACCGTTGTTCACAGCGTCGTGGCGGTCCATCTGACGGCCGAGGTGGTGGCCTGGATGCCTGGAGGCGTCTAAACCAGTGACCCTCGTGAACGCTGCAGCCGGATCCGAAGAACTCGAAGCGCGACCTAATGGACGAGGCGAGGATCGTCCGCGCTGCGCAAGAGGCACGCGAACAGAACACGACAACAGAACACGACGAGGACGTGCGACCTAGTGGCGGATATAAGGTGGCACCGTAGACACCGAGACATGCATACATGGCAACAACATGACACTTTTGAATCCTCCTCGAGAATTCAAAAGCACTCTGAGCTAGCTATCCCTTGCTACAGGCGCAACTCGTGGTGCTCTCTGCTCTCTGCTCTCTCTTTCTCTCTTTCTCTTTGTGGACCTGCTTACAGGCGCGCGGTGCTCTTTTGCTTCCTTCCTTCCTTCCTTCTCTTTCCTTTTCTCTCTTTCTCTCTGTGGACCTGCGGGCGCCCACAACGACGACATGGCATGGTCGGAAGCTGGACATTTTACTGAGGCTGGGCGGCGGCGTCGGACGCGAGGAAGGCGGTCTGCGGGTCAAACCAGACGGTGCGCTCGTCGAATCCACTGCCGCCTGCGGTCGAGGGGGGCGGGCGCTTGTGCCACGCAATGGCTTGCAGCTGGGTGTGGATGACCTGGGGCCCGACGTCGATGAGGTACACGCACTCGGCGCACGAGCCCGCGCACGTCAGGCAGGTGAGAGGGAGCAGCGTCATGAGCGGGGGCGGGTGGCCGGGATCAAGTGATGGCGGTGGAGCGCGAACGTTGGCCAGAACGCAAGGCTGTTCCTTTTCACAGCACTCGACGCAGCCGCGGCTGGGAGTGTACAGGTATGGCGGCAGGAAACGCTCGCCGCGGTCGTTGCTCTTGATGAGCGTAGAGGTTGGGGGCATGTCGGCAATAATGGTAGCGAGGGGTTCGTCAATCTGGACGAGGCGGGTGAGGAAGGGAACGCGGTGGACGTCGGTGGGGCGGAGAACGTCCATTTCAGGCTGCTCATCGTCCTCGAACGGCGACATGACTTCCCACTTGACCGAGGGGTCGGCGTCAAACAGGCTTTGGTGAATGTTGTAGACGGCATCGTTGGGCGATGACTGAGGCCACGCAAACTCGGCGTTGGGATCGCGTACACCGAGGAACCGGTACTTGGTGAGCGATGAACGGCGTTTGCGCTTGCGGGATGGCCCAGCCTCTGGTTCGACCGGTTCGACTGGCTTGACGTGTTTGACAGGTTCCTCAGGCTCCTCAGGTTCCGCAGGTTTGGCGTGTTTGACGTGCTTGACGTGCTTGACTTGTTTGACGGGTTCGACAGGTCGGACAGAATTGACAGGCTTGACAGGTTTCACGTTTTGCTCGATGGGTCGCACGGCTGCGGCGACACGCTTTGGCGCGACAGCGGCTGGCAGCGGCTGTGGTTTGGACTCTGGCTCAGGATCCAGCTCGTCCACAAAGTCCATGGGTTCAAAGTCTGGCTCGGGGTGGACAACTTCACGCGGGGACGACGTCGGGCGCTTGCTAGCCGGCTCAAGCGAGACGGGGGTTGGGGGTGCCTTGCGAGCAAAAGCTTCAACTGTAGCGCCGGAGGTGACATCAATGTCCTCGACCTTGCCTTTACCCTTCTTGGATGTTGTGGCTGGGGCGCTTGGCTTGGGCTTTGCAAATGACAGCGGCGGTGGCGGCAGCTCACGCGATTGTTGACGCGAAGACGACGACGAGGCCAAGGGTGGAAGAGGGGAACGCGGGGGCGCAGCTGCGACTCCGCGACGACGGCTGGGTGTGTCGTTTGCGGTTGCTGGGCGGGCTGCTGGGCGTGTTGCGGAGCGGCGGGTCGTTGCCGGGGATCGCTCGTGCTGGCCCTCCTCCTCCTCATAGTCGTCTTCTTCATAGTCGTCTTCCTCATCCTCGTCATCGTCGTCCTCATCATCATCGTCATCGTCATCATCCAGCAGCTCGATCACCTCGATCTCGTCGGGGACAGCTCGCGCTGCGCGTTTGCCGGCTTTCTTGTTGGCCTTTGCTGTCCTTGGCGACGTGACGAGACGGTCCACCTGGCGCGCCGCCGCACGCTTCAGGACGCGCCTGGCGTTGTCATCCAGTTCCTTCTCGTCCTCGGAGGCGTAGCCCTGGTTGTTGTCATGGAGGTCGACAAATTCCTCGGTGAAGGGGCATCGCTGATGGTAGCACGTCACGCATGGGCGGCGCCAGATCGAGGCCGAAGTGGCGAGGGGATTCTTCCAGACAAAACACGGGTAGCCGTCCGTGACACAGCGTTCGCACGCTTGCGCCCTGTCGAGCTCCTTGATTTGCGGATCCTTACGATACCCGATCTAACAGAAGAAGGCAAAAGGTCAGCGCCCAGTGATGACGACGTTACGGCGGATCGCGACGGCAGCGGCGGCGGTGGGGGAGCGCGCACAGTCGCGTCAAAACGCGTGCGGGCCCGCATGCGCGCGCGCGCGTAGGTACTCACAAAGCGCGCAATCTTGCGTTGCATGCGCAACGGATGCGTGCGCACCTCGGCGAGCTCTTCGGGCGTCAAGGCCTGGAAGACCTTTTCGTCGGAGGGAGGCATGTTGTGGTCTTGGTGTGCGTGGTGGGATGGTGGGTCGTAGAGGGGTGATGGAGAGTGTTGTGGGTGGTGGGGGTCGTTATTCAAGTCGGTGCTCCCGCTGGCGCCGCTGGCGTCGCTGGCCGAGCCGCGGTGCTGATGGTGATGGGGGTGGTGGTGGTGCAAGTGACTGGTGAGGTGTTGTGGGCGTTGAGCAGGTGTTTGTGTGGCAACTAGCCCAGTCAACCCCGCACGGGCGGCAGCAGATGGGCCCGCCGAAAGCGTCGTCGGGACAATATCGATGACCGTGGGAGACCCGGGGCGGCCCGTCAAGTGGTTGTGCAGAAGAGGGACGGGGACACCGAGGAAGGCAGGATGAGGTTGGGGAGCGTGCATTGGGAGGTGGTGAGGACGCTGCAGGGGCTGTTGCACGTGGACCATGCTGCTGTATGCGTGAGACTGCAGGTGCGACGTCGGGTGGACGTTCGTGCCGGCGCCTGCCGGTGGTTGCGCAACAGAAGCGGGGCGGGGTGGGACGAGTGCGCCTCGTACAGCGACGGGTGACGGTGTTGCGACCATCGGCGGCGTGGATGGGGGTGAGGAGACCGTCTGAGGCCCTTGCCGGGCGACCGACTGGTGTCCGACAAACACCTCCAACGGTTGCGGCGACGCCATGGAAGGTGGTGAGGATGTGGTAAACAAGGCGACGGAGAGCAAGGAATGTTTGTGACAGAGTATTTCAAAGAGAGACGAGTGGGTGGCAACAAACGCATACAGCACACGGCCTGTTTCATACTAGCGTCGTATACGCGTGCATACAGTGCTCACAGAACACGGCTGTGCACACGTCAACGTCTACAAATGCTTCCCAGCCGCGTTCGCGCTCAACGCAGAACCTTGATACTGCGCACAGGCAGTGGCATGTCATCGACAAGGGAGCAAACGAAGTGCCAGTGCCAGCTGAGCGGTCTGTCGCCCACTGTGCGATCAGTGATGCATCGCGCGGGCGACCCCACTCCAGCTCCTTTCCAGGCTGCAGGAGGGTCAGTGATGCATGATACAGCCCGCAGGCCGCAGGCTTAGCCAACTAACTGTAGCGCAGTAGGGTTATGCCGAAGGAAGGCTGCGCTGGTTGAGGAATCTACTGGCGGGACATGTGGCACTCCAGTCCTGGCCACCCCACACCATATGAGCCCTTTGGTCGCGGCTTCGACATGGTCTGCAGAGTCACCGACAGGACCAGCCAACCTCATATGCACCCAGATACACAGCATGCTCGCACCGCAGACGGGACGCTACTACGCCCGGGTCAGGCTTTGCCGAAAACGTCACCGTCTTGTGGCACATTGTGTCGCGGCCCATCCAACACCTCACCAACACACCACACGTCCTCACCACAGCCTCCCCAGTCCACGGTCAGCAAAACCTCCTCCCCAGAGCCCAAAAACACCTCCTCTTTACTCAACCCCCCCGTGTGCCCCCGTGCCCGTCCTATTTCGTACGTAATGCATACAAACCGCCAGCGCGCGGGACTGCTGAGACGATCACCACACCCTCCTGTACAGCCCATTTTTGTTCTGTTCTTCGACATCTCTGTACCGGGGTGGCCCTGTCGAGCGGCCAAACTAGGGGTTCATGGCCTTGGCCTTGACGCCGGTCGCCATCTCGAGCTTGAGCTCGGCAATTGCCCTACCGGGGCTCAGGCCTAAAGGATCGTTAGTATTTCTAAGGCTTCAAAGAATGGATCGCGATGGTACGTACCCTTGGGGCAGGTCCTCGAGCAGTTCATGATGGTGTGGCAACGGTAGAGCGACCTGTTACTGTCAGTGTCATGTCGCTGAAGGGTTGTAGGCGGCTCCCAGCGACTGCGGGCGAGACTGCAGGATGGAGATGAAGCAGACCGTCGGAGGGGTTGTTGGATGGGGTGGCGTTGGTTGGACGTGACCGCCGTGCCAAACACTCCCTCCAATCTGCACGGCATCCCTCCGACAAGCCGTCCAAGGCCACACTGCGTGTGCCAGATATCCAGAGTGGTTCCTAGGCAAGCCAACGGCAAGCACGCCCGGTAGCCGGACAAAATTGGTTGGGGAAAACGCCACTCACATGTTGTTCTGGAGACGGTCCTTGCGGTCCTCGGTGTAGCCGTCACGCGAGTCGGCGATCCAGCGGTAGGCCTGCATGAGGACGGCGGGGCCGAGGTACTGGTCCTGGTTCCACCAGTACGAGGGGCACGAGGTGGAGCAGCACGCGCAGAGAATGCACTCGTACATGCCGTCGAGCTTCTTGCGGTCCTCCTGCGACTGGTAGAACTCGCGCTCGGGGGGGTTGTCGTTCTTGAGGTAGGGCTCAATCGACTTGTACTGCTTGTAGAACAAGGTGAGGTCGGGAACGAGGTCCTTGACGACATACACTGTAAGGGTCAGCTTTATTGGCCGGCGGGGAATTACCACGCGGGTAATACGCGTTGGCGGAGGGGGACATTTCCTCTCCAGTCACGGGCAGGCAAGTCAAACGCACTGTGGGGGAGGGGGTAGACCTTGGTGGTCTTGGCGGTGTCCTTCTCGATACGGCAGAGGCAGGCAAGGGTGTTGACACCGTCAATGTTCATGGCACACGAGCCACAGATGCCCTCGCGACACGAGCGACGGAAAGTGAGGGTGGGGTCCATCTCGTTCTTGATCTTGATCTTTTGAAAGGGGTCAGTTTACTGTTTTCATTTGCACAGACAGCATGCAGCAACACACCAGAGCGTCAAGCATCATGGGGCCACACTGGTTGAGGTCGACCTTGTAGCTCTTGAGCTCGGGCTTCTCAGTGGGGGTGTCGGGGTTCTGTGGAGCATGTTAGCCGGGAAACTGAAAACCGGAAAGCGGCATTCGCGCCGGACGGGGCTGCGGGCAATTGTGTGTGTGCGGGAGACAACAGCTCGTCGGCGACGACGATTGAGCGCTGGGGAGGGCACGTCGTGACTGCCGCCGAGATGGAAGCGTCGTCGCAGGAAGAGGGCTTGCGCGCGCGCGAGCGAGCGCGTGGACGAGGATACATACCCAGCGGTAGATCTTGAACTCCTTGACGGCAGGAGGCTTTGAGCCTGCGGCAGGGGTGGGAGCGTCTGAGGGGGAGGCGAACGAGGTGGACGCCGACGCCGAGAAGGCGCGGGCGGTGTTGACGAGCTGCGCGGTGCGGGGGAGGGCACGGAGGGCCGAGGTGGAGCGCATCATGATGGGCTGGAGGGAGAGTGGTGTGTGGTAGGAGAGTGTTGCGCAAAGGGACAATGACAATGTCAAGAGCGAGAGCGAGAGCGAGCAGCCAGGGGCGCGGGGGGTGTGCACGACGACCCAGCGGGAGGGAATTCGTCACGACTAAACGCTGCACCGTAAGTGGTCGGCTGGGCGTGCGCACCGGGCAGTGCCGGGATGGGGTGAGCCCGTGTCTTCCCGGAAACCTTCGGCCTTAAATCCGCCAATAACAGGGGGCGTGTTTGACAGTGGATGTGGCTATTAGGTTTTATTTGGATTACGCTTTACTAATGGCAGCGACACACTGCTATTGTTCAATACTAAATACACCCCAGGGCGGTATCACAACATTCCACCTCGCTGTTAGCCCATCTACACGTCAATAACGTCGCAGTGCCGATCGCCCGCCTCGCTCCGTCTTCACCGTGGCAGCTGCGGCAGCCTTATTCCCCTTTCCTTTCCTCGCCCACACATGCCCACAATGCATTCATGCTTCATGCTTCAGAAAGGGAGAGGAGAGACGAGTGACACTACACAATTGCCACATGCAAAATAAACAAAAACCGCGCCACCTTGGGCCCCCCTACCCGACTACATGTCCTCCTCGACACCGTGCGACGCCTTGCGCTCATATGCCTTCTGGTCCTTCAACCACCTGCGGTAGCTCTCCACGCTCACTGTAAAGAACAATGGTCAGTGTCATGCCAACGGGTACCAACCAGCTACTTACCAATCTGCAAATCAAAAAGCAAGTGATTTTGTTGGACGGAGAACGGAGCCACGGGACGGAAACGACAGGGAACGGAGGTACCGGCGCCGACATTGTCCACGAGGCGAGTTGAGTGGTCAAATGACGCCGCAACGTCGCAAAAGGGATAGGATAAATGGAGGTGGAGGAGAGAAGAAGCACATCCGTCAGTAACGCTCACAAGACCACCACCACATCTGCCAACACCCACCTTCTCGCCGTAAAAGTCCGGTGCGGGGTTGTTGACGCTCTGGAACTTGGGGTCGGCGCGCTTGGCCTTTATCCTGCTGTAAAACTCGCGGTCCATGGTCTCAATAGGGGGAGGGTTGCCGCGGGCGAGCTTGGGGTGGGTGAGCGAGAAGAGGCCACCGCCAATCGAGGGGCCGACAAGCCAGCCGAGGACTGTAAAGTCAGTAAATGTGTTGCACAGGGTGGTCAGAAGCTGGAGGAAACGGTGTATCTGTCCCGGCTACCCAGGCTCATGTCCCCAGCCTTGTAGGCCTGGGACGGGCGTACAGTCACAGCGTCGTGAGTCTTCGGTGGACAATTCCGCCCATACACCCAGACCAGGTGGCTCTGCCTCCACCTCCCCAGCACCTGCTCTGGGACCCGTCGCTCCAGAACGTCTGACGCTTCTCCACAACGTTGTACTCACGCATACAGGCCACACTGATAAAGGTCGCGTGGTCAGCACATGTAAACAATTCCGGTGGTCTTGCCTCCGCCACTCGTGACAACACCTGGTTGCCACTTGGAGCGACCGTGTTCCGCCTCACTCACGTTGAACCGCCGTAGACGAGCCTGGAAGAGTCAGCAAACTTGTCATTTCTGATATGCCCATCTCGGCCTCAGCCAACGTACATGGGGTCAAGACCCATGATGGTCTGGGTCGGGTCGCCCTCGAGGTTGGCAAAGTACGAGCCGCCAAGGAAGAGACCCGTCAGCGACGAGGGCACGCTAGTGAGCGTAGCCCACTGCTTGCGACGCTTGCGCATGGAGAGGTACTCGCTCCATGGCATGGGGAGCTTGGTGGGGGCCGCGGTGGAGGCGGACGCCGACGAAGTCGAGGCATCAGCCGACGCGTCGGTGGACGACGACGACGAGGCAAAGCGCAAGCCGTGCGCGGCGGCCGGGGTGACGCGGATGGCGCGGTGCGCGCGCAGGCCGAGAGACTGGGTGCGGAGGGCGGACATGATATAGCTATGGGCGTGTGTGATGGGTGCTACGGGGCGAAATAGGTGTGCTCGTCGTCGTCATTAACATTGCGGTCGACGGCGACAGGGAGCCAGCCAAGCCGGCGTTTTGTGGCCGCCGCCGGCTATGTGGCAGTCCGCATTGTGTGCGCATGACGTATGTCATGTTGTGGAGACCCCGAGCGGCGAGCTCTCGTCGTTGCTCATCTCCGTCGTCGTCAACGACAACACAAGCGCACACACCTTTTCATGACCATGGGTACACTCGTCAGCGTCTGCCCATGATGAACAAGGGAAAGGCGCGACAGGAGACACCAAAGGCTCTCGAGCTGCTCGACCTGCCCGGCGAGATCCTCTCCCAAATCACTGGGTGAGAGAACCACACGCGAGCCCCACCTAACTCTTTCCCTCAGCTACCTCCCTCTGAACGAGGTGATCGCCTTCCTCTCGCTCAACTCTGCGCTTCACAACTTGTCACGCTCACACCTCACTCCCTTTCGACCTCTCATCCATGGCCTAGTTCGTGCCGGCCCGCCATATCCGACTGCTCTCGCGGTCCTACCTTCCCTCTCCCACTTGGTCGGCCACGACGACGGCAACCTCTTCCTCGAGATCCTCGTGCGTGCTCCCCCCAAGTGGATCCTGGAGCGCTTTGAAATCGGCCGCTGGAGGGACCATGTGTGGCAGGAGGCCTTTGAGCGGCGCTTCCCTCGCCTCGTGGAAGCGATACAAATCCACAGATGATTCCTGGCGAGCCGCCTTCCTCCGTGTGCTGGGGCGGCTGGACCATCGATCCGTCGGGTGTGCACACCACGAGTCATGGACGGTGAGTGCGGTTATTCTAGTCAGCTTCTAACCCTTCCCCCCAGCGGTTCATTACCCTTCGCCGTAACCGTTCAGCGGCCATCAATCGCATTTACACTCGCACCTTTGACCCGAATGAGATCTTTGACGAGCTCAAGTGGGTCATGGAAGTTAACGTGGATCTAACCCGCAGACACCAGAGCAACTTGATCGACTATCCGACAGAAGTGCGCGTTCTCATCCACCTCCAAGACGTCCGCGTCATTGCCCTCTGTGTGCTCTCTGACAAGCCGACGTATACGGCCAACTCGAACGCACACCTAGCACTCCACCCACCGCTGCTTCGGCACCTTAGTGGAGGGCACCAGTACAGACCTGCAGTCCAGAAACGTAAAGGGTCTTTACCAGCAACAGCCACGTCGGCGTGGAACCAGCAGCCCGTCGGTGGCGAGTCGTACTTTCCACTCGTGCGCACCACTTCGTCTTCTGCCTCTGCGCCAAACAATGCCACGGAGACTGCAGCCACAGCGTCAAGCCCCGTATCCACAGGCCCCTCATCCCCAGGTCGCATCTCAGGCTTTGGACAGTGGATGAACCGCCGCAGACGCCTGTCCGCGGACAGCAACACGGGCGAAGGCAGCTCATTCAACCCCCTCACACTGGTGAGGAGTCGCGAAGACGACCGCGAGCGACGCAGGTCATGGAACTTTGGTCGGACCAGGACTCTGTCCGCTGGTGGTACCTCCTCGCACAACGCAGGCCCTTCAACGCAGCCAAATACCGCTATGGAGCCACCTGCTGCTGCCCAACTTGCACCAGTGTTTACCTCTCCCATCATTCAGCCCACTCCCCTGATTTCCTTGCCTGAGGACAAGACCTTGACGTCGCCTCTCCCAACCCCACAGTCGTCGCCCTCACCGCCACCTCTACGCCGCCACCGTCTTCCTTACCCGCCTCTCACGCACCCGACGCCTGCCGACAGTCACCGCCTGTATCCCAACTTTACGCCTTGTGAGGACAAGACTCTCCCATCCACCAGCCGACCGGACCCGACCGACCCGACCCAGCTGCTCACCGAGGGACTCGTGCGCCGCGTCCGCGACTACCGCCCAGACCACCTAGAGGTCGAAGACGACGACGAGTCGGCAGGGTGGTCCACCAACGACGCCGTCTGGGGAGGGGACGGCTCGCGTATGGCCGAATGGGATCCGTTCACTGCCACCCGACGCAGATGGGTTGGCCCTATGATGTAGGTTCCATCGAAGCGCACGTCTTGCGCGTCTAACCTGCCCAGTATTCTCGCCCAGATCTTCTCTGCCGACCGACCTGAAGGTGTGCCCGCTGGCGTGGCGCGCGACACGATTGTGGAAGGTCCAAACCCCGACCTGGGTCCCCGAGGCACATACGCCTCGCTTGGCTGGGAGGACATTGACGTCTTGCTCCCATGGCTCGAGCTGAGCGGGTCTGGCGCGTTCCATACTGCCAGGACGTCGGGTATGGGCTTTGACCCGGGGCAAGAGTTGTAGCAAGAGAGAGCGCAAGGGGCGTGCCAGGCCGACATGGTTGCACTTTCAGCCGAGTTGTATATTGCGTAATCTGATAACACCGCCATGACGTTGTTTAGGCTCTCATGTATCATGTTGCCACCCGCCGCTCTGAACATTGTTGCATAGCTGCGCGGGTCTGCGTGTGCTTTGCCGGGGCTTCGGAAGCGACGGCCGGGGGGGTGGGCTTGGCCTGGTGGAGGTGTTTGCCACTTGCAGGTTGTGACATGAAGCGAGCGGGCCGGAGACAAAGAAACACACCGCCGTGTTGCAGCATTGTACGTCGTGACCCCCCAAAGGCCAACGACCCTTTGTACCCTCTTGTCCTCGTCTCTCACGCGCATCTCGACACATCTCTCAATCCCCCAACCAGCCCCCATTTCATCTCTCCCACCCAAGCACTCTCACGTCTGGGGCTCCCCCATCGCATTGCGTGCACCCTCCCACTCCACCCACCTAGTCACCGCCCACCGCCCGCTCGTTGCCACCCCGCGCAACCTCTCTGCCCAGTGTTCCTGGCCATCTCCGCCGCCCAGTAGCGAGCGACCTTACCGAACACCCCGCCCAATACTCCCTCCCTCGCTGCTCTTATACAACGCTCTCTCCCCCTCCACTCCACTCCCCACCACTCGTCGCCTCCCACTCACCCCCCCCTCTCCGTCCTCCCCACCACCCCCCGGTCGCGGCGCGACAATGGGCCGCACATTCCGAATCTATCTCGCAGGCGAGACCGTGCTGGTGTGTAGGCAGTGCGGCAACCACCTCGCCGTGGCCGAAAGCATCATGTCCAAGGTGTGTACCTCCGTCCCCCCCTCCTCTATCCCCCATACCATTCTACCCCGTCTAGTCGCTGTCCCACCTGGCAGGCCTGGTGCCGCCCGCGTTCCCGTTGCGATCCTCATCCCCCAAATCCAATCTCCCTCTCCCCCACTCTCTCACGCGGAGCTGCCCCGCAGCTATTAGCCGGGGTGGCAACGGCCATTAGTTTCCGGCCGTGTCAGCAGAGGTACCGGCAGATCCATTACGCGCATGGAGCAGTAGCAGCAGCAGCAGCAGCAGCTGACTATGATACAGAACTTTACGGGGCAGCACGGCAAGGCATATCTTGTGCAACATGTGTGAGTAACAATGCGGTGGTGGGGGTGGGTGGGTTCGTGAGTGGGCGACTGGCGGCTGGGTGGAGGCGGCTGCGGCTGGTTGGGCTTGGAGTGGTGTCTCACTACTTGTCCCTGCCTGGCCGCTGGCCGGCCGGCAGGCATGCAGGCCTGCCTGCCAGTGCATGGCACGAGGGCGTTGAATGGTAATATCGGGGTGGACACACCTGCGTCCCAGTGTGTGCTGGGGCCCTGTCAGCATCATTTGTCCGTCGCCGCACGTCATCGCCGTCCATCTCCCCACGCAGCTTATCGGCCGTGCCGCCCAGAAGGGTATTTATACTGATCGGCCAGCGTCAACACGTACACCTCCGCCGAGGCGGACGACCGCGAAATGCGTACAGGCAAGCACACAGTGCGCGACCTGTTCTGTCGTGTTTGCCATAACATGGTCGGTTGGAAATATGTGAGTAGGACGACTTCGGAGAGGTGGAGGCGGAGCTGGAGCTCAGCCGCTGACACGCCCCCGCCCACCAGGACTTTGCCTACGAGACGTCAGAAAAGTACAAGGAGGGCAAGTGTATCCTCGAGCGCGAGATGATCGAGGAGCAACCAGAGGTGAAGCGTGACCAGCAAAAGCCGCCCCGCATCGTCGAGGTCATGCGTGAGGTGCCAATCGCACGCGGATAGGCCGCTGTCGCCTACCACGTCCTCTTACATCTTATCCTCTGGCTCCCATCCCATGTGCACACACGCACACGTCCAGGTTATCAGCGATACATCCTTCATCATTGAGCCCACGGTCTTCCACGCCCTCCCTCTCCCCCTCCCCCTCCCGTCAAGCGTACCCACCCACCTCTTCAAGGCTGGTCCTATCTGTACCCGCATTTTCTGGTCCTACGACCTCCACTCCACCGGCAGCGCCAGCCCTGCTGCACATGCTCGCTGAGTTAGCCCTGCGCCAGCTAGCGCTCCGGTGGCTTCGCATGCGTCATCGCACAATCGTCATTTTACCATCTTCTTTTGTCACTGGGTCAACGTCAATACCCCTCTTTGCCACCCCCAACTTTGTACTATGTGTATCGTGTTGTTATGCAGAATATGTCCTCTGAGAGAGGTTCAGGAGGTGGAATTGGTGTGGGTTGCTGACCGTCTGGGCCGTGCCAGCCGATGTCGCTGAGGAACAAGAGCGACTTTGACGAACGCACTGCGCCGACGTTTTGAGTCCATGTAGCGCAGTGTCTTGGCCACTGCCATATCCGGTTTGCATCTGGGCCACTGATGCTGTAGCGAACGCAGTGAACAGACATTGGAACGAGGCTAGCCATGATGACCATCTGCCACTCCAAAAGGGGCACGTCTGTCAGGTGCAATGCATTCTAACGCCCACGAATGGGACTCCATTATCGCTCTGTGTGTTTGGATTCTGCACCTCCTTCTCCTCCTTGGACTGCTGTCTACGGGCTTGAAGCACTTGGAGCCCAGTGCTTTACTTCTTGGCGTCCGAGTAGTCGTAGAAGCCCTTGCCCGACTTGCGGCCCAGCTCGCCCTTCTTGACGAGGTCCTTGAGGACCTGGGGAGGGGTGACGAGCTCGAGGGGCACGGCGCCGTCCTTGGCCTTCTCGACCCAGCCGTCGGCAATGTACTGGGTGGTGTCGAGGCCGACAAAGTCGAGGAGCTCGAAGGGCTGGAATTAAAGTCAGCAATAAATCCGAGGGGGATCAGGCGCGCAGGCCAGCTGTGGGTCAGGATAAGACGTACACCCATGGCTGCGGGGTCAGTAGCAGTACAAGTGTAGAAAACCCACGGTAACCGGCGCCCAGCTTCATGGCGGTGTCAATGTCCTCGGCGGTAGCGTCGCCGCGCTCGATCATGCGGATGGCCTCGACTGAAGGGGTCAGCAGGCTAAAGCAATCCTTCACCCACGCATGTAGGGGACAAGGAGACGGTTGACGATGAAACTGGGAATGGGTCAGTACCGTTGTGAGGCTTTCGCACCCACCCAGGAGTGTCACGGCACGAGACGGGGACCTTGCCCATCTTCTTGGTGATCTCGTAAAGAGTCTTGAAGGTCTCCTCCGAGGTCTTGTCAGTCTTGATGACCTCGACGAGCTTCATGGCGGGGACGGGGTTGAAGAAGTGGAGACCGGCAAAGCTGTGTTCGCGTCAGTACACGGCATCAACAGCAGCTGAAAGCGCAGGTGACCGCCAGCAGCCGTGCAAACGTGACGCACTTGGCCTGGCGAGCATCGGAACAGGCCTCGGCAATCTCGGTGATCGAGAGCGACGAGGTGTTCGAGGCGAAGATGGTCGAGGCGGGGGCCTTCTTGTCAAGGTAGCCAAACAGGTCACGCTTAATCTTAATGTTCTCGATGATGGCCTCGACAACAAGGTCGGTGTTGGAGACGGCCTTCTCGGTGTCGGTGGTGGTCTCAATGTTGGCCAGGACGCGCTGGGTGAAGCCCTCGACGTCCTCGGGGGCCTTCTTCTTGGCGACACGCGCCACCGACTTGGAGATAATGTTCAGGCCGTTCCTGTCAATGTCAGTGGGTTTGATCTTGCGAGTTGTGACTTTGGCTTGCCGGGTGCGCGACGACAAAGGGGAGCAGGAGCCAGGGTTCGTCCAGCCGCTCCACTCCACTCTACCACACACTCATGGTGTGCCAAAACAGCAGGATACCTACTCAAGAGCCTTGTCAGTGACATCGCAGAGGGTGACCTTGAGGTTGGCCTGGGCCGAGATCTGGGCAATACCCGCACCCATGAGGCCGGCACCGAAGACGGTGACACGGTTGACATCGCTGTTGACCTGCGAGGTCGAGAGGTGACGCGCGGCGACGGCGGTGCGGGCCGCAGCCGAGACGTGCGAGGCGCGAAGGGAGGTGCGGGCGAGGGCGGGGAGCATTGTGTGAGAGCGAGATGGAGGTGCGAGAGAGAAAGAGGTGCAAAAAAGCAAGCAAGACAACAGGCGCGTGTGTCGTCGTCGACGGTTGGTAGTGACGAGCGAGAGACCCAATACCCGCACCCTTCCATCACCGGTCTTCGTCGTTAGCCGATCGATCCCAGTAACCGAAAGCCGGTGAATGACACGTCATTCTGCTTTGTCCATGAGCCCCTTATCACTGTTCCGTGTCATGTTTCGCGACTGTTCTTCAAGACCAACAGCATGGACACTCTGCTCTTCCGAACAACACAGCGGTTGTGGAAAAAGATATTCTCGTACTCGCCTCAAGGCTAGATATACAGCTTACAGCGCCGAGGATGATCCGCAACGCGTGGCCCACACCGGTTCAACCGGTCCGAGAGCACCCTACATGTCACCGGAAGAACTCGGCCACAAGCCGGCCAGCCGGCTGGCACGTCCCGCTTATCGCGCGTGTAGAGTCTGTCGTTTCGCGTTGCTTGTGGAAGGGTAGAGTTACAACAACGTAGAGGTGCCAAAGGTACCAGATGAGGTAAAGGTGTATCGTACGCAGATGGAAGTCGCATTGTTTGTGACCGCCGGCGGCGTCGGAATCAGAGGACGACGGACTCCAGCCTTTTTTTCGGCGCCAGCTGTTGGATCGTCGTCATGTCATCATCACTGTTGCTGTATATCTCACGTCTCTGCACCCTTGCTGGCGCCGCCATGTGCCATGCATTAAGCACTCTGAGATAAAAAGTCCATCGTATCTCTTAAACAAGAAAGTGCGACGTCCCCCGATGTGCTGCGACCTGATTCCTCTTTGCTTGTTGGCTGATGGGTCCACGTTGGTTTGTGGATCACTAAGCACCTGTGCAGATCTTTTGTTCTCGTCGTGCCACTGGAGGGTCTGTCCTGGGCATGCAGCGTCGGGGCTTTGGAGAGGAAGAGTGGACGCAACGTCGGAAGGGCACTCGTGGCCTGACCCGCCAACAACGTCGAGTGAATATTCCGATGCAATGTCCGGAGCCAGCGTGACATGTGGTCGCGGGGAATCGAACAGCGACGACGCGTGAGGTCATTGGCTCTGATGCATGATACGGCACACGCGACTGGGTGACGACTTATCATGGCCCCGGAATAGTGCGTGCGGCGCGTGCGGGGTGTCCGACTGCGATGGGTCTGGACGGAGAGCGAGCAAGAGAAGAGCAGAGATTGTGAAAGGCCGACCCAGGCAGCCAGCGGAGCGATAGGACAACCAGTCGGAGCTAGTCCGATTGGGTCGGGAACTCGGGATGGTGAGAAGACTCATATAGGTCTCGGTCCGTCAACTGTCTTCTTATCCCACCCTTGCCTTCACAACAACACCATCCCCATCTCCCCCGCTCGCACCTTCACCTCCACTACAAACAATGTCTGACCTTCCCGGCGTCATCACCTCCCACCGCTACGGCAAGGACCTCGTGCGCGTTGTCCGCGTTGTCCGTGATAAGACCGCGGACGGCAACGAGATCCACCATATCATCGAGTACACCATCCGCGGTGAGTTTATCGGAGCGCTAGTGCCAACTCCCCCACTAATCCGGCAGCCCTCCTTGACGGCAAGATCGAGACCTCGTACACCCAGGCCGACAACACTTGTGTCGTCCCCACCGACACTGTCAAGAACACTTGCAACTTCTTTGCCAAGACCTCCCCACACGTCCTTGACCCCTCCGCGTTCGCTCTCCACCTCGGCACTCACTTTGTGACCCGCTACGACCACATCTCCAAGTGCTACATTGACCTCAGCTCCCACAAGTGGAGCCGTATCAGCGTCAAGGGCGTGCCCCACAAGTGGTCGTTTGTCCGCGATGGCAACGAGAAGCAGACCGTCTCCCTCGTCATCGACGCCGCCGACAAATCTGACCTCAAGGCCGTCCTCACGCCCGGTCTCAAGGACCTGCACGTGCTCAAGACCTCGGGCTCGGCCTTTGAGAACTTCTGGCGTGACGAGCTCACCACCCTCGTCGCGGTGCAGGACCGCATCTTCTCCACCTCTGTCACTGCGACCTACACCATCCCCCTCCCTCCCAACCTCCCCCTGTCCATCGACAACATCCCCCTCATTGCCAAGGAGCTCAACTTCCCCGAGATTGCCGACAAGGTCCGCCAGGACACTATCGAGGTCTTTGCCACGGACGAGTCGGCCTCGGTCCAGGCCACCCTGTACAACACCTGCCAAAAGGTGCTGGTGTCGTGCCCCGCCGTCACGGAGATTAGCTACGCACTCCCCAACAAGCACTACATCCCCGTCAACCTGTCGGCCTTCAAGCTCGACAACGGTCTCGGGTACGAGGGCGGCGCCGAGGTCTTCTACCCCGCTCCTGACCCCAGCGGCTGGATCGAGGCCACTGTTGCCCGCAAGTCGACGCTGCACAAGCTCTAGAGGCATTCTGTCGCTTTTTTTGTATATTCTGTCATCCCCATGTAATAGAGGTCAAGTCAAAGTGTGTGCGGTTGCAGTGTTACGGTCTTGGTCGGCTTCATTGGTGCTGGGCAGACATTCATGCCGTGGACGACGACTGCAGGATATCCAGCTCGAGTGCCTGTATCCGGTCAACCCACACTGACCTAGCCTTTTACTGGGATTGCTGCTGATCGCGCCTGGACTCTCCCGGGGTAGCCACGGCCGTCTAGTGCGGACCCCTTAACTAACTGTCCGCCGTCGCAGATCGCAAGTTTGGGGCTCCCGCAAGAGTGACAACAACTGCAGCGATCCAGCGTTTGGCGTTGTTCACCATATGGCAATCGTGGCTTAATCACTACTGTGATCTGCGAACGACTCCTGCTGTGGCATTCACTGGCCGGTTATACCGTGAGCACCCACTCTACAGACTGACCACTGTAGACTTTCAGCATGCAGTATATCTCCTACAACGCGCTCGTCGCCAATCACATGGATTCCATACTGGGGCTCCTCGCAGTGAGGGAAATATCTGAAGCAAGTCGGGGATTTTGGACAACATCGTTGGTCCTGAACTCTGTTGGCGCGCATGGGCCGGCGTATTGCCAAAGGCATAACCAGGTCTAGGCTAAAAGTTGTGCTCTGCGCCGTTGGGTATGAGGACCAGGTGGTCCAACGTCTCTGTATTATGAAGGATGCCTAGGTCCGCGGCCCAACGAATATGTGGCGGGGATGCGGCGGGTATGTGGCAGGGAACAGGGGATACCATTTTGTTAGTTCCGTCTGCAACTCGATCTGAGCTGGTACATCGTTGTGACGGGATGCTGTTCATATAACCTGGTGCTTGCCTTAAATAGGAGGGTTAGCGATATTGAGTGTTCTTGACACGAGAATCCATTGCGAGTCTACGATTCTAGGCCATTTCCAAGAGGTGCGACTCCCGCAAGAAATGTGGGGGCAAGCAAATGTCAGAATGGGAGTTGCGGTCACGTCGTCCTTACAGCCACATCTCTTAACGCTTGGCAACCATGTCAAACCAAGGACACCAGTTAAAGGGTTCATGCGCGTTTTGGTTATGGCCGGCCTGGAGATAAGAGTGATGATGCTAGCAGCGATGACACCGTTGAGACAGCCACTGGCCACTGGGTTAGGCCGTGGGGCTTGACCGCGGGCTCGAGGTCCGCTTGGCGTTGAGGGACGTTCTCACAGACATTTAAACGAGAAAGCCCACCCTCCCTTGGCATTTGAGTTTGGGGTCGTCAGGTAGGTGTGGTGCATGGCCGTATCAACCTACAGAGCCACACAGCGGTACAGCGGGGAGGTAAAGACGCCACATCTGTTGCAACGGACAACGAGGACGGGCCAAGGGCCATTTCACACAGGCCTGATTCGGCAACAAACAACGAAAACACCGCACTCTCCTCTCACTGGTTAAAGAGGATTCAGATCCTATCTATAGCCAATTATCCAAGACACTCGGCGCTCACTGGCAGCGGCGTAGCAGCCAGTGAGCGGAAAACGCCGCTGCCAGTGAGCGGAAAACTGACGGCACCGATAGCCTATTCCCCACAAGTGCCGACGACAAGCCCGTTGGAGCTACCATGCCAAGTAGGCACCGGTATCTACCGGTGTCAAGCAAGCGGCGTCTTGGCAGGACAACACATGCACACCCGTCGATCGTGCACGCACGGGGACAGCAGATACATCGTCCCCCACGTTTACCGGGCGTTAATCGCTAGTGGTGTGGAGCGGACCAACTCGACGCCGCTTCGGCTTACATCGAACGTGCTCGAGGGTAGTGCGGGTCTCCCCGACGGCTGGCCCTGTTGGAACGCCGTCATTCGAAAAAGTGGACGCGTACGTGCGTCAGACATGCTGCGGCGGTTTTCGGCCATCCTCTCGGTACATCGTCGGTATTCGCACTAACCAGTGCTGGGCTCTGTGGCGCCTGTGAATGCACGATGTGCCACACGATGCGAGAGGTGGCTCTTGGCAAGTCGATCCTTGGCATGGGGCAACACGGGGATATGACGGTGCCCCAAGCGGCAGTGTGATATCAACTTTCGACCACAGCACTGGACGCTCTCACTGTCTGAGATGTAGAAAAGGCAGCAAGAGATACCGGACTGTCATTCCCCAGGCTCCAATCACTTTCAAGATGACCACCACCACTTCACCCAGGACCGACAAACCACTCAAGTCCCCCAGCCTCAATGGTTCCACAGAGAAGGTCGACATCGCGCATGTTGACATCTCGGATAACCTTGAGGAAGGAGGAGAGGCAGCTACCAAGGGCGACTACAGTGGCTTCACCCAAAAGACCGACCCAAAGGAGATCAAGCTGGTCCGAAAGTTGGACAGATACATCATGGTACGTACAGACACAAGAGCCGCATCTTTGCGGGCTTGCTACAACTTCTGACGCCTTCCGCCAGCCTGCTCTCTTTGCGACCTACTTCATGAACTATCTCGACAGAAATGCGATCGCGCTCGCGAAGCGTAAGTGATACTTGGAGGAAAAGCCCCCACCCCTTGGCAGAGATGCTGATTTGATCGCAGTGTCGTCCATTGAAAAGGACCTGGGCCTCACGGACGTACAGTACCAAACTGCCGTTTCGATTCTTTTTGTTGGCTACGTTTTCTTCGGCGTCCCTTCCAACATGCTCCTTACTCGCGTCAAGCCCTCCGTCTACCTGACCTGCATCATGTTGACCTGGGCCATTGTTTCGATCTGCACGGCCTTTGCTCGCAACTACACTGGCCTTCTCATGACTCGATTCTTCCTCGGTGCACTTGAGGCACCTTATTACCCCGGTGCCCTGCTCATTATCTCGACATTTTACACCCGCACTGAGGTGGCAACGCGTATTTCGATCCTTTACCTAGGCAACATCTTGGCCACAGCCTTTGCTGGGCTGATCGCGGCGGGAATCTTTGAGCTCGAGGGTGTCAAGGGTTATGCTGGATGGCAGTGGCTGTTTATCATTGTGAGTCAGACGCTGGGATCACTGGCCAAGCTGACAATTTTAGCAAGGAGCAGTCACTGGTGTGGTCGCCCTTTCGTGTTACGCTTTGCTGCCCAACACTCCACTCACGACACATTGGCTCAAGCCGGAGGAGCGCCAGCTTGCCCACGACCGCATGAACCGCGACAGGGTCGACGAGACTGAGAAGGGTTCCGTCTGGCAGGGCCTCAAGCAGGCGTTCTCCGACCCTCGCGTGTGGCTCTTCATCCTCATGTACAACATGCACCTGGTGAGCACAACTACCTCCGGTAATACGAAACTGACACCTTTCAGAGCGCCAACGGTTTCAAGAACTTTATGCCCTCGGTTGTGAACAGTGAGTTTTATCAATGAGACTCGGGAGGACTTGAGTTGACTGATATCTTTCAGCCCTCGGCTTCAGCAAGCTCATCACCCTTTGCCTTACATGCCCTCCGTACCTTATGGCTGGCGCGTTTACCATGGTCGTCAGTCTGAGCTCTGGAAAGTACAACGAGCGCACATGGCACATTACGGTGTGCAAGATAATCGCCATCATCGGTTTCGTTCTCGCCCCCGCCACTCTCAACACTGGCGTCCGATACTTTGCCATGTGCGTCTTTACCATTGGGACGTACGGTGTCAATTCAATTGTCCTCGGCTGGGCCGCGACAGTCTGCTCCCAGAGCCTCGAGAAGAAGGCCGTCGTGCTCGGCATCATGGCCTCGATTGGAACCGGCTCATTCATCTACACCCCGTATCTCTTCCGTGAGGACGACAAGCCCCGCTACACGATTGCCATGTCCGCCATGGCCGCGTTCTCGTTGATGTGCATGATCTGCGCATGGATCATGCGCTTTGTTCTCCAGCGCCAGAACAAGACACTTGCTGCGACGGGAGCACCCACCAAGTATCCGTACTAAGTGACGCAGCCCGCACGCATTTCAATGTGGCCAATGCAATTAGGAGAGTGTGAGGGAAGGCTCTTTGGAGAAAGTGAAGCAAGATTTCTGCCTTCGGTAGCGGAGGAGAGATCAAGGTGACGGCTGTACGGCTGCTTACCGAAGCTAGCACCATGGCCGTCGTCAAAGCAGGTTGTCTATATACCCAATGCAGTTGTACCGCAGACCAACGTGCGGCTGAAGCAAGCTGAACAGGCTAGGCTGTCCACCCAGAAACTAATAGAGATTCGGAAAACGCCAGGAAATACCCCACTTGCCGAAACAGCATGCTATATGTATAACGTGGCCGAGTGGTACCACATACACACACACACTGCACGCACACACACGCGCGCGAGAGACGGGCAGCGGCTGTGCTGGGTTTCACAAACCGGGAGAGAATTGGGCCCCTTTCCGCAGTCCTAATAATTACATTAGCCGCGGGGGGCATATTTGAAGCGGATTTGGAGAAACCAACTATACTTACGGAAGGAACGCGTCGAACGGGTTGTGTTTCTCGGGCGGGTGAACTACCTCACATCCCTCATCCCTGTTCCATTCATCTGGGGGACGGAGTGGGACTTGTTCAAGCGCCTATCGACAGCTTCACCCCAAATGCTGAAGCATGCAAGCGCACGGCCCAGCTCGTCGGCCTTCGCATCGACAATGTCCTTCTTCAACTCCTTGTTTGACTTCTGAAGCTCCACCAGGTCGGTGGTCCGCTTCGCGAGTTGAGATGCCTGGCTAGTGTGCCGGATCTGGAGCATCGTGTAGTCGTCTCGGAGCTTGTCGTGGTTCGCGCGGAGGTCCTGGATCTCCTGGCCGCGGATCTTGTCTTGGCGTTTGAGGACTCCGTGTCAACACTCATTCTTCAATATGACTCACATTCAATGTCCTCCAGGACAGCGTCTCGGCCGATCGCCGCCTCTCGTGGGAGCTGACGAGTGGGGTCCGACAATGATGGTGGACGCGAGGCATAGGCGGGTTGCGTCGACAGGCAACGGAGAGTTGGCGCTGTCTTCGGCGTGCGGTTGGACCGCGAGTACGCGTCCCACTCCTCGACAAATGTGATCACCTTGTCTTGAGCTGTTAGGACTAATGGCCATGTGGGTCAACCCCAGTACTTACGAGTGTCAACGCCGACAGGGATCACAACCTTTGGTGCTGGTGAGGGGCGCAACGTCACTGGCCTTGCGTTCACAGCGGCCCCCGAGGCTATGCCCTGCATGGGCAACGGTGACACACCAGCATTCCTCAATAAGGATGCCAGTGTTTGTGGGGAGGAGGCGGACGCCGACACGACGGGCTCCTGCGTGGGTCCGGCGTGTGTCGCCGAAACGCGAACCCGGCTTGCCGCCGCCGCCACGGCCGGGTGACTCGCGGATGTCGGTGGGGTTGGAGCTTTCGCCAAGGGCCGCAGACCATGGCTGTGGGACAGGACCCGCAACGAGTTACCGTTCGTGACGCGTCGGATGGTGGCCTTGGGAGTGGGGTCGTCTCTTGTGAGTGATAAGCCACGCTGGGGGGGGGGGGGGGGGGGGGGGGCGACCGAGTCCGAGCGAGACGCGATTGAGATCCGCGATGCTTTGTTGGACGTGCATGTCGCTTGCCTGCCCGCCAGAGAGAGCGTAACTCATGCCCACTGGGATGGGTTTGAGTCTTGGGAAGCCGAGGGAAGCCGAGGGAAGGAAGCCGGCAATCGTCGCATTGGGTGGTGGTGTACCGGTCAAGCTGCGCTCGCTCGAGCCGCTGAGCTCGTCAAGTCCGTGTGATGTGTTGGTAGGGTCCGATGTCGAGGGCACTGGATGATCGATGTAGTCTTCTGGCTGATACGAGCACTGGGCCCCCCTCCTCAAGCACCTGTCACAAGGAAATGCCTGTCATCAGCGCACAGTTCATGACTTGAACTCACCTTGTCACACCTGACCTTGGCCGAGGCGCACGTCGCGGAGGTAGTACGTGTTCTGACATGCCTGGGCATGGCGAGAATGTGTCGTGTTGTTGGTGGCGGGCAGCTAGAAGAGGGTCGACACGCGCACCGGCGAGGAGAGATCGGAGAGACAAACAAATGGCGTATTTCCTGGGGTTTTCTGGGTCTTTATGCATACATACGTTTCTGCGGCGGACGACATGTCCTACATCGTTCAATATATACCCATTCTGTAACAGTCACTACAGTACTGCAAGTGTTTACTACTAGCGGCCTACACGGAGTGATGCGACTCGCATCACCACGTACGCGCGCACAGTCAGAGCAGTGTCTGAGCCTGGTCGTGAGGTGACGTCAAGACCAACTCCACCCATTACACTTTCCTAATCGCCCGGGCCGCAACTTCATTGTAAATGACCTTCGTACTGTACACATCCCTAGTGCAAACATGGTGTTCCACGCGCGCTGCAAAGGGCGTTGCCTATAGGTGTGTAGAGTGGGGCCAAGGTTCGTTGGAGAAATTGAGAGCGCCTTTTGTGCTTTACCTCCAGCGGAGAAGAAAGCAAGGTGCGGCTCCCAGTGATCAGTGAACCGAGACTGGCACAGTGGCGGCAGTCCAAGGCAAGCCGTCTCTATATATGGAATGCAGTTGTGCCGTAAACCGAATTGCGGTTGAATCAAAGCTGAACCAGCAGGTGATCAGGTGACGCCGAACATCCTAAACATGCGCTAAGACGGACCTTTGACGGATCGTTTCTTACGGCGGCATCTGACGGCTCACGCTGCGACCGTTGCAGCACCAAAGGCGAAGGTGTGTTCATGTGACACAAGCACGTCTGCAAGATGGTGCAAGGTACCCCCCAGCGCTAGTGGAAGGCGATTATATTTCTGCCTCGCGTGTTTTCCATCCGCTCTTCTTCCCCCGAACCCACACCCACACAGAAACCATCGCCCCCAACATGACCCTTACCCTGCCTCCTACGATGAAGGCTGTCGTCTGGACCGGGCCCAACAAGGTTGAGGTCAAGCAGATTCCTACTCCCCAGATTGTTGACCCAACCGATGTCATTATTCGAACCACCACCAGTGGCATTTGCGGCTCAGACCTCCACATCTACCGCGGCCACCTTCCTGTCCCGGAGGGCTACCCCATCGGCCACGAGGTCGTTGGAGAGATCGTTCAAGTGGGCAGCGATGTCAGGAAGTGGAAAGCTGGCGACCGCGTCATCGCCCCCTTCAGTGCCTCGTGCGGTGAGTGTGCCGCGTGTGCCGCTGTTATACTGTACATACCATGCGGTGGTGGCGCTCGAGCTTCCAGATCGAACCCACTGAATGGTCATGCAGTCTCTGACGGGCATTTCAGGTGACTGCTTCTACTGCAGGAAGGGCGAGACTGCCCGTTGCCAGAAGGGCGCCGTCGACGGCGGTGGTCAAGCCGAGTACAGCCGCCTTCGCTTCGCCGACGCCATGCTGTTCGCACAGCCGGACAACGTGCCAGAGGCATCCCTCGTCCTGTTGGCCGACATCCTCCCCACTGGATACGTGAGTGCATAGGGTGATATGCGGAACGAGGAGGCCGAGAAGAAGGGTCAGCCAACGTGGTCAAACCTGGACGCCCACTCTCGGGATAACCTCCGGATAAAGCACTTTGGCTTAGGATCTACTTGCTGACTTGATAACCAGTATTGCGCTTCCAGCGCCAAGCGCATGATGGTTGAGGCAGAGGGGCGCTTTGGCGACGACCTGGCCAACCCCGAGAAGACCAAGGAGGGTGTATGTGTGGTCATTGGCTGTGGACCCGTCGGTCTCTGTGCTATCAGCTCGGCTATCGAGATGTTTGAGACAGTGTTTGCGACCGACCTCGCTGTTCACCGTCTCGAGGGCGCCAAAGCTCATGGTGCCATTGCCCTCCCTGCTGGTGAGCTAGAAAAGGCGGTCCTTGAGGCCACCAATGGCCGCGGTGCCGATGCGGTCTGCGAAGTTGTGGGCCACACGAGCGCTTTCGACAAGGCCTTCGAGCTCATTCGCCCCTTCGGTGTCATCAGCAGTGCGGGTGTGCACACCCACGAGATCAAGCTGTCAGGCTGGAACCTGTTCGAGAAGAAGTAGGCATTCGGGAGCGCGACATGATGATGCTGACTCTTGAAAGCCCTCGATTCCAGTTCGGCATGTGCAGCTCACATTACTACTTCCCAGCCGCCCTCGAGATTCTGAAGAAGAACAGAGACCTCTTCGCCAAGTTTATCGAGCACAAGATTCATATTGATAAGGCTGAGGAGGTGAGACAGGGACTTGGATGACATGACTGACTGTTTCAGTACTACAAGCTCTTCGAGCAGAACAAGATTGGCAAGACTGTGATTTCCTTTGACGAGAAGGCCACCTAAGTAGCGTGCTTGTGGGCGGTCGAGGCGTTCCCTTCAGACGTAGCAACGACAACAGAATTAGTAGTTTCAAATGAAGGGTTTTCCTGTAGTGAAAAGCGCTGTTTGTTTGGTTCGCAAGTCGTCCTCACTTTGCAGTTGCTTTAGACATTGACGGCCGCGGATCCGTGGCGGAGCTCGGCTACTCAAACAGCGCATCCTCGGTTCGTGATCGGCTCGTTTTCCCGGCACCGCGGTTACATACCCACTGCTGATTCAGTCATGATCAGTCGCGTTCACCATCCCCCCATTCCACCATGTTACCATCCAAAATGCGCGCAATGGCAGCTCGTATAACGAGCTATCCTCGGTACACTGGTGCGGCTTACGCTTCTGCACCTGTCGCGACCCGCAAAGCTCTCGCGAACATCCGGGCCCCGGACCAGTCGCGAGCTCCCCCACACCCGCCGCGTCCACCTGTCCCTCCACCTCCGAGCGGTTTTACGCGTACACTGCATGCAGCCCCAGCGGCATACCCTAGGGAGTTTGCCGAATCAACAGGATCGTTGGAACGCTCCTCGCATCCGTTCCGCTCGTCTGCGCCGCCTGCTACGGAGAGCAAGGAGGAGCGAAACGCCCGGATCGCTTCTGAAAAGGACGTCTGCGTGGGCCGGCGCCTGGGGGCCAACCCAAGGCAGTCCGCAAGCTCGTCAGAGCCCGCACAGTGGGTGGTGGCCGAGCGCTGGAGGAGAGATGTCCCCAGCGGAGATGGCGTCACCCTCGTCCTCACGCATGCTTGTGGACTGGACAAGTCGGTGAGTTGGTCTGAAGACTCTCCTGAGGCTGATCGTAAACAGCACTGGGACCCTGTCGTTCGCTCGCTGCTTGCACGAGACCCAAAGGCTCCAGGAGGACAGTATGGATCTGGAGATGCACTTTCAAAACCGACCAACGTCGTGATCAACGACGTGTGGCTCCTTGATGATGTCCAGCACGGGGCATCCGTCGACGTAAATGCTGGTCGCCTGGGCACGTCGTATTCGTGGATCGATATTGGTCGCGATATTATCAACTTGGTCGAAAACGTTCTGCCAAGTGTCAAAGACGACCCTCAAGCGCCATGGCAGTTGCAATGGGAAGAAGCAGGAAAGGGCACGCCTCCCATGGTCATTCTCGTTGGCCACTCGTACGGCGGCTCTGGCGTCGTCCACGCAGCACACGCACGACCGGACCTATTCCACTCCGTCTTCCTCGCCGAGCCGATGGTATGTTGTCGGACCATGTCTGTGTGTTAACATCAGGTCACTCCATCTCTTGTCAATGACCCTAAGAAGGGGTACCCCCTGACGATGGGTGCGCTGAAGCGTCGGTCCGAATGGCCGTCGCGCGAAGCGGCGAGTGCGGCCAACCGCTCTAATCCCATGTTTAAAACTTGGAATGAGGACACGTTCAAGCTTTGGCTTGATCACAGTCTTGTGCCCGTCGACCCTGCAAAGCCCGATGGTGCCGTGACACTGGCCACCCCCACTTGGGCTGAGGCATCGACCTTCTCTGAGCCATATGGGCCCCCCGCAGGATGGTCCAAGCTTCCTGAACTGCAGATACCGACCGGATTCTTCATGGCAGGCGACCCCGCATGGATGGGGGGAGAAACGGTTGCCAACGAAATGGTCTGGAGACCTCCACGCGCCCGCAACGAGCGGCTCATGGACTCGAGCCATTTGGTGAGAGAGGAACCGGCGTAGGACCGCCGTGTGGCTGACAAGTAGATGGTGCAAGAGAAGCCCACTGAGACCGCCGATGCCATCTGGAGGTTCCTCACGACTTTGGACGCAGGCGAGTGGGACCAGCCCCGAAGGGATTAGCTGCACCTACTCGCCCACCTTATCGCCATCCGGGCCGAGCACCGACGACCTATCTACCGACGCGCTCCTGGATGTGGCTGCACGTGGGCTTGAGGGCTTCAGGTGTGGCCACAGCTGGTAGTGTTAAGTCAGAAGCACGCTTCGAACCTGCCTTTGCTCTGAGGTACGCTGCACTTCCAGACTATATCCACGCTTGTTCACTGATCACTGACGATCCCGGTAACCGCCTCGTTCACCATTCAATTGACAAGCCAGGATGTGTGGTGGCCAAACCTTGCTGTACTCTTCTTTACTCATGCAGGGAAATTAGTGATCAGTGATGCCTGCCAAGGTCGATCCTGGGTCCTGGGTGAAGATGTTGACCAAAGAAATTCGGAGACTTGGCCGAACGCTTTGCCGCAAACTGACTGCGGTTTAGGTACCAATGCCCGTGTCGATATGGACCACATTAACACATTCCTGGGACACTGGCGATCCGTTACATCAAGGACAAAAAAAAACGAACAAAATGTCCCAACTCGGGGATTGACTTGCCAAGGGCCATGAAAGCAGGATGTTTCAGGACTCGTTCGAACAAACCTACCCTTAAAACCTCCGTCTATCATTTCCAAGAGTTGGCCTCATCAGCCATGCGCCACGAATCCTCCTCTCAAGTGAATGAATGCCCGCGGATGCAGGACCTACAGATGCTTACTGATGACCCATGCCGGAGCTTTCTGGCGCCTGTTCCATGCCAAGATTCCCTTGAAACGGGACTGCCCCTTCTAGGTGAAGGCCACCACGAGGTGGTGAGTCGCGTCAGGTGCTGCTGACTGGAGTGGAAGAGGGGGTGGCTTGTTGCCTCTATGTGGGGCAGCTGACTGCAGTACCAGGGAGGCAATTTTCGGGTCTCGCACTGGCCGCTCCTCAGAATGCTCAGCGTTTGAAGTGGAGCTTGTTCGGCTGTCACGCAGTCGCTTTCAGCGCCTCGTTGGCTGAAAGCCTTAACAACCCCTGCTTACCTTCCTTGCACGGAGCGGCGTGCGTCGCCTGACCTTGGGTCTCAGTATCGACCGCCATTCTGAAACAAGGTATCATCCGGGAAATCGGAGAGTGGACGCAGGCATCAGGATGATAGGCGCCACACTCACCGGCACCTAGGCAAGCAAAGTGGCGAAGTGCGAACCATGCCTCCTCCCCTCCCCACGTCGCGCATGCGTCAATTATGCATCAGGTGGGCACTCCATTTGCGCAGTCAGTGCTGGCCCCAACGCAGTCACGAGCTCAGAAATTGCCCTACTGTAGGAAAGACATATATGGCCAAGATGCACGCTGAACAGTCTGTTGTTCGCCATATCCCACAATGTCCCTCCTTGCCCTTCTCGTGGCGGCGGTGCCGGCGGCCGCCCACCTTCACCTGCAGAGCAACGCGTGCTACGGGTGAGTACCTTCGGGCAGGCTACGCTAACACGTATCAGTTACCGTAACAACAATCTCAATACCATCTACCCTCTGAGTCAAGGGACTTTTGATGAGTGGTGGTTCCACGGCTACGTCGACGACCCGCCCGCTGATGACAAGATTGTCAATCTCCCCGCTGGTGGCGTCACCACACAGTCAGTCGGCTGCTCCACTGGTACTCCTGGTCTGGACTACACCGCAGGTGTTTGCGACTCTTCGAGCGGCGGTGACGGCGGTACCACTCACGCTGTCGATGTCATGCGTACTCCTTTCGACCTCCTCCAGGACGTTCGCGGCTGCGGTATTGCTATTGCCTACGAGTCCGATGCCTCTCTCGTCCAGCCCGAGGATTTTGTCGTCATCTCCGTCAACACGTCCTGCCCGTGGCGGAGGTCGAACGACTTCCACATCCCCGCCGATCTCCCCGCTTGCCCCGAGGGTGGTTGCACCTGCATGTGGGGATGGGTCCACTCTCCCAACGCCGGTGGTGCCGCTGAGATGTACTTTAACGGTTTCCGCTGCAACGTCACTGGCGCCACCGGCACCGTCCCCCTCCCGACTGCCCAACTCGCTCGCAAGTGCAACGTTGACAAGAACAACTGCACTGTTGGCGCTAAGAGCCCCCACTACTGGTGGCAGAAGGAGCGTAACAACAACTTCCAAGGATACAGCGACCCTCCCTTTTACAACACCGACTACGGCTACCAGAATGGTGCGCAGACCGACCTCTGGGAGACCGGAGATGAGAGCCTCTGGGCCCACGAGTGCGACTGGGCTCCTGGTCCTCAGCTGTACGACGGCGCTTGGTCCAACGTCCGCGAGGTCCGTGGCGAGTGGAACGGCACTTCGATCCCCGAAAAGGTTCGCCAGAACGCGACCAACCCTGCTTCCCAGTGTGTCAACTGGACCAAGACTTCCACCTCGCTCGCCAGCACCAGCACTGCCGTCACCACGTCAGTGACTTCGTTCTACTCCACTGCCACCACGGACGCTGCTACGCAGTCCACCTCCAGCTCGTCCGAGTCGCTCTCCGCCAGCTCGTCCGAGTCTCTTTCGGTCAGCGAGTCTGCCACTACTGTTTCGCAGTCTAGCTCCACCCTTGCTACCGAAGCTTCTCAGTCGGCATCGACTTCATCGACCGAGTCATACGAGTCCGTTTACTCGTCGGCATCCTCGTCCGGCTACATCTCCGAGGCTGTCTCTTCGGAGGTCCCCGCTTCTACCACTGCCACGTTTGAGCCTTCGTCAACCCAGTCTATCTCGTCGAGCGAAACCATCGCGTCCACCACCAATTCGGCCACTTACGAGGCCCCCACCTCTGTTCAGACAACCGAGGTGCTGTCGTCGGTGGAGTCGACCTTCAGTGAGAGCGCTTCCACCGAGGCCGTGAACACGGGTTCGGGTGTGTCGGAGGAGATTGTTTCAACCGCCACCGGTGAGCCATCTGGTTTCTCGACCGAGGCCGCCTACTCGACAGCTGGTGCTGTGTCCTCTGCTGAGGCCATTTACTCGTCGGTTGAGTCTGCTACCACTTCCGCCCCGGCCTTCACCTCGGCTGTTCACTCCTCGTCGACTCCATCGTCCGCTGCCCACGCCAGCCCCTCTACCGCGAACAAGGGCAACACTGGTGGCTACAACCCTTCCAATGGCCCTAACCGTATGGGTAGCCCCAAGGCAGGCTCAGCTGTGAACGGTTGCAGCGCCGAGGAGCACCAGCCCGACCACCACTCGACTCAGCAGTCGAACTCCAAGACTCAGCAGTCGAACTCCAAGGGCCACTCGTATGGCCAGTCCAACATCCACCGCAGGCGTAGCCGCAACTAAGTGTGAGGACAGGTTCCTTAATGCATATATGAAGGAGTCTTGGAGAAGTTGCAGAGCTCGTAATGCACAAATTGTTACAGATTAAGACTACTGGCCGAGACATCGGCACTCTGGCGGCTCGCTAATGCCCTCGGACCTCCGTTTCTCACTTCTTGCCCTGGTTCGCGACGGCGGCTGCCGACTTGGCCGCCTCCTCCGGGTCGAGATACTCGCCGCCGCGCTTGAGGGGCTTCATCTTCTCGTCGAGCTCGTAGACGAGGGGGATTCCCGTGGGAATGTTGAGCGCCGCAATGTCCGTGTCCGAGATTTCGTCGAGGTGCTTGACGAGTGCGCGGAGCGAGTTGCCATGCGCCGCGACGAGGACGACCTTGTTCGCTTGGAGGTCGGGAACAATGGCATCGTGGAAGTATGGGAGCATGCGTTGGACGACGTCCTTGAGGCACTCGGTGCGGGGGATGTCGCCAGCGAGCACGGTGTAACGCGGGTCCTTGTCCTGGCTGTACTTGGAGTTGACCTCGATCGGGGGAGGAGGCGTGTCATAGCTGCGGCGCCAGAGCATAAACTGCTCGTCTCCATACGCGTCGCGCGTCTGGGCCTTGTTCTTGCCCTGGAGGGCACCATAGTGACGCTCGTTGAGGCGCCACGAGCGGTGGACAGGGATCCAGTTGCGGTCGGCCTTGTCGAGGGAAATGTTGGCCGTCTCGATGGCGCGACGAAGCACAGAGGTGTGTACCACGTCTGGAAGAATGTTGCGCTCCTTGAGCAGCTCGCCGCCGCGGAGTGCTTCAGCGCGACCCAGTTCCGAGAGGGGGGCATCGACCCAACCGGTGAACTGGTCCTTGGCGTTCCATTCGCTCTGGCCGTGACGCAGAAGGACGAGAGTGTAAGGCATCTTGCGAGATGACTGGGCGACTGACAGATGGTGCGTTGCCTTGAGCATGAAGAAAACGTGGGAAGATGCTGCGACGACAGTCTTATGAGAAAGATCTGGTAACAACGGATCATCTCCCGGCGGCAATGATGACGCAATGGCGCCATGCCCGTTTGCCCGAAGATCCTTGGTTGTCCTTGATAGCCGATTTGTTTACATCCATGTTTGACGCCCAGATGCACCACAACTGTGTGTCCCGATGGCCGCAGAGCCCAGCCCATCGGCGGAGTAAACGATGTCGGCATGTCCACTAGCTGTGACGATCTTGCGCGTCACGGGCTGTCGGTACCCACACACGTCGGGATGGGGCGTTGTCGCCCATACCATCATGGATCCAGACTGGCAACAACACCGTGTCCTTTGTACTTTAGGAGGCGTGTAATGCGGGGTGCACTGCCTTCAGATTTAGAGCTTTCTGTCCACGTCTAGGAGCCAGGGGCAACCCAACACACTACGCACATGCCGGTGTGGCATTCACAGAGAGTAATTCAGCAACATAGGTTCCTTTCACCACCAAGATGAACGAAGGAACTGCGTGGACTTTAGGGCATGGCGCCTCGATCCAATGGCCAATGGACCATACTCTTGAAAAGAAGATTGGGTGCCGATCTATGAGCTGCGAGGGGCAAGCTGCATGCATGTGCTCTTGCGCTCTTGCTTTTGCGACACCGATCTGGCCATCTGGGCCATGGAATGCTGCTGCGATGGATATCCCGGATATACCCCGGAATAGTCTAGATGACGTCAGTGCCTCGCTGCTCACGTTGATCTCGTCGGACATGCCCGGCCTATCAGTCGAAATGCCTCTCTCCTGTCTCCAATCGCCCACTCTTTCATTCTCTCCTCATCTCTCAGCTTTACATCTCACAACCATGAGGACCAGACAGCACTGGACCTGCGGAGCTTCTAACGCCCCTCGCGATCCTCCCAAGGGCGACATAAACGCCATCCCATGGGTTCCTGTTGCTGCCCGTCCACTCGTGTTTACTGGTAGGGGTACTTTGAGGTTCCAAACTCACCCCCATTAGGTGCCAAGGTCGTTGATGTCGCGGAAAACAAGATCCACAGTGACATGACTGTTGTCATTGAGGACGGTATCATAACACAGGTTGGCCCAGACACGCTCTACGCCAACCACACGTGGTCGTCCAAGCACCGTATCATGGACCTTGACGGTCTCTATCTCTGCCCGGGACTGACAGACTGCCGTAGGTGCTACATATAGGTCCAAACCTTGCCAACAGTGAGCTGACACGGTCATCAGACGTCCATATCAACATGTCCGATGGTCGCCCAGCCAGCGGCTACGTCGACCCACACCTCCGCGCGACCTATACCCTCAAATGCATGCTCGCTCGAGGCTTTACGACTGTGCGAGACGTCGGCGGCGCGACGTTCTTCCAGAAGCAAGCTGTCGAGCAGTGGCTTACTCCTGGTCCGCGTTTATTCCAAGGCGGCAATCTTTGTACGTGTATCTGTTCTAGTGGGTACTGACCTATCCAGTGAGTCAGTCTGGTGGACACGGTGACCCGCGCATGCGCGAAGCTCCGAGCTACAGTCTATGCTGCGCGCCCAATGCGGACATGTCGACTCTTGCCGATGGTGTTCCTGGTGTGACACTTGCTGCTCGAGAGCTCATGCGAAAGGGAGCCGACCACGTCAAGATCTGCACCTCTGGCGGTGTTTCTAGTCCCACCGACAAGCTGGAGAGCGTGCAGTTCAGCCCCGCCGAGATTGGCGCCATTGTCGAGGTGGTACAGGACATGGGCGGCACGCTCGTCACGTCTCATGCGTACACCAACGCCGCTATCAGGCGCGCAGTGGAGAATGGCGTCCGCGGCATCGAGCATGGAAACTTGCTTGATCGCGATACAGCCAAGCTGCTCGGTTGGTCAAATGAAATTGTACACACAGAAGCTAACCACCACAGCCAAAACTGGCACCTTCCTCACACCTACGCTCATGATTTCGACGGCCAAGGGTCGTCCGCCATGGAACGCAACTCTTCCAGACTACATGCGAGAGAAGAACGCCATGGTACGCGAGGCTGGCCGGCGCGCTATTCAGATTGCCGAGGAGGAAGGTGTTTGTGTGTGCTACGGCACCGACTTGACTGCGGGCATGGGATACCTCCAGAGTGAGGAGTTCACCCAGCGACATGGCCTCCTCCCGTCCCAGCGGGTCTTGGCCCACGCCACTATCAACGCCGCCAAGCTCGTCAACGACAGCAAGATTGGCACCATTGCTGTCGGCAACTATGGTGACTGCCTCATTCTCAACGGCAACCCTCTCCACGACTGCCGCATTCTCGACAGTGGCAAGGAGGGAATTTGGGGTGTGGTCAAAGACGGGCGCGTGGTGGTGGCCCGGCAGGACTTTGCCGAACAGCTCAAAGATGGCGTGGATGTCGTCCTAGGTGTGGACGAGGCAGAATAGACAGTGACATTTCCAAAGATTGCATGCGAATTACAGCTGCTCCCACTACTTCTTCGGTTCCTTTGCCAGACCGTCACACCTGCTACTCCTGGTTCATGATCACGATCTTGATTTCTGAGGTACCTTGAGCGACCTTCCGGGCCTTGAACGCGTCCTCGGTCTTGCTGAGGGGGTATGTCTTGCTGATGAGGGGCTTGAGGTTGACGAGGCCGCGCTCGAGGAGGTCGATGCCGTCCTCAAAGCAACCGGTCGTGTATCGGAGCGAGCCACGAATGTCCAACTCCTTTGCGGCCATCTCAAGTGTGGGGAAGCTGGTCATCGGGGCACCCATGCCGGCAGCGACGACTGACATTAGCCACTCTTTCGTACTGTAAAACTCACAGGTACCACCAGGGCGGAGGAGGGAGATGCCGAGCTGGAGGGCCGGCTCAGCGCCACTGCACTCGAGGACCACGTCGAGGCCACCATCGACACCGAGCTCGACAAGCATGTCATGTGAGACTTTGTCATTCCACTCCATGATGGTAGTCTCGAGGTTCTGTGGGCGGCGCGGGGACACAAAGCCGTCCGTTGCGGCATACTTCTTGGCAAAGTCGATACGACCCTGGTCAATGTCAAACGCGATAACCTTGCTGGCGCCACAGGCCTTGGCGACGGCCATGCAGAGGAGACCGAGAGGGCCGCAGCCAAAGACGGCAACCGACTTGTGAGTGAGGGAGCCAGCGCGGCGGGCAATCTGCACCGCAATGGCGAGTGGCTGGATGCATCCGGCCTCCTCCCACGAGAGGTTGTTGGGGATCTTGACGGCGTTGACGGACGGGAGGGCGTACCACTGACACAACGAGCCGTCAGTCGGCGGCGTCGCAAAGTACTTGTCGCGCGCGCAGTAGCTGGGGGGGGGGGGGGGGGGGGGTCAGCTTGTGGGCAGGTAGAAGACTGGGACTTACTTGAACTGGCCAGCACGGCAGAAGCGGCAAGTGCGGCACGGAAGAGCGGGTTCCATGGCGACACGGTCCCCAGGCAACACGTCTGTGACGTTCTTGCCACACTTGTACACGATGCCACTGGACTCGTGTCCGAGAACGAGGGGCTTGTGGATCACACGGGATCCGACGCCACCCTTGAGGTAGTACGTCAGGTCCGTACCACAGCTGGAGTCGTGTCAGCGCATCGAACCTCATCATTGGGATCTTTGGGATCTCTGGGCCGATAGGATAAGGTGAACGAGTCGCGATGTGAACTTACATGCCGGTAGACATGACCTTGACGAGGACGTCATTGGGACCAATCTCAGGAATAGGACGGTCCTCGAGCACAACGGTCTCCTTGCCGGTGAGCACGACATTCATGTTCATGCCCATGGGAGTGTCGTCGGCGTCGAGCTGGAGAGTCGGCTTGCGACGGATTGGAAGATGGGGCCAGGACGTGTCCATGGTGAGCTAGGTTTATGGGGGGGTCGGCGGGGTTGAGCGAGCAGGGGATAGTGATCGACAGCGGGCAAGCTTTTCAAGCTAGTGGTTGAAAAAGAGGATGGATATGAAGGGTTGTCCTGTGGAGTCGGGCCTCATGTTCACAGCAGGGTGCTCGATAAATAGGAGGCTGTATCGCAAGCGACGAACGACGTTGTCGGCGCTGCTGGTGATGTCACTGCCTTGCTGTTTCGGCAAAACGCCACTTTTCTGAATCTGTCCGCACAACCTTGTCATCAGGATCTGAATGCCAAGGAACCTTTTGACGGAGGGGCCGGTCGGTGAGTGAATTCAGATCCTTGTGGGTACGATAGCTTGAGCTGCGCGGCCTGCTTGGTGTTTCCCGGTTGGGAGTCTTTATCGCGCAACGACGTCAACGGGGTTTGCGGTGCCGTGGTCATCACCGACGCCACCCTCCCACGTCTCCATTGTGGCCCATTTCACCGACAGTGACGCCGTATGGCCGTAGATCCGTGGCCTAGATCGCCAAGTTGGGATGCACACACACACACGTCAGCATGCGGGCCGTTGTGGGCCAGATTCATGTGGAAGTGGATTTCCAGATAGGTGACTACATCGACACTTGCATCACATCAGCAGATCAGCCATTGCTGCTGTGAGTGGGGAGGGAGTAGACTCGTATTGTGAGCTGTGCTTTGGCTGCACCTTCTCAGCTATAGCCAGCTAGCATGTATCACAGCCGTTCGCGTATGGCATCCATTCAATGGAGCGCTCCATTCATAGCCCCCACTCTGCACTCTCCCATTTCCGCTGTTCAGTGTTGGCATCCGCGGGGGCTCTAATGTCCGCCAGCGGGCGGAAACATGTTGCTCTCTTAGAGCATATGCTGCTAGATAGACCTGCGGATGCCAGAGGGAGAGAGCCCATTGATCCATTCAACCTGTTCCTTGCACACTGCAACACGCTCGTTATTGGGACCCCGCTCGTTGGCTTATCAGCGCAAACCATGTTTCAACCGCTGGGGATTGTGGCTGGGTGACTGTCCGCAGTGTCCCCGACACCAAACCTCCATACCTTCCTTCCGAAACAGATCACTTGGCAGCAACGATGGCGATGTCGCTAGGACTTGTTACATAATATATATTTCTCACCAACAAACCCGCGCGTCAAAGTTGGATGCCGCCGACCTCCGACGGAGACTCGGCAGCTGTGTCGGCCTAACCAGCTTAACAAACGAGGACCCTCACTCGGCAATCATAATTGCGCGTCCGTGGGACGTAGGGACACCTTTTTTTGAGCTTGCTTTCACCGAGCCTCCCATCCTCCGACGATCTCGGAAAAGGCCGCGGATCAACGTCGTGCGACCCCCCCGGTATCAGCATTCTCCGGGGAGACTGTTCTTCGTCGTATGCTAGAGCTTCATGGTGACAATCGAGAATTGCAACCGTTTGGGGCTGTGATAACGGTCCATTTGAGGTATGTAACGAGACGAGGGGGAACGGAAAGGAGGGCGTGGCGGACTACCTACACACACCCGTGGTGCTGAAGTCGAGCCGCACTTGTATCCAACGGATCCTCACCTACCTCCTGCCACCCACGAGTTGAAGAATTTACATGGCCCGCTGCGTCACTCCCTTTGCTCAGTTTGCGGCGTCAGTGGATAGACTTGTAGAACACGTATGCGGAGAAAACAGAATAAAATGCCGCAATGGTGATTCTGGCAGCCCAGAGTACAGGCTAAACGGGATGCGAGGATAGATTGAGAGTACGTAGAACCTATAAAAGCGTAGACTGTTCATGAGGGTCGTGTGGAGTGTCGGCGGTACCCTTTGTGTAGAGACGGTGGTACATACCCTTTGTGGCGAGGCGTTGATCAAACAGCCCGTTTAGATTGGTGTCGGGAAATCGGATACGGGCTTGTACGCTACGAGGTCGGCCTCGAGTTGTTGGGCGATAAGCATGTCCATCTCCGCACAGGTCACTGGAACATAGGATGCGAGGTGGGAGAGTACCTGCTCGAGAGCGTACACGTCCACCGGTCCAGTCTCGATCGCCACCTGGTCCGGCACGTCCTCGCTCGAGGTTTCGGAACCCGTGTCGTCGTCGACGGCTGCGACGAGCGAAAGACCTTCCACCGCAGACAGCAGGTCGGCTGGTAATGCAGCTCCCTGTCGTGGTGTCTCGAGTCCTTCCACTCCCCCGTCTTGGAGGGTCGTCGGTAGCCGCGTGAGTGGACGGTTGTAATTTAGATTGGCGATTCGGACGACTGCGGCCATGCCATAGTTGACAAACGTCTGCAAAGTCTCCGAGTCGAGCTCTGCGGGCAGATCCGCCGCAACATGTGCGTCTGCCGTGTCTCTCCCCTCTACCGAGCCATGCACCACTGCCGGGTCCGTAGGGTATTCGATCTCGCGGCTTGTGGTGAACGAAAGCGGTATGCGCTCGTAGGCGGATGATGACGTGAAGAGTGCCTGGTAGGGCAACCCCATCCGCTCAAATGGTGGTCTGTCCGTGGTGCTGTATCCGTCTGTGGGGGGCAGCTCAACTGCAATACGGTTGGGCGCCAGGACGTAAAAGCGCAGGAAGCGCGTAGCGATGATGGCTGAGCCGTAGACGGAGCCGCACATTTCGTGGAGGGCAAGGAGGTGGAACAGCGCCTGTGCGATGCCATTGCGTGCAACAACACCAATGTGGCCATGCATGCGGTGGTCAAGATCTTGGCGCGCTGCAGCGGAATTTGCTTTCTCAGACAGACCGATAGGCTACAAGGCATGGGTTAGCTTGGTGATCCCTTGAGGACGCAGCAAAGGTGGAGCCGCAAAGGCCGACACCGAGACATGCCAAGCACGAGCCACACCACTCACGATTCCTTCGTCTCGTAAGAACGCGCCACCGGCGTGGACAGCCACGAGGCGCTCTGCTGGAGTCAACTCCAACCACGTTGCACGGTCGAGGCTGTACTGGATGTCGCGGCCGTAGGGCCCTTCGAAAATGTCGACACCGCCTTCCATGACGGTCCACCATTCTTCCGACCTTGGGTCGGGGGTCATGGGCGACGGCGGTGGAGTGGGCGGTTCGTCGTCGTGGACATGCATCAACCGGGTCGTCGCCTCAAACGTGATGGACATGTCCTCGAGGTCTCGCCAGCTCGTACTCAAGTCCTTGGGCAATTCAACGTGGGCTCGAGCGAGGCGGAGCGCGCGGTAGAGCTTGTATGCCCTGCAACGCTTGAACGGCGGACCACGCGCCGCGCGCATGCATGTGAGCTCGGTGTCACTGGTCGGCGCAAAGTACAGGTGTTCGTCTCCACGTAGATTGGCTAGAGCAGGCGACAGAGCAGTGTCGGCGGTGCGTGCCAGTCGCCAGTCGTCTTCCGTGACGCTCCCACACCACTTGCAGATTGCCCGTTGGATTGCGCCGCACAACTCTTCCAACTCGTGCTGGACCATGCTGATAGCTTCACATGCATCCTGCATCGAGAGCAGGCCGCGTTGCTGCTGGCGAAACTTGAGCACCAACACGTCAAAGGCATGGGGGTGCTCCTTGGCGAGCTCGGAGACTGTGATGGAAACGGCATCCGGCGTTGCGCCATTGCCACATCCCAGGGAGAGAAACGAGCTCGCAGGAACAGACGGCAAGGACACTACGAGTGGTCGTATCGAACGCCTGGAGGGCACTCTCACCGACATGTCTGTGGTGGCGGCCAGGTGGTGCGAGGGTGTGTGCCCGTCTAATGCAGAGTTGGTGCACTGGTGGGGTGTGAAGTCACGAGAACGAGGAGTGAAACTTGTGGACACGAAAGACACGCGAGGCATGTATGGCCGGCGCCAACCGGGAATCCCACTTCGCTGCAGCAACCTCTGGCGAGGGCATGACGGCATGCAGTCTCCAACAGAGCCAGCGGGGACAAGGAACTCTGTACCATCAGCTGGTGCCAGTGCCAGTGTCAGCGCCAGTTGTCCCGAAAGGCACCCGCACTGCAACTGAAACCGGCCAACGCCACAGAGATCATTGTCCGGCCGTCACATGCGCTTCTTCTTCGTTCTCGGCCTCGGCCCTCCACGACGGCCTCTCGAGAGACAGGAACTGCGCAACCCCAACCGCCCATAACCGGATCCAGAGTTGTTGTGATGGGCCTTGAACCCTAGTGGATCATGTCAAGTGTCTTCCAGACCAATGTGAGGAGGGAAGGAATGGTGCAGGACCATGCCGATATGCCAGAACACCCTCCGCCCACCCGCAACCCAGTGACCGACCGCGCAGAGCACACCACTCCCTCTCGGCTCCAGCTTGCCAGCCATCCACAAGCGGCACCATCTGTCTCCGACAGTAGCGTTCAATGTCGGCGTCATTAGAGCCCAATACCGCCCTGGCGGAGTCGTTTATCTCGCCACCTCTCGTTATCGGGCTGCACCCAACGTACGGTAAAGCCCGCTCTGATGTTGTGGATCGCAAAAGCGGCACGCGTGTAGTACGACATGCACTGACAGGGAACAACACTTGGACCGAACACGGGGCTGACCGCAAAGCTGACCGTCAGGGGGAACAAACAAGTCTCGCACCACACTCCACTTGCTCGCTTGCCGTTTGGGGCTGCCGGTCCAACCACACACAGAACTGACATTACGCATGTCACTACTCTCCTCGTCTGTCGCGAACAAGGGCCATGAAACGGTTCTCGGGCAGCCGAGCATATGGTGTCTAGGGATTGTTCCTGATACCCGCTGGACGAGACCTAGGCAGGCCCACCGGCCTCAACGCGCATGTCGAAAGAGCTTCACTGAAGGCGAGGGAGACAATACCTGCAAAGTGTGGCGAGCGTGCTGTTTTAGCCGCCGATGCACAGACTTGAATGAACGCGTCAAGTAGAACGGAACCCCGCGTCTCCGACAGTGGCGATGGTGTCTGCCACTTAGGCATGAGGTGAGGCACTACTATGACTTCCAGCGGAAGGAGAGGCAGTGGACGGATCCAGAAAGTGAAATCTTGGCACCACTCCGTTGAATACCTTGGCGGCCCATGACTTCTGGCCGTCAGTAAGCCTGGGGACCCGAGGAATGGACGGGGACAGGTCGATCGGAGATGGTCCAATGTCATGCATGTGATCGTGAGCTTTTGGGGTATCGAGACAAGTGTCCATGTTGGGTGTAAGATAAGTATACAGCGCGCCGCGGCCAATGAGATAGCAAGCCCGTGGAGATTTACTTTTGGTCGAGGTCAGCGGATTGCTTTCGCACCTGGCGTCCCAGGGTTACTCACGTCGTCCCACTGGTGGCACTTCCAGCATCCGGGGGTGATGGCACGGTGGAGGTAAAAGAACATCATGCTGTGTGCAGGTGAGCCTTGGCGCTGAGAAACACACTTTCGCGGCATTGATGTACACTTACTCGCCAAAGACGTATGTGTTGGGACCCTTGCCATAGTGCTGGTCGTCGTCGTAAAACTTGTCGTATCCCTCCAGCTTGCCTCCCCAGGTGAACAGCCTCACGGCCATTTCCTTGGCGATAGCACGGCAACCTTGGTCGAGCTGGAAGATCCTGAGCACCTTGAAGTGGTCGTGTTGCAGGCGCAGCTGACGCGTACGGAACATGAGGGGCAAGTCTGAGCCAAAGAGGCCGCGCATGAATTGGATAAGCTCGCGCACGCGGCCGCGGTGCCAGGCAATCTCATTCCAGAGGTATCCGTGGGCCTCGCCGACGTCCTTGTTCAAGCGGCCCCTCTCGATGGAGAGGAACTGCACGGTCAGCTCTGACCTGATAAAGAGGAGGACTCACAGCGTCATCCCAGAACAGCGACGAGACGACCGAGAGGGAGACCTTGCGGCCGCCAAAGCCGGCCTCGCGCATCTTGGGAAGCATGACCTCGTTGATGCGGTTCTCAAACGTGGCCGGCTTGGCCTCTCCCTCGGGCCATCCACCCTCCGAGTCAACCATGCCATACCTGTGTGGTCAGATGGACGCTCATGGCCAAGGTGAGTCTGTTGGCGGCGAACAGGCAAGATGGGTGAAAACTTACATGAACCAGTTCATGACCAACAGGTCAAGACGCTCGACGTAGCAGAGCCCCCCCGTATGCCCGCCCCATGGCTCCTTGCGGCCGCCGATAATCTCACACAACTGCTCAACCTGAGAGAGAGAGTCAGCAACGGCACTGGCGACGGTGTTGGCGACAGGCAATCTGCAGCAGGTGTCTGGAGCCGATGCAGGTACTGACATTGTTTCGGTCATCTGCAGCGTCAGTACGAGGCGTCTCTGGTGGGGCGACTCACGACTGGTAGGAAACAGATGGACCGAGGGAGAAGAGAAAGAAAGCATTGTTTAGTACGATTGTAACAGCAGTTGTATGGTAAGCTCACCTCGAGCCTGTGATAAGTGTCAGCGCGCTGGCATTCCCAACAACCCATGCGCCCCCGACAGTGCCGCCCTCGTGACAGCGACCTCGACCGCGCAACCGCACTCACCAACAAAGATCACGGTCCTGTTACGCATCCAGTCCCACGCGTCGTCGTGTCGCTCAAGACGAGCGGTGTACTGTTCCGGAGCGTTCTGCCAGACCTCGGGGGGGATGGTGTCGTTGAGTGGCAAGTGGAGGGCGTCGGGCATCACCTCCCACTGGTACTTGGCGGTGGGGAACGGCATCCAACGCGTCTCGTTGTCGTTGCCGTTCTTGGACCAGTGGAGCATGCCTGGCTGGACGAACGGGTCGGAGGGGCAGTGGGCGGGGCATGACGAGCTCTGACCGACGGAAGACTTGACCACGGCCACTGCAGCCTCGTACGTGGTCGCGACCAGGGGGCTAGGTTGCCTGTCAGCAAGAATGACGAATGGAGTCGAGATATGACCTACCGCTCTGAGAAGACGAGCTGGGAGTCGAGGATAAGGGAGACCAGGACGACCACACCAAGGACGGTGGCCAGTGCCAGCACACCCCTTGGGCGAGGCAACGCTGTTGATGGGTTCATGCCGGAAGGGGGAGGTTCTGAGGGTTGGATCAAAAGACTCGTTAAGAGGAGAGTAAACCGGAAAACACGAGCTGTGTGCACATGCAACTCGAAAGCGCGCCAGCGCGTCTCGCGACGTTCCAACACGGGTACCATACATGGAACACTGTGCCCCGCCCGTCCTGGCCGATGGGGGGTGCGCGAACCCTCAATCGGCCGGTGATCCACAGACAAGGGCGGGGGCAAGGCCAGTCACGGACGTGGCCTTTCGTCTTTGGCCGTACAAAGCAAGCACCCTGCACAACAGGCATTGGCGGTCCAGACTGTGTATCCAGTATAGATTTGGCCACGTCCCTCCCCCCTGGAGGCTGCAGGCAGGACAGTGCAGGGGAGGTACCAGAGGAGATGGCAAGCGCTGGGCCCCCGTTATCCGCAGTGTGCCACGGCCCGACCAAATTCGCTTTTAGCAACGCGTCGTCCAAGCCTCTGTTGCGTGGCACCTCTGGCCTTCTGCCGTCCCTTTATTGACCATCTACACACTACGCAGCATGTTCAAAAGCCTTTACCGGGCACTGCGGCCGGAAACAGGCATTGTAAAGACTTGTCCAGGCAGCAAGACAGAGAGAGGTACAGAGGCCAGAGGCCAGAGGGGGAGCGGCAGAGCAGCATCTGGAAAGTTGCCGTGGTCAGTTATGCTTGGCAAACGTCAAGGGGGGAATTCAGGTCCTCCTAGGTCTCCTAGGTGTCTCTCCTTTGAGTGCAGTTGTGCAGAACCTTTTTTTTTTTATTTCTGTGGTTGTGTGCGCGCGACCTTTGACCTGGGGCCCGCTGCGCGTCTATTGCTTGCATTGCAGACGCCCGAGCGCGCAGGTGGCACCGCACGCGCTAGTGGTGCGCCAGGGCCACCACTGCTACCTGGCCTTTGGTGAGGCACCAAACCGCAATTGCAATTCAAACCCATGGTGTGCCAAGCATAAAGGCTATACACGGCGAGAGAGTGCCCAGTAGGTGCCCGTGGACCTCATCCAGGCGAGCCGAGAAAGTGTCGCTGCATGTTATGTACAGTACCACACTCATGAGTCAGGCAAGTGGCCAAGTGGCCAAGTGGACCCCTCGGGAGTGTTTTTCTATCCCTGTCCTCTTGGTCAGGACATTGCAAGGAGAACGGGTTGCAGCGAGTTGCTGTACGCTGTTCTACCCCGCCCGTGCCCGTTTGAAGAGACGCCACAGCCAAAAAAAAACGCGCGTGCTACACGGGCCGTTCACCGCGTCACCGCCTCGGGATCTCGGGTCCCGCAACTGGAAATGGAGATCTCTGAATGGATCTGAATATCTGGCGCAACGCACACCCCGCGCAGCCAGCAGCAGCTCGGGGGTGAGCGCTGTTTCAAAAACTGTCTCATACACGGGATCAAAAAAGCCGCTGGCTGGCTTTTGGGCGACATGCATATGGTGAGTGGGGGGATGAGAGATATGCATGCAGAGGCAAACAAACGGCGGTTTGCATCTCTCTCTCTCTCTTCTTTGCTGGAGAGATGCAACAGCAAAGCATCCTCAGCTCCACCCGTTTTAACGGACGGAGGGGCGGCATTAGGGAGATGGTGACTCGTTTGAACTCCAATCAGACGTAATTACATTACAACAACGCTTCCCTCTGCACGTATCAGACCAGCTTGGACGCAAAGAACAGGCTGTCCAGCATGCCATAGTCCTTGTCAGCAGGCTTGCCGAGGTTGACGCTGCCCACAAGCTCATACCCCAGTGCGTCTGCCGCTCCAAGCAGCTGGCACACGAGCAGGCGCGAGTTGGCAATGTCAGCGTCAGAGCTGCTTATCCACGGGGAACCTGAAACGTCAGCCACGGCAATGTGTTGAGCCTTCCTCAACTCTACCCTTGAGCTTGAGCTGGTAACACCCGAGTTCCTTGTCGGTTTCTTCTTGGATGCCCTGGTGCCAATGGTGCATGGCGTGGTGGAACGCCTCGCGGACCAGATCGTTCGGAGAGTCGATGAGGCGCGCCTTGTCCCAGTGGTTGAAGCTGACGCAGAACATGGACCGCTCGACCGGAACAGTGTTGCGAAAGAAGAGCGTGTCTTGGTCAACCGTCTTCTTGGTCAGGTCGCACGAGGCGACGAGATGCCAGCCCTTGGTGTACATGAGACGGATCAGGTGGAGAACCAGGCGGCGTGCTGGGACCGACTGTTCTTGCAGGCCGACCCCTCGTGGCTGTCAGTCCTTGCCGGTCTGTCTGTATGACGCTGTACGCTGTCATTCCCTGCTCACATGGCCGGCCAGAGAGCTTCCATTCAAAGCCACTCTCAAACGGCGCCTCCTTCTGGATACCCTTTGGCCAGGCATTGTTAATCGCCTCACGAACGGGGGGAATGTATTCGGCCGGAAACCCAAGGACGCGCACTCGGTCTTGGCGGGAAAGGAGGATACACGCAAACGTGAGGGGAGGTTGTTGCTTGCCATCGACCGGATGGGCACTGCTGCCCTGTGGGGGAGGGATATACGGAGGTGGGTGGTCGTGATTGTCTTGCTCGTCTTGCTCGTCTGACATCATGTCAGCAAGGTTGTTGTTCAAGTCGCCCTTCAGGGAGCTCATTGTCGTTGGCGCTGCGGATGACCAAAATCGGGCCAGCCCATGCTGGGTTTATGTAGACGGTAATGTGGTACACAGCCCCGATGGAGCCGGGCGACCTGCTATAGCACAGAGTAAAGATGGCAGGTGTAGAGGACAACAATGAGTGCGCACGTGTGTAATCTAAGCGAGCTCGGCTGCCTCGGCGACTAGAAGCTGACGTATGTACACGCGCACGCTGCGCAGCATTGCGACATGGCTGCGGTCGTCAGAGACGTTTGACCTGGGCCGCAGGTCCCTGCTGCCGTTGACACATTGCTCATCTCTGCTGCCCCCATGGCTCGGGGCTCCAGTCTACTCACTGCCACCACTGGTCGCTGTGTGCGGTTTGTGATATTCTGTAGCCCTCTGCGGAGCTCGTTCAACACCCCTCAGCGGGCACCCCTGATGCACATGCAGCAATCAGGGCACCAGTGCGCCAGTGCTGTTATTCATGACCGACGAACTGCGAGGCAAAAGGGTCCATGTTGGTGGAGGCAGTCTCACCCGTCGTGACCGATGGCTGCTTGCGACAAGCAAAGAGGATCCATAGGGGCAGGGCAGTAGACATGGGGTCGATCTGTGTGAGCAGTCATCTTGGCTGACATGGTCCGCACGGCGACCGCCACAGACATTCACTTGGAAGATACATATATACACTACGGTTTACTGCTTGTAGTCCTCGCCACTCAAGGCATCAATCCACTCGAACAGCTCTTGGGCCTGCCTAAAGGCCTCGTCCTCGGACCCGGCCTCCCTGAACACGGCATCGACTTGATCGTCGGTGAGCACGGCGGACCCGCCGGCGGCATCGGCTGCCAGCTGAGCCTCACAGAGCTTTTCGAGGCGGACAAAGTACGCGACGGCGGCGTCAACCGTGCCCGCGGCAGTGAGGATGCCGTGGTTCTGGAGAATCACACCTTTGCCGTGCGGGCCAAGGGCCTTGCAGATGTTACGGCCCTCCTCGTCCGAGAGGACCACCCCGCCAAAGTTGTCATACAGCTTGACAGTGTCGGCATATTGTGCTCCCTCTGGGCAGGTGTCAGCGTGCAAGAGGAGGCGGGTGGAACGCACCATAGTTTGAAATGTCAATGTTACGGCCCAAGGCGCTGAACGTGCGGCCGTAGAAACTGTGCGAGTGGGCGGCGGCGTGGATGTCGGGACGCGTCAGGTGGATGCTGCTGTGGATCGCAAAGCCGGCCGCATTGTACAGCTGTCCGTTGCCCGGCTTGCCGGTGCCCTCCAGGACGTCGCCCGAGTGTGGGTCAATGAGGAGAAGGTCGCTGCAGGTGATCTGGTCAAACGGCAAAGCATAGGGATTCACCCAGAACGCGCTGGGGGACGGTCAGCTGTGGATCGGGCTGGCTGGTAAGAGGGCGGGAATGAAGGTCTCCCACCGGCACCAGGGGGGATAGTCCGCGTACCCTCTCCTCCAGCACGTACTTTTCGTTGATGGGGTCACGGACACTGATGTGGCCCGCAATGCCATCGTCGTAACCCAACTCTGCGAAGATGCGAAACGCGCCAGCCAGACGCTCCTTGACCGCTTGGCGCTGCGACGACGTCAATAACGTGGAGACCCATACCACGTAGATTGACATACCTCGGCGAGCTTGTCGGGGTCCACCCCACGCAACGTGAGCACGGGGGTGGGTTCTGTGATTGTCTGGGTTACAGTAGTGGCCATAATGAGAGGGGTGTGGTGTTGTGGAACGCATGTCATGCCGCAAAGTACATGTATAGCTGATTGCCCACTAGGCGTTTCGGACATGACCTCGGTCGGCATTCATCCGGGATTCCGGGAACCCAGTTGACCGCGGCCATGTCCGGGACCGGTCATGACCGTGAGATGTGGGCACGCGAACTACGTTTTGTACTCTTTGCTCAAAGCGTGCAGCTGTGCAACACTCACGTCCACCCTCCCCATTCTGTCACACACCATGGCCACTCTTACTGTCCCCCCAGTCACCACGAACACGCGCGGTTTCCGCCGTCCAAACCCTCCCACCTTCACCGTATGCCCAACTCACAACTTGCCGATATCTTGCTGACGAGATGCCAGGACGATGCCATCAAGGCGCGGTACCAGAAGGGTTCTCTCGCGCTCGCTGCACGTATCATGGACATGAACGGTTGGGGAGTTGGCTGCTCGATTGGTCTGTCTGCGCGGGACGCTGTCAACCCCAACGTCGTGTGGGTCCTGCCCCGTGGCAAGCCGCTCGTCACGATCGTGAGCCAGGACCTGATCGGTGTCGACCTGGCCACGGGCGATATTGTGGACGCTGGAGCTTCTGGCAAGAAGGATTGTACGTGGCTGTGATACCTATGTGCTAATCACCGCAGACGACGCGCTGTACGTGGCCGTCCACTTGGCAATCTACAACGGGCGACCCGACGTGAACGGTATCGTCTCGGGCCACACTCCCTACGGCCGTGTCTTTAGCACGCGCGGCGAACCGCCCAAGATTCTGTGGCAGGACTCGTGTACTTTTTACAAAAAGGTCAATGTCCTGCCATTCAATGTTGGTCTCGAGGCAGCCAAGAACCCCCAGGCAGTGGTGGACGCACTCAAGGACGGCAAGGGACTGGTGATGCAGAACCGCGGTCTCCTCACATGCCAGGGGACCATTGAGGGTGCGCTTGCCATCTACCTTCGTCTCGAAAACTTGACGGGTGGCCAGACAATCGTCGAGGCGGCGGTCAAGGGCCGCGGCGGCGAGCTCACATATGTTGGCGACGAGGAGGCTCAAGTGAGTCGAACGCAGTTGACTAGCTGGACTAACTTGAACCCAGTTTACCCAGCGCGCTGTCGGGTCTGAGCACCATGCGTGGGCGATGGGTCTGCCGAGTTACTGGAGGATCACCAAGCGTCTGGGTCTGGACTCGTACACCATCTAATTGTTAAAATGCCATGCGGTCGGAAGTCTGAGCATTGAGCTGCGCCATCGTCCCTCGACCCTCCCTTCTCGTTAGGAATGTTAGCTGGAGAGACTCTTACATGTTGAGTGTCTTCGTGAAGAGCTGGGGCTCCAGGCGCCCCGGCTCGCTTGACCGTTTCGGATCAAACTCCGTGTTATCCCATCCCTGCCACCCGTGTCCCATGCACCACTTTCAACCTAGAACCTGTAGGAGTGCTCACGACCCCGCGGCATGCTCTCAATTAAGCTCCAAGCTGCAAGACCTGGTCGTGTGGGGCTTTGGCCGCGTCGGCGACAACCGTCGGGCAAGCGGGCAAGTCCACTGTTGCGCACAACGCGCTATGGCTTATCACAGCCAAACTGTGTTGCTCTCAACCTGTGCCGTCTTGCTCGGATCGGCACCAATGGGCCAAGGGGGCCGACTGGGAGCCTGGATCGATGAATCCAGGCTCCCACCGCTGCAAGCCAGCTGCAAGCCAGCTGCAAGCCAGCTGCAAGCCCACATTGCGTCGTTTGCCCGGTGCGGGCAGCGTATCTCGACCACAAGTGGCCTCGCCAGCTTGACTGCGGGCACTGACGACGAGTACATAAGAGCCACCTCTCCCACTATCTCACCTCCATCAGTATCACATCCCTTACCATGCCTGTCGCCACCACCCCCACACGCTCCGACGCCGAGTTTTGGAAGATTGCCGACTCGAAGCTGATCCGCTACGGCGGCTCGTGGTCCAATGTCCGCGTCAAGAGTGCCAAGGGTGCGGTCATGTTTGTGAGTTTGATCGATCCAGAGCGGTTCCATGAGCTCAACAGAGCAGGACCAGAACGGCAAGCGCATCCTGGACTGGACCAGTGGTCAAATGTCCTCGGTCCTTGGCCAGTAAGTGGCGCCCCCAAGCGGTACTGTAACGCTGCTGACGCCACGCAGCGGCCACCCCGAGATCTGCGACGTTGTGGACAATTACATGCGCAACCTCGACCACCTATTCTCAGCCATGGTCGCGGACCCCATCGTCGACCTCGCCGATGCCCTCACCAAGCTCACGCCTCCGGGGCTCGACCGCTGCATGTTCCTCTCAACTGGCAGTGAGACCAACGAATGTGCCCTCAAGCTCGCAAAGATGTACACGGGTGGCCACGAGATTGTCTCGCTCAGCGCCTCATACCGTGAGCTCCGTTTCAGATGACACGGCTGACCTCCAAGACGGCATGACCCATGGCTCGGGCGCGGCCACGTTCTCAGTAGGCCGCAAGGGCTACGGACCCCAGCTTCCTGGCAACTTTACCCTCTCGGTCCCGTATGCCTACCGCTCGCCCTTCCGTCACGAAGATGGAAGCTACGACTGGCAGACCGAGCTCGACTATGGCTGGGACCTTATCGACCGCCAGAGCTGCGGTGCACTCGCTGCGGTCATTATCGAGCCCATTGTCAGCACGGGCGGCATCATCACCCTGCCTCCGGGATACATGAAGGCTCTGAAGAACCACTGCGAGAAGCGCGGCATGCTCCTCATTGTCGACGAGGCGCAGACCGGCATGGGCCGTACTGGCGGTGAGTTGGACCATGTACACGTCTGACTCGTTTCCAGACATGTTTGCTTTCGAGCACGACGGCGTCGTTCCCGACATCCTCACCCTCTCCAAGACCCTCGGTGCCGGCCTTCCTCTCGGTGCGACCATCTGTACCGCCGAAATTGAACAGGTGTGCCACGACCGCGGCTTCTTCTACTACACCACCCACCTCAACGACCCCTTAGTGTGCGCTGTCGGCGCCAAGGTGTGCGAGATTGTCGTCCGCGACAACCTCAAGGACGAAGCGGCGCGCAAGGGCAAGGTTCTCAAGGACGGTCTCCTGGCCCTCCAGAACAAGTACCCCAACATTGGCGACGTCCGCGGCCGCGGCCTCATGTTGGGTATCGAGATTGTAGAGGACCACGAGCGCAAGACACCGGCAGACGCTCTGGGGACAAGGATCTCGGCACGCTGCATGGAGCTGGGCCTCAGCTGCAACGTCGTGCAGCTGGTCGGGATGGGTGGAACCTTCCGTATCGCGCCGCCCCTGACCATCACCGAGGACGAGATCCGCGAGGGTCTGGCCATCATGGACAAGGCGTTCGAAGAGTGTCTCGCGGAGCGTGCCAATGGGGTGTAGAGGGAGCAGTAGGAAGTATAGAAGCAAATGGAAAGACGGAGAGACAGGTGTGAGTGGTGTTATGTAGGTAACGGTGCATGCATGGGAGTAGATTAAGGTGCGGTGACGCAAGTATACACCAGTGACGATATAACCCCCTCAGTCATAACCCCCTCAGTGATGATATAACCCCTTCCCGGGGTTATTCTCGCTCGCTGCGCTCGCTCGCAGTGGTAGCCCGACTCGGTGAGTAACGGAACTCACTTAGTGTCGGGTGGCAGCCGACAGCACAGCTGTTTTCACCTCATACCATGTCGATAGGGCGATGACCACGGCGTCTCAATGTATCGGCATCGTCCCCAGCTGGAGGATGTCGTGCATACAACAGATCGTGCGGCAGCATGATCAGCGGGACGATCGGGCACTTGATCGGATGAAGAAGGGGACATCGGAACACCTGTTTTCACCGGCCATCATGCAAATGGGTAGCCATCATTGATGCTGGTGAAGTTACACTGCCCCTCCACTGCCTCTGCAGACTTTCCCCATGGCGCAATGGGTGGAAATGATAGGAATGGTGTGACAAGTGCGGTAGACTATGGCTGAACGAGTCGAAAACGGGGACTCATGGCCGATAGAACACCTAGCGAGACTCGTCATGTCGTGAGTGTCACCACCGAATGCATGGTCCTCGGAAGATGGCCCACCCGCGCTGCATACCCGGTGTTCACGCATGCAAGATACTTGTTGATCTTGGTCCAAAGCACTTGGGGGTGAGGCTGGATGGCCATCGACTGGATGACCGTGGCCAACCTTGTGAGCTTGTGACCAAGTTGGAGTTGACTAGAGTCCCCGTCTGTACTGTACGTGGCAGTACACGCTTTCAAAGTGAGACACTGTTTGGCGGCTGTTGTGGCCCATAAGCTCCCGCGGTTGGCCGTTGGCCCAGGTATTGTGTGCGATATACATACCCTTGCCTCCATGCATATCCACGCAGACCAGAGATGGCACAACGACCGCAGTGTCGCTTTTTACGGTGGTACGGTGGCAGATGGACTATTTGGTTACTGTATGTACAGCTGTACAGTGACGCACAGTCTTGCTCCTGTGGCTGGCTGCTCCTCCAACCACTTGTGGCGACTGGGCTCGTGGCGGATCTTGACTGCCACAGTCCGACCATGTACCCGACAGTCTCGAGCTCTTGGCGTACCCAGGTCTGTTGGTTTGTGTCTTGAACAAGACGCATGTAATGGCGGTGTTTTGTACGCACCAGTGGCTCGGAGCGTGGTACAGCTGGAGGGTGGAGGACCTGATCAGCGCTCATGTGTGTGTGTCCTGCGTTGGAGGGTTGACTAGACAGTCATTGCTGCTGCTGTCGCCACCCACTTGTCGCTGTTATTCTCTCAGCTCACCCCACCACCCTCCGTGACCATCCCACAATGGATCGGTCGGTAACCTCGGCGATACCTACGCCCCAGTCACCACTCCCACCACCGGTCGCTGAGGCTCCCAGCGCTCAACTGGGTGCGCATCTCTTGTTCCCTTCCCCCGCCGGCCCTTCTCTCCGTCCCCATCCCGCGGAGCTCCCAGATGTATCCAGTGAGCCCTATACCATAGTCCGTTTACCGAGCTCACAATGTGACCATCCCCAGTTACTCTTCCCCACCATCGCCTCCGCCTCCCACCTGTATTGGGTGAAGAGCTCGACTTTCGGCAAGCCAGCACCCGCGAGGTGGGTCCTTTTTCAACGGATGCCATACTGACTTTGCCAGGTCCGTGACCACTGCCTCAAAGCAATCCTTCTCTCCTCCAAGACAGAGCGCCACGCCAGCCTGGTCCAGCTCATCGACTTTGATCGGGAGCGGAATCAGGAGTGTGCTATCTCGCTGGACGGTGCTTCTTCCGTAGGTGACGACAGAGGGGCGCGTCACGCCCTTCCTGTCCCCATTCGGGCCTCTGACACGTCTCTAGCTGGTTCTCATTGCCGACGACATGTTGAACATTGGCTCCAGGGGTCTCCTCTTCGATCCATCCCGTCTCAGGACAAACTGGTACCACGTTGAGCTCAACTCGGCCCAGACGGCGACCGGCAAGCGCAAGTGGGTCGAGGACGACTCCAACTCACCACCCTCGTTTGAGCTGTACCTTCGCGTCTGGACGTTTGCCACAGCTTCCCAGCTGGTCGGGCTAGTCATGGCATATATGGAAATTCATGGTGTGTAACCCTTTCGTGAACCCTGACACCCCCGTGCCATGTATTCACTGACTCTCCTAGGAGACGAGCTCTGGGGTAGCGAGATGATTGCCGAGTGTGTCGCCCTCGAAGACGTACAAGGACCCGTTAGGATCTCGTATGCGGGAATCACGTCGAGGTCGGCAGCCATTCGCCACAAGGATGACTCGGACGCCGCTCGTGGGCGTGTGGGCAAGTTTACCTGTGAGTTGTACATGTGCACTGGGCAGTTTTAACAAGCGACCCAGCCAGTGAAGTCTTGTCCCTCTTCCTCGCCCAAATTCCCGAGGCCGCTGCACCTGCCCTCGAGATATATGCCTACAAGCTTCCACCCGGCACGTCGACGTTGCCCCTTGTCGGCCAACAGCCTGTTCAAGATTTGGAGAGAGCCCTCATTGCCGTTTCCTCCCCTTCTCTCAACGCTGCGCGAGGCGGCGTGCATCATCTCCTGGCCTCCAGCGCCTCCCCCAGCCCTTTCTTGCTCGACCATCTCACAACTGAGCACAGCGGTCTGCCAGAGCTCGCAAAGCAGCTCAGCGACGCCATCAGTAGCGCACTGCGGGTGTTCCGTGAGAACGGTGACAACGTTCCATCCGACGTGGCTGTTGCAGCCATCGTCGAGGATGGTACGGCCATCGCTGCCGTGGTTCACACAAGCGATGTGTGTGTGGTGCCGTCGATGGTGTTGACATCGGACATCCCAGAGTATGCGCACCAAGCAACTAGCGCAGATGTGTCGTTCCACGGCGCCTGCACCGGTCCGGGACCGCATGCCCTTGCCACGGCACGTGCGCTTACCATGGGCGTCCGCATCGACGACGGGGGGCGGGAAAGGTGGTTTGGCCCCAGGGTCGACCTCTGGCAGCATACAACAAAACAACTCGGCCAGCCGTGGCGCCACTTGGCCTTCTTGGCTAGATACATTACAACCTTGCGACCGGTCCTGGTTCGCGCTTACTCGTCCGACGTGACACGCTACATCTTCAACTCTGCCCTGACCGACATCTTCGCAGTCAACAAGGAAAAGGACGATGTCGTACTGGAAAGGGCGACACTAGCCTTCTTGTCTCCAGACTTCAAAGGCAGTCTCGAAGACGTCGCCGCCGTTATTTCCCCCGAGTACATGCACACTACCCATCTGCCACAAACCACCAAGTTTATCGACAAGGTCGGCATTCCCGTTGTCGTTCAAGTCGGTCCCAAGTCGGAGAACTTTTGGGTAATTTGTGTCTGCAACATCGACGCTGGCGCGATCAAGTACAACCCTGCTGCGGAAAGGCAGAAGAAAGAACTCCTCCTTGCCGTGGAGATGGTGTCCCGCGTGGCGGAAGAGGTTGTCATAGCGCAGATCAAGAAGTGCGGCCCACCCCCAAAGGCGAACAACCTCGAGTGGATCATGTCAACGTTTGAGGCCATGAAATTGGCGCTTGAGCAGGGGGGCACCAAACAACGTCTGGATACTGCCGCCCGCCGCTACCGTGAGCTCGTCGGCGTCCTTACCTCACTGTCGACCGTCAAAACCAATAGTGAACGCATGGACCACGAGGACGACGAAGCATGGGCAGAGGTATGTTGAGTCTCGTTTTGTCCATTTCACTCTCTCACACCACCCAGACACTCGCCAGCCGCTCCGCCCGCATGTCTCAGCTCCGCACCCTTGCCAATGGCAAGCTCCTCAGCGGCCAGGGTGAGCCGTACACCAGCGAACGGGATGAACAAGTCGACGAGATCTTGGAAATGATTGGCCACGCACGCGCCACGGGTATGGATGCCCATATTCCCCACGGACTCCCGATCTTTGCTCGCCACACCGACGCCGAGGCGCGAGAGTGGTTGAGGTCGAGGCCCATGGGCTACAACTTTTCGCTGGCCGCTCAGGCGTCCAACAACCATCCCACTCTCGGACAATCTGCCGAGTTTCTCAACGATTATGCCTTGGCCCGCTTTGGTGAATCGAACGACGCTCGGCGAGCCAAAGCGTGGCGCTTTGCCGTCGATGAAAACGGCCAACGACTTGAACACGCAGCTACCTCGCGTTCGCTCTTGCTTCTCTTTTGTCCAACGTGTTCCAGCTCGGCTGTGGTCACTGTTGAGAACGGCGAGCACCATTGCCCAATGACGACTCCTCCGTTTGAGCGGGTCCACAAGGACACCCTACAGGCGAAGCGAGTGATCTTTGGCCACGACGCGTACGAGGCAGCGCTCAAGTGCCAGCAGATCGCCCCCGACGTCGATCTGGCGCCTCACGGTCTTGCGTGGGTGTCGGCGGCCAGTGTACTGCAGGCTGCGCCTTCCACTATTCCCAAGGATTTCATTGCCAAACTACTCTCCCCTGCCACCAAGGAGGACAACATCCTCGTCCACACGTCCACGACCGAGTGGCAGACCGTCGCAGCGGCCATGAGCCGCCTTCTCGGCCACTGGAACTCGCCCATGGACTCTCACCTTCCGGACCACGACAACGTTTCATTTTTCAAGAACCAGACCCTCAAGTCAATTCTGAAACTGTTGCTTAAAGATAAGCCCATCTACCTCATGCGCTGCGCCGACTGTGACTACTACAACCTCCGGGCAAACACTGATCAACATACCTGCCCGCCAAACACGGCGACACCGCGGCCGTATCTCAAGCGCTCCGGCATTCCGGCATATTGCTTCGACGAACTGCCCCACACCGTCAAGTCTCTTGTCGTTTACTCGTACTGTCGTGCCATGGAGACAGGCGATAAAGAATGTGGCCTCACGGGTGAGGAACTGGCAAAGTGTTTACAATGGGAAATTCCACGTCCGTCGTGAACAGTGCATAGTGGTGGGAGGTTTGCACGAGAGACGCTTGATATGGATTATGTGCATGGAGCTGAGCATGATATCGATTTCTGTTTGGGTGCGCTACTAACACGTTCGTGCAATATGCTCACCTGGAGAACGAGACCAGCGCGACCATTACCAGCGACCATTGCCATTGAATGGATCCAATGCGTGGTGGGGAGGTCTGGTGCGTTGCTGGTCGCACCTTAGCTCTGAAGAGGTACAGTCACCGGTACAGTACTGTTTGTCTAGACGCAAACGAGGTCACCAGACCGCCCAGAACGAAGCGAGCAGCCACCAGCGACGACTACCAATGCAATCATGACCGACAGCCAGGCCGCAGCACAAACCCGGCGCCGATCAGTGTACCTAGACACACAGATCGGCGCACATCCACCCCAACGCGCCGCCACTTTCACCGCCACCAACCCATACCCTCCGACCTTGCACACCACCGTTCTCGCTTTCCACACGGTCAATCGGCCTCGTTCAAGGCATGAATCGGTAGCCCAGAAGCAAGGCTACAAGATGAACACCAATGTGGCAATGTGGCGGAGTGGTTAACGCGATTGACTCGAAATCAATTTCCTTCGGGAGCACATGTTCGAATCATGTCATTGTCGATTCTCTTTTTCGCCCTCTGCAGCAGGGGCGGTATGTTTTGCTGGTGGAGAGGAGGTTTGGGAGGTGGTACAGGTGGTGTGGCCGGTGGGGATGAGGTCGGAGGTTGGAGGTGGCAGGGATCGCCGTCGGTGTTGGTGTTGACCCCGGCGACAACCAAGGTCCCTCTGTTTGACATCTGCGCGTCCTTGCCCAAAAGCGCGCGCATCAGACGCGCAGCGTTGTGAGCACACAGACGAAAGCTCTGAGCGTGATGTCATTCCAGGTCATTCTCGCTTTCCATTAGAAACTCTTTTCCTAATGACCCAATACCGCCATTTCCCCACCCACCACGGTCACGTGACCTGGCGTTCGTTACGCGTGTGCGTCCTCGCTGACGACTTGAATCCACCACCTGTTGGCATCATTACCACTCTTACCCACCACCCATAACCCCCACCCGCCTTTGCACCATGACCACCACCCCAGCAAAGGACAAGGAGACCGCCGTTGTCGAGACCAAGGCCGAAGAGCCCAAGCTCGAGGCGGCTCCCGTTCTCACCGTCGAGGAGGGTGAGTGCCCGATGCCCAAGGCCACGGTGTATCACAGCTGACCATCCGTCGCAGAGATCCTGACCAACATCATGCTCATCGGCCGCGCTGTCGCCACCATTGAGCCCCGCTTTACCACCCGCGTTCTCCGCACGCTCACCACACTCCGCAAGAAGCTTACACGGAAGGCGCTCAAGGAGGTGCTGGACCGCGCGTTCCCCAAGGGATGTGAGTGTTGATCATCACAACGAAAGCCTGGATGAATGGCCGCTGACATGCACCGCAGCCAAGACTGGCCAGCAGCTTATTGCCTCGTCACTCTTTGCCCTTATCCCCGAGGCCGCCGACGAGGGCATGGACGTCGACGCCGCCCCGGCCGCCGCCGCTGACGGCACTGTCGCACCGGTTGCGTCCACCTCGAAGAAGTACACTCCTCCTGTGGACAGCAGCAACGGCGACCTCATTCCCGAGGGTGTCGTTTATCTGCGCTTGCTCGTGCTTCTTGCTGCCCTCGACGCTGGCAAGGTTGTCGAGGCCGGCGAGTTTGCGCTCGAGACCGTCGAGATGGTCCAGGCCGCGAACAGGCGTACCATGGACCAGATTGCCGCCAAGATCTACTTTTACCTCGCACGCGCGTACGAGCTCCAGGACCGTCTTGCCGAGCTTCGCCCGTAAGTTGGCATGTTGCACGCGAACCTGTGGACCTAACTGACATTACAGCACCCTGCTTGCCGTGCGCCAAACGGCCAAGCTCCGCAAGGACGAGGTGCTCGAGATCACGGTCATCAACCTCCTCCTCCGCTCCTACCTCCAGTCCAACCTGTACGACCAGGCCGACAAGCTGCTGTCCAAGATTGAGACTCCTCCCAGCAGCAACTCTGCCCAGACCGCCCGCTGGCTGTTTTACGTGGCTCGTCTGCGTGCCGTCCAGCTCAACTATGCTGAGGCTGCCGACCACCTCCTGACCGCCATCCGTCGTGCGCCCAAGGACGAGGTCGCGCCTGGATTCGTGCAGATTGTGAGTAATAACACTATCGTGTGAGCTGACACTGTCTAGATCCACAAGTTCTACATTGTCACCGAGATGCTCACCGGCCGTATCCCGGACCGCACCATGTTCCGCAGGCCAGTGCTGCAGCAGGCTCTCCTGCCCTACTTCCAGATTGTTCAGGCCGTCCGCATCGGTGACGTTGCCGCCTTCCAGCGCGCATTCACCACCCACGAGCAGGCCTTCCTCGCCGACTCGACCCACTTCCTCATCCTCCGTCTGCGCCATTTCGTCATCCGCACTGCCCTCCGCACAATCACGCTTGCCTACTCGCGCATCTCGCTCCGCGACGTGTGCCTCAAGCTCGGCCTCGACTCGGAGGAGGACACCGAGTACATTGTCGCCAAGGCGATCAAGGACCGTGTCATTGACGCCACGATTGACCACAAGGGCGGCTTTATGCAGTCCAAGGTCAAGAAGGACCTGTACGAGACCGACGAGCCGCAGCAGCAGCTCGCCCAGCGCCTCAAGTACGCCCTGGCAATGCACAACGAGGCACTGCAGGGTATGAGGTTTGCTGCCAACGTCCACCGCAAGGACCTCGAGACTGCCGCCGATGCCCGCGAGCGTGATCGCGAGATTGCCCAGTTGATCCAGGAGACGGAAGACGACCTCGACGAGCTCTAGAACAATAGGGTGCAGTAAACAACGTGGGCGCGCGTCTAGAAGGCAAAGAGAGTAGGACTTGGATGATCAGAGCGAGGGAGACCGATGCATAGTGATGTTTCATACGTGACAAAGAGTTGGTTTCGGGGGCAGATAGGTAACGTCACCCTCGCTTGCACGCATCGATGCGGTGATCACCCCATGTCGCAAAGATAGGTTGTGCTTCCATGAGGTCTGACCCCAGTTGTGCATCGGAGCCCATGAAGCATGCGCGAGGTGCAAGGAAAGAGAAACGTAAAACACTAGACATCATAGCTTTTTGCACCGCTGTCCGAGGCACCGACGCCAACGGGCGAGGCGATGATGGTTGGCACCAAGCCATCGTCGGTCTTCTGATGACCCCATCGGTACACGCTCGCTTCCGGCGTCTCTTTTGGATCGGGAAAGCCGCAGGCCGCAGGAATCGCTCGGTTTGCTGCTTTGGAGACTATCGCGCTATCGCACTCTCTCCACACGAGTCGATCTTTTGGGGGGCAATCTCCAAGAAGCATAAAGCACGGCATGTCGGGGATGCATGTTGCATTCCTCACCCACCAACACCTCCCCAAGTGGCCGGCCGCCTGCTGCCTCCCAACTGCTTCAACGCAGACGCACTCTCTGCCGTCACCCACCACCACCACCACCACCACCATCCATCTACCGCAGACGCCTCTCTTCACCTGCTATACCATGTTCCCCAGCGTCCTCGTCCACGCGGCCGACGTCCAGCCCACGCCGGTACCTGCCACCACTATCAGCGAAAAGTCAAGGACAACGGTCGTACCCTCGAGGCCACGACCGCAGCGTGGCTGGTCCTTCCTCTGCCTCTTCAACCGCGCATAAGCCCCAGCAACAAAGCAAAACCGCGCTTACGCGGCCACCACCTCGCCTCTCTCTACCTCGCCTCTCGGCCTGTTGTTTCATTAGTTTCCACTGTAGCACCACCACAATGTGTCCATGCCCTCCCCTGAAGCCCTGATAACAATGCAATACATCAATGACACTTCGGAGTCTACGATTAGCGGCCGGTGCGGATAATGCCCGAGTTGATGAGCTTCTGGACTGAAGAAGAACGGTCGTCAGCTGCTGTATCGCCATTTTTCTTTTCCCCTTGTACTCACTCTTCTGGCCGATCATGGGGTTCTTCATGTGGTCCTGGAGAGCCTGGGGGTTCTGCTGGGCGTCCGAGAGGATCTGGCGCATGACGGGGTCGTTCATGATCTCGGCGACCTCGGGATCCCGCATGGCGCGGTTGTAGGTCTCCTCGTCGGTCTCGGTCGAGCGCTGGGTCTGGAGCTCCATGAGAATCTTGTTCATGTTGGTCTCGATCTCGCGGGCGTGCTTCTTCTCAGTGTCCTTGTCCATGGCCTTCTGGAGGGTCTCGAGGGCCGGGGTGAGCTCCTTCATGGCCTGCTGGACGAGGGCCTTGCGGATGTATGCCTTGATAAAGGTAGGGTCCTGCTTGATGGCCTCGTCGGCGTCCTTGAGCGCCTCGGGGAGAGCCATGAGCTTGGTGTACGCTGCCGAACGGTTGTTGTAGCCGCGGGGGTCGTTGGGCAGGCGCTTGACAGCCTCCGAGTAGTGCTTGACGGCCTCGGGCCAGTTGCCGGCCTTGAAGGCAGTGTTGCCCTCCTCGCGAGCGGCCTCGGCCTTGGCGGGGTCAATGTAGGCCTCGCGGTCGGCAACGACCTTGGCCTTTTCGGTCTCACGGAGCTTGGTGAGGATCTCAGGGGTACGGTGCTCGGTGAGCGACTTGGAGTAAAACTTGATGGCATTGTCCAGGTCAGCGAGCTTGAGGTAGGCGTTACCGATACGGCCATAGGCCTTGGCGACGGTCTTGTAGTCGGCGCGGAGCTCGAGCGACTCGTCGACAGCCTTGGTGGCCACCTCGATACACTTCTGGTAGTCGGCCTTCTCAAAGTAGACGGCAGACAGGTTGACGAGGTAGGTCACGTCCTTGGGGTAGGTCTCCCAAGCCTTCTCGTAGAAACCAATGGCCTCGTCAAACTGGCGAGCCTTGTAGGCAGTGTTACCCTGGGCCTTGATGGCGTCGGCCTCCTTCTTGGCCTTGGCGCTGTCGTCCTCCTCAACCTCCATGGGCTCGTCCTTGGGCGCCTGCGCGGCGGCAGCAGGGGCCTTGGGAGCGGCCTTGGGGGCAGCAGCAGCGGGTGTAGGCTGAGGCTCAAACGACGACGACGAAGCCTGCATACCGGGAGGCATCTCGTTCGAGCCCTCGGGACGGGCCATGGCGTCAATGTCGACACCCATGAGGACACCAAGAACCGAGAGCATGCGGGGGTCGCCAAAGAGCTGGGCCATGTCGACACCCTTGCCGCCGCTAGCCTGGAGCTGGGCAATGCGCGCACGGAAGGGACCCTCCTTCATCATCTCGGCCGTCTTGGGGTGGTTCTCAAGCTTGGAGACGAGGTTGGGGTCGTTGAACATCTGGCCGAGACCCATGTCGCCGCCGGGACCCATGTCCGAGTCCATGGCGTTCTTGACCTCGGCGAGACCCTTCTTGAGGATGTCGCTGTTGGGGTCAACCTGCAGACCAGCCTCGTAGGCCATGACGGCGTCGGGGAAGTCGCGGAGGCCGTGGAGGGCAGCGCCCTTGCGAGCGTAGCCCTTGACAAAGGAAGGGGTGATCTCAATGGTCTTCTCAGCGTCCTCGAGAGCACCCTGGTAGTCCTTGGCACCCGTCTTGGCCGCGGAACGGTTGGAGAAGAGGACGTGGTTGGTGGGGTCAAGCTCGATGGCGTCCGAGTAGAGCTTGATGGCGTTGTCATAGTCCTTGGCGGCAAAGGCCTTGTTGGCCTCGGCCTTGAGCTGCTCAGCCGACATTATGTGGGGAGGAGTATGCAGGGGGGAGGGGAGGGGGGATGGAGGGAGGGATAGGTGGCAAGAGATGTAAGAACAACAATTGTCTGTCGACGGCACGTGGGGTGGCTCGTTTCTTGGGTCTCGCTTTCCGAACACTCCAGAACGCGCGCGCCAGCTCATGTCCGGGGGCCCACGCGGGAGTATTTGTATCATGAGGCATGTGTGTCAAACATTCACACGTCATAACCACCATTTCTACCGTGGGAAACCTTCTAATATGACCCGGCGCGCGACGCGCCGACGAGAACGCGTCGCGCTGCAAGTGGAATGGACATCACCGTGTTCCGCGTCTCTCAACTTATCATTTCCCATCTCCCCTCCCCCACCGCGCACCATGGCAGACATAGCCCCAACACAGGATAGCTTCGTCCCCGGGGACGACCTCATGCGCGACCGCGCCCGCCAGTTTGTCGAATTTCTGGATGACGAGGTAAGTCTTTTATGCTTGTGTGTGAGATATGAAGCACCGGTGGCTCACCATGTGCTACTCAGACAAAAGAAAACTACAACTACCGCGAGGCTATCAAGCAGATGCTCGACCTGGAGCAGGTCCGTCTGATTGTCAACCTCGACGACCTGCGCGACTATGGCAGGGAATATGCCGACGGCTTGCTCCTGCAGCCCATGGCGTATATCCCGGCTATCGACGCCGCACTCAAGCAGCTCGTCCAAGCGCTGCATCAGCCGCTCAAGCATGACATCCACGACAAGGAGTACTATGTCGGCTTCCGTGGTTCATTCGGACAGCAGCACTGCAACCCGCGTACCCTCCGCAGCCACCAGATTGGCAAGATGGTCTCCCTCGAAGGCATTGTGACCCGCTGCTCGCTCGTTCGCCCCAAGATGCTCAAGTCGATCCACTACTGCCCCCCAACTGCCAAGTTTCACTCGCGAGCTTACCATGACGGCACGATGATTGCCCCCTCATCAACCCTGGCGGGATCCACAACGGTTATCCCCCAGGACGACGGTGAGGGTCACCCTGTGCTCATGGAGTATGGTCTGTCCACCTTCCGCGACCACCAGACCATCAACATCCAGGAGATGCCCGAGCGTGCACCGGCTGGCCAGCTTCCCCGCGGTGTCGAGGTCGTTCTCGCCGACGACTTGGTTGATGCCTGCAAGCCCGGTGACCGTATCCAGCTTGTCGGTGTGTACAAGAGCAGCGGTGGTGGTTTCGGCTCGCGCGGCTTCCAGTGAGTGAACATGTCACAGCTCACGGCTAATCCTGGTAGCACCCAGCTCATTGCCAACAACATTATCCTTCTGTCGTCCAAGCAGGGTGGTGGAATTATCCAGACACCGCTTACCGACACGGACATTCGCAACATTAACAAGCTGTCCAAACGCAAGAACATTTTCGACCTGCTGTCGCAGTCGCTCGCTCCGTCCATCTACGGCTACGAGTACATCAAGAAGGCTGTCCTCCTCCTGCTTCTTGGCGGTGAGGAGAAGAACCTCAAGAACGGTGGTCACATCCGTGGTGACATTAACATTCTCATGGTCGGTGACCCGTCAACTGCAAAGTCGCAGATGCTCCGTTTCGTCTTGAACACTGCACCCCTTGCCATTGCCACCACTGGTCGTGGTTCGTCTGGTGTTGGTCTCACTGCTGCTGTGACTACCGACAAGGACACTGGCGAGCGTCGTCTCGAAGCCGGTGCCATGGTCCTCGCCGACCGCGGCGTGGTCTGTATCGATGAGTTTGACAAGATGTCTGAAGTCGACCGTGTCGCCATTCACGAAGTCATGGAGCAGCAGACTGTCACCATTGCAAAGGCCGGTATCCACACCACGCTCAATGCGCGCTGCTCGGTCGTCGCCGCCGCCAACCCCATTTACGGCCAGTACGATGTCCACAAGGACCCCCACCGCAACATTGCGCTCCCCGACTCGCTTCTGTCGCGTTTCGACCTGCTGTTTGTCGTCACCGACGACTCGGACGAGTCTCGCGACCGCCAGATCTCAGAGCACGTTCTCCGCATGCACCGTTACCTCCAGCCCGGTGTCGAGGAGGGCACCCCGGCCGTTGAGAACATTCAGCAGCACCTCGATGTTGGCGGCGATGCCGAAGAGTCGCGCGTCACCGAGACGCCCGTGTTTGAAAAGTTCAACCCGCTCCTGCACGGCGGTGTGACGACGTCGTCGGGCCGCGGTGCCAACCGCCGCAAGGAGGTTCTTTCCATTGCGTTTGTCAAAAAGTACATCCAGTACACCAAGACACGTATCCACCCAACCCTCACCAAGGGCGCTGCCGACTACATTGTCAGCGTGTACGCGTCGCTGCGTAACGACGACCTGGCCAACAACCAGAAGCGCACCTCGCCCCTGACGGCGCGTACGCTCGAGACGCTCATCCGTCTGTCGACCGCACACGCCAAGACGCGCCTCGCCAGTGTTGTTACTGAGACAGACGCCATGGCCGCCGAGGAGCTGCTGCGTTTCGCGCTGTTCAAGGAAGTCCTCCGCCCCGAGCGCCGCAAGCGCCGCAAGCTCAACCCTGGTGTTGGCGGTGGCAGTGACGACGAGAGCGGCGAGGACGAGAGCGACCGCGAGGAGGAAGAGGAGGTGGCGCCCATCTCGCAGCGTGTCCGTGACGCGGCCCGTGAAAAGGCGCGTCGTCTGGAGGGCACAGGCCCCGCACCGCCCACGCAGGAGGACATTGAGATGGAGGAAGAGGAAGAGGCAGCTGCGGCTCTGGACGCCGAGGCGGACGCGGAGCGTGGCGACATTGCCGCCGAGCGTCTCGACATGTTCCGCGAGCGCCTGTCACACGTCTTTGAGAACGACACCACCGACCAAGGCTTCTTTGAGTTTACCGACCTGTTGCCCAAGGTCAACGAGGGACTGGCCAATGCCGACCTGTTTGGCACGAGCGAGGCCAAGGCCGCCGTCGCTGCCATGCATGACCGAAACGAGGTCATGGAGGCCGATGGCGTAGTGTACAAGGTTTAAGGCCGGGATATATGAGTGGTGGTGTTTGTATAACTAGGACTTGAGATGAACTATGACATGCTGCTATTTGACAAAAAATATAATAGGGCGAGAGAGAGAGACAACGGTACGGCTTTTGTTTTATAGATTTGCCTTTACAGATGGCCGTGAGCCGTCCTACTTCTTCCAACCGACCCACTTCTCGACCATCTGGTCACCACATCCGCCATCGCCACCAATCTGCATGTGCTCTCCGGGACACCAGTCGAGGATGAGGTGCCCAGTCTCATTGAGCGCGCGCAGGCCAATCCAGTCTTCGGTGTAGAGCTGCTGGTCGCCGAGCTCAACCACGACCGTCGTGTCCTCTGGGTCGACCGTCGCCCAGTGCGCCGACAGCCCGGGGAACACGGTCTTGTCCTCTGTGAACGCAATGGCGACCATGTTCTCCAGGTGGCCGAGCCCGTTGCCGGCGTCCTCGTCATCCAGGAGGCCCTCGCCGTTCATGTTGCGCATGAACGTGTTGGCGAGGAGGAACTCGTCCAGGCGCGCCGGGTCGCGGTAGTATGCCGCTTGGACGAGGTGCGACTGGGCCCAGGAAGTGTAGATGCCCGAACGCGCTGCGCGGGCCGCGAGGCGGCACGAGAGTGTTGGCGGGTCGGGGCAGGGGATGAGGGCTGCGATGCCAAAGTGCGGCGAGCCAAACTGTATAGCAGCGTTAGAGACGGGAGCTTGAAGTCGTAACTGGTCAGCTCACAGTAATGAGGTTGCGCATCGCGGGGCCGTCCGAGTACTGAGCGCAGTAGCGCAGGAAGAGGCCGCCTTGGGAGAACCCGATGGCGTCAAACTGGAAACAACATGTTAGCTCAGCTCTTGAAGAACACAAGTGAGCTTACCCCGTCCTGGAGCTCTTCAATATCGGCAATCTGATCGCATCCCTGCTGGGCGAGCTCCTCGGCCTTTCCCCACTGTGTCCCGTGTTAGCTGACAAAAGGGCTTGGGCCAGCAGTACTACCACACTCACCCATCCTGCGTTCCGTTCATCGCCAGGACTACCACCTTCGGGGACGATGACAGAGTGCACGAATATGCCCGGGTGCAGCTCCTTGACCCTGTCAGCGAACGCGTCCATGCCCTCGGAATGGGCCGTGTCGCCGAGTCCATGCCAGATGACGAGGGGGCGAGGGTTGGCAGCAGCAGCAGCGGGAGGAGGAGTGAGTGGGACCTGGACGGGGTTGGCTACCGCAAGCCCTGCCAGGGCGAGAAGAGCTAGAGCGACCATTGTGAGTGCGAGAAGCAGCACAAAGAGTGAGAGAGATGCAGAGAGACGATGACGTTGGTGCGCACTGCAATTGTTTATGAGAGAGACAGTGGCGATCTGGGCTCATGTTGGGTGGTGTGGGGACCCCAGACGGACGGCTCACGCCCGGGCGGGCGGCGGGGCTGCCACTGGGCGATAACGCCGCGTATAACGCCGGCCCCTCCCACCCCAGCGAGCGTGAGCGGGCTTTACGGGCGCCGCGGGGGCCGGCGGCACACAGAGTGGAGAGAGAGACGGACGGCAGACGGAGGCAGGCAGCGGGCAGCAGTGGGCAGAGCTCGGTGACGACAAGAGCGACTCGACCGTCCTACTCAACACCCCTCTCCTTCTACCCACACCCCCCCTCACCCAACCCACAATGTCCGGCCAGGTCTCCTCGGCAGCCTCCAACGTCGCCGCGTCGCGGTTCCAGGCGTTCATGAACCACCCAGCGGGTCCCAAGTGCGTTTCAACTGGGCGTGCGTCAGTCACCATTTGTTATCCTTGAACCGACTCGTCCGTTTTGTGACACTAGAGGTCGCGTTCTGTGGGGTAACAACATGGGAGACTGGCGACAATGACGACGGTGATGAAGCATGCTTGCTGACCGTGTTCCTTCCTTTGTGATTTCTACTACTCGTGCGCATCCTCGTCCACTCGCGGCCCCATCACGATCCCTTGACAACCTCACCGTCGTCCTCGTCCTGCTCCACATCATGACGAATGTCACTCGACTTGCCACTCTTGCCCGGTCCCTTCCTCTTTCACCTCCAACCTCTGGCCTGGCGTGTAACCCCCTCTCCACGCTCGCCCGTAATGGTCGTTTGCCGCCAACAGGACCATCTTCTTCTGGGCCCCCATGGCCAAGTGGTCGCTCGTCATTGCTGGTCTCAAGGACCTGGGCCGTCCTGCGGACAAGCTCTCGCTCTCGCAGAACCTTGCCCTCGCCGCTACTGGCTTCATCTGGGTAAGTCGAGTCGTGTACTGCTAGTCGTTTTGGCGGTGTTGGCTCGGTGCTGCGTCGGGTCAAGAACGACAGACGGCCGAGGATACGTTGGTGGATGCCGGGGAAACCAAGCCTGGCTTCGCGGCTGGTTGTTCGGCAGGGGTGGTGGAGACATTCGAGCAGGTGAACTCGTCTGCCAGACGTGCACACCTGCGACCACGCTCCGTTTGCCTCCCAGTTCGAGCGACCAGCCCGACCAACCCCCTGCCTTTGACCTTGTTCCTGCACAGCTGTCTTGCTTCCGACCGCACCAGCTGTACAATGAACGAGACAACGAGGCCGTGAAACCACACTGACACCACACGCAGGTGCGCTACTCCCTCGTCATCACCCCCGTCAACTACTCGCTCGCCGCCGTCAACTTCTTTGTCGGCTCAACGGGTATGGCGCAGCTCTACCGCATGTGGGACTTTAAGAGGAACAACCCCGAGGCGGCCAAGCTTGCCAAGGAGGTGCTCTAGACAGTGGAAAAAACACACACAGCACTACTGGTCATTTTATTGTAGCGGGGATTGATGGATGAGGATGCATAGATCCGGTTCGTACGGCGTGGGCGCGGGAGTGTGGATGGTGGTCATGTCCCATTGTGGTTGTGGAGTGAAGAGGATATCCCTTGGGTCAACACCACGCCCGCACCGCGCCACCTCTCACCATCTCCTGTCTAGACTGACACGCCGATGCGTACGTTGACGACTCTTGCACAGCCGACATGATACACAATATGAGCTTTTGACGTCTCGTGTATATGAGCACTGTGATTTTTGACCCATCCTCACCGGAAGGAAGACGAGTGAGCTAGACGGCCAAGTGACATGTTCCCCCGTGCTGACTGAGGTCTGACCACCGAGCTGAACCCATCCATGGGTAGCGGCAAGTCAGTATTGCACCGCCAGCGATGCTAGACGGCTGTTTGTCAAAACGCGGCTGAACCCACAGTGTCACGATAGCCACGATAACCCGGCAGAAGCAAAACATCATATACATGAATCCCCAAAGTGGCACACACACTCCCAGCAACGAGGGGTGCCTCCACTCTACTCAAAGGTCTCGCGTTCACAGCCATACACCTCCTTGGCGACCTTCCACCACTGGCCCTCGTCGCCGCCTACACACCAGCGGCCGGCAAACTCGAGCTCGAGGGGGTGGATACGCTTGCCGACCACCACCACCGAGTGCAAGGGCCCGCCAAACTCCTCCTCGTCGAGGGACGCGAGCTCCTTGAGTGTGCCGGCGATGATCCTCTGGGTCGAGGTACCGATACGGCTGAGGGACATGGCGAGCGTGTTCTCGGGGTTCATGTACGTGGGCGTGACGGGGATGACGTTTCCGTCCTCGTCCTCGGTGCCCTCGGGCTGGTGGCGCTTGGACTCGGTCAGGAGCATCTGCGAAAAGGCCTGGTAGGGGTTCATGAAGCGGGGGGGCTCGTAGATGAGGCGGCCGCTGGAAATGTCAGCGAGAGCCCCTGTTCTGCTCTGTGGCCGCGCGGGCGCCATGTCCACTCACCGAGCCATGTTCTCCTCGCTCTGCTCCCTGACCTTGATGTCGAGCAGCACGAGCGTGTGCATGCCGTACTTGGAGTTCTCCTCCAGACGGTCGTACCACGAGTCGGGGGTCCATGTCTGCGTGTAGAACGGCAGCGAGACGGCCTGGCCAAAGTTGTACATTTGCAGACCGGTCGAGCCGAGCGCGGTCATGATGGAGGCATTGTGGATGGTCTGCGTGGGGATGCCGCGGGTGGACGCGCGGAGGATGAGGTCGGTGTGGGTGGTCGCGCTGGAGTTGGTCAGTGGGGAGTCCAATGAACGAGAGACTGGTGAGAGCTGAATGTCGCAAAACAAAAGCCGTGCAGCTCAAGAGGCCAAGGGAGGAATGCTAGACTCACCCAAGAGGGTCGCCGACGACGAGGAAGCAGACGTCGACCTTGTCGGCGTCCTTGAGGATCTCGTCCGACTCGAGCTCGACTGTCTCGCGGGTGGCAGTAATAATGGGGCGGCCGTAAAACTCCTCCTGTAGATGGGTGTCAGCGCACACCCTTCATGATATCATTGATGCAGCCAGCTCGAATGGAAGATAACAAAGTGGAAGACGATGGTTGGCATACGCTTTGGAAGCGCGTTGACGACCCCCTCTCCGTCCCACCCGTCCTCTCCTCTGTCCAGCAACCGCTCCTCTCCTCCAGCGACTCACGAGCTTCTCCTTCTCAATCATCAAGATCGAGGTGTACGCCTCGAGGTACACGCGCTCGGCCTTCTTGACCGCCTGCAGTGGGTGATCAGCTTTTTGGCACCATTGAAGCAAAAGGAGGCAATCAACTGACCTCGAGACCCTTGACGGTAATGTCCTTTTCGTCGCTCAGACCCAGACCGATGAGGTACAGCATGTTTAAAAGTGGATTAGGTGTCTATGAGGAAAGGTATAAAGGAGTGGTGACGCCAATGGACGATGAAAGGGTTGCGCATGATTCAAAATCTCGAAAAGGGTAAAGTGGGCCCCGCATTTCTCCTCACAACCTTCCGGTGGAGGCCGTTCAGCACCGTTCAGCACCGTTCAGCACTGGCGACATGGATGCATGGGTGGACATGGCCAGCGACATGGTTCTACTCTACACACTTTACACACAAGACACACGGCGGATGAGGGGGGTTGTCTCAGCGGAACAAGCTTTTCGTCTCCTCACCACCCTTTAAAGTCTGCCCACTCGTCATCCTCGTCCACCGCCAGCCGGCGCCTCGGCGGACTGGGCGGGGACGGAATGGTCCTCTGCGGCGACAGCACGAGCACCCTCTGCACAGGAGACGACGCGGGCTCGGGCTTGACAGCAGGCGTGGCGATCTGGAACTGGATCCTGGCGCGCTTGACCCTCTTGGCAGAGGAGAGGACGGCAGGCATGGATTGCCGGGGCCTTTTGAGCGTCTTTGCCGGCCTGGACGTGTTGGGTTGGGATCTGGAGGCAGGAGGAGCTGGAGTGGGCGCCGGCGCAGGGACAGCCGCAGCGGGGACGACGCGAGGTTTGGGTCGAGTGTGCGGGATCTCGACATGGTCAAGGAACTGTCGGGGACTGCACGCGGTGTAACCTTTGGGAAGGACGTACTTGTCCGTTTCAGCCTCAGGCGACAACGAGAGAGGACGTTTCGACCGACGGGGTGGCGCTGATAGAATCTCAAAGTCTGGCTCCTCGGTAGTGAGTAGACGCTTGCGTGCGCGAGGGCGACTGGGAGCATCCTTATGGGGAGTTGGTTCTGGGCCCTGCTTGCGTCGACGCACGAGAGGCTCCAGAGGCACAAAGTGCATGGGGGCGAACAGCGAACCTTGGCGCTGTCGCCGCCTGGGCTCAACAATGAGCGGTTCGGGCTCCATGGACTCGGATGCCGTGGCCTCACGGCGTCGCTTTGTCGACCGTCGTGTAATAACCAGCGGTTCAGACTCAGGCATGAGCACAAACGGCGAGCCGCTACGACGGTGCTTGGGCGGCGAAGAAGAGGGCAGTGGCTCCATCAAGTCAGGAGAGGGTTCGGGGCTAATGTCCAGCTCGGTGAAGCGCCTGGGCCCCCGGCGCTGCTGAGAGGACTCGAGAGATTGGCTGGGCTCTGACACAATCTCAAACGAGCCACTACGGCTTCTCCTCGATGGGCCTGCACTGGATTCCGCCGGGTCGAAAAGCGGGGGTTGGTGGGTCACTATCGACCGATGGGCCTGCAGCTGAGGATCAGTCGAGGATGGACTTGCGGAAGGTTCGCCAGTTGTCCTCCTCAACAGTCGTGCCGGTGGTAGAGCAGGACGGAGCATTGGGGCTTTTCCGCCTGTGACCTTGCGTGCAAACATCGGGCGCCGGGCCGAAGACGGGAGTCGACTGCCGTTGGTGGTGAGGGCTTGGACGGAAGGCGTGGTGGCAGTGGGCGGTGAGATAGCCATATCCAACGCACCATCGACATGGCTGAGTCGCGGGGAAGGAGGCTGAGGAGACACAACCAAGAGGCTGCGTCGGGACGATCGTGGCGGGGGTGATGATCGCGGCGGGGGTGATGAGATCGACTCCAGGTCGTCGTCGACGGATATAGCCTTGGACGCACGCTGGCCCCGGATCTCAAGGGTCCTAGCTCGAGAGCTGCGCCGCGACGAGCGTGCAGGCGACTCGTCGAAAATGATAATCTCAGGCTGGACGTTACTCTCCGGCAGGGGGCTGGCCACTTCTTCTTGAGCCACAACATCTCCCTGGCTGTTCTCCCGATCGGCCTGGATAGTTTGCCTGTCCCCGACGGACATGCGACTTCCACGACCGCGACCACGCCCACGTCCACGACCCCTGGGTCGACCTCGAGGTGCAGATTCTTTTGGCGGTTCAAAGTCGGCATCCATGGCAGCGTCACCGTCAAAGCCATCAGGTAGGATGATGTCAGGTGATGGGTTGCGCGGTTCAGATGGCGAGGACGCGACGTTGATCACTTCTGTCGCGACAGCAGCGCCGTCACCGTTGGTCGTCGGTTGTTCTGTTCCCTGGGGTGTAGCCGCAGTGGAAGCAGCAGTGTTGTCGGCCGCGGGACCTTGCGTGGGAACATCACTCTTCCTGGGACGTCCCCTCTTCTTCTTTGGAGGCGGGGAAGGCTCAGGCTGGGCGTACCACTTGCTCTCTGGGACGAGCAAGTCGAGAGGCTCAAGACCCAGTTCTTCTCGACGCCATAACTCGAGTGCAAAGAGGGCCGCTGGGTCGAGGGTGCGCAGGTCGATACGCATTTCGCGCTTGAGTTGGGCCGAGCCGCCAGGGGGAGGAGGGTGCCAAGTCGTACCGGGCGAAGGCGAGCGGGATGAAGGTCGTGGTGCGCCGGGATCACGATAGTCGCTATCCTGGTCAGTACCATTTGCCATCATCGAAACGGTGCCAATGGCAAACGCGATGAGGTCGGCAGTGACTGGAAGGCCCCCATCGCCGTCCATTGGAGGGAAGTTGGGTGGCGCAGCACTGTCCTCTGTCGACTCCGGAAGCGTCGTCGCTTGCTCAAGCGTGGCAGGCATCATGTCATCAGGGGGACCCACTGGTGGGGCCATGAGATCCACTCCTCCGGCCTGGCCCGTGGGTGCTGGATCTTCGGCCACGCTCGCGCGGCGCGACTGATCGGGAGTGTGGTCGGCTGCGTCCTCCAAAACGGATGTGAACAGGCTGCCCGCCGCGCCCATCTGAGTCGCCGCAGACAGCACTTGCTCTGGATCTGGTAAAGGTACGGCGTCTGGTGTCACGGGGACGAGGTTGGCGCCTTGGCTGAGCGAAACAAGTGTCTGTGCTCCCGACGCGCCTCGGGAGAGGGGGATGGCGGCCAAGGTGCTTGCGGTGGGAGAAGAGGTCGGGAGGACAGCTAGGGGTTCGTCGGTGACGGCATGATCGGGTGCAGAAGCAGGAATAGTAGATGCTGCAGTCTCGGTCCCAGCGAGGGTGGGGGGCAAGGTGTCGAGTGTGGGCGGTAAGGTATCGAGTGTGGGTTGGTCGTCGAGAGTCGGTTGGTCGCCGAGTGCTTGATTGTCGACTGTGTGCCCCTGGGAAGCATCACCACAGCCTGGAGGGAGGGTGGAGTCTTCCTCGTTCCCACCACCCTGCTGCAGTTCCACGATATCGCCGCCCCCAGAATTAGCCTCTGCGGCACCATCCTTGGCACCACCACTGGCACTGGGCTCGTCGGGTGTGCTCAGCGAGGGCACATCACTGGGCGGCGGGAGCTGAGGGGCGGGCGCTTCATCGTTCCCACCGTCTTGCTGCAACTCCACGACATCGCCGCTGCCGGTAGCAGCCTCTGCGGCACCATCTTTGGCTTCGCCACTGGAGCTGGGCTGATCGGCACCGCCGTTGGTGACTTCTGGAGGTTCGTCGTCCTGAATGATGGGGGAACCGCGTTCGAGGCGCCATCGCTCGAGCTTGTCGGTATCCTCTGCAGATTCGATGCATCCAGGACTCGGCGGCAAGTCTGAGGTATCGACCACCCTTATGTCTACGCGATGGTAGCTGGTGGGTGTGCGGTATCGGTCGAGGATGTCACCCAGCTTGACAAGGTGCGACGCGGTGGTGAGACTGGTGAGGAACGACGCGAGCGGCGCGAGCTGGATGCCGCTCTGCACCTCTGTGCGCCGGAAGCGGGCAGGCGGGGGAATGCGCGAGCCCATGGCCTGCTCGATCCCAGTGGCCAGTGTACGAGACGCTGTTGTAAAGGGGGAAAGGCGGCGTGGTGGATGGTGATGATGAGAAGGTTGGAACCGGAATGACTATGCAAGGTGATCGAAGCTTCCCTCCCATCTCCATTTCGTCATTTGTGTTTGTCGGAATTTGAACCTCCACTTTCATTGTTTCTCCCATCCAGTCCACCATTCAAACCACCCATCGCACAATGTCCCGTCCTGCAGAGCTCCTGCCTCCCAACCGCCAACTCCTGTTCCCCCGCTTCGAGACGTACCGCCTCCACTCGATAGACCCAGACACCGACCTGCAGGCGTTCAAGCTCCCAGGCGACGGCGCAACACAGAGCCGTGTCGGGTACGGCGAGCAGCAGCTGGGCTTCAAGGAGGTCCGCGCCCGCATCGCATGGGACCATCTCGACACTGCCGGTAGCCGCGGCGCGTATGTTGACAAGGACTGGAACGTGGTTGCCTTTGAGCTTGATGTGAGCCCGGGACGTACGCGTAATGCTAACAAACAGGACACCCTGACTCCACACTTTGCCCAAGTCGCGTCCCTCCCTACCCCCATCTCGTCTGGGCACGCCGAGTACCCTCGAGTGCTGCCACTGTCGCAAACGGCATGGGCTGTGTCAACCGGTTCGGGGTCACTGTATGTCCTCCGCGTCTCAGAGCCGGGATCCGAGCTCGCGGGCGAGTTTATTGCTCGGTACGACCTCGTTCTCGAAGGCGGACAAACGCCCTTCATCCTGTACGCGGCCCACCACGAAGGTGGTGATGCCTTCCGCCTTCTCCTTGCCCGTGCGGTAGTGGAGCCCATGAGTGACTCGAGCAAGTACACACCCCGTGTGGCCAACTTTGAGCTGGTCGAGGTCGGCATTGACGTCTCGCACACGAACGGCGTCGACGACTCGCCCGAGCTGCTGCAGCCCCTGTGGGCGCTCACCGGTGGCGACCTCCCGTACTGGGCTTCGTGGACTGAAGGCGGCTGGATTGTGCTCTGCGAAGAGCCTTTTGGAGAGAAGCAGCAGGAGGAAGAGAAGAAGCCCGAGACGGCGGCCCAACGCGCCCAGCGACTGCGCGAGGCCAAGTTGGCCAAGCTCGGCCTCGGTGCCAACATTGCGAGCAGGGATCCGTTCGAGCAGGATGATGGTTATGGGGAAGCAGCCGACCAAGAAGCGGATGAGGAGGCCATGGACGTGGATACGCCCAAGGAGTACCCCTTCCGCTGGACGCAAGACACGACTTCGGTGACCATCACTGTCCCACTCCCTGCCGGCACGACTAGCAAGGACATCAACGTCAAGATCACTCCCGACATGCTCGGTATCTCTATCCAGTCCGACTCGCTTACCCCTGCTCTCTCGTCGTTTGTGTCCAAGCCCGCTCACTCGTTTTGGAATGGTATCGTGGTCGACGAATCGACGTGGACATTCGACGCAACCAAGGCCGAGCTCGACATTGAGCTGCAGAAACAAGGCGAGGACGGCATGCGCTGGCCGAGCGTCTTCGTCCCCGGTTCGGACGATGAGGACGACGCCGAGGATGTGCCAGAGACGTTTGCCGCCTCGACTCTTGATGCGATCCGCAAGAGCTTTTCGTCAGTGCAGACGCGCACCTCGGAGGAACCACACGGCAACCAACCGGCAATCCCGGCTCTGCTCCGGGAAGAGATGGACTTTGACCTGGACGACGGTGCAGACTATGGCGAGGGGGAGGATGGGGCTTTTGCTCACCCAAGTGGTGCCAGTACTGTGGGCCGTACGGTCTTGTTCGGCCACATTGTGCCCAACGCCGAGGGCGGCGTGCCCACTGTGTCGTGGCCTCGCCAGCCAGCCCAGGTCCTCTCTCTCCCAGTCACCAGCCAAGGGCCAGAGCTGCCATCTGCCGCGGGTGTGATCGTCAAAACGGCAGTTGACGGTCTCGTCTTTGCGCCGTCGACTGACCCCGCACGCGCGCCATGGGTGCACCTGGGCACCAACCCAGCCCTCGCGTTTGTCATGTCGTCGAAGCGTGACTTGCGGCTCGTACGCCATGTCACACGACCAAGCCGCACTGCCGGCGGTTCAGATTCGACCACCAGCCAAGATCGCCAAGCCACGGGGGACACGGCGACTACAGTTTTTGCACTCGAGTCTGGTACGGGCGTGGGCAACGGCAATGCGTACATCTACTACCCGCCACCAAGTGGTGGAGACGGCACAGCGGCGTTGCAGGGCGTGGTGAGCGTCAGCGGCGGCGACCGCGGCGCACTGCTTGGCGTGGGCAGCGTGCGGGTGCCCGGTAGAGACAAAGACGTGGTGGTGGCTCTGTGTGAGCACGCGCTCGTGGTTCTGGGCGGAGTGCTCTAGGAGCAACAGTAGTAGCATGATGTGCCGGGGGGGAGAGCAAAGTGCCAGCCTTCAGCAGTCGATTGTAGTCGTAAACTACAGAAGCTTAGAACTGAGACAGAAAAACAGACGACGGGCAGATGAAGACCGTGCCGGTTGCTGGTGGTCGCTTGCCGGCGGGCCCGCTGACATGAGTGGACGGCGTGGCGAGGGCCGCCGTGGCTCGTGACGTTATATCCGGCTATCGGTCGATCCGTCCGAGCACAAGACGTCTCTTGTTTTTGAAAGTGTCTGCTGCACCCAGCTCGCGGGCGGGAAGCGGAGCTCGGCAGTAACAGAGCAACGGTCAAGAGAGATGGAGGCCGTGCACGTAAGAGTGGCCCGGCGGCAAAGACGGCATGCATGCACGCAGCGCGACGCAAAGAGACCGGTGCGGTCGTACTTTGATATAAAGAGACGAGCGCGCTCCCACGGCAGAGCCTGTCGGAATACCACGGTCAAAAGTCCAGCTCCGATCTCGCGCCCCAGAGATTTCGTCACTGCCATCGCGACACCCCCACCGCATCCGGCGTCGTCTCACACAGCCAGCACCCAGCAGCCAGCAAGATCCCATCGCGCTCGCTCTCAGTTTCTATATACATGTCCTCGTCCTCGTCGTCTACAGCGGCGCCCTCCCCCGCCATTCAGTCCATCCTCCCCCGTCTCGCTGCCGTTCGGGCTCACCTCGCTCCACCAAACCCTACAACAGCCCGCAACCTCGCATCCGCCGCTCTCACCTCATCCACTAAACCCACTTCCACAATCAACATGGCAAAGGACAAGGTCGCCATCATCGGCTCGGGCAACTGGTGCGTACATACGACAGTGATAATGGCAGTGATGGCTTGCTAACCGTCTGCAGGGGCTCGGCCATTGCCCGCATTGCCGGCCAGAACGTCGTCAAGCACTCGGATGTGTTCGAGTCGTCGCGCGTGCCGCTCTGGGTGTTTGAGGAGATGGTGAGTACCGATGCGAGCTAGCGGGACGCCGTACCCCAAGACGGTGGGGATGGGTGCACTCTATCAAGACGACCTGCTAACCATGTCTCCTTAGATTGACGGCAAGAAGCTCACCGACATCATCAACACCACCCACATCAACGTCAAGTACCTCCCCGACATTCCTCTCAGTGACAACGTCGTTGCCATTCCCGACATTGCCAAGGCCGTCGAGGGTGCCACTGCACTCGTCTTCGTCATGCCCCACCAGTGTAAGTCCCCCCCGCAACCATTTCTTGCAACAAGAAAGGCTACACCCCCCGGCTTTGCGTGCCACCGCTGGAAACCTCAGCTGACGCGTCCCAGTCCTTGCCAAGGCGCTCGACGCTATCGAGGGCCACGTCGCACCCGGGGCCAAGGCCATCTCGCTCATCAAGGGCGTCGACGTGCACGGATCTGACATCCACATCTTCGCCGACGTCATTGAGAAGCGTCTGGGCATCTCGTGCTCGGCCCTCTCGGGCGCCAACATTGCCTCCGAGGTCGCCCTCGAGCGCTTCTCCGAGACCACAGTCGGCTACCGCAAGGACAAGGAGGACGAGGGTCTGCTCTGGCAGAAGCTGTTCGGTGGGTACAAGCTCTCTGTTCCTGAGTTTGGAAGGCATGCAGCTGACACTCGCTCGCAGAAACTCCCAAGTTCCGCGTCCAGCTCATCGAGGACGTTGACGGCGTGTCGCTCTGCGGTGCGCTCAAGAACGTCGTCGCTGTCGCCGCGGGTCTCAGCGACGGTCTTGGCTACGGCAACAACACCAAGTGTGAGTGTGCAAAAGGACACGGGTGTCATAGGGACGAGTGTGGGGCCGCGGCGCGTAGTTGGGCCAACAGGGGCTGTGTTGAAGGGCTGGGCCTTGGTGCAAACCAGACCCGGTTTGTGCTCGCCCCTCCAGATCCACATGACCTCACATTATGCCTATGCCATCACAGCATATACACAGCAGCTGACACCATACACAGCGGCCATCATGCGCATCGGTCTTTTGGAAACCAAGAACTTCTGCCTCGAGTTCTTCAACGACGTCAAGCCCGAGACGTTCCTGCAGGAGTCGGCTGGTGTCGCCGACCTCATCACCTCGTGCCTGGGTGGCCGTAACCGCAAGACGGCCGAGGCGTTCGTCACCACCGGCAAGCCGTTCGATGTGCTCGAGCGCGAGATGCTCGGTGGCCAGAGTGAGTCATCCGGCAGTCGGGCAAAGGGGAGATAGGTGCGGGCATCGCGACCTTCACCTGTGCTCCTTCCCCTCCACTTGAGATCACCCACTGACACCTTCCACAGAGCTGCAGGGTATCCACACGGCCATGGACGTCCACAACTTCCTCAAGGCCCGTAACCGTCTCGGCGCCTACCCGCTCTTCGACAAGGTCTACCACATCTGCTGGGACGGCCTGGCGGCCGACACCCTCACCGACGGTCTTTAAGCACCCCGAGTGTAACTCTGTGGGTGGGGCCGGGACACGAGTGGTTTTTTTGTTTGTTATTGTTTGGTTTAAAAGGACAACGAGCTCCCTTGCAAGACGCGACGTCTTGACGCACGCGCGTGCGGGGGGAGAGCAGGAGGGAAGCCGGATCTGCGGAGAGGACAAGGATCTGTTAGAAGCGCAGTATAGACATGGATCGGATTACCTGGATTCTGGCGTGTGGCACTAACGGGCCGCACGGACGAGCCACATCTGCCGCACAGACGGAGGCAGTGGGGTGATCGAGTGAACTGGCTGTGATGACTGCGAGACATGGCGCGTGAGACTGCGACAGCTGTTTGTTGGTAGCCATTGATTTCCGATCCACCGGTTGCGAGTCGCACTCGTCCTGGATCTCGTCGCCGTCCCAAACAATTCATGCCACCTGTCGCCCTCGTGCATGTTACCGTTGGAACAGAGTGTGCCGAGGCCCGAACGAAACCTTGAACCACGTCCCAAGTGTGCATTCAACATTGTGCATGTGGCCCTTGACACGTCCCTTCCGTGCAGTGCAGTGCAGTGCGTTGCTCGTCGCGACCAGGCGGGCGCCAGCGTACCGTACTTCGAATTCGTGGCTACCTCGCTCGCACCAGCCCCAGCCCCAGCACCAGCACCGCGCGATTCCCATGCCCCCCGTTTTGGGGCCGACAACCACATGCGCAAGGATCGGTCGTGGAGCCGCTCAGTCACTCTGCGAGTCATGCAGGGTTCGCAAACACGCTCTGACAGCATTGAATGAGGGCTTCCGAGAAATACGTGACAGCTTTTGGTATGGGCGAGCAAAAGGCGTTTTGTGTTTGGTTCTCGGAAACGGCCAGTACGGCGCACTAGGTGTAATGTGTTTCTCGACAGAAACGACGCGCTGCAGCGTCAGAATTAGAAGTGTCTGCAGACTGGATGATGGTGCGATGGTGTCCGTCGTAGTTGACGAGCTCTGACAACCCCGCGGCCAGTCAGTGACCGATATGGCCAACTCCTAACCTATAACCGGTGAAGTAACATGGATTGTGCATATAAAAAGTGGGTACGCTCCGCGATGTTGCGCCACCATGCCACCCACGTCCAGCGCCAACAACAGTCTGTTTTGAAACGCTCCTCAAAGCTATGTATGAGGAAGTTCTCGCCCCAAAGACCGGGCGATGGCTAGGTCAGCTCAAGCTGGCGGCCAGGCGGTGGCATGCCGCGACGATCCTCCAACCCCGCGTTTCTCCTTCGTCCCTCGGGCCCAAATACAAGTGACATTGCGACAGGTCACACACGTCTAGGGAGGTGTCTCGTCGCGGAGGGTGGGTGCGTCATCGCCCGTTGTGCCAACAGCCTCGTACTGTGGGGCCATGTCCTGTGCCGTGTGTGATGTGGGCAGAGCCTGCCTGCAGGACATGAAGACGTGAAGGGCAAAGAGGATAGACGGGACATGGACAGGACAACACCGCCAGGTGTGTCACCTTGGATCCTTGTTTTCCTGGTTTGTTCAAGTGCCTGGGCATTCCCCTCCTTTTTTTCGCTGGACAAACGGGCCAACGACAAACGATGCCTTGATAGCTGGATGAAGCACCTGGGGCCACACCGTTTTGCTGGTGGACCCCCCATTTACCCTGCTGTTCTAATCAATGCCGTCTCTCCCTTAGACATTTTGTTGGTGCATATCAATCAGGTCCCACGTAACGTCCTGCGAGAGTAATGTCCTGAACACCGCTTGAGCGAACTCTTGTCGTGACAGCCTGTCCCATTCTGCAGCACCGTGTTCTCTGGCCTCTGGGGTCTACCGCGGGAGACGCGGGACACGCGTCCGATGCCTACAGCTTTACAAACGTCCACATGCCCAGTGAGACCAGTAAAGCTTTGCGCGCGCGCCTCGCGTGCATCCCGCAAGGGTTTCCAGCTTTTCTACACTCCCATACACATGCTTCTCTCTGTTTCCTTGTTCCTCCCGGAAACGACCGCTAGACGACCTCTTCTCCCTGACCGGCTGGTCCGGGTTGTTTTAGCTCTGTGCATCTGTGGCATCCCGCGCGGTGACTGTACGGCGTCGATAATTCGGGGTGGTGCTCGAATGCTGCCGCTGCAGATTGCGTTATGGCCTGTATGGCATGTTGGGACATGTTCTTGCAATGTTGGTGCGTGCGTACTAGCGACAGCCGGGTCAAAGGGACCATATCGAGGGTGCACACCTTAATGCTAGGGAAAAAAAAAAACACATGCCATGCTCTCTTGACCCTTTGCGTCCTCTGGCCTCTGGTGCTCTCCGTGGGGTCAGCAAAGTGAGTGGGGAGAGTGGGCTTTCGCTGCGCACGTTGGTGTCCGATACATGCGCCATGCCGCGATTGGGGACTTTATCCAAATGCGAGCCGTGCGGGAAGCGGCAAAAGCAGACCACAAGGCCGATTAATCATAGCGTTAGTTGGACGCAAGACAGAGGCCCAGATGGACCCCAATACTGGCATCCGCCGCCGTCCAAAGCCGCTGATCCGCTGAACGGAATGGTCGAGAACGCGTCGAGGCACGCAGCAGGACCGCTCTCCAAGTTCCGGGAGCGGGCTCAACTGCACATGCTGCGAGACGGGAGCGCCGAGAAGCACCCACCTTGCCCCATCGCTGCAGACCTCCCTCTTACGAAAAGTAATGTGTGAGCGTCGGAGTAATGGGGCGGAAGTCACGGAAGGACAAGGACGGACTGCTGCTGCTGCTGCTGCTGCGTCCATCACAGCTTCGAGGACAAGCCAGCAGCCAAAGGGTTCCGTGGCGGCGCCATCCCGGCTCCAGTCCTGGATATGTCGCAATCACAGCCGGGTGTGTGGGACTGTGCCAGATTGGATCCAACCTGCCGTACCGAGCAGCACACCAGAGATTCCTGTGGGCGTGGGTTTTGGGTGGTTGTGGCGCACACATATGACTTCAGGCGAGCATGGTGCCCTGTCTCGATGTGCTCGTTCATTCGCACGCAAAACCATGTACCCGAGAGGCATACGCAGAAGGACAGGACGCGCAGACAGGACAAGGCGCGCGCAAGCAGAGGCATTTCCAGGCTGACGTCAAGGAGAAAAGAGAACAGCCTGCGACGACGACCACGACTCGCACCGTTGTGCATGGACACCTCTCACACCCGACATGTAACCAGCACGCTGGTACACAGGATCTGGAGGGTGCGGCGTGGTCATTTCTGCGCCGCGGGTGCACGCGCCGCGGCTATGCCGACAGGAAACCGCCAGGGTGTGTGGCTCCTATGGACATTCTTACCCAATCTCTCACCACACCCGAAAGTGCTGCGGGACGTGGTCGGCGCCGTCAGCGCTGGCGTCTGATGCCCCTGGGGCCCATAGTGTATTCCTTAACCGCATTCCTGTCGGCATATGAGTTTGCCAGCTGTGTGCCCAGTCTCGTCAGCCTGGCGGCCCTCCGCACCAGGACAACGGCCCGAAGCGGCGTTGGGATGTCCTTTGTGGGCGAGGAGATGGGCTGCGGCCTGGATTGCGGCTGATGTATGCGTGCCAATGGTGTAAAAGACACTAGCCAACTGCAAGGTCTTCCCCAACCATCACACATACACGAACATCAGCAAACACGACGCGTCCGTGCAACTCTCCACGCACATCCCGCGACATACCTCCTACTCCGCAGCGTCAGTCGCGAGCTCTGGTAGCTAGCGTCAGCTTCAGAGTTTCCGCGTCGATTTTGAGCGCTGCGCGGTCCCACAGCCCCCCCGGCCCTGTTCCCAACCCAACTGCAACGGCCGCGTGGAATTCAAGCTTCAACCAGAAAAAAGAACCGCAAACCTTTTCACAAGCCTTCTCAGTGACCAGTGACCAGTGGCTGTTCTCCGACGCGTGCTGTCAAGGCAACGAGTGCGTTGTTTGCAGTTGGTATCCACAGTAAACAACAAAACAAGCTCGACAATTGCTTGAGACCACAAACAACGATCCTTTGGTGTGCACGCGCAGCAACGAGGTCCCACATCACATCCCCCCACCGTCCCCAGACAGCATCATTGGCGAGAGGCTCCAACGGTTGAGCCCCACTTGGCCATTTGCGCCGCGTCTGCCCAAGCTCTGCACAAACTCCAACGTTTTGCGTCACCCCCGCGCAGCGTTCGCCGTCGTCTACCGGAACCAACGGCACGCACACGAGTCCACATTGTCCATCTCAGGTCCAAGGTCTGGACACCCCACACCCGAAAAACAGAGGACCCCGAACTGGCCAAAAAAAATATCAGAGACAACGTAACGGAACAACGCACTCCGATCGCGCGCGCCTGTCTCTGATCTCTGCCCCGGGTGGTACCCTGAGCGTCTAATTTCCAGTGTCTCAACTTTGCGCGGTCGCGGCCCCGTTCCACGCTCACTGTACACTGTGGCCGGGTAGAGGCAGCAATTGCGAGGCCAGCAAAAGCACAAGCTGGCAGCCGGCACGATGGGCTTGATTTCGTTTAGCAGGCTTCAAAAGAAGGCGTCGCGTCTGTCGCTGTTCAACCCAGATATCCCTTCAGACTCGAAAAACAGCATCGACGCAACAGCCACCGCCAGACCTTCTTGCGATAGCAACAACAACAACAACAACACTTCCACCTACAGCAGCGAGACACTTCGCAAGAGGCCGTCTCGTCTCTCGTTGTTCATTTTCGACAACACACCCTCGTCCCCTGCCAGCGCCACCCCGCGCTCGTCCTACTCGGAAGACACTGTCCGTCGCCGCGCGTCGCGCCTGTCCCTCTTCCCGCGGAACCACAGCGAGACCGAAGTCCTCGCTGGAGACTGTGATACCGACGCCGAGACCCTTGTAGACAGCAGCGAAGCGACCCCGACTCGTCACCGCTGCGACTCGTTGCCCGTTACACCCACCGGCCGCCGCCGGTCCCTCTTTATCGACATTGGCAACAGCCTCAACCGCAACCGCCGCGAGTCTATCAGCAAAGACTCGATCTCGTCGCCTGTCCAGTGCGCATCTCCCTCCCCTTCCCCTTCCCTCTCCCTCTCCCCATCCAAGTCGCCTGTCACCGACGAAAAGTACCGCTACCGCCGCGTATCAATGCTCGTCTCGTCGCACCCCCGCCCTGCCTGCCACCAGCAGGCGCCGAACCCCGCCACGAACATGATGATGCCCAGCCGTGAGCAGCAGCAGCAGCAACAGCAGAAGCAGCGGGCCATTCAGCATCGTGCGGCCCCGACTGCTCGCGCCATGCCCATGGCCTGCAGCCCGCCGCTGCAGCTGCCACCTGGAGCCATGGCGCCAGCCATCAACGGACCATTCGGCCCTGGCCGTGTCCGCTACCAAGCCATGCCGCGGCAGTCGTTTGAGGACACTGTGTTCGGCGGCAGCAGCAGCGGTGCCAAGCCCCAGCCCCACCTTGAGTCTCGGTCTCTGGGTGCGGCTAGTGGCCGCCGAATGGCTGCATACGGAACTGTGAGTGTGATTGTGTGGTTGTGGATTTCTGTTGTGTATTTCGAAATTTCCTTGTCGAGCGAATATGGTTTTGGTTGTAATGAGGATTTAGCCAAAATGGGCAGGCGGCGGGGGCACCCACGGGTGGAATAGCCGCCAGAAAACGAGGGTGCCTAAAGGTCCCCCCCCCCCCTTGGAATGGGTCTGCCGGCACAGCCGAGATGGCGGCGGCTGGGTGAGGGATGACGCGCATGGCGGTGAGGGTCAATTCATCCGGCCAGCCAGCGTAAGCAGCTAGAGCAGCTGGGCGGGTGGGCCCACGCAAGTACATGTGGTGGCGCATTCTTTCAGATGGTCTTGAACCACTATGCCCAAGTGCGGGGTCTAGTCGAGAACAACGTCTGCAACGGAAAGGGCTGGGCACAGTGTGTGTTTCTTCGCCTCCATCGTACCATCTTCCTCTTCCTCTCCATCCTCGTCCTCGTCCTCATCGCCCATTCTCCCACACCCAATCGGCAATGGAACCCACAGCCTTGCCGCTCACCACCCCTCCCTCTCCACAACCCCCACCACCGGCCCTCTCCACTTCCGACACAAACTTACACACCACACAGCCCTCTACCATGTCCTCCTCCTCGCGCCCAAACGTCCCTCCTCGTTCCCACCTCCGCTCCCTCGCATCTACTTCTTCATCCGCCGCATCCAGCGCCACGGGCTGCTCTTCCACTCCCACATCCTCTGGCCGCTCATCTCCTTTGCCACCCAACAACACCACCGTCCCTGCCGCCATGACTCGCCGTCAGTTTGTGCTCGAAGTGGCACAGCCCCCACCGGCCATGCACACCGACTTTCGTCCCGCCGCTCCCAAGCGGTCATCTTTGCAAGCCGCCGAAGACATCATTACCTTTGGCCACAAGTCGCGCGCATCCCGTCACAAGGCCCAAAAGTCGCTGGACGAGCGCGACCCCCTCAAGGTTCGCGATGGCGTCTCGGCCCACAAGGCCCGTAGCGGTGTCTACACTCGTGAGTACAGCGCACAGCCCGTTACACTAGACAAATATGCTGACTGGAACCCCCAGCGGCCTCGTTCCCAGGCGCAACAGGCCACTCGCCGACGTCGCCCATGACCGCGACGTTTGACAGGCAGCGTATGCCCGGCAACCCGAACGCCGTGGCCGCACGGTCCCAGACGATGCCTCGTTTTACTGCGCCGCCGCCTCTGCCTCCTCGCGCCACGAGCCTGCCTGTTAAGCGCAACTCTGCGCCGGGCCCGACCAACAGCAGCCAGCAGCGTGCACAGTACGCGATCGCCGTGCCCGAGCGCAACTCGTTCCACACCCACCAGTACCGCCAAGCGCTGCAGCCACCTCTGCCTGTGGCTGCCCCTGCTGCCCCTGCTGCTGCCCAGGCTCCGGTCTACACGCATGCCAAACGTCCGAGCTACTCGCCGTCGTCGGCGCATTCCGCCGCCTCCCTCTCGCCTCCGGGCACACCCACCACGCCCACGTCTGCCTCGCACCACGGATCGGGATCGTCCAGGCCAGCGTCTTCTTCGATCACCATCGTGCCCGCCGACGCCGCACCACACTTTGGCGGCCGCACCCCGCCCTCGGACGGTGCCGACACTGACGCCGTCGTCACCACCAAGGGCAAGGCCGCCGACAGCGCCATTGGCCTGTCCCTCACCCATGTCCCTCCCCCTACCATCCCTGCGGCGGCCGAGGACGTGCCCCTCTCCCCCGGTGCGCCCAAGCGTGCCCGTCGCAAGCCCGTGCCCCGCCTCGACCCGGACCTCGAGCTGGTGCAGCGTATGGAGAGTCTCTAAAGTCTCTAGCCGGGACGTCTCTCCCTCTGTGTCAATGTTGTAACTACACATTTATCATTCTCTCATTAGGAAAAACGACCTATACTGTATAATTGTACGCCAGGCATATGTCATTTTTCTGTGCATCTACCACTGCTGTACGATGGCTGCACGGCCGGCCAAAGAATTATTCAAAACGACGATGACGTCTGCTTGCTGCGGGTGGACGATGCGGGGCACCGACAACAATGCAACCTTCCACGACGCGCCAACGGAACAGCAGGAGACTTTCCACGTCAGCGTAATATCTCTAGATTCCTCCTTTCTCCATCTCCCATTCACCTCCCCGGACCATGCGGCTCTCCCTCTCGATCCCAGCAGCCCTCTTGGCCCTTGCGGGCTTTGTGAGCGCGTCCAACGTCGTCGACCTCGACCCCCGCCAGCTTTGACGCGGTGAGTCTGGTCGCTGCTTTCGCGCGGTGCTCCGAATGGAACATGGAACAACCTCCACCCGCCCACGACAAAATGGACGCAAGTGTGATGCTGACGCCGACACCTAGCTCGTTGGCCATGACAAGCCTGCCCTTGTCGAGTTGTGAGTGTTCTCAGCTACTATCTTGTGCCAAAGAGCTGACATGAACCAGCTTTGCCCCGTACGTACTGACCAACTGTGTCGTTGAACGCCTGCTGACCAAGCAAGGTGGTGCGGCCACTGCAAGAACCGTGAGTCCACCTCCCTTCGTCGTCTACGACACACTCTCCTCCTCCACTCAGGCTGCTCTCACGCCCCGTGGCCGCTCTGCATCTTCCCAAGCGAAGCAGAGACTCGGTGGGGTGGGCGTAGAGTGGAGCGTTTCAAACCCGCCGTCTTCTCGTTCTGTCCTTTTGCTGACATGTCCCCTTCCAGTGATGCCCACTTGGGAGCAGCTCGCGGACGCGTTCCCCAAGGACAAGGTTCTGATTGCCAAGACTGACGCCGACGGCGAGGGCCGCGCCCTTGGCGAGCGCTACGGCGTGCAGGGCTTCCCCAGTGAGTGCCGCAGGCGGCAGGCGGCTGCCAACGACGAACACAACGTCGCTGTACAGCCGCCAGATGCCTCTGCAGCCTCTCGGCCATTCCCCTGCGCAATTGCTAACTCGCCAGCCCTCAAGTGGTTCCCCGCCGGCTCGGTCGAGCCCGAGGACTACACTGGTGGCCGTGACCTCGACTCGCTGGTCGCGTTTGTTGCCGAGAAGTCTGGTGTCAAGTCCCTCATCAAGCCCCCTCCCCCTCCCGCCGCCCTCACCCTCGACTCTAGCAACTTTGACGACGTCGTTGACGGTTCCAAGAATGTCCTCGTTGCCTTCACTGCCCCCTGGTGCGGTCACTGCAAGAACATGAAGCCCGCGTACGAGGCCGTCGCGCGCGCGTTTGAGCAGGAGAACAGCCACTGCATCGTTGCCAACATGAACGCCGACGAGGCCGACAACAAGGACATTGCTCACCGCTACGGCGTCCGTTCGTTCCCCACCATCAAGTTCTTCCCCAAGGGCGAGGACGAGTGGCTCAACTACGACCTGCCCCGCACCGAGGCCGCCTTCACCGACTTCCTCAACGAGCACTGCGGCACCCAGCGTGCGCCCGGCGGCATCCTCAACGACATTGCCGGCCGCATCGCGTCGCTCGACGCCCTCGCGTCCGAGTTCATCGCCGACATTCCCTCGCGCGACGACGTCCTCGCCAACGCCAAGGACCTCGTCTCGGGCCTCAAGGCCGACGGCCAGGCTGCCGGCGCCAAGGCCGCCGCCACCGCCGACTACTACCTCAAGGCCATGGAGCGCATCAAGACCAAGGGTGACGCCTGGCTCGCCAAGGAGACTGGCCGTCTCTCCAACCTCCTCGCCTCGTCGTCGCTCGCCCCCGCCAAGCTCGACGAGATTAAGGTCAAGATCAACATCCTCAAGCAGTTTGTCGCCAAGAAGGCCGGCGAGCTCTTTGACGATGCCGAGGCCGCCGCGCAGAAGATTGTCGGCAAGGACGAGCTCTAAAAGGCCGTAGCCTTGGCCTGTAGCGCCAGCTAGCGAGGGCTGTGCGGGTCCCAAAGGCCACAGCCACAACATTGACCTTGCGAGCTCGGTTTGGGCGGAAGAGAGATCCCCTGTTATAGAGGCTCCCCGATGCAGCAGTACAAATCCATCCATACATCGTTTTTTGTTGTTTTCGGCTTCGTAAACCCTATCTTCTCGCTTCTATCTCATCGACCGGCTGGTCTCGCTGCTGCTGGAGGCTTCGCGCGCGGGTGCATTCACTTGTACCGGCGGCCGTTGCTGCGGTGATGTTTCTTGTTTACTTCTTGCTGGCGCAGTCGGAGCACTTGCAGTTGGCGCACTTGCAGTCGCCGGCGCAGGCGCAGGCGCTGGTGGTCGAGCCCGAAGAGCACCTGGGTCGCGAGTCAGTACATGCCGTTGCTGAGGGGATCCCGGTAACGTTGCCGACGGAGTCGGGTGTGGGCTGCTAGGCAAGATAGGATCGTCGGCCGATGGAGCGGCGAACAAGGGCGCCGCTGGTTGGCAGCTGCTCGCCGCGTGACATGCCTCTCCAGCGTGCCATGCTAGGAGTTGCGAGCCGACGCGCCCAGCACACCAGACCGACGCTCCCTCATCTCCTGCCCCGCTTCCCCGTCTCGAGCCTGAGACTGTACTCACTCGCATCCGCTGCTCTGGGCGGGCTTGCTGCACGAACAGCTAGTGCCGCACTGGCAGGTACCGGCGGCACACGAGCCGCCGCACTGGCACGAGTTTCCCGAAGACTGGCAACTGGGTGGGGTGTTAGTTTCTAATGGCGACTGAGATCTCTCTGCGTTGGAGGAAGGCGCGGTCGAGACGGTGGATGATGGGGAGCCGGGAGGGGAGGACCATGCCGTGGGGACTCACGCGCAACCCATGATGGTTTGTGGTGGTGTTTAGGTGGAAGTGGGTTGAGAGGTGAGAGAGGTAAAAGTGTTGTGGACGTTGATGAAGAGCAGAGGTTGACAAGGTATTGTTAGGACGTCGTGGAGCTTTCAAGTGGCCGTGGTCGACAGGAGTGTGTGCACCGGGGGGTTTCTAAATGCCTCACGCTGCATGCGGCTGGCACCGCTAACCGCTTTACGCTTGGCATTAGCGGCACGACTAGAACAATGCGCACGAGGAGAGAGCCTGCCAACGGCCAACGATCGGGCCAACGACGTCACGCCTGCAGGCGGCGTCCACATCAGCCGGATCCTCTTCCAAATGATTCCAGTCATTCGTAAAAGGAGCCAAGTGTGCAAGTGGCCAGTGGCAAAGGAGATTGCCGTCCAGCAGTGGACTTGGGATTACTTTCGTGGCAGCCAATACTTGAAGCTTCCACGCAAAGCACGGGTGTGTGCAGAGTGCCAGCAGTGCCGTTCAGAGACGCAGAGGAGCAGTTGTATGCATCGGTCGGCCGGTCGCGGTTTGCTCCACAGATCTGTATGGAGGAGACAGCGGTGCCGTTGCGGCGGCATTTTGGAGAAAACGCACTACGCCGTTGCTTGTGGGCGTAATGTACATATTGAACGGGCGTAGTGTGTTTTGCCCGACCTGGCGGGTGGAGAAACACACTACGCATTTGCTCAAACCGTGCCCCGCTTGTGAGCAAATGCGTAGTGTGTTTCTCGAAATGGGTGTGTTTGCGGAGAGAAACACACTACGCATTTGATCAAATGCGTAGTGTGTTTCTCTGGAGCGGGGGCCGTACGGTGGCGTTTCCGGAGAAACACACTACGCACTTTGCTTGGGCCGACCAAAGTGCGTAGTGTGTTTTATGGCGAATTGAGAAACACACTGCGCACTTTTCTTGGGCCGACCAAAGTGCGCAGTGTGTTTCTCCGAAATTTGTATGGTAGCGGGGCCTTTTTCAGAGAAACACACTGCGCACTTTGGTCGGCCCAAGAAAAGTGCGCAGTGTGTTTCTCCACCCGTCCTCCCATTTTGGCTGGGGGCTCGAGAAACACACTGCGCACTTTGCTGGAGCGGAGCAAACCGCGTAGTGTGTTTTTGGCATGCATCAAGCAACACTCGTACACCTGCCACAATGGATGCCTTCCTTCTTCCATATCGGCCGCTGGCCGACAGAGTCATTGATAGAGCATTTACACCCCATACAGCAAGAGGACACTCGCTCTCCTCATACATGATATTCACAAGCATCATACACTTCTAACAGATGTTTCAAGGATTCACGGAAACGCGATACCCAACCAAATAAATCGGCCGCGAGCACGTTTGTGGAGCAAGTTTCAATGCGTCGTTTCATGACCCCATCCAACCGCCTCACTCTCCACACTGTCCGAGCCTTGCGGAGCACCTCTGCGTTCAAGCTACACACGAGGATAGAGCTCAGTTCCAACATTGGCCTTCGCCCCAGTCTCCTCAAGGTTTCGGGGTGCCTTCGAGGCCGCGCACCACGGCAATGTTGTAACGTGGCAATACTGCATGTTCGAAGCCGCGGCGGCCGTCTAAGGACGGTTGACCTTTGCCTTGCGCTCCTGCAGTACTGACGTGGCCTCCTTATCAGCTAACGGTGAACTTCAGCTGAAGAGAGGGACGAAACATGAATGTCATACGGAGTGGCTACGACAAGGCGCCTAAGAAACAAGGTACCGTATGAGAGGTGCAGTAGTGCAGCGCCTCGTGGCCGTGGTTGTGTACAAAGAGGGAGGAGAAGGGAGAAGGTGCCGCCCGAGAGCGGGGTGGCTGAGATACGAATACATATTGGAGTGAAGTCGTAGGGGCCGAATGCGGGTCGTGGAACGTGGGTGTGGGTGCTGAGCGCTTGCGAGCCGCGCTTGCTAGCTTCGTTGCATTGGCCTTTGGTTGTTGGAGCGTGGCGAGCGTGGCCATCTCAACTGCATGAAGGGAAGAGGGTATAGACAGGTCGGGGGGTTTGGGAGCGGAACAATAGGAGGGTGGCTGCTCGCTGGGTAGCCGTAGTTGGGACTGAAAAGGCGGAGGTGTTGCGTTTATGCTGTAGTCTTGTACTTTGTGGACCTCGATACGGGGCACTGATCACACCTTTTTGCCGTCGCCTTGCTTAGGGGCCTGGCGTCTACCCCATCCCCTCAACTTGGAGCGGACCTTGTTACACCAGTTGACGAGTTGCTTGACTTTGCGGTTCGTGGCCTTAGGTTTCGAGGAGCCGCCGTTCGTCTCCGCCTGCGCCCTCTTCAGCTGTCGGCCGGCCCTGCACACTACGGCGGCATGGGTCTTCACGGTGGTCGAGAGCTTGGACATCTCCCGCCTTGCCCGCTTGACGTTGGACTTAAGGTCTGCAATCTCGCGCCGGGCAGCCTCAAGCTCGCGTCGGGTAGCCTCCAGGTCGCGCTGGGCAGCCTTCAGCTCGCGCCATAAAGCCTCCACGTCTCGCTTGGTACCTTCTGTCTGACACTCGATGGCCGTGACACTCTTGAGCAGGAACTGGATCTTTTCCTCCAAGTCTGCAAGTCAACACCCGTCCGTTTCATGTATATGTGACTCACCGGCCACCACCTGGATCAGCTCAGCGTCGGTGAGCTCTGCTGCTGAGTGTGAAAGCCCAGAGGTGCTTGTGTCGACCGGCAGCGCAACAGGCTCGACCGTACCCGCCGCTGCTGCCATTGTGGTCGTCGACGTGGTCGGGGCTGTCCAAGACGGCGTGTTAATAAGCTTGTCTGAACCGTTAGTCACCTGTGTGGTGCAGCACTAAATTACTTACTGGTGTCCGAGGTGACAGGGAATGAGAGGCTCTCAGAGTGCGACGACGTGCCGACGCTGCCGGGTGCTGGGATGGCATTCGTGGAAGTCTTGTTGGAGCAGATGCCAAGGTTGGAACGCGACGTGCAAGGTTGGTCCTGTTGTCAGCGTCGCCACTGGCAATCTAAACGTACGCTGTCACACGTCTGCTTGCCTCCCGCGCACTGCGTGCAGGGTCCCGTGTCCTTGATGGAGCCACCAACCATGACGAAGTGGATGGGTGATGGTATGGATCTGGGTGAAGAAGGTGAGGAGAAGTGGTAGTGTTGAAGGAAGGAAGAAACAAACACGCCCGCCCCAGCCGTGAAAGCTACCGCGCGGTTGACTGGACCACACACATCGCTCACCCTTTTGGCCCTTGGCAGACACACCGGTCAAACACAGTCAACTGATCGACTTTCGTTTTCCTTTCGTTCACCTTACCATCCCCTCTGATCCACTTTCATCCAGCACTCCCGTCATGCTCACTGTGGCGGAGTTTAGGGCGGCCATCAACGCCACTGCCGACGACAACTTCTGGAAAGAGTTGGTCGCCAACGGCCCTCTGCACCTGGACTGCACGCCCATCGTGGCTGTCAACGCTCGTGAAGGGTCAATCCCTCCCACCATACCCCCCACCGACCCCGACGCTTCCCGTGCGGTTGGCCTCGCCCATCTCCAGCTGGCCGCGCAGAAGCTCGCTGAGCAGATCCGCGATGATGACCTCGTCGCGTTCCCCGGTCTGAGGGACACCAAGACCACGTGAGTGTTGGACCTGTACGCGCTTTACGTCGGGGCTGACGCACACACACACACAGTATGCCTCGTCCAGTGTATCTCCGCACCGCTCGTGAGCTCCCTCCACTGGAGCAGAAGCTGACATGAACAGAGGATCTGCAGAGCATTGTGAATGCACTCCTGGACCTGTTCAGAACCGACTCCTTCGCTACTTTGCCGTAAGTGGTTGGCATCCAGCTAAGCAGACACTTACAAGCGCAGCGACCTCTGGGACATTCTCAAGGAACAAACCCACGTCTCTGAGGCGAAGATGGTTGGCGTGAGTTGTGCCAAAGCCTTGACCACTGACCATATCAGCTGCTCAAGAGCCTCGCTGCAGGCGCCGGGCAACCGCTTTGGGCGTTGCGAGTCGTGGTAGGTTGTATGGGCCTGATTTGGACGACATTGACCCCGTAGCGCGAACCCCCCAAGGGTACGATGGCCGCCACCGATCTTGTGGCTGTGTTGGCAAGTGGCGAGAGGGTCTCGTTCTCTGCGTCGGCCGTGAGTTGGAACAAGATACAGACAGCGGTACTCATCATCCCAGGGAACCTTGATTCCTCGCGCCGAGGAGGTCGTCCGTTTTGAGGGAGCTTGCGAGTGGGTGCTCGTGGTGGAGGACAAGGAGGTGAGTGAGCTTGTTGTCAACACTGGCCACTGACCGTAGACCGTCTTCCAGCGTCTCCTGGGTTCCGACATGCTCAACGAGCCGAAGATGGGAAAAGGCGTGCTTCTCGCCGTAAGCACTGCCATGATCATGACCGCAGTACCCTACTGACACCATGCAGGGAAACAGCCAGCCAGACGCCGGCACCATCGAACTTCTGCGCGTCATCGCCGACAAGTTTCCGACTGCTGCCATCCTCGGTTTCTTCGATGCCGCCCCTGACGGCGTTCGTTTTGCGAGCGCCTACAAGTACGGCATCAAGAACAAGAAGTACGCGGCGGACGCGCAAGGCTGCGACCGTTTCGAATGGATCGGCCTTTTCATCGAAGACTGCTACAAGTAGGTTTGAGAAAGCGTTCAAGGCTGAACCTGCCAGGTTGCGAGTTCGTGCCAAAATGCTCGAGGAGGCCGATGTTGTCGCAGTAAGTACCACCGTTCCCTTTCTTTCGTCGACTGACCCATCAGTTCGACAACATGCTGCGCAAGCCCAACTATCCTCGAGAGTGGCTGTGAGTGTCCAACAAGTGATGGTTCTGATCATGTACCCAGTGACCAGATCGTCCTCATGCGCATTGCTGGCTACGCCCGCATCGAGGATGGCTACGGCCGTGATGACTTCATGGCGTACCTCCACGAGAAGATCCTGAGGGCCTGTGAGGCGTGAGCATTAGAACGGTCATGTAATATAGCATGTATAAACGCTGCTTTGGTTACGATGTCGCCATCAGCCCGACCAGGAGGCAACCAACTTACGACGTACATGCTGTCGCGGCTGTGTCTTCGAAATGTAGGCGGCTGTCGACTCACGTCAGCCTCTGCCTCCTTTCCGTTGATCAATTGAGAGCATGCCTAACACACACGCGTTGTACATTTGACGCTTTCCCCAACAACTAGATTGCTGTGCAGACAGCCCAGTGGAGGCGTTTAACTGTCTTGTCAGGCGCCGATTAGCTGTGCGACACTAGTGTGGCAACTGCACGGCAGTGTATAGGATAGGATGCGTTAGTTCGGCGAATTCCGACCTGACAGTACACCCATATTTTGCTCCTAGCTCCTAGAAACTCTCGCCTCCACCATGGGTTCCACTGGCTGGTGTCATGCACAGCAGGTCTCCCCGTTGGTCCAAGCATCGTATCTACCAGTTCGTGCCAAGCCGCGCTCTTACGCCGTCGGCCTCGCGGCCTCGGCGGCCAGGTTCGTTGGGGGCGGCGGATTTCCCGTCCGCTCCGCGCTTGGTGTCGGCCGCCGCACGGTGAAGTCTTGGTCAGGGCGGACGTCATCGATAAAGAATGTGTTTGATTGCCCGCTCCCTCGTCGTCTCCACTCCTGGGCCACTCCATTCCACACACATTTTCTTTCCTCCCACAACACCCACACACATACATCACATTCACGTTTGCACAACAGAGCTTCCAACAGAGCTTCCCAGTAGAGGCGACGAACACAGTCTTACCGTCGGCCCCGAAGCAACAAACCAAACACCCACTCTCCCCTCCCCCTTCCGGACTCTACATCCCACCCACGTTCCCCATCACCATGTCATTCACGCCCCCACCCCGCCGAACCCCCACTGCCTCGGCCTACTCCTCTGGCTCCTCCACCCCCGAGCCTTCGGGCTGGCGCGCCAAGATGGCCGCCAAGTCCAAGAGCTGGGGTGCTGTCGCGATTGAGAAAGTGACTGTCGTCAGCGACAACGTCGGCGGCCGAGTCAACACGTTTGCGGCGAACCGGCTGGGCACAGAGGCGTTTTGGCCTGTGACGGGCGATTTCCCGCAGGAGATGGACAAGGCTGCGCGTATCCTGAAGCAGTTTACTGGTGAGTAGTGCACCATGCAAGAAGGAGAGGGTTGGGCAAAGGCTGATATTCCTCCAGTGGACGGCATTGTGACCGAGGACAAGAAGAAGAAGATCAAGCTCGTACGCAAGATCCCGCCCAAGGTGATTGCAGAGGCCAAGGGTCTGGCAATCTTTACAAGCATGCGCAGTGGTATCGCCCCGCTTGGCGGTGCTGGTGGTGCGGGCCTTGTGACGGCCAAGCTGCCTGATGGAAGTGAGTGTTGGACGAAGAGCGGCAGTGGAACGAGATCCATAGGTCTCAGTCGCAGCAGACACTCCGTCACTCGCGTCACCTTGACTTGCGTTCCCGATTAAGCATGCTAACATGCACCAGCCTGGTCAGCGCCGGCCTGCATCTCGCCCAACAACCTGTCAACTGGGGTAAGTCGCCGCTCCATAGGTATTGCGGCACACCAGCTAACTGTCTCTTCCCCAGTTCCTCATCGGTGTCGATATTTACGACTGTATCCTTGTCATTCGTACTCAAAAGGCTCTCGAATCGTTCGGCACCCACAAGTTTACTCTTGGTACGGAAATCGCCGTTGCGGCCGGTCCGTGGGGTGCTGGCGCCGCTGTCGAGGCAGGAAAGGAGGCCGCCCCGGTGTTCAGCTACGTCAAGAGCAAGGGCCTGTACGCCGGCATCGAGGTTGTGGGCCAGGTGTTTGTCGAACGCTACGAGGAGAATGGGAACTTGTACCACTGGCCAGGTGTCAAGGCGAGGGATATTGTAAGTTGGCATGGCTGTCGAAAGGGGACGCACAGCTGACGTACTTTAGCTCGCTGGCAAGGTCGCCGTCCCTCGCGAAATGGCAAACCTCACACTCGCTCTCCAGGAGGCCGAGAGCGGTCGTGCCCAATCGCGCACGAACGCCGGAGCGCTCGAGTACGTCTTTGACCCCAACACTGTGCCGCGACCGACCGACGACCTCGAGCTCGGCGAGGGCGAGGTCCTCAAGCTGCCGCCCACGCCGGAAATGACAAACGGCCACGAGTGTGAGAGCGACCCCGAGACCGAGGCCATCATCCGCCGGTCAGGTCTCAACAGGCCCGACCTCCCGAAGCGGCCCGGCACCGCTCCTCCAACTGGCCCGCCTCCGCCTCTCCCGCCCCGCTCGTCCATGCGGCCGGTGAGCATCAACCACGCGCCAGTGGACTACCTTGTCGACGCCTCTGACCCGAGCGAAAAGGCCTACGCCGCTCCCGTGGGTCCCCCTCCCCATCTGGCAGCAAGCTACGCGCCACTCACCCCGTCGCCACTTACGCCCGAGGTCATCACCCCCGTCTCGCCCATCTCACCAATGGCCGGTACCTCCACAAGCACGGCGACCGCCGGGCACGCCGACGACGCCCCGCCGCCTGCGTACGATGCCAGCACCAGCGCCGCCGAGTCTGGTTTCCCCGACGAGAAGAAGGTCGATTTCGAGAAGCTCGCCATTGTCGACGACCACGCGCACGTGGCTGCGGCACCCGACTCGCCAAAGTCCGAGTACAATGAGGACGCGTACGGCGGTATCGAGGACACGATGCCCGAGGGCGAGATGACCGAGGGCGAGCGTCGCGAGTGGGAGCAACACCTCGCCGCGCAGAAGGATGCGGCGAGGGAGAAGGAGATGATGGCCAACAAGGCTGTTTAGAATTGAGCCAGAGAGAGGTCAGGTGGAGCTGTTTGTACGATACGAGACAGTATAGACGAGTTAACAGCCAATGTATTTATTTGCCTAGCTTGCGTCGCATGGCTGGCATGTTGCGTCACGTCCACATCTAGCCACATGCATGATGACAAAAAAATATATCAACCTCTCTCGACCCTGCAAGGAGCGCTCTAGCGTGCGTCCTTGCCATAGCACCCCCAGCCAGCTTCCGAGCGGCAAGAGCGTGCCATGTCCACGACTCCCACCAAGCCTTTTGTCCTTCCTCTTTCTCGCGTTACATGTACTCCTTGAGCTTGAGGAGGCGGTCGCCGGCGGCGTGGAGGAGCTCGGGGTCCTTGCAGAACGCGAAGCGGGCAAAGTTCTCGCCAATACCGGCGTGGTCCTCGCAGTAGAACCTGTGGACAATGTTAGTTTTTGTCTTTGCTCACGCTAAAGTCAGCAAGTCCCCACTCACTCTGAGGGAGGGATAGCAACGACCTTGAGGGTCTGGGCCATCCACCAGCACAGCTTGAAGTCCTTTCCGCGGCCCTTGCAAGTAGCGGGGACGACAAAGTCATCGGGGACCTTGATCTTGGACATGTCGACGAGGACAAAGTAGGATCCGTCGGGCTTGGTGTACGGCAGCTCAAGCTTGTCAAAGTACGAGCAGAGAATGTCGCGGCGCTCAGTGTACTCCTGGAGCTGGGTCTCGAAGAACTTGTGCTCCTTGGCGCCCTCGAGGCCAATAGCGACAGCCTCCTGCATGGGTGCGTTGGTGCAGAAGACAATCTTGGTGTGCGCGGCCAAGGTAGCGGCGGTGAGCGCGGGCGCGCCGATGAGCCATCCAATACGCCAGCCAGTAGCGGCGAACGACTTGCCGCCCGAACCGACGGTGAGGGTGCGCTCCCACATGCCGGGAAGCGAGGCGATGCGGACGTGCTCCTTGTCGTCGTAGACCATGCAGTCGTAGACCTCGTCGGCAATGACGAGGACGTCGTTCTCGATACAGATCTTGGACAGCTCGGTGAGCTCCTCGCGCGAGAAGACCTTGCCGACGGGGTTGTGAGGGGTGTTGATGATCACAGCCTTGGTCTTGGGAGTGAAGGCAGCGCGGAACTCGTCGTAGTCAATGGTCCAGTCACTGGAGCCGCTGACCTGCTTGCCCTCCTTGGGGGGGTGCAGGGGAACGTAGACGGGAGTGCCGCCGTTGAAGACAATGGTAGCAAAGTACTGGTCGAAGAAGGGCTCGATGCAAATAACCTCATCGCCGGGCTGGAGGTGGGCGCACATAGCGGCGTAGGTGCCTAAGCAGTCGTGTCAGTGTCTGCAAGGAAATCTCGAGAACGTGTGTGGGCAGTGGTATGTAGACGGCTCGGCTCGGCTCCAGGCCGACATTCGCGTGACTCACCACAGTTGGCGCCCGCAGTAACAACAATCTCGTCGGTCTGGAGCTTGCGGCCCTCGGCAACAAGGTTCTCAAACGAGGGAGAGTAGTGCTCGGAAAGAGCCTTAATGAGACGGGGGCGACCGCGGGGGTGAGCGTAGTGGTTGCTCATCATGTCCTGGTCCATCGACTTGTGGCTGGCCTCGCGGATCCAGTCGGGAGGAGCCCAGTTCATGAAGCCCTGGCCGAGGTTGATGCAGTCGGCGGGGACATTGGCAGGACTGGTGGTATTGTCAGCAGCGGTTCAGTGCTTGCCAGGTATCCTAAGAGCGTACGTGAAGATGGACCAGACGTCAAGCTTGTGGGTGCCGCCCTCAAACATACGGTCGGCCTGGGGGATGACTGCGTCCCTCGAGGTAGCCATGATGGAGGATGGGTGGAGTGCGCGGGTGGTGGTTGATGTGAGAGTGCGAGAAAAGGTGCGGGGGAGAGTACGTCCCAAGCAAGTGAGCATGCAGCGGTGGGCGAGGGGAGACTGGGTGGTTGATGTGGTGATGAAAGACGAAGAGGACAAATGTCCGGGCTGATCCAGGTCGCAGACGGCCGACAGGTGGTGTGTGTGTGTACGAGTCGAACGGACCTGGCCGGGCCAGACTTTTTCTTTTCGGTTATTTCTAATAGAGAGAATAGGGTCCATTACCAACATTTACTAATCTCGGGTACTCATTATTAAGCAGCAGGGACTAAAATTGCGACATTTGTGCGAATCGAAATGTGGGACCCCGCCGACGCGGACTCTCCGGGCCCCCCATGCGACAACCACCCACGGATCCACGGAGCAAACCGACGGACGAGATGTGGCACAGGCCTGGCAGTTGGTTATGCATCCTCGCAAGGATGCATGCACTTGTTGTCCCATGTCCATGCCCGAACTACTGTTGACAGCAGCTGCCAGGTCGAGACGACACTCACAGCCTGGATAACCGTAATTGTGTATGTGTCGATGTGACAAGCACGTCACCGTCTTCTTGCCTTCCCTCTGCGTCTTCCTCGCCTTCCCTCCGGCTGCCTTCCCTCCGCTGGTCCTTCCCTAGAGAATGTACCCACCGTTCATTCTCATGTTCTCTCTTCATCTTTCTCTCTCTCTCTCATCTCTAACCCATGGCACAACACAATGTCATCGCCACCCCACTTTCCTATCTCATTCACACCACCCCACACCCCTTTCTCGTCTCACCCACTCCTCACATCTCTCATCGGCGAGAAACGCAAGCGCACACCACCAGCCGACAGCGTGGACTCTGGCGACGAGCGCGGTGACGACGGCAGTAACGAGCTCAATGATGATGGCTTCGTCTCCGAACCCTCGCAAGTCTCCTCGGCCTCCTCCGACGAGATCCAACCCGTCTCTCTCCCCGAACGCTCATACTCACCGCCGGCATGGCTACTCGAGGACCTCAAACTTGCAAGTCGCCTGCCTTCCTCACCTTCTCCCTCTTCCTCAATGGAAAACGTTCCAGTGAGAATGAACCTCGATACCGCTCGCCCAACGAACCGGATGCAGGATCACGTCCCCCGGGGATCTCGATCGCCCGTTCAAGTGCCAACCAACAGACCCTTTCCCCCTCAGTCGCAAGCGACGGCCGAGGAGGAATGTCTGTACCAGAAGGAAAGCTGGGTGTCTGGCACCCACGAGGACTATCCTTGGGAGAAGACTGTTCCCGTGGTTCATGAGCCCCCACCAAGCCCACTCAGCACGCCTCGGTCAATCCTACCTCCCCACAACCCCTCGTATCTCGGCTCTCATGCCGGGGATGAAGAATCGCGACAGGATGTGGAAGACAGCATGGACGAAGATTTCCAGTAGGTGTCTCATATGGGCCATGCTGACAGGAAGGGGTGATACAGAGGATGACACTGAGTGAGCTCATCGTCTACCAACATAAGCTCATTTTGCAGATATGTTGTCCGCACCTTCCTCGAGTCGGTCCTAACCAGTTTCCTCCGCCAACTGAAACGCTCCGTCGCGCAACTCGAGAAGATTCGTGCTGAGCGATGCAAGAAACTGTCTGCAAGTGACTTGTTTTCTGTTGGAATCAAGTTTGCTCTCATCAACAGGGAGAATGGGTATGTTATCCGGCTGGTTACTGCTAACAGACAGCAAGCACCAGACTATCACGTTCCCAGACAAGCCTGGAAAGCAGCCCGTGCAGCCTGCTCTCGTCCGCATGTGTACGTTTGCCGGTCATGGTCAGTGCTGACTGTGCAGCGCGGGTGCTGTATATTGCTTCAGTGATGTACCAGACAGTCCTCGAGGGAGGTCTTGTTACGAAACGGTCAGTTGTCCACCGTGAATTGAGCTGACCAGTCAGAGACATCTTTTACCGCAACGTGCTGCTCTTCGGCAAACAGCGTGTAGTAGACAAGGTGGGTTGGAGTTCCTGACGAACCGAGCTTACCCCCCAGATTGTCGACGACTTGATTTGCACAGCAGGACTCAAGCGCCAGGACTTTCGCGTCGTAGGTAACTCCTCCGAACAGTATTGACCTACGTAGTGTGCCACCTCTAAAGGCCTCATCGCCTCCAACGCACTTGTCATCGTACTCAACACCGGCGAGGAGCTCCCACTGTTTGCTACTTCGGTGGGTTCTTCGCTGTGGTAGTACCTCCTGACCCGCCAGAGTACCCTCATCCCACAAGAGGAGCGCATCGCTAGCATCGAGGCGCCGGACGGTCTCGAATGGGTTCTCCTCGTGGAGAAGGACGTGAGCTAACATAATCCGAATACACAAGCTGACATACAGGCCATCATGCAGTCTCTCACCGGCGCCGGCATCCTTCATGATAAACGTCTCGGTCCTGGCGCAATCATTACTGTTAGTTCTCCTACCTCTCCTCTCCTCCCGAACTGACAGTACAGGGCAAAGGATATCCCGACCTCTCCACCCTCCAGCTCCTCCGCCGACTGGCAGACACGTTCCCCGAGACACACATATATGCCCTCGTCGATGCGGACCCGCACGGTATCGACATTCTCTCCGTCTACACGTTCGGATCCCGTGCCAACGCCTTCTCCGAGGACCACATTGGCTTGCCGCTCGGTGACCGTCTCGAGTGGATCGGAGTCAAGGCCACAGAGTGGTCCAAGTACGTCCATTACTCTGAGACTTGGTCTTGGTCACGCTGACAGGCAGGGTTGGACGGTATGAAGATCTTCTGCCCCTGGGAGAGCGAGAGATTGCCTTTGTGGGTGATGACTACAGATCTTTGCACTGACCCGCAACAGGCCACAAAAATGTGTACAGCCCGCCCGGACATGCCCCAAGAGTGGCGGTGAGCTAGTTTAACGATTTTGGGTATATAGCTTACGCCCAGCCGCGAGCTCGCCCACATGCTCCACGTTCACCGCAAGGCCGAGATCCAGATTCTCTGCGGTACGGCCCCCAACACTGACGAGCTCGAGCGCTGCCTCTCGGGCTCGAAAATTGAAGAGTCGCCGAGTAACCGTCTGGTCGAGTACATTGTAGAGAGAATCGCTGGCCACAGTTAGTTTTGTATAGGGTCCTCGCAGTTAGTTAATAACATCTTTCACTGCCTCTGTGGGTCTCCCATGTCTGTGCACTTCAGAATAGTTTGCATTTCCTGGACCAATTATTGAAAATTTCAGAAAACCCTTCTTTTTAATTATTAAACACTAAAAAATGCGCCTAGTAGTCCACCTTCCAGCCGTTGAGGGGGTGGATGAAGGTGGTCGCCGCCTTGGCCTCGACGCAGTCAAACGAGGACGTGCTGTTCTTCTTCCACAGGGGACGAGTGGGCCAGAGACAGATCTTGGACTGGATGGAGGTGCCGGTCTCGGTGGTACCGTTGAGGTACGAAGGCGCGACGCCGTTCTCGACCCAGTCGATGAGCTGGGCAAAGCCGAACTGGGGCCAGGGGCCGTTGGGCTGGGCCGTGTTGATCGAGCAGTGGGCCGCGCCGGGAACGAGGTAGAAGCGGTAGAACTCGTTGATGCCGGTGTAGTCCTTGGCACCGGGGAACATGGCCGCGCGGACCTTCTCGTGGAAGTGGGCCGAAGCCTCGGGGAACAGGTTGGTGTCCTGCTCACCGTGGTAGTGGATCATCTTGCCTCCGTTGGCCTGGAAGGCCGAGAGGTCGGGCCAAGTGCTCTCAGACCAGCCACCGTACTGCTGCAGACCCTCAAGCATCATGTCGTACACGTCGTCGACAGTGATTGTGTCGTAAGGGACGGTCACGGAGGCAGTGGTCCTGAGAACCATGTTCGTGTAGTAGGTACCGAAGAAGTTGCTGGTGCCAGCGCTGAAGGTGCCGTTGGCAGCGTTGTACTTGACACCCGCCTCCACCGTAAGGGTGGTACCGGGACGGTAAGCCCAGAAGAGCTGGTCGCCGGCCGAGGTGAAACCGCCCTTGTAGATGGCCTTGACCACGTCGGCGTCCGCCTGCGAGATGGTGCCGGCGGGGTAAGTGACAGCAGTCGCGCCGGGGGCACCGCTTGAGAGCGAACAGTTGGCGTAGGCAACACCGACACTCTTGCTGGGGTCGTAGGTGCAGAGCTCGGAACGCGAGATGACACCGTCGGTGAGGCCGTCGAGGGGGTCACAGGCGGCAATGTAATGCGAGCGGATGGTGTTGAAAGCACAGGGGTTGGGCCAGTGGTTGGCCTGGGCCATGGCAATGTTGGGCCAGCCCTGTGCGAGCTGGTGGACGGGCCAGTACATGGCGGGAGCACCAGCCATGACACCGTCAAAGTCCTTGGGGTAGCGCTGGGTGCTCTGGTGACCCTCACGGCCACCCTCAGAGCAACCGAGGTAGTACGACTTGAGATCGGTGGCGGACACGTTGTAGAAGGCACGCGTGAGCTCCTTGCCCGTGACAGTCATCTCGTGGATGGCCTGGTACGAGAACGACTCCCAGCGCGACCATGCAATGGTGCCGTTGCCGCCGGCCATGAGCAGCGCGGCGGTCAGGCCGCTGGAGCCAAAGCCACCGTCAGTGGCACCCGAGGCGGCGCCGAACGGCAGACCGGACATCAGGGAGTTGGCGCCGCTGACGGACCAACCGCCACCACCGTTCGAGAGGTAGCGGTTGCTAAAGGACTCGGGAGCGGGAAGCCAAAAGTTCATGGCAACCTGGGTTCTGTCAGCTTGCGGCTCTGCCCGACCGTTGGCACAGCTGAACTCACATGGTCATCGAGGTTGTCATGCTTCAGGCTGAGGGTGACATTGCAGAAGGTATTGCCAGCCGTGGTGGGGAACATGGGGGCGGTGGTGCCGGGGCTGGCAGTGTAGTTGGTCACAATGTTGGCGGTGACCGAGCTAGTGTCATAAGTGACAGCAGAGATGTCGCTGAAGGCCGACACGATGCTGGCAAGGTTGCTGGCAGTGCAGAGCGAGTCGAGGGAGGTGGCATCGCGCTGGACAATGGGCTGGAGGATAACCGGGCCGCCGAGGACAGCAGGCAGGAGGGGGAGGAGCGCAAAGAGCGCGACAGTAGCGGTCGCCATGTCTGTGGCTGATGTCGAGAGAATAAAAGTGCTTGATGGGTGGTGGACAAAGTGCGTTCTCATCAGCCCTTTTTATCTCCCCCACAAACTCCCACCTCGCCTCAGGCCGATGGCACTCTCGATCTTACCGGATCAACAATGCTACACCCGGGAACGGTTATTCTGGTGTCGGTAATCCGTGGGGCTCACGAGTGTCTCCAACCGCCACCGCAGTCGTGAATCTAGGTTATTCTCGTTTGGCATACAGGCTACGGGCCGCGCCCCTAGACGACGACGGAGCCGTGCAGAGCGCCCCCGCCGGCACCCCACGGGTCCTCCGCGAGGTCCGAGTGGTGCCCAGGTGACATGAATGGGCATGTGGAACGGTCCTCTGGGTCGACTGCGACAAGTGGGCCGCAGTCGAAGAACATAAGATGCACGTCGTCATGGGTGTTGGTGACTCGCTGGGTGAGCGACATTCGAGCCAGCCGAGGATGATCCGACCGATCTGATGGTGGCAATGACACCGCAGGTTGCCGCTTGCCCCCCGCATGCTGGCCGCAGGAACAAGCCCCCCCCTCTTGCTGCATGCGGGCCGGTTATTAGGTCTATGCAGAGGGGTCGGTCTGTGATCTGTGATGTGACCTGGAAGGCTAGTGCGACTGGGAGCGTTTGACATGTCTCTAGTCCCAAAGTGGTGGTCCGCAAAGTCGCCGGGGATGACCGCAGTTTCCGCAAAATGACCGCCTGGAACTGTTCCTGCGCAGCCGACCTGGGTGTCGGTGTTTTGGTGTCCGAGAGCATCAAGACCCAGAACACTTACGAGGTCACTTGCTGATGACTGACCTGCCTGCGTGGTCCTGGGAATGGAGGCGTGGAGCCGGGTCGTTCCTGTGTAGAAGTGTTCGGAGGACATGAGTTAATGAGGGGGAATGGAAAGTGGTCCTCATGGAATGGCTCGGTGAGTATGTTCGGTCAATACCCCACAGACACCCCCCACATCTCTCAACGCTTCGACTCTTCCCCAGACTCCTCGCGAAAACAGTCACCCTCTCTACTCCATACGCAAAAAGAGGAGGGTGAGAAGTTGTAACAGTCGACGGACGGAGGGCAGTCGTTGGCCATGAAGCGATGACCGAGAGAGGAAAGAGAACGATGGACAAAGGAAGCCGGAGCCGAGTCACCCCTGTGGAAAGAGGCATCGGCCGCCATGTGCCCATCTCTGCTCCCTCCGTCATCGATAGCTCAACAGTCTCACGATGCTCAGCAACCCAGCTGGTGTGAACACCTCCACCTCCACGCATACCTCGTATCCTACCTGATGCTCGCACCTTATGTCTCTCTCAACACCACCACAACAACCCCGGCCAACACCGGTGTGTGTGCTGGTGGAGGCCTCCACCGCAGTGGTCAAGTGGAGGCGAGTTGAGCACCGACAGTCGAGTCGACAGTCCCACGCTACTAACCTTGTCCTTCGTGTCCATCCTTCTCTCTCCCGTCCTTTTAACTCATCTGTCTCTCGCTCCTTCACCCATCCTCACCAAAAACACACCAACAGCCATGTCCGTTGCCCCCGTTGACAAGAAGATCGGTTATGGTACGCACCCTCCACAGCCCACCAAGATTCACGACTGACGGAACCCCAGTTCGCCTCGGCAAGTCTGGCCTGAAGGTCTCTCGTCTTATTCTGTGAGTTATGCGGTAGCCGCAGGCATGAACTGACATACAGGGGCTGCATGTGTGAGTTGTCGTCTCGGTACTGTGCTCCGTGTCGCAATAGCGAAGGTCGTTGGATCACTGGCGACCGGTGACGTCGGTTCGGCCGTGTCCGCACCCTGCCCCTAACCGATAGCTGGCATTGTTGTGGCCTCCACCATCGGTGTTGCTTGCCGCGCACCTAGCCTCACGCGGGAGGTCGTTATGGCTAGCGAGGAAGGAGCGGCTACTCCGAGGCACTTTGTGGATGCGGAATCTGCTCGGAGTCCATACCCACGTCTCACCGACACCCCTGTTTCTCACCAAGGAGGAAACTGACCTTCCTTCCCAGCCTACGGCTCGTCGTCCCACGAGTCATGGATCCTTGACGAGGCCGAGTCCATCTCGCATATCCGTTATGCCTACGAGCAGGGCATCAATACCTTTGAGTGAGCTCACTTACAACGAAACTCAGCTGACAGAATAGCACGGCTAATGTGTGAGCGTCACCTGCAGTGCAGGCCCAGACTGACCCCAGTTACTCGAACGGCATGAGCGAGATTGTCCTTGGCAAGGCCATCAAGGAGATTGGCATGCCCCGTGAGAGCATCGTTGTCCTTACCAAGGTGAGTGCTTGAGGGAGCGGAGAGCGATGGCTGTGCACAGTCTCAGCGACACAACTGGGCCACGTTGAACTTGTGCTAACCCCGGCGCAGGTCTACTTCCCCGTCTCGGGCCCCGGCAAGCCCAAGGCCGGTCCTGGCGACCTCAACACCCCGGACATGGTCAACAACCACGGTCTGTCGCGCAAGCACATTTTCGCTTCGATCAAGGCCTCGCTCGAGCGCATGCAGCTCGACTATGTCGACGTCCTCCAGTGCCACCGTTTCGACTATGACACGCCCATCGAGGAGACGATGCACGCGCTGCACGATGTCGTCCAGGCCGGTCTGGCGAGGTACATTGGCATGAGCTCTTGCTTTGCGTACCAGTTCCAGCAGATGCAGAGTGAGTCGGCGAGGGTGATCTCCGCCTGAGAATCAACACCCGGTGCTGACGCTCGCAGACTACGCCATCACCAACAAGCTCACGCCGTTCATTTCCATGCAAAACTTCCACAACGGTGTCTACCGCGAGGAGGAGCGCGAAATGGTCCCCACGCTCAAGGTGAGGGTTTACCAGCTGAGGAAACATCAACGGCAGCTGACACCCCGCTAGATGTACGGCGCCGGCATGATCCCCTGGTCGCCGCTCTCGCGCGGCTTCCTCGCCCGCCCCGTCGGCGCCGAGAAGACGGTCCGCGAGAAGACCGACGGCGCATACACCAACCGCAACCCGGAGCTTATGGCCGACGACTCGCGCGTCGCCATCAACAAGCGTATCGAGGAGATTGCAAAGGAGAGGGGCATCACCATGGCCCAGGTGGCCATTGCGTGGTCGCTGTCCAACGACTTTGTCACTGCGCCCATTGTGGGCACGACCAAGCTTGCCAGCCTCAAGGAGCTTATCGGTGAGTTGGCTGACGCGCATGGTCCGATGTGCTAGACGGCCACGAACACTGTAAGAGCGGGTCGCTGACACGTTCAGATGCAACCCACATCGAGCTCACCCCGGAGGAGAAGAAGTCCATTGACGAGCCGTACCTTCCCCGCCCCATCATCGGCCACTCGTAAGGCAGTCGGCCGGCGGTAAGCGAAATATCAAAGCTGTAGGCGCAGCGAGAAGGCAACGAGAGTACCAGTGCTTGTTCTGTTGGTGATGCACTTGTTTTGTCTGAAATACGTGCATTTTGGGCTATGTTGACAACTGGTATGACGCGCTCGGGGCTCAGCCGTGGGCGCGTCCTGTGGGACCTCCAAAAGGGTAGCGTCACTGTGCAGCTCATATCTACACGACACCAATCATCTTGAGCATGCGGTCGACCTGGGCCGGACGACCCTTGGCAGGCGCCTGCTTGACGCCAAAGAGCCTGACGGTCGTGTCCTTCCACAAACCCTGCGCGAGGCCAGCGACGTAAATGTCGCCCCAGAGCAAACTTGTGAGCCAGACGCAGCTCTGGGGGCTCCATTGGAACTTGCGCGGGACGACAGGTGGGGCGGGGGGCAGGGCGTCGCCCAGCGACATGCCCTTGAGGAGGTTGAAGACCTTGGACGAGGGTCCGCCGGTCCTGGGTGGTTGCGAGTCTTGGATCTTGGGGAGAAGCTCCGAGATGGCAACAAGAACGGGGTCCAGAGGCAGACCCTTTTGCCACGACGAGACCCATTCCTGTGTGGGCACGTAGCCTGTGGGTCCGACACCGGCCGCTGCGACCTTCATGAGCTCCTCCTCGTCATCCTCGAGCGGGAGCGAGGTGGTCGACTCTGTGGCACGCATCTTGCCACGGGCCTTTTCGGACAAGGGGCGAGGAGGCTCCTCAGTCGACGATGGGGTAGCGGCCGGTGGTGCGTCGACGGTGGGAGTAGACGGTGCCGATCCGCCAGCCGTGGGAGGGGAGGCGATGTGGTCGTCCTCGTCATCGTCAATTTCGCGGCCAAGGAGGGCGGCCTTTTCGGCGAGCATAGCAAGCTCCGAGTTGGAGCGAACGAGACCCGGGCGAGCAGGCGCCGCCGCAGCGGCAGCAGCAGCGGCACGTTCTTCGCGCAGCGCTTTTTTGCGCTGGATCTCGCGCAGGCCCGAAAGAAGGGTGAAGGTCGCGAGCTTTTGAAAGTCCTGATGGCTCTGGAGGATCGAGTACACGACGTTGGGGTTCTCGTTGAGCTGGTAGTACAGGATCGAGTTGAACGTCTCGAGGAGGTAGTAGACGAGACGAGGGTGGCCCTCGTCTGCGAGAAGGAAATTGGGGGCAGAGAACGCCTTGAACAGCTGCAAGAGGCGGGTCGACGCTTGCACGCCGATATGACGGAGGTGTGGTGCCGCGTTGGTGATGGCGATGGTGAGCGCAGGGAAAAGCTGGTTCAGTCCTGGCGTGGTGGCGATCGAGTAGATGGACACAATCATAAAGTCGGCGGCACTTCCCTGGACGGCCCACTTGGCCGGCACGGCCTGACGGAGAGGCTGGTTGATGGCAGAGCCAAACGCCTGGTCCGCAGAGAGGGTCTGGAGCAGGTACGAGAGCAGACGGAGGAAACCATGCTGCGAAGGGTCGCCCTTGAATTCGAGACAGCAGATGAGGACGTAACCGATAATGTCGATAGCCTTGCCCGACTCAAAGACGTAGGCGCGGAAGCGCTTGTTAAGGTCCACCAGGCGCCAGAGAAGCATAAACGCCTCGAGAAGGTACGGGACCGGCTTCTTGCTTCCGGGGAGGTAGTTGTTGCTAACAGCAAGGTGTTCCTCGAGGATACCAATGATGCCGCCGAGGACAAACGCGAAATCGTCCTTGCGGTGGAGCTTGGAGACAAAGAAACGGAACGCATTCTCGTCCTTTGCCTCCGCCACACCTGGTGTTCCGGGTGTTTGGGGGATGCTGTCAAAGCTGCGGTAGTCGAGGGCGACGAGGAGAGTCATGAGACACATGCGGACCAGGGAGCGGCGCTCGTCGGACGCGCGGAACACGAGGTGGTTGTACGGCATTGCGCTGGTGCCCGTCTTGGGGCTGCCGACCGACGTGTTGAGGAGCGAACACAGGAGCGAGAGCACCAGACGGCGCTCGAGGTCGTGGGTGAGGTGCTCGAGGAGCGGGTTGGGCGTGCTCTGCAGGGCTCCTGGCGAAATGTACATGGTGGTACTGAGCAGAATGAGGAGGAAGCGCAGGACCTCGACCTTGTTGCGGTCGAGCTCCGAGGTCGAGCCAATCGACACGGTGCTGCCGACACCCTTCTCCCAGATGACGTAGTTGACCTTGTCGCCGTCGTGGTCCTCGCCGCGAACCGACTCGGGAACGCTGAATCCAGCACAAAACAAGAGGTCGACGGTGCACGAAAACAGGCGCTCGGCCAGCGACGGCACCAGGTCCTCGTGCTTGGCGACGTTTTGCTCCTCGTCAGCCTCGGCCGCAGGACCCGGGTTGGCGAGTGGGTCGCGGAGGGTGCCGTTCTCGTCGGTGTCGCCGCCGTTCTCCTCTGCCTGGCTCTTCTGGGTCGCGGCACTGGCCTTGCGTGAACGCCCGACGCTGGCCTTGAACGCACGCGCGCCCTCGTCTGCATCCTCGTCATCGTCGTCCCCAAGGGTGAACTGGTCGTCCTCGATGGCCAGGTCGGCTGGAGGTTCGTCATGGCGCGATCCGGGGAAATCACGCAAGTCGACGGACCCACGCGGCTTGCGCGCCCACAGGTTGGTGTTGGCCCATGTGGGGTCTTCCATCTCGTACACCACCACCAGGACACGGCCGAGAACACGGAGGCAGTTGAGCGCTTCGTCGGTGCTCGGGCCGGGGAAAGCGGGTGAGGGAAGGAGCATGAACAGGTGGTGCGAGAGGACAGTGATCAGGTTGGCCACATTGTCCGGGTTGGCCGACAGCGCCTGGCGGACTGAGCCATGTCAGCTAACAAGTCGTCAAAACAAGGCTGGCGGGTACTAACCATCTTGGGCAGAGATCAAGCTGTTCACATCCGATGCACTGCTAAACAGCGTCCAGTACTGGGACCAGTACGACTCTTCGCTGATAGGAATGACCTGTTGTGTGTCAGTAGCCGTCCATGTCTCACGGTGTAACGGGGCGAGCGCCGCAGGTCGCGCGCAGCTGCGAGGATTCCATGCTGGAGATGACAGCACCGCCGGGCGAAGCGCAGTCGGTACAGCGACAAGAGGCGCAGCGCACGTCGTAGACACGCGCTCCTCCATCCCGCATCCGTCTCCCCAGCGGCCCAAGACCACTCACATCCTCTCCACTGAGGCGTTTCAAGCCGTTATCGCCAGCCTTGAACTGGACCTGGGCGTCCTCTGCGGAACTGAGAAAGGGGAGGCCGATGGCCTGCGGGAGCGACTTGAACGTCGGCAAGTTGCGGAACATGGCGAACAGGTGCAGGTCGTGCTGTGGGAGCACGCGTTGCCGGGGGCGGTGGCCTGTTGAGCGGCTTCCGCTGTTGTTGGTTGTTGGATGAAGGAATGGAGGACGACAGAAAGACGTGTCGTCGCCGCCGCCGCCGCCGGTACGAGGGAATGTGTGTGTGCTGGTCGGAGCCAGGCGCGTGTTTTAGTGCCAAGGATCGTCGCGTGGCACTGGGCGACATTTATGGAACCCCCACGAGATACCCATGTGTCATTGGGCTGCATGCAAACTAACCCCCAAACAAGATCTAAAGTCCACAATAATACCATATACAACAAAAAGAGTATCACCCACCACTACTACCTAGTTTGAAGACGGAGTGCCATGCTTCCGCCTCCTCGCCTCGGCCAACTTTGCCACAATCTCAGTCTGGGCCACAGGCTTGGGGATGATGTCGTCGGCGCCTGCGACGAGGTACTCGTCCTGGTCTTCGCGCAGGGCATTGCCCGTACAGCCCACAATGTAGACCGTAATCCCCAGTCGACGTACTTCACGGGCCACTTCAACACCGGACATGAGCGGCATTTGACTGTTAGCAATGTCAGCTTATTCTCCAATTCACTTAGCTGCGCGGCACCCACTTATCCAAGAAGACCACGTCCACGGGCGCTCCCTCGCCCTCCCCTTTCCAACTGGCCACGATCTTTTGTAGCGCAATGGCGCCGTTCTCGGCCATGGCCACATCATGCCCCATTCGCGTGAGCATGCGCGCCATGAGTTTCCGCGTGAGCGGGTCGTCGTCCACGACAAGCACGGTCAGGGGCGACGCGCTGTGCTGGGACGAGGTGTGTGACGCGTGCGATAGGCGGCGGTGTTTGTAGTATGCTGAAGAGGAAGGCAGGACCGCAGAAGCAGGTAGTGCTAGACCCTGGGGAGTTTCTGAAAGCGGAGTCATCGTCGAGGCAGCAGTGGCGGCCGCGAGGGACTGGTGCTGCTGTTCGAAACCGGGCAGACGGTGTGCTGGATGCTGGCCTCCAGGCGGGCCCGAGATGGAAATGGAACTCATGGGAGACATGGGAGCGCTCGCTGCCCCACTAAATGGCGAGTCGGTGTGTGGAAGGCCCGTTTCCGTGTCTAGAGGCAGAATCGAGCCTGCAAACGGCAAGTTGAAGCTGACGGGCGATGCGCGGCGTTGGCACATTGCCCGCTGTTGCTGCCGAAGCTCCAAACGTCGACTGCGTTTATCGCCATGGCTGTCCGTTGTCCCGGAACCCGCGGCAGACCGGTTTCTAGGACTGGCACTGACATGACTCCCCATACTGGGCGTGGACATGCGGCCGTGCGATAGAGAGAAGGGGGAGATTGGAGTGGGTGCCTCGAGGCTGTCAGAAGTGGACATGCTGGGCTGTGGGTCCGGTGGGCTGACGTGAGGCTGGAACTTTGGTGATGTCGTACGTACCTCGGGCGGAGGGATAGAGTACGGCAGCTCAAACCAGAAGACACTGCCCTTGCCTTGCTCAGAGTCGACACCGAGGCGGCCATGGCTGAGTTTGACAATCTGCATGACGAGCGCGAGGCCGAGGCCACTGCCCTTGCCGCCCTGTCGCCGACCAATCTCGGTTTGGACGTATGGCGAGAAGAGCCGGTTATGCCTCACGTCCGAGGGAGAGATACCAGCCCCAGTGTCATGGATTTCGACGCGGATGACCGCTTTGGAATACTCAGGTCGGGGACGGTACGTGACATGGGGCGTGCTGGGGTTGGGTGACTCCTGGACGGGCGTTCCCGACCGCGGCGATGGCGGCTCATGGATGGGTACGTAGCCCTTCTCATCGTCGTCCTGATGCTGCTCTTCAAGCGACTCTTCGACTACAGGCGTCTCGGCATCGACCGTTTCCGGCAAGGTTAGCTCTGGATGGACGACCTCGCCGTCGGACACAATCTTCTCGACCACCACCGGATGAGGACCCGCTTCTGCCACTTCCGGGACTTCGGGATAGACCAGTTTGGTGACTATGCGCACACCGCCCTCGCTCGTAAACTTGAACGCGTTCGAGACGAGGTTGGAGCACACTTGCTTGAACCGCATCTCGTCGCCAATGACAGTCGACCCCATGGCGTCGATACGCCAGTCGAGCTCGAGCTCAAAATCGAGTCCGGTGAGCTCGGCAATGGCGCGGTGCGACAAGGCCACGTAGTGGATAGACTTGTGCAAGTCAAACGGCTTGCGTGCGAGGATGAGGTTGCCGCTTTCCATACGGTTGAACGAGAGCATGTCGTTGAGCACCTGTGTGGGTCAGGACGCGCACTCAGAGACGAACACCACCCACCTTCTCCATCATGCGCAGACTGCCATCGAGACCCAGGATCAAGTCCTGTTGGTCCGCGTGCATTTGGGCAAACGCTCCCTCGCTATCGAGATTGGTCACGGCCAAGCGGGCCGTGTTGAGGGGCACGCGCACCTCGTGGAAGACTGCAACGTCAGCGAGAAGAACCATCAGGGCGAACACCCACTGTACGAGACGAAACGCTTCTTGGACTGGTCCGCGCGTCTCTCCATGGCTTGTGCAGTCTGCACAGCCTTGTACTGGCTCTTGAGCTGAGACCTGAGGGTAAAGAACGCGCGGTCGGAACGTTCGCGGTAGTAACTGTTGAGCGCGAGGAACAAGTGGTACAGCTGGAAGATGGCCACGCTGCGCCACATGATGTTGGGCGTTTTGGGTTCCTTTCCAAACAAGATACCTGCAGTAATGGTCCACGACAGTGACACGGCAATGTGGATGACACGGTTTTGGGACAGGGCGACAATGCCCATGGTCGGCAGTCCAAAGAGGACGGCGAAGAGGTGCAGGTAGTTTGAGGTGCATGTCGGGTTGTTTCCAAAGAAGTGGCACTTTGTCTGTAAGGGGGAGAGCCAATGTCAGCAGAATGCACGCTTTTCCGTCGCAACCCGTACCATCTGGCGAGTGTAGATAAACTGGAAGAAGGATATCAGTGCTGGCCAAGTGTATCATTGTTGTACTCACGCCCCACACCCAGGTTGCAGCCCCGACCCAGGCCTGGAAGATCCACTTGAACCGCCGCTGTCCGTCAAAGAGGACGAGCAGCGGCAGTGGGACGGTAAACAACCCAGCGGCTCCAAAGTAGACAGTGTACCCGTATGTGTTCATGTTGGTCGCCAGCGACATGCTGAGCACCCACTGCGTGAGGAGGAAGAGGGAGCCGATGAACGCGGACGGTTTCGACGCGTACCATGCCTGCACAGGTGAGCCTCATGCGGGTTAATGTCACTTGCCTCCTTTTGGAACGAGCGCTCGAATTGCTTGTCGGGAAAGCTCGAGTTGACGAAATGGTATACGCAGTGGTACAGCCACAGCCAAGCGTCCCACAGCCTCCGGCCCCAACCGCCTCGTCGCCTCAGACGACTGGACCCGCCGTCGGAAAAGTGGCTCGGGGTGGCATTGTACGCGCTCTCGACCTCGGCGGCATTGATCATTGCCCTCTCTATATCCGCATCCCTCTGGCGCTCCTTTTGCACCCTCTGTCTCTCTTCCTCGGGGTCAAAGGCAGGTTGTGTGAAGGCTGCGAAGTCATTGTCGACAACGAGCCAGTTGACAGGGCCAGCAGGCTCCTCGCTGGCGTTACTCTGTCGGCGGGTTTGTCGCGCCTGTCGACGCCGTCGTGGGCACATGGGCGTAGTCCCCGCCGCATCCTTTTCAGGCTCGGCACTCCGCATCGATGCAGACGACCGCGACCACGGTTCACGTTCCCCGCGTTCCGGTCCGTATGTGAGATACTCGCCGTGCCGGTTGCCAGCATCGGCGTTTGGGAACGGAGGGCCCATGGTGGCCCCATGCACGCTGCTGCTGCTCGCCCCCGTCTCGATGTCGGACATGTGCGAGTCGCCAGTCCCGCTCTCGGTCGACGGCACGGGGGTCATGCTCATCTGGCGGGCAATGTTGGCTGCAAACGTCATGAGGCGAGACTTGGGGGCCGCGAAACGCGCTCGAGGCGACTTGCTGGGTAGTCGTCGTTCGACGGGTACTGCAGTGTTGGATGTGCCAGAGCCCGTCGTACTGTCGTCCCCGACCTTCAACTCATCTGCCACGCTGAGGCCGGCTTTTGCCCGGCGGAGGGTTGGGTTTGCGGAAGCCATGTCCCATGTCCCCAGACCTGGTCGGCGGTGACGGTGTCGTGTTATTGTCGCAGTAGATGAGGACCCGGAGCCACTGGGAGTCGCCGGGCTGGCCTTGGTCTTGACCATTGCGTTTGGCGGCTGCGCAGCCGCTGAGAGGGTGGGTGGGCTGTTAACTCGTCGGTCCAAAGGTCTGTCACACAGCGGCACGCGTCCAGAGGGGTCCGGAGCCCGCGACTGGGGTTCCCAAGCCGACTCGAGTTTCCTTGACGGGTCGAGAGTGTGTGAAAGCTTTGGCAGATAGAGTGAGCGATGCGATAGAGTGTTGAACAAGAAGAGGTGAAAGACAACAAAGTGATAGCAACGATCCGGTGAGCGCAGATCAGCAACTGTGTCCCTGCCGGCCACTGCGCAGGCTGCAGCCAATGCTCTGGGTATACTTACCTCTCTTCTCTCTCCCTCTCCACACAGGCGGCCCGGTTGCTTGCGCCTGTTTTGCCCAGCAGCTGGGTCTCTCTCTCCCCTTGCGCGCGATCTTTACGTTTGCCCGCTGCTGTCAGCAGCAGCCACAGGGGCACGGCACACTTGCAGCTTGGTGTTATTGTCCTTGGCTCTGCCGAGCCCTCACTTTGCCTCGTGCCCCGCTCTCTTGCGGCTGACGGCTTGCGGCTCAATGCACCCCCAGCAAAACCTGAGCGCCGCAGAGGTGACCCAGAACAGTGGCGCAGAGGAACAGAGCCGAGAGCAAACTCACCTGAGAAACGCTGCAGCGCTGCAGGAGGCCGCAGGAGGCCACAGGCGACAGGCCATCAGGAAAACATGGATACAGGAATGCCCCGGAATGCTGATCCCACATGCCACACGTACTACCGCATGCGCAGTTTGGCCGCGGGCCGTAACACTTGCTCTAGCGCTCTAGCACCCAGATGCGCATATGCATAGCACACTCGTGTTCCAAAGACGGCCATGGGAGACATGCAAGGCTTGCGTGCAGCCTGCTCCAGTGACCTCAGTGAGCGTTTCCCGTTCGCGCGTCTGCGTCCTCCCACCACACCGCCAACCGAACAAAGGGAGATCAGCCCACAGCGATGGACAGGGCCGTGCAGGCAGTCCGTTGAGCCCGAGCGTACCCCGTGCACGGTCACACCGTGCGGCCATCCCATGCCCAAAAGTGGCCGTTCGAGAATGCGAAGAACCGCATGACGCAGGCGACAGCACATGCAACAATGCAGCAGAGACGTACGCAAGCTGCTGCACGAGGTGGGAAGCAAATTAGGCTAGACTAATTCAGCGGCCAGCGGATCAGCCGGGAGAGAGAGGGAGAGAGGGGGTGCGAGTGCGATACGAATGTCGTGGCGTCTGGGAATCAGAAAGCCGGCTGTTTGGGTCGCAGGTCTCACAGTCAACAACACGGGAAGCGTCGAGCGAGACTGTCTTGTCTCCACATGTGGCATGGGCGGGTTGACCGTTGACCGCTGTGGCTGATGTCCTGCTCGCTTCCAGTAGCATCAGTTGGACTCGCACGCTAATCGACGCCAGCCTGCTTCGATTGTGGGCTTGGCATCCACCAGCCAGCTGCCGCCAGAGAGGCATCGAGCCGACGATATGGCGGCTGCTGCTGCTGCTGCGTCTTAGACATTATGTGACCGGCCCCATGACTCTGGGGCCGTTTTTTGTTTCCTGCATCTATGCCAGTTTACCGCGACGGCTATTGACAGTGATCAAGCAATGTTACAGTGTTGTTGTTACCGCATACCACGGCGTTCCTTCTCTGCTACCAACCACCAGTCCCTCCCACCTCACTCTCTCGTGGGCTCCCCTCCTGTCCCGTGTCCCGTCGACGTCGCTCCGTCTAGTACTTCTTGGCGGCGGCGTCAAGCTCCTTGAGGATGCCGGTGCTGCGCTTGGTGTCGAGGAAGAGGTCGCCGAGCTCGGACACGTCCTCGACGGTGACCTCTGTCCTGCCTGCAGTCTTGCACAGGATCGCGGCGGGCGTGAGGAGCTGGAGGGCATAGCGGAGCGACGAGGCCTCGCCCTCGTCGGCGAGCTTGTCCAAGGCGGCGGGGGCGACGTTGATGCTCTCCACCCTGCAGCGGGTCTCGAGGACGGTGCGGATCTCATTGCGCGAGTACGGCTCGGTCTTGACGATCATGCACCTGTCAAGCAGGTCGACGGGGATGCCGTGGGGCGAGCGGATGCCCTCGCCCATGGCGCCGTCGTACTCGGTGCCGCGGATGGTGCAGACACCGCGGTTGGAGGCAAAGACAACGTAGGGGGACATGGGAGACTCGAGGGCGCGGTTGAGGTAGGTGAAGCACTCCATGTCGAGCATGTGGACCTCGTCAATGAAGAGGACACCGGGAACGAGCTCGGCGACGCCTTGCTCGATGTACTTGTCGACGACCTTGTTGATCTCCTGGCGCAACTTGTCGGTGACCTCGGTCCTGCCGCCCTTGACGAGCTGGCCCATGACAGACATAATGTCTTGGCCGCCTTGAGGGCGCGCGTTGGCCATGTCGAGGTCGTGGAGGGTCACGTCCTGGACGAGCTCCTTGCGCTTGTGGACATCGCCCTTTGGCAAGGGGACGTACTCCTCAGCCTCCAGGTCGTACTCGCTCGCGTACGCGTCTGAGCGGCCCACGCGCTTGACGGCACCAGTGTTGGCCTCGATGTAGATCACGTCGCCGACAACGACGCGCTCTTTCTGGATCGCCTCGTACACTGACGGGTCGAGTCGCAGCTGCTTGGTGCCCTTGACCGTCTTGAGTCCCACAATCACGTGCGAAATAGTCTTGCCGTAGCCAGACAGAGGGTTCTCGGCCTCGGAAGGGGTGAGCTCGGTCACCTCGCCCTCGTACACCTCCTTGGTCTCCTTGATCCGGAGGCCTGGAAATGTCATCAGCTTGGGGGCGTGGTCCTGTGCCTTTCAGCTGTTAGACTCACCTATTGCTCGACGGAAGCAGCTGCTCAGAACCTCAGTCTTCTTCACTTCACCCGAGAACACCTCGGACGCAACAAGCGGGCAGAACGGCACGCGCTGGCCAAGCTCCTGGCCGAGGGCGATGGCGAGAGCGGTCTGCGAGCAGTGTCAGTTGCAGCTCGACACCAAATGTGCGACATCCAACTGACCTTTCCCGTTCCAGGAGGACCGACCAGCAACAGCGGGCGACCCGAGTACCTTCCCTGCTTCAACAGGCTCAGGTGGAGACCAAGAGCCTCGCGCGCCGAGCGCTGGCCGACAAAGCCCTGCGACGACTCCATGGCGGTGCCATCGTCTGCGAGACCGAGACCTTTAATGTGGCTGTGGGTCGCGATGCGGGACTCGCGGGTGGTTGTTGGGGGCGGGGGCTGGGTGATGATGGTTCCGGGCAAGCCGGTTGATGGCGGAGGGGCGGACATGGTGCGTGGGGGCTGGTAGATGGGTGTTGGATGGATGACGGCTCGACAACCTCTAAACACGAAGACGTCAACGAGAGATCAACTCTAGGAAACACAACTCTGGCTGGGTTGAATTATTATTTTTGTCGCATTTATTTCATAATTTATCCCACCGGAACACCAATGTCCCCCTCTCACTTGTCGGGTGGAAAGAAAGACCATTGTCGACGTTCTTACAACATACATCTACACAGGCCACACCATGCCCCGTCTCGTCCGCTCCGCCGTCGCCGCCGCGCGCGCCGCCGCTCCGGCCCGCACCCCTCTCGCCGCACGCATGTCCCCCCTCTCGTCCACCCTCCGCCCCACCTCGTCGCTCCTCTCGGGCGCGCGCCCAACCCTCCTCTCGCGCATGACCCCGGCGTCCACTTCCACCTCCTCTTCTTCCCCTACCCTTGCCCTGCTCGCGCGCATGGCCCCCGTCCCCTCGCCCATTACCGTCGGCGGCGTCCGCTACATCACCTACGGCCGCACGTACCAGCCCAGCCAGCGCAAGAGGAAGAACAAGCACGGCTTCCTGTCGCGCAACAAGACCAAGCTCGGGCGCAAGATGCTCGCCGCGCGCCGTGCCAAGGGCAGGCGTTTCCTCTCGCACTAGAGCACCCAGGTGTATATAACACACGAGAGAGACAGAAAGAAACCCCGCAAAGCGCAAAAAGGCAACCGGGACCCCAGACGCACACTCATCGCAACATTTAGAGATGTGTGTGTGAGCAACCAAAATACCAGCACATAGCACCACCACCAACAACCTCGACAACATACCCCGCCGCTACCTCCCGACGTCTCTGGAGGTACTCGTGCGCTAGTCACAACCACTCTGCATAGCCACTCTTTTGCACATGCACTCCATATCCGCATCCCCATTCCCGCCATCTGGACAGCGCCCAGAGTCTGCTATCCCACTTCCCTCTGACGTCTCCACGGCCCCATCGCCTCCTTGCTGTCTGCCTGCTTTTCTTGCTCACGCTTGTCCTGCTGATACAGAGTGGTATCATAATGCACAACTATGGGACGAGACAAACAGGGGGGGAGAAAGCAAAGGCAACGGCACAAGCAGGGGGCATGTGTTGTCGATCGCGTGCGTGGTGTACTTGGATGCCTGCCTCTTCTTCGCCCCCTTGTGGTGGCCATAATCCACATCCGTGTCGACGCGCCCAGCGCGCCGTGCGCGCACCGCGTCCGTCGGAAGGGCTTTCGTTGAGCGTTGGGGTCTGGTCGTAGCGAGAGGGAGAGAGAGAGAGAGAGAGAGAGCTGGAGGGTGATGTTTGCGGTGTCGTCTGGGATGGGGGGTGGAGCACAAAGAGCGTCGGTTGGGGGGTCTTGGTCTTGGGCGTCGTGGGATCGGTGGTGATGATGTGTGTTTTGTCCTTTTTTATCTGTAGTGATCAGCGGGACTAAGCCCACTGCGTTCGTGGCAACCACTCGGCGGCGCTCCTGTGCCGCCGGAGTTCCTCTGGCGGAGACCCAACGAGCTTGCCAATGAGGTAGGGCAACTTGTGGTTGGGGCTGTTGGCGCGCAGTGTGTGCACGTAGCGCGCCAGCTCGAGGTGGAGGGTTGGATAGTAGGTTGTCGACGCTTTGCGCAGGGTCTGAACAAGTTAGATGGTGCTAACTACCCCACGCTTGTACTCACCACGAGGATACGGTCAAAGCCCGACATCATGAGGTCGTGGTGCAGCTTCTGCGCCTCGGCTGGGTTCTCTTCTGACAGTTGGATGGAGAGAGCGTTCAGCAGGCGGAAGTGGATCGTCTGAAGTGTGAGCTGATACCGAGTCTCAGGTGCAACTCACAACATAACCCATTGCCTCAAACTCGACGCCACCTGTAGCCCCCCCTGGGGCCACTGGCCTCTCGACAATCTTCTCGTTCACCTCGTCCAGCTCCCACAACGTATTGTTGGCGTGGCACATGATCCAAAAGTAGTCGCGGCAAATGTCGCTCAGCTCCTGCACCCATGCCTTGAAGATGCGTGGGCGGTGGGCGACCGTGACAAAGTCGTGATAGTCCTTTGTCTTGTCCTCCTTGTCCTCTGGAAGCAGGAGGGAGCGCACAAACATGGCCACGTCGAGCTTGGTCGCCATGCGGTTATCGTTGAACCGGACGGTCTGGTCAGGGCGCGGTGAGGTCTGGGCAAGCGGGAACAGCTCGAAATGGAACAGCCACACCTCGACGATGATCTGGCGACATGCCAGGTCGCCGGGCTTCTTCTCGGAGAAGAGCAGGTCGGAGAGCGCGGGGAACGGGCGTGGGTGGGCTGCACGCAGGGCGGCCTTGCCGACGTCCGAGGTGGTCAGTGCCTTGATGCACCGGAGGAGCTCGTACAGCATCTTGTCGCCGTGCTGCTCCTCGCGCCATTCCGTGTCGAGCAGGTCTTGCAGGCGGTCGAGAACTTTGGTGTAGCCTCCGGCAGAGAGAAAGGCGGCGACCCAGGTCGTCGTCTCGTGGCGGAGGAGCATGCGGAGCTTCTTGGCACGGTTGACATCCATGCTCAGGTCGGTGGCCTTGTGGTTGGACAGCCAGCGCACAAAGTTGTCCGGAGTCTCGGTCGGCCCGGCAGTGGGTCCGCCGGCTGAGCGCGGCGAGGGGGGAACGGCTGAGTTGCGACCACTGGTGCCACCAGTGTGGACACTGGTCGGACGGGAGCGGTTGTTGTTTGGGACTGACGACGGACGGCCGACGTCCATCGACTGGCCGCGCGAGTGGGCAGGGGTGTGCTTTTGTTTGCGCGGGGATGCGACGATGACAAACTCGTCGTCTCCCACCCTGCACTTGCGACCAGTGGTGGTGGCGTCGTCGTCGCCATCGAGTGAGACGCTGCTCTTGGGTTTACGGAGGAGTGGGGTTGAGAGGCGGTTCTTGAGTTTACGCTTCTCAGGCGTGGGAGGCACGGGCAGCCCCAACGAGGACAACACGGCGGCGTTGGAGTTGGTGGACGACTCGAGAATGCTCTTCTTGACGTCCCGCGCCACAGAGCCAAACTTGATGCGAACACTGGACGGGACCTCGAGTGTGTTCTATGACAAGTTGTCAGCAAACATGGGTTTGTATGTTTGTTGTGTTTTTGGTACCCACCAAAAGGTCCTCGAAGCGGGCGTCAACCTCGTCACCGCCAATGTTGTGCGTCGCATTCTCCTGGAGCGGTGTCTTGACCCGCTCGTTGGATGGAGTAGCACGGCGCGAGTCGCCCACAAGGGTGGTGCCGTCGACGGACCTCTCGGAACTCGAGACGCTGACACGGGACGAGGTGCTCGAGCTCATGGACGGGGCAGCGGGGACGGGGGGAGGGGGCATGAGGGTTGAGTATGACGGCTGGGTTGGGGTGGTTGTGTATGCGCCTGCCTTTACGACTGCGGCTGCGCCTGATGAGACTGGCAGGCCAGAGGGCACTGTTGGCGGGGGCCGCATGGTCGCTGGGGGCCTTGACATGGTGTGTGTCTGCAGTGGACGGGTAGAGGAGTTGGTTGGGGCTGTGGGAAGATGTGAGCGACAATGTTGTGCTGATGACCCACCACCCCCCCCAAGTGCCCCGGCGTCGAGCTGCCCGGCCCGCGCTGTGTTGTTGACGTCCCCCCATATGTCCCCGTACATGACTGCCCGAGCGGAAGCAATTATTCCGGGGGCCTCACCAAAGAAGTCATTCGCGCTCAGACCGCCACATCGTCAGAGTAATCGCCGAAACGCCGCTGGGTGGGACCTGGCCGCCTCGCGATCGGTCTGTCTGCTTGTCGCCACCTAACTGAACAACGAGAGTGAGCAATTACAAAACAACATCCACCTATACATCATCCCACAGCCATGGCCCTCAACCTCCCAAAGCCCGTACACTCGTACGCAGGGCAGGATGAGCTTCGTCAGGTCAACGGCGGCGGCGCTGCGGCAACAGTAGTCGACGAGGACGACATGGGCGAGTACCGCCCGCCTCGACACTCGGACAAGTTCAAGGTCGGCCTCATCTACCCGCCCCCAGAGATGAGGAGTGAGTCGCTGCTAGGAGGGCTGAGGTGTGCAGTTCGGTCCATGAACTGACAGTCGTGCAGAGATCATTGACAAGACTGCCGGTGTTGTGGCCAAGTCGGCCAACGCGGACGCGCTCGAGGAGAAGATCAAGGCGTCGCAGGTGACCGACCCGCGCTTTGCGTTTCTCAATGATGAGGACCCGTACCACCAGTACTACCGCTGGAAGGTGGCCACGACGCAGGAGGAGGCCGAGGACATTGCCAAGGGCATTATCCCCGCTCCTTCAGCAGCTGCGGCTGCTGCTGCCCCCGCCGCTGCGGCCGAGGAGCCCGAGGACTTTATGCCTGGCTACGAGCCCAAGGCATGGGAGTTCAAGGTCGACCTGCCTGGCGTGACCGCTGCCGACTTGGACATTTTGCGGTTGACTGCGCTGTTCCATGCGCGTCGTGGCCGCTCGTTCCTGTCTGCGCTGTCGGTGCGCGAGGGCCGCAACTACCAGTTCGACTTTTTGCGACCCACCCACTCGCTGTATGGCTACTACAACCGCATGGTCGAGTCGTACCAAAAGGTGTTGCACCCTCCCGCCGGCCAGGTCGACGACCTGGTCAAGGCCGACGCGGACCCCGAGGCCAAATGGAAGACGTTGGAAGAGGGCACGAAGCGTGCGGCCTGGGAGCGTGGACGCAGGAAGCGCGAGAACGAAAAGGCCAAGGAGCGTGACGAGGAGGCCGAGGCGTTTGCTGCCATTGACTGGCAAGACTTTGTCACCGTGGAGACCATCGAGTTTACCCAGGCCGACATGGACCTCGACCTGCCACCGCCGACATCGATTGACAAGCTCCGCGTCATGTCCATGGCTGAGAAGCGCATGGCTGCCATGATCATGGAGGAGCCAGCGGCGGCGCCTACCATGGTTGGCTCGGACAATGTCGAGGAGGTCGACATGGAGGAGGACGATGACGACGAGGACGAGGAGATGCGTATCCAGCGCATCAAGCAGGAGCAGGAGCAGGCACGTGCGCGCGACATCCAGCGTGCCGCATTCGAGTCCAAGGGTGTCAAGATCAAGAAGGACTATGTGCCCAAGGGCATCCAGCGTGGTGGTGCCGTGGCCACTGCAAAGTGCCCGTACTGTGACCAGTCGATTCCCGAGGCCGAGCTCTCCGAGCACATTCGTATCGAGCTCCTCGACCCCAGGTGGAAGGACCAGAAGAGGGACTTGGAGCAGCGTCGCCAGCAGCAGCAGCAGCTCCAGATCGGTGCCGACATTTCCAAGTCGTTCAAGAACCTCGCTGCCGCCCGTCCAGACCTGTTCGACGAGACCGACGAGACCGAGGCCAAGCAGCGTGAAGACGAGGCCAACCGCAAGCGCAGGGAACGTGAGAAGATTATCTGGGACGGTCACACCAACTCGGCCGCCAAGACCCAGTCGACCTTCCAGACCAAGTTTGCGGGTGAGGACAGCGCTCGTCGGGCCAAGGAGGCAGCGGGAATCTCGGACACGCCCATCAACACTGTCGGCCCCCAGGCCGGCCCAGGCATCAAGGCGACCCCAGCCGCCGCACACCAGCCACAGGCCCCGCCGGCTGCGTCGACCGGAGCGACCATCTCCGCCGGCCCAACCGCGGCATCAGCACCTGGTCCGTCCATCAACCCGGCCCGCGCGGCCATGATGAGTGGTGGCGGCGGTGCTGCTCCCCCTGCCCAGGCTTCCGGCCGCAGGCGCGGTGCCGAGGACGACGGTGGCCGCGGCGTGTCCAAGCGCCAACGCATCGACAAGCTCCCCGACGGCCAGCTGTACTCTGAGATTGACTGGATGTCGCTGCACCCCGAGGCGATCAACCTCCAGGTGGCTTTGCCAGACATGATGGCCGAAAAGCCCGAGTGGAAGCTGAATGGGTCCATTATCACCATCTCCGTCCCCGTCAACACGTCGTTTGGTACCCTCCGCGAACACATCAAGCGGATCGTCGACGCCGACCTGCCCATCTCCCGCCTGCGCCTGGACTATGGCGCCAAGGTGATGAACAATTCGGCGTCGTTGGCCAGCGTCAACCTCGATGATGGGGACGTGGTCGTGTTGACTGTGCGTAAAAAGTAGACAGCTGTGACCAGTAGAACCAGCAGCCGCAGTGCAGTGTGTATTATTAGCAAGCAGTAGTAGGGGGCCATTTTTACAGCATGCAGTTCACATCTTCTCTTCTGTACAACTCTCCGTGTTTCTAGTCGTCACGGCGGGCCGCCGCCTGGGCTGCGATCCTCGCTTCGCGCGCTCGCGCCACCTTGTGTGCGCGCATGGCCTTGCTCTTCTCGACGCCAAACCCATCGCTAAACACCTCGTACACCTCTTCCAGGCTCAACCCGGACGTCTCGGGATAGACGAGATAGCAAAACACCCACCCGGCCGCACACACGCCGGCATACAGCGCAAACGCGCCTGCGGGGCTGGCCCTGTCCATGAGGCTGAGGAACGTGGCCGCGATAAGCAAGTTGCACGACCAGTTGGTCGCGGTGGCGACGCTCGTGCCGAGCCCGCGCACCTCGAGCGCAAACAGCTCGCCCTGCTGCCAGGGAATGTTGCCGCAGCCCGTCGCGTACGCCGCCACGAACAGGATCATGGACGCCAGCACGCCCGTGGTGAGTGTCGGCGGGTACGCTGTGCCGGGGACGAGGACGCCGCCGGTGGATTTCGTGAGCGCGTAGAATGACGCTGCGGCGAGCAGGAGCGCAAGGCACATGATGGGGATGGTGTACAGCATTGTCGGGCGGCGGCCGAGGGGGTCGACGATCTGGGCGGGAACATGGTGTCAGCTGGCGTGTGGCGATCATAAACTTCAGCTGTGAACACTCACCCTCAGAGCCACGAGTGTGAAGATGAAGTTGACCCCGGCGATGATCAGGCCGGTGGCGGTAGCGTTCTTGAACCCCAGCATGGCGAAGATGGTGGCAGAGTAGTACATGAGGGTGTTGAACCCGCATAGCTGCTGGAGGGCTTGGAGGCCGCACCCGATGACTGGAGGGTGGTCAGCTGGGACCTGCGGTCCGAGGAGGATAGCTTCAGTAGGCCTGTGGGTCCGCGTAAACCGTTTTTGGCCGCTGTTACAGAATGACAATATTAGTCGTACAGCGGCTCAAGGTCGCCACAGACCCAGTCCAGACACTGCACTCACCAAGGGCACGTCGATGTGTCCCGACTTTGACCAGACTCGCCGCGCGCTGTGCCCAGGTCGTCCTCGCCTCAATGTCAGCAGACTGCCGCACTGCCGCGGCCATGATGGCCACTTTGCGCGCCACGTCGTGCGGCGTGGCCAGCGGATAGATCCGGCCGAGGATCTTGTGCACTTTGCGCGTGTCGCCTTTGAGAAGCAGGATGCGGGCTGGGTACGCGTCAGGATGTGCGCAGAATACAGAGTCGCTGAGGTGAGGGCTCACGGCTTTCGGGGAGGAAGACGAGGGCGACGAGTTGGACGACGGCAGGCGCGGCGCCGAGCCCGACCATCCATCGCCAGCCGCCGGGAGCGCGCGCAAACGCCGCGCCGATGGCTGTAGACGTCAGCAGCTGTCCAACATGTCGGCCATCGCAGCTGCCGCTCACCATATGCCACTACCTGGCCAAGGGTACACGCCACCGCGTTGATCGTCACCAGCCTGCCGCGCTGTCTTGTCGGCGCCAGTTCTCCAATGTAGAGCGGTGCGATGCAGCTCGCCAGGCCGACGCCGACGCCCACGATGAACCTGCCCACCACCATTGAACGGACAGTGTGGCACGCGGCCTGGAGACCAGCTCCGAGCACGAACACAATGTTGGCAAATGCCAGCACGCCCTTGCGGCCGGTATAGTCGCTCGCGGCGCCGGCTACGAGGCCGCCGAGCAGCGCGCCGCAGGTGGTCGCCGATGTGATGAGCTCCTTCTGGAAGGTCGAGAGCGGAACGCCGAGGTCGGTGCCGATCACGACGCTAGGGTGTTAGCTTGGACCACAATCGAGATGGTGCAATAGCTTACAGAGTGCCGGAGATGACGCCGGTGTCTGTCGCGAGTCAGTGGATATTCTCTGTGCCGTGTAAAAGGGGCGTACCGTAGCCAAAGAGCATGCCCGAGATTGCGGCCGTGCCGACCAAGAAGCGGACAAACGAGTTGATCCTGCCGTCAGTTGGGGTGAACCCAACAGTCGCCGCCCACTCACTCGTCCTCGCCGGGCACAACGACCGCCGCCTCATCTACCTCGCCCTTATCCACGTCCTCCAGCGGGCCAAGGAGCGCCAGCGCGTCGTCCGACCCATCTAGCCCTAGGCCGCCGTGACCGACGTTATCGTCGTCGTTACTGTTGTTGTTGTCGTCGTCATCGTCGCCAGGACCGCCCAGTCGCGGGCTGGTCGGCGCGAGCGGGAGCGGCGTGTACTCGCCTCGACTCGGCATACTGTACACGAGGAATTGCGTCGTACTATGTGTGCTGTTGCATGGAGAGAAATCGACCGAGGCAGCGGTGGTCGCTTGGAATGGATGAATGGAGTGGACGTACAAGACGAGACACGAGATGTCCGATGGTCGGAAGTGTTGGCTGTGGGCACCGGCGAGAACGGCCCGATGATCCCTCGAGCTCTCCAGAAACCACTTAGGCAGGCGCCGACTTCGTGCCGAGTATCATAGCTTGTTTCTCGTCTCCTCAGGACGACAAATGGCCCGAGCTGGTGCTTTGTGCTTTGTGCTGTGCAGCAGGCAGCCTGCGCATGCCCCCACCGCTTTGCTTTCCTGCCGAGAGGGTGCACAACGTCCTAGATCTCCCGTGTCCTGTGTCACTTTTGGTGCTGCGGTGGGTGATCACTGGACGCCACCTGGGGGGCTTGGGGATTGTGGCGGCGATAGGCACAAGATAACTGCTCTGGTGTGCTCCAACGCTACCAAGGACTGCAAATGCATACACTTGAGGCCGGCTCTGTAGCCTCTGTCTGGACCACTGCTTGTTTGATTGACTGCTGCGTGCTACATCCCTCTTTCCCTCGTTCCCTCTCCCCCTCTCTCCCCCTTCCTTCCCCGGTCCTAAGCAGCGGGGGTCTTCTTGGAGATTGACGAGGCAATCTTAAGGTCGTTACGGCTCTTCTCGTCCTGGATCCACTGCTCAATGGTGTCCGGGTCACGGGGCACGAAGCGCATCTTGAATGGCTTGGGCGTGGCCGCGAGCGAGTACGTGTTCTTGCAGGCGGTCTCGGGGTTGATGTCATAGTCCTCCTCTCCGGGCTCGAGCTTGAAGAAGTAGACGAGCTTGGCGAACGCAGAGTACATTTCACGGTTGGCGAGGTGCACACCGACGCACATGCGGCGGCCGATACCAAAGCTGTAGTGCGGCTGGTGGACCGCGTCCTCCTTCTCCAGGACGTGGCGCTCGGGGCGGAAGTTGGCAACGTCGCCGTAACGCGCCTCGTCGTGGTGGATGGCCCAGGCGTTGAAGAAGACGGTGGTGCCCGCGGGAATCTTGACGCCGTGGTAGACCGAGTCGGTGATGGTGGCACGAGGAAGCGAGAGCTTGAGAACGGAAAAGTAGCGAGCGCACTCGCGGTAAAGACCAGAAATGTATCCCGAGGCCTCCTCGGTGGCGTCGGGGACCGAACCGCCATAGACGTTGTTGACCTCCTCGTATGCCTTCTCCCAGATGTCGGGGCGCTTGGCAAGATATCCCACACCCCAGAGCATGGTGTTGCCGAGCGTGTCGAGACCGGCCGAGACCATGGAGAGACAGATGGACGAGAGCTCAATGGGGGTAAGCTTGGCCTCGGGGTCCTTGAGAATAGCGCCAGTGATGCAGGGGACGTCGGTGCCCTTGGCGATACGGTCCTTGAGGTCCTGGAGCAGCATGTTCATGTACTGGTCGCGACGGTCACGGAAGCTCTTGGCATTCTCGACTCCCTTGTTTCCCGTAGGGAGCTTGCGGAGGAGGGGCACGTAGTCGGACCATGAGGAGGTGGTGGAGCGGACGTTGGAGACACCTTGCTCGACGGTGATAATCTCCTCGAGGAGGTCATCACCAATGCTGTCGAGGCGCATACCATAGTTGACACCCAGGGACGTGTTGAGCGCAAAGCGGGCCATGTACTGGTGCGGGTCGAGCTCAATCTTGCCACCTTTGCCCTGGACATATAGGTCCTCGATGAGCGCAAGGGTCTCACGGTCGACAATGGGGATGTACTCCTGGACGTTGGCCTTGTTCAGAGCAGTGGCGGCCGCCTTTCTGCGGCGCTTGCACGACTCGTCCCAGGGAGAAGTACCGATGGTGGTGCCGGCAGACGACGAAAGGACTGTGTGAAAGTTGTGGAATTGCGGGCGGTCAATGTAGACACCACCCTGGTCCGAGAACAGCTCCTTGGCAGCCTGGGCAGTGTTGATGATCATGACCTCGCGCTCGCCCATAATGACCTTGAAGACGTCACCGTACGTCTTGGACCACTTGTGGAACGTCAGAGCAGCATCCTGGAAGAGAGAAAGACGGGTCAGCCTGAGGCACGCGCGCACACATGTCCACACAACCACTCACTTTGCCCATCTGCGGCAGGTTGCCAAAGATGGGGTAGGGCGTGGGTCCCTTGAGGTGAAGCTTGCCCTTCTTGTAGCGCAGGTAGTCGAGGACAAGGATGGCGACGATGACACCACCAGCGAGGAGCTGGAGGTTGGTCGAGCTGAGGTCTGTGGAGAGTTTGACCATGGTGGCAGTGGAGCAGGCGAGGCGTCTGTCTGCTTTGGTGGTGGTGGGAAGCTGCAGACGAATAGAAGCAGTCGCAATGGGGAGCACTGTTTCTGGGCCCCCCAGTCTGGGGCTACATATAGTTAGTCACAGGTCACGAGACGGCTAAACCTGGTTGCTGTAAGCAGCAACACGAGGTCGTAGCTGTAGTGTTCCTTTTCCAACAACTGGCTGAAGTCCGTTCGGGTCTGCGTTTGCTGGGCAGCTGGCAGCTGGCCTGAGCCTGGATGATCTGTATCCGAGCGATAGTTCAAGTTGGCGGGCCGGCCGACGTGACAGCAGCAGCCCACAGGCACCGCGGGGGGGTGCACCGCGGGGGGGTCGAGGTGCGTTGGAAGGTCCGTCGCTGTGGCCCGCTGGGAAGAGTTGGACGACGACGACTGGCGGGTCAGGTGGTGTGCATGCAGCGTCATGGCCCACCGCCGGATGCCCACTTTGCCGCCAAAACGTGGGCGAGGGGATGGCTCTCGGTTCTTGCAAAGTGGCTAAACCAAGATTTCATGGCATTCCCGGCATCACCTCTCGGCTTCTACAAGCTGCTGGCCTGTTGGCTGCTGCTGCTGCTGCTCGCCAGAAACGCGCATGCCCGATGGGAGGGAGACTCGCTGCGACGGGCGTGTGAGATGCACGTCATCTGGTTAAAAGAGTCGGCGAGGGTCCACTTTCAACCTCCAACTTCCTCCATTCACCACAAACACACTGTCAACAATGGGTGCTCAGAACGGATCCACCACGACATCGACCAAGCCCGAGGACCTCAAGTACCAGAGTGAGCATCATTTGCCTAGCATATCACTCTTCCTCCTCGCTGACATGAGCTTCCTAGATGGCTTTGGCAACTGGCAAGAGTCCGAGGCCGTCCCCGGCTCCATCCCGGAACGAGGCTACGCTCCCCAGAAGGTGCCGCACAACCTCTACACCGAGTGCTTGAGCGGCACCGCGTTCACCGTCCCACGCGACCACAACCAGCGCGCATGGCTCTACAGGCTCCAGCCCTCTGCCGGTCACGAGCCGTTCGTCCCGTACAAGGGCCACGAGAGCATCGTCTCGTCCTTCTACCACTTTCTTCCCGAGATCGAGCCCACTCCCCAGCAGCTCCGTTGGGACCCCCTCACCGTCAAGGGTGCCAAGGACAAGAACTTTATCGATGGCATCCGCACTATCGGCGGCGCCGGCGACCCGCAGATGAAGGACGGTCTCGCCATCCACTGCTACAACTTTGGAAAGAACATGGGCAACACGTCGCTGTACAACTCGGACGGCGACTATCTCATTGTCCCTGTCACTGGCGACCTGCTCGTGACCACCGAGTTCGGCAAGCTCCACGTCCCATCCAAGTTCTTCTGCGTCGTCCAGCGCGGCATCAAGTTCAAGGTCGACGTTGTGGAGGGCACCAGCGAGGACGGTCTCGCGCAGGGCTTCATCCTTGAAATCTACAAGGGCCACTTTGTGATTCCCGAGCTTGGCCCCATCGGCTCGAACGGTCTTGCCAACGCCAAGGACTTCCAGACCCCCGTCGCCTATTACGAGGACAATGACGAGGAGCACATTGTCGTCAACAAGTTTAGCGGCAAGTTCTTCCAGTTCAAGCAGAACCGCTCGCCATTTGACGTCGTTGCGTTCTCCGGCAACTACATTCCCTACCGCTACGACCTGCGCAAGTTCAACGTCATGGGCAGCGTCTCGTACGACCACCCAGACCCGTCCATTCACACGGTCCTCACGTGCGTCTCGGACGTTCCCGGTGTCGCCGTCGCCGACTTTGTCGTCTTTGCGCCCCGCTGGATGGTCATGGAGGACACCTTCCGCCCGCCCTGGTTCCACCGCAACGTCATGAGCGAGTTCATGGGCAACATTTGCGGCACGTACGACGCAAAGGCCGAGGGATTCATGCCTGGCGGCGCGTCGTTGCACAACATGAACACCCCGCACGGCCCCGACGCCGACACGTACAAAAAGGCGACCACGGCCGACCTCAAGCCCCACAAGCTCTCCGACGACTCGTACGCGTTCATGTTCGAGACGTGCTACCAGGTCGCGACGACCAAGTGGGCCGTCAGCGAGTGCGGCAAGGTCCAGCCCGACTACTACAAGGCCTGGGCGGGTCTTGAGCGCATCTCCACCATTCCTCGGCCGTAGTTTATGTTTGTAGTCTCATTCCGTGGGTAATAGCGCGACTGGCCGAGGAGAGAAGACGAGTAGTTGTAAGAATACACTCTGCATGCATCGAAATGGTTTTCACGAACTCCATGTGGCTCCTGCAATCCCATCGTTCTGCACTGCAGATGACAGTGACCACGGCCAGTGTAATCCACCACTGTCGTCACCGGTCTGCTTCAAATCCCAGCGCGCTTGACCGCCAGCGGTGGTGTAGATTTCAAGTTGCCGGCTACAAACGACGCCAGCCGCGCCTACGCCAACAAGGCTGGGTGGCCGCCCAGCTGTGCACTACGGGACAGAGCGTCATGCGTCTACCTGAACGGCCCATGCACGGCCGCAGCTCGGGCCGATGGCCCTCGCCGCGACTGGACGCCGTGGGATGCTCTGGGATCATCGGTTCACCCCCAACTCGGTTTGCCCGGCGGAAGTACAACCGCCGTACAGATCAAAGCCCACCCGTCGTCGCGTAGTCGGGCCATCGCGACCGACAAGATGTATAACACTCTAACCCTCTCTACACTTGGGTACTAACGTCTGCTTTCTGCTTTCCCGCCTCACCACTAACTCTTGTACACCATGACTGTGACCACCGACCGCAAGTTTACGCTGTATGGCTATTTCCGCTCGTCTGCCTCTGCGCGCGTCCGCACCGTCATGGCCCTGCACGAGATCCCGTACACCAACCACCAGGTGCACCTCCTCAAGGGCGAGCAGCGGAGCAAGGAGTACCTCGCTGTCAACCCCTCGGGCACTGTCCCCACCCTCTCCATCACCGAGGCGGACGGCAGCCAGTGGTCCGTCGCCCAGTGCGTGAGCATCATGGAGTACCTCGACGAGGAGTACGGCGGCCAGTCCAAGGTTGGATACCTTCTCCCGCGCAATGCGCGCGACAGGGCCATGGTCCGCAACATTATCGGCGTGCTGGTGTCCGACCTCTTCCCCTGCCTCACGAGCGGGACGCTCAAGCGCCTCAGGTCGTATGGCGTGGACGACGCTGCGTGGGCCAAGGAGTGCTCGGCGGCGTTCGTTGAGGGTGAGCTACGAATGCCGTGTTGTGAAGTAAGCTGACAAAGTGTAGCGCTTGAGGGCCTGCTCAAGCGTACATCCACCTCGGGCAAGTACTGCTTTGGCGACAGCCTCACCTTGGCGGACGCGACGTTCTCCCCGCAAATGGAGACGGTGCTTCGGTGGGTACATTGCTCCCTCGCAGTGGTCTCGTTGCCATGATCCGAGCTGACCTGCATCCAGTTTTGCACCGGATGTCCTGCCCAACTACCCCACAGTGTACTCCATCTACCAGCATGTCTCGCAGCTGCCGCAGGTCGTGGCAGCAGACTACAAGCACCAGCCTGACACGCCGGAAGAGCTTCGTGCCAAGTAGAACTGTAGTGTATCGGGGTTCTGTAGGAAGGAAGAGTCACATGCAAAGCTTTAAAGAGCAATGAAGTTTGTGTGCCGTTCGTTGTAAAGCACTGCTAGCACGTCTGGAAGCCTTGCACATGTTGGCTTTTGGCCTCTGTTGTTGGTCAGACGCAACTGAGACATGAACTGTCAGGGTTGATAACCGAGCTCGGGTACTTGGACGAACCACACTAATCACCCACAAAGTCACCTCTCATCGACGCTTCATCCCCTACCTCTTCTCCTCTGATCACAGGTGTACCACCCATAGCATTGTGTTCGTTTACGTCTCCCCGCCTCTATGCAAAGCGGTCCTATCCTACTCCGTTGTTACCATGGTTCATCCTCAACATCGGAAGCACCGGCAGTCCCCCAGGGAAGATAAGATGCACAACCCTGAGCCCACACACTGCACACGATCAAAAGTCGACAACAACACCGCAGACACACGTCCCATACGGCCGCTGCACACCGCGGTGGACGGGTCCGCGCGGCCCAGTTTGTGAAGAGCGTGTATACGCCACCTAAGCAACCACACAACTAGAATTTGCTGGACGCTGTGGCTAGTTTACTCTCCCGGCCATCTGGTGAAGATGACGGGTAAACCATGTTCCTCCATATCCATTTAGGTTTACGTTCCTAATACGTCAACGACCGTCGTTGACGTGGGGTAATGGAGTCCCCGGCCGCGGAGTCGGTTGCGGGGCTGCGAATGCATGTCGAGAGCCACGGGTGTGGGCGTGCGTACAAGTCAAGGCTGAACCTGGTTTGGCCGCGCTTTCTCATCGGCCGGCGGGATCGACCACAGCTAGCAGCTACAGCCGTCTAACGATAGTCGGGAAAGGTGGGCAGATGGCAGATAGATAATAGAGGACACCACCGTGGCAACAGCCCCAACCCTGATTCAACTACACAACAATGGCTGACATCGAGATTGATCTCAACACACTGGCGCTCATCCTCGCCGCACTCTTTGTGTTGTGGTATAAGCGCGACTTGCTGGGCTTTGGCGGCGACGACAAGCCTGTTGTTGCGGCCGCTGCTGCCTTTGACGCCGATGGCGAGTCCAAGCTCAAGGTCGGCAACAAGGCATATGAGGAGACGGACGATGACTTTGTGGTCAAGATGAAGCGAGGCGTGAGTGCTAAAGTGCAAGGCGAGCAAGGAATTGGGCTGACGTAGTGTTTTAGAACAAGCGCCTGGCTGTCTTCTTTGGGTCGCAGACGGGCACAGCACAAGAGTATGCTCTGCGGTTGGCCAAGGAGGCCAAGTCTCGCTTTGGCATCTCGCCCCTCGTTTGCGATCCCGAAGACACCGAGCTGGCCACCCTCGACCGGGTGCCCAAGGACAAGGCGGTGATCTTCGTCATGGCCACGTATGGAGACGGTGAACCCACCGAGAACGCCGAGAGCATGATCAGCTTCCTCGAGGACGAGAACGTCGAGTTTAGCAGTGGCGGCAATTCGCTCGAGAACCTCAACTACGCCATCTTTGGGCTGGGAAACAAGACGTACCAGCAGTTCAACGAGATGGCACGCCGTGTCGACAAGCGACTCACTGAGCTTGGTGCCAAGCGGATCGGCGAGCGTGGCGAAGCCGACGAGCTCCTCACGATCGAAGCCGGGTACCTCGACTGGAAGGATGACATGTGGAAGGCATTTTGTCAGCGCCTCAACATCACCGAGGGTGAAGGCGCGGGAGACGCTGCCGACTTCTCCGTCGCCGAGGTTGCCAGTGCGCCCGTGAGCAGCGTATTCCAAGGCGAGCTATCGTCCCATGCACTCAAGACCTCCATCATTGGCGAGGCGCAGCCAGGGCAGTACGGTCCCAAGAACCCGTACACCTCCCCCGTGACCGTCGCACGCGAGCTCTTCACCACCAATGCCGACCGCAATTGCATCCACATGGAGCTCGATATTGCAGGTACCAACATATCATACCAGCACGGAGACCACGTTGCCATCTGGCCCTCTTCCCCCGACATGGCTGTGGAGCGCTTCCTGTCTGTCCTTGGCCTGCGGGACAAGCGCGACGTTGCTGTCGATGTCACGGCTCTCGACCCAGCTCTGGCACAAGTTCCCTTCCCCACACCCGCCACCTACACATCCATCTTCCGCCACTACCTCGAGATCTCTGCGCTTGCGTCTCGCCAGGCTCTCGGTACTTTGGCAAAGTACGCCCCCAACCCGCGCGCCAAGGCCATGCTTGACCGTTGGGGCCGGGACAAGGACATCTACGCCAAGGAGATTGAGGGTGTTCGTATCCGTCTTGCCGAGGCGCTCCAGCTTGCCACGGGCGATGACCCGCGCGACCCCACAAAGGCCACAGTGTGGCCCATCCCCTTTGACGTGATCCTTTCCATCCTCCCACGCCAAAAGCCGCGCTACTACTCCATCTCGTCCAGCTCAAAGCTGCACCCCAACACCATTCACGTCACCGCCGTCGTGCTCAAATACCTGACTCCAGCCAGCCAGCTGCACAACGATAACCCACGCTGGATCTATGGCTTGACCACCAACTTTCTCCTGAACGTCATGGACTCGTACGACCAAAAGGCCGCCGGTGGCTCGGCACAAGTCCCCATCCGTCTGGAAGGCATGCCCACCACTGTCCCCAGCTACCGTATCGGCGGGCCGCGCGGCGCGCACACCATCCCAAGCGGCTACGCTGTCCCCATCCACACCCGCCGTGCACCGTTCCGCCTTCCTCCCCGCCAGACCGTCCCCATCATTATGATCGGCCCGGGAACCGGTGTCGCCCCCTTCCGCGGCTTTGTGCAGGAACGCATCGCGCTCGCGCGCACCGCGAGGGAACGCAAAGGCCCCAACGCGATCGACGACTGGGCACCCATGTGGCTCTTTTACGGGTGCAGGCGGGCCGACGAGGACTTTCTGTACCGCGACGAGTGGCCCGGATACGCCAAGGAGCTGGGCGAGGACAAGTTTATCATGCACACGGCCTTTTCGCGCGGCCCGGCACGCAAGCCCGACGGCAGCAAGATTTACGTCCAGGACCTGATCTGGGAGCAGAGGGATAAGCTGGCCAAGGCGATCGCGCAGGGCGCGTACATTTACATCTGCGGCGATGGGCTCAACATGTCCCGCGAGGTGGAGCACACGTTTGCCAAGATTATGGCAGAGTACCGTGGTGGCACGGTCGAGCTTGAAGGTGTGGACGAGGTGAAGAGCCTCAAGGAGCGTAAGAGGTTCTTGACGGATACCTGGTCGTAAGCCAGTTGTACATTGTCGGTAGTGATCTTGATGAACTGCATGGTCATGCCAAAGAAGTGTCCCTTGGCAGCGTCCATCCTAAAGCAGCAACAGGTGCCCTCTGTTTTCAAGGCAGGGACCATTACTCGGCGTCGAACTGACCACATGTGCCACACCGATCGTATAAGGGTCATTATCCATGCTTTCCAGTGAGCTCAGCATGAGCAAACATCGCTTGGGATAGGGGTTCGAGTCCCCTTCGGTGTATAATGGTGTCCCAGCCTGCTGGGATCTTCGTGCAAAGCACAGTTGCAATCCTTTTGCTGTCGTGCCAATGTCAACAAAGGCAATGGAAACACCACGCGGATCCAACGGAGCCTCCGCATCGTGTCGCGGTAATTCCGCCGGCAACTTGAAGCCGGAGGATGCCGATCTGCCGAGTTTTCCGACTCGAAGAACAAGTACCCTTCGCTTCGACCATTTCATCGTTGCTCTCACCAGACCACCATGTCATCCACGGCCACGACGACGGCGATCCAACTCGAGCGGATCCCAACAGGGGGCAGCGCCAGGTCGCCATACGAGATCCCGACGGCGCTGCCCGAGACCCCGCAGCATGGGTCGCCATCGCCGTCCCCACCGCCCTCGTTTGAGCCCGACCGCGAGCTCGTGGCACTCGCACCGCCCGACAAGGGCTCGCAGGCGTGGCTCTTTCTCTTTGGCGCGACTGTTCTTGAGACGACGGTGTGGGGTCTGCTCAATGCCGTTGGTATCTTGCAAAACTATTGGACAACAGAAATGTTCCCGGACCATGAATCGACAGTCACCCTCGCAGCAGCCCTGATGAACGGTTTGTCATTCATGAGCGTAGCCGTCTTTGGCCCGTGAGTAGGCGTGGTCTAGGTGTCGTGTAAGCTAAACGATCCAGTCTCTTGCGGCGTTCCCCCACCAGACCAAGATGATCCAAGTCATGGGCCTGGTCGTCTCCAGTATCGGCCTCGTGTCGTCTGCGTTCGTCACTAGTCCAACCCAGCTAATTGGCACCCTTGGTATCCTCTACCCGTGCTCTGCGGCACTCTACCTGCCCGCCGCGACACTCATCTACGAGTGGTTTCACGTGCACCGTGGCCTCGCCTCCGGCATCATGTTTGCCGGCACTGGCGTCGGCGGCACCGTGTTCCCCTTCATCCTCGACGGCCTCCTGCGCCGTTTCGGGTACAAGGCCACCATGGTATCACTCGGTCTGGGATTCTTTGCCCTCAACGCTGCGTCACTGGTGTTTATCCGCCGCCGTATCCCGCTGTCGCGCGAAGTCGGCCCCCGCCGCAGCCTCAACTGGCACATTTTCACGACCTGGGCGTTCTGGTGCGGCTTTGTCGTGCTCCTCCTCACCTCGCTGGGAAACTTCAACCCCACGCTGTGGATTCCCAGTGCGTCGCAGCCAGCCTTTCCGTGCTTTAGCACGTACTGACCACTACAGCGTTCGCCGACAACATTGGCGCCACCAAGCCCGGCGGTGTGGCCCTCGTCTCCATCATGAACGCCGCGTCCGTCCCCGGTAACGCCCTCATCGGCTACCTGTCCGACCGCGTTGCCACAAAGTTCATGATCATCGGAACCTGTACGATCGGCGCCGTCTCCGTTCTCGTCGCGTGGGGCTTGGGCACGACCACGGCCCCGCTCATCGTCTTTGCCATTGTCTGGGGCATGACGTCCCTCAGCTTTGTATCGCTCTGGAGCAGGCTCATCACGCGCATCTGTAAAGACGACCCGACACTCCCCATGCTCATCTTTTCCGTCTTTGCCATGCTCCGTGGTGTGGGCAACATTACGTCTGGTCCCGTCAGCACCAAGCTGCTCCAGACGAGTGTGTTCAGGGGCGCCGCTGGCGCGTATGGCACGACCAACTTTGGCGCCGTCCTCATCTACACCGCGGCCACGACCTTCCTCGGCGGTGTGGTGGGCGCCTTCTTCCCTGCGTGAGCGGGGCACAGCTGGTGAAGCTGTGGTAATGAGATACGTATGCCGTTGTCATGACAGGTGTTGTGGTGTCCAAGAGTGGTCAGGTCACTAGTGGTCGCCAGCGATACGGTCTGGCGAAAAAAATGGGTCCAGAGGTTGACCCTTGCTTCCTCCCTTAATATGCAGAAACTACTCAACCAGACGGGATCCTCCCTGCTGCTCGTGACAGCGAGCACACCCTCGTCTTGCGTTATCGAGCTGAAAGACTGTTGAGATTACGTAACCACTTGCGCCACTGCAGTGTGGCACCGAGCTGACCGGAGAACGAGGGTACCGCACCAATGCTGCTCTTTCTGCTTCTTCATTGTCCTCATGCTTCTCTGTAGTGCTCGGGCCTCCCTTCTGTGTGCATATAAGCAGCTCTGTAGACGTCTATGCATCCCCATCCTCTTCTGAAAGACAAACTGCCAGCTTAAGACCATCGGTCTCGGGCGCTAAACGGCATCAAATTCCAACAAAAGACGTCCGCACGCTCCGCACGCTCCGCAGCGGCCGCCGACAACCTCGTACTCGGCGAGATGGCCGAGCGGTCTAAGGCGCTGTGTTAAGGTTTTCGTCTGCTTCTTTGCAGACGTTCATCCGCAGTCTTCGGACGTGGGTTCGAATCCCACTCTCGTCAACAGGGGCTTCATTGCCTCCCAAGCCAAGCTTTTTGGAGTTCTGGGGACTCGGGGGAACGTGTGGGAGGCAGAGGAAGATGTAGATGTCGACGAACGGCGTGGTCGGAGGGTTTTCCGTTTTCGTGGCGGAGGGAGCCATGTAGTCCTTCCTCCATTTGACTCCTACATGCACTGTATCCATGACAGCTGGTTCAGGAGTGTCTCATGTACGTCACGGGACCGTAGAGTCTTAGACGGAGACCAGAACGTCCTCGTTCAAGACATCGGGGTCGGCGAAAGTGGCGCCAATTTAGTTTCCTAGAAAATCGGAATATTCCTCGAAGTGTCGGACCATCCTACTCGCAACCCACTTCATCCAGCTGGCCGACCATGCAAAAGAGAACCACTCCTTCTTGCGAAGGCAGAGGGTCACGTGACCACTGACAGGATCGAACTGCCGACCTCCGCATGGACTAGTAACCAAGGCCCGAGGGCTTCTGGGTATTAGTACGATGCTCTAACCAGCTGAGCTAAGCGGCCGATCATGTAGAGGTGGTGAGCAGTGTGGCTGTGAGCTGGACGATGCTTTCATGGATCCCAGGAGCTGGTTTCGCAGGTACACTAACATGAGAGAAACAAAGGGGTACCCTACGCATTACATACACATCTCGTTCAATCCACGCGTTGAGACATTCTACTCTCTCTCCCTCCGAGGAGTCTCTTCTCTTCACTGTTTAGGAGTTGAATTTAAAGGCCTGGTTGGGGAAGGGGTAGCCGGGTTGGCAGCTCCAGACCTGAAGGGGGGAGCCGTTGGCCGTTACGCCATCCTTGACGTCGAGGCAGAGGTCTACGCCCTTGAGCTTGAGCATCCCCAAGCCCGGAGTGACCGCGGCCCACTGCTGCTGCGGAACGTCGTAGCACGTCCAGAGGTGCACGAGCGAACCGGGACCGGGGTTCACGCCGGCGTCGAGACACAGGTGTTGTGCGTCAAGAGGGTGGAAGGTCACGTAGTCGTGGTCATTATAGCCGTGCATGTCAAACTTCTGAGCATTGTTGCCCGAGCATGTGGCACTGAGGGCCATCAGTAAGGTGAAGAAGGTGCCTTGGACGATTGACCTACAGCTGGATAGCAGTGCCGTCGGCGTAGTTTGCCCCCGCGACGTCGACACACTTGTCCCGGGCGATGTTGGCAACGATGCTCTTGTACCGGATTCCGGCCGAAGGTCCAGTAGCGGGGACGGCGGCAGCGAGGGTAGCAATGATGGTGGCGGCGGTGGTGATGGCGAAGAGCATTGTGGATAGTGTGTAGGGTTAACTTGCTGTTGTTGAGATAAAGTCGCGACTGGGTGGGCGAAGTGGTGGGAGAGTTGTGTTGATAGGGGACGGAAGCGCATCTGGACAACCTTCCTTTATACGATTGTCTAGCCGCGTTGGACATGTCAGCTGAGTACCGCCAAAACGCGACGCGATACGAGAAACTGTTTGGCATTGCTGTTCACTAGGCGTCTGTTGCCGTGGTGACGACCAACTCCAACCCCAGCCAGTCCGGGATCGTCGGCCCGCACAGTGAGTGCTTGATTGAGGCACGATCGTCATGCCTTGCACGCTTGCCACCTGCCTTTATTCAAAAGGAATTTCCAGGTACAGAGTGTCGCCCAGCCGTGCAACGTACGTATCAGCAGTGTATAGATCTGTGCACGATAGCCTTCACTGTCCGGTGACTGACACTTGCATAACGCTGAAATCTGAAGGCGGTCGCTGTGCCGCTTCCCACCACCGTTGGAAGTGACAAACCGGGCAAGTTTCACCCTTCTGTTTCGCGCATGGATTGCCGTGGAACTTGCAACGCTAATGGACAGGCACAGGTGGAGAAGCAACAGTGAGTCCGGCAAAGGCGGCTTGGATTAGGCAGCGTTGCCGGCGGAGGTTTTGTTGACAACGGCGAACTGGGGCTGTTAGGGCGAAGGGAGGTGGAGTTCATGTCTCTGCGTCCTTATGTGCAATCAGACGTGGTGTGCTGCCCCGTTGCACCTCCCAAGAACAGCAGAGTTTTCTGCATGGCAGGAGCCAAGGACTCCCAGACAACGTCCAGTGGCCTCTTGCACAATGATCTAACATCGGGAACGTTTCACACTTCCGTGTCTCACCCTTGCCCACGGTCCTGCTCACCCACGGTACCACGGTCCTGCCACTCACACCGTTGTACAACCTGTACAGTTTCAATGTGCTGCATCACGTACCACACTATTCCCACCCAGCAATGCAAGTAAAACCAGACACGATTACAACACCCTCTCAAGCAGCAGGAAGGACTGCAGGCAGGACAGTGCCCTCACACTCTCCAAATCCGATCGAGTAGCCGTCCTTGGTCTTGACCACGCCTTCAATCTTGATGCTGTCGCCATCGCGCAGCCACGTCATGTCCTTGCGGTCTGCGTTCAGCTCGAATGGCTGGCGGCCGAGACGCGAGCGCTCGAGCAAGGATCCCAGCGCGTCGTCGTTGGGGTTGCCGTCGACGCCGGGACCCGAGAGGGTGCCAGAACCCATCATGTCGGACGGGTTGATCGGCGCGCCCGTGCTGCTGTGGTGCGCGATCATCTGCGCGTACGTCCAGTAGCTGTGCTTCATGTTGGACGTGGCGATGCGCGAGTACTCCTTTGCGTTTTCGGGTCGCACGGCGAGCGTGAGCGGGACGTCAAAGCCAAAGCCCTCGTCGTCCTGGAGGTAAGGCAGGACAGCGGGCTCCTGGACGTATTTGGCCGTCTTGAACGGGTCGAGCGCGGCCGGCTGGACGATCCACGGCGAAATGGTCGTGCCAAAGTTCTTGGACAGGAAGGGGCCGAGGGGCACATACTCCCACGTCTGGATGTCGCGTGCCGACCAGTCGTTCATGAGCACCAGGCCAAAGATGTGCTCCCTGGCCTCGGTCGGGGTGAGCCGCTCGCCGAGCTTGGTCGCTGCGCCGCCGTAGATGAAGCCAATCTCCAGCTCGTAATCGAGCCGGCGGCAAGGTGCCCAGATGGGCTGTGTGTCCCCGACCTTGTCGAGGATCTGGCCGACTGGACGGCGGATGGGCGTGCCACTCACGACGACGCTGGACGCGCGACCGTGGTATCCCACTGGCAGGTGACGCCAGTTGGGTTGCATCGCATTCTCCTTGCCGCGGATGAGCACACCGGCGTTGTATGCGTGCTCGAACGACGCGTAAAAGTCGGTGTAGTCGCCGATACGGACGGGCATGTGCATCTGGGTAGACGACGCCGTACGCGGCACGAAGAGGGTGTCCTTGTCGGCGGCGTCCTTGAGAGGCGAGTTTGAGGAGAGGAGGGTGGTGAGGTAGGACCTGAACGCGGCCCACTCGGCCGGCTCGCGGGCGGCGAGCTTGTCGAGGTTGGCCTAGAACTGTCAGCTCCGACTCTTCTTCTCGGTTTGTGACATACATGCTGGAACACATCAGCCGGGATGGGCGACGACGCAAAGTGCGAGCTGCGGCTGAGCGCATCAAGGTCGAGGATGAGGTCACCGATAGCCACACCTGGACGCGGGCTGGGGTTGGCCGTGGTCGAGAAGACGCCGTAGGGCAGGTTCTGGATCGGGAACGGACATTCGGCGTCGTAGGACACGAACGAGGTGGACGAGGATGCTGCGTTGGTCATGGCGGCGGGAAAGGCGGAGACCTCGGTGAGTTTCTGGGAGAGATGGGAGCCAAAGGTCCGTGTCGTCGAGGGTTATAAGGAAGCACGCAAAGGTGGGCTCTGCAGCCTTGGATTGTGCGGTCGGTCATGACACGCGCGCGCACAAGTTACTTCCCCATCGCGACTAACCATTACCATACGTCGAACCGCGGGTGAACCACATCTTGGATGACATGTGTGGGATCGCGGGGAAAACCAACCTCGGTCGTGTTGTTGACTTTTTGATCCGACATTGAAGCTGCTACATCAGCCTGATCAAGCCAGATTCATTGGCCGAGATGGCCGAGGTAGCATTTCTCGTGCGAGGTGGCCGACTGTCGGACCACAGCCCCACAGCGGAGCGGACGTGCACGCGCACGCGTCCTCACGCCGGTGGTGACTACGTGCGCGGACGGCTGACCCCGATACAGCCGCCATCGATGGTGTCGTACCGCCTCCCAGTGCCGGCTGGCCAGCACTACGTGCTGGTGTTGTGCATGTTGTGATGCCTCTGGTAGGCACGCCGGCACATGCTCTTCCAAGGCAAGACTGAGATACTGAGATGAGACGCGGTGATGACAGGGAGAGATTGTGCATTAGGAATTCAGTTTCAATAGGAAAAAATAAAATTAGGTCACCTAAACAGTTACTTAACTGCAGTCTCTGTCAAGATGTATAAACGATCCTATTAAACGGCAAAGGTCGTTTGGCGAGGGAGTCACCGTCCAAACGACTAGCTCGACGCAAGAGGGGAACCCCCCCAGTGACCCGGTCCGAGGTTCGAATCTTGACACTACCGTCCTTTCCTAGTACTGTACGGAAGGTGGAGAGGAGACCGCCGCTGAAACCGATAGGTAGGACCAGGGGGTACAACCCCAACCCTTTTGTGGGTACATGCATCTACATTTGGTTTTTTGTGCATGCATGTGGTCGGTGCACAGGTGAGGACAAAATGGTGCGTACAAAACTGGTAACATACAGGAGGAAGGGCGGGGGGCACTCTACATAGAATCACGACGCTACATACAACTGGGGTGAGAAACCTCCGCCCTACGTCATGTTCGGGAAGCACTGCTGCCAGAGCGTAATGTCGTCTCCGGCCGTGGGCATGGAGGCCCACAGGAGCATCCACGCATCCAAGTCCATGGCCGTGAGGCCGCCTGGCAAGGAACCGGAACCATTGTCGTTGGGCTCGAAGCGGTCCATCGTCGGGAGGAAGGCCGCGCCTTCGCTACCGCTCGCCTCGGTCCCGCGCGACGGCGACGGCGGACGCGTGCGCGCGCCCACTGCCGATAGCTTGCGCAAAATCTCGACGTGGCGACTTGCGCTGGACCACTGGTGGGCAATCTGGCTCAGCCAGCCGATGCACTGTTCGAGATGACGGAGACTCTCGGCTCGCGATGGGGACAGACCAGAGGCGAGTGATGCTGAGGGGACATGCGCCGCAAGACCGGCGTGCACGGTGCCGGCTTGGAAGGCAAGGTACACCCACGAGGACGCAAACTTGCGGACGCGAAACGTCGTTTCGTACGACTCCATGATCTTACAGATGGACGTTGCCGCGTGGCGGGACGCGTCGAGGGCCCTCGGGACGCGGTAGCTGGACATGTCGCTGTGGAACGGTTCGCTGAGGCCCATGAGCGCTTCGCTGGCGTCCACATCCGCCGAGTCTTCGTTGCTGTCCAAATACGGGACTTGAGGGCGGTGCAAGAGGAGGATGCAGATATAGTACCATCCACGACACGTAAGCATGTGCAGGCCGACGTTGCGGTGCGCATTGTCGTCGTCGTCCGACCACTGCAGGTGGTGTGGAAGCGTAGAACGCCATTTGCGCAGCTCGGCGTCAATGTGCATGACCGCCTCGTCGTAACCCTCCACTTGGTGACCATCCATGCGCGCGTGCCGGGTGCTGGGGCGGTACACTTGGTCGAGGATGAGTTCCATGAGGGCCATGACGTCAATCCAGGCGTTGAACGACGACAGCGTGTGCGACTTCATGCACACCATTGTGTCGTGCGATGCCTCGGCGAGCAGCATGTATGGCTTTCCAGAGAGCCAGAGGTCGAGCTCGTCACGCTCCATGGTAGACGGCCGAGGCGCGTCAATGTCGATCAGCCTCAGACATGGTGGACGTTGGGACACGGCCGCGGTCATCTTGTCAATCAGGTAGCAGCTCCAGATGGTGCGCGAGCGTTCTTGGATCTCGCGGCTGTCTCGTGGGTGGGGGGCGCTTGATGTGCGGCGAGTGTGGAGCCCAATGTCGACTGCCATGCGGCATGCAAAACCAACCATCTGGTACGAGAGGGGCTTGCGACCGCATCCGAGGTCGACGAGGGCGACGAATATCAATGCCTGCACGGTCTGAAGCGATGGCTTGCGGTCAGGATGGGTGTTGATGGTGAGGTGGGCCATGATGCGTTGGCGGACGCTCTCGCAGAGATAATCGCATGCGGTCGACAGCTGGGCCGCGTTGGCAGAGTCGGTCAACGTGATGGATCCCTCCTCGGGCTCAAAGTCGGCATTGGCAGCAGAGACGGCGAGAATGGCGTCAAACACCAAGGGACACTGGGTCTCCAGCTGTCGCAAGCTGCGCAACGCCGGAACGTAGATGACTGGCCAGTGGGGGTGGATAAAGGTCTCAAAGACGGTGAGGAGCTCGTCTATCGTCTGTGACGACAAGCCGGCGCGGGCTGCTTGCGAAGGCATGGAGACGTTGGGCGACGACGGCATGATCAGGTTTGGCGGCGACCAGACGCTGGGAGCCGTGTTGCGCCGGCGTGGAGGAAGGTAAGGGGCGATAGGGGACTGGGCAGTGGTCGTGTCCGTTTGCGGGGATCGAAACATGCTGTCAGTGTCTGTCACACCAAAGCTAAGGTCCGTCGACGGGATGCCAGAGGGGATGCCCAGGTTGTTGAGCAGGACCTCATCAAACACAGACGTGTTGGGACTCGACTTTGGATGGAACTGAGAGGGTTGTTGGTCGGGGGACTCCTTCAGTAGGAGGCCACGGGCCGGTTGACTCAGCGCCCCTTGGTGAACGCTTCGCATGTCCATGTCCATGTGGGCGGCGGCGTGGGAAGACCCACTGCTCGTGCCGACAACCTGAGCGACGGCGACGCCCGCGGCTGCATTCGCGTTGGCAGCGTTCTCGGCAGCGATGGCCTGGCGTTTACGATGGCCTCCACGTGCTGGGCATCCCTTTGGTGGACCTCGTTTCTTTGCGGTGGTGTAGAAGCACTCTCCGGAGAAGAAGCGGACGCAGTGGGCACATGGCTTTGATCCGTCGCACTTGATTTTGCGGATGGAGCAGGCTACGCAAGCCTTGGTGGTGCGTGTCCTCTCCTGTGAGTCGGGCATGGTGGAGGGCAGCGAGGTAGTGGTGGTGGTGGGGGTGGATGGAGGGATGGATGGGGTGAGTAACAGACGACACACCAGTTGACGACGAGCGCGACCGCGGGGGCGGGGCAGGGCGGGGCAGCAAGCGGGGCGGCGTGCGGGGCCGGGGGCGGGTGACGGCAAAAGCAAGATGTGAGTGACCGACACCGGATGCGGAGGCCGCGCGGAGAAGCTCCGGAGTAGGCCAACGACCCCCCGCCGCCGGCCCGGGGAGCAGTAGTGGTCTATCAACTGCAAATGGGGGTGTCTCTATAGGCGGGAAGAGGACCTCGAGAGAGAGACGCGGGCCCGTGTTGTCTCACCATGGTCACATTGCTTAGAGCGGTAGACAGTTACGGGATGGGTGACCATCGCCTGACTCAATTGGGCCCATTTCTAATCGATTTACAATCATCATTGACCATCTAAACCCGCTTCTAATATATCTATATTGCAGCAGAGGTTCTGGGGAGTGCTTACATGCAAAACAAGGGCCGGAGAACGAGTACAGTACATGCATAGGAAACACCAAGCGCAAGAGCCAGTGTGCTTGCTGGAGACGCGTTGGTGACGACAGGCGACGACAAAGCGGAGGTGCCGTCCTTGGGCCGGTTGGCCGATAGGCGACCAGCTCGTAAAGCCAGTATATCCAGTATCCTACTTTGTCGACAAGCCTATCACGCGTATCGCGCGAATTCCAAGTTATTTGTGTAGACGTGCCAGACGGGCCGCATTTGCCAAGACCAGAGGTCCACAGAGGCCAGAGACACCGACAACACGGGCAGCAGGGTCTCTGCTTTGTGTCTGGGCAGGCTCATTAGGAACCCCGCCATGGTTATGCCGAGACTAATTGAAAATTGTAATCCTTGAATTTGATCAAGGTGGTGCTTTCTTGGACGAGTGTCTCCGCCAGCCAGGTGGGGGAGCAGCGACACGCGCATTCAGGTTCAAGTCATTGGCTCATTGTGTCGCATTCGGATGTTATCTTGGCGAGCAACCGTCAGCAGGAGCCTGCCTTCCAAGGCAGATCTATTGGTCTATACGGCGAGGGAAGCCAGTTGGGGTGCCAGGCTGCAAGTGGTGGACGTGGACGCAGGACGGACAGACACTTTTGGTTCTCTTGCCTCTTGTCCAGACATGTGAACCTGCAGAACAAGACACAATAGAACAGGGATACAGGGATGTACACGAAACTGAAGCTTAAAAGAGACCACTGGCCACTGTAGCCGCCACTGTCGTGAGTGAAGGAGAGGCTACGGTTAGGCATCAAGTCCCTCTTTGGTGCCAAACCCTATGCTCCCAAAAGGGGTCACCCACGCAGCCAACACACCTACATATGAACTCATGCTTCCCTGGTGACCTTTGTCTTGTGCTTGCTCATTTGGGGGGCTGAATGCGTCGCGTCGGCGACGAAAAGAGGTTCCGAACTTTGACGACGGACGCGGCAGTCGCGCAGCGTGCGAGCCAGACTGTGCCAGCATCGCCACCACGTCCGCAGTCGATGGCTACGTCACCACGGCACGCGCAATGATGGAGAATTCCAGCCTGCGAGCGATGCTCATCGATATCTCTTGCAACTTGTGGAGATTGCAATTGCACACTCACCCCTCCTCCCTCTTCCATCCCACCCCGACCATGGCCTACTCCACTCCCTCGCCACCGACCTTCCCCCAGAAGGCATACAAGGGCTCCATCAACGACAACCATTTCACGGCCTCGACAAGCAACCTCGCAAGTAGCGTTGTAGCAAACACTCTTCGCACACGTAACAAGACCGATCAATACGTGGCCATCCCATGCAGCGAGTGTGGGACCGTACGCCCGACATGCGATTGTAACAACAAGGCCACCAACTGGGCCGCGTCAAGGCCCAGCCGTCCGACATCATTGCACTCTACGGCCACGTCCGCCAGCTCGGCGCCGAGTGATCCTTGGGCCGATGAGTACGGCGTCGTGAGAGCTGGGGAGCGTCCTTGGTGGCAAAAGGCTGCCTGCTGCGTCGTGCAGTAAAGGAAACGAGCGCGCAGCTGCATAGCCGCGCAGTATGCGTATATGCGTAGTCGCTGGAGATGATTCCAAGCGTGGCGCCACACCATCACCAAGCTTGCAACACCTCCAACACTCTTAGATTCTAGACCCCGGGCCCACGGACAACACAGTCCATCCCAAGCATGTACCTCCTTTCTCCTTCACATTCCCACCTCTGGCCCCCTCGTGTCGCCCCTTCTTAGCGGCAAGTTGGAATCCGAAGGCCGTCGTTCGTCATTGTCTTCGGTGATCGTCTTGTGCAAGGGCGTCGATGGTCGTGCGACCGCATGCTCCTCCTTAACTTGTCCATTACTTCTCACCGCTCTGTCAAGGCTCCACCAACTTCAAGCCTTAACCATAACCACCGGTGAGCTAGGCGGTGGTCTCTTCTAGAGCTGACTCCCAGATGTCGAGCGACCAGGACCCCCTCACACCCCCGGCCCCACCCCCACCCACTCCAGTGCCGGCCGTGACGACCTCCCCAGCTCCAGCGTCACCCCGGCCCGCTCCATTGCGTCCCCCGTCGCCGTCCTCGCGCCCGCGCCAGGCTACACTCCAACCCCGTCTGCCCCGCCGCACCCCTCTTCCCAAGCGCTCTACCAAACCCGTGCGCGAGACCAAGTTTGACCGCTGGGTGCTCGACGACGAGGCGATTATCGAAAACTGGCTCGTGGAAGGTGACGACCTCGTCTCGCAGATCACGGGCGAGCACCTGTCCATTCCCGCCTTGCTCGCCGAGTACGGGCTGGACTTTACCAAATGGGGCCCGCAGCGTCCCAAAGCGCCGTGGGACACGCCCTCACCCTCGCCCTCACCCTCGCCTTCGCCATCGCCCTCGCCATCGCCCAGCCCCGTCGAGCCCAACAAGCCCAAGCCCAAGCCCACGCCCAAGCCTAAACCCAAGCCCGGGATGTTGACGGCCGAGTCGCTCGCTCTGCTGCCCGGTACCGCCGCCAAACCCCATTCCGCACCATGCACCACCGCCGCGGGCGACGCTACGGATGTCCAGGTTGAAGACGGCACGCCCAGGACAGGCGCCGAGCTCGAGGCGCAGTACGGAACCAAGTTCCAGCGCTGGCCGTACCTCAAGGGCCTGTGGCCCGACAGGCCGCGCGCATACCGGATCACGAGGACGACGTCTGTGAACGGGGTCACGGGAGGATCGGGTTTGGCGGTGCCAGTGTCCAAGGCCCACAGTGGATCAGGCTGAGCTCCCGGTTGATTTGGAGGCCGCACGAGGAGGGGTGCGGGATTGAGAGGGGACCGGCCAGGCAAGGGAGGGGATGTGTGCTTTTCGGGAAGGAGGAAGCGGGGCGGCGAAAATGGCACGAGACATACACGGTGTGCAATGTACATGACGACCAAGTGGTATATACACAGACATGGGAGTCCTCGAGAAGATGTACAGTGCCAGATCAATTGGTCAGTTGGCAGCCCACTGGTGCTCGTCTACAACAAGTCATACATGGTTTGTTTTGTTGTCATCACCTTCCCTCGTCCAAACCTCAACACTTCACGGGCACCACATTTGCCTCTAATATGCTCCAGGCCGGGGATATATATACTCGTACTCCTCCACACACACACTGAAGACAGGTGGGGTGAATGACACACTGTGGCAGAACAAACCCACCCGCAGGATCACTACTCCGTCTCAACCCCACTCCCAACCTCGTCCCCCGGGACCCCAAAAGGTGCAGCTCCTCTTCACCACTCTTCTCACCCACCCCCACACCAAAAGAGAAGACCGCTCGCACGCTCTCCTTGCCTGTAGGCCGACAATGACATGATTCGAACATGTGCTCCCGAAGGAAATTGATTTCGAGTCAATCGCGTTAACCACTCCGCCACATTGCCACCTCTGCTGTGTTCTCCTGCATGAGAGGATGCGGAAGATGCTCTTACTTGCATGCATTGGACGTGTGGAAAGAGAATGACGGACGGTTGAAGGTCGGAGGCAAGGAGAATGTTGGTGGAAGTGAACATGGACCGGCGAATTGTGGCGGCGGAGGATCGGCGGTGTGGTCGGTTTTCGACAATTCGAAGCCCCCTGGCCCGCCTTGCCCATGGGTACAGTCTCTTCCGTGGAAGTAGATCGCACTAACACCAAGTTGCGCCGGGCCAGCTCGGATGGGTGAAGCTTCTGGACCAAGAGGAGCAGCCGTGTCGGCGTTTTCCGCAGGAACCTCGGGCCGCCCCGCCCACCTCCTCACCTTCCTCGGGCCCTCCCTTCCACTTCTACACGCCTCTGCGAGCCCTGTCCGACCATCTGCTGGTCACGCAACACCTCTCCGAGGTCTACAGGTCGCAAACCATAGCGGGAAACCATGCACAAGCCGGTCTGATCGTATAACGGTTAGTACACAAGATTCTGATCCAGTGCCGACAGCTCCTCCTCGAGCTCGTCGATCCACTCGAATCGTTCTTGTAATCTGGGTTCGATTCCCAGTCGGACCTTCTCTACAGCTTCCCTGTGATCTCTCAGAGGTCGCAGCGCTTCCCTTTTGGACCGTGGACGGGAGGAGGGGTTGAGGTGGTCAGAACGAGGTAGATGGCTTTAGTCTCCGGCCCGCGTGGCACGTCCAACCTCCATTGGAATGCAGTTTTGCATTGGGGTAGCCAGGTCACTGTTCTGACATTTCATCCAGAGCTCGCACGCACCGTCAATCCATGCCTATTGATTCGGCCCATACAGTCGCCTGTCATTGTTGGTGTATTGTTGTGAGTTCTTTGCAGCCACGATTCCATCGGCGGAGCATTTTGGAGGATTGAAGTGGGGTTGTGATGGGAAGCGTTGGTAGCACTGAGTACAGTACTTACAGTTACCGGCGGTGCAGCTACCGACCACACGCCGCACGGTATACCCGGCATGAAGAGTGCCTTGGTCAACAGCATGACGACGTGAAGCGTAAGCCGTCCATCTGGAGATGTCGGCGACACGAGCTGGCTCCTTGGCAGGAACAACGGTATCCACGGTTCGAGCAGCGCAAACAGGAACCAAAGCGTTACCAGAACAGCGTTGGCGGACAGCACGACTCATCAGCTGTGTATAGCGATGCAATTTTGCCCACTGCCAGCTGGTGTCACATTGCCTCGTCCACAGTGGTGAAAGAGCTGCACTCTAGCATCCGATTTGGCATAAAGCACGACGGTCGGCGACCACAGTCCACAACTACATCAATTCAACAAACTCTACAGTACCACCAACAAGCTACCTCCTTCACACAATGCTTACCAAGCTCTTCGCCCTCACCAGCGTCCTTGCTGCCCTTGCCGCTGCCGCTCCGCTTGCTCCTGGTGAGAGCTACATCGGCAAGTTCATCCCCCTGTACAGCGGTGCCACACCGCCGGACACGCCGCGCATGTGCATGGCGGTCTCGGAGAACAACGTCCAGAACGAGCTTCCTGTTGTAATGTAAGCATCCACTATCGGTTCTCTTTCCAGCTGACAACATCCACAGCGCCGAATGCGACCAGTCCAAGAAGCAGCAGTGGCAGTTCCAGGGTTTCAGCGGCAACCTATTTGCCGTGGGGTTCGAGAAGCACTGCCTGGACGCTGGCGACAGCCCGTCGGACGGGTCCAAGCTCCAGCTGCGCGAGTGCGCTCTCATCCCCCAGCAGACCTGGACGCCCAATGGTGAGAGCACGTTCAAGCTCAGCGAGACCGACCTCTGCATCGACCTCACCGACGGTAACGTGGCGGACGGCACGCAGCTCCAGGTCTGGACTTGTGACTACCGAAATGTCAACCAGCAGTGGAGGACTCCGTCGTAGGGGGTATCACCTGTGACTGCCGTAAATAGAGTAGAATCGATGGCCGTGGTATGAACAGCATCTATATGGCAACAGGGAGCAGCTTTGCTTTCGGCCGCGGACGTCGAATGGTTCCACCCGGTTGCGTTGAATGAAAGATTGCCAGCGCTGGGCCGTTGGCCACACTCGCCACAGACCAACCGATCGGCCCTTCAAATGCCATCAAAACAGCCAAATAGATAAACCAATGCTTAACCGTGTCGCTCCCGACAAGAGCAGTTTCTGGAGTATGACCGTGGTCAGCCGAGCAAATGTCAGTTGTCCCCCGTTAGGCGGGGTTTGCCGTCACTCACTCGGCACGTCCGCCAGGGTCCACAAACGGACGCTCCAGAGTCCTATCTGCGCCGGAATGACTGGTATCTTTCCATCCCCACAAACACATCCTTGCTGGCACGCGACTCACACATCGGCGTGATATCGTTGATAGCATGACGGCAAACACCCCGCGTTGCTGAGAGAACCGGTCGCCTGTTGCCACCGACATTGCCGCCGGGGTTGCCCGTTGAGCGATAAGACACGGCGTGAAGCCACAGGGCAAGGAGCTTTTCCGTCGTCGGCAAGCTTGCCGGCGCGTCCAAACTCGCCGGCGAGGTGAGCTCGCCGACGAAGGGGATGAGAGGGGTGGACGACGCCGCGTAACCTGGACGCCTCCCAATGTGAGGATCCCACCCTGTTCCCGACCGACACACCCCGCGAGGCGTCAAGGCGTCCATCACTCGACGCGAGGTTGTATAAGTCGCACCATGGGCGACACGGGGCCCACATCCAGCTCCTAGCTCCTAGGATTTTGTCGTCTCCTACCCCATACTTTGTCGCCCGTGACCAACTGGACCCATCACATATCACAACCTCGCCAACCCACAAGTCGCGCGATGACGACGGCCATTGAGACAAATCCTCCAACCGACATCAAGATGTCGCTCTCCAACGACGACCCCGAGTCGGGCTCGCGCGACATGGTCGCTGCCCCCAAGTCTCAGCGCTCTGGGTTCTACCGCTGGTACGCTAGCGCATGGACGCAGACGATCATCGTGTCGTTTTGCTGTTTCTGTCTGCCAGGCATGTACAATGCCATCTCGGGCATGGGTGGTTCCGGTCAGCTTGACCCCACTGTGAGTGCCCATCAGTCTCCATTAGAAATGGCGATCGATCCATCAACGATGGCCGTGGCTGACGTTATCAACAGGTTGGTGCCAACGCATCAGTCGCCCTCCTCTCAGTCGGTGCTGCTACAGGTCTCCTCGTCGCGCAGCCCGTCTTTGACATCTTCGGTATCCGCACCATCATCCTGGGCGGCTGGACTTATGCGCTTTACACCGGCTCCCTTCTCTGCTACAACCACACCCACAACGGCGCCTTTGTCATTGCGTCGGGTGCGATCCTGGGTCTCGGCGCCTCCTTCCTCTGGGTCTGCCAGGGTGCCATCATGCTGTCATACCCGCTCCCCAACAAGAAGGGTCTCTCCATCATGGTCTTCTGGATCATCTTCAACTTTGGCGGTATGATTGGCTCGTTCATCTCGCTCGGCCTCAACTACAACCGTATCAAGGCTGGCACCGTCAACGACGGCACGTACGTTGCCTTCATGGTCATCATGATCATTGGTTGGGTCCTCTGCTTCTTCCTCCTCCCCTCCGAGAAGGTCATCCGCTCCAACGGCACCCACGTCGTCCCCATCCGTCACTCGGACGAGGAGCCCATGCACTGGTGGCAGAACTTCACCCAGACCGCCAAGCGCGAGTTCTTCCACATGCTCAAGCTCAAGGACGAGCCTCGTATTCTCTTCCTCCTGCCCCTCTGCTTTGCCGCCAACTGGTTCTACAGGTGAGTTTTTGCCACCGTTGATAGCCCACACAAACTCACGCTTACGAAACCCAGCTACCAGCAGAACATTGTCAACGGCAAGTCGTTCACCCTCCGCGCGCGTTCCCTCAACTCGGCCCTCTACTGGGGTGCCCAGATGTTCGGCGGTGCCGCCATCGGTCTGATCTGTGACATGCCATGGTTCACCCGTCCCCGCCGCGCGCTTTGCGCGTGGGCCTTTGTCTTTGTCATGGGCAACGTCATCATGGGCGGTGGTCTCGCGTACGAGAACTGGTTCGAGGCTCAGGACAAGCTCAACTTTATCGACTTTTCCGACGGCAAGCTCTACGTCGGCCCCGCTTTCTTGTACATCTTCTACGGTATGCTCGATGCCTTCTGGCAGGGCTTTGCCTACTGGATGCTGGGCGCGCTCTGCAACACCCCCAAGGAGGCTGCGCGCTTTGTCGGTGTCTACAAGTCCATGCAGTGTGTCGGTGGTGAGTTCAACTGACTTCGGCGAAGACACAGCTGACATATACTTCAGGTGCCGTCGCCTACCGCCTCACCGCCAACCACCTCGCTGCTCGCAAGCAGTTCATTTCCAACTGGGTCATCATCGTCGCTGCCCTCATCTGCGCGCTTCCCGCCGTCTTCATGATCACCGAGCCGACCGATATGGAGAAGCGCGGAGAGTTTGTCAGCGACGAAGACGACAGCCCCGGTGCCAAGAACAAGATCGCCCACCAGCACATGCACGAGAAGGACGTTCCTACGATGCAGCACTAGAGTGTGTGTGTGTGTGTGTGTGTGTCTGGGGAAACATCTTGCAGAAGCGGTAACGAGTACGAGTGAGGGGAGAGTATTGGGAAGTAATTCGCAGCGCCAGATGGGCTGGTTAATCGTGGTACACATATCGTAGCCAAAGAATGATGCATTGTGTCTGCTCTGTTATTGTCGTCGCCACTATGCAATAGGCAAGCTGAAGAACTGGATACGTCGACAAGGGCTGCACCTGTCGAGAATGGAACAGGAGGGAAGAAGCTATTGGCAAGAGCAGTTCCACCGCCTTGGTGCATGGCAGACAGCAAGACCGGGTACCAGTCTTGGTGTACACATGGCACACACGCCTCCCTTTCTGTCACCTGTTCACTGACCGGTACGACCCATGTGCTCGATGCCAAGATTCCACTGGCCACTGGCCACTGGGGGGTTATCAAAGGCGGGCCGAGTCCACCGAGAATAGACGACGGCGTACGGCTGGTTGCAGTACCTCACACCCAGCGGCTACCTATGCGGCGGGGCTGCCAGCGCTGTTGGCACCCACTGCCGTCCTCTGCTCAGATACCGCGATGTTCCCACACTTGCCGATAACGAGGTGACCTCCAAGACTCCCCGAGCCATCAGAGACGATAGCAACAGCCCGCTGCTCTCGCCGAGACACACACTCGCCGAGCAAAGCATCCACGCCGTGTCGGCAATCGTGTTCCCGATGGCAAACCAAGATCCCGAGCTGTTGTGACTGGTGGTAAGCTCGCCGACCTTGTCGGCTTGTGACTGCCCACCTTGTTCTGGAGATCACCTGCACCCAAGACCTCGTGCTCACATGTCGAGCTGCGCAAGCTGCACAATTGCCACAAGCTGACATACGCCACCGATCCACCGAAGCGCGGACACTGGGTTCAGTCAGGACCTTGAAAGTGCCATTCCTGCAGGTAGGGAGAGGGCCGAGAGGGTGGACGCTCAAGCAATCGCCGCATTAGTCGGCCAGTTTACCGACACGCGTTCCACAGCTGTTGCCGTTGCAACAATAGCGTTGGTGGGGCTCAGTTACCTCGCCACTCGGCTTCTCACACTGCACAGACTGCGCTGTGCCTAGGACGGCCACCAAGAAACCAAAATCAACCGTGAACAACTGGACAGGCCCATCAACTCTACGACCTCCACACTCAACTCGACGAATCCATCCAATGTCGCATTACCTCTGCATTGATGGCGGGGGCACCAAGACGAGCGCGACTGTCGCCTATGTCGCATCCAGTAGCACTGTCCCAATCATTGCTCGCGGAGAGGCAGGACCATCGAACCTGTGGGTGCCGCTGAGCGACTGTCCAGGTCACAGCGACTGACGTCTCTACCAGGACGTTTGGACTCGACGTGTGTCTCACGGCAACAAAGGAAGCAGTCTCGAACGCGCTCGCGGCGTTGGCCCAGAAGGACTCGCACGCAGCGCTCTCCTGGCCTCCATCAGCTGCGGGCGACTCTGGCTTCACAGCCGTGTGGGCCGGGTACGCTGGCTGCGCGCGTCCACCCGACCACGCGCTGCTGTTCCCGCACCTCGAACCCCTGCTCGGCCCCCATCTCCGACTCACAGGCGACGCAGAGCTCCTCGTCGCTCCCCTTGCTGGACGCAGTGTCGACGCGTGCGTCACGTTGATCTGCGGCACGGGATCACTCGGGCTTCTCTGGCGCAAGGACGCCGACGGCGAGCGCGCGCAACAAGTGGCCCGCAGCGGCGGGTGGGGTCCACTGCTCGGCGACGAAGGCAGCGGATGGAGTCTGGGCAAGGCGGCTGTCAAGAGCGTCTTGACCTTTTCGGCCAACAACCGCCCATTACGCTCCTGGCACAGCGCCGTGTTGCTACACTTTGGCCTCGCGGTTGACCAGGCCAACCGCCTGATCACAGCGTGTGCTGGGTTGGACAACACGCTGGCGCCGTCCTTGGCCGATTCGGAGCGCAAACGCAGGATTGCGGCGTGTACCCGCATTGCAGTCGACGCTGCACGGGCAGGGGACGGCGAGGCCCTTCGCATCGTGCGCAAAGTTGCCTCCGAGGTCGTGGATACCCTCGAGCCGCTGGTGGCCGCCCTTGGAGACGAGAAGGCACTTCTCGTGGTGGCAGGTGGGCTGGGACAGGTGGATGTGTTCTGGCATGAGGTTGAACGCGGGATGCAGGCAAGGGGGTGGACATGGGACGAGGTCGTGAAACTTGCTGATCCTGGAATGAGCGGGTTGATGTCCTTGGTCCCAACGCAGTAGACGGCATACAATGCATCCCTCAGCAGAACTTTTGACGTCTGGTCACTGATGGCAGCTGGCCGGCCACTCATTGTTCTTGGTCGCTGATAAAGTGATGGCTGCTCGACAGCACCAGACCCTTATGTCTGTGACGACCACCCTCTTCTCACACCACACACACCCCGCGTCATGGCAGTACCAGAACCCAGCAACGGCTCATCCAACACGGTCCCACTATCGAGTCCAACCCCTAACTCCAGTCCCGATACTGCAAGCGACGTTGAAGCCATCAAACGCGCAGCCGAGCTGCTACGAGTGATGAACGCCCAGACAAAGGCGGAAAACGACGTGGTCCGGCTCGCAAACGCCCAGATGCGCGCCGCATTAGCCAAGTATGACAGCCAGAAGCAGAAAGGCAGCCAGGGAGGTCGTACATAGTACAATGCAACGTGCTTGAGAGAACCGTTTATGAAAAGTCTAAACTAGAGGTGTCCGTTTGTTCCGTTTGTGACCACCCCATTAGGTGCTGATCGGGTGGCGAGGGCGGTCTTGAGCAGGCCGTCGGCAGCGTCGAGGCGGCGAGTGGCCTCGTCGGGCGTACACCGCCACCTGGCAGCGACCATGGAGCGCTTGACGCTGCCTCCACACGCGTCCATGAGATCGTCGATGGCGAGGTCGTCGGCAAGGTCAATGTCGAGCGTGGCGCCCTGGTCCACAATGGGCTGCAGGACGGACCGGAAGATGAGCCGGGCGCGGTTGATAAGCTTGATGTTGGACCGCTTGACGTCGACCATGAGGTTGCCGTACGTCTTGCCAATCTTGAGCTGGACACCAGTGGAGATCATGTTGAGAATCATCTTTTGGGCTGTACCGCTCTTCATGCGCGTCGAACCCGTCACCACCTCGGGCCCAACGGGACACTCGACGACCAGCTCGGCGACACCCTGCATGGCGCTGGGGCTCACACAGCAGATACCAGCAGTGAAGCAGCCCAAGTTGCGCGCATAGTCGATACCACCCAGGGCGTACGGTGTCCTTCCCGACGCTGCGAGCCCAATGACCGTGTCGAGGTGAGGTGAGAGTGGAGGATCCAGTGCCGCGAGGTCGGCTGCGCCTTGCTCGGGGCTGTCCTCGGCTCCCTCCACGGCAAACTGGATAGCCCGCTGGCCGCCCGCAATGAGCCCGATCCACTCTCCATATGGTGACGAGAATGTTGGTGGGCTGCAAGGTTAGCTAGTACACCATACAGGGCCTTAGCTGAACAGACTCACATCTCGGAAGCGTCGAGGATGCCGAGACGTCCGGACGTGCCGGCGCCCATGTAGACAACACGCCCACCGCGGCGCACCTTGGGTGCAATCTCGTCGATGATGCGCGCAATGGTGGGCACGCACTTGGCCACGGCCAGCGCGACCGTCTGGTCCTGCTGGTTGATCATGTCTGCGGGCGGGGGTCAGCAAGAAGAACGCCGAGGTGTGCCCCACGCCGAGAGCTTGACGTACAGCACATGTCCGCGGTGGACGCGACGTCGATCTCGCTAGTCTTGTCGTTGCGGCATTCGGTTTGCAGTGTACTCAAGTCGATGTACGGGACCATGGTGACAGTCATGGCGAACACAACATGAACGAAACGTGAACCTGCAAGACACACAATTCCTATGTAAGGTTGCTGTCACTTGTCAGTTTGCCGCTCGCTTGCGGTCCATCACGCCGACCCGCTTCGGCTTTTTACCCGATGAAGGCCCCGCCGGCTCACTCGCCGACCACTTTATCAGCCGCGAGCGTCGGTATTCTCGGCCAACCTCCACACCAACACCGACGGGGCCGTGGGTGGGGCCGCAACATGGGTGGAATCCTTGCACAAGACTGCATACAACTGCCAAACACTAGAGTGACGACTACAACGACCCATTGCGGCCCATCCGGCCAACACCCGAATTCCAGCCGGACAGCTGCCGGGGCCAGGGCACCTCACCACCGCTGCCCTGTTCGGGGACCATGTGGGGGGGAGGGGGAGGGGCTGGGGGAGCGGGGACAAGGACCTCGCCCTGGGGCAGACCCAGCATGCCACTGAGGTCACTCCAGAACGAATCACTTCCAGTGTAGGCCATGGCCATGTCAATGTCTGGGATTGGGGTGAAGACCATGGGCAGCTGAACTGCCGAGCGGGGCCCTTGTTGGGCTTGGCAGCGTTCTACGAGCCGCTGCAGAAGCTTGGACCCAGACGTGTGCAGCATGTTGGACACACTGACAAACAGGTCGTGCGCACGGCGAACCAGGGGTTCTGCAAAATGTCAGCCAACGCCACTGCCAAGGCATCCGAGGAAGCCCACCTTCAGGAGACACAGCCAGGGCTGCTATCAGCGCAGAGTGGAGGAAGAGCTTGGGCCACATGTGCAGCGAGTCGGCCCATTTGCCGACGACCAGGTTCAGCAGATCGCGGGCGGACGCTTCGTACTGCTGCGTATCTGGCTGAGGTCCTTGATTCAGGTATGCGTCGATCACGAACAAGGCGACGTGATAGTAGAGCCCAACCAGGTTGATCAGGAAGTCTCGGTCACTCCCTGTGGGAAGTTTCACAGCGTCTGCGTCTGGGGTGATGGTGTGAGCATTGACTGACACAGCAAGGGGTTGGGTGGCTGGGAGAAACCCACTCTGAATTTCGTACTGCCACTTGGGGCACCAGCGATCAAGGTCTGTCCGACAGACGCGGAGGACGTGAACCTCGGCATACGTCAAGGGGGCGAGCACGGGCTGGTTATAGAGTGCGAGCATGACTAGACTCCGTGGAGTCGTGAGGGCACGGTTGACGACACCGAGCGAGTCGAAAAGCTCGTTGAGAGCCATAAGGAAAACGTGGGACGTTGTGCGGTCCGGTACACCTCGTGGTGGGCAATCGGGCACGATGGGCGTGGAGAGGTGTAGAATGCCGTGCGAGATTGTTGTTAGCTCGAGAAAGTCCCACACGCGTCTGTCGCGAAACGAATTTTGCCCTCCAGTCGCAGTCTCGACGAACGCGCCGTATGCAAGGCCCGCAGTCATCTCGTCAGCCTTCCACCACCACGTCCGCGCAATGCCTAGGCCGACAACGTCGTCCCAGGTCTTGGGAACGGTGATGTACAGCAGGCGGATGAGTGCCCGCTGGAAGAGCTCCTCCCACCGCTCGACCGGGGTTGCCAGGTGGCCTGTGAAGCGTTTGGCGGATGCGGTGACGACGGCGGAGAAGAGGAGAGGGGAAGGGGTGGCAAGTTCGGTACTGGCAGTAAAGCCGTGGTAGATGGCAAGGCTGTCGTAGAAGCTGCCGTAAGCGCCTGCCTTGTGCACCTGAAAACTCACTGTTCCCACAGAACTGTCGCGTCCTCAATGGCGACATCCAGGTTCGTGGGGTGCTGCAGCTCGGCAAGAGCAGGACGTAGAATGTCTCGCAGGCCGTGCAAGTGCTGAGGAAGCGGATGGGGCCGCGAGTCGAGTTGTGACCCGGGAGTAGTGGTCGTCTGATGCGATGGTGGGCCCGCTGGCGCTGTTACGCTGCGGCCGCCACCACCATCGCCCAGCTGGCGGACGAGGTCTGCGTTCGCGGCCTTGACAGTTGCAATCTCATCTGTAAGGCTCTGGAGACGAAACTCGACAGATTGTTGCCTTGGATGGTTAGCTGCATACCTTTTATCCTGAGGGCATGAGGGCTCACCATCGAAGGTCATCGGCGAGGATGGCAGCGTTAGCACGGGGACGAACGATACACTCGACGCCGTCATCGCGACACCTAGGCATCAGCTACTGCTCCGTTTTGATGAGACTTACCGGGTACACGTGCGGTTGGGAGTGCCATCACACTACACAAACCCAGTCAGCGGTGCGGACAGACGAGAAGGGAGAGATTGTGCTCCAACTTGCCTTGAGCTTTTGTCTTCGGCAGTGCAAGCATGCACTGGTGCGTTTCGGCTTTGACGCCGACGCGTGAGACCCGTCCCCGTGTCCGCCTTCGATGGGAGACGTGGAGGAGCGCGGCATGGCTGGCCGTGGCTGGATACAAGGTGGATGGTTGGACGATGGATCAGTTGACAAGTGAGAGTTGCAGCCGGCAATCGGAAATAACCCGGAAACTGGCCCGTGTGTACAGTGCGGGGGGCTCCGCAGTTGGCAATGTTCACAAAAGTTCAAGTCTTGTGACCGTCATGTTCAGCCCGTATGCATGTTCTGGAGGTGCCAAGTGGTTGGCCGGGTGCACAGAATCAACCACGTTTAAGGCAAGAGGTGCTGCTCAAGCATGTGTGGTTGTGGTGGTGATCCGTGGGATTGGTGGGATCGGCGGCGTCTCGGGCCGAGACGATGGGATGGGACAGAGGCAGGTTCACCAGTCAAGTAGGTCGAGCACGATGCCCCAGTTGCGACCAATTGAGTGAGAGGAAGGGAGTGGGGCTTATCGTGGTTGCTGTGAAGAGTGGGGTCGATTGCAACATGACCTTGACTTTTGTTTGATCCATTTGATTTCGTCGGAACATGAGCGGCTCAAGGACTGGGAGTGGCGCCATCATACCGAGGTGAAACGAGACACCACAGGCGTGAGGCAGACTCGTTCAGCATCAGCTCAACATAAAGCTCCCTATCCTCTGAAACGCGGCATACATATCATGATCCACATGGTACGCGTATGGCGAGCGACGCGCCCCTCTACAACTCTCTCTCCGTCTCTCTCGCAACACGCCTAATGCCACCGTCCACGTCCCCCCACTTCACGAGACTCGACGGGCGGCGACAATCATGTCCCGGACATGGGTCATGAACATGGTGTCGTCGCCATCCGGGGCCAAGTGGGGGCAGCTCCCTGGGCAAACATGTAGGCTGCCTTGGTCCTGAAGCAAGATCAGAACCATTACTTGGTGTAGACTCACTGCCAGTCGTCCAGGAGCTCGTAGTTGTTGAGGAGGTTGTCAAGCTGATGGGTCAGACCAGTGAGAAGGGGGAACGTACGATGGCAACCTCTCTGTCGGTAAGGGGCCTGAACAGAGCGGGGTCAATAACCATCCTAGAAAGGTTAGCCTTGAACACCTTCAGTCATCCTCACGCATGGCAAGTGGTCGGTCGGAGGCCGAGGTACCCCAAACGCAAGCATGCCTCCGTGTCGGCTGAATATCTGCTCCTCCTCGACCCATACTTGTATGTGACCAGGATTTGCAGGCCATGCGGGTCTGGGTCGACCAGTCCGAGGACCGGAGCTGCGGGATAGGTCGCAGCTAGCTTGCTGAGCAGCCTCGTTGTCAGACCGTCTCCTTGGCCTTTGCCCTACGACGTGGGGTCAGTAGGGTCCTCTAGTTCTCATGACAAGTGCGTACGGTGAGAAACACGCCTCGTCCGAGCGTCGGGTCTGCAAGAATACGCGTACTGATGATCCTTTGAAGCACGGACTGCTGTCAGTAAGGACTTCACTCTCAGCCATTCACGTCCTTCTCCACCATCACAATGTAGTCCACCCCACCCTCGAATGAAACCACGTCATCAACACATGGTACAAGGAGGTCCTGGAATGGTCAGTAGTCGTCGCTTCGTATAGCTCACAATTAAGGGGAGGAAACGAAGCTTGGTCCCATCAAACATCACAGCAGTCAAGCTGGTTGCCGCGACGCGGCCCTCATCACCCGTGTCCGTGTGCGTTGCAGCAGTGGGTAGGAGGATCAAGGATTAGCTAATTAGCTAAAGAGTCGCCCCCAGGATATTAGCTAAGAGTCCACCGTGTCGTTGTGTGCCTGGTTATCGTACCGCCGACGTTCTTGATTTCTTTCTCAGACTCTCACCATTTCAACCACAAACACTATGCCCAAAACCCCAAGTCATAACCGCAGGGGCAAGCCGACCACTGCTTGTGTCCCATGCCACAAAAGAAAGAGACGTTGCGACCGTGTAAGCTCATACCGTCAACAGCGTCGCTGACGATAGGGCTCACCCTGTTCAGCGTGTCTCTCAAATAAGATACCGTGTTCGTACACTGGAGTCGAGTCAGAACCCCCAACTAGCTCTGCCGTCAGCATCCATGGACCTACCGGCGGCCATTTCGAGGGCAGTAGTCACCCAGCGGAGAGCGGCGCGGACTCGTCGACGGTCGGCCCCAACGCCAACGCCGGACCGAGCTCGTCCAACCGTAACCACGACGAGAACCACCAGCGGAGCTCAGGCCATGCCAGGGCCTGGTCGCGCGCAGTTGAGTATGACAATGTACCGCGTCAGCGTGCGCGTTCTCCGACCCATGAGCGCCGCTACGTAGCGTTAGGCTCGCCACCGCCCAGCATCGCCCAACTCCTCCAGTTGAACGCAGCTCCCGTGGTCGAGACCACGTCGATACCCAACGAGTCCAAGACCTGGAGGCTGCCGAAGGCCTCGTTTCCGCAGGCCAAACAGCAGGTAAGTACTGCCAGTATGTTGCACTGAGAACTGAATTACTAGGTACTAATAGCTCAAGATTCAATGTCCGAGCGTCTGTTTACCTGGGAGACGCTGGCAGGACAGTCGTCAGCAAGCCGGAAGAAAGACATGTCGCCCCCCAAGGCTGCCGAGGTCCCCAGGCCTGGCGTGGCCGCGGGCCGCCCCATCGACCATCCAACCATGAAGAAGGACGAAGCTTCCATCGAGTCGGTCGAGCCTGCGGCACCTGTATCAGAAGGTGATACCGCCACGGACATCAACAGTGCGTCGGAGAAGAAAAACGTATGCTGACTTCCACAGACACCGACGCTCAGCGTCAGCAAACGCGCGCTCGCGACCCTCTTGCAGACAGGATCGACAATTTGACTGCCCAGCTCGAGGAGGAAAAGTTCATGTCGAGGGAGCGCATTAAAGATCTCGACGCCGAAGTCGTGAAACGGGAGCGCGAAATAAACGATCTTGAGGTGAGAGTGCGCATTGTGTTTTGAAGCTGCCCAAAAAAATATCCCGCCGGCTGGCGGGGCCGGCGGGATATTCGTATTGTGTTTTTGAACCCCTTTGGAAACGCACTAGCCATATCCCGCCGGGCCGCTGGCGGCGGGATTCACGTATATTGTGTTTTGACATGCACGTGTTGATGGTGTAGATTGATAGTTGACTTGGTGCATGTCGTGGCCACGCAACAGTTTTACAGCTCACCGTGGAAGGTGGAAGGCCATGGCACACGTTGTGTGGCGCCCCCTGCGCAACGCAAACCGGGGGGGATCTGCACCAGTCCGCATACACATACATGTGTTACATGGGACGAACATGACGCCTATCTACAACTGTTCACATATACAACCTCCTACGCCGCAGTAGGCCTACTGCCACTGCCACTACTGTTCCTGCCGGGCGTCCACGACTCTTCAATTCTGGGCGTGGGCGTACGCGACGGCACGTACATCACACTGGTCGACGCGTGGGCCTGGTCCAGACGCTCGAGTATCTCCGTCTTGACCTTCACCCCGCTGCCGCCGCTGCGGCTGCTGGTGCGGCTACCCGGAGCACTGCCGTTGGCCGCGCGCGCGCGCGTCTCGCGCTCCACCCAGGCTTCGGGCCCACTTCCAAACGACTTGAGGATGGACACTTCGCGGCGGAGGGAGGCGACTTGGCCCTGCAGCTCGGCGATGTGCTTGGCGTCCTGCGATGTTTGGGTGCCGAAATTGTCTTGTATCTGCTTGACGCGCGAGTTTAACGACTCGAGAGCGGTGGTCTTGGTTGTGAGCTCGTCGGTCTTCTTCTGGAGCTCTGCACGGAGGACGCGGACTTGCGTTTGGTCGGCGGTGGGGACAGGAGGAGATCCCATGGGTATGGATCCACCTTGTGCCGTCGAACCCGTGCCGGAAGAGGTTGAAGGGACCAGACCACGCACATTCTCGCGGTTGGCGTTGAGAATGTGGTTCGTGTTGACCGCATCGCGCAGCTTGTCCTTGAGCTCGTGCACCTCGGTTTGGAGGTCCTTTTTATCCCATTTGGCATCGCTTAGGTCACGGCGCAGCGAATCCACCTCGTCGGAGAGCTTGGCCTTGGCGGCTTGGGCGTCGCGCAGCATACCTTGCGACTGGGTGTACCTGCCCTCGCTGATGGCCAGCTTCCCCTCGACGTTGCGCAACTTGATCGTCTCGCCATTGCGCAACAACTTTTCCAGTTCCCGCGACAGCTTGACGATCTGCGAACGCAAGTCGTCCTCGACGCTGCGGTTACGGTCCTCGAGGTCCTGGACGGCTTGCAAGTGACGGGCCTTGAGTGCGCGAACCTCGCCTTCCAGCTGGGCAATCTTGTTCGTGTCACTCGACCCACGATCCTGGAGCTGCGTGATTGTGCCCGCGGTCGCCTTGGCCGTCGCCTCGGCCTGCTTCTTGATGCTGGCAAGCTCAGTCTCGAACTTGACGCGTTCTTGTTGACTGGGAAGCTCGCTCATTTGCTTCTTGAGACTGTCCATCTCGAGGCGCGCCTTGGCGCGTTCTTGCTCAATGTCCTGCTCGTGCTGGAGCTTGATGTTAGCGAGCTGGAGGTTCAACTCGCGGACACGTGTCATACGCGATGCGAGCGTGTCGGAATTCAGCTGCGCGACCGTGGCCTCCAGCTCCGTAATGCGGGTTTTAGCGGCATGGAGTACGAGTTGCTTGGAAATCTTTTCCTCCTGCAACTCGGCATGCATGGGGTCGAGCTGCGAGCGGGAGGCCGTGTCGTCCGTGACGAGGAGATCGCGCGACACTTCACTGCCATCTTCCGACTCGCGCGAACCGGGAGACTCCATCGGGACACTTGACTCTGCAGGTTTAGGCAGTCCAGGGGACCGCAGCCGGCGCTCCTCGCACAGGTTCTTGATCGTCTCCTTGAGTCTGACAATTCTCTTGTCATCCGCCTCCTGTCGCAGAGTAGCAGCCTTGAGTGCTTCACGAGAAATCTGGTCGTCTGTGGCTTTGCGCTCCATCAAACCGCTGATGGCGTTGTCGCGGAGGTTGAGCTCATCCTTGAGGGTTTGCTCTTGGCGCCGGGCAGCGTTGCGTTCACGCACACATTCGTCCAGGTCCCTCTTCAGAACTGTTTCTCGGCTCTCGATCGCATTGCACTCTTGAAGGAGGCTGCGAATGTCATTCTCGAGGTCGTCCACTTGGCCCTGAGCGAATTGATGACCCAGCGTGGCGTCGTTCAACTGTTCCTCGAGGCTGGCGACAGCGTCGCGGAGCTTGGACTCGGTGATAACGGCAGCATCAAGCTCGTCGTTGTTCTTGGCGAGATCGAGCTGGATGTGGTTAAGCTGGGTATTGGCGAGGCCGAGGGCGAATTTGGTTTCTGAAAGCTCTCCCATGGCGTCCCTACACGCTGATTCGGTCAAGCCTAGCCTGTCCTTGGCGACCTGGAGCGAGCGCTCAAGCTCCGTGATGCGGTTTGTGGAAGTGGCTTTGAACGCTGTGAGCTCGTCGATGAGCGTCGACTCCTTGGTAGCCGTCGTGTATGGACGGTTGCTGTCGAGGTTCGGGCCAGTCATCTTCTGTAACGACGCCACGTTCGCCTTCAAATGAGCAATCTCGTCGTTGGCGGCACGGATGGCAAGGGCCGACGACGACTCGCTCCGCGCCAGCATCTGCTGGCTGGCAGACTCCTTCTGTTGAGCGGCAGCCAGGTCCTTCTCCATCTGGTCGAGCTTCTTGAGCGAGAAGAGCGCCTCTTGCTTCTTGACGGCACCAGCTAGCGAATTGAGAGCGCTTTCCAGCTCGGCAAGGTCGCTTGGAGACAAGGTCTCCATGATAGCAGCGCAGTGAAAGCGAAGAGGGTCTTCTGGGGTGGTAGATGACGTACCCACAGATGGCTCCAGACTGGCGACGCGGGCTAGCTCCTCAAAGGCGACGCCGAGAGCCGCTTGTCCGCCACCGACAATGAGCGCGATCAAATCGTCAAACCCGTCAAACCTCGCGCGCAGGTGGCCCATACTGTTCTGAGAAGACACCTTGTTGTTGGCGAGGGCAAGGCGTAGCTCTTTGACCTCTGGCGTGCATTGCGCCAGTTCTGCCGTGAGCTCGGCCACTCGGTCGTTGCACTCGGACAGCTTCTGTTTGAGGTCGCCGACCTGGCCCTCGAGCATGAAGTTTTCCGACTTGAGGGGGCGCACTTGTTTCGCCGTCTCCTGAGACTCGTTGAACCACTTTTGGAGCGTCTCGTTGCTTTGCTTCAGACCAGCATTCTCGGCTAGAACGTTGTCGGCTTGCGTGACGGTGCGCTCGGCCTTGACCTTTTGGACCTCGAGGGCGGCCACCCTGGCGAGAAGAGCGGACCTTTCCTTTTCCCACGCTTGGGCCTTGTCAGCGTCCGTGGTAGTGGAAGTACCTCGGTCGCAGAAAGTCGCTTTTGTTGGTACTGAGGGTGCGGGTTCCTCATGCTCGATATCGTCGCTATCGGATCCACCTCGCAGCTGCATGTTCGCTGCTTCGAGGACCTCGTTGCGCGTCCCAAGGTGCGAGTTCAGGCGACGAAGACGGACAGTCTCTCGAAGGAGCCGTTCGGGGTCAAGGGGGCGGTCGGGGATGGGCACCAAGGGGTAGGCAGGAGGTGATGTGCCATCATCGTCGGGGGAAGAGGCAGGCTCGTCAAACTCGGGAGGGATCCACTTGAACAATGACGTCTCGGCGGACGCCACCTTAATGGTCAAGAGTTCGACCTGGTCCCACAGGTTCTTATGGTCTTGCTCCATGTGGTCTCTGTGGCGCTCACATTCGGCGAGAGCCTTGTCCATCTGCTGTATAATTTCGGTCTCGGTCATGTTGTGTGCGCGGGCCGACTGGTGGATCTGAGCTGGAGTAAGAAGCTCGTGGTCGGGTAGGCTGTTACATGAGGCGCACGGTGTCGTTGGGGACGACGCCGTCGGAGGCGTGTCTCCAGTCTCAGAAACAATGTCCAGTTCGAGGTGGGGCACAAGGGGGAAGGCATGGTCCATCTTCGTTGACGAGGAGGAACCAGTAGACACTGCTGAGGCTGGGTCGGGGTGCTGGTGTTCAACATGTTTGGGCTCGGGCCTCTCGTCGGACTCGTCAACTTCCGGGGAAACAATCCGGCGTGACTTCTTGGAGGGGGGCGTAGGTGCCGAGGAAGGCCCGGCAGGCTCGGTGTCCTTGGACTCGGATTCGACAGTCTCCGCCGACATAATCTTCTTGCGCGATATCCTGCGCGGTGCCCGACGACGTTTGGAGGGAGAAGCATTCTGCGAGGTTAATCAATAGTCCAGATCGTGGCACAACTCACCTCTGCCGTGGCCTGGTCGTCTGCAGACGGCCCAGGCAAAGCCTCCACCTCATCCGTCTCAGTGACAGTGTTCACAGCGGACAAGGACTTGCGTGAAGCCGAACGACGACGTTTGAGTGCAGAAGGGTTCTGAAAGTCAGTCTGGGCAAACGGTTCTCCGAAGCTTACCGCTTGAGGACGTGTGTCGTTCTCGGTTGCCACTTCTTTGTGTGGGACTTCTGATGGCAACGACTCGGGTACAGTAGAGTGACGACGTTTAGGAGTCGAGAGAGTCTTGTATTAGCACAGTAGTGGTGGCACACAACGTACGACTTTGGGGAGCTCGGGTTCCCCAACCTGCACACTCGAGCGACTCTTGCGGGGTGCGGTGAACGTAACCTTCTTGGAGACCTTGTCCCAGACCAAGGCGATGCCTTTATGGGAGCACTTGTCGCCACCGGCCTTCGCAATGCACCCACGGCATGCAGGTCGAACGTAGACCACACTGCCGTCGTCTGCAGTCTCCTTCTGGAAGGGGGCGATGTAGCAATGGCTTCGCGTGGCGCGACACTGGCCACAAGGGCTGATTGCGCGGCTGTTGAGGAGGAGGGTTAGAGACCGACATATCAGCAGCAAGCAGAATGCATACTAGTTATTACCGGTGCGGGAGTAGACCGTAGCAGAAAGGATGTGGTCAAGGGCCTCATCACTGCCGTTTGGGTCGTTCATAGGGGTATCGATCGCCTTGCGCGGGTTGATGGTGAGTCGGAGCCTCTTGGGAGAGTAGACGGTGGTGGTGGTGGTGGTGGTGGGTGTGGAGGATGAGGATGCGGTGGGAGGAGGAGGGGGATGGTGCGAATGAGGAACGTGAGAGCGTGGGGCGTGTGTGTACCCGTTGGACTGGGTTGCGGGCGATCTCTTGGTTGGGGCTCGGGAAGTTGCTGGGCCTTTGTCAATGTCGGCACTGGCATTGATGGCAGCGACAGGCGACGGGCCGTGAGGCAGAGGAATGCGCAAGGTAATGGTAGGCATGGCCACGGTATGTGTGTGCCGCAGGCGCAACTTGACGCTGGGCCAAGTTGCACGCAGGCTGTTGTTGAGTGAGGTGGATGGTTGAAAAGAGAACAGAAAGTGGTTGCCTGATAGTTGATAGATACACCCCACCCACACGGCCTCTCTCGCTGTCTCTCGGGTAACTGCAGCAGCTGCAGCTCGGGAGTGGCGCACCAGAGCGTGCCTGCGTTTTACAAGCCGCGCAACAAAACGGGGGCAGCGAGACCGTGCACAGGGAGAGGGAGAACAAGGGGCCACAATGCAAGGCGGCCAATGTCAAGTCGCTCACGGCTCACATGCTTAGAGGCTGGCCTAGGCTGGGGGGACGCGGCACATATCGGCCTCTTAATACGGGCTTACAAGCTCCCGGTAGGCTGGTATACCGGTATTAGCCAGGCGGCGGTCTCTGATTACACAACACTCCCCCTGCCATATGACGCGTCTTCAGGCCATATGACGCTCCAAAATGGTCACGTGCGCTGGGCCCCGCCCCCTAGGTCGGACTCTCTTGATCTCTTTCAGTCCCTCTCTGATCTCTGGCCTCTGGCCTCTGGCCTCTGGAAGCTGACCGTAGAGCAGGACGTGGACAAGTTGATGGGTCAGACCGGGTGATAACTGAGGGAGCACCATGACCAGTCTCCTCTTCGTTGAGTGGTTTAAACAACGTGGGGGTCCATGGCCTGGGAGCTGGGACACATTCTCTCACCCTCACATGTGGCTAGCGGTGGACAGAGTCCCAGCCACTGCAGCTGACAACATGCGGCAGGTTGTCCGTATCCCAAAGATGTGCTGCTCTAGTGCGGCGGCAGATGCCACGACCGGTGGCACTGATCACTGAGAAACACACAACTCTGCCCCGCCAGGTGCGGCGGCCCAAAGTATTGCGTTTCTCAGCGATCAGCGAACTCACGAGATACGCAACACTTTGGCCCGACGCCCTGTCGGAGCAAAGTGTTGTGTTTCTCAGAAAGCGGGGGCTTTTTTGGGTGGCGGCGAGGTAAAACACAACACTTTGGCCCGCCGCCCTGTCGGAGCAAAGTATTGTGTGTTTCTCAGAAAGCGGGGGCTTTTTTGGGTGGCGGCGAGGTAAAACACAACACTTTGGCCCGCCAGCCCGTCGGAGCAAAGTGTTGTGTTTCCCAACATAACCAGTATTTTGTAAATGGTCTCCCCAAAATAAATACGTATTCAAATTGGTTTATATTTTTCAATACGCAGGATTGGGCGGGACGTTAAACATTAAACATTTCTCCAAGCCCCCGCACGTGCACGGCCTGCGGGATCAAAACCCCAATCCCGCTTTTGCGGGCCCCAACACACCCGCCCACCAACTCACACACACACTGTGCACACTCCACGACAGGTTACATAAGCTGCCCTTTCTCCCCTCCACTCCATCCCACTGCTGCATTCACAACAACAAACCCCAGCATCCACCAAGCTTCACCCATGAACTCGCCCCCGTCATCCCTCGCGTCCCTCCTCGCGTACCCCTCGGGGCAGCAGGAGGCACAGCAGCCTACCACCGAAGAGGATGGCGCCGTCCTCATGACCTGTAAGTAAACACACACACACACACCACGTGTTGTTGCGATGCGTCTGCGCGTCTGTCTCATGACTGCTGTGGCCATCCATCCAACACAGAGTGTTCCCCTACTGACAGCCAGATTTGCAGCACAGCGGGTACGAGCAGGCCGCACAGGATGCTGCCGCTAGCTCTTCCAGTAGGTTGCTGTATCCGTTGCCCACTGACAATAGACCGCTACGCGCTTAACGGCTCGTACGGACGCGCCTTGGCTCCCCGTCACGCCGAGGAGGCGGCCGTCGCAACCGAGTTCAAGGACCCCGTGGCCCCGACCGAGCCCGCTCCCGGATCCCCCATTGACGCGTCTGTCTCGATCCCTCCCGCCCTCAGCTCTGTAGCCCTCCCTCCTATCGACCCTCAGAACCTCGCTCCTCTGGCCAGCCTTCCTGCCGTCGAGCCCTTCACCAGCCCCGTCGCTGTGACCGGCGACCGCGGTGAGATGGGCGGAAAGCGCCGCAAGCAAGCCCAGGACCGTGCTGGATGGAAGGAGATGGCCGAGGAGGACGAGAAGCGTCGCCAGGAAGCCGAGGCTAGCAACTTTGTCGGCTTTGACGCCACTGCCGAGGCCGTCGCGAGTGTCGTGACCGCTGTCGACGGCACGGTCCCCGAGGGCGACGACAACGACAAGCGTTCGAAGCGTGCCAAGCTTTCGTGAGTTGAAGAAACAAGGGTATTTGCTGTGCTAATGCTCTCAGCAAGGAGTCGCGTGCCGAGCAGAACCGCAAGGCCCAGCAAGTGTTCCGTCGCAAGCGTGAAGAGAAGATCAAGACTCTGGAACAGGACGCCCACGCCCTGTCCGCCGTTCGCAACCGCCTGGCTGTTGCCGAGCAGCGTCTGGCCGACCTCGCAATGGTGGGTTGCGTCTCTGTCAGTTCCCTTTGACTGACCCGAAACAGGAATACGAGGCCAAGACCATTGAGGCTGCTGCACTTGGCAGCGCCCTCACCGCCATTGCCACGGGTGCCGCCACCTCTGTTCTGCGCCCCGACGGCGGCCTTGTGCTCAACGAGGCCGAGTACGAGGCCCGCGACAAGGAGGCCATTGGTGCTGCGGATGGACGTCTTGCCGTGGCTCTTGAGGGTCACACCAAGGCGAGCCGCGAGTTGGCCAAGGTCAACCGTGCTCGCCGCGAGGAGACCAGGAGTCAGCAGCAGCCCCAGCACGAGTAGGTTGGCAGTGTGTTGCCGTCAGGAGCCAAAGGTGTCTAAAGTGTCCATATGAGGACGTAGTTACTGTAGATAGTCGTCGAACATTGTATATGTAGAGTAGCTTGATTCAGGCAGGGCCAGAAGAGAGCAAGTGGAACAGTGTGAGAGGTGCGTCACATACCACCCCCCCCCCCCGCGTCATATGATGCGGCGGTTTCCAGAAAGAGACATTAGGATTGCTACATAAGGTTGCTTTCAAATGGAATTGGCTTTTCTATTAGCTCTCCATTAGAAACGGGCCATTGACGTCAGGGGAGATCGGCCTGTCTCTCGTTTGCCCCTTTGGCGGTCCGAGGCGGTGTGTGCAACGCATCGACGTCGTTCTCCCGTCACACCCTCATCCTAATCCTCCACCCATCCCATCATCCACAACCCCCCCTCCCCGCTCTCAGACTCTCATCATGGCGGGCTCCACCCTCCTCTCGGCCGACGACAAGGCCAAGGTGAAGAAGGCCATCCCAACCTCGTCATCCTCCAACAAGATCATCACGGCCGCAGTGGCCCGCGTGTACACTGCCAGGCCCAACTCGGGGTGGGTGTGCCAGTTCACCTTTTTGTTTTCTTGCCTCGCCACTGACACTCCTCATTAGATGGAACTACTCTGGCGCAACCGGCGCACTCGTCTTCGTCGCAGACAAGAACAGGGGCGGACTGTGGTTCCGCGTCGTAGACCTCACTGTGCGTGTCCCACGGCCCTCGCAAGTCGTCGGCTTCGGGTCATGCTGCGCCCCGTCCTCCCGAACCTCCGCTCGCCTCTTCCCCGTCGCCGTACTCATGCTAACGTTCTCCTTCGCAGTCCCACAACGGTGTCATCTGGGAGCACGAGCTGCCGAACGAGATCGAGTACAACCAGGACAAACCCTTCTTCCACTCATGGGCCGGTGACGTAGGTTTCCTCCCAGTCTTTGAGCGACAGGCAACGGCGGTGCGCGAAGCTGACAACAAATACCAGGATGCACAGGTTGCGTTTGTGTTCCCGTCCGAGGGCGAGGCGCTTGACTTTTATAAAAAGGTGGCCAACAGGTCCAAGTATGCGAGTGCGTGTCAGCTGGGTTTTGAGTGAAACGCTTCAGCTGACGTCTCCAGCCAAAGCCAAGGAGAAGGACAATGGCGGCAGCGACAAGAAGGAGAAGCAGAGTCTCGGCAAGCGTATCAAGGGCAGGATCGACAAGGCCATGATCTCGGGCCCGGTGAGTCTCTCAGCTAGTCCAAGCCAGTGCTCAGCTGACTCCCCCAGTCTTCCTTCCGTCACGTCGCGCACATGGGCTACGACACGAAGGAGGGCTTCTCGTCGAGCGGCGTGGACAAGACTTGGCAGGTGCTCCTCGAGCAGCTGAGCATGAAGGGCGTGTCGGAGAAGGAGATCAAGAAGAATGAGGCGTTCATCAAGGACTATGTCGAGAAGCAGGGCGGAATCGAGAACGTAAGCTGCACGTCCAGTTGCCGAGCTAACAGGCAGGCTGCTGTTGCCCCGAAGCGTGGACCACCGCCGGCGCCGACGTCTCGCCGCAAGGCCGCACCCACTCCCCCGCCATCGCGTCACACGGCCGCACCTGTATCGCCAGTCGTCCCCCCTCCTCCGCCCGCTCGCGCTCCCCCTCCTGCTGCGTCCTCGTCGTCCATCCCGCCCCCGCCACCTCCTCCACCCCCTCCTCCCGGACGCACCAGCGCTCCTCCGAGGGCGCCGCCGTCGGCACCGGCTCGGGCCCCACCCGTGTCTCCAGCTGCTGCTGCACCACCCCCTCCTCCCCCTCCCCCTCCCCCGCCTCCTCCGGGACGTACGAGCGCACCTCAGGCCCCTCCACCACCACCACCGTACGTACACGGGTCGCATGTTGATGACAGCGCTGACCTCATCCTGCAGTCCTCCCCCCGGGCGCACGAACGCGCCTCCCCCACCACCCCCTCCCCCCATGCCCTCCTCCGCGCCTTCGGCACCCCCTCCCCCTCCGCCTCCCCCCGCAGCAGCACCAGCCGCGCCGGCCGGCGGCGACAACCGTTCGGCGCTCCTGGCCTCCATCCAGGGCCAGGGCGTGCACAAGCTCCGCAAAGTCGACGACAGCGACAAGCGCGTGTCCCCACTCGCGGGCGGCGCGGCGGGCGCAGTTGTCGGGGGCGGCGCGGCCGTGGCAGTCGAGGAGAGCAGCGGTGGCGGCGACCTGGCCAGCTCGCTTGCCATGGCGCTCGCGCAGCGCAAGCAGGACCTCGGCGACAGCGATGAGGAGGAGGAGAGTGATGGTGAATGGGACTAGTTGGAGGTGTGTCGGTGAAGATTTGGATGAGAGATTGGAGACAGGAAGCTGGATTGCAGATGATGAGGTAGTGTATACGTTGCGTTGTGTGACAGGTGCATGCATGGACGTGCTGTTTGGCAACAGCGTTGAGCGGCCGAGAGCGGGTCGCTTTTCCAGACGACCAACTGAAGTGTGAAGCGTCCGCGTTGCCGTTCGACCCAGAGGGCGTTACGTGCGTTCTTGTATGCAACAGGTCCACTTACCAAGGGTGCACCGAGTAGTAGTTGTTGAATGCCTATGCTGGAGACGTATTGATGCAAAAAGACAGTTGGTTGTTGAATCCCCGCCAGTACGCCACTCACTGCCTCGGTTCTGTGTGACGACATTTCACCACGACCACCCTGGACACGAAACCCAGACACGACTTGTTGTTGCAACAACCATCTCCTCCACACCCCACCATGGATCATCTCCCACCATTATCACTTGAACTGTAGGTGTGGCCTCCTGCAACGCATGCTCACCCACATCCCAGGCAACACTTGACGCCGCGCCTGATCGTCCCGGGCGTCGCGGCGCCGTCGGCCACGCTCGCCGTGCCGGCCACGCCGTCGCCCATCCCCCCGCTCCCCAACTCGCTCACCTTGTCCCCGACCAGTAACTACCCGGGCCCCTTCGGCAACGCGAGCCTGGGCGAGCATCTCCGCGCGGGTGTGCGCCTGGTGAATACCTCCCAGACACCCGTACGCGGCGCCAAGATGATGGTCGAGGTGCAGTCCCCGCAGGGACGTCACCGGCTCGGCGAGGTGATACACGGCGCTGCCGAGAGGGAGGCCGGCACCGAGCCCAGTCACGCAGAGAGTAAAGCCTGGGACGACCTGCCGGCCCTGGAGCCCGGAGAGGGAGTCGAGGTGGCGGGCTCGCATGAGATTGCCGAGATGGGCCAGCACATCTTCATCTGCAGCGTGGCCTGGGAGACGACAGAGGGGAGGAGGACGTTCCAGCGTTTCCTCAAGTTCACAGTGAGCTATATAGCCGCTTGGTAGCGAAAGCTCACACACAGGTAAACGCGCCGCTTGCGATCAAGACGCGCGTGCACACCCCGACGCACCCCAATGCGTCGCACACTCACCGCCGGGGCGACGTCTACCTCGAGGTGCTGATGCAGAATGTATCGCCCAGCGCGATGCTGTTTGAGAGCGTCGTCCTCAACCCCGTCCCCGGTCTGGTGGCTCGCAGTATTGGCGTGGGAGAAGCCGCAGCGGCGGGCGTGGTGGATCTCGCAGACGACGAGTCGTCCAACGACCCACCCTCGCTCTTGCCGTCGGACACTAGCCAGCGGCTATTCGTCCTATCGCCTACGGACGATGGCAGCTACGTGCCCGTCTCACCGCCCACGGACGCCGCGGAAGTAGCTGCTCTGGAGACGACCAACTCGCTGCCCCTCTCGGCGTTCCCTCCAAACTATGCGACGGGTACGGTCCTCCCTCTGGGCCGACTGGACATTGCCTGGGTCGCAGGACAGTATCGCGAGCGCGGCAGATTCCAGACCAGCATGCTAAACCGTCGAACCCCTGCAGCCCCCATTGCCCCGCTCAGCCGCCCCGGTACACCTGTAAGGCAGGTTATCGGTGCTGGCGCACTACCGGGTTCGGCGCGTAACTCGCTCCTCAGGCCCCTCCCGGCGTGGGACTTTGACTTGACGGTCGACAGCCTGCGGTCCGTCGCGGCCGAAGACGAGTTTACCGCCAAGCTCTCCATCGCTGTCCGCTCCAACCCCGTGACAGACGAGAGTGCCAGCCCACCACCTCCCCTGCAGCTTGGTATCCAGCTTCTCTCGCCGGCCTCAATCTCACCCCCGTCAGTCCCTTCGTTCCATGTCCGCCCGCCCAGTCGCGTCGGCACGCCGACTCGTCCGGCCTCTCCTGCACCCGTGGCGCGTTCGCCCGCCCCCTCAAGGCCAATGACACCGGTCAGCGCACAGTTGAGGCACGCGGCAGTGTCCAACATTGCGTCTCCATCCCTGTCCCCCACTCCCGTCTCGTCATTCACCCCGCCGCCACCTCCGCCCGCTACTGCCTTCCCGCCTGCGCCGGTCGGCGGGATCACGACCAAGCGCGGTGCACACCTGCCGCCAACAGGCAAGGTCGTCGCGCTGGGCGCGTCCCTCGTCGCTCCCTCGCCCGCCGAGTGGGTCCTCACTCGCGAGCGTGCCGGAACGACATATGCCGCCGAGGCCCCCGGCACGACTGTGCATCGTCGTTGGGAGGCGCGGTACGAGATTGACGTAAAGTTCCTGGCACTCAATGAAGGCCTGGCAGAGCTGGGTGGGTGCAGGGTGCTCCTCATGGACGAGGGGATGACCGGTAAGGAATGGGACAGCCTGGGTGATGTCTGGGTTGTCGACGAGTAGAAGTACAACAGCAACGACAAGCGTAGGGCCATGATATCATGCATACAACACTCTAAACAAGACTCGTGTATCTCTCTCTACTGCTCGTTGAGCTTTGCCGTAATCTGTGCACGGCGGTCGTCGACGCGCTTCACAACGTCACCGGCAATGTCGGCCCAGACCTTTGAACTCGTCGTGGCAAGGTACTTGTCCAGGAGAGGGAAGTGCTCGTGCTCGGCCTTGCCGTCCTCCTTGTCGTCGATAGAAGCGGACGCGAGGGCATCGGCTGGAGCCTCGCCCGCGGCCTCGGCAACCTTTTGGGCCTCGGGCTTGGCGACATCGGCACCGGGCACTTCACCCTTTGACACTGCGTCGAGCAAGGTGACAAGCTGGGTGTCGATGGGCACACGGCCGAGGAACGGGATGCTCTCGCGGTGGGCCATGGCCTCGCCGCCACCACGACCAAAGGTGTCGGAAATCTCTCCACAGCACGGACACACGTATCCGGCCATGTTCTCCACGAGACCCAGGACGGGGAGGGCGAGCTTGCGCGTGAACGACAGCGACTTGAGGGCGTCGTTCAGAGCCGTCGTCTGCGGGGTCGTGATGAGGACCGCGGACGGGGTGGTGGGCCGCTCGGCCGTGGGGGTGAACAGCGGGTGGAGGTGCGTGAGCAGCGAAATGTGCTCGTCACTCGTACCCGGCGGCGTGTCAATGACAAGGTAGTCGAGGTCGCCCCAGCGCACCTCAGACAAGAACTGCCTAATCATGCCGTCCTTTTTGGGACCACGCCACACGACCGAGTCGCCGCGGTTGGCGAGCAGGAAGCCGATCGACATGACGCCCAGCCGCCGTTCTTGGTCGACGTACACGGGCACCCAGCCGGCAGACGACTGGTGCACGCTTGCCTCGGGCACATCGAGGCCGACCATGCGCGGAAGCGAGGGGCCCGTGAGGTCCAAATCGAGCAGACCGACGCGGGTCGTGGGCGAGGTGTTGAGGAGCGACAGCGCAAGTTGGACCGAGGAGGACGACTTGCCGACACCGCCTGAGGGTTAGTACAGCTGCCTAGCTTGTAACCCACCCTTGCCAGAGAGGACAATGACAATGTTCTTGACGGATGCCAAGCGGCGGGACACGGGGGTCTCGAGTGTCTCTGCCATGGCTGCTGGGGTTGTTGCGATGGATAGAGACGAAATGGATGACAGAGAGATGCATTAGCAAGCACTGGTGGCCAACTCCGATCGCCCAACTTTCCTGGATATTAGAGATTACGTAATGCGTTCTTTTGCCACCTAACAGTCCCTGCACACACAAAGAGACTTCGAGTAGCCAGTTGCCATCATCGTTTCTTCTTCCTCCATCTCCTCGCCACCCGCATCTGGGTAGACATATCGGTACCTGTCGTCTCGCCCATTGATCGACCGACACACGCGAGCTTTGACTTGCCCGTCTCCATTGACCTTTGGTCACAACTTGATCGCGGGGACGCGCTAGCAGCTCAACCACCATCGCTCATCATGTCGCACATCGGTACAGTCAAGAGTATTCCAAAGGAGCACCGTTATGCGTTCCTTAACGTGAGTTATTCTGTATCAGCTTTGGAGGGCTCCCGCGTGATAGCTGACCTTGTCCAGATGCCCGCCCCGGCGTCCTACGTCGCAGGTCTTGGTCGTGGTGCGTCCGGTTTCACCACCCGATCCGATATCGGTCCTGCGCGCGAGGGTCCGTCAGCAGAGACGATTGCGGACGCAATGGCCAAGCGCGGCGAGGAGATACCCGACCCCGAGCAGTTCCAGGACCCGGACAATGAGCGCAACCTGTTCGCGGGAACCGTGTACGAGGCCGACGACGAGGAGGCCGACCGAATCTGGGAGTCTGTGGACCAGCGTATGGACGAGAGGCGGCGTGTGCGCCGTGAGGCTGCCGAGGCGGAGGCAGCGGCCAAGGAGCGTGCCAACAACCCCAAGCTTCAGACCCAGTTCGCCGACTTGAAGCGCGGCTTGTCCTCGCTCAAGGACAGCGACTGGGACTCGATCCCGGACGCTGGCAACCTCACGGGCAAGAGGAGGAAACACAACATGCGTCTCGAGGAGAACCAGAGCGGCAAGATGTACGCCGTCAGTGACTCTGTCATGGCTGGCATGGCACAGCGTACCCAGCTCCTCGGCGAGCTGGATGCGCAGGACGCTGGAGCCGAGACTCCCGCCCCCGGCACAGACGGTACCATGACCGACTTTGTCTCGATTGGTAACGCGCGTGACCGTGTGCTGTCGCTCAAGCTCGACCAGGCGTCCAAGGACGCGACCAACGGCTCGTCTACCAGTATCGACCCCCGCGGCTACATGACTGCACTCAACAGCCAGGTGCTCCAGACCGACGCGCAGATTGGTGATATCAAGCAGGCGCGTCAGCTGCTGCAAAATCTCATCCAGTCCAACCCCAAGCACCCTCCCGGATGGATTGCCGCAGCCTCGCTCGAGGTGCACGCCAAGAAGATGGTTCAGGCGCGCAAGATTATTGCCGAGGGATGCGAAAAGTGTCCCAAGAGCGAGGACGTGTGGTTCCACGCCGCCGAGCTCAACACCCCCGAGAACGCCAAGCGTATCCTCGCCCGCGCCGTCGAGCACGTCCCCCAGTCGGTCAAGATTTGGCTCAAGGCCGCCGACCTCGAATCCGACATCAACGCCAAGCGCCGAGTCCTCCGTAAGGCGCTCGAGTTTATTCCCAACTCGGTGCGGCTGTGGAAAGAGACGGTCAATCTGGAAGACGACCCCGAGGACGCGCGTATTCTCCTCTCGCGTGCCGTCGAGGTCATCCCAACATCTGTCGAGCTGTGGCTCACCCTTGCCCGTCTCGAAACACCAGACAAGGCCAAGCAGGTTCTTAACTCTGCCCGTCAAAAGATCCCTACCTCGCACGAGATTTGGATCGCTGCTGGCCGTCTTGCCGAGCAGTCGCCATCGGCCGTGTCCGAGGTCAAGGTCGAGGAGGATCCCGAGGTTCGACGCAAGCTCGCCACCCAGGTTGACCGCCTGATAAAGACGGCCGTCAACTCGCTCACCAAGCACCAGGCAGTCCTGTCGCGCGAGCAGTGGCTGCAAGAGGCCGAAAAGGTCGAGGCCGAGGGCAGTCCCCTCACTGCCCAGGCCATTGTCAAGGCGACCATCCATCTCGACATTGAGGAAGAGGACCGGAGGACAGTGTGGCTCGAAGACGCAGAGCGTGCGGCTAAGGGCGACTTCTTTGAGGTTGCGCGCGCCGTGTTTGTCGTCCTCATCGAGTCGTTCCCCACATCACCAAGCGTGTGGCGCAAGGCTGCCGAGTTTGAAAAGGCTCACGGCACGCCAGAGGCCGTGCAGGACATTCTCATGAAGGGTGCAGAGCACTGCCCTCATGCCGAGGTGCTGTGGCTCATGGCTGCCAAGGAGAAGTGGACCGGCGGCGACGTCGTTGGCGCACAACAGATTCTGTCCAAGGCGTTCGAGCAAAACGAAGACTCGGAATCCATCTTCCTCGCCGCGGCCAAGATTGCCGCTGAGACCAACGAGACCGAGGCCGCCCAGCAGATTCTCCAAAAGGCACGTACACAGGCCAACACTGATCGCGTGTGGATGAAGTCTGCTGTCCTCGAGCGCCAGCTCGGCTTGCTGGACGAAGCCCTCAAGACCCTCGACGAGGCCATCCGTCGCTTCCCCAGCTTTGACAAGCTGCACATGATCAAGGGCCAGATTCTCGACCAAAAGGGCGACATTCCCGCTGCACGCACCGCCTATGCTCAGGGATGCCGCTCATGCCCGAAGAGCGTTCCACTCTGGATCCTGTCGGCACGTTTGGAGGAAAAAGCGGGCGTCACCATCAAGGCGCGTTCGTTGCTCGAAAAGGGCCGTCTCTACAGCCCCAAAAACGACATTCTGTGGGCCGAGAGCGTCAAGATCGAGGAGCGCGCAGGTTCAACACAGCAGGCCAAGTCTCTGCTTTCGCGCGCCATGCAAGACTGCCCCACGTCGCCCCTCCTGTGGTCCATGGCCATCTTCCTCGAGAACCAGCAGCAACGCAAGGGCCGTTCCGTCGATGCGCTCAAAAAGGCTGGCGAGCACCCAGCCGTTATTATCGCTGTTGCGCGCCTGTTCTGGGCTGAGCGCAAGGTCGAAAAGACGCGCCAGTGGATGCAAAACGCCATCACCGCCGACCCCGACTGGGGAGATGCGTGGGGCTGGTGGCTCAAGTTTGAGCGCCAGCACGGCGAGGTCGAGAGGCAAGAGGCTGTCATCCAAAAGTGCGAGGCTGCCGCGCCGCACCACGGTCCTGTGTGGCAGGTGGTGAGCAAGGATCTGAACAATGTGGGCAAGAGCACGCGCGATATCCTCGAGCTTGTGTCCCAGGCGGTGGAGTAGAAGTAGAAGCAGAGACGCAGAGCATATATGCATGTTTGGCACAGCGTTTGATTGTTGCATGGAGGTCGAACTTTGCACCATGGCCGATTCAGGGTTTCCGCGCACGACGACCCGCCACCCACCAACGACCACTGTGGGCGCCTGGTTTTCCACCTTAGTTTGTTTCTCTCGTCCACTTGAATTCCATCCCATCCATCATCCCTCGTCGCTTGTTCTCCTTTACATCCATCCTCCCTCCAGCCACTAGCCAGCTCAGACACGGCGCAGGCGCTCGTCTGGTCCGGTACACACAGAGACACCGCACCCACCGGCCACCCCTCTTGCGTACAGGACGCTCAAGCAAGAAAGCGATAGAGAGAACAAGGAACCACGAGCGCGTCATCGGCGGTCTCGCACCACATCGCGACATCGCATCCATCTCGCTCTCCCCGTCCTGTCCTCCAAGACCTTGGCCGGTACAGAAGGAGACGTGCACCCGTCAACCACGGCACACTCCTGAGCAGTCGAGCCCTGCTCCCCCTCGACCAAGCGCGCAAACTACGCCACGCGCGAGCCCGCGCACCTCCCACTCCGTCTCCCCCGTCTCCCCCGTCTCCCCGCATCACTCGGCTGGTTCATCACCACGCAACATCCAATCCCTTCTTTGCGCCTGAACAATGGCCAGGACAATCCACAACCCGGTCGTCGAGGGCAATGCCGTTCCGGGACCGCGGCTGGTGAGGAATACCGCGCGGAGGAGTACCGGCGGTAAGGCCGTGAAGAGGAATAGTGGTGAGTACCGCGTTGTGCCGTTGGTCGGAGTGCAGGCGAGGGTTGCGTCCAACCAGCCATGCCTACCTATGCTCGCAGGCGGGTGACAAAGCAAACCGCATCACCCACGCCCTGCAGCAAAAGCGCCGTACCAAAACCGTGTAGGCTCTCAGCATCCCTTGGTCTTCTTCCACCACTCCTCAACAAGACTGAGACTGACGTGACTCGCAGGCCCTGGCGGACCCGGCCAACCCCAATCACCACAGCAGAGGAAGAAGCACCGCTATCGCCCCGGCACACGAGCGCTCCAAGAGATCAGGCGATACCAGAAGAGCACCGACTTGCTCATTGCCAAGCTCCCGTTCTCGCGTGTGGTGAGTTTGGACTGACTGCCGTTGAGAGCTTCCGCGTTTCTACTTGAAAGCTCGCAGAACCATTGCTTGGACTTGGGACACTGGCTGACCAGCTTGCGCAGGTCCGAGAAGTGGCCCTCAACCTGTCGTCCATCAACGCCGGCGAGCTGCGGTGGCAGTCGTCTGCGATTCTCGCGCTGCAAGAGGCCGCCGAGGCGTTCCTCGTGCACCTGTTTGAGGACTCGAACCTGTGCGCCGTCCACGCCAAGCGCGTCACGCTCATGACCAAGGACATGCAGCTTGCCCGTCGTCTCCGCGGGCCGTGGGGTGGTCTGGGATAGCGGGTTGGGTCTGGTCTGAGGTGGCGAAATACCGAGTTTCTCATTGGGAAAGGGTCGTTCATGTGTAGGATGATATGATGGACACAGAGAGACAAGAGACAAGAGACAAGAGAGAGAGAGAGAGAAAGAGAGAGATACCTGGGGGTAATGCCGTAGTACTAGTTAGTTTTTCCCGCCCACAACCATGCACATATTGTAGCTACACGCGCGTGTTCTGCCACTGCCTTTTGGTTTGGAAATAACACCCCAATATAGCGTCCTCTGTACATGACACATCCTGCCCTCTATAAACACGGTTTTTTGAGTTGTTCGGGGGGTTGTCGATGTCAGGAAAGAGCCTTGACGCTGGTGATTGCTGGCGACTTGGGCTCGGACCAGCCACGGCGCTCAAAGCAGCCAAAGATGAGGTCGTAACCGTCAAACTCGTAGCCAATGCTGTCCTTGCGCTCAAACTCGGGGAGGAGGTCGCTGCCAATGACGGCGGGGGCGGGCGCGTGGTCCTCGCCAGTGGAGACAAAGAGGGTGATGGAGAGACGGTTGGGCTGGAAAATGTCCACCACGCGGCGGATGAGCGACTTGAGGTCGGGGCGGCCGCCGGGGGTCCCCACTGCAGGGAGGGGGACGTTGGACTCGAACGAAGCGTAAGACCAGCCCTCCTCGGGCGTGACGTGGATGGTAAAGTAGCCGCCGTCCGAGCCGTTCGAGCTGAGGCCCGAGCCGATAACGGCGTTGGCCGAGTATCCGCAGGGCTCAAAGCCAAAGCTGTCGAGGGTGGTCTCGTGGGCGGGGAACAGGGCATCGATGCCCAGCTGGGCCGAGATACCGGCACCGAGCTCGTGGCCCGACCGCGAGGTGGACGCCTCACCCTCGCTCTCGGGGATGAAGAAGGGGGCACGGCCAGCGGGCGAGAGGTGGCTCATGAGGATCTCAAGTGTCTGGTCCTGGTGAGGCGGAGCAGCTGGGGCCGCAGGAGCGCCGACAGGACGCTGTGCTCGTTGGTCACCGGCAAACTGGATCGCGTTCGGTGTCGTGAGGTACAGCAGCCAGTGGTCGCGGTTGATGGGACCAACAGTGTAAGCGGAACCGGCGGTGCCTATGACCCTGCGTCAGTTTCAGAGGACCTTTGCGTACTCCAACAGCTTCCCATACACCACACCACCACACACCCAAGCAGAAGCTCGGGAGGGTGGGGCAAATTTTGAGACAGCAAGCGACTCACCAAAGACATTGTCAAGGAAGCGGACCTCGTCGGTCCAGTCGCGGTGGGGACCCAGCTGGCGCTCGGGGAAGAAGAACGACTTGCGCGAGTAGAAGCAGCTGTGGCGGAGTCAGACTAAGATGTTTGGGGGGTGCCGTGAGTGTGCGACAGCTACTAACCGCCAGACAGAGGTGAAGCCACAGTACTCGTGGGCAATCTCCAGGATGCGGTGGAGACCGAGGAGGTTGAGGGTGGTGCCGCAAGTCTTGAGGATGATGACGTGCGGGGCAACGAAGAGGGACGACTCGCTGAGAAAAGCATGTCAGTTGCGTTCACGCAAACGTTGGGCAAGGAAGAAGCAACAAGACGGCCGGTGGCGACGTGCCGATGGCGTCTGGCAAGTGACTCGCACTTGACATTTACGAAGGAGTGTTGCCACCCTCGGACGCCGCAGCAATGTCCAACCACACCTGGGTCGTGCGACCCGACCTGTCCTGGCCCGCAGACCAGCGCAAACAACTCACGAGAGGAGGTAGGCGTCAATCTCGTCGCCCTCGACAACGCTCAGAACCTTGCACTTGACAATGTCGAGCATCTCCTCCCACACCGCGCGGGGCACGGTGCGGAGCCCACGGAACGGCTCGCCGCTGGGACTCTCGCCCATGCGGCCGCCGCGGCCTGTAGCAGCGGCGGGGATCATGCCATTGCCGTTGCTGAGGCCGCTGCCGTTGGCTGCTGAGCCATCGTGGGCATTGTAGTTGGCAGTACCGTTGGCAGGGGCGGTACCATTGCCGCCGTTCGCACCGGGGAGGAGTTCGGGCGACGGGGCAAACCACACCTCGAGAAGTTTCTCGGGCCCCTCGAACGGGCCCGGCGATGTGTCGGGCTCCGCGAGGATGAGCGGCGAAGGGGGGGGGTGCAGCTTCGTCGTGTGGGCCATCGGGGCGGCGGTCGGGGGGCGGCGCTCCTCGGCTACGGGGGTCTGTAGGACTACAGGTTTTTGATGGGTTGGATGTCGAAGAACGTCTTCAGGATGTTTGAATGGCCAGAAAAAAACCGGTGCTGCTGCTCGTCGCGCAGATTTGGTGGGTCGCGTGAGAATTAGGACGGTTACAAAGCGGAGGCAAATTTTATTAGTGACGGAGGCAAAAATTATAATTCAGACCCCCAAAAACGATGCAAGATTTTGGGAATTGTTAGAGCACGTCAACTGCGAGATGCCTCAATGTTCTGGGTCACGTGTTGCATGATGTATCTGGGGGACATGTCTACGAAAACACCACATTGCAGTATATCTATGTACAATGTTTTCAACAGCTGTATTGTTTTTTAGTGAGGGGGGAATGACGGAAAACTTGGGACGCTGATGCGTCTACTTGCGCTTGATGACGAGGGCGAGGTAGAGCCTGGGGTAGATCCGTCAGCCAACTCGTCCATGGTGGAGGCGGTTTGTGGCACAGGGGCAAAAATAAACCTGGAGGCGTCCAACGCGGGGTGGGGACGGCCCGGCGGTTGGTCACCCCCGCACACCGCCAAGGCCAAGGAATCACACACGGCTACTTACATGACGCGGAGCACAACAATGATGCCGACAAGGATTGCGGCGTAGACGGGGACGTTGATACCGCCAAACTCGAGGTAGTCGATGACGTCTTGACCAGAGACCATGCACTGCCCATACTTGGCCACAGTCTCCGCGGAAGGCGGGTAAACACAGGAGCAAGTTCCATCAGGGAGCTTGGCCGTGTCACAGAAGAAGACCTCGCCGACAAGGTCGTTCTTGGTCAAAGTCTCAAAGGCATACGTTTGGTAGTTCATCCAGTGCGCCTATCTGTCAGAAATTATGCACAAAAGGTGATGAAAACTCACCCAGTAGTACCAGAAACGAGGGAGGGAACGAGCCTGTAGTGGGTCAGCCATTTTTGTCTCAATTTTCCGATTTTTGCCCCCGATCGGTGGGTTGTTTTGCCGTGACTTACTCTGATGAAATAACCCTGCGTACACATCCAGAAGCCATTCATGAACGCGCACAGAGCCAGGGCAGCAATGAAGATGGGGACGATGGCCGAGATGAGCACGGCCTGGGTCTCGGCGGCGAAAAGAGCGAGGAACAGGAAGGCGAGGAACCTGAAAAAGTGCGTGGCTCCAGGGTGGAGGCCAATAGCCCAGTAACAGATGACCGAGAAGAGAACGGCACACATGAACAGGAAGGGGAGGGTGACGATGGTGTTTGCGAGGACGAACGGGAACGCGCCGTAGAGGCCGTTGTTGCGCTCGCGGAGGAAGACGGAACGCTCCTCGAGGAACGCGGGGATGCCGGCAACGGACATGAAGGCGAGGAACGCAACGGAGAAGAAGTGGACCGAAAGGCGGTCGTTGATCTTGCCGTCCGAGTGGCCCAGACGGATCCAGATGGTGGCGAGGAGCAAGCCCATACCGGCGTACATGCCCATGCGGACACCATAGGCGAGGAGGTTGCGCGAGTAGTTGACGACATTGCGCTCGCAGAGGGTGCCAACGACCCTAAAGTGGTGGCCAACCGACGCGCGCTTGACCTGATACTTTTCAGACTCGTCAAACTCGCCATGTTCAATGGACGGCGGGCGGTTCCAGTTGGCGGCAGTCTGGGCAGAGTAGAGAGCGGCAATGTTCTCCTTCTTACTGTCGTCAAAGTCGACCGCGACGAGGTCCAGGAGGTGGTCGCCGGGGTTGTGGTAGTTGGGGATCGGACGGCCCAGGTCGCGGCAACGAACCTCGGCCTCGACGAGCGAGCCCAAGAACGCGACCTTGCCCTTGGCGAGGACCATGAGCTGGTCAAAGAGCTCGAGAGTCTCAATGGAGGGAGCGTGGATGGTGGCAATCACGGTAATGCCCTCTGCCTCGGCAATGCGGCGGATCGACGCCATGACTTCACGGGCCGACGACGAGTCAAGGCCAGAAGTCGGCTCGTCGAGGAAAAGAATGCGCGGGTACGTCACAAGACCCGTGCCGACAGTAACGCGACGCTTCTGACCGCCTGAAATACCACGCTGGATCGGAGTGCCAATCTTTCCAGCCGTCAGCAGTGTCCGTGACAATGTCGCTCGTGCTATGTACTGACCTTCTGGTTTGCGCAGGACTGGAGACCCAAGGCCTGGATGATCTCGTCCACACGCTGGCGCGTCTGCGAGCGCGAGAAGCCACTGGCGCTGGACACGTCGTCAGCAGGGTCGTCAAACCATGATTGCGCAAGTTGCGCAGACACCTACCTGAGTCGCGAAGCATACGAGATGGTCTCACGGACAGTGAGAACGCCAAGGTCTGGCGAATCAGCGCCGATACTCTACACGAGGGAAAGCCGTGATGTGCAGAGCACACCATTCCCTGACCACTCACGCTCATCATCCTGCTCTACATAGGACGACACATGGGACATTGTCGAGTTGGAGAGGAGGTTGCCGTTGAGACGGACCTATGCATGCATGTTAGCCACGCTGTTTCCGATGTTCGTGTACCGTGTACTCCGGCTAGCCCGCCCAGCAAGGTTAGTGCCGGAGGACGTGTTCCTTTCCCGTCGCCATGGACAGTCGCCGCCATGACGGTGCCTTTGGGGGGGGGGGCGTGTTTGTCCAAGCGCGAGTGCACGCGAGTCCACTTTCGAGTCCACTTACCTCGCCGCCATCCATGGCACGCTTGCGGAACGCCATCAGGTCGAGCAGGGTGGACTTGCCGGCGCCACTGTTGAAGGAAGTGGATCAGCGTCCGCCACACAACACAAACGGAATGGACGGTTGGGTGTGGCCCTCGCCATACAAAAAGCAAACGCCACACTACAGATACAAGGTGGAAACCACAACTCACGAGGGGCCCATGATGGCAAGCATCTACGAACACAATGCGTCAACAACTGTTTCAAGTTCACATGGACTGTGGGTCTGCTCGCACTCACCTCTCCCTGGCCGACCTTGACGCTGACATCGTCAACGAGACGCTGAGCGCCGTCCTTCCCCTTGACCTCGTATGAGAGGTGCGAGAAGGTGGCGACCGAGCCGCCCTTGACGTGGGCGATCTGGGGGTCTGAAACGTCGCTGTGGAGCGCTTGCATTTCGAGTGTTGCAGTCATGACTTCGGGGGTGGGTGGGGTGGAAGTCGATGAGGAGGCGGTGGGATTCTCGGACATTGCGAAAAGTTCAGTGCTGTTTCTCTTTTAAGGAGGGCCACAGAGCGCGTTGCACGACTACTATGTTTGGTAAGAAGGTCTACGCGTAGCGAGGGACCTGGCGGGCCGGGTTGTGAGTTGAGTTTGGGGTGCACCCGACAAAGTTGCTGGGCAGTTGCTGGGCCGGCGTTTGAAGAGACTGGTTGTGATAGCAAGCTGTTGAAAGAGGCACGCCCGACTGTTATATGGAGTGGTAACTGCAGACTGTTGTCCGTGTTGTCCGTTTCACGGCGTTTGCTCATCGTCGCCCTGTTCCCTGCGCGTCTCTCCTGTGTGTCTGTGTTCCGAATGTTAGATACTCCCTCATGTGTATCTTTCCAATCGTGTTGCGGTGCATGTATCCGATAATGACGGTGGCGCACTGCTGCAGACGCCGAGACAGGTTACCGAGGTCGACAGCGAGAACGTGCACTGACAAAAGTGGCTGCCCCCTCTCACCTCCCCGCCAATGTTCCTCACGCCTGCCAATGTGTTCCGACATCCGAAGGAACTTGACTCAGACGAATTTAAACTGTGACAGCCATTGGTAACCAGCGGGCCACGGGGCTCGTGTTTGATGTGGTAGATCTGTCCATCCCAGCCTGGCGAGCACAACGAGGATAACGAGGGTACCACCACTGTGTATGCGACGACGCAGTGGACGCACCCCTCCGTCGGTGGTATGTGGCGTTTGTCCAGTCCCCGCGCTCCACTCCCACCGCCACGGCACCGCCCGAGATCCATTCACAGCGGTCGTATCCCCAATGCTATTCTCAGCGTCCAGCGTCCTGAGTGATCCACTTTGCTGTCCATGTAGATCTTTGTTAACACGTGAGTATATGCCCAGCTTGCACCTCGTGAGGGAACGGGAGAACGGGATGTCCGTTGGAACTCATAATTGGACCCAAATCGTCCCCGTGTGAGCAGAATGGGGCCATCAAGTGACCCAAGAAAGCGGGGCGATGTCACCGTCACCCAGTGTACCAGTGTACCAGTGTCGAGGACAGCGGAGACGTGGGTGATTCTGTCCATGGTCGATGATTGGGAGCATGCGCATTCGCCGGTGGCACCGCCGTCGAGGGCCACATTCAATCTTGGTCATCGATCAGCAAAAGCAGCAGCACGCGGGCGATAGCATTCGCCGGTTGCCGAGCGCACCCGTCGCCCCCACCGAAATACTCCATCGCCCGCCGTTCCTAACGCGCGTGGCACAGGCCTGGATCACATTCGGATACTGGCTATCGGAAGCGACATGGAGAGAGAGAGAAAGCCATGCGTCGGACGGAAAGGCGGGAGTGGTTCATGAAACGGAAGTGTACCTCAACGGCGTCCACTGCGCCACTGCTCTCGGTGAGACACGAGGAATTTGGGCTGAACAGACTCAGAACACAGGTTGGACTGATTTCTCTCGCGTCGCCATTTTGGGTTTGGAGAGGAACGTATTGACGTGTCGGTGAGGCCTGGGCAGGAACCTGATGGGCTTGTCAGGAACAGCATGCATAACGAGATGAGTGCCAATGGCGCGAAGATCCGCCAGACTGTCCCGTGGCCCGTGGGGGGGACGTGTATGGCCTTCCGTCGCGAGGGCTGTGTGTTCCGCTGAGATCGCAAAGAGAACATGTCTGTGTGGTCGTGTGTCCATCCATGTTCTGAGCCAAGCGTTGCACCAAATGTTCCGGCTACCGTTGGAACCACCTCCCTGCGCACCATTTTCAGGCCTATACATTTGGGGGCGACATTCTCGGAGAGCAACCATGCATAGGCCGTATATTTACCAAACAGATAACGAGACTGCAAAGCCGATGGGAAGGAGTATTGGGGTGCTTGTTGTTTGTTGGAAAGTTGTGGGAGGGCCATTGTCGCACCCCACGTCGCATGTACCAAGCGAGCATGTATGGTTTGAAGTTGGTTTTGAAGTTGGATTAGTGGCATTCTCCGACGCGTTTTGCCGTGCCTTCTGTGCTGTGGTGCGGTGTGTCCCTCAACCAAGTGAAAGACTCATGCCGACATGCTGTGGATTGTGGTGTACAGCCATGAGTGGCATGCATGGTCGCGCATGCATCACGCGCCAGCGGCCAGCGGAAACAGCTGGGTGGCAAGTAGGGGGTGGTCGTGACTCACGAGCCGGCGGCTGCCCTTAACACGACCCATCTCGCGGCTGCGGAGACATTGTGGCAATGGACCCGCACTGCCGAGGGCAAGGGGGGTTGTTGTTGACCAGACGCCGGCGTCCGACACGACGCGGCGACGCGTGTGACAGAGGACATGGTGTGCATGGGCACTGTGTTGACCCCTTACGCGTAGGTCAAGCAACCAACGTCCGGTCACTCCCCCTCCTTGTGCTTGTACACGATCGCCTCGCCGCATCTCGGCACCTGGCCAATACCTGCCCTGGCAACTTGATCTCTGACAAAAAGCCGTGGTGGTAGTCCAACTACCTCGCCACGCGACCAAGTCCCGGTGCCTCCGCCGGGAGACGAGGGCCTTGGATGCTTGGAAGCCGATGCTGTGGGTTGAGGGTACCCGTTGCCGTCACTGCTAACGTATAGGCGATATCCCGGGTTTACTTTCACCCACTTGACGCACTTGGGGGGCTGTTCTCCAAGCCACGCGCCGGCCGCAGCACAGCTGCAGGTAGGTGTGACACTCCACCACACAATGGAGAGCAAGAGAGAAAGAGCAAGAGCAACCTCCAGTAGCGAGACCCAACACGACCTTGTTTTTCCCCCCAGGGCATGCCTGTGCTGTGCCCGGTGTCTGTGGTGTGGGTGTGGTTGTGCTCGCAAACCACGTCCCAGGGCAAGCCCTCCTGGCTGGTCTGTATCGTCCGTTCCTTGCGGCGCTGTGTAGAGGGGACCACGAACGGAGCAACATGGATAATGTTGGTGTGACTGGACTCCAGTGGAGGGACGCGTGGAGAGGGGAGGGCAAGCACGGTGATTGTTCGTGTCCAGGTGGTCTCATATATCTAGCCCGGATGCCGTTGCCCTTAGGTGCCACATTCCCCCCCAAACCTCCATCCGTTCTCTCAACCCCCCCCCCCCCATCCTGGCGCTGCAACATGACCATAGACATCGCTATGCGCTCACCGCGCACTTCGGACGACAACACCTTGATCGACATGGTTCGTGATGGGTGCATCGGTGACAACAATGTGGTGTGGACCCCCTTTGGTGCGCGCCGCTTGACATATGCCGACTATGCCGCTTCGGGCAGGTCGCTCGCGTTTATCGAGGACTTTATCCAGCGCGAGGTACTGCCGATGTATGGTAACACGCACACCGAGACTTCCGCGACCGCGTTGCAGACGACGCGGTTCCGGGAGGACGCGCGCAAGATCATTGCTCGCGAGGTCGGCGCCGGCGACGACTGCGCCGTGTTGTTTGCGGGTTCGGGAACAACTGCAGCGGTGACCAAGATTATCACGGCACTGGGTCTGCGGCTCCCCGAGTCGCTCGACGAGCGGTATTCGCTCAGCAGGAGCATTCCCAAGCATGAGCGTCCGGTCGTGTTCATCGGCCCCTATGAGCACCACTCAAACGAGCTGCCATGGCGCGAGACAATTGCCGACGTTGTTGTCATTCCCCCCACCAAGCAAGGTCTTGTCGACCTCGACCAACTTCAGATCCAGCTCCGGGCGTACAGGGACCGTCCGTTGCGGATAGGTTCGTTCTCGGCCGCGTCCAACGTCACGGGGATCATGTCGGACACGGACAAGATTGCGGACATTCTGCACCGACACGGAGCGCTCGCGTTCTTTGACTATGCGGCCGGCGGACCACACATGAAGATTCACATGGGCCGCAACAAGGACGCCATTTTCATCTCGCCACACAAATTCCCCGGCGGAGTAGGCACCCCCGGTGTCCTGGTAGTGCGCAAGACGCTGATGCGTACGCGCGTCCCGACGGTTCCCGGAGGTGGCACGGTCGACTTTGTGACCCCTTGGTTCCAGGCATACACCGAAGACATTGCGCACCGCGAGGAAGGTGGCACCCCGGCCATTGTCGAGTCGATCCGCGCCGGCCTCGCGTTCCAGCTCAAGGGCGCCATGTCGACTGATGCCATGGTGGCACGCGAGCGTGCGATCCTGTCGCGCGCCTTTGCGGCGTGGCGCAGTGAGCGTTCCATCGAGATTCTGGGCAACCCGGACGCGCCTCGCGTGCCCATCGTGTCGTTTATTGTTCGCTCGCCGTCGGGCCAGATTGTGCACCACAACTTTATCGTGGCGCTCCTCAACGACCTGTTCGGTATCCAGATCCGCGGCGGCTGCTCGTGCGCGGGACCCTATGGCCACGACCTGCTCAACGTCAACAAGGACACGTCGTACGCGCTGTACTATGTCGTCCGCGACCACAAGCAGGTCGGCATCAAGCCCGGATGGTGCCGAGTCACGTTCAAGTACTTTTTCTCCGACGAGATTGTAAAGTACATTATCCGCGCAGTGGTGCTCGTCGCGCGGTACGGCTGGGCTCTCATGCCTCTGTACACGTTCACACCCGAGAACGGGCTGTGGACCAACCGCCGCAAGCCCGAAAAGTCGGCGCTCTCCCTCGACGAGCTCGAGTACGGGTCCGACGGTGTGCTCCGCTGGCCGTCCCGCCAGCACCAAGTACCGCTGGAGGCCATCCACGAGTACATGCGCGAAGGCGAGGCACTCCTCCGCCGCGCCGTGTCGGGGGCATACCCGGTGCGGCGGGACGAGTGTGGCTCCATCGCCACTGATTTCGACCGCGTTCTGTGGTTTGACCTCCCAAAGCAGAGTGTCAAGGGATACGACGAGGAGCAAGCCCGCCGTCGCGGCGTGGGCGGCGGCTGGGTCGGTGGCCGCGAACGCTTCCCGCACGGCCGCGACAATTCGTGGGACAGCAGCAGCAAGGCGTCGCCCGTCTCGTCCACCAAGACGCTGTACGAGATCAACCCGTCCGAGCACAGCCACTCGTCGCACTCGCACTCGCACCACGCGTCGCCGACGCGCGGGACCATGGCCCTCCCAAAGGCCTTCCCGGGCCCCCATTCCCACTCTACCCCGCACTACATGACCCACTCGCAGGTGTCGGCCCAGGTGCACACACACCTCCTGCCGCAGACACTGCCAAAGGTCCCGCCCATCCCGGACGACAGCCCCAAGCAGAAGCGCTTCGGTCTCTTCCGGCCTCGGTCGCGCACCAACCTCCGGGCAGCCGCGGCTGCTTGAGAGAAGGACAGCGGGGTGGACACGAAAAGGACACTGGTGAACACGATGACAGTGTAACAAAATGGACATTTCAAAGAATTTTCAAGGCATTAACACAAAATGGATGGCTGGACCAACACGATCGGTCATGACGGACACAAGGATACAAGGACAATTGACTTGGGGCATATGACAGCCCACTTGAGTGGGACTGTAAGCTTGCTAGAGTTGTTTAGAATCAACCAGCAGTAGTTATGGACGACCACCGAGTCACAAATGTGCTGCCACTCATCGGACGCCTCAGATCAATTTGGCTGGACTTCTTTTCTTCACTACTGTGGTACAGTGTGTCCCAAAGGTGTAAGTGCTGCACGAGTTGGAATAACGAAGGCATGTCAACTGCCACACACACACACACACTACCAATGCGTGCTGCACCTGCACGACTCCAGCATCCCGACCGCACTCCAATAAAGATACAGAATCGACTCCCAGGATCCAGTTGACCGCGCACAAGCGTTCCATGACAACCGGGCCAACCCTTAGCCTCCGTACTGTACTGTACAGTACATCATGGTACATACATACCAACTGGGGCTAGACCAAGAGTGAGGACCAGACACATACCTAACGGTGCACACCCCAAAACCACAAGTTGTAGACAAGACACGGCAACCCTCGTCGACCGCGAACTGACCGGCCGTACCTGTGCCGGCGGGAACGAGGAACGGGGCCCGCGCGCAGCAGCGGGGTGGTGACAACATGGCACGGAACGTGGCACAGAGGGCGAACCCCCCGCTGTACAGACTCCAAGGAACCGCTGGACGAGCCCGGCCCCCTCACGGTGCGTCCCTGCGTCCCACCGAGGAACTGGGCACGGAGGCACAGAGTAGACGTCACGAGGATACGAGATACACGGGCTGCATATTGACTCTTTTAACGTGTTTTGGTGTGTCGAGTTACGTTGGTTGGCTCCCTCACTCATTGGATGTGTAAAAGAACCAGGCGCCTCGCGGTCGCTGGTCGCTTTGGCTTGGCTGTTCGTTCCCTCCCACGATTTACGTTGTTTGTGTCCCGAGTACCTTTGTACAGACGTAGTGCGGGCGGGCTGGTTCATGCCAACCATCGTCTGATGCAGCTAAAGAGACCACAGACGTCACCAGACACATTCCTCTCATCACGCGTTATGCGACTGGTGGGTGCCAAACCGTCCCGGCGCCTGTGTGCGGCGGAGCGTGCCCATCACGAGAAGCGGGTGCGGGCTACTTCGTTACCCCGCTGCATTGGACCATGACAGCGGTACAGCGATGAGCAAGTGCCCTAGCGGTGCGTGCAGGCAGCTTTGGCAAACGTTGCACATTGTCGATCCTCGTGTTTGGCGTTTGGCTCGCGGCAAGCGCGTGACTCTCGCTCGGATCTCGGTGAAAACAGAGAAATAGGCGCGGTTCGCACCCATGTCAGTGTGCCTCCGATACCGACGGCAGTGGGTTCTCTTGAACAGTAGTCGACGCACGCCTTGTATGACCATGGCTCAACGTTGCGCGGATACTGATGAGGGCCGTTGGCCGTTGGCGACCCCCGCTGACACTGTGGTGTCCCGCGGCAGGTTGCGTTCCGCCTCGCAAGACTCTCTCAGTCAAGCCGAGGAATGAACCCGCCACTCTCCACCAAGCCTTGTACCTTGTCCATGCTGCCGCAACGTGTTCGCCCAGCCGTCTTCGCGTCTTCATTGTGCATAGATGCCCTTCGCAAATGTCTCACGGACACTACGTGAGGCGAGATCTCGCTTCCCTGTTGTTACACGTTTGATTGTGTCTCAAGCGACGGGGAGATCTGGATGGAGGGAACTGGCAGCGAGGGGGAGCACCACAATGGACGGAGTGAGGGAGTGAGGGCGTGTGGCTGGCCATGGGATCGCGGCTGTTGCCAGATGCAAAGCTGCTAGCGAGGCTGTTTGACAGCACCAATTCGCACCGGCAAGGAGAGTGAGAGCTCTTGACACGACGCAAACGATGCCAAGGGGAGCCCCGCTGCGTCATTTGCGCAACAAACATGTCATCTCTCCGCACGCTATGCAGTTCCAGCATGCATGTTCCAGCAGCACCCGCGCATGTACTGGTATCTCCCCTGCCCTCCCCACTCCACCCCGCATTACAACACTTTACCATGCCGCAAAACATGCCTCGCCTCACACGCAAATCTCGTACACGACGCGGCACCCTGTGAAGACGGGTTGGGCACGGAACTGTAAGATTGTTCCCACATCGTGCCTTTATCCCGTCCCGATAACAAAACGGCGTGTAATCGACGATCCGGCAGCGCCGCCTTAGCCTTAGCGTGCTTGGAAGCGCTCTTGGCGTGGCCAACCCAACGTCAAACAGTTCTAGTGTGTTTGTTGCTCCGCGCCTCACTGAAACAAACGAGAGCCGTTTAGCTCCCTCGCCTCGTGGCGCCGCTATCATTTCTGACGAGAAGCCGGCCAGCCTGGGACCTGACAGTTCGCGTGGCGGTCGTGGACCTTGACCTGGTGCGTCCCCGAGATAACGGCACCGAGCCCAGCAGTTGGCTTGACTGGCAGCCACAGACAAGACGATCGAGACGAGCAAGATGGCGCGCTGGATCGGGACACTTGACCACGGTCAACACAGTGCGAGGAGCGGGTGCAACGGCTGTTCTCCAAACTGCTCTCATGAGCGGCCTCCGCCGCCGCCGGCGATGCGGGGTCTCCTCGACGCCTTTTGCCTACCTGGACTTTTGCCTTTTGGCTTGGCTCTCTCTCGACTTTGGGATTCCCTTTGGCGCGGACTGCGGCGTCTCGGATGATCCGTTAGGCGCGTTTCGGACAAACTGCGCGGTTTGATCCTCTGACATGACATTGGCTGTGGGATCTGGCCCCTCTCTGGTCCCTGCCTGGCCCTCTGGCCGCTGGCATCGCCGGCCCGCGGCGGCGCGGCCGTAGCGCTGAGGTCGCCGCTGAAGCGCCGTACGCGATACGCGACGAGACACAGCTGTAGCAGGGAGAGAGGGAAAATAATAATAAAGTGAGACGGGACACCGGCGTCCAAAGGGAAGGGAGGGAGAGAGGGATATCGCCGTTTGATGGCGCTGCACAACCTGTGATAGATGAAAAGTAAAGAAAGCAAAAGCAAAAGCAAAAAAATGATCGGCAGGATGCCTCATGCTCTAGCCTCATGCTCTTGCCTCAGGCTCCGCCCGTCCTCGTCCACCGTCTCGCCGCTGTGTCCATCTGTACAGACGCTATCGCTCGTCCAGCACGGAGTGCACAGCCGGTTAGCGTCGGCGTGTGCACGGGTGTTCCGGTTTCGCCATTGCCGAGAGAGGCGGCGGCGTCAGGCGGAGCGAGAAGGTCAGGCGGAGCGAGATCGACCCGTGGCCCGTGGACCCAGAACATATGTCTAGTGTCAGTTCAGTTTCATGGCGTCGTGCGAGGCATGTAACTCAGAAAAAAAAAACGTGTGAATACGTATACGCGTATGCGGGATACGGCCCGCTTGGGTGTCCGGCAAGTGACTGCCTGCGCCGACTGTCCATGCTCCTGGCTCGATGCTCCAAGCCCAGATCTGGCTCCAGGCTCCCGGCTCCAGGCTCCAGATGGCCAGGTGGCGATGAAAAAAAAGCCACTGCCGCCGGTTGGTGTAGCTGCCGGTTCCACGCACTGACTGGGTTTGCGTGCCACAGTGTCCCAAAGGTGACGGACTTGTGAGCCGACGTGCAGCGATGGCATCGCATGTGACATAGCCGGTGACAGGTGGGCACCCTTTGCATAGGTGGAGATCGAAGCCACCTTGCTTGCTCGCTACCACACCAGTAGAGCAATCAGCGTTGTAGCCGGCGAGTGGGGACCAAGGGCGGCCAAGAGGACCAAGAGGGACTGGAATAGGGCTGGGCGTGTTTTGGGTTGACACTGAGATCACTGAGGGGGTGCACTGCGCACTTCTTTACCGATTTGCAAGGTCGAGGAAAGGGAGCGAGCCTCGCTGCGTGCCCCGTCACTGTACTGTGCATGTACTCTGGCGCTGTGCCTCGTAGAATACCCAAAAGAAACTGAGCGAACAGGACTGCTGCTTGCTCCGTTGCGCTGGAATTTTGAAGGCAGCTTGCGGAGAGGGCCTGAAAATCCGAAACTGATGTTAATCAAACCCCCCGCGCGCGCGCGTATTAAAAATCCCTGGGCGACACGCGAATGCTTTGTGCTGGCGTTTTTTTTGCTCTTGCTCCATTCCCCCGATGGGCCCGACTGCTCGCTGCCCAACACTCCCATACGCTCTCGCTTTCGCTTGTGTTTCTTGTCTCTCCTTACTTGCATCCGACATTCCAGAACTCGACACATGCCACACACGATGCCGATGCTGCCGGGCAATGGCTTTTGGCAGCGTGGTTGAGCGAGATCGGCCTGGACGCCATGGGCCGTCCAGGACGACACAGGTGTGGCCGTGTCCTGAATGCCCCTCTCCTCGCCGGCGCCCGGCTGACAATGGCAGCGTGTGGCCAGAGCAAAGGCTCATGCAAAGCCCAGCAAAGCCCAGCAAAGCTCAGCAGTATAGCAGTGTCTTCGCTCCGGGTGGCGTCTGCGTCGTTTGCCAGAGTCCCCGGCATGTCCGCGCGCGGGCGGGGCTGAAACTGGTGGTGGGGGGTACGGCGGGCAAAAATCCTTCTGTGCTTGGCGCGCGTGCTGCAACGCATCCTCTCTCCCTTTTGTGGGTGTGGTTGAACCCTGGAGACTGGAACGCCTTGTGACGCGTTTTGTGCAGGTTTGTTTGCAGGTGTGGGTGTGGAGAGAGTCAGAGAGACAGAGAAGGGTCGCTTGTGCAGTATTTGCGGTCACCGGCAACCGCCGCCGACACCACCAAGTCCAAGCCCCCACCCATCTCATCTCCAGCGCAGCGCTCAGGCCCTCGACCCCTCTTGGTTACAGGACACGCGCGCGCGTAGGAAGCAGGACGCAAAAACGACACACGACGAGAGAAGAGCCAGAACAAGACACACACACCCCCACCGACGCACCGACCAGATCCCCCCCCCCCCAGCCAGGCCAGCCAGCGTGTACCAGCGTACCCAACTCTCTCTCCTGTGTTTCATTCGGCCCTTGGCTTGCCCCCTTGTCGTCCGTGTCTCTCCTTGCTTGCTTGTTCTCTACACCCTCCCTCTCCCTCTCATCACACCCACAGCCCACAACCCCCCACATTGCAGTGCACACACCACGCGCCTGCCCCCATGCTCCCCTGGCCCGTCGTCGTTCCACACACATCCATCTTTACCCGGTAACATTCACTTTTGTCGTCGTCAATATCCCCATCCACAAACTACCCACCCCCCACCACAGACCCATCACACCGTCGTCCTCGTTGATCCCCCCACCCCTCCCCCTCCTCCTTCCTCCGCTACATCGTCGACTACTGTCCGCCAGCTAATCGCACCCCTCCCGCGTCCCGTCGACGTCCTTTCCGCTCGACACTGGACCTACAATGTCCTCGTCTTCGTCGTCGCACCTCATGAAGACGACCCGCAGGGGTCGGCCTTTTGTCAAGGTGAGAGCCCTCGTGCCGCCAATCGCAGTCAAACTCACACGTCTTCCCACAGGATACCCATGACCTCTTTGCCACCCTCATCGTGTCTCTCAGGTTGGATACCCACCGCTCGTTCTTCAAGTCATACCCAAACTCATTCACGACGTGCGTAGAACAAACCTCGCACCTTCGCCCCCCGATGTGGCCGGGAGCGGGGGGGGGGGGGGGGGGCACAGGACGCTGGCGGGGGGCAGCATGGTCATGGCGCACGACTTGGGGCCATAGCGCAAGGCAAGGCGGCGATCACCCCCTTCGTCGTGCCACGCCGACGTCCCGGTGCCCTCTCCCCCCTGCCTTTGTCCACAGGTGGCAAGCACCGCCGTTGACCCGTACTGACACCCATCACAGCGACGAAGCATGTCAGAACCTGTCGTCGCTCAAGTTCTCCCAGTCGAACCGTTCCGCAGACCCAAAGGACCCCTCGCGCATCGTGACCACGACCACGACGACCACGTTCTCCATGTCTCGTGAAATGGCACGGGGCGTGAGCCAGCATTTCCTCGAGGCGCACTTGATCGAGTGTGCGACCGACCTCGGTGCGCAGGTGTTCAAGGAGCGCGGCGTCTTTATGATCACGTCCAAGGGGCTGCACATTCTCGAGCGTTTCATCACCAAGAACGGCATTGCGGCCGAGAACCTGCTGCGTGTGTTTGCGACACAACCCATCTGCATGAAGCTGCTCCACCTGGAACGCAGAACCCAGGACGACGAGATCCTCGTGACCAAGAGTGTGTTTGAGGTTCTGTTCCGCCGTTTTGTCGGTCGCGAACCCAACGTGTCCAAGCTTTCCGACGACGACCTTCTCGCCCAGTACCAGTCGCGCCCGCATGCCAAGGCTCCGCCTCTCCCACCATACGAGGAGTGTGACCGCACACACGGCATCATTGTTCGTCGCATCTCCACTCCATCCCACGACAAGAAGGCGGGCGAAGAGTTTCACTTCTCCGCCCTCGCGGCATGTGACTGGCTGTGCGACTTTACCACCATTGTCGGCCTCGACGAGGCCGCCGAGGTTCTGGGCCAGTTTGTCCGCTATGGCTATCTGTCACTCGTCTCCGACAAGGGCAAGATGAAGGATGGCAACATCATCGTCACGGTCCGTGCCGGTGGCGCAGGTGGCGCGGCAGGTGCTATCATGGTGAGTCTGGTGTTATCCTCCCTCCTTTCGAGGATGGTTTCGGGTTTCAGAGAGAACAATAAGACTGACAGGGTGTGTAGCCAGAGGCAGAGTTCCGTGCGACAGACAAGGCGGTGTACCGCGTCACAAAGGAGGGCATGTCGGTGGCCAAGTGGGACCTGGCCAAGGCGTACCAGAAGCCCGGAGCGTCGCGCACACCCGAGCCGACGGGTGATGACACGCCCGCACGCTCCAACCCTACAAAGTCGCTTGCTTCGGCCACCGACGTCGGCATCATGCGCCGCGCCAGTCTGTCTGACCGTATGCGTGCCGAGTTTCTCGCTGCAGAGGCCGAGCACCTGGGCGGCAAGGACTCGCACACTGCCCGTCTCAAGCAGATCCTCGAGGAGCCCGCGCTCCGTTCGCTCTTCCGTGAATTCCTGCGCTCCAACTTCTGCGAGGAGAACCTGTCTTTCTGGCTCGACGTTCAGGACTTTAAGCGTCGCTTCAACACGTCGTCGTCCGCAGCCGCCGCGCCCGGTGCCCTCCCCACGCAGCGTGGTCAGGGTCTCCAGGCAATGGAGAAGCACCAGCAGGACCTTATATCCATGGCGTTTGTCATTTACAACAGTGGGTTGATAGAAGCTTCTCCAAGTCAGCTTAAGCTAACTCCCGCAGCCTACCTCGCACCCGCGTCGCCCTGCGAGCTCAACATTGACCACCAGCTGCGTGGCGAGCTGATCACGTACATGAACGACATTCTTGAGGACCCCAACGCCGAAAAGGGCGAGCTCGTCCCCGGTGTCGGCAACTCGCTGCAGGCCAACCAGCTCCAGAACATGGTCTTCCTGTACGAGCGTATCCAGAGCCACATCTTCCGCCTCATGGCCACCGACTCTGTGCCCAAGTTTGTCAAGACGGAGCGTTTCCTCACCCTCATGCAGTCCGTCTTCCAGTACAACGACGGGCCGGCCGGCGCGGCCGGCGGCGCCGGCGACGACGTCGCTGCGGCCAAGGGCGGTGCCGACCCCAACAACGCAGGCACGTACGACTCTGCCGGCGTCAAGACGGCCGCTGTTGAGGGCGACATGGGACGCGCATACCTCACCGTGTCGCAGGCCGCCAACGAAAAGCACGTCGCGTCACAGTAAACGGCCGAGACAAAGCCATTGCAACACCACCTGCCTCGTCATTTTTACCCCGCCATTTTATTATTACTCTTCATACCCCCCAGGCCTTAATAGAACACGCCGTACGCCCGCCAGCCTACGACCACACCGTCATCGTTGTTACTGTACATTACACCCCTCCCCCCGGTCCCCCTCCCCCATCTCCGGCGGTCCCCCCCCCATTCGCCTCATTCGCCTCATTTAGATCTTCTTCCACCCATCCCATCCCACCCGTCGTTCCTCCCAACCCACTCGCGGCTCCGCGAATGTATATATAGTTGAATGCATGCGCCCGCGGATATACATGTTTTACAGAGTCAGGTGCGGACGGTGCAGACCCATGGTGACAGAGACGGTGAGGGAGAGGAGAGTGATGAGAGGAGAGGTGTTTGTTACAGGCTGCCGCTGAAGTCGACATTGTCGGGGCGGAGGTACTCGCCCAGCATGACCTCGGCGTCGAGGGTGACGTTGTGGAGCATCTGGGCGTGTACTTCCGCGAGCATGAGTTGGGTACTCTGAGACTCGTCAGCTCACATCCATCCATCGCCCCGTGCATCAAAGATTCTGCTCACGAGTTTCTTGCTCGCCTCGACGATGAACGTGACTTTACGGCGGAGCTCGGCAGCGCGCTCGGGCTCGTCGCCCTCGATGCGGTTGGCGAGGTGGTGGAACGCGCGGCCCGTCATAAACCAGATGGTCGGCGCGGCAATGTCGTAGCCGGCCAGCTCGGTGTCGCCGGCGTCGTAGGCTGCCTGGATGCACGCGCACATCTTGAACCCGGCGTCGATCATCTTGTTGCGCGCCTCCATCTCCTCGGACGGCGACGGCGCGTCAATTTCCTCTTTGGCGTACAGCAGCAGCATGCCCGTGTACAGGGCAAACCACGGCTTGTTGAACGACGAGGTGGAAATGGCCTCGGCGGGCGACGTGGGGGTGAACGGGCGCATCGTGGCGGCGAGGCGCTTGGCGGCGCGCATGAGCCGCGAGGACCGTTCTAGGGTGGCCACAAACGGAGAGGTGTCGAGCAGGCGGGATGCGTCGTACACGATCGTCATGGCCTTGACGTATGAGCACAAGGCCGACTCGTCTGGGGAGCCGTTCGAGCGGCCAGACACCCAGTCGTCGAGTGTCGTGTTGTCTGCAAACGCCTCGGGCTGGGGTGTCAGCTTGTCCTTCCAGCGGATGTAGTAAGCTTACAGTATCATACTTGTCCTTTGGCAGTGGAGTGGTGATCTCGTCATATTGAACCACTGCCGTTAGCGCGTCGTTTCCACCCCCATGGTACCCACCGCCTTGGATGTTCCAGCCGATGGCGTTCATCCGGTCACACAGGTACACGCTCCAGCTGCTGGGTCAGTCGCGAGCACGGAGGCACCAAGTACCCACAAAAGCTTGATCCTCTCCGCCACCTCGTTTGCGTCCACTGGCAGTGGCACGATGACGCTCTTGTTGCGTATGTATCGGATACGCTGCTCACGCGCCATCCTCTCGGCACGGTCCTTGGGCCGCTTGTCTGGTGGTAAGAACGCCTCGGCGACACCGCCAAGCTTGCCCAGTCCCACACTGGCAGCGAGCGCGCCGGCAGAGTACACCTCGGTGAACGAGTCGACAAACCGGCCGACGGTGGCGAGCGCGTTGGCCCGGAGCGCCGCGGCAGCAACGAGGTCGATGCCGCGCGTGTCGAGCGAGGAGAGGGCGTGCTGCGACAGACGGCGAGATGGCTCCATGACGGCATCACACACGGCTGCCAGCGCGTCGCGGTTGTTGAGAGTCGGGCTCGGCGAGAGCTCCATCAGGCTCGGGAGAAGGGCTGCAATGAGGGCTGGATGAGGTGGTTGGCCTGTCTGTCCGCTCAGACGCGCAAAGAAGAAGCTGGGCGACACGAGGTTGTGGACCATTCGAGGGTGTGGGTGCTGGGCAAAGACGTGGTGCAGCCTGGTATCGGGTTAGGAAACAATGTCAACTTGACACGCGACTCACAGATGGGCCATAATCTTCTCTCCTACACCCTTGTGGTTCTCGACGACTGCCTTGACGAGCTCGATGGCGACCTCGCGCGGAGTCATACCTTCCCAAGGCGCGGCGGCGACCGTCCGGTCCGTGTCCGCCGCGGCCGCGTCCGCGAGCGTCATCAGGTCGGGCTCGGAACGCTTGAAGAATGGGTCCGAGAGCGTGCCCAGCTCACCGAGGCCAAAGAACATGTCCACACCCGTCGACGGCGTCACGTTCGACTCGGGCGAAATGTACACGCCCTCGGCGGAGAAGACGGCGGCGGGGCCAGAGGTCCCGGCAGACTCGGGACCGGCTTGGCGCTGGCCCGAGGCGGGCGACTCGTCGTTTGCCTGGCGCTCGTCGTCGAGCCTGCGCTCGAGCTCCTGCAGCCGGTCCTCGAGGACGCGGACTCGGCTCCGCTGCTTCTTTTGCGAGTAGACGCACTCGCGTCCACTGCGCTTGCACTGCTGGCACTGGGGCTGCTCGGCAGTACACTTGAGCTTGCGGCGCTTGCAGAACTCGCACGCACCGCCACGAGTGAGCATGTTGGCACGCGACGTCGCCTTGCGCTTGGCTGGGGGTGCGTCCGGGTTGACGTCTTGCGTGCCTCCACCACCCTCGGCTCCTTGGTCGGCAGCGATAGCATCGCCACCACTCGTCACTGCGTCGGCGCCGGACGCATCGGGGTCGATGCCGGGACGGCCTGGGGTTGCGCCAGTGGGTGTATCGTTGGTTGTGGAACCCTCAGCCTCCGCACCAGCGCCGGCAGCGCGCGCCGCGTCAGCCGCCTCGCCGAGACTTGGGTCGATGGCCAGTTGGAGGTGGGTGTCGAGGTGTTGGTCGAGGTGTGGATACTCTTGGGCGCTGGCAAAGAGGGTCGTGAGCGCAGCCCCGGCGTCGGGGGCCTCGGTGGGCGCGCCGTCGTAGAGGGGCATGTCCGAGGGCATGTCTGAGTTGATGTCTTGGGTTACGTCGTCGATGTCCTGGGTTACGTCGTCTGCCATGGTGGTTGTTGGATTAGGGCCTGGAAAGGTGTGTCAACAAACAACAAATGAAATGGGAACGGAACGACAACTCCGCACACTACGGGCACGGAGATGCACCGCCGCAGAAGTGAGGGTTGACGCCTAATTGAAATTAGGCGACAAAAGGTAATTGACAGGATAAATGGGACTTCTAGGCGCGCAACTCAAATGTAATGTTCAGGCGATCGCCCCCCCACGCTCCCCGCACTGTTTCGCCACCCAGTTGCGCCGGTCGCCGTCGGCCGGTGGGTGGCCCAAGAAGGTTGTTGTTGCGCTCCCACAGCAGCAAAAGCAAGAGCATTTCAACAGCACTCTGCGTCGGCCGTCTGCATACCCGTCGCCGACGACGGTTGTTGCCCACATCGGACCTCGCCGCCACACACAGCTGGCCTCCACATCCTCCACACATGCTTGCGCTCGCATCTTGGCCGTGTTGCTCTCAGTCAGCGTTCGAGTAATGTATATCTGTCTCTGGCGTCACCCGCGCAGGTCCGGTGACCTCGTTTGGGTGACCAATACTGGTTCGGAATGTGGGAGCGAAGAGCCGGGGCCATGGATCCATGCAGTCCATGTGGATCTGACCCAACACCGCTCTTGGGACAGACGCCATCCATGACGCCGGGCAACACGTTCCGTTCACTGAGTCGTACTCTTGCTTTATTGTTGAGAATCTGGCCTGCGCGTGTCCACATCTCTCTCGCCCTCACTCTTCCTCTCCAATCCATCCATGGCCACGAGGCCCCAACAACCACGATGTTGACGGCGATCCATGCCGCCCGACCACCAGACTCGCTCAAGGCGAGGGACGGAGACTCCACCGCCGCCGCCGCCGCGACGGCCACAACCACCTCCCTCCCACCGTCGTCCACCGTGACGAACACCCCCATAAATCCCACCAGCACGGGCAGCCAACTGACACTGCCCTCTGGCACGATTGTCGCGCTCGGCCTCGGCTTTGTCGCCGCCGCCATCTGTGTCGTGCTCACGACAATCTTGCTCCGCATCCTCCAGGTCCGCCGCGCCGCCCGCAGTGCACGCACCCGCGGCGAGCAGATCACCTACCGCCAGATGTGGCAGCGGTGGGGTGGCTGGTGGGGGCTCATGTTTGCCCAGACGGACGATCTGCACAGCAGAGGGCTGTATGGCGGAAGAAGGATACGTATCAAGGTCAAGCATCTCGAGACGCCCATCATGTGGGAAATCCCACTGCAGACGACAGAGGACCCCCAGGAGTGGTTCGACTATCAGACTGCGCAGGTGAGTTTGGGTTTCGTGCGCGTGTGTAGCGTAGGGGTGCGCGTTGGGTGTTGGTGAGAGGTGTGGAGTGCGGGGGTATGCGGATGGTCGAGCGATGGCCACAGCTGCCTTGCGGCCACAGCTGCCTTGCAGCAACTCTCGTCAACGGCGCCGCCTGTGACAATGAGACTGACAAAAACAGCCCCTCTCCGCATCGCCTTACCACATTTCGAAAGAAGACGACGACGTGGCATTCAGCGTATTGGTCCTGATGCCCACCCCACCAAAGGAAGAGGGACAAGAACGAGATGTCACAGACACACATCGCAGCAGCAGCAACGGCGGCGACGACGACGACGAGCTCGAGCTGGATCTCCCAGACATCATGCTGGGCACGACACACGTCACCCCTTCGACCACGCTCGTGGACGCCGGCATCGAGATTGACAAGCCCGACGACATCGAGGTCGAAGAGCTCGAGTACGCCCCCGGCCCAACGCTGATCACGCCGCTCCAAGCGGCCATGTATGCTGAGAGGCGGAGGTCGGCGTGGCCGCTCACCTGGGGACTGGACGGCGGGCGACCGGGAATTTAGGAGACGAGGGAGAGAATTGCTGCACGAGAGATCTAATGTAGAGAGCCTTTGACGAGTCGACGACGAGATACCGCCCCCATGTTGTCCCGCCATTGCTCTGGATGTAAACATGTACAATGTACGCTGTACCAAGGAAAAAAGCCATAATGCTAAGTGTACATTCCAAATCCCCATACCAAGACACTCTATACACCTAGTCACTCTAGGCGTTCATTGCCGCCTCCTCGTCGTCAGCCTCGGCCTCGACCTTGGCCCGCTTGGCCTCGGCCTCGGCCTCGTGGGCCTCGCCGTCCTCGCTCTTGCGCTTGTTGGGCACCTCGGAGCCGTCCTCGTTCACCTGGACGGTACGCGCGCGGGGAGCAGGGCCCCAGTTGGGCAGCGGGTTGAGCTGGTAGAAGACGGTGGAGCGGTCGCGCTCAAACAGCTTGGCGTCGGGGTTGAGCGTCAGGTCGACAGTGTGGGTCATGGGCTTGGCGATCAGGCGGCGAACGGGCGAGTTCTCAGCCACCTTGTCCAGGCGGACGGGGTTGGTCTTGAGACCCTCGCGGAGAATGTCAAGGACGAACGAGCGGGGAGCATTGGTCTTGACCGAGCCGCCGATGGCGTGCGAGCGCGAGACCTTGTAGCCGGCGTTCAGGAGCGCAGAGACGACAGTCTTGGTGGGCTGCGCCGTCATGTGCGCAAAGCCATGGATCTTGTTCGAGGTAAAGTAGAACATGTCCTCGAGCTCCTCCTGCGCAAGGCTGAGCATGCCGTGCATGCGGGCCCAGGTACCGTAGTTGGCCTGCTGGCCCTCAATCGACTTGAGAACGCGGCCGATAAAGTCCTTGTCGTGGAGGGGGCCGAGCCACATGGGGCCGGCAATGTGCTGGTGCGAGCCACATTCGTCGCAGCGACCAGACGAGCCGGCGTTGTTCTGGGCGTGGCGGTAGAGGATGTTGGTGTTGCCCTTCTTGCCCTCACGCTCCATGATACGGCCAAAGGGCTGCACCGCCGGGGTCTGACAGTAGTTGCACGCGTACACGATGCCGGTCTTGGAAGCGAGACGCTTGACCTCGACAGCCCTGGTGTCGATACGAACGAACAGGCGGACATAAAAGTCGATCGAAAGGGAGATAAGAGGCGTGACGTGGCGACCGTAGCGGGCGGCGGCCTGGGCAAGCGAGTTGAGAACAAGACGAAGGGCAACCTCGTGTGAGTACTCGGTGTTGGCAGAGGCACCACCATAGTTTGAGAAGGCCTTTTCGGGGTAGTTGGAGCCGGCAAGCACGGACAGATCGGTGCAGGTGACACAAAGCAGACCGCCGTCGGCAATGGAGCCCATGGCCGAGTCGATGAAGGGCGCGGCAGTGCCGTAAGGGTCAAGGTCGACAACCTCGACACGGTCCTTACCGGCGCGGTGCGCATACATGAGCGTCAACGCGTCGCCCTCGTTGACCTGCACGTAGCCGTTGCAGTTCTCGCGACGACCAAGGTCGCCCTCGGGCGCCGCCACACCCTCCTCCGCGGGACCGACACCGTTGAGCGCAACGTTCTTGCGCATGGCGTCACATGCCGAGGGCGAAATGTCGTTGGCGAGCACGACCTTGACATCGGGAATCTCCTTGGCGTAACGGATCGAGCGAAGACCAGTGGCAGACAGCGCCTCGAGGATGGTGATCTTGGACGGGTTAAAGACGCGCTGGGCGGTTAGTCTGGGTCTCTGGTAGGATCTAAAACTTACCTCAGTCGAAGGACCGGCCGCAGGCTGCTCCTCCTTGGCCTCGTCCTTGCTCTCGTCCTTGACCTCGCCAGTCTTGTCCTCCTTGCCCTTTCCCTTGCCCTTGGACTTCTTCTTGCTGTCCTTTTCGAGGTTCTTACGCCAGCGAGCCTCGGTCTCCTCCTTGCGCATCTCATTCCATGCACGGATAACCGACACACTCAGATCACGGTTGTATTCCTGGACAGGGTTGAGGAAGGCCGTGTTGGCCTTGGGGACAAGGATGGTGGTCGTGCGCTCGGTGTGGGGGCGCATGGTGTCGGGGATGCCTCCGGGGAGGTCGACCGTGTAAGGGATGGACGAGGACATGGTGCGAGATGGTATGAGACGAGATATTCCTGCGAGGACGAGTGTGCGAGGTCGTACGGCGTGCTGCATGCAAACCGTTTAGAGAACTCTCGACAGATGGAGGTCGTCGGTGGGTGTGTTGTGGGTTTTGGTTTTGTTGCGTCCCTCCAAAATTCCAGGAAGGGCTCAAAGCCAACAGTGACGGCCAGGCACACACACCGTTGTCCCCGTATTGATACATCAGATCCCGCTTCTAATGTAAATTAAGCAACAAACAGTAATGCAACAATTACGTGTTAATACGCCCCGTCGCGTCTCGCTTGGTGTTTTGCCGCCGCTCATGAACGGCGCGCGCCCATACAACGGGTCGCCGACGCGCGCGCGCGCCGCTCTCGCCTCTCTCTACGGTGTGTTTCTCCTGAACAACATCAACATTCCCCTTCTCATCGTCTCTCTTTCCTCCCCATCCACCCATCCTCCCATCTCAAACCACAAAACTCGAGTCGCCATCGCACACACCTATAGTCCAGGAGACACCCTATCCAGCGCATACCGCCCACAACCTCGTCCCTCAACTCGGGTCCCTCCATCTCTCCCTCCACCTTCCTCGTCATGGTGAGTGCTCCCGACGACAAGCCACCCTTGACCCACCCCCCACTGACCGTTCTCCCCTCTGATTATCACCTTACAGTCCATCGTGAGTTGCCTCTGTCTCTCTAGAGCTGGCCCAGTGTGTGAACATGCTCACCGTGTCAGGTCAACATTCGCAACATTGAGCTCGTCAACAACCCTGCCAAGTTTGATGACGAGTACCACTTCCGCATCAAGTTTGAGGCCATTGCTCCTCTGGCCGAAGGTGGGTGTTCCCTTTGCGCGAGCCCATTGGGTGTCAGCTTCCTCTGCCGCTTTGCAGCTGACAATAGACCTCGAATGGCGTCTCATCTACGTCGGCTCGGCCAAGTCGGAGGAGTACGACCAGGAGCTTGACTCGTGCATGGGTGAGTGGACTGGGACCGCTGATGGCCATCGGAGAGCTAACGGTATGTGTTTCTTTTTGCCACCCAACACCCATCTTGCCACCTGCACCGCACATTTCTCCATCTACAGTCGGCCCCGTCCCCGCTGGCGTGAACGCGTTCGACTTTATCGCCCCTGCTCCCCAGCACCACCTGTTGCCGTCGGTTGAGCCTGATGAGATTCTCGGCGTCACCGTCATTATCATCACTGCATCCTACCGCGACAAGGAGTTTGTTCGTGTTGGGTACTATGTCAACACGGACTATGAGGACGAGCAGCTCCGTATCGAACCCCCTTCCAAGGTACTCTGGGACCAGCTCTACCGCAACGTTCTGATCGGAAAGCCCAAGGTTACCCGGTAAGCTTGATCAGGGATCGCTGTGGCCAAAACGCTAACAATGGCCAGTTTCCAGAACCCCTGGGACAGCGGAACGGCCGATGCCAACGACGGCAACGAGATTGACTCCCTGCAGTCGGGCAACACCAACCTGTACGACTCGCCAGTGCCCCCACCTGTGCAGAAGGCGGCTCCGGCCGCAGCCGGCGGTATGGACGTGGACGAGGTCGCCGCATAGAAGGTTGGAGGCAATTTGAAAGAAGGACACCACATAGGTGTGCATGTGGAGTGAGAGAGGTTTGAGTCGATACGTGGGGCCATGTACAGGCGCACGAGATAGCTGTAGACAATGACGGTCACCCCGCGCATGATACCATAGGGCAGAGATGTAAGCAGTGCGTAGCTATAGGCAAGAGCGACGCAACAGTAAAAGTATGCATGATGAAGCAAAAAAAAAAAAAAAACTATGTGCAGCGGGGAAACACACTAAAAAAACATGATTGTGGGTCTCGTCTGTCTAAGCCTTCTTGCCGGCGTCCTCCTTGAGCGACACAATACGGTTAAGGATAATCTTGTCGCCATCGCGCTTGCCGGGCTTGGCAGTGGCGCTCTCGTCGAGGCATCCAAGGGTGCTCTCGCGGTCCACGGCAAAGTACGCAAGACGCATGCCCTGGAAGCGAATGTTCTCCATGCCGACGAGCTGGTCGGCCGTCGCGACAGGCTCGTCGTGGGCGACAGCCTCGGCAGCCGCAGCCTCCGAGGTGGCGGTCGCGACCTGGTTCTCGGCCGCGGCGCGCTTGGTGCGCTCGAGCGACTCGGTGCGCGCGTCAGTGACGGCCTTCTTGGCCAGCTCGTAGAACGCGGGCTCGACGACGGCGTTGGTGAAGACCTCGAGCGACGCGTCGTTGACGTCACCCTCAAAGTCGGCGGGGACGGGGTCGTGCTTGAACAGAGGCTTAAAGTAGCGCACCTCGTCAACCTTGATGGCGTCGGGAGCGTTGACCCACTGGACGTACGCCTTGGCCTTGGGGACCTTTTCGCCATTCTCGAGACGGCAGCGAATCTCAGTGACGTTGCCGGCCGCGTCGGTAGAGTACGAAGTGCAGGTGACGGGGAAGGGAGCCTTGAAGAGACCAACAGTCTTGCCGGGAGCAAGACGGAAGTAGTCGGGCGAGTCCTCCGTGCGGAAGTCCTCGGCGTCAATGTAAACCTCCTTGGTGAACGACGTCTCGACGGTGCCCATGGCGGGGACCTTGGGGTGGAGCGGCACCTGGACGGGGACGCGGTAGTCGGCGTCGACGTTCTCAAGAACAACCTTGATGGGGTTGAGAACCATCATCAGACGCGGCGCAGTGTCCTCGAGGTACTTGCGGACAACCGACTCAAACTTCTGGAGCTGGGTCTCGGAAAGCAAGGTGGTGACACCGAGGTCCGAGACGAAGTTGAGCAGCGCGCCGGGAGGAATACCACGACGACGGAGCGCAATGATGGTGTACAGACGCGGGTCATCCCAGTCCTTGACAAGGCTGCTCTCTACCAGACGGCGGACCTTGCGCTTGGACAGGAAGGTGCCCTGGAGGTTGAGACGGGCAAACTCGTACTGGCGGGGCTTGTAAACACCAAGGGCATCACAGAGCCACTCGTAAGACTCGCGGGCGGGGACAAACTCGGTGGTGCAGAGCGAGTGGGTAATGTTCTCAAAGGAATCACACAGGCAGTGGGTGAAGTCGTAGGTAGGGTAAATCTTCCACTTGTCGCCGGTACGGTGGTGCTCGGCGTACTTGACGCGGTAAGCGACACTGTCCCACATGTACGGGTTGCCGCTGGTGAGGTCCATCTTCATACGAAGACAGACCGTCTTCTCGGCATACTCGCCATTCTTCATGCGCTCAAATTCGACCAGGCTCTCCTCGATGGGTCGGTCGCGGTGCTCGCACGCCTTGGGGTTGCCACGGCCACCGCCGCGGTCCTCCTTGATCTTCTCGGCGTCACACGTGCACACGTAGCCCTTGCCGCGACGAATGAGCTCGACAGCGAGCTCGTACAACCTGTCAAAGTTGTCCGACGAGTAGGTAATCTTCCAAGGCTCGAAACCGAGCCAGCGGACAGTCTCGAGAATCGACTGGAAGTAGCGGCCCTCCTCGGCCTCGGGGTTGGTGTCGTCGTAACGAAGGTATGTCCTGCCGCCGTGGAACTTGGCGTAGCCAAAGTCGACCATGATGGCCTTGACGTGGCCAATGTGAAGGTATCCGTTGGGCTCAGGAGGGAAACGGGTGTACACCTTGCCCTCGGTCCACTTCAGGTGCTCCTCCTTGAGCTTGGGGTCGCTCTGGGGGTTCTCGCCGACCTTGTGGAATTCGGACAGGAAGCCCTCGCGGAAAATGTTGGTGGGAATGTTGGGGCCAGTCGACGACGACGCCTCGGCAGAGGTGGTGACGGCGGTAGGGGCGGCAGCGGGAGCCTTGGCCTCCTAAGGTGGACAGTCAGCACAGTACTAGCACGGAGCTCCTATTGTTCCCAGACGGTGGCATACCTTCTTGGGCTTGCTGGCAGCAGCAGATTCAGCACGGGCCTTGGCGGCGGCCTCCTTCGAGCCAAACAGCTCAGTGAAGAGGTCGTCGACCGCGACCTTGAGGTCGCCGGTGGCAGCCCACTTGAGGTCCGAGGTGCTTCCCTTGATGCCACCGAGGAAGGGGCCAAGGTCGGTCCACGACTTGGGGGGCTTAGGAGCGTCGGCAGCGTACACCTTCAAGAGCGCGGGGAGCTGGTCAGCGGTGATGTTGACACCTGTGTTGGGTTAGCGACACCGCCCGCCGTCAAATGGGGCACTCACCGACACCAGCAGCCTTGTCAAAGGCAGACGCGTCGATAGCGCCAGTGTTGGACTCGAGGTACTTGACCGCAGCTGGCCATCAGTAAACATTCACCATCAGACATCAGACGCGTCGCATTCGCCACTCACCGGCAACCTGGTCGGGCGACTTGAGGTCGCCACTGACAATACGGTCGACGACATACTTGCGCGCCTCGGGGGAGAGCTTGCTGCCGGTGGCCGAGAGCTTGACGAGAGCGTTGGCCTGCTTCTCCTCAAAGGTCTGGCCGGAGAGGCTGTGCTCGTCGACGAGAGCCTGGAATGCCTTGCCCGACTTGGGCGTGCGCACCAGCTCGGTCGCAGAGTTGGTGCTGAGGCCAAGGGCAGCAAAGGCGGAGATGAGAGCCGCGTTCTCGGGCTTGGTGGGATCAAACTTTGGCGGCATGGTGGATTCTTCTCTTCTTGTGGGATATGACAGAAAGAGAGAAGAAGATATTAGGCCAGGTTGATCGCTGGTATATGAGAATGAGTGCGTTGATGACCCAGCTCGCGCTGATGGGAGAGTCTCATGGAGCGACTCGACTTTTGGGTGCAATCGCGGCATATCGGCGGGGACGCGATAATGGGTGAGTGACTTTACACGTCATTGATTTGGCGCGTCTTTGTGATAACGGGCTTCCCACTCCCACTCGACACAACCAACACAGCTGAACGGAACGCATCCATCCACTCCCTCCCCCCTCACCTTCCTCATCCAAAACGCAGGAGAGCATAGCCATAATGCCCTCCCGCGCCACGTCCGACTCCCCCAAGACGGTCGATACCAGCTCCACCAAGCGGAAACGGCGCTCAGACGCGGATGCGACGGACAAGCGGACTCGTACCTCTGACCGATTCCGAGGTCAGTTTATTGTTTACCGCGCTTGTTGGGACACTGCTGATGATAACCAGAGCCCAGCAGTACACCACAACGGAGCACCGCAAGGAGTTCCAGCACGCAGACGGTTGAAAGTGCTCTGCCGATCACCCAGCGCTCGACGGACATGGGTCCGCCTGTTGTTCGTCGACAGACTGCACGCCGTTCAGCAGGCCGTCTTCCCCCAGGCCCTGGTGCACCGCCAACTGTAACAGCGGCCACATTGTCCAGGAGCAATGAACGTCGCCGTTCCACCATTGAAGTCGAGATCCCGCGCCGTCCGCCATCGCGGTCGCGTCCTGCGCTCGTTTCCGACGACTCGGAGTCCGATAGTGAGCGCGAGGATCTCGGTGTCGGTACTCCAGGCCCAGGACCGCGTACCAGTCGCAGCCGCGCGACTCGTGGTCGTCAGCTGGATCCTGTTCCTCAGCCCTCGCCGAGCGCTTTCCACCCGTACCTCCGCGGCCGCCACAGCCAGGCTGAGGCGATTACGGACTTTCCAAGCTCGTCAATGACCGGAAGCCCTCCGGCGACCCAGGACCCCGAGAGCCTTGGACCGAGACGAAAGACCATCATTGATGGTGAGGAGGCGTATGTCATGTCGGACAGTGATGGAGACAGCGCAGATCCCGATGGTAGGTTGTTACACAGACCGCCAAACCAGTGGCTGACCTCGAAGGTGGTTACCAGTGCCGATGGGCCGGCTGCTCGCAGGTACTCAAATCGTCTGCCAACCTCGCCCGTCATATCCGCGCCCATGCCGATGCGTATGACCCTCGTCCGTCGGCTGCGCCCCGTACGCCAACCACACCGAATGACCCGGCCCTGCTGAAGCAAGTCGGGGCACTGGAAGCCGAGCTGAGCAAGCGCAAGGAAGACTTGCGACAGACCAAGGACCTGCTCAAGCAGCGTCTGGACGAATTTAGGGAGCTCAGGTCTGATGAGCTTGCTGCTCGAACGGCCATCACCGAGTTGCAGCGCCAGTTGCGGGTCAGCAAGGAGACGGCCACGAAGCAGGCCGCGGACTTGCAGGCTGAGCTTGAGGTGAACGAGGCTACGGCGTCCGCGGCGTCCGCCAAGCTGGCGACCTTGGAGTCACAGGTCAAAGAGCGTGACCAGAAACTGCTGGCCTTGCAAGCCCAGGTCAAGATATTCGAGGATGCCGATGCCGAGATTGCACAGCTGGCCGCCCCAGTTCCTACCGAGGACGGCGAGCCGCCTGTGCCCGAGGTGCACATCAAGTATCTCAAGAAACGTCTCAAGCAGACCAACACGTCTCTGAAGCATACCCAGTCCGATCTCGACTTCATCCGCAGCCAGTATCAGCAGGCGTCAACCAGCGCAGTCCAGGAAGTGGCGCGGGCCAAACAGCTGGACGAGCAAGTGGCGCGCCTCAAGGAGCAGCTCACCCTGGGTCTCAAGCAGCGCGAGCTGCACAACCGCGCCGTGACCGAGCAGTCGAGCGCCGCCTCTAACAGGAGAGAGATGCAGCTCAAGCTCCTGCTGGAGCAGTCTCGCCGCACCGACGACACGATCCGTCGCAAAGCTGCTGCTCAGCCACGTCTCGTCAAGGAGAACCGCGAGCTCGAGGCTGCGCTGCACAAGGCGCGCTCCAGCGCCGATGACTTGAGCAAGCGCAACAACGAGCTGGTCGACCAGAACGCACTCCTGCGTGGCCGTCTAATGGGCGCATTCGAGGACCCCGTGCAGGATTCTGACGACGAGACGGACGACGACCTGCCAATCTTGCCCTCTGCTCTCCCCGTGCTGGTGCCCGACTTTGTCGACGACGCAAAGGTCACGCCGCCTGCTCAGCTTGTCAACGCGACGCTGGCTGACGGAGGTATCGAAGCGTTTCGCTGCAAGTGGAGTCTCGGCGGCGACGCCGTCTGTCCGGAAATCTTCCATACCCGCGATGTGAGTTGCACTCATCGTTGTGGGACGACAGCTGACGACGCAGGAACTCGAGACGCACGGTATCGGTCATATTCAGAAGCTCGCACTGGACGTCGACGTCTCGCAACCCATGTGAGCGGGAGAGTGGGCGCAGCATTGGCAGAGAGAGGGTGTGTGTAACCGTGGAGGGAGGTGTGATCAGTGGACACGGTAGATAGCGCAATGTCACAGCCGGTGTGTGGCCGAGAAGTGAACAAACGTCGAGGGCAGAGCAGAGGCAAGTAGGGTGAAGCGCTTCCTTCTGGCGCGTTTGCTGATCATGTCTGACATGTCTGGCATGTCTGACATTTTGATCGCAGCCATAGGGGGAAACACACATTGCGGTATGGATTCTAGCTCAAAACAACAGGACCGAACAGCCGGGTCAACAGGACGGAGGAAGCGAGTTGGGAAGCGAGGATATCGAAAAACAGGTTGATTATGCGCGTCGATGGGCGGCCCGAGCTCGGCGGGTGGCTGGCTCTGTAGCTGGTGGCGCAGATGCGCTTGATTTGCTTCTTTGAAGCGCAGAGGCCGTTGCTGGGTCCGTGCAGTCCCGGTTCCAATCTGACAGGGGAGGGCAGTCAGGGGGGGTGCGTGGGGGTCAGCAGACGCACGTCAGCAACATTGTACACGGCAAGGGCAACAATGGCCAGTTGCACACTGGCCCACTGGATCGTTCAGTAAGCGTAATTGCGAAGCAACACGGGGCGAGAGCAACGGACAAACGTTTCGGACCCATGTCGTACACATGCTGCGGTGGATGGGTGCGGGTACTCTTTGCATATGTCCTGATCTACCCAGATGCGGGAGTGGACGGCGGTAGGGTGGTCAGATGTGAGGGGGATCTTGATCCCCGAGCCCCCCCCCCCCCCCCCTCTGGCACCACGTCGGCATTCCGCTCCTTTTGCACAGTGGCCAAGTGGCCAAGGTGGCCAGAACACAGAGTCGGACGGACACTCTGTCTCTGTATCAGATCGCGCACGATCATGTGAATCGGCCAGGTGGAACAAGGTGGGGCTGGGCACGCGGACACGGAAATACGGGGGAGAGAGCGGGGGCCATTGGGGGGACAGGGGGTCTGTGGCCATCGCGGACCGAGAGATGACAGCAACCAGGACAAGCAAAGGAGACGGTCCTTGGAGTGCAACAAAGGTGCACAGGTGGGTTTTCGTTAGCGAAGGAACGCGTTGTTATCTGTCCGCTGTTGATTGTTCGCCCCCGAACTGTCGGCCTCGTTACGGATTACTCTGTGTGGGACCTCGTGCCGCGTTGCGGTTGCGTTACACTGTTTCTGAATAGGTATTGGGGGGGTCAAGTGCGACGTCGGGTAGTCATGAGATCGAAAGACACTGAAACATTGTTCGGCTTCCATGTGCGTGCGTGTGCATGCGTGCAGCGCTGCCGCTGCCGTTTGCTAAAGAGGGGGAAAAGGTAGATGCTGGATCCTTGAATGGGACACGTCGTTAGCGTAGGGTGGGTGGCAGGTGCTGGACGAGGGATCTGAGACGCAACTCACATGGTCCGCAGTCCACATTGCATCGCAGACTGCGTCCACATTGCACTAACGTGCCACTAGTGGGCTTGATCGCGTCCGCTCCAACACGTCCGCTCCAACAGAACCACCGGTCATTGACCGGTTGCTTTGTCATGTCACTGGATTTCTCGGTGTGTTGATACCACAGCCATGCCCACCCCACCACAAATTTCTGTCCACGTCTTCTCGCCATGACGTACCGGATCTGGCGAGGGGGCACACCACAGATCCGATTAACAAGCACAGGGGATGGAGTACGGCATAGGTACCCTCGGCATTGCCGCACCGGGTGGAAGTAAAGTTTATTTTGTCTCTCATGTAACTTTGATGCGATTGTAATGAGTCCTTAATATGTAAGTGGGTGGGGCCAGCATACGAGCACGAGGGAGGCCAGGTGAAGGCGCCGCAACTGCCGTATCCGGTCTATGGACACAACCTCTATGAGGCTACACATGTGGGGAAAGAAGCTCGAGTCGGAAACCCAAGCTGAATAAAAGTAACTGGATGAGAGTGTAAACTGTCAAGAGCAGGTTCCTGTTCATTTTTATCAACGTAAATCTTGTTCGCTCAGTGTTCCTGACAGCAAATTCCAACTTGGGTAGGAGGCGAAAAAAAAGGCATAACGCAACTGTAAAATGAAGAGCTTGTCTCCTGGAATCAACTGTAGATTGAGATCCCGCGCACAATAAAGGTGTACATGACGTTGGTGCAGGACGCCTTGCCGGTGCCGTGGCAGCCACATTCGTCCTGGGGAATGGTACTCACCGAGCCAAACGTGGCTCATTCTGTGGCTTTTTCTGGCTTTCTTTCTTTCTTTCTGTTCGGTCGCCACGGCGTGTGCGTACGTGTTCGTTCTCCGTGGCCACGGACGTGCGTGTCACCTTGCAAACCTGGACCACCTGGCCACGGGGCCATTGGCGTCGTCTAGGGACCCCAGACCCAGAGGGCGAAGCGAACGCGCCGATCCGACTAAACCCCCCGCCACTGGGCGCGGAGACTCCGATGAACATTTCAGACAGGATCTCTCTCTCGTCGGCGGCGTTGTTGCGGACGGGGCCTCTGGGTGCAGCAGCACTCGAGTCGTAGGGCCGTGGCCGCCGATTCGTTCGCCCCGAGCGTGCGTGCGTGTCCGAGGCCCCACCGCCGCGATCCCCAGGACACAAGGTTGGTGGTCAGGCGCAGTCGTCGACTAGCGAGAGGGGTAGGGATGGTAGGGAGACTGGCCTAGGGCCGCTTGTGTCCGATTGCTGAAGGGTTGAACGAGGCGAGGGCCAAAGCTAGTAGTGCGTACGCATCATGCGATCTGTCACCCTTTTCCTGTCGACGCCGGTGTTCGCCACGACACGCAACAGCGGCGGCGGGGGCCCACGGCCCATCGTGTGGCGTGAGCGACCATACGACACCCGCAAAGCCCCGGACCCAAAGCCGGCGGCTATGGTCGCCACGGCGCCGGCGCAAGTTGCACGAACAAAAAAAAAAGTGTCCTAGCTCGCGACCGACGGCATGAAACTGGCCTGCGCCGAGGCTGCACAGTTTACGCGATCTGCGACGCCGCCGTCAGAGGTGAACGCCGAAACTCGGCGTGGGCGCCACCATGATCTACGGTGCGCTATAGCCTCGGACCACAGACGTTTCAATGCGCCTCACACCCCGAAATGTCACCACGCGCAAATGTGTCTTAGACTGAGAGTAACCAACGAGTGGCTCGGCGGTGCCCCACCACCACCACCACCACCACCGCTGCGCCGCCCAGCCCAGATAACGCCAGCCGCGCCGAGTGCCCACTTGGACGCCAGAGACATCTGATGGGATAACATGCAGAGCACGCCTCGGTAGATCGGTGGCCCGGCGGCCCAAGTTGGGCGCGCGCCTCTTGGTGTCGTCCGACAGCAGGCATTGTGGTGTGATGGGTATCTGCCAGCTGCCAGTTGGCAGTGGACAAGCCACCCCGCGACGCCCGCGGCGCCTGGACTGGAATGGAAACAGATGTCAAACGCAAGGATAGCTCGCATGTAGGCTGGGTCGGAGAGGGGCAACAAGGTAGTCTGTCACTGCGTGGGTTGTCACCTGCGATCTGCGTCTCGCCACGATTACGAGAGCCGAAACGCACCACGTCGAACGGCTTGACATGGCACAGCGAGCCAACGTTTTTAGCGTTTACCCAAAAAGAGTGCCTTGTCGTACAAATGGCGGCAGGCGCCGCACCTTGTCCTCGACTAGCATAACGTCGTGTACCGAGGCATGTGCGACTCCATAGCGCTGTAGTAGGTTTTATGGATCTATAGACTACTGACTACAACCCCAAGTGTTACGACGATCATCCGGCGATCAGCCTAGAGTCCCCCAAGGACGCTAGCGGCGAATGCTACTTTGCCATCAGCATGATGTATCCGTACCCACGCCGCACCCGCGGTGTCCGTGGTCCGTGATTGCGCGGCGGTGTGCTCTGATTTTGTGATCGCGACAGAGCGAGAGCCTCTTTCCTCTCCCGAATTAAGCGCTACCGGAGTACCGTAGTCTCCGGGAGCTTGCATAAACGGGTATTCTCGTAACATGCCTGATTAAACGCGCATGGAGGGTTGGGACCTATGCCGTTAGATTTTATGTTTTTTGGGTCTTTCCGTTCGTCGCTCCCAGGATCCATGGAAGAAAGGGTGCTACGGATCACACAGATCTGTTCAGCTCGAGGCTAACGGAAGGGACAAAAACGAGTGTTCTGCACCGCCCGTGATGCGTGACGGGTGTGTGGGTGTGGCACAACTCGCCAGTCGACCCACCGCATCTCCGACGTCGTCGCACTCTTGCGACTCGTCACGTCCTGCGACCTGGCATGCTTGCATGCATGCATGCCATACGATGCGCACCATGTGGGCCACGGCGTACCCTCGTCTCTTGGTCGTCGTCACCCACGCGGCCACGAACACTGTTCTGTGTGGCTATTCGCTACGTTCGCTATCAGCAGGCAGGCCAGAGACGGCATCGCGTGCCCGCGGTGCGTACGCAACCCTTACATTGGCCGTTGGCCGTTGGCCCCGGACCTCGTGACAAAAAAAAACACGGAGCTACGGCATATACGGCAATGATAGCGACGGGCCCTGCGTCCTGCGTCCTGCGTCCTGTGTCCTGCGCACCTAAAGGACACACAAACCTGGTGCATGGGTTGAACAAGGACTTGTCCGCGGGGGGGGGCTTGGACATGGTCAGGCGCACGGTTTCTTCTTCGCTTCATGTGGCATCCTCCTCCTCCTCCTCCTCCTCGTCCGTCTCTTTTTCCCTTTTTTTTTCCGCGTTGACGAATCCATTCCTCCCATTCCGCTGTCCGTCTGGAATCTAGACGATGCAGCACGCAAGCGAGCGAACAATGATACCGAAACAACCTGTAACCGACGGGCGACACAAACTGACGGCGACCACCGGCTGGATCCCAGGGGCTGCTCTGGGGCCTGGGGGTCCATTCCTTGTGCGCCGCTGCTCCTGGAGACGCGACGGGGCGGCCAATGACGCGACGCCGGGCAACCCAGCGGGGGTCCCCACGCGCAGGATAGTGTCGGGGGTGGATGCCCCCTTAGCGAGGTCTCGTTGTTGCTGTTGAACGCAGTGCGTCAGAGTCTCGGAGCCCAGCGTTCGGAAAGCAAAACGCGGGGAAGGACAGCAGGCGAGCGCCGGAGAGGCGTCGACGAGCGCCACCGAGTTGTGGCGGCCGAGAGAGTTTGGGGGTGCCAGGGGGGGGGGAGTGATTCTGGCGTTGGTTGTGTGGCGCTCTCGACGGCCACACCCAAAGGCTCGTTGTTTTCCCTGGGTGCGGTCGGTGCAGCGAGACAGAGCCATATACACCTGGGGGCCAGACCGCGTCCAAACGGTCCCTCCGGCCTCCGGCAAACGTCTCCTTGGACATACCTGACCGAGAGATCGCGCGGGCGGGGGTGGCGCGTGGGAATGCGGCATGTGCAGCGGAGACCAAAAATCAGATAATACTGCGCACTTTGATATGGGAGACACGATGGTGGGAATCAAACGAGGGGTCAGCCCAAAGGAACGGACGGCGCGCGCGCGCGGCACGAGGCAACGGCATGCCGCCGAAGCTCTGCACACACGGGGCCCGGGCGGGCGGTGCGTCCTTGCTCTGTCCTCTCTATCGATTGCATGAGTTCTGCCGTCCTATCAGTGGGCGTTTGGACCAAGGGCCGCGAGAGCGAGATGTGGTGTGGTTTCCTGTTGTCGTGTCCGCCTGACCTGCGAGCCAGGTCGCAGGTGGCATGTCGCAGGTCGCAGGTCGCAGGTCGCAGCTCGAGCCAGTAACGTGCCGCGGATGCGTCTGTCGTGGGCCCACCGAGAGCCTGTGCCCGCATGCTTGTCGCGCGCTGATAGAACTGAGGCACGTTGGCACGCTGACAACGACACGCTGACACGATGGGCAAACGGCACAGTCAAGACAGCCCATTGCCGGTGTGGCATGCGATGCGACAGACGTTGGCTCCAGGCCCCGATCAATCCTACTCGACTTGACTGCCGCATCTGCAACCGATGTACGCGACGAGGAGACGCGATCGCACCCAGAAACTCTCCGCCAGAGATCCCAGCGAGACATATGACGATTTTGTGTCTGATCTATGGGATCTGTGGCTCTGGCGTTATGGGCGGGGGGGCTATAGATCGTGTGGGCGCGCGCCGCCATTCTGGCCGCGTTCAAAACTAGGGAGGCGCGGGGGACGGAGTAACACTCTCCAGAGCAGACACAGTGGGGCAGCCACGTGCGTTGCTCTGTGGCTAGAGGTTTGCAGGCGATGTGCTCGGCAACGCGCGGCACCTCTGACCGGCAAACCGCGCCGTGTATGCACTTGCTTTTCTGGTCCTCTCTGTGTCTCATTGTGTGTGGCATATGGCGGGCCGAACGGGTGGCTGCCCAGAGGAATGGAGGGTACACCAAAGGGTTTCGTGTCTACCACGTCCCTTTGACAATGAGAGAGAAGGGTGGGGGGGTGCAGCGCAAAAGGGTCGCTGGGGGAGAGTACGCAGCCCTTTGCCTTTGCCAGGAATAAGGAAATCGCACACGAGTACGCACGGGCAAACGGCGGCGGCGGCGGCGGTGGCAGCAGCAGCAGCAGCAGCAGCAGCGGTCCTTTAAGCGCCGAGAGCGCCGAGGGTAAGAAGCCCGTTGCGCAACCCCACCCCGCAACAACGTTTGCCCCCGAGGCTGGGTGAGCAAATGAGGTGGGGTCCCTGGACCTGGCGTCAGAAAGTGAGCAGGTGATGGTGTCATGGATGGCCATGCTCGTGCTCGAAAGTGAGAGGTGCAGGAGAATGATGTTTTGGGTGTGTGCACAGTGCCGGCGCCCGCTGTGCGCCGCCCAATGGCGCCGCCGCGATGATCACCCAGGTATCCATGTCCCAGGTATATCACCCTCGGCTCTACAGCCCCCCCGGGAGGTGCCAAGATGCAACAAGTTGGTGACGCGCTCAGCTGGACACGGTGTGCCAAATTGTGGGCGGATTAATCCCAGAATCCATGAGAGGCATCGCTGTGGGAACGCGGAGTGGACGGGTATGCGCGGGTGTGAGAAGGGTGGGGGGCTCTCAATACAGCGGTACAGCGGGGCTTTGGTCGCGCTGGAGCGGAACGACATGAACCGCGCGCGCCGACGGCGGTACACGGCTGAGCAAGGAGGCCATTGGCAAGGCGGCAGTGTCCGCCGCCGCGACGAGTGAGGCCATGGCCCATGTCCCATCTCTCGAAGAAGAGCGAGACATCACAGATGTGGACCCCGTGAACGACAGGGACACCTGCTCTCCGGGGTTTGCATCTGTAGGGAAACAAACAAAATCAAAGGGAGATTGAGGGAAAATACCCAAAAATCCCCAAGAAAAGGCACGGCGAGAAGAGAGCAAGCAAGCAAGCAAAAAAAAAAGACAGAGTCAGCGAGTGCAATGTGCCTGACTCAGAACCGCAAAGGAAAAATACCCACAGTTGTTGGTACCTGTATACCTGACAAGCGAGCGCGTGAGCGGTGAGCGAGAGGTCAGAGCGCTGAGGCCTCGCCTTGCCCCCCCGCCCCCCTCCAATCTCTCATTCCATATTCCATGCCGCGCGACACACACCCGTTGAACGACACAACAGAGAGCCTGGGCCAGATCTCGTTCGGCTGTGCGGCAAGAGTATGCGGCGGCGCTCGCGGAGGCGTCCCGGAAGGCGTGCAAGGCGCGGGGCAAGTGGCGGCCACCTGGTTTTGTTGCACGAGCACTTGGGCGTGCTCAAGCTTTCAGTTACCTCGGTGGAACGTCTACCCAGAGCAGCGAGGCCCGGACAGCGTACACCCGTACACCCGTGCGCCCTCTCGCTCTGCGTGTGGGTACACGGTACTCAGAGTGGAGCTTGTGGCAGCGGACTCGTCTGCGTGGTACCATGGTCTTGCCGTTGAACTTGTGCACATCCGTGTAATCAGCTGACCAGCGGCCAGTGGCCAGTGGCCAGTGGGGGACATGTTGCACCTGCAAGCGCGCACCTGATGACCTGATGCAGATTGTGACCCGCAATTCCATTGTTCAGAGAACCCCTTGTGCAAAAAGGACATCATTGTCCACCCCGGCCACCCCCCCCCCACTCTTTGCCAGTTGTCTCTCCCCCGTTCTGACCAACCTGGCCGGGCCCACGGGCCGCCGGTTGGAGCAGCTGCGTTGCCGGCTGAGGACATTTGTTGCGGGCGGGCGGGCGGGGTTCGTTGGCGTGACGACCCTGGTTTCTCACCTCTCACACCTCTCTCTCCTTTTTTTATTGCGTTCTGTGGCCAGGTACCAACACTACTACTGTTGCAGTCTCGCTTTCAGACAACAGGTTGGGTGAGGGAGGAGGGGTAAGAAGCAACCTGTGTTGGGCCATGTTTCCTTTGCGTGTGGCAAATAGAAACAACGCCCAGAGAGGGCACGGAGACTGAGGCAGACGCGAGTCGAGACCCTGTGTGCGGCTTCGGCCTTGTTCTCTGGCATGCCGCCGCTTTACACGGGATGATAATGGTCTCTGATATCGTGGGTCCGGGCCCCGGCGGCCCACCCCACCCTTTGGGTCACAACCCTCCCCCCTGTTGGAACAATGCGCAGCCGGGACATGATGGCAGCGTTGGGTTTCTATTGGTATCTCGGTGCCGGACACAGAGATCCAGAGAGGGAGACCTGTTTCCCGGGGATGGGGACGATTGGGGGGGGGCACGAGACAGCGATGACGGTGCTCTCTGGCAGCTGCTGCCTGTGCAACAGGAGAGGCGAGAGGGCGTGCGGTGCGCGCGCGCGTTACGTGACATGTTCTAGGGGACCTACGACGCCTCCTACAGTAGCGGTGTTATTATGTGCCCTGGGCGGGGGAATGTGCTGAGACATGCTACACCAAATCATGTCCACCCACCCGGGGGGGGATCTCGCTCGTGCTCTCTCTCGACACTCTCTCTCACGTTGCTGCTGCCCACCAGGTCCGGCCCCAGGAATTGCTCTGGACCCTGGGTGGTGGTGTGGTCAGATAGGCAGTCGTCGTTTGGCCTTCTGGCCTGAAGCGCTCTGCTGGACGGTTGGCACAGAAACCCAAATGTGCCCGTCGGGTAAGACCTTTTTGCGTTGTGGGTCGTACTGTGTATGCGCCTGAAGTGACTCAGGGGGTGAGGGACACAGAGGGCAGAGGACAAAGGTAAATGGGAGACCTTGTTGCAATGCCGTTCAGGCTCTCTCTGTATCTCGGCGCTCCCTCTCTCTCTCCACACGAGCGCGGGGCCACTCGTTTTTGGCAAGACTGCGCGCGCGCGCGCGTGTCACTCTCTCGGCCATGCTCTCTCTCTGTGTCAACGGCCCACCGCACGCGGGCCCATGCACCCACACGCCGTGGGACCTTTGCCTGCGTCCTCTCCCTTTGCCTTTGCTCGTCCCCTTTGTGCAGGTCCTCCTGCGCGCGCTAGCCCAACTGAAGCGCTGTGCACTCGTCGCATCCGTGCCCCCGCTCCCCATTGCCGAGCGTGGGTGGGTGGGGGGTTGTGGGATATGTGGGTTTGTCGTCTTCTGCTGCCGATGGCGTGCCGCCCGCTCAAGTGAGCCGCGCGTGCCCTCCGAACAACGTTGCTGTTGCCTGCTGCCTGCTCTGCTGCCTGCTCTGGGTGTCTGCCCCCTCGCTGGAATTTCCCTGTCGCAAGCGGACCTGCACCGATGGCATCCTCGTGCTCCTTCCTCTCCTTGTTATCCTTGGCCCTGGGAGACCCAAAGAGGGCACCACGTTCGACACCCAGAGCGATTATCCTTTGCCCCCTATGGCCACCAGCACAGAGTACGCGCTGCTGCCAGACCCCGAGGCCCCCGCAGCCGGTGCGCTGGCGCTCTATCCCCCTCTCCCCTCCCTCTCCTCCCTCCTCTGTCGGTCGCATTCTCTGTGCGGGTGGATACTTTATCTCGAGCGATACTGAGCGCACGAGCAAAGCTTCTTCCCTCCCCGACGATCGTCTTGCCTCTCTCTCTCTCTCTCTGATCCAAGCGTCTCTCACCTACACGCAACACTCTTGATCAGAACCACACGCGACAACGACGACCTGATATCACACCCCACCTCGTTCATCGTCTTTGCCACCTCCCAGCCGCGAAGAACAGTCAGCCCCTCACGTCACGACCCACCCAGACCTCCACCGCAGCGCCTCCTTCCTCCTCCTCCTCCTCCTCCTCCTTCCTTGTCCTCCTCTCGACGACGACGCAAAAACAATTACCCGTTGTTCGTCCCCGTTGCATCCACGCTTGCAAAAAGGACGTTCGGTTCCTCGAGCCTATTGAGCATTAGCGCACTTGCGTTAAAAAAAAAGGCATAAAACCGCTGGTCCTTCTCGGGAGAGTGCGTAACTCTCTGGTTCCTCTGTTCACTTTCTGAAAGTGGTGAGTCTTTGATCGCGCACCAGCAGCGGCAGTGTGCGCGCGTGCACCACGGTGTCCTTGAAGCTTGATGAGCCCGAAAAAACGTACTCACCGAGTGCTCTTCCTTGCCTGCTTCCTCTGTACCTCTCTCCGCTCGGCTCCCGTGTCCGTCTGATCGATCGAACGCTTATCCGCCCACCTCCCACCTCCCGTGTACTGTCTCTGGCTCCGATCCGAACCGTACAGACACGCATATAGGTATACGTACGAAGACCTGCTGTCATCGTGCACCAAGCCGACCGACCCGACCACCAACCACCACGACGACGGAATTGATATTTGGAGGAACGTCACTTTGGCCGGCATTGATATTTCTGTCGCGTCTTCCACAGCCAACGCCACCAGCCAACGCCACCGCGCCGCATCGAACACGCCCTTTGTAACTGCTCTCGCTATCCAACTTTTGGGTATACATACCATTTGCCCAATCCACCTCCACCACGAGCGTGCACCATCATTGCTTGACAGCTAGCATCGACAAAGGCCCCTTGAGCGGAATCCCCACTTGCTCCCAAGTCGACAGCACACACCCACCCAGTCGACTCCTCCTCCCCCCACCCAAACGTCTCCGCATTCCTGTCCCCGTGGACCGGACTATGATCGACGGCCAGTACGCCCAGCAAGGCGCATTTGACACCCGTGACGCCCGCGACAGACGCGACGAGGTGAGTTGAGGCTTTGTTTGTTTGTGTGTTTGGGTCGTGGTGTCCGCGTCGTGTCGTCTCTTTCTGTGTGTGTGCAGTGTGCAGTGTGCGAGTGTCCCTCCGGTCGCCTGTCCCACCAGTCTGTTCCACCATCTCCACCATCTCCCCCATCTCCCCATCTCCACCATCTCCCCCATCTCCACCATCTCCACCATCCCCTCCCCCCCCCCTGTTGTTTTGGTTGTCTGTAATCTCTCTGCGCCGTTGTCGTCTGTGTCTAATCTACGTGTGCCATGGCGTCTCTGGCATGCGGGCGGCGGCGGGGTCATTGGGTGAGCCAGACTGCCCAGGACACACTCCCCCCCCCCCCCCCCCCCCCCCCCCTCCCCCCTTGCCTCGCCGCCGCCCCGCGGGCATGGCGCATTGGCCGTGGACGATGACGGGGATGACGGGGACGACGGTGCCGGCGACGACGAGAGGGATGGGTGGTCTGCAGCCAGCCCCCTTTGCCCCAGTGCCCAGGGTGGTTCCTGTGGTGTGCGCCTCTGACAGACGAGGCGTGGCTGTCGTCCTGTGCGGGCGTTCAGAGCGAGCGTGCAGCCGGTGCCCCATGCACACACCCAGTGCTTCGCGACAGGCGGTCTGTGCGTGGGTGGGTTAGGGGGACGGGCCAGGAGAAGGGCCAGGAGAGAAAGAGAGACGAGGGCCACACAGAGACAATAATGCGCCACACATCGTCTCCCCTCCCTCGCTGTCCACCCAGCCGGCAACCAACACCCACCCACCCACCCAGCGACGATCCGTGCGCACAACCACCACCCTCTCTGTGCTGGGTATGCTGGCTGGCCTGGCTGGGTCGTCGCTGGGACACATCTCTCTCCCTTGCCGCTGCTCCTGCGGCTGCTCCTGCTCCCGGGCGTGTCCCTCCCCCTCCCCTCCCTCCCTCCCTCCCTCGCTCTCCTTAATACACAATACACATCATCATCTCTCTCTCTCTCTCTTCCCAACACCCCTCCCCCTCTCACCCATCTCGCACCCCCCTCTCTCCATCACCACCACCACCACCACCACCACCACCACCACCACCACCACCACCACCAACCACCACTGACACCATCCCCCAGTACCCCACCCCATCCTACCACCAGCCCGCCCCGTCGAGCCCCCCCACCTCGGCATCCCCCTTTGCCTTTGCCCCCCCTCCCCTCTCCTCCGTCCCGGCTTCCTCGCGCAACCCCGTGCCCATGCACTCCGACCAGGCCCCCTCCCAGCAAGAGTACAGCTACTACAGCCGTGCAGGACAGCCCCCTCAGCAAGCTCCCAACGGCGGCTCATACCCTACCTACTCGGGAAGCCACCCCATGGGCTATCGCTCAGTCTCCGGAGAGGCCACTCGCGCACCTCCCCCAGCTCCCCTCCCGCGCGCTCCTTCTTCCTTCTCCGTCATGTCCCAGGTCAACGGCGGCGGCGTCGGCTCCCAGCCGTCCCCCACGTCCACCAGCCCATACTACCCCCCGCCTCGCGCAGGCCAGCCGTACGCGTCCGCCCAGCACTCGCCCCGCGGCGCCAACGTCTACCCCCAGCAGGGCTACTACTCGGCCTCGCCATACGGCAACCCCCAGGCAGTCGAGATGCCCCGCTCGCTGTCCTACCCAAACTCGTACGGCGCGCCGTACGCAAACTACTTGCCCTCCATCTCGGCGCCCACGCTGGTGCCTGGTGGACACCCAGGCGAGCTCCCATCGCTCGTGCGCCACCAATCGACAAACTCGATCAACGGAATGACCTCGGCACCTGCCATGGGCTACTCGTTTGCCAACCGTCTCCCCCTCGTGGACCGCCCCTTCAAGTGCGACCAGTGTGTCCAGTCGTTCAACCGCAACCACGACCTCAAGCGCCACAAGCGTATCCACCTCAGCGTCAAGCCCTATGGCTGTGAAAAGTGTGGCAAGACATTCTCCCGCAAGGACGCGCTCCGCCGGCACTGGATGGTTCGTGGCTGTCGTGGCGAGGAAGGCGCGACGGCCCCCATCACCCCCACCTACCCGCTCAACGGGCCCCCTCCACCCGCCCTCTCCCCTCCTACTCCTCCCAACGGCGGCGGCAACAACGAAAACTCGGCATCGTCCAACGGCAGCTACGGCGGCTCCAACAACAACACCATTGGCTTTTCCCACCCTTCGGCCCCTCCCCCGCTCACCTCCTTGCCCCCGCGCCAGAGCTCGGACCAGCCAAGTCAGATCATCCTGACCCCCAGCGAGGCCGCCGCTCAGCGCGGCTCCAACGGCGAGGGCAGCGACAACCTCGACTCGGGCATCACCATTGACCCCGCGCTCTCGGGCATGGATTCGGCAGGCCCCCTGTCGTCGGCTCGCACCTCCAACGTCACAGAGACCACCGAGGGCAGCTACTTTGACGTGATGCGCAAAGAGTCCAACGGTGTGCCCGACTCGGCCACGTCGTCGACCTTTTCCCGCTACGCTACCTCCCCCAAGGACGACATGAGGCACCACCCGTACCGTCGCTCGCCCCTCCCTTCGCCCAACACCCACGGTATCGGCCCAGACGGAAAGCCCATGTTTGCCATGCCCTTTTCGCACCACAACAATGGCCTGCTCGCACCCATTGACAGCGGCGAGGACATGAGCAAGGAGGGCAGCGCAGACTCGGTGGATCCCGCAGCCGGCTGGAACAGGTGGTGAGTACAGTGTGCCTCAAATGAGGGTGCGTCGTACATGCGCGCGCGCGTAAGGCCCATGTCCGCGTCACTACTCTCGTGGACACATGCGCCCAAAAGTATATCCAACTGACCCTCCGCCAGGCACCGCCCGTCGTACCCGTTTGCGGGACACTGAACGTGTCGCCCCTCCGTTGTGAACGACGCATGATTCGGTCTCTGTGATCCGCATCGCACCTCGGTTCACCACCCCCTCCCCAACCCCGCACACGCTCCCCCAGGATTTACATTGCGTGTCCCCTTGTCTCTGTCCGCCATCTCCGCATCGCCTCGGCCTTCCCTCGCTGGAAGGCTCTTGTCTCGTCGCCACTTTTTCTTTCGTCTTTTTTTTTTGGGTCTGTCATCGAATCGGTCAATTCTCTCTCTCGCTCTCGCTCTCGCTCTCGTCTCGTCTCTGGTTTTTTTTTTCGTCCCCGGCGGCTGCCGCGGTCTCCGCCTTCTCAACAAAGCAAGCTCTCGTTTTCATTTTATTTTTCATTTTATTCTTCATCGTTTCGACTGGCTGTTCACGCTACCCGCCGTTTCTCGAGATACCTCTTCCCCCCATCGCGGGCGCGCGCGCGCACGGCCCCACCCCTTTTTTTTCTTTTTATTTAGGTAGAAACGAAGGACACGCACAGCTTGGGTCTGTCGTCTTCGCCGGCTGCAGCATACGACGCGGCCGGGCATTTGGTTGTCTATATTATCAATGTGAGCGGTGCTCATCGGAGCCGGAGCCCGACAGGGCTGCAGCACAGTGGCGTGGCAGGGTTGCAGCAGCGACACGGGAGGGTGACATACACGGACACAGACACAGAACACACTGACGATGATGCCGCTGATCGTCGACTAACCTAACCGGAGGGGTGCGGGGGACAGCAGACAAGAAAAAGAAATCAAGGACCGCCACCAACGCCGATCCCATCGCGTCTCATCGCACCTGATCCGTTATGCGTTTCTCCACGACGCCGATCGCAGCCATTAAAGAAACGTACACAAACAAACAAACCTATAGCTATCCAGAAACACAACAAACGGGCCACGGGGCGTGTGCGTGCCGATAAATATTTTACGCCTGTGCGTGCCGTGTTTTTGTTTTCGTGTTTAATCTCGGGGCGCACTCGGCGCACTCGGCGGACACGGGCGTCGGCGGGGCACCGGGCGCGGCGCGGCGCGGCGGGCGCGCACCGAGGAGGCACACCCAAGTGGTACTGTGTACTGGGTTGTACAGGAGTGGCAGGACGCACACGCATGTGGCGGCGGCGGGGCGCGGCGCATCGCCGTGTGTCCGGCATGTCCAAAACGGCAGCGGCGGGCGGCGGCGTAGGTGTAGGGACGGACGGACGCGCGCAATCGCGTTCGGGGCACGGTATCCCGCATCGTCCTGGGGCGTGTGGGGGCGGTAGGGCGATGGGGGTGTGTAAGGGGGAATCGGGCCGTGTGCGCGCCACCTCTTGCGACTGGCCACTCCAAACTAGAGAACTGTTGCTTGTTGCTATACGTCTGTGGAAGTACATTCGCGCGTATATGCATATGCCAAGGTGAGCGGAGAGACGTGTTGCTGCCAAGGAAATGGGTGGTGGGCTCCTTGAAGGACCGAGAGCAACCTGCCTGGCAGACAAAGTCCATGTCGACGCGTGTGTGGTCTGCCTCCCCGGGCATTCGTCGCGCCAAGCAAGCAATGGCATGGGTGTGATGTGGTTGTCATCATGGTCATTGTCGGCCCACGGTGCCCTCGTCGCGCTCGCTCGCCCTGCTCTGGAAAACGCCACAACCCTCGCCACCCCTCGGAGCACATACTCCTCACACACACTCAATTGACAGCGGCGCAGGGAGCAGAGTGTGTTGGATCTCGGCGGCCACTGGCAACAATCTTTCGGGTGCGCGCATACGCGCGTGTGCGTGCGCGCACAGCACATGGGCATGAAGCGTTACAGGCACACACAACTCTTTCCGAAGCGAAGCATCCGACTTGTTCTCTGTTCTGTTTTCATGTCATTTGTAGTCAAGTAGAGTAATTGTAGGGGCCCGCGGGCACACTGCTCACAACGCGCACACCTGTGTATGGTGAAAACGCCACAGCGAGGGCCGACCTTGTGAAAAGGCACCGACAGACGGGGTCTGGCTCTTGCTCTCTGGCTCCCAGCCGGTTCATTTCTGTGTTGGGGTGCCACCACCCCACTTTGTTCAGAGACATGGCAAACCTTGCCGCGGTCCGGCGCCGACGGCGCGGCGGCGCCCCCCCTTGCCGACCTCTTGGCGGTGCAGCGACCGTGACCACCGCCCACACCAGCAGGCCAGGCCAGGCCGCAACTGCGGGAATGAATTGACATGTACATTGATGGCAGGCGAGTGACAGTGCCCACGCCATAAAGATCTCCCGAAATGGCCACAACAGAGACAAGTTACAGCAAACAACGCCACACACACCCCGGTTGTTCTCGTGGCCGCGTCTCGAGATCGGCCGCGGAGTGGCATGTGGCGCGGGGTATGAGCCGCACCACGCGTAGTAGTACGTGGGTCCCGCGCGCGCGTTCTGGAACCGACTGGTCTTCTCCCTCCTCCAAACTGAACAGTCCACGAGGTGTGGCAGTGGCGCCGGGCCCCACATCCACACACACGCCCACGGTCCTTGTGTCTAGCCGTTGAAATGGCAATGTCTCCTCCAGCGCACACTGGGGTGTGGTGTGTTCGGAGTAACACCCCGCTGAATTGACGGTTGCAGGCGGCGTGTACGGCGGGTGCCAAATGCAAAGGTGGGTAACTGGGCAGTATATGCTTACTTGCGCCTGCGCTGCGCTAGCTTGTCCGTCAAGACACCAGCCGACTGGCCCTCGTAACCGAACGTCCACGAGGTGTGCAGTGGCGCCCCCCCCCCCTCCGTCTTCTTTCTTGCCTTTGCCGCTGAAATGGCAATGTCGGTGCACACTGGGTGGTCTGTGTTCGGAGTAACACCCGTTCGCAATTGACAGTTGCAGAGGGGGGTGTGCCGCGTGCGGCGGGTGCCAAACAGAAGGGTCGTGCGTGGTGTATGCTTACTTGCGCCTGCGCCTGCGCTTATCGCTCGCTCACTCAGACTTGCACCACACACATCCATTCACAAGCACGCATGTGCCTGGCGTCAGCGGAGCTGATGACAAACTGCTGAAGTGGGGCAGTCATAGTGGGCTGTCCCCTTGGGGCGCGACGCAAAAGTGGGTATGCGGCCTGTCAGAAGGAAAAACGAGGAGGAAAGTGGCAAAAACAAAAATATAACAGAAAATGTCACTAAAAACAGGACTCCACCCCTGTGACACGCAACAGCCACAGGTGGTCAGTGGTCAGTGGTCAGTGATCTGCCAGAACTCTGGGTATGCTGTGATGGCACAGGCCATGCAGGGGCCACCGCGTTCAACGTCGTTTTGCATGTCTGCAAAGTGAACCCAAATACCTGTCCCCGTACCGGTTCCACGGGCCACAGGATTTTGAGGAGATTACTCAGTGTGTATTTCGTGGCCATCAAAGCACCTGTGACCTGTGCCTGCATGCCTCCCCAAAACTCCACTGCCCCGTGCTCTTTGTCACGTACTGCTGGACCTGTCGAGTGGCAGGTCTACATGGTAGCGGCCCGCGCCTCTCCTCTAACCCCTAAGTGACGTCCTGCCTACTTCTCACCACAGTGTCGCCTGTATAACGATGCGTGCATTCGCTTATGTCTAGTATCTGATATGCCAATATACTCGCTGTCCCTCTCTCTCGAGGTTAACGCCTCTGCACAAGCACCCTCCACTACCACTAGCGCTTGAGGGTACGCTGCTTTTCGGCATTCTCCACCAACTTCTTCTCCACAAACATACCCTTGCGCTTGCGGACGCCGTCGACATAGCCCTTGGCGACGTTTGCGCGGTCGGCCTTTTCGCCCAGGTCCTCGAGCTCCTCGATGGTGGTGGGCACCCAGAAGGGGTCCTGGTCGAGCGTCTCGTAGCCGCTGAAGATGAGTTGCGGGGACGCGGCGCCAGACGTGCGCTTGCGGATCTCGTCGGCGAAGCCAAACGACTCGACGACGGGCAGCATGGCGCGGATGGTGAAGAAGGGACGTGCCTTCCTTCATCTCCTCCGAGACGATGCGGCCGCGACGGCGGGCGACGACGGCGTAGACCTTGCCGAGGACGTCCGCTGCGAGCGTCAGCAATGGGACGGGGGGGGGGGGGGGGGGGCTGGTACTGTGCAGCTGGAACGGTTCTCGGCTGCGTAGCTGGCTCCAAACACCTCCACTCACTTGACGCCTGGATGTCACAGGTGTACATGGCCAGCTTGATACGCGGGCTCCAGTCGAGCAAACCCTGGCGAGCGGCATCACGCACACTCGAGATGAGCGCGCCGACAACGGCCGATGCGCGACCACGAGCTGGGAAAAGTCAGCACAAAGTGTCCCTCGCATCTAACCCTTGGGGGGTCGCACTCGCACTCACCCTGCTCAGCCTCGTCGGGCTTGAATTCAACACTCTCCACAACCCAAGCCATGCCGACCACGGGCTCGGAGCACAGCGGGCCTTGGAACGTCGCACGCTGGAAACCGGCCTCGATCGAGTTGTCAAAGTCACGGAGGAGACGGGCCTGTGCGCGCGCATCGGCGTCGGCGTCTTGCGCGTTCTCCTCGGCGGCAACGGCCTCGACACCCTCCGCCGCGGCCTTGGCAGCCGCGTCCGCAATGGCGAGCGCTTGCTCGGCCGTCTGGCCCTCACGGCGCGCCTCGGCGAACACGGCCTCGCGGCCGCGCAGGCGCAGCGCGCCCTTGCCCATAGGGTCGAGGAGGACGTTGGCACCGACCTTTTTGGGACCAAACGACCACACGCGGTCTGCGGCGCCCACCCACTCGCCGCCTGCCTCGTCAAAGCGCGTGGCGAGCTCGGCCCAGAACTGCTCCGGTGTCAGGTGGCGGGTCGCGCTGTCGGCAGCCTCGTCGGCGTCGGCGCGGTCCTCGTCGTCTTCGGCGTCCTCGGCTCCACGGCGGCGCTGGACCAAGAAGCTACCGATTGTGCTCTGGTGGGCGACAAGGAACTCGATGACGGCAGGAGGCAGGGGCGCGGCGCGCAGCGTAAACTCGACAAGGCCGTCGTACACGCTGCCGTGGATGGTGCCACGGGCGGCACCCTGGGTCTTGACGGGGGCCATGTCGGGGGCCTTGACGGCCGTCTCGCGGAAGGGCACGATGGCTTCGGACGCCTGGATACCGCACTTGGCGAAACGCTCGCGCAGGTCCTTGAGGCAGCGCTCGAGGTGCAGCTCACCAGCGGTGAGGATGACGTGCTCGCCGGTCTCCTGGACAATGTACTCGGCACATGGGTCGGCCTGGTTAAGGATCTGGAGGCCCTCGACAAGCTTGGGCATGTCGGCTGCAACTGTCAGCAAAGGCAGGGAAGGAACACGGGGTTCAACGCAGGACGATCACCCGACCCCACTCACAAGGGTTCTCAGGCTCAAGAGCAACGCGCACAATGGGAGCAGCGTGCATGTTGACGCCGGCAAGGTTGACGAGCTGGTCGTCGTTGCCACCACACAGGGTCGCAGTGCGGGGAACAATGCCGTCAAAGCCACCGATAGCGCAGACGTGACCGGCAGGCACCTCCTCGACAGCCACAAGGTCACGGCCCATCATCATGTACAGGTCGGTAGCGACCGCGTCCTTGATGTGCTTGGCGTTGCGGGGATGGCTGGGACCCAGCTCGGCATCGTACTTGGGCAGAGTGGCGCGGATCTTGTCGCCACGCTTGAGGGCACTGCTGAACACTCGGGAGAAGCCAAGGAGCACCTCGCTGTTGTCAGGCGGGGGAGGCGGCGCTCCGGGCTCAATAGTCGTCTCGAGGGTGAGCAAATCAATGTGCTTGGTGAGCGAGTCGGTGTCCTCGCCACCAGCAGCGCGGGCCGCGGCGGCGGCGGCGCGGCGCTCGCGCTCCTCACGGCCTCGCTGGCGCATCTCCTCGGCAGTCATCTCGCGCGGCTTGAACTCGGGGAGGTCGGCGCGGGAGACGGCAAACATCTTGGAAACGAACGCGACGAGCGGGACGTCGGCGCTCTGGTCACACTTGTACAGAGCGCGCTCGAGGTCGTTGACGGGCTCGAGAGCGGTAGTGGACGCAGCGGCCTGCTCGGGGTGCAGCATGAACGGAAGACGGACAGCCTGCGCGACCGACGGTGGGGGGATCACGTCAACAACGGCCTGGAAGGTCGCTGTGGACAGGGGCAGCCACTGCTGCATGATAATGGTGAGCAGGTTGTGGGTGTCCTTGCTCTTGAGGTCACGCGGGGCGACACGGATGTTGAGGGCCGACACAATCTTGACCACGGCATCAGGGTTGTACTCGTTGAGCACAGTGTTGTAGACCCTCCAAATGTTCTCGAGCACAAACTGGACGAACAGGGGCTTGAGAGGGCGTCCGTTGAGTGCCTTGCGGCCTGAGAGTTAGAGCCCAAATACAGCCAATGGTAACTCACCAACGACACGCTTCGTCTTGGGGTCCAAGAACCAGTCCCCCCAGAGCACTCGGCGGAGGTTACCCTCCTTGATCTTGAGCTTGTCCGCATAGAGCCTGGCAAACTTGCCCAGACGGAACGCCCAGCCATCAATGGCACTGGCAAACAGCACGTTACCGCGCTCGGGCGAAAAGTAAATGTCCTCGTCTTCGCGCTCCTCGTACTCGTGGTCTGCGTCGTCGTCGGCAGCGTCGGGGGCCTCTCCGGCCGCCTCACGCTCGGCACGCTCCGCCAGGCGCTTTTCGCGCGCCTCGCGCCAACGCAGGTCGTCCTCCATACGCTCCGAGGCGTAAAACGAGCCCATGACGGCGTTGACTTGCTCGATCAAGCGGGCAATGTGGTGGTATGCTTCTGAGGGCGAGAGCTGCAGCTCGGTAATGAGGCGGTCCATCTTGTTGATGACAAGTAGCGGGCGGAGCTTGTCGATCCATGCTTGCCTCAGAACAGCAATGGTCTGTTGTTGTCAGCGTGTGCGTTACTTGCTGAACAGCACGGCGTCCAGCAAGCAGTTGCAGGTGCAAGGAATCGCCCACTGGCCCACATGGCTATCCCTACGACCTCGTCCAACTCACCTGAGTACACACACCCTCCCACACGTCAACAAGCACGAGCGCACCGTCACACAGTCGGCTCGCAGACGACACCTCGCTCGCAAAGTCGACGTGCCCCGGCGTGTCGATGACGTTGCAGATATGCTTGGCGGGCTTGGGACCCTCGGGGGTCATGCGCATCATGTCAAAGCGGAGTGACACCTGGCATGTCAGCTCGCACGAAACGGGAGGCAGAGGAGAGGAGAGAGCAAGGACATTGGGCGGATGACCAAACATGCTCGGATCCGGCCAACCAGTATTTTGCGACCGAACAGCCCATGTACAGCTCGCGTACTCACTGCACTGCTCTCCATGGTGATACCGCGCTCCTGCTCGTCCTCGCGCGAGTCGAGGAAACGGAGCTTGCCGGCCATACGCGACGAGATGATGTTGTTGGAACTCAGCAGCGAGTCGGCAAACGACGTCTTGCCGTGGTCAACGTGCGCGACAATGGTTACATTCTGCGCGGGGTTGTCAGTATCGTGTGGGCTGAGGGACGAAAGACCACGGCCGATATCAACTCACGCGCGTGTTCTCCAGCGGCGCGGCGAATGATTGAGTCGCCATGGTGGGGATGGAAGATAGCTGGGATGGATTTGGGGAATGACAAAATCGGAAGCGCAATGTGGAGGTCTTTAAGCCATGGAGATTTCAGTGGCAACGACGGATGGCTCTATCAACGAGCGTCATTGTGGCGGCGAGTCGGTCGGATCCGAAAAGTCTCATGCATGGATGCTTTGTCTCTCTCTCTCCCCTCTCTTTCCTCTCTTTGTCGCTATGGATAGATCTTTCTCGTTACAATACACATGATTAGCTGAGTACCGCCACCAGATGGGATGCAAGGACGTCCACCTCCTCGACGGCAGCTGTGGGGGGTTCGTCAGCCAAAGCGTCTTTCGGCACCGAACACTGCCACAGCAGACACTTACCCTTGAGCACGAGCTTGATGAACCGGCCGGCGACCTCGGGCTTGTCCTTCTCCATGTGGGCGAGCGACTCGGGCTCCAGCTTCCAGAGCACGCACTCGCGCTCCGCCACCACCGTGGCGTTGCGCAGCGTGTCGGACAGCGTCGACAGGTCGCCGGCAACAGTGCCGGCCACCATGGTCTCTTGGATGGCCTCGCTGTGCTCGTCGTAGCTGTACGTCGCGCGCAGACTGCCCGCCTCGATGAGGTACAGGCCGTCGGCGTTGTCGCCCTGGTGCCACAGAACGTCGCCGGCGTGCGCGACCACCTGCTTGAAGTAAGGCGCGAGCTCGCGGAAGAAGGCGTCCTCCTCGTTCGAATACGACTCGAAGATCTGCATGAGGATCGGCATGGGCTGGAGCATCTCCGAGGGCGGGGCGGTCGTGGGCTCGTCACGGTGGACATATGCTGTTGTGTCAGTTGGTGCAACAGAGGCTGCAACTCACGGACGGGGAGTGTGTCGTCGCCAGCGCGCGCGAGGGTGGTCCTGCGCGGCGAGTTCTGGAACGACTCGGCGAGCGAGAAGGGCATGCGGTTGATCTTGGGCAGGTCGATGGTGCGCGGCTGCTCCGAGTCCGACTTGGTGCGCTGCATCTGGTTCTCGTAGAAGGCCGTGAGGTATGCGTTCTCAGTCCACTCGAGGGCGTCGTTGAGCGTCGCAAAGACCTCGACGCGCGTGCCCTCCTGGTCGGCCCAGAGGTCGACGGCGCGAAGGGCAGTTCCGACAGGCGAGTACGGATCGGCACCGCACATGACAAGAAGCACCTGCTTGGCAGCCAGGAGACGCTGGATGCGGACGAACGCCTCGGCCGAAGAAAAGTCCAGGCCGCCGACGAGGGCAAAGTCGATGATCAAGAAGCGGATGGGGTGGTGGTCGAAATGGGCGACTTCGAGGAGCTTGCGGATCTCGTCCTCGACGACCGAGATGGTGCCGAAGAAGAGGAATCCGTGGAGCTTCATGACCATGGTCTGCGAGCCGACGCGCTGGATGAACGCACGCTGCTGGCGGGGACGGCGGACGGTCGACTTTGCGGTGTAGCCGGTAAAGATTGCACGGATAGGACGGCGGCGGGAGCTCTGGATGACAAAGAAGATGCACGCGAGAATGACACCGATGAGGAGGCCAGTGACAAAGTCAAAGAGCGTCATGCACGCCATGATGGTGATGATGGTAAAGTACTCGAAGCGGTTGACGCGGTTACGAGTGTCCCAGACCGACTCGATAATGAGGTCGAGACCAAGCACGAAGATGAGGGCGCCAACGACCATGATGGCTTTGACGGGTCAGTGATGAAGAGACGAAAAGGTTACTCACGAAGGGACGCGATGACAGTAGGGCCGACACACATAACGCCAAAGGTGGCCGCTGCGAGGAGGAAACCGGACAGGGCCGAGCCACCACCAACGCGGTAGACTGCAACGTTTAGCACCTCGCAGCCACAGAAATTCACTCACAGAGGACAGTGTTGACGTAAGTGAGGTAGTTGGGCACGGTGCCAAGGAGACCCGAGAGGGTGTTGGAGGCGCCGTGGGCGAGGAGCTCACGGTCGAGGCGGACATTGTCCTCTGCGAGGGAGACGCCCAGCGCAGGGACGTTGAGGGGGACGTGGAGGATACCAAAGAAGACGAGGGCAAACTGCGTGGGCATTGTCTTCCAGAAGACGGACCAGTTGGTGTGGCGCCAGCTAAACTTTGTCGTGTAGGCCCACCACGGCTCGGTGCTCGAGCCGACGTCAAACACCCAGCCGTTCTCGCGCAGAGTGGCCATGTCCCAGCCGCCGATCAGCACGACAATGTAAAACACCACCGGGATGAAGAAGAAGTAGAGCGGGAAGATGAGCTGGTTGTGCCATGTGTGCGTAATGACGCGGAGGATGATGGCGAGCACGAGCGGGATGCCCCACAGCACAATGTGGTGCAAGTCCTGGAAAAAGTGCTTGAGCGTCTTGAAGTTGTAGTCGAACGAATTCTCGTCGAGGCCCAGAGACACTTGGAGACCAGTCACAAACAAAAAGACACCGACACCACCGATGCAGCCCACGAGAATGTGGCGGGGGAAGTATCCGATGAGCGATCCGAGCTTGAACGTGCCGAGGATGAAGAAGACAAGGCCACAGAGGATGGACCCAAAGGCGAACGCCACCATTGTCGTTGCCACAATCGCCTGGGTGTCGCTACCGAGCTCTGCTTGGATAATACTGGTGATGATGTGGAGGAATGGGACCGATTCAATCTGCATCTGTCATGGCGTCAGCATTAAGAATCGTGACGATGGCTCTCAACACGTACCGAGCCGTTACCGCCCTTGAAGATGGATCCGCCAAACGAAAAGACGAGCTGGGAGATGATACACGACATGAAGAACATGGCGACGCCGATGGAGCCAAAGTCGGGGAAGTCGTCCGAGGCCGGGAAGATGATCATGCCGTACGACACACCGTCGAGGACGTTGAGCAGGAGGCCGAGGGAGACGGCAGGCAGACACTGGATCGGCTCGGTGACACAGGCGTGGAAGACGTCCTGGGCAGTCACCTTGCCGAGACGGGTGCGTGCGGCCTCAAAGTCGATGGCGGCGCGCGATGCCCAGGCGCGCTTGGCCCCGCCGTGCAGTCCGCCTAGGAGCGGTGTGCGTTCGGAGGGAATCGTGCTCTCGCGCTCGAGGTACTGTCTAAACTCGGACGACGAGCCCATGTCCTCGTCCTCTTCAATGACCTCGTCGAGCGTGCTCTCGAGGTGGATCGTCGAGCGACCAGGGTGCGGCTGCAGGTGTGGCGGGAGGAGCTCGTCGACGAGCGTCACCATTCCCTGGCGTGGGGTTTCGCCTCCGTACCCACCGCCCTCGGTCGAGCCAGAGCCGTGGGTGGTGATGCGCTGGCGCCCCCGCTCCATGAGCATCGACAGCCCCGAGGGGCCCGAGGGCGTGTGCGGGCTGATGGGGACGCGCGGTGACGACGACAGATCCACCGCTCCGGCCGTGCTCGTCAGAGGCGACGGGACGTGGGGTCGGTGGTCGATGGAGAATCCCGATTGTCCTGCAGCAGCAGCAATCGAGCGGCCCGTAAACGACATCGAGGCAAGGCGGTTGGTAGAGTCTCTGATCGCGCGCGACGTGTGGCTGCTGCCGAGGATCGACCTTGAGATTGTCAGCACGTCCGACCGCTGCGAGGACGGAGCAACGACTCGACAGAGAGGTGAGACAAACCCCGGCGCCCGTATGCATGTACCAAGCGCACAGCAGTGGGCACGAGAAACCGTTCGTCGACATCAGTCGACATCATCTCGAATGCAGCACTTGCACCACTTTCCAGCCCCCCGCGCACACGTTTGCCCGCGGGGGCACGCCGTCGGTTCGCACGTTCTCGCTCTCTAGCACTCTGTCTCCCCCTCTCTCCCGAGCATTCCACTCACTCGTCGTAGTCTTCGTCGGTGGGCGCGAACGCGCTGTCGCCGAGATCGTCGTGGTGGCCGGCATGCGACTCGTCAAAGTCGAGGTCGTGCTCGCCCGTCGACACGACGCTCAGGCGGCGGAGCATCTTGCCGACAAACCCGTCGCCGGTGGACACACGGCGGCGGACCCCGCCGTGCGGGGACGTGTCTGCTGCGCGTGTGAATGCCGACGAGGACGCAGAGCGCGTGGTGCCCCCATGGTGGTAGGTGGGGAGGACGGGGCCGATGGAGGCTGCCGGGGTGGAACTGAGTGTTGTTGGGAGGTGCGGCGTCGCGCCTGGTTCGCGCGCGGGCATGGCGTGGAGGTGGTGTGGTCAGCGGTACGAGGTCGTTGGGGGCCCAGGCGAAGGAGGGATTAGATGTATTTGCACAAGAGTCGGGCAAGTGATGGTGATGATGGGATGCGGTTTGTGGGCGTTGTGTGTTGACAAAAATGTCTCGCTGGCCCGCGCTGGCGGCTGAGGCTCATCGACCGTGTCAGTTACGGCCACTGTGCAGCAAGAGGAATGGGGAATGATATCATACAGCTCCATCCGAGCCCCGTGACAGGCTGACGGGCTATAGAGACGCCAGACCTAGCGATAAGGAACACACCCACACCCAAAACCGCCCCGCCCTTTAACCGTCCCTCGGCAGTCGTCTCTCCACCAACAACGTCGCAGCGGTACCAGAGACGGCCGCCGCTAAACGACCACTACTGGCGCGCGCCCGGGGGCTGGCAGCGTATACATGGCCTGCCAGATGTAGGAAGAACACATACACAAAGGCGGCCGGGGCGGAGCAGAGTGTGCCGATAACAGGGGTTTTCATGGCGCGCAGATGGCGCAGGCATGCGTTGGCTACTTCCGGAGGTTTGGTCAGGACAGAGGTACAGACAGGACCCGTTGCCATTGGCCCGGCTGTGCCGTATCAAGCGACAGACAGGACTGGTCCCCATATCTATGGCCCTCTCAGACACGCAACCCCGTGTGGTTCGTTCGTTTGTGAGAAAAACTATTGATCAAGAGCACAGACGGCGCCATGCGACGACGTTGGCGCAGCGCCGTCTCCCGAAACGTCCAACGTACGGGACAGAGCCGGGCCGCGCACCTGTAAGGGAGGACAGACATAGATCCAGAGCGCCAGGTTGAGTGACATGTCGGCGTCGCACCAGGCCCGATAGTCTCGGCGCCTGCTGCTGCGGGACGACGCTGGTATGCCGAGAAGGACGACGCTCGCGCATGGGTGAGTCTTGGCCCTCTGGCATGTCGTGTGGCCATTGGACGCGGAGAAAAGGCAGCCAGCTGTGTTTCACATATTAATGTAGTGTGTAGAAGTAGAGCTGCCTAACTTCACACAATCTGTCTAGTGTCTGAAAGAAGGCATTCGTATGGTGTTTCTAAATGAAATGCTGTTGTAGCGAGTGCCAGCACAGCAGCACGGCTCGTTATTTCGTACTTTTGTTGTTGTCGTTGTTATTTTGTTATTTATTTGGTTTTTATTTGATAATGTTGCACTCCTATTACAATGCCTGGGGAGTAGGGCTAATGAATTGTCAAATGAATTGTCAAACACCACTGCCAGGCCTTCTAGAAGGGGTGGTCTCTGAACGGCAACAAGTCCTAACGTGCTGTTCGTTCAGCCTGCCCTCCCGAACGGTGCAGCACACCGCTGTCCGCAGTAACCACTCTGCAACACGATTGCATTGTTGTTGTTTTTTGGCTTGGCACTGAGGTCAGCCACATTTCAGTCACGTATCCATCCACACGTCCACCACATGCACCAAGCCGCTGCCGCAGCAGACGATCGCCTCCCGCGTTCTCCATCTTGAACGCTCGCAGCTGGAGCGTAGAAGCGAGCAACACACTCAAAGTCTTTGGACGGGGTTGTGCGTCGTGACCAGGCCAGGATCGGAGCGGGGATCGGCAGATCTGTGAGATTCAGAAATGCCAAGGCAAACGAGATGGAAGCTCATGTCCATCCTTCCTGGCGTTCTCGGCACCCTTTGGGCAAAGGCACCCGTTAACGCCTGGTGCCGGCTCTCCGAGACGACATACGACATGGCGCCGCAAATGTCATGAACAGAGTGGCGACGGATCTGACGGGAGATATGGGTGCAGGACATGGGTACTCACTGATCACTGACGTACGCACGCCAGTTACTCACTCGTACCCGTTTGTTCATAACGTACCGGGCCCACGGGATGCCGTCGACAAGGAGTACGACGGGCCTGCACACTGTGCCGAAGCTGCGCAGCGAGCATGCCCCGGAGTCAAAACACGCGGCAACGACATGTTCCCCGTCGCCACCTTGTTGCCGTGGTACCAGGACCTCATCGGCAACTCATCACACCGCATGCCATGTCTAAAAACGATACCAGCACAGGCGTACAGGAGGCTGTGCGTACAGAAGCGTCCGTGTGTCTACGGAACACAGCTGGCGACGTTACCCAGAAGGAGCGCAGCAAGCCATCTTCTTGACAAAAAAAAGAAAGAACCCGCCCTCTATTCAGCCCTTCATTACCAACCGCCGAGACAGTCCGTCACGCCGGACGCCTCAATTGACGCGTCTTGAATGCCCACGCCCGCGCCGCGGTCAGCGGTCGGTCTTTGCCGCTGTCATTTGCTAATGTGCCCCGCGCTCCGTGCAGCCGCTGACGTTGCTCGGCTTTCAAGCTCCCCCATGGCTCGCGTGACGGGCATGTATGTCTTTGCGTGCAGCACTTTGTCAGCGATCAGCTGGCCAGCTGGCCAGCTGTGCAGCTGTGGCGGGCTGCGAAAGTCGAGTGGGTCAGGTGCGCCAGGCGCGTCGTATGTGGCCTAGGGATCATTCGCCCAAGCGGCGACCCAAAGGCCAGAGGCCAAAGGGCTCGGCGAGCTAGGTCCACTCTTAGCTAGCGAGGTAGTCTTGCATCCTATGCTTTTATCCTTGGCCGTGCGGCGGTGCGCGTATCCTGCCAGCGGTCAACACACACACAGGTGGTAACGTGTGCCTGTTGGCAGCAGCTTGGCAGGCCAGAGCCAGAGCCAGAGCCAGAGACAGCGCGACTGTCGGTGCGGTGCAGGTATGCAGGGGATCTGCAGTACCTCTTCGCCAAACACCTGGTACCTCTTGCCCAACACCTGGAGCACCTACGTACCGTACCTACGGGCTGTGCTGCACGCACGCATGGGTCAAGTCCTCAAGTCAAGTCAGACGACCGCGTCGGCCGGAATCATGCAAACGGCGGCGGCCACTGCGCTGGATCCTGCATTGCTGTCAATAGCAGTTGCGCACAGCCTGCAGGCGTCTTCCAACGCCTGCGTCCGGGGGGGGGTGGGGGTTGTCATGCATCCAGGACGGCTGTTGAATGTGTTCATGTGCTCCACATTTGACAAACGCCTCTGCAGCCCACCTTGCAATCCTGGGTATACAGTGGGCGGGCGGACGGGGCGGGGCAGGCGTCTGCTCGTGTGGGTGTGTCCGACGGAGGTAGGGAGGCGTCCCTTCTCCGCCACAACGAGGGCATCGGTCCTGTGCGCCTGTGCTGCCTTCTGTGACGCAGGAGACGGCAAACGTCGTTGTCTCCGCGTGCGCAGCAGCATGGACCTCCAGACGCCACACCACCACCTCCAGGAATGCAGCAGGATTAAAGGATTGCGAGAGGCCATTGTAGGGCCTGATGCGGGGGGGGGGGGGGGTCTCGTGCAGGGCTTTGCGCTCCGTTTTCTTTTCTTTTCTTTTCTTTTTTGGTTGGATGCCGTTGGACGGTCTCTCGTCGTTTCTAATTAAAAAATAATGTCCACGTCTCTCTCTTTTTCCCTTTGGCGCATACGGTGGAGCGGTGCTGGCTGGCTGGCTGGCTGGCTGTGCGTGCGTTGGCTGCAGGCTGCAGGCTGGATGGACCCTAACGAAGGGGCCTAAATTCCTTAGATCCATTTGCCTTTCCTGCGCTGCACAAACTAGTATAGACTTAAGTTGGACGTCGTCGGCCGCGCGGCCTGGCTGGCTGGGCCGCGCGCACTGATCGAAAGTCGTTTTCGGCCATGTCCTGCACGCGTCCTGTCCGGTGTGTTTGGTCGGAAAAGAAAAAAAAAGACTCTTTTACCTGCTAGGCACCTGCGGAAGACCCGGGCCACAAGGAGAGCGAGCCTTTGCACCGTATGTCTGCGCCGCCAGAGATGCCGGGCTGGTCTTTGTGCCTCGCTCTATTGTGCCTCTTGGTGTGCAGGGCTCCACATACGAAAAAAAGCATATGCGCAAATGTAAACAAGCGGCGGGCACACACAAACAAATATGGAAGGAATGGCCCTTGGGGTTTGTTTGTGTATGCGGGGGGCACCAAACACTCGGACGAACAAAACGAGCAGCAGTTCGTGGCCAGGACATGGACAGGTGAGAGAGAGCGGTGGCGCCGTTAATGCAAGAGGCTACCGGGCTACCGAGCTACTACTGGGAGACACGTCTTGCGGCGGGTCGGGGGGCGCGGGGCGGGCGGGTGGGTGCGGGTGTGGATGGGTGTTGCAACATGGGTTGTGGCGTGCCGACGTAGGCGAGTCCCTTGGGTGTCAGGGGAGCGCGAGCAAGAGAGAGAGAGACAACTAGGACCATCAGGTGTCACTGAAGGTTCCTGGCTCGTGCAGGAGGCACCCATTACCCAAACCCGTGCAGCGCGTGTGCCAAGTGCGCGTCCGGGTGCACGGAGCCCTGTTGCATCGAGAAAGGAAAGAGCGCGGGCGGGCGCGGGGCGGGGGGGCTGTTTGGTCCTGTTTGGTCCCAAAAACCCATTCCATCGCTCCCCCTCCCTCGTCGTCCCTCCCTTGCTCGCTCTGTGCTCTGTGCACACCACTGGGCTGCAGAGCCTGCACAACCTGCTAGCTGCTAGCCTGCACTCTGCTCCGCGCGCGCGCGCCATGTATACGACAGTACTGTCCTGTCCCATAGCACACCCTCCCTCTCCCAACATTGCTCTCTCTGCCAGCCACCACAACTTACATTCATCGCTTCATCTCTAGCATCTCATATACATCACACAACACCTCCTCCTCCTCCCTCGCTCGCTCAGTCTCTTGGATTGCATACATTACTGGCACCGACAAACGCCCCCACCGCACAGCTCAGCCCTCATCGCCACCACCACCACCACTACCTGTCTCTACCTCGTCTCCGAACAACTTCCGGGACACACCCACCCTCCAGGCTTTGACAGCCATCCCAGGACGCATCTCCGCCTCCTCCTCATCTCACACCGATGCGTCTGTCCGCCGCGGTGTTGGCAGCCGCTGCCATCCAGGCAGTGAGCGCTGCAACTGCCGAAGAATGGCGGTCTCGCTCCATCTACCAGTGCGTACCCAACTGCTACAGTGACGAGACAATGGCTCGTCGACGAGCTTCCCGCTCTCCATCCTCCCTTGTCTTCTTCTGGGCGGTCATCGTTAGCCGGCTGGGTGGGCCGCGTGGTCTTGTGCTGCCTGTTGCTCGAGGGTTTCGTGCACGCTGCGGCCGCCAGCCGGCGCGGGGCACGGACACTGCTTGCTTGGTGGTGGGCACACACGACCGCCAACAGCAGCAGCGGCATGGCCATGCGCACGACCCTCGCTGGTGCAGAGAAAGGAAAGAAAGGAAAGAGAGAGAGGGGCCGGCGGTGGCGGCGGCACCCCCCCACGCCATGCCGCCCGCGCACAAGGCGCCCTTTTTTTGCTCTGTGGTGTTTCCTTGCATCTGTTGCATGCGACTGACGCTGTCACTCCAGGATCATTACGGACCGTTTCGCGCCCGTGTCCGACACGGCCCCCGCGCTCACCTCGCCGCTGCCAGACGACTGTGACCCGGGACAGCAGACGTGAGTGGTGCATGAGTGCATAATTGAATGGTTTCGTGTGTGCCATGGTTTCGGATGTGGAACCGATCAGCCGCTTCATATGAGGCGGCGCGGCGTCTGCGTTTGGCGGCGTTGGCTGCGGGCATTCTGCAAATGCAAAGGATAAGGGATCCGACGCTAACAAATGTCCACAGCTGGTGCGGTGGTACCTGGCGGTCTATTATCGACAAGCTCGACTACATCCAGAACATGGGCTTTGATGCCATCTGGATCTCCCCAGTCAGCAGTGCGTTTTCCGTTGGCATACACATACAGAGGGGCTATTATTGGCCCACTGCTGCGGTGTGGTGGTGGTGGTGTTAGGGAACGAACGACGCAAGCTGACCATACCCTCCTTCCCTTCCACAGGAAACATTGATGTCCAGACCCCTTACAACTATTCCTATCACGGCTACTGGGTCAATGACCCAACAAGTCTCAACCCCCGCTTTGGCGACTCGGATGACCTGTTGGCACTGTCCGACGCCGTGCACAAGCGTAACATGTACTTGATGGTGGACATTGTCGTCAACAATGTGCCCTCGTTGGACAACACCACCTCGCAGACTGCCGATGCCCTCGTGGCCGACGATTCGTTCTGGCAAGACCCCTCGTATTTCCACCCAATCTGTAACATCGACTACGACAACCAGACGTCGGTCGAATACTGCTGGCTCGAAACCACCAACGTCTCCCTCATGGACGTCAACACGGAAAACGCCTATGTGATTTCGACCCTCCAGTCGTGGATTACCAGCTTGGTATCCACCTACAGCATTGACGGTCTTCGCATCGACGCTGCCAAGCACGTCCCGGGCACCTTTTGGCCTGGATTCTGTGGCGCTGCCGGCGTGTTCTGCATTGGCGAGGTGTACACCTCGGACATTGGGTTTGGGGCCGAGTTCCAGACCGAGGGCTGGATGGACTCGATTCTCGGATACCCATACTACTACGGTCTTATGGACGCCTTCTCCGTCGCCCCCATGGGTAACATGTCGTCCTACATCACCATTGCCCAATCGGTTCTCAATTCGTTCCCCCACCCCGAGTACCTGGGCAACTTCCTCGAGAACCACGACTTGGCGCGTTTCCGCAACCTCACCGTCGACCCCCGTCTCGGCCAGAACGCCATGGTCGCACAGTTCCTCTTTGAGGGGATGCCCGTCGCCTACTATGGGCAGGAGCAGGACATGGCCGAGGGCAGTAGGGACCCGTACAACCGTGCTGCCCTCTGGCCTCTGGGTTACGAGAACGGCACCACGACCGAGCTGATTCTCCGCCTCAACACCATTCGCCACAAGATGATCGAGCAGAACATGACCTGGAATGGCGAGACCTACATGGATGCCCGCTCGTCGTTTATCGCCTACACCGACTATGACGTTGCCATCCGCAAGGGTCCCATCATCTCTGTCCTCACCAACCGCGGCTCGCCCACCCAGAACGTGTCGTTTGGCGTCCCCAGCACCGGCTGGGCACGTAACGAGGCGGTGGTCGACCTCCTCACCTGCAACGAGTTTGCCACAGGGTCGGGCGGCTCCATCTCCGTCTCGTACTCTGCCGATGGCTACGGTGGTCTCCCTTACGTCTTCATGCTCGTCTCGGACGCGAGGACTCTGAACATTTGCACAAACGACGAGATGGGCATCCTCTCGGGCACTGCTGAAGTGCCCGTGGGCGCCGCAAGTGCCAACTTTCCTTCCACCGCCATGATCCTCGCCGCGACTATTGGCGCCGCGTCGCTCGCACTGTTGTGATAAACAGAAGCGCACAATCCCCGGCATCCCCTAGAACCAACCCCTCCCCCCCAACCTCATTTTCGCATGGACAATCGATCTCTCTTGCTCTTATGCTCTCTCTCTCCCCCACGTATAGCCCGGCTTCAATTACCGCCAGTCATTACCTACCCTGCACCCAACACTCGGCACTGCCCTGGTTGGCATTCTCTCCCCGCGCACGTCCCTTGCTGCCAACGAGCCCCCGGCTCGGCGCACCCCGTCGCTATATCCTCTTTCTCTCTTTCTCTCCATGGGATGTTGTACACTATGCAAATGACTAAATGATTACAGTGGTGGTAGTGTTGGTGGTGGTGGTGGTGGTGCTGGAAACGGTCGTCGTGCTAATGGTTGCTAGGGTGCTAGACAGCAGCAGACGTCTTGACGCGCTTGGCAGCGTGCTCTGCCACATTGGACTTGCGCTTCTTTGCAGGCCGCTCTGCTGGAGCTACGACGCTCGCGCTCGCCACCGCCACATCCATACCAGCAGCGGCGTCGTCTCCCACGTTCTTCCCAGCAGCAACAGTGCCTTGACCTCCGACTTGGCCACGGTCGGGGACAACGTTGCCCCGCCGACTGGCAACGTGCTGCACGCTCGTGTTACGCCCCGTCTCGAGCCCGAGGGGGCGGCGCGAAAACGTGATCTGGAGGAAGGGCCGGTGAGTCATCTTCGGCCTGGGCAGTGAGTGAGTAAACGTAGCAACAAAAAAAAGGTAGACGACCGCGACGTACTTGAGCTTGCCGGACAGGACGCGCGCGAGGCTCGGGCCGGCGGCCTCTTCTCCACCGCCGCTGGGAAGCAGGCCACTCTCGGTATACTGCCACAGGCCCGTGGCGGACTTTTGCCGCGTGTATGTGCGCTTGACGCTTTCGGCCACGCTGACGAGGCGCGGGGCCGCGAGGGTTGCCGGGTGGAGTGTGGATGCTGGGGACTTGGAGGACGAGGAGGACGAGGAGGAAGGCTGCTTGTCATCGTCCTTGGCTGCGGGCAAGGTATGCAGTACCAGCGGGGTATCGGGGTTTTCCTGTTCTGTTAGAGATCTGGTTTCGCACAGCAGTCACGGGTGTGCGAGTGGAAGAGGGGCAAGTTGGGGGAGGACGATGCGAGGTAGCACCGCGCGACCTGGCGCAAGTCGTACAACACCCATGACGAAGGATGGAGGATAGCGGGCTCGAGGCGTCGCGCAAGGAGTGTACCCACCCTGAGGAAGTTGACGGCAAACTTGGTGTACGAGGCCACGCTGCCGCCTGTTGTGATGCGCATACGGTGGGGTTCTGTGGCGGTCATGGTGTCGACTGGGTAGACGATATAAGGTGCCAACAGGTGTGCACCTGGGTTGATTCAGAAATCTCCTCCCAGTCAACAATACATGGAGGCACGGAAGCATTTGTGTCCAGGACATTACAAAATCCACCTTAAAACGCTCTTGAAACCATTTTACGTCATTGTAATCCCCACTCTAATTGCTCCCCCAGGCTGAGTTTTCCAAACCAACCACCCCGCCCGCGTTTCCTTAAACGGCCCTCCCACACGACGTGGATTAGCGTGGTGCACCACGACGCGCGCGCACTGTCTCGCCCAAAAGTCGTGTTCTGCCAGCTTCGACAGACTTCACAGGACTTCATTCCACCCCTTTCACCCACCCCCCACCTAAACAAGTCCTAACAGCCATGTCGGTGCAGGACATCCCCGCCGGCCAGGCCGTGTACGCCCAGGACGAGGTGCGTCGCTGCTTTCAAAGTCGAAAGTAATTGTGTGCTGACACTTGTCCTTGCAGAATGGAAGGCCATTCATCATTGTCCGGTATGTTGCGGATGAGCAAGCAAGCGCAAGAGCTCGCGCGGCGGCATGATACCTTGACGCATGGGCATTGTGGCCGCCGGGTCCTATACGCGTGTTTGGCTACCACGAGCTGCACGCCAAACCAGTACTGACATCTCCAGCGAGCAGGGCAGGAAGGTCCGCACTCACGGTCTCGAGGCTATCCGCGTACGTTCCACACCCAGATGACTGCACCTGTCAAACTCACGCGCTGACACGCTCTACGTACAGTCGCACATCCTCGCCGCCCGCTCCGTCACCAACATTATCAAGTCGTCGCTCGGCCCCCGTGGTCTTGACAAGATCCTCATCTCCCCCGATGGTGACATTACAGTCACCAACGACGGCGCTACCATTCTCGGCCTCATGGAGGTCGACCACCAGATTGCCAAGCTCCTTGTTGAGGTGGGTGTCCGGAGCAGTGAGAGGGGGACCAAGGAGAGCGGTCGCTGGGCCTTTACCCTCGTTGCGGCGTCAGCTGCATGCTCCTTCCTTGCCCCGCCTCCGCCGGGTCTCTTTCGAACGGTGCTGACAATCAGGTGTCCAAGTCGCAGGACGACGAGATTGGTGACGGTACCACTGGTGTTGTTGGTGAGTACCTGCACTTTGCGGGTGGACGCAGGCAGTGCGGTTCCGCTGGAGACGGCCAGTAAATGTTGGACCTCCAGTGACGAGTGTGGAATGGTGGCGAGATGCGCCCTCACCATGCCCGCACCCGTCATACCCCCCCTCCCCCATCCGTGACGCTGTTGCTAACTTGAGCAGTCCTCGCCGGTGCCCTCCTGTCTTCGGCCCTCTCGCTGATTGACCGCGGCATCCACCCCATCCGTATTGCCGACGGTTACGAGAAGGCGTGTGAGATTGCCGTTGCCGAGCTCGACCGCGTCGCCGACGAGATCACGTTCAGCCAGGAGGACACCTCCAACCTTGTGCGCACTGCCAAGACCTCGCTCGGCTCCAAGATTGTGTCGATTGCCCACGACAAGTTTGCCAACATTGCCGTCGACGCCGTCATGTCCGTTGCCGACCTCGACCGCCGTGACGTCGACTTTGAGCTCATCAAGGTCGACGGCAAGGTCGGTGGTGCGCTCGAGGACACTTCGCTCGTCAAGGGTGTCATTGTCGACAAGGACTTTTCGCACCCCCAGATGCCCACTGTCGTGCGCGACGCCAAGATTGCCATCCTCACCTGTCCCTTTGAGCCTCCCCGCCCCAAGACCAAGCACAAGCTTGACATTGAGAGCGTCGAGGAGTACAAGAAGCTCCGCGAGTACGAGAAGGAGAAGTTCCTCGAGATGATCAGGATGGTCAAGGACACTGGCGCCAACCTCGTCATTTGCCAGTGGGGCTTTGACGACGAGGCCAACCACCTGCTCATGCAGAACGAGCTCCCTGCCGTCCGCTGGGTCGGTGGCCCCGAGATTGAGCTTATTGCTATTGCCACCAACGGCCGCATCGTGCCCCGTTTCGAGGACCTCTCGGCCGACAAGCTCGGCAAGGCCGGTCTCGTCCGCGAGCTCTCGTTCGGTACCACCAAGGAGAAGATGCTCGTCATTGAGGAGTGCGCCAACTCGCGCGCCGTCACCGTCTTCGTCCGCGGCTCCAACAAGATGATCATTGACGAGGCCAAGCGTGCCCTCCACGACTCGATCTGTGTCGTCCGCAACATTATCAGGGATAACCGCGTCGTCTACGGTGGTGGTGCCGCTGAGATCTGCGCGTCGCTGGCAGTTGCCAAGAAGGCCGACGAGGTGCGTGACGGTGTTACTTTTGTGTGTGTTCTTCTGTTGCTGACATGGTTTCTTTCCAGACCGCCAGCATTGAGCAGTACGCCATGCGCGCGTTCGCCACCGCCCTCGACTCTATCCCCCTTGCCCTCGCCGAGAACTCGGGTCTGTCCCCTATAGATGCCCTCTCGGCCGTCAAGGCCGCCCAGGTGAAGGAGAACAACCCCCGTCTCGGCATTGACTGCATGGGCTACGGTGACAACGGTGAGTAACAGTGGCAGACGGGTGTTCGAAGGTGACATTGCCTGCACCCGTCTCAACCCTCAGAGCCACGAGCTCCTTCTTGGCCCTCACAGGTCGCGAGTCATCGCATACTGACGCGTCACAGACATGTCGAAGCAGTTTGTCATCGACCCCCTTATGTGAGTATTTGACGAGGAGAGAGAAATACCCCGTCCACAAGACTAACAAACCCCCAGCTCCAAGCGCTCGCAGCTCCGCCTGGCAACGCAGGTCGTGCGCATGATCCTGAAGGTCGACGATGTCATAGACGGCGTAAGTCCTGACCGACCGCGATTCCTGCTCCCCCCAGTGACAGCCACGCTGACCAGTGTCCCCGCAGAGCGCCTTCAACAACGAGATGATGTAAGGACTAGAGAGAGGATTTTAGTGAGACATGTCATTATACAGCAATTTCGCCCCGAGAGCATGCCGATTTGGATCCCGCCGTGGGGGGCTTTGTTAGGGCGCTGCCTACTTGCGCATATGCATGCGCAGTTTGATATATGGGTGTCGCGGGGTGTGTGGGTTGGGGGGAACGGCGTTTGCCACGGCAAAGGAGGTGGGCAAGGCGGACGGCATGGAGGACAGACAGAAGCACAACGGGAAGCTCGACAGTCAAGACCGAGAGTCTGGCTTATTGGCCTTGTGGGTGGTTGCCTTGGGCCTGTCGCTTTTCGGGCCTGTCCTCGTTGCCTTGGATGCGATAGTTGCAACGGCCACGGCCGACTCTCCATGACGACAGTGCTGCCACGGAACCTATGCGCTCCGTTGGGGAACTGAACGTGGCGGAAAGCCTAGTTTCATTCTCCACTTTTACCTCGTCTACTGGCTCGTCCTTACATCCGTGGCTCTGGTAGACTCATGGCACATTGTTCATCCACGACCGCACAGCGGCCGGCTACGGTATATATAACGACCAGTAGTGTGTCTAGAAGATTAGACAACTACGAGAAGTCTAATGGTTTCTACTCGTTTGACGACTGTCCGGTGCTTGCCGGTGTGTGGTCGCTTAGAGAGCGCGGCGGCGGCGCTTGCAGCCCTTACCGCCGTTGCCGTTGCCGTTGCCGTTGTGGGAACCGTTGTTGTCGGTCGAGTCACCGGGCTTGGCAGTAGCTGTGCCACTGGCCTGCCCCTCGCGAGTGGCCGTGGACGTGGCGTTGCCGTTGTCGTTGTCGTTGGCGAAGCAGCTCAGCGTCTGGAAGATTTGGACGGCCAGCGACGGCGACTCCTCAACCTGCTCACCCAGAGGGAGCAGGCAGGTGCCGCATGCAACCATTTGCTCGCGCAGGTTCTGGGACGCGGTCAGCAAACGTGCTCTTGTCTAGTCCAAACTGAAAAACAAAACCACTCACGCCACAAAGCGCCGTAGAGCATGCCTCGGTGTCATTGAAGACGTTGAATTCGTCGACGCACAGTTCCACCAGCTGGGGGTACAGGGGAGCACAAGTGGCGTTGCAGGTGGCGGCACAGGCAGAGTCGCAGAGGGCGGGAGTGGTTCCATTGGTGGAGTTGGCGCCGCCATTGTCAGTGTGGGGGCACGTGGACTCCTTGTTGATGTTGAGAATCGCGCGTTGGCCGTCATCCAAAACGTCCGGGTTCTGGGCACTGAGGCACCCGACACAGTCGGACATGTCTTGGCTGATCTGTGTCACGTTAGGCGTGCTCTCTCTCTCTCTCTCTCTCTCTCTCTCTCTCTCTCTCTCTCTCTCTCTCTCTCTCTGTCCATCTGTCTCTCTGTCTCTCCTTCTTGACAAGCTCAAACTTACCGTGCAAACCACATTCTGGCACGCCTCCGTGCCGTTTAGAATGGCACCGGTGTCCTTTTCAACGCACGCCTCGAGGATCGCCTGGCTGACCTTGTCACAGGAAGGGTTGCACATGTCGGCAGGGGACCCGGTGCTGTCCGCCGTGGGTGCGGATTCGGCGGCGGTAGGGGTAGGGGTAGGGGTAGTAGCGGGGCACTGGGCGTCCTTGTTGATCTGCAGGATATTGCCCTCGGTGTCGGTATAGTTGTACGTGATGCCAATGCCAGGCATATGGTCCAAACAGCGGACACAGTCAGTCACGGCCTCGCCAGGCTGTGTCAAGTTAGCCAACGTCGACGAGGCTCAGCGTTCAACGTACCGCGCAAAACACCGCAAGGCACTTGTCCGAGTTGGCGTCAATCACTTCGTTCTCGTCGACGCACGCCTGCATGAGCTCCAAGCTGAACGAGCCACAGAGACATGGGTCGTTTGGGTCCGAGGCGGGGGCTCCAGTAGAGGAGGCGGCGGCGCTGGTCGCGACTGTCTCTCCGCGAGGGTAGTAACCTGAAGCGGACGCCGAAGTGGCGAGTGCAGCAAAGATGGCAATGCCAGTGGTGAAGTGCATGTTGGCGTTGTCTCCAGGTGTTTTATGCTATGGTTGATCGGTTATGTGTGTGGTTGTATGTGTGGTTGAAAGAGGACAAGATGCAGTCTGGGGGGAGTGATTCTCGTTGACCAGGACGCGTCCTTTTATCCCCTTTTCTTGAACACCCAGTATCCTGCGTCAAAACACACCAGGAGTCGCAGTCACACCCGTAGAGGAATGCAACAGCAGCTGACCGCCTGCGGTGTTTGGCAAAGGGAAGCAACACAACCAGTTGGCAGTGCAAGGGGTTCCGACGGCGAGCAGGTCTCCGGCGGTGAGGTGGGAGGGGCACCCAGCTTGACCTGCACCTCTGTCGCCAGGTGGTCAATGCCAAGCCAATCCAAAACGACAGCGCCTTCCCCCGTAACTCTACGGAAACAAGGCACCGACCTCTACGACGCGTCCAGAGGCCGCACGGTTGGCCGCGGATTCCGGTGCTCTGGCTCACGGCACGCATCGCATGGGAGAGAATGTATGTGAGAGTATGCTCACGCGTACAGTATCTGCCTGTGTGTGGCGATCACAGGTCTTGAAGTGTGGTCGTGTGGCAAGCCCACACGACCGAGAGAAGTGTACTGGTGGGGGATTTTGGCCGATTATCTGGCATTTTCTCGATGATCGCCCAGGCAACGGAGCCATCTTTGGCCCCGCCAAGACTCCCCGGGTTCACCGGAGTACTCCTTACTTACACTGCAGCGGTCTTACCTTGTGGAGTATTGGACAGATCGCTCTCGCCATGGCAACAGGCTTATGGGAGGCGATGACTTCAACATGCTCACTATGCATTGTTAATTGCCACATGTCGAAACCCAAAACTGCCACTACCCCGTTTCTCACAGCCGCTACTCTCGGGTAGCCAACAGCCTTGATTGATTAACAAGGTCTGCTGTGCGTCGTGTGAACTATAACCTGTACAGAGGAGTGAGGGTCTTGACTACAACTGCAACTGCTCTTGCACTCTTCGCACCCAACCGACATGTATACACGGGTTCACGATAGAGGCAAGTTCAGCGTCACTGGACGGGCAAAGATGTGATCAGTAGCCGACGGATAACCCCTTGCGTCGGAAGAGACTTGAGCCTTCCCCCCCTGTTGCAGAACACGTCGATCTTAAGTGGCGACTGTGGAAAGCTGTCACAGGTCGTGACAGTAGTGTCCGATTAGAGTCCATCGGAACCCCAGTACAGTACTGTACAGTTCGGTCCGATCTGTGGGCTCCACCCGTTTAGTGAGCCAGAGAACCATATAAGCACTTACATATGCCGTATCCCAGCAACCTGTAGAATCTCCAGTCTACCATATACCTTCTCAGCTGCTAGCGGTGTAACCTCAATGACAACCTCGACAGCAGCTGCCTAGTCCCCACTATCATGTGGCCCCACCACACCTACGTCCAGGATATAAAGGGGGGGCGGAGGGGTTATTCCCTCCCACGACACTGTTCACTTTGCCTGTTGACATCCTGTTCGTCCTTGTTCATCCTCGTCCTAGTCTCTCCACACATGCATAGAACCTCCGCAGCACCTTGTCCCGCCCCGCCGCAACATCCCCGGTGCCGGTGGCGTATGTTATGGCACGCGCAGTGACAGCTCGAAAGGTCCCGCTGTCCCCATGTGTCCATCCATACACCGGTCTCTCGCGTCTCAATGTAGCAAGCAGGAGCCAGACGAGTTGAGAGCCAGCAGACACGAGACGAGGTCCCAGATAATGACACGACATCTCGTGGTCAAGTGCAAACAGTATGCCGCTCGCTTGGAGGCGTACGGTATCAAAGGACACAACTTGCGGAACGACTCGTAGCCACCTAGTACATACCGCAGCTAGGCTAGTGCGATGTGCGCAGGTCTCAAGTGATACAGCAGTGTGTAAATGGAAGCCGGCCTTGGTCAGTCTTCTCATGGGCGCCCAGTGATGCCAGTGATACAGTGATACAGTGATCGGCAAAGGGTGCTGATGTGTGGGCCGTACGTCAAACATGCGTCTGATCGGATCAACTCGACCCCGCACAGTCGCCCGGGAGGCTGGGAACGCACATCCCTCTCGGAAACAATCACGCCAATGCACACAACATCATTAGCAAAGGGTACACCAGCTGGGGCCGTGCAAGCCACGGGCCACGGGGGCGGCTGCCACAAAAGGTCGACCAGGCTGCTCCTGTGCGGCGGATGACTGTGGTGCGACACCGACATTTCCCACGACTGACCAAGACAAGGCCAGTTCTATGTGACAACACTGCCAAGTCTTAATTGGGTGTAGTCAACAGGTAATATCACCCTGGGCTGACCCAGACCCACAGCACTGCGCTCATTGTGCAGCTCCAGAGCCACTCTTCGCCCACGACAAGGCTTCTCCCGCCCAACTGGCCAACTGGGCGAGAACAAGAGGCGCCCAGAGGAATGAAAGGAATGCGACGGGTTGTTCCGGGGCGTTTTGTTTGCGCCAGAAACAAAGTGGGACCAGTCGTGTCCCGCGAGGGCCCCGAGGGGTCACCAGACAGCAAAGTAAAAGTCCACCGTATGACTCTGTCTTGCGTTGCCAACCCTCTCCCCCATCCCCCCTCTCTTCGGCCGCAACGGACTGTGGTGCCCCTCTCCGGGCCGACAGCGTGGCATGCCGGGGGGAAGCGCAACAGAGAATGGTGGTTGGTCGGTGACTATCGGCAGTAGTGTCTGGGCAAGGCGGGGAACAAGTGGCATTATTGCGGTTCAGTCTGGGGGTTGGACGGCTGCTGCGGTGCCCCCCTTGCCCTGGGGAACAAGGCCTGAGGTGACAAAGAGGGTGGTCACGACGGTGAGTTGTGGGATGTGGGGATTGGACAAAACATGAAAATCACCGCCCGTCGGTATAACACAATAGATGATTGCCAGAGATAATTTCGCCGAGGGGGGGGACCTGGTCTTGGCCGTAAAAGCAACGAGGATGGGCACACAGGTTAACTCTTTAGCCGTGAGCCATACGTATGTTTTTATGTGAGTGATGATGATTAGGAACGACAGGAGGGACAACCCCCCCCCAAGCTGTTGGGTGTGGTGGCCCATGGTTGGTTGAAACGATATGCTCTGTGGCATCCCCAACCCCCATTGCGTCATTATAACAAGTGTGCGGCCTGTTACAGCCGGTTTTTTCCGGTGCTGCGTGGGTGCAGAGAGGCGCGCCTCGACGGGCTAACCGGAGTAAATCCGACGGCGAAAAGACACGAGCGAGGCCACGGGGGTCGTCCCTGCCAGCCGGTCAGCCAGCCAGGCCCCCCAGCCAGCGTTCCCCCCCCGTCGTCACCGCCCAGCCAGCCAGCCAGCCAGCCAGCCAGCCCGTCCCCCCCTCTCTCTTAAGCCATACTCGCACCTTTCACTCCTCCTCTTTCTCCATCCCCCCTCTCAAAACACCCCCAACCATGCTCTCCTCCACCCGTTCTGCGCTCCGCGCTCAGGTCAGTACTCTACTCCCCTCCCTCCCCCTCCCCATCACCCCCTCTACCCGGCGCCTGCACACCCGCATCGTCGTCCACACCAGCTCCCAACACGGCGCACGGCCAACTTTTTTTCCCATCCGGACACCGGCCCCATCACGACCGATCTCGCCAATCCTCCCCTCCCCCAGTAGAATGTTGGGCCAAGAGGTGTTTCCCCGTCGAGCTACCCCACACACCCCCAGTCGGCTTGACGGCCTCACTCATCCGACACCTGCACACTTCCGAGCTCCCGTCCGACCCCCCCTCCTACGTACTCCACATACCCACCTCGTCTTTGGGACCATGGCCCTCTCTCTCGTCTTGCCCTTCCAACTGCCACCCGCTCCGTTCCGTCACCGGCCACACCGGCACACCACCTCGCCTATCTACCACCACCTATCTCACACCTATACCCAACCTATAATACCAACCACCGCCACTCAACACCACCTCCTCCCTCTCCCTTGTCCCTCACACCACCCTTCCCCTCCCCCCCCCTCCCCCCTCCCATTGAATGTCACCACGGTCTAACTCTGAGCAGCTCCGCGCGCCCCTTGCGGCCCGCCAGTTCTCGGCCTCGTCGGCCACCCAGGTCCAGTCGCTCAAGGAGCGTCTTGCCGAGCTCATCCCCAAGGAGATTGAGAACGTCAAGTCGGTCCGCCAGCAGTTCGGCGCCAAGTCGTTCGGCGAGATGACCGTTGACCAGGCTTACGGTGGTATGCGTGGCATCAAGGTACGTACAAGGATACACCGGGGTGCAGTGGTCCCTGGAGTGACCCAAGAAACACGCTGCACCCAACACAACGTTCTGTTCCCCAAGCTAACATTCTCCAGGGCCTTATCTGGGAGGGTTCGGTTCTCGACGCTGACGAGGGTATCCGCTTCCGTGGCCTCACCATCCCCGAGGCCCAGGCTGCTCTCCCCAAGGCTCCCGGTGGTTCGGAGCCCCTCCCCGAGGGTCTCTTCTGGCTCCTCGTCACTGGCGAGGTCCCCACCCAGGAGCAGGTCGAGGGCCTCTCGGCTGAGTGGGCTGCCCGCGCTGAGATCCCCGACTTTGTCAAGGAGCTCATTGACCGCTGCCCCAACACCCTCCACCCCATGTCGCAGTTCTCGCTCGCCGTGACCGCCCTCAACCACGACTCGGCCTTCGCCAAGGCCTACTCGCAGGGTGTCCACAAGCGTGACTACTGGCAGACCACCTACGAGGACTCGATGGACCTCATTGCCAAGCTCCCCGCCATTGCCGGCCGCATCTTCCGCAACGTCTACGGCGACGGCAAGCTCCCCGCCATCGACCCCAAGGCTGACTACTCGGCCAACCTCTCGACCCTCCTCGGCTTTGGCGACAACAAGGAGTTCATCGAGCTCATGCGTCTCTACATCACCATCCACTCGGACCACGAGGGCGGTAACGTCTCGGCCCACACTGGCCACCTCGTCGGCTCGGCCCTCTCGGACCCCTTCCTCTCGTTCGCCGCTTCGCTGAACGGTCTCGCCGGTCCCCTCCACGGTCTTGCCAACCAGGAGGTCCTCCGCTGGCTCCAGAAGATGCGCGCCAACATTGGCGAGAACCCCTCGGACGAGAAGCTCGCCGAGTACGTTTGGTCGACCCTCAAGGCCGGCCAGGTCGTCCCCGGTTACGGCCACGCCGTCCTCCGCAAGACCGACCCCCGCTACACCGCCCAGCGCGAGTTCGCTCTCCGTCACCTCCCCGAGGACCCCTTCTTCAAGCTTGTTGGCCAGGTCTACAAGATTGTCCCCAACATCCTCCTCGAGGCCGGCAAGGCCAAGAACCCCTGGCCCAACGTCGACGCCCACTCGGGTGTCCTCCTCACCTACTACGGCCTCAACCAGCAGGACTTCTACACCGTCCTCTTCGGTGTCTCGCGCGCCTTTGGTGTCGCCTCGCAGCTCATCTGGGACCGCGCCCTCGGCATGCCCCTCGAGCGCCCCAAGTCGTACTCGACCGAGGCTATCAAGAAGATGTTCTCGGCCAAGCTCTAAGCGTGCCACCACCACCTCTCCATCTATTATGACGAATGGGAAGAAGGGAAGCAGCAGACGGGCGTATAAAGGCAGAGAGAGCAGAGTAGCAGTGTCCATCGTAGTTGTCCCCCACACAGGACGTGGGGTTACGAGAAGACCACAAAAAATCATCAAATGACAACGTGTCTGCGCTTGTAATGAAGATGCACTTGTGAGCGTCATGCCAGTGGAGTTGGTGGCAGTAGCAGTAGCAGTAGCAGTCCAGTTCCAGAGTGTAGTGACTGCGCACACGTTTGGTCGGCCCCAAGCACCGATTACCGCGGCGTTCAAGCGAGTAAAACACCGCGTCGTAAAACGGCGTCCCGGCCGGCCCCGAACTGTCCCCACATCCGACCCAGCAGGGCCAGCGGAGAGACAGACGGGTGACAGTCGTCCGTGGATCCGTGCTCCCTTCTGATCTCACAGCAGCAGCAGTAGCAGCAGCATCAGCAGCGGGTCCGTGCGTTTAGCGTACCCGGCCGTAAATGATGCGCGGTGGTGGTGGTGGTGGTGCTCGTGTGCGTGAGGTTTTGGCAGAGATCGCACAACGCCGCCTGGCTGCAGGAGATGGACACCACGGCCGCGGTTACGTGGACGGCGCTGGTCCGGATACACCATCCCCGTACTGGACCCCTTTGCACCTTGCACCTGTGTGCATGCACACCGCGCACCGCACGGTGTACCCTTTGCTTGTTTCCTTCGTGATGGGCATGCACCGTTGCCGATGGGACATGGGACACATCACATTAGCCATAGGGCCACGGGCGAGTTGTATGGCAGCCACACGCGCGCGCATATCATACCCGCCGGCCGCCCGTTCTCGTCAGCAAGTGCCGCGCGCTGCCGGGCTGGGCGGCGTGGGTCTGTCCGCGCATCAGATCCGCCACGGCACAACCACATGGGGAAGAGGGGGGGGACTAACGGCGGCGGCCGGCGGCCCGGGCCAGCGATGCCGCCGCCTATCTTTCAGTTTTCCAGTCCGCGTCGCTTCTGGTTCTGGTTCTGGTTCTGGTGGTGTCTGTGTTCATGTCCACGCCCACGCCCGCCGGCAACGTCACTAGGCTAGCTTTGTCGCATTCGTACCCGGAAACGGATCATATGCGATCCGAACTCTACACACCATGTCGAGCCCACGACGACAGCTCTGTGTGTGTCCAACATTCGTAGCGGACACACCGATGCAGATGCAACATACAGTACCGACAGACGTCTGCAGTCGGCCCGGCTTCATCGTGTCCGGGCCCTGTGTGTCCTAATCCCATATCCCACCCCCCACGCCCGGCAATGTGCGACGCGGCTGCGCCGGGGGTTGGCTGCCGTGTGCCCTGGCGAGCATTCGCGGGAAGCGATCTGTGCCATCTCTCTGCCTCGTCCATGTGTTCTGCATCTGCAGGTTCTGCCTGGTGCCGCGGAGCGGATCGCCGCCAAGACTGCTGGCTGCGTGCCACACCAGCGCCGACGTGTACCAAAACACGGCCGCGGGAGACAGGCTACAGGACACCAGCACACCCCACCCCATGGCGCGACGTGCCCCACCCGCCGGCACCGCGTGCTCCCCTCCCCGTTTTCCATGTATCCATCCCATATGCATACGGGACAGCGTGCGTGGCGACGGCTCGCCGGGAGCAGCCGTTATTATCGAACTTTGTTTTTATCAGATTGTCAAAGGGGCCAAAGGGGCCAAAGGGGGGCCACAGGCCACAGGTGTGGGCCAGAAGGAGGAGGGGGGGTTCTGTTATTTTCGATTTTCTCGAACAACGCGGCGCGCCGTTGGTCCGCAACGACCAAATAACCTCATTTTTCACCAAATACCCCCCCTAACCCTCTCATTCCCCAACGGCCCAAAGGCCATTTTGCATTCCCGTGTGGGCCCACTGCCGCCGGCCCGTTGGCAGGGGTCCCTGAGGCGCGCGGAGGCGAGATAAGTGGGCCCTCATCCCTCCCCAGCGTCCGAGGAATATGCGTGCGGCCGACTTGCAACTTGGGCGAGAGGAGCCGAATGGGATGGGGACCGGAAACGGTGCGTACTGTACGTCCCTCTACGGCCGCCACCTGCATGTCATTTGACAATTTGACTGTACGGCTGTCGCGCTTGTGGGGAGCAAAGCTAGAGTGCATAGGGACACATGGGTCGGCGACATCGCCGCACGATGAACCTCGGGTTCCGTTTTTTTTTTTTGCAGCGGCGGAATGCCCTTTCCGCCAGCGCATTCCGACGTTGCTTTCCAACTACATACCTGTATGCAGGACCTCTCCACAGCCACTCGCCACTGTCGCTTTTTTGCCCAGTTTGCAAAGCGCTCAAAACGGGGTAAAGGGGCCACCGACGTTCCCTTGAACATGGTCAAAAACCTGCTTACGTAAAGGGCGTGTAGCTCAGTTGGTAGAGCGTGTCATTAGCATGTCCTACTCCTACTTGACAAGGTCTTTGGTTCGATTCCTAACTCGTCCATTTTTGGCTCCTGGGACAGGCGGCCGGACAGGCGGGACAGGGGGGGTGCATGGGGAGTGTTGCGGGATGTTGGTAGCCCGTATCTTGGGTCTGCGTGGCACAGGGCTGTAATTTGAGCGGCAGGGTGGGTCGCTGCTAGTGCGCGCCTCTCCTCGAGTGGGGATGAACGAGGACAGGCGACCTAGCGGCTTGCAACGACCGTCCAGTGGCCCGTGGCCAGTGGTCCGAAGAGACGACGATGTGCTTTGTGTGTGACTCGAGAACCAAGTATTAGGCGACACCGTCAAGTCGCGTCACCTCTGGTGTGTTTCACCGACGCCCCGGAAGCGGGTTGCTATCAATGATTGTCTGTCCAAACTGAGGCATGCATTGTAACGTCGACCCAGCAGCAGACGTGACCAGTCGGCGTCTACTGAGTGCACGAGGCCGCTGCATAGGGCCAATAAGACGCTACAACACGCTCAAGAGTGACGGTCCCAGGTGGCACCTAATTAATCCCCTTTTTGATGGCCTTTTCCGGATATTATCACCTTCGTCTCTCACGCCCTTCTGAGAGGTCTTTCAAACAACCTCCCTGGCACTTTGTGCCCTACATCAACACTGTAAACCTCTCCCATGCTTCTCTGCACCCTCTGTTCCTCCTGAGCACCACCTACATACGACGGCTTTCCTTTTCCACTTTTTCTGCCCAGTCTGGACAGACACACCAAGTGGCTTGTATAGTGTAGGTGGTTATCATTGGTCGTTGTGGTTCGCAGCAATCTTCTCCTCATCTGACCCGACCGCTGTTCGACTCAGCGTGCGAGCACACACCCCTCTTTTGCCAGTCGCGCATGCGTAGCATGCTCGGCGCTTTTGTTCTTGGTCCCAACAGCGATGGCGAGAAGGCGATACGTGCGCCACGATCTTGATCTGTACGACGGACCGCCTTGCTCCCTCTGAACGAGCGACCGTCTCACTCCCTCGTGCGCCGCGATCTTGTCCCGAGTGACGGACCGGACCGTCCATGCACCGCTGCTCCCTGCTATGCAAAGTTGTATGCCATTGTTGTAAAATAAACTACATCTAGATCTCTCGAATCCTAGTGCCAGCACTAGAGCTCGTCGTGACCCGCGTCCGCTGTGGTGGTCTCGGGCGCAGCCGACGAGGTGGTGGCCGACTCGTCGACCTCGGGATCCTCCTTGGCCGGGGTAGGCTCAGCCGCCTCGGGCTCCTTGTCCTTGGCCGCCGCGCTGGGCTTGGGCGGGCGGGGCGCGCGCGGGTTCTTCTTCTTCTCCAGACGCTGGACGGTGCCCTGCAGCTTCTTGCCGCGCTCGTCGAGGTCCTTCGTGAAGATGACGGGGTTGGACGTCTTGTCCTCTTCAATCTTGACCTGCTCCTCCATCAGGGCGTCGACCCACTCCTCGTTGTCCTTGAGCTGGGTGCTCACGCTGTCGAGCTCCTCCTGGGTAAACTTGGGAGGGGCGACGGGCTTGTCGGCGGGGGCGGTGGCAACGGCCTCGAGCGCCTCGGTGCGGTTCTTGGTGGCCTCGACCACAAACGCGCGGCCGGCGAACATTGCCTTTTGGAAGTTTTCAATGGCCTTGCCGCGCGACTGGTACTCGGTGAAGCGGGTGACAATGGGGCTCTCGAGCGTCTCAATGGCGGTACGCTTGCCGAAAAGAGTCTTGACGTCGGCGTCCTCGGCGTTCTCGTGGAGCCAGTCAAAGGTGACGGCCACAAGGTCCTTGAGGTTGGCGCGCTCCGAGTCGGTGGCAAACTCGTGAAGCGCACGGTTCTCGGCGTCCTCCTCAAGAAGGTTGGACAGGCGGTACAGGTATCCCTCGAGGATGTTGCGCGCCTCCTCGCGGGCACGCATCGCGGCCTCAAAAGTGGCAATCGATGCAAGACGCTGCTGGGTCTGGCGCTTCTCGACGCCAGTGAGACCCTTGATGCCCAGAGCACGCTCACGGAACTTGATGGGGACGCGCTCCGCCTTGGGAGCGGCGGGGGTCTCGGTGGCGTTGGCGTCGTCGCCGCCCTCGGTACCCTCGGCAGTCTTGTCATCCTTCTTGCCGCCAAAGAGACCCTTGAGAACACCACCGTTGCCGGTAGCGGGCTCAGTGGCAGTCTCGTTGGAGACGAGGATGGCGTTGGCGACCGAAAGGATTCCACGCGAGTCGAGGCGGATGGTGGTGTTAACAACGGGCGAAGGCGAAGTAAAGTTGGCAACGGTCTTGTCAAGCTCGGCGTACGTGACGGAAAGAATGGGGTTGCCCGACTGCGAAAACTCGAGCTCAAGGTCCGTCTCGGGCTTGGAGAGCAACGACTTGCGCTGGCCGAGAGGGGTGCCGGCGGGGAAGATGACCTCGTCGCCGAGCGAAATGTCGTAGACGCTGCGCTCCGAAACCTCGATCGACTTCATCTTAAACTGGCGGCTGAGACCGGCGGCGTAAAAGGCAGCACCAAGAACAGCGGCCTCGTCAGAGTTGACGTTTTGCGCAATAAGGTCCTCCTTGTCGTGCAGAGCGTCACGGAGAGCCGCCTGGACGAACGGAACACGCGAGTTGCCGCCAAACATGATAATGGAGGTGACGTCGTCAAGAGTGAGACCGGCACTCTTGAGCGCCGAGAAGACGGGAGCAGTAAACTGAGTGGCGTTGTCAAAGTGGCCCTCGAGGGCGGCACGGGACAGGGTAGATTTAAAGTCGACGTCGTCGTACAGCGACTCGATGTTGACATTGCTGTTCTGGTTGGCACTCAGAATGTGCTTGACGCGGACGGCCTCCTTTTGGAGCTTGGCCTGAGCGCGGGCGTCCTTGGCGGCGTCCGTCTTGCCCGACTTGGCGACAAAGTCGGCAGTGAGCATGTCACGAATGGCCATGTCGAGGTGAACACCGCCCACATCCTCCCAGCTGACTGCAAGCGAGTCAATGTGCGTGGTGTTGATGAGGGTCTTGGACTTGGGAGAGGGCTTGTACGAGGTCTGGTAGAGGCCGACAAGGGTGGCCGAGGTCGAGAGACCTCCCGAGTCGTACACAATGTGGTACTCCTTGTTGCCAAGGCCAGTCTCGGGGTCATAGTCGGGGAAAGTGCGGGTCATGGCGTAGTTGAGAGCGACACCGGTGCCTTCGCCGATCATGGCGAGGCAGGACATGCCCTGCAGCTCGAGGGCATCACGGTAGGCGCGACGCTGGGACTGGGTCCACCAAGCGGGGACGGTGACAACAGCCTGGGTGACGGCCTCGGACTCGGACACAGACTCGGCGAGGGAACGGTAGTAGGCAATCTGGTGGGCGAGAAGAGCGATGGGAGACCACACCTCGTCGTGCGAGTTGGGGGCAGGAGTGACATGGTTGGGCGTCTTGGGGTGGGGGAAGATCAGAGTGCCCTCGTCGGTGAGCGATGGGGGGTTGGGCCAAAGAGCGAGCTGGGGGACCTCCCCAGCAGCTAGCAGAGGCTTGACATAGGGGAAATGGGTGTGGGGGAACCGAGTAGCCTGAATGCAAGTCAGCTCTATTTTGACTTTGTTGTTGTTATTGTCGCTGCTGCAAAGGAGCAGGCCTTGAACTCACCGCCTGCTTGCCTTCCTGTCCGAACACACGGTCCTCGCGCTTCCAGCCGACGACCGAGCTAATCTTACGCTTGCTGTCCTTGTCGAGAAGGACATCAAACGGCACGCCAGGCTTGACAAGGGAGAGCTTGGTGTACTCTGCTCCATAGTCGATGGCGAGGATCGCCGCCTGTACTGCTGGAAGGAGGAGGGCGAAGAGGAGGATGAGACACCTTGGGAGCCTCATGGTTGCGACGTAGAATGAAGAGGAGCTGTGTGGACAGCGCCTGGATCCTATGTCGTTATAAACAGGTGTCTGTTGTTGGAAGACAAGACGAAAGAGATGTTGCGCCAGAACTTCTAGAATCGCCTTCTCCACGTAGATCTTTGCATCAGACACGCTCCCTCCACCGCAGCGCGCGTCAGCGGGGTCGGCGGGGCGGCGCGCGCCACGTCGGCGCTTATCAACAACACGTTGGAGCTTGAAAATTAAATGACACGTTATTTGTAAAGTAATCTCGCCGCGGCGCCACCTCCACTTCTGGAATTCCAGACAGAGATGGTGTGATGAGATGTCTCTCGCGGGGGCACAGAGTGAACATGCTGCTGGCTTTGTAAGACGCTGCTTTTGTCGTTTCATTCACCGCAGCTTACAGCATCCCCCTCCTGCTCAATTATACACATATAATTCCCACTTTCATCTCCTTTCTCTCCCCCACTTAGACTCTCTTCCCACCACATTGCATCATGGCCGACCAGGACGTCCTCACCGCCCAGTATACCCCGGAGCAGATTGCCGAGTTCAACAAGCAGCTCGACGGCAAGACACCGCAGGAGGTGCTCGCATGGGCAATCGACAACATTGATGGCCTTTACCAGACCACTGCGTTTGGTCTGTAAGTTGTCCTTTGCTGTTTTTGAATGCGTCAACTGACAACCCCAGCACCGGCCTCGCCGCTGTTGACATGGTGTCCAAGATTTCGATGGAGCGCGAGGAAACCCACCTCGTCCCTCTGGTAAGCCCCACGTTCTACCGTGTCTACCGTCACTGACCACGTTAGATCTTCTTTGACACTCTCCACCACTTCCCCGAGACCGTCCAGCTGGCCAAGACCGTCGAGGAGACCTACCTCGTCCCCGTGACCATCTACACCCCTCCCGGTGTCTCGACCGAGCAGGAGTTTGCCGCCAAGTACGGCGACAAGCTCTGGGAGACTGACGAGGCTAGCTACGACTACCTCGTCAAGGTTGAGCCCGCTGCTCGTTCGTACGCCGACCTCGGTGTGTGTGCCGTCATCACCGGCCGCAGGCGTAGCCAGGGTGCCGACCGTGCCGACCTCAAGGTCATCGAGGTCGACGAGCGTGGCCTGATCAAGGTCAACCCCCTTATCACCTGGTCTTTCAAGGAGGTCAAGGACTACATTGACAAGGAGTGAGTAGCTAGTGGATCGTGACGGACGACAGTAAATTACCGCCACTGTCATCCTTAGTGGAGCCCCCCCCCCGGCTCCGACGATGAGCTTGGTCATGAACTTTGGCTGACCTCGATCAGGAATGTCCCCTACAACCCCCTGCTCGACAAGGGCTACCGCTCAGTTGGCGACTACCATTCGACTGCGCTCCCCGACCCCAACGCTGCTGACGCCGGCGAGCGCTCGGGCCGTTGGCAAGGCAAGTCGAAGAGCGAGTGCGGCCTCCACACCAACTACTTTGACATGAAGAAGAAGTTTGAGGAGAAGGCCGCCGCCACCGCTACCCCCAACGGTACCGAGGCTTAGACAGAGACCGCTAGACACACCTGTATTGATGTATCCTCTATATCTTTTGCTTGCTTGGGCTAAAGGCCAAGCTGGCCAATTTGAGCCCCCAGGTGCCTCGGAACATGTTCCGGCGAACATGAGTCATGGTACGCACAGGATCGCCAGGCGTAGACCGTCTGTGCCCCCGAGCGCCCGTGTCAGCGTCCAGTTTAGATGGTCACGTACTCGGGGATACACTGTTATTGTGTGCACGCGACTGCTGCATTCCGCTCCATCCAATGCACGACAAGAGAAAGAGAGAGGTCGGTGATTGGCATGAACCAACCGCGGCGTTCCAGTTCGAAATTCGTCACCGTTGTCCGAACCCGAGACCCACACGTTCCTCGGCTGCTGGGTTCTGTTGACAATCTCCATTAGCCTTTTGCCGCACACGTTTGACTCGGCGCGTCACTCTTTGTCTTGGTGTTTGTCAACCAAAGCACAACACAGCATATACACAAACACCATCTACACCTCCCGTCGCCGCTTGGCCTTGTCATCCACCACCCACGACGCGGCATCTCGCCCTCCCACGGCTTAGCGCGCGTCTTCGCAGTTCGCCGACGACCATCTTCCAACTTCGCGCCGCCGAGCACGAAGCCGAAGACATCGCAGCTCGCGTCCCCATCGCAGCTGCAATCCCGCTCAGTCATCGCGCGCCGCGACTCAGCCTTTCAAGTAGGCTAGTCGCAACAACGCGGGGTCTGAGCGTCTTCCCCCCCATCGCATGCCGAATCTCCACGCACATTATTACCATGGCAACGTCAAGGCGTTCCGCCAGGAGCTGGATGGAACCCCGGCGGTGAACGGTGGCCAGCGCAGCGGCGCTGGCCCGTCGAGCGCTTCTGGAGGCCGGTCATGGACGCTCACTGCGTTCGCGCAGCCTGTCAAGGGCGACCCGAACGAGCGTGACGCGTTTGGACGGACGTGAGTGTTCGCCGCTGGATGCTGCGCTGTCGCTCTGCTGATACATGACACCGCACAGTGTCCTCCACATTGCAGCGTCGACCGACACGCCCCAGGCATATGCATTCTTCTCCGTCCTCCTGCGGAATCCCAACCTCTCGGTCAACCTCCAAGACTACGAGTCTGGGTATACGGCGCTGCACCGTGCGCTGTACGCGGGCAACATTCGTGCAGCTCGCGACCTCCTCTTGCGCAACGACATTGATGTCAGCGTCAAGGACACCGAGGGGCTTACAGCGTTCGACCTGTACAATGGGACTGTTGAAGGAGTGAGCTGCAAAAGCTTGATTCAAAAGCTGACGTCAGACAAATCCGCCCAGTGGTGACATTGACGGTACCGACCTGTTCGTGTGGGGTGTGAACCGCAACTATTCTCTCGGCACCGGTGACTCGAGCGACAAGGCGTGGCCCGACCGCGTGCACCTCCTCACCCAACGGCAAGCGAGCGATCACCCAGACCCAGCCCAACGTTTCTACAACGTGGGGGTCAAGGACGCCGTCATGGCCAAGCTGCACACGGGAGTCGTCACGACGGAAGCCCGTGGAAACTTGTCTCTGTGCGGTTTCGGCGCCCATGGACGGCTAGGACGCGCAGTACACTCCCAAATGGCGCTGTCGCCGCTGCCGGACATGCCTCACACGTTCACCAAACTTGCTTTGGGCCAGGACCACACCCTCGCCCTCACGTCGGGTGGATACATCCTGGCCTGGGGAAGCAACCGCTACTGCCAGCTGGGATACCCGATGGATGACAAGCCGGCCAACCCGTTTGCCAGGGACGGCGATGATTCCGTCCAGACGACCCCAAAGCGTATTGTCGGTCCGCTCAAGAAGGAATGGGTCCGCGGAGTGGCTGCTGGCCGCATGTCGAGCGCGTGCTGGACCGCCGACGCAGTGTGGACCTGGGGTACCAACCAGGGACACTTGGGCTATGAAAAGGCGTCAACCCCGACACAGGTTAACCCGAGAAAGGTGACAGCCATCTCGCAGCCTGTTATTGATGTGGCCCTGTCTGTGGGTAGTACAATCTCGGAATCCGCTGACCCGCCAGGACTATGCGATGCTGTGTCTCCTTGACTCGCTCGAGGTGCTCTGCTTTCACCATGATACGCACTTCAAGATCAAGTGAGCTGGGACCATACGAATTGAGCTAACCACAGTTTCTCGTCGCCGCAGCGCTCTCTCAAGGCGCCAAAGAATCCCGGACAGGTCACGATGGACCCGAACATTGTCAAGGTTACGGTCTGCGGCCAGACTTTTGCAACACTGTCGCAAAAGGGTGACGTGTGTACATTCCAGCTGCCTCACCCATCTGAAGAAGCGGCCAAAGACGTGCGTGACCGCCATGTCATTGTCAAGCCGCAGATTCAATGGGCATTGCGCAAGAACTTTACGGCCGTCAAGGACATGGCGCTCGGTTCCGACGGCGCAATTATCATCTGCACACACTCTGGCCACGTCTTTGTGCGGCAGCGGATCAAGGCCGGGTCGGGAAAGCTCAAGTTCAGTCGCATTCCCTACCTGCAGCGCATCATCAAGGTCGCGACCAACGACTCTGGCGCGTTTGCAGCTATCCGCGTCGACGCGCGTCCAACCAAGATTGTGTCGGTGGGCAAGACGCTCGAAGAGGACATGTTCCTCCTGCAGCCACATGTTAGGCGCTTTGAGAATCAAATGACCGCCGAGGACTTTGACGCCCGCGTCGCGGCTGTGACGAAGCAGAATGCCGAAGACGACGAAGACGAAGCCTCCAACTCTGTCGCGAGGGACAGCGTGGTGGCGACCTCGCTGTGCCAGATTCTTAGCCGATGGCGCGCGAGCGATGCCGAGACATCGCTGTTTGCGTGGTCTGAATCCTTGCTCGGCAGTGACGTGTCGCTCGTTGTGGGGGACCACTCGATCCCGGCACATAGCGTACTCTTGTCTCTCCGCTCGCCTGTGTTTGCGCGTCTGCTTTCTGGCGGCGCCGTCGAGGGATTTACGTTGCGGCCCAAAAACGAAGACACGTACACCGTCGACATGGCAGACGCTCACCCGCTCGTCCCTCTGTTGCTGCTGCAATACCTCTACTCGGACGAAGTGGCGGCCATCTGGGACTCGCGCGTCGTGTTCCTGCTCTCGACCAAGTTCCCCGACCTCAAGCTCCCCATTGCCCAGATCAAGGCCGACTTGCGGCGGTACGCCGAGATTCTCGAACTGGCACCACTCCTACCCGTTCTTTCCTTGGGCTCCAAATCGGCTATTGCAACCAAGACGCTGGCCACGGATCTGTCCGCCTTTTTCGCGCGCACGTCCACCCCTCCATCGTCGACATGCGACGTCGTCATTGCGCTCGAGGACCGCGAGGTCGCATGCCAGAGCGTCCTCCTCCGAGCACGCGTGCCCTTCTTCGAGTCCATGTTCGCCGACCGCGACTGGACACTGGATAGGCGTGCGGACGGAAAAGTCGTTGTCCGTATGGACCACTTGCGCTGGAGACCCATGAGGCTTGTCTTTAGGTATATCCACGAAGGCGTCGAGGACGACTTGTTCGACTATCTCCACCAGGAGACGCTGGATGAGTTTTTGGATTTCGTGTTTGAGGTTCTTGCTGCAGCCGTGAGTCGAATCCAAAAGGAAAAGGCAGCTGACATCCAGACCGAACTGTTGATGGACCGCTTGGTCCTCGTATGCTCGCGCGTCATTGCACGCCACTGCAACCCGTACAACGCGGCTGCACTGGCCACTGAGGCCTCGTTTTACCAGGCCTCAACGCTCAAGCAGAGCATTTTCGACTACATCATCGAGTGTATGGAGACAATGCTCGAGAGCGGTCTGTTGGATGACATGGACGACGATGTCTTGCGTGACCTCATGGCGACAGTCTCGCGAAAACAGCTCGACAAGGCCATGGTCCCTCGCTCTGGCGTGTTCGTCACCGAGCTCATGAGCAGGCACCGTGAATGGCTTGCTCTGCAAGACATTCCAGTCCCGCGTGTTCGCGCGCCGATCAAGTGGAAACCTCGGTCGCCGCTTCTACAGCCAAGCGACTACCAAGGAGCACGTTCCCCTCGCTCTCCGCTGGCCACTCCCGATTTCAAGCCTCTGCAGCCCTCGTCAGCCGTGGACGAAATCTTCTCCATGGACGACGACGATGTGCCACACCAGCCGTCGCCCAACGTCTACGGTGCAGTGTCGTCTAGTTCGCGGCCCATGACCCCGCTCAGCCTTGGCTGCGCCGGATCGAGCCTGGGCAAGGCGGCCGTGTGGAAGTCCAAGACTGTGCAAGCTGAGAAGGTCGATTTGAGGGATATCATGGCCGAGGCGGCCGCGTCGCGTTCACCCAGAGCCATCCCGTCGACTCCTGCCAAGGTGCCAGTGCGGGGCGCGAATGGATCTCCATCGCTCACTCCGTCGAGGGGACCGACTGGCACGACTCCAGGATCGGCGGGCGCGCCATGGCGCGCCGTCGCGCCTGCCACGCGCACGTCGTTCTCTGCTGTCCAGTCGCAGCAGGCGGCCACCACGACGTCACCGGTGTCAGCTTCTACAGCAGCCCTGTCCACTTCGCCTGTGGCCAACGTCCTCTCGCGCCCAGCGGGATCCATGGCGTCCCCCGTCCCAGCCACCAGTGCCAACCGGGTAATCACGCCCGTCAGGCTGCCCACAAACGCAACCCCTCAACGGCGTACGGGCGCGACGGGACCGGCATGGTCCACACCCACGACCTACGCCGCGCCTCCTCCCCGTCCTTCCCCGGTCACCAACTATGCGTCTATCAGCACCTCGCCTCAGTTCCAATTCCAACCCCAATCCCCACCCCAAGCGCCAGCACAGGCATTCTCGCTACTTGCGATCCAGCAAGAAGAGGCCGCTGCTGCTGCGCTCGCTTCCCAGAAAGCGCAGCTCAAAAGCTTTGCCGAGATCCAAGCCGAGGAAACGGCCAAGAAGGCCGAGGCGGCGAGGGAGGTCGAGTTTATGCGCTGGTGGCAGGAGGAGGAGGCCCGGCTGGCGCAGTTTGCTGGTGGTGCTGGTCCCAGCGCTCCTGGTGGGGCGAGCGGGAGTACCGGTGGGGGTACAAGTGGCAGTGGTGGACGCGGCCGCGGTCGTGGAACGCAGAAGCGTGTTCCGGCCCGCGGAGGGCGTGGCGGCGGGCGTGGCGGTCGGCAACAGGCCGATGGCCGCGAGCCCAAGGAGCCCAAGGAACCCAAGGAGCGCGTCTCCAACCGCGACCCCCGTGAAGCGCGTATTGATGATGGAGATGTCGGTGTCGGAGGGAGTAGTGGAGCCGGAGGAGGCGGAGGAGGTGGGGGCAAGGGTAAAGGCCGCGGTGGCGGCGCGAGGCGCGGTAAGCCGTCCAACAAAACAGAGACGGCCGTATCTAGCTAGGCAATGCATCAGCAGTTGTAATCTCTCTCCACAATGACATCGGGAGGGAAGACGTTAGAGCGGGAAAAACGTCAGACGTGGTGTGTTAGAAGGACTTTTACCTGCTAAAATGCAAGTGGTGACATAATATGACCGGACAACTAAATCTCTTAAGCCTTCTGCGCCTTGGTTTCCTTGGCAAGCTTGATGGCAGTGGCCTTCGGCAGGACGGGGAAACCGTCTGTGACGCTGCGTCAGCTGAGGGCGCCGAGGTTGGGAGAGTCAGTGTAACTCACATGTCAAGATGTCGGAAGAGTACTCCTTCGCCAGGTCGGGACGGCCGAGGTTGATGCAGCGGCCTGTCCTGTTTAGCCCATGTCCTTGTCCCCCGCCTCTCGCTTCGTCTGCGCGTTTCCACTCACCGACAATCTCCTTGGCAGTCTGCTCCGTCACCTTCTTGCCAGCCACACGCCACGACTTGAGCACGGCACCCAGGCCCTCGAGGTCGGCGGGCGTATCCGACAGCTGGGCGACTTTACGGAGCTCGCCCACGCGCTCAATGTTCTTGTTGAGAATGTTGTCGACAATAAGAGCACGGCGCTGGGCGCGGTCCACCGACGAGGACGACGACGAAGCGACAGCGTCGAGGTCGTCAAAGAGGTCGTCGGCGGCGTCGTCCTCGACCTCGACCGACTCGGATGGCTTGGCCCGGCGGGCGACTGGAGAGTTAGTTGGAGCGCGCAGCGAGAGTTGAGGCTTGACGGGGAAAGGTACGTACCGACCGAGGAGGTGTGGAGCGCGCGGAATGAGGTGACAGGCAGACGACGGAGGGCGAGCATGACGGTGGGTGCAATGATGTTGTTGGGTCGATGAGTCTTGCCTTTCGCCTCGACATGACCCGAAAACGCAAGTTAGTTGGAAGTTGAGATCGGCATTAATAGGCGCGTCAAGCACGTAGTTACGTTAGGCGTGCAAACTGTCGGTTGCGCGCCTTGCTATTTTGGTGCGGGGTGCGTTTCAGAGGATATCCGCGAGAGGGGGATGATCGACGCGGCCCCTGGCTGTGCGTGTTGCAGGCGGGGCGGGTCATATTGCTTATGTAATCCCCCCATTTAACACACGCATGCGGGCAACCCTCGTGGCTCGTCTCTCCCATCCGCTCACAGCCTCGTTGCTCATTGACGCGACGTGTCAGTGGTGGTTCCGTCTGTGTGTTTTGGCCCGTTCTCATCCCCTTTCACATTCTTCTACACTTGTTCGTCTCTCCCCCCTTTTCTCCCACTTCATCTTCCAACCCCTCTTTATGCGGTCGACTACACATCGCCGCACGCAGTACCACGACGACGACGACATAGCAGACCCAAGGCCCTGGGAGACTAGAGTCGCACCCAGCACCTACGGTTCTGCTCTCCCCGCGCACACAGCATCGGGCGTCCCTTCGGAATCAGGCGAAGCACTACCGCTCTTCAGCATGGACGCAGAAAAGGAGCAGCTTCTCCAGCAAGACGACTCGGGCAAGTGGGACAAGGGCCATGGCGCCGGCCCCGGAATCGGTGGTCGTCGTGGACTCCCGCCAAGGCAACGATTGGAAGGCTGGGTGAGTGGAGTTGGTGTATAGAGCCAGCCCAACGTTGGTTGTCCCGGAGGAGAGGGCGAGGCGGGCGGAGCTGTCGGCGTACAAGGACGCCTTGCTCCGCTGCAGCTCAAAGAAAATACGCGCAAGGCTCTGCGCGCGGCATTGCTGGCAGCGCCAAAGGTCGCTCCGCAGCTGAGGCAGTGAAGCGCAGCCCCGGGCTATAATTACGCGCGGCAGTGTTCCTCGACACGAGGGGTGGCAGTTCCAGAACAACGCGACGCGACATGTTTGCTGACAATGTTGCAGCGCGGGATTTACCAGGAGCACGAGGAGATTGTGTGGACAGTGGTGTACACGCTCCTGAGCATGATCACTCGTTACTGGCGGATCGGCGCGGCCAACTATGTGGTATGGGACGAGGCCCATTTCGGCAAGTTCGGCACTCACTACATCAATCGCGACTTCTACTTTGATGTCCACCCTCCTCTGGGCAAGATGCTCGTCGGCCTGGCCGGTGTCCTGTCGGGCTACCACGGACAGTTCGAGTTCAAGTCGGGCGTGACTTACCCAGACGACGTGCCCTACACTGCGATGCGCGTCATCCTGGCGTCGTTTGGTGTCGCCCTCGTCCCACTCGCATGGTTCACCGCTGGCGAGCTCGGCTGGTCGCGCTACGCCCGTCACTGGGTCACCATTTGCGTCCTTTGCGACGTTGGATGGCTCTGCATTTCGCGATTCATTCTCCTCGACTCGATGCTCCTGTTCTTCACTTTTACAACCTTCCTTGGCCTCGTCAAGTTCCACAACCAGCGCCACGACGCATTTGGCGACGACTGGTGGATCTGGCTGGTCTTCACGGGATGGTCGATCGGCTGTGTCTGCTCGGTCAAGTGGGTCGGCATGTTTGCCACGGCTGTCGTCGGTCTCTACACCATTGAAGACCTTTGGAACAAGTTTGGCGACCTTTCCATGTCAGCACGCAACTACCTGAAGCACTGGCTCGCCCGCATTCTCTGCCTCATCGTCATTCCTTTCATCGTCTACGCCTCGTGCTTCAAGATCCATTTCATGATTCTCAACCGCTCGGGCCCCGGCGACGCTCAGATGAGCTCGCTCTTCCAGTCCCACCTGGTCGGCAACGACTTTGCCGACTCGCCCCTCGAGGTCGCCTTTGGTTCAAAGCTCACGCTGAAAAACTATGGCTACGGTGGCGGTCTCCTTCACTCGCACGTCCAGACCTACCCGGCCGGTTCGGCCCAGCAGCAGGTCACTTGCTACCACTACAAGGACGACAACAACAACTGGATTATCACCCCGACCTGGGGCGACTCTGTCAACCCTGACGAGGTTCGCTACCTCCAGGATGGCGACACTATCCGCCTTGTTCACTACATGACCAACCGCAACCTCCACTCTCACCCCATCAACGCCCCCGTCACCAAGGAGGCGTACGAGGTCTCTGGCTACGGCAACTCGTCGATTGGCGACACCCAGGACCACTGGGTGGTCGAGATTGTCGACGACACTCACCGTACCAAGTCGGACCAGGCCGACGGCCGCATTCACTCCCTTACCACGCGCATGCGTTTCAAGCACGCCAACCTTGGCTGCTACCTTCGCGCCGCCAACTCGGTCCTCCCCCAGTGGGGTTTCAAGCAGGTCGAGGTCACTTGCGCGAGGGAGAACAACAAAAAGGACGTTCACACCTACTGGAACGTCGAGTCGCACTGGAACGAGCAGCTGCCCAAGGGTAACGTCAAGCTCTACAAGTCGCCATTCTGGCGTGACTTTTCGCACCTCAACGTTGCCATGTGGACGTCGAACAATGCCCTTGTTCCCGACCCGGACAAGGAGGACATTCTCGCGTCGCAGCCCTTCGACTGGCCATTCCTTCACCTCGGTCTCCGCATGTGTGGCTGGGGTGACAACATGATCAAGTTTTATCTCCTGGGTACCCCCATTATCTGGTACTTTTCGACCATTTGCGTCGGACTCAGCCTCGTCACCGCCGGTTGGTTCCTCCTCCGCATGCAGCGTCACTACAACGACTGGCTCCCGGGCCAGTGGGACCACTTCCTCTACGTCGGCAAGTATGCCTTCTTTGGCTGGTTCCTACACTACGCTCCTTTCCTCATCATGGGTCGTGTCACCTATCTCCACCACTATCTCCCGACGCTGTGGTTTGCCGTGCTGCTGGCAGGACACATGCTCGACACGTATATTTTCTCGTCCCCTCGCTGGTCGGACAAGTCCAAGCTGGTTTGGTTTGTCCTGTGGACCGTGTCTGTTGTCGTCAACTTCTGGTGGTTCAAGGACCTGGCCCTTGGTATTCACGGCCCGGTCAACGACCACCCAGGTTGGCAGTGGCGCGACACGTGGAACGTGAGTTGTCTTGACAGAGAGTTCGTGTTCGACAACGGTATGCTGACTTGTCTTTTCCCAGATCTACAACCGCTAAAACACACACGCACAACTTCCCCGATGTAGCTTTGAAGAGATAGCAGTGCTCAATCAGAGTATAACCCCCCCAGTGCATGAATGTCATAGATCCCGCACTCTGTCTACAAGTCCCGCACCCACATCTCAAACCTATACTTTGTGCCCTTCTCTTCCACCTCGCCCTCGGGCACCTCCCACCCAACCCACTCACACAGGTCCTTGTGACTGGCCTGCCTCCAGCTCTTGTCCGACGTGAAGTCGGCCAAAAAGGCATCGCACTCAATCTTGTCCAACACACGCGTGAGCAGCACGCGGTCACAGTAACGGGGCAGAGCCTGGTCGTACAGCTGGGCGCCGCCAATGAGGAACGCGCGGTGTGTCGACTCGGGCAGAAGCGTGATTGCGTCCTCGAGCGAGCCGTGGGCCGTCGTGTTGGTGTTGTTGCTGACGTCGACGCCGGCGCGCGACACGACGAGGTTGTGCCGGTCCTTCAAGGGACGGAACTTGGGCGGAATACCGTCCCACGTCTTGCGCCCCATGATGACTGCGTTGCGGGATCCGGTGGGCAGCGTCGATGCTTCGCCAGTGGTGACTGTGGGGCGTGAGTTTCAACCCAAAAGGTGCAGCTCACCTCGTGCAAAGTACTTCATCTCACCGGGGAGACGCCACGGCAAGCCGCCGTCGCGTCCGATACCGCCCTCTACCGTTGCTGCGACGATGGCTGTGAGGCGGGGTGATGTGGGCATGGTGGTAGAAGGTGTGTGGTATTTGTTGACAAGAGACGCGTCGCGTCCACAAAAGTCAACGACTCCAGGTGGAAATGACGGCTGCGCGGGGATTAACGGGGTGGGCCACATAAGGTGCGGTGTTCGGGCCTGCTGGCAATGACGATGTGCTGTTCTCGACCCTCGCCGTCAGATTGGGACTCTTCCTCTCATCCATCATCCACAGCACCATGCCCGTACGTCGAGGCACTGCGCAGCGCAGAGCAAGCGCTGACCATACTCCCAGGCCTACCACTCTGCGTTCAACGACGAGCCCGTCCAGCAGGCGGGCAACACGGCCATGCTGCCGTTCAACCACACCAAGGCGCGCGGCAACGCCCCACAGGCCGGTACGTTGCCGACGTCCACGCCCGTCTTGCTCCTTGTGCAGTGTACATCTGCTGACAGGCTGCAGCCGACCCCAGCCAGCCGGATATCATCGAGGAGGCGCTCGACCTGTTCCGCGCCAACTGCCTGTTCCGCAACTTTGAGATCAAGGGTGCGTCACCGCAAGCAACCGCGCGCGCACACAGCCGCATTACTCGTCGAATCACTGTACTGACACAGTGTCTTCACAGGCCCCGCGGACCGTACACTCATCTACCTCATCCTGTTCATCTCCGACTGCCTGACCAAGATTGCGCCCGCACCGGGCCGCCCATCCCCCGGTCACGTCGAGGCCCAGAAGAGGCTGCAGACTCTGAGCGTGGACAGCTTTGCGCTCCCCGGTGACGCCGGCTTCCCCCTCAACAGCATGTACCACGCCCCCGCGTCACGTCACGAGGCCGGTGAGTGCCCCATGGGGGAGTGTGTTGTGCGGTCGTGGGTGATGTAGGCATCCGTTTTGTCAGCTTCTCGCGTCGGCATCAAAGCTGGCACCGCGGAGCCCACTGCCCACTTACCCGCCTCAGACACTGCCCCATGCTCGTAACGAGTTCGCTGACAGACTCCCCAGACCAGCTCCGCTCGTACCTCACCCACGCGCGCACCGAGACTGCCCTCCGCCTCGTCGACCGCTTGTACCCGCAGGAGCAGCTTCTCGGCGCCGACGGCCAGCCCACTGGTCAGCTCGGTGCCCGCGCCGCGCAGCCCAGCAAGTGGTGGATGTCGTTCCAGAAGCGCCGCTTCATGGGCTGCTCGCTGAGTGCTTAAAGCAGCATGCCGTTGGAGCAGGTGGGACAGAGATGACGGATACGCGCGGGACGGAGCTGCGCGCTGCCTGCCGTGCGATGCGGCGCCCGAGCATGCCCGCAGCGGGGGTGAGCACTGGCGGCGCACGCCGTCGAATTAGAAGTAGCAGAATGATGATGATGCAAGGATTGTACGTGCCCTCCAGTGTCGAGGGACCGACCCTCTTCTGTGACTCGTGTGCGGGCGGGGTAGACGGGGATGCGGACGAGGCGATGTGAGTTGGTCTGATGAAGGGATCAGCGCATTGTCCTCTCCTTTCCCCGGAAGCGAGTGAAGTGTGATTGTGAATGATGAGGGGCCCACAGTGGATCAGTTGTTATCCGTAGCTTTTGGTGAACGTGCGTTCTGAGCACTGCACGGCGCAGGCTCATAAGTCGCGACATGCATCGAGAGAGCCTCCAACTCCCACAAACTACACCTCCCACCATCCTGTCAAACCATCCTCACCGCCTGCCTGCCAGTCGCCATGTCCACCACCAATTCCGCCACATGCTCGTCCGCCGCTGTCCCGTTTGCCGTTGTTCCCACTGCCCACCTCCATGTCGTCGACAGCAACACCACGGGCGCCACCTTGTCTTCGTGGTTGACCTGGGACGCTCCGCACAACCTGCATGCCCCACTCCTCGCGTACCTCCGCCAGCAGTACCCAGACATGGACACCGACATGCTGTACTTTGTCGCCATCCGCCTCCTCAGCCGTGAGATCCCGTACGGCTATGAAGGAGAGTGGGCGCCGATCGGGACGGTCCAGGGAGACGAGGCCGTCCTCACTTCTTCTACGCCCAGCGTCAACGGCTCCGGCTCCGGCTCCGGCTCCACTGCCACCCCGAGCTCCAACGGACACACGGGACACCCCCACTCGCGTATTGATCAACTCGTCGCCGTCGCCCGTCGCAGTTACACCCTCCTCGAGATGAGCTGCCCGGCCCAGGTTGGCAAATTGTAAATCACCACGCCTGAACAGCCGCACACCTAAACACACCCAAAACAAACAAACACAACAAACATAAAATACACCGTGGCGATCCGATACTGCACTTCCAAGAACACAGCAAGTCAGTCGAGCCGTCTGAAACCGTGAAGCGGGTGGTGCGTGTTCGCCGGAGCATGTAATGGCTTTGTTGTGGGGGAGCCTGTTACTGACTGCCAGCTCGGTGTGACAAGTAGACCCGCGAGCAGGAGTGCAACAACGACATAGGAATTATTGACTGAAGCGCGTCCTACGCGGTATTGTTTACGAAGACTTCTGTCTATAGACTACCAATATACATGTTTTGCAGCTTGCGATATAAATTGACCACGAACCGCGTCCACGTATTGACATGAGCAAGGTGCAGTGCGGAGATTGGGGGGTGGGGGGGGGGGGGGGCGATCAAGCCAACTGAAAAGAGGAAAATAATTAAAACAATAACCAGCTTGCATATGCCTCTTGCCCTGCAATCCGGTGCACCCGGCTGGGACAACCCGGAGCTCTCTGTCCTCTTCCTTACACCCCAAGCAAGGAAGTGTGGGGGTACAGGTACCCTAGACCCGTCTCTTAAACGACGTGTACCCTCATTTGCTGCTGTCAAACGATGAAAACGAAAACGAAATCGGCGCAAAAAGATGACAGCATCCGCCACACACACCACCCACACGCTGCTGTCGTCGCTGTACACTCCCAACTATGCATACACGCCCTTTCTGGATGTCACCTACGCCCCTACTCTGCTCTGCAGATCTGCACTGCCATATGGTGTTCCAACGACGACGTGACTGCAATCATCCTCAAAAAGGATGTTTTGTCTCACGAGGAGAAGGTAGAAGAAATTCGAACGTGCGTATTCTGGGACAGCCCCGGATCTTACTAGTAAAAGGCGAGTGAGATGTTAAACATTGAGTTATCCCAGCGCACGTGCTGGTCATTTTTTAGAGGTCTTTTGAATGCACTGTTCGCCCGCGCCCCCCCTACGTCCGTCGATACACAGGGCGCGCCATGTTCAACGAGCAGTCCTAATTGTCCTCATCCCTGCTCGGGCCGTCCCAACTTCTCCCGCTGGCTAGCCACTCGCGCACTCGCGCACTCGCGGCCACTCGGCACGTCGGATGCAGTCGTGCTGAAAACCTTGGGTGAAAAGGAGCCCTCATATGACCTCGTCGTGGACAGTTTGTGGAGATTGACTGCGGCTGACGTAGTAGACGAGGGACGGCATTCGTGGATGATAGTTAGTTCCATTCATGGCTCCCGTCGGCCGCTGGCCGCTGGGGGGGTTGCATTCGTCGCCGTTTGCCCACGTAAGCCCAACAAACATGTCCCTCACACGGCGACTTGAGGCATGTAAGCCAACGAACATTACCCTCACACGGCTACTTGAGGCAAGGTGGACGGGCAGATCGCGCAGTCGGTACCCATTCGTGTCTGTAATACCAGATGCCCCATCGTGTCGAGGCCGTCGTGGAAAACCATGTCCAGGACGCGGCCCCTGCATGAGTGAAGAACACCACCCGGTCGCCCGTGGCGGCCGCCGGTCGATCGCAGCTACGCAGCCATCCGGCTGACCCGGCGGGATGGCGGCAGTCTCCATGGGGGAGTGGTGAGCTACCATGGCCACAACACACACCTTCGCCATGCATCGTCGACCTCGCTGCAGCTCCCGGCTTGCTTGATTACTTCTGTCGCGCTGTCCTTTCAGAGCTGTCTCCATATACATGTCAGCTCACGTGATCTCCGTGTTTTGCGGCCCGCTCCTGTTGTTGCATCTCGGGGTCGTTCCTGTGCGCTCTACGTTTTGGATGGCGGTGCGCAGCGCGCCTCGTTTGGTGGCTCGTCGCCACAGCCGGTCTGGACCCCCGCCCGGCCGCCCAACGGCACTTGCCCATATGCATGCCTAGATGAAGCTGCTGCCGTCCTTGTCCTGCAGGCGATGCATTGCATGGGAACACCAGACGCATGCGCTAGACGCCGAGGAGCAGCAGGCGGGGGCCGGAGCGAGCGAGCGATCCTGACGGGCCACAACCCATGCCATGACATAAAAGGGCGCGGCTGGCCAGGCGCGACCGTTTCGCCTTTTGGTATACCCACCAACAACCGGGGGGGTGCGGCTCGCTCGTCGTCTCTCTTTCTCCACTCTCCACGACCTCCACGTCCTCTTACCCCACTCGTTAATGTAAACTCGCTATCGTCGCCGTCTCTCTGTCTCTCGCATCCTCGGCCCCCCCACCCCCCCCTCACCAGTCAACACCACCAACAACAACCACTCCACCCGCCCACGCCTCCGCCCCCATCATGACCCTCAAGGCCGAGGACAACACGTCACAGGCAGACAAGGTTATGGCGGCGGGCCTCCCCCCTTCCCCCTATCCAGCATCGTCGTCCCCAGCTCCGTCGACCTCCAAACCGCGCCTGAAGCGACTGGCATCTAAGCCGCTCAAGCCGCTCAAGCTGGCCGGCTCGGCCGTCTACTCGGTCGCAACGTTCCCGGCGCGAATGGGCAGCACCGGCGGGACGGGTACTCCATCGGCCGTCGACGACGAGGACCCGCTCGCCCCAGCGTCCACCGCGACGACTTCGCGCCAGGGCACCTGTTCGACTGCGTCCACGCTTCTCGAGCCGCCGAATGAGGTCACCGCAGCTGCTTCCGCGAAGAAGCGTGGCTTCACCCGCCGACGTAGGCACCACCAGAACGTCGGCGGCAGCATGATCCTCGACGCGTCCCAGGTGGTTGCCACTGCTCGGGGCCCGCGCAAGCCTCTCGAGGGCGAGGAGCCTGCCGCTACGCTCCGTGTTCGCGTCGTCAGCGCCGAGGGCCTGGTCGCAAAGGACCGCAATGGTCTCTCTGACCCGTAAGCACCGAGGCCAACTACGCCACAGCTGTGCATGACTGACGCGCCAAACAGCTACGTGTCCGTCTTGATGCCTCCTCAGACCCGGTTCACCACGTCAGTCATCAAGCGGTCGCTCAACCCGACCTGGCCGGCTGCCGGAAGCACGTTTGACTTTCCCATCTATCTTTCCCTCGCTGGCGTGATCGGCGGCCGCGGCCTCGAGGCTGTCATGTGGGACAAGGACATGATCGGCAAAGAGTACATGGGCGAGCTATTCGTCGGCGTGGACCAGTGGTTTGCCGGTGGCTCTGCGCAGCTGTGGGACGAAGGACTGAAGGTAAGTGCAACGGTGATGCCGAGGTCCTCGTCGTCGTCGACGAGGGAGACTAACGCAATAGCCAAACTCGTTCGAGCTCGTCTCGACCCGTCGCAAGCAAAAGGTGTCGGGAAGCGTCCAGTTGCAGATGGGATTCCTCAGCCCGCCTGGCGCGGCCAACGCGGCCGACGCACTCGCAAAGGTTCGCAAGGTCTTTGACACTGTCCTCTCAAGGGCATTCCTCGGGAACCAGTCTGGTGTTCTCGGTGTCCCTGCGGTGCGTACCACATGCTCCCCCGGATAACGCCCTGCTGACGTATCCTCCAGTACGAGGGCATCGGCACTGTTGTGATGACCGACGACGACCAGCACACTACAAAGGCGGGATTTTCGGTTCTGACGTCGGCCCTTGTCGCGCCTCTTGTCGGCCCGCCACAAGATACCTCCTTGGAGCAGTACTACCTCAACGACGGTCTTTCAAGCTCGGACGAGGACGAGATGGAGGACGCCCTGCAAGGCGACGACGATGGACTCCTGCACGAGTCACCTGCCAACATGCTTGACGCGTCGCCTCTCGACGAGGCAGGTGTCCAGCTCATCGACCAGAAGCTCGCCGAGACCAAGCTGCACCCCGACCAGCCTACTCTGTCCTCGTCGCCCCGCAAGCCGTGGAGCCGCCGTTCGTCTGGCGGCGAGTCGTCTACGCCCACCACCCCTGGCATCCCCGGCACCCCGGGCACTGTTGCCAAGAAGCGCAAGACCATCTTCCGTCGTGGCAAGTCTGCACGATCCCGCCAGTTCAACCTTGGCGACAACAAGGGCGTGCGCGGTATCGTCGTCATGGAGATCAACGGCGCCGAGGACTTGCCCAAGATCAAGAATGCCATCAAGCTCGGCTGGGACATGGACCCCTTTGTGGTCGTCTCGTTTGGCAAAAAGGTCTTCCGTACCCGCGTCATTCGTCACTCACTCAACCCTACATGGAACGAAAAGCTCGTCTTCCATGTGCACGAGCACGAGGAGCAGTTTACCGTTCAGATGGCTGTGCTCGACTGGGACAAGATCTCGGGCAACGACATGGTCGGCACGTGCACCCTCCCGCTCCAGGAGCTCATGCAGGACGCGCCTCAGCCCGACTCCGTCTCTGGCCTGTACGGTAAAGGCGTCGACGGCAAGCACGAGACCAAAGAGTTTAGCTTGCCCATCACCACTCAAAAGTCGTCGCCGTGGGAGTCCCGTCACGCGCCCATGCTCAAGATCCGTGCAAAGTACGAGCCCTATGACGCCCTTCGTCAGCGTTTCTGGCGCCAGTACGCCATGCAGTACGACTCGGACGACACTGGCGCTATATCGTACCTCGAGCTGTCGTCCATGCTTGACTCGCTCGGCTCGACCCTCACGAACAAGACCATTGAGGGCTACTTTGCCAAGTTTGGCAAGTCGGCCGACAAGGACGAGCTCACGTTTGACGAGGTTGTGCAGTGTCTCGAGGGCGAAGTGTCCAAGACACGCGACCAGAAGCGCCACCTCTCCGACGCCGTCGACCCCACCGAACTGAGTAACCGCTTGCTCGACTCGAACTGGCCTCGCGATATCAACGGCGGCGGTGGCAGCGACTACAGCAGCGAGAAGAATGGCACCGACGCGGCGGCGACTGGCTCCGACTCTACGCCGGCTTTCCGTTCCAACACTGTCCCGGCGCTTAAAGTCGAGTCTTACTCGGCCGTCAGCTCGTCGCCGGTTAGCTCGGACGTGGAAGACTCCGAGGTCCCGGGCATGTCCGTTGAGCGCGTCATCAACATTAAAGAGTGTCCTCTCTGCCACCGGCCACGCATGGGCAAGCGATCTGAGCAGGACATGGTCACGCACCTTGCCATCTGTGCGTCTGTGGACTGGTCGCGTGTCGACCGCATCGTCTCTGCGTCGTACGTTACCCCGAGCCAGGCCCAGCGCAAGCTTGTTTCCAAGATTATCAACAAGGTGGCTGTGGGACAGTACTCGTTGGGCGCCAACTCTGCCAACATCCTGGTGCAGGACCGCCTTACGGGCCAGTTGCAAGAGGAGAAGATGGCCGTGTATGTGCGTATCGGTATCCGAGTCCTGTACAAGGGTGCCAGGACACAAATGGCGGGTGCGCGGGCGCGCAAGCTGCTCAAGTCCATGTCGGTCAAGCAAGGAACAAAGTACAACTCTCCCTCGTCGGCTGCGGACATTATGCCGTTTATTGCGTTCCACAACCTCAACGTTGCCGAGATCAGGGACCCGCTCAGCTCGTTCAAGACGTTTAACGAGTTCTTTTACCGCAAGCTCAAGCCCGAGGCACGGCCCCTCGACGAGCCCGACAACCCTTACCGCCTCGTGTCTGCCGCCGACTGCCGCATGATGGCTTTTGACACGGTCAGCGACGCGACCCAGATCTGGATCAAGGGCCGCGACTTTTCCGTTGCGCGTCTCCTGGGCCCCGCGTACCGCAGCCAGTGGGACAACTATGACGGTGGCGCGTTGGCCATCTTCCGTCTCGCTCCCCAGGACTACCACCGCTTCCACTCGCCTGTCCGTGGCCGTATCGGCAAGATGACCATGATCGACGGCGAATACTACACCGTCAACCCGCAGGCCATCAGGACTGCGCTCGACGTGTATGGCGAAAACGTCCGCAAGATTGTGCCCATTGAGAGCGAAGAGTTTGGCACCGTCATGACCGTCTGGGTCGGCGCAATGAGTGAGTTGAAAGTACTGTATCGTCAACTGACATCCTCAGTGGTCGGCTCCATCGGCACATCTGTGGAGGAGGGCCAAATGGTCGACCGCGGCGACGAGCTCGGCTGGTTTGCGTTTGGCGGCTCGACCATTGTGTGCATCTTTGAAAAGGGCCGCGCGGTCTGGGACGAGGACATTCAGGCCAACGGCGCCGCAGCGATCGAGACGCTTGTCCGCATGGGCATGGGGATTGGCCGTGCCCCCCAGAACGTTTCGCGCAGGGGCAGCGCGGCCACCCCGTAGATGAAAAGAAGCCCCCCCTTTAGAAACGATCCGTTACCTCTTTTTTTTCTTTCTTTGTTTTTTTAGTAGTCACCCACCACCACCCCCACAGCAATGACCAGTACCACTTCGTCCTCTTGTAGGACTCCAATATATGTTAGCATCGTGCATGAGACCGTACAGGATGCGCAGGGCAGTGGGGTGCAGCGGGGATGGTGGCTGTAGGGGACCACTGCCTGGCAATGTGGCGAGGTGGATGAATGGGACCTGCGTTGGCCTTCGAGATGACTGGCCCATGCCGGGGGAGTGCCCCTGACGTGGTCGTATTCAACGTCGGCCGCAGCGTTCACGTCAAGCAAGCAAGCAGGCTCCAGAGCACCCCTTGCCGATCCGGCCCCCCCACAAGTGTATCCAGACTTGCCCTGCAAACCTACTCCTCCCTCCCTTGCTGATATCATCCCTACATCGGCCATGACTCTCGGCGGCCTCCATTCACTCCACTCCCATCTAAACCTCGTCCAACTGGAACAGGGGGGGGGGGGGGGGGGGCGGGATAACTCTGCATACCAGAGACCCTTCACTGCCATTCGCCAGAGCGCACTGCGCACTGCTCTGTCCCGACTGGCCAGTTGCTGGCCCCATTCTAGTGACTAGTGCAGCGCAGTAGTAGTGTAGTGTAGTGTACGTGCTCGGCCGTGATCACGGCAAGCGCCACCCCACCTCGGACCGAGAACGGGGGCCAGACGAGCCCAAGGAGTTAGATCGACATTAAGTGGTAACCCTCTCTCGCGTGTCCTTGATTGATCCAATCTAACCAGCAAATACGCGTCGCTCGTCAATCTGCAGCCAGTAACGTCGTCGCGTTCGTACAGCTGATAACGCGTCGTCGAACCACAAGCTAGACAAGATGACAGACGCCTCGAAGACGGACAAAGGCGCGCGCGGCCCTGAGACGGCCCGCGGGGGGGGAGGTCCTGCCGAAATCTGAATCTCGCCTCAGCCAACCGGAACGCGGCCAACGATCGCTTCACAGTCGGACGTCGACGGACGTCGACGGGGGTGGATGCACATGTACATGCATATGTCGGGGATCCGGGGTCCTCCTGTAAGCCAGTCAGGACCGGCCGAGATCAGAGAGAGAGAGAGAGAGGAGGTTTACTGATTAATCTGACCCTTCCCTGGATTGGACGGCCCAACGATCCAACGAGCGGCGACCAAGAGCGGTCCACTCGCGGCCGGGCTTCCAACTCGGGCAAGCCACGCACCATCCGATCTCACGAGCACCTCCTCCTCCCCCATCCCCCCCTCCGTACTCCCCCGGATGCGCGGGGTACCGCCTCGGGGCTGACGAGCCTGTACGCCCGATTTCTCGGCCCCACACGCACACACGCATCGCACAGAGCGGAGCCTCAATTGTCCGCTGGCTGCCACCCCGGTGGCGGCGGACGGTTGGCCGACCAGTGGCTTCTGTGATGATTTTGACATTAGTGGCCACGGGCAAAGACCACAGTTGTGGCCTTGGAACTTGTCCCACTGTATTGGGGAGATGTGTGGCTGATGTATTCGTGCTTGAAATTCCTTATCGCACATGGATGGCGGCTTGTGGAGGGTCAACAACGACATGGGCTGCTGGTGGTGGCGGTTCCGCAATAGTTACCAAGGTCGTTTTTCGCCGTCTAGTTGGCGGATACCTGGCCACATGACGTTTGGACGAGTTCCAATGACATGTATCACGACAAGCACGCCAAGTACATTGCTTCATGCCCACAGATGAACAGTCCAGCGCTCCCGAACAAGTTTGGGGGATTGTGACGTCCGGGACAACATGGACGTCGTGCCGGCGATGCCACTCCCATCTCCACTGTTTCCCTCCCTAGCAGACACCGAAGCCACGGCCTGCGCTCTCTCTCTTAGCACGCCCGCGCCAGCGCCAGCGCCACACTCTCCGCATCGCCCCCACGCGCCACGAAGAGAAGGTGTGTGTCGTCACGACAGAACCCCCCAGCGCGGTGGATACCGACCGCCACACGCCTCCAGGTCCGCCCGCACTCCCCACTCGCCTCCCCACTCCATGGGTGTGGTGTCGTCCCCAGCTATAGCTCCCAAGCATGCGTCTATCTGGTGCCTTTACGCACACGACACGTAACATGCATACCGCACTGCGTCCCACTGTGACTGCCAAAAAGTCCTATCGCTCGCGCTGATTGTACCTCCCCCCGCGCGGTAGCTCGCGATGGGCGATGGGAGAAACGTGTGTTGTTGGTTCGTGGCTGGGAATAACCCGTTTACAATTCCCGTGTGCGCCGGGGGAGAAGAGGGGAAAGAGGCACAGCACACACACACTCTCGGGAAATGGAGAATGGTGCGTTGCTGCTACTGGCGACGGCGTCGCCGTTCGCTTCCTCCTCGGATCGCGTGTGCGGCTCTTCTGCGAGGTGGACGCAGGTCCACGCTTCTCTCGTAAATGAACGGGCGCGTCCACCGCGAGGAGGCGTATGGAGGTGGCCGAGTGCCACATGTGCTGATGCTGTGTCTTGAAGTGGATGCACTGTTCTGCCGCTCCGCCCTGGGTAATTAGGAGGACAGCGGAGGCCTGTGCTCGCAGGACTCGCTTGGCACAGACCGTGCAGGACGCAGGACGCCTTGCTCCTTGTGCAGCTGCGATACGGCTGCCGCGGGGCTGTCATTTACAGATTGAATACGTGCTTGCATCGTTGTCTTTGATCACTACTCCATCACACGACCGGGGTGTCTGAGGCATCGGTAGTCACCTGCAGCTGTTGATGACGCTGTGTCTTACAGGAGTATTTGTGCACTCGTATTGAAGGGACGCACGACTACGGAACACGTTCGGGGTGGAGCACATTCGAGTCGGCGCGCTGTCGGAAACGGCCGGAGAGCGCAGGAGCGCAGGAGCCCGAGAGATAAGCACGGCGTGATTGAAATGCATTTTGCATGGGAAGAGCCAATTGGGCGGGGGGGGGGGGGGGACATGCAGCTTTCGTTATCATCCCACGGCAACCTTGGCGCGCGGCGTGAGCGGTGAGACCCGGAGGAGGCAGGCTTTGTGTCAGGGACCAACGCAGGCAGGTGGTGGCAGCACGGGCGCGGGGGTGGCGCATCCGGTCCATATCTCCGGCAAGGAGGGCTCTACAATCTGCACACGCGCGCACGGGAAACAAGACACCTCCTGCCTGACCCAAGGACGGACAGTCGAGATAAGTGAACCCATCGATAAGCTGCACCATGGGTAACGCCTGTCAGGAGCCAATGAGGCGCCGCTGCGATCGTCTATCGGAGACCGGCTACCCCGCCCCGCCCCCCCTTCCCCCCTGGACCACCAAGAGCCACACTGGCCCGCGCATCAACCACACACGCCACATCGTCCTGCCCGCCCCGAACGATATCGTTTATAAAGCTGGGGGGCCTGTGTTACGGTCGTGATTCCCAGCAACCCACTTTCTACATTCTTCTTCACTATGGTGGTGAGTAACCCCTCTCGCGAGTGGACCCATCCTCGAGTCACTGCGCCTCTCAAGGCAGTCGACTTGGGTGGCCGCCACCACCGCGCACCGCACACCGTCCACGTCCACCATTTCTTACACTCTCCCAGAACGTTACATACGATGCCTCCGGCGACCTAGTGTCGACGTTGTCAGACGGTACCACCGCCGTCTACAACCTGGGCGATATTGCGTGGAGTGAGTCTCAATGCATGGCCGCAACGACCGCTATCAGTTGGCTGACCACCGCCCCCCCAGTTGTCACCGCAATGGCCCTTGTTTGGATCATGATCCCCGGTGTCGGTCTCTTCTACTCTGGTCTTTTGCGCCGCAAAAACGCTCTTTCTATGATCTTCCTGTCCATGGCGGGTGTCGGTGTCGGCTCCTTCCAGTGGTTCTTCTGGGGTTACTCGCTTGCCTTTGCCGACAACGCCTCTGCGTGAGTGGGCCTTATCTCCCCGGCTGTGTGGCGTGGCACGAAAACTGACGCTCCTCCCTTTTCCCAGTTTCATCGGAACCCTCCGTTACTTCTGTCTCAACAATGTGCTTGACGCACCCTCGATCGGCTCGTCGCGCATCCCTGCTCTTCTCTTCTGCATCTACCAGTGCATGTTCGCCATCATCACCGTGGTCCTCGCGTGCGGTGGCTTTGCCGAGCGCGCAAAGCTCGGCCCCGTCCTCGTCTTCATGTTTGTGTGGTTGACCATTGTCTACTGCCCCATTGCGTGCTGGACCTGGAACTCGAACGGCTGGACCTTTATCCTCGGCGGCCTCGACTTTGCCGGCGGTACCCCCGTCCACATTTCTTCCGGTACCGCTGCCCTCGCCATTTCCGTCTACCTCGGCAAGCGTCGCGGATGGGGCACTGAGCGCCTCGCCTACAAGCCCCACAACACTTCGTTTGTCGTCATCGGCACTGTCCTCCTCTGGTTTGGCTGGTTTGGCTTCAACGGCGGTTCGGCGCTCTCGGCCAACCTCCGCGCCATCCAGGCCTGCATCGTCACCAACCTCGCTGCTTCTGTCGGCGGTCTTACCTGGATGATCATTGACTGGCGCCTCGAGCGCAAGTGGTCGGCCGTTGGTTTCTGCTCGGGCGCCATCTCGGGCCTTGTCGGTATCACCCCCGCTTCGGGCTTTGTGGGCTCGCCCGCCGCCGTCGCCATTGGCGTCGTCACCGCTGCCGGCTGTAACTTTGCCACCAAGCTCAAGTACGTCATCAACGTCGACGACACCCTCGATGTGTTTGCCTCGCACGGCGTCGGCGGCTTCATCGGCTGTGTCCTCACTGGTCTCTTTGCCGACTCGCGCGTCGCTGGCTTTGACGGCCTCACCGAGATCCCCGGCGGCTGGATCAACCACAACTACATCCAGCTCGGCTACCAGCTCGCCGACGCCACCTCGGGCATGGCCTACTCGTTCGTCATGACCTCGATCATCCTCTGGATCATGCACTTTATCCCCGGCCTCAACCTTCGTTGCGACGAAGAGGCCGAGATTGTCGGCATGGACGAGGCCTTTGTCGGCGAGTTTTACGTCGACTTTGTCGGCGCCGACCCCGAGCTTCGTCTCCACCGCGTTCCCTCCAGCCCCATCGAGATGCCCGCCATGCGCACCTCTGCCGAGCAGACCAAGATTGGCGAGGGCGAAGAGCACCCGGCCGAGAAAATCGAGGCTGCTCCCTCGGCATCCTCGACACAGTAGATCGAGGAGAGCTATTAAGCCATAGCATGAGGGGGGGGGAACACTAGCATAGACAACTCTTTTTCCTTTTTTTAATTCACAAGTTAGTACCATATAGCCATTGTCCGGGGCCAAGTGCGCCACCGCATGCACTTCTAGATAAAATACTACTCTGCAGATGGTTCTTTCTTGCCGCCACAGTGCTTCAGAGGTGGACGTGAGCAGCTTGTGTTTTTTTGTGCTCCAGACAGTGACTTGACGGTGGAGACCAGGAGGAACCTTTGCGGTCATGGACACGGTGCCACAATTGCTGCGGGACTGTTGAAAATTTCGTCTCTTCACTGGCCCCCGCCTCTGGCCAAGGCCCTTGGCACGAGTCGCCACTCTGTGCATATGCACTACTCCTGCCACAGCCATACCCAATCGCCAATACCTGCAGCATGCAATACCGGGGATTGTTGTACCCAGGACCAACCAAGAGGTGCACACTGCCCGGTGCCAAGGTGCCACAGTGCGGGTGCCAAGCCAAATTTTCGGTGCCACTCGGGTAATGGCTTCTTGTGCTTCTGGTGGGCGGGGGAGCCGGGGGAGTTTGGGCGGAGGCGGCGGCAGGCGGCAGAGGTGGGCGGGAGCCCCGACCACTGCCAGCGCAAAACACCCCAAGGGCCCCTACGGTGAGCGGCCAGCCAGGCAGCTGCAGCCAGGCAGCACAGCGGTGTACAGCAACGGACAGTGCAAAGGGAACGCTCAACACCACCATCCACCCACCCCCACACACTCCACACCCACCCGCCATGTCCATGGACGCACCAACATTACACGACGGCGCAGCCATCACGCAGGTGGCGACGCGCGAGAGCACGAGGAGCAACAGCGGGCTGTCGAGCTTTCGGGACAAGATGAACCGGGCACTGTCACCAGGGCGAGCGCCGAGCGACCGGCGAACCAGTTCTCTCTTTGGTGAGTGGAGTGTGAAATGGGTGTGATGATGTGTGTCCGTCTTGTGCTGCCCGTACGCCTCGCCGTCACGCTGCTCCCTCCCTCCTGGGCCTGTGCTCCTGGCTCTGCTTATCCAGCTATCGGAGGCGCATGGGGGTGGGATGGATCCCTTGGAAGAGATAAGAGAATATGGGCGAGGCCTCCCGGTTGGCTGGACGGGATGTGATGGGTCGGTGGGTTGAGTGGTGTGTTTATCCATGGGCCCGTGTCTGTCTCTCTGCCGTCTCCCCCCTGAGGCAGTCATTGCATGGGCCTCTGCCCGCTGTGCGTGTGGAGAACTGCCCTCTCCCGTCCTTATCAGCAGCTCGCTAGCTACCGCGGGGGAGCAGCGGCGGCGACAGCTTTCAGACACAAACGACGCGCGGAGTGCACCGGAAGCTGGGTGGTTGCCAAAGCCCCGCCCACTGGCCAATAGGGATCGGCGGCGAGATACGCACCCTCCCCCCCCCGTCGTCGCTCTATCTGGCGGGTGTGTTACATTCTGCGCGTTCTCAATCGGGCACGCTCGATGGCACAACTCTCGGGTGGCATGCTCTGCTGGCTGATCTGGCTGCTGGCCGCTGGCCGCTGTACACCGTCATGCACTTGGCCAGTCACTGCTGCTCCATCTTCCGCTCCGGTCCCACTCCCATCACAAGGCCGCACAGGCCCGTCTATCCCGATCCACCTGCCATCGCATCCCCTACCCACGCCTAATTCCACCCACTCCGTTCCTCTCATATCTCTTCATCTATCCACCCTTCACAACATCCCCCCTCCCCCCCCCCTCTCTACCACACGTTATCATCCACACCCCGACGTTTGCCACCCACCCACACCCAACCTCTCCAACAACTCTCAACTAACCACCTCCCACAGAACGAACCATGAGTGAGGAACGCGGTCGCGAACCCCAGCGTATCTCTACCGGCCGCGGCGGTGCCGGCAACCTTGTCCGCTCGCTGTCCCGTGGCCCCGACTCGGAGCAGATCCCCACCGCCGAGCGCGGTCGCGAGGTCCGCAGCCCCTCTCACGAGCGTGTAAGTAGACATTGTGTTGGGGTGGTGTGTCCACCCCCACCGGCGGCGTCATTTGACGCCACCCACTCCACCCACTTCCCCCCCGCTGACGATCCATCCAGGCCACGCACGCCGGCCGCGGTGGCGCGGGCAACATCCGCTCGCCCTCTCGCGACCCCAAGCGCGACCGCATCGAGGAGGCGCAGGAGGACGCGCTCCAGGACAAGCTTATCGCCGAGCGCCGTGGCCGCCAGGCCGACCAGCCGTTCTCGAGCGGCCGCGGCGGCGCGGGCAACATCACCGACTCGCGCTCGCGCTCGCGCTCGGCTGTGCGCGGCGTCCGTGCCGAGAGCCCCCGTGTCCGCGAGGAGAGCGTCCCGCGCGCGTCCACCACTGGCTTCCGCGCCTCGGGCCGTGGCGGATACGGCAACATCACCGAGGAGAACGGCACGCCCGTGGACCCCGTGGCGCTCGCCAAGGACCGCGCGTACGAGGCCGACGTCAAGAAGAAGTTTGACGAGCACGAGGCCACGATGCCGTGAGTAGAGAGCGGGAGGGAGAGGGCTAGAGAGAGGGCTAGAGGGCTCTTTGGCTCCTGGCTTCTGGCTTCTGGCTTCCGGCTTCTGCCGCCCACAGACGCGCATGACCGTCGCTGACGCAACGCTACAGGCACTCGATTGGCCGTGGTGGCGCAGGCAGTATTGGCCAGACGTTTGAGCCCGTCGACATCTCCAAGCTCTCCATCGAGCAGCAGGAGGCCCACGTCAAGATTGCCGCCAAGGACGCGCACAACTACCGCTCGGGCGGACGCGGGTGAGTCCAGCAGAGTGCTTTCCTCCTTTTTGATATGTGAGTCTCCAGCTGACACTTGTTTTCCAGCGGTGCAGGCAACATGGCCGCTCCGGCCGACGAACGTGGCCGAGGCTCCCCCGCGGCGGCGAACGGCCACGGCCACGGCGTCTTTGGGTCCATGCTCCGCTCGCTGTCTCGCGCCGCAGGCCGTGACCCCAGCCGCGACCCCAGCCGCGACCCCAGCGGCGGGGGCAAGTAACACCACCCAGTACAGCGCCCCGCCCTCTTTCTAATAAAGCCACATCCTCGAACTCCCTCCCTTTCTTCTCTATCCCTCCCTCCCTCCCTATCCCCCCACACCTTCTCCTCTCCTCTCCCCCGCCTTTTGTAACGACTTGCGTTGTGTGTGATACCAGAGAGTGATACAATTGCCATAGAGACGTGATGGTACCATGTGCACAGGCTGGTTTATATGATGGTTGCAGGGGGTGTGTGTGTGACGATATGGCGGCGAGGGTTACAGAATCAGAATCAGAATCGCGGCGGAGGCGAAATGCCCCACCTCCACCGAACAGAGAGCCGGGCGTTTTACACACAGTCCAATCTAACCATCAACATCAGCATCCATCGTCCACATCCCATCTCCACAATCTCCACAATGTCCGACGCCGGCGCCGACCCCCTCGAGCTCGAGAGCCTCGACACTGACGCCCTTCTTGCAGCACTCGCGAATGTCGAAAAGGTACGCGCGCACGGTAGCGAGGGAACCGGAGAGCAGGTCACGGTCGAGTCGGCTGCCCCTTGCCACCTTGCCTTGTCATCTCGCTTCCTCTACGCACTCGGCAGTAGCGATCCGGGGGGGACGGGCTCATGTACATGGTCGCGACGTGATCCGCGGTCCTGGCACGGGACATGGCGAGCCCAGGCCGCAATGAACGATGAACGGGCGTGTGTATCCTCACCCTCGTCGACTTGGACGCTGGCTCGGTCCGTTGCCATGTACCGTCCCGTACGCGAGCGAGAGCGAGTGGGAGAGGAACATGCCCGTCCCCCCCCCCCCCCACTTCCCCCATCCCCAACCCACAACTAACGCCCAGGCCGTCCCGGACCTGCTCCTCGGCGTCAAGCCCGTGCTCGCGCACCTCTCGTCGCCGTCGGCCAACACGGACGAGAACGCCGCCATTGCCGCGCGCGATGCGGTGGAGAACTACATGAACACGCTGGACGTGAGTGGATCGACGTGGGGTGGGGTGGGGTGGGGACGGGTGGGGAGGAGTGCTCGATGAGATTGGGGGCAGAGCAGAGTGCCGTCGCCGCCAGCTACGGCCTTGTCCATCGACTCGACCCCGTGGTGGTGGCGACGGCAACGACGGTAAACGGTGACGCGGCCCACGATGGCGGCCGTTCACGTTCTGGGCCGTGCTATGCCATGGCCTCGCCACTGTGTACGCGTACGAGGCCGACCGGCCGGCGCTTGCGCTTGCGCGAGACGGTAAGCAGCGGGTCCGACAACCACAGCGCCGTCCCCACTGTCGAGTTGAGTCGAGTCAAGTCGGGCAGCCTTGTCACCGGGCGCCAGACCCGTCAGTGGCGAGCACGACGTCCTCGTCCCCTCTGTCCGGGCAGCAAGGAGCTGGGCACTCCCACATCCCCCTTCTCCGCGCCACCCCCCACGTCTCGCCAAACAGCCACTGATCCACTGACACACCTCCGCAGAAGATCCAGTTCATCCTCCGCCAGACCGTCTACTACCTGCGCGAGACGCGCGCCGCGCCCTCTGTGCTGCGCCCGTCGGGCGTGGACGCCATCCCGCGCCCGCTGGCCGCGACGCTGCGGTCTGACGCCGGGCCGACGCCGGGCGGCGCCGACGCGAGCCTGGGGCTGTATGGTGCACGGCAGGAGGTGGCGGCGCTGCGGGAGATGGTGGCGGCGCTGAAGGTGATGCGGGCGCAGGCGGGTGAGGGCGAGGGGGAGGGTGAGGAAGAGGGTGACAGGGAGGGTGCTGAGGGGGACGGTGGGGGAGACGAGGTGCCGGGCGCAGACGACAGGATGGACGCGGACTGAGCACGAGTCCCGCCACCACGAGTCCCGTCACCCCCACCATATGATCAGCAGTACAGTACAGTCAACAAACAACACTCCACACCACACAGCGCAGCACCTCGGGGTCCCGCAACCATAGGATACAGTATAATGCATGGCAGCTACGAAGGAGAGGTGTGTGTGCGCTATACACACACACACACAAACTTGGGTTCGTAGCGCTGCTCAGCGAAGAAGAATATGGGGTGGGGAGAAAAAAGGTTGCGCTAAAAAAAGGGAAGAGCGAAAAGCGAAGACGAGGAGAGGGGGTGGCGACGCGGGCCATGGGGATTACTTGAAACTTGGTGGGGGGTGCGCGACCTTGACGAGGCGATGCACGCGAGCGCAGCAGCTTGGGGGACGCAGCTAGCAAGCTACAGCTTTGCAGCAGCTTACGAGCGCTCGCCGCGGAGGCGGCGGGCGAGCTGGAGGTCCTTGGGCTGGATGGTGACGCGCTTGGCGTGGATGGCGGCAAGGTTGGTGTCCTCGAAGAGCGAGACGAGGTACGCCTCGGCAGCCTCCTGGAGCGCACCGATGGCCGACGACTGGAAGCGGACTGGGGACGGAGGTCAGCAGCACTCGGGAGGGTGTGTGTGGTAGGTGGGTCCCACTCACGGTCGGTCTTGAAGTCCTGGGCAATCTCACGGACGAGACGCTGGAAGGGGAGCTTGCGGATGAGGAGCTCGGTCGACCTGGGCTTGTTAGTTGAAATTGCATGGCGCAGTGCGAACGCCTTTCAACTCACTTCTGGTAGCGACGAATCTCACGAAGCGCGACGGTACCGGGGCGGTAACGGTGGGGCTTCTTGACACCGCCGGTGGCGGCCGAGGGGGCCGACTTGCGGGCGGCCTTGGCAGCGACTGTGGAAGAGGGAAGACATGGAGGGAAAGCGGAGAGGGAAGGTGCGAGGGAAGGAGGAGGACAAGGAGGTGACGGTGTTGTGTGTGGGGGAGAACAATGGAGAGGGGATCAAGTGAGAAACGCACGGTCAGCTGTGGTACAATGCCATGAATTCCTAGCTCGAGGCGACTCACGCTGCTTGCGGGGGGCCTTGCCACCAGTGGACTTGCGGGCGGTTTGCTAGGACAGTGTTAGTACCAGAGCCGGGGAGGGGAGGGAGTCATGTCGGTGTAATGCAGAGGAAGACGAGGGAGAGAAGGGGCGTTTGAGCGGAGGTGTGGGTGGGTGCGTGATGAACGTGTGTGGTGACGAGGAGCACTAGCGGCCAGTGAGGGCCCATGGCAGGACGACACATGCACCAAGGGGGGCCATGCATGCATGGTGGGTGGCGGAGGTGCTGCTCGCCATGCATGCATGGGTGGATGGGTGCGCGGTGGTGGATGGGTGGGGGGATGTTTGGGTGTGGTTGTATGCAGGTGGGTGGCGGGGAGGCGGCGGTGGTGCAACACCTGTGCTTCTCTTCTTCTTCTCCCGTCGTCTCCTTTTCTCTGCATTGGGGGGGACATTGTTTCTTGGGTTCTCACCTTGGTACGGGCTGTTTTGGGGTGGCGTGTCAGCGCAGATTTCATGGTGGTGCCACTGCCCGGGTGGGGTGGTCCCTGCTGGGGGGGTGGATGTTTTCAGAACTCACCCATGGTTGTTGCTGTAGAGGGTTGTTTGGGTTGATGGATGAAGAGAAGAAGAGAAGAAGAGAGAGAGTGTGAGAAAGAGAGATGGCTGGGGTGGGGTGGTCGCTGTGTCTGTCTGTTGGGGGGGTCGGGGGGGATGTGGTCTTTTGGACTCTTGATGGCGAGCGGTATATCTCACAGACGGGGACGGGGGGGCAGTCCACTCACTCAGCACGCATTCACGCAACCAGGTGCCAGCCAGCGCTATATGCAGACAGACCCCGCCTGTCCGCCTGACCGCCCGCCGAACAACCGATGTCCTCTCTGCCCCCCTCAATCGCCCGAAGCTCACACACACACGCTCTGCACAGACACACACGCCCCCCCGCCTGGCCACTCGGCGTTACGGAGTTATGGGGAAATGAGCCTCAACCGGCGCCGGCAGCGCAGACCAGTGCTGGCCAGGCATGGTCACACGTCACCCCTTGCTCTGCGGTGCGTGGGTGATGAAGAGTCCGTCCCATCGAGTCTGCCAGCTCTCGGCGCCGAGAGTCACCGTGGTCTCGTCCTCACACGACGCGCGTCCCGTCCCTTGTCATGTATACTCGGGTTAGCTCCATGCATGTCGAGTCGGAACACCGCCCCCGTGGTCGGTTGGATCCATCCGTTCCAAAGTCGATCACTTGTGGCGCGACGGAGCATTTCGTGCTCGAACTCTCGGTCAACCTTACCCACGGTGTGTCCTCTCCACTGGGCCCGGTCCGGTCCAGGCCACACGTGTGCTTGGGGCAATGAGCTCTCTCTCACTTCGTCACATGCACCTCCTTCCCGTTGGGAGCCCGTGCATATGCCAACTGGTCTTTTGCTTACGCCTCAGAATGCATATGGTGTGGTCAGCCCGGATGTGTGGGTTGTCGTGTGTTCCATGGATTCCCGGTCTATTCAGGGTCCACCGGGCGTCCGAAAAGCTCTGCTCTCTCGCAGCTCTGATCTCCGGCAACTTCGGATGCGGGGACCCCGCGTGCCTGAAATGTTGCCGAAGAGCAAAAACGGCATGTCACTGTTCTGTGACCTTTGGCGCAGAACCATGCGTCGCGCGTGTCGTTTTGCCGTCGCTGGATGCACAGCGTCATGGTATGAGTCTGGACATGGTCGCAGTACTTGGAAATACCTGCCGTGGGCTTTGGGCGGTACCGGGAGGCAAGCTCGATACACAGTGGCGAAGTGACCGCGACCCGTCTCATCGCCCGGAAAGGGGTTTCGCCGTTTTTTGCCTTTCCTTTTGCTCTGCACGCCACTTGTGCTGTGGGGGGAGATGCGTACGGGTACGGAAAATTCCCAGCAGTAGGCTTGGTAACATGCAAGCTCCGCGGGTACAGCACCGGGTGGCTGCAGGCTCTAGGCCTAGTCACTGCTATCCTAACGCTCCTGGAGATGGAATACTATGACCCCTCGCCTATTCACCTGCCACAAATGTGCATTTTACACTGTTTTCTCTCAGTTACATACGTCAATGTATGGCTTGCATAGTTTTCAAACAGCTACACAAAGGCGGTCCACGTTGAGATCACTCCGCGTTCAAGGCCTTTCCTCAGCGTGGTGCCCCGCCCCGAGCACGCGTGCAAGTCACGCGCGAACTCGTAGCAGAACTCTGTTCTCAAGGAGTATCACACTCGATACAGCTGAGTAATACCCACTCCTCGTAGGCGACCGACGACCATCCTCATGAGGATCTCATTAATCGTGCCTGCTCCACCGCGGTGCTCCCTGTCGCTGACGGTGTAGTGACGCAATCCTTCGGACTCAAACTGCTGTTCGCGGCTTGTATTGTTACTGGTGGACTGCACACCCCGGCGGCTCGTTGATGGCGAGCACATGTCTTGGTAGACACACGCTGGAAGGGAATAGCGCGGCTTCACTCGATGGCAAAGGAGATCTCGTCCACAATTCGGACAAGAGTCGTGGTCTCGGTCTTGGTCGTGTCGTGTTCCACCCGCCGTCGACCTCGACCTCGATGTCAATACGCCTCGCCCCTCATGTATCCCGCCCAGCGCGACCGGCACCAGCGACAATGCCGAGCTGATGGGCGGGGGAGAAGAGCCGCGGGGGCAGAACCGCCGCCACACGATACGCATGGTGGCAAAGTCGATGCCGATCAAGGCGGACACTGGAGTGCCGCGTCGTCCACTCCGTTCAATTTCCGCGCAACGCCTCGACCTGAGGATCTGGTGTCGAGGGATGGATGCCAGCGACCCCATGGTATTTATATGCACCCATCAAGCGGCACACTGGCCTCTATCTCGAGGAAAAGTTGAGACATGGGGGGTCGTGAGGACGGATTCGTGGCGCTTTTGGCGCTCCGCCGCGCGTGCTGGCCCGTTTTCGTCTTCTTGGCGAAGAGAGCACACATCCACATTGGCTCTCGATGACAGAGACAGACGCCCGTCCCAGAGCAAGCCGAAGGACATTCCTATGGCACACGGTGTGCAGAGAATGGATGCCAAGTGGGCACAATTGTGCTTGGCAGACCATACCGTGCCAACACGCGGAATGGAATGGCACGCCTCGACTGCGCGGGCATGGTATGGCACTTTCCTCATTTCTCAGCGGCGTGTCGTTGTAACCAGCGCACATTTAAAGGATGCAGTTACTTTACACAGTAACTACTGTGCAGTATTCGACTGTCGGGAAGGCGGGGGGGGTGGAAGAGTGTGACCGTGGCAAGGGCATGCGCTGGGTCGTGGCGAGGTAGTGTTTCGTCAACGATTGACTTTTTACCGTGGACAGTGGACGGCCATCGGTGTGACCGGTCGCGCTCTTTCCGACGCACAAACGTCGGGTTCGTCCTGCTTCACAGGCGACGGCCAGGAAAGAAGGGGCACGGCGACAACGACCAAGACGGCACAGCGGAGAACACTGGCGAGGCGGCCTCAAGATCGCGACTGCGCACCGATTTTGCTTCCGGCCGCCTCAGGAGTCCACCCACGCGCCAACCCGCCTGGGACGAGGCCACGCCGTCGTGGTTACGTCGGTGCAGGCCGTCACTGTAGCCCACGCCAGTGGAATGCACCCCCGATGCAGAGGTTTGTGCAACTACTAGAACGTTGCAGGTGGGTGTGGCATTTTCGTCGGGCCGTACACTGGACGGCGGTGCGGTCCAGCAGCGTGGATTGCGCGATTGGGGCGTACGCACGTCTCGGTAGTAATTGGTGTCGAGAGGTGTGAGGTGAGGTGGGATCTGATCTGCGAATCTGATCTGCGAGACTAAGTCAACAAAAGGTCTGTGAAAGAGCCACAGGCAGGTAGAGGAATGAACGCAGGTGCGTTCTCTCCACGCTGCTGTGGGAGCATCGAGAGGGGGAGGGCGGAGTAAACCTGGCGTCTCTCCGGAGGGAGGATTATCGCCAGTGCGTGCCGCCGCCGCGATACCACGACGCACATCCATCCCTCCACGCTCCATTGTGTCGACTCACCAGTACCGGGGACGTTTTTTATAGCCGCGTCATGGATGCGTGAAGACGCCGGTTGGGTTAAAGGATGTCAACTAGGAGGATGGAGAAAACGAACACAAGACGCCTCTTCCCCGCGCCTAGTCCCCAAGCGCCGCCCTGTGCTCCACCCCGGCCACACCCCACCCCTCACCCTCCACTGAGACGCGCTTTCCAGGCCCGAATTGGCCCTTTGGATCTCTTGTAAAAAGGAAATTGCAACTCCGTCGCACGTACAGTACCACGGTGTCGTGGGGGGGTTATGAGGATGTGGGGTAGGGTATCTTTCACAGGTCTCTGCGTCACTCGCTGGTTCCAGCGGCAACTGTTGACATCATGAGGCACAGCACAACACACCAACGCACTCCCCCGCTCACCCAACCGCGATGAGCGTCGACCATATTCTCCGCAGCAAAGTGGTGTCCACTCGCTCCAGCGTGTCGTTGATTGTTCAACCGCGCTCTTTCCATACTCCGGCGCGCCAATGTGCGACTGCAAGAGCCCAAAGTAGCGGCACTACAGAGTGGGGTCACTATTGCCACAGACACGCCGTGCCCCCAGCGTGCTCGAGAATGTGCCGGAAAACGTCGTTTGCGGCTGCAAGCTGCATGGCTCTCCCCGTTCCATCCGCCCCGATCCCACACGACCTTGGTCTCCGCAACTCGGCGACCACCTCCAGTGGCAACAGACGCAGATGGACGATCGCTGCTTGGTGCTTGTTTGCCTGACAAAAACAACAAGTCGGCGGCTCGGAGGATCAGACGGCAGCCGGCTCGCTCTGCTCGCCGTGGGTGGGTTGACAACCCGAGCAGGCAGCAGCATTCCGCATCGACGTTGTACCTGTCCTGGCGCTGTTCATTAGTGTCAGACGGCCCCTTTGGCCCTTGTTGTCCCACGCCACGCGCTGGGAACATCAGCGTCGAGTTATCCCGCTGCCCACTGCTGCAGCGGTACAGCTGCCAACTGGCGACTGGCAGACAATAGTGGTGTGCATGGTGGGGGTGCATGGGTTTGTTCCTCGTCCGTCTTGGCCGGCCGCCTTTGGGCGCGTGGATAAACGACAGACAGAGTCCTTTTGCCACACTCGGCGCACTCTGCCGTTCCCTGCCTAGCCTTGCCCTCCTCCGACGTCACGGCCGCCATTAGCCACGGCAAGGACGGCCTTGGCATGGACGAGAAACGCGGTATAGGGCGAGGCGGAAACTGTAAAGCAGAAGACGAGATGGCAGATGACGATGCTCTCTAGGGGCCAGTGGCCAGTGGCGAACCCCACAAATCCACTTGGCCTCGCCGCCCAGGGGGTTTCGCCATATATTTTTGCTACCGAGATATGAGGCGTTGGGGTTTGTGGCGCTCCCGGTTTGGTACGCTCACCACACCCATGTGGCCATGTGGCCAGGCGCGCATGCGCGCAGGCATTGTGGATGTCGTATATCCCGACATGCATCGACTGTACCACATCCAGCATTGTTTTCCGCGACAGCGACAGGGTGCGAGGCAGGCAGCAGCCCTGGGGCCTGGGGAGCGAGACACACACACATGTACAACAACGACAAACCCGATCAGCTAGCCGAACGAGACACCTCTGCGTTCAAGCGACAGCGCGGGGGACTTGCACCCGGCCCCCGCACAGGGACACCGTTTGGGGCTTGGATCTCCTGTGGCCTGTGGCCTGTGGCCTTGAGCTCGTGTGGGTACCTTGGCCATTCCGGCCCCGAATCCCAGGAATCGCGGGATCGGTGCGCAAGAGCGCAGAGAAGGCAGCCGGGCCGCACACACACTGTCAGGCAATGATGCCCAGACAACTGCTCAGTCCGTGACGAAGCAAACGCCGAGGGAACACCCCCTATGGCATGGCGATCACAGCATGGCTGCAAGGCATTCAGCCGCAACACGCCTCCTCATGGCGTCGAGGTCTGCCTGGCCCGCCGGCTGGCCGCCTCAGCGGCATCCCATCCGTCCACTGCGCTGCTGGCTGCTGGCTGCGACGTGGGGGTCGGGGGCTGGCACAACAATGGCGCGCGTGTATGTGCGTTGGTAACATTGATGAGAATCCACTACAAGATGCGTGCTAAAATGCTAGTGAGGACAATGGGACCCCGGCGGTCGGTTCTATGGATGGCAGGTGGCAGAGATGGGTATTCTATGGTCTAACCAAGCGGGGAAAACTGGACGGAGGGGGAGAGAGGGGGGAGGGAAGAGGGTTGTGGGGGTAGGAGGTAGGGGTGGTGGATCCTGGACTTCTGGACTTCTGGACTTCTGGCTTTGCTGGGCGGCGACGGCTTTTGCTGTGGCCTTGACAGGACGCCCGTTGCTCGATAATTCACGCCCGCGTAGTCTGAAAGGCATGGCCATGGCGCATCTCGACGGTGTCGAGCTCGAGCTCTTGAGGCAGTACCGCGGCACCATACTCGTCTCGAGTCATGAGCCGGAGGCGACTCTTGGCATCGACAATCTTGCTGGCTGCCTCGGCGCTTGACCCGACCATCTCGGCCAGCGCCGCCGTGACGGCGGCCGCAAGAGCCTCGGTAAGCGTCGTGTCCGTCGTCGCAGGGGCCAGGGGAGTGGGAACTGCAGATGCGGGAGCGCCGCACGACAGTGCAAACTCCTGGGGCCTGACCTGCGGAAAGTCGACGACCGTGAACGTGACGGGGGGCATGTCTGGGAACAGCCAGCCACCGAGTACGAGGCCGGCAGCGAGTGTCGAAATGACGGACAGGCGTTCGCGTGCGAGCCGCTCGCGGTTGATGAGGTTGGCAATCGTCGGCGGGACAGTGTAGCTCGACACGGATCCCCAGTGGGTGAACACGAGGACGGCCTCGCGGGCGCCTGCTGCTGGCGGGAAGCGGCGGAACACAGTCTTGAGGTTGGCGGGGTTGTTGAGGGTCTTGAGGCAGACGACCGTCTTCTCCTGCGCCTGCTCGGGTGGCGGGAGGTGGGCCCATTTCGACGTCATGCTTGAGCCGAAGAAGACCACCTTGCGGGCGGCTACTGGGACAGATATATCGTGCGCGTGGTGCGTGGGGTGGAAGCGGAGCACGACGTCGCGCTTGGCAAACGCCAGATCGACGGCGACCTGCGGCCGTCCGTGTTCGTGCGGGCTTCCGTGCACGTCGATGAGGCGGGTCGTGTCAAACAGGCCCGCCACCTGCTTCATGTCTGGAGGCTCGTTGTCGTGGAACACCTTGAAGCTTGGGATACGCAACCCGTGAGGAGCCGTGATGACATTTGGTGGAGGCGTCAGGCAGAAGACGACGTGAGAATTCTGGAGAGTGAGAACCTTGTCGCGCATCGTCTTGCTCGTACAGCGCACAACACAGAGCGTGCCCCATGACGCATATCCCAGTATGCTGTCCATGATGTCAGGAAAGGCCGTGTGGTCAATTTGACCACGAGGTCGCGATATTGGCGTTGGCGCGGCAACCGCAAGGATGGTTGGAGGTGGATTTGATGATGATGCCGAAGCTGTGCAAGGTGTTGCTGCTGCAGCAGCTGCTGCTAGTGACGCACTGCTAGCAATGGCGAGAGGGTCACCTTGTCCGGTGATAGGAGGGGATACGAACGGCGCATTCTGTATCACTGTAAAAGCAGGATCGTGCGTTATGGGTGGTATGCTTACTGTAATGTTGCCGGGAGCGAGTAGCTCAATCTCGGAAATCCCCGTAGGTTGACGAGGAACCGACCGCAGTTCGTCAAGGCCATCGGCGTTGGTCCGTGGAAGGCGGGGTCGCTTTGGTGGAGGCGGAGAGCTTGCTGCCGGCATCGTGTCCGGCGGCCTGGTCGGCATCGTGGTGTAGGTCCACAGTCAAGTGGCGACAGTAAAATGGGTGGTGGTGGTGGGCTTGAAGGAACAGTGAGAGATCACAAAGTGTCGAGATGGATCTTGGGTCAACCATGCCCACTACACAGAGTGTGGCGTTGGCTGGTTAAATTCCTCGTCGATGTGTCGAAAGAATATCCGCCGTCGATGGCGGTGGGTCTTGAGTCCTTGAAGAAGACATCTTGGACACCATATCGTCGGGACTCTTATACCCAGTGCCCAGCACGAGTGCACCTGCGACAATACACGAAGGCCAAGACGAACAACACTTGTTCATGAGGCTGCGGGCATGCCCGCCGCACTGTACTGCCTATAGTAGAATCCCGGTCGGAGTGTGTCGCCCCTCGGTCACGGCCAGGAGCTCCAGAAGGGCAGACGCACAGAAGAGGCATGCGGGCAAGTGCCAGCGGGCACTGGATGCGAGAGAGAGACAGAGAGTGAGAGGGAGTGAGTGGGTGAGTGAGGCCCTGCGCGCGCCACCACCCGGGCGAGAGGCTACCCGCCCGCCTGTACCTGGCGTGAGGCGCGTGAGGTTTGGGTGGTGGTGGTGGTATGTTGCTGATGGCGGCCTCGCCCACTGTCTGTGGCCAGAATTCAGAGGAAGGAATGCAACAGGCCAATACATGACAGCCGCTGATCGTCGTGAACAGAGGCCAGAGGCCAGAGAATACATACAGCTCGTCATGCTGTGTAGCCACTGCGTTGTGCTGGGAGGAGCGGGTACAACAGTGGTGCACTAGATGAGCCTCCAACAATAACGACTCTGTTGCTCTCCTCTACATGGCCTCCGCTTACCACCTACCAGCAACATATGCTTTTGGGGGCCCACCTCAAAGAGGCACAAGGGGTGGCGGATTGTGACGGTGTGGTAGTCTCAACAAGCGACGCGTATGCACGTCCTTTTGTTGGTGTTGTCGGAAAAGTGACACAAACCCGTCATCGAACGCTCACAGTGACGCTCTCGGACACGACCTTTGTCGCCCAGCACCAATAACAGCCCTGCGGTTGAGGACTGGTTTTCCGACACTGTGGTATGCCGTTGCCGTGCCCGGCAACGAGCGCCACTGTTGGGTTGCTGGGCCGTGGCGTCGGAGCAAGTCGTGGCCATGCCTGTGTGGCCGGCCCATGGCATGGCCAGAGCCTGTGGCCGGCCTGTGGTCTCTGCCTGCGTTCGTGGTTGGGCACATTTTGCGCTTTTTGCGTCACCCCCCGTTGGTCGCCAATGACGGTATGTGGTGGCGTCACTACCTTTCGTCACCCCTTTGTTGTCCGGGACCATCACACAATGCCTGGCCCCCGGCGCCGAAGCGACGATCATGGCTTGGAAGCAATGCCGCCTTTGCTGTCGCTCTCTCCCGCGACATGCCTTGGACGACAGCCCCAGAGCGAGTCCCCCTTCTCCATGGGCCATGAGTTAACCCGTCCAGAGGCCAGACAATCCGCTCCCCCCCGTGGAGGCGTCGCTCGCCCGCCGCCGGCTAATTAGGGCGACGTCTTGGCAGTCATGGCATGTGAACGAACATTGGCTGCGGTGGCGGGATCGACGCACCCTGGATTGAACGAGAAACATTGATCCAGCAGAGAGCATGTCTGTCGTACGCGACAGAGGGGATGCGTGTCACAGACTGCGTGGACTGCGTGGACTGCGAGAGGGGAGTACAATGCGGTGCATATCAACGCCTGATGACGTCCCAGCCTCAGGAAGGGAGCTCGAGATCAGCCTGTATGTACCTTCGTGTCGAGAGTTAGTTTGGTCAGTCCCATTTGGGATTCTCGTTGACGTCGATCGCAGTAGTCGTGCTGACCGGGTTCACGGGTTGGCCACCACCCCAGAAAGTCAGGAAATGTCGTTGAACGCTGTTCCAGTGGAATGTGGGTACCACAAACAAAAGGAGGAGTCAGTCGATCAGTGGGTTGGAGCGACACGGAAAAAGAATGAATCAGTGTGCAGAGTTTTGGGAATAGTCCAGAAGTCAATCGACACCGGCTGCGACCAACCGGTGGCCGCTGAAGCGGGTGGAGCTACCAGACAACACAACGACATCAACGATCGCTATACAATACAACCCATGCGTCAGCTGCTGCACAGCAACAGCACACATTACTCTATTGTCTCCACCTCGAGCTCGTACGCAGACATGCCCGCCGTGTACTCCGCAACCGACAAGAAGCGGAGGTTACGCAGCGCCACCTCGATCGCCTCGGCCCGTTCCCCATGAGGGGTCCCGTATGGCAACACCTGCTCCCAGAGGTATGCTTCCACGTGGCTTGCGAGCGTATCGCACATGCTGTCGTTGCTCATCTCGAACCCGAGCCATTCCTTGTGCACGCGCTCGGCGTCGACGACGACACACTTGCCCGCGTCGTCGCCGTGCAGGAGCCGCGCGAGCGTGCGTGCAATGTCGGCTCCTCGCGTGCCCCGCACCCAGGACGTTTCGGGAGACCCATCCGCCGCCGCGGCCCATCCAGCAAACGTGAGCACGACCTCGCGCCGCCCGTACCGCGGTACAGCCTGCGAGAGAAAACTTGCGCCGAACGACGCGCAGGCATGGACGACGATGCGCTTCAATGACGGGCTGGGTGCCGGGTACGGCGGGCGCGCGGGCGTGGGCGTCCCAAACACGACGACGCGCGACGCTGCGGATGACAGCGCGCAAAAGTCGGTGTACGAGCCGGCGATGGAGCGCAGACGCAACGTCTCAAGGCATGGAAAGGCTCGTTGCAGATGGGTGGCGTGGTCTGCCCGGATCCGTCCGCACACGTCCACGGTGCGCGCCAGCGAGAGCAAGGAGGGCGGGGAGGGCGAGGCAATGCGTATCCGCACGCCAGACGAGTGGGTGCCGTTTGGCACGGCGTCGATGGTCACCACGTCGTCGTCGTCGGACGGCGAGACGATTACATGTGCAAAAGTGATGGCATCAAGGCGGTCTCTCCACGCGCGCGAGGTCGCGCGCCAGGTCCGCCAAGCTGACGCTGGGTCTGAGGCTACCGCAGCTGCAACCACAGCATCCAGAATGTGAGGGAAGAGGGAGTGGTCGATGGATGGATGTTGGGTCATGAAATGGTCGTTGGAGCAAAACAGGGATGTTGTCCATCAATCAAGCACGCCCACCAGTAGATTGGGATTTGCCGAGATCCGGCCACTTGATCACGTCAACATTTGGTCCCGACCCCAGCCCGATACGCATGCGATGTCATGCCATTAGTGTGCTGATGGGAGAGGGTCAAAGTGGTGGGTTCAATAGCCTTGTAGCTTGTGGCCGTGTGGTGCCGTACGAGACTGTCTACTAACATTGCATGTACCCAACTGCCATCTGCTACCAATTACAATATCGCTACTCGGCTCTCGTCTACCAACCTCGGCGTCTTCTAATGGAACACTCTTTTTTAAAAAAAAATCTGCTTAATACTTCCACCGGAACGCGGGGTGCTTCCAGTCGAGGTCGTGGACCTGCTTCTCGGTCAAGCCGGAAAGTGTAGCGTCCACATCGACCTCGTCGCGGCGCTTGTTGTCACGCTTCAGCCAGATCCACAGGCACACGGTCAGCACGCTGATCGTCGCCGATGTGGCGAGGTTGAGGCCGTTTCCAATGGGGTAGTTGGGACTGTCAAACGGCAGGAAGCACCAGGTGCTGATGAGGCCACCGACGTTGCCGAACATGACCACAGTTCCAATGCCCGCAGACCTGGCCGTGTCCGAGAGCGTGTTGGCGGACGCCTGGGCATTGCACAGGGCTCCGAAGGGGAACGCTCCCGCGGCGATGAGGAACGTGGCCGCGTACCGCACCGTGCCTCCCGTGGAGGCGTCGGTGGCGAGGAACATGATGTAACCAATGGACATGAGGGGGGCCATCATCAGGTAGAAGATGAGGTACTTGCGTGTCCGGCTGGAAAGGTATGGGATGACAAGGACGAACACGGCACCGACAACGTAAGGCGGGACCGTCCAGAGCTGCTTGTGAATGGTGGACGCCTTGGGGTAAATCGTGGCGACGATGGTTGGCAGGAAGAACGCCAGACCCTGGACAGTAATGTTGTCGAGGAGGAAGATGAACGCAATGGTCAGCGTGTTGGGGTTGAAAATGCCACGCTTAATCTTCGCCTTGTCCAAACCGTCAAGGACCTCGGTGGTGCCGACGTTTTCAGACTTCACGCGCGCAATGGCCAGGGCCTTCTCCTCCTCGCTCAGCCAGCGAGCCGTCGCGGGACGGTCGGTCAACGTGAAGAAGGCAATGACGGACAGGCCCATGGTGATGACGCCTTCGACAAGGAAGAGCTGCTGCCACGTGTGGAAGCGGCCGATTCCCGGGAGCTTGACTGAAGAGGTCGTCAGCTGTCTTGTTCACATCACGAGCCAAGACAAGGGCAAAACTCACGCAAACCAGAAGCGAGCAAACCACCAAAGGCGCCAGCCAGGGGAGCCATGACGATGTACAAGGACAGACGGAAGCCCAGTTCGGCCTTGCGGTACCAGCGGGACATGTAGTAGGCAATGCCGGGCAACATGCCCGCCTCGAAAATGCCGAGGACGAAACGGACGCCGGCGGCTTGCGCAAAGTTGGTGACGAGCGCGGTGAGGAACGACAACAGGCCAAAGCCGAACGAGATGAAGGGGATCCACCTGCCAGGACCAAAGTACTTGCAGCAGATGTTGCTGGGGATCTCGAACAGGATGTAGGAGATGTAGAAACACGTGAGGAGGATGTTGTACTGGAAGCCGACGAGGCCCAGGTCCTTTTCCAGGCCTGCCAAGCGGGCATTGCCAATGTTGGCGCGCTATGCGGTGTCAGTCCGGTCCCTGCAAACGGCGAGGCGCAATGTGGGAGAGGATGGGGCTCACGTCGATGAAGCAGAACAAGTACAGAATCGCGACTGTAGGCACGATGAAGAGGTCGATCTTTCGCACGAGACGCTTCTCGGCAGCAGGGTCGAAATGGAGCAGCGGGTGACCTGGTGTTCTGTCAGGGGTGTGCCTTCAGTGAGATCAAGTGAGCAGCAACTCACCATACGCGTCGGTGGCGTGGTGGCCGCGTTCGGCGGCTCCCTGGAGGTCCTCGACCTCTTCGACAGAGAGGCGGGTTACCTTCTCTTCGTGTAGACCCAGCTTGCCCTGCTCTGCTGTAGACTCCTTGAAGTCTGACATGCTGAAGACCAGTGATGTGTGGGCGTTCAGTGAGTGTTAATGAGAGGTGGGGGGGGGGGGGGGGGGGGGGGGGGGGGGGGGGGGGGGGTGAAAAGGTGTGGTCGAGGGTTACCTTGCGACGCGGGAGATTTGCCTTATATACGTCCAGACGGTAATCGGATCCCGTGATGGACCGCGATGGACAGTGGCCCCGACACGTCCGTGGGCTTGCAAGCGATGGATCTGGGAAGATCTGGGTCGCCACTGCGCGCTCCTGTGCTGCGCTGTGGAGCCTGCCAAGACATTCAAGACCGGCCTGGAGCAGAGGCGTGAGTCATATTAGCCGGTGCCATGGCCGGGGTAAGTCCGGGGCCTCGGATGCAATGGTGTTGCAGGTGGCCATGGCCCCGCTTCATCCGGGCTGGCCCCAAGCTGGCCCCAGGCATCCCCCAGGCTTCTCCGCACAGGTTGGGCTCGCTTGCCGCAAGCACATGATGAGTTGGAGACCCTGTGGTAAGCGCCGTCGGCTGACGCCGCAGCATGAAGAACGAACGCGCCAGATGCAAGATGTGTGCGTCCTCAAACCGTCCTCAAACCGTCCTCGGCCAGCCTCACAAGGAACGTGTCACTGTAGCGTGAGAGATGGATGTAGTGCTCTGGCCCTATGGGACTTCTGGCTCTGTTGGGCACGCAACTCGGTCTGCACGTCTCATCTTATGCTCTTTGTGCTTCATACGGGACACCAGTGCGTCGGTGCACTCACACGTATGGCCTTCATAACTGTCGCGGATCAGCCTTATTCCGGACGCTATATCCCCCCGCCCCGGCAGCCGGCAACACGTTCTGTTTCAGTCTCTCGGCAGTCCCGATTCCCGCCACAGAGGAATCGGGACGCCCCGACCCGCGAGGCCATATTCATGTCGTACGGCCTTGTCGGCGCCGTTGATACTCCACCAAGATACCCCGCATGTCAGTGTCATCTGAGTGGGCATCCTGATAAGAGTCGTGTGTACGCAAGAAAACGAGGCGGCGGCGGGCGCCGATTACCAAACTCGTTTTTGAAGGAGCACCACTTGCCCATTGTGTCTTGCCCATTGTGTCTCACATGGCATGGCAGTCACCTTGTCCAGCAAACATGACGCGACCAGATACACAGCATACACGTCACATCTTGACCTTCCTTCGCCGGGATCTGGTACCACTCAAAACAATAGACCAACAAGTTGGGGGATCGTCAAGCTCCACCTGTTCCATCGGCTCCATTGGAGGCTCGGCGAGGGACTTCGTGTAGACATTGATGCGGTTCGTGGGCGAGTTTAGCCTTGACACAACGCGCATGCTCATTTAGCGGCATACGTTTAGAAGGCCTAGTGGGCGATATCAGGCTAAGGTTGAAGGTGGATGGAGAAACAGCTCCTAGGGGGGCGGGGTTGGGCGTGTGGTCCACGAGCAGCGGACACGACGGAGATGGGAATCGAGAGTCAGAGGCTGGTCGGGATATGAAAGGGAAGGTGGAAGGAGAGAGACAGAGGTGAAGGGGGTGAAGACAGGAACGTAAACAAGAAAAAGACGCGTCAGTGCGGTAAGACAGGTGCAGCGCCCAGCGACGACCAGTCCGGACAGCGCAGTCACTCAGACGGCCAGCCCTCCATCCCATCCCACTGTACCACTCTTGCTGTACAGACAGAAAACTACCACACACAGGCTGCGCCACAGGCCCATTGACATCCGTGGACACCCAGCGCGCCCACATGTATCCTGTTGAAATGGGAGCTGTCACGAACTGCTGCTCGACGTTTCAACTGCCCAGGTAATGCGACTAGCTCGGTTGCGGCTGCTGCTGTTCACCTGACTTGAGGCAAGGTGGCGGTGGCACACCAAGATGACCTCTTTCTCTTCATCAACGGTTTTCTTCATTGCAGCCAAACGTATTTAAGCCTTATACAAGCTCTGGCTGATGGAGGACTGTCGGAACGGCGAGTGCCTGTCCAAAATACAGGTGCAACGTCTTTGTATTGAGAGGAGGGGTGTTGGTCGAATGATACACAAAAGTGGTGCTGATATTGTGTTTTGTACGAGCAGCGCAGCCATTGTCCTTGTCTCCAAGTCACTCCAACCAAGTGTTGGCCTCTTCCTTCTGCTGGTTGAAACGGCCATTTAATGGTGTGCTATTGCCAGCCGGCCGTCTGCCATTACCTTACGTCCTTCCCTTGGTCGCCATTGCTCACCAGGGAACGTCGGGCAACCTCAACGACAAAGTTGCGCTGCGAGCAGTGACGTCGTCGCCAAAAGAGAATCCCAGACCAGATGGGGAACGATTTAGGGGAGAACACATCAAAAGGGAAATGACTCAGAGAGCCGATAGTGACGAGCTGCTAAGTGAGGTGGAGAATAAGGAAAGTGAAGGGATCGTTGTTGACAAGCGCCACCGCCAACGTCATTCTCCCTATCACCAGGGTCGCCAACGCCACCAGTAGCGGCAGGCAGGCGGCCGTCCACACCCACCACCTTTTTCCCCATACCCACTTGTCCTCTCACTCTTCACCTTGTCTTCTACTCTCCCACTTCAGCACTCAGCAATTCGCAATGAGCACCCACCTCATAACACAACTAGGACAAATCTACCCGCCCTCCTTCCGTACGGTTGTCACTCGTACCGCGGGCTTCATCTTGGTCCTGGGATTCCCCATCGTCGTGGTTGCGGCTTTCACCAACCATGTACCGTTGTCCGACCTCTTGGGCTTCCTCGTCGCCTTTGCTGCAGTCATCTGTGGCATCTTTACTGTTGTATGGGGCCTTCTGTGCGTGCTCGGTGGCGGCGGATTATTCTTCTCCACCGTGGCAGCGGTCATGATCACCACTGTCGGGTACGCCGTCCGCGATGGTACCAGCACGACGGTCACCGACGCCGATGGCCAAACCCATAAACGCAGCTTTTCCCACTGGTGGATTCTGCTTGCCAACACAGCTTTTATGGTTATTGTTGTCATGTTTGCCACGCTAGGTTGGCTTCCCACCGCTCCCAGCGCCGAAACCAACCGCACCTACCCGACCGAGCCGGTGCTGCAAAACCTCGAAAGGATGGACCAGACCGCCCTGAAGCAGCGTCGCCGCAACATCGAAGCTGTCATAACGACCAACCTCGCGGCGCTGGCGCATCTAGAGACGGACAGCGCGTGTGACGGCCCGCTCGCCTCGGACAGCGACATAGCCCTGCTCCGTAGCCTCGTGCGCAAGGACCTTGCCAACCTGCGGACTGTGGCCGACGTGTACTCAAAGCGGTTTGAGCAGGATGTGCAACCGGAGAAGGTGTAGCCGTTGTACTTGTGTCTGCATTAAGCGGTGGCTCCTTCTGGGCTTGAAGGGTTGGGGTTGTCCATGCTGCCTACGCTGCCAACACCTTGGCGCGTGCGTAGCTATGCCCAGTCCTCTGGAGGTATCTAAGGTCCTCCTGGACTGCTTGGAGCAGGAGCAGCAGGGCATACTGTGGGAAGGTCCACCAGCTTGCCAAGTAGATTGCCAAAGATAACAGACTCGGCAACGAAGGTCACAACGAAAAGGAAGAATTGTCCAGGCATTTCGCGCCATTGCGCCACCAGCCATCGGGATGCAACAACACCGTTCCACAACCACCCAGCATCTCGTCTCTTCCTTTCCTCATGATCCAAAAGAAGGCAAAAGGAGAAGGCAAAAGGAGAAGCCAGAGGCTACTGCTGTTGTGGACGAGTTAGGAATCGAACCAAAGACCTTGTCAAGTAGGGTAGAAGATGCTAATGACACGCTCTACCAACTGAGCTACACGCCCGATGATGTTCGTCAAGGTTGGAAAAGGAGCGCGCTCGGACCTCGTTTTTATTGGAAACGCGCATGCATGCAGCCCCAAAGCGATGTCAGGTGGAAAGAGGGGCATGCAAAGTATCGTAATATCGACCCGTGGACCAGGGTTGTGAGTAGAACGGAGCGCATAAGGGGGACAGAGGGTGGGGGGGGGGGGCGGTTGGAGAAAGCTGGAGCGGACACTTTTCACAAGGTGCACCAAAGGGTCCGTGTCCACCCTGTTCGCTGCTGCAAGGGCCCTCTGTCTCCGTGTACAGCTTTGCAGCTTGTCTTCGATAGGCGCCGGGGGGTGCGTGCACCGTCAAAGCATGCACAGGGCCAGCGAGCACTGTCAGAGCAACAGCGACGCAAAGAGCGGTGTTGACCTCGGTGTACCGGCGTTCTATTCCCTGCAAAGCCAAGACTTTTAGACGCTCGTGGTATCCGCAGCGAGCTGCGCCATTGCGGATGGCAAGTGTGGGTGCTCTACCATTTCTGTCCTGCAAGTACTCTGTCGCTGCCGCCTGATTACAAATCGTTGTCCAGCATGGCCGGCTGTTCTTGTGCAGGTCGTCTTATTCAGGTGCATTGGAATGCCCGCTCATACGCTTGCATCGTTTGCCGTTCCAGCGTGTCCGACTGCAAGGGACGCGAGGTGCAACCTAGCGTAGTGCCCGTTTCGAACTTTTACAGGGCGAGAATGTTGCTGTTGCGGTTCATTTGGGGACACGTTGGTGTCAAAGCAATGTTTACTTAATACGGGGTCAAGAATGGATAGCATGCAGCTGTCGAGGTGCGTTGTGAGCATACGAGTGGGAGTGGGAGAGGTCAGTGCAACACGGAATGCGGAGACGAGTGAGAGAGAGGTTGAGAGCGAGAAGCCATGGCACGTCTGTGATCTGTGAAGCGAGCGGGGTTGTGCGCCAACGTGACAAGCGCGTACAGCGCCTGGCAATCACAGCAATCAAAGGTGTTGTTCGCTCGCCCTCTCCATCATTCTCACCTGGCTTTGCACACATCTCTTTCTCTCCACCCCTCTTGCCTTCACCATGGCGGGCGACACGCTGCCACTACACTCCCCACCCCACTACTCATTCTCCTCCCGCCTCGCCCGATCCCACACTGCCAAACGACTGGTCGGCCTCGTGGCCATCATCCTCCTCGCCATCATCATTCTACCACCTCTGCATCTTGTCCGTCGCGACCTCGGCTACATCTTTCGCCCTCTATGGGACTCGCCAGAACCCCGTTTCCATATCATCCCCCACTACCCGCGCCCCGCAGCCGACTCTGCCACTGACCACTGGTGCGGGCTGCACGGGTGGACCGCGTCCGCGTCCCGCCCAACCGTCATCGACGCGATCCAGATCAGCACCGAGCTCGACCTCCTCGAGATTCGTATGCGCGAGTATGCGCCGTACGTGTCGCTGTTTGTCATTGTCGAGTCGGACAAGACGCATTCTGGCGCCCCCAAGCCGCTCCACTTTGCCCAGCAGCGCGAGCGCTTCGAGGACATTGCAAGGGTCCACAACGCGCGTATTGCCTACCGCACCGTCACCGACTTTGAGGTCGTCGCCACGGGCTCGGCGTCCAACGAAGTGAAGCAGCGTGTGGCGATCGGACACGTGCTCGAGGAAGAGCGCATGGCGGGCCACATTCCCCCCGGGTCGCTCGTCATCATGAGCGACGCCGACGAGATCATCTCGCGCGACACGCTCGACCTCCTGACGTCGTGCCGCGGCTACCCGGACACCATGCACCTGTCCGTCCGCAACTATCGCTACTCGTTCGACCTGCCACTGCGCGACGAGGGATACTGGCGCCCGAAAGTGGTCACCGTCTCGGGTCCCGCTGACGGCGGTGGTGTCGTCGGGTACAACCACGCTCGCGGCTCTGACGTCCTGCTCGCCGACAGCGGGTGGCACTGCTCGTTCTGCTTCCCGACGCTGGACGACATCCGCGCCAAAATGACCGGATACATCCACAACGACCGCATGTCGCACCCGAGTCTGCTGCGCGAGCACGACTTGCGCCGCAGGGTGTGTCGCGGCCAAGACCCGTTCGGCATGTGGCCCGTGAGTACATAGTAGCAGTAGACTGGTCAAGACTGGTCAACTGGGGGGGTTTTTTTTTCAGTAGTGTGGCGCTGACAAACTGGGCAGGAGGTGTTCTCCTTCAAAGACCTCGCGGCGCAGTCGGGCAGGATACGGCCCGAACACTCGTTTGTCAACGTCCCCACCGCGCTGCGCGACGACCCGCAGCGGTGGCCATACCTCCTCGGCGGGGGCTGTAACCGCCCGAACAGCGCAAAGCCCCACCTGGCGTAGATTGTACATGTCGGACTGCTCAAGAGCAGAACGCGACGAGCCAGTGCCCTCTGTGAGACAGAGGCAGGCATGCGTTTGGTTTCGCGGACGTTGTTGCGACACCGAGGAATGCGCCTCGCCGCAGGCCATTGAACACCAGGTAGATGTGTGTAAGACACAACGGAGATAAGATAGTAGTAGTAGCCGCTAATGTGTTGTATGTACTCCTGGCATTGTGACTGCGTGTCGACGGCAACGTTGAAAGGTCCCCGCCTGCGCAACGCGCAGCAGCACAGAGCCATGCCGCCAAACTTCTCCAGGTGAAAGGAGTACGTACGTAACCGTGGCGTCAAGGACAAAGCAGAGCCGCTGGACTGGAATCATGCCTCGGAATGCCGGCACCATCGAAAGTGCGCTTCTGTGCTCCTGGGTCCATGCACATATGCGTCTGATGCGTACATCGTAGAATCTATAAAAACTCGTAGGGGGGCCCAAAATCTGCCACTGCGAGGTTCTCGGCGGGAAGAGGGGACGGGTTGTTCCTTTCTGCCGACATTTTTGTGGTTCACCCCGACCGAGCCCAGCATCACAGGGGGTGGGCTGCGGGGCAATTCGCCAGGTGCGTGATTGTCTTACTCGTCATCGCTGTCGCCCTCGTCCTCGCCGGCGTTGTTGGAAATCAAGCCGCCGCCGGCCTTGATGGCGCCGAGCTCGCGGCCGTGGCGCTTGAGACGCTCGGCAAACGCGTTGCGCGCACCGGGGTTCGAGGCGGCGTCCCACACCTGGACGGTGGCCTTTGAACCGGCCGCAGCGAGCGCGAGCGGGGTCTCAGAGTCGGGGCTCCAGCGGGCACAGAAGACCTTGCCGAGGCCGAGGTCACGCGAGGTTGCGAGAGAGATTTCGCGCTTGCGGCCCGCGATGCCCTCAGTCTCCTCGTCGGCCACGTTCCAGATCTTGACGGTCTTGTCCATGCCGCCGGTAACGATACAGCCGCGGATGTGGGGGTTGATGTCGAGCGCGGTGGCAGCGCCGTCGTGCGCCGACAGAGTGTACAGGGGGCGAGCGGTGGAGATGTTGTTGGCGCCCTTGGAGGACGACAGAGTACGGGCGTCGTAGTTGAGGATGAGACCGTTCTCGAGCGAGACGAAGAAGTTGGTGGCTGACCACGGGTCCCAGCGGACGCACTCAATGTCGGCGCCCATGGCGACGCCAAAGCCCTCGCCGTCCTTGGTCATCGGGTCCCAGACACGGACGGTGCGGTCGTAGCCGCCGGAAAGCACGGCAGTGTCCGCACCAGAGCCAGCGGCAGCGCGGTTCCACTCGAGGCCCTGGACCTTGTCGCCGCCGTGGATCTTGTCCCAAGACGAACGGGCGCCCATGGGCGACTCGCGGGTCAGGTCCCAGAGCTTGATGGTGCCGTCGGCCGAACCCGAAAGCAGCAAGTTGCGGAACTTGTTGGTCCACGAGAGACCCAGGACGGGCTGGACGTGGTAGTCGGCGTTGGCAGTGGGCTGGACGAGCTGGCGACGCTTTTTCTTGCCGGTGCCGGCAGGCTTGGCCTCGGGCTTTTCCAACGAAGAAGCGGGACCAAGGATAGCCTGCGGGTAGAGACCGTCGACAACGTCGGCGTCCCAGATCTCAATGGAGGGGTCAAACGAACCGACAGCGACAAAGTTGCCGGTGCGCGCGTCGTCGGACGAGCCCGAGCCCGAGGCAAAGTCGAGCCACTCGACACAGAGGGGGAAGGTGGGGAGCATGAGGTCGTGGTGGGTGTACAGGCTCTCGTTGGAGTCGTCGTACACGTGGAAGTCGAGAGTCGAGAGGTCCGAGTTGGTGCGCGCAGTGACGACCATGCTGTCCGTCTCGAGGAGCGCCAGCTCCTCGCGCTCAATGTCTTCGTCGTCCTCCTTGAGGGTAATGTAAGGGTCATCGTTGTTGTCGCGGTAGTACGTCAGGCCCTTGACGTTGGAGAAGGCGCCCATCATGGGCGCAGTCGAGGGCTCGTCGTCGTACTCGTCCATCTTGAACGCAGAGAGGTCGTTGGGGTCGTGAGGCTTGGTGGGCTCGGCCGCAGCGTCGTCCTCCATCTTCTCGTCCTCGCCACTTGCCGATGCGCTTCCGTCCTCATTATCGTCCTCGTCGTCCTCGTCGTCATCGTTGGCGTCCTCCCAGTCGCCTCCGTCGTCCATCTCCATCTGCTCCATCTGCTCCTTGAGCTGCTCGAGGACGCCCGGGCCGCCGAGCTTGCCGACGCGCTCCATCTCGGCCTCGTCGAGCTGGTACTTTTTGGGCGCCAAGGCGGCGCGTCCGCGTGGCACCCACACGAGCGACGAAATGAGTGTGCCGGACATGGTAGGGGTGGGTGAGGGGGTTGTTGTTGAAGCTGGAGATGACTTCAGAAATCTTGGGACTGGATTGTAGAACTTTCCCACGTGGTCGTTATCAGTGGCGACGGCTGAGAAGAATAAATGATGTGTCTTTTTGATTTCTCCGGTACAATGACGCAACAGGAGTGTGCCTTAGTTGGCCCGAGATCCCGAGAGCTTGCGAGAGTGCTTTCTCGTTTGTCGGCATCACCATCAAGCACCACACACACCACCACGAGATGAGCTTCTTTAGCTCCCCACCGCCGTCCTATGCACAGGAGCAACTACAGGCTCATCTGGGACAGCTCACAACGCTCCCCGTAGTTGTCCCCGTTGCCGCCCTCGAGACAACGACAGACGTCGTCCCCTCGCGCGCCTCGGACCGTCTCCAACATGCCCTCGCCCAGCTCACAGCCGGCAAGCCGCCTTCCCTCGACAAGCTCGCGGACATTCTCGACTCGGTCCAAAGGGCAGACGACGAGGTCGAGGTGTCTGAGATTACAGTTCTGGACCGCGAGGCCCAGGCCGAGGTGGTCACGCGTGCAGTGAGCTTGATCTGGGCACACACCATGCAGACGTTTGTCGACGGCGCGCTCCAACTGGAAGACGACAGGGCGTGGTGGGACTATGCTATTTCAAGCAGGACCGGAACGGTGGTGTACCTGGTTCAGAGTAGGTCGGGCTCTGTGACAGCCCGTATGCTAACACTTCGCAGCCCTGCCATACCGAGTCTTCCTCGCGGCGGCGGACAAGATCCAGCCGGGTACATTTACGGAAAAGCTCCACTCGCTGCACTGGCCCTCTCGCGGCTCGCTATTCAAGTCGCTTCACGGCGCCAACGCGTCCATCTCGCAGCAGGTCATGAAGTTTGCGTCGCCGTTGCAACTCACGCGCCGCGAGATGCTCACCAACATTGGCACCCTCACAAAGGCCCGTGACGCTGCAGCGGTGCGGGTCGGTATCCTAGCGTCCCAGGGCCCGCGGTGGGGCTCACTGGAAATGTCGGCGGCTGTCTCGCCCACCGACCTCTCGGACGAGGCGAAACGCGTCTACTCTGTGCTCTGCGACGTGCTCGACGCCCAGGACCAGGGGCTCTTGACGACCAAGCCTGGTAAAGTGCAGAGCGTTGGCGCCAGGAGGAGGGTCAAGGGCGAGGTGACACCCGCGGCGCTGCTGCAGCTTATTGACGGCTCCCTCCCGCGGGCAGAGGGTATCGTCAAATCGACACTCAACGAGTTTGGCCGCCCGTCCAAATTCACGCGTCTGTGGTTCCCCCTCCTCTTCCTCCCTCCTGCCATCTACATTGCCGCCAACAGCGTGGTGAAGAACAAGGAATGGCTCAAGGAGCAAGTGTCCAATGCGCGCGAGACGGTCAAGGGATTCTTTGTGCAGTGGGTGTGGGAGCCGCTGGAGGAGATTGCCAACACGATGCGGGGCGGAGGCAAGGGCCTGGATGTCTCGCCCGAGACGGTCAAGACGGACCAGGAAAGCCTGGAGCGCATGGTCATGGACCTCGGCCGCGACTACTACCACCTCAGCGGCTCGCAGCTGGAACAGCTCAAGAAGCAGGTCGCGTCGGGCGACATGTCGTCGGTGCTCAAGGTGTACGAGAATGAGATGCAGAGTCCCATCAAGAACGCTCTCACGGGCAACTTGATCCGCACACTCCTTATCCAGGTCCAAAAGACAAAGGTTGGTGGGAAGGAAGTTGCAAAGAGCACTTGGGCTGACGCGATTTCCAGACCGACCTGTCGCTCTCCCTCGAGTCTCTTGACCAGCTCCTCCGCAGTCAGCAGCTCACATTCGCATTCGTCGGTGTGGCCCCCTCGGTTCTCCTGCTCTGGGGCGCGTGGGGCTGGGTCTCGAGTCTGTGGACCGGCGAGAACCGTGGCAAGTCGCGCCGCCGTCGCTACTTCCACGGCATGCGCAACGTCGAGCGTCTCCTGCTCACTGCGCCCGAGGACGAGGCGCGCATGAGCGACAAGGACAGGGGTCTGATCATTGTGTCTGTCTCGGGGCTCCGCACTTGGGCAACTGGCATCTCGTCTGCCAGGAGGGAGGTGGGTGCTAGGCTTTTTGAGCCAAGAAAGGGCAACAAGGGAAAAATCAAATCTCAGGGAGAGCTGACGGTTGGCGCTTTTTTATCCAGGCCTTTTTGGACGATCTCCGCATGGTCGAGGACCCGGGACTGGCCCGGGACGACAAGCTGCGTGTTGTGGAGCGCATGTGGCGCTGTTGGGGCATGGACGGGAGGAAGGTTGTGGTGTAGTTTTGGGACGTTGTTGCAGCAGAGATGTAACATGGGTTAGAAGCAGAAAGGGGGACAGCTCGTCCTTGGGTTTCTATCTGAGGTACCCGCAGGTAATCTGGTGGCTGATGGCTGAACGCTGGGTTCCACTTGCGCTTCGGAAGCCATTGTTTTTGGGTCCAAGCGGTAGAGGGCTTTGACGGTGACGGTGGGGTGTGGTGATTGGGGTTCATGCATGCAAGAGACGAAGAGAGGTGTAGGACACTGGTGTATGTTTATGCTTTCCTGTATGCTGTGAAATGGCTGTCCTGTTACGGCCTGCGCGTCGTTTTATTTTCAACGTCATCGCCCACACCACCCTGTTTTTTTGCCACTCTGGGCAAACCCACTGTCTGCCTGTGAGTTTGCTCCCGTCACCCCGCCGACAATGGCCCCCCCCCTCTCTGTGCTGTGGGCAGCCGCCGCGCGGTCATGGCCGCCACTCTCTCCCATCGTCCTCTCTTGTCGTCTCCTCCCGCCCATCTGCAACACAACCACCAACTCCCAACTTCCACCATCGCTCGACGCTTGTACTACCCTTGTACAAGCACCTCTCCAGCTCCCTCCTCCACACTCGACACATGGGCACCGGCCCCTGTTGATATCCTCGCTCCTCCCCCCCCGCCCGTCCCTCCATCCCGTACGTATCCCCCCTCCGTCCCTCGCCGTTCGACCGCGCGGCCTGTGTCATCCTCCACTATCCTCTCTGCACCGCACCTTCTCCTCCGGCTAGCAATACAAACTACACCTTGCACTCTTGAAACCCACCTCCGTCGCCTGCTCCTCATCTCCCATTCTCGCCACCGCAGCTCGCACACACACTGGTGGCTGACAGATCCCACAGCATACCCGTATCCTCTTCCGTGCGCCGCTCACCGTCTCTCGGCGCGCTCGGCGTCGACATTCCCCCCACCCCATCTTCCCACAATGGACACGTCCACACTGTCCTTTTCCGATTCAGACAAGCCTGACGCACCACGGACCTTGTCGGCGGTCAAAGAAACACCAGAACCCGAACCATGGCACACGCGCTTGATGGCTCCCTTGACAAAGCAGTTTATCGCAAAGGGCGCCAAGGCGGCGCGTCACACCAGCGCAGCCGCCGTCGCTGCGGCGGGCGCGGCTGGCGCCCAGGCAGTCGCATCAGCACAGTACCGACAGCTCGAGACCGTTGTGCAGGCCGTCGACGAGTTGCCGCCGTACGAAGGCGGTGACGGCCCGTCCACCGTGCTGATTGTGTTTATCCCCATCCTCGTGGTCATCCTCACGGTCCTCCTTGGCGTGTTGATCTTTCTGATTGCGCTGCTGTGCATGAAGAGGGGCAAAGGCATCCGACTCACAGAGGATGGCGGACCCCTCGATCTCTCACGGGGAGATGGCGTCATGGGCGAGGGCGGCACCGAGGGTGTCGAGGCTCGGTGGTTGGAGACTATCGACCCAGACGTGTCGCAGGCGTATCTCCGGGCCAAGGGTGAGTGCAGGATGGAATGATAACAGAGTGCCAGGCTGACCTTTTCTTCTCAGACTGGCAGATGCAATACCCACCGTCATCTGTCCCCACCGACATTACCCTCTCTCAATTCCTCTCAATTCAAGAAAAGGGTGTTTCGGCGTGGGCATTCGAGCCCGACTATGAGGAGAACCTCTCGCTCTACGTCCAGTCCCGAACAGAAATCACTTTTTTGGCCGATGGCCCCGGAATGAACGTCCGTGAAGGTGGTGGCAACTCGGTCATGGCCAACCTCCCGCTGCCGAAACTCAACGAGGTCTACTACTGGGAGGTGAAAATGTACGAAAAGCCAGTTACTACCGAGGTCGCCATCGGTCTGGCTACCAAGCCGTACCCCTCATTCCGTCTGCCGGGCTGGAACCGCTTCAGCGTCGCATACTTTGCGTCGGACGGGTTCAAGTCGCACAACTATCCGTTTACTGCATCGTCGTACGGTCCGCCCTTGGCCGAAGGCGACGTCTTGGGTGTGGGCTACCGTCCCCGCGCCGGCACCGTCTTCTTCACCCGCAACGGCCGCAAGCTCGAGGACTGCTACACTGGCCTTCACAAGTTGAACCTGTTCCCCACCGTTGGCGCCAACGGGCCCTGTACCTTGCATGTCAACCTTGGCCAGGCTGGTTTCGTCTTTATCGAGGCCAACGTGAAGAAGTGGGGTCTGGCACCCATGGTCGGCACCCTTGCTCCTCCTCCCGCCTACGGCTCTGAGCGCGGCTCTATCCTGCTCGACGCAGGCTACGGCACCCCCGGTTCTTCACAAAACTTGGGCGGTATTGGCGCGTTGCTCGAGGCTGCTCGTGCCCGCTCTGCTCGTCCCATTCCAGTCGCCGGCCCATCGAGCCCTCCCGCTACCCCTCGTTCTTCTCGCCGCCGGGCTCGCCCTACCTCTGTCCCGGCCATTTCCTCGCCCCTCCGCGACGGCCCGCCCCAGTCTCGCCGAGCTGCGCTCGCCGAGGCTGTAGGCACCTCATACATTTCGCCCACCGACACACCACTAGTCGCCCCGCGCGTCCCGGCCGTCGAGGAACTCGAGTCTTCCGACGAGTCATCGTCGCAGGCATCTTCCATGCGCTCCCCGCCGAACCCACCCACGCCCAACGTGTTGGATATCTCGATGCAGTCGCTTCGCGGGGAGCAGAGCTACTTTTCTCGCCGAGCGCAGCGTGCTGCCGCCGAGGACGAGGAGCCCAGTGGCGCGTCTTCCGCCACGTCTGGCGACTCTGGTTCGACCGCTCGCCCGTCCATGGTCCGCGAGCCGTCGCTCGGCCCTCCCGAGGACTCGCCACCTCCGCCAGGATACGCGCCGCTGGATCCACACGTCTACTCGCAGGGCCTGCCCGCAGACTTGCCCGAGGATTTGATCAACCAGGCGATTGCGGCGATGGGCGACACGTGAGCACCGAGCGACGGCCGGCACGTCCTAGTGCCCGCCTGAGCTCTTGTGCTGGCTGCTGGATTTTCAATGGCCTACAAAAGCCGGAGAAAGACTCCTTTTCGGCTTTTTTCTTCTTGCTTCACAGGCCAATCTACAAATCCCTGCATTGCCGGCGCCGTTCAACCACCTCGTGCTGTGCCTGCTGACCATCTACAAAAAGTCCAACCGCAACCGAGGACAGCGACAGTTTACGCGCGTACGAGCGCGCCGACGCGCGCACAATGACGCCCCAACCACCTATCCACCCACCACCACCACCACAGTCATCATCATCGCATCCGGCCCCGCTCATGCGTTGGCTGCTGGGCCGGTGAGAAGAGAAGCCCCCATACACCAACCACTAGTCTCCCCCAACCACCATAACCCCCTCCTTTTTTTTTATTGTAAACCGCCCAGCTGAAGGGGATTTCTTCTTTGTCGACCAGAGAATCTTTGTTGTGATGCATCAGAAGTGCCTATAGCCTATAGCGTGTGGTTGTGTGAGTGTCGTGTACGTGTGCTTGAGAGTGGGGAGCGTGGGGTGCAGTTGACCAGTGCCGCTGCGGTGTAGAGCCTGTGATGGGGCACAAGGGGCACAGAGGTATGGGGCAACCCGGGCGACGATCTGTCCATATGTGGGAGCATCGGCGGTTAGTTGATCGGGAGGGGCGTTGCGGTGGACATGGTTTTGTGGCCTTGTGGGTTTGTTCAACGCCGCACGACGTAGCCGCCATGTGGGCGGTGAGCGGGTGAAGAGGGCCAATGAGGCAAGGTATGATCATGCAGAATGCAGAGGGCGGAGACTGCTCTGTAGGACTAGTTTCATTGGGATTTTTTGTAGGCGTGAAGCGATGGGAGACTCCCGACTTTGCAGACTCGTTGCTTATTCATAAACCTGTCCCCCCCGGGTGCAAGAACCAACGACCCGGTTATATACAGGTATATACAGAGAGCAGGACACGGTATGCCGGCCTGCAGTCTGAGCATGAATGGCAGTGGAGGCCAGACGGTGGACCATGAGCGGGAGGAGGATGACTGACGTCGGTCCAGATCGTTGCCGGTCGTTGATACAATTCGTTTCATTCTTTTCAACATCACTTATGACAACCAGCTAGCCTTACACGGGGATGGATAATACGTTCAGGTGTGCAAGACCCAACGTGAAGGGGCATTGCACATCCCGAAAGTCGAGAACAAGTCCTCAGAATATAGACTGACCGACAGCCGGAAAAACAGGCAACATTGCCGCCCTTGTGGCGAAATGGTTATCGCTTTCCACTTCTAATTCGCGTTATATTGTGACTGGGATGGAAGGATTGCGGGTTCGAGTCCCGCCAGGGGTTGCTGAGAGTGTCCTGGGCTGCCAGAACATCTCTCGTCGTCGTTTTTGGACGGCGACCGCGCGGCGACGCCGTGGAGTTGGAAAAAACGGAGCACCGAATTCGGGCAGAAGTCGATGGGCGGAATCAAAAAGCGGGATGTGGCGCGGAATGGTGCGACGGGAGTATATTGTGCGTGTGTTACACAGCCTATAGACTTGAGTCGTGCATGTTGCATGTGGCGGGGTAAGCTCTCGGCCTCTTGGCCAATGCTGAAATGCGATCGCCCTACAGCGCTTTGTGCTTCTCTGCAGTACAAGAATGAACGGTAATAATATACCTCTGCAACGTAATTCTGCCTTGGCTCTCGTACTTTGGCTGGCTGTGGCGACTCCTCGGCGTCCTCTGCTGCTCTCCATCCCTGGCGCTCTTATTTGAGGCTTCTTGTTCAGGCTGTTATCCCCTTTAAATTGTCTCTTCCTGGTGTGACTACTTATATGAAGCTATCCGTGGGGTATGAAAGAGCTCTGATCGCTCTGACCTTTGTGGGTGGTTGGGACTTGAACAGCGTCGTGCCCGGAACCAAATAAACCCGACTCACCCCCTCTACCCGCGCGGGGATCTGCGCGTCGTCATACTACCATCTGGTTTCGGCTGTGGACCCATCATACCACACCGCACACGATCCACCCATGCCGTCCCTCTCCCGCAACTCTCCCTTATCATCGCCCATATCCCCATCACGTCCACGCTTCAGATCACCATCATACCCCGGCCCCAGCTCCCCAACACTCTCCTTTGAACGCACACGCTCCCCCTCCTTTTCACTCGCTACCGTCTCAGCGGCCGCCGCACCACTTGCAGCATCCATGCGCGGCGCACCCCCTCCCTTCGCCTTTTCGAGAGTGATACCAGCCGCAGAAGCCGCTGGAGGGCCCGGAGCAGCGTCAATAGCAGGCCCGGGAGGGTCAGCAGGGACGTTTAGCCCAGCGTCCCCACAGAGCGCGCCGAGGTTGCCAAGTACGAGCCCCACACGGCCGCCAGTCCCGGGACTGCTCGTGCCGACCGACCGGACGCTCGAGGACCTCGAGGAGAACTGGCTGCCGCGTCTGGGAAAGCTCAAGGTCGACCGCGAGGTGCGGATTTCAGGCTACACGTTGTATGGAATAAGGAGCTGGTGAGTGGCCCCGGGAGCCAGGTGGCGTTGTGGCTGCACGCGACGAGAAGCGCGACGAGGAGGGAGACTGAGCTGACGTTCCAGGTACCTCTCACGAACACACTGGATGTTCACCATTGCCGTGTCTTCTGGCAAGCCGACAGATTACATCTCGTGCTATGTCCTCACCCCTTGTCCCGAACTCTCAGACGCGGAGGGAGCCGCCGTGCTCGCTTCGGCGGCACACTACCTCGCAAGCGAGACGCACGGCCACACACGAAAGACCGAACACGGCACGCTTCTCGTGAGCTCGCCAGCGGGATATGGACAAGAGATATCGCCCATCCCCACAGGCGACATGCGTGGTGCGTGGCCGTTTATCGTCCTCAACACTGGTCTCCGTCGACTGGGCTGTGGCGGCCGTGCCGCCATGGGCAACGACCCGCCCGTCCCCGCTGTCCGGCGCAAGTTTTACGAGTCGTACGGTATCCAACCCCCCAAAGCCGACGACGCGACGTCGCCACCTGGTTCCCCTACCCTCCAGCACACGCACAGCTTTGGCCATTCCCACCACTTGAGCCTCGGTTCGAACAACAGCGCCTCGAGCCCCACCGCAGCGATTGTGTGGAATGACCCGCTGTTGCTCAACACCATTACCACGGTCAAGCTCATCCAGGGCGCTTTGGCCCTATGGGGACTGTTTGGACCGCATGCAGGCGACGACTGTGTGGAAATTGACGGCCTGTTCTGTGACGAGACCAAGGCCGGCATCTTCCGATGGCGACGGGTCATGGGGTTGGAGATGGACGACGCGTACAAGATTGAGGTGAGCAAGCTCGGTCCGGCCCCATTATTTTCTGAGAAGCAGAGAACATCCCCCCTCCGTTCTTCCTGCCTTTCCATCGCCCATCAGTTCCAACTGACACTCATCTCAGAGAGAAACGTCCGGCGGTTGTATCGACCCACGCACACTCACCGCACTGCTCACCTCTGTCACGTCTGTTCGATACCAACTGGCGTCCCTGGGCGTTGAAAAGGTGAGCAAAGAGCCTCTGACGGTACAGCTGACTCTCAGCTCCCCAAAGACCCCTTTACCAACCCACGCCGCTTCCTCCAGGCCTGGCGCGCCTTCCCGCCGACGCAGGGAAAATACCTCTCCGTCTCTGGCATTCGCGCTCTCAACGCTTGCCACGTTCAAGGACGCAAGGCGCACCCCACAGACGCGCTCAAGGTCCACCGGTTTTTGCTCTCGGGCGTCGCGTCAGCGACCAGCAGCATCTCCAACAACCTCAAGGGCGGCGCAAGCGACGACTTGTCTACCCCGCTGCGCAAACGCGAGCAGCACATGATCTTTGGGGCCGACGATGGCGGCGAGTCTGGGCTGGGCATGATTGTCCCCGAGGCGCCTCCCGACACGAACGCCGTGTCCGCGCCCGACACCATTACCAGCGACATTGACGCCTACCACCGCCTCTTGCTCAAGTCGAAAGAAAAAGAGTGGGACGTCATGGGTGCCAGACCCATCGCCGAGCTGTTCAAGGGCCAGGCTCCCGAACGTGCCATGGACGGCGAAGCAGACCGGTACTATGACCCGCTTCGCGCGTTCCGCCGCCGACCCATCCAGGACGACGCGGACGACGACGGTGCCGTTGGCGCCACCATGGGCAGAGTCAAGGGCATGCGCTCCAAGACTGGCGCGGCGCTCAAGGGCAGCTTTGCGCTCGTCGGTGTCGGACGGGCATCCAAGGGCATGTCGGACGCGAGCGACTCGGAAGGAGCGAGCAAGGGCAAGAAGCGGGGTGTGCCAATGGTCAACGTGGAGGCGGACGACGACGACGTGCTGTCTGTCCTCTCGCGCTCGCCGTCCCCGCGCGAGCCCATCACCCCGTCCCCGCGCCAGCACACCACGTACCCTCAGGTCCACTCGCCGCTGCAACAGAGCATGCGGCTGAGTGTTGCCGGGACCAACGTCTCCGGCGACACCAGCGACGTGTCCATGGGTGGGTCGACGGTGGGCCGGCCGAGCCTGCCGAGCCTGCCCAGCATCCAAACGGGTCCTCTTGACCGGAGGAGGTCAGCGGCCACGGCCATTTCGACAACCACCAGCGCCGGCGATCGCAGTCGCGCATGGGCGAGCCCGCAGCCGCGCGTCCCAATGCTGCGTACCGCCAGTGACGGCGCCGACGTCGTCGTCGCTCCCGGAGGCAATGAGTTTGCCGTCGCCAACCCGCACGGTACCGGCCGGCGTGAGGAGGCCGTTGTGGACGGCACGGTGCAGCTCGAGCCGCAGCTCGAGAGCGATTTCGGCATTGACCGCGCGGCGCTCAAGCGCACAAACTCGTTCCAGAACAGAAGCTACTACCGCGGGTTCCGCATAAAGCCCAAGGACCATCTGGCTGTCGATGTGGAAATGTGCGCGCTGGTGTGGGAGCTGCGTAAAAAGGAAAAGGCCCTGCAGAAGCGTACAGAGGACATGATGGTGGGTATCTGATTCGGAGAGCACTTCTTGAGTTCCCGCTGACAGCACGAACAGGTTGTGGAGAAGAGCGCGTTTGCAGCGACCCAAGCGATGATGGATGCGGCCCGGTCGCGCCGCGACCGCGTCGACAACCTCGAGGCCGAGGTCCGGCGCCTGCAGTATGACCTGTCGCGCGCGGCCAGCGAGGACGTCGACGAGGACCGCGCGCTGCAGTGGGCGTCAAGCAAGCTCCTGTTCTTCCTCTCTGAAGACACCAACATCCACGAACTCAGGTGGCAGCTGCGCGAGCTGGAAAAGCACTGGGAGAGTATGCGCGAGGAGCGCGAGGAGGCCGTCGAGGCCGTCAGGAGGGAGGAGGCCAAGCCGTGGTGGAGGCTCGGTTATTGAGTCCAGTGAGGGTTATAAGTGGGTAGACCTCGTGTGTTTCTACACGAGCTGAGATTGTACATTTTAGACCTTGGGTAATGACTGCATACATGCATAATGACTAGTGCTAGAGTGGTGTGTGTGTTTGTGTGTGTGTTTGTGTGTGTGTGTGTGATGGGGGACAATGGTGTGTCCGGGTGTTGAAGTTGTGCTTGAGCAGGTCGTCATGCGCTCAATCTCGGCGTTTTAAGGCGCGGGGGCGTCGTCGACTCATATCCTGCTCGTCTTGTCTGCGCTCTTGGACGCTGTACCAGCCGGGTCACTTGACGCTGCTGCGCCTCCTGTCTGTGTCGTCGACGCCGCAACGGCCGGTCCCTTGTCGCCGCCAACATCTCCCAAACCGAGGTTCTGCATGTCGTCCTGATCCATGAGGCCGTGGTCCATCCTGCACTGGAGGTAACCGCGCGCCTCGAGGCGGCACTCGCCCGAGTCCGACTTGTTCGCCTTGAGACACTTCATGTAGCTGAGCATAAAGGTCTTGCAGTCGCCTGGAAGCGTGTCAGCACGGGGGCTCACGATGTCAGGTGCAGGTGCAGGGGGGGGGAGTAAAAGTACACGCCGAGGTCTCGTTCCGACAGACGGACGGCGGCTCGGCAGGAGCCGGACATGAGCCTGTGCGAGAGGGGATGCAGGATGCCTGTGAGGTCGTCCACGACACCACCCAGCACACAGCACCGCTCGCAGCTGCGTAGTACAGCTGGCGCAGCAGCTGCTGCAGACATGTCGAGAGCCCCCCCCCCCTCCCTCGTCGCAGCGGCACTCCTGTCGTGTGTCCTTGTCTCCTCTCCGAAACTGGCAGGCTCAAGAGGACATGCTACGCACCGTCATGGTCGAGCGGGAAGGAGCCACGCTGTGGTGGCAGGACCTTGAATGTGTCTGCGAGCCCGCCTGGACGACCAAAGGACATTGTTGCTGTTGCTGTTGGGGATGGAGAAATGAGAGCGATGAGAAGGGTTGGAAACGACGTCAAGGGCTGAAACCGGCGAAACACGGCATCGCGGGTTTGTTTCTTTTTCGTCCGGGAAGCCCCCCAGGTGGTTGCGTCGGTGTCCGAGTATGGACTGTAGGATGAGTGTTTGTAACGTGGGCCGTTGCAAGTGCATCATACCCCGCAACCTGGTAATGTAGACAGCGGGTGGCTACAATTTGTCGCTTTCGTTTTCCGCGTTGACACGGCTGTAATTGACCTCAACAATCCTTTATAACTGTTAGATGGCGATAGACCATCCACTCCCCCATGATTCCGGGTGTTGTTGGCTTTTGACCGAGTCAAAGCAGCGCGACAGCTTCCGCCCAGTTCTCATTTGGCTCAGCAGAAGCCATGCAGCATGTCGTGGGAATTGGTCCACGCCATGCACGCCTTGCAATATGCATATATGCATAGACGGTACGAGGGAGATGGGGGATTGTGTTACCGTCTACCCCCAAATAGCCTATCGTGCTTAGTCCGTTGTTATTGTTGTTGTTGTTGTTCCTTGACCTCATCCTTCCTTCCTCCTTTCCTCCTCTCCCCCTTTCCTCCTTTCCTCCTTTCCTCCTCCCCCTCCGGCTCCATACCGGAGTTCTTCAGATTCGTGTGAGTTCTATTACGATACGATGGCGCAGTTCTAACCGCCTTTTAGCCTTGTCCTCTGCCACCTCGTCCTCCTGTTGTCAGTAGCATTATATCCGCCCCCTCTCGCGTCTGTCTGTGCCCCGAGAGCGTAATACATTTCCTAGGATCTCCGTTACAAGAGCATCCGCTGCCGACCGAGGAGGCCTTGAAGTTTCTCCATCAAGCTGACCTTCTCCAGACCTGTCGACTTCCCCCGGCCGACACTGGCGACGCCCGATCATACCGCCAGGTGAGCTCCCTTTCCCCACCTTCCCTCCCGTTCCATCCACTGTCAGTTTCGTCAGTCAAACTGACCTCATTCAGCCTTGGGCAACTCCCTATGATGCCACGCATCAAGAGGAAGCCCACGGCGGCATACGACCCTCTGGCTCGCCCGGCCGTCCGCGCCGCCCGCCTCGGCTTCCTGGCCAAGGTGGACCAGGACTCGCAGATGTCCGTGCGCGAGACCACTTGTAGCCACCCGTGAGGGCAACCTTTTCAGGCGCGCGAGGATAACTTGGAGCTGCGCGAAGCCGCCCTCCAGAACCGCGAACTGGTCGCAACGCACATGCCGGACGACCGCCACTCCATTCAGTCACGTATCTCTGCCATCGAGGATAGGCTTCACGAGCAGGGCGGTACCATTGGCGAAATCAAGGGGGACGTTTCTTCCATCAAGGGGAACATGGGTGCGATGAACTTGCGTCTCGAGACCGTGGCCCAAACTGCGGATGCTGCTGCCGCTAGCAGTGCAGAGATTCGCCATAATCTCGGCACGGCCCTTACGGCTCTCACGCGCGTCCAGAGCCTCATCGGCGATCCCAGCGCCGACGATAACCTCACCGGTGTGACCACCTCAATCGCAACCAAACTGTCAACCCTGCCCGCGCCGAGCCCAACCCCGCCTATGTCAACCGTGAAGTCACCGTCTAGCACGCCGGCCCGGCCACCGTCAACCTCAACCGCGCTGGTGCTGCGGCCGTCAACTCCGCCGCCAACGTCAACCGCGGCGGTGGTTTCCCAGACTCCGGCGCCACCGCCGAAGAGGATGTGATTGTTGACCCCAAAACCCCGGCGCGCCACACCAGCAAGGTTGGAGCTTGTACGCCCTGGGCTCCCGTTTTTCCAAGTTCCCGTGCTTTGCCTGGTGCGACCATCGTGGCGGCTGCCCTAACCGTCCTTTTCGTTGCAGTTACTCCCACAACCCCAAGTTCCTCGCATAGAGCCTCCTCAGCGCATGGCCTTTGCGTCCAGACGCAAATGTTAAAACCCTTCGATTTTTTTTTTCTGGCTCGCCCGGCCGTCCGTGCCGCCCGCCTCGGCTTCCTGGCCAAAGTGGACCAGCACGAGACCGATGTGCAGGCGCGCGAGGACTACTTGGAGCTGCGCGAAGCCGCCCTCCAGAACCGCGAAACAATGGTCGAAACGCAAGCCACGAAGTCGACATGGCCATGTGCTGCAAATAATAACGATGTGGTGCGTGGCGTCATGACGTCATATAATACGCCTATACAGAAGCCAAGATGTTTTGGATTACACTCAAAAGACACGACTATAATGGTATTCAAATCACGTGATCTTGATCTTGTGGCCTGATCTTGTGGCCTGTCACACGTCACCCGTCATCACCTGTCGCCACTCACCGCGTTCATAAACACCAGACACGCTCGAGACTCTCTCAACCGTCCACTCTCTCACCTCCATCATCACTTCATCCTTCATCACTTCATCCATCATCACTTCATCCATCGTCACTTCATCCATCATCCCCTCCACCCATCATCACGTCCACCCATGTCTCCTCGATCGTCTCCCTCCCCAGCTCCCAACTCCTTGTACCCCCTATCATATGGTATGGGCCGATTCCCACGTCAATGATGCCGACCAGCCGGAGAGGCTCTAAATCGTCTAGTTAGATTAAAGCTGTAGCCGTTGTCCAGCGACTGCGCAGAGCGCGCCCAGAGCGCGCGCAAAGTGTGAGACTCTTCCTCACATCAAATTCCGCTCGGCCGTGGGGCTTGAACCCGACGTGACCCAAAATCACGTCTACGCTGGCCTCAGCGTATGCGCAGAGTATGGTTGAGTTTTCCTGTATCGATGACGCGCACCAGCCGGAGAGGCTCTAAATCGTCTAGTTAGATTACAGCTGTAGCCGTTGTCCTGCAGCGATGCGCAGGCGCGCGCAAAGTGTGGCTTTCCTCCACATCAAAGATGCGCTCAAGCCGATATGGGGCTCTAAACCGGAGTGTAGAGACGGCGCCTGATATCCATTTGTCGGCACCTGGTCCAAGTTGAACGAGGCGGAAGCCTTCAGTGCTGCTTGGACTGAGTACTGTCAACTGGGTGTACCGTGTGGGCGAACAGCCTGTAGCCAGCATGCATGTTTGATAACACTGCAACGTTTGCACCAATGCATGTTCATTGCTGTCCTGTGTTTGCTAGGAACCAAAGGTGAATGAAGCAAGTGGTGCCTGTTGGCCTGTTGGGAGCTGGCAGCTGGCGGGTGTGTGTGGGTGGGCGGCGGGGGTTGGGGGGCCATCCCGAGACATACATTCTCTTGATGTCGCTCCATCCCCTTTCACCGCCGTCGCCAACAGCGAGCACACGCACTCTGGCAGTGACACTGCCCACCTCTCCTCCCTCTGTCCGTCAGCTACTCGACCAGGTTCACACCACAGCCCCACCAGCTCCCACCCCACCCTGCTCTCTACCCCGCACCCCGCACCACCATGCCGCCGCTCCTCACCGCTTGCCAGAGCCGCTGGGCACTGCACTCCCTCGTTGCTATCCTCTCGGCCGTCGCTATCGCAAGCTCGTCTGCACCAGTGTCAGGTGAGTGTGTCCCGGCCGAGCACCCATGTCCACTGGGAGTACAGCGACGATCACGGCGGGGGCGCCACCCCTCGCGGTTATCCTGTCCCGCAGCTACGCGCTCGCGCTCGCGCTCTCCTAGTATATACACAAACGCCCTCGCCCCAGCCTTTGCAGTGAAAGGTCGCAGCTAACGGTAGGCACTGGCATGTACAATGGCATGATGGGCGACCTGCGTGGTGTCGTGGTCATTGTCGGCGGCGTGGGGCTGCTCGGCATCGGCCTCTTACGCGCCGCGTCCTTTCTTCCTCGCCCGTGGAGGGTGTACACCGACCGCATCGAGTTCACCTTTGTTGCCATGCTCTGGATCGTGTGGACATGTGAGTATCGCTGTATCGCTGTCTGGGAGGCCGTGGCCGCCGTTTGCCTGCGCGCTGTCCCCACCTCACCGGTGTCCTTGGCGGTGGGCACCGGAGATAACGGTGGCAACACCCCAATTCAACCTCGGCTCGCCAAGCACCGCAAACCATGTTCCCATTACGGTTTGCAACTAGCGCGCCAGACGGGCTGACACTTTAAACATAGCTGCCACCATGGCCTTTTCGCACTTTACAGTAGACCGGGGCGTGTGCTTCAACCCGGACAACAGGGCCAAGGGGGAACTGCACCTGCCCAGTTGCCCATTACTGACATTTGACTTGGCCCTGCTGCACCTCTTATCGACGTCAACCCTTGCGCTCATGCTCGTCGTCTTATCCACGGTGCTGGCACCGGGATACCACCTGTCTCACTCGACGAGCTATGACGCCGACGCTGAGCAACTCCAGTCCAGCCCCAAGGGTGGCGGCCTCGTGCTGTGGGACTTGGCGCTGGCGCCCATCGAACAGGGAGCTGGAGAGCGTGACCGCTTGCACGTCGAGCGATACGGTGCGACAGAGCCGGAAGCCAGCGGCAGCGGTAGTGGTACTAGCGATGCGCAGGAAGCTGGCACTGTGGGCATTCTGCCAAGGGACAAGTTTGCAGAGGGGAGGGTCACGTCATACGGCCTTCTCCTCGCGTGCTCCCTCGGCGTCGTTGGGTCGGCTGCTGCCATTGCAGGCGGGGACGCTACCGGTGGTAGCCCGTTCATCCTCGCTGTCGGCGCCATCTCCTCCATTTTCTCAACAGCATGGTGGGTATAGAGATCGCTATGGCAACGCTGACCCCGCAGCCTTGCACTTCACTTTAGCCGCCGCGGCCATGTCGCCGGCAAGCTGGACGACACGTTCCTTGCCCGCCATGACCGCGCCATCGAGGTCGCCGGTTCTGCGTCGCTGTTTCTCCTCTGGCCTCGTGAGTTGCGTCAGCATGCACTTGCTAACCCATATCAGTCGCTGCAGTCATCTACACGCTCCTCCCAGCCATGGCGTACCGGCCGTGCGCCGATCCCGCCACCTCTTCCACTCCCGCGCCCGACCTTGAATCGCCCGCCTCGCCCCAGACACTGTGCTACTTCTCATGCGCAGCCATATCGCTCGCGTGGCTCGCGGCCTGGGTCGTGCTCGTGCGCATGCTCGGCCTCGTCTTCCCCATGCCCGAACTCGGGTGGACGCCAAAGAGGGAAGCCTATGAAGGTCCCGAGGCGCGTGGTCTGCTCGCCCCGGAACCGGAGCGCGACCGAGGGCACGACGTGGTGGTGGAGGAGATGGACGACGAGGAAGCAGGCGACGAGGATGACCAGTTCGCGCTGCGTTCCAAGCCCAGCTGGTCGTCACGGGTACGCGGGTACGTGCCAAAGCGCAAGAGCAAAAGCACACCTAGCCAGACAGTGCTATCGTCGTCGCCGCCGCCCCCGCCGCCCAGGCCACAGGTCAAGTGGGGACGGCTCGTGGCTGGGGAGGAGTTTGAGCTGGAAGACGACGCGGACGACGAGTAGAGTGTAGAGTAGAGTCCAGGCGAGAGAAATCACAAGTTGTACATAGTATCATTGTGTGTCAAATGTACCCAGAAACGTGTCAGCAGCTGCCCTCGGTAGCTCATGATCACGCATCCCTCTCACATCTCTACTGATCCGATGCCGCCTTCAGCCGTTCGAATTATTACACCCGCTGTCCGCTGTATACAATGCCTGTACTGTACCGTCCGAATGACTCCCGATGCCCGCTCCCAATCCCAATGCTACCATGCCACTGCTACTGCCATGCCCTCAGGCCACACTCCCCACCAACGCGACCGCCACGCCACAGAGCACCGCCTCGGCGCCTAATGACAAGCGCCTTGAAGCTCCGTTCGTCGTCTTGAGGACCGAATCGCCACGCGCGTGCACGCTGAACATTTGCGAATGTGCAAGGCGCTCTTGGTTCACCATTTAGCTCCGGGTCACATCCCACCCCAGCAAATCCACTCACGAGCCTCGTTGCCCGCAATAGTCAACAGGAGGGTGTAGTTGTCCCCTGGCAGAGCACTGGAGTGTCAGCTTTGGAAGACGAACCAACATATAGCTGAATCGAGCCAATGGGCCGAGAGGTATCACGCCCGCGCGGGAAGCGATATAGCTCGCGCACAACTTCCGGTCCCCACTTCTTGTGGCAACTCACGTCCCAATGTCTGCCGTCACTAGCGTCATAGTCCCCGGCGGTACTGAGTTGGGTCAGCCAGAAAGTAATGTGTGGATATAGCACCGCCACACGGCCATTTTCACAGCCGCTCGCGACCGAGAGCTTGACCGAAGCCGAAATCGGCATTCTTCTCCAGCCTTTCTCGCCTAGGCAACTCTCCGACTCACAGCTAGAGCTCAACGCAAAGTCTTGCTCGAGCAGCGCCGAGTCGGCGTTATGTAGCCAGATGTCGATGGCAATCTCGAATGGGTGCCAGCGAGCGACGTTTGGTTGGCCCGCGACCCCTGTAGCAGTTTGCGTCAGCCCTACAGTGGGATCTCGGTACTGTGACGCTGGGGGATCTCGGTATTGGGAGAGGGATGATCATGGAGGCATGTGTCCCGATCTGGCCCCAAAAGACCATTGAGTCGCCGTCGCCGAGGGCCACATGCCGCCGACAGCCTTGCCAAGCCGCTTGGCCTCGGCCTCGGCGGTCCGCCTCTTTGACGCCACTCTACGGTCTGTACGGTCTGGTACGCACATGAATCCCCAGACAATGGGTACGAGAATACTGCACTCGCACTGGGCGTCGACGCGGCCGTGCGAGAGCGGGCCGTCGTCGCCGTCGACCCGGGCGTATGTGGTGGTGTGTGGTTTGTCCGTGTGCCCGTCTGCGTCTCGGTCGCCCACACCGTGGCCGTCTTGGTCCTAGTGGTGGTCGTCTTGGTCGGCGGGTTGGTGTCTGTCGACGTTGCTGCGCCCTCGGCCCCGCGTTCTCGGGGCGGCACAGCGCCGGCGGCGGGCGTAACCAAGGTAGCGGCAATGACGACGAACAGGAGCAAGTGGACAGCGAGGGATAGCCGCCTCTTGGCGGCGGCAAGGGCGAACATGGCCTCCACAGTGGAGTGGAGACTGCTCGGCGAGCTAGAGGTGGGGTGGGGAGTGGCCGAAAAAAAGGATATGTGGGAGGATGAGGGGTGTCAAGTGGCCGTGGGCGAGTCGTTTTACTCCAACTGCGGTTGCCTAATGATATGATGGCCTGACGAGGAGCATGACATTTGCTGTTGCGGCACTTTGGGCGCGCGTGGTCCTCTTGCAATCCGGGCCGCCGTGCTAGCGTGGGGCTGAGACGACAGCGGGAATCGCGCTTGCGAGGCTTGCACGAGAGACAATAGGCGTGGATGGCCGTAGACGGGGAGGAACGAGAGAGAGAGAGAGCAATGGAAGATCATGTGAGCCGAGGAAGAAATATATGGTTTCATGACATCATTCCTCCTTTTCTTTTCGTGTCGGGCAAATGCACCAGAGCAAAATAAGTAATGTTCGGCTATGCCGAGCGGCGCGCGCGGCGCATGGACGGAGCATCCCATAAAGTACGTAAAGGGACGTACGAGTGAATGGCCTGTCCTCCTCCCGAGTGCTGTGGACATGCGCGGGGGGAGTACGACGGGCACAGGCTGTTCTCGCTCTCCCGGCTGTGCCAAGCAAGCCACACCTAGACCGTTCCGCGCTCAACCTTTTGGGATGCACCCGCACAGTCATCCTCACCCAACTGTCTTTCTATTACGACGTCCCTGCGTACCACAACATCAACTCCTTTCGCTGTCTACACACCAGTCCGCGAGTGGAAACCACAGATGGACTCGCCGAGTGACACAAGGCCCACTCAGCAAAGGGCAGGCCGAACATTAGATCCCAGGCACCGCCTGCTCATGTTGCCCCCAACATTCATCTCATTGACTCTCGGGGTAGGAACGCGGAAGACCAGCCATCTCTCTGCATACATATATGGATCCATTTGGGCCATTTGTAGATGTGTGTGCTGGCGTGCGAGCAGAGTGCGTTCTAGATTGAGATCGACGGGAAGAGGCGCTCCGCTGGAACAGGGCTCATGTCACAAGAATGCAGCATTGGATGGCCAACGGCGATCGCGGGGGGCTTGCTGCATAGCCTCCCTTTTCCTCTCCAGGTCGTCGTTCCTCGAGCCCTGCAGTGCCAGTGCCACTCACCACACTCAACGAGGGAGGGATCTGGCTTGGGCTGGGCAACTGACTCACCCACTACGCAGGCCTTACTTGTATCGGTTCATGTGTTGTCGTCGCCGCAGCTGTTATTCGCTGCCATACACCTCAGACAGCACATGTCATGCTCTTCGGCGCTGCCCGGACGCAAGGGCTGACCCATGTCAGCTTGCCTAAGCTTGCTACAATTGCTTTCACAGCTCGCCGTCCAACTCGAGAAATCCAAGAAATCCAGAAATCCATACAGGCCAGGCTACATCCATACACCCAAATTGTCCCAATCCTATCCAATCCCCATGCACCCGTCCTCTCCCCAGACTCATTGATCTCTGACCCCCCCCCCCCCCCCCTAACCCTTGGCAAGGATCGCCGCCATCTCCTTTTCGTCCGCGGCGTCAATGCCCCTCGACCGCGCCTTGAGCCGCAAGTTGCGGTCAAACGTGACGAGGAGCACCTTGGTCGCACCGCCACCGAGGCCCTGCCCATCCGACACAGGCGGCGGAGGAGGCATGCCGAGGAGCGCGGAGCGGTCCACAAAGTGTTCGCTCTGGAACGCGGCGACGTTGAGGATCATGTCGTCCATTGTGCCGCGGGTGCGGGGGGCCGCCGCGTCGTCGCCGCTGCTGATGGGGCCGGCGCCTGCGCCGGCGGCAAAGTCCAGGTGTTCGGCGCGGATGAGCAGGTCGGTGAGATAGTTGCCGCGCGTGGTCTGGATCTTGAGGCAGAGCGCGTGTGTCCGGATCCGCGCCTCGAGGTACGCGACGGCTGTCTGCGCCTCGGTGCCGAGCGGAGGAGGGTTCTTGCTCAGCCCGTCAAGCTCGGTGATGACTGGCAGGGGCACAATGACGCTCCACTGCCCGCCCTCGACGACCTTTGCGAAATGCGACAGCGCAGACAGCAGCACGTTGGTGTCGAAAATGAGGATCGTGTACCCTGGAACAACGTTGTGCGCACCGCGGGCCATGTTGTTGCGCCGCCTGCCAGCAGGGCGAGGCGAGCCACGACCAGGCGTGGTCTCGGCAGGCACCTTGAGGACCTCGCGGAGGTGGCGGCGGCGTTCGCGGAGCACGGCGAGCTCGGGGTCGTCATCCTCGCTTTCCGAGTCGGCGGCCCCAATGTCCTCTTCCGTTTCCAGCGGCATGCGCGCCTTGCGGCGCGTGGCCTCGCGCCATTCCTGTTCGGCCTTTTCGGCCGCCTTGACTGCCGCTGCCTCGTCAATGGCCGCGGCGAGCGAACCACATACGGACACGGTGCCGTCGTGCACCTCAAACCCATCGACGTGCGCGGCGAGTACACCCGCCGCCCAAGCGACGCGGCGACGACGGCGGTCGTTGACAGCCACGGGACCGTCCGTCAGGTCCGCGCCGTCCACCTCGTCCACGACACCTTCCGAGATATCGAGCGCCGAGTCAAAGTTGGCGAGGAGCACGTCCATCTCCGACTGGAACCGCTCACCAACACGGGGCAAGGCTGGGCCGCCACTCGACCCACGTGCGTTTGGCTTGGCCTTCCAGAATCCGCGCTCGTACACGCGACGCCCGACCCATTCTGCGCCACGCATCGCCCAGTCTTCAGGCAACGGTGCGGGCCCAATGAGTCGCGACTCTTCACGCACATCCAGGCCGAGATGGTTGACAAATTCGGCCAGGCGGCGCCACGGGACATGCGTGAGAAGCGGCGCACCAGCGGCTGGCTGGCGAAAGATGGTGGCGAGAAAGGTGAGGAAGATGGTAATGTACGGGTTGAGGACCTGGTGGATGCCTTGCTGCCGCCACGGGTGGACAAGGGCAAAGTCGAGGACGGCAAACGCCAAGTCGAGTGCGAGGATGAAGGAGTATGGGGGTTCGGCGTCCGAGGCAAGCGATGGCACGGGCTCGTCGTCCTCGACCACGCCGCCGCCATCGTCTCCGCCATCGTCGCCCTCGTCCACGCCGTCGGTCACTTGGCCGCGCCGTCTTGCCGCTCCCTCTTGGGCGAGCGCCTTGCGGATGAGACCAAACGCCGAGCCGTACTGCAGGACCGCGGCAAGGTTTGCCGTGCCCATGAGCAGCCAGTCGACCTGAGTGACACACGCCTTGCGGCTGACGCCATCCAGGCTCGCATCCTCTTCCAGCCGCTCCATGAATCGAGACATGACAGAGCTGAAATCGTCGAGCTGGATCTTTGTAAACAGCATGCCATGCAGACGGACAAAGAGGTCCATTGCCGTCGCCTCGGGCGTCGACCGCTGGAACTGGAGGGCAGAGTCGAAAAGAGGCAGAACAGATTCACGCGACGTCTCGAATGGGTGAGACGCCGTCAGGCCCTTGCAAAAGTGGTACAGTGCCCGGCCTTCTTGTCCGCGCACATCGCGGCACAGGAGCGCCAGGTGGTGATGCAAGCGGCCCTCGCCAGGCTTCTCCGTAATGCCCATGGCGTACCAGTCACGCGCGGTCGTGCGCCACGTCTCCTTGTCCTCTGGTTCCCAGTTGTCGGCCACTTCTTGCCCGATACTAGCGCCCGACGAAAAGGGCTCGTCATCGTCAATCCTCGCGTCCACAGACTGTTTGTGGGTGAGGGCGTCGGGCACGATCGAGCTGGCTACGGCCATGCGGTATCGTGCGAGGTCGCCCAGGGCCTCGATCCACGCCGTGCGGAATGTCATCAGCGTCTGGTCCTCGAACAGTTCGGTGTAGAACTGGTATGCGTCGTAGATGAAATCGGTTAACAGGTCGAGGGCGTTGGGGTTGTGCGACATCCATGCGAACCGCAGCCGCTCCAGGATCTGGTGGAAACCAATCTGCCACAGCCGCACGGGAATGTTGTACTTTACTGGCAGGGGGTCGCAAGCCTGGTGGACCCTTGGGGTCGAGCGCGAGCTTGAGAAAGTTGTAGTGCCGGTCCGCGAGCTCCTTGTGCATTTGGACCAGCTCGGTCCACGCCAAGGTATCATCGCCGGCGGGGTGCTGTTGTTGTTGCTGTTGTTGGCGGTGAACGTGCCGTGGGTCCGTCTGTCGGTCGACGACGAGGGCGCCAATGCCCGCTTCTGGATCCGAGGCCATCTTGCGGTGCATCTCTGTAAGGCTTTGCTCGAGCGCGCGGATCTCATGGTATGCAGCGCGCAGGTAGGCCTTGGCACCCGAGTCGCCTTCTCCAGGTCTGCGGTCGCGGTTCTTGAATGACTCGCTGCCCTCGCTACTGCGGCTACCTTTACTGCGCGTGTCGGAATCCTTTCGCCGGCTGGTATGGTGACTGCCCTTTTCGCTACCCTCGCGGCGCTTTCGCCGTTCTCGTTCGCGGTCCGCTTGCTCCTCTGGTGTCTGGGGTACTTGGCCCTTCATCAATAGCGATGGGCGGCTGCTGGAGGACGACGAGGGTTGTGGTCGTGTGCCAAAGCTCATGGGGTCGTGAACAGCAGGATCAAACAGCTTGTGACTGGACGGCTTTGACGATGATGATGACGGGCCAGGTGCGTCGGGGTCAAACAAGAGGTGTCGTGTCCCACGGTCACCTCGATCTTGCTCTGGCTGTCGCCGGCCGCGGGCAGGCGGCGCCGGCGGAGGAGGAGGTGGCGGGGCATCGGGGTCAAAGAGCCGTCTCCGTGGTGTCGGTGGATCACGCCGCCGGTCATTGTCCTTGGCGGACGGGACAGGCGAGGAGGGAGGCTCCATACGCCGGGGCGCGACAGGCATGGGGATGGATGGATCAAACAGCTGCTTGGCACCAGAGCTTGGTCCGCGGTCAAACTCGTTCTTGTCTGTCCGTCTGCGTTCACCATCGTTGTGCGTGTGCTTGGGATCGCGGCGCGATGGCCCATTCCTGTGAACACGGTCAGCCCAGCCTTTTAGTCATTGTAGTGGGGCACGTACTTTGACGAGGACGATGTCTGAGTGGGCTGTGAGCGTGAGTCCGGGACGACATTATCGTCACGATCAGTGCGGCGAGATCCTGTGGTGTGCCTTGCCCATCAGTTCTCAATGTCCCGCACTAATGGTGTGTGAGCCCCTGTACCAACCTGGAAGCGCCAAGAGCTCCGGAGGCGTTCTTGCGCTGCGTTGCGGCGAGCCTGTCTGCCTCTGTTCCCTGTCGCGTGACACGCGATGGGCCTGCTGAGGCTGTGGATGACGGATCCATTAGGGGCGGCTTGGCGCTGTTGAGAAGAAGGTCTTCTATGGTCGCATGTTCGAAAGTGTGGCCAGGACGGCGGGTCGTGTGTGGGCCAAGGGACGGCGTAATGTTGGTCGCTTCCACAGCGGAGGGGCTAGGGTGCGTGTATGTGTGAATGCAAGGGGGGGGGGGAGGGGGGATGGTTGTCGAGGAGATGGGGAGCAACGATGGATAGGTGAGGCTGTTGTGGAGAGAGAGAGAAAGGAATCGGCAGGGACGAGGGGGGGGGGACGGACGGGAGAAGGGACGACGATGCTGCGAGAAATGGTGGGAGACGGAGAGCAAACGAGCCATAAGCGGCGTCTTCATGCGGCGGTTAGGCCGATTAGCGGAGCCTTTTTGGCCGCACCCTCCAGTCAATTTCTAATTGTCATAGGTGCTGATTACAACTTGCTTGTTTCTTTCTAATCGAGCACCCCACCTCACCCCCCTCACCGTGTGAGACCCTGGGGCGGTGACGCCGGACGGGCACAGTCGACGACGCTAAGCGGTGTTTTTGCTTTTCCATTCAGTCCATCTCCTTTATCACACAACACCCATCACACACTTTCTCTCCCAACAACACAGCATGGCCCCCAAGGACACTGAGCTGTACGACCTCCTCGGGGTCTCCCCAGAGGCCACCGACCTCGAGTAAGCATACAACCTCCGTCTCCACACACATGCACGCAAAACTCACCCGCCACCCAGGCTCAAGAAGGCATACCGCAAGCTCGCCATCAAAGTACGTGTCCCCCCCTTTGCTTTCTCCTCTTTCTCCACCCGCTCTGCCACGTCTAGATCACTCCCCCGCTGACAATGTCCAGTGGCACCCTGACAAGAACCCCTCGCCCGAGGCGGAGGAGAAGTTCAAGGACATTGGCGAGGCGTACCAGATCCTGTCCAACCCCGACACGCGCGCGTTCTACGACAAGGTCGGCAAGGCGGGCATGACCCAGCCCGAGGCCGGCATGGAGGACCCGCAGGAGATCTTCTCCAAGCTCTTTGGTGGTGGTACGTTGGACTCTCTCCTTCTCTCTCTCTCACTCTCATATATTTCGACTGTTGGCGCGTTGGCCACCCTTCGCACCGTTTGCGCGGTCGCCGTCGGCCCGTGCAGGGAGAGTTCGGAGTTCGGCCCTGTCCACTGTGCAGTGTTGCTCTTGAGGAGTGAAGGCTGACAATCGTCTTGCAGAGGCCTTCCACGACTACATTGGCGAGATTTCGCTCGTCAAGGACTTTACCAGCACGATGGACGCTGTCATGACCGACGAGGAGAAGGCCGAGATGGAGGCTGCCAAGGCCGCCGGCGAGTCTGCGGCTGCGGCCGAGGATGCTGCCGCCACCCCTGTGGCTGGCGCGTCGGCTTCGGCCTCGGTCCCGGCTTCTGGCGACGACAAGGCCAGCGACCACTCGGTGCCCGCTTCCAGCGGCGCGTCGTTTGCCACTGGCACCACCGCCGCCACTGCGGGCCCAGGCCCCGCAAAGGCCGACGATGCCAGCAGCACCACCAGTGGCCACCTGAACAAGCACAACCCCAACGTCGCTGCTGCCAACGCTGCCAAGGCCGAGAGCGACAAGAAGGGCAAGCAAAAGCTTTCCCCGGAGCAAAAGGCCAAGCTCGAGGAGCTCGACAACAAGAAGGAGGAGGAGCGCAAGAAGCGCATCGACGAGCTCACCCAAAAGCTCATCCAGCGCATCCGTCCCTTTGTCGAGGCCAAGCACCCTGGTGATGCCAATGACCCCGAGACCAAGGCGTTTGAGCAAAAGGTGGCCGTCGAGGCCGAGGACCTCAAGCTCGAGTCGTTTGGTGTGGAGATTCTTCACACCATTTCGGGCGTCTACATCACCCGCGCTGGCAACTTTGTCAAGAGCAAAAAGTTCTTTGGCGGCGGCTTCATTGGCAGGCTCAAGGAGAAGGGCGGCATGGTCAAGGAGGGCTGGGGTCTCCTTGGCTCGGCCATTGGCGTCCAGTCGGCCATGCAGGAGATGGAGAGGTTAGAGGCCAAGGGTACCGCCACTCCGGATGAGATTGCCGCCCTCGCCGAGGAGCTGTCGGGCAAGATGCTCCTCACCACGTGGCGCGCCACCCGTTGGGAGATTCTCAACATTCTCGGCCCCGTCGTCGACAATGTCCTGTACGAGCCCGGAATCTCAAAGGACACGGCCCTGCGACGCGCAAAGGCCATCCTGACCATTGGTGGCATCTTCAAGAACGTCCAGCCCGACGAGGGTGATGACGAGCGCCGCGAGCTCGAGCGTCTTGTCCAGGAGGCCGCCAACAAGAAGAAGAAGACCAAGAAGGTCTCGCCCAAGGGCACCCCTGCTCCCCCGTCGCCGGCGCCTGTCGAGGCATAGAAGCTGAACGGTCCACCGACTTGAAAGAGAAACCCACCAAAAAAGTCTGGACTCGCGCGCTGCTTCCCCTCCCAGGCCGCTTAATCGGCTGTGCAGGCGTCGTCCGCTGCCAGCCTTGTGCTTTATAGATTCTACCCCCCCTCCGCTCGTAGATTGTCTCATTGTTTTTATGCCACTGATCCCGTGGGCAACGGTTGGGAGCGTGTGGAAGGAACTAAAGGAGGACGCGTTTCATTCAACTCCTTTGCATTGGTCCACTTTTACTCCACCTCCATGTCTCGGAAAAAGTCTGCCGCCTCTGACGTTTTGGTTGTTGGGTGCGCCAGTGCTCTATCTCGGCTGGCGCTGCCGACCATACCGAGTAGCGAGTGCCAAGGCCAGCACTCTGCACTCAGGGCCCAAACGCATACACAGAATGACGATGGCGGTGCTCTGCCACCTCCTGAGCGCCAAGTGAGACCTCCACCAGAAGACGCTGTGCTCAACCACTCACCACTCGTATACGCCGTAAACATGTTGTGCTCGCTATGCTTCTCTTTCTCTTTCTCTTTCTTTCCTTCTTCCCCACCCACAACCCCACTGAACGACGACCACGACCATGCCCTCGTTCCTATCCTCCCTCAAGAAAGAGCTCTACTCGGCCGCGATGCTCACGTCGGGCGCCCCCAGCGTCATAGGACCCGCCGGCGTGCCCGCTGACGAGCTGGAAGCTTACAAGAAACGCAAGGCGGCAGAGGCCGCGGCTGCTGCAGAGGCAGCGGGACGTCCGCCACCACCACAACATAACGAAAACGAGGCGCACAAGGCTCGACAGCAGCAACATGATGCTCAACAAGACGCAGCTCTGGACACCACCACCCACACCGAGCCCCTGGTAGCTAGGGGGTCGCTCCCGCCAGTGAACCCCGTGACGACATCGCGGCATTGGTGGCAGAAAAAGCAGTCTGTGAGTGTGTCTTGCATGTCTTGATTGGAGCTGGGGTGGGTGGGGGGGGGGAGGGGGGGAGACTGGTCGACACGTCCTCCTGCCCCCATACCCGCCCCGTCCGGCGGGTCTCTGCTGAACTAGACCGCAATGGTTCAGCAGTACCCCGCCGCTGCCGCATCGTTGTTATCAATCGAGTTGTTGACACTGTCCAGGTATGATCTAGACCCCCGTCATTCGCCCTTCTGCGCCGCGTGGGCCGGTAGTCCTACGCCAGCCAGCAGAGTGTAGAGCCTCACGCGTTGCCACACCCTCCTCCGCCATTGGACCGGGCCGTACGGTGGTGTCTGCGAGCCGTAAGCGCTTGTTGTACTTACACAATATGTGCATGACATCATTAATACTATATCTCGACTGGCGAGTACGCACATGCGTCGGCCAAGGATATCGCAATCCCTGACATGAGTGACCAGTGGATAAGCGACAGGACATGTCACCACCACCACCACCACCACCACCACCGCCACCCCGAGAGCCCCCGAAGCAAACAGCCACGGGGAGGATAGCCACCTGGACCATCTATCTTGATGGCGTATGTATTAACCACGACGAGGGCCAGCTCCTCAGAAATGGCGAGCTGAACCCATTCGAGCCAATAATGAACACTGGTGCCACATTTGACAGTACCGCCAGCCTTTTGCTACACACCAACGTTTTGGGTGTTCAGCGCCGAGAGGGTTTTGCGGATGACGGCTCCCCAAGTCAATCTATTGATTGAATGTGGCGATCACGATCACGGGTGGTGCTCACGCCATGGGCGGCATGGCCCATATCCCCCGCCAGTGAACACGGTCCGTCAGTGCTTGCGCGGTGGCCATCCACCAGGTAGACGCACATGTGCTGCTCCTGTCCCCACATGTCCTTCTCCGTCGCCACAGCCCCACCCCCCGACTTTTGTCTGGCCATTTAGTTTCTGATTTTTTGCTGATTTTCTGGCACGCAGCCGGGTACGTCTGGTCCATGTTCCAGAACACGGCATCCATCGCAGGGTGCTGGTATGCTCACCCATCCCAACCCCGGCCCCGCTCTCCCCCCACTTGTCTCCCGACAGGAGCACGAGGGGTAGCTGCTTCAGCGCTTGCGTGCCGGAACCGGGTGTCGGTGCATGCCTGCAGGGCTCTCGGGGGGAAGGGGGGAGGGCAGGTACGAACGAACCTCCGTGCCGGTTGGTTTCGTGGCATGGAGACGGGCGGGTTTCACTCACCCCGGAGCTGCTCACTGGTATGATCTGACATGGGGACGGGACACTGGACAGATGGCTAGAAAGGTGCGGCCGGTGCTTGGTCGCGACAGCCGGGTTTCGACATGATGTCGCCTGCTTCGCAGGCCCGCGGGTTCGCGGCCAGTGGGTCCGCGGTGCGTCAGCTCACTATGCGTCACAAGTGCATGTTGTTGTTGAGTTTGACTGTATCCCGATTCTTTTTCGACACCAGAGCCACACGCCTATTTCGCCCTTGTGCGACGCTCTTGGGGGGTCACACGTCGCGCGCCAACTTCAAACAGTGCGCAGCAGCGGTACTACTGCGTATGCACGTATGATCCGTCTCAGGTGGTAGAACACCGGCACACGCGGCGCAGCAGCACGTTCGCGTTCGACCTGTGTAAGCGTGGCGGGTTGCAGTACCTTGCCACCGTGCATGAGACCCCGGCCGCCCCTCTTGCGCTTCTGTCGACCTCCAGGTCGTCCTCGTCCTTCCAGACTTGGCCCTCAGGTCCACACGTACACGGTACGATCTATTGCCTTGGCGTGTCGGCTGGCTGTCGGGCTTGTTGGCTTGCTGGCTTGCTGGCTGCTGGCTGGCGCTTGTGCCAGGGCGTCTCGCTTACATCCGTTTTAGTACAGTAGCAGTAGATGCCGCACCACCTCTTTTGCTGGATCTGGTCTTCGTTCCGGCCACGGCACCCCAGCACCCCCAACACCCCAGATTTCCCGCACCGGCAAGCCAAAGGACCGAAAGGAGGCAAAAAAAAAAAAAAAAAAAAATGGCGTGCAAGGCGTGAAAATAGGACACCGTGCATGTTCTAGTGCGCAGCGCAGGTCTCGGTCTCGATCGTGCCGTTCGCGCCGTTCGCGCCAGTCGGCGGTCGGCCAGTTGCCCGGGTGCGGGGGGTCTTCACAGGCGCGTGGCTTGGGACTGCTTAACTGCTTCCGGCGCTGCCGGCTGGCCCGCCGGCGCCGACGCTAGAGGGTGGGTCTTTGGCGCCGAGGTCCGAGGGAATCCGAGGGAACAGAGGCAAGTCTTATACCTGCAATTGCCTGTGCGCTTGAACGTGTGGTGGACTGCGCGGTGTTTGGGATCAGGGAGAGAATGCGCGAATGCGCGAGCGAACGGACGCGTCCATGTGCTCGGAACGGGTGGCGGTGGCGAGCATACTACTTTCAGGCAGCGCGAGGATTCTCTACTGATACATGTCATGTGAGGGATGAGAGCGCGAGGGAGCGCCGACGCAAGCCATCGAGAGGTCGCCGATGGGCTGGAGAGGGCCAAACCCCACCACCCACCACTGAAAAGAAAAAAAAAACAAGGTTGACCACTTGGTCCGAGGCGTCGAGCGCCACGCGCCACGCCCATTAAATCGCGTGATCGCAGGTCCGGGGTCCTTTCCATCCGCTCCTCCTGTTGCTGCATGTCCGAAAGGACGCTGGCGCAGCTCGGCACAGTTGGCTCAGATCGAGGGTGCTGTTTGGGCTTATCGGGAATGAAAGAAGCAAGTAGGGTGTGGCAGTTCTTGGCCTCGAGCTGGTTAGCGTCTTGGGTTCAATGGTGAGTTTGGTGGCAATGATGACATGGTGACGTTGGTGCTCACTGATGGGAGACGACATGCGTATGGGCGTGTCTCGAAGCGGTAGGCATGAGGAACTGGGGCGTAGAGAGTGGGCCTGGAGCAGATGACCACTCCAGTCATACACATGTGGTGATGGGCCATCGATGCGTCCAGCAAGCGATGCATTGCATGTGGGTGAGGCGACATTGCAGCGAGCAAACCATTTTCTTGTTACTGGAAGAGAGCCGCGACCGTCGGAAGTGCCTGGCGGACACGAAAAAGCAGTCGGGCCGAATACTTTGCTTTGGTGACTCACAGCGCGGGAATGTGTTCAACCGAGAGCGATCTCTCGTTGCAGACGTTCCTTGCTTCCTTTCTGTTCCTTTGTAGCATCCACATCCATCCATCATGATGCATGGTGCATGGTGTGAGAGGAAGACACGGGCGCTGGAGAATGTGTGTGGTGTGTCGAGCAACCGCCCCCCCCGCCTCTCCCCCTTTCTTCCTTGCTGCGCGCCTGGGCCCACCGATCCACCGACTGCCCCTCCCACTGTACGCCTCGTCGCCCAATCTGTAACATGCGACACAGGGACCACGCGGCCGGCCCGCACAACGCTGCGTCCCATCCCACACGCCACCTCCACCACACAGACCACTCTAGGCCACACCACATTCTACTCACACTCATATGCCCATCGACACCACCACCACCCGTCGGCGCCTCCTCGCCGGCCCGTACGGTATGTAACAAGACACACACACTCTCTCTCTGTGCATGGCCACACACCAGCCAAGCCAACAGCCACACGCCTCTAGCCACGGGCTGCGCGCGCGCGCGACTTAGCGTCGTTGCTTGATGGTTGTTTGTTGGTGTGTGTTGAGAACGGGTGGTGTTCAAGAGCCCAACGGGTCTGTGCGCGCGTAACAGGGAAACACACACCACCACGCGCGGGTGCCTTCTGGACGGACAGACGTCCACACCTCCCCCTTTGGGCGCTCGCTGCCTGGCCCCGCCAGGAGCGGTCTGAGCATCGTGAGCGAGACGCCGTTGTGCATGTGGGGGCCGGGGTCTCTGTGTGTCTCGTCTCTCGCTGTGTGGTGTGGTCTCTCTGCCAGTCTGTCTCTCTACACTCTCTCGGTGTGATCCCGTCCATCGTCGTTCGTCTTACTACCGCTCGCTCCTTGCCCTCCTTGCGACGGCCGCTCCCTTTCACATTCGTTTGCTTCTCCTCTCACCATTGCTTCTCCAGTCGGCGCCCCTCTCTCTCGCCTCCGCCGTCCACCCCTTCTCGCTTTCCCCACCCACCCCATAAAGGAAAACACAGTCTATCCCACTTTGGGTGAGTCCTCCTTCCCTCCCCCCCTGTTGCTATCACTCTCCCCCCCCCCCCCCCCCCCCTCCCGTCGTCCAGCATACTGACGACCGCAGCGATCCAGCGTTAGCCTTTTGCAGCGCGCGCGGCTTTTGGATCCTGTCCTCTCTCGACGACCCTCCTCTTCTCGGCACCCCCTTTCCTTGCTTGCCCATTAGCAACGATTCAGACGTCGTCGCTTCTCCCCGCCGCTCCCCCCCTCCCTTCCCCCTGCCTCTTCCACCTCGCCTCCCTGCTAAATAATCTGGACGACGACCCATCTCCCCCTTCTTCCCGCATGTTCGCTCGCTCAAAGTCACCAAAGCCCTCCTCGTCCTCCCACTCTGCCGGCCATCGTCCACCGGCAACCCTCCAGGTCTCCCCACCTTCCTCCCCAGCACCGTTCCTCGCTCCACCAGGTCGCTACCACAGCAGCGCAGACAACTCGCCACTGACGTCGCCAACTCTGCAGCGACAGCCGTCTCTCAGCCGTGTGGACCCCTTTGCACGCGTCTTCCCCTTGCCCCCAGGCGCAGACGGTGGCGACCTCGCTCCACCCTCGATCCGCCCGGGCTCAGTTCGCTCCATCACACTCGAACGCTCAGGCGCAGGAGGCGAGTCGCCAGACGACGACCGTGCGTCGCGCCGCTCGGTTCGCTCCCGCAAGGCCTCGTCGAGGAGTATCAACAACAGCAGTAACAATAACAACAACAACAACAGCCGTCCAACTGCCGAAGAAGCCGTCATTATGCCTTCCCCCGTCGAGTACCACCACACTCTCGCCCCGCCACAAAACACCGGAAAGTCGTCGTCATCGCGGTCCAACATGACGCCCAAGCCTCAGAACAAGCGCCTCACAGAGGTCAACCTCGAACTCGCCGAGGGCAATGACCGCGTCGGTGCCCTCAACTCGACCCTCAACTCGACGACAGACTCGTTGGGCGTCATTGGCAGCTTTGACAAGCGCCTCAACCGCTCCGTCATGAGTCTCGGGTCCCGCACAAAGGCAGAAAAGGTCCTCGGCGTCGACCCCCAGCCCCGTCTTGCATCGTTGTACCTCGTCTCCGGTCTCGGCAAGGATCCGGCCCAGTGGGCCCTGTCGGACAAGGATGCCACTCTCGGCGTCCACCCCATGGAAGACTCGCTCGGTGTGTTTTGGCGTCCCGACATGCTTGGCAACACGTTCAGTGGCGAGAAGAATGAGGACTGGGTCAGCCGCCACGGTAAAAGCTCTGGCCATTCGCAGCGCAGCAACAACAGCGGCACGTCCCGTCGTGAAGTGAGCAGCAAGACGGTGCCCGGTGCCGGTCCCGAGGGACCCTCGCGCCTCGTGGCCCGTACCATGAAGTATGCCCACCCCAAGGACGTCGAGGTCATCAACTCGCAGCTGGCCCCGCCCACGACCTGCCACACTTTCACTTTCAGCGTCTCCCGCCAGAGCACCCTGTGGGCCATTGCCGCCCAGGCCGGCCGCAAGGGCGGAGACCAATACCAGACCGCCTTTAGCAACTATGACTCTGCGGGACTTCCTCCTGCCGGCCAGGAGCACCTGCGCGGCACCACCAGCTCGTCCGACCTGGTCTTTTACGGCGTCACCCTCACGGTCTGGAGCCACGCCGACAAGGACCGTGCGGCCAAGCTCAAAGAGTTCAAGTCGCGCGCCGCTCAGCGGCCCCGAGTCAGCTCGAACATTTCAGACGCCACGGCCAAGGGCGGATCGCGCCGCCGCAAGGCTCCATGGCTGACAGCTGGTCGCAAGGGCGGCCAGAGCGACTACACCGCCAGCGAGACTGGCATGTCCGACTCGGACATGGACACCACGTTCACGGCCACCGACGTCGACTATTCGGTCACAGACATGAACCAGGCCTACGGCGAGTCGAGTGATGTCTTTTGGCTTCCTTATGCTCTCACTCTTGGTAGGTAGTGTCTTGGGAAATTTGAGGCTAACCTACTCCCAGTCTCCCGCTACCCCATCTACGATGTCATGCACGACTACCTGCGCCTCAGCTGGGCACGTTACTCCAAGGACGCGCGCTCGCACATGCGCCAGATCTTCTCGCTTCTCAACGGTGACGCACCACGCCCCGGCGATCTGTTCCGTCTCCCCATCGGCACCACCGTTGACGACGAGGTCATGATTGAGGCGACCATGCCCGGCGCGCTCGATTTCGAAAAGGGTACACTCAAGGTCGACTACCAGATGTGGCCCCTTTTCCAGGCCCTCGACCTCGACCACATCATCACCTGCATGGAGGTCGCCCTCTCCAACTCGGGTCGCATCATCTTCTGTTCCCGCCACCCAGCCATGCTGGGTGTGGCAGTCGACACGCTCAAGTACATTGTCGAGTTGCGCGGATGGGACGGTATTGCGCTCCCCAACATTCACTCGCGCGATGCCACCTTCCTCATCGAGGACCCCGGACCGTACATTATTGGTATTGCCACCGAGTGCCGCTACGTCGTCACTCCGCCTCCCGAGGTCGTCATTGTCGACCTCGACATGAACACGCTGTCGTGCAAGGGCCTCCCCACCGGTGTCGTCACGCCGCGCCACAAGCGTGAAAAGGCGCGCATGAAGCTGCTCGCCGCTCTTGGTGCTGCCTATCGTGAGTTGGAAGAGCCTTGGTAAAGCAACTGACACGCAGCCTACGAGAGGTCTGTGCCGATGGAGTACCGCGTCTCCTTCCCCAAGGGCTCGTTCCGTAACGTCAACCGTGTCCTCCACGGCCCCGTGCGCCCCCGTTACCTCGGCGAGCGCCTCCACATCCCGAGCTGGTGGAACCAGACCGCGGTCATTGCTGTGTTTGACAAGATCATGGCCGACAAGGTGGGTTGAAAGGTTCAGTTGGCAAACACTAACCCTCAGCACAAGAAGCCGTCGCTGTTCCAGCGCCTGACCAAGTCTGGCTTTGCGCGTGCGCAGGAGCAGCTCACTGCCAACGAGCAGATCGCCAAGGCCATGATGCGCAAGCGTGCCCTCCACTATGTGGAGAAGCGTGACGACTTTGAGCTCAAGGTCGCGCGTATCACGCGCCGTCTCCAGAAGCTCATCCAGGAGGGCGAGCACTGGAAGCAGCGCTTTGAGATGTTTGAAAAATACGCCGAGCGTCTGTCGCAGGAGGCTGCCGACCTCAAGGCCAAGATTGATCGCGAGCAGCGCGAAGCCCGTCGCTTGTCAAACAGTGAGTTACATTACCGTCTTGCTGTCGCTAACTTGCCAGTCAACACGGAGCAGGAGAAGACCAACCTCCAGCTGCAGCAAAAGCTGGCCCAGACGGAGAATGCGCGTGCCGAGGCGATGCGCCAGCTGTCCGACATGCACCACTCGATCCAGGAGCTGGAACGCGAGCGCAACGAGATCATGGACGTCATCGAGATGCAGATCACCTCTGCGCTCGAGCACATGCCCTACCTCGACCTCGAGCGTCAGCGCAGCGGCACCCCGGAGATGCACCACCGCTCGACCACGCCCGTCGAGACGCCGCCCATGTCGCCCATGAGTGGCAACTCGTACGGCACCGTCCGCCGCAAGCACCGCCCGGGGACTCGCGACTCGACCCAGAGCCAGTTCACCATCGACTCGGGTGCGCCCATGAGCGTGCTGGGTGCCCTCAACGACGGCCCGACCCGCCGTGGCCTGGGATCCATCCTCGACATGGACTCTATCAACGGCGCGGACCGCGTCCTGTCCGTCACCAAGTCGGACACGATCGCTCAGCGCGTGGCCCTCATCCAGGCCAAGCTCGAGCTCGCCCTCGCGCCCGTGCACCAGCTCGCGGCCGAGGCTGACAGCGAGGACAGCCACTCGGGCTCGAGCATGGGCACGGGCTCGTCGAGCGGCGGCGACCACAAGGTCCAGGGCCACGACGACGAGGCCGGCAGCATCACCAGCCACGAAGACCACATCCGCAAGGTCCGCCCAGACTCGCAGCTCCTCGCCACTGTCGCCGTCACGGCGCCCAGCGACGACGGCAAGTCGGACACGTCCGATGCCGGCCGCAGCGGCTCGGACCGCCCGCCACCTCCTCCCCGCTCCGAGCTGCGCAACCCCCCGCCGCAGCCACAGCAGCCGCCTCCGGGCTTCCGCGCGCTCGTCCTCCGCCCGCCCCCGCGCCGCGTGATCCAGAAGAAGAGCTACGAGTCCATCGACTCGACGAGCTCCACCGAAGTCGTCAAGGCCACGCTGCACCCGCGCAACTCGCTCGGCGCCGTCGGTGGCGCGCACGAAATCATCCTCACCTCGCCCGACAGCACCGAGTCGCTCCGCTCCGACGACTCGAAGGAGCACCGCAAGGAATCCCACCTGCGCGTCGTCGAGGAACGCCCCGCCAGCATCATCTCCACCACGACCATTGCGTTTGGCGGCGCAGAGTAAAGTCAAGTCAACACCACCACCCCCGTTAATATTTTCACATCACAAACCACCTTTTTTTTTTTCCTTGTCGCCTTTTTAAAATACCAAAAACCCCCCAATAAAGCAGCACCCGGGCCACCCACACCCAATCCCCGTATATAGGCCCCTCCCGCTCCCCCCACCCCCGTCGTCGTCGTAGTATGTAGTTTGGATACCCCTTGTGGTCCATAGTTCCCGCAGTAAAGAGTCACCGTAGCACGGTGGGAGTATGCATGTGAAGAGATATTTATGAAAACTGAAAACTGGGAAGCGAATATGTACTCTCCAGGTAAGTAACACAGGGAAGGATGAGAGCAGTCGGGCGTGGCCCGTGGAGAGGGCGACATGACGGCGCTGTGTGTGCCCCGCCCCACGTACCGTACAGTGCGGTACAGTGCTCTGCCGAGACGACGCCCCAATACATATGCGCCAGCTGGACAGCACCGAGTTAAAGCAGCGCCAAAGGCTTCCGCCAAGCTCCTACTTTGACTGGTTGCCAGTATGCTGGCAAATGGACATGAGATGAGGCGCCACACGAAGGAGGAAGGAGGAAGGGGGTACCACTGTGAGGCTGAAGGGGGGGGCGGACGGGGCGGACGGGGCGGAGGTTCAGAGGCTAGATGCCAGAGGCCAGAGGACGGGGAAGATTGACACGAGGAGGAACGCTACGCGAAGATGAGGAGGGACGGCTGAGAAGAGAGGATCACGAGGGCGAGGGGAGGGCGAGTGGCGACATTTGTGCTGGATGTGTGGGAAAGGTGGGAAAGGTGGGAAAGGTGGAAAAGGTGGGAGAGGTAAGAGCAACAGGAAGAGGAAAGACAACGAGGAAGAGAAAGACACCCAGTCACCTATGTACGGTATAGACACCTGCTACACGGCTCCCCCCCGGGTTAGAGCCCCTCGGCTTGAGCGCATGGTTTGATGTGGACGACGTTGCAGGACGCCACACTTTGCGCGCACTCTGCGCATGCGCGGTGTGGTGGATTAGGCCACATGCGGCAAGACGAAGTCCTACAGGGAGAGCCTCTCTCCTTCAAAAAGAAGATAAGAGGAAGGGAAGGGGGATTAGAAACAGTATGGTTGACGAAACACAGCGGCGGCACCGACATTTGTATCGCGGATGGCGCGCACCTCTCGGGTGATGGTTGTACACAACCTTCGTAGAGCGTAAAGTGTAGTTCTCACGTCTACACTGCGCGTGTTGGACGTTGTAGTCGAGATGGAGCGCGCGATAGGATGTCTGACCACGTAGTTGCTTACTTTACACAGCCGACGTCACATTAGCAGCGGGCCGCTGGTGCGAGTGGCGCGCAGCACTTTCGCAAGGCATCCAGTCGCGTACAGTGTACCGTCTAGTGGTTCTACAGCAATGGGGCAATGTGAAGCTGATGTCAAGGGGGCTAACCAACACACACATATCCAGTTTGATAGCATTGAGTCAAAGCAGCACAAAGGCTTCCGCCAAGCATCTACTTTGACTGATTGCCAGTAAATGAATATGAGGCGCCCGGTCACCTATACCCCCCTCGTGACCGAGCGGCAAGAGTGCTACGGCCGGGTTTAGAGCCCCTCGGCTTGAGTTGAGTGCATCTTTGATGTGGTCACCAGGACGCACACTTTGCGCGCGCTCTGCGCAACGTTGTGGTGGATAGGCCACAACGGCGAGGCGGATATTCCTCGAGTTCAGAGCCTCACGGCTGTAGCGCATCATTGTGTGACTGACGAGAGGTTGTCGGAGAGGTGGGAGGGGTAGTCAGACACACTCTTCGCACGGTGTGGGTGATGGTCCACATCCGAAGTCCAGTCAAGCCTTAGGATTAGATGTCCCTCGGCTTTGAGCGCATCTTTAATGTGGACGCTAGTGGTCCACACTCTGCGCGCGCTCTGCGCAAACGTTGTGGTGGATAGGCCACAACGGGAGGTGGATATTCCTCGAGTTCAGAGCCTCACGGCTGTAGCGCATCATCGTGTGAAAGATGAGAATCAGACACACTCTTCGCACGGTGTGGGTGATGGTCCACATCCGGGGAGGGCGAAGCCCTGGAGAATTAGAGCCTCTCGGCTGTGAGAATTAGAGCCTCTCGGCTATAAGCGCATCGTAGTCGTGGGAGGCCCATGCCTCGTGCATCTGCCACCCTTGTGCACCTACCGGTACCACCCATTGATCGGAGGGAGGAACGTGCAGAGGTGGGACAAGTTGGGAGTGCACAGAGGGAGAGGAGCCAAAGCCAGGCTATGAGAGGCGGTGAATGGCGACGGATAATGGAGTGGTCGAGTGGGAGATGGATATGATGCAAAAGACATAGGATGGATGGTTGTATTGGAGAACGAGAAAAAGAACGAGAAACGCAGAAACGCACACCATATATACGACCGCCACGTCCAGAGCACCCATCACTCGATGACGGTGTCGACGGTGTTGGATCAATCACGTGATTGACCCCGCTGTCACGTGATTGATCCCGCTGTCACGTTGACCTAAATGTCACGTGATTGATCAAGCCGCTCACTACACGCTTTCGCTGATCGCTGACTTCGTGTGGCCGGAAGCCACTTTTACTTCAAGACGACTGTTGTGACGCTGGAGATATGTATGCAGACTGCAAATAGCTTGCGTTGCTGAGGAGACACCCATTACGTAACCTCATAGCCTCAGGTAGCGAAACCATTTAAAGTTCACAAGGGAGCCATCAAGGTCTTGCTGGGGCCGGGCGGTGGAGAATCATTGCGTAGTAGGATCGGTAGAGAGTCATGGCGTGGTTGGATACAGGGAGAGTTGGGGGGTGTCACGGTTCTGTGCGAGTAAGGGAGGAGACTTGGGAACTTGAGAAGGGTACGGGGCGGGCTTGGCAGAGGTACGAGACGACGGGCTGAAGTCCGAGCTAGTTGGGGGCTCAGGCGATGCTGAGCCTGACCGGCGCGTGCTGAAGCCGGAGAGTATGGGTAACTTGATCGGCGTCGACGACTTTACGTGCGGACCCGGGCTCACAGGCGGTGCATAAATTGGCACCGCTCGGGAGGCTCTGGGCAACCCGGAAGGTGGTTGCACCATTGGTCACAAAGGCGCGAGGAGGTCAGAGAACCCAATGCCAGGGGGTTCCACACACCGGTAGCCTCAGCAGGAGCGATGGGTGGAGGCCCAGCCTCGCCGGGCACACGAGGGGAGGGCGGGATCCATTCCAGACGCTGCAAACCTGGGCAGATGCGGCGGGGAAGGGCCCGCTGACGGCAGACATGGCGAACCGGACCGGAAGTTGACCTTCCGCGGGTGGACCGGCGGGCCAGGTGGGATGGGCCCCAGGTTGGGAGTGCGGGGGTGGGTGGCTGGGCAGAGAGTGTCGAATGGCCCCATGGAGGTTGGCAACTCGGACGACAAGAACGACCGGAGTGATTGCATGTCCGTGGCGGTCGCCTCGCTGCTGGTTTGCAGTTCTCCGATATACATTCCATGGGCGTCTTGGACAGCCTCAAGACGAGTAAGACGGGACTCGATCGAGATTGAACGGCGGCGAGCGTTGGCGGCTGAGCGCTGGGCAGAGCTCGACGCTGCAGCGTCGTTGGAGTGTGGGCTTGAGCTTGGGCTTGAGCTTGGGCTAATGATTGGATCCCCGTTTGAGGGAGCAGCGCGTCTGCGGGGCGGGGGCGCGGGGGAGCATTTGAGCCTGGGCGAGAGGATGAGTGTTGGACGCGCCGGGGCGAGAGGGGATGGACGCTCGTATGGGTTGTATGAGCTCGCCCGCGCCTTCCCCTTGTCCGGGTGGCTCACGGTCATGCTCTAAATATGGGGTCAGCTCCGAGTAACACCCTTGAAGCAATGCCTCCTGGCTGCCTCCTCTTCGCTGCACTGAAGCTCCCCGATGAAGTTGGCATGAGCAGCTTCAAGGCGGGAGAGGCGGAGTTCGGTCATGACGGCATTGCGGCGAGCGATGGTGGCCGAGCGCTCGATCTCGGTCGAATCCGCGGCCGCATTGGTGGGCCCCTGGGTCGAGTGGGGAGTCGAGCTGGGGCTCTGGATGGGGTGGGGTCGACGGGCCAGGACGAGGCGAAGGGTTCGACGGGCCGTTGCCAGGAGCGGCGTTCATGGCGGGGCCAGGAGCGGCGCCGAGGCGACGAGCCACGACCGAGTGCCCGGGGCGAACGGGGCTGAGGCGCTGGTAGGGGTTGAAGGAACTGGCTCGGGCCTTTGCCCTTGTCCTGGTTGATGGTCATTCTGAGAACAAGGGGACACTGCGCGCGGTCAGCTCGAAGCAATGACGGGACAGCCAGGGCATCTGGAACGGTTGGTTTTGGGTTACGCAGCACCCAGGACGACAACTCACAGGGGGGATCACTCGGGGAGGGGAACGCGGGGAGGGGGGCCGGCGTAACTACAATCAGCCCGGAACTTCAGCGTGTGGAACTCACTGGCCAAAGGCCTCGCCGATCACCGGCCGATCGCGGAGTTGAGGGATGGGCAAGATGATAACGGAGACACCGAAGATGACGGAGACGCCGTGATGTGTTCCACGAGGATCACGTGACGTTGGCCGGCAACGCCGCACGGCCCCGCCAAAACGCCGTCGCGGGTGTGGCGTGTGGCATTTGGCGCTGGTGGCCCTTGGTGATCTTTGCGTCAGTCGCGCTGTTGAGAGGTGCATACACAAGCAGTGTAGCGCCAACCACTGCGGTGCATATCGCATCTAGCACCCAGGGAATGGTGGTCACTACACCGGCGCTGCACCGACCACAACCCTTTTGGCGGAAGATGTCTGTCACTGTCAGTGGAATCGCATCCACTGCACAAGCCTGCCACGGCCTTGCACCCTCGTCTCCCTCCCAGATGCTTTACCTTTCTTGCTTTTGTAATGCATGTCTTGTTTCTTCTACCACTACTTGTTTTATCTTCCATCACTACTTGTTCCATACGTCGTACAAGCTGATGAGAGCCGGCAAACCTGTCACATTTGCCGTCGTGGACTCAAACGCCCCAGCACCGGCGCACGCCCCCCACGTTGACATTCGACGTCCGCTGATGAGCAAGGAGGTGGCATGACACGCGAGCAGCGTTGGCGAAGGCCAGGGGGCATACGCCGTGCTGCTAGCTAGTGCTGAAGACACACAGCCTATACCCGGTCACAGACTGTGCAGTCCATATACCTCGGACGAACAGCACAGCAGTGGATGTACATGTGTATTTGTAACAAGTGGAACGCGAACGTGCATGATGGATATTTAAGACAGGTAGGTGTAGGTTGTTTGAGGTGCTATATGCAGTGTGTGTGTGTAGGTTTGCGCTCAGCGCAGGTGATAATCATGTATCCTCCTCGATTTCTCTCATTCTCCCCCCCCCCCCCCCCCCCCCCCCTGTCTCTCCCCACTTCTCTAATTGAACAGACTGGCCAGCTCCTCGGCCTTTGTCTCCATGAGCTCCTTCCGCGACATGTTCTTGAGAGACATTTTCGCGAGCTCGGACTTCTTGTGCTGGATCCTCTCCAGCTTGTTCTCGACCGTGTCGTTGAGCATGAGCTTGATGGCGGTCACCTCGCGCTTTTGGCCCATGCGGTGGATACGGTCGATGGCCTGCGCCTCGACGGACGGGTTCCAGTAAGGGTCGACGAGGTAGCACCTGCTGGCCGCGGTGAGGTTGAGGCCCACTCCGCCCGCGCGCGTGGACACGAGCATGACTTCGACCGTCTTCTTGTTGCGCAACGCGTCCATGGCCTCGGCGCGCTGCTCACGCGTCATGGTGCCGTCCAAACGACAGTAGCCAATGTTGATCTCCTGGAGCATGTCCTCGATACGGTCCAGCATGGTCGTCCACTGGGAAAAGACGATACTCTTGACGGGGATGGGCAGACCGTCTTCGTCGAGGTCGATCGTTTCGCCTTCGCGCTCTTCGATAGACCATGGGTCATAGTTGGCCGAGTTGCGGTTGTGCTTTGAGAAACGGAGAAGCTCGGCGTGGAGGTAAGCCATCTTGGTGGACAAGTTGAGGGCCTCGCCAGGCTTGCGCGTCCACTTCTTGCGACGGACAACCTTTTTGGGCACGTCGTCGTCATTCTCGCCGTTGGCGTTTGGCGGAACGACCTCGATGGCGTCAAGCTTGTCGAGACGCAGCATGACTTGGCAGCAACCGTCACCACCGCATTGGCGGGTGACACCGGTAACCCTCTTGGGCCAGGGGGCGTAGACCGAACGCTTGAAGCAGGCCAAGCAGAAGACGTGCTGGCACTTGGTGAGAATGGGCCGCATGGGAGTCTTCTTGCCCTTTTTGGTTTCGGGCTCAGCCTTGCGGTCCTCCAACTCGTCGATACCCATGGGACCAATGGAAGGGAAATAGGGACCAAAATCGGCTCCACAGTCGCCGCAGACTGCGCCGCGGTCCGTGTCCTTGAGCGAGCAAATGACACTCTGGGCACGAGGCATGGAGAGGCCACTGCTCTGGATACCAGCGACAGCAACGTCAAAGTCCATAATGGTGCCGTCATAGTCCTCCTCGACAACACCAGCCGACGGCAGGTCGACGTGGTCGCAGGTCTGGCGGAGGATGAGGAGCTGCTGCAGGACATGGGCATAGTTTTTCGTGAGCTGCTTCTTCCTGGCGAGTTCATCGATCTCAGACTTGATGTCCGTGAGGCGCTCGACGTAGACCGCCCTCTCGTCCTCGCGCAGGTCAAGCCACAGTCGGTGCTCGTTACGCTTGGGCAGGTCGAGGATCTTCTTGCCGTTTTCTTGAACAGTGTCCTTTGTACGACGCAAGGTGCAGGAGCGCATGATGAGCTGGAGACGCGCAATGCCAACGGGGTCACCAGTCTTGCAAGGAGACGTAATATACTTTGTAAACGTGTCCTTTTCGTCAATGGGCGAGATACGGAGGAACTTGAACAGTGCCCACACGTCCTCGATCTTGTTCTGGATAGGCGTACCGGAGAGGGCGATGCGACGGTCGGCCTCGAGACTGCACGATGCCTTGCACGCGACAGTCACCGACGACTTGATACAGTGCGCCTCGTCAAGGACGACGCGGAACCAATCAACCGCCTGCAGAGGGCTGGTAGCGTCGACTGCACCGTTGGCACCGCCGCTCACAACTCGCTTGCGGGGCTTGGCCTTTTTGGACATGCGCAGGGCATCGGACAGTTCGGCGGGCTTGAACTCGGCCTCGGGGTCGGTCTTGGTGCCGTTGCGAGACGAACGTGACGAGTCGGCATTGTTGCCGTCCTCGTCCGTGTTGGCGCCAGTCTCAGCCGGGGTGTCGTCGTCGCCCATGGCAGCACACTGCTTCGAGTACTCGTTGGCGAGTGTGCTGTACGAGGTGATGACGATGTCAAACTCGGCAAGGAAACGAGCGTCCATCTTGCGCGTGGTGCCGTGATAGATGTAGACGCGGAGAATGTCCCAATCGGGATCGAGGTTGCCGTCGCCATTCTTCTTGTCACCTTTGGCAGCTGGGGTCGTTCCGACACCGCCCACGACCTCGACACGGCCGTCCCAGTGCTCCTTGATCTGGTCCTCCCAGTTGGTAATGGTAGACATGGGACACACGAGCAGCGTGGCCCTTGAGCGCTTCACGATCAAGGCGCGGCGGGCACGGTGCTCGTCGGCAGTAGCGTCCGTCTCCTGCCAGCGGCGCTTCTTGCCCTTTTTAGAGTTGCTGCCCTCGGCGTCGCCGCTAGAGTCGTTGTCTGGCATGCCAAAAACGCGCGTCGACATGGCCGACACTGGAAGGCCGGAGGACGAGGGACCAGAAACATCATCATCGTCGCCTTGAATGGTTTCGAGCTTCTTCTCTGCCCACTCTTTGGACGCACGGTGCGTGGCGGCAATGAGCGAGACGACAGACAGCGTCTTACCCAGACCCATGTCGTCGGCGAGGATAGCTCCCTTGGCCTCCTTTGGCTTTTCACTGCTCTTGCGCATCTTTTGCTTCTCGCCAGTAATCTTGTTCTTGTACCACTTGGTGCGGCCATTCTCATCGCTTTCAAAGGGCTCCCAGAGCGAGCGAGAGCTGTCGTCCTTGAGCGAGCGGGCACGTGATGGGGCGCGGGAAGTGGCCTCGACGGTGGATGGCTCCGTCTCAGGAGCAGGTGTAGTGGACGATGACGCAGCAGGAGTCGCCTCGCCGGATCCCTTGGGCTCCTTTTTGATCTTGGCCATGAGCTTCTTGTCGGCAGTCTTGCGGGCCGTCTTGAGACTCGACCAATCCTGCTCTCCTTGCAAAAGGAAAGTGAGGGCCTGGCGCTGGTGCGGAAACAGCTCGGTCGCGATCCACGGTCCGGGATCGCTCTGCTCGAGCTCGACGCCATCTGCAATGCTTTCAAAGACCTTTTCCACTTGCTGGCGCTGGACCTCGACGAGCTTGGCCTTCTCCATGGCGGCATTGTAGAATGACCCAGCCTGGGAAGAGCTGTACTGCTTACGAGCAAACGCCTGGTGCAGGACAGCGGCGCGGTCACCACCGCCATGGGCATTGTGGTACTCGGGCTCGTCCATGTGACGCCTGGGGTCATAATCCGGAACGGGGTCGAGCAGGAAAATGTTGTGCGCAATGAGCGTGTCCGCAATGTAGCTGACGTTGGACGGCAAGGTGAACATGACGACGTGGACACGGCACTCGTACTGCGACGCGCCGGGGTGGAGGCGCATTGCAAAGCCCTCCATGCGACACAGGCCGCGGTGGAGCATGGGTACGAGAATGTCCGCTGTGCTCTCCTCCAGGTCGCCAATGTACTGGGACATTTGGGCTGAAACCAGTCAGTAACAGGACAGGGCACCACCTCCACTCTCGTTGTTCATTCAAAACTCACGAGTCAGGACCTGGATCGTGTCGCGGGTCGGCGGGGACCATGGTTCGTCGGGGCGCGGCATTGAGCCTGCTTTGCGAAGCTAATGCTTTTGTCAGCAGCTGAACGACAGACGCGGACATGGGGACAACAGAGCACACAGCGAGAGGCATTTTGCTGCTTCTTGCGCGCGATCACATGATGGCGGCAAAGCCGGACACAAGAGGACGCGGCGTGTGGGCGCGTGCGCTCAGGCGCAGGCCCCTCTCTTCCACACACACGAGAACTGAAAAAGACACACCTTGAGCTTGACACGAAGGAGCTCTACGCCGCGCCAGGGGATGATCTCCCATGGCTCTGGGCTGTCGGGCGGGCAGGCCTTGCCGGTCGTGACGGCGTCCTTGGGGTACAGCATGATTGCACGGGTCTGGAAGCCACCGATACAAATCGGCTTTTTAGGGAGCTGAGGCGACAGGATGACAGGAGGGCGCGGAGGGGTCATGAGCGCATGCTGCTCGACGTCGATGGGGGCCGAGGGCGAGCCGTCGCCGTTACTGCTCATGCCCGATGCCGAGGAGGGTCCAGCAGCGCCGAGCGCGGCGAACGATGGGCCGGGGGTGGTGAAACCGCCCATCACGGACGAGGACGAGCTGGCAAAGTTTGAGCGCCGAGGACCTGGAGCACCGTTACCGGCAAACTTTGCAAAGCCAGCAGTGGGAGAAAACGAGTTGTTGCCGAGCTGTTTTGCGAACGCGGCGCCGTACAGTTGAGCTGCGTTTGTGTTTTCGGGGTTGACAGGGAGTGAAGAGTGCAAAAGAGGAGAAGAGTGGAGGTTGCGCTGGTGGTTGTGAACGAGGGCGTTGCCGTGCTGGGGGTGGTGGACACGTCCGTGGGCGTGCTGGGCGTGATGTGGGTGCGTGTTGTAGTCAAGACCTCTGCTGCTGCTACCAACAGGCCCAATGGAACCCGTCGCGCTGAAGCCCTGGGTGCGAGCGGCGCCGGGGGGCATCATACGTCGGCGAACAGGGGGCAGACCAGGGCGCGTCGGACCGGTTGATGCAGTAATGGTGAAATCGTCACTGTCGCTGCCAGAATCTACCTCCACCACGATGCCTTCCGTTGCAGTGCTGCCGTTGCTGTTCACTGTAGACGAGGAAGCAGGGGGCTGCTCGACGTCCAAGCTGCTCGGCAGAGACGCGGCGGCAATAACAGCGGCGGCGGCGCCAGGCCCACTTGCGGTTTCTGGCACGCCACCATTCGTTCCTCCCACGCCTTCACCGACATTGCCACTGCTCATGGCGGCGCTCGAGCCAGACGCATCGAACCCCATCTGTCCCAGGACGGCTTGATCAGCAAGGCCGTTCCCACTCCAGCCTGGGTCTGTTCCTCCTGGAAGGAGGGCCGGCACAGGCATGCGGGAAGCGGGCGCCGGGCTGTCATCGCTATCTGACAAGCCCGTCAGGTCGATGGCGGCGGCGGTGTTTGCTGGCAACGACGGGGGCAGGAGTGGGGGTAGGGAAGAGGATATGGTGGGGAGGGGGAGGTGGGGCAGGCTAGATTCGACGTCGGGTGTCGAGGTGGACGACTGGGATCCAGATGTCACGAGTGATGCTGGGAGGGGAGGGGATGCAGAACTCGTCGGCGATGGTGCGGGGACGAGGACGGCGTCGACGCCGCTCCTCGAGGGAGGCGGCGGTGCTGCCGTCATGCTTTGTTGGTGGGGGGTTGTATGCAGAAGGGTATATCTGCCTGCGTCGTCGTCGTCGTCGCCGGTGGGAGGATGGATGGTGAGAAAGAGCGAGGGCTAAATTGGAGAACGCGTTTTCACGTCCTGGTTGCCGCCACCAACAACATTGAAAGCACACGGCGGTGGGTGACATGGCCCGGAAGCTTAGTCAGCTGACCACAGCCGCAGCTGGCCGCTGGCCGATGCGACTCTGGCAAGCTGTCTGGCGGCCGACGGGCAGAACATGCTCGCGAACGTTGACAACAACGATGACACAAGCGTCTTCCATCTATGCACTCATACATGCATGCCTCTACAATGGGGTCTGGTAGTACAGGATACCTCCACACATACAAGCTACTCTGCACCACTCCTGCGGCGCTTGACATCTTTACCAGACACACTCCGCACGCCCTTTCCTCCGGTCGCCTTGCGCGCAGTCGTCGAGGCCGTCGAGGCGGCAGCCTTACGCGGCGCCTTGCCTGCAGTCGCCTGCCTCGCACCAGACCCAGTCGCCGTCTTGGAGCCCGTCCGCGGTCGCTTGGCGGCAGGAGCAAGTGGCTCCTCGTCCGAGCTGCTCGAGTCGGACTCGATGGCGATCGGATCCGCCGTCGTTCCGGCGCCCTTGGGCGCGTTGGCAATGCGCGTGTTGAGGCGCTTGACTTTGGACGGCGTGGGTGGAAGCGCGAGCTTGACCTCTTCCACTGCACTCCCGTCTCGGCGGGCATACAGGATCGTGGCCGTCTGACGCGCCGCGATGGGCTCGCCGGCAAAGCCATTGCCCAGAGAGCGTTCAGCTGAGGCCTGTTCCCACGCACGGTCGTCATCGGTGGTGGTGCTGGTGTAGGGGACAGCGTCGCGAGTCAGCTGCGGCTTGAAGAGGGCAATGGGGATGGAGGCCGTGTCCTTCATGGGCTTGGACGCCAGGAATAGGTCGCGGTGGGGCGGAGTGGGCAGCGCGGCCATGAACTCGAGCATCTCCCACGGACGGTCGTCGAGAGGAATGCCCTCGCCATCCGCAAGGTGTTGCGAACCAGTGAGAGCCATGGCGCGGTACAATGACACAGGACGGGGGAGCGCAGACGCAAATGACGGGTACTGCGCAATGAGGTCCTGTACCGGTGTGGTCGACGTTTCGCATGCGAGCGCGTGCTGCACACTGATGAGAAGTGACGGCGGCACGCTGTCGACCAAGTAGACGAGCAGGTCGCGCATTCCATCGAGGTCGGTAAACACATGTGCGCGGCCGCAGAGCGCCACTGCGAGGTGCAAGTATGAGACCGCCAGACCCGCATAGTCGGGCTTTGGCTGGCTGGGCGTAATCATCTCCTGGTTGGGGACCGCGAGCGCAAAGCGGAGCAGCTTAAGGGCAACCTTGAGGACCTCTCCTGGCTCAGCAGGCTTTGCGCCGGCGAGCAGTTGCACGTCATCTTCGCCAACTACACGGCGTTCGAGGCTCTGGAATCCAACACCGAGGAGACCGAGTAGGCGGTCTCGGGCGACGGCCGTCGGTGCGTCAATCTTGTCCTGCTTGCCGACGCTACCCATGACACGGAGCATGAGGTTGACGCTCAACTCGGTCGTCTCCACCTGGTGCTGGTCCTCGGCGCTTAGCAGCTGAGAGAGGAGCACGCCCAGGCGGTCGAGACCCACAGACAGGATTTCCTGTGCGACAACACTGTCGGCGCCGCGGAATGCCTCCATCAACAGGTCCATGTCGTCTGGGTTGGCGTCGCGGTCAAGGCTAGATCGCACAAGGCGCGACAGCTGCTGGCGAGCCTCAACGGGGTCGTCATTGTTGGCAATACGCATGGTGAGGCGCTTGAATTCAACACGCATCTCGAGCACCACGCGGGTCGCGCGCCATGCAGTGTACCGCGTGCCACTCTCCAGGGCCGGGAACGACGTCGACGTTTTCATGCCGCTCACGCTGTCCGACATCATGAGCTTGAGGCCCTCGACCATGCCTGTCTCAAGCGCACTGTCGTTGGAGCGCTTAATCCAGTCATTCGACAAGAATGCGTCTTTGAGGACATCGAGGTTGCGGAAAGCTGCAGTCTTAAACTGCGGGAGTGCCGCAAGACCGCGGACAATGTCTCTGATCTGGCTGCGAGTCTTTTCGGGGACCGTCTTGGAGCGCTCGAGAACGATGAGAATGGGCAAGTGTTGAATGAGTCCCTCCACATGATGCGCGTGGAACACGGACGACCGCGCCGTCTGGACGATGTATGCCTCGCGCAGGTTTTGCGGTGGCAGGCTCTTGTGACCAGTGCAAAGCAACAGCTGCTGCGTGAGAGTGACAGTCCAGTCGATGGCGTAGGTGCGCTTGCTTGAGAGACGGGGGTCGGGCTGGGTGCACAGGCCCGCAGCATGCTTGAGTTCGGGGAAGACGAGCTTTTCCAGGATGACGAGCGAACCGAGGCGGCGCCCGACAATGAGCGACAGTAGCAGCCGCACCACAGGAGGAACGTTGCGACGTCCGAAAATGTCGACCCTCTGGCTTGGGGTGAGGGTGCTGACCCATTCAGCGACAACGGGCCGCAAGGACCCGTCACCGGCCAGCTCATCCACCTCGCTCACATGCGCCAATGCGGCAGCAACGGCGTTCGGTGTACGCTGGTCGGCAGACTGGATCGCCTGGATGATAGTCTGCCACCAGGTTGACGACCAAATGGTAAACTTGCCATGACGAGCGAAGAGTTTGGGAGCCAGTGCCGTTCCGCGGTCGACGTGTCCGCCTGCGATGACCTGCTTGAGGCCGTCCATGCTCTGGTCGATCTCGACCGTGAACGCTGGCGCCTGAGGCGACTTGGACCGGTGTTGCTCCGTCGCTTCGCTGACTTCCTGTGCGGCCCCCGGGGGCAATCGTCCGTGCTGCACAAGACTGAGCAACACCACGGCGAGCTGGGAGAGGAAGCGGCCCTTGCGGAGCATGACGCGGAAGCGGTCCATGAGGGCGACGGTGATTTGGTTCCAGCGGTCAATCGACGTCCACACGTCGGCGTCACGCTTGATGGAGTCGAGGATAACGAGCAGGATTTCTTCGTCTTCCGTGCCGGTGATGCCGCGGACCAGAAAATCGGCAAGGGTCGAGTAACCGCGACACTGCATGCAAATGTTCATGACGCGCGCATACGTGCTGGCGTTCATGGGCGGGTTGTTGCCGCGGCGCTTGAACGAGTGGACCGCGGCAGCTGAAAACCAGAAACGAGTGTGGACAAACTCGAAACGACTGATGCCGGCTGCCGAGGGGATCTGGTAGTCGATGCTCTCGCGCATCATGGCCGAGCGACCATACCGCTTCAGACCGAAGATTTCAGGCACATACTCGCGGAGCTCTTCGCGGAACTGCTCGAGGGCGCCGTCCTCGTCTGCCTGGTCGCGGTCGCGTCCCTCACCATCGCCACTGAGCACCATACGTCGCTGCTCGAGTAAGTCGCGCGCCTCGACGAAGATGGGCATTGCTCGGAGTAAGTCGAGGTGGTGGCTAGGTGCCCCGCCATTGTTGCGCGCAGAATGTCCGCGAGCAATGAGAGTGTTGAGGTATCGACCGTACGAGAACAGACCCTGGCGCGTGAGTTCCCCAAAGGAAATACCGATAGCGAGGACGTTTTGGGCGCTCTGCGCAGCGGGACTCGTATCGAGCCATTTGTACAGGATGGGGAAGAAATCGAAGTGGTCGTTGGGGCGCGTTTCCTCGTACCATTCGAGCCATTTTTTCAACATTGTGTACACGGCATAAGGACGGTGGATGCCGAGCTGGTACAGGCCCATGGCCCAGTTGACGAGAATGCCGACTTTTTCTTCCAACTTGTCGACATCAATCTTGGGGCTCGTCGGCGCGCATGGCCCGCTAAAGAATGCCTTGCACAGTGCCGTCATGTCCGTCTCGGCAGAGATAGAGTCGAGCTTTGAAATCTCGGCCACTTGCTGTCGTCGTGGCGTCGTCCCACTGTCGACAAGCACTGGGCGGAACACGAGTGCCTCGTTACGTCGTCCCAGGTCGGCAAACGTCGCCGTGCTACTGTCCACAAGCGAACCGACGAGCGCCCAGTGACGCGACCAAGTCGTTGGTGAGAGTAGCACCTCCGGGTCGGCCTTGTAGAGTGCGCGGACAATTGAGGTCAACAGCTGCTCGACCTTGGACATTGTGTCTCGAGTCGGTGATGCGCGAATCTCCTCAATCTTGGTGCACGCCGCACGCAGGCAGTGACGTCCGATGGCCACATACTCGGTAAGGTCCGTCAGGTGCTTGTGAATAAGCTGGGTTACAAAGCCAAGCTGGGCAAAGTTGGCGACGGCGAGAAAGTCGGCAAGCCATCCAATGAGCACCCGTGGCGAGATGAGGCGTTTACGATACAGCAGCCGCAGCAACGTGTTGCTGTACTGCCATTTAGCCAGCCACCGTGCCCTGCTCTTTTCGTCACCGAGTACACCTGTCGGGGCCTTGACCGGCGTGGGACCAGTGGTGGCTACAGCCTTGGGTTTGGTGGGGAGTACGAGCTGTCCGAGTTGTATCCTAATCCAAGCTGTGAATGCTATTGTGAATTCCACGGTGTACCAGTCGTTGGAATTCATTGGCGCGGTCGCAGGTGCAGGCGCGGCCGTCGCGGTAGAGCTAGGCGTTGCGGCCACAGGTGACGGTGCTTGCACTGACGAAAGAACCGGTTGGGCACGGCCACGGTGCGCCGAGATCTCGTTGGCGCCCAGAACACGAATGAACCACAGGGCACGGTCAACGGGGATAGGCTCCGGTGGAGGACGGCCGGCAGCCGCGGGTGCTCCTGGTCGGGCGGCAGGCTGCGGAGGGGCAAACATGGTGTCCAAGAGGTCGATGCCTTTGAATCCGTGTGGGACGGGGTTGCGCATGAGTCGAGTGAGGGGGATATCGGGGTTGCCGAGGTCGGCAAGGAACTGGAGACGTTTGGCGTCGTTGTATGTCACACGCACTGGGATGCGAAATGCGCGCTCGCTGTTGCAAGAAAGTGTCAGGAGCAGCTTGAAGAGAACAGGGTCTCAGCTGCACTCACGAGAACGAAGGCATGGCAGCATTGCGCTGTTCGATGATTTGCTGTCCCAGCTCCATGAGCTTTTCCAGACCGCCAGTCTGGAGCTGTTGATACACTGGTCCATGCATGGAGAAGCTCTCCGCCTGAACAACGTTAGCAACCTCCTCTAATTTAGAATCACTGTTACATTAACGGCCGGCTTGAACGCGAAGCCTCCCTTGACGAAAGGCTCGGTGAGTTCATCTTCGGGTTGGCCAAAGCCTGGTCGTGAGGGGTAGAAGTCGGGATAACCTGTGTGGATGTCAGTCAAGCAACGAGACAACCATGTCACGACACTCCTCTCTCGAGGTGAGAGCTGGGGACCACTCAGCTCTCGGCGGGCAACGGACGACCCCAGGTGGCTCTACATGCGAGCCGTCAGAGGCCATCAGACACCGAATGCCATGACAGCTGATGTCCCACCACCCAGGCAGGCTCCAGCCAGACGATCGTGTGCCGACGACCACTGCCGAGGAATGCTCCGAGCAGCGCGCTCTCTTGAGAGTCCCCACACCAAACCACCTCCTCCTTGTGCCCGAGTGACACCAGCAGGAGCAAGAACGTACCGAGATCAGCGCGCGAGTTGAGCACTGTACGCCATTCTGGCGGCGGGAACTCTTCAATTGGTACGGGGTCCGCCAGAGGGCCGCCGTCGCCGAGTCCGCTGGCACGCCGCTTGTGGGGCGCCTTCGAGCCATGGGCTGGGCGGGGCACGGGGGCGAACCGCGGTGGCATGGCGGGGGTGTTGCGCGCTGGTATGCGTCTATGGGGGCGAATAGCTATGCAGTGGATGGGGAATGCGGCATGTGGGAGGGTTGGACTGAGGACGATGAATGGAAATGGACAAGAGGGGAGAGAAACAAGGTCTCTCGAATGGATGGGACGGCAGCAACACCAGGCAGTGCGGCGCCGGAAGCAAGGAAGACACACGGAGGGAACGACCGACGGCGGAGAGAAAGGGACCCCACACCACCGGATTCCAGTTCCAGTCATCTCGTCCTGTCTGTCGTATCATCCATCCTCCCACACCACACCACCACCACGATGCCTATCAACTGGCCCGCGCAGGCCACCCCGGGCCACGACGACGACGTCTCAGACACCACATCCGTCTCATACCCCTCATCGGACGACTCGTATGACCCCGACGACCACGCAGCCATGATCCAGGAAGAGTGGGAGGAGAGCCTCCGCCAGATCGAGACCGTTCTGTCCGTCATCATCCTCCCCTTCTTCGGCAAGTGGATGGGCCGCAGGACCGCATTCTGGGGTGAGTGCCAGTGGCGGGGTTGAAACACCGTACACACCAGACTGCATGTGGGAAGAGTGACGCTGGTGTGTCCCGGTGGACACGCCGGCGTCTCCACCGAAGACGTTGCGCGTGCGCGCGGCGCGCCCCGTCATCGTCCTTCCACGCCCAACAAGCACGGCCAGTGCTGACCTTTGCTTCTAGCGTACGACCGGTACAAGCAGTTCGGATGGACGCGCTCGTTCATCGGCCTGTGAAACACACAAATGAGAGCAAAGCAGTAAAACCAAAAACCGGCGGACAACAACAAAACGTGTAGAGACAGCATGGTATATGCATAGGGCCCGCCCGAGACTCGGGCGGAGATATGGAGAGGAGAGTGTGATAGATACAAAGAGACCTTTTCTAACTAGGTACTGCTGATGACACTGCTCTAGGCTAATTCTATCGTGTCCTGCTGCGAGGCATCTGGATACCACTGTCACGCACAGCTTGCCTCGCTTTGCGAATGACGTTCTGCAGGCTACTCCGGTATGTGCGGAAGCCGCGCTTGTCCACGTCCGCCAGCACTTCAGCAACCTCCCGGATACGCCCTTGCGTGAGGAGCGAGCCCAGCATCATCGAGTACGTGTCGGCCGTCGGCGTGACGCTCTCTTGCAGCATACGGCGGAAGATGCGGATTGCAGGTGACAACTGGACATCCCCATCCTGCGCTTTACGCCACGAGTCGGTCAACGTGTGTCCCAGGACAATGTTGTAGCCCACGATGTTGAGCCTTTGGCCAGACTGGTACATTCGCTCAATGGCCCTCCACCCATCCAGCACCCATCCACCACGGAAGTAGCCGGAGATGAGTGCCGTCCACGCTGGCACGGTCATTTTCACGCCGCGCGTACGCATGTCGCGCGCCACGTCCTCGGCGCGGCGCAGGTTGTCGGCCGTGCCGTCCTTGACCAGGTCGGAGATGATGGTGGCCCCCAAGCGGTCGTTGATCTCAAACCCGCGTCCACGCATAGCGTCGAGCGTCTTGCGTGCGAGGTCGTTTCGGTCGGCACGAAGCATGCCCTGCACCATTGTCGTGTAGGTGACAATGTCGGGCTCTTCTCCAAGCTTGGCAGCGTCACCCAGAATCGCGTTCATCATCTTGAGGTCGGCGAGATGCGCGGCAAAGCGCAGGGCAACGTTGACGGTGAAAATATCGGCAGCCAGAGAGGACTTGGGGTCCATTGCGGTGTGGTACAGTGCCATGGCCATGTCGGCTGATGGCCCGCCCATGTTGAACGCCAGAGACATGGTCTCGTTCAGGATGAAGGTCGGTGGCCACGCTCCCGGCAGTCAGTAATGATACCTCAAACTTTCTCTCTGCCAGAGGCAACTCACGAATGGAGAGCGGGTCGACCTTTTTCTTGTTTGTCTTGTCCGCCGCCTCTTGCGCTGTGCCTTGATTCGCGGGACCCACTGGTTCCGCCTCTGGCTTCAAGCCTTCACTCCTCCGGATCGCCTCGTGCAATCTACACTCCTTGTCCATGACAATCTCATCCCACACCGCAAAGAGGGCCTTTGAGTCATGGTACCTGCCCAGTACAGCGAGGTACTTGCGGTACGTGAGGGCAGTGAACTTGATACCGTCCTTCTTGCCGTCCTCCCAAATCTTCTGGGCAGCAGGTAGGATGGCGTGCTTGTCGCGCGGCTTGGTGTCGTCTTCGGCCGCGACTGTGTCCAACAGGCGATGGAAGATTGTCAGGGGCAGTGGGCTAGGAAGCATCTTGCCCGCCTCGGCCTCGACTTCCTGCATCAACTGAAAGTCGGTACTGTTAAGCTGGATCGTGTTGTGGCGCGAGATGAACAGAAAGCTGCCAAGCGCACCAATTCGACGCTCCTCGTTGGTGACCAGGGGATGTGTACCGCGGTGAAGCTCGCCACGGAAGCGCTTCCACATGTCGTGAATAGCACTCACGCGCCCACGCTCGCGCAGGATGTTGAGGCGTCGTTCCAGAAGCTTGCTCTTGCTTGGTAGACGGGCGAAATCGCCGGCGTCACACAAACGGTGGGCAGCGGCTGCAATACCCTCCATGTCTGTGTCGGCGACCCACTTCCTTTTTGAGATGTAGTTGACTATGTGGTCGAGCGATGGGAGGTCGACGTTGAGCTCGGGAATCTCGGCCAGGTCCAGGCGATGGATCATGACAGTCCACGCAGCCGCGAAGGGTAGCGGCAGCAGACGCGCGCCCATCGTCTCCACCTGGGCATGAAATGTTTCCTGGATGCGCGCGAGGCGTCCTGGATCAGCACGCTTTGCCTCGGCAACGAGCCAGTTTGCGTATCGTGCCGTGATCATGGAGGTGCTCTCCTTGTGGGTCTCGCGCTGAGCTAAGAGGGACTGGTAGTCAATGGTCGCCAAGGCGAAGAGAGACTGGAGAGCAGGGAGGTCGTCGTCGGGGACAGCGTTTTGGGCATAGTAGGACGCGAGGGTCGAGTTGATAGACTGTAACGACCTTTCGAGCAGGCGGTGGTGCCTCTTCTCCATGATCATGGGCTTGACCGCTGCCAGGAGATGAACCGCGTTCGGCTGGCCACCTCCGGCAGGTGACATTGCCAACACCATCGCCGCGTTTAACCGCCGGGCGTCGTCTGGTTTCGACATGATGTCCGACTGGGATGGGTCAGATTGAGATAGGGGGGGAAGGGGGTAGGGCTACATACCGATTCGATACTGCGTTTGGCGGCGGGGGACGGCACGGTGGGTCTCCTCCGCGGCGATGTCGAGGCCGCAGGCCTGGAGGGGGAAGGCGCTGCCGTCGGCGGCGATGAGAGGCCTGGCATGCCTGTGACGGGCGTGGCTGCATAGCGGCGGACATGCACACGCCCCTGTGCTTGCGTCGAGGCTGAGGACGCTCGGAGGACGCGCGAGGAGCTCTCGCCGATACGCCGGAGCATTGGGTGGTGACGGAGCGAAGAGTGTGTGTTTGCAAAGTAACCGACGATGGGTTTAACTTTTTGGGTCCACTCAAAATCTCAATCCCTCAGTTGTTGTTACCCATCCCACCCATCTTCCCGGTCACCATGCCCAACAACCGCAAGACCACCCTCAAGAAGATCAAGGGAAACAGCGAGGTGCACCCGGGATCGCGCAAGGGTGAGTAAGAGTATACCACTGTGCATGGCTGCCTGGACGATCTACTGAACATCACCAGCGGCGCAGATCACCCGTGTCCACCTGCGCAAGGCCAAGCTGGTCTCGGCAAGGAAGGACCGTAAGGAACTCAAGGTGGCAAAGCGTGAGTCTGGGGTTATGCATTGGGGCATTTTTGTGCTGCTGGGGCCTCGTCGTAGGCCAGCAGCCCGGAACCTGCCTTATAGGGATAGTACTGACACACAACAACAGTCTTCCGCCCCAACTTCTTCCTCCACCAGGTCACCAGTGCCGAGGCTCTCACCTTGCCAGAGCTCCGTTCGCTCGTTACAAACGTCTTCCTTACCCGCAACGACGCCCGTATCGCCGAGCTCGAGTCTGAGCGTCGTGCCGGCAGGGCAAAGGTCAAGGAGCATGTCGACCTGGAGGAGCTGAAACGAGTGGAGAACTCGGAGTGGGAGACTGGCTTTGGTGAGTGTAGCTGCGAAGCAAGTATATCACACTCAAGCTGACGCCTTATTTCTTCACTCTCCTCTTCTGCGCTCGTTCATCTGCTCCCCTGGCTCCTTCTGACCGACACTCCAAATTATGCAGAGGTCGTCGACCTGACCGACCCCAAGTGCACACGCTTGATGAGCCAGTGGGCCGAGGCGGGCACGAGGCTCAAGTCTGCCCACGTCGACCTCCTCCCCTGGGTCCGTATTGCTCGCGGCACGCCCGAAGTTGTCACTCCTTCGCGCCCAGGCCAGCTGGCGGGCATGGGTCTCGGCGGCGGCCCGATTGAGATTGAGGTGGACGCCGGTGAGGATTCCGACGCTGAGATGGAGTGATGTTGTACAACACTATGCACATAGAGTTTTTCCCTGTAACCCACCGGTCTTCTGGCGGCACCTAGCTGTACACCCCATGTCGTGTGCTGTGCTTGCTACCATCCTTCCTGTGCTCGCTGGATGTCATGGCGGCAGTGAAGGAATAATTTGATCCCGCTCGTCTCTCTCCCGCCACCCAATTCCGAGATCCACACCCACCACCCATCACGGCTCTCCAACAACTTGATCTCTATTCTTTGCTCCGACTTTCATCCATTGAACTTCGCCATGCCCGCACCACAAGCACCGCGGGCCAAGCCCGCCAAGGTGCGCTACTTCAAGGGCAAACCCGGCGGCGCCGTGGCCGACTCGGACTCGGACTCGGGCGAGGACGAGACCATCCCCCTCCGCACAACAAAGCAAGTCATCTCGGACCCGTCAATCGTTGCTGGCGGCGCGGGACGCGTGATCCGCCCCGAGACCCTCAAGGATGTCAAGCCCAAGATAAAGATGGACTTGGGTAGCGTCAAGATCCCCGATGGTGGTGTCAGCCGGGGTAAGTGTTGGGACAGGAGCGCATGTTACTGCAGAGGGGTCACTGACGTAGCAGCCATTGGGGAGGAAAGCGATGACGAGAGTGAGGAGGAGAGTGAAGAGGAAACAAAGCCGGCCTTTATTCCAAAGATGGAAGACGTGAGTTGGTAGTCTCTAAAGACCAAATCTAACGCATCAGTCGAGCGAGTACGAGACCGACTCGGAGGAGGAAAGCGAGGAGGAGGTCAAGCCCGCCTTCCGTCCAGTCTTTGTCGGCAAGTAAGTTTGTACGGGGTCTGACAGCCGGATTCCCTGGCACGTTTGTCTCCTATTGGCACCCCTACTAACGTGCTCAGAAACGCTCGTAAGACCGTCACCGCCGATCTCGCCGCCAAGGAGGCCGAGGAGGCGGAGAAGCGCGAGGAGGAGGAGCGCGAGCAGCGCAAGCTGGACAGCAAGGACCTTGCTGGCGAGACTATCCGCCGTGAACTTGCAGAGAGTAAGTGAACTGGCGACAATCCCCGCTGACCCTCGCAGAAGAAGTCTCCAACGACCTGATCCCCGACGTCGACGACACAGACGGTCTCGACGCCGAGGGCGAGTTCGACGCATGGCGCGCACGTGAACTTGCGCGCTTGCTGCGCGAAAAGACGGCCCAGGCTCAGGCCGATGCTGAGCGTGAGGAGATTGAGCGCCGCCGTGCCATGCCCGAGGACCAGCGTCTGGCAGAGGACATGGCCTACGCCGACGGCACTCGCGCTGCCGAAAAGGGCGAGATGGGCTTCCTGCAGACCTACTACCACAAGGGTGCTTTCCACCAGGTGAGCACATCCCCTTGCATACGATCCATGTGCTGACGGTATAGGACGACGACAGCGAGATTTTCAGACGCGACTACACGGGCGCGAGCGAGTCACAGGTGGACATGTCTGCCCTGCCTGCCGTCATGCAGGTCCGCAACTTTGGCAAGGTGAGTTAACCTGGCGTCGAACACCTGCTGACAAGACAGAAATCCCGTTCCAAGTACACCCATCTTACAGACCAAGACACATCGTCTGGCGGCTGGGGTACCGGCCACCAGGCATTCGCGCGCCCGGGCGACGTTGGCCAGCAACAGCAGGGATGCTGGAACTGTGGTGGTCCTCATAACCGTGCCGACTGCCCGAACAACAACATGAACGACCCCAACGTGATTGGTGGCGTCAACATTGGTGGTTCGGGTGCACCACAGTCGTATGGCGGCGGATTTGGCGGCCGCGACCGGGGAGGACCACCAGGTGGCTCCTCCGGCCCCACGTCGTCCAACTCGGCAGCTCTGGGCAGCGGCTCAGGCTCGCGCTGGGGCCAAGACAGCGGCAAGGACAGGAGCGATCGCCACAGTGGCGAGCGGCGCGACGACAAGGGCCGCGAACGTGAATACCGCGACCGCGAGAGGGATCGATACGACGACAGCCGTCGCGATGACCGTCGCAGTGGACGCGATCGCGAAAGGAGCAGGAGTCCGCGTAGGAGAGACGACGGTGGGCGGAGAGACGACGAGAGGCGAAGCGGACGAGACGACCGCGACAGAGGGTCTGACCGGCACGACCGAGACCGACGCGAGCGACGCGACAGGTCGCGCGACCGTGACCGCCGTGACAGGCGATAAAGCTGGAGCACAGGTCACCATGTGCCCACTGAGCCCACCATTGCCGACCACATGGCACATCTGTTCTCCGGTCACCCACTCAGCCTCACCGCTGCGGGAACGCCGGCCGCAGAGAGATCACGGCAATCGCAGGGGCTAGTATATGAGCAACGAGTGCGCACAAATTCGCGGGTAGTGTTCTGCAAAGGGAGGAGCCGGGAGGGGTCGGTGGTCGGTGTACGGTACGATGGGATGGAGGCGGTTGGCATAACTATCGGATGGGCAAGCCGTACGGAACCCATGTCCGGAAGTGCCTCGCAGGATGCATGTATCAGTCCGAACCGGATGATCGCGATCGTGCATGCAGGATAAGTAGTGTGTATGTGTTTGTCCAACTGATAGGTAATCCAACAACGCGTCGAACGGTCATCTGCGTAACGCCAGGCAACAGCGGGTGGAACACCGGGAACCGGAACGGCATGCCGTTCCGCACCTTGCGAGACGCGTTCGACGCGGCTGATCCACACCCCGTCTTGGAAGACCAAATGTCTCTGTTTTGGCCAACGCTGGACGGCTCACCGCAGTTGTGCACCTTTGTATGGATACGCGCCCCGATTTGCGCGTCGTGTGGCAGCGCCAACGAATGGGTGCGATGGAGTGCAGGTTGGTGGCCGGCATGTTGCCCCAGCGGTTCTGATCGCCATCTCAGCCGCCAAAGCTCTTTTGTCTGCTCCCTGCTGGCGATACAAGGATGCAGTATGTGTATATACTGGACTGTAGCACTCGACTTGCCGGGTAGAGGTGCAGCGCAAGCTGCGGTAAAGACCACGGGGTGACAGAGGGTGCGCATTGTACAGTATTGTTCTTCAGAACCCCCATGCCACCTAGTGGCACCTCAATCCAACCTTCTCCTTGCAGGTTGGATTCCTTGGGTCATCCCCACGCCCATTCCATTCCTAGGGTGGACATGCCAAGGGAACCATTAGGCGAGCGCTTTACACGAGAAGTGCGGCTGCGTTTACCAGGGCTGTTCGGTTCCATGGAAGTGCCAACAGAAATGGATATTCGGACCGTGACAGCGTCGAAGCTCATCGCTCACGCTTACCTGGGTTAGTGATGTAATACGGCCGAGGTGTTCGCATGGCACCTGCGACTGTGTTGGACTAGAGGGCCCACGTATCACGGACGAACCCAGGGAAAGGCGATGTAAGGCCGCAGCGCTGGAATAACGGGCTACAGCACAGCAACAGCCATCCAGCGAGCCGCACTGGAACCATCATTTCAATCGTGCCCCAGGTGGTGCCATTTCAACGATAGGATCTGCCACGCTAGTGCGTCCCTTTTCAGTGAGAAAAGAGGGCTTCTAAGGGCCACAATCGCCGCTGCAGTGCCAGGCATGGTGTACACCGAGCACGCCCCCACAAGACCGCTTGTGTATGCGGCACGGGCTATACGCACCACAGGGCCCAACTGGCGCTGGACCGAGTATCCTCACGAACAAGACACGCTATCACATGTAGCACGTATACGAGTGACACATTATGTGTGCGTATGAGTGCAGTCGTGGCTGCATGGCTGTGGTCCACACCCGTAAAACCAAGAAAAATGTCGATTATTTCCGCCACGCACCACATGGGCGCAGCGGAGTTCGCAAAGCGGATGTCTGTCCCTCGTCGCATGTTTTTCGGGTCAGAAAGCTTAAACTACGATACGGGTTGACCTCCCACATGCTCCACAAGTCCTATGTCACACTCTGCGTGTGCCGCAGGAACAGTGCTGGACATAGGACTTAAAGACACGCGCATAACGCTGGAAGTGATGCCAACTCCGCATGTTCCACGTTCCACACCTCGCCGCTTCCCCTTTGCGTTTCTGGTGTAACAGCAAGCCCCCCTGGCCGTTCCGGCTGAGCCGGCTGGCTGGCACCTCCCGCCCACTCATTGTACAGGTTTTACAGCTGACATAAGACCACCCCCGGTGTGGATACATCAGGAGTACCCGCTGCCAAACCAAGTAGGGGGGGTCGTTCCAGCAAACAAAGTTGTGTGGATCAGCAGGGACAGCTGGAGGAGGTCGATCGGAGATCGGAGACATGTTGGGAATGGGGGTTAGATAGCATGGTCCATTGCAAAGCTGAAGTCGCGGGTACCGGAGGAGACTGACAGGTGGAATTAACATGCATACAATGAACTAATGTCACGCCGAAGAGATCAGCCAAATCGGGTGTGTTGGCAATGAGTGCTCAAACACACACCCAGTATGGCACCCGCTCTTCCATTGCAGCCTCTGAGGACCTCTCTGTACCTCGAAGTCTGTGGGGGGCAGGTGAGGAGGCGGCTGAATATTGTCAGGGCAGGGCCCACGTTGATGCTTTCCTACCCAGAGGGTGAGTGCATTGGCGGGTGAGTTGGTACCCCACAGAGCGTTACTCGACGCTTTTCGGTTGGCTTCCAAGTGTCCCGAGCTAGCGAAGGTCGCCCCACTTCTTGCCGAGCGGGGGGTGGGCACTGCAGGGTGGTACAGGATGATGCAGGACGAAAGAACGTGCGGGTACAGGAGGGTCGAAGAATCCCAAGTCAACAATCGGTGGAATGTCGACAATCAGTCGGAATGTCGACAGATGATGGCATGAGACAGAGTTGGTTCCCAGTGTGGATTCAAGCGCAGCACATGTCAGAAAAGTGGCCCGAAAATGAGTTGGTCCATTGTCACGGATACTGTCAGCAACTCTAAACTTCGCAGACAGATGTACGTACACGAATGATGGGTCTACGACGACATTGCCCGATTGGTTGACGAAGCTCTTGTTGGTGACCTCCACTGCTGGTCCTTTGCCACATCTGCTCACGTCGCGTCAGCAATCCGCGGTTGAAGCAAGGCCCCAATCAACATGGAAAACTGGACGAAATGTACGACGAGGGCGACACGACTCCATCACGCCACAGGATATACTGTGCGGCGGTGTCGGGCACCGATGCCGCCCGAGCCGCAACCACCGCAAGGTACTGTCCTGCCATTCTCATTGTCCATACTCATTGATGAGGGGCGGTACCGAAAAAGGTCAAGGACAATTTCAACGATACTACCAATCCCTCCTCCGTATAGGCACCGCAGCGGGGAGTGGGACAGGTACGAGGGAGGGAATGGCTTGGGAATGGGTTGCTGGTCGGTCCGGAATCGGCAGTTGCCTGCTGCCTGTTCCTGTGCAGCTCATCGCCTCGTCTGTGACTCTGGGAACTGCTCTGGATCTACTCGAAGGTGAATGCCAGTGCGTCTCAGAATAGCCACGACCCAGCTGTGCGTGGTCCCTTACCCTGGCAGCAAGTGCTCGACCCATGGTCACCGTTTCCAGCGGGGCAACCCTTGACCTGATCTCTCCCTCCCCGGTCAATCCGTCCAGAGTCGCCGGCCTTAGTTGGCCTTTCTGCACGTATTTGGGTCTCTCCCGCTCTTCGCACACTTCGCACAGCAAACGGAGAGTAGGTACTCACTGGCGAAATATGCGCTCGAGGGGCCAGCACTTGATGGTGTCGGTTGCGGTACACTCGTACTGCGTAATGGCAAACAGGGTGCACGGCAGACGCCGGGCAGCATCTGGATGCTCTTGCGCTTGCGCGTCGACGGAGGCAACGTTCTGGGGCATATGGGAGTGGGGATAGGGGCCTGCAAAAGGTAAACGACGGCCTGGTAGATGGATGGAATTGATGGACTGTTGACAGGAAAAGTGGGAAATTGGAGTGAATGACGTCGACGGGATCGCCGGAGAAAGCCGTCGATCGGTCAGTGGCGGCTTGCGGAAATGGCAAACCACATGCAATCTGTCTCGTATCTGTGGATGCCGTTCACGACATGCATGCACGCATTTGTCGCACAGAAATACAGCAGCACGCAATCTAACAGGCATGATTGTTGTGAGCGGCCCCTTCTCGGTTCTCCGCCCGTGTCGTGTCGCACTGCCGTCAGAGGTCCCTTCAAACCTGTGGGGGTCCCCTTGAAGGTGTGAAGATGGGCCGTCACATCTGCTCGCAGCCTAGGTAGTTTGCTTGCAATAGTGAGTGCAAAACCGGAACGCGTCCTGATCTCTTGAGAATGGAACGCAAGTCATAGCATGATGCAATTTGGAGAATAGTGGACGCAGGAGGCATGAGGAGGAAAGTGGATGGCACGAGTGATTATGACAATACAAAGAGTGGTCTTTGTCGTTTCCAGCGCTCCCGTTGTTACTGACAGCACACCATACATGCTAAGCAGAGTGTCAACTGCATGAAGCTATGACACCGAGTACGTTTGCACACGCCACCAATATTGAGCGAGGAGACTACGTGGTCAAGCATTTGGCTGGCTTGGACGAGCGCAAGTGTTGCTCCTGGGGAGGGTCGACCCAGACGGGCTATTATTGGGATGACGAGGCGGTTGCTCACGCTCCCACAAAGGATCGAGCTTCCCACCAACAAGCTCTCGGCTGAACGTCCTGCCTATCCACTGCGAGGCTCCGGTAATCGTTAGCCAGATCGACAGTGAGGATGGTTTTCTCCGTCCGACCACGGTGCCTTTAGAGCTACACGTCGGTAGAGCATGGTAACGGCAGGCTCAGTCCCTCGTCACTCCCGGGGCCGTAGTTACAATGCCGTAATCTACCTCCTTGGTGGGTTTCCTATGGGGAGCGTCGCACCAGAGCAAAACGTGAGCAATGTAGTGCGCAAGTCCTGGGTCCTCACACTAGGAGAATACTCACGCCAAGGACACCAGTAGTCGTCGACCCTCGGTGGCAGACGCCTGCCGTGGAGAGGAACCCCGCCTTGCCGTGTCCCTTGCTGTGCTGGCCAGAGTGACCTTGGGCCCGATGCGTCGCTGGAATACAGGTACAGTTGCTCTGCTATCCATCATGCCCCATGCTCAAGCAGGCGGCGGAGCAAGATTGTATATAGAATGGCCGCCGCTCCCAGCATTCCCTACACATTCGCTCAAGCCCCAGCCTCCCGTGACCACTACCGCTGCCGCTGCCGCATACCATCCTCGAATCTCCGTGCAGCCTATCAGTTAGCCAGTGTTGAACAACAAGCACATCGTCACCCGCGAACAAGTCTCCCCGTGCCCCGTTATCGCTCGCCACACAGCCGCCATTCAGTCAACTGCAACACGTGTCGCATTAGCTTTGCACCAGCTACACTACATACACCTCACAGCCCGATCACAGAGATAGCACCGCCCAGGCCGCTCCTGCCACAGTACTAGATCACTGGGTCACTGGCATAGAACACTGCAGTCACCGCATCGACCTCACCACCACATCCAAACTCTACCTGAATAGCCACCTCTGCGAATTCAAAGCTACGTTTTCAAAACCAACGTGTGATCGACACCACTTTGCCAACCACCTTCTGTCTACTGTGGAGCACGATTCAGCACCTATATCACTGTACCGCGCAGTCAGCAGAAAGCATCACAACACTGCGCGTTTGTCACAGCAGTACCGCGCACACGGTCAAAACGTCGATCTTCGTGATTGATTTTGTTTTCTGTCCATCGGATCACCCAGTCAACAACCACACAACCCGCTTCGCATCTGCAGCATCTACTCGACCCCATCTGCAATCGGTTTTGGGTTAAACAGCTGCCCTCAACGTACGGAACGCGTCGTTCACAGTTCCGGTACCCAAGTTCCATTTGCCCCGGTTCCCGCACCTCACTACCCTGCGATTCTGCGACAGTCCGGCACTTTTGGTCTGGGATCCACTCCCGTGCCAGAGACACGCAATCCTCTTTCACCACTTCAATTCACCTCTCTCCTCTCCCGGTATCGTGTCCGAGACGTCACGACGTCACCCGGCGCCCAGCAAGTTTGTCTACCCTTGGACCACCCAGCAAAGACGCGTCGTTGCCTGCGCGAGGCCACCTGAGCACTCACCGATCCCACCGCCACATTGAGAGCCGGACACGCCACGTTCATCCAGACCCCGCCGCTTCCGCGACCTGCCGCAGCCACCGACCCCCATACACACTCCGGACCTCTGGACCACTACGCGTTCTTCTGCTCCGGTGCGCACCCTCGCGGAGCCTCGATCTCGGAACCGACCGTGGCCGCCACCTCTCCGTCATTCCTTTTTGCCATTCCAGAGTGTGAGACCGGCAGAGCCAACCGCGGCTGACTGAGTGAGTGACACCCCGGGTCACGTCGATCAGGACCCTTAGTGGCATCTTTCCACCAGATCGATATATAACCTTTTGAGGTGCCAACAACCGTTGCCCCTCTCAGCTTATACACGACCCACTGTACCCCCAGTCCGCTCTCTACAGTTCCTACAGTCCACTTTCCTCCATCTTCACCTCCAACAATGTCTCGCCCACGCGTCAGCTCTCGCAAAACTCCCCCGTCCCCACTTGCCCTCGCCGCTATTATCCTTCCCCCCGCGCCACCATCATCCCCTCCGAGCCCCTCTCCTCGGCGTCGTCGCGCACACCAGATGCGTCTTCGGGACCCAGGATGCTATGGTCTCTATACCCTCTCGGAGGAGGAGGAGGACGACCACAAATCGTCGCGCTTCAGCTGGGCCTCTAGCTCTAGCTCATCGTCATACTCGCCATCATCGCCCACGACCACCGCTTCTGTCGACTCACACGACCTCTACACTCCGGGTTCTGAAAACGAGGACCCCTTCTTGTTCGAGGACTGGGGTATGGAGGTTGACACGCCCACCATCTCCAACTTCCGTGGCAGCAAGACTTCGGCCCCCGTCCGTCCTTCACGCCGCCCGCCTCCTCTTGACCTGGAGCCCTACCACATCCCCGTCCGCATGGTTCGCACTCCTACTGCGCGCTCAGCACGCTTCTCTGGCCTCAAGCCCCCACGTGTCTCCACTGCCTCCTCAACTGCTCTGCCTCGCACCCCAACCGTCGCAAGCACTCCCGAACTCCTTCCTGCGCTCCCCATTCTTGCTCACGACGAGTGGAACTCGCGTCGACAGGGCGCCGCGTCCTCCGAGCCCCAGACCCCGGCGACACCGTTGTCTCCGTCAACTCCCACACCTTCCGAGCCCATTGGAATCAACCTAGTCTCTGCCCTTCGCGAGCTCCTCACATCTTGTGGCGAGTACGAAGGCTTTGCCAACGAAGAGATGTTCGCCGACGCCATTGAATTTGGTCAGCCTCCCAAGGCGCGTACCCCTCCACCATGCCCTCCCAAGGCAGACCCCGTCACCCCCTTCTGCAAGTACGCTGTTCAGATGCCCAGGGCTCCACGCGCCACAACCACCAAGGCAGAGCGCCGCACCACCACCGTCCTCGGTGACCATTCTTACCTTCAATCGCTGTCAGCCGAGTGCCGCGAGAACATCATGGACGCGGACGAGGACATGTACCCATTCGACACTCGCTCCCTCCGCAGCATCCCCTCGCTGCCGTCCCTCTCGCCCTGTTCGTCCTTTTCATCATTGTCATCTGCCTCTTCAGCAGTCTCACTCTCGTCCATGGCCTCGGCATCGAGCTACACGTCGCTCGGCTCTGTCTCCGGCTCCTCGTGCCACAACATCACACCACCGCCAGCGACCAAGGCGACCCGCCGCGTCTCATCCAGGCGCCAGCTTCCCGTGCGCACTGCCCTCCCATCTTCATGGACGGGGTATATTTAATCGACATCTCGTCTCCTGTCCTCTCTGTCCACTCTTGCATGCGAGCTGGTCTCGCCACGACCCATTACGCCCACCCCCACCATCTCAATCCATCCAGCCTTCCATTGTAGATGCGGCACCGCCAGATCACATTTCATGAGCAGTATTAATAATAATAGAAGTATTTTGTTGTTAAACACGAACGTCGCGAACGGTTACCAATGCATGGTTGTATCAGTATTAGCGGCACACACCACTCAGCCGTGAACCGTTTTCCACTCACACGATCACAGGCTAGTGTTGCATTTGCACTGCTGCGCTGCATGAAAAAGGCCGCAGGCCATGGCTGGCGCCACTCCCGGGGTCCCGTTACAGGCTCCATTCGACGTGCAATGTCGTCCGCCCTTAGTGGACTCTGGCGAGACCCTCACTGCATTCCCCGGTTTGAGTCCGTATCGCCGTAGTGCGGTGGCCTAGGGTCTCAAATGGCCACCAAAAGCCACGAAATGGAGACCAGTGGCCCGCGCTGAATCATTCTGTGATCGTCTGTGGCACTTGCGAACAGCCGACAGCCTGGCCTCCAGCTAAATTACCTGTCACTGCCAGTCTGCTGACTCTCGACACTGCACACTGATGAAACCTCTAGTATGCCCGTTGCAGTGCTACAGTGTGCGCCGGCTTTTGAAATGTGGTAGAGTGTGACGACTGACAGGCAGCCTCGACGGACGCGTACAGGTCAGTACATAGACAGTCGGTACTTACCTTCATTCACCGTTCAAGCAGTCTTGTTTTAGCTCTAGCTTTGGCCCGCACTTCTGGGAATCCGAAGCGCCGTTCCAAGACACCCCCCGATCTCGTGATATGTCTCTTGGGTCCATGCTGAGAAACAGACGACGCCAACACGGCGGAGCTTGCGTGCCGACGACGCCCAAACCCTCACGTAAACCGACAACGGAAACGGAAGTGGACTCGTGGAACGTGCTGGCATGCCGACATACCGACACGCCGAGCCTTGGCTGCTCTTGCTGCATCATCACCACCCCAATCACTCGCAGGCCTTGTTACGGAAGGTCGAGACCGGATGCGTTTCCCGGTAGAATATCGTCCTGTGTCGGCTCAACGGTCTTGCGGCATCGTTCAGCCCAACGAACGACAGAGGCCTCGATACCAGATACCAGGGTGTGGTCATTCACGGTTAAGCTCTCACTCACTCTTGCGTGTCGACACAGCTTAACTGAAAGTATCTGTTCTGGAACTTTGGACGCATGTCGTATCCATCGCCTTGACCATTGACTTCAAGCCGACGCGATGAGGGGACACAGACTGGAGACTGGTCCCACCAAGCAGCACTGAATGTCTGCCTGACAACGCACTGTCGCGTTGGAACAAAGCAACATTCCCACCCAGAGAGAGAGAATAAGACAACCAAGAGAACACCAAGAGCAACACCAAGAGCACGACCAGATGCCATGCATGCCCAGACCTCAAAACTCGGAGAAACGAGGTGTGTGGCTTTCCGATGACCGGGTTCACTACGGCCACTGTCGTGGGCCCCAATGTGGGGGTGGAGGTGGACGCAGGTCAAGGCCAGATGTCAGTGTCAAGGCCATTGGCGCCCAGCCTGCATTAGCTGCCTTAAAGCTGCACATACCAGGCTACCGGGGTGGGAACCACGGTCGTGCCGGAGTCATCATCCTCCGCTCCTTGGCGTCCCATGAGGTGACGGCAAAAAGTCTGTCTCGTTGATGAGGCACTGCAGGTGGAGGCCACGGTGCCATGGTAAAGGCCGGAGTACCGTTATCCATCTGCGGTAACTCCAAGCAAGCTGAGAACCGCCAACTGCGTACCACTGTGCTCATCTTGAGCCACACGCGCACATGGGCGCTCATGAGTACATACGTTATGTGTCGAATGACATATGCGCGCCTCCGACGTGGCTCTCTGTCAAAACCCAGTTACAGTCACACTCGAGGTTGGAGGTGCCTCTGCCTGCAGGTTAAATCAGAAAGATGAATGCGGCGGCAAGTGGCAGAAGCCGGATCCTGTCCTCAAAGTGGGTTTCATGCTTGCCTCACCCCCACCCTTCTGTTCGCAGCAAGCTGCTACGACGTTGATGCAGACCTTGGAATGCTATGGACCGTGTGCCATGCGCCGTACTGTAGGCTGCCGAGATCAACCCCAGTCGACATGGCCGGCCATCATGGTCAGTGACCTGGGCCTTCTTAGTCATATTCCGACACTCGTTTAGGGCAAAGTCTGGGCTCGCACTGGGACGTTCGCCAATCTCTTGAGTAAGTATTGTCAGCCTTGTAGCGCCCGCCAGGTGCATCGTACACGCTGTAACGATCAGTGGTGACTGGTCGCAACAACAAGCACGTAGCACGTCAGTCACTATCTGGCCTTGATGAAACTTTGCATGGTGGTCAACCACCTTAAGACCTTTCTCTGTACCGAGTCCAAGGACCAGCAACGAACTTCTGGCTTCATCCGGTTGCATTTTTACCATCACGCAGCCCGCCTGCCGCGTGATCCCCAGTCCAAAACGTTGGTACGACTGGTTTTTACTTGGCCTCCTTGAACTCGTAGCCGCCCTCGCGGGCGACAGCCTGGACCTCAAACTGGTCGAGGACCTCACCCTCGAGACCCGGGTAGGTCATCTTGACGGCGACGGTCTCGCCGGCCTTGACGGGTCCGACACCGGCAGGGGTACCAGTGAGGATCACGTCGCCCTCCTCAAGCCTCATGATGCCCGAGACGAACGAGATGAGGTGGGGAATGTCGAAGATCATGTCGCCGGTGACACCGGACTGCTTGACGACGCCGTCAACGGCGAGCTGAAGACCAACCTTGGTCGCATCGGGCACCTTGGCGGCGGGGATGAAAGGACTGGCGGGTTAGCAGATGTGGGAAGTCGGTCAGGGAGAGTCGCCTTGCGAGCCTCATCGCACTGCACCTGTCCCAACCATGAACTCACCCGATGGGGCAGAAGGTGTCAAAGCCCTTGGCGGCCGACCAAGGGAGACCCTTCTTCTTGGCAGCCTCCTGCATGTTGCGGGCGGTCATGTCAATGGCGAGGGCTTAAAACGTCAGCGAGTTGCAACCACCCATGTAAAAAGCTCAGTTCGCAATGTGCTGGAACAGCTAAAGAGGTCACTGATTGACAGCTGATCTTCCATTGCTACCGACTTTTAATCGCAATCGGTACACTCACTGTAGCCAGCAACGTAGTTGAAGGCGTCTGCCTTCGAGATGTCACGGCCGTTCTTGCCAATGATAACACCGAGCTCAACTGTTGGGTCAGCTTGAGCACAACACATGATCGAGACCGTCGCGAAAGCAGGGAAGAGGTTAGAAAAACAGCTACGCCGCAAGTGGACGCTCTGTGACTCTGTTCCCTCCCTCCCTACTCTGACTGGTACTCTTCTCTCGTGCACCTACCCTCGTGGTGGACGTTGATGCCCTTGGGGACCTCGAAGGGGCCCTCGCCAGGCGAGAGGAACGAGGTGGTGGGCTTCAGGAAGAAGAAGGGCTCTGCAGTTGTCAGCCCCGCTCATAAGCGTCGAGTTATCAGTGCAGGGCCATAGTGCAGAGTGCTTGAGAGGCAGCTCAGCTCGACTCGAGATGGCACACAACGAGCACAGAAAGTGGGCAGCGAGAAGGAGCTCGGATTTCTCCTTCGCTGCACACACAAGGGCAGAAATCCAATGCTTCAGCCGGCTGCCCAGTATCTCTGCTGCTACATCCACCTGTCCCGTGGCCGTCTGCCTCCTTACGAGCCGTGGGTCATCCAACCATGGCTCATCGGCAGCAGAGCAAGCAAGCACTTGAGAACAAGAACTGACCCTTGGGCACGGCGTTGCCGAGCTCCTTGGCGTGGTCGACATAGTTGCGACCAATGGCAATGATCTTGCGCGAGGTACGGATAAAGTTGGCGGCCATGTTGGGTATGAGAGAGTGGACAGAAGAGAGAAAGAACAGCGACGCAAGGCATCCATATTGATCGCGCATGACTCCGTAGCAACCGCTCGTTGGTTCATCGGATATCGGCGCGACGGGCCGATGGGCCAGGTGGAGGCCGCAGGTGGCCGACTCGCAATCGGATGTGGGGCTGAGTGCCCCCAGGCCTTGCCCATGCGGTAGTAGTCGGTCATAAGACGACCGCTTGTACTGGTGGCAAAGAAAGGGCAGATTAGCTTACTAACATATGGAGTGTAGGTGTGTGGTCCCTCATGACGAGGACTGTCTTGGTGCTTCACTGGAATAGGTTGCGGCGCTTCTGCCGATCTCAGAGCCCAAACGGAAAGCCACAGTTGAGGTCCCCCATCAAAGAGTGGACAGCTGCAGCTGTCAGCACTATCCCATCCCCGTAACTAGTAGCCAGAATGGCCGACTAGTTACGTTCAAGGGTGCCTGTGATATCCTGCATGCCTACGAAATGGTGCAGACCGTTGACACATCCCACACGCCCGAGTTGTGCGAAAGAGGCGAGGCGAGATCGACGCGGCTCGCTGCCGCCGCTAGAACTATTGCCACTGATGCTCGCAGTTCGCTGGTGCCGTCACCTGCGAGTAGCTTCCCTACTCAGCCGTCGGTTTGAGTTGTCTTGCCTGGTAAGCCACTGCTGCCACACTGATGGTCTCTCCATCGTAAAGCAACGTGAGGTGATCGTATTCGGCCAATTCGACGGCCCAAGGTTCATGAAAGTGGAGGCCGCAAATCGCCGACGATCGAAAAGTCACTTCTGACCACACACGCAAGTGTAAGTGGACCTGGAGCGAAGAAGCCTGTGGGTTGTGGAGGAACAGTGGCAGTCAGTATCCAAAAGGTGCAACAAAGGGGGTTACTCTAAAAGATCTAATGCATCGACAACAAAGATTAGCGCTGGCCAGTGGCCATGCGCTCCAAAGCGCTAGTGTCCATGACCTGGAACTCGCCGCCGCCGCCACCACCGCCTGTCCTGGCGCTGGCATTGGCGCTGGCACTCTGCTTGCCAGAGTAGGCGCCGAGAGCACCACCGCTCTTGTGCAGACGACCCTGCTTACGCACAGCCTCGTACATGCGGCGCTCGGTCTCGTTACGTGCGGTCGCCTCCTTGCCCTTGGGCTTGCCGTCGTCCGAGTCGTCCGAGTCGCCGCCATAGTCGCCGCCGCGCTTGCGCTTGCCGCCCGCACCAGCCTTGTCGTCCTTTTTGGACTTGGACTTGGGAGCAGCGATGGCGCCGGGGGCCTCACGGAGCGCAAAGGCCTTGGCGAGGTGTCCGAGATGCAGGGCCTTGACGGCGAAGAAGCGACGCTCCTCGAGAGGGTGCGTCGAGTAGGCGCGAACCCACGAAGCAAAGGCCCTGCGGGCGGCCACAACGTTGGCCTCGTCGGCCAGGACCCACTGCTCGAACGCGAGCTGGACCTCGGTAGCACGGGCCTCAAACTGGTTTCCGCGACCGCCCATACCCTTGCGAAGGACCTCGTCGACGCCGACCTGCTGGAGACGCACGCTGCCGCCCTCGTTGTCGTTCTCGGCGCTGCTGGCCGAGCACATCTTGCCCTCAACCCAGGGCACCCACTCGGACTCGGAGGGGCTGACAAGGGCCCAAGCCTCACCACCCTTACCGGCACGAGCGGTACGACCGACACGGTGGACGTACTCGGCAGCACCACCTTCGGTGGGAAGGTCGTACTGCACGACAGCCTTGACGAGCGGCAAGTCGAGACCACGGGACGCGACCGAGGTACACAAGAGGATGGAAGCTCCGGCTGAGGGTGTGCCGAATGCCTTGAGCGAGGCCTGACGTGTGCGCAAGGGGAGCGAACCGTGGAGACGCTGGATGGCGGTGTTGGGGAACAGCGGTGAGGTGAGGGTGATGAGGTCGGCGGCAGCCTTGGCCTTTGCCTTCTTCTTCTCCTTCTTCCTCTGCTCCTGCCTCTTCTTCTTCTCCGCATCATCTTCTTCGTCTGCGCTTTCCTTGCCCTCCTCGTCAGAGTCAGAGTCCGAGTCGGACGAGTCCTCGGCGGCCGGCTGGCCCATGGACACGCCACCGAGGAGCTTGAAGTGGTAGTCGACCGCGTCGGTGGACGAGAGGAAGACCATCACCTTGGTGCCTTCCTTAGAGTCCGAGTCGACCTCGATCTTGGCCGCACTGCCGACGAGGGAACGGAGGAGAGAAACGAGTGTGACGAGACGGAGCTTGGTGGGAGTGACGACATACTTTTGGGCGAGTTGCGAGGGAGGCGTAAACTTCTCGCCAGCGTCGGGGAGAATAATTGATGTGGCGGCGTTGAGGGCGTCGGCGACCGCGGCGTCACCAGCCGCCTTGGCCTTGGCCTTGCCGGCGGTTTCCGCCTCGACGACATCCGACGAACGGAACAGCACGGGGTTGCGAAGGGCCTCGCCGGCAAGACGCTCGACCTTGGCGTCAATGGTGGCGGAACACAGGACAGTGCGCCTTCCACGGTTCCAGTACGGCCAACGCATCATACCACCGCCTGCGGCGTCCTGCTCACGCTCGGCGTTGATCTCGTTCCTCCTGCGACCGTCGAGGGCCTTGATGATGTTTTGAAGGCTCTCCTCGAAACCGAGGTCCATAAGACGATCCGCCTCGTCGAGAACGAGGAACAGGGTCTTGGCGCACTGGAAGCTCTGGGTGTTCTGGAGGTGATCCAGGATACGACCGGGAGTAGCGACGAGAATGGGCACACCCTTGCGGAGCTTGGCCTTTTCGTGGGTGCGGGTGCTTCCACCGACAAGGAGACCGCTGACGAGCCAACGGGTGTATCCGCGGTCCTCCTCGTCATCCTGGAGCGAGAGTGCCATGGAGAGAATGCTCTCGACGACCTTGGAGATTTGCTGGGCGAGTTCACGGGTCGGGGCGAGGATAATGGCGAGGGTACCGATCGAGCGGTCAATGTAACTCAAGCGCGAGAGGGGGAGGAGAGTCTGGATGATGGGGAGGAGGAAAGAGAGGGTCTTACCCGAACCAGTCTGGCTCTGGATGAAGATGTCCTGCAGTCCCTCCTCGGCAACGGGCAAGAGGTTTCCGTCCTCGTCCTCTTCACGGCGCGCGTTGATGTCCAGAGGCGCCGAGAGCATGAATGGCAAAGCGCTCTTCTGGATACCCGTGGGTGCGGCAATGTCCATCTTGTTCTTCAGGTGGTGAACAAGGAGGGGGTCAAGTCCGAGGCCCGCAAAGCTGGTGGTGTCGATGGGAGCGTTGGACGGGGCGCCGAGAACAGGCGCCACCTGGGTGACACGCTCGTACACGGGGTTGGCAGAGAAGAGGGACGAGATGATGGCGGGGGCGGCCTTTGGCGCAGCGGCGGGCTTGGGAGCGGCCGGCTGGGCGGGGAAGGGGAGACGTGAGGGGCCAGCCTCGGGCGACGAGCCGCGGTCCCGTGCAGACGGCTTGGAAGCAGGCTTGGGAACAGCCTTGTTGGCAGAGGTGGCGGGAGCGGGCCTCGACACGGCAGGCTGGGGGCGGGCAGCGGCAGGGCGGGGAGTGGGGATGATGGGAGCATGAGGAGCGGGCTTCCTGGGCCTTACCACAGGCTGAGCCTGGGGCTTGGGCTTGGGTGCCGACGACTCGGACTCGTACTTCTTGACCACACGACGGACGGCCTGGTTCTGCTTGACACTGTATCGTTAGCTAGAGGAGATGGAAAGTGGAACGCACCGGTCGGTCCAGCGGCCACCTTTTTTAGCAGTCAGCTGTCGGCGGACTCCTGTGCCCGACGAGGCAGCAAAGTTGAGCTCGATGCCGTCGTCCATGGTTGTTGTGGTGTTTGTAGATGGCGTTGGGATAACAAGTGGCAGGATTTCTGAACTTCTTAGGCGGTGAGCGGCAAATCGAAAAATAATGACGTGTATCATGTTTATCAGTGCGGGGGCCCAGACGATCTGCTGTGACGCGCGAACGCAACGCCTTCCCTCTCCCCGGTCCCATACATCCCACATACAGCGGTAGCCACAGCAGCGAGGACGCCGACGCCGACGCCGACGAGGGCGACGACCAGACCAACAGACTTGTACCCCCCGGTAGGGCATGGCTTCTCAAATACCCGTTTCAAGATGGCCATGATATCGGATGCCTGGTACGTGGTCTTGTAACCAACACCTACTGACAGACACAGCTATGCGCTGCACGCGATCCGGCTGTCGGCTCTGCGCACCACCGATGACCCACTCACACCACGCATCATCACCCTTGACCCAGCCTTTGGCGCCAACCCATACGTGTCCGCCATGGGACTGGGTGACATTGACCGGTGGCCAGAAATCAAGCGCGCGCTCGACAGCCCACCACCAGACCCACCAGAACGGGAGCCGGGCGACACGGATGCGAGCGCCGGCGAGGAAGGAGGGAGGAGGAGAGGAGGAGGAGCAACGGGCCTGCGATACACCCAGACAATTGTTCCAGGTGGCCGTACTGGTGCGGCAGGGATGCGTGTGTCTGGAAGGCGTGTGGACGGGAGTGAGATTCGGAGACTGCGCGCTGGCGCGCAGAGGTCCAACTCGAGCTCGCACGACAACCGACCTCCAGTCCCATCGCGGTCCAGAGACCGGCCAGCACCGGGGATGTCTGTCGCCGAGGATGTGTTCACCGCTGCACCCCCACGGCGCCAGCGTTCGGACTCGGCGCCTGTGAGCGCGCCTATCACGCCTGTTGTCGAGAGCGCCGACGAGCACGACCTTGGGGGACCTATCCACGAGACCCCCGATACCCTCGCGCGCAGCATGTCTACTACAGACGATGGTATCACGGTCGATACACACGCTGGCCTCCAAGTCGCACCATCTATCCTCATTGGCTCCATTGCCATGGCGGGCACTCTGGCGTACAACCCAGGGAGCAGCATGGGGGTGGCAGCGAGCCAGCTCCCGTCCGACCTGGCCATGACACAAGCCGACACGGACCCACTAGACGAAGCCCTTGCTGGAGAGGCCGTTGACGAGGGTTCAGATGTGGGTGATGACGAGGTCATGGACGAGGAGGACGACGTTTCCGCCGCGCCACTCATGGGCGTGGCCCCTGGGCTTGGGAGGCGACCCAGCCTTGGTCCCGACCATGCCCATCACCTGCCGAAACGCACCCATGGAGGCGACGCTGCGCACCGTGTTTCAGTCATCCACGAGGAAGGCGAACGCCGTTCCTCGACTGATACGATGGAAGAGCCCAAGCTCGAGTTTGCCAAACTCGCCGTCGCCTCGACACGGCCACCTGCGTCATCACTCACGGCCTCGCTCAACCACCATGTACCGCATCTTGTATCCACAGGCGCTGGCGTGGAAGGCGAAGAAGGTGTGGCTGCCACTGGACTCGCCAATCCCTTTGCCTCGCTATACGCGTCTGTCGCCGCACCCTCGACTGTGCCTTCCCTCAAGCTCCAGATCTACTTTCCTCACAGCAACGAGCCAACGGAACCGATTCTGCTTACGGTACGGAAGGACGCAACTGTCGAGGAGGTCACTGGACACGGTCTTTGGAAGTACTGGGAGGAGGGTCTTGAGCCGCAGTTGGAAGACGAGACCGAGCAGAGCACCGTTGGGTGGGGTTTGCGCATCGTCGAAGACGATGGAGAGGTGGACGAGGATTTCCCAGGTGAGTATATGCGTCCCAAGTCAAGTGACGGTCTAGGAGCAGAACTGACATCCAGCCCTCGACCGCGAGAGCCAGATCGCCAAGTTTTCGTACGGCGAGTTTGCCATCGTTCAGGCAACTGATTCGCAAAGTGGGTTCATGGAACCTACTATGTCTGCTAACCCACCAGAAAAGCAGAATGCAGCCATGGCGCCTCTCATCCAGCGCCGTCCTTCACGCATCATTCAGCAGATCCAGCCTCCACAGCTCACGGGTCGACCGGGTGCGCAGGCTGCTGCCGCGGCTGCGGCTGCGATCGCGGCCAAGCGACCCGGTGCCATACCAGCCTCACCCGACGACATCAACATGCCCCTCGCTACTCCAGACTTGCCTCTCCCTCCGGGCGTGGCCAACAAACAGGTTCTGCTGCGCGTGCACGTGAGCGCAAGTGCCGACGAACACTACACCACGACCATCAACGTGTAAGCCGTCCCAACAACTGGACACCTTGCCAGGGGAAACATGTAGCTGACGCAGCCCAGATCCAACGACACGTACATTGCAGACATCACCGAAGTTCTCGTTCAGAAGAAACACCTCGTCATGCCGCCTTCAGAATGGGTCCTGTGCCTTGGCGACTTGACCCTCGCCCTTCCACTGGACCGCACCGTCGCGTCTCTGGAGGGCAAAACAGACCTGGCCCTCGTGCGCCGTCAATGGGCAATCGAGCATGGACTGCAACCCCCCGGAAACCAAGGTGGCGACCCCAATGCGGGGCTGTACAATAAACGCCAGTCTGAAGCCAGTCCGTATAACCGGTTTGGTGCTGGTGGCGACTTTGGACAGACGTATAAAGTGAGTTGAGCTCCTTGCGCTACTGTTGCTAACTCGCAGAAATGGACGGTGCAGCGCAAGACGCCTATCGGTCGCCACGAGCGCGTGCTCGCCATTGACGGCGACTACATTTACGTGAGTTGAGGCTCCTTGGTCCTGAATGCCTCAACTGACACTTGACCCCCCTCCGCAGATCATGCCGTCCGAGAACCGTGGCTTCTTCGACACAATGAAGGAGACGAGTTTCCACATTACCTCTGTCATGAGCTGCAAGCTGTCTGGCCGCGCGGGCGGGTTCAAGATTTACGTCTTGCGCGAAGGAAACAGGAAGCGATACGAGTTTGAGGCCGACAATGGGAAACAGGCCAACGAGATTATTGCGAGCGTAAAGCAACTGTGAGTTGGTCTGCCGGGCGTGAACGCGAGTCGTGGCTGGGAAATGGTCATCATCGCCCTCATTCAGCTTAGCCACCTTGGAAACGACACGCATCGTACTGACTCCCGCCCTCCCAGTATGAAGACGTTCCAGGCTGAACGCAACTCGGTCCTCGCACCGATGCGCACAATGTCTCGTTCCGGCGCGCGGCGCAGGTGATGCTCACCACGCGAAAGAAGGAGGTTGGGGGAGGGGAGGGGGGATGGAGAACCACGGAGCGCTTATCAGTGTTGTATCATGAATGCATGGTGTGCATGGGGAGGTATCATATGTGACAACAGCGTTGAGGCCGAACGTGCGGGCGCGATGGAGAGTGGATACAGGTTAGGCCTGGGGTGTGAGTAAACAGTCCAGAAACACACAAGAACAGTGTGGCGATCGTGCGGCTGAAGAGAGACACCCCGCAGCCGGCGCCCAGTCGTTTGCGCTACTCACAGACATCTTCATCTCAATCTTGCCCATGGGGCTGTATCCCTCGACGACAAAGTCGTCGTAGGTGAAATCGTCAATGTCCGTGATCTCGCGCTTGAAGCGGAGGGTGGGGAAGGGGCGGGGTTCGCGCTCGAGCTGGACCTTGAGGCTGGGGAAGGCGTGTCAGCACACTGGCAGCAAGGGAGGGAGATGTGGTGCGCTGGCAAAGCACATGGATGCTCGACGAGCCGGTCCCAATCCCCATGCGCATCCCGCTTCACTGTGCTCGTTACTCACGGCTCCACATGGTCCCTGTAAACGTGCGCGTCACCCATCTGGAGGATGAACTCGTGCGCCTCGGTGCCGGTGACCTGGGCGATCATGTGGGTGAGGAGCGCGTAGCTGGCAATGTTGAAAGGGACACCGAGACCCAAGTCGCATGACCGCTGGTACATGAGGCAGGAGAGCTTGGGCTTGGCCTCGGGCGTCTCGGGGAGGGTGACGAAGAACTGGCAGAACATGTGGCAGGGGGGCAGGGCCATGAGCTTGAGGTCTGAAGGCGGTCAGCACTGCTCGGCCAGGGTACAGAATACAGGTCATCTCGCGGGAGGCAGTGAGGAGATAGCTTGCTGGCCATCTCAGTCCACGCCAAGTCGACTTACCCTTTGGGTTCCATGCGCTGAGCACAATACGCCTGTCGGTGGGGTTATTCTTAATCTTGTCAATGACCTCCATGAGCTGGTCCACGCCCTTGCCCGAATAGTCGTCCTCGCAGGTACCATAGTCGGCGCCAAAGTGCCTCCACTGGAACCCATACACGGGTCCCAGGTCGCCTTCCCTCCGGTGACCGAGACCAACGCGGTCGAGGTACTCCCTGCTGCCGTTGCCTGCCCAGATGTTGATGCCCTTGTCGGCGAGCACCTGGCCGTCGGTGCAGCCCGAGACAAACCAGAGAAGCTCCTCAATCACGCCGCGGGTGAACACGCGCTTGGTGGTGAGCAAGGGGAGGGCGTTGTTGGCCAGCGAGAAGCGCAGCGAGTTGGGTGCGAACAGCGCAAGCGTGCCGGTGCCGGTACGGTCGGGGCGAGTTTGGCCAGTAGAGATGATGCGCGAGATCAGGTCGAGATACTGATACTCCTCTGTGCGGGTTAGACACAGCCAGAAAGGTGTACCCACCGTGCTCGGGGTTGGCCCGTTGGACAATGTCGGCAGTCATGGTGAGTTGAGGATGAAGAAGTGGTGTAGTGTTGTTGCCGAAGAATGAGAAAGGTCAACCGCAGTCGCGTCAACTTGACGCGTCCGGATCTCATATTATTGATAAGTGGCAAATTGATTCCGCGCTGCAAACATTGAATGTGGCACTCGATCCGCTCTGTCGATCTGTGTCGTGCGTCGCGTGCTGGCGTCTTCGCAATGTTGGGTTGCATACAAAACAAGCAATGGGCCTGTCCATGGAGGTCCGCAATTCCTACAGCGTCCACCCCCCAGGCCCATAAACTACTAATGAATGGAACAAGACCCCATGGGGCGTCCGTGAGTTCCTGTACTACGTAAAATAATAACTCTTCTTCTTCTTCTGCTACCTCGTCTCATGAAGGAAAAACGTGAAAGAGAAAACGTCAATGACGAGGGGAGGGGGGGGGGAGGGGTTCGCTTTGGGGGGAGGGTATCAGACTGCTCATTACGCAAAGTCGTCGTTGAGGCCACTCTCAGCACGCTCCAGGGCAGCGACGGCACGGGCACGCACGCGGCCGACGCGGTCGTCCTCACGTGACCAGACGCGAAGGACCTCTTCCTCGGCGCGACCCATCTTGTCCACAGGGGTGGCACCAGCCAAGCCGAGACCGTCCTTGACCTCCTCCTCGCGAACGCACAGCTCGACGCGCGGGCCCAGACCAAGCGCGGCGGCACGCGGGGCACGACCGGTTCCGGCAAGCGGGGTGAGCTTGACGAGGCCGAGGGTCTCGAGGTTGGAGAGGAGGTCGCGGTAGTCGCCCTCGGGGGACGGAGGGAAAGGCGCCGACTCGTACGAGAGGACGTGAGCGTAGGTGGCGTACAAGGCCGAAACGGTGAGCGACTCGGAGTTGGCACCCTGGGCAGGGCAACCCGCCAGACCGGCGCGCGAGCGCATGAGGAAGATGAGGAGCGCGACCAGGACCATGCGGCCCTGGAGCGGCACCGAGCGGATCTTGGAGCCTGTGGCCGAGGTAGCGCCGCATGCCGACGAGCCAGCAGCAGCACGGAGCTGCTGGGTGTGCGAGGTGAAAGCCTTGAGGACGTGCGGAAGGGCGACCTTGACGAGGGGCTTGTCGTCGCCAGTCTTCTTGACCCAATCGGCCTCGGCGAGGTTGACAGCCGCAGCGAGGACGCCAAGACACATGCGGAGATCACCGTTCTGAGCCTCGACCTTGCGGCAGAGCAGCTCAGCAGCACGGGGGTCGACCTTGGCGGTGTCGGGACCGTCGCCAGCCGCGGCAATACGAGCAGCGACAATGGCAGTCATGTCAATGGCGTTGTATGCACGGAACGGGAGAACCTGGGGCATGGCACCGTCGGCGAGAACGAGGTTTGCGCGGACAGTGAGGTCAAGGGTGTTGGAGATGGCGACCAGCTTGACTGTGGCGGTGCCCGACGCGGAAATGAGCGGGAGGGAGAAGAGCTTGGAGAGGACGTGCGAGGTGGCAGGTGGGGGCAGCGACGGGGCAGGAGGGAGGAGCGAGTCGACCTCATCGAGGATGATAAAGGTACGCGAACCAGAGGTCGAGAGGTGTGCCACAACGTCTTCCTCGGAACGGCCACAGCCGAGCTCGTCACCGAGACGGGCCCAGACGTCGGTTGCACGCAGCCCCATGACGCCAATCTCGGCGATGCGCCAGCCGTCCATGGCAAGGCCGCGGCCGACGGCAGTGGTGAGCGCCGTCTTGCCCGTACCAGGCGGGCCCGAGACGTACATGCCGACATCGCAAGTCGAGACCAGGGAGAGGTAACTTTGGAGCACGGCTTTTTCGTCATCGCGGCCAACAATAGCGGCGTCGACGGGACTGATGGCGGCGCCAACCCCGGCTGGGGAAGATGAAAGGCGGAGTGCAGACTTGAGCACACGGTACGGGTTGGAACGAACGAGGGTATCGCGAGAAGGGCTGCGGGTGTTGGTGCGCGACCGAACATTAACGCCGTCGATCGCGTCGACGAGAGATGGAACGGGGCTCGAGGGTGGAGGGGTAATAAGTGATGTGCCGGTGATCATGGCAGCGGCGGGACGCTTGCCACGCTTGGTTGGGGTTCCGTCAACGTCCATGGGGCTGCTGTCGTCGGTCAAAGACGAGACAGTCGTGTCAAACGACACGGTAGTGGCAATGGAGGGACTAGGAGATGGCGAGGGCAGGCACGACGACGTGCGAGCCGATGAGAGGTCTGTAAAGCTGCTCGGGGGCACGGACGAGGCTGCAAGGTCAGTCAGGACACGACACGGCCAGGACACTCACCGACACTCTCGCTGCGAACACTGACGACCGAGGCCGAGCGGGTACGGCTCGGCGCACGGCTTGACGCGCGAGCAGAGACGCGGACGCGTTTGCGCGAGCTGCTCTCGGCCGGCGAATCGGGCTTGGGTGGAATGTTTTCCTTGCCCTTACCCCAGCGACCACCTGATGGGCCTGCGTTGCCGTCGGGGTCGGACCCGCCCTTGGCAGGTGGCGGTGCCGAGCCGCCGCTGCCCGCAAGAACCTCCTTGATGGATCCGAGAGTGGGCACGGCACTCATACTGGCTGCGCGGGTCAGGACCGACAAGGATCCGCTGGCACGGCTGGGACCAGGCGAGCCCGTCAGCATGAGGGAAGGCGGGGGCACGGGAGAGTTGGCGCCGCGACCCAGTCCAAAGACAGAGGCCGACGAGGACAACGAGGCCGAGCGGGTGGTGGCTGCGGGGCTGGGGGACAATGAGGCCGACGCGAGCGACAGGCGAGCGCGCGGGGTGCGCGTTGCGATACGGCTGGGCGCGGTGGGCGTCGATGTACCGGGGGCCGCGCGAGTGGGGGTGGTCGATGCGGTCGACGAAGAGCTTCCAGCTGTAAGGGGAGCAGGGTGTGCAGGGGTACGACGGACGGGCGAACGGCGCGCCACATTGCGGCGGGGCGGGGTGGCCGTAGCCGCAAGCGAGGACGACGCGGTCGCGCCGACACCTGCCGACGACGACGAGGCTACATCGCGCGCGTGCTGGTCGCGGTCGAGGGGTTCATCGTCGGCGTCTGTCGTGCGCGAACGCTTGGTGGGCGCAGGCATGGCTCTGATGAGAAAAGGTTGGTTGGGGGGGAAGTGCGATGGCGCTTTGTGCTCGCACCAGGGTAGAGGCGCACCGACGCGATGGCTGGCTAGCGCGCGCGCGGTGATGGGGGAGGAAGTGGTGAGGAGGAGTGTGGTGGGTGTGATGGAGGGGGAGGGTATGACAGGAGACGAGACGGGGGAGAGGGGGATGGACACAAGACTAGAGAACAAGAGGGATGGGGGGGATGGGATGGGGAGGATGGGATGTTGCGAACAAGAATGAGAGAGATGAGTGGACAGACGACCGAGACGAACATTGCAGGTAACGGGTCCACCGCCAGGCTCTGGGCGCGGCCGCAGCGCCAGGACACACACACGCCAGACAGCCACGCACGGAAGCAAATCATACACAGTCGCGTCGCGCGTTGCTTTGTGTGGGTCGCGGCCCTGGCGCGTCCCAGGGTCAATTAACAATGGACACACCCACAGTATAATGCCTACTTTCTAATGACAATTAGCCACCTATTACAAACCGGTTCATCACCAAGGCCTTGCCAGGCACCAACACACCCACACGTGACGTCATTTCTGAATGAAAAAAAGGTAAAAATGTCATGTGGGGGTAATAATAATAATCGGCACACGCGTCAAGGGGGTGGGGGGACAATGCGCGGCACTCTCTATATGTCCGTTATGTTCTCCTTGTCCTCTCCGCTCGTTACAATGCTCGTCCGACACTCAGCCCAAACATGCTCCTGTCAGAGTCGGCCAGCCATCGCCCTTCGACATACTTGGCCTGTATGTATTCTGCAATGTCCCTAGAACCAGAGTGTCAGCACAACAGCGCTTGGCAATGGGCATGAAACTCGTCCGAGGCACTCGCCCCTCATCACCCCCTTTTCCTTGTTCGCCACATTCGGACACTGTGTGCCTCAACTGGACTGGTGCCGAACACCCGCACAATACGGACAAGAGGGAACAAACTGCACTCACTCGTCTTTGGGCACGACCTCGGCAGGCTTGAGGCGCTCCCACACGGCGTTGCCGCGAGGGTTACCCCACTGGTGCGCAAGGAGAACGGATTCAGGCGACCAGTTGTCCAGGTCCACGCTGCGGGGTTTGGAAATGTGTGTACCAAGGCCGCGGTGCTGTGAAGAAGAAGAGAATCGTCAGCCGTCGGTCCGCTGGGTTGCTTGCAATCATCACCACGTACCAATCCACAGCATCGGATGCAAAGGAACATGACCATGGGCGTCTCACGGAGGCCTGAGGGAACGTCAATAAAAGAGCCCGGGCGGGGGTAGTGACTGGCACGAACCCCTTGCCAACACACAAACTCACTCAACGTCGCCCACCGGCTGCTCTTTGTCCTGCGCCCACAGTCTGCACACACGGCGTTGGGGCCCTCGTCGGCAATCTGGCGGAGCATCTTCATGTCGAGCTTGGGCGCCGGCTCGGCCGTTTGCAGTGTATTGGGCGAGTCGCTAGGCGAACTGGACTGCTCGCGCGAATGGGCATTGTTGACACTGTGATGGCCCAAGGACGACGCAGGGGCGGTTGCGGGCGTGTGACGTGGATCAAGCCCCAGGCCTGCCATCTCCATGACGCGCTTCTCAATCTCGCTGCTCTCGGGGCTCTCTTCCAGCCAGGACGTGCGCTTGTCGGACGACGACATGGAAGGGTAGCTCGGCATGCGGCCGCCATGGGCAAGGAATGCGGGCCGTTGGACTTCCGATCCGGCACCGAGCGACTGGCGGTTGGGCATGAGCTTGTCCCCCGCAGCACCGGCCGTGTTCTTGATGCGGCTCTTGAAGCTCGGGCGGCGGGCTCGACGCGCGTTCTCGTCGGCGCTGCGCGGGGGTGCAGGTAGCGAATGGCGGCTGTTGCTCATGGCCGGAGTACCCGTGGTCTGCGGCGAGGGGATGGGTAACCGCCTGCCGTCCGCGCCCTTCTTCTTCCGCCCATGGTCGTCCAACACATACCCGGCGTCCTTGATGTCGGAGCTCCGCACCGTCGACGTGCCGTTGATGCACGACTCGATGGCGTTGCAGATGGCATATACCCACGTACGCATGTCCGCCTCCGAGGCGGCCTGGTACAGGCGTCGACCATGCGACGGCGTGACAATCTCAAACGCGAAACGGCGGTCGGTTCCGCGTCCCTCGCGCACCGAGGCAAACTTGAGGTCAATGACAGTTGCTGCTGTGCCGTCCTGCTTTTCCCGATACTCGTAAATGTTCGAGTGGGCAAGGACGACCCAGAAGCGCTCCCACTTGCTTCTGCCGCCTCCCTTGTCGAGCTCTTCCCAAACACCCGTACCCCAAAGGACGCCCTCCTTCTTCCTTCCAACTTGCTCGCGCTGCTCGTCCTCGTCTCCAGCACCATTCAACCCTCCCACGCCGCCAGGATTGGTTGCAGCTGGCTGTGGCTGTGGCAATGGCAGCGGGGGCGCCGCCGAAGGAGAGGTACCGTTCAACTTGGCAGCAGTCTCCATGAGGGCGTACGACTTCCGCTCGCCAAACGACTGGGACCGGGGCAGGCGTGGGACAGGCTCGGACGGGATAAACGGCGAGTGGTACTGGCCATGTGGCACCTGGACCGAATGACGGTTAGACGACTTGGTAGGGCGTGGCGGGGGTGGGGTCGGTGTCTCGACGTTTACGTGTGGAATGGCAGACGGCATTGGGGGCGTAGACCTAGACCCGATATCGACACTCTTTCTTGATGCCGATGGCAAAGGAGGAGGACCGACGGACGACGACGAAACGGGAGGAGCGCGCTCTGCTAATGTCGGCATTGGCGCCGTGGGCGACGCCCCGCTGCCCGAAGACCCGAACAGGCCACGAATCTTGCCACCGACAGACGAACGGACGCCATGCATTTTACGCGGTTTGTGGTGGTCGCGGATGGCCGCTGAATCGGGTGTCGGTGGGATATGGAGGCGGTTCGACTCGGGCACTTGCTCTGCTAGACGGCGAGCACTGTCCTCGAGCAACGATGTCTGGTGCTCTCTCTCGGCCCAGCCGATTAACAGGTCACCACGCACTTGCACAAGGTGGCCTAATGACAGGGCCAGTGTACGCGCCAGGGCGTCGACGGACACGCGGGCACTCGCGTCGTCGCGCGACAGGATGCGGACGGGCGTCTCAGACACTGCGAGCTGCCGCCCACGCTGTGTGGGTGTCATTGGGCCCTCCTTGGATGACGGCTTGTTGTTGTTGTAAAAATCGTCCGTGTTGGCGACAAACGGGTGTGTGTCGGCGCGCTTCCCGGGGACCTGGGACAGCTGGGCACCGACCCAGCCGTACAAGCCGACGAGGAGGTCGAGGCAGCCGACCGAGCTGGGCGGAACTGCATAGAGTAGAGTCGAGTGGTGGTTGTAGCGGACGAGGTCAAACTGTGCTGTACGTGACGCCTGGGCCAGGTCGTTGGCCGCATCGGGTGCTGGACTGGACGACGAGCTCCCGCCGGCGGGTGACAGGTACGCTGCGGTGTTCTGGTAGTATTGCTTTGCAACGCTCTAGCAGGGGGGGTCAGCGCCACACTTATGAATACGGCCGCGCCGTGTCTTACTCACCTCAAACTTTGCCTGGGCGCCATGGCCAGCAAGCCCCTGGCGCTTGATCTCGCCCTTTACGGCTTCGAGCGAGTGGGAGACCATGACTTCGAGCTCTTCGCGGTCGCGCGCACGCTTCTCGCGCGCCACTTTGCGAATGCCACCGTCAGAGTCCCATACCTCGCCGGTCACGCCGTAGCCGCCTTCGAGCCAGCGCCCGAGCTCGCCGAGATGCATCAGGAGATCATCCTCTGCGCTCTCGAGCTGCTCCAGCAGGGCGAACATGGTCGACGAGCTCGCGAGGACATGCTTGGCTAGCCGCTTGAGCGTCCCTGCCGAGTGTTCCAGTGCGGCAAACGTCGACCTCGTTAAGAGCGAGTCGGGCATGGGGTCGGTTGGAACGGCGGGTGCATGCGCCGCCAGTTGAGGAGACGACCGGCTGCCGCTTTCACTCTGGCGCCGCCCGTCGCCGTTGCTGTCGTGTTGCTCAACAACCGAGTCGCGGAGGAGCTCTGGCGGTGGGTTTGCAGAGGACATTGCAGCCGGAAGCGAGTCTGGGAACGGTACCCTACGTGAAGACACAGACGAAGGAGCGACCGACGACGAGTATCCCATACGCGAGTCGTCCGTGTCGTCGCTCGTCGCGCTGCGGCCCGAGACCGTGGAGACGGAGCGCGGTGATGGGAGCCGCCGGCTACCGGACGGCAGTCTTGGCGACTTGCCTTGCGAAGGCATGTGCGGGCGCGGTGGTTCGTGGGCGAGCGTGTGAGAAGGGGGGGATGGGGGATGCGTGTAGACAGGGGATACAAGTGACGTTGAACTCGAACGTCAAGTCGTCGTCGTCGTCGTCGTGTGGTTAGTGCGTGTCGATTGCGCTGAAAGACAGTCCTGAAGCCTGCCCCCGGACGCCTGCCCGCCAGGTCCCAGCAACAACAACACGGGAGAGGGAGGTTAAAGGGGAGGACGGTATACAATGTGTAATTACGTGATAAGGGCAGCGCTATTACGTGTACTACCCCACGTGGCACCAGTGTGCGAGCACATGCCACACCCAGGGAGAACATTACCGCCATCTTCATCCATCGTCTTTATAAACAAAACTCAACTCCTCACACCTCCCCACCACACCAATGTCCGCCATCACCAACATCAACGAGTTCGACCCCGAGACGGCTGGCAACAGCGAGGAGATCGAGCAACAGTTTGGTGGGTGCCGTTTGGAGCTCTCTGGCCAAAGACACAGCGCTCACGAACTCAGCCGTCAAGACTGTCCAGCATCTCGAGGCCTATGAGAAGCTCATTGGCTCGATCCCTCCTCGCAAGATCAAGCTCACCAAGTGTGTGGCGCATTTCTGCTGCTCCTAGCTCGATTCTGTGTGCTGACATTTCGCCTTTTAGCATGGACGACGACATCTACGAGGACCTCATGACCCAGTTCCCCGAGTTCAAGTTTGAGGAGCCCCTCCGCCACTTGGACGAGGACGCCATGAAGTCGGCCGAGGGCAAGCCCCGCTGGCGCAAGTTTATCATGGCCTACGAGAAGACTCTGACCGACTACAACTTTGGCACCCTCATCCGCCAGGACGCCAGCAGGGGCTACGCCGAGGACAACTGCATCCTCGTCACCCGTGTCCAGTTTGTCGCCCTCGAAGTCGCGCGTAACCGCACCGGCATCAACGACAAGTTTTACGAGGACCAGCAGGCGCTCAAGGCTGCTGCCAAGAGTTCGTAAGCGTGGATCCATCGACCACTTGCGTATCCGGGACACGCTCCAGGAGCAGCTGTCTCCGGGTATATGATGTACGAAGGAGACAGGCGGCCACGACAATTTATGACTGGTCCGCAAACCCACAAGGGGCTCGCAGTCAGCCCCAACCCAGTCAGACCAAACCTGTTGGACTGCCTGGGATCTTGTAGTGTGCATGGAGCGCAGCATCGGAACGTAATGCATAGACTAGAAACGCTCTTCGTGGGGCGTAATGAGCTTCGTGGGGCAGACATAGCCACCTGAGAAACTGAGTTTAACGGAGCTCCACAGGGCGTCCCTCTGAACCATGCGGGTTCTCACCACCCACCGCACCTTTACCTCAGAGTACCGACCGCTGCATGCATACAACGATATAAGCCTGAAAGCGACCAAGTGACCCAGCAGGGCAGTGGCAGCTGGCATAACCCAAAGGCAACAACAAGGGCGTGCAAGTGTTTCATGACGCCAGGGCCGCCAGAGCCACCAAAAAAAATCATACGGTCCAGGGTGCGGTCCAAAACATGCCCATAGTAACCGCCCATCAACGCGACCGACGAAGAAAATAAGAGAGACGAGGAGAACGCAGCACTGCAAATGAATTGTTTGGTAGATGCTAATGATACATTGCGAGTGGGGTAATGCTTTCTATGCAATGGGTAGAGGGGGGTTGGGGATTGTGCAGTGATTGTTTTTATTGTTGTTGTGCACCAGATCGTCCGTCACACGGCGTCCGCCGCCTACGAGCCCAGGCGGGCGGCGACGAGCTCGTAGATGAGAAACATGCAGGCCGCGTTGGGGACGACGCGGAACATGTGGGCGGTAAGGCCGCCGTACAGGCTCGCGACACCTTCCTCCTTGACCACGAGCTTGAGCGTCTGGACGAGGCCGGTGTACTTGATGACGCCGTTGACGGCAGGCTGGCGGAGACGCGTACGGATCACTTCGTGAGGGTAGGTGATGAGCGAGGCCACAGCCTTTGCACCGCCAGAGGCACCGACAATGCCGCCCACCCAGGAGAGCAGCGAGGTCCGCTCGTCATCGTAGTGAATGGCGTCGGTACGTCCGACACGCTTCAACCGCTCGTAGAGCACCCACTGGATGACACCCTCCGAGACACCGAGGTACGACGCGGACAGACCGCGGTACATGCCGCGAACACCCTCGTTGCGGATAATGTCCATCGTCATGGCGACGGCAGAGTGGCGAGGGATGCCGGCCGAGCGCTTGCGCGCCGACAGCTGCAGACGGGTCTTGACGACCCAAATGGGGTTGGTGAGGGTGGAGGTCATGACGCCGGCCACGACTGCAGCACCGAGGTGGACAAGCGGGCTGTCCTCGGCAGTCTGGCCCACCTTGGTGGTGGGAGCGTCGGGGAACGTTTGGGCAAGGAAGGCTTTGGACGTGGGGTAGAAGTAGAAGTTGGTGGCTCTGCGAATCGTATCGTCAGCGTCCAAAGTCGTCTCGTGGACGCCGTCGCGTCGTGCGACCACGCTCTTGCGGCGCAATAGATGCAGTACTCACCGTGCGGGGATAATACCGGTCAAGCTGGGGCCAAGACCCTTGTACAGCGCACGCCAGCCCTCTTCGATACCTATCCTGCGGATGAGGAACATGGTGTCGACAAACTGGTACAGGCCACCGCTGACGCCTTTAGGATGCGGCACCTTCTTGGCCACCATCTCGGCCTCGTGGCGCATGATCTCGGCAGCGGGGCTGGGTGCAGGTGTCTTGAAGAGGTCAGACTGCAAACGCGTCTGGAAGACGTGTTAGCCAATGGTCGCCTGCGTGATTGCCACGCATGGGTCGCCGGGAGCGGACGGGGTGGACGTGTGCCAGTAATACGGGCACATGTCTCTCCATCCAGCAAAATAAATGCTCACCTTGACCACATCAAAGGGCGAAGTCACAATGGCACCGGCCATGCCTCCCAGGCTGTCCCATCAGCTGCCATTCGACTCGATCCGTCGCGCCAGGGCGGGCTCGCTCACCTTCCCGCAAACGAGTGCTGCCATCCGATGAGCTGCTTTTTGGCCTTGGGCGTCGGCTGAGGCACCAGTTTTGACGACGAGGCGATGGGGGACGCCGAGGTCGAGGCGGGCGAGTTGGACTCGCTGATTGGTGCTGCCGACATTGTTGACAGTCGCCGGACGCGTAGATGGGTTTTTGTGTTGTTGCGTGTAACTGTGCAGCAAAATGTCTAAAAGAAATATGCAGCACACATTACGTCTCCTCGGATTCCCGGCACACACACACAGTCAACTCCAGGTGTCCTTTAGGTGGCGCATATTTCAGTGGCGACGGGAGTATACGTATCATTAAACGTGGTAAACACGCGATGTCAATTAGGTTAAAGGTTCTAATGAATACGTTTGAGTGACGTCCTACAATACAACTTCTTCACTAATCTCCAGTTCCGTCGCCACCCAACGGAACCAAATTCTCTGCAAGAAGTTGCATGGTGTATGCTCATTTCGAGCATTCTTGTTGTTCAGCAGTCCAGCCGTCACCACTCGCCTCGACCAGTCGACTGTGTCTTTACTCTCCTCAGAGGCGGAATGCGGAGGTAGCCACGACTATAATGTTCAACCTCATTGCTATCAAGGTACGCACCCCCGCCCTTGCTGGTCCCGGCATGACCTGTGTTTGCAGCTCGCTGACAACCTCCAGGACACGGTGCCCGTCGCGCCAAAGACGTTCGGTTTGAGCGCAGGGACTACGATCCACGACGCGCTCAACAAGAAGTGAGTGCAGGGAGCTCGTCAAGCTGACTGCTTGACATGTGCAAGCTTGTAACCCCCGTGGTACCAGAAACTAATAGTCCAGGTTTGCGAACAAGCTCATCCAAGAACGAGGACTCGCGCTTTCAGTCTATGACATTCTGACTGCCGAGGACGGACGTGTGACGTGGGGGAATGGACAGATGTACTACAAAGGTGAGTATAGCTGGGAATTTCCGACCGATTCAGCTACTCCACTGCCAGCACTGTGGGATGTCGGAGGTCAGGACTGACAACATACCAGTGTCCTTTCGTCTGCTCATGTTCGCCCCTTTCGTCGGCGAGGTCATTGTCGGCAAGGTGCTGAGCACCACTCCAGCATATATCCGAGGTGAATTACAAGAAGACGAGACATGTAGCTGACCATCAGTGTCGCTTGGCTTTTTCAACGACATTTACATCCTGCGGAGTCTCCTCCCTCCCAACTGCGCCTATGATGACCACGAGAATCGTTTCTTTTGGTACCCCGGAGACGACGGACCTCCCCTGGATGAGGCTGGGTTGCAGAACACGCTCAAGGCTGGTGAGTTTGAGGTGTGAAAATGCGGACTGCTATGTCAAGCCGCAACTGCTCATAGCCATTTTGTCATCCCTCCGACTTGCGCTGACAGCCCTCGCCAGAGCGCTTCTATTACGACTCTGGAGAGCCCATCCGCTTCCGCGTCGACTCGATCGAGTGGCACGAAAGCGAGCCTGGACCACCTACAGCACCAAAGCCCGTGGATCCCAACGCTCCCGAGGACAAGCAGCCTGCGGACGAGGACAATGACCCGTACGACAAGGCCGGATACCGTATCATGGCCGCTGTTTCGGAGCAGGGACTGGGACTTATGAGCTGGTGGGGCGAGGGCGGCGAGGAGGAGGGCGAGGAGATGGAAGAGTAGGGCTGCGGAGAGATAGATATTTTCTGTATACATGCATGGCTGTACGAGCGCGCAACAGGTAGGCATATTCTACATCTATACATGGTGTGCGGCCCACCTTTCAAGTCTGCGCATAGTACGTTTCGCCACTCTTGAACGTCGTCCCGTCTGACCTGCCCCACTCAATCACAGGCTTGGGCTTGGTGGGATCCGGCACCTCCTTGAGCGCCTCTGGCAACTCGGCGACCACGCGCTCAATCATGGCGGCAGGTAGGAGCTGGCCGTGCGCGCGGTGGCCATACACCGGCTCACTGCCGTATCCGATCGTGGCAGCCGAGATGAGCACGTCGGATGTGAACCCCCTCACGGGCGAGTGAGTTGTGCGGAAACGCTTACTCGTCAGCTTGAGAACGAAACGCAGTAGACAGAACTCACGTGCATCCTGTACGCTCCAGTGGACCCGACGCGGTCCTCGAGGTTGTGGAACCCGCCGAGCTTCTGGAACTCTGCAGGCCACCATTCTCCGCCGTCTTCTGAAAGACGTTCCACATCGGCTGTGGGGACCACGCCCGAGTGAATGGCAGAGAACGGGTGGTCAAACACCACGTCCACCTCGTCGGGGTTACCGTGTAGGGTGTCGACAATGCTTGGGTCTGCGATGAATGCGACGACAGCTGCAAATGTCAGCTGAAATGACATCTACAAACTACAGCTGCCCGGTGAATGTGAGAACCGTACTCACAAGTGACGACAATATGGTTACGCGTATGCGCTCCCATGGGCAGCACAGTCAGGAGCGGGTCCAGCACTGCCACGGTGTAGATGTCCGGGTGGGAGGCCGGGAGGCCCACTTCCTCATGCGCCTCACGGCGTGCAGTGTACACCACCGATGGGTCCTCGGGGTCAACCTTGCCACCAGGAAGGGCCTGATGTCAGCTCGTTTGTTTCCACAGGCTTGGCTCACAGTCTGTCCTGGGTTACGCCTGATTGTCAGCTCAGGTGGAAGTCAGACAGCAGACTCACCTCAGATGCCTTGCACGCGTGGTGAGCAGGACACGAAGCATATCCTCTCCTGGACGTTGGTATAGGGCAATCAGAACAGCAGCTGTGCGTGCCAGTCCGGTACTGCCACTGTCAGCTACGATTCGTCACATCACAGCTGTCCGACATCAAGACCCACTCGATGGGCGGTGCCGCCTTGAACACCGCAAACCGCTCCAGACACTGCCGGCTCTCATCACTCAGTCCCTCAAGTGCCTTGGGAGGCGGCAGACCGATATCATATACTGTTGCCGGATCAGGGCCGAGGCCTAGGCCGCTGTCCGTACCGGGCACGGTGAGCGAGTCGGCGTTCAGAGTGTGTCCCGCGCCGTGGGGAACAGCAGGGATAGGCGTAGCTGTTCCCGAGACTGGGGTAGACCCAATGAGAGCTTCTGCTAGGAGCGGGTGATGGTCGGTGATGTGAACATCTGAGGTGACTGCCATCGCTGAAAGTTGGATGAGGCGGGTGACTGCGAAATGTGGAGGTGGATGAATGCTTGGTCGTTGCTGATCAACGATTACTGCGTTGCCGCAGGGATGGACAGTGAAATCTCAGTGAATGAGATGGTGTCCCAAGGAAAAGAGGTTGATGTGTGCGTGTAGACCTCTTTATAGCTGTCTGACTGTGTTATTGTTGGGGCAGATCGGACGTTGGCAAAGACGATTGAGTTAGATCCGACTCCATTACCTGGACGATGGGATCATCGGCAATCGGCAATCGGCGACATCCATGGGGGGAATCACGTGCCTGCCATGTGGGGTTGCCATTTAATCGTGTTAACCTAATCAGCTAATCAAGTACAATAAGGCTAGGTAATGATCCTCCACCCCGCCTCACAACGTACCACACCAGAGTACCAGAGTCCAACATCACGGCCAGCCAACAAGAACGTACCAGAACACCAAGTTATCTACATCTACGTCATTACCACCGACTTTCTGCGTAGTGCCTATACCGCTCTCGCGCTCGTCTAATCGCCTCTTTCACAAACTACACTCTTTCGCAACATGGCCACCAAACTGCTCCGCGTCGGATGGCACAGGGAGCACTTCCTCTCGCCGCTTCTGCAGCTCGTGGCTGCCGACGCAGGCAAGACGATCGAGCTCGTAGAGTGCCCCGGAGGCACAGGCGAGATGCAGGTCAAGCTCAAGAACAACGAGATTGACGTGTGTATTGGTGAGTCTCCCATTCCGTGCGATAGACAATGACTCGGCGTAACTTAACTGACACTCGCAACCCAGCTCTCACCGACGCGCTCATTGCCGGCCTCGCGAACGGCCAGACCAGCTACAAGCTGTGCGGTCGCTACATTGCGTCACCGCTGCGCTGGTAAGTGACAACTTTTCTGTTCCTTTGGGAGGAATACGCAACCAGCGCGAGCTAAAGCGGACAAAAGGGCCATTATCACGGGCAAGGACAGCAAGTACAACTCTGTGGATGACATCAAGGGCACGACCTTTGGTATCTCGCGCCAGGGAAGCGGATCGCAGGTGTGTACAGTGTGCGGTGTGGTGTACGGATCACCAGGACATGGACACACCCGAGAACATGTTGACTGACTTGACGACAGGTTATGGCGTCCGTCCTCGCGCTCGAGCAGGGCTGGACTGGGGAGGAGCAGCCCAAGTTTAAGAGTGAGAGACAGCATGGGTGAACGGAACCTGACAGCAGTCGAGGGCCAGTTTGTTGCGCTCCGCAACTCTGTGAACAACGGCGACAGTGAGTTCATTGCCGAAGCTTCTGAACTGACACTGTAGCCTCCGTCTTCCTGTGGGAGTGGTTCACTACTAAGCCTCACGTCGACAGCGGCGAGGTCCGTTTCATCGGTCACGTCAACAGTGAGTAGCTCCTTGCCCGTGCATGTCGCTCATCAACCCCACAGCCCCCTGGCCATGCTGGCAGATCGCCTCGCGCAACGGCTCGGACGACGCCGCCGTCGCGGCCTTCCTCGCAAGCCTCGAGCCCTACGTGAACAAGTTTGACTCGGAAGAGTCCCGCGCCGGCCCCGCAGTCGACTATGTGACCGAGACGTTTGGCCAGCAGCGTGCCGACGTCGTCGAGTGGCTTGGCAGCGTCAAGTGGGAGTCCCGCCTTGCTGAGATTAGCGAAAACACCCTCAGCGCGACTCTTCACGGCCTGGAGCAGGCCGGCGTGATTAAGAAGGAGAGTGACAGGGACGTCAGCGCGTTTATCAACACCAACGTCGCCAGGATTGTCGAGTAAGGCGGACGATGCACAAATGAGAAACCAGACCGGAGAGATAGCGGGCCATCACGGCGGGCCTGCAAGTTGTTGTGGGTTTCAAGCCCTGTCAGCTGGACAGATCCAGCGCTACAGCTGTCGTGATTCCTCTCTGTTCATGGAGCCAAAAGTGGGCCATTCCTCTTGGACACATCGCCTGTACGTTTTGCCGGGAAAGTAGCTCGCATCCTGTGAAGTATGTGCGTGGGCATGAGACAGACATCGAGCAGACTGTGGGGCGACAGTCACCATGGGCTTTTGAGACCATCTCGCTCATTCGGCAAACAGCGGTACATCGGCGCGGCGCGCGATCACGCGAACGCCACTCACGCCGGCGCCGTACTGATCCGTCTCAGTTGAAAGAGTTGTCTCGTCTGGTCATCAGAGGTCAGAAGTAGTGGCAGAGCGAGGTCAGAGAATATGTGTTGGCAGAGCATAGGTGTCGGTGGACTGAATGTCAAAGTTTGAACGCGACTGATCTTTGCTGTTGCTGATAACAGCGCCCACCTGCCACCTGCTTCACCTGTAACCGGGGGCTTTGACCCTGGGGGATCAAATCAAATCATGCTAATCATGGCCCCCCGCCGTTAGCGATATGATCGTGCTCCCCCAACGCAAAAGTCGAGCCTGGACGTTTTTCGGACATTGCCGTCGCCGGCGCCGGCCAGCCGCGACGGAGGTGGTCGAGATGGCATAAGAGCCACGGCCTGTCTGCAAGAGGGGAAGAATGCTACAGGCCTAGAGGGAGAGATCTGAACAGACGGAGAGCATATGGTGTTGAATTGGACAGCACAGGGGCACAGGCGTCGTGTTGACGGTCTGTCTACACCCCAGTCGATTGTCTGTTCACAGGGACGACTGCCACCGCTGTTTTGCTGGTTGCGGATCACGCCTGTTTGTTGGCCCTGCCTCCCTCTCCCCTGCCCAGCAACCAGCAGATCAGCAGAGTGTGCACCATTCCGGTCTCACGCTTTTGAAGCAGGACAAGGCGTCGTCGCCTCGACAAACCCGCTCTGGCCCCACAGGTCCCGACGCAGCGGTCACGTACAGAGAGAGACAGTGACACCCACACCACACCACCGTATCGTGACGACGACCGGATAGCCGAAATGCGTGGCGGGAGCAAATTCCTCACTGTATCGCCCGGCATCCACATTGCCGGGCATGACGGCCGTAAGGAGCGAACGATGGAGCGCGGCTTTGGCGCTGGCCCGGTGCATACGCGGAGAGGAGGGGAACTCACTCTCTGGTGTCCTCGTCGTTGTCGTTCGGCTCTCTCTCTCCCTCTCTCTCTCTGTTGCTCTCTCACACCCCTTCTCCGTCGTTTTCCCTTTATCAACAACACCGCTCATCCCAAGTTCAACAGCACCGACGAACAATGAGCAGCACCAAGCCCCTCACCCCCGTCGGATCGGCCCTCGCCGGCGCCCTCGGTGCCGTCTTCTCCAACGCGTGCGCATCATCCTGAGCAATGGCAGTGGCAGTCGTGACGGCTCCAACCGAGATGGTGGAGTTGTCCGATTGCCGAATGCCCCCCCCCATACAAGCCACTTTTTAATCCTCGTCTCCATTGCTGACACCTCCTCGCAGCGTCGTCTACCCGCTGGACACGGTCAAGACTCGCCTCCAGGCCCTGCCTTCCAGCGAGCTCAAGGCCGAGACGGGCGCCAACCAGCTCCCTGGTTCTGGCGAGAAGAGGAAGCAGCCCAAGGGCCTGGTCGGCAAGCTGGCCAGGTCGATCAAGCGTAACCAGATGCTTGCGATGCTCATTCGCATCGTTCGCACCGAGGGCGTGACTGGCGTGTTCAAGGGATTCAGCGCGAGCATGATCAACACCTTCTCCATGCGTGAGTGTAGCGAAAAGGAAAAAGCAACCCTTGCTTTGGGTGTCCGTCCACACTGAGAAACACGGAGCAACACCACCCCATTGCCGGGTGCTACGCAACCGAGCAGGGCGTCGCTGTCTGCCCCGACTGATTTTGGCACCCTTGTCGCGAACTGAACTCCACTGACACCCGTCGCGCAGAGTTTGCATACTTCTTCTTCCACACGTGGCTGCGTACTGCAGCCCTCAAGCGCGCCACGGGCCCGCTCTCGACGCCCGCCGAGCTCGGCCTCGGCGCGCTCGCCGGCGCCTTTGCGCAGGTGTTCACCATCCCCGTCGCTGTCGTCGCCACGCGCCAGCAGCTCTGGATCCCGCCTCCGGGCGCGACGGGCAAGGCGACGCACGAGCCGAGCCTGTGGGAGACGGCGTCCGAGGTCGTCAGCGAGGGCGGCATCACGGCCCTCTGGACGGGCCTCAAGCCCGGCCTCGTCCTCACGGTCAACCCGGCCATTACGTACGGCGTGTTTGAGCGCGCAAAGTCGTGGGTCCTCGCCGGCGCGCGCGAGGGCGGCAAGCTCTCGGTCGCGGAGAGCTTCTGGATCGGCGTCATGTCCAAGACCCTCGCCACGGTCGTCACGTACCCGTACATCTTTGCCAAGGTGCGCCTCCAGGCCAAGAAGGAGGAGCCAGGAGAGACCGGCGCCGAGCACAAGAAGCACGACGGCGCCATCGACATTCTCAAGAATGTCTACAAGGAGCAAGGCTTTGCCGGATGGTACCAGGGAATGGGCGCGCAGATTACAAAGGCCGTCCTCTCGCAGGGTGAGTTGGTGGACACTGTCATCGTTTACCCCAAACTAACCCCTACAGGCATCCTCTTCGTGTCCAAGGACCAGTTCGAGGGCCAGGCGCGCGTCATCATGGACGCCGCCGACAACTTCCGTGCTTCCCACCCCCTCCTCCAGAAGGCCTAAGTCGCCCGAAATGTAGGCCAGCCAGCAGGCAGCAAAGCACCACCCAGCCGCCCCTCTTTTAGAACCGTAACAGTAGTAGCGGGGTACGGTACGGGCGCGTCAGTCTCACTCACGTCTCCTGGCATCCACCCAAAAGATCTCTTCTTCTACCTTGTCCCTCTTTGTAAGAATACCTAGGCATGACATACATCCCTGCACACCGAGGTTTGCCTCGCGGGGCGCGGGTATCTACAAGGTGGCCAGTCGTTTGGCCGAGGCATTAACAGAGCAAAGGCGTCAATCAGACTCTAGGCGCACGCGACGTAAAGGGAAGGTGAGGGTTGGAGCGTGGGGTGGAAAGTTTGGTGGGGTATATAATACTAAAGGAGGGTGGCGGGCGCTTTACGCGAATGAGTTCTCGGGGCGGCTACGGACGGGGCTCGAGATGACCTCGGCAAGCTCGCGGACGTTCGAGTCGGCGTTGGCGTCCTTGCCATCGACAACGTCGCGGATGAGCTCCATTGTGTTCTCCAGCGAACGGCGACGGGTGGAAGGCGACGTCTTGGTGGTACCAAGCGAGGCCTGGCGGCCGTGGCCGCGCCTCCAGGGCATACCACCGGGGGTCGAGGGCGAGATGGGCGAAGGGGGGATCGACTCCATCGGCGACGAGGGGGAGACGGGGGATGGGGGCGCAGTCGCCGCTGGCGACGACAAGCTGACCTCCTCGGGGTCGATAATGTCAGGCGGCAGGCGCTCGTTCTCAATGTCCGACTTGCGACTGAAGAGGGTGGTCAGTTATTGCGTGGGTGGGCCATACATTGTGCCACTTACGCATCGTCAAAGCCCTGGATCGCCTCCTTGATACCCTCGGCACCGTTGGCCAGCAGCCCAGCGGGCAGCGTGTTTGACCCAGTAAGGCTCTTGAGCTCGGACACACGCTCCGACTCTTCACGCAGCAGCGAGAAGACGCGCGACATGCGGCCAACAGCGAGAATCTTGTTCTTGATGATCTGTCTCCTCTCGGCAGACACCTCGCCCTCCACCTCGGGAGTCTCCGGGGTGATCATTGGCGTCTCCTCTTCCTCCTCGAGCTCCTCCTTGGTGCAGCAGTTGAGAATGGCAATGAGCATGTCCGTGACTGGATGTCAGTTCAATTATAAATCTCATCAACTCACTCTTCTCGCCAACGAAGGGGAGCGACCAGGTGAACACGTCCATGAAGTTGGGCAGCCAGTACGGGTGCGGGGTGCAGTTGAACTGACGAATGTTCATGACGTTGGCCTCGTACTTGAGGACAGCGGCCTTGTTCGAGTAGACGTCGAGGTAGTTGGGGGCCGAGAAGATGGTCATGACCGAGGGGAAGCCCGTAGTCTTGGTCTTCTTGTACATGCGGTAACCAGCGTCCTGGGCCTCGTGCGCACGAATAATCGAGAGCAGGTTGTTGCGTTCAAGGAACTGGCACGCGGCGTTGTAGGTGAAGAAGTACGAGCAACCGCGGACGTGGTTGTGCACAAAGTTGTCCGACGGGTTCTTCTCGTTGCCAAAGTCCTCCAACGGGTCGGCCCAGAGAATGTCGCACATGAGACCGTGGGTTGGGGGCTCGCGGAAACGGTTGACCGCGCGCAGGTCGTCGAGCGTGTGGAGCTCGGGCGACAGACCACCGTGAATGCAGAGGAACTGCTTGTTCATGATTGCGGCAAGGGGAAGGTTGCAGAACGAGTCCATGCACGCGTTGTAGACAGTCTCCGAGTACTTGTGCTTGCCTGTAAGACACATCAGCATATGGGGATCTTGGGCACACAGTGGTATGACGCACACTCGAGCTTGAAGGTAAAGTAGTCTGTCAGGTGACGACACTCGTGGTTACCGCGGAGGAGGAAGAGGGTGTCGGGGTACCACATCTTGAGCGCCCAGAGGTAGAGCACACACTGAACGGGTTAGGAAACAGGGCTGAAGCGCGTGACAGAACCCACCTCGATGGAAAAGTAGCCACGGTCCACATAGTCGCCGAGGAAGAGGTAGCGAGTGTCGGCGGGGTTGCCACCAACCTCGAACAGCTTCATGAGGTCATACTGTAGAATGTCAGACGGTTGTTGTTGAACACACACTCGGGCTGCTCACGTATTGGCCGTGAATGTCACCGCACACTGGGTTCCGGTTAGCTCGGAGCGACGGGTTCCCTGTGGTGGTGAATGGACTCACCAGTGATGGGGGCATCAACCTCGAGGAGGTTGGGCTCGGCATGCAGTATTTCGCCACCCCTTCAGCTTGTCAGTGTCTGCACTCGCGACATTGTTGATGCGACGCACTTCTCAAGAATGTAGAGCGCCTGCTCCTCGGTCAGACGGCCTTCGCGGTAAAAGTGGTTCTTGAGGAAGGCAATGTCAGGCTTGGAACGGTCCTGCTTGGACCAGAACTGGTCGTCGCTGGGAAGATACATGGCGGGAGCCTGGACCTATAATCGCGTGAGTATTTCGATTCTCTTCTGATGGAGGTGGGGGGGAGCCCATGCTCGACGTGGAGGCCGTTGTGCACGGCGTCACGGCGGCGGCGGCGGCGGGCTGCAGTCACAGGGGCCAGCGAGGGAGGGCAAAGGTCTGGATTCTGCACGGGTACCCACATCCTTGACCACGCGTTCCGTGGTGGACACAATCTCGCCATTCTCGAGGGTGTGCTGGGTGAAGTCGATGGTAGGGATGGTGATTTTGGACTTGTTGGTGATTGCGGCAATGGCATTGGCCGTCTGGGTGGTCGGCGAGGCCATGATGCTGTGCGCTGGCAACTGACGCCTGGGTTGGTGGATGGGTGTGGGTGGAGGGGGACGGGGGGTGGACGTGGAGAGTCCTCTGTGGGGGCGAGCGACGGAGTGGTCCAGTGGGGGTGGTGGTTGGGGGGATAGCTCAGTCTCTATGAGCTATAGTGTTTGTGTCTGTGTTGGGAGACGGGATAGAGAAGCGATGAGCACGAGATGATGAGACCTGATGAGAGAGAGACAACGAGACAGACACCCGGACAGATGGATCCATCCTGTGCCATACGTCCCGCACCGCGCACACACAGGCGGGCGGCCAGTGCACACCCAACACCATGGCCCCCCCCGCTGCTGACTATGACGACGCGCGCCACACGGCAACGCGTCGCTTCACTCACGTCATAACGCCGTGTATTACCGCTTCCAGCACAGCCAGTGCGGGGTCCTCGGTGCCTGGCATGCGTCCATGCTGCTGCTCCTGGCTGCTGCTGGCACTCATCTCACTCGACTCCCTTCCTCCTCACCACTCACCCCACATCCTATACACTAGACAGCAATGCCCACCGTCGAGGACTACTTTGACGACGAGACCGACATCCCCCTCCCCGTCTCGTCCTCGTCCAGGACAGGCCTCCAGGGGTCGGGTCTCCAGGGCGCCCTCCTCGAGGAGATTACAGACGACAATGACCTCGACTTTGGCACTCTGGCTGAACAAGGTCGTGGCGAGTATGGCGCCAACAGCGTCGCCCCTCCTCCCTCTGAAAACGCAAAGGGCAAGCTTGCTGTCCGCGATGAGCCTGGTGTCGTCCGCCCCTCGGCTCCTGGCGGCGCGATGCCTCCTCACATGAACCCCAACACCCCCATGGGCGGCTTCATGGGCGACATGATGAAGCTCCAAGAGGCCGAGGAGGCCCGCATGGCCAAGATGCGTGCCCAGTTTGGCGGTGCCAACGTCGCGGGTGACCCCAACGTCTACAAGTCGTGAGTGTGCTGGCAAATCAACACGACAACCAGCACTAACGGTTTCCCTTCAGGTGGAACTCTGTGTACCCGCTCTACTTTGACGCCAAGGTGTCGATCAATGGCGGCCGTCGTGTGCCGCGCAAGTCGTCGCTGTGGTGGCCTCTGGCTGCCCACATTGCCAAGGCGTGTGCCACCCTCGGTCTGCCGAGCGTTCTCGAGCCCGAGAAGACCCACCCTGCCGACTGGGAAAACCCGGGCCGTGTCAAGGTCAACTTTGAAAAGGACGGCCGGTTCATCAACCCCATCATCACCAACCGTTCGCAGCTGTACACCGCCCTCGCTCAGCAGATGCAAGACGCCAACCCCGACCTCGTCCCCAAGCCCGTTACTCCCAAGCCCAAGACCGAGGCCAAGCCTGCCGCCGCCACCACCGGCAAGTCTAAGAAGGACAAGAAGGGCAAGAACAAGGCCGCGGCTGCCGTTGTCAGGCCCCCCGTCCGCAAGCCGACCCAGGCCCCCGATGCCCCGCGTCCCTTCCCGGCTCTTGACGCTCGTCTCCCCCTGCATTCGCCTCTCGTCGAGGCCGGCGTGGCGCTCTCGGCCGTCAAGCGTGACCTCGAGAACGACAAGGATCTCAAGAAGAAGGGCTTGCTCGGCGGTAACGGCGGCGGCGCCAGCGAAGAGGGCGGCAAGGAGAAGATGCCCAAGATGAAGCGCGTCGTCGTCCGTGGCGGCAGGCGTTGAGCGGAACCGAGGACAGGTGTGGCGCGTTGTACGACAGCTTTACGGTTTTTACCTCGGGTCACAAATTGCTCGAGGGAGAAAACCGAGGGATAATGGACTTATCGAGTCCCAGACAAACGCCTTCCCTCGGTTGCGACGTCTTTCCTCGCGGAGAGGTCGGCGCTGTTACAATTATGCATTTACCAACCATTGCGACTCTCCACTATGTCTTGTTCTTTGGTGCAGCGCGGGCATGGATAGGGAACAGATGCGGCCAACGAGGACAAATGGGACATGGGCGAGTCCTGCGACGGAAGTCACCTCGACTTGCCTACTTCTCCACACACGAGTTTCCAACCAGTTTGAAACGCCGCTGACAGTTGGAGACGATGCACCTGCCGTCGTGGCAGGTGACGCCGTTAAATCGGACGCCGGGAAGTTGAGTGCAGCTGCGCGTCAGTTGTGCCATGTCCAGGGAGCCAACACGTACTCGATACCGGTGGCGACCGACGAGTTTCCCATCGAGCCGTGGCGGCAGCCGCCACATGATTCTGCGGCTTGTCAGCGGTTAGGCATGGGCCGCGGTACACATGCGTGCAAGCGACCTACCCAGTTCTGTGAGCGTATCGATACATTCGTACCCACCTCCCGCAACGCGACAGGCCTCGCCATGCGGGCAGTACGGATCTGGGCGCGGAGCCAACGTCCGTTGGGCCTCGATGCGCCGACGTACGACAGACACTGGTGGGCCAATGTTCTGGGTGTAGAAGGACCAGGAATCCCTAACACAGGTGGAGGCGACGACTTTGGGGCTTATCGTGTTGCCACACATACATTCTGGGTGGGCACGTTCGTACGCCATGTACGGGTAGCCCGTGCAGGCTTGGGAGCATTCGTCAAACGTCGCGGTGTTGCTGTAGTAGAGCGGTTCTCCGGCAGGCACATCCATTCTGAATGCACACTGCGAGAGGGTGAAGGGTGTGTTGAGATACGCGACGAGGTATGTGTTGTCCGGGCACGTCACTTCGTTGGGCACGCTGGTGCCGTCTGGGTCAGTGACGGTCGTCACTCCAGACGTGGCGTCAACGAAATCGGTCATTGGCGGCGGGTAGTCGGAACAGTAGCAGCGGACAGGGGCGTTGCCGTTCTCATCGACTCCCCACGCAACGTCGTTTATCGAGTATCCGTAGTAGTATCCATACGGTCGGCCTCGAGGGCCGACCGTTGGACATTCTTCCTTAGAAGTCGTCAGCGGACAGCGGGGAACATGAGACTCACCCAACAGTTTGCACCCGAGATCGCCCCAAACCACAGATTGTGCTCATCGCCATCGGTCGTGGCGCTGCAACCCACAATCGTACTGCCAGCCGTGGTCTGCGAGACACCCAATGGTGCACGTGGGGCAAGGACAAGGGCCCAAATCAACAGTGACAGCGACATGGAGGGGTGGTGTTTGGAAGGCAGGGTACTTGTCATGGCACTTATGTGCAGCATTGTTGTTGTGCAGACGCCACCCAGAAGACCGCATGCGGTCTGGGGGCAATGAGGTGATTTGCTGCTCATTGCCCCTCCAGGCTTGTGCAATTCGTTACAGAAACAAACCGCGGCCGGGTGCGTTGGCTATCAAAGGCGCATCTCGAGACAACACCAATCTGGCGGTTCGCCGGTTGCGGCCAAGCGGACGTGAACTTCTCGCCATTCAAGACGGTGCGGTGTACCGAACAGCCGGGGTCCAGAGACCTGGTCCGAGAGATCTGAAGAAACCTCCGTATAGGCAGAGCAATGACCCCAGCGGACAGTGGGGTTTTACAGGCTGAAATCAGCGTATGGTCATTGTGTGCAACACGACCAGACCCAAGTTGAAATTGCTTATGGGAACCTATTCCGACCTTCGAATCAAGACAGCCAAGGGGGCATTCAATGCCCACTTGGGGGTTCCACAACCCAGCGATGTGAAATGAGCGTTCACAGTTTCATCACAGTGTATTCTTCACAGGAGGACATGGGTGTTGGCGGTAAAGAGGGGATTTGCGTTCATGATCGGCCCACATCCGCCTCTGTTGGTGGAAAATCGATTCAAACCTCCAAAAATCCGCTCTTCTTTGCCAATGTGAAGGCAACAAGGTTGATTCACTCACGGGAATCGAGGTGGAAGACTATTAGGATCCAGGGCGAGTGTAATGGATACAAGCAAACTGGGCCCGTCGTTTCCCAGCGTGTGGAAGAAGGACTCCGTGGTGCGCCACCATTCGTTACACCCTGGGGGCAGACATGTGCCGTGCGAGATGTCACCGTCGAGAACATTTTGCATTGCGGCTACAGAGGTTGACAAAAGACTACAGATCAGAGACGTTACTACCCATTCCAGATGATGTTTTGCTTTTGTGTTTCAACTCGAACCTGCACTTCCGCCTACTAGCGTACCGCGACAACACCCCATGACATTTAGGCGTTGAGCACAGGCTTGGCTGTGCTCTCGACCTGGTTCGACTCTTCCTTGCCAGTGTACTCGGCAGCCTGGGTGTCGTGGTGTTGGGCGTGCATGAGCTCGTGACGCTGCTCGAGACCAGCGTTCTCCTCGATGGCAATCTTGGCCGTCTCAAAGTGGGATCCGTCCGCCTCGGGGCCGAGGATGATGAACACGAAGAGCCAGGCAATGACCACGCCAATGAGGATACCCGTGATCGTGGCGTAGTCCGGGATGACCTTGCCCTTGTGCACGACGGTGAGGGTCTCGCCTGCGTCGGCCTCAATCTGAGCGGCGCCAGACGACGCCATGTTACCGAGCTGGTAGGCGACACCGGCGAACGAGGCGCGGAATGCTGGCGGGGAGATTTCGCTGAGATAGATGGGGACGATACCCCACGCACCCTGGACTCCGAACTGGACCCAGCTGCAGGTGTAAGTCAGTGTCGGTCACCACAGGCGCTGCGTTGAGTACTTACAAGCCACCAGCCGAGAGACCGCTAAAGGTGGTAGGGAGAATCCAGAGCGGGAGGAAAACCGCGGTGATGACGAGGAAGATGAGAGCGGTGAGGCGGCGGCCACAGTACTGGGACATGTAGCCCGAGATTGTGCCTCCGCAGACGGCGCCGACGTTGGAGAGAATGGTGGCCTTGGTTGCAAGCGCGGCAGAGAGACCCTTGGTGGTCTTGAGGTAGGTAGGGTACAAGTCTTGGGAGCCGTGGGACAGGAAGTTGAAGCCGGTCATGACCTGTGTGGTTAGTGCAGGTACAAGAGGGAACCGCTCACGCAAATACCCCAGATGCAACGGATCCAGTTGGTCTTGAGCATGTTGCCAATCTCCCTAAAGAAACGCTTGTTGGCACCCTTGGTAGCGCCTTCTTCCTTGAGAATGCGGCGAGCCTCGATGTACTGGCGAGACTCGGGGAGGAGCGCACGGATAAGGGCGGCAAAGGCAGAGAAACCAGCGCCGACAAAGTAGACTGAGCGCCACCTGGCCTTGGCGTACGTGGCCACGGTGAGGTTGAAGACAGCAGCGAGGAGGTAGCCGACAGAGTAACCCTGCTGCAGCATACCGGAGCAGAGGCCACGCGCCTGAACGGGAATGTTCTCCAGAGCACTGTGCGGGTTGTCAGTTCCAGGATTCGAACAAGAGAACACTCACGTCGAAGCAGCCTGCCCCCAGATCCCACCCATGACGATGCCGAACATTGCACGGACGCCGAGGAACTGCTCGTACGTGTTGCAGAGACCAGAGCCAATTTCAAAGACGCAGATGAGAATGAGGTTGATAACGAGGGTCCACTTGCGGCCATAGCGGTCGGCCGCAATGCCAAATATGACGGCGCCGAGAGACCTAAAGAGAAGAGTGAGGGTGATGGCCTCTGCAATTTGGGCCGTCGTCTTGCCAAACTGTGCCGCGAGCTCTGACATGGTGACCGACACCTGTGACTGTCAATCCAAGCTGGGAGTCGAGGTGGTCCTCCATCCTCTCTCCAGCGAGCGCCGGAAAGTACTCACGGCAAAGTAGTCAAAGCTTGGGTACTGTCAGCTGGAGTTTTGAAACCAAGACAAGTCACTCGCGGCCCGCTGCGGGCCACTTACCCATCGCACTGTTCATTTCAGCGGCTGGCTCAATAACACCACCATCTGAGGATACGTACGGTCCATGCGAACCATCCGCTGAAGAAGTAGAGCCAGTCCATGCCCTTGACCAGTGCGAGCAGCTTGAAAGGGTTGTGAATGACCTTGTCCTCGGTGTTGTTGTGGTGGCTCCAGGTCGGGATCATGGCAGCAGCAAACGATTTGCCACCACGATCAGCGTGCCAGTCGTCGAGCTGCGCCTTGATGGACGTCGGATCGACATAGTCGCGGTGGTCGTTGGTGTGAGTTGGCGAAGCCATTGTATCGCAGCTGTAGTTGCAAAGGACAAAGGACGGGAGGTTAGGCTTGATGGGACAAGAGGGATGAGAGAAAGGCCGGCTTAAGTACTGTAGTAAACCCAGCACGCGGTTGATGGGGAGAGGGAGACTCGTTGGAGAAGGCATTCAGTTCGCAGCCGTTGATAGTGGCGCAGCCCCGTCATGGCCTTGAGAGAACCCACCCCCCCACCTCTACATCTCTGTAGATCTGTGGCCCCAGCTAGCCCCAGATGACTTTCCGGTCTGCTCCGTGGTCCCCCGCAATGCATGGCGGCAATACACGGGCCTTGCGCAGTCTGCATCCACTAGTGTGCTCTTACTGATGCGGGTGGAACGGCATGTGGAACTGGGTTTGCCACACGGCGCGGAGGCCAAGTGACTCCGGACAGAAATAGGTACTCCCACGCGTGGGGGGTCGCTTGGCGATGCTTCCCAAATGCTGCACCCTCGTCACATCGACACACTTGCCTTGGCAGCCGACGAGAGGCCGTGGCCACCTCTAGACACATGGGATGCGAGTCCTGGGTGCCTCGGAATCCGCCCGGGGCGTAGCCGTCCCTCGTGGGCCACCTGTGCGAGTGTGGCTTGCTCTCGCTTGCCGAGGAGTTGGCGTCGTTGGGCACATCATGTGATGGCGTTGGCAGCGGCGTCTCTCATTTTCGATTCTTCAAGACCCCGGTGCATGCCGCCTGCTACCGTGCGACTGCCGGGTGTGTGAAGCGGGCATGACCGCCTGTGTCCGGTGTTGGACGTGGTATGGTTGTGAATGAGCCGTTGTGTCAGGCTATGACGCTCTGCTCCCGTATTCTCGAGGTTCTCCTCAGTGGGCAAGTGAACGCCACGCAAAGTTAGTGCCATCACGGCGAGATGCCAAGACAGCAGCACCCCACCATCAGTCGCCGCGCCTCATCTCGGTTCCCACCGGAAAACGTAGGCAAAAACAACTCGGCCTCCAAAGTACTCTTGGCAGCGTTCCCTGTTTGGTTTACCCTCCTCCTCGCAGTTTGAGATCGCTAAATCGTCCGTATACGGGTAGACGAGTGATTCGTCCCTCCCGTCCCCTGGCCCCTGGTCGCTGCCCCATGAAATGGGATAGTCGATAAGGGACAAATGACAGCCGGAGAGCTGATTCCAGCGCCTCAAATGCATGTGATTGGGAGGTTCGCAGGTCGCCGCCACCTGACATGCAACTGCTCCGCCTCTCCGCAACGCGGTGACACATCGACACATGCCAAACCCGCACCGAGTCTGTGCGCATGTATCCCAGGCCGTGGCATGTTTTGCAGACTGTTGAGATCTCTTCCCCGCTTCTCCACCCGCCGCCCAGGTGGTACTCACCAGTTCATTGATCATTGGTTGGTACACTGCACAGGCGAAAATGTCTCAAGCGACATGAAATGCAGTTCAGACCAAAATCCGAATCGGGTGGCAGGTATGGGGAGAACATGTGCGACGTCAAGAGACATCCCGCACACCCAGCCGGTGCCACTAACTGGAAGCGAGGCTATGGAGCGAGACTGGTCGGAACATCTCGCACATGCTGTGAACAGCCGTAGGCCATTGTCGGCGAGAGGATAGGGGGTCCGAGTGTGAACAGACGCTATGACATGTGTTGCGCACCAAGTATCCTGCTTGCATTCACTCATTTGAAACGCCACGACATAGCCTATTAGCAACACATTCAGCTCATACTTACCCCAATTCTACCATGGCAAACCTTGACAGACTCGTAGTCTTGAAGCTTTGCCGTGGTGCCCCCATCCCCAAGTTCGGTTTACCCAACGTAGGGTAAATGAGACGTGGGTGCCATTTCTGACTGTCCGGTTGGCAGGCTGAGTCTTGCCCTTTGGCTTTGGGCGAGCGCTGGCGTAGACGCGTAGACGCCTGCCCTCCTCGGTGCCGGTTAAGATGGCTGCCCAGAACTTGATGAGTCTTGGGGGGGCACAAAAGCACCCGCCACAGGCCCATAATTCCGAGCGGCGTTTCAGAGCACCCAGCCACGCGACGCGCACAACCCACGCGCCCACGCGCCCACGCCCGCCATCATAACAGAACTGCCCCGCCATAGCATCCCATTCCCGTCACCGTCGTCATCACAATCCTCCCCGTCGCCGGCATACGTCACCTTTTCCGCGTATCTGTTATCACTCAGGTGAGTGTCCTGTCCCCTGAAAGTACTCGGCAACCAGCGCTGATAGAAGCCCACACAGGTCACCGCCTGTTGATCAAGACGACCCCCACGCGCTTACCACCCTTCCCCGATCTCCTGGGCTCGATCTCTTGGGCTCACTCGTACCCACCCCCTCGTGAGTTGCTATCGACTCTGCTCCCTCTCTCTCGTTTGCTGCGGCAGCCTAACATGATTGTAGCCCCGCGAGATCAGCAGACAAGACCCAGGGCCAGGCCACTTGTGCCCTCGCCGTGAGTTGATGCCCCGGTTGTGATCCCTTGCGCGGTAACCTAAACTGATGCCAGTCCAGCCAGCCCACGTTTCTCTCGCGCCCTTCCTACCGTCCTCAGTTGCTGTGAGTTGAGTGACGGTCCCATCCTTTGCTCGGCAACTAACCTCCTCTACCCATTTGCCCTCCATGCCCACTACGCACGCCAGCCTCCCCACCATGAAGGAGCACCAGCAGCAGCTCAAGAACGCCCACAAGCGCGAGCGCGAGCTCCTGCAGCGGGACCACGAGCGCGAGCGCCAGCAACTGGAACGCGAGCGCCAGCTGCTGGACCGCGACCACGAGCGCGAACGCCAACAGCTCGAACGCGAACGCCAACAGCTTGAGGACCTGTGCCAACAGCTCGAGCGTGACCAGAGGCGCCAGCAGCTCGATCTCGAGCGCCAGCGCCAGCAACTCGAGCGCGACCACGAGCGCCAGCGCCAGCAGATGGAGCAGTACTACACCCGCGAGCGCCAGTAGTTTCAACTCGAGACGCAAGCTGTGGTTGCCCTTGCAACCGGCGCGCCGCCCCTCCCCCTCCCGCTGCCCCCCTTCAGACCCCTCCCTTCACCCATGTATACATAGATACCGTCTTCGTCAAGTTGCTTGTTTTTCCATATGTATTCTCTTCTCCCCTCCCTTTTAGACTTGTTGCACTCAGACATGCTTGAAACCGCAGCCATCCAAGTAACTACTGGTACCTGGATGCTAGAGGAATACCAAGAAGTGACAACCGATAAACGGGCCCGTCGATGATCAGTGGATCAGTGGATCAGTGGTGCCTCACCGCCGAGAGGACCGAGACGAGTGTTGTCCTTTGCGTCTAGCGAGCACCCACAACAGGTCAGCTTAATCAGCTTCGCTCCCCCAGATCGCAGGAATCGGTGCCTAGCGCGACCAGCTTCCTTCAGAGAGACATTCTCCAGCGCTGCATCCAGGTCCAGAAAGCCTCCCGTAAGCATTATCCACAAACGCCATGCACAACCGTCAAAAGGTGGCACTCAGTATCCGCCGGCCGCCGGGGAATCTGGTGCGTTCTGCTCTTCGAACGACCGCCCATTTCTATTTTGCCCCCCTCGCGCCTAATACCAGTGGCCAGTGGTACTATGCTTCCCCAAAGGGTACTTACTACATGCCTTGGCGATTCTCCATTATTGATCATCAGTGGTATGCATACACGCACACATCCCCTCTTCCCTTGAGCTGGCTACTGCCACAGTGTGTCCCAACGATGGTTTGTGACAATGTGGTGGGTGGACCGCGGGCCCAGCTCTCCGAGGTCGGAGACGTGCCTGCTCTTTCGAGTGTGTTGAAGGCGGTTGCGCTCAACACACATGACACAACCGCCTGCTGCAAGCCGCACGTACGCTACGGATGGAGTCTACCGACCAGGTGCGTGTGGGCGTTGCACGGTGGCCATGCATTGTGCATAATCGTTCTCTCAAGTTGGCAGAGTTGCATACACACGACGACATACTAAACATGACGTCACACTGTTTGCCCCCGATCCAGCGCGGCCACCAACCCCCAGAGCACGTTTCCCACCATATACCACTTGGCCTCTCTTGAGTTGTCTCTCGTCTTCATCATCACCCTCATCCTTCTCCTGTATCTTGATTGATACAGCGTCCTCTTCCCCTCCAGTGCTTCGAGTGGACTCTTAACGCCCTCCTCACTGCTCTCCTTACTGCTCTCCTCCCCTCACTTCTCTCCTCACTCCTCTCCTCACTCCTCTCCCTCTCCGTCCCTTCCTCTTGTTTTTCCTCTTTCACCTTCACCTTCACCTCCACCTCCTCCTCCTCCTCTTAACTTGCTGCTTGCAGCTCTTAACCCCTCCTCCTCCGCAAGGTCTTGATTCCTTTCGCCGCGTCGCACCGCAACTCGGCTGTGCCGTTGGTATCAAAGCACAACCTCGAGCCGCCGGTGGGCTCAATCTTCTGACGGTCCTTGGCAACAAGAGCTGTTTGCGTTGTCCCTCGGGGGAGCTTGTCGACCCCAGATCATTGCTAGCTGGTACCGTCACCCTCGTCCCACCCGTCCATCCATCCATCCATCCTCCATCCCTCTTCCTCTCCCCCTCTCCCCCCCCCACCGATCACACACGTCCCTCCTCGCCTCTCCCCGTGCCAGCAACAGGTGGGTTTACATACCTTGTTACCTGACGACCGGCGCACTGACGTCGGCAGCGAGCCCCTGTCTCAGCGACTCTGCGCACCCAACCCACCCGCCCACAACCCTTCGCTCTCTCTTGCCACTCTGTGAGTGTTGCCCGCTCCCTGCCCAACTGCCTACCTAACCTGGATCGCAGACGTGTGTGCCCCTTTGTGAGTTCCTGTTCATCTCTCGATCCTGCTACTGCTGGAAGCTGACGATTCGTTTCGGCTATCCCTCGGGGCACACAATCCTCGTCCCTGCGTCCCCTCGACGTGAGAGTTGCCTGTAGATAGTGCCTAACCTGTATAGTCCGTCTAGTCGGTGATCGGTCGACTAAGCTCCCTGGTACCGCCGTTCTCTCCTCACCTAGTGCGTCGCGCGGCGGCGGTTTACACCATCTGGCTCCCAGCTCGCCGCGCGTCTCGTCACGTAGGTTGGCTGTGTGGATCACGGCTTAGAATGCTGACCTTTTGCCCTTGAACCCCGGAGCGTCGGACTCGACAGTGATCAGTGGGTTATCTTGGGATCCCAGCTGTTGTCGGTTGCCCTGACGCCTCAACTATGTAACATGATTGCAGACCATGTCCGCGGACCGCCAGCTCAACCCCGCTCTGCATTATATCTTTCAATGCATCAACAAAGCCGAAGATATTACCGCGGACAGCATGCGCGACTGGTTAGAAGATAACGAACATGACTTCTCTGGTCAGCGTCGCGACTTGGCGCTTCGTTTGGTCGAGTTCTGGAAGGAGATCACCGACGACGTGCACCTGCTATCGACGCCGACGCCAAGCGCCACAGGCCTTACGGCCCAATCCCCTACCTTATCCCGCGCCGCCGGGCTGCTACGTACGACACGGATCGTCAGGGCTCGTCCGCCCACGTCTGCAGCCAGCCCGAACTGTACCCCACCTGGCCCCGCCCGGCCGCGAACTCTTCCCCCGTCCCCCGTCCAATCGTCATCAAAGGCCCAGTGACGCCCCGTCTCGCCATCGCTGAGCGCCCGGCATCGCTGGCCAAGGGCTCCGTCGTTCCGGAGCTTGGCTGGGATCAATTCATGAACGGGCTGCTGCATTCGCTGCGCAACAGCAGCGTCAGCATGCTGAGTTCCTGCAGCAGCAGAAGGAACACTAGGAGACGCGTCGTCAGGAACGCGCAGAATGGGACCAAAGGGAACAACAACGGGAGCAGTCACGTCGACAGGAGCGAGAGCAGTGGCTCCGTGAACAGGCCGAGCGCGACGACCGCAAGGAGCGCGAGCACCACCAACAGTTGCAGCCTCTGCAACAGAAGCAACAGGCGCAACAGGAGGCGCAGCAACGCGGGATGACCCAGCTGGGAGAGCTTCTGGCGGCGTCCAACTCACGCCAAGACCGAGCAGACCAACGCCATGAGGACACCATGATGGTCATGCAGCAAATGATCACGGCCATTACGAACCTTACCACTCAAGGCCGCCAGCCACCATTCGCTTGTGAGGAAAGCAAAACGCAACACGCACAAGCAAACGCCTCCACGTAACGACCCCCACCACCCAGACCTCGACTGGGACCCGCACTCTCCAGGCAACCCAGATTCCAACCCTTACTGCAAATACTACAATCGTTGCCAAGGCGGCTGCTCTCGTCCTTGTTGTTTTAAGCACTAGTGCAAAAAGTGCCATCAACCAGGACACGATGAAGAGCATTGCCCCGACCCGCCCCTTGCTCCTGGTGCGCCTGGTGCCACTCCCTCGCCTGAGAGGGCATGAACTGTGAGTAGTGTCCTAACAGAGGCAGACACTTGACATTCAACTAACAGCTCAGCACGCAAGAACCTCCACACGTTCCCTACCTACCCTTGTCACCCACATGGGGGCCAACGGTCAGAAGTTAACTTGGCAGTTAACTGCGCCTGCGCCAGCCGTGGGAACACCTGCACGACCTATGCCCGCAACGCGTATCGCACCACACCGGATTCAACCACGCCTCACGACTTCATGCACCATACGGAATACATGTTTTGTTTCTGCTTCCCCTTACGTACATTCGTCACCATGTCTCTGTCACTGCTGTCAGTTGTAATGCATGTCTTCCACTTCCCAAGCGTTGGAGTTGTGATTTTTGACCCAAGAGACCCAGGCACAAGGTGACGTCATATGTCACGTGACGCGTCCCACTCCCATGTCTCAACCATCGCTGGCTGTGCTTTTGCCTCCATAACTAACTGTCATCCATCATCCTCGCCTATCAGATTCTGGCGTGGGCCGATCCTCACGTTAAAGTTGTCGTGCAGCCGTGGGGCTTTAACCCGACCGCATACCCCGGTCCACGCTCTGGCACACCCCCAAAGCATGTGCGCGGAGTGCGCGCAAAGTGTGGGCGACACGTCACATTAAATATGCACTCAAGCCGAGGGGCTTTAAACCCCAAGAAGAGAGGAGAACCGGCGCCTACTATTCATTCTTGCGTCTAACGCGTCTGACAATCCAGTACCTCTTGGCCTGCAGCTGTCGTACCTCCAGCGTATGTGCACAGCGCGCGCAGTATGGATTAGCCTCCACATCAAAGATGCGCTTAAGCGGAGGGGCTCTAGACACGGTGCCTACTCTTCGTCGTCGACTCGAGCACGCCCATGACATGTATTGCTAGCAGTCAGTCAAAGTAGACCTGGGCCAGCACACCCCCTCAAAGGAGCATCAATGACCCAGCAACAGGCCTCTCGCAGCCACGGTTTCAGCGCGATTCGCATACCCGTACGCCACTGCCTTCACGCTCAGGTACACAGTTATGGAGACCTTGCGCATCTCCTTTCTCACCTCGTGCTCGGAGCGACCGACAAGATTCTCAACCGCATGAAGAACTTGCATTGTGCAATGCCGTCCACATGCTGGCCACCCAGCAGTCCCTTTCCCCTCGCCCACCTGCTCTCACCTATTCGACTCGCCGGGTGTATTTTTGTTTTCGATTCTACGTGCGCGTCTTTCTTACCCATTGGTATCATGCTGACGTTTTCCAGTGTCATATCGGTCGCCATTGATTCGACGTTCAAGGGACATACGAAGAGCGTCTACATGTATACCACGACGAACTGGCGCCCAGCCTATGCATTTAGCAGTAGCACTTCCATGACTTGTTCCCATAGCGTTGCAGACATCGATTGCCCCGCTGCCTGCTATGTGTTCAAACCGGGATCTCGTAGAATCGTGCAAAGCCAATGGTCTGGACCACGCTCACGAGGGGCATTCACCTTCGAGTGTCCCCGCCAAACGCCACCCAAGTGAAAGTTGAGTCCCCCCTCCCAATCTCTTCGTCGCGAGCACCAGGCTATGTACGTATGTGAATTGCCTGCTTTTTTAGTTTGGTGAATCGGTAACCATGTCTCACAACAGCCTGCAACACGTATGTTAATGGAGTCTGCCGACTGAACCGCCCCGCACCAGACGAAAGAATGCCTCTTGCACCAGGCAATCGCCTGCTCGCGCGCCTGTAGCCGCCAACCGGCCAGCGTCCATCCTGGTCACCGCCACTGTACCATGTGCCGGAATGAAGAGGAATGCCGAGTGAAGAAACAAAGTACGGGAATTACTACTTAAATGCCGGATATGAGGGTGGGATACAATATGGGGCACACACCAACACCACTGTGTTGCTTTCCCTCACCTCCTTCTTCCTCCTTAACCTCTTTCTCCCTTATCCCCTTACCTCAGTTGCGCTTTCCCGCGTTGCTATCCCTCACGCGCTCTAACCCCCAGCGCTCTATTCTTCTCATCTCTGTCTCTCCTAACTCATCTGCTCATCCTCTCTCTTTCTCCTCTCATCCTCTCATCCTCTCGCGCCTCTCACGCCTCTCACGCGCTCGCCTCTCTCGTCCTCTCATCCTCTCATCCTCTCGCGCCTCTGACGCGCTCACCTCTCTCGTCCTCTTGCGCACCTCGCGCTCTCACATCCTCTAGCGCTCCTCGCGCTCCTCTCTCATCCTCACTCCTCGCGCTCCTTTCGCGCGCTTTTACCTCCCCTCCCGCTCTCGCACCCTCAATCCTATTTCTTTCATCGCTCTAGCGCATCACTGCTACCCGCCGAGGCGCCCCGTGAGTTCTCTTGGTAGCTGCTGGCACTGTTCTGACTGCGTTGTAGCCCGTCCTCGCTCCCTACTGGAAACAGCAAGTATCCCTCACTCTTAACCTCGGCCCTCCTACCGCTCTACTGCGAGCTGACATGCCCAGCATCGAACAACAGCCCGAAGATAACTGCAGGCAAGATGCGCACCACGTTCCAAGTCTTTCTGGAGAACAATGTCGGTCTACCCAAAATTGGCCAGTACGTCGGAGCCGCAATCGGCCTCGAGCAGGACATTCGTCACCTCGAAAGGGAACAAATAGTCGACCTCCTACTCGACCACATCGACGACCTGCCGGCTCCGGCCCGTGCCATGTTTAACGTCGAAGGCTACCGTAACGCCTACATCCCACCACCTCGAGTCGTCGTCCAAGCTATCCCGCGACTCCCTGCGGCTGCTGCGCACCGTCTCAAAATGTTCCTCCGCCCTGCCGACCCCAACCGCCCTGCGGGATGGCCAAGGCTTGGCCAGATTCTCGGCGCATGCGTTGGTGTTGACGTCAACATCAACATCAGTCGTATGAACCTGGACCAGGTGGTCGAGGCCATCGTCGCGAACTACAACCGAATGAGTGTCGCTACACGCGACATCATTGAGCAGGAGATGCGCGCGCAGCCGCCAGTTCCTGATCGCCCCATCCCTCCCCTGGCCAACGCCAATCCCGGCGCCGCCGCTCGTCGGGCAGCCTTTATGGCCAACGCCCAGGCTTGCCAGGCCGCCCGCTTCGGCGCGCTGGAAGACGAGGTCGTCGTTCTCCGCGCGGCAGTGGCAGTCGCCCTCACTGCTGCTGAAATCGGCGGCCTCCAGGACGACTTGGTCGCCCTTCGCGCCCAGCTCGTTGCTGTTGCCACAGAGGATGACCGTGTCGCAGCGCTGCGGCAGCAGCTCCTTGCCCGCAACTGGGCTGCTCAAATCGACGCGGCCACAACCGCGGCCAACCAAGCGGCAGCCGGGGCCGCCGAAGCCTTTGGAGGTTGGATAGGCCTTGAGGGAGGCTGAGGCCGGCCGCAACGCCAAGCTCGACATGGAGACGTTTCGGGAATCTACGCACCACGAAGATGGCCAAGCAGCAGGCCTACATCCGCCGCCGCCAAGCGGCAGTCCCGCCACCACGCAGGACTGCGACGGCTGGGCGCACGGGCCAGGCACAACCAGATGACCTTGGTGGCCTGGCTCCCTACCTCGCACTGGGGTGGGCCGACCGTCTGCTCAACCGCCGCATGGCGTAGCTGGTTGTAGGTCACACCACTAATTGCGCCGAGACGGACAATGCTGACGCCCCAGGCGTTCCCTTTCCGCCACCATTTCCCTCAAGCGTTCCCTTCCGCAACCGCCGCTCTCGAGCACTGGCTCACGACCCCTTGCAACCCCCTTGTTCTCTACAACCACTGTATCATGCCGACCCTCGCACCCATGCTTCTGCCACTTCAGAACCGAGTTCCACACCCATTCGCTTAGCGCTCCAAACCTCGAAGCCGGGAGGGGGGGGACTGTCAGAGCCACTTGTATCATAGTTCATTAGGAACCTTCTCTCTTCTCCTCTTTCCTTATGCATTGATTAGGTTCTTCACCTCCCCGGCACCTGCGGTGCCGCCTCGGTCTGGGTCACTCCCGTTTCACGGAAGTAGCATTGCGATACGACTTCGGTACCTCCCTCACGCCTCCCGTACGCTCCACAATCAGACCCACGAAAACTTGTATCATCGCAGCCATCGTCTTGCCACTCCGTTCTTGCCACTCCGTCACGTCCGCATCCCCCAGGACACACTTGGGGTTTGCTTTGCATTCTCTCCCTTATGCTTTACCTATGAATACATTGTATGCTAATCTGCTGTCAATCGGTCCTGGAGTCTGGTGAGAGACTGCCCAACCTTTCTTGTTTGTTTTTGTTGTTGTTGTTGTTGTTTTTTTTTTTTTTTTTTTTTTTTTTCGTGTTTCTTACTTTTATAGATTGCTACCAAAGTGTTTGTAAATACGCATGGGGCCGGTTGTCGTCAGATGGCCAGGGGGTCGCCGCTTGCCCGCACTCAACGACCCCTCTGCTGGTCCTAGGGATGCGAGATGCACTGGGGCTCGGGCTCGCTTGGGCATTGGACGCACGCCAGTGAGATAGCAAGGGACGGCAATGCAACCGTCAAGCACAGTCTCCCGTCACCGGCGTTGCGTTGTGATCGTTGTGAGCCTCCACGACGGTAGCAGATGCAACCCGTCACCGCCGTCACCATAACATCACCATGTGCCCTCATCGCTCACCTCTATCACCTCTCACACTACTCTCACATCCTCCAATCTCCAACTCTCAGCGTTAGTTCACTGTCCTGAAGTCACTTGATGACCGTGACGCTGATTGTAGTCCCATTCCCCAACCCCTCCTCCACTGGCGATACACGAACCAACCGCCAGCCAAAAATGCAACAGAACCAGCAGCAGCAGCAGCCTGTCCCCGGCGCCGAGGCGCGCCGCATTGCCATCCTCGGCGTGGACCGAGCCCGCCAAGGTCCCGGCGCTGTCCTTCCTCCCCGTGCCCCCATCCCCGGCGCCGAGGCGCGCCGCGCTGCCCTCCGAGACGTGGACGTGGACGTGGACGTGGACATGGATCAGGCCCCAGCCCCCGATCGCATCCAAGAACTCGAGGACGAGGCTGCCGCCCTCCGTGCCGAGCTTGCCGCCACCCCCGACGCCGCTCTCGTTGCAGGCCTCAAGCAGGAGGCGACTATCCTCCGTGCTCAGATCGAGGCTAAGAGCGCAGCCCGCGCAGCCGAGATTGCCGCCCTCGAAGAGGAGTTGGCGCGTCCCCCCCCCCCGCCCGAACTTGCGATCATGACCGCTCGGGCTGCTCAGGCCACCTATGAGGCCGAACAGGCCAAGCAGGTCGTGCAGGCCGCGCAGGCGAGGGCTGCAGTCGAAGACCAGCGCATCGCCGACATGGAGACTGAGCTGGCTAATGCGCGTCGCGAGCTTGGCCACTACATGTCGGCACCTCGCCAACCTCGCGAACTCCGCAACGGTGCCCGTGGCGGACCATACGGTGCCTACGCCAACCCAGGGTAAAGGTTCTAAGGCGTACACACAGTCGAACAATCCTCACATGAACATTGCCCTCCTGTAAGCAGCCAGTGTTGAACTATCTCAGAGCTGACTCTGTAGTTCGTCGTCTTTCACATTGTCTTATACTTGTCGTCGTTTTGTTCTTTCATGCCCACAGCAGTAGCCATGTCCTAATGTATTCCCTTCCTGCTGCTGCACATCGCAGCTGCTTCGTTGGCTAACCAATAGACCGACTACCCCTATGATACAGAGATGGTGGGGATAGCCAGCATTTCCAAAGAGCACGCAACCTCGTTAATCCCTAACTACTGAACGTATGAGCTGGATGGGCACGTTTCCATGCCGTGGCACAGCCACCAGCGCTACCTAAACGATTTACATACGCACATAGGGGGATGAACAGCAAAGGCGAGACGGCCCACGCCAAGCGCGAGGCTGGTTGAATGTAGGCATCCCTCATAACAGCTTGCCGCAAGGCTGGGGTAGAGTCTGCCGACCGACTGAACCTCCGACTGCAACGCGCGACGGCCCTCTGGGGCTTGATCCTGGCTTCCAGCCATCCTTGCGTCTTTGGATTGTATTGCAGGAGGGCAGACGCGTCGGGACAATAAACGTTGTCGGGTGGCCATGCATGAGCATATGTCGTTCTCCAGCTCCCCAGTTCTCCAGTGATATCCCGGTAGTGAGCGTACAGTAGCGTACGAACGTGGCAGCCGGAGATCCGTAAACAAAACGTCAAGTGCCAGCCGCCACATAATGTCAATGGCGTTACACCATGTAGAAACCGGCTAGCGCGATTGCCACCTGCCCCCCTCTCCCTCTCCTGGGCAAACCACCTTTGCGCGCTCTGAAGTTGATTCTCTCTTCTCCATCCCTCCTTCTCCGTATCTTCATTGATACATCCTTTCTCTGCCACCACCGTTCCAGGTGCTCTGACAACCCTAACGCAATAACTCTCTCTCCTTTCTCCTCTCCCCTCTCCCCTGCTAACTTGCTGGTTGCAGCTCGTAAGCCCCTCCTCCTCCTCATCCTCCTCCTCCTCGTCGCTCCTCTGAAGCGTGCGGTGCTCCGCCGGTGAGTTCTCTTTGTACCGGCTGGCATCTGACCGCGTTTTAGCTTCACCACGTTCGCTCTGGCCTCTGCCTTTCGTCACTCGTCCTCTCTCTGGTGCCTGGTGAGTTGACCTTTTCGGCCTCTTTCGTCTCGCTTCCCTGCCTGCTTTCCCACTGTTCGTCTGTGAGCTGACCTGATTGCAGACATGCCCGAGCGTTCCGCCCTCCACTTCTTGCTGTGCGAAGTTGCCGGTCTGCCTTCCGTGGCACAACTCGTCGGTGTGGCAGTTGGCATGCGCGTCGAGCTGCGACACCTCGACCGTAGCCCCATCGCCGACATCATCATCGATAACTTTCACCGACTGCCTGACCCATACCCGGACCTGCTCAACGCCGAGCATGCAGGTAGACCACCTGTGCTTCCTCAACTCCCGGCACAGGTTCCGCTTCACCCGGTCGCTCGCATTACCGAGGCAGACGAGACCCGCTTGCGCACGCTCCTCCAGCTCGTGGGTGCTTCGGTCGGACTCCAGGTGAATGTCGGTCGCCTCAGGGGATCAGGGGATCAGGGGCGAGCAGATGGTGGGAGTGATCGTGGCCAATTTCAATCGCCTCCCTCACCCTGTCCGCGACATGCTGCGGGCTGAGATGGACGTTGCCGGCCGTGACGCCCGCCGCCGCGCCATCCAGGCCGCCATGGCTCCCCCCGGCCGCCGCACCCGTCGCCGCACCCGTCGCCGAGCAAGCTCGACAGGCGCAGCAGCAGGCGCAGCTGCACGCCCAGCAGCTTCGCCAGGCCCACCAGCAGCAGCAGCTGTATGCTCTGCAGCACGCTCTGTACCAGGCCCACCAGCAAGGCCCGCCTGCAGCCCCGCTCGGCGTTGCCGCCAACCAGGCCCCGCCCGCTGGCACTCCGGCTTCGGTGGCTGCCCCAGTCTGCCCGTACCGCCACCGACGTGCCGAGGACTACAACGTCTCTATCTTGAAGCTGTCATAACCGCCCGCCTCGTGGTCGTCTTCACCAAACACCCACAGAGCCCGAGATACCCTTCGGCATTCCAACCCGTACCATGCCCAACCTGTACCACCCATGCCCCACCTGCACCGCTGTGCTCCAGTCCGCACCCCCCAGCGTTAGTCTCCATGCGTTTTGTTTTTACTGTAGTCGGTGAATGTGTTAATTCTGCATGTACTGTATGTCGTTCGCTCCGGTGCTACAGCACCTCTCTGCTCTCTGGTACAACGCCACACTGAACACGCTGCACGCTCAACAACAGCGATATATTAACCGTTTCGATAAGTACGCTTCCAAACAATCGCCACTAGCCTAATGTCGCTGATCGCTGAGTGGCGGGGACTTGTTGTAGCCCCTAACCAACACCGGTCCTTCCAGTGGCCAGTGGCGACTGGCGAGTGGAGGGGGCTGAAGGAGCCGGGAAATCGCGTTCCGCGAAGAAAGGTAGAAACGAATAGACCAGCTACGGCCCCCCTCGCTGGACGTGCGGATACTCTGGATCCGCATGACAAGGTTGCCGAGCTTGCCATGGAGGCGACGGCGCATGTCGAGTTCCAGATGCTTTTGAGGTCGACTAGCTGGCACCCCGCCTGCCCAGCTTTCTCCGCGCGACCTCTACATCATCACCGAGAAGCGAAAAGCGTCCAGAGCCAGACCCTCTGTACCCGTGGGCGTGTAGGTTTCAGTTCTCGTTGTGGTTCCCTGGTTGGTAACCTGGCCTGATTTCGTTCTAGTGTTCGCAAACAGTGTCATTCCAAGCCACTGCCAGCTCGAAGAGGTCCCCAGGCTCAACCATGCAGCAGCAGCATCTGCAGCCGCCTGTCGCTCAACACGCGGGTGGCCTTCAGGCGCCCGCGTGGACCCGCAAAGCCCCCCGGCAATATCAGCTCTAGCATCGTCTGTTACAATTGGACCCACGCGGCGGTCGTAACCCCTGTCGGTTTAGTCACCTCGCGAACCAGTAATAAAGAACTAGTAATAACCAGGCCAATGTCATTATTGATCACTTGTATGCGATCTCCTCTTCATGTGTGTGCTGTCTGCTCGTGGGATGCCTTGGCCGCCTTCCATGACATGACATGTCTGACGAGGTTTCTGAGCTGACGAGCATGTGTTCACATCACTGACTGTGACACTGGTGGGCCATCGGCTGGCCGAACGGACAGGAGAGGAGCGCCCCCAGGTGCAACGATTTGACGCAGAGAGAGATTGACTTTGGTGGCCTTGTACCACCCAGGCCAGCCTTTGGCTTTTGGCGGAGACTACGGACGGGCGAACGGCACACCAGTGCGCAACGGTCCATTTGTCGTTGTCTCCTCTCCTGGCATCGTGTGAGTTGGCGATGTCGACCCGGGAGGCAATTAGGTATTCTGACCTCTGATTGCAGGTTCTTGTTCTACTCTGGGACACAGCCTCCACCCGTGCACCGAGGTGTTTGGCCAACCTGACAGTCGCCTTTCCAGGTGCCAGTTGGTCAAGTGCACGGTGGCTGCTGCGTGTCTAATTGCGATCGTAGCTCGGCTTACTTCCTGCGGCCCACAGGCCACAGGCGAGGCCGTGGCACCTATTCAGGACCGCTGGTATCAGTCGAATGGCACGTCCACTCACTGCCGGGGACTCGGCCGTGCGGGGCGTGCACGGTGGCTTCCTCGACGGACCTCATCGGTCCGTTGGTTGTCGGTCTCGCCCGCGCGCGTTTGCGCCTCTGGGGCTGTGTGGGCTGGTTACCCTCCCAACCTTCCTCGCGAGCTACCAAACTGCGTATGTGGATTGCCTGCTTTCTCGTTTGTTGAATCGGTATGCACCCCTCATAACAGCCTGCCACAAGCGGCACGTACGCTGGAGATAGAGCCTCCCGACAGGTTCACCACACATGCCCTTGATGCGGCACCTTGTAGTGTCGAGCGAGAGAAGGCGACACCTTGCACCCCACACCTCGGTTGTGCCTTGCGCACCTCTCTGCACACATGTCACCCATGCACCCATGCACACAGGTACACACACGTACACACAGGCCGTACACAGGCCACGAAGGCCACGAGCACATCCGGGCGCGCTCGTGCTAGTTGGCGCTCGTTCATGGCCATGTTTGCCTCCGACCTCCCGCCTCAACATCGGAAAAGCAAATCACCACCACCCACTTCCGCCGTCGTAACAGCAGTTTGTTCTTCGCGCATCCTATCACCGCCTCCGCAATGCAGCAACAGCCGCAGCCACAGCAACCACAACAACAACAGTCTCTTCATCTGCCTGTGACCAACCCGGGTACGCGGCAGGCGACTGCAACGCCACCCGACCAGTACCTACACGGGACGGTGAATGCCGACGCCATTCGATCCTGGTTCTCGCTCGACGTTTCGCTCGTCAGTCACATCACCCTCCTTGCGACGGACCATGCTCTGACCTCCCAGCTGCTTGAAATGGATGAAAATGTGCAAGCACAGCATGCTGTCACAAAACGCGCGAGTCCATGCACACAAGCAATCCAAATGCAGTGCAGAGTCCGTACAGGCAGCGCTGTGGACAACAAGATTCAGTGGGCACACCGACGCACAGATATAGATACACAGACGATCATCTGTGAGCTGTGACTCTGTGTGCACCTCCTGTTTAGTGACCGTTGTCGCGTCGCGCACAGGCGGGTGAGGGATGACCATTTGAATCACGATTTGTAATGGTTATATTAGAAAGTGAGTCCATCGCGTAAAGGCCGGCCCAAAGCCATAACACGCGTGTCCCCCCTGGTTTTGGTTGCCACACCCTTTCCCTTTCCATCACCGTCCATCCACCTTTCCCACTTCTCAGTGTCCCATCCCTTCTCGCAGGCATCTCGACTACGACTCACTCTCGTAAGTTCCCTTTCGAGGTGTTCCTTTGTGGACATGTGTCCTGTCTGGCCTTACTCACACGGCATTAGGTATCGAACACCACGTCAAGTCAACTCGACCCCCGTTCATCCTCCACCTCTGTCAACCACAGCTGTTTCCACAACCAGTCGTTGTCTTGCTGGCTGTGCTCAGCATGGACAACCAGGACGGCAACGGACCTGCCCCCAACGACAGCGGCGGTGCCAGCCTCAGGAGCCTTCATGGACGGGTCAACAAGGAGAAGACGAACGCGTTGGCTGATCACCGAGGGGCCATCGGTATCGCGGCAACAGGTGGCTCGTCGTTGAGCGCTGCATGCGCCATACCGTGTTATCGCAAGTAACGGGAATGTTCAGTTTGATCAGTTGTCCACGTCAACCTCTAGCTCTCGTGCGCTACCACCTACCGCCATCGTTGTCATCCTTCGTCTCATCACCTCCACCACCTCTGGCAGCCCCTCCGCAACCCGGCCCGGCCGGCGTCTTGCAACGACGCGTGAGTTCCGTTGCCAGCTGGCCAGCGACCACCGAACGTTGCCCTGTAACTGACACCCCAGTTGTAGATTCTTACAATCACTCTCCCCCCGACACTCGGTGAAGGTCGCGCGGCGACATAGCGATCAAGCGTCTCGCGAGCTTCAGCATGGTGGTTCGTTGCGTCGAGATGGATCGCCGTCTGACCGTCTTGCTGTCTTGCCGTCTTGCTGTCCCACCGTGAGTTGACATGTCAGTCGTACCGGATTGTCGCCTGTGGGCTCCACCTGGTTGAAGCCATCCCACTTCTCGTCCCTCGCGCGGTCGCCGATCGAAATGCGGGAGGCCCAGCTCCGCCGGCGAGCACTCGCTCTCTGCCATGGCCGACACACGCCACGCGATGCCGTTGACTCCTAGCTCCTTGGATGGACATGGGTGCGATGCGCGCGCGCGCTGCTGTGTGTGCCCCTGGGCCACAGAACGCAGCCGCCGTCCCGGCCTGGGACTTCGCGTCAGAGGTCACTCTTGTCTCGCCCCGGCCGACGGCTTCGGCTTCGGCGCCGCAACGTATGTGGTCGTCGCCTGTCCGAACTGGATGTTGGGAGTGATTTTGCAGTCGGCCGTCCATCATCGCAGGCAATGTTTGGAAGACAAAGTGGGTCGCCATTCATATGGCAGCCCATTGGGAGACACAAGGGCCTCCCGAGTCGCACCAACCAATCGCAACCGTCCACGCGTATTCTCGGCAACACCAACCTTGCAAACGACCCCGACAACTTCGGAACTCGCTACATGTCTGCGGGCAACGTTGCCCGCCATGCATACCAGGTCGTCATCGGGATGGCAGGCTCTCCAACGTAACACACGGGAACTCTGCGACGGTCGTGCACACACGAGGTGCAGCTCGAACAAACACACCCATTCCTTGTGAAGACGACGTCAAGGGTTACCAGGGCGGCTCCACCCTGCACTGCGCAAGCCTCTCAAGCCCTTGCAGAGGCAGAGGAAGGAGCTCCTTCTTGTGCTCAAGTGCTTCAGTGGGCCAACGTTCCAAAAGAGGCGCCCCTCTGCGGGCTCGAGGGCTCCACCCGCGAATGGCCGTGCGTTTCTAGTCCCCTAGATGTCCCCTGGAGTCGACCACCCTTGGAGCAGCAACTGATTGGAGCTGGAAGCCTGTGATGAGCCATCATGTATCGTGTGCAAGCTCCTGTTGCACCATGTCAGACAAGAATGGCGGGTGTTCCAGGTTCCCTGGTTCGGCTCGTGAGAGGGTGTGCACGGCGGCGGCGGCAACATTGACCGCTCAGGTGCAGCAGCAGTGGTAGAATACGAAAGACATGAATTGCTGTACAGCCAAAAGGCAAGCCATCGGGAGGGTGGGAGGGAGACCAGGACTGAGGACGGCACAGGGCTTTCGTGAGACGGGAGATGAGAGCACACACCCTCTCGGGGAATTCGCGATACGTGTGTATGTACATTCCATGTGGGGGTTGTGCCTTGGCTTGTGTGTTGGCTTGGGCTTGGACATGTGCCAAGATGTAGCCTACACCTACATACATATGTACTGTACTGATCGTACTCAGCTTTCGTCTCGTTGGGCGTGCACAGATGCAACCTGGAGGACAGATGTAACAGCACTAGACAGCAGTACGTGCCACAGGCGCAAAAATGCCACACGCCGCACCCGGGGCGGCGTTTTGGAGGCCCGTGCGGCGTTTTGGAAGATGGCTGGTCGGAGAGATGGCTGGTCCATCCACCCCGGCGACACGTCGACACCGCCCCCCCACACCCACAAAACACACACACCCACTTTTGCCCATCTGTCCTCCTCTCATATCCCCTCCATCCCCCATCCATCCCCCCATCCATCCACATCCACCCACCCATCCACCCACCCTTCGCGCACAAACCCCACCTGCGCCTCTCCCCCCCCCCCCACCCCTTTATCAAACCTTGCCCGCAGCGTGAGTCTATTCCTCGGGTCCTGACGTTACCTGGCAAGGACAAGGGCACTGACGCCCACAAGTTCAGCTCGGGCCCACCACCACCACCACCACGACCCCAACCACCCCAACCCCACGACCTCCCTCTTCCTGCCCACCGGGCCGCACCTCGTGAGTAGATCCTTTCCCCTCCCATCCTGTGCGCAAAGCCCTAACATGTCGCAGTCTCCCTTTCCTCTCGGGCGGCACGCGCCTCCTCTCTCCAAGGTTGGCGTGCTCTGTTCTCGGCCCTCCAGCGGCCCTCTCGTGAGTAACCATGCCCAGCAATCCCGGGCTCCCAGGGAGATGTGGCTCGGCAACTAACCTCTTGCTTGCAGCTCCCCTTCGCTGGATCTCTGGGATCTCTGGCTTCTCGGCGCCGCGCTTGTCTTTTTTTGTCCTGTTCTCGGTGAGTTTATTTTGACCCCGAACCCGATAGCTCAAACTAACATTTTGATCGCAGGTCCCTGGTCCCCTTCGGCCCCTTCCCTGCCCCCCCCGGATCCTTCGCTTTGTGAGTTTGGCTTTCCCAGTCTAAACCCCCTGTTGGCCTGTTGGCTGCGGTGCGCTGACTCGTTTAGTCGTCTCGTCATCCCCTCGTCCCTCGTCCCCCTTCCCTCGTCGCTCCGGCCTTCGGTGAGTTTTGTCGTACCAAATGTGACGTTGTCTCCTCGGACGCGCACCTCGTAATCACTGCAGATACAGCACACACACATATTCCTCCCCCCTGGATTATGGATAAAGCCTTATACACCCGAGTCCAGCTAATTGGGTTTTTGAACTGCTAAGCTAAACCGTTGCACGACCCGGGGTTCAATTCCTCGCTTCGCGTTACGCTTTAGCCGCAGTTCAATCTCAATTAGTTGGACTTGGGTGTACGTCTCTTGAGATGGTTCCATGGCATGGAAAAGGCAGATACAGCATAAACAGATATATATTTATATTATCTTTGCTCTCAAGTGCATGGACTGGATTCAAAGGTGTTGTGTGCTGATGGGCACGTGCACTGATGGGCCTCGGATGTGGCTCAGTATGCTGACGTCCTAATTAAAGCCGCCATGACCACCGGCGCCGCAGCATACAAGAAGCTCCGCGACGTCAAGGACGAGTACCCCTACGCGTACTTCTCTCGCAAGGGCGTTGCCGGCACGGTGAACCAGCGCCGCGCATGGCTGGCCGACGCTGGCGTTGACCAGGCGGGTCAGCGCCCAGCCCTGACGCTGCGCCTGGCCGAGCACCCCTACGTGCTCGAACCCAGGGTTCACCTCGCGGCCCAAGACTACAACGACGGTCAGCGCGAGCCCCTTCCACCTCTGCGGCCATACCCGCTGGTCCTTGCACCAGCGCCGTACGTGCCAACGCCTGGCAACAGGTCGAGCATGGTGCGTGAGGCGCTCCTGCGCGGTCTGGAAGTCGAGGTCGCGCGTCTCCTGCGCGCTCAGCAGGACGCCGAGGTCCAGGCGACCGACGACGACGCCGACGACGCTGCTGCCGCGGGCGACGAAGGCGACGCCATCCCCGCTCCCCCCGCCGACCAGGAGGAGCCCCGCCTTTGTGAGCTGGAGGACGAGCTCGAGCGCGTGCGTGCCGCGCGCACCGCCGAGCACACCGGCAACCCCGTCCAGCTCGCTGCGGATGGCGCGCGTTGCGACGGCATTCAGCAGACCCTGGATGCGATTCGCGCCTCCAGGGCGGCCGCCAGGGCGGCCATGTTCACCCCTCAGGCCGTCCAGCGCCGTAGGCGCCACCACGCCCGCCGCCAGGCCGCTCCCGCCGCTCCCGCCGCCCCCGCCGCCGGGGGAGGAGGAGGAGGTGGAGGAGGAGGAGGAGGACCCGCCCCCGCCGCCGGAGGAGGAGGAGGAGGAGGAGGAGGACCCGCCGCCGCCGCTGCTGCCGCCGCCGCCGCCTAGGCGTTGTACATGTGAATGTGTATATTTGTATAATGTGAATATTGTTTTTCATGTCTACAATGGGGTGCGAAGAAAGGGTACAAAACATTAGCTTACATTAAGGCCGCTGTGCATTAGCAATTTGTAATGGGTGGTCGCTGACACTGGTCTTGAATCACCTGTTGCTGACACTCCTCTGACTGCGCGCGCGCGCCGGTGTGGTGATGCGAGTCGCATCACCTCATGTAGGCTACTAGTATTTGTACAATGTGAATATTTGTATAAGAAGTTGTGGCGGTTGCACCAGCACTCCAGGGACGTATGGCCTGGGTTGTAGGGCTAGGCAATGTTTCCGCACAGGGCAGACGTGCCCCCAGCAAGAGCTCGAGACAATTGCAGAAGTACATAACATACAGTACATCGGGTTTATTCATTCTGAGGCGAACAAGTGGGGTCTCAGTTCAGTCCTGGTTGGTGTATGGACTGGACTATGTGTTCGTCAAATAGTACGTGATCGACGTCTCTCCATACGCACTACGCGATACATGCCCTCTATCGTCGTTGAGGGTACCTCAGCAAACCGCCAAGCTGACAAGAAAGGCAGTGGCGGTAAGCAGGCTCGCAGCATGTACCCACAAAGCATGTCCAAGTTTGTACTTGTGTTCCTAGGCTTTCGTCTCGGCTGTCCTCTTTCCAAACCTTCAAGGCTATCTAGCCCAAGTCCAACGACCTTCACTTTTCCACCTATTCCGGGCAATTGACCACCGGGATTTGGGTCGCAACATGTATGTTTGATACCCCCAGCTTGTCCAGAGTGATTTATATGCTGTCACCAATTTGGTTTCACGTTTCATCCATTTCATCAATCCTTCCATACTCTGGGCCCTGGCGCTCTGGGCTTTTGCCTCATCCACCTCTTGCCCGCAGCACCGTGGGTGTACATATACAGCTGGTCCTGACGTTACCTGGCTTCCGTCGCTGACGCCACCAGCATTGCTCGGGATAAGCCACCTCTTGTTTTCCCTCCAGGGAAACAACTCGGGAGTAGATCCTGTCCCCCTTCCCATCCTGTGTAGAAACCACTAACTGGTGATCAACCCTTGGCTTCCTCTCTCCCTGCCAGTTGCAGCCAGTTGTGTGCCAGTTGCCCAGTGATACCGGGCTCCCGCGGAGATGTGGCTCGGCAACTAACCTTTGATTGCAGTGCGCCTCGCCCTGGCACCCCTCCGCTCCCCCTCCCGTTTACTGGCTCCCGCTCCAATCGCTCTCTCCCGCTCCGTTTCGTCTCCCCCCTGGCCCCGCCGTCTCGCCGCTCACTGCCCCTCCTCTTGTGGTTACTCCCGTGCCGGTGGTTCTTATCTCCCCTCGTCCTCTGTGACCTGTTAGTTACCCCTGTTTCTGCGGTGCGCTGACCTGCTTGTAGGTCGCTCTCCCTCCGGGCGCCCGCTCCCTGGCTCGACGAATCGGTGAGTTCTAATCTAGGGTATGGGGAGTGGCGAACCCTAGTAAACACATTTCTTGAACCCCATCATACTCCATTCGGAGTATGGATAACGTCTCTTACGCCCGAGGCCAGCTATTGGGTTTGGCTACCTATAAATGGTGACACTACGTGGGGTCAGTCCCCCGCGTTGTTACCGTTTAGCGACAGCATCCCACATTGGTTGGCCTCGGTGTACGTCTCTTGAGATGGTTCCATTGCATGGACGAGACAGATCACAGCATAGACAGATAGAAACATATCTTTGTTAAAAATGCGCATTTACACTGGATTCAACAGCGTGCTGACGCCATGTGGCACTGACCCGCGTCGGGGATCGGTAAGCTGACCTTTTATCTAGGATGCCACCGACCCTGCTTGAGGAATACTTGCAGTCGCCGAGGGTCCCGAGGGACGACATTGTGGTGTGGCTTGGGCGCCACGAATACCCCTACAGGGCCCGCAAGGCCGTGCTCGTGGCTCTGGCCATCGAGAAAAACGTCGTTCCCGAGGAGATCATTCGCCTGGCGAACGCTCAAGCGCTTCCCGTCCCCGCCGCGTTCCCGGCGGTCGCTGCCGCCAGCGCCGCTCGTGCCATCCCCGTTGATCCCTGGATCCTTGTGAAGGCCAGAGCGTGGAATGACGACCGCCGCGACCCATACGAGGAGGACACCGACGGCGATGTCGTTTCCTGCTGCCGCGTTCCTCCGCCTGAGGGACCCCAACGATGAGTGCCTCTTCAGGTACTTCATGGGCAAGGGCAACGCGACAAAGTGGCCAAGCTCCTCAAGAACAAGGGCATCGACCACGCGGGCAAGCCCAAGGAGCTGGCCACACGCCTGGCCCAACACCCGTACGCCCTCACGGACGCCGAGCTTGCCGCGGCCGAGCAATGGAACGACGACCGGGCCGCTCCCCACCCGCCCACCCGCCCCACACCCCAGCCGACAGCCAGGGCGCCAGCGTCCCTCGCGAGACCCTGCTCAGGGAGCTCGAGATCGAGGTCGCGCGCCTCATCCGCGCCCAAGAGGAGGCCGAGCTGGAGCGCGGGGGCGACGAGGAGGCCGAGGCGGCGGACGCCAAGCTCGGCGACGGGGAGGGCGACGAGGAGGAGTGGGACGACGAGGAGGAGCGCCTTGGCTGGATTGACGACCAGCTCAACAAGCTCCGCCCACTCAGGGAACGCGAGTACACGGCTCCGGAGCACGCCGCCACCAGGAACCAGGACCGCGAGCGCTTCCAGGCTGTGGAGACCGCCCTGGCCAGGATCAGGGCCGCAAGGAAGGCCCCCAGGGACGCCAGGCGCGCGGCACGCGTCGCGCAGGTCGCCCAGGGCCAAGGCGCAGCCGCCCCTCACCCGCCTGCCGTCCGCCGCCGCCAGACGCGCAACTAAACCCGGCATACCTCTCTTCCCGGCCCTTCCTGCTGTGTCCCCCACCCTCATGCCCTATGCCCATGTTTACAGCCTAGTTTGTCAAGTTTTGTATGAGTAGCTTCGATTAGTGAAATGTTCCCCTCATGCCCTCATGCCTGTAGATAGCCTCGTTCCAATCTTGTACATAGTTGCTACCTCCCCTTCCTTAGCTTCTTGCCGGCCCTTGCTCTCCGAGTGCTATTCCTGCAATCCCGTGGCATCGACGAGCCTCTGCTCGCTGGATCGCTGGACAGCCAACTCATGCGTATCCGCAAGGCTCGGGAGCGCGAGTTTGGCGACGACGGGGATGCCGAGAAGGACCTCAAGGAGGGCGACGCCGCACGATTCGATGCCATCAAGAACAGACGATGCCCAGAACCCCGAGGCCCGAGGGCCAGAACCCCAGCCAGAACACCAACAACGGCGAGAACGCCCCACGGCCAGCCGCGTCGCGCAGGCGCCAGAACCGCTGATCCTGGGGAACCAGCCGTACAATCCGTCCACCCTTCCCGCTTCTTTGTCCCACTGGCCACTGGCCACCCCCCAGAGATCCAGAGATCGTTCGCCTCGCAAACGTGCAAGCCCTTCCCGTCCCCGCCGCGTTCCCGGCGGTCGCTGCCGCCCGCGCCGCTCGCGCCGCTCGTCCTTTCCCGGTTCTCGGCGCTGTCGACCGCCCCCAAGTCCCGGCTAACGCCCTTCCTCTTGCGCCGGCCCCCGTCATCCCTCTCGCCGCGTTCCCCGCCATGGCCGACATACAAGCTGCGGGGCTCCTCATGCAGATGGGCGCTCAAGCCATGAGGCGTGAGGACCGCGAGGCCCGCCTCGAGCGCAAGGCGCGTGCCGACCGCGAGGTCCGCCTTGACCAGGAGTCGCGTGCCGACCGCGACGCGCGTGCGGAGCGTGAGGCCCGCCTCGAGCGTGAAGCCCGCCTCGAGCGTGAAGCCCGCCTCGAGCGTGAAGCCCGCCTCGAGCGTGAAGCCCGCCTCGACCGCGAGGCGCGCGCCGACCGCGAGGTCCGCCTTGCCCGCGAGGCCCGCGCCGATCGCCTCGACCGCGCCGACCGCCTCGACCGTTGGGAGCGTCTTGACCGCGACCGTGGCAGGACCATGAAGCGCAAGCGCGGTGACGACGTCGAGCTCCGTAACGCCAAGAAGCAGAGGAACCGCCCCAGCCAGCGCTCCAGAGACAGCACCCAGTCTCCCGGCCCGAGCCAGGGTGGCAACGAGGAGGACGAGGACGAGGACGAGGACGAGGAGGCCGAGGAGGGTGATGCCGGCGCGTGAACCTTGTGGTCCGCAATGTGTGATAGTATGTCCGTTACTATGTCTGCGAGATGGTATTGTATCTCACAGCGAACATGCTAACTGTTTTACATCGCTCAACAATCTCGCGTTTAGTGTTCGTACCGTTTTGTAGGTCTCATTCATTTGCGTAGGCTTTTGACAATACTGAAGTGCATAGCATACAGTGGGTTTGTTGATTCACAAGCGAACAAGTGGGGTCCAAGCCCTGGTCTGTGGATTGGGCGATGTTGTTGCGCACATAAAAATCGGATTGACGGTCTCCTGTACGCTTCCCCAAGATCGGCTCTCCGTCGTCGGTGGGTCGCCTTACCAAACCGCCAAGCTGACAAGGAAGGCAGTCGCGGTAAACAGTCTCGCAGCCATACCTGCGACGACACGCCGTGTGGCGGCGCTGTCAAGCGAGAGGACGGAATATGGCGCAGGCAATGTGGGTGTCGAGTTGGCGGGTTTGAGCTCGAACGAATCTGAGACAGCCCATATTTCTGATGGTGGGTGAGCTCATGGACAAAGACAGGAGGCACAAGAAGACGTACTGGACGAGTTGTAAGCATCGTGCAGTGTAACGACGTAGCCCGAGCCTGGCAAAGCACTGATGATTCAGTTGACAGTCAACACCGAACGCGATGACAAGTAAACTCACGCGTCAAGTGACTTCAACGTGCTAAAACCAAACATGGATGCGGATACTGGGTGCCATTCAGTACTTTGTCTCCGTTCTCTCTACTCACCATTTGCACCCAGGTCGATGGGTGCAGAGAGTAACGCCACCGAGGGGTTGCTCAATGTGACGCGAAACCACACGCTTTTGGCAGAATCCCACTGCCACTCGACAGCGTTTCGGACTCCAAGAGTGACTGCCATCAGCACGCTGCCAGGGTTCAATTATTGACTTCACTACTTACACCAGTCGCTGGCTGTGGGGAAGAAGACGTATGTCTGATCGTTGGTAGCGCCGGTGATGTACGCTGTCGCGGCCGAGGCGGCGGCCGTGGCTGTGCCGACGATCCCGTTGCCATCACTGGGGTCTTCTGGGATGGGCGCCGCGCATGCTGACAGGACGAGGAGCGAGAGAATTACAGCTTTGGGGAGGCCCATGGGCGAGGGGATGGTGTACATGGTTATGCAGGTGTGTATGGTCGACCTTTGGCCTTTGGTGAGGGGTATGGAAGTGACTGATGGCGAGACAACGGAACTTGGCGTACGTTATGTGTGGTGAAGGACGCGTGCCGCGCAGGGATTCTTGCCACTCAACATATACTTACTACCTGAGAATGACTCTCCATTGTACTCTCGGTCTGAGGTGGGTCTTTGGTAAACTAACCCCTCCCCCTACTCCCTCAGAGAGTCTCGTTTCATCTACCAGAGACATGAACCAACGGCACAATGAACGAATGAGCTCCTTGATCCCACTCCTCGACACACGGGCATTGTCCCGAGCAAAACACGTCCTGTGCCTCAATATCGCACGCGCAGGGAGCCACGTCCTCAGTCCATAACCCCTGTCGGTCTCTACAAACAGCAACAGCTGCGCATGTTGCCTGGGACACTCTGGGCGTTTTTGTGTCTTCGTGCCGTGGCTCCAGTTGCGGTAAAGAGGACAACGCAACCCACCCGCGCCGCCACACATCACACCGCGCCACTGACGCACAATAGGCGGTCCTCTGGCAAATGCGACGACATTGCGACGCCCCTGACCTCACTGCAATCTGGCAGTATGTTTCAATCATGAGAAATCAGGGGGTCATGCAAGCTTGAGGCAAGCACCTGGTTCTGATAAACCTTCATAGGACCAGCACTCTCGATGTTGCCCCGTGTCTGGCGTCTTGACACAATTTTGCGAATTCAAAACACGCTGTTGTTACAGATTCGCTTCCTGCTCAGAGAATTCGCTTCCCCCTCAGAGACTGGCCCATCAGTGAGGAGCTGAACCTGTCTGGCCCACTTCACTCGTCTTCAGTGTCATGGGTCCGTGGGGATGCGGTGCAGAGCTAGACGCATCTGGTGACAGACAAACAACCCGCCTCCTCCGTCGCCTCTCGCCTCCATTCCTGACTCACACGCCGGATCTCACTGTTGGACCTGTTGTCGTACTTTGAGGTCGCTGGTCCGTGCATAGATGTCTGCTAAAGGCAGTGGCCGGGGAAATGAGGCGCGGGGCTTGAACACCATAAATCCGGGAATTGAGGAATGTGAGGGATTCGATTCGAGTATCCACGCCCCCTCCAAGGCGAAGGAGAGTGCCCATGTCTCGCAATAAACGAGGTTCTGTACATGGGTGTGGTCTCCGTGTGACATGCTCTACGACATGGAGACCCCGGTTGGCAGTGAACGTTTTCCTACACGTCATTGCTTTGGTTAAACACCCTCCGAGCCTCACCCCAGTGTGACGCTTACACATGTCCAGACACCCAAAGCCACTGACAGTTCAAAAATGGCACTTTCGCTTTCCATAAGGGTTTGAGATGAATGTAGTTACAAGATGCTGTATACGGTACAGAACTTTTCGTGCTGATATCTACGAGTGGACGGGCTTGAGCATGCGGCCCCAGGCGCGCTCGTACTGGGGCGCCGGAGCTACAGCGACGCCGAGGGCCTGAGCAGCGTCGAGAGGGAAATCGATGTGGCGGAGAACCTCGCGGCCAAAGAAGCACACGTCGGCTTCACCGTTCTTGATGATGTCGTTGGCCGCCTTGGGGTCGGTCAGGAGGCCGACGGCGCCGACCAGGAGACCGGGGACGTGCTTCTTAATGTGCGCGGCGAATGGAACCTGGTAGTTGGGTCCGACGGGGTAGCCACCGCGGTTGTCATTACCGCCCGACGACACGTCGAGGAGGTCGATACCAATGTCGCGGAGCTTGGTAGCAAAGATGGTGGTCTGCTCCAGACCCCACCACTTGTACTCGCCGTCCTGGACCTCGGGGCCATCGACGTTCTCGAGCCAGTCGCTCGCGCTAACGCGGAAGAGGAGCGGGCCGTCCCAGGCTTCGCGGACAATCTGGGCAAGCTCAAGCGGGAGACGCATACGGTTGTCAAGCGAGCCACCATACTGGTCGGTGCGCTTGTTGGAAAGGGGCGAGAGGAAGTTGTGGATCAGATAACCGTGGGCACCGTGAATCTCAATGAAGTCGAAGCCGGCCTTCTTGCAGCGCTCGACGGCGGCCTTGTACGCTGCCTTGAGCTCCGCGATGTAGGCGTCGTCAATGACCTTGGGCATCGGGTTGGTCTTTTCGTCAAACGAGATGGCTGAGGGACCGACGACTGGTAGCGTTAACAACGTGCCATTGACTTCTCACTCACCCTGGTCGGGCCAGCCGCCAACTTCACGAGTAGCGACCTCGCCGCCCTTCCAGCCATTCTCGACAGCAAGACGGGACGTCCAGGGACCCAAAGTAGACGCCTTGCGACCGGCGTGGGCAATCTGAATACCAATCTTGCCGCGGTTGGCATGGACGTAGTCGACAATACGCTTAAGCGGAGCAATCTGTTCGTCGTTCCAGATTCCAACGTCCTCGGGGCTGATGCGGCCCTCGGGGACCACGGCAGTGGCCTCAACCATGATGTTCGTCCAGCCACGCTGGGCCATCGATCCGAGATGCACGAAATGGTGATCGGTGGCCTTGCCGTTGTCCGCCGAGTACTGGCACATGGGGGCTACCCACATCCGGTGGGGCCACTCCACACCACGGATCTTGAGGGGCTTGAACAGCGGGGGGAGGGTTTCGTTCTGGGGGAAGCGGTCGGCTGGGAGAGCCGACGCAATCACCGAAGGTGGGTGGGGCAGGAAGGTTGGGTATCCCGGCGCCGGGGCGCTGGCAAACGGTGCATAGGCAACGGGGTTGGTGTCCGAGTTCTGGTCTGGGATGTTGGCTGCCGACACTGGAGCGGAATGAGCATCGGGTGCGCGAGGTTCGTCCGAGGTCGATCGTGCTGTTGTTGACAACTTACTTTTAATTTAAGCGATGTTGCGATGGGAAGGGATGAGGAGTGTAGTGACAGGAGGAGAAGACGGGATGAAGAATGGTGGCCGGACGGAGAGATGCGTCCTTTATAGGGGGGGGGGGGGGGGGGGGTGGGCCATATTGATTCTGAACATCACGTCATGGCCCCTTGATTACCCAAGGTCCCTCCACCACCTCCACCGAGCTTTTCCGACAACAGCACTTTGCTTGATAATACATACGGCGTCTCCAGCAGCAGAAGGTGCACAAGCTTGCCGGCTCCGAGAGATATGGGTTCAGCACGGAAATGATTCAGCAAGAGCACGTGCATCACAGGTTATCTGCATATCTGCACCTTTCCATCTCGGGTTATCTGCAGCTTCGGACCTGTGCGGGATATAGGGGGACATGGACAATGAACTTGGCATAGTGGGGCTACAAACAACATGTGGGACACCAACCCTCTGGCCTCCGTTCCGTCTCTTCTTTCGCGCTGACTACTCCTTTGCGCTGACTATTCCTTCGCTTGCACCCTCCACGTTAAATCCTGCTTCCGTGTGGCAACGACCGACAATCGGAGTTGATTCGGAGGGGCAAATGGCCGGTACGAAAATGTAGCACCGATCACGTCGACGGAAATTCCGGAGCGACCCCGTAATGGATGGTAGAATAGCAGCAATCTCACCGTCCGCCATCCACCGCACGCAGGAGACGTTCAATTTCCTCTCCACCACCCTCAAACATCAAATCAAGAGAGTCGATACTTGTGTCGCCGTCAGAGCTAGGCTGTGGTTCTGGTGGAGGAGGGGGGCGCATAACGGGCTGGGCGGAGCGAGTCGAACGGGTGGCAGGCACTGCCGGTGTAACGCGAGGAGGTGGAACAGAGCGTGGTTGACGAGTGGTCGCGAGATGGCTTGTGGGTTGCACTGGACGCTGAACGCCAACGCTGGTTCGTGTAGTCGAGTACCGGGTTGGGAGAGGGGCGGGTGACACATTGTGAGGCGCACGAAGGGGACTGGCGATTGCAGCAGAAGCAGAGGCCGCAGCACGGCGTGGGCTGGACCGTACACCTGGTGCAGCGTCGATGGAGTTGCGGAATGGCCTGGGAGCCGACTTTGTCTCTAGAATGTTGACAGCAGACACGGCGCCACGATCGCGAACGGATGTAGGTGTCGACGGCTTCAAGGGCAACGAGCGAGTGGTGGAGACAGGCGTCCGACGGTTGGTGTTGACTGTCCTGTCCATCATCGGCTTCCTGTCGCCTGGTCGATCCCAGCCCATGCTGCCCGTGCTTGAAAGTGTGGTGCTAGACCCACCGCCTGACGTTGCAGTCCTCTGGGTCAACGACCCGTTCCGAGGCGTCGAATTGGCCGAGTTAGGTCGTGAGCTAATGTCCAGGAATCGATCAAGGAGCTCGTCCAGCCTTTTCCCAGGTTCGTCAGAGGCGGTCTGCGGAGCCGTAACTGAGGAGGTCGACCTGGTCGCCCGGCAAGGACGCTTGCGTGGGTGGCTTGTTCCTGTGCCAGTCGAGCTGCTTTCGCCATAACCTCGAGGTCGCTGAGTTGGAGCAAGTGCAGGCATGGGCTTGTCTTGGAGAGGTCAGACTTGCATTAATGCAAAACGCCCGGCTACTCACCACTTGGGCCTGACAACATAAACTCTCGCAGCAGCTGGTTGTCCTGTCCCCATGTCACTCCGGGTTCGTCTTGGGATCCGTCCAGCTCGCGCATCTCGCGTTTGCGCCGCGCTCGGGTGTTTGGTGTCTCCATCTTGACCGGCGCGGGCGAACAGGTAGGGCTGCCGATATATTGCGAAGATTCAGGCGAGTTGGGCTGAGTCGGTGTCTGGCAAGGAAAGAATATTTGGTCGTCGTCGCTCGTCGAGTAGGAGGAGGCACGGTGCACCGGGGAAGGGAGGAATCGGGGCGGCGAGGGGCGCGAGTGCAAGGTGAGCGGGAGGGAGTATGAGGTAGGAATGGTGACGCGAATCACGATGTCAAGAATATGGGAGGGTAAGGGAGCGCGCCTTAGCAGCGCAGAGTGCGCTGTAGGGCCGGATGTTGTTGATGGACGAAACGAGGAGAACAGACGCAAGAAGTCAGTCGCGCCTGTTTGCAAGGTAAAAGCAAATGATTACGTAATAAATTTAAGCGGGATCAAATACCCGCCACCACCCGCGTGTTCATGACCAGAGAGGCAATGACGGCGACGACACAGCCGAGAGATGTTGGCGCCCTGTCGGGCTATATCTCTTGCATTCTCCACCTCTCTCTCCTACGCGTCGTCTCATCATGTCCCTCCTCCACGCCCTCGTAGCACGCGGGTCCACAGTCCTTGCAGAGAACTCGGTTGGGGACACGCTCCTTAAGCCCGGTACGTAACCCACCACAGGCCCAACGCGTCCCTCGTGACACTTGCTGACAGCTGGCAGCGGCCAAGATTACCATCCTGTCAAAGATCCCTCCCAACAACTCCAAGCTCACCTGTGAGCTTTGTTTTGCACATGTTGAACTCTCGTATTGACCATCCTTCTCCTCAGATGTTTGGCAAGACCGTCTGATTCACTACGTCTCGTCCGACGGTGTCATCTACCTCGTCATGGCCGACGACTCTGTCGGTCGCCGCATGCCATTCAGTTTTCTGGCAGAGGTTGAGCGGCGCTTTACAGCCACCTACCCTGCCGACACGATTGTCGCTGCGGGAGACCATGACCTGGACGAGTTTGATGCCGAGCTGTCTCGCCTCATGCACCAGTACCAGACCGCGCCGCCTGCCGACCCCCTGAAGCAAGCACAGACCGACCTGAACAACGTGTGAGTGGCGGTAGTGGTCAAGACTGGGCAGTTCAATGGCTCCTGCTTTTTGGCCCAGTTATTGTATGCCTTCACAGCCCAGCTGACACGCTTCAGCAAGGACATTATGGTCCAGAACATTGACTCGATCCTGCAGCGCGGCGAGCGTCTGGATCTCCTGGTCGACAAGACGGACACTCTGGCGGGCCAGGCGTACGCGTTCCGTCGCGGTGCGCGCGCCGTTCGCCGCCAGCAGTGGTGGAAGAACACACGCATCACCATCCTCACCGGTTTTGTTTGCTTCGTGGGTGCTGGGCTTCTTGATAATGGCTGACCCATCGCCCAGCTCATCGTCTACCTCCTCATTGCCCAGTTCTGCGGTATCTCCCTCTCACACTGCCGCAGTTAAACATCCCTCTTTGTTTCTTGTATAGACTGATGCACATGTTGTATTTGGCGAAACTGGTTCTGTGTATCCATCCTTTCTGGCAGGCTTGTTATACAATGCATGATCTGCTGCGCTCTATCCCATATGTTCACGTCGCTGCTACGCTTCACAGAGCTTAGAGCTCGGCCAGCACACCCATCGCCAAGCTCTGGGTAACCTGGTCGCCGAGGCTCTGCTCAACAGCCTCCTCGAGATGGCGCTTGGGGTCGAGCTTTCCGACGTGACGGGTCTTGAGCTGCTCCGGAGTCAAAGTAGCCTCCTCCTGGACGCTCTTTGTGTAGCTGGTGGCGAGCTTGAGCATGTTGGCGACAGTCTTTTCGTTTTCCTTTTCGCGCTCCTCGTGGTCCTTGAGCTTGAGGCCCTCGGTCCAACCGCGCTTGTGCAGGTTGAGCAGCATACCTTGCTCGGCCTCGGTCTTGCGGTATTCGATTGCGAGCGAGTAATAGTGCCTGTTCAGGCCGTGGATCAGCGCCTGAATCGAGGGCTTGTTGAGGTGGCCAATGTTCGAAGTGGTCTGTCGGCTCTCCTGGCCAGTCATCAAGGACTGCGGGTTGATGGAGCGGAAGGCATCAATCACGACCTTGCCGCGCACCGACTGGATAGGGTCGATGACGACGGCAACGGCGCGAGGGTGCAGAGCCTCAAACGACTGCTGGGTGTTGACGTCGACAGACGACAGCCAGCATCCAAAGCCGGGGTGCGAGTGGTACCAGCCGACAACCATCTCGGGGCGACCAGTCTGCTTGAGCATGTCCAGCATCTTGGTCTGGAAGACGTGGTCGACGGACTCGACAGTCACGGTCGTACCCGACTGCGGCATCGCAAAGACATCGACACACGAGATCTGGATTGGTTAGCACATCCGGGCTGCTACAAGATATCTAACACCACTCACAGTGTAGTCGTCGACAAACTCGCCCAGCATCAGGCCCATCACCTCCATGGGCACACCGGCACGGCCGTGCTTGAGCATCTTGAGGAGCGCGAGGGACGAAATATGGACAGTCTCACCGCTGCCTTGTTAGCATACCATTCCTAGTCAATAGGCAAGCTCACTTGTCGGGCAGAACAACCTCCTCGCCGCGGCCCTGCGCGCCACCGAGGAGCGAATCCATAGCGCGTGAGCCTGTGGGCATGTTCATGTTGAAGGAAGTGGGATGCGGGTTTCGTTGTCGAAGAAAGGGAGGGGAGTTCGAGAAGCCGGAGAGAAAAGAGGGATACCAGACAAGCAATAGAGTTGCTAGTCTATGCGTGGGATAGACAGGGTATTGCTGTTAAAGGCGATGGTTGTTGTTGAACGATGTGGATGGTTGTAGACGTTGTCGTTTGGTCTGTCATTCAGTCGCGCTGACGACAGTGTTCGCGTCAGTGACATTTGCTTCCGTTGGTTCATTACTATCGTCCCCCCACTTAGGACTCTGAACCCTCAGGTCACAACACCACCATAACAGTAGGATGGGAAGCATGCATGCAAGTGCATATAATACGTATCGATGGTAGAGGGGACAATGAACGGGCATGCCAGTTTTCGAGATGTCCGGGCAAGAATTGAGTAATTGGCCAACAAGCGCACTCCTGGTGCTGGCACGACCTCTCGTCGTTCCGTCAAGTTGATCTTGTCCTTTGCCTGAGTGGCTGCAGTGCTGTTTCATGTATAAAAAAGGTGTCATATGTCTAGCTAGCTCCGTCAAGAATGGACTGGGCCGCAACATTGTGTGTGGCCTTGGCACCCGTGAGGGTGAGCTCAATCATCTGCAATGTGTCAGCTTGGGACGTTCTTCTGCTGACAGCAGTTTAATAGGAGCCTGAAGGAGCTGGCGGAGTGCGTGGAACGCCATATACCCGGTCCCACTCACCTCGCAGGCCTGGTCCAAGTCCACCTCGCCAACGAGATGCAGGCTAGTCACCTTGCCGAGAGCGGGCATGGCCCCAAGGGTGACTGTGCACTGGGCCGTGGAAGTCTCGTCACCAGTGGGATCGAGGAGGAGGGTCTGTCCGTCTGTCGACTGTGTAAATCGTCAGCCTAAGGCCAAACGCAGAGCGTCTAGGTGACTTACCACAACACTTCCGACCGCCAGGCCATTTATGGGGATACCGGCATCAGTGACGGCCGCGCACGCGGCAGTCAGACCGGCCGAGAGGACAGCGGCATCGCTGTCAGCCTCAAGGACTAGGATGTGTACGTCCACGCTGAGCTTGGGGAGGAGATGCAGGCGAAGGGCTGGGAGGAGGAGCTGGGTGAGGAGCGCGGTGTGGTTGACGGGCTCGGTGTCCTACCATGTCAGATGGGACGTTGGCAAATATGTCTACTCACGCGCAAGGGAGCACGGCGGGCACGGCTGGCAAAGGGGGCAAACTTGACCTCGAGGTTGAGCGTTCCATGAGGGGTGTAAGGTGGAGGCCTCGGACGGGGACCAAAGCTAATAGCAGAGTCAGACACGTTGTTCCTGCGTTGTCCAGCCTGTGGGGCTGCCTTGGGCATTCGAGGTTGACCAACACTTACCATGAACACGCAATCTTCACACCAGCAGCTTCAATGTAGGCACTGCCGTTCGCCTGAGTCACAAGGCCGGTCTTGAGGACTGTCCAAAGGTCAGCGATACGTTCCATCACCTCCGGGGCCATAGCCCAAAAGATGGACGTACAGATGGGACGAAGGGCGTCCGCAGGCCTGTCGCGCTTTGAGGGCCCTGCCTCCGACTCGGCAGTAGCGTATACTGGTGGGCGGGACTCCTCTGGTGCGGGGATACGTCTCCTGTCGAACTGGGTGGTCATCGTGTTTGGGAGATATGTAGGAGGAATGACGGAACAGAGATGGGCCACGGCCATGGCCTGTGCAAAGGTTGTAAACCACATCTGGTCCCGAAATTCTTCCGTGACATCATTCTCCACCCGTGGCCTTTCCGACGCAGACCGACCACCTGTACGTCCCTCATGCCTTCCTCCTTCCTCATCCCTCTTCTACGTCACTGTCCCCCAACCACCGAACTTCGGAGCGTCCCAGTCATGGGAATCTAAAGCCCGCGAGTACGGTCCGAAGTGGAAGCACACAGTGGCACCCTGCTGCTTGGTCACAAACCCGGGATTTTCAAAGTCTGACATTCACCCTGCCGCTCGGTCGCGAGGGTAGACCTAAATCATCACGTGACCATTTCATTTTCGCGCATAGGATATAGGAGAAGAGAAGCACCTACCCCGAATACCGAGTCCAGCCCGGCCAGCCCCAAACGGGAATACAACAGGCCAGGGCACCACGGTAAGAAAATCGATTTCCGCGTACCACGGTACCACGGTACTACAGTAGTACAGTAGATCGTAATAGATTTCGGCCTGCGAGCAGACGTCGAGAAGGCAAGTCAATCAAGCTAATACCCGGCCACACCAGGCATAGCTTCCACATCCATCACGGCTTGATGGCACCTAGTCAAAGCAACACTAAGGCTTCCGCCCCGTTCTGCTTTGACTAAGTGCTAGCAATACAGGAGGCCCCACAGCACCTACACCCCATGGTGACATGAGGCATAGGTCGAACGATACTACAGTCGTTTAGAGCCCGCCGGATTGAGTGCACTTTAATGTGGCGCTGTGACCACACACTACGCGCAGCACTCTGGGCATACACGAGACATCCTGCGGAACCAGGACGCGCTTTGGGCATCTACCAGAACCAAGATGCCTCGCGGTGCGGATCACCAGCTGTGGGACGTCGACCACCGATGGTGAGTCAACCAGAACCAGGTCCTCGCACCTCGCGGTGCGGATCACCAGCTGTGGGACGTCGACCACCGATGGTGAGTCAACCAGAACCAGGTCCACGCACGAGTTAAAGGCCCCACGGCGGTCGCAAGAGGTGTGGTGGGGGGGGTATAAGGTGTGGATGATGACAATGAGAAAACGGACCGATTGTGCGATCCATTAAATAAGGTGCGGCGAGTGTGCTCGGTTGCAGGTTGACTCACTCGCCCGGTTTAAACGAAATGCCGAAACGCTGGGGCCCGTATGATTGGTCCCGACGGCCCTCAAGATCAAATCACGTGATTTAAAGGGGGGGGGGGGTCAATCACGTATGTGGGCGACTACCTAGTGCCGCAACTTCGCATTCAAGTGACCAGTTATCACATGCTGTAATAGTGAGCATTGCTCTCCTGGCTCGCCGTCGTCGAGTGTGCCGGGACATACGGTAATGGCTGACGGAGCAGGTGTGCGGGGAGATCACGTAGTGAGGAGGACGGTGTCAATCACGTGACAAGTGATCTTGCTAATCACGTGACACCTGATCTTTCTAATCACGTGACATCTGATTTTTCTAATCACGTAACTATTTGATCTACATGTCGCTTCTTCCTACCTTCTGGTTGATAAATCACGTGATTGATCAAGCTATCTAGCTCGCTAGCCATCTGCAGCTATCCGCAGCTCCGCGGGCTATATGTTGATTGGTACGGGCCGCTTTAACATCCGTCACCTCACTTCCTCTCTGAACTCAACTCCACCTCCTTTCCTCCCCCCAACCCCATCATCCTCGCACCCACTCCCTTCGTCATTGATAACCATCCATCAATCCATCATTGAGCACTTCCACGTCCATGCAAAGTGTGGCCTGTGTCAATGATAGGTGAGGCCGTGGGGCGTTTAAACCGACCGCATATCCGGTCCACGTTCTGGTCAGACCACCAAAGCGTGTGCGCAGAGCCGTGGTGGCGCAAGCACCATGTCGACGATACGCTGCAGCCGTGGGGCTTTAAACCGCGCGAGAACCTCGTTCTGGTTGACGCCAGTTCTAGTGATCCCCCAGAAAGCGCCAGCCGTTCCAGTTCCGGTAAATCACCCAACGTGATCCCGGTACTGGTATTACGCGAGCGTGTGCGCAGAGTGTGCGCCGAGTGTGGCCTAAACGCCACATGAAAATGCACTCAAGCCGAGGGGCTCTAAACCGCAGTGTAGAGAACGCAGGCGCCTAATAACCATTCCTCCCACCAGCGATCTGACGCCTCTAACCTGCCACTGACGTCTTCCGCCCCCAACCCAACCCAGACAAACAAACTAACTAACTAACTAACTAACAGCCGTGGGGCTTTAATTCAAAATCTGGGTTAACCACCGCCCACTTGGTTTACCCCTCGTGTGTTGAGGTGCGTCTACTTGGGTTACGCTTCTCTTAGCGTTGCGCACAAGCGCTACAGCCGTGGGGCTTTAATCCCAACCGCCACCGTCGTCCACGCTTGCTTACCACTCGTGTGTTGACCCGGACCAAGTGTGGTTCACGTTTCTCAGAGCGTGTGCGCAGAGTGTGCGCAGAGTGTGGCCTAAACGCCACATGAAATATGCACTCAAGCCGAGGGGCTCTAAACTTGCGGCTGACGTCTCTAACTTGCAACTGGGCACCGATCACTAACATCCTGTCATTTGGACCATACCCATCTCCTCCTGCTCCGTCTCCTTCAACTTCGACTTCGACTTCGACTTCCACTGAACTTTCACTTGTTCTTTTCGCTGTCAACTCCTTCCTCCAACCCTCTTCAGCGAAACCACTCGCTGTGCTTCGAGTGATGATGGTGATGACACCATATACTCTGCTGCTCGATCGCGAGGGGTATAGATGACCGGGCGCCTCGTATACATTGCTAGCACTTAGTCAAAGTAGAACTGGGTGGAAGCCTTAGTGTTGCTTTGACTCAGTACTCCCAACACGCGCTGTAGGGGTCTCGTCACGTGACCCCCGGCACGGAAGCGAGGAGGAGAGCATGACAGGGAGCGCGCATGTCTCCCTGTCCCATCTCCAAATCACTCTCCTCCCTCACCGTCTCCCTGTCCCATCTCCACATCACTCTCCTCCCTCACCGTCTAGGTCATTGGCATTGATCCCACATCACGTGACTTTTTGACCTACATCACGTGACTTTTTGATTTTAGTCACGTGATCTTTTGATCCTAGTCACGTGCGTGGCGCGAATCGGCATTTCGGCGTTATAATGGCGCCGGGGGGGGGGGGGGGGGGGGTGCGATGACACCATATATATGGGACGCCAACTCTCATCGTCCATCGCTCCCATCTCACCATCACAATGACTCAATCCCTCATCATGCCAACTGCACACTTCATCATTCATTACCATACCTCCCCCTCCCCCACCCTTTCAAACCCTTCGTCTCTCGACGCCAACCTTTCCTCCCCCTCTCATGATGCTGGCCAGTTCCCGCGTCAATGAAGTGCTCATACCTTGGGCTTTATCTCAGGCCATTTGCCTCTCGCAGCCTCGGCTACTAGCCGTGGGGCGTGTGCCGAGCGTGGTATACCCACTCAATGATGCACCACAGCCGTGGGGCTTTAAACCGAGCGATATGCCCGTTGTTGTGGACCCCTTAGAGTGGGTCCTGGTTCTGGTATGTCGCCCATCAGGTGTGGGTTCTGGTCTGGTTGGTCACTGGTCTGGTCAATCCCCCGACTTTGGGTGCGGGTCCTGGGCTGGTTGACTCCCCATTCGCGTGGGCGCGGGTCGTGGTTTGGTGATCCCCCAAGGTAGACGTGCGCAGAGTGTGCGCTGTGTGTGGCCTAACCACCCATATTAAAGATACACTCAAAAGCCGAGAGGCTCTGAACGACCGTAGCCCTCTGCCGCTCGGTCACGGGGGGTATAGATGATCGGGCGCCTCGTATACATTGCTAGCACTTAGTCAAAGTAGAACTGGGTGGAAGCCTTCGTGCTGCTTTGACTCAGTACTCCCAAAACGTGTGTTGCGTCCGGCGTGGGCTTTGGTTCAGACTGACGCCTGCATGATGGACCGTCATCAACACCGTCATTTCCCACCCAAGTTGATGATTGCTTCCGTACTTTGGTGTAGGGGTCTCGTCACGTGACCCCCGGCACGGAAGCGTTACATCTCTCCTCGCCGTCAGCAGACGTGCCATACTGTAGATCACGTGCCTCAACGATCACGTGACAGAACAAAGGTTTGATCCCACATCACGAGATACCGTGACTGTTTGATTCCCTATCGTGACTATTGAACTATTTGATCCTAGTCACGTGTTTAATCCTCACGTGACTCTTTGGGTCCCTATCACGTGACTATTTGATCCTAGTCACGTGTTTGATCCTGTTCGGCATTTCGGAATTATAGTTCGTTACACGGGCCAGATATCTGACGCCTGCCTCTTTTCGTCCGTCCTTCTCAACAACTGAATACCCACCACATGCCGTCCTGCACTTCATCGTCCATTATGGACACTATCCCCTCCCCTTCCAACCTTTTTTTCCCTCGACACCCCAACATCCTCTTCTCCCCCCTCTCATTGTGTGGGCCAATTCCCACGTCTATGAAGTGCCCACACCTGTGGGCTTTAGATCATCCGAGGTTATATCGCCCGCACTCATGGCTATTTCCTGTGGGGCGTGTGCGCTATTCCCTTGTGCAGCCACGGCTACTTCCTGTGGTCTGAGTACCGAGCGTGGTATTACCACTCAATGATGCACTGGCAGTCGTGGGGCTTTAAACCCGAGGCTCACATTCCCTCCGTCACCGTGGCTATTTCCTGCGGAACGGAGGCTCACATTCCCTCCGTCGCCGTGCTATTTCATGCGGAACGATGCGCAGAGTGCGCGCTACGTGTGGCCTAAACATCCACATTAAAGATGCACTCAAGCCGATGGGCTCTAAACGACCGTAGCACCTTGCCGCTCGGTCACGAGGGGTATAGATGACCGGGCGCCTCGTACACATTGCTGCAGCACTTAGTCAAAGTTAGAACTGGGCGGAAGCCTCTGGTGCTGCTTTGACTCAGTACTACATGAATGTGGGGGAATGTGTCGGCGGTCTAGATCGTTGAGATTGGCTGCTGATATGGATATCGTCTGTGGTGCAGTGTGGCAGGAGGACTGTCGAATTCACGAGGGATCTCACGACTGATCTGTACTGACGAGACATGGTGCAGGTTCCATCTGGAAGCACCCAGGACTGTAGTACATACACGCCGTACACATACACTGCTGTACAGCACAGTACGAGTTTCATCAACTTGCAGAACGCAGAAGCTCCCCCTCGCGGCTGGACGGAATGCTGCCCGACTGGCGGAAAACAGTATCAAGTCCCAGCCACTTGCCCTTCGCCACTTGCCGAAGGGCAAGGCACCCCTCCCCTCTGGCCCTCGTGGATGGTTGCAAAGCAACCGTCTCCACAAGAGGCTGCGGCAAACGGCAACAACCTGTGGCCTGTGGTGAGAGCCCTGAACCCGTTCTCAACATTACCTGTCTGCCCCATCTAATGGGGACTGCAGGCTCGTACTTCAGCGTTCTGGGTCGTCTTGGGCGTGGGAATTCTCATTGCGTGCGCTGTCGCTCTGGACTGGGTGGGCGAATCTGCCACTCAAGTCTGGCGACACAGTCGGACCATGCGAGAGGCGAACATGGGTACTGTCCAGGGTGATCCTACGCGAGGGTGCCGGCGAAACGGGCCCGCTGTAACCTACCACCCTCAGAATCCTCTTCCTCACAGTCAAGCCGGCGTTTCGAGTAGCAAGGCGACCAAACCTCCCCGTGCCGCCTTCGGATGCCGGTGCCCATGCTCCAGAGTCGGTCCTGGGAGACATGTGTGGACCTCAAGTGACCGGCACTGGTTCAGATATAGAGCACTCGCAAGCCGGCCGTTGATGCTGTTCCCCGGGGTTTGCGGGCACACCATCACCCATTCTTCACATTATCACCCTGTCCCCATGCGCGCCCTCGCCATCGTCGCCGCTGTTGTCTCTGTGGGTAGGCTTGTCCGTGCTGCCCCACCTCCCACTGTGCACCGCGGGCCATCCCAGCCGGGCACAAGTACGCTGAGCGTCGAGCCCACGGACTCGCAAGCCGAGGCATTGGTTTCTGGAGCTGTCCTCGCCGCCATCCAAGTTCCACTAGCGACATCGGACTCGAGCTCCGCCAAGCCGAGGACAACGAGCGGCAAGGACTTGGGCAGTGCGTCCCCTGCCGCCTCAACGGACGCTTCAGCTGTCACCGGCGCACCAGCTGTTGGTGGTGGAGGTACAACGACGACAACGACCGTGGTCGTCGTCACCGCCACGGAGATTGCGCCAGAGGCGAACGCTCCAGCGCCCGGGTTGGCCAACGGCGCCACCATCTACTATCCCACAGCAAGCTCCTTCTGTGAGTGCAGCTCCCTGTTGCCATTATCCCTCCACAGCCACAAGTGAAATTGGAAGTTGCCGGGGCCCTCTTGTGAGTTGCCCCTGGCAACCAACATTTCCCGAGTGTTTCCAGTCGCCTGGCTGCACAACCGACCCCGGAGCGGGATCGCAGTTGCATAGCGCCAATGAAAAGTGAACAGCGCTACAGGGCCATCGACGAACAAAGGACCAGAAAGGGAGACGAGACTTGCTGAAAGAAGTTTCAAGTTTCGGCTGACGCAATCACTTTGCAGGGGTCGCAGATGCACTCTCGGTTGTGCGGTGGGCACCGGCTTTGAACGTACCCACCAACTTGTGGTTGGCAAACAACGACACGAGTCTGCTGGCATACACGTACACGCTGAGCACCGACATTTACAAGGGTGTAACCGACCTGGCCGTCAGCTTGACATTACCGTGAGAGACGATGCGGCCTGCGACTGTCAAAGCTTAGCTGACAGTCAGGAAACCGGGGCCAGGATACACATTGATGCTTGTGGACACGGGCAACAACACGGGTGGGTGAGAGCTTGCGTGGAATGTGTGAACGCGTGTCATCCATGCGGCACACATTGAACATTACGGATCACCGACCGCGCTCAATGTTCCAACATCGTGCCGTGTGCCGTGCGTGCCGTGTCACCCAACACACGCAGCACCAATGGCCTGCATACTGTAGATACGACGTGGACGTGGTCTTGTTATACCGTGCCCCGGAACGCTCGGCACTCTAGCCGCCTTCTTTCCATCCTTTCCAGTCCCAGTCCGCTGACAGAAACACCAACAGTATACGCTACGTCTGAGCTGTTCGAGCTTAAGAAGGCCGGGAGCTCTGTCCAGCTTCCAGCGGGATACACTGCTGCGTCGGCGACGGCGGACATTACGGACGGGCTCACTGCCAGCAGCCTGACAAGCGTCGCGGGCCGGCGATGGGGTGCGCCAAGCTGGGTGCCGTGGGCGTCGTGGGCGGCGGGCGGGGTGCTGGCGCTGGCGCTCTGAGACGCGCCAGGAGATCAGGAGAAGAGGGGACGCGACTGAACACTTGCTGCATAGAAGAACTGGACACTGTTTGTGTAACGTCAACAACAAGAAGACGAACTCAACAAGGAACATTTATAGAATCAATAGAACTCGTTTATGTACCACCACCACGGCCCCACAAGCATAGACAGATGGTACAGAGACACCGCATGCCTAAGAGCCTCTGAACCAAAAGGAGCGACATGCCAACCTGAACGGGTTGTCTTGCCCTGGAGGCAGTGTCTCGTCGGACGACTTCGAGGCGCGCGTCGGCTGGGCAGAGTGAGGTACAGAGGCCAAAGGCCAAAGGCTAAATACGGGCCACGGGCCATTGCGGCTCACCGGTGCGACAAGCCACAGGCAAAAGTCGCCATGCATACCCGCCCATGCGTGCCAGAACAGGGAAGGCCAGCACGCAAAGAGCAACAATGGCATGCATACGACAGCTCTTGGCCTCCTGGCTTGTTGGCTGCAGGCTGCAGGCCTGCTTGGCGGTGCTCTGAACTCTGGCGGATCCCGCCTCCCGGCTGAAACGGGCCCCCCCACGCGTGCTCACCCTTTCGCCCACCTCCCACGCATCTCTTTCTCTACTCATTATTCTCTCTCTCTCTCTTCCATCAGCTCGCCCCCTCTCTCCCCCACTGCCAAGCACACTCCTTCCACTATGCTCGCCCACTTCCTCGCTCTCGCCGCTGCCCCGCTTCTCGCGGCCGCGCAGATCACCATCACCCAGCCCTCGGCAGCCCTCTGGTGTGCGTAGACATCGTCAACAACCGAACAATGCTTTTTAGGCCTCTGTTGTGCTGACATGGCTATTTCTTTTGCAGGGGTTGACAACTCGGTCAACACTCTCGCCTGGACCCAGGGCACTGGCACCAACCCCTCCGAGTTCACCGTCATGCTCGCCAACAACGACACCAGCCTCCTCGCGGACCGTGTTGCCATCTTTGCCATTGGTGCGTTGCCCCGTCCCCGCGCTTGCCAGGGTAGAATACACACACACCCCACCTTCTGCGGATTGAGGGGAACCCATTATGCGTATTCCTCCCATCCGCAGGCCGCAGCCGCAGACAAGCTTTCTCATATGCGTTTGCTAACCTCCCCACAGCCTACGCGTACCAGTACTCGCTCACCGTCCCTGCGTAAGTCATTGTCGTGGATGTGAAACCAGCGATGTCCGCGGTCGAGCCCGCACTTGGCCCAACTCACTCATGGCACATGCCACCGCCCTGGCCCCCCTTGAGCAAGGACCTTCTGTGCTGACTGTGACAGTACCCAGTGGCAGGCCGGCACCGGCTACACCATTCAGATCACCGACACTCTCAACACCTCGCGTAGGTTATCGCACGCTTTGCGGTTGGCGGACCAAACTGACTGTTTGCAGACATCTACTCGACCTCGGACACCTTCGAGCTCAAGGCCTACGGCTCGGCTTACCCCACCAACGTGGCTACGTCGGCTTCGGTCACTGGCTCGGCCAGCGGCTCGGGATCGGCTGCGGGCTCTGCCACCGGGTCGTCGGCTGCTGCTGCTTCGTCGACCGCCGCCAAGTCGGGCGCCGGCAACAAGGCTGCCAGCGTCGTCGCCGTCGCTGCCGCCGGTGCCCTCGCCTACGTCATGGCCTAAACGCTGTCCCGTTTCGATGACGGTGGTAGTGTGCTGCTGCGAGAACGCGGTGTCTACGCATAACGTTGTAGTCTCGCTTTCACGCTGTGGCCTGTTTGTGTTCGAGAGGTGCCAGGGCAGCTCTAGGTGGCGGGGTGGCTGGCCTGGGATCTGGTTATTGGTTTACTTGCATACTAGTGGGAGGAGCGTCGGCGTGGAGCAGACCCGATGCATAATGTTACCCGGAGTTTGAGCAGCAGCGCTTGGCAGAGAGACAGAGACGGACTGAAAGGTATCAAGAGAACCAGACATCGTTGCACAGACGCATGTTTGTAGGCGGAGACAACCTGCCGCCTTCTACTTCCGTGCTGCGGTGGGCACAAGATGATGCAATCAGTTGGGTCTGGTCCCTCATCCAGCCAGCACAATCACACATTCCACATCCCTCTCGTCTACCCACATCACTCTCTCCCTCTCTTCTCTATCCTTCGCAACCCTCTTCTATCCCCCTTCTCTCCCCCCCTGCCCCGCTTCCCGTCTCCCCTTCACTGCTCGCCCGCCCGCCTATGCCCAGCTCCAAGGCGCCTACGCGCCCGCAGCATCCAATGACCCTGGTTAGCTCCACACACACACACCACTTGCCACCCCGCTCACGCACACTTGCAGCACGACGTCGTCGTAGACTATGTCCTCAACTCGGCGTACACCGGCACCGCCAAGATCCTCGCGTCTTGCCCTCCCCGCCCCACATCCGCCTCGTCGTCGGGCTCGGGAACATCCAGCTCTCACCCGTCCCCCTCGCCGGAACGCATGGACGTTGATGTTGACGCCGACGTCGCTGGCGACTTGGGAAGTGACGATGCAGCACAAGCGCACGGGGAAGCGGGGAGCAGGCCGCTTCTCGATGACGCAGCACTGGCCTCTATTGACCAACGTAGAGGTGAGTTGTACGGTGGTCAACGCGACCTCTTGCCACCCATTCTGGATGCACGCGAGTGGACGACGGCCGTCATGTCCGGAACCCGCAGCTGACCACCTGTAGCGATCTTAGACTACATTCTCAACGGTGCGGTAGTGCGCGCGGTCGATGCCTTGCAGACACACTTCCCTGCCGTGCTCGCCCCGGCTGTTCGGAATGGCGGCGGGTCCTCGCCTGGCGGGTCGTCGGCGGCGGCAGTTGTCGCCAGTAATGGGGCAGGGAACGGGGCGTCAACGGCGTCGAATGGTGCCTCGTCATCGTCCGCCTACGTCCTTACCCCGCGCGCCGTCCCCTTGGCGCGGGGTATGGCGGGCTCGCCAGCTCCTACCAACCACGAGACCCCCGTGTTCGTGCACAGCGCGGACCCAGACCATGTCCGACTCAACCTCCAAATACAGCAGTTTATCGAGTCGTTCCGGCAACTCGCTCCCTCCGCCCCGTCGTCCCCTGCCAACTCGATCGAGAGCCTCAACGGCTCCTCGAACCTGACCGGTTCCAAAGAGTTGACAGAGGCTCTGTCCGCCCTCCAGGCGCTGCACACAGATGCGACCCGCCTCACGCCCGACCACCGCGCATACTACCTCCAGGAGATCAAGGATGTCGGTGCGCTGTTTGCCTACACCGACCCCGAGAACAGTATCCTGCGCGGCTTCCTCGACCAGGCGCGCAGGATCGCCTTGGCCCAGCAGGTCAACGCTGCCATTCTCAGTGCGTGGCCGCGAAATGAGATTTTTGATCGAAGCTGACCTCCCGCGCAGAGTCTGAAGGCCGTCCAGTGCGTTCCCATCTCGAGGAGGTGGTGCGGCGTACGCACGCCATTTACGCAACTGTCGCCGAGCAAGGCATCGACCCGCAGCCATCGTGGACTGGGGACGCAAAGGGCGCAGCGGTTAGTGTCTCTCCTCTTCCTCTTCCTCTCCTCCCTCAGGTGTGTTTGCGCTGACAACCCGATAGCACTGGCGGATTGCTGAGCAGCTCAAGCGAAAGCCGTTCCAGAAGGGCGGGTTCAACCTTCACGAGTATGTGTGGGAGTCATCGTAGAACGTTGCGCTAGACTGTTCACCTGTCAATGTGTGCGGCTTTGCTTCCCAACGCCATTGTAGAGATGCGGCCCGAGCCACAACCAGTTGTAGAATGGGCTCCGCGTATGTTGTAGATTCCCATATCCCGTAACAATCGTGCTCTTGGCCCACTGTTGCTTCGCCTATTGCAGTTGTCCCTCGGCCGCGTGACAATGGGACACATCTACATTCGTCACATAAACACACTAAAACTGGATAGGAGGGAGACCCCACTCGGTCGAGTTCCATTCCTCGAGGTGCTCGAGTGTCTGCTTGGCACCGTAGTTTTCTCCGGGGTTGAGCGCGACCAGCTCCGCTTCGGGCACCCACACGACTGAAAGCGGGTCAGCCATTAGTTCGAAGTTTAAACACACCATTCATGTCCGCGGCGACACCGGCCATGACGCCCAGTTTGGCGTCCTCAAACACCAGTCCGCGAGCGCGCTGTTCCTTCTGGGCTGTGGTGCAGTTCTCGGCGTCGCCGACGTCCTGTCCCAACGAGCGGGCTGCGGCGAGGAAGATGTCAGGCTTGGGCTTGCCGCGGCCAGGGGCGATGAGGGGCGAGTCGCCCGTGATGATGCAGTCGGGGTGGAACTTGTCAAAGAGTTCCGGGAGGTGGCCCTGTGTGTGTCAGAAAAAAGAAGACAGCGAGGAGGGAGGTGGTGGACGTGTGGCGGGACAGTAGAGAGAAGGGGCATGACTGGCCGGATGAGAAGCCCCCAACTGGACTCACAGTCTTGAGGTCATAGTTGAACTTTGTTGATCCGGTCGCCAATGCGATGGGGATACCAGCGGCGTGCTGCCTTGTCAGCTAGGCCTTGGTTGGAGACAGTAGCTGATGCACGCACCAGACCCTGGACGAGGGCCACCGCACCGCGCATGGGCGGCACCGCTCGGAACGCCGCGTCCTGCATCACCACACGCTCAGCGAGGTAGTCGTCGATGCTGAGCTTGTCCTCGAGACCGGGGAAGTGCGAGTAGAGGTATTCGCATGATTCGCGCTGAACTAGATTCAACGATGTCAGCAATACTGTTCCCATGTGTGCGCCGCGTTATTTTGCGTGTATCTGTTGTGCGGCGAAGAGAAACCTTGAGGGCGGGTAGACATAGGTCTATCCCGCTCGCGCACGCGCACCGTGCCCGCACCATGCTGGGTCCATCAAGAAACTGCACTTGTCTCTCGCAACGATCCCCGAGACCCCGTGGGTCTTTGGGGGTTCTAGTGTGTAGCTCACCCTTGCCCATGAGTCCGGCCTTGATCTCCCACGTCATCGTGAGGCCGTACCGTCCAAGAATTTGGTCTGAGGATGGCGGTGATCAGCTAAACGTCAGACGGCGTTTTCCGCCAGCTACGCACTGGTCACATCGGTGTAGATACGCTGTACGAGTCAGCAGGAGTCAGGTTGCAACGGGGCGCGACGTACCTCGGTGTCGCTGTTGTCAGTTCCACAATCAGTCATCCGTTTCTCACACTGTAGAGTTAGCCTTTCAGCAGCCCCACGCAGCTCACTGAGGAGTCCGTCCATGTCAAAGACGACATATTCAATCTTGCCGCGTTGGGTGCTCATCGTCGGTTACGTGCGTGTGGAGTAAGACAAGAGAAAGAGAGAAGGAGACACGTAAACTCCCATCGCTTGGATCATCATCAGCTGTCCATCGGCGACTAATCTCCACAGGCAGTAAAATCATATTACGTAATGTGTTCAGTGGTGCACGCATGCACCACTTCGGACGGATCCTACGCAATCGGATGGCGGTCATCTCCGCTGGCCAGATGCCGATGGCTGACGATGTAGATGTGGGCAATCAATCTTGCGTTCTTTCATTCTTGCTCTCTTATCCCAACACCCATCATGCCCAGCAAAGAGTACACGCAGCTACCCCTCCACGAGGATGGCCTCCCCGCTGCCGCCCCGAAGCGCATCGGAGGCTGGAAAGTCGGCATCCCGCTCGGCATCCTCTTCCTCCTGGTCACGGCGATGGGCACCGGCTTTGCAGGCTGCAAGGACAAGATGAACGGCCTCGGGTTGATGGGTGCTCATGGCAAGGGCATGCACGGTTCCCATTCTGCCTCCCTCGCTGCGTCGGCATGCCCTGTCCAGCCCGCACCCCGCTCTGTCGGTATTGACTGGAACCCGGCCGCAGACGAGGACTACGCACGGATGGCCGCGGCGCGCCTGTCTGCCGCTGTCCAGATCCAGACGGTCTCGTATGACGACCTGCCTCAGGACCCCGAGAACGAGCGGTTCGATGGCCACTACGAGTTTGCCCGCTGGATGGGATCTACGTTTCCGACGGTCTACGCCTCGCTCGAACACGAAATGATCAACACCCATGGCCACCTGTTTACCTGGCGCGGAACCAAGCAAGGTGGCAAGCCCATCATGCTCATGGCTCACGAGGACACTGTTCCTGTCAACCCGGACACCGTTGACCAGTGGACCTACCCTCCTTGGTCAGGTGCGGTGACCGACGATGCGACCCCAAACACTCCGGGAACGTGGATCTGGGGCCGTGGCTCGTCGGACTGCAAGAACTCGCTCGTCGGTATTCTCGGCGCTATCGAGCGTCTTATCGAGGAGGATTACGTGCCCGAGCGTGACGTCCTAATCGCGTACGGCTTTGACGAGGAGGTGAGCCAGATCAACAAGCGGAATACTGCTGACTTGTCAGATTGGCGGCGGTCGTGGTGCCAGGCCCATTGCTGCTGTCATTGAGGAGCGCTATGGCCAGGACGGCGTCGCGTTCATCATTGACGAGGGATTCAGCGGTATCCAGGACGTTTACGGTACCCGTATCGCTGCCCTCGGTATGGCTGAGAAGGGCTCCGTCAGTGTCAACGTCAAGGTAGACACCCCCGGCGGTCACAGCAGTGTGCCGCCCATCCACACCGGCAGTGAGTTACAAGTTACACCGGTGCCCTGTGGCTAACTCTCAGTTGGTCTCATGTCGCGCCTCCTGACCACCCTCGAGGACAACCCCTACCCTCCCTCGCTTGAGGCTGGAGCGCCGTACCTCTCATACCTGTCATGTCTGGCTGCGTTTGCACCAGAGTTCCCTCCCAAGCTCGCCAAGCGCTTGAGGAACCCCAAGGACTGGCCGCAGCTTGCCAAGGACATGGCTGCCGACGACCGCATCGTCAACAGCTTCCTCGCTACCTCCACGGCCATCGACCTCATCCGCGGCGGCGTCAAGGTCAACGCCCTGCCCGAGACCGTTGAGGCGACCGTCAACCACCGCATTGCGTTCACCTCGTCCGTCAACGAGACCCTCCAGCACTACCTCGACCTCCTTGTCCCGCAGACCGAAAAGCTCGGTCTCACCGCAGACTTCTTCGGACATGAGCACGGCAAGAGCGACCGCCACGTCACGTTTTCCATTGTCGGCAACGAACACAAGTCGGGTCTGGAGCCCGCACCCATTACCCCTAGCGACAGCGAGGCGTTTGCCTTTATTGGAGGCACCATCCGTGCCGTCTTTGGCGACCATACCGTCATCACTCCCACCGGCATGTTTGCCAACACAGACACTGCGCGCACATGGGCTCTCACAAAGCACATTTACCGCTTCACCCCGGCGTACATGGAGGAGACTGTGGCTCCGCACACTGTCGACGAGCGCATCTCGCTCCGTGCCCACCTCTCTACCACCCAGTTCTACCACAGACTCATCCGCAACCTCGAGGGATGGCAATCGTAAAGGAACTGTTAGATGGGCAGGAATCCTCTTCGTAGATAAGCACCAGTAGTGCTGGACAATTATGCAACTTGTTGAAAGCGTACTTGTTAGGTATAAGCATAGTACGGGACCCATCATTCCCAGAACCAGATGCTTGTACATCACGGACATCGTCATACACATCTACTCGGTCTTCTTGGAGGACGCTTGACTCTCGGGATTCGTTTTGGTTTTCGATTGTGCTTCGTATCAGTCCTGCAGCTTCCCAATTCACTTACCGCCTGGGGACAGGCAACCGCCTGGGGACAGGCAAAGAACGAACCCGAACAGGATGAAGACACCAATGACACAAGCGACCCCGTAAACAATGGCCCTGGTTGTCGATATCGACCCGGGAGCTACAAAACATCCCTGTCCAGACTCGGCGAGGAGATCTGCCAATGTGGCATTGTTCCACGCTGCACGGGCCAGACACTGCGACCAGGTGTTGAGGTGGGACCGCTGAGGGTCGAACGGGCCGAAGGCACTCTCGCGGAAGGCGCACCAGCCGCCGTCCATCCACATACCCGCCGCGTCGAGACAGCAGAGCAGGCCAATGGCGCGCGCGCCCTGCGGCGCTGTGCAGTTGACGGCCGATTGTTGGATGAGATTCATGGGGGAGTGGACGGCAACAAGATAACAACCAGACGCAGATGGCTTGTTATTTGACGTTGGGCCTACCAGTCGGTCACGTGATCACGTTGGCCCACTTCCTCACTTGGGTGGATCCTGGGAGCGTATATGGCTGAATACGCATGCAAGAGCTGTTGGTGGTCATTCAAGGACGATGCATCTATCCAGCGAGTTTAGACGGGATCGGCGGTGCGGCGATGAATATGTGCGCTCATCCGTCAGTCCCACGGAAACACCGTGTCAAAGGCAGATGGCACCCGCATGAAGTAAGAAAGAGCTCAAACCCATTGGCGGTCCAGCCCGTATTATCTGCAAGCAGGCAGAGCAGACGCATAGGATGCGCTGGGGGAACACTAGATGGACGTTATGTGCCGGTTAGGCAATGATCAGGACGGAACTGACTGGGATGTGCGGCGCCACGCACCGACACCACCAAACTAATGCTCTCTCCGGCAGTCTGAGCAGGCATTTGCGTCCGAAAGTGGGATCTGACCTCTCCAATCAGCACGGACAATCCATAGTACGACATCGCCGCTCCTGTTGGCAACGCTTGGTACATATCTATACCACCTGACCGCGAACGGCAAGGCTCATGCCATTGGGTCCGGGGAAACTGTCGGTGATTACGGGTCGCACTGTCCTTGGTTCATCCCAACAGCACAGGTCGGTGTGCAAGCGCATTCGCCTCAACCAACGCACCCAAACGCTCGGGATCTGGATGGCCTTTTGGCCAGGCTTGCGAGATCTCGATTGCCCCGTGACATTCAGAGGGGTGGGCGCCACTGTGTATTATCAGCAGTCAGAATTCGTCACATTCCGGAAGATTGGAGATTGCCAGCTTGCCAGGCGGTCTGCTGTTAGATCAGCTGTAGCCAGTGAGCCAGTGGGCCGGCCAGTGTCTCAACCGAAGTTTGACTGTCTGCTCTCCATATTCTACTCCACAGCCAGACATACGATACTTGAGCAAGTCCCCCAACTATGTTTGACCTATGCCGAGACCTCGTTGCGCAATACCGTTATCGCTGCGGCTTGCGTGTGTGGTGGTTCTGTGGGAGTGGTGGAAATAGCAACAGCACCGATATGTCCCCTCTCGCTCCTCGTCGGTATTCGTCGACGATGATCAGTTACTACACTAATTTGCTGGGTTCAGTCTGACGTTGCCCCAGCTCTTGTCCCCCGCCTTTCACGGGCTGGCAGAGCTCTTGGCAAGAAAACTCTGGAACAGACCGGTGACCTTTCCTGTTCCAGTAGTGGACGGCGAGTCGGAGCGTCCACTACAACAGCCTTCCGACAGCCTGATAGCCATGCTGTGTGCCAAATGATCGTCACCGCATCGGGTCCCCGTGGAATCCGGACCGACAAGGATTCCACGGATAGCGGGCCCGAACAGCCTGGCGCTAGATTCTTCTGCGTTTCTGCCTCAGATCAATACCGTGGTGGACATGTCCCCGCCGTCGGTTCTCTAGAACCTCGGCAAGCCAAGTTGTTGGGAATGGGAACCATTGGTATACGCCTTGGCTTCCCGGTGTGGTGGTTTCCGGATTCCACGGAGCAAGCCAAAGCTTTCAGCACCGTACATGTTACTGTACACAGCTGGTAAGCCTCAGATCTGGACGGGAAGGGTTAGGTGCGCTCAGTCGGCCAGTCGGTTTGTTTGCCGGGACACGGTGACGAGATCTGCGGACATCCAGGAGGCGGGCATCATTCACGTCGATCCTTCACAGCCTCCGGATTTCACGGATCCACTGGTTCGTGACGGGCAAGCATCACCAGTCCACAGAAAGACTTGCATTGGTAAGGGTCTGCTATATGCCCGCCGATTTACCTCACCGGATTCCTTGATTGTAGTCTTGTGATCAATGCGAGCGTGGTGCGTCGGTCCGCACCCCGTCAAATCCGGAGAGACATTAGGTCAGAGAGGCCACAGGCATACTGCGGATCAGAACTGTAAAGTTGAGCCCGACAACCACAGTTTGGGAAGCAGAGCAGAGGCGGGTGGACTGGGACACTTGAACCGAAAAGTCTAGCTCAATCCTACCGTCATAAACGCTGTTCGGACAGCCCACGGCATCCAGCCGACACAGGGTGTGTCGATGCGTCAGAGGCACGGCATGTCGATGACTGCAGAGCCCCACCTTTGCGGTTGCTTTGCCCGGTGAGATCGCCGCCCCCATTGACTCATGCCGTTGTGTTGAGAAGAGAGGACGGGGTAGGCAATTCCTGCTTGCTCACTTCATACATAACACTGGGGAATGGAAGGGACGAGTTCTTGTCGCACCCTTCCCGAGCCTGCTTTGACCGCACACGACCGTCACACAGACCTTCGATAATGGGCACCAACCCTTTGGCCATTGTTATGGCTGCCCTTTTCCTTGGGGCCGTGGTCCCTCGGAGTGCAGCACAGACATTCTCCCCAAACCTCAAGTTCAACATCTCGACCGACACAATGTCAGGTATCTTCAATTGGGGCGTCCCCGAGTCTGCTGCACGCAACACCAATGCCGGTTACATACCTTGGCAAGTCGAGTACACGAATGCCACTATGAGCGAGCCTGGCATGATTGGTTCTGGCTACCCATCGCATGTTTCTAGTAGCCAGTACTATGCGCCAGACCACCTCCCCAGCATGACATTTGGCTTCCCCGGGACTGGATGGTGGATGACGGGCCTCTGGGATCCGTGGAACGCCAGCTCGTCGGACAATGACATTTCAATTGACCTCGACAACTCGCAGTACCAACTGCAAACTCAAGGCCTCGTTCGCCCCCAGTTCGGCTGGGTCAATGACCTTAGCTGGACTTACCACACTGTCAGCTACAATGTCCGCACCGACTATGTCGGTGGCGGCAATCTCACCATTGGCCAGTTGTGGATGACGACAGGAATGCTCACCGAGGCGTGAGTGAGGTTGGTAGGCGCGCATGCTGACCACCAGACCCTCTTTCGAGGATGTGAACCGCTCCACCTCGTACTTTGTGCAAGACGGTCAGCTCAACCCGGATTTCCTCTGGCAGGGCCAGTGGGACGTGACGACCCAGCTCGGCGGCGCAGGTGTGTTCCTCCCCCCAGGTGTCAGGCAGTTTCTTGACTTTCCCTCTCTCAGGCAGCCAACCTGTCATCGACTATGTTCAGGCGGTAGGGGACGGCAACCGCTCCACTTCCGGCCAGGCCCTTGTCACCATCCCCGTTCCCGCCAACACTTCGTTTGTGATCTTGAACGGCACCATGGGCCCCGACTACGACGAATGGGCCATTGAATGGTCCCCAGTTCCAAGTCTTGGCCAGAGCCCACAGTACATCAACCCGTACTCCAAGTGGTACGCGCCGGGTGTCATGATGACGTTTATGCCACTGCATCCGGCAACGCTTTACAACATCTCGATTTACACTCAAAACGGCGGCAAGGCCGGTGTCTCGAGTGTGACATTCTTCTCTGGACTATAGTGAGCTCCAGCGGCGGACTTTTCTAAGCTAACGGAAAGCGATGAAGTCCTGACTCCAACAATTAAGAGCCACCATCGCAAGGTCGGCATCATTGTTGGTGCGACAATTGGCGGAATTGTGGGCGCACTCGTGCTTACCGGTCTCGTACTGTGGCTTCTTCGACGACAGAGACTGGCTGCATCCCAGCGAGCCAATAGCGCGTCCTACATTGAGGACAAGAAGGAGGCCATCGGTGAGCTGTCATGGTGAGGGGAATTCCCAGTTGACAATTAGAAATGTTCGAGTATGCCTATCCCCAGCAATTGATGTGGCAAGGCTACACCGATGGCCAGCTTCAGAGCTCGCTCCCGTGAGTACCCCTATAGTTACTGGTGTGAGACACCACATCACCATGCTGACAGACACAGTGAGGGAGTTGCCGCTCTAACCGCACAGCGGCCATCTGTCCCCTCGATAGCCACCTCGTACCACCGCCCTTCCAACGCAAGCACCGGCGCCCAGGTGTCTCCGTCGACCAGACTGAGCCCCTATACCGCCACCGCTCCCTTCCCACCAGCCCACCTGGAACGTGTACGGTCGGGCAGCGTGGAGAGTCAGGAGCTGATCTACTACGGTGCCAATGGGTCAGCCAGCAAAGTGACGATCACGCCATGTGGGGGCCAGGCCAAGGCCAGGCAGTCTCTACCACACCTTCCGAGAAGGGCTCACCACGGACGTCATTTATTGCTAACAATTCACCGACAAAGGGCAGCACGTCTCCAAAAGGCTCATTATCTGGCGCGATAGACCCGGGCTACATCCCTCCCCTCGTGGACGACGTAAAGCTGGCTCTCCTTCGCTCCCCAAACATCGAGTCGCCAAGGTCTGGGTCGTGGGTCTCCCTCCCCGGGCGACCAGGTGCCACATCTCCGGGAGTGTCACCCACGACACTGCCCGCCACAGAGCTTGCCGTGCCCCAACAAGCATACTTTGGTGAACAGGAGATCGATGCCGGTGCGCTTGTGCCCTATAACACTGTTCCACCCATGTACGACCCGGCGTGGGCGCTGGAGCATGGCACCGAATACTCCTCTGACGCAGGTGACCAAGGGGGCAGACTCACGCGCGGCGGCAGCGCAAGCGTTACCCGAAACGACAGCCAAGTGGGGATATGAGTGCGGCATGGAAGGGGGTGTCATTGCCCGACCTTCGGGGTCCAGCTGAGAGCTCCACGGGCGCTTACATGGGGCACGGGTACGGCATGGAACAGCTGAGGTTGGAGAGAAGGAGGTCGGATGCCTCAAGTGCAGGTCACGAGTAAGAGCACTGGAAACGAAGACCACAAAAGTCAAAAGAGCGAGTGGGGTTTAAACGTGTATTAGAGGCGGTGGTCTCGTTCGGACAATCATATCTCATTTCATAGCTGCATGGCATGTATCATTAGTTCATTTAGAGTTCTCCTCAACGGCCCTCATCTGGAGCGACGCCTGTCCTGTCTCAACGCTTCCTCCTATAGATGGAACCCAAACGACTGCAGAGATGTCTTCGTAGTCACAGGAATGTTCACGTGATTCTCAGGTTTTTTCTCATTGTGGAGAGGGATCGACGGCCTGAGCGGGGCGCCTCACTGCTGCCGCGGTGCCAGCTCGGCCGTCGTGGCCAGACGCCGTTGGGTGGGGGTCGGAGCGTACGGAGCGACTGCGCCGGCACGCTGGAACGCTGTTGGCCTTGGCGGCGGTATGTGCCGGCCGCGCGTGGTGGGCCCGTTTGCAGACATTGTTTTTGTCCCGACCCGAGAGACGAGCAAAGAGCTGCAGAGGACGGGCTGGTTGCCTGTTGGTTGGAGGGGGGCCATTTCGTTCACTGCCCAGACGCGGGAAAAATCGACGAAACGAGACGACGGTGCAACAGGCACCACCGACTGGCGGCCTGGACCGCTTGCTCGCTCTCTCGCCCACCCGCCCAACATCAACATCGTACTCCTTTTCTCCTTTTCATTCGTCCACTTGCCCATCTCCATCTATCTCGCACCCATCCCCCCACATCCCCCCACCCTCCCTCTCTCGCACCCGGACCGGACCACGAATGGCACGCCCTAGCGTGCCCATCCCCTCCTCGGGCCCATCAGCCCCGGCGCCTGCGCCGCCCCGCCCTCGCCGCCCGCAACGATGGTGTCGTGCGCAGCTCCCTAGAGCTCGTCTTCAGCTGTGAGTGACACGACATAGCAGCCTGGCCTGCCCACTTCTCTTCTCTCAGACACCAGGAAAGAGAATGCCTGCTGATACCTTGTCCACAGACTCGCGATCCCAGCAACGCTTCTTTGCCGGACTACCATCTGCCCCATCCTTCGTCGACTACCAATGGGGTCCACGGGGCGAAGACGACGATGCCGAGGAGGGCGACAGCCAGCCGAGTGGGACGGTGAGCATGGTTCGGATACGTGTGACACGTGCAATGAATCTGGCGACGACACTGTCGACGAGAGCCAAGCCGACGCCTCGGGCTTCTTCCCAGACGACTCTGGCGTGTTTGAACGTCGAGTTACCCACAGCCTCTCAACCGTCACTGAGGCAGACGGTGAGGTTAGCCCAGGCGGCTCGGGCTCGTCGGGCTCGACGTCACGTACGCCCCTCACTACTCCTGCCCCGACGGCTATCCCTTTGCCCTCGAAGCGCGGCATGATCATGTCCTTTTTCAGCACCACACCCACCGCCGGCACCCTGCCTCCCCTCAGCACGTCCGCTAGCTCGACTGGATCGCAGACGCCCCGGCCCATGAACCGCCGACTGCCCGACGTCGAAGGTGCTGCGGGCCTCAGCCGTTCGTGGGCCGCGCAGCAGCAGCGTAACCTCGGTGTGGGCCACGGCCACCAGCGCAAGGTCTCGTCAGACGGCGAGCGCACTGGTGCCGCGGCCACGGAACGTACCCCTCTTCTGCGAACTGGTCGCCCCACGTCTATGGGCAAGCAGCGCAATTGGGGCACAGAGCACCTTACGCCCGACGTGTCGCCTAACCGTACTGTCGGTCGCCGTGTGTCTCACGCGCGTGTCCGGGCCGCATCGCCGTCGGGTCAGAGTGGCGATGGCCAGACGGTAAGTTGATGCAGATTCTGCACGGACCAAAACTGACATTATAGCTCTTCAATGCTATCGCCGTGCTCGTCGGTGTCGGCCTCTTGTCCATGCCGCTGGCATTCTCGTACGCTGGCTGGATCTGCGGCACCATCATGGTCGTCGGGTTCAGCTGGCTGACTTGCCACACGTACGTTCCCCCCCTTCGTCCCCCGCTTCACAAGTTCATGCTGACACCTTGCAGTGCCAAGCTCCTCGCGCGCCTCATCTTTGCGGACCCCACGCTCCACGGCTACACCGACATTGGACGCAAGGCGTTTGGCAGGTGGATCGGCGCAACAGTCAATGTTCTGTGAGTGTGCTACGAATAATTGAGATTCTGTCCTGACACCTCGCCACAGGTTTTGCATCGAGCTCTTTGCCTTCAGGTAAGTTATTGGTCGATCTAGGTGCGCCACTCTGCTGACCGTCAGTGTCGCAATGATCGTGCTCTTTGGCGACTCACTTAGCGTCGCCCTTCCTGAACACTCGGCAGACACTTGGAAGATGATCGGCTTCTTCCTGATCCTCCCCACAACTTTTCTGCCTCTCAAGCTCCTGTCGATCCCATCAGTTCTTTCGTCGCTCGCTACGTTCATCCTCGTCGCAATCATTCTCTTTGACGGCTTCTGGAAGACCAAAGCTCCGGGGTCGATCAAGGACCCGATGCCGACGCGGTTGGGCCCAGAGATGACCTCGATGAACTGGTGCGGTGGCATCGGTCTCGTGTTGGCCGGCTTCGGCGGCCACGGTGTCATGCCCAACCTCGCCCGTGACATGAAGCACCAAGGCAGCCTCGACAGGGTGTTCAACATTGCATTCGTGAGTTCACCCCAACTCCCACACGTAACTGACATTAGTGCGTCGCTGCCACCGTGTCCTTCCTTGCTGGCGGAGCCGGGTACCTCATGATTGGCGACACAGTGTCCGACGAGATCACACGTGACCTCATGGAGCCCATGTACGGCTACCCCAGGTTCCTCAACTACTTCGCGGTGTGGATGATTGTCGTCACGCCTCTGACCAAGTTTGGCCTCTGCGCGCGTCCGCTCCACATTGCAGTCGAGGGACTCCTCAACCTCGCTCCGGCCCCCGAGGTGCTCGCGCCGCCACCAACCCGCCCACGCCAGGCGTCGTTCTCCGCCGCCATCGGCTCTGCCATCAGCCAGACTCTCTCTGGTGTCGGCACGTCCGACTATGTGCCCACTGACGACGACGTGTTCGGCGACGACCTCCCCAAGGCGCCCATATCCACCGCCGTCCCTCTCAACGCCCACGACACCGCCAAAGAGGGCAGCAAGGGCCTGTTGCGTGTCGTCAGCCGCACAGTCATCACCGCGGCGTGCACAGCCGCCGCCATCCTCCTGCCTGGCTTTGAAAAGGTCATGGCGTTCCTCGGCAGTTTCTCGGCCTTCCTCATCTGTATCATCCTGCCCATCACGTTCTACCTCCGCCTCGCGCCCATCCTCATCAAGGACGGCGACGTCAACTCGCCTGGTCACCGGTTCCAGCGGTACATGCACCTCACCATCCTTGTGGTCTCCACCATCCTCATGTGCATGGGCACCGTCTGGGCCTTCCTCCCTTCGTCAGGCCGGCACCACGACGATTTGTAATATGGTCGTTTTGCGAGTTTCCAGCTTTCCAGTTTCTCTCGATATCTACAGTCTTTTCTTCTCAAAATAGTATCTGTCTTTCTGCAGGGCCAATGGATTATGAAGTCGTAGCACAATGACAATGTGCGTTATGCATGGGGCCGTGGCGGCTATGTACAAAACATGAGGGCCCCTGACGTAGGGGTCTAAAAATACATTGGGGGGCTGGGTAATGTCAGCACGATGCCAAGAGCCAGAACCTAGCAGCGAGAAGCAGCGTGAGCCGAGATACCCACTGCCGAAACAGAACAATTAATGGAATTGGAGTGGTGGTGGTGGAGGCGGCGGCTTTGTGAGGTCAGTACTGTCCATCCAGTGTGTTGGTTGAGTGGTCGTATCGTACGACTTACAAACAAAAAGAAATAACAAAAAAAAAAAAACGACCAAAACCGAAAACGAGCGCTCAGCGTCGTTGGCGACGACGGTAACGCTGGCCAGCCGGTTGGGCGGCAGCGGCGGGGGCGGGCGCGGCGGGCAGGGCAGCGACGGGGGCCGCAGGCTGGTGCAGGCCCAGAGCGTGCTGAAGAGCATACAGCTGCTGCTGCTGGTGGGCGCGCTGGCTCTGACGCTTCCTTGGCCGCTTCGCGGCAGGGAGCGGGCTGCCGTGACCGTCACCCATCAAACACGCACCGACCAGCGACCATGGCATCCACCGCCGTATCAAGCGTGCTACAACATCCGGGGGCCAAGTGCCATGGCATCGTCTGGACCGGCTGGTTGACCTGCAGCCCCGGTGGATCAACCTGCAGCCAAAGAACATCACGATTTCGGCGACCGATCAGAAACCTGGTGGTCTTCTGGTCAAGCCCAAGATGGGACCCGTTTCTGACGCCCGCGCCAACAGTCAACCAACCAGTCGACTGATGAATCCGATGAATCCGATTTCAAACTCTTCTACGCTCGCGGTCGAGACGCTCCAGGTGGTCGAGACGCTCCAGGCGATCAGCGCCTCGCGGGCAAGGCGGACCTCGCGGTCGGCACGCGCCTTGCGCTCGAGGCGGGCCTCGCGGTCCTCACGCCTCAGGGCTTGAGCGCCCATCTGCATGAGGAGCCCCGCAGCTTGTATGTCGGCCATGGCGGGGAACGCGGCGAGAGGGATAACGGGGGCGGGCGCAAGAGGAAGGGCGTTAGCCGGGACTTGAGGCGCAGGTGGGTTTGTGCCCGAAAGGGACGGACAAAGATGAGCAGGGGGTTCGGGAACCAGAGGGCCAGAGACAGAGGGGTACCAAAGGAAAGGGCCTGTGTGTGTGGGGAGGGATTGGCAAAGGACAGCTGTACGACGAGGGTTCGGTGGGTCTGTGGGTGGGCCCGAGCAAAACAGCTGCGGGCGTCAGGGCCCAGGTCGCCAGGTCGCCAGATCGCCAGGTGGCGTCAGGACCCCAGGGACAGACTCACGATGCTGCGGGCAAGAGGCCAAGAGGAGCAGGAGGGAGAGGGTGCATGGGGCCCAAAGGTGAGGGATGGGAGGGTCATCGGCGAACCAGATGCCCATCGGCCATCGGCCATCGGGAAGAAGGGATGGATTGGATGGATGGAATGGATGGATGGAATGGATGAAACGTGAAACAAAGAAGCGAAGCCCTGACACAGGTTCCATATAAATACCTCGTGCAAAACTGGGGGGATCGAATGTATATTACAAATGCCGTCCGTGAAAGGCCGAAAGAGGCAATTGGCAACCTGTTCGAGAGGCCAGAGGCACGGCGGGAACACTGCTTAACTGCTGCAGCTCTTGACCGCGCTTCTCCTCGCGTGCCTCCTCTGATCCTCTGACCTGTGCGCGATCGCGATTCGGGAGAACCTGGCCTTCAAAGAGAACTTCCAACCAGCGCTCTCAGCTGGCCAGCTGGGCCAATGTCTGATCCGATGCCCCTTATGCTGTGGGCCGGCTGGTCGCCGGATAGCCGATGTACCACTGCATAGCGGGAAACTCAGACTAACATCGTAAGCGGTGACAGGTGCCGTGACAGATTGGTTATTTAATTTACTGTAAAGTACTACATGGCATGCTAACATACAGGGGCATATATGGAACATTGGGCTATTAAGGGCGGTACCGGTTGTGGACGATGGGGCGATCAGAGGCTTCCGGACTTCCGGTGCCCTTCTTGCACTGCGAGCCCTCTTGTCGTCATCGTCCTCCTCCTCCTCCTCCTCAACGCGCTGCCTCTTTTTGGTGAGCTCGCGCTCAGCCTCCTCCACCGTGCGCTCGCGCTCAGCCAGCGCACGTCCCCGCTCCGCCTCGGCGTCCTTCCTCCTCTCCTCCTCAAACTCCCTCTCGCCCCTCGCGCGCAGCCAGCGCACCTGTCTCCTCAGCGACACGCTCGCGCTCGGCTGCCCGTTCGCGGACCATGGTTTCGAGCAAACGCTCTCGCTCTCCCATCGCCCGGTCCGCGTCGCGCGCGCGCTCCTCCATGCCCCAGTCCGCCTCGTGCCGGCCCTCGGGCCCCAACGTGCTCCGCCCCACGCTCAGCCGCACCACTGGCAGGCTCGCGCTCCACCATTGTTCTCCGCGATGTGCAGGCGCGCAAGGTGGATGCGGCCGCCAGAGTAGCGTGCTCGGCGGGTGCTTGAGTGAATTGGCTTGAGTGAATTGGCTTGAGTGAATTGGCCGCCCCAAAGGAGAAAGGCGAAGACCAGCATTGGCGGGTGCGTGCGGTGTTGTGTGCGGGGTTGGGCGGACGAGGTAGAGCTCCAGGAGCGTTGGGCGAGTGGAGATCACCCAAGGAAGCTTGCGGTTCCGCAGGCAGAAGGACAGGACTACGGTTAGGTACACACACACACACACACACACACACACACACACACACACACACACACAGAGAGCAGGGAGCGGGCAGGACACTCACAAGGCCCTAGCCAGAGGCCAGAAAGAAAAGAAAGGGGGTGTGGGTGTTGGCCGAGCTCGCTGCCAGTGTCAGCGCCGATCGCCATGCAACGTCAGAGGACATGGTATAGAATTACCAGCTGTGGATGGATTCATTCAAGAAAGTGTGGGATGAAGGGATGGATGGATGGATGGATGGATGGATGAAATGAAATGGATGAAACGTCAAAACCAATGCAGCGTTCTTATGGCAAACAAATGTCCCAGACCACATGCCACAGGGCCACAGATCCACAGACCTGACCAGACCGGACGAGAACTTAGACCGCGCATGTTCGCTTTTGATAGACAACCCCACTGTCTTGAGATGTGGGGGCAATGCTACATTCAGCCAAACTGCCGTGGTGTGGCCGTGCCACTCAAGTTTACAACGACGGCGATTTGATCTGTCCGACCACTAGTAAACCCGTTGCAGTCATGCACGCTATCACGCGAGCAGGTACAGGCCGTACGTAGGCCTCCAGCGGCTCCGTGGACGCCATCGTAGCTGACGGAGGCCATTCCGGAGGACCTGGTGTTCAACCGGCAGCCCAGCTAGCAACAAAACACTTGCGGGTCGGGACATTGCCCAGATGAGAAGGGTAAACAATGTTGGGCACAAGGCCACCCCACACCTAGCACAAACTCCAAAGCACACACCGACCTTGCCGATATTCAATACCATGTCCCTCTTGTATCCGTTTAGCGTTCTACAAGGCGGTTGCCACTACGTTCCCAAGTTGTAACACACTTTTCACCATGCCCCACAGTGTCCCTGCCAAGTCTCCATGCGCAAAACACCTCAGTCTCGACCAGACTGAGGCGCACCTTTTCGGGCCATGACAGGCCGTCGGGTCAACAAGAGACACGCCACTGATCCACTGATCCAGCGGCAGTGGTGTCACCCATTGCTCATCAGCATAGAAACCCGCGCCTGGTGTCATGGAATCAGAGGCGAATTCAGAAAACAGCCGTCGTTATGGCATATACTATATTACATGGTCGCGTCATTAATATTTACTGGGCATGGACCCCGTTCTCTATACACAGGATGGGAGAGCGGGGGGAGTTGTACAAGCGGACCGGAACGAGGAGGGCTCAGGCGGCAGCGGCGGCGGCGGCGGGTGGGGGTGGGGGTGGGGGTGGTGGAGGAGGACGCGGCAGGCCCGCCCTGGGGCTGGACGTGTCCCTTGCGGTGGCGACGCCTCTTCTTCTCATCCTCGCCCGAGCTGCTGCCGCTACTGGGGCTGCTGCGCGCCTTGCGGCCGAGCTCCGCCTGGAGGCGCATGTCCTCGGGGCGGCGGCGCTGCTCGTTGTCCAGGCGGCGCTGCTCGTTGTCCAGGCGGCGCTGCCCCAGCTGGAACTGGAGCTCCAGGTCCCGATGGTTGCGGGCCTGCCAGGCGTCGAGGATGCCCTCGTCGAAGGTGATGCGACGATGGCGCAGCTCCTCGGCTACGTGCGCCAGCACCACCACCACCACCATCACCACCGCCGCCGCCGAGGATGACCACGTCGTCGTCGTCGTCCCTCTCCTCCTCCTCCCTCTCCTCGTCATCGTCGTCGTCCTCGGCGTCGGTGTCCTCGTCGTACGGCAGGGGCTCGTAGTCGGGCGCAGGAGGTTATGGGCGGCGGCGGGCGTCATTCCACGCCCTGGCCTTTACGAGGATCCAGTGGTCCATGTTCCTCTTGTCTTCGGCCAGGCGCCTGGCGCGCTGGATGCGTTCGCCGGTGTGGTCGAGGCCCCTGGCCTTGAGCTGGTCCTCGTACTCTTTGGACGTGAGACCTGTCGACTTGGCGGGGAGGATCAAGTAATTGAAGAGGTAGCCCTCCTCCAGGGTCGGCTCCCGTTGGGACGGCATGAGTCTGCGAACGTTAGATACATAGACATGGAGGCCGTCAGTTCACATGCCCATCAGCACACCCATTGAAAATAAATCAATGCACATTGAAGCAACCATATAGTTGTCCATGTTGTGAACTAACCTCTTCATACAATGAGAGGACCAAACCCAACTAATCTATAAGGGGTTGGATTCCGATACACTGTGGCGCGACGCGGCGGATTGAACGCCAGGTCGTGTCACGCTATTCGAATCCAACCCCACCAGATTGTGTGTGGGAGGATGTGGATAGACGTGGGCTGATTCATACGGCGCAGTGGCCAGTGGGTACTCACAGATTGGGTGCGGGGCCGAGGGCCCAAGGAGACCTACAAGCAGGGGTCAGCGATCAGCGCACCGCACACCGCACACACAGGAGAGGGGCGCACGGGCCGAGGCGGGCCGAGGCGGGCAGGATCACTCACGAGGGATTGCCCATGTGAACAGAGCACGGCTGTGCAGGTGTGGCCTGTGGATGGGCGGTCAGTGCCCCATTCCCATGGAACGTCAGGCACCACGTAGAGACTCACAAGAAGCAGAGCTGCAGAGGGGGGTATGGACACGGAGGAATGGATGAAACGTGAAACCAAACAGCCCTGAGATTCCACATAAATAGTTCCGAGGAAAACAGGGGCACATAATGGAGATACCGGGGTATTTCCTTTTGGTTCCTTTCGTGGCAGCGTCGGAGCTCTTAGGGGTGCTTCTTCTCGCATGCCCCCTCTCCCGCGCACGGTACGGCCTTTCCTCGCGATGGTTTCTGGCTGGCGAGGACGCGACTCCGTGGAACCTGACGTTCAATGTTCGTAGGCCCGAAGAGCCCAAACCAGCAGCTGGCAGTCGACAAGTAACGGGCGGAAGTTGTCTGAGTAAAACCAACGAACCACCGCGTCTTCAGTGAGCTCTGGCACTTCAGCACCCGACGGCGCTCTGTTCTGGTCCAATGTAAAACTGTCACAGCGGGTCGCCGGATATCATGGGGGAACTGCCTTGCAGTACCATTGGACTTGGGGGCATGAGGAATGGGCATTAACCTGGCGGGTAGTGGGCTGATGGCTATGTACAGGAAATGTCTCACTCCCAAGCGTTCCAGACGCTGTTGGTGGGGTCTTGACGGTTCTCACACTCAGAACGCAACCCCCGAGACGCTCGAGGCGCGTCAGATTGTATCCCGGGGCGTGTCACGGTTTATCAGGAATCCAAACCCAGACTAGCATGTAGATAAAGGACTGATCCACACCCTGCAACGAATGTATGTGACGGCGGAAGAATGCCGCTCGCCTGGCAGGTGTGGCTCCTAACAGCGTTACACGCCAGCGGGATCTGCGCGTCCTCCTTCCCTCCGGTTCCTTCCTCACTAAATGGGACAGCTGTACAGCGGCGAAGAAGTATGGTGCGTCAAGGCGCCACTCGGATCTTGGGGTGGTTGCTGCAGTTGCTACTTCAAGGCCGCCAGCAACTGCTGGACCTGCTGGTACTGCGCTGCATACGGCAGCTGTTGTTGTACGAGCAACTACTGGTGGTGGTGCTGGTGCTGAGCCGCCAAAAGTTGATGGACCAGCTGCTGGTGCTGGTCGTAGTTCTGTTGCTGGTGCTGCTGGTGCTGCTGGTGCTGCTGGTGCTGCTAGTGCTTCTGGTGCTGCTGGTGCTGCTGGTGCTTCTGCTGTTGTTGCTGGTGCTGGGCTTGGGGCTTGGGCCTAGTTCAACTGGCCGCAGCCGAGGTAGTTGGCGACGACCGTCTCCCACCCGGCTTGCGCGGCTTGCGCGGCCTCGCCCTGTTGGCCAGCCAACAGCAACAACAGGCCCTGGTTGGCTTGGGCCGCCTGGCCCTACAGTTGTTGGTGGCCCAAGACCAGACTGGCAGCACCAGCGGGTCCGCGGCGGGCGCGCAGTGAGGGCGAAAGGCAATCGGGGCCAGCGACTTGCTTTCGGATCCGCCTCCGGAGAGACGGATCGACAGGGGATGACACCAGTCGGCTACATAGTTGAGCAACCTCGCCCAAATGATGGAGGCTTCACTTTGCCTAAACACTCTCAGCAGCGTATTCCCTGCCATTGTCACAGAACAGAACCTCCACGAGCCTGCTCCCCATCGTCGAAGAGCACTAGTGTGCACCCTTGGCGGCACATCCAAAACCTGAAAAATCGGGCCAAAACTGAAAGCAAAAAAAACATCCGCGGCCAAAGTGGCACTCCCACAACGCGACGCCGCCATCCACCAAACAATTATCCTTCTTCAACCAACCATTCTCAAGACTTCCGCAACCCTCTGCAGATGCATAGAATCCAAAAAGGAAGCTTCCTGTCGGGGAATCGAACCCCGATCTCCCGCGCAATGAATGACAAGCGAGCATACTGACCGTTATACGAACAAGAACTGGATGTTAGTGATTTCGGCGCCATGAGGCAGATCAGAGGGTGTTTATTGCCGTCGAGAGGTGCGCAGGGGGACCCTCTAGGGCTTCCAGAACGCGGAAAAGGGTCAATTATATCTGTAAAATAACTCTGCTTTTGCGAAAGAGCCGGTATTTGCACCGAAACTGGAGTACATGGCCGGTCACATCGACGGGCACATCCGAGAGGTTGTCCATCTCGTCACCTTTCCCTTTCCCCAACGATGGCTAGATGTCCTCACTAGCAATGGCCCTCTGCGCCTTGATATGAAGTATACACACCTCTATACACGTGGAACTTCATTGCAGAAACCCACGGGAGCCGTGGACGTTCACTTTGGCGCGGCAACGCTGATGAGAGTGGCCGAGGAAACCTCGCCGTGCTACCCTATGGCTCAGTTGGTTAGCGCGTGGAGCTGTTACTCTTGACATACTCCGAGGTCCCAGGTTCGAGCCCTGGTGGGGTAGGATGCTTTCCTTTTGGGCCAGGGAGACATCTGCGTGGTGGCCGGGCATGGTCTGAAGACCGGGGAAGGAGGGGAGGAGGAGAACCGGGAGTGTGGGGCGAGATGTGGTTGGCGGCGGATTCGGGCCCCACCAGGTGCCTTGGAGCCTCCCGTTTCGATACCCGGTAGCCCAATTTCTACTTTTTGGAGGCTCGCGGACGTGTCCAAGGTCCTCGGGAGCGTGGTTGGACCCGGAGAGACATAGGAAACAGATGGGCGATAAGCTCGGAGACTTCGTCCCATGACCTTTACATGTTTCGGCCTCGGTGGGGCTTGGACAAACGCTGTCGACCAACCAGCTCCTAAACCGTTCTTCTTTTGGGCGCTTTCAGTGCCCAAGTATCTCTTGTGACGCCTCTGGGACTTGCTGACCTCTATTCGTACGCATACTCTCATAATCTTGAACCAAACCATTCTCGTGTCTGGACTGGCGTGTGGACTGGAGGAGCATGTGTGTGGGTTTAGCACAGCGGTAGTTGCGAGAGATTGCAAATCTCTAGGTCCCCGGTTCGATCCCGGGAACTCACTGGTAAGCATCGTACGAGCGCAATAGCGGTCAAGAGCTTCATCTTTTGCTAGTTGAGGGACGTGGGGGAAGGTAGAGAGGAAGAAAGGGGATCGGCGGACAGACGCGTGACTTGTGTGCCACAATCACCCAAATTCCGGGGCCGTTGCCATGTGCAAACTCGGCCCGGCAACGGCTGCACTCCGTTACAGTGTATATCCTTTGCCTGTCTGTGAATGGGGGCCAAGGAGGGGTCCCCTTCTGGTCCAGAGGTACACCGGAGGAAGTAGGCTGCAGCGACGAGAACGAGTCTCAAGGAAGCCCAGAATAATCAAGTTGCGGAGACAGAACCTTGGGTCGCCACAGCCAACGTTGAAGGCGTGCCAGACCGTCCATGAGGCTTTGTACCACCCCTGGGTGCTCCTGCACTTCCACGAGTGGCTATGGGTTTGGAGAGTGGAAAGCGATGGATGGACGACAGGTGGCACCAATTTTGGTCATTTTCGGCTATTTTCTCTAAGTCACCTAAATCCTGCCCACCGGACTCCCTGCACCCGCGCGTCGGGTCACGGACACCTCACCCACGTATGTCAGAACGCTGGATCGGCCTATAACCCAGTGCGACTTGCTACAGTACTTGTGCCTCATCGTATATCAACTGCTTGCATATCTTCCTTTTCCTACAACTACCATGGTCATTCCGCCAGATTACCGCCTGGGGTTACCATCTCAGCACACGTGCGAGTGCGAGTGGTGGTTGTCCTTGATCTCCTCGTGCGGAAGAGCACCCTTCTTGTGGGCGCGGGCAGTGTCGCGGTTGGAGTTGCCCGACTTGAGGCCCGTGTGGCCGTGGCGCTTGGGGGCGGCGTCCGACGCCGAGGCCTGCTTGGCGTGCGCGGCAGCCTGGGCACTCGCCACCGTGGACCCGCCGTCATACAGGAGCGTCTCAGTGCAGTTGATAATGTCCTGGATGAGCTTGCGGAGGAGGTCACCGGACATGCTCTCGCGGATGACGACGCGGAGGATTTCGGTCTTGTCGCAGCTGGGCGGGAGCGCGTAGCTGGAGAGAAAGTGTCAGTCTACTGTCGTTTGTGGGGTGCGTGTGCCCGTACTCACTTGGGGACAATCCATGAGACCTGACGCAGCTGGTTCTGGAGCCACATCTGCTTGACCTCGGGATACTTCTTGTAGACCTCGTCCGTGAAGCGGAAACCAACGACGGGCAGGCCTTGGAGGTACTTGTTCGGGTCGTCATCGGACAGGGACTCGGCACCCTTCTTGGGGAGGTGGATCTGCGACACGACGGTAAAGTATCCCGAGTCTTCGAGGGCGCGCGAGAGGATGCGCGATTTGGTGAGGTTGGCCGACATGATGCGACGGTAGCCTTCGTATCCGAGGTTGATGAAGTTGAACATTTGCCCCAGGATGGGGTGCGTGGGACGACTAAAGTTGAGGTTGAAGCTAAAGTCGGTCTCGCCGAGGTAATGCAGCTCAAAGATCATCCTGGAAGGGAGGAACTCGGCGCTGCGCCAGATGATCCATCCCACACCGACGGCGGACATGCCATACTTGTGACCGGAAGCGTTGATGCTCTGAACACGAGGGATGCGGAAGTCCCATTCCAGGTCGGGGTACACGAAGGGAGCGACAAAGCCACCCGAGGCACCGTCTACGTGGATAGGGACATAGTGCCCCGTCTTCTCCTCGTAGCGATCGAGCTCGTCGGCCATCTCCTTGACATTCTCAAAGGCGCCAGTGTAGGTGGATCCGAGAATGCTGGAACGTCAGGGGACGCATGAACGCATATTAACGTACACAAAGACACCGATGGTGTTCTCGTCGACCAGTTTGATCGCGTCCTTGGGATCCATAACGTAGTTGCCCTTGACCGTTACATCAACGAGACGGCACTCGACCTGCGGTATCAGCAACCATGCGATGTATGACAGCTCACGTCAAAGTAACGGGCAAACTTCTCGAGGGCGACCTGGGCATTGGCGCCCATGATGATGTTGGGTCCCGGCTCGTGGATACTCTTGCCGGCCTTCTTGCGATTCTCCTCCCAGCGACGCTTAAGAGCAAGACCACCGAGCATGATGGCCTCGGAGGAACCAGTGGTGGCCGTACCCATGGGCTTAGCATCCTTCGGAGCGTTCCAGAGACCCGAGATCATGGACTGAGGGCGTGTGTCAGTGTGGTGTAGCTATCGCAGGATGTGGTGTGACAATGAGGCATGCTAGTGTCCTTGAAGCAGGCTCAACGGTCGCATTCCCCCCAACACAGGCCCCACTGTCATGGGGCCCATAAACCAGTTGAAGGGCTGCGCTGAAGAGTCCAAAAACACAGTTTCCAGTGCTGTCCCAGCCGATCTGGCTGAAATATCCTTATCATGATAACGCCAGCCAACCTGGTACTCACAACACAGCGCTCGTGGATATCCTGAGCGGCAGGGTACTCGTCCTGGTCAACGAGGTTCTTGTTCAGGTTCTCCATCATGAGCTGCGTGCACTCGGGCGGTACCCAGGTGTGGACGAAGCTGCGGTGTAAGTACGTCCAATCGCGCGCCTCTGAGGGGAGCAATTCCGTGGTATGAGCAACTCACGACGCGAGGTTGAGCTGGGGCAGGCCATCCAAGGACAGCTCATCGTGGAGGAGCTGGTACGCGACACGGGCATCGACACCCTCCTTCGGGAGGTCGAAGCGCGGGATGTTGAGGTCGACCTCGTAGCGCGAGACATAGGCTACATCGTGGAGATCGACACTGTCAATGTCAATAACCGGTAGCTCAGCAGTGAGTGTGGATGTGGATGTGGATGAGCCCATATGAGCTAGACCCCGTCGTCGGCGCTACATGGCGGTCGCAAGGGGCAGCAGACCAAGCGAGAACGACCGACGGATAACTCACCGGTCAACTGTGTGCTTGTGGACCGCGTGGTCCTGCGCCTCCTCAATGACCTTGTCGGTGTCGACACGGTGACCGAGAGCCATGGTGAGGGATACTCAATGGGGCTCGGGAGTGGGTGATGGAAAAGAAGTGTTGTGGGGGGGAGCCACGTTTTCCCGGGCCCGCATCGTTAAGTACGGTCGGCGGGTGCATGGAGTCTGGTCTCTGTGAGAGCCCGTGTACCCACCCGTGTTGAACGCGCGCGGGTGAAGTGTATGACGTCACTTGTGCGCGTCACTCATCCTATGAATAGCATCTCGGCATGCAGTCTTATACTCAAACCAAGCACCCACGTATTGGGAACCCTTGTTTTATGACGGAGCTGCGCGTCGCATATGCGTTGCTGTGACACTGGAGACGTCTTGTGTCGCAGTCACAATGGACCATTTTGCTGCCTGCCAGTGCTTTTCTGTGCCATCTGCGATCTGCGATAGGGAGAATTGTGGCTGTCAGTATGGCCTATTGTCTCTTGTGCCTGGCGACCACGTATACGTTGGCTGCCAACGCTCACCGTGGACATGTATTTCGAGCCATGTATGTACCACCCGGCACTGCCGCAGTGGCACACCCAAACACCCCATTTCCGTTAGCGAGTGCACCGCCGTTACGTTTACGTTCACGTTCCACAGACTGCGTCGGCAAGCTCGCGTGCTCGCAGAAAGTGGAAAATAGGTGGGTGCCTAGACGACGTCAGTCCCGGCGCTCCGGGTCTACAGATGTAACCGTGTTTGCCTTTTGTTGATATGATATGTCGGTCGCCACGATACATGGAGCCAAGGGAGTGCACATGAGCTGCAAGATTAGAGCGAAGGCCATATGTTGCGAGGGGAAAGGTCGTGGTCGCTGCAAAACGATCTGTCGTCGGTCGCCTTCCTCGCCCTACTCACTATCGCCGCCATCAAGTCCGTTCCATGAATCAAGCATACACCTGTCTGGACGCACCGTGGGAGGAGCTGCCCAGGCATCATGTCGTAAAAGCCATGCTACTGGGTGGAAGACACCTCTATGCTAGCTACCTCATGCTGCCACCAGACTCTTGCCCCCTTCTGACGGAACAAAAACGGCGCGCTGCCCCAATAGAACATTCCACCACCGGTCCTAATGATCAGTTTTCAAATGGCCAATATAATATTTTGCCACCGAGTGCGAGAACCGTTTGTCGGCCAAAAGTCGCGGCCGCCCGGCAGGCCGCGAGATTTCAACCACACACGGTGACGACACGGACGGACGCGGTTCCATTTTCAAAAGGTGGTCTTTTGATTCTTTCCTTGTTCTCACCCAACACACACCCACCTCCTTTCAAAATGTCTCTCCGTGCTCTCCGTCCCGCTTTCCGCGTTGCCGCTGCGTCGGTCCGCGCCGCCCCCCGCGCCGCTCCCGCCTTTGTCGCTGCTGCCCGCTTCCACGCCTCGGCCCGCCGCATGGGTTCCGGTGAGAGTGAGTATACATGTCCTTTGGAACTAGGCGGAGACGCGAGCGAGGGTGAAGGAGAAGAGAAGAGAATACGAAAGAGAACGAGGACAATGAGGAGGGGTGTGGACAGCTGCTGACAGTGCCAGCCGACAGCCAGCTCGCCGGTTCGCTCACTGCCGAGCACGAGTACGAGCTCGAGTCGGCCAGCGACGAGAAGCCCCAGTCCCTTCAGGAGCTCGAGAACGCCGGTGTCTGGACCGTCAAGGACATTCCCGGCAGCGACGATGTTGAGATCACCCGCAAGTTTGGTGACGAGACGTGAGTTGTTGACGCCGCGCCTCGTTCAACTTTCTGGCAAAAAACCCCATGACGGTCGTTTTCGAGACTAACAAACGCGCAGCCTCAAGCTCACCTTCCAGGTCTCGGACCTCGACAACGCCGAGCCCATGGAGACCTACCACAGCGAGGACAACTCGCTCGAGGACCAGGAGGACAGCGACTACATCACCTCGTCGCTGATCGTGTCCAAGGCTGCCTCGACCAAGTCGCTCTGCGTCGACCTCACTGCCAGCCGCGACGGCTTTGAGATCACCAACATTGCCATCTTTGACAAGGCCCTTGCCGGCGCTGACGGTGCCGAGGGTGACTGGGCCCGCCGCAGCCGCTACATGGGCCCCCAATTTGACACTCTTGACACCGGTGTCCAGGATGCCTTTGGCGAGTACATCCAGGAGCGCGGCATCAACGAGTCCCTCGCCAACTTTATTGTCGACTTTTCGGCCCAGAAGGAGCAGAAGGTAGGTAGCGGTTAAGAGTGCGCTCTTGGATCTCTTACTGACCCGCATCCAGGACTACATCTCGTGGCTTGCCGACGTCAAGACCTTTGTCAACGCTTAGACGGGGGGGAGTGAGAGGAGATTGTGATAAAGACATGCAGACAAAAATGCACCACTCAGAACAACCCATTGCTATAGTATAGATAGCTGCCCATTATTTTGCACACCTATCCCCCACTGCCCGTGTCTCTTTACTTCTTCGACTTCCTCCTGCGGGTCTTGCCCTCGGCGCCGCTCACCTCGCCGCCCGAGGTAGCGCCCTCACCGCCCGAGGTGAAGCCCTCGCCAGCCGACGACGCGCCGTCGGTACGGCGACCGCCCTTCTTCTTGCCGAGGTGCTGGACGGGGATCCAGTCCTCCTGGTAGGCCTTGCCCGAGTCGGCGACGTCGGCAGCCTCGACGGGGGCAGCGGCCTTGGCGGCAGAGCGACGGCCCTTCTTCTGGGGCGCGGCAAAGTACATGTTGAAGGCGGCGTACGCACCGCCAAAGAGGGCGGCGCCGAGGACGAGGTAGATGAACAGAACCGAGGGGTCAAACCACGACGAGGGGGGCTCGACGATCGACACGGTCTGGTTGAAGGCGGTGACGCGCGAGATCTCGTTGCCGTTCTTGACGTCAACCCAGACGGTCAGGCCGAGCTCCTGGGGGCGGAACCTGGACACGGTTAGCTGTGCACTCTGGGCAAAAACTCTCTCAGCTACTCACTCCGAGTTGACACGGAAGGGCGCGGTGAGGTTGCCGCCGGCAGTGAGGGGGATGTTGAACTTGACGGCAGTGGTGTTCTTGACCAGCTTCCAGTCCTTGGCCGGGTCGTGGTAGCTCGCCGAGGCCGAAACGAGGGTGTAGTTGTTCTCGCCAGTATTGGCGAGCGAGAGGACCATGTTGTTGTTCTCACCGTTGACCACGACTGCAAAGTGTCAGTGGACGCGTCAAGGCTCCTGTTGGTTCGTGTGACTCACGTCCAAAGGGGTTGGACTCGGGGAAGTGGGCGGCCGCGAGGACCTCGTCGATGGCAGCTGGACACGTCAGAGGGGAAGCCGCTGGGAGAGTGACCCACCCATTGTGGATGTTAGCGGGGGAAGGGGACCTAGAAAGAAAAGCCGGAGAGTGAGTGATAGATGTGTGAGCAAGGAAGACGACTGGTCAAACGAGTCACAGAGAGGGAGAAGTGAGATGACCACACCCGCGCGGCCCAACCGGCCCACACACTGGCGCGCCCACTGCCACGCACGCTGGCCGCATGTGGCCCAGCATGTGTCCTGCCAGGATCTGTGGAGACCGTATTCCCTCTCCAGGCACGCCGATGATGGCGTGCGGGGTGGGTGGGTCAACGCTCGGCAATTTGGCAGTGTGGCAGTTGTGAACAGCGGAGTCTATTAGGTAAGCAACATATATTACGTAATATTATTTTGTTGTCTTACATAATCATTTATGTGGGGTGTGTGTCAAGTCCAACCCTGAACGGGCTCTCCCGTGCCAGCTTTCGAGACACCACCACACAGCACCCAAAACGTTTGGCCGTTCCCTTGATCCCTGTGTGCAAAGCACGACGCAGAATGGGCCGAGAGTGCTGCTGCTAGTGTGTGGTCTGACACATCCGATTACACTTGGGGGGCAAATTGGCCACACCATTACAACAACCACCTCCTCTTACTCCCTCCCTCTCTCCATCTCGACCACTCCCTCCTCCTACTCCTCCTCTCCCTCCCTCCCTCGCCGCCCTCCCTCCCCTCCTCATCCTCTACACACCCTCGACCCCACACTCTTTCGACTCTCTTTAGCAACCGCGCACACGTCAACAGCACGCGCGCAGGGGCCATCGCGTCCCCCCAAAAGCTCCCCCCCCTCCTCCGCCGCCAGCCATGACCTCGCCGTCCAATTCGGACGCCTACGGGCTGTCCCTCCCCTCACGGCGCGCCAACATCACCGTCACACGCCGCACCTCGATGCACTCGGACGAAGGCGAGGACTCTGTCGGTCCCCTCAGCCGCGACAGCTTGGAGGGTACACGGCGATACGTGAGTTTGTTCCTTGGGCGCCGCGTTAAACTTGAAAGTAGTGTCCGTGCTGACCACCGCGTTTTCTCCGCAGTATGGTGTCAGTTCGTCACCCAACCCAGACGCACAGGGCACTCCTCGCCAACGAACACTGAGTGTTGCGACCGGCTCACCACGTCCACTGTCACAGACGCCGTCAGACTCTAGCTTTTCCCTTCGATCACCGCCGCGCGGCTCCGTGCCCCTTCCGACACCGCGTGGCTTCCTCGCCCCTCAAAAGCCTGCTGCAGCGCGTCGCCTAGAGCAACGCGAACGGTCCACCACCGTCAGCACATCTGGCCGCGCGAGCACCGATGTGCGCACCCCGGACCAGGGCGACATGTCCACGCCTGGTGCTAGCGACTTTAGCCATGGAGGTGCCGCGTCGCCGCTTTCAGGTCGTGCATTTGTCCCCACGCCCAGTCCCGTACCGACGATTAGCGGGACGCTGCCGGCTCCTGGCGTTCCAGTCGGACTGGGCATATCCAACAGCGGCGGTGGCGCATCCACATCTGCGTCGCCGGTCCCCAGTACGTCGGCGACGCCGCGCAAGTCGCGTGGTGTCGCTGCGTTGCCGCTGCAGACACCCACGAAGCCTGGCGACAGCGACCATGGTCACGGCAGGTCGTGGGACCGCACGACCGATACGTCGTCACCGAGCGCCGGACACCACCCAGACTTGTCGTCGGACCACCTCGTGGACCCCTTTGGCGCCGCGGCCGAAAAGGTGATCATGGGCCGTCCTCCGCGCCCGCCACCCAAGGCCAAGGGTTCGCCATCCGAGCTCGCCAAGGCGCGCACGTACACCACGACTCGCCGGTACAAGGAGTTTGAGAACAAACAAGTGACCTGGTTCTTTGGCGGACGGATGATGACTGGCGGCGACTCGCCATTGTCATTTATCATCTCCATCATTCTCGTGCTTGGCATTGCTGGCGTTTGGGTCGGGACCACGGGCGTGTGGCTGTGGAAGCACGGTACACATTATGGTCTCCCAAGCGGTGCAGGCATCGCCATCTGCATCGTCTTTGTGTACATGTTTGGCCTGGCCTTGTCGTCGATGATCGCTGGCTCGTTCCGCGAACCGGGCATCCTGCCCCGAAACCTCGACCCGGACCCGCCCTACACTCCCGTGGACGTGTACTGGGAGGCCAACCCGCGCGAGATCATGGTCGGCAAGGACGGCAAGGACCGCGTCCAGGTCAAGTACTGCGAGACGTGCAAGTCGTACCGCCCACCGCGCTGCTCCCACTGTCGCCTCTGTGGCAACTGTGTCGAGGGCATCGACCACCACTGCGCCTACCTGCACGGCTGTATCGGCCGCCGCAACTACTTTGCATTCATGACCTTTGTCGTCTCGACGGCCCTGACCGACATTTACATTGTCGTCTTTTCCGCCATCCACTTTTCCATGCTGTGTCGCACCGACCACGTTTCGTTCAAGACGGCGCTCGGCCAGTCTCCCGGCGCCGCCGTTTCTTTCGCGCTGGGCATCTGCACGCTCCCGCCCATCCTGTTCTTGCTCTACTACCACATCCGCCTGCTCCTGTTCAACCTCACGACCATTGAGCAGATCCGCGCCAGCGCAAGCTCCAACCTCTTCCGCGCAACCCAGCGCCCGTACAACCCCTTTGCACACGGATCCATCATCCGAAACGTCGTCGTCGCGTCCATCGGCAGGCCGCAGTTCCCCTCCTGGGTCGACGCGAACGGGTTCGTCGTCCAGGACCACCGCCGTGTCAACCCCGCACTCACCACACCCGAGAAGTATCTCGACTTGGTCTAGTCCGAGGTCCCACTTTTACGTTTTTCTCTCTCTCCCTCTTATATATTCCTATTATTTTTCTTTCTCTAGGCTGTTGTTACACGGGCATTGGTACCATTTCATTACCCCCTCCCCCCTCCTCTCCCCTCCCCTCCCCTCCGTTACTTATCTCTCAAGTGGATCTTCGCGGGACATGCATTTTTCATTCCTAATACGTGTACGTGGTCTGCTTTGTCTCCAGTTATGCGACAAGACGCGTGGCCATGGCACTGATCATCTCGGCCAGCTCGTCCGTCTCGCGCTGCGCGAGCTCGACGTCGTGCTCGATCGTCAGCGCCTCGGTGAGTGCCGGGAACTGCGGCCATGTCAGCATCACAACGTACTTCGAGAGAAGAGACAACAACAGCGATAGGCGTTCTGTGGCGCCACGGAGGGGGCCCGGGGTGGTGCCGGGGTGCCTCGAGCACGCGAGCACGCGAGCTCTCGGTGAGCCCTCTGCGTGGAGCGCGGCGCATTGCGAGTGCACGCTGGGAACAAGCCTGCGCACGGGGCACGCGCCGCCTGTCCCAACCCCTTCACCTGCGACCCGCACGCCCGCCCGCGCACACCCACACCCACACGGCCCGCACGCCACTGTTCGGTGTTGCGTGTGGGGGGCAGGCACGCTCGGTCCGAGCGAGGTTGTCGAGAAGAAACCAAGAAACCCGAGATAAACAAAGGCCGTCCTCTCCCCTCCCCTCCCCTCCCCCGCCACCACGCCGACTTGCACTTCTCACTTCCTTCTCTCTCCCTACTCACAGTCGTGGCGCCGTACCCGAGCCACTTGCCGGGACTGGTGCCCTTGTGCTTGTACCACTCGCGGTCGGTGATGCCCTCCTCGGAGATGAAGCCGGCCTCGAAGCCCTTGAGCTTGAGGTTGACTGCGCGGATCTTCTTGAGGAGCTTGCGAATGTCCTTGCGGTTACCGGAGAGAGTGGCGTGGGCTGCGGTGTGCGTGGTGCCGGCGGCGGAGTCGTCGTCGCCACGGGCACGGCCGTGCGCGTGCGCGTGCGCGTGCGTCCCCTCGGGCGCGGGCCAGGTGGGCATCGCGGCCCTCTGGGGCCGGCAGCCGCCGAGGGCGTGCGCGAACGCGTGCTTCACGCGGTCAAGGTAGGATGTCTTGGACACGACCTTGTGGAGTTGGTGGAGGAGGTCGGCGCGCGTGTCGTCCAGCTCGGCCGAGGACGCCGACAGCTGTTCGATGGCGGCACCGAGGCGTGCGAGGTCGAGCGAGGCATACTTGTCGTCGCCGTTCTTCAGGTCCTCAATCTTGGCGAGGTATCCGCCGAGGTCGTGCGCGTACTGCGTCGTGTTGAGCGGGAGGATGAGGCTGTCGGCAATGCGGAGCGCGATGAGGCCGATAATCTGCGCGCCCTCGACGTGCTTGTGGAAACCCGGGTCGCCATACTTGGCCAGCCAGGTGTGCGAGTCGTAGATCGAGTGGTAGTGGTACACGGCGTCGTTGGGGCCGCCGCCAAACGAGAAGTCAGTTGACGCGATACCGTAGCGCATCAGGAAGGCAGTGTAGTCGGATCCAGAGCCCAGAGGCGAGATACCCGTTGCGCCACTGTCGACAGTCTTGGCCGAGACAGTGCCGTGATACTCGTCCCAGTCACCGCCATCGGCGCGGGCGTCCCACACGGAGCGAGACGCGTCGGCGCCCTTGGCAACGTCCTCGGCGGCGCCACGGAGCAGGCGCGCGAGCGACGGCGAAGCCGAACCGTGGAAGTTGGAGCCAGAAGTCGACGAGTCGAGGTTCAAGTACGTCGCCGCATTGTCCTGGAGCCACGTGCCAAAGTCCTCTGCCCACTCGGTGGAACCGATGAGGCCATACTCCTCGCCATCCCACGACGCGAGGACGATGGTGCGCAGGGGCTTCCAGCCTTTACGGATGAGCTTGCCGAGGCCGCGGACCATCTCGTACTGCGATGCAGTCCCCTTTTTATCTGTCAGCACGATACGTATGAAACAGAGGTGTACTGGGAAAGCTGCGCGCAACACAAGAGAAGGAAGGATGGGCGAAAGTGGCACTCGACCACTACTTGCCGACCTTTTTGTTTTTACGCATACACTTCACCACTCGTCCTGTTTCTGGTATTCATTTACTCACTGCATTGGGGTCCGACCCACCGAGAACCCAAGCGTCCCTGTGGTTGCCCATGACGACCACTTCGTCGGTGATGTGGCCTGGGATGACGGCCATGGTGTTCCAAATTGGCATGACGCGGGTGTTGACTTCGTTGTTGACGCGAATGTCCACCTCGGACGGACCGGTAAAGTATTCGACGCCGTGGAAGCCGAGGCCTCCCCCAAAGCTCGGATCGAGGTCTGCTACAGAGAGACCCTTGCCCTTGAGAGCGTTGAGGATGGGGATGGCGTCCTCGTACGACATGGGCAGGGAGGGGATGGACGGGAAATTGCCGCCCTCGATGCGAGTGGCATTGGGGTATGCTGGCACACCGGGAGTCGTGGGGTCACCGGGGTACATGGAGAGCTGTGGGTTAGGTGAGAAGGACATGTGTCACTCACAAACTGCACACTGCCACGCTGAACACTGCTGGGCTGAGGGTCAGATTTGGGTCGACTTCCAATCTGTACTCACCACACGAGCAGGGCCCTCTGGGTACTGCTTGAAGCCATTCTCCTCGGTCATCTTGCCGTCGTCTCCTGGGTCGCTGTAGATAAGGCATCCAATAGCACCGGCCTCCTGCGCGGCCTTGACCTTGAGGCCGCGGAAGACATGGCCATACTTGACAATGACAATCTTGCCGGTAAAGTCGATACCTTTAGACTGGAGAAGGTCAAAGTCGGCCTTGCGTCCATAGCCGGCGTAAATGTACTTTGCCGTGACGTCGCCGCTGACACTGAGGCCGTGGAAGACGCGGACCTCGTCGGCGAGTTTCGAGTCTGGGTCGCCGGCGAGCTGCGCCTCGCGGAGCTTGGCGTTGAATGGCGGGTCGCTGAAGAGGGTGACGCTCGACGACACGGGCGTGTTCATCACGGGGTAGTATGTGTCGATCCAGACGCCGAGCTTGTCCATGCCGCCCTTGATACGCTTCTGGGACTGGACGCTGCCGGCGTCGAAAATGTACTCTTCCGGCCCCGACACACGGAGACCCAGCTCGCGCTCCCAGTCATTCTTGACCACGAGCGCAGAGACCATGTCCCACCCGCTGCCGGCCGGGTGGGCATGCGACGTGTAGCGTGTGCTGGCAATGGCCGCACTCTCGTTGTTGGGGACGGTGAGGTAGATCTCCTCGGCGCGCTTGGGACTCATCCAGCGGCAGCCGTGCTTGCCCTTGTCGCCATGGCCGGCAGCACCGGCCTCGCCGTCGTGCTGGTACTGCACCCTCGTCGCAGAGCTCACACCGGCAGCGGACTCGGTGCGGTATCGCGAGGACACGCCGTCCCAGTACGCCATGATGGCCGGTTCCTCAGGGTCGAGATGCGTGCTATCGTTCGAGGTGGGCCAGAAGTGGAGGGCCAGAAAGGCGACCGCGCTGAACAGCGCGGCAGTGCGGAGCGCGCGTGATGTCTTGCTCCGCCCAGGCGGGGGCGAGCCGTGGATGGGCAGCTCGGTTGCTTTGTCGTCTGTGTACCCCATTGCGTGGTGAGTGAGTGAATGGAAGAAAGGACGATGTTGGCCTGTTCAATGTTGCGCAATTGTTGCTACATCGTTACCACATGGGCTAGCGATGCGATAGAGTTGCAACGGTCGGCTCAGGCCGACTCGTTACGTCATGATATGGCGGAGATAAATGTGGGCATGTCCGTAAAGTTGCCGTGGTGATAAAGATTTACACGGCATATTTTAAAAGCTGTATTACGTAATGAGATGCACTATATCCTATATCCTTTGGGCACCGTTTCCCTTTGGCCACATTAAACATTCCTGATATGATTGATTTTTTTTTTCCTTTTGTATAGCGCCGTTTTGTAACAACTGCTCTTCGACCGTCGCCTCTCTCCCTCCTGTCTCTACGGCCGGTCTGCCCCCCTCTTCTTGTCCTCGGCTGCCGTCGGCTTGGCCTCTCGGACCCATTTTTCCAGCGGGCCAACGATGATCCCTTCTGAAACCGCCGCAAATGCAGCGTTCCCTACGAGGCGTCTAGGACTCGGGCTCGTTTCCGCACAGATCGTTTTTTTCTTGGCCTGGTGGCCGTCGTCGATGACGGCCACAAGGCAGGTGCGTAGGTGGATGCTGCAGCGGCGGCCCACGCCGCGGCCACGCCTCCGCAGCACCGTCCCTCGCCGTGGCGTTCCGGCGCCGCCAGGATACGCAGGAGATGCAGGACACGCGCTCGACGTCGCCGTGCGCGCGCGGGGCGGGTGCTGCCGCCCGCGTGCCACGGTGGGTGGATGCCGCTTGTGGCCTTGTGTGGCCTGTGTGGCCTGTGGGTTATCGCTGGCTCTCTGGACATCAGTGATCAGTGACCGATTGATTGGTGAGAGGGTGAGTTGCTGGAATTGCTGTTGGTCCCCGATCCTCTCCCCTGTACAGCAGCCTGCGTCTGCCTACCTAGCAGCGTGGCTCTTGAGCAATGGCTCGCTGGCGCTTTGTCTCCAGAGACGAGCTTGTTCGTTAGCTCGTTAGCGCGTTACACGCCCAGCGACGCGCCGGCGCCAGCGACACGCGCCCAGACGCGTGCACATGCATGGCTCCACGGCACTGTCACAGCCGAAAGGAGAGGTGTGGGCGGGGCTGGGGAGGCTGCGGTGGCTTCGGAGCGCCTCCCGGCGTCGACGTCTACGGCATATCATGTGTGGGCCGCGCCGAACGTTGAACCGGACAAGAGCGATGCATGTATGGGTGTGTGCAGATATGCCTTCTGGGCTCGCCATGCTCGCGCACGCGCAAGGGCCCGCCGCGCACAGGGAGGGTGTGGCGTGGCGAAAGGAGACCCAAAGTGAGAGAGCTGCATGGGCAGAGTGCCGGCTGCTTCTTGACGCACCACCCGGAGACAACGGCGCCCGCCCCTGTGGACCCGCGTTGTTCCCATCCCACTCGCGTGTCCTGTCTCTGTACCTCTGTCCCTCTGTCATCTCGTCGCCCTTTGCCGGTATCTCTGTCGTCGCTGTCAGCCGTGGCCCCTACACTGGGTCTGCTTGCTGCCGGTTGCTGGTGGAGTCGATCCTGCGTGGGTCACAGAAAAACCTCCGCCAAAACCTACCTCACATTCCAGGGAGCAACTTTTGAGCCTCCTTTTACGCCTCATTCTGCAAAACCCCCCTTCCTCTGGAGCTCTGTGGCCTCGAGCGCGCTCCATCGCCGAGACCCCCACGCTCACACAGTGTCTCGCTCTCTCTACGTATCCCCGGAAACGCCAAACTTGCAAACCCCGAGCCAGAGACAGTGGGCGGGTGTCTCGTGCTCGTGCTCGTGCTCGGTTTCCACCCACGGCGTGCACGCACACACACAACCGCGCCATTGTACCACCTTTGGGTCGACGTTTTGTGTCCTGTCCTGCCATCCCCACCCCCCCATCAACAGCCCTGAAGACGCTCTCGACAGTCACTCCCCGGCTGCATCTCTCTCCCCAGCGACACACCCAGGGGAACCCAACCCCCAACCCCCCACCTGCAGGTCGACGCTGTCCAGCCCTCACTACCCGGCCCCCAGACGGCTCATCCCCCGCGGCCATAAGCACTGGCCACTCCCTGGACCAACCCCGACTCGCCCGACACCACACACTCATACTGAATCATCCACATTGCTTTTCTCTGATCAACCCACACGTGTAGCATCCACCACCTTCCGACCATGGGCTGTACACAGTCTCACGAGGACGCGGATGCCAAGGCCCGTACGTTCACCATCGACAGTGCCTCCCTTGGGCCCCCGCTGGCTGTCAACCCATCAACAAGACATGCAGCCATGGGGGAGGGGCGGAACAATGAGGTTCTCTCGCTAACACTGTTCAGGCAATGCCGAGATTGAGGAGCAGCTCAAGCGCGACCGCCAGAACATGGCACGCGAGATCAAGATGCTTCTGCTCGGTGAGCAAGGGACACGCAGACCCAGTCGCTGACCGCCAGGTGCCGGAGAGTCGGGCAAGTCGACCGTTCTGAAGCAGATGCGACTCATCTACAACAAGTGCGTGTTCTCCGTTCGCAGACGGCCCGAGCGCGCGAGCCAGGCGGTGGTCGGGTGGCGGCCCCTGCGCAGTCCATTCATGCTGACGATCGTCACAACAGGCCTTACGATGCCGAGGAGAGGGATAGCTACCGCGAGATTGTCTACTCGAACACTGTCCAGTCGATGCGCGTCCTCCTCGAGGGTGTGGCCCTCATGGACCTGGACATTTCATCCAACAACAAGCCCCGCTGGGACATGATCATGTCCGCGCCCGTCCTCATCGAGGGCGACCGCTTCCCCCCCGCGCTCGCAGACTCTGTCAAGGGCCTTTGGAGCGACGAGGGTGTCCGCGCCGCCTTCAACCGTCGCAGTGAGCTCCAGCTCAACGACTCGGCACCATAGTGAGTCCGCCCGCATACCTGCATACCTCTGGCCGGGTCCACATACCGCAAGCCCGCGCCCGCGCTGCCTGAGGCCCGGCGCACTAGAACACCAAACCATGTCTAACCCAGACCCTACGCTAACATGTTCCAGCTACTTTGACGCAATCATGCGTATCTCGCAGCCCAACTACATGCCCACTGACCAGGACATTCTGCGTGCACGTGTCAAGACAACCGGTATTACGTGAGTACAAGTGACAGGCTGGTGTGCAGAACAGCAGATCTAACCGCAACCAGCGAGACCCACTTCCAGATCGGAGACCTCAAGTACAAGCTCTTCGATGTCGGTGGCCAGCGTTCAGAGCGTCGCAAGTGGCTCGGCATCTTTGAGTCAGTCACCGCTCTTGTCTTCTTGATCGCCATCAGCGAATGTGAGTTGCGACATGTCGAGTACACCCTCTCTCGTCCAGTCTACTGACCTGTCCCCCCAGACGACCAGAAGCTGTACGAGGACGAGACCGTCAACCGTATGCAGGAGGCCATGACCCTGTTCGAGTCGGTCGCCAACTCGCGATGGTTTATCAAGACCTCGATCATCCTGTTCCTCAACAAGATCGACCTCTTCCGCGCCAAGCTCCCCGTTTCCCCCCTCGCCAACACCTTCCCCGAGTACCGCGGCGGCGCCGACTACGACCAGGCATGCGCGTTCCTGCTCGAGAAGTTTGTCGGCCTTAACCAGAACCCTTCAAAGTCGATCTACGCTGTAAGTTTGCCCAAAAGATGTCGCATGAGTCATGCCCAATCGCCCCTCGTTCTCTCCCTCTCGCTCTCCTCGCTCACGCTCTTCCACAGCACTACACCGACGCGACAGATACCCGTGCGCTCGCTTTCGTTATCAGTGCTATCAACGACGTTATTATCCAAGGTGAGTGGCAATCGAGTCGAGTGGAGAGGATGCAGGGGGACGGCGCATCGAAAGGTCCTGGGGGTTCCAAACCCGCCCCCTTCTCGGAACCAATTTATGCGTGGCGGAACCTTTTCTGTTTGCTTGGCGCGTGCTCTACTGTGTTTGTGCTGACCACTGCCACAGTCAACCTCCGCGAGTGCGGTCTCCTTTAGGCGGGGATGCACGTTGCATCTCTTCATACCCATAATCTCTGCTGTACCATCGTTTCTCTGTAAGACGCCATGCATCTTGCGCTGTGGCACTGATTGGCGGGGAGGCGGTGTGGCACAAGGTGCCAGTCATACCTCCTGGGAAAAGCACTAACTCTTGCTGACGGCTGACAGGAGACCCCTCCTTGGCAGTGGCCAACGCTTGCGGACGGCTGAATTGAGCGGATGTACTCACGTTTGCCTCACTGTTGATGATGGAGGCATATTCTTGACTGACGGTTGCTTACGGCTGAATTGGGCGGACAACGACCACGTTGCCAGTGTGTGTATCGGGTATCGGATTGACCAGCTGTCGGGGTGCGACGAGCCCGTTTCCCCGTATTCCAAGTTGCCCCTTCTCCTAAGGACACCTCTGGGAAGGACACACGGTGTGTGACACAGTACATGACACCGCCTGCGATCTCGCTATTCTACCAGGGGCACATGACGTCGGCAGGGCGGCAGCTGGAACTGAGATGGAGTTTCAGTTCCCACTGCTGCCACCGGCCGAAAGATGACGTCTGGTGTTGACAAGAGGAGAAGCAACGGTATGGGCGGTGCTCGTTGATACATATACGAACTCGTCTCGTGCAGGAGCGCACCTCACAGCTCACACCCCACCCATCCCACAGAACTCACCCACCTATCGTTTACACCACAACAATGGGTATCTTCAGTCGCTGGAGCGAGAGGTCGGCAGCCAAACAGGGTGAGTGGCACTTGTACTTCCACCGACCACCTCCTTCTTGCACTTCCATTGTTCCTTCCCCGTCCTCGCGCGGTGGCGACGATCCCAACAATCCCCCAGCAGCCGTGCTGACCCACAGCTGCCAAGGAGACAGAGGCGCACCTTAGCCAGGCCATCACGCAGGCTGACGCCGGAGAGCAAGCGCAGGCGGCTGCGTATCGCGAGCTCGAGATGGCGCAGGTTGCCCACAACCTCGCGTGTGAAGACCATGCCAAGGCCAACACCGAGCTCGAGAGGGCCCAGCTTGGTAAGTAGCGTCATCGGCGAGGGATGTTGTTGTCGGTGTTTCGGGTGTCATCGGGGCGTTCACTGTTGCCACATTGCCGAGACATCGTGTTCCTGACAACATTGCTGACTGGTGCAGCCCAGAAGAACGCCGACGACCACCACATCGCAACCCAGCGTGCACTCGACATCAAGATTGCCAACCATGCCCGTGTCAGTGCCGAGGCCGAGGCCGCACGCACTGAAGTCCAGCAGACGCGTGGCAGGGTGAGTCCTATACCGACACGCCCCGTCCCTCTCCCTTTCCCTTGTCCCCCTCTGTGCTGTGCTGACCCACCCAGCTGAGCCTGAACAACGACTCCTCCGATGGACAAGAGGAGCTCCTTGGCTCGGCGCCGTACCTCGCGCGCAACAGCAGCCGCACCTCGCAAGGCGAGGCCTCTGCGTCGCGTGCCCTCCAGTCGGCCGAGTCCCTCAGCTCCCAGAACAAGGACAACACTGCTTCCCCCCTGGACAGCCCCTTCCATCCCCAGAAAGTGAGCGAGGGCGGTCCCGCTCAGCAATTCTATCGCTCAACCCAAGACACTGCCGGCTCCCCGACGACCGTCGCTGGTCAGACAGGTGCCACTCGGGGCGGCGTGACTGCGTCTGGCGGCGGCGTCGGCACTGGCGGCTCCCAGTTCCTTGAGACGCCGCCTTCTGCCGGTACGCGTGGTTCACTGTTCGTCGAGAAGCCTCCTGTCGAGGAGGACCGCAACGCCGTCGCCGCCACCCACAACCCGAGCCTCCTCTCCACGAAGCAGCTCGAGACCCAGCCTTCCGCTTCTGCGTACGCCACACCCGAGACCGGCACCACCCCACTCCAGAGTCCCACCCACACGCACCAGTACGCTGCGCCTGCCGTTCCTTTTGGCATGGCAGCGGCTGGCGCCGGAATGTACTCTATGCCGTGCGAAAAGGACGAGTGCGACCCGCCCGCTCGTCCCGCTCGTTCCACACCCAGTCCCAAGCCCAAGCCGCCCGTCCGCCCCAGGTCCCCCGGCTCGCACACGCACCAGTACGCTGCCCCCGCCGTTCCCTTTGGCATGGCGGCAGCCGGAGCCGGCATGTACTCGCTCCCATGCGAAAACGACTGTGACCCGCCCAACCAGTCCCAGCCCCCGGCAAGGTCGGGCGGTGCTACCAACGGCGTCTCGCCCAACAACGGTATCGCCACTTACCCCGACGTCCCCGCCACGGCCGAGACGTGGACGCGCGAGCACAAGCCTCTCCCCGCCGCCAGCACCGGTCCCGACATCACGCCGCCGACCGCCGCGCTTAGCGACAACAGCCCGCCACGCGCCAACGACGTCGACACTGCGCGCGCCAGTACCCTTGGATCGGACCGGTCGCTAGCCAAGGCCCTGCGCCGCGCGCCGCGCAACCACGCAAGTCTCACCAAGGCCGACGACCCGGCGCCCAACCACCCGACGCGCAAGTCGGTCGGCTCGGTGGGCTCCTTCCCCGCGGCCTTTGCGGGCGCGTACGGCCACCGCGACTCGGACGCCGTCATCCTCCCCGAGGGCGGTGTCGCGGCCCAGCGCGAGGCCGAGCTGGCCCATGGCCAGGGCCAGACCGTCTCGGGCGCGCCCATGGTGTCGTCGCCGGCCATCCTGCCCGCCGACCAGGCCCGCTCCAAGTGGCACATCAAGCCCGGCGCCAAGCGCCTCAGCGCGCAGAGCCAAAAGTCGGCCGCGAGCGGTGCCAGCGGTGCCAGCAGCGCGAGCGCCGACGGCAGCCTCGGCGAGACAAAGGGCCAGAGCCGCGCCACACACCGCCAGTACTCGGGCGGATACCAGGTGCTCACGTCCAACACGCTCGACTACCAGGAGGCCGAGCAGGGCGCGTTTGACGGCAAGAAGGGATATCCCGAGGCCGACGTGGGGTCCGGATCGGCCGTCGAGGCCAGTGGGTGGAAGCGCTCGGGCTCGGGCTCGCGCGACCAGGTTGGTGGTGGTGGTGTGGTGGGCGTCGGTGGCACGACCCAGGATACCGGCGACGTCGACCGCCCCGTCCCGGCCAAGCAGACGAGCATGCCCGGCACGTTCCAGTAGAGACTGTAATTTGCAATAATTTCGACAGCGTTAGTATGGCGGCCGAACACTTGTACACTGGCCGCGAGAGTGTATTGAGGAGGAGGAGCAGGAGGAGCAGGAGGAGCAGGAGGTGGTGGTGGCGCCTCATGTTTGATTATATTGCGTGTGTAGTATGTGCGGGATATGCATACATGTGACTGTGACAAGAGCATTCGTTGGTCTCACGGGCTGCGGAGGGACGAGTGAAAGGCGCGTGCAGGAAAAACGGAGGAAATACCTAAAAAAAGCGGCAATGCGGCACAATGGTGTGCGCTGCGAATTGGCCACCAAGGAAAGAGAACTGTCCAGTTCGTAGCACACGTTTTTGATTGTCTACAACACTCACGTTTCCTTTCTGTGCCTCTTGCCTCAGGACGTCTTGCCCAGAGATACTGGAATCCATACAGCGGCCGACGCGGTGCCCAGGCATCAAGCCTGTCAAGGACAATACCCTACTATCGCCTGCCTCGGGGCCTCGACCTCTTCAACTCCCTTTTGGATTTCTTGCCCCACTTTGTCCGTTCCCAGTCCTCCTGCGGCCTGCCACGCCCTCCTTCCTGCGCAACGAGCGAGGAGAGGAGGGAGCAGACGGCGCGGAGACAATGGCCAGTTGTGCAGACATCATCGGCCGCTTAGCTCAGCTGGTTAGAGCATCGTACTAATACCCAGTCTGGTTACTAGTTCATGCGGAGGTCGGCAGTTCGATCCTGTCAGTGGTCATTCCTTTTTGGATTCTGCATGTACCAGCGCCTCTGTGGCCTCCTGGACGGTTTATACGAGTTGGGAACCGTGTTGGAAGATGTAGATGAGGAGGATGGAGGGGGGCGGGTGTTGCGCGGCGATCTTGATCTGCCTCCGACACCGGTTCCTGCGCCTCCGTCTGCCACACCCGCCTCTCTCGGCCAAGGCAAACTCGTAACACCGTCTATCCTCCCTCCTGTACGCAAGCACAGGGATCACGGCCATACACATACACATGTGCAGACACTGTGGACCCGGCACCCGGAAACAATTAGCCAAAAAGCCAAACCAATTTCGGAGAATCGGCAAAGTGCCACCACCTTCCGCCCCCAACTTCCTCCTCGACATCTGCAAGTCTTCCACACCTCCCAGACGTCCAAAAAGGTTGGCTTGGGAGGCGATGAAGCCCCTGTTGACGAGAGTGGGATTCGAACCCACGTCCGAAGACTGCGGATGAACTCTTGCAAGAAGCAAGAGAAAACCTTAACACAGCGCCTTAGACCGCTCGGCCATCTCGCCGAGGACGATGTGTTGTTTGTCAGTGGTTGAAGGGTGTAGCGGGGCTGGGTCACAGCAGAGCTATAGACGACAGACGCTTCAATGGGGAAGGAAGAAGACGGCTGTGAGACGTTACTGTCTCGGTAACTGGGCTGTGGAAGACAGCGGGAACGATACCGGCGTTGAGATGAGATGTTGTGTTGGCAAGCGCCGCACAGCGGAGAGCGGGCTGTACACGACAGCATCCATGCAGGCGTGAACGCTACACTCTGCCATGGAATGGACACAATAGATCCATGTGGGATACGGCGTCTGTAGGATTGTGGTTACGCAAGTACTGATAGCTGCATGCTCGAAAGCCTGATGCCTCCGCCACAGCCAACCTGAATTTTCAGTAGCGGTTGTTGAATCCATTTTCGGTTAATTAATCTGAATATTGCAGATATATTATTCCTACCGTCGCTCACCAAACAACTCCTTCCTGCGCTTCTCCACAAATCACTAGGGTCTAACGATATTTGTGCATAATGCCACCAGGCGAGGCTATTTCTACAGCGCCGCTTCAAGCACCCATCTAAAACGTCTCAAGGGCATACCGGCGGTCGCCCACCAGCCGGCGGTATGCAGCATGGTCCAACTCTCTAGAACTATTTGGGACCATTCGCCTCGATACAGCGGGCCATAGCTCAGGATGATGGCGGTCTCCACGGGATGGTCGAAATGCGGGATGTGGAGCGACATCAAGAAGATGCGGGCGGGGGTGAGGTTGTCAAAGTAGGCGCTGAGCACGTACTTGTCCGCCTTGTGGACCCTGGAAGCGGGCATGTGGGTGGTCGCCCGGGGTAGCTGCTCGACGTAGCTTTTCTGGCTGATGAGGTTGACGATGACGGGTGCACTGGGGATGACTGACATGGACAGGAACTGGTGGCGCCGGACCACTTGGATGCTGGGAAATTCGACGCCGTTGGGCCGGGTGCGAACATCGAGAACTCGGGTGGTACATACGGCGGCCGTTGAGAGGAAGAATGGCTGTAGCGCAGCCTCACGGTTGTGGGTGAGAAGTGTCACTGGAATTGTCAAGAGCAATTGTAATGAGGGGTGATAAGAGAGCCCAACTGTCGATTAGCCGTAACACCCGCCTTGCGTTGTCTGTTTCGTGGCCCGTGCAGAGGATCACGGCGTGCCGGTACAGTGTCTTGTCCACCATCTCCCTGAAAGAGTGGCGTGTGTCCCTCCACAGGAGAAGGCAGTCAATATCGCTGTACTCGAGGATGGCCTTCATGAGGTGAGGGTACATCAGCAGGATGAAGTTGCTCGAGGACGACATGTTGAGGCTGTGATGATGCCAGTTGTCGGGACGATGTGGCGGGTGGCGGGGTGGCAGGTGGCAGGGAGTCGCCAAGGGCTCGTCTTTTATATTCCCCTCAGCTGGAAAGATGCAAACACGTCGGCCTATGTCGTCAAATGAACAATGACAGGGACAATAAACACTCCACATGACCCCCGTCGTGGCGGTGCGTGTCGTATCCCAGACATGACACTTCCGTAAGGGGTAACACAATAAAGTCTCCATAAAGTCCATCTCATTACAATTAATGCCTGCTATGCATCGGAGGAACACATCACATCTGCGGAGCTACAGTCTCCAGGTCGTACTGCCGGGCACCGACCAGGTCGCGGTACTCGTTGTGGGTGCGGAGTGTAATCCCCTGGTTGTATGGCGGGGGCATACCGTTCAGGGAGTCGACGTGATTGGCCAGTCCCACGGTGATGAGTGGCAACGAGTCGCAGAGGTCTTGGAAAGAACAGCCGGTCCAGGGGACAAGGCCGTCGAGGCCAACAACAGTGACGTCGGTGAGGCCGCTTTGAGCGCACGCCCGGCTGAGGACATTCGCAGGTGGGTCCCGTCGACCAACGGCGTCTCGGTTGCGGACCACGGTCCACACGTGAGGATGATGACAGCTTTCCCGACGTTGCCGGAGAGACGTATATCAAGTGGATCGTCACTGACAGTCTGCACGTCCCCTTGACGTCGGGTAGCGAAAGTGGCAGGAAAAGACGTATTTGTCGGCTTTGACCGTGAATGTTTCACAGGCCACAAGGGATTGCAAGGGCCATCTGAACAGCGGTGGTCGGGCATAGCGAGGGTGGTCTGGAGCAGCCGGAACGACTGGAACCGCCGACACAAGGTTGTGTCGCCGGACCAGTTCGAGGTTTGGAAGAAGTGGGAGGGCCTGATCCAGCGACGACACAATGTCCAGGATGCGGGTGCGCTCGGTAAACGCTTGCGGGACTGCTGGAAGGAGGTAGCTTGTATCGCGCGAAAGGTCGTGCCTGTTCCCGGGGCTCGGGGGGTACCACCCACAGGACGAATGGGACAGGCTTGCGACCAACACCGGTCGGGAGGCACAGTGTACTGTACGGCGGCGTTGGACTTCGTGTATGTCATCGTGTGAGAACTCCAGAGCGTAGTCTGTAGCTACGGGTATGTTGTTGCGGGGGACATTCCGGGTTTCAATCTCGTCATATATCACAATGTGGTGGCAAAGCGGCAGGTACGTCAGGTCGTAGATTGGCTTGCAGGTCTGTCGCAGCATGTACAGTGTGTCGGAGTCGCAGGACGACGGTACTGGGGTACATAAGGAGGTGGACAGTTGAGGATGTCTCGAGGGTAGCAGGCGGCATCGTGTGCTGCAGGGGCACTGGCAGTGTGGGCAATGTCGTTTTGTTGTTGGTGTGGTAGGAGGTTGCACGTCGAACGGTGGCGGGTGATGGAGCGAAAGAGGAATCAACGTGTGATCAGCATCTTTTACTTTGCCCCACCGGGGTCAGAAGGGGCGCGCAAGAATGAGACGGCTTCTGAAGGGGATTCTTGCACATGCTTCTCCTCATCCGGGTAGGTTACAACCAGAGACACTGGCCCTGTCTGCTCACTCGAACGGCGACAACAACGGTGGTGACGACGACGGTGGATTTTCAGCTTTTTATTGATTTTCAGTTTAGGTTGAAAGCTGGAGCGAGCAAGGAGAGACATGTTGCTGCTGGGAACTCTTCACTCTCCCAACAACAGGTGCACATCAACAGGCCGCTAGAGATACGACTACTGGGCACCATGTCAGACTCTGATGCAACTTCGTCTCAATGCTATCTTGCTATCTATTCTACATACCTGTCTGATCCACTGTGATCCCGTTTCATAGCGATAATCGTCCGTCAATGTCCGTCACCATCCGGCCTTGCTGCCCTTCCCCTCCCCCACCCTACTCGCTCGTCTCGAGCGAATATTGCTCCGCACCAACCTCCCTACGATACTGCTTGTGCGTCTTGAACGCGACCCCCGTGACGAAATACTTGCCCCTCTCAACCCTGTTCTTGTCCCCCTTGACCGCCTCGTTGGTGGCCTTGAGCAAGTCGCGCACGCCCGCCTCGACGGTCTCGGGCTCGAACCCGAGCCAGGCGGCCGCAATGTCCGCGCCGACGACAGTGACAGCCACGGGCGTGCCGCGGCACACGGCCGCGTGCAGCCAGCGGCCAAAGACGGCGGTGGTGAGCCGCGCGGTCGTGGCCCTTGACTTGGCCCTCGCGCTGGCCTCGGCGCCGTGCGTCGTCGGGTACAGAATGACCACGACGGTCTCGAGGTCGTGGATCGCCATGCTCTGGACGGGGAACGCGCCGGGCCAGACGTGCCCGTCGCGCGCGTCGAAGCGGAGCGTGAAGACATGCTTGGCAAAGCTGCCGCAGCCGGCGCCGCTGCCCGCAATGGTGTAACCCGTGTCGTCGACTTGAGGGGGGAACGGGAACCGCAGGTCGACGAGCTCGACCGTCGTGTGCGCGTACATCCACACGGGGCCCGAACGGAACTGAATACGCCGCAGGACGCGCAGGTGCGGCAGGTACAGCGGGTGCGTGGTGCGCGAGGAAATGTCCAAGACACGCGTGTGCGTCTTCATGAGGTCGCGCGTCTGGAGGTGTTCGGCGCTCGTTGGGGCAGCGTAGTCGCGTGCGTGCTCGCCAGGCCAGGGGAGGATGATGGCGGCGGTGCGGCCGAAGCGGTAGGGAAGGGTGAACGAGTTGTGGCCCGGGCGGGTGGCGACATGCGAGCACAGGACGGCGTTGGCCATGTGTTGGAAGGGTTTGGAGGTCTTGCGGAGGACGAGCAGGGTGGGGACGTCGGCGAACGAGATGATGCGGCGAATAAGGTGCGGGTAGGTGGTCCAGTCAACGATGGAGCTTGTTTCATCTGGATCAAAGTACGAGGACTCGTCGGGTGCGGTGAAGAATGAAACGAAGCGGTTCGCCTCCTGGGCGGTGATGGGAATGGGGCCCGTGTCGTCTGGATCAAAGTACGAGTCCTCGTCGGGCGCGGTGAAGAACGAGACAAAGGCGTTACCCATGGCCGTAAAGTAGATGGCGAGAAGGAGGATGAAAGGAAGGAAGGAAGGAAGGAAGGGATGTGGAGGGAGGCATAAAGATGTGCGGTTGAGTCATCCATCAGTGGCACCTGGGTAGAGCATTCCGCAGAGTGCCAGAGTACCAGAGTGCCACCAAGTGCTCGCGACGTGCAGCCATCCATGACTCACTCACACATGCATTATGGCAGGGTATCAACTTCTATACACAAACGACTCCAAGCTCCAATCTCCGCTTCCGAGGAACGCTACATATGCACACCTTCACCCATCTTGACAGGACACATTTCTACCGACAGACCAAACCAAGGAATACAAGCCCGACACTTTGTCGCCGAGAAGCAGCTCATGCGGCGTGCTTACTCGATGACCAAGGGCAGCGAGTCCTGGGCGGCCTTTTCGCTCTTCTTGTCCTTGCTCTTGGGGACGTGCGAGAACACGGACGTCTGGTTCATCGGGTCCATGTGCAGGTCCCTGAGGCCGTTGTGGAAGTTGGACATGCAGATGCAGCTGTAGATAAAGGTTGTGGTCTGTGGAGGCCTATCAGCAAATGCAGGCAACATGGGCACCGCGCGCGAGCGGGGCTGTGTGCGTACCAGGATGACGATTGAGAACACGGCTATTTCCGTCAGCACATGGTCTTGGGGTCTTGGGCTTGGCAGGGCCACTCACCAAAGATGGCCATGGTGATTTTGGTGTTGATGTACAGGTTCTCCGTCCTCGCGATCCACATGCTGGCAAATTTGTAGCTGAGATGTAAGCTGGTGTAACCAGTGCCGAATAGCTCACATAAAGTATGCCTGACCGGCGACCATGAACACGAGGCAGACACACATGGTCCTGTCTGTCAGCACGTCAGTGGCGAGCGGGTTACGTACGGAGTGTTTTCGTGCCGCAATGCCCAGCCGCACAGGAGGAGGATGAGCATGGAGAGTGGGAGAGCCACGATGGTGATGATGCTGAGAGGTTAGCGACACGATTATGGGGCGGAAAACTCACAACTCGGCACGGTTTTGGTGGATAGAGGTGACAAGAATGAGGTACTGTTGTCAGTGGCAAGGTTCTACCTGTCTCCCAGCTCACGGCAATGCAGAACGCGGTGGCAAAGAATGTGACGAGCTTGAGAAGCGACACGAGGGTCTGGTAGTGCCTGTGCATGCCTGTTTGTGAGCTCCAGAGTAAACACATTGCCTCAACTCACGCTTGAGGTTGGGGGAAGCGCCAACCAGCTTGAACACGACCCAGCCGTACTCGCGGTACAGCCGAACGGCGAGGATGATGTAGATGATGGTCGAGAGGCCAATAACGATCGGGGGAACGATCATCAGGCGCTCCAAAAGCCAGTACAGCGATCCGGGGCCGATGCAGTCCTGTGGTGTCAGTTCAGTCGAGGGGCGTCAAAACTCACAAATCCGCCATTGGCAAGCGCGACGCACGCCTCGTCCATGTCCAAGTGGCCGAACGTGTTCCTTTTGGTTGTCAGTGAGAGGAGCTAGGGACGCTGGTTAACAGGTCCACATACCTCGTCTGAGGGATCTCGAGGATGGCGTAGGTGAGCATGCAGAACTCGAAGAAGATGTGGAGGCAGAGCTGGTTGTTAGCTGCATCCAGTGCGACCAGCTCACCTGAACGACATTCCTCGCGTACAGAGCGTCAAAGCTGTAGACGCAGGAGAAGAGGCGCGCAAGGATGAAGATGGACAAGTAGACCTAGAGGAGGAGGCGGTCAGTATCAACGTCATGTCGGCGCACAGGGACAGAAGGAGAAGCAGTGCGTCCCAGACCGAGGGACACGAGGAGGCGATGGAGACGACACAGAAGGCGGTTTACTCCCGGTCTGTCAATCGTGCCCTCCTCCTCGTCTTGGCGCGAGCATGGACCGTCATGGGATCATGGCCCCCCGTCTTGGCGACCGTCACATATCCGTGCTTCGGTAACGACTGGGACGGGCCAACTTACCGGCACAGTCTTGGTCTTTGCGGTGTTGGTGGTGACGCGTGTCTGGGTGGGTCAGTCACTGTACCAGTCAGAGCAGCACCCACCTCGACAAGACCAAAGACGGTGAACGCAATGGCGCACACGATGACAGACTCGACGACAGCTGGGGACCAAATGTCAGCTCACATGCCGCAGTTATTATTGTTGTTGTGGTATCTCTCCGCGCGCTCGCCACCCGCGCGCCAACTCACCTGTACCCATGTACGCCTTTTCAGCGGCGGACGTGAGTGCTGCCTCGTGTGTGCCGTGTTCCGAGCTGCGGCGGAGGGACGACCTGTTCTTCGACTTCATGGTGCCGGTGGTGCCAGAGGCGTCTGGTGGTGGGATGGGAGAATAGTAAACCATGGGTGAGATGGGGATGCAAGGGCGGGGGCCTCTGATGTAGGAAGGGAGAGGTGGTGTGATGGGGGGGCTTGTGCTGGAAGGAATGTGCGGCGGGGGGAGTGTGTGTCACAAGGATGGATCGCGTGAGAGAGAGAGAGAGCGCGAGCGAGAAAAGGGCGGTGACGGATGAGAGACAGACAAGATGTTAGCGAGATGGCGCAGATCTCTATAACCTGGCGCTCTGGAACATAAGCAGTGCCCTCTCGATGGTGTGGACGTATGCTGTGCGAGAGAGGGTTGACCTCCACACCCATCCCCCACCCTGCCACCGCCCCTGTTGGCCCCCAGGTCCAAGCCATTTCCATGCACCACCCCCGGTCGCGTCGGCGGCGCACGACAGGCCCACAGCTATGGCATGTCTGACGCGCGTGGTGTCAGAGAACAAACTCTGAGCTCTGAGCACGCGCGTATTTGTGAACACGGGCGTCAACAAATCGCGCGCCCGTCAACACATACCACACCGATTTGGGTGTGTCCCACATTCTTCGATGACACTGCAACACCTGTCCCGAGGGGCTCTGTGATCTCAGTGCTGCAGCAGCAGCATGGCCCTCAAATGGTAGAGCCCTCCCGTCCCCTTTGTGATCTGGACTGCATGAACACATTGCGAGACTGCGCACAGGAGAGTGACTTCAGAGACGTATAGGCCATGCTGTGCGACCCCCACCACCAGCTCTCGGCAAGCTCGCGTGGACGGGTGTATGGGTGACAACAGCCTCCATAAAATACACATCATAAAGTAGATGGCGAGCACGTGGTTGCCATGCACTGACCGTCCTGACCGTACTGACCTGCCCCCCCGATGTGGAGAAGCGAGCGACCCCCCTTTGTACCCCCCCGTTGTGGGTGGGCACGGCCCGGTCGCCGTCGTCGTCGTCGTCGGTCAAGACATCCCCATCATATCCCTCCCCTTCATCCCTCATCTACATCCCTCCTCCCCCCCCTCTTCATCCCCATCCCCAGTCACTCCTTCACCTTCTTCACCTTTCATCCCCTCCCCCCAGCGGCACCTTTCCACTTGTTCAGCGGGCATCGGCCCCTCCGCTACCGCCCCCTACTCCTCCGACTCCTCCTTCATCGTCCTCGCCCCTCCCCCCCTTGCCTCGCCGCCCTTCCCCTTCTACTCGCTCTATTCACCATGTCGTACAACCACCACCTTCCCACAAAGGTGGAGTTCAAGCCCAAGCGCAAGCATGGCATGTACGCCGTCATCTTCTTTCTCGGCTGGCTCCTGCCGCCTCTGGGTACGCACAGGGCCCCGCCCACATCTCTCGCCGTGTCCTTTGGTGGCTGGTACTGACATCCCCCCCCAGCCGTCGCAGCGCGTTTCGGCATTGGTACGTTTTTGGCTTTGTCTTGGTGGTGGTCATCTCGAGAGCTGGGTGCTGACTGCTTCCCATAGGCAAGGACTTTTTCATCAACGTGAGTGGCCATGGTCCCGCTGCCGTATGCGCCCATGCGGCACCTCTGTTCGCGCCCACGCTGACACGTTCTTCAGGTCATTCTGACGGCCTGTGGCTGTATGTTGCTTATTGCCGACCGTGAGGGACCATGCTGACGTCTTCAAAGACTTCCCAGGCCACGGTCATAAGTGAGCTTGCATGCGCTGTTGCGTTGCCAACCACTGTCCACTGACCAGCTCCCCCCACAGCTTCTATGTCCAGAACATCCGTAACAAGTGCGTCCACTCTCTCGGCCCAATGTCGGGCCGTTTTAGCTGACGTACCCAGCGCGACCAAGGCACGCACGCCAAAGTGGGCTATTCGCTACGGCCTCGTGGACACTTCGGACATTGACCGCCGCGCAAAGAAGTCGCAGTGGGCGAAGCGCTACGACGAGCGTCTGCCCGAGTCGACGCTCGTGGGCCAGCAGCTCGCCGACGGCGAGGAGGGCCCCGACTACACCCCGCACGACGAGCGCAACGACGAGCGCCTGCGCAACGAGGGCCTGTGGACGCGCGACGACGACGTCGAGTACTACAACGAGGACGAGGCGCCCAACCAGCGCAAGTGGCACTACCCGGCCAACTTTGAGGGCACCGTCGGCGACGGCCGCTCCAAGCGCCGCCAAAAGGACACGGGCGGTGACCGCTGGGAGCGGACCCGCCAGGCGCGCTCGAGCGTGGACTCGGGCTCGGCCGGCGCCGGCGCGGGCTCCGGGTCCTACGGCACCTACCCGCCGCGCGCGGCCACCGACGACGACGTGCCCGAGTGGGGCCGCGACTACGGCAGCAAGGGCCGCCGGAGCAGCAAGAGCAACAAGAAGGGCAACGCGTCGACGGCGTACAACAACAACAACAGCAGCAGCCACAACAACGGCAGCGCCTACACCGACGACTCGAGCAGCTACAGCGGCAACAATAACCAGGCCGCCGCGGCCAAGAAGCCGTCCAGCCCGGACGACGTCTTCAGCCACGAGTTCTAAGGCTTTACATGATGCCTCGCTGTCCGTGTTTGTTTGTTTGTTTCTTTGTCAGCGAGACACAAAACATTACAACACCCTTGGAAACACGGGCCGTCCCCTTTGCGCGTGTTTCCAGCACGGCCTGAAGATTCCAAGGCCCGACGTCGGCGGTGTCCCCAGCGGTCAGCGTACCTGCGCGGTGGTTGGCGCGCCGTGGTGCGATTTCGGGAATTCCAGCGGAGAGAGGAGAGAGGAGAGGGGGAGCAAGTCCAGCGGCCAGTGGGGCCGAGTGGGGCCAGTGTGTGACGACGGGGCCAGTGTGTGCGCGTGGTTGGGGGAGTGGGGGAAGGGGGAGGGGTGGGCGCGCGCGACAACTGCCCATGTGTCGCTTTTGCGGTTGCAGTGTGCGGGGTGGCGTGGGGTTGCTGGGTTCTGTCGGCTTAGGCGGCTTGTTTGGCTCGGCCCACTTTGGCAGTGCGCAGTGACGCCGCTGGCCGCTGGCTGTACCAAGCTTGCTGCCATATTTCTCTCTTTGTACAGTACTTATATAGGTGTCTTACTCATTTACTTTTTTCTCTCATATGGTCGTGAATGTGGCAGGAGAAGGCAGAGCATGTACACGCGTCCGCCACCCGCAAGCGAGTGGCGAATAGTGGAATCCATGGACCACAACTGGCGGCGAGGACATTGACCCGTGTACCCATGTTCGACTGGCCATCATTGATTGTGTCATGTCTGACGGGCCGCGCTTGGCGTGTCCGGTGGGCCGATTTTTGATTAGCCCGGTGTACCGCCGTCTACGGGGGGCCAGTGGTGCCTCTCCCTCTCTGCCGCTGTCCCTGTATATACGGCCGCACATTCCAACGCTTGCTGCTGTCGTGCGTGCGTGCGTGCGTGCGTACGCGCGATGCTTGGCGGCAAGCTCTGTCTCTGTCTCTCTCTCGTGCTGGCTGTACGAGTGCTGCCACCCAATTTTTGGGCCCTTGCTGTGGTCTGTCCCTGTGTATTTTTCCTGCCATCCCTGGTGGCCAGCAGTGCAGCCGTCAAGACGTCGTCAGTGCGATCAGTGCCATTTGCCTGAGATGAGCGCATGAGAGGGACGCCACCCGCCGCCTCATGACATGTGCAGAGAGTAGTGGGTGCTGGTTGAGCCGAATCAGAGAGGCGAGAGAGAGCGCAAGAATGAGAGCAAGAAGCAGCGGTAATGAGCGGAAGTACGGTGTGATGCTGGAGATGGGAGGGGGGGGGGGGGGGAGGGCAGCTACAAGGGACTGTCATGGTGTCGATCTCTGGGCCAACACCCACCACGAGACAGAGAGAGCGAGAGAGAGAGGGGTGTGGCTGTACCCTTTGGACCCGCAAACGACGACGCTTCTGTCGAGGGTTTCCCGTGTCGGTTACTGCGCCAGGTCGTCGTCTCTGCCCTCGTGCTGCTCCAGCGCACAGTCCAAGACACGACATCACCGTCAGAGAGAGAGCGCCGAGTGGTCTCTCCTGTCTCCTGTCTCTCGTTGTGTCGATCCTTTTCATTCCACCCAAAGGTCTTACCCCCGGAGTCATTAATTCCATCTCGTCACTCCGACCCACCCAACACCCACTCAGCAACTGGCTAGTGCGCATCCCGCGATAAACTTTACTGCCATCCCAAACACAACACACACAGTTGGAACACTTGCTTCCTACCTCGTCCTCTATACCACCACCACAGACACACACCCACACACACCCCACACGACACCTCACCTGCATTCAACAACACCCTTCCACCCCCAACTCCACCCCAGCTCCACCACCCACCACAACCCCCCACCCTCCCCCTCCCCAAACAGCACCACCCCTCCCCCTTCACAAACCACCCCCCCAACCACCTCCACGGCCAGATGGCCCCAATGGCCCTGCCCAGGTCGCCCGCCTCGCCCTCCTCGCCAGACGGCCCGCCCAAGGCAGTCCTCCCGCGACGAGCCCCCGCCGCCGTCGCCGCCTCGTCGAGCAGCGCACTAAACACACCCGCTGGCACCCCGGCCCCGCCGCCAAGCACCACTCACGCTACCACCCACGCTACCACCCACGCTACCACCACCACCACCACCGCAACGTCCTCGGCGTCGGGGCCCGTGACCAACCCGAGCCTCACGACTTGCACAACCGCCGCCTCGTCTGCCGTGCCGTCGCCGCCTGAGCTCGACGACACCGCCAGCACGGGAACGGGCACGGGCACGGGCAGCGGAGGCGGCGGCCTCGGCGGCCTCGTCAACGGCAACGGCCCCACGTCGGCGCCCTCTGGCCGGCGCACGATGGCGTCTGCAGGCGGGTCGACGGCCGCGCTCGCGAGCCTCGGCGGCGTGGCCACCGCACCGCCCACCGCGGCCGTCACGCCCGTGACGGGGTTGGGCAAGATGGCCGCCGCGGCTACGGCAGGTAAGCGGCGAGCAGGAGGAGGAGGCGACGCCGAGCCCGTCGCCGGTGCCGGCGAGGACGACCACCCGCTGTCTGACCGCAGCCTTGCTGCCAGGTGAGTTTGCTGGCTCACACCCCTATACTATGCTCCACCCTCGACGCCCCGCTGACACTTGCTCCCAGGGCCTACCACACGCTGCATGCGATGCAGCACCTGTTCCACCTGCCCGACCGGTGGCGACTGCTGCGGCCCCTGGGGCAGGGCGCGTACGGCCTCGTCATCAGCGTCCAGGACAGCCTGAGCGGCGAGCCCGTCGCTGTAAAGTGCATCACCCGCGTCTTTGACAAGACCATTCTCAGCAAGCGTGCCCTGCGCGAGATTACACTTTTGCGCCACTTTGGAGAGCACGAAAACCTCACTGGGTGCGTACTCTGTGCAGCCGGCGTCGTGTCGGCGTGTCCGTTCGTTCACACACGGGTGGCGGCGGGACCTGAACACGCCGAGAGCGAGACGGACGAGAGACGGTGGGGCGTGGCTGACAGCGGCATTAGTCTTATCGACCTCGATAACGTTTGGGACGGATACAATGAGATGTGAGTTTTTCGGGGCGGGCGCCGGGGAGAGAGGCGAGGAGGCAAAGGCTGACGACGTGCGCAGATACCTGTACATGGAGGTACGCAGACGATGTTTACCACCTGAATGGGAGGGGGTTTCGTTTTCCGGGTACTGACTCGCCACACAGCCGATGGAGGCCGACCTGCACCAGATTGTGCGCTCTGGACAGCCGCTGTCAAACCTCCACATCCAGTTCTTCCTGTACCAGCTCCTGCGCGGCATGAAGGTGTGTCTTGGCAGCAAAAAAACGACCGTGTCTGACGACCCACCACAGTACATCCACTCTGCCAATGTGATCCACCGCGACCTCAAGCCGGGCAACCTGCTTGTGAATTCCGACTGCGAGCTCAAGATCTGCGACTTTGGCCTTGCGCGCGGCTTCAAGCCCGTCACGGGCGAGACGGACCAGAACGAGGAGCTGCGCATGACCGAATACGTCGCCACGCGCTGGTACCGTGCTCCCGAGATTATGCTCTCGAACCGCCGGTACACGACCGCCATTGACGTGTGGTCCATTGGCTGTATCCTGGGCGAGCTGCTTGGCGGCAAACCCATGTTCAAGGGCAAGGACTATGTCGACCAGCTCAACCTCATCCTCGGCGTCCTCGGCACGCCCGACGACGAGACCCTGCTCACCATGAGCTCGGAGAAGGCGCGCGTGTACCTCCGCACTCTTCCCCACAGCCCCGTGATGCCGTTCGAACAGGTGCTTCCCAACGCGGACCCGCAAGGTGAGTTGAGTTGCAGGCGAGCTGGGTCAAGGTCATGGATCACGGACGGCCACGGCCGAGGCGCCGATGGTTCCCTATTTTCCGCCACCGTGTATCTGTGCGCCACAACGGCCACAACCCGAACTCATGTCGTCGAGTGACTGCCCAACTGACGCCACCCCCCCAGCCCTCGACCTGCTTGGCAAACTGCTAGCGTTCGACCCGACCAAACGCACCGACGTGGTAACCGCGCTGGAACACCCGTACGTTGGCGCATACCACGACCCGTCGGACGAGCCCGAGTGCGAGGTGTTTGACAAGTGGGCCGAGGTGGAGCAGCTCCAGAGCATGGAGGAGCTGCGGGCCGCCGTCACCCGCGAGATTGCCGAGTACCGCGCCGAGGTGCGCGGCATGGCCGAGGAGGCGGGCGACGAGGACGACGAGGACGACCACGACCACGAGCACGGGTACGAGGAAGGAGCGTACCAGTACGAGGTCGAGGGCAGCGGCGTCCACAGCGAGCCACTATCGACGGACGTGTCTGCGCGCGAGTCGTTTGACTCTGTCCGCGACGACTTTGCCGCCAGCATCCGCGGCCGCCTCGGCGTCAATGCCGCCCACGTTGGCGGAGCTGGAGCTGGAGGCGGCACGCTGCCATCGCCGTCGCCACGGACACTGTCGCCCGACCACATCCGCAGCAAGCTCGGCCACATGGCCCAGGCCGGCCGCTCGCCCACGCTGTCGCCACGACGAACGCTCGACCGCGTCCAAGGCCGCAGCAGGTCGCAGTCGCGCTCGCGCTCGCGCGACGTGTCGCCGTACACGCCCGGCACGGCCATTTCGGCCATTTCGGAGGAATCGTTCGGCCACAGTGCCGGCGGCGGCGCTGGCGGCGCGCACAGCCACGTCGGCGTGAGCCATATGGGCATGAGCCAGACCGTGGCACAGCGCCGTCCCCGCCGGTCGTCGAGCGTGGCCAGCCTCAAGCGCCGGTCCATGTCGTTCCTGTTCGGCGGCGGCTTTGGCGGCGGCATCGGCATGACGTCCATGACCGCTGCCGGCGGTGCTGGTGGCAAGGAAGAGTCGGCCATCGCGACAGCGTCGTCGGGCGAGCACACGGCGGGATCCATGGTCGGCCGCCGGTCCCGCGCACCGTCTGGCACGGCGTCGCTGCGCCCCCTCATCCGCCAGCTGAGCACGACCAACCTCGAGGACTTGCACCGCGCCGAGGCGCTCGCGACCGACGACGAGCCCCTCATCACGCACTCGCCCGGCCAGCGGAGCGGCTCCAACCCCAACTCGGCCTCGGACGGCGCCCTCAGCATGAGCATGAGCCGGCGGTCCAGTCGTGCAGGCTCCGAGCGCAAAAAGCGCCCCGTGAGCGTGCCTGTTGCGGCATGAGCTAGAGCGTGGGCGTGAGCGAGAGCGCGTGCGTGAGCTGAAGCTCGGACACGAGCGTGAGCGTGAGCGTGGGCAGCGGCAGCAACTGTGGTGTGTGAGAATCACATGTCCGCGGCAGTGGCCAGTCCTCCGCCGTGCCTTCATCCCACAATCCCACAATCCCACAATCCCAGTGCCCCCGCCGTGTACGGTACTGTGCCGTGCGTACGTACGCCAAGCGAACGGCCGTGGAGCCTGGGTGTGAGACGTGTCAAAACCGACCAATCAATTGCATTAGGGCCCTCCACTCGCGGTGGAGGGAGGGAGAGAGTGAGAGAGAGTGAGACGGCGGGGGCGTTAACGCGGGCGGTGGAGGCTGCAGGCAGAGGAAGTGTCCACCGCTGCAGCTGCTGCTTGCATGCCTGCCGCGATTAGCCCATTCATAGCGACCAGTTGTCAGCATCGTAGTGACTGGGGTTGTGATCGTAGTGACCTGGGCGTGTCCATTTGTCATGCATGGGGTTTTTTTTTCACTCTCTTCTATACACTTCCGCCTGTCCACTCCCGGGTGGAGGCTGCCGCCGCACACCTGCAGCCAGCCCAGCATCATCATCATCATCATATGCACAGGGTATATGCTCGCTGACTCACACGTTGGCCGTCGGCGTCCGCGCATTCAGAGCAGCAGCACAGAGATCCCTTTGCGGGCAGACGACGAAACAGGCAAAAAATAAAAGAGAATGGAAATTCCGGACAATTCCTGGGGGGCGATCCTGCGCGGCCGAGCGAGAGCCAGAGAGCGGGGAAAGGGGAGGGCTGCGTGTGCCTTTTGGGTGACACACACAAACCTCGGCCTCTGTCGAGTTTGTGGGTGTGTCACTCTGGAGTGTGCTCGCCGGTCTCGCCGACGGGCGGCCTGCGTGTGTTTGGCACAGCGAGGCTGGCGAGCGCTGCGTGCGGCGTCTGCGGGCGGGCGGGCGATGGCCACAGAGCACACGTCCGCATCCGGCCAGTGTCGTGTGCTCTTGTGAGCATGTGTATCTGTGTCTGTGTCTGCGTCTCCCAATGGTCATCACCGGTCGCTCTCATATACAAACACACTGACACTCACTGCATGTCGTCGCTATAGACCACGACCACTCTGCTGTCACTCTCCATCATCCCATCCGCCGTCGCCTCCTATCACCAAGACCACGGACAAGACCACGGACAAGACCAGCGGCCAACCACACGCACGAGATAACCAACTGCGGCCTCCGCCAACAGAGCCTTGTCTCCAGTGCCAATTTCATCAAACCTAGTAAACTACTAGCAACACCCGCGACCCCCTCGCCTCACCTCACCTCACCCCACCCACCCTCGTCATGATCCTCAAGTCGCTTGGGTGGCCACGGCCAAAACACAAGGAACGCGGCAGTGTCCTCGACCTCGACCCGGCGGCGTACGACCGCAACACGGGACTGCCAGCCACCATCCAGGTCGGCAGCTACAGCGTCAAGCCGCTCGTGACGCTCGAACAAGGTGGGTTACATGGCCTGCTGCACTGTGACTCTGTAGTCCTGTGGAAAGTTTGGGTTGTTTGTGTGGGATGCCCGGGGGGCACTCGTGGACACTCACCCCCCGCGCGCACCCCGAGGTGGAGGCCGGTAGCTGGTTATTTTGGTTTTTCTGGGCAAACGCCACCCAAACCATGGCAAACGTCCACCACCCCACACCGCAGGCCACCGCCACAGCAGTCCCAATTCCCCCCCCCCCCCCCCCCCTCGCACGACATCCCGCTGACATGCTATGCCCCAGTGCACGACCACCTCGTCCTCCTCGCTGCATTTGACGACTTTGCACGGCGGTCCGGACCCCGCTTCCACCGTGTGGCGGACTCGGCCGCGTTCGACTATGAGCGCTGGGCACAGACGGTGCTTCCTGCGCGCTCACGGCGGTGGTCCGACGCCAACTCTCACTCCCACTCTCACACCCATGCACACGCACACACCGCTGCACACAGCCACACCCACACCCACACCGCTGCCCAGCCCGGGCGCGCAGGGACGTGGCCGCACGCTAGCAGCAACCCCTCGTCCGTCCCGTGCCCTCCTCCGTCTTCACTCGACGGGAAACCCGTCACTACGGCTGTGCTCACTGCCTCGCCCGTCGCGTCCCCGCTGAGCCTGTCGCCGACGGGCTCGCCGCCCGAATCCCCGCTGCTCAGCGAGGGCGCCCCGCACCACACATACCCGTTGTCGGCGTCGGCGCGCACGCGCAGTTTCGGCAGTGCCGGGAGCGCGGCCGCGAGCATCGTCTCGTCGGTCGCCAGCAGCGGCTCGCTCTCGGTCTCGCGCTCGCCGGCGCCGGCGCCGCTCACGGCCGCCGAGCTGCCGCCGCTCGCGGTCCTCATGTGCTGGCACGCGCACCTCATGAACCCGGGCCAGTTTGCGCTCGATACCGACGGGACGTATGCGAGCCTGCACGGCTTGGCGTTCCCGCTCGCCGAGGCCGCGGCGGCCGTGCGCGCGGGAACCCTGCCCGACGACCTGGCGTTCGTCTACTCGTCCGACAACCTGCGTGCCATCCCGTCCATTTCTGGGTGGACGCCGCCAGACATTTCTGCCGCGGTGCAGCGCGCCGCGCGCATCGTCGCTGCGATCCGGTCGCACGGCTGGCTGGCTCCAGAGCTCGTGGACGGCGACGCCGCGCCGTTCCAGCGCGCCATTGTGCGCTACCACGCCTGGCTCGACCTCATGGCCGCCGTGGACGGCCACCCGTTCCTCGCGCCCACGCACGACATCCAGCTCGTGTGGCACACCCACCAGCTGCGCGGGACGCGGTACCGCGTCGAGACGGAGCGGCTGCGTGGCGCGCCGCTCGACCGCGCAGACCATTTCGTCGTCGTCGCGGACACGGACGGGCTCAAGCGCACCGCGGGGCTGTGGCGCGCCCGCTTCAAGCACGAGTATATCGAGAGCCCACGTAAGGGCGGAGGAAGCAGCGGAGGCGGGGGCGGCACGCTGCCCATGCCTGTGCGCCGGGGGGCCGTATAGATGGAAAAGAGTGGTGGCGGGTGGGGCAGGCGGGTGGCCAGGCGGCGCGTGTTTGTTGCAGAGCGTGTTTGGCGTATGTCGAACGTTGTAGGATACTTTAGTAGTCATTTTCTAGTTTAATTATTGTAAGCATGTACGTGTGAGTTCCTCCTTTCTCAGTTATCAGGCAGACTGCGCGGAGGGGGCAGGGGGGAGGCTGCCACATGTCAAGTGAAAAGCCGCATAGACTGGTGCTCGGCTGGGCTGCGTCTGCCCGTTCGCCGCCACTTGCTCGAGTCTGTGGCACTTTGAATCAACCGCGCGGTTCCTCCAGACGCGCGCTGCCGCACAATGTGCCGCAGCACTGGAGCACGGCACAGCGAGGCGCAGAGTTGGCGGTGGACGGGTGCACTGGCGGGGTCGATGGCAGCGTCCGACATGCCTGCCTTCCCCCTTGCCCGTCTTCTCTTCTCGGCTCCCCCCCTCCCTCTCCCCCTCTCCTCCCTCTTGCCCGACCACGACCGCATCGGGAACCATCCCAACCAACCGCAACACACCCTCCGCCCACTCCCCTCCCTCTCCCCTTCTCCAGCGCCTCCGGGTCCCGGTCGAACGTTGGCAAATGCTGCAGAACCATATCCATCTCCACCCTAGTGGTGGCCGTGTGCGGGCTTCTTGGCAAAGAAGTCGTCGTAGATGACGTACGCGGTGAACGCGACGACCGCGGTGCCGAAGCCGGGGAAGAAATTCCTGCGGGGGTGTGAGCGCTAGCTCGGAGGTCATGTCTGGTGTCTTGTAGACGAGATGGAAGTGTACGCGCACGAGCTGTATACACCCGCGAGCTCGATAGGCTACGCCTGCGTCACCGTCGCAGGCAGCGACGGCGCGATCTATACAGCAAGACCTTGTGCGTGTGCTTGTCGTGCTCGTGCTTGTGCGTGGCCCAGACAAAGTGCCAACGCCATGCTGCAATGCGCCGGCCGCGATTGGCGTGTTGCTCCGGAGATGCGCGGCACATATCCTCGCCACGACGGCGGCCGCACGCACACCCGCCAAACGGCGTCCACAAACGCCCAGCACCGACACACGACGACATACCTGAACATGGCCTTGTTGGAGAAGATGGGCGACTTGCGCCAGGCCTCGCGCTTGGCCCAGGGGTCACGGTAGAGGGGGCCGGGCATGGTGGGTTGGGGGGAAGGAGGTTTGGTTGCAAGGGGGAGCGCCGGGGGCTGGGTGTTCGTGGGTGTCTGGTCCGGCGACTAGGGTGTGCGCCGCGTGCTGCCGGAGTTGTGTGTAGTGGCGAGAGTGCTCTTTGGGTGCTGTGGTGGTCGTCGACGGAGGAGGTGTCGCTGACGTCGGAGCATGAGCATACGGCGAGCAGCACCCACCCGCCCAGCAGCAGCACCCAGCGACCCAGGCAGCCACTGAGTGACGGCGTTTTAGTAAATCCCCGGCCGAGTGGCATTTCCCCCCGCCAGGACTTGATTAGGTATTTATTATTTATGATATTTTTTGTAATTGAACACCGGGCCGGCTCGCTCGCCTAATTGGGGACACGGGTGTTTTGAATTCGGCACCGGGCCTCTCGGCGGTGACTCGGGGAGGGTGCAGGCGGAGGAACGAGGGGAGGGAGCACCAGGAAGGGTTTGCGCCTCTGTCGAATCCATCCCATCCCATCCATCTCTTGTCATCTCTGATATCATTGTCCCCTCCTACCTCCCTCCTCTTGGCACACCCCTCCCTCCCTCCTCCTCCCCCAACACATCCCCTCCCCCCTCTCGTCACCTCCCTCCCCCATTCCACTCCCTCACCACACTCCACCACTCCCCGCGCCCGCGCCCAACTCTCGACTCGCGAGGCTCCTCCTTCCTTCCGACGCGCCTCCTCCTCAAGGCGTTCACCACCACCTACGTCAGCCCATGATCCTGCGTGCCATCTGAGCACCCACCGTTGTTACCCAACCCCGGCTCGTCCCCGCCTCGCCGCCAACCCCCCTTCCCGCGTCTAGCTCTGCTCTCCGAGCCAGGCTTGCCGGGCGCATCGGCGATCGCTCCTCCCGCGGCGGCGGTGCCTCCCATGCCGTCCTCGCTCCTCCGCGCAGGAATCGCCGCGCTCTTCGACCGTTCACGCGGCGCAGTCGCGGCCATTACCGGCGCTGGCGGTCCAGGAGCAGCAGATGATGACGCCGTCACCGGTCCGCTCGCCCCGAGCTGGCTCGTGCATGGCGGCTGGGCCTCCCCAGACGCCTTCACCGACGTCCGTCGTCTCCTCTTCTACGCCGCAGCGTGCGTGATGCTCCTCGTGCTCGGTAAGTTGGGATCTGGCACCAAGTTTTTTTTTCTTCTTGTTGTGACTGGTTGAGAGCACACCCCTCCTCTCTCCCCCTCACACACCCTCCTCATAACCATATGTCTAACACACACAGTGGCCGTCACTTGCCCGACCGATTTGTCTTTCCGCTCGCACCTCACAGAGCTCGCGTTCCGCCGGCACCTCGCGCACATCCGTTCTTCGGATGAGCCAGAGACCGACGCGCGCAACAGCTCGACACCCCCCAACGGCGTCAGCGCGTCTGCTTCTGGCGGAAACCACACCGGCAGCGATACACCACCCATCGCCCCGTTCCGCTTTGCAAACCACGTCGCCATCTCCCTCCGCACACCTAGTCTCTGTTATCAATCCTACTTCTTTTTCGCCATTGCTCTGTCTGCCGCCCCGCGACCTCCCGCATACCTGTCGGACCCGGTCCCTTCCAAGGCAGCCAAGAATGCCGGCCCTCCCCCTCCCGAGCCCGCCCTCGTCTACCTCGGCGTCCTCGGCCACTGGTTCATGCTCGGACAAGTGCCTGCGCTCCTGCAGTGGGCATGGCGACTTGTCCGTATCGGTCGTCGCGACAAGGCCCGCAAAAAGTCTTCCGCCCTCGACCGCCCCGGCGTGCTGGAGATGCGTGCCGTCCTCCCAAACAAGGATGAGACGACCGCTCCGACCTGTGAGTCGTTTTGAACTGTGATATCTCGCTAGCTCCTTTGGCCTTTTGGGCAATTAGCGAGCGACCCAGGCACCATTCATTTTTCATTTGGCGCTGACCACACCAACCCCTAATTTTAAACCCACCACCATCCAGCAACCCGCCCGTCTGCCCTTGTGCCCAAGCTTCTCTTCAAGAACGACTCGTACAAGGACCTTACCGACCTCTTGCCGCTGCATTCCGGCTCGTCGATCCTCCCCCAAGGTGGCTCGCTCGTGCCGGAACCCCGCTCGCGACGAGGGTCCATTGTCAACCTGATCGCGACGCCGCCAACACCTCCTACACTGGAAGGCGGCGCGCCTGCGATCGAGGTCTCATCCCCTGTCCTTACCGCCCTGAAAGCCGAACTGGCCACTGCCCAGTCGGTGCTTGCCGAACTGCAGGCACAGCTTACGACCCACGATGAAGCAGTCGCCGCATCGCAGGGTCATCTCCAGTCTACGCTCGACGAGCTGCGCCAACGGCGCAAGGAAGACGACGCCGAACGCCAGGACCTCAAGTCCAAGGCCAAGACGTTGGACGACCAGAAGCGCCAGGCCGAAGGTGCGCGTCGCGAATCCGAGAAGCGTCTCAAGACGGTCGAGTCGATCCGCGACGGCATCCAGGCCAAGATTACCACGGCGCTGGGCGAGATAGAAGAGTTGAAGGAAAACATGGAGCTCAGCCGACACAACATTACCATTGTACACCAAGAGGCGGCGCGTCACCTTGTCGAGACGCGCCAGGCCGTAGACGACAAGACCACCGAACTCGGCGTCATCGAGGCCGAGGTCGTCGAGGCCGAACAGGTCAACGAAACACTGTGCCAACGCGTAAAGGACGCCGAGGACAAGCTCAAGTCTGCAGAGATCGCCGCCGTCGAGGCTCGCAAGATGGCTCCCGAAGAGGAAATGATGCTCATGGCCGCGGCCTACGAGGCTGTTGCGTCAGAGACCTATCTCCACGGCCAGCGCCAGAACCAGGCAGACAGCCAGTGGGTGTCACAGGCAGCAGCTTACATGGCCGAGGCGGGCTTCCCCCACCTCGACCAGTCGTACACTGCCCGTCCCACGCAGTCTGCTGCCTCTGGTTACGGCCACCTCGCTCGCGCCCATCCCAACAATGCGTCGTACCGCAGCCTCGTTGAGAAGAACATCTCCGCCACCGCCGCCGACAAGAAGCTTGCCGATGTGTCTGGGTTTGAAGACTTTGGGCCCGGAGCCTCGCGCTCCCTCGCGCGCCCCACGACCCCGTCCCTCCAGACCGACGACATTGATGACCAAGGGTCGCCGAGCGGGCCCATGTCCGCCTCATTCCCCGACAGCTGGCTGCCGCAGGGCCTCGTGCGCTCTCTCGAGGGCGACGTGACGCCTCTCGAGGGCGCGTCCGAAGTGGCGCCGTCCGACGACGAGGGCCTGTACGCTTCGCACACGATAATGCACGAGGACGCCGTGGCAGACGACTCTGGCTCCGACTCGGACCTCGGCTCGCCCCACTGGCCCACGTCGGCGCGCGAGCACTTTGACGAGTACGCCGTCCCCGGTCCCCGCTCGCGCCGCGTCACTCCTACCTCGCGTCTCTTGCCCAACGGCCAGCCTGCCATGTCGGGCTCTGCATCGACTCTACCTGGCATGAACTCGACCTCGACCTCGAACGCCGCCAACAGCGCGGCGGCCAGCAGCATGGCGGCCGCGTCGTCGCGTCGCTGGTTCTCGACGTCGCCTAGCTCGGAAAACGTCTCGTCGTCGTTCAACCTGTTCAGCACGGGCGGCATGCCTGGCGGTCTGGGCTCGAGCGACTCGCTGCCCCTCGGATTCGAATCGCCGTTTGCCCCCTCTGCGTCGGAAAAGCGTGCCCTCAAGTGGCCGCTGCTCGGCAAGGCGCGCTGGGGCGGCGGAGGCACCAACGGCAACGCCGCCAACGGCCTCGACGAAATCACCCAGTCGCTCAAGGAAGACCAGCAGCTGTCCACATCGCCCAGCCTCAGCCTCATGGGCTTTGGCTCGTCCCCGCCCGCCACCGCAGCGCAGACCAGTCTCAGCGCCGAGGAACTGTTCAACCGCGTCCCCGCCGACTCTGCGCCCACGCAGCACGCGTCCCTCGCCCCCGGCCGCTCGCCGTGGCTCTCGGCCCGTCCGTTCGGCTATGGCAACAACAACACCAACAACAGCAACGCCAATGGACACGGACTCGGACACGGCAGCCAGAACCAGGCCAGCCACGCGCACCACACCCGCGTGTCGATGGACGAGGAGGCAGGTCTCGCGGGCATGTCCGGTGCCGACATGGCCCGCCCGCCGCCCGAGCGCAAGCCGTCGTTCCGCTTCTTCTCGCTGCGCAAGGGCGCGTAAGAAGCGGGGTGGTGTGCGGGTGTGAACGGAGGGGCTCTGGGCTCTGCCTTTTGCCTTTTGCCTTTTTTGTAGGAGGGGAGAGACCGTGTGTTTTAAAGCTGTAGGCCCCTTTGTTCGTAAACCGATGAGATGCAGAGGTGCCGTGAGTGCTTGTGCTTGTGCCTGTGCTTGTGCTTGTGTTTGTGTTTGTGCTTGTTTGTGTTAGTGCTTGCTTGTGCTTGTGCTCGTGGGTGTGCTTTTTCCTGAGATTCACATTGGGCCACATGCGCTTGGCACTGGCGTGGGCGTTTGGGCGTCTGGCGTTTGGCTCTGGACGTGGGCCATCTTTGCTCCGTTGCTCCGTCTCCCAGACCATACGCACACGGCACACCCCACGGCACACCACCACGACAGGACGCACGCGTACGCACGGCGCGACGGCGCGACGGCGCGACCGTGCTGACCGGTGGCGTCCGGGTGATCAGAAGAGTAGTCACTGGTGGCCAAAGGGTATACATAAGCCCCCTCCAACGCAGGGGCCGAGAGCAAGTTCTAGCCCATTGGCCCAAGCGAGGCGAGAGAGTGGGACACAGCACAGGGTGCAAAGTCAAGCCCGTTGGGAGCGAACCGAACGTCCCCCGCGACCCAAGAAGAAGCCAGAAGCCAGAAGCCAAACCACAGGTGGCATGGGTTGCAGTGCGGTAGCGCACAGTTCTGGCTGAAATAAACCAAAATACATAGATGCAACGTCGTGGTGGCCAGCTCCACGACCGTGCTGTGCGTTTTTGCTATGCCGTTCGCGAGAGCACAGCAGGACAGGCCAGAGATGCATTGACCACGTATCCTCTCACTGCAAAACATGGGATCTGGCCGTTGGCACTGCAACATTACAATGTGCATGCCATAAAAGAGAGAAACGGAGGAATGCCCGCAGAACGGCCCAATAGAGACGCCGATCGGACACTGGTTGGGTGTGTGTGCGGGGTCCCCGGCTGCCACCTGCCTTGCTCTGTGTTTTTGCCACGTGGTAATTTTTCAAGAATGCAAGAAATCCGACTCGTTCTACGAATCGGCCGAGCCATGGCGCTATCGCAGGCAGACGAGTGGCCGCGAGTGGGCCGTTGGGTGCGGTCGGGTTGGGTGGGTGGGTGTCCCTTCTTTCGACTCCAGCTAGACGTTTGGTTTCATTACAAGCACTCACTCAATCACACTCCACTCCACTCTCTCTCTCCTAGCACACACCCGAAAGAGGGAATACTGACAACGCGGCGTTGGTCTACTCGAAGCCCCGTCCTCCGCCCCCCATCCAACACCAACTCCACAAAAACAACAACTTTCCTCTCCTCCGCCTTTCCATCTACCCCGACCATGAGCGTGGCGTCGTCGTCTGGCGCGTCTACCCCGACAGCGTACGGGGACGAGAACCTCCTGCGCAACTCGCTGGACCTTCCCTGGGTCATCCAGAAGTACGGCGGTACCTCTGTCGGCAAGTCGCTCGACAGCATTACCCGCATCGTCGAGTGAGTCTTTTGCCCAGCAAAGCGGAGAGTCCGGGCCAGGGGCTTTTACAGAGGTGTCGCTCTTGCCTTCCGGTACGCCGAGCGCCGAACAGTCGGCGCCGGGCGGTCCGGGCATGGGCCTGACTGGGCCTCAGACGGGTGGCGCCTTGCTCGCTCTCAACATAATGTCACCAGACTCTAACGCTCGCCCAGATCGTACATCCCCGGCAACCGCGTTGCGGTCGTGTGCTCGGCCCGTTCGACCGAGACCAAGGCCCTCGGCACGACCAACCTCCTCCTGCAGGCGTCTCGCGAGGCCCTCGCCCCCGTCTCGGCGCGGTCGGGCTCCAACGCCTCGCCTTCGGGCTACCAGACCCCGCTGTACCCCAAGCGCGTTGGCAGCGGCTACTTTTCCGCCTCGGTGCTCTCGTCGCTGTCGAGCCTCAAGGACAGCAGGGAGCGTGCCATTGTCGCCGAGCCGTCGCGCTCGGCCTCGCCGTCGCCGTTCCAGCCCATTGCCGGCCGGTCGCGCTCGCCGACCAGCGACTCGGGGACCGAGACGCCCGCGCACGTCGGAGACGATCCGGCATGGCACGCGACCGTCGACACGATCAAGCGCGGCCACCTCGACGCCGCGCGCCAGGCCCTGCGTGCGGGTCCCCTCCGCGTCGAGCTGTGCGACGAGATCGAGCGCGACTGCGAGGCTCTGCGCTCGTTCTTGAATGCTGCCAACGTAAGTATGCAGGTAGGCGACGTCGGGCACAGCCTCGGCGCCGACGTCGCCTCTCTTGTGAGATCACTGCTCTAACGATCTCAGATCATTGATGAAATCTCGCCAAGGTCCCAGGACTCGATCATCGGCACCGGTGAGAGGTTGGCGTGCAAGATTGTCGCTGCCGCATTGAGGGATCGTGTAAGTGTCGCATGCGCTCGGCAGGTGCTCTACAGCGGTTCTGTTCTGTTCTGACCTGACCTCCAGGGCATCGACTCTGAGCTTGTTGTTCTCGACTCGATTGTCGACGCTGCCATGACCTCCGCCACCGACAATGCCCTCACCGCCTCGGGCGACCAGGGTGTGGCACAGCTGGGCCAGGTCTTCTACGACGAGCTGAGCCAGCGTCTCGGCGACCGCCTGCGCGAATGCGGTACCCGCGTGCCCGTGGTCACTGGCTTCTTTGGCCCTGTTCCCGGCTCGCTTCTTGCCCAGATCGGCCGTGGCTACACCGACCTGTGTGCTGCGCTTTGCGCGGTCGGCGTCCAGGCGTCCGAGCTGCAGGTCTGGAAAGAGGTCGACGGTATCTTCACCGCCGACCCGCGCAAGGTCAAGTCTGCTCGCCTCGTCTCATCCATCACCCCCGATGAGGCTGCAGAACTCACCTACTATGGTTCTGAAGTTATCCATCCCTTCACCATGGAGCAGGTTATCCGCGCCAAGATTCCTATCCGTATCAAGAACGTCGACAACCCCTCGGGCCCCGGCACCATCATCCTCCCGGACCAAGAGTTCCCCGTCGGCCTCCAGACCCCGCTCCCTACCAAGGAGGAGGCGCGCCAGCACCGCCTCCCGACCGCTGTGACGATCAAGGACCAGATCATCGTGCTCAACATCCACTCGAACCGCAAGACCATCTCGCACGGTTTCCTGGCGCGCATCTTTGGCACCCTCGACCGCGCCGGTGTGGTTGTCGACCTCATCTCGACGTCCGAGGTGCACGTCTCCATGGCCATGCAGGCGTTCTTGAATCCCCGCCGCCTCGAGCGCCTCAAGCAGGACCTCGAGAAGATTGGAGACATTACCATTTCCAAGGACATGGCCATTCTCTCGCTTGTCGGCCGCAACATGCGCAACGCCATCGGTTCCGCCTCGCTCATGTTCTCGGCGCTCGCCCGTGCCCAGATCAACCTCGAGATGATCTCGCAGGGTGCGTCCGAAATCAACATTTCGTGTGTCATCGCCAACAAGGACGCTGCCAAGGCGCTCAACGTTATCCACGACTCGTGTCTCGGCGATGGCATCGAGGACAATGGCGACGGCCGCCACAAGGCCCTGTCGGTCGACAGCGTCAACCCCTCGGTCCTCCAGGTCGAGTACGCCGTCCGTGGCGAGCTCTCCCTCAAGGCCGACGGCTTTGCCGCCCAGCTTGCCCGCGGCGAGGACCTCCCCTTTGACCGCATCATCTACGCCAACATTGGCAACCCCCAGGAGAAGGAGCTCAAGCAAAAGCCCATCACGTACTGGCGCCAGGTCGCCTCGCTCGTCGAGTACCCGGACCTGTTGGACCACCCTCTTGCCGACCAGCTGTTCCCTGCCGATGTCCGTACCAAGGCTGCCCAGCTCGTCAGCGAGTTTGGCTCGGTTGGCGCGTACACTGGTTCCAAGGGCTCGCCGCAGATCCGTCAGCGTGTCGCCGACTGGATCGAGAGGCGAGACGGCGTCCCTTCGGACCCCGAGCAGATCTACCTCGTCGGCGGCGCTACTCCCGGTGTCAACATGATCCTCGACCTCGCGTTGAGGCCCCGCGACGCCTGCCTCATCCCCATCCCCCAGTACCCTCTCTACACTGCCACCCTCGCCCACCTCCAGGCCCACCCTGTCGAGTACCACCTCGCCGAGGAGAACGGCTGGGCCCTCGACCTCGCGTCGCTAAAGGCTGCCGTCGTCGGTGCCCGCGCCAACACGTCCATCCGTTCCCTCAAGGCCCTTGTCGTCATCAACCCTGGAAACCCCACGGGCTCGTGTCTCTCCGAGGCCGACATGCGCGAGATTGTCCAGCTGTGCTACGACGAGTCGCTCCTGCTCCTCGCCGACGAGGTCTACCAGACCAACGTGTACGACCCCGAGAACAAGCCGTTCGTGTCGTTTAAAAAGGTCGTGCGCTCCATGCCCGCCCCGATCAACACGTCCGTCGAGCTCATCTCCCTCCACTCCATCTCCAAGGGCGTGTCGGGCGAGTGCGGCCGTCGCGGCGGCTACCTCGAGGCCGTCAACCTCGACACTGAGATCGAGGACCTCTTGCAGAAGATGGCTTCGGTCCAGCTGTGCCCGCCCGTCGCTGGCCAGGTCGGCGTGGACCTGCTTGTCTCGCCCCCACAGCCCGGCTCCCCTTCGTACGACCAGTACATCCAGGAGACGACCGATATCCACGAGGGCATGAAGACGCGCTCAAAGTTCATGGCCGAGCGCTTCAACACCATGGACGGCGTCTCGTGCCAGCCCGCCGACGGCGCAATGTACCTCTTCCCCTCGCTCCGCCTGCCCGCACCCGCCGTGGCCGCCGCAAAGGCCGCAGGCAAAGAGGCCGACACGTTCTACGCCCTCGCCTTGCTGGACGCAACGGGTATCTGTGCCGTCGCCGGATCGGGCTTTGGCCAAAAGGACGGCTCGTACCACCTGCGCGTCACGACCCTCACGCCCGGCGCCGACGAGATGATGGCCAAGATTGAGCAGTTCCACGCGGGCTTCTTGCAAAAGTACGCCGCGGCGGCTTGAAAATAAAAGGGGGGAGAAACAAGACACACCGGCCGAGACATCTGTAGATTGGTATGCAGCATTGATATGATCTGGCGGCGGTGTAAAAGGCGAGTTCGTCCACGCTGGGGAGTGGCCGACTGACTGATCGGTGCCATATTCGCGTATGGCCACCAAACTTCCATGGTCCGACTTCAGTGCTGGTGGTAGTAACCCGCGCGGACCAGCCTGACATTGGCACCGCATGGAGCTCTCCCCGTTTCCGTAAGCAACAACATGGACAACATGGACAACATGGACAACAAGGACAACGTGCGTCCCACACACGCGTGGTTTTGCATGGCGCTCTAAACTGTAACGTGACTTGTGTTTTCTCGGCGAGGCTAACCAACCGAGTACGTCATTTAAGCGCCACGGTGGGTTTGCATCGCCACAGCAACCGCACCATTATAAAGCGTCCGTCTTGGCATTGAGACGACTGTACTCTGGCCGTTGCTCTCCCCACAACAGCTGGATACTGTTTTCCCATACCTGACCACAGAAGCACAAACAGAAACAAGAAACAGCAGGACCGTCCACCCGCCACCATGAAGATCACAGCCATCGCGCTCGCCGGGCTGGCGTGTACCCTCGGCGTATCGGCCTCTGGCGCCGCCAGCGGCCCGCCAGTGCGCGAAACGCAGGTGCCGTGGGACACGAGTGCGATGCAGCGGGCCAAGGCGAGCAAGTTGCACACCAGGCCACCGCACCGCGCCGAGGGGTGGTTTGACAACCTCAAGGGTGGCGGGCACAAGGGCCGCAAGGGCCATGAAGGCCGGCAGGTGGGCGACATGTTCAGCGAGCACTGTGAGAACACCCAGGAGAGCCCCCCAGGAGGAGCACACTCCTGAATGAAATCAAAAAAAGCTATTTTACTGACCGACGGGCCCCCAGTCTCGTCCCCGACGACGTTCACCTCGCTCTACTACCAAAAGGCCATCACGGACATGTACGAGGGCCAGCAGGTCACGACGGTGCGGGAGCTTGCGCCGCGCTCGTTTGACGTCCTCGGCTGGGTGGCGGCGCACCTCGACAGCGGCGAGGTGCACTTTGCCGCCGACCCCGACGTCGAGGTCATTGAGACGGCGCTGTATCTGCCCCCGGAACGCAGGCTCGAGGGCCACGGCCGGATCGCCAAGCAGGTGTGGTTGTCGGGATACAACGCCGAGGTCGCGGGCGAGTCGTTCAAGCTCATCGAGACGACTGTACGTCGCTTGCTGCTTGCACCAAAACGTGTGTCTGCTCGCTCCGCTGACGAACACAGTACCCCGAGGGTTACGGTGTCGTGACGCAGTGGTACATTGTCGGCGACGAGGCCAAGGCCCTGACGTTTGCGCGCGAAGTGTTCATCTGGTCGACGCAGATCCAGGACTCGATCCTCGTGTACGACAATGGCTGGTGGTCGCCCGACCCGGCGCTCTGGCGCAGCGTGCAAAAGGCGTCGTGGGACGACGTGATTCTCGAAGACACGTTCAAGCGCCGCCTGCAGAACGAGTACAGGCTCTTCTTCAAGTCCGAGGACCAGTACCGGAAATTCGGGATCCCGTGGAAGCGCGGACTCATGTTCCTTGGTGTGAGCTAGGGAAGACAAGGGCCGACGTAGCTGACGGATATCTCAGCCTCCCGGCAATGGCAAGACGATTAGCCTCAAGGCGCTCATGAAGGACGTCGGTGTACCGGCGCTGTACGTAAAGACCCTTGCGTGTACGTGTCACTTTTCTGCCAATACCGTACACACCAGCTGACATGTATCTGCAGCATACGGACTTCCAGGAGGACGTGAGTGTTAGACATGGTCGGTTAGCAGGCACAACTCACCACCCAGCCATCCGCCAGGTCTTTGAGCGTGCGCGCGCCGAGGCCCCCTGCGTGCTCATCTTTGAAGACCTCGACTCGATGATCACGCCCAGCAACCGCGCCTTCTTCCTGAACGAGCTCGACGGCCTCGAGGACAACGACGGCCTCCTCATGGTCGGCACGACCAACCACTTTGACCGGCTCGACCCGTCCCTGTCCAACCGCCCGTCCCGCTTCGACCGGAAATACAAGTTTGACAACCCAACCCGTGACGAGCGCAGAATGTACGCCGTGTACTGGCGCAACAAGCTCGCAGACAACAAACACATCAGCTTTCCCGAGCCGCTCCTGGACAAGGTCGCCGACGAGACGGACAAGTTTTCATTCGCGTACCTCAAAGAAGCGTTTGTCGCGGCGCTCATCAACCTCGTCAACGACGACGCCGATTTCGAGACGGCGCTCATGGAGCAAATCAAGTTTCTGCGCGACGAGCTGGAGAGTGGCGAACCCGACGTCGCGGGCGCGGGCGCCGGCGCCGGCCCGTCGCCGTGGGCCATGGAGACGGGCTATGATGGAGGATATGTCGACGGATATGTCGACGTCGTGGAGACGTACAGTTACCCGGTGATCATACCGGGCGTGGACAGCACCGACGGCCCGCAGAATGAGTATAGCGCCGGGCACGGCCTGGTCGTCGACAGGAGCAACCCGGACTCGGACGTGCCGTGGATAGAGGAGTGACAGTGGGAATTGGGAACGGTGGTTGATGAAGGGGGAGAAAAAATCAGAACAAATGTGCCGCATAAAGTATCGTCGCCACAATGTATGCTGAGCGACAAAGCAGACGTAGCAGTGTCCGTTTGGAAGACGTATCGAATGTGTGGGGTCCTCACTTACATTACATTACAGCCTTTGGCTGTTGCGGAGCGTCGTGGGCACACGACGTCAACGAAGCTGCCGGCATACAGGTAGCTCACTGGATCGATCGCTTGGTTTGCGTTTTCTCGGGCCTTGCCCAAACGGACCAGGCAGAGGCGTCCTTGCAGCCCGTCCGTCCCAATGGTTTACGCATCGACTATCGCGCGACATCCGCTTGGGCTGTGGCCAGCCCAACATCAAGGATGAGGCCCAGCTCCAAACCCAAGCAAGACACAAGCTACAGTACACGCCTGCCTCGCTCACTCTCTGGCTGCTGTCCCTCACGGTCACGCCACTTCACCGCCACAGTCACTGCCGCCGCACGGAACGTCATTCGAGCTAGAAAAGTTACATCCAACATGCAAGAGGGACCATAGGTATAGACATGGCCGCTTGGGCAGGGGGGAGCGTGCGGCGCTGTTGGCCGGCTGCGTTACGGACGAGGACGGAAGCGGGGATGGGGTGGGGGGCAGGGGGTGGGGAGAGAGAGTAACGTTTTAAAAAACGGACAAAAAGGACATCTGCAGGGGATTCGGTGCGGTGATCCCTTACCATCCGGGGGTGGGGGTGGGAGAGCGTGGGACGTTTTTGTGCGGGGTGCTGGCCGTGCTGGGTGCTGCACAGACAGCGCGAGGGGAAATGGACTAGACTGTGAGACGTCCTAGTCCGACTCCATGTCCGGGATGTCGGCCATGTCGTCGAGGCTGTCTGCGGCCGGCGCAGGTTCCTCTGTACGGATGCGGTTGTGCGCAACCCCGTGCTCAGACTCTGGCTCTGGCTGCTCCTCGTCATGCGCGTCGTCGTCGTGCTCGCGGGCACTGGGCGTGTCTAGGTCGTGGGTCTCGTCAATGTGCGCCGCCGCGGCACTCTTGTCGGCGTTGTTCGCCTTCGTCTGGGTCTGGGTCTTCGTCTGGGTCTGGTGGGTCTCCTCGTTATCGTAATGGACATTATCGTGGGCGTTCTCTGCGGCCGCGAGCTCCACGCGGCCAACGCTGCTCGTGGCACTGTCGCTGGGCCCCGCAGGCACCCCGTCGGCCCGTGCGCGTGCGGCGGAAACGGCCTCTGCAGACGCAGACGCCACGCCCGCGCTCGACGCGACTCCGGGCCCCTTTGTCGGCGTGGTCCGCCTCGTCGACGTGGTGCGCCTGAGCACGGGCGCGGGCGTCTTGGTCGGCGGCGACAGCGACAGCGACTGGCGACGAGGCGACGAGGCCGCGACGGCGGCGGCTCGCGCGCGACTGGCGGCTGTACCCTGGAGGAGGCGCGACGACGCCGGAGTCTTGACAGAGGTACTGCGCGACGGCGTGGCTGAAGCAGCGGGGGAACGGGTCTTTGGGGTGTGCACCGGCGGGGACGCGTGGCGCGACGTCGAGGCCGACGCGAGGCTGGACGGCGGCGAGCTGATACGCGGCCGCGTCTTGGCCAGACTCGACGCAGTGGGCTTGACGGGGCTGACGGATACGCGAGAGCTGGTGCTTGTACGGCTGCCGCGGGACGCTCCCGTCCCCTGTGCGCGGAGCGGTGACATGGCCTGCTGTGGTCCGCGGCCGCTAGCGGTAGAGCTTGCCGTTGAGCGGCCGGTGTGTGACGGCTTGATAGCCGCAGCGACTGGTGTAGGCGGTAACGGCGTAGCCTTGGCCTGTGGTGTTTGCGGAGTCGCGGCGGTGCTAGGTTTTCCGTTCGCCGCCGTGTCTGTCGAGTCGGACGAACGCAGAGCCTTGTGCTGCTGTGGTGCGGGTTTGGGACTCTCGCTCTCGGTTGGCGTGGGCGGCACGTTGACAATAACCGGTGGGGTGATCGGCAGGCGAGCAGGCCTGTTCTTCTCCTTGTCGACCGGCTTGGTGTTCTCGGCGCCGTCGTCCTGGACGATGATAGCCTTGGACGAGTTCTTGCCGTTGGCCACGGCCTCCTCCGCTGCGCTAGGCACGTTCGGCGCCACGGGTGCTAACGGTGTCGGCGCGCGTGAAGACGTTGCCCCCGCCGCCGCCGCTGCTGCTGCTGCTGCGACAGCACTGCCCATGGCGCCGATGGGGACCATGGGAATGCTCCCCAGCGCTGCCATGCCGGGCAGAGGGACGACAACGTCGTGGCTCAGCCGCCGAGCTGGCAGGGACGTGCGCCGCCCCGCCGCGAGGGCATCGCGGTCGGCCGCGGTCTGGAAACGCGAGACGAGGGATGCGACCTGCAGATGGTGTCAGCGAGTGTCTGAGGCCAGTGGGTCGTGTAGCATGAGGAGGGCACGTAGTGAGGTGTGACCCCGTACCCCGTAACACCAGACCCAAGCGGACGAGATGGGTACGCACGTTGCCTTGCGAGCGCTCGATGGGGAGCGGCCTGGGGTCAGCTTGGTAAACGTACGCAGTAGCTCACATGTCGCACAGAGGAGACGATGGTGGGGGGTGTGTGTGAATAGATGTGTGATGGACTAGACGTGAACAGTGCAATGGACAAGATGAGAGAGTGTGTCGACATGCCCGACCCCTCGTGTCCCTCGTCTGGACGCGTCTGTGCGCTAAACGACGGCCCACTGAAAGATGGCACACGACGCGCCCCCCTTTTGTCATTGCGTGCACCAGGGGGTGAAAGTCTAGAACCTTGTTTGCCATTCAACTCGTCTGTTCTAGTGAACCGATTAGGCGAGTGGGCCCTCTTCTATTGTCCAGTCCTGACACCCCTCGTTGTCCTGGTCGGCTGCTGCTTTGGGCGGTGAAACAGGTTTCAGGCAGCGAAAAAGTCAGACATTCCGTCATCATCTCACGGCTGCGGCACACCACATCACTAAAAAACAATAACACGCGCAACGGGTCGTCTCTCCGGTCTCCATGACAGACTATACAATAACATCTCACTACACTTCTACCTAGTAATTACGCCAGCCAAATTCACTCGTCCCAGTCATCTGGGGGTGGATACCAGGGCCGTACCCGGGGTAGCCCGTCATCTGCGGTGCCATCGGGACGGGGTGTGGGCCGGCTGGAGGGAGGTACACGCCGCCGCCGGTCGGCTGCGGTATATAGACACCGCCTGTGGGCTGCGGGAGCATGGGCTGGAGATGAGGAGCCAGCGGCATGCCCGGTGCGGGCACCATGTGAGGCTGGTGGTAGAACGGTGGCGGCACCCCAGCGATGCCAGTCATCTGAGGCGCCATTGCCATCGGAGGCGCCATCGCGGCCTCCATGGCCACGGAGCGCGCTACCATGGCCTCGGCGGCCATCTCTTGGCGCTGACGCATGGCAAACCACAGGAACCCTTGGCGCTCACTGCTCTTGTGGATGTAGAACAGGACCAGACCGATGACGAGGAGCGGGATAAGCGTGCCCAGCACTGCGGCCAGGACCTTGTGGTTTGGGCCAGGGAGTACCGTGAGGTTGTTGGCATTGACTGTGGCGGGCTTGGCAGCCAGCCCGACGTAGCTCGACTCGTTGGCATAGTAGAGCACCCTGTAATGTCAGTTGGGCGTGGCCACTGTATGTGCAACTCACGACGAGACACCACTCATAAAGGACGTGCCGAGGCGAATCTCGCCGCTCGACTCTGGCACGGAGCCCTCCCCCCACGCAACAATGTTGGACCAGCATGTCCGCCCGGCCACATCGCGGTTTGTGACCAAGGTGGACGAGTTGACATTGTAGTTTTGGCCACCAATTCGCACGACCATGCTGATTTCGGCACTGCAGTTGACGTTCCACCTGTCGGTGTACACGCTGTCGCGCGCCGCGCCGCTCACGCCTGCAAACAGTGACTCGGCCAAGGCGGCGGGCACGTAGATGGGGTCGAATCCTGGGTCCAACGTGGCCTGTTTGTGAGCTCAACACGTAGACACTAGCTCACAAAGTAGGCGCTCGTGTCCTGCTTTTGGCTGCCGACGGTGATGGTGTCGATTGCGAAACGCCATCCTTGGTTGGGGTCGGCAGCCAGCCAGTTGAACGCGCCGGTGTATGTGTCGTTTGGCACACCACCCCAGTAGACGGTCCCAGCGGCACTGCCAGGTTTCTGGCCATAGCTGTCAATGTCGAAGCCAACGGTAAAGCTGACGTCTGTGAGTGAGCCGCCGTTGTCGTTCATGAGCATGGCGGGGATGATGGACCGCGAGAGCTGGGCCTGAGGGGTAAGCGACGAGCTGAAAGACCCTATACCCACAGTGTCGACGCCGAGACCAAAGAACCCCGCCGTGCCGTCGCTGAGCGTCTCCTGCGCTCCAGCGTCTGTCACGTTTGACACTGCGACAATTGGCCATGTCTCATTGTCGTTCAAGATACCCATGGTGAGGTTGTCGTCAACAAACTTGCCCACAAAGTTCAGCGTGTCGTCCGAGCCGCCAGGGTAATTGAACGTGTAGTCGATAGACTGGCTCGACGACTGTTGTCAGTTGTCATCCTGTGGACCAGCCAACTCACATCAAACGTCGACGACGAGGCCGAGTTGAACCTGTCATCAGCTCTGGACTTTCCACCGTTACACTCAGCTGACACTCACCCGCTCCCGTCCTCGACACAGTTCTGGCAGTCGCTCGTTGCGACCGCGACGTAAATGACGTTTGGCGACAGGGTGAGGTTGACCGTCTGAGCCGGGGTGCCGACTCCGACCGACACGACGTTGACACCGGCACCGGTGCGCATGAGGTCGAGGGAGGAGAAGTCGCTGTTGCCAAGCCGTGACTTGTCCGCGGCACTGCTCGAGGCTGCGACTGCACTGGGAAGCCCCACCCCGGCGGCCGCCCACACCCCGAAGGCCAGAAGTGTTGATACGGGTCTTGACCGTGGTGGTGAAGAGCGTCGGCGGGGTTGGCGTTGGCGGCCGGCCGTTGTGCGGAGAGATGCGTTCAGCAGCATCGTGTCTGGATGAGATCGCAACTTGATGCGGATCACGGATTCGATGCCAAGACGTCACGGACGTCGCTGTGAATCAAGAATGTGGGAACAGAGGGGGAGGGGAGGGGAGGGATGGGAGAGTTCTGATGTAGTTGTTAGGGTGTGTCCAGCACTCACTCGCCTGCAGGTTTGGGTGTTGTGACAGGGGGGCCGGCCCAGATAGACGCTCAGCGTTGAGAATCGAGGAGAGGTGGTGGTGGAGGAAGAACAGCTGCCAGATAGAGCAGGAGATGCAGCAACATGAACAGCAGATAGAAGAGGCCTTCCGTTGTTGTTCTCGTCTCCCCCCTGTTTGTGTGTGCGAACCAGGAAACCAAACGACACGAGGGGGTCCAAGCGGCCACGAGATTCTCGCGTAATGTAGCAATGTGGCGTTCGGCAGGCCCAGCGTGCCAGGTGGCTTCCCTTTGTTGCTCTCTCCTGGACAGCGCTGGCTCGACATGACAGTGGTGCCATGCATACCCAGAGTGGGAGGGGTTCATGGATTGTATACATGCTGTAACGTCTTCACCTCAGCGCACTTGACACCATGGACTCGACGACATGGAGGAGCCAGTTGGGCCCCAGAACGCAAAACGATGACGGGGGTCTCTTGACACCTCGGGACCTGGCCACTGAGCAGAGACCGTCGTTTGCACGCACCTGACCACTGCGGGTCATTCAACCTTGAAGCAACTGGCCAACTGGGAGCGACACGCTCTCTCGGCATTCGCAAACGGCGACCTCCACTGCTGTAGCCAACTTGTACACATATCACATTCTCCCATCTTAAAGCGGCTACACATGGACACAAAGAATCAAACCACTACAGCGACGACTTGACCACCACCCTCCCAAGGCCGAGACGGTCCATCCACTCCCGCTGCTGCTGCGTCGGCAGACACGACTTTTCATAGTCCGCCACGTCCTGGATGAGGTTCGCCACCCCCTCCTCCTGCTTGCCGTCGAGCTGCAGTTGACGGGTGGCGAGCAGCAGGAAGATGATCGCGTCGGCCGCGAGCGGGACGTCTTGCTGTTCCAGCTCGAGGAGTTGAAGCAAGTGACCCTCCCACACGGGGCGCTGATAGATGTCGCGGAGTTCCACCCGGTCATACCAGGACGCGTGCTTGATAAAGGCGCTTTGCACGCGCGCGTTGGCCGCGCGAACTGAACGGCCCAGCTTGGTGTCCTCGTCCGAGCATTGCCTGCGCTCGTCAGATCAAGGCAATCCACAACTGGAACCAGGACTCACTGAAAGACATTGTCCATCTTGCTGTGCACGGAACGACCACCACAGCCGAAGGCGTTGCTCAGCTCTGTGACGGCAGCGACGAGGACAGTGGCGGACGCGCGGACTTTCTCGGCCTGTACACAGTCAGCATCTCGCATTTACGGCGAGTGTACTCACTTCCTCGTTGGCAGCAGCAACGGTCTCCAGCGCCTTCATTTTCTCCTTCAGAGCATTGATATCTTCCCAGAGAGTACGAATCTAACACTGTCAGTGGAGGAAGCCAGATGGAGCCAGCACGTCTCTCTCCGCTGGCCACGAGAGCCATACCTGGCAACGGACGGTCTGCAAGGTCGGTCAGCTGGGCGTATCCACATCCATGTCCGTACATACCTCGACCTCTTCAACAACGGGGATGTCTTGGCTCTGAGACGTGTACATGCGCCTGGTGATGGTTGGTTGAATGCCCGGGTGGCAACAGTGATGGAACCACACAAATGGGTTGTGTGTCGTAGTGTCAAATGCGGAATCAATTTGTGGTGGATGCAGCGAGTAGGTGTGTGGTGGTGTGTCGCGGTGGGACTACTCTGCGTAACCATTCTCTCGAGAGGACCGACGTGCTCTCGCAGATTCGCCCACTGCGACGGAGACAGCTGTGGCGGACAAAGTACATATCTTATTCTCTCATCTTGTTGAGGCTACACATGGGACACAGGGATCAAAATTACAAACGACTACGTCTCCTGCTTGCATCACCGACCTCCGCTCCTGCTCACACGCCCAGATCGAGGCCCCGAATCCACTCCTCCTGTTCCTGCGACAGAATCCCCGGGCGGTCGTTGATGACGTCCTTGAGTAGCTCTGCGACTCCAAGAGACCGCTTGCCGTCGAGCTGCAGTTGGCGGGTGGCAAGAAGCTGGAAGACGATCGCCTCGGCGGCGAGCAGGACACCCTTCTGGTCCAGCTCCAGGAGCTGACCCAGGAGCTCGTCCCACACGGGATGGGCATCTCTGTTACGGATCTTGACCTGGCCCTCCCACGACGCGTTTTTGACAAACGCGCGGCGGACGCCCACGCTGGCGGCGCTAACGGCGCGGCCCAGCTTGGTGCTGTTGTCGCGGCACTGCCTGAGCTCGTCAGAATATGCCGTCCTGGACCATGGCTCACGTGAATATGTCGGCCAGATGGCGGCTCGCTGTTGGACCCTCGCACTCGAAAGCGCGTCCGAGCTCTGTGATGGCAGAGATGATGGCAATGGCGGACGAGCGATCGGCCATGTCCTGTACAGTCAGCATCACGCAATACGAGGGATGGCACTCACAGCCACAGTCTGCTGAAGTAGTATAATCTTTTCATCCTGTTCTTTCTGGCGGGCCTTGAGGGAGCTGATTTCCTTTTCAAGAAGAGTGATCTAACACGGTCAGCGGTTACGTCTACCCGCAGGTCTCCAGAGCTATATGTACCTTATCGACGCTGTGCTGTGGTGAGGTCAGCGGCCAGCCGCGTTCCCCCATCCATGTCTGTACATACCTTGACAGCCTCAACTGCTCTGCTATCTTGGCTCTTGCACATGAACACGTGTTTGGTGGGCGTGACGTTGGACGGCGCGACGACCACCTTGACGGGGTGCTCGCCGAGGTGGTGGTTGTCGCAGAACTTGTCGGCACGACTGTGCAGCGCGGCATCAGTCGTGCCCGACGGCATCGTGCCCGACTCGAGCACACGCACGCCAACGAGCTGGTCAAGCTGGAGTGGCACGGCCATGGTCGGAGTGGGATGTTGGGGGTGGGGGGTGGGGAGTGGGGAGTGGGTATAGGCTCTCAGTGGCAAAAGTGAAGAACCAAACAAGCTGAGAGTGTTTGGGCAGAACAGACAAATGCGGGGCTAGATCCGGGCGAGTGAGTCGGTCATCCCTTACAAGCGACTTGCGTGCTCTGCAGTAACAGTGAGCAGTGCATATGTACAACGTGGCGAGCATGGGCCAGCACTAGGCACTCTAGTGCATATATGTACAGGAGGGCACACGTCTGAGCTGGTTTCGCCAGCAATAGAGTATGTGGATATATATGTCGGATATACCCGCCACGGCATCTTGTCGCCTTCAGGCTCATGACCACTGTACCACTGTACCACTGTGGTCACTGTGGCCAGGAAGATGTGTGGCCTGTGGGACGTTGAATGTGTGAATGTCACCATGGTCATCACAGGTGTGGCCCTGCCAAGCATTACTGTACAACTGTACAGATATGGCTGTTGACACCGTCTTGGAAGGAGCACATAGCCAGCGTCGCCACAGCTATCGTCAGCTTTGGCTGGGGTTGTTATTGTTGCAAATCCCCTCAGTGGATCAGTGGCTCTCTTTGCTGCAGCACGGAACATCTGGCATGGCGGAGTGATCGGGAGTGACGGCAGACGATGAAGGCGATGGACAGATGGACAGATGGACATGCATGACGAGATGCGGCCCAGGCACACCACTGCGGCCTACAGTACAAACGTCTGGCGTCTGCCGTCTGGCATCAACAAACACACGCAACGCAATGCGGGTCGTTCGTGGTACATTCGACTTGGGGGGGCTTATTGTATTTTTGTAAATGGATTAGCCCCTCATTTGTTAATCGGCACGACGGCGTTTGTGTAACTGTGGCGATCCCCCCGCACGTGGCTGCACAGTCGAGAGAAACCTAATGAAACCCTTTAGGAATTTAAGACCTGGTAAAGGCTTGGCCTGGGCGTTTTTGTAATGTGGTCCTTTTATTTTAGACGTCACACCCCCCGCACGCGGGATCTACGCTAGGAACCACACAACAACCACACACCCACCCACACACCCCGTGTTATGGGGGGGTTGGTACCGGCATCGTCTTGTTCGTCTCTACACACTCCCCTCATCCACAGCCGTCCATCACTTCAGTCACACTCCATCTCCCATCCTCTCCCTCATCGCATCACACACACACATCTCCTGTACACACACCCGACCGCACTCCCATACCTCCCCCCCCCCGCCGCCGCCGACGCCGAGACAACGCCGCCGACGCACGCCGCCTCCACCTTTTTCCTTTACGTCCTTCTCACTCCCGCTCCGCCCTCTCCTCTCTCCCCCCTCTTCCGCCCCGTCTAAGCCGGCAGGATGAACCACAACATCCAGTCGCTCAAATGTTCGTACACCCCATCCCATCGTGCCCGGCACTCCCTCATCCCCACGCTGTACTGACGTGTCCCAGGCGTTGTGGTCGGTGACGGAGCCGTCGGCAAGGTACGTGTGTTATCGACCCCCCCCCCCCCCCCCCCGCCGGCGGGCTTCCTTCACATCTCTCGCTACCCTGGACGCCTCAGGCCCCCCCTCCCATCCTCACAACCGTGCGTGCACTGACACTGACAACCGTGGCCTCCTCGTAGACCTGTTTGCTCATATCGTATACCACCAATGCGTTCCCTGGAGAGTGAGTTGGGCGAATGAAGCAAACAAAACAAAACACAAAACACAAACACTCCCTTTTTTGCCGAGAGAGCGTGGCTGACAAGAACAGATATGTGCCAACAGTGCGTGATCCTCTCGGGCGTTGCGTCGTCGATCATATGCCGCTTCCGCGGCCGCGGCGTGCAACCCGCGAGTCATCACAACCCCATTTGGTACTGACGGTTCTTGTGACAGGTGTTTGACAACTACTCTGCCTCGGTGCTGGTGGACGGACGACCGATTAGTCTTGGACTGTGGGACACTGCAGGACAGGAAGACTACGAGTGGGTATAATATCGCTGAGGCCTGCTGGTGTTTGCGACGCGTCGCTGACCTGCCCTCCAGCCGTCTGCGACCGTTGTCATATCCCCAGACCGACGTTTTCCTCGTGTGCTTCTCCGTCATCAGCCCGCCCAGTTTTGAGAACATTAAGACGGTACGTCTAAGCGACGGTTAGGGCGGCTACGCAGTGCCCCTCTCCCCCTAGCCGTCCGCCACAGCATCCCCCCTCGCGGCCGGTTTGCTGACACTGCGCAGAAGGTGAGCCCTCATTGCCGCCCGGCCATCTCGGCCAGTGATCCAGTGACCCAGTGACCGCGTCACGCGGTCGCGCCAGTTGAAACATCACAACAACACTGGTGCCTCCGTCCCGTTCTAGTCCCGCCCGCCCGCCTAATGCACCCCCCACCACTTACCCAAGGCTGCTACTGTTCAGTACACCCAGAGCTGACACGTCGGTATAGTGGATCCCCGAGATCCGACACCACGCGCCCGGCGTGCCGATTATCCTGGTCGGCACCAAGCTCGACCTGCGCGAGGACCCGCTCACGATCCAGCGGCTCCGCGAACGCCGCTTCTCGCCCATCACGTACTCGATGGGCCTGCAGCTCGCCAAGGAGGTCGGCGCCGTACGCTACGTCGAGTCGAGCTCAAAGACGTGAGTGGAGTGGGGCATGGTGTGAGCCACAGCAGCTGCAGCTGCGCTTCCTCGTGATGTTTGCCAGCAGCTGCAGCTGGCATGTCTTGTGTGGACTCCGTGCCCGAGCCACTCAGTGTCCACCCCACACCACAGCAACAGTGCTGACACACAACCTCCAGGCAAAAGGGTCTGAAGAATGTGTTTGACGAGGCCATCCGCGCCGTCCTCACCCCACAAGACCGGGTGCCGGGGCCCAAGACGCCCAAGAAGAAGCAGCAGAGGAACTGCGTAATCTTGTAAACAGCGGTGGCTACGTCCGCTCCGCCTCGGCGCGGACAGGTGCCAGGTGCCAGGTGCCAGATGCCAGGTCGGAGGGGCCACTGGCACGGCCACACCGTTCGTCAGTGCTCGCCGTCGGCGTTGTTTGTTTAGTTAGTAATGAGTAGGGGTGCGTCTTGGCCGCGAGCTCGAGCTCGGCGACTGTGTCCACCACCCCAGCAGCCATAGAGGAGCCGCGCTGCGTGGCTCACGAGCATGCAGGTTGTATTGATGTCTATATAGTACTAGTCCTGGCGTTGAGCCTAGTTGGGGTGGGTGGGTGTAGGGGTGGGTGTTGAATGCCGGGGGTGGGTTGCGGGGTGGGTTGGAGGGGGGGTAGGGGTGCGCCGGGGGGGGGGGGGTGAGGTTCAAGGTAACCTCCTAGCTGCTCTTGACAGCACCCTTGGCAGCGCCCTTGGCAGCGGTCACGGCACGCTGCGACGCCTCGCGCACCTTGTCGGCGCCGTGCTGGGCCGCACGCTTAGCGCCCGACTGTACAACGCGTCAGCTCGTTGTCCATGTATCCAGAAGCGTCCAGCTTGTAGTACTCACCGCGCCGATCCATCCGCGCGCACGCAAAAAGTTGACCACCTTGGGCGTCCACGCCACCGTCAGACCCGCACGGATGGGCAGCAGGCCGACCTTGTGGATCGCGTACGCGAGCGTCGCCTCGGCCCACAGCGTCTTGTTGAGGTACCACGGCGTCGCTTTACCGGGGTTGACCGCCTCCTGCGCGGCGGCCTCGGCGGCCGCGGCGAGCTTGTTGGCCTCGTCGGCCGCGTCCAGCGCGTCCGCGCCCTCGACGCCGTGCCGGACCTCGCGGTACTTGCGCACGAGGAAGTGCACGCCGGGCTCAATGTGCTCGGCGCCGACGGCGTGCACGACCGCAAACGACAGCGCAAAGTCCACAGCCGACAGCGCGAGGTACATGATCACGGCGTACGAGCCGTACGTCTTGGTCAGGTCCTTGACCTTTTGGTAGGCCGACTTGGACTCGGTGGACGCTGCGGATGCCGAGGTAGATGCCGACGCGGATGTCGACGCAAACCGCCTGCCACCCGCACGCAGCGGTGCGCGCAGCGCCGCGGCGCGCAGACCGACGCTGGCGGACGCGGGTGGCCGGGCGAGCGGGAGGAACGTGGTGAATGTCCTCGAAGGGGTGGGGAGGGGAGCGCGAGCGACGCGGGCGACGCGCATGGCTGGGCGGGTAACACGCAGGGAGAGAGCCGACATGGTGGAAGAAACGTGGGTGGGAGTGAGAGGGAGAGGGGGAGGGAGAGGAGGGAACTCGGCGGTGCGGTCGAGGTCAACAGGTGGCGGCTGGGATGCGGTGTCGAATGGATATGAATAAACGACAAGGGAGGGGGATGGCGGCGGCGGTGGGTGCGTTTGCAGACGCTAGGTGTAGGACGTGACTATCCCGGTGATACAAAAGGCAGGTGCAGTGGCGAGAAAGGTGGGGGAGTTGATGAAAGCGAACGTTGTGGGATGGGGTTGGGTTGTTGAAGAACGTGATGGTTGGAACGGAAACCCCGAACTTTGTTGGGCGCGTCTTTTGCCGCCATCGGTCTCGGATCCACCTCTCGGCCAGCCGCGCCAGTCAGGCGGCAGCGTCAAGTCACGTGACCTCCACCCACAAGCCCTTCGGCGAGGCGGTCCATCGTCATGCGCTCTCTCGCCGAAGGGCAGTGACAAGGCGGCGGCCGAGACGGCAACGCATGCGTCTGTAGAGGACACCAAGCCCCACATCCAAGGTCCACCAAGCATCGTTTGCGAAGGGTCTGTGATCCGTGGGGGCAGTGATATCGTCGTCATGAACGTCTGGCGCCGATCAAGAATGGGAGTCTCCAAACCAGATTTGGGCGAGGCCAGCGCGGCAGCGGTCCACACGCCCATACTACTCGTCTCTCTCACGTGCACCCCTCCACTCTTGCCACCAGCCCATCCCATTATCCCAGCAACGTACAACCAGACACCATATCATCATGGGAGGCAGTGGAGAGAGGAGAGGGGAGAGCGTGACAGCTGCGATCCAGTCCGGTTGAACACAACCAGCGAGCGCCGCCAAAAGTGGTGCCGCTAGTCCGACATGTGGCACCAACGCCTTCCGCCCAGTTCTGCTTTGACTGATTTTGCTGGCGAGATATACAGTCACCGTCAACAAATTTCGTGACGGCGCTGTAGCATGGGCACCACATCACCAGACGAGTGACGAGAGTGTTGTTGTGTTTTGATGAAGCGGAGAGGTGCAAGTGGGAGCATGGAATCAAGCCAGACCACGCTGATCCGCTGATCCGCTGAGGCCTATCGAGGCATCTGGGTCACACGCGCCCCGCGCGCTTGCTCTTGTTGACTCCACCCCCGTTGGTCCTTGTCTTGCTTCCGACCATTTCTTTCTCCCGCCTGTGCCGTTGAACAGCCATCCTCGCCTCTTCCCCCAACACCTGTGTCCTCCCTCGTGTGAGTTTCCTTCATGCCTTCTGCTGGCGCGGTTCTGACCGCCGCTGCAGCTCGCTCGTTTTCTCCTTGGAAACACCCCCTTCTCTGAGTGTTTCCAGGGTAGCAGAGGTTACACACTTCACCCACTTGCCGCCGCCCGCGCGACCACCTCGTCAACGAAGCCCCCGAACCAGACCGGCACAACCCAACCATGGACATTCGGAATCGCGAGCGTGCCTACCTTGTGTCGCCCGCGGTGACAATGAACAAAAAAAAAGACGCGCAAGTGGGCAGTTGGGGCCAGGACACCAGTACGCCCAACAGGAAGGCTTACCTGGTCGACTTCGTCCTCGCCCAAAAGATTGTCCCCCATGGGTGCTTACCTCTTTTGGGCGAGCAGCTCTTCCGGCCCCGCGCGTCGCCAGTCGGTCCACTTTAACGAGCCCATGCCGCCCTATCGTCGCTCCGCCCGCATTTCCAACGTCTCCAACGTCGCGCCGCAAATCATGACGTCTTCTCCGGCGACCCACAAGCTCTCCCTCTCGGCATCGGCAGTTCACAACATGTGTAAGAGCCTGAAGGCATCGCTTCTGCAGAACATGGAGGGTGCCGTCGACGCGGACATCGAGAAGTCCGTTTTTCCACCATTGGTTCTGCCAAGACTTCCGACATCGAGGGTCACGCCGTCGTCCCCGAGAGGTCGTCATGAAGGCCGTCAAGTCGAAACCCCTTTTTAAGAACCCATTCGCCAAGCTTAAGCCTGCACAGCTGAAGCCTGTTCCCGAGGGATCCACGACGTCGAGCATCCTCTGCACGCCGTTCAACGCCGGCATGGCGTGCCGCAGCCTGGTATAAAATCCGCACGGCCGCTGTCTTTACCGCCATGTCTGTGTCAACTGCGATGCTCACCACGCCGCTCGTGTGTGCCCCGACGAGGACCTAGGACCACACACTCGTCCCTTGGTAGGAAACCGCAGCACACCCCGCTGGACCGTTGTAAATAACATAACGGTCACATACGTTTCCAACACTCGATGCCTCCTCTTTTTCACCTACTTCACCCGGAAATCGCTTCTGCTCCTCCCTCTTCGGTCACGGACGTCTCCATCACCGGACGCCTCCTCTTCTACCTACTTCACCCCCAGAGCGCTTCTGCTCCTCCGTTTCGTTCACTTAAAACCCATATTTTTTGTCTTTTGGCGTCCCCAGGTCCACCTGGCACCTGGGCTCGTAGACACCTCTTCGTATGTGCTTGTTTTTTGCCGTTCTCAGCGCCACCCCTTCACCCTTTTTTTTTTTAAAAAAAAAAATGCATCGCCATTTGTTTGTTCTTTGGTACTGCACTTCTGCCCAAACTTGCGCAACGAAATCTGGACTGGACTGGACGGCTGTGGGTTTCTGCGTTTCCTTGCGCGCCTGCGACGATGCGCCGTGATTTGTCGGTATGTACTCAGGAAATGTCAGCAGCGAACGCGATGCCCCCACCTCGAAACCCATACAAGTGTTCCCGGCTCGGTACTCATTCATGTACATACAACAGACCGTCCACGCACCAACGGACTACTGGCCCCCTTTTTCCTTTGACCCGGGCACTGGTGGGCAGCTAGCTGCTGGTTGGTTTGAGCTCAACAGCTCCCCGGGGGTTGCCAGCGCCCACTCCCACTATCCACGATGGCGTCTCGACGCGGGCCCAACAAACTTGGCCAAGGGTCTGGATCTGGATGTCCTCCATGACCGCGACAGGTTTGATCAGACGGACTGGTTCAATGTTCTTTACGTACAGCGTTGATCCAGCAGTTCTGCAACTACATACACATTTTGTGGAGGTCCAAACACCGCAGCCACCAAAAAAAAAAACGTTGCCATAAACCAATGTTGATCCCCCATCAACGTGCAACCAGATGCGCGCGAAATGAACCATGCATGGAGACGAGAACAACTGAACCGGCGTGCACGCCGGGCCGCAGAGGCGACAAGGACAACTAAGTGAGGGAGGGAGGGAGGGAGTTATTGAGAGTGGTTTATGTGGAAAGTTGAAACAGGCTTGGGGGGCCGGACGTCACGTCCCCACTAGTGCACGAGGTCCTCCCAGTTACGGCCCTTTGTCTCCTTGACCGTCTCCTCTGTGACCTTCTTCTTGGAGAAGTATCCGGCCTGGATCTTGGCGTCAATCTCGACACGGCCGTCGGCCGGGATGAGCTCGTCTGGGATCTCGTATCGGTTCTGGACGGTGATGCCGCTGCCGACGATCGAGTCGTACTTCATGTCGGACATGCTGGGTGAAATGGTTAGCACCTTCGTTCTATAACAGTGTTGGTCGTCCCGGGGTACTGGGTACTCACGAGATGAGGTTGGTGATGTGCGTGATGCCCAGCCAGTGCAGCACGTCGGGCATGAGGGCCTGGTGGCGCGCGTCCTTGACTCCCGCGACACACGACGTGTTGTTGAAGTACTCGGCCGCGGTATCTCCGCCGCGCTTGCGACGGTTGTAGCTGAAGAAACTTGTCAGCAGGTGGAAAGAAGGCCTAGGAGGTTAAAGACACCTACACCATGTATTTTGTCACCTCGCCGAGCGCGCGGCCCTCCTTCTGGAAGTAGACCACGACTCCCACACCGCCGCGCTGGGCGGCCTTGATGGCCTCGGAGATACCAAAGATGAGGTATGGCCGGCAAGTACAGATATCCGAGCCAAACACGTCCGAGCCAGAGCACGAGTCGTGCGGGCGGCAGGTGACCTCGGTGTTGGGGTCGGACAGCCTGGCGGGGTCGCCGACAATGTACACGGTCATGCCGCCAATGGGGGGGAGGAAGATCTTAATGTCCGGACGCGTGAGGAGCTCGGGGTACATGCCGCCCGTGTCCTCAAACAGCGCACGGCGCAGCGTGCTCTCGTCAATACCCAGACGGGCAGCCACGCCGGGGAGGTACCACACGGGGTCGATGGCGGCCTTGTATGTGTTGATCTCGACACCTTGGTCGACGCCCGGGAACGCGGCCAGCTCGGGCGACTTGATGACAATCTCGCCGTCAATGGGGAACTCGCCCTTGCGCGCGAGCACGTCCAGCTCCTCAATCTTGATGTGTGCCTTTGTCTGGGCAATGGTCGGGCGCACGTCCAGACCAGCCAAGTACTCGGGTCCCCAAATCTCCTGCGACATGGCACCCCAAGGGTCAAACGACACAATCTTGAGGTCCTTGGCGTTCAGGTTGGCAGGGGAGGCGCCAGTGCCGTCGCCAAACCATCCGGGGCGAGGGGGCAGCACGAAGGGGGGCTGTACAAGTCAGCATGGGTCTGTGCCCAGATTTGTCACCCACGTGAGTGTTGGTGAGGTCGGGACGCCAGTCGGGACGAAGCTGGCCCATGGCGATGGAGAGGGCACGGTAGATGCTGTAGCTACCGGCGTGGGCGCCGATCGAGTTACGGATGGTGAGGTTCTTTGCGATACGGCTGCACACCACGGGTCCACGGTCGCGGGCATCGGCTATACAGTGTCAGTCAACCCACCTCTCTACCTTCTGTCTTCACTCACGGCCAGCACCCCACGATACGGGGACGGGGTCGATACCAGCCTGGCCAGGGTATGCTGTGCGGGGTTAGTCTGCAAAACACAGGGAAAGCGCAGTCCGGGGGAGCCCACCAGCTCCACACCTTGTTGCACTCACTGGTCAGCACCACACGCGATGGGTACAGGCCCTTCTTGGCCGGCGTGGCGTCACCAGACGCAGCGCTGGCATCCGACTTGCGGTGCACGTGTCCGTTGGTCGACGAGCTGCTGCCGTTGACACCCTTGCCCGTGCCGTTGACGACGGGGGTGCTGCGCGATCCCGAACCAGAGCCAGAGCCATTGGCCTGGGCAGCGGCGAGTCCGAGCGCAATGCCGCTGGGACCCGACGTGGACGAGAACGAGGTTCCCCCAAAGGGGGTGTGGGGCGGGGGAGGCGACGTGCCGAGGCTCGAGGCGAGACGGAGGGCCTCGACGCCGCCGCCGCGTGGGGACGGGGAGGCGATGGCCCACGGTCCAGCGGGACCGCAGGGAATGTTGTCGATGCCGGATTGCAAGGGCGAGGGAGGGATGGAGGAGGTGCGCTGCTGCTGGGCGGCAATCGACTCTACCTGGGAGGAGGTGTCAACAACGTGCGATGGGGAGATTTGGGCGAGATGGTGGATGGATGGATATACATGCAGACGTCCGCTTATCTGTAGAGGCACGAGGCGTGGGGCGTGGGGCAGGTAGATCAGACGTACCTGTGCAGCGAGCTTCTCGTGTTTGGCGTCGAGCCCGCGAAGGAGCTCGAGGATGGCAGCAAGGTCGGCCATTTCGGGTGGCAACTTGCGGTGTTGTTGTTGTGGTGTGTGTGTGGGATGGGATATAGTGTTGCTCCGTTGTGTCTCTCCGGAGGGGTAGGGGGCTATGAAGGGAGGAGAGAGAAGAGAAAGAGAAAGAGAGAGAGAGAGGGGATACACGAGTCCAGAGACTGGCTTATATAGCGCTCGCTGGACGACGGGGGAGACGATGTATGGGGGGCAGATGTATGTCGTCGTCCGTTGTGATCGGAGACGGCCCACCCCCACCCGCCCCGGGGGATCCGCCACCCAGGAGGGTGTGTCACAGCCACCCGTCACACTGCCAGGAACAAGCCGCCGATAACGTCTCACCCATCGGACATTCCCGTCACTGTATACACACTCCCCCCCGGCCTATCAGCATTCCCCCGCCACATCAGGCCATCAGCTCCCACAGATAGATAGATAGATAGCACAGGCAGGCCACAGTATCCATCGTGGGTCTGTCTCATGCTCACGATACCCCCGATGCTACACAGTTCACAGAAAGCGGACAGTCTCACCATCTCACGTCGGCCCGTCGCGTCTCACCTGACGTCGTCGCTGCCCCCGCTCCGCCCACTCAATTCCACGCCGCAAACGCCCCCCCTAGCTCCTAGACCCCCCCGCGCACAATCGGCACGTGCAGCAACCCCCCCGCAAGCAACGTGCAAGCACACGTCGCGAGGCCGGCAGGCGCGCGGGCAACTCGCCGAGTCGACTTGTTAACGACATGCACAGCCGAGCTGGGCGCGCGCGGGGGGTCGGATTGGACGCGCTGGTAGCACACTCCGGTACCCTGCGTCTAATGGTCGGTCCAATATCCCTTGCTCACACAATCTCCACACACACACACACGCAGACAGATTCGTACACATGGTCATCATCATGCACTGCCCACCATGTCCTAACCCACAATCGTGGGCACGCCCTGCGCGCGTACACGTCGGTCGCGTGTATCGCGCCGCGCCAGCCAGCACGGCCCGGTGGACACGGGAGGGAACGGAGCTACCAGCGCGGGGGACGGGGGTGGGTCTACAAAAGTCGCGATAAGCGCCAGCGCCCAGCGCCCAGCCGAGCGCGCTCCCGTGCTCGTTATACATCCACATGTCGTCCGCGCGCCTCGCTCGCCTATCTCTAGTCAATGACGATCACCTCCGGCTCGCCATTCCCCGATGCGACCGGTGCGTGTCCCGGAGCAGACGCAGACGCAGACGCAGACGAGCCGCCCGCGCCGCCGTTGGCAGCTGCAGCTGGCGGCTTGGGCTTGGTGAGGCGCGGCGGCGGGACCGTGGCAGGGACAGGGATAGGCTCCACGTTGGCCACGAGCTGCTTGAGAGTCGCAAGGGCCTTGACTGGGAAACGGGTTCTGCAAAACGTCAGTGGTCATGTCCATGTTCATGTGGTCGTGGGGAAATGGGTTGTACGCACCCGCACATCTTGCACAGGGGCTTGGCTTCACAGAAAACTGCTGGGTCAGCGTGGCAGGCCCCTTGCGTTACCCACTGCTCAAGCACACGCTGCACACAAAGCCGACGTCGACGACATCATGGTGGCAGAAACACACGGCGCGGAAGTCGACCGCATCCTGTGGAGGGAGGGTGAAGGGGTGGAGGCGGAGCGACGCTGGTGGGAGGTAGATGGACTGGGGTCAGCTAAGGTCAAACAAGTTCAAGCTTACGTGGAGATACTGCAAGAGGCCACCACGACCATTCCACCGCCAGTAGATTCCCTTTGTGAGGTAGGCGGCCTGCTGGAGGAAGATGGGCGGTGCCGTCTTGGTGCTCTCGGGTGGGAGGGTGAGAACGTCGATGGGGATTTTCTGTCCGTCAGAACAAAGTTGTTGGCTACCAGGTGGCCATGTCCAGGCCAGTTTCCTGTCCCCGTGAAACTACACTGCACTGGGAACAGCACACTGGAGGATTCCACTCACCGCCTTCTGTGCGGCGAACACACAGTTCATGAGGCCCACATAGCCCCTTTGGCCGCCACTTCCACCAGACGCCTTGGCCGTCTTGCCGCTGTCTGCAGCCGCGTCCTCGGCTCCTCCAGGCGTGGCATTCAAAACAAGAATACGCGACTCGAGCGCCTCGGGGTTGGACGTTTGTGTGCCATTGGTGTCGGCAGTGAGCGAGGACGCCGCCGCCTCGGGTGGTCGCCTGCGGTTGATGTCTAATGGGTCAGGTCGTAGTCCGTGTGTTTTAACCCACAGCACAGCGCCTTTGTCAAGGCAGAAACAAGAGATGGAGGGTCTGTTGTCAGCTCCGGCCTACGAACGGACAGCTCACCATTGAGGCCACTGCCGCCGGCCGCTTCCAAACGCTGCTCCTCCTCCGCTACTGCTGCCTTTAGCCTTGCTTCAAACTGCGAGTCGAGGAGCTGGAAGGGACGGTAGATGTTGGGGTTGGGGCGCGAAGGACCAGCCTCGGTCGGGGGTGGGTACAGGAGGGCACTGTTGTCAGCTAATACGAGAGCCACTTGGCTAAACTCACGCCTTCCCTGCCGTCGCACCGTACACGACCACCTCGTTGCCCCATCTGCTGGCGAGGTGTGCATTGAGAAAGACCATAAGGATGGTCACAAACTCCTCGAGCGAAATGGGCGATATGGGGGCCTTCTCCTTCTCCTTGTCGGCATGGGTGTGGACAGGCTCTGGTCCTGGCGCGAGGCTGGAGAGCAGCGACCATGCGAGCGGGTGCAGGTCGATGATGGCGATGAGAAGTGCTGGCGGCGATGCCGCTGGCCATGGACGCGACTGCGCCACTGGGGCGGGCGGCTGCGGTGCCATGTCAGGAGCACGAGTAGGTGTCTAGCGCGAGCGACTTGGTTGTTGTATGAAGGACCCAACGCGATCCAACAGGTCGTACTGGATCACCAAAACGCACCCACAGCTGCACAAGCTGATGTCACTCGAGACATTTATTGCGTGTCATATTCCGCCACCCGGAGGCAATTGTTATCACTCCACTTGTGGCCCAGGACCGACCGGCCAGGAATTTTGGATGGTGAGCGCTCTTGCATGCAGCATTGAAGTGCATTTAGGCATCGAGCAACACCAACACCGCGTGCTCGACACACCACTTGCCCAGCATGCCCGCTCCAACACACGCGCCTACCCTCCCCCTCCACCGCATCCGCTTCTTTGACCACACCCCTTCCCCCATCACCGCCCTCGCCTTTGCGCCCCTCCCGCTCCCCCTCGCGCGCGATCCCTCCACTGCCGCAACTGTCGCCAAGGGCAAGGCCCGTGAGGGCACCGAGCTCGGCGCTCTTGTTGTCGCTCGTGACAATGGCGAGGTAGAGGTCTGGGAGTATGTCTCGGCCGAGCAAGGTGGCATGGGCAACTGGGTGCTCGAGAAGGTAAGTCGTGATCCCCACCCAGACTGGGGTTTGCCACATGTGTTTTGGTGTCGTGAGTTCCTATGCTCACATCCCCCCCAAGACCCTCCCGCCCACCCTCACCCACCCGACCATCTCGGTCATGTCGCTCGTGATCCGTGACGTTGAAAACTTCCACACCAAGCCCTACAACGTTCCCCGTGTGTCCGACCTGCGCCTGTTCACTGCCGGCTCGGACAGCACCGAGCTCACCGAGCGCTGTCTCGAGACTGGCCGTGTCCTGCAGACCTACCCGATCCCCTCGCCGCCCCTCTGGTCCATGAGCGTGTCGCCGACGCAGGAGCTGCTCTGCCTGACCACCAACTCGCCTCACCTCCACTTTGTCTCCATTACCCCTCCGTTTGGCCCCAACGTCGCTCCTCTCGAGGGTGCCCCGGCCCACCTGTTGCGTTCGGACGCGCTTCCCTCGCGCACCCGCACCGTGTCGGTCGCCTGGGGTGTGCCAAAGCTCGTTCAGGAGGAGACCGGCGAGTGGGCGTGGCGCGACACCTACCTCGTCACCGGTAACTCGGACTCGTCGTTCCGCCGCTGGGAGCTGCCCGCACCGTCGACGGCCGGTACCCCCCTGGGCCGTGTTACGCTCAAGGGCCGTGCCGTTGTGGAGAAGGTTGCCAAGGGCAAGAAGGGTGGCCACAAGGGCACTATCGTGTGGGGTGTTGGCGTCTTGCCGTGAGTTAGCTATGGGCTTCTTTGCATTGTCGCTTTAGCTGACCAAAACAACAGTGACGGCACAATCGTCACCTCGGACTCTTTGGGAAGCGTGACGTTCTGGGACCCATCAACGATGGCCCAGAGGCAATCGTTCCGCTCGCACAAGGCCGACGGCATGTGCATGGCCATTGGCCCCGGTGGCAGGACAGTGTTCACGTCGGGCCCCGACCAGCGTGTCTGCCAGTTCACTGCTCTGCCGCAGGCCAACGGCCCCGCCCAGTGGGCTCTGACTGCCACCAAGCGTATCCACACCCACGACGTTCGCGCCCTCGCCGTGTTCCCCACCTACGTCCCCGTCCCCGCCTCGCACCCGCTTTCGCCAGCACCGCTCAACCCCGGCCTGGCCCCGATCCTCGCCTCGGGCGGTTGGGACATGACCCCGGCGCTCACCCCGGCTGCTGCCCCCGAGCTTCTTGCTGAGAAGCTCCGTAACCCTCTCGGCAAGGACAAGCAGAACTCGCGCGTGGTGTTTGAGGAGGCCTACTCGCGCAAGCTGCCCATGTGCGGCGGTGGTCGCGGCCAGGGCCGTCTCGCAGTGTCGCGCGGTGGCCGTCTCGTTGTTGGCCGCAAGGACCGCAGTGTCGGCATCTGGCGTGTCCTCGATGACGACCAGGGATGGGAGAAGGTGCTCGAGATGGACCTCAAGCTTCGCACCAACCTCATTTCGTCGGCCGTCTCGCCGGATGGCCAGTGGCTTGCCGTGTCGGACCTGTACGAGACCAAGCTGTTCCACCTCGCCACCATGCCCTCGGGTGCACTCCGTCCCGTGCGTGTGCGCGACTTTGTTACCGACCTCGCCTCGTCCCCTGCCCTCGAGCACCTTGCCCTTGCCCAGCGCGGCTGCGGTGCCTCGTCGCTCCTCTTCACTCCCGACTCGGGCCGCCTCGTCCTCGCTCTGGCCGCTACCGCCAACGTTGTCGTTGCCGAGCTGCCCAACGAGGACCGCGGCGGTGTCGCCGTCGTCCGCTGCTTTGCGCCCAGCACTCCCTGGTTGGCGGTCGCTCCGTCGTCCCTGCAAAGGGCGGCAGGCGTAGGAGGCGCCGCGGCGGCAAGGCTGCCGAGGTTGACGAGGACGTCTCGATGGGCGAGGACAGCGACAACTCGGACTCGGACTCGGACTCGGACGACGAGACCCCCTCCGGCCCAGCCCCCTGGGTCACCGGTATGGCCGCGAGCGAGGATGGACAGTGGCTTTCCACCTCGGACCTGGGTGGCAAGGTGACCATCTTCAACCTCGACACTCTCCAGCTCCACGCCCTACTCCCTACTCTCCCCACTGCTCCCGTCGCATTGGCATTCACGCCCACGCACCCGCTTCTCCTGCTCGTGCACCCCAACAACAGCATCCAGTTCTACCACCTCGATGCTCGCCGCCTCGTCACCCCCACCCAGCAGGTGTCGGTGCTCAACTCGAGGCTCCGTGGCCTGCACGCCGCCGTCGAGGGTGCCGCCTTTGAGCCTACGCGCAGTGCGCCCAAGGCCTCCAAGCTCGTCCTCTTCGCGCACGACTGGCTCGCCACGGCCCGCCTGGACCTCGACCTCGTCGCCCGTGCCGCCGGTGCTCGCCGCGGCTCGACCGGCTCGGTCGCGTCCGCCGACGCCGCCGCCCCGGCCATGTCGTCCAAGAGCCTGCGCAGGAAACGCGCCCGTGAGGCTCGCGAGCAGCTCGAGGTCTTTGCCGCATCGTCTCCGGCGTCGTCGGACGGCCCCGCCTCGCCGACCGCCTCGCTTGCCCGCGCGGTCCTCACCCCCAGCTCGGCCAACGACCCCGAGTTTGTCAAGATTGCCACGGACCGCTTCCGTGCTGTCGTCGCCGTCGACTGGCTCGCCGAGGGCGAGCTCATGCTTGCCGAGAGGCCCTATGCCGACTTTGTGGGCGAGCTCCCGCCCGCGTTCTGGACGGGTACTTATGGACGTAGCTAGAGAGCCTAGATAGGGATTCGTCATATCATTTTGCATACCATTTTCCAGTTGACAACAGATGAGGTGCAGGTTTGTGCAGTTTGCGCGACAGACATCGTTCTCCCGGCACTCGAATCCTAAAAGTCCAGATACTGCTCCTCCCAAGGCTTGATACCGTCCGCGAGCTCGCTCTCGATGCCTTCCTTGTCGTTCAACACCTTCCACGACGGCCGAGACCGCATCAGGCTCTTGTATGTTTGCAGGTTGGGATACGTGCCCGCCAGCCGGTCCACGAACGCATCCCAGCTGAGGGTGGCCGCGAAGAGAAAGTCGACGGCCGTGGGTCCCTCGTCAGCCGTGGACACGAGGTATCCGCCCTCCTTGACCTGCGCGTCGAGCTGTTCAAACACGCCCTTGATGCGCTGGAGCGCCAGCAGGCGGATACCGTGCGCGACTATGCCGTCTGTCTGGTCCTTTTCCGCATAGAACCAGTCGCGGAACGCAGGCAGGAGCGTGTTGGCGACAAACACGAGCGTCTCGAGGAACCGCGCACGCAGCGGCGAGTCGCGCGCGGGCTCGAAGTGTGCGGCCGGGTGCCGTTCAGCGAGGACGAGCACACACGCCGTCGACTCTGGCACGGGCGTGTGCCCGTCCACGATCAGTGTCGGCACGCGCCCGCGCGGGTTGAGCGCGAGGTACGTGGCGTCCCTCTGCGCGCGCGTGGTAAAGTTGACGTCGACAAAGTCGTACGTGACGCCCGAGGCTGCGGCGAGCTCGATGAGGAGCCAGTGCGTCGACGTGCTGGCCGTGTTGGCAAAGCCGTAGAGGGTGTAGTCGGGCATTGGTGTGGGCACAAGTCGCAAGCAGCAAGCAGCAAGCAGGCGGGATCGGCAAATCGCGAGGCACGCCACGGTGATCCAGCGTGATCCAGCGATATCCAGACGTGCGTTTTGGGATTATCTGTGGTTCGAGAGCCCGTCGCAATGGTCGCGTGTCTGTGGGGGGGTGCTCTTGAGCGTTCTTGGCGGAAGTGAGGGTCCCCCCCCGAGTTTTCGAATATCCATGAATTAGGAGGACATCGGCCTCTACTTTGACCTGCAGAGCGGTCTGTGCGCCGGTGCCCCACAGCCTGGGTTGCCGCTAGCCAGCTAAACGAGACACCGTCTCCCCATTCCAGGTGCCGAGCCGAGGCCTCCCACCGTAGGCCGACCGTCCATGTGCGGGCCGCCGCACGCCAGTGGCCGAGTGGGAAAATCGAAAATGCCTGCTCACATTTGTTTTCCCATTTTGGACGGTGGCCGTTACCCTTTCGCCTAGACTTGTCCTCTTCGCCCATTGCCCATTCCCCTCGAGCAGCCAGTGTCCTTGGTGTCTTATAATCATCCCCAGAGAAAAAAAAAAACAGAGAGTGGACACCCACCTCCAAGCCGTTTTCATCGCCTGTTATCTGCCAACCTAACCGCTTATCTTCCCCCCCCCAGGCCGTTGTCTTCACAGCCCCACTCCCTTCCCTCCCTCTCCTCAATCAACTTTCACATTCCCGCAAATGGAGACCCCTCCCCTCCCTCCTCGCCCCGCAGGCTCGACCGAGCACCGCGTCCTCGTCCTCGGCACGGGTGGCACCATTGCCTCGGAGCCCACGTCCGAGGGCTACGCGCCCATCTCCGAGGTCACTGCCCGTGACGCCTTTTTCAAGCGTATCCGCCAGCACCCGCAGCTGAGCGATGCCCCCGCCGAGGCATTCGGCGCGCCCGTCCTCGCCAAGCGCGTCGGACGCGACATGAAGTACCCCGCGCTCAGGACACCTATTCTCGACGACAAGGGAAACACGGTCCTGTACGAGATCCTCGACCTTGAGAACCACATGGACTCGAGCGAGATGACTCCCTCTGGTGAGCAGCAGCGGCTTCCCAGACCACGTCGAGCCATGGACGGCGGCGGAGGGGGTCAATGGCGGAGCCTGCATGTCCCCTTCTGAGAACACCTGTGACTGACAGGTCACAGACTGGAACCGCATCGCCGAGCTCATCTCCGAGCACTGGGACGCGTACGAGGGCTTTGTCGTCCTCAGCGGAACCGACACGTTGGCATACACCTCGTCCATCCTCACATTCCTGTTCGCCGGCGCTGGAAAGCCTGTCGTCGTCACCGGTGCCCAGATCCCCCTCCGCGAGCCCCGCAGTGATGGCTGGTACAACGTCCTCGAGTCGCTGCTGGTTGCCGGCACGCTGCCTTACACGGGCGTCAGTGTCGTCTTCTGTCACCAGGTGCTGCAGGGATGCCGGTGAGTTATGTCGCCCACAGCCTCCAACTCTGCCATGAGGGGGTATAGTCCAACTAACCCCACAGTGCTGTCAAGGCGTCGCCCGACAACCTCCAGGCGTTTGAGACCCCGTCTGTTCCTCACTGGATGCGTCTGAACGTCAAGATCTGTGAGTTCCAGGTGGTCGGCCAACACGTAACCTGTCACCTGTCACACTTGACTGACACGCCCAGCGCCCCTCGACTCGCTCACCCGGCGCTCGGCATCCCGCCCGCCTCCCCTCGTCAAGCTCGAGGCCTTCCCCACCGTCCTGTCGTGCGCCATCTACCCAGGCATCACAGGCTCGGTTCTCGCCGCCCAGATCCACTCCATGCCTACCTGCCGCGCCGTCATCATCTCGGCGTTCGGAAGCGGCAACCTGCCCGTCAAGGAGGAGAGCGGCGTGCTCCAGGCCCTCGAGGCGGCTGTCAAGCGCGAGATTCTCGTCGTGGTCATTTCGGGATGTGAGTGGGAGCCGTACAGGGCTAGCTGTGGCATGTTTGGCGCCGATAGCTAGCTGCGTGGTTACCACGCCGCGCTGTGGCCCACCAGAGCTAACTCTTCAGGCTACTACCCAAATATCTACCCTCTCTACGCGCTCGGTGTGCGCCTCCTCGCCATCGGCGTCCTGCCCGGAGGCGACCTCACCCACGAGGCCGCGTTCGCAAAGCTCATCTGGCTCGTGTCGCGCAAGGAGCTGAGCTTCAAGCAGAAGCAGGACCTGTTCCAGACCCCCATCGCTGGCGAGATGACTGTGAACCTCCAGTAAAAATACAACAAAAAGGAAGAACAGCCGCCGCCGTCAGTGGAAACAGGTCAGGTCAGACGTTTCAATGTTCAATGTTCAAGCGCATGCTGGGGGATACCGCCGGGACAGTGGCCGCGATGCAACGCAGGGTGAAATGCCAGGTCGCGCGATAGAAGTAATTCCTGTAAACCCCTAGACATACAATACAGAGAGTGCCGGCCCCCGGATGCATCTATGTTCATCTCAGATCTAGTACGCCATCCACATGGTGGGCGTGAGGACTGTCATTAGCGGGTGATCTTGGCCGTACTTTAACACCCACATTTGTCAATTGCAGCCCACGAGCTGCGCGCGTCGGCCCAGTAATCCAGTCGTTGGCCCTTGCGGAGGACCAGGGCCGGGTTAGCCTGGTCCGCGTCCGAGAGGAGGCTGTCAATGGCCACTTCCTTGTCGAGGTACGACGAGTAGACCTGTGCGCGCAGCGGGGAGCCCAGAGTGTCCTCGGACTTCCACGGGCGGAAGGTAAGAAGAGCGTCGGACGACGGCGAGCATACGACAACCTGGGAACGAACGTCAACATCCACGACCCCCGTGGCACGCGCGTCGCGCAGATCCATGCTCACCAAGTTGCCAACTAGGCCAGGACCGTCTTGCACAGTAAACTCGTCGCCAAAGGCACGGCACTGGGGGAACACGTCGAGGATCGTGCGGAAGACGGTACGCGAAGCAGGGCTGTCAATCTTGCCCGCAAAGTTCTGCGCAGGGTTTAGCGAACGTGAGCGCGGTCCCGTTCAAACCCACCATGACAACCACGCCGTCCGTGGTGACAATGTCCTGGACATTGTTCCAAAACTCGCGCGTAAACAGCTCGACAGGGAGGGAGCCGGCCGAGAAACAGTCCTGCACGATGTACGACCATTTCTTGAGCGACGGGTCCTTGCGGCGCGCCACCGCTGCGTCATGGACATAATTGGCGCCGTCCATGAGATGCACAGAAGCCGGAGGCACGCGGCCGAGTGGAAAGTATTTGATAGCAGCGTCGTAGACGGCCGGGTCGAATTCTAGAGACCGTTAGACAGCAAGGGGGGGTGGGGGGATACTCACCGACGACGTCCACTGCGAGGCCGCGCAGAGTGAAGAAGGTGGCTCCAATGCCCACACCGAGGCCACTGTTGTTAGCTGGAACGGCGCGAAAGAAACAGCTCACATAACGAGTGCGCGCTCCTTGTCCTCTTCGGGAAGCTTGCGCAGAACAGCAGCGCTGGCCGCACTGCCACTGTCCTCCGGCCCTGCCAACAAGCCCACTTCTTGCAAGGGAAACGCGGCAAAGACACTGCTGTCAGCTTCAACGCTAGCTATGAAGCAAACTCACGAATCGGCCCACTCGGTCGTCCTGCCTTGAGGTCCGTCACGGTAACGGATCCAGACACCGCCAATGATGGAATGGTCTGCACGGATGAACCGCAAGGTACCACCTCGCTCGTGGTCGAGGTCCATAACGACTACGCGTCCACTGGCACTTTGCTCGGAACTGATGACGCGGAGGCTGTCACTGGCAACATAGTCGCGCAGCAATGGGCGGCCATACGCAAGGTACAGGCCGCCAACGAGGATGAGAGCGGCATTGATGAGGACAGCGCGCTTGACGGTCGCTGGCTTCTTGGTGGCCTCTGCTCCTGGCTTGGACTTGCCGGGGGCGGCAGAAAGGACGGAGAGAACACCATAGACCACAACGACAGCGAGGAGCTGGTGGTTAGCTCCAATGCAATACATACAACTCACTGCTCGCTCAGAGTCCGAGGTGATTGCCGAGAGCGAAGGCCATTGGAACATTTGCCTCCACACCCAGTCGCCTGTCCACAGCGTAACGGCAAGGAGGACGCTGAAGAAGAGGGAAAGAGGGCTCGTCTTGGATCGCTTGCTCGACTGCTGTCAGCTTATCGGCCCTATGACACTTGAAACTCACAATAACCACCGTCGCCACGGCCTGGATCATGTCGTTTGTGGCGAGCCACAACCATGTCGCGGCAGCACCTTCCACGTCGCCGAGCCAATGGACCGACAGCCGCATAGCAGGACGGCCAACGACCAACGCGCCAACCGTGGTGGCAGACGCCAGCAAGAAGAGCGAACCCAGAGACCTGGTCTCCTCGCGCCGGAGGAAGCAGACCTGGAGCAACATTCCAGCCCAACGAAGCGGTCGCAGGAGCGGGAGCGAGTTGTACAGCGGTGCGGCGTTCAGGCCATGGAGAGCGAGCGCAAACGAGGTAAATGGGATGAGAAACAGGGCAAGTGGCAAGAGCGGCAGGGGGCCGTCCGTGTCCGTGTCTTCCTCTACCTGCACGGCGGGGACCAGCTGCACGTCTTCCTTGTGCTCGTCCTTGGCTGGTGGCTGTTTCGCCGGAGCTTTCTTGCCCGCCATGATGAAAGGCTCAGAGGGGGACGTGAAGTTGATGGATGGATGCCGAGCGATGGCGGCTTTTGAGGTGCAAAAGATTATCGACGCGCAGGCATGTGCAGTCTGCCCATGCAGTTGTCGGTGCTGCTTGTAAGGTGAAGGCAACACTTCCACACCAAGTGACCAGAAATGGGGGAAGACGGGGGCACGGGGGGTTTGACGTCACACCGCCCACGTGGGGTGGTGCTTATTTGTGTGTCCCCGTTATAACCTTCGCCCACTGCCAGTCCACCCCACCCGTCCGTGTGCAGTGACGTTGGTGCGTGATTGTGTGTACCAAGTTCTTTCCGTCACATCGTATCATATTCCATAACAACCACCGTTTATATCTTCCTGTCGCTTCTCCCGTCTCTCTCTATCTCATACACCACATCTATCATAATGTCTTGGTTCGGGTATGTTGCTATTTCGCAATGAAACTGACGCTGGGCCAGCAGCAGCACCAAGGAGTCGAACGAGCCCTCGGGCCCCACCTTCTTCCCCCTCCCCTCCAACACCTCTGGCTTTGGCAAGCTCGACAAGGATGACACCGCCTGGAAGACCATCAGCGGCCACGGCTTCCAGACCGAGACCCACACCTACTACTCGCTCCTCGAGGACGGTTCGTTCCTCATGGTCCAGGTCATCTGGAGCTTCCTTGGGTGAGTTCGCGGTTGGTGGTGGTGCAGGCCAGAAAAGGTTTAGCTAGCCCGTGGGTGGCCCGCCGCCCGCATCGGAAGCTGTCATCGAAGGGTATTAGCTCACGCCCCAACAGTGTCTTCCTCATTCCTGCCACCACGCAGATGACCTTCAAGCTCTACAACCCCCACACCAAGAAGACCTCGTGGAAGTCGGTCAACGTCAACGGCTTCAAGCACGACGGCTGCAGCTCCAAGTCGGACGCGTTTGTGAGTGATAACACGATGGTGGTCCCAGATGGCCGCGTCCCATTCCCCACAGCCCAGGCCGGACGTGGTGGCGGCGCGAGGCGCGAGCTGCCAGTCAAACGTGTTTCAACGGCGCGAGCGCGAGCGTGACTTGCTTGCCCTTGCGCCGCCGGAACCTGTCGGGTGGCTCGTGCCCTGCCAGCGAACGCCTCTTTGCCACCCCTTTGTGTGGTTATTTATTGTTGCATGCCACACCCGGTCCTAACTGTACCCAACAGGAGATCAAGCACACTGGCACTCCCGAGACTGAGGAGTCGTACGCCATCACGGCCCACCTCGACAAGAACGTCCAGATCAACATTACGTTCACCAAGCCCGCCGATGCCCCCGGTGCCAAGTACGGTACTGGCGAGCAGGCTGGTTACTCCAACTTTGGCAGCAATGACCCCACCAAGCGCGACGCGTTTGTTATTCAGTGAGTTACAAGGCCGTTGTTTTGGGCTAACTAACTCTTCAGTCGCTTCCTCCCCCTCATGACCACCTCGGGTTCGCTCATCATCGACGGCGCCATCGTCGACGCCAAGGGCGAGGCCATGTTCGTCCACGCCATGCAGTCGGGTATGCGCCCCAACCTCATCGCCTCGAGCTGGAACTTTGCCTTCTTCGCCAGCAACGGCGGTAACGAGGAGTCGGAGCTCGGTTCCGTCCGCGCTATCCAGATGGAGTTCACCACCACTGTACGTTTTCTGCAACGGCCGGCCGTTCCTTACTGATGCCTTTTACAGGACGACTACGGACCCAAGGGCAAGAACTCTGGCCGTAGCAAGGTCAACATTGGATTCGTGTACGCGTCCAAGATCCCCAACAATGCGCTCCTCGTCGTCGGCCAGACCCACGCCCCCGAGGCGGGCGAGTACACCAACAAGTCCAAGGACATTGTGATTGCCGAGCACCTCACGACCGAGAAGGACGAGGAGACCAGCTACATGGCCCCCCACGGCCTCTCCTTTGTGTGGGAGGGCGACCGCGTGGACGGTGCCGGCCGTGCCCGCGTCAGCGCGATGAACGCCGACGTCTGGTCGGGCCTCATCGAGAAGGTCGACGTCCTCGCCGAGATCCCCTACGTTATCCGCAAGGGTCTGTCGGCCGTCACTGGCGCCAAGCCCTTCATCTTCCAGTACCACAACCCCTCCACCCTCAACGTTGAGATCGAGGGCAAGGCCATCCCCGTCAAGGGCTGGATGTTCAACGAGGCCTCGTTTGTCTCCATGTAAGGAACATTTTGCTTGTACCTTGTCTCCGACTGCTCCCTGTCGCCTTTACCTACAAACAACCCATACAAACTACAGCTCTCTAATTGCGTCCGTCTCTGTAACGATGCCACTAGTACCTGCAGCAGCTGCCCTAAATACCAGTGTGGCCGTTGCCGCCTTCTGCCTCCCTGTTCGTTGCCTGCGTGACACACTCTGAAATGTGAACTATATTCATACACGGTAACAACTCTGTGTGTGTCTGTCTCTCTCTCTCTCTTGTCTCGGTGTCTGCTGTCTACACTGCCGTGCCGTCCACTTCGTCGGCGTCCATCTCGTCGACCTCCATCGACTCGTCGCCGGCTCCCTTGTCGTCGTCGCCGCCGCCCTCGTCGCCAATGCCCTCGTATATGCTCTTGGTAGGCAGGCCCATGACCTCGCCCATGGGCCGCTCGCGCATCGTGCGGCCCACAGTGTCCATCCATCGCCGGCGCAGGCTGAGCTTTTGCTTGAGCGACTCGGGGACCGTCGGGCGCCCGTGGCCGCTCACGACACCGTCCTGGATCGTCTGCTTGCCGCCCGAACCGTGTTTCTTGATACGCTTGGCCCACGCCGCCTCGATCTGCTTCTCGGCGTCGTCGAGGACAGACTGGTACTCGCCAAACGCGAGGCGGTCGCGCGCAATCTTGGCGAGCTTGACTTTGCGCGACTCGTTCAGCGCCGTCTGCTTGGCCAGTAGGCGCTGGCACTGCCGCAGCGCAGACGTCACCTCGTCGTCTTCGCGGTTGGCCGGGTCCAACTGTAGTGTTGTCAGCTTGCAGTTGTGGCCGGGTGTAAGCTTACCTCTTCGTGGTCTCCCAGAAGCATCACTGAGCGGAGCTCCTTCTTGACCCGGTCCTCGAGATCGACAACGTCGACGCGGCTCGCTTCCCGGCTCGCCTCGCTGTCGGGCTCGGGGATCTTGAGCGCCTCCTCCTTGGCGGCGGCGGCAATGTCAGTGCCGCCAATGACGGCCGCAACGATACGCTCCGTCATCGGACCGAGGCCACGGGTCTCCTCGACGAGGTTCTGATCGCGTGTCTCCGAGGGCACAAAGTGGGCGATGGCCGGCGCGCCGTTCGGATGGCGCATGGCCGGGATGGGGAAACGCGGCGTCGTGCCGAGCGGGTTGCCGTCCTCCTCATCCCAGATCTCGGTGTAGTGCCGTCCACGCGGGGGGATAGTGTACGAGTCGGGCGTGTCGGCCTTGAAGTTGAGCATGGCCAGGTCGTCCTCGCGCAGGTCGCGGATGTAAGGCTCAATGTTCTGCCAAAAGGTCTGACAGGCGATCTGGGACGGCGCCTTCTTGTCGCTGTAGTCGGCGTCGACCTCGCTCTGGCGCTTGGGGCCGGCCTTCAAGGGCTTCTGCACGCCGGGACGGGGAGGGACCAGAGGGCGCTGGGGGTTGGGAGGAAGGGACCAGTCAATGTTGTTGGGAGGCTGGGTGCCGGCCGTAGAGGCGGATGGGGTTGGGCTGGGGTCGGCATGGGATGGAGGTCGAGACTTTTGGTGGCCGCCCGGTGCGAGCTTGAGCTTGAGCCCAGAAGTAGACGCAGAGTGGGGTGGTGGGGTCGGGTGGGCTGCTGGGAACATTAGTCATCAAAAACAAACACTCTTCCCATGGACGCCCAGACGAGCACACAACGGCCAGAGTCAACTCACGAGAGCCCTCGTCGTCAGAGTCCAGCACACGTTTTGGCTTCTTCTTCTTGTTCAGCATACCGCCATATGTCGCCTGTCCAGGTTGTGGGCGAAATGAAGCTGATGATGCGTTTGATGGCGCGGGAGAAACTGTTATAGTGGTCAGCGCCCATGTCTTTGATCTGACCTGGGTCGTCCCTCCCGAAGGTCGGCTTCTTCTCTCCCCCTTTCCTCAACCGACTCTCCGTTTGATCCGAACAAACTGTACTTACCTCGTTCGCGTTTGATCTTTGAATCACCAGGCACATCAACGCGTCGTCGCTCGACGGCCTCAAGAGCCATGCCTGCACGCTCGTTGGCCGCCAGTGCCGCGCGTTCACGCTCGACAGTTGACTCTCGTTCGCGCTGCTTCTTGTCCTTCTTCCCTCGCCGCTCATCGTCCCCGGCGCCGGCAGCTGCGCTGGCCGCTGCCGCTGCGGTTAACCTGCCGGCCACGGCGGCCGACTGGGCCATGATAGCCTGTTGGAGGTTGACGAGGTCGTCGACATTGGGCACCGGAGGGTACGATGTCGAGGACATGAGAGAGAGGATGGTGGGTGGACGGGGCGCCATGTTGAACGTGGTGTGCGGGGGGAGGGGTAGTGCGAGACCCCGTAGCACGTGCAAGAGATGGCGATGTGGGGATTGCTGGGTGTTGAAAGGACCGTGAGGGGGAGGGAGGAATGCAATGGGCCTGTTGTCGTTGTTGAAGCGAGACGAGTGCTAGCTTGTTTGCCGTTGTGTGCGCTGGGTGGCAACCATCGGCACATGGCTTTCCCCCCTGAAAGGGTCCGCCGTCCATTTTGCGGAATCAAAATTCACACCTTCACCCGCATGGGCTTTTTGCCGCGTCCGTGCCAATGCAAACCACAAGGCAACAACTGTATAACTGGGGCCTCGCTTCATTAGTACCATGCACGCTGCATGCAATTGCTGCTCCTCTCGCTCTCTCTCGCTCTCTCTGTGCACAACCAATGCAGAAATTGTGCCCCTCCTAGTGGTCTAGGCCACCGCGAACACAGTGGCGTCTACTACACGCTACAGATAACACCTGACAAGGCCCTTGCCAGCCTCGGCGCCCATCGACTTGGCCAGTCCGTCAACCTGGCCCTGGAGGCAGAGCATCTCCAACCTGCTGGGCTCCTTGGTACCGCTACGGAGCTCGGCAGAGATGACGGGGAGCTCGGGCTGGCCAGTCTTACGCCTGCGGGCGTTCTCCTCCTCACGCTCCTTGATGGTAGCCTCGTGCTTGGTCTTCTCACGCGCGATTTGGCGAGTCATAAAGGCGAGGTTGTTGGCCTCGTGGGTGTGCAGAGTGAGGGCGTCAAGAGTGTTGGACAGGTAGTCGGGGAGCGAGTGGGGGAGGGGGTTGACGAGGGGGAGGAAGGAAGGGGGGAGGGGGACGGCGGGGCTCGACAGCGAAGGAGCAGCGGTGCCGGCCGAGGTGGTGAGGGTGGCAAGGAAAGCCTCGACAAGGGTCGACGACGCAACGTTCACGGGGAGAGTGGTGAGCATGGTCGAAGAAGTGAGCTTGTGCTCGGCGAGCCTAAGGAGAAGACCATCAGTTCCGAGTTCCACAGATCAGTATGTTGATTGAAACACTCACGAGGTGGCATCCCACTTGCCCTTCTGGGCAGCGTCACGGGCTCCCTCGCTAAGCTTGTACGCCTTGATGCTAAGGTCGCCGGCGGCAGCGGCCTTGGAAGCGTCGTGGATAATAAGGATGGCCTTGCCACGGCCAGCGGCCTTCTCAACAGCGACCATCAGGTCGACGGCACCGCGAGTAACAAAGCCACCGTTGTGGGTCGACAGGTAGACACCCACGGGCGACTCGGGGGTCTGGACCTCACGGAGGTGGTTGAGGAGACGGGTCGAGTACGAGTGAGCTGCCATCAGTAAACATTACGGAGAGATGTGACATGACGCGCGACCCATCAATGAAATGAACATTGACGGCCAGTTGTCGCTCCCGCGCACGCGACGAGTATAATACTCACCGCCAAGGCTGGTCTCGCCGGCAGGGAGCGAGAACGAGTCCTCAACCTCCATGACACCGTCGAGGTCAAGACCAAGAAGGATACCGAGGGCGTCGGGGTGGCTCGAGAGGTTGGTGGGAGGCGGCTGGTTGCGGTCCTGCTGGTAGGTCTGGGCAGGGGGAGGGGGCAGGATGTCGGTCGAGTGCTTCATGATCTTGAGGAAGACCTGCAGAAGGGTGTGAGTACATGTGCACATGGGTACCACCAGTCGCCCGCAGTGGACTGGCGTTGGGTGTGTGTGTGCGCACCAGCGAGTTGAGGTTGACGGACTCGACCTCGCGAGCGGCCTCGACGTCAAGGAAGCCCTCCATGCGAGCGGGGACCTTGGCAGGAGCCGGGGCGGGGGCGGCGACGGGGGCGACCTGTGCTGGGAGCGAGGCAGCGATAGCTGCGGCCATGGACGTCATGTTGGATGGCGTCTTTTGGAGGGTAAGGTTATGGGTGTGTATAGAGGTGTACGCGCGAGTGGCCACGCTCTAAGCTTCTGCACTCTCTGCAAGCTGGAATTCTCGGGCGGTGAGCGGGAGCAGCGCAGAGCGTCGAGCACACCAGAGCACCAACGCCGTCGAAAACGTCCAACTGCCACACGGCCGGCAAAATCACATCACAAATAAATTTCCGTCCACGTGGAATTATTTTACGTAACCTTGGAATATAACGTGTATTAATGACCATTATCAGAACCTGTTTTGTCCTCGTGGCACTCGTGTGGCACCTGGCACCCAGGCGTGGATCGGCGCCCGCCGCAGCACGTAACGCAGAAAATTGACTGGAACTTTGTTGGTATCGCACCCCCTAGCCGACGCGAACGAGCAATGGCACAGCATGGTCCGTCCAGGGTAGTGCTTCTGTGGCCTCTGTGGACGGCCGGACTCGCGATACCAACCGATTCTGCTGCGTGTCTGCACACCGGACTCCCCGTGGCTCGCTGCAGAAAAATGCCGATGTCGAACGTGTTTTTACTCTCGAATGGCAGCACACACCACTACTCTAAGCTACATACTCTGTCTCATGTCTGGTCATATTCTCCACTGCCGATCGGACCTGGAACAGCGCCGCCAAAGCGGACCGAACAGCTTTAGATCTGGTAAACCTGCTCTCGCCCACTTGCACTTGGTTAACCTGGGTTTGCTGCTGCAGCGCGTGCGGCATCCTCTGTCGGGTGCTCCGACTACCGGGCATCAAGGACGCTGCCCTGGAATGAGGTGGGTGGAGAGCAACACAAATGAGTAGAACCCTGCTGCGGTCTCACCGTTGACTGGGTGAACCGGGCCGATACGTCGAGTTGCAATCCTCACGTTTCCCTAAAGACCCTCGGTAGCTCGGTTTATTTGGCTCCGATTCAACTCTCCACAATCACACCACAGCCCACACAACGCCGCGGCCGCACGCCGTACGCCGTTCCGCTCTACTCGCTCTCGCTCTCGCTCGCTCACGCGGCCGCCGCCGCCGCCTCCGCCGCCGGCGCCTCGTCGTGATATTCTGCTCCCTCATTTTCGAAAACCCGTGTTGACATCCCACTGAACGAGCACCAAGACCACCCGAGATGGAGGTGCAAGGCGGGAAGGAGAACATGACGGCAGACCACCAACTGCCGCCGACCAGGAAACGACAACAGCGACATCTCTTGGCGTAAGTGCACGGAACGGGGCAGCCCCCGCTGGCGTGCGCCGAGGAGAGCTCAAGAGCTAACTGAGACAGCTGCGTAGGATGCCGCAAGATCAAGGTTTGTAACCGTTGCTGCTGGTGCTCTCAGCTGTGTTTGCTGACGACCACCAGACACGATGCCTGGGCAACGAGGACCAAGTGTCACCATGCCAGCGCTGCTGTACGTCAGACGGATGACGATCATGCCAAGCTAACGCTGCGCAGTGCGCCTCAACCTCCAATGTGTCTACGCGCGCAAGCGCCGGAGGAAGCCGCAGGGCGAATCTGGAGGTGTGGATGGTGACGAAGACGAAGAAGAAGCCAGCGGGTCACTGTTCGTGCTCTCCTCCTTGACCAAAGCACGTTGCTAACACATGAACAGCGAAGGCCAGACCTCGTTCACCTCGTATCCAGAGGCGGCCGAGCTGCCCCGGCGACCTTCTATGCGACCAGACGTCATTTCCGAGTCGTCTGTTCGGTTCACTACCCCATCCCCTTCATCGTCATCTATCAAGCCGACCATCCCAGCGCCAACTATTGCTGCACCAAAGCGAGTTGATATCCGAGCATACCTCGACCCGGAGCTGCCGAGGGATGTGAACGGCGCCGAAATCACAGCAGACGGCGGCGTGCGCGCTGCTGAGAATGGATATGTGGAGGATCCAAGTGAGCTCACAAGCCGTCGTCTTTGAGCTAACGGACAGTCAACCTCCAACTGCTGGCGGTGCGCGAGGCTGAGACGTTGCTGGGACTGTAAGCTACCATCCAACTCCCCACCAGTATGCTGACCCACAGGTACATGCAGCACATCAACCCGCTCATTGCGACGTTGGAACCGCAGCGTGAGTTCAGGTCCATATGGTGCCGGGCGCCGGCAACCCACGTACCCTATACCCTAACACCCCACACCCCAGTCCACACGCTAGCATGGGTCCGTTCCTCATCGCCGATCCTGCTCAGCGCCATGATGACCGTGGCAAGCAAGTTCTTCCGGCGCCCGCTCTACCGCTCGCTCCTGGCGCACACAAACACCATCGTCAACCGCGCCGTCGGCATGGGCCACTGCGACATTGGCCTGGTACAGGCTCTGATCATTATGGTATGCTGGAAGGACCCGACCGACGGCAGTTCGTGGGTCAAGCTGGGAATCGCCATTCGACTGGGATATCAACTGGGGCTGCACGTGCTGCGTACCCAGCCGCTCCCGGCCAACGAGTTTGAGGCGCGCATCGTGGCCAACGCGGAACGGACGTGGTACACTGTGTCGTGTGAGTGTTGCAGCCAGGCAAAGCGCAAGAGAAATGGTGCTGACATCACACAGCGTTTGATCGATTGTGAGGTGATCAGATCCCCGCCACCTGCTAACCTTTGCAGATACTCTGACGTCTATGGACTGCCACCGACCGTGCGCCTGGAAGAGATTCCTGATGCTGTCCGGTGGGCCGAGGAGACGGCGTGGCTCGGGTGTGGTGACATGCGCCACGCGTGCAGCTTCAGCTCGGCATCGACGTACCGCATGTGGGTCAAGTATCGCCGCAACTTGCACACCATGTCGCGCGACCTCGCGTGGGCCATCCTGGACGACCTGTACGCGCAGATCGACCAGCACATGAACCACTGGTTCCCTGCCGACCCTTGTGAGTGTTTTAGCTTGTACCTGTCGTGTGAGTCAAGGCTTACGGATTCAGCTACGGGCATGATCACGACGTTTGAGCAGACGTACCTCAAGTGGTTTGACCTCAACCACCTGCTCAAGATCAAGTACCACATGCTGGACATTTGTGCGCCGCATGAGCGCGACGCGGCTGTGTTGGACTGGCTGCTGCTCGCCGAATCGTTCGCCAAGCAGACCGAGGCACTGGGCCTTCTCGGCACCCTGCGGTATTTCCAGGACACGAGCGCGACGCACATCTCGAGCTTTGGAGTCATGGTGTATAACGTGAGTGAAATGGGTTCCTGTTGGCCCCTTCTTGTCGAATGGCACCTGACACTGCACCCAGCTTTTCTCGCGGCTGCCGAGCTTCCAAAAGCGCCTCGTCACGGAACATGTCAAGCGCCTGTCCAAGTGCTGCGACAATGCCACGCTCGGCGATGGCGAGACGGTCATGGGATTCGTGGGGCGGTTCATGCAGCGTCTGCTGCTCGTTCTGCAGAACAGCCAGAAGGTGGAACATGCTGCCCTCCACGGCGGCGGCCACGGCCCCGAGTCTGGATCTGGGTCGGTCCCGGGAAGTGCCCATGTTCCGCCGCACGGCGTCCACGGCGTCGGTCCTGGTGGCGGCCCACCTGGCCTGGGCATGCTGCACGGCATGCCCTTGCCGCCGCCGGACCCGGCGCACGGGTTTGGCGAGACTCTCGATCTCGTGAGTGGCAGCTGCGTCATAAGCTGACATGGTGTCAGGACGGCTTCTTCCGCGCCATGCTGCAGAACGGCCAGAACGCACTACAGGACCTGGTCACGACCGACAACCAGTTCTGGTTCGACCCCAACATGCCGTTGCCGTAGCGCAGAGTGTAGAACTGTAGAGAGGGCGCGCAGAAGGACGAAAAGGAGGTGTAGTTAATAAGACAGGGTACATGTAGTCGTGGGAGGAATAGAGGGATAGTGTAGCGGATAGCCCATGGCCCCATGTGGGGTCATGGATAGACCAGTGTCTTGGTAGTCTTTGGATTAGAGTAGAGTAGAGTAGAATATGCGCAAAAAAAAAGGATGGTACATGTTTCAAAAGCTCTAGAGAATCGCCTGGCCCTCGCCCTAGTCCGACTCGTCGCCGCTCGCCTCGCCGCTGCCGCCGCCAACAGCCTCCTCGGGCGCCATGCTAATGACGCCGCCGAGGCCGCCAGCCTTGATCTCCGCAATGGCAGCCGCGACCTCGCCCTTGCCGCCCTTTCCGCGTCTCCTCTTCTTCTTCTTACGGCCCGCCGCATCCCCTCCTTCGCCCGCACCAGCCGCCTCGGCCTCGTCCTCGTCCTCGTCCTCCTTGTCCTCGTGCCCGTCCTCGTCGTCGTCACGCGAGCGCTTCTTGCCCACAGCCTCGTCGGTGCCCTTCTTCTTCTTCTTCATGCTGAGCGGGTTGGGCTGCTTGGCCTTGCGGCGCGCCATGGATCCCTCGACGGCGCCGCCGGCGCCCCCGCTGCTCCCGCCGCCCAGGACGTTGGCGCCGTCCACCACGCCATCGAGCAGCGCCGCGCCGCCCACGCGCCTGTCCTCCTCGAGCGCGTTCTTGTGGCGCACCGTCGCGGTCGACGGGGGCGAGAGGACGAGCACGCCGCGCGCGTTGAAGTGCATGATCGGCAGACCGGGGATGGTGCCCATTGCCGTCGCGAACTTTTGGGCCTGGACCGCAAGGACGTAGCGGTGCTTGTTGGTCTCGCCTGCGGGTGGGTGGTGAGCGCCAGTCTTCCAGAAAACGGTACACGAGGAGCGAGCTGGGAACGGTGATGTTTGCAGCTCGAGTGTGGGGCGCAGGCGGCTAGCAAATGTGTTCTGGGCCAGCTTCTGGATCGCGATATCTGCAGCTAGAACGAACACATCTCCTCGCCGCCTCGCCGCCATACGCTCGCTCTCGACGGGACTCACCGATGACATCCTTCAGACACTCGTGCGGGTCAATGGCCGTGCGGTGGTTGCACTTTCGGCGCTCGCAGCGCTTGGCGAGGTTGACGACGGCCTGCGCGTCCTTGCCGAGACGGTAGAGGGCCTCAATACAGCACTGGGTGATCACTTGCGGCGGTCAGCTGTGGCTCGAGGCTTTAGGCTGCAGGGAAGGGAAGGGAGGGAGTAGGCTCAGACGGACGGAACACACGACGTCGCGAGGTCGTACCCGTTGCCAGGTCGCATGGGCAGGCAGTAGGAAACCCTTGCGCACACTCCATCCAGCACATAACCCGTCTCCTCCTCGTATACACCAAACTCACTAGGCTTGATCTCGCCCTGCACCGTCGTGCCCATCATCTTGAGGATGTCGATCTCGGGCGACTTGCCGGCCTCGACGAGAAAGTCGGACGACGCGAGGACCTGGTACGGCTGGCGAAAGTTGAAGGCGGACACGTACAGCGCCATGACGCGCTTGTACGCCTTGGCACGTTTCTGGCGCATTTTTTTTGTGGAAAGGAAGGTGGAGGAGAGGTGGGTGGGAAGAGCAACTGTTGTTATGGTGAGTTGCCGCTGGTCATGAACGTCAGTTGTGGGTTCAACTTTTGGTACATGTCACGTGACATGGTCTGGGTGGCGCAGGTGGCGTTTTGCCATGTTGCACCCCCCAGGTGGCACCTGTCTCCCCATCGACCTCTGCTGTCTCTAATGCGCTCATGCATACACCTAAAGGTCCAGTAATACAGGCTACAGAATCTAGATCACTCCACCGCATGTCTTCTTCCTTCTCCCTCTGCGCCTCCCTCTCTCCTCCCCTCTCCCTCCTCTCACACCAATAGACGTGGTTTGTCTCTTCTCGCTACGTCCGCAGCGGCTCGAGGAAGCTGCACATGGCCACGCCAATGAGGCCGTTTTCGGCACGGCACACCACCGCACCGTCGTTCTCGACGCCCACCTGAGAATATGGAAAGTCGTGCAGGTCCGCGACGCGGCCAATCTCGTGGAACACGCTGCGGGAGATTGTCAGCTGGGGGTCGCGTTAAAGACCAGCTGGCGCGCTGAAGGTCAGCTGGCCACTCATTTACTCACTCGACGAGGTCGCCAGCGGCGAGCGGGAGGAATACGAGGCCCTGGAACCGGTGGTTTCCCAAGTCGGCCGGGTTGAAGTCTGCCACTGCGGCGCAGGCGTACAGGATCGGCGAGTCGCGCCATGTCTCGCCCGGGTCCGCGTCGTCGCCGACGTAGATGGCCGACGTGTGCTGCAGGGGGGTCATGGTGCCCAGTCCGAGTCCGCCAAAGTTGAGCTCGGTGGGCGAGACGAGGAGCGACGCGGGAATGTCTGCGTAGCCGTGCACGGGCGTGCCGGCCTTGCTCGGCGTGCCCGACAGGCCGAGGGCGTCGAACAAGGGGTCGCTCGTGGGCGTGATGCGCGGCAGGCCGAACGAGTGCCGCTCGTGCTCCTCGGTGGACGCCTGGGACGACAACGTCGACGCGCGCGTCTGCGACTTTGTACGCTTGACAGATTGCCGCAGGCCGAGGTTGGTGACTGACCGGTTGGCAAAGCTTGCCATGCCAGAGGTAAGGCTCGACGTGGTGCTGTTGCCGTTCTTCGACTTGTAGCTGTTCCGGCGGATGAGGCCTGCGAGGGCACTCGTCTCGGGCGGACGCATGTCGCCGCCAGTGGTGGCGCGCACGGCGTCGGGGCGTGTCTCGGACGGCGTGGCTAGCGACGACGAACGGCGACGACCTGCACCCGACGAGCTGCGCGACTCGGAACGGGTCGAGTGCAGCGACGGAGTGTGGCGCAGTGTTGGAGGGGTGACGAGTTCCGAGGTGACGCTGGAGCGCTGGCCGTACGAGCTTGGGCGGCTGCTGCCGCTGTTCGGTCTGGCCGAGGCCGTGTTCGCCGTCCGACGTGTGCCAAAGCTGGTGGTGCGCGGTGCGGGAATACGTGCTGATGATGTCAGTTTTTTTGCGTGCAAGCTTAAACTCACTTCCATCACCGCCCGTAATCTCCAAGTTCTTCATCATCATGTGTGGTTCGCGGAACCGGTCGATCCACGCCTTGTGGATGCCACGGAAGGTCGACACGTCGAGCTTGACTTCGCAAATGTCTCCGCGGTCGGTGACCTGTTCGTCGGTCGGGACCGTGAGGAACTTGTCGGTATACTTGACGATACGGTCGCGCATGGCACCATAGTAGCGCACCTGCGCGCCCACAAACGCCGCAACGGCAATCTCCAGGATGCGATTGTAGCCCTCCAAAAAGGCCGGCAGCTCTTCAAGCAGTTGTGTGTGGATCGCCACATACTCGCTCGCCTCGAGCAGGAGCGGGCGATCGACCGACTTCTTTGCGGACGCGTACGCAACGTAGCGCGCATAGTCGGCCGACTTTTTGTTGAGCTTGTCAATGATCATTTTGGGATTCTTGACAGCGTCCATCAAGGTCCCGAGCATGAGCATGACCGAACGCGAGTTTTGGTTGGTTCCACCGCACACCTCGCCCTCCATCTCCTTCCAGACCGTGGCGGCCAGCTCGGAGATTAACGCCTGGTACGCAGCGACTTTGGCTGTTTGTGGGTCCATCTTGATCTTGCCCTCGAGGGTGTACCAGTTGAGAAAGTGGATGTTGAGGTCGGCCTCGTTCTTGATGACGATCTGGCACTTTTCGCGCCACACGAGAATCTCTTTGCCCAGGCGGGTGACAAGGCTTTCACTCTCCTCGAGCCGCTGGACGAGCTCACTGAGCTGGGTCTGCGCATAGGGCGAAATCACTTGCGGCGCCGACGTCGAGTCGCCGGGGCTCGGACCGCCAGACGCCATCGGAGACCTGTCCTTTTTGAACCGACTCAGGAGCAAGCCCCGTCCACCGGCTCGTGCGTTCTTTGGCTCCTTGATGAGGCTGACAGTCGACGGCGATTTGCCGATAACGCTTGTAATGACGTCTTTGCGCCTCTTGGCTTCATCAATGTCGCCAGCCAAAGCACGTGCACCCTCCGCAGCTTGCCTGATCGCAAAGTAGTCTGGGTGCGCAGGGGTGGTGCACGACAAAAGGTCCTCGAACAGCAGGGGATACTTTGTGATGCGCTGCACGGGCTTGATGAGCATTGAATCGAGGTTCCAAGCGTGCGTGTGGGACCTGACGCGCTGCCAGCATTCGTTGAGGTGCGCGGCGTGCATTGGGTTGGCTTGAAGCTCGAGCAACCGGCTGCTCGCTGCCGACTGCCGCGGGCAATAGTACATGAACAGTGGGCCCAAGCGTGGGAGCTGAAAGTGGGGGGGTCAGTCAGGATCGGAAATGCCAGAGGCTACACCAGAATGACGAAGAAAAAAAACTCACCATGCGCGAGAAGACATGGCCAAGACGATCCGTGCCACTCTGGCCGCCCGACGCCACAAGCGTTTCCTCGTCAGTTCCGAGGGCGTCCTCAAATTCTGTCGCGAGCTCATCAGCCGCAAGGGCCAGCTCGCGGATGTTGAGGAACACGGCTTTCCTGTCTGCCTTGGAGAGCGGCAAGCCCACTGGAGGGAGCATGCGCGACGCGCCAGGACCGGGACTGCTCGACGATGACGAGGTCAATGGGAAGCGCGGCGAGGGAAGCACGGCGGCAGTCACGAGCGAGCCGCTGGCAGACGACGGGCCAAGCGAATCAAAGGACCCATTGGTGTGCAGGCTGCCGGCGGTGCTAAACGACGACTTGGGCAGCGGCGGCGGTGTACCACCGCTGTTCCACTCCATGCCGCTCAGACGACGCTCGTGCCCGCTTGTCCGCCACGTCTCACCCTGGTGCGCACTGGTCCGTCGGGGGTCATCGGCGGGGCTACCGTACGACGAGCTTCGAAGGCCTGCACGCGTCGAGTCTGTCAACATGGAGTCGCCGCCGTTCGAGGACGAGTGGTGCGATTCGGGGCGATAGTCTGGCTCGTCCAGGGGTAGGTATGCCTCGCATATCAACGCCAGGTCGGTCGCGTGCGCCCGTTCTGTGGCTGCAATCTCACGCATGAGATGCGCACGGCGGGACAACGATGTGCTGGCACTGGGCGAGATCGGAGAGGACCCGCCCACCATCATGCTCTGCGGTCGTCGTCCTGGCGTAGGAAGGCTGCTGAGGCTGGCAACACTGTTCATGCCGGGACGAGCCCGCGCCATGCCTGGTGATGGATGCGATTCCGTAGCGCCCCTCGCGCGGCTTGTAGCTGTACTCGACAAGGTCGGCATGGAGGGCGAACGGGACTGAAAGTTGCTGCCGACACCGGGACGGACAGGTGTGGTGGGTGTCTTTGGAGTGCGCAATTCGGCCATTGGGGGCACAGCAGGCAGTGCCTTTTGATCATTCTAACTCATCAGCGCCTGGGTTGGAGAAAGTGTGTGATGTGTGCGTACCTCTGATGGCCCTGGCGCCCACGGTTCCGGCTCTGTTGTGCGTTTGAGAGTCTGGAACGTGCCGTCCAAGGGGGTCATTGGAGACATGTCTTGCGGGCTCTCTGCTGGAATGGCGCCGACAACCCAGCTGTTGGCCGATTCTGGCGGCGCAGAGGGAGGCCCGGACTCGATGTACTGGCTGTTCCGCTTCATGTTGGTCTCGACCGGCGCAGACCACGGGGTCATGAGCGCAGGCGTGTACACCATGGGGGACGGGTCGACCTTGTTAATGGTATCCAAGGGAGGGGTGCTGCCGTTGAGGTTCACATTGGGCGTCCTGGGTGTAGCTTGTCCGCTGCGCGACTGTGCCGGCGTCGACGAGTTGGACCCGGCGCTCTCTGGCGATGCGAGAGAAATGACAACGCTGCGTCGTGTAGCTGGTGTCGAGAGCGTCCCAGACGACAGCTGTCGGAGTGGGCTCTTGGCGGGCAAGGGGGGAGGGACGTGTGGTACGAGAGACAGTCGCGACGATGGTGGTGGGGGAGGTGGGGAAATGGTCAAACCAGGCGATTTGCGGTCTGGACGCGGTGAAGTCAATCTACCGTTCCCTGACGCGCGACGAGGCGCCGTCGAGGTCCAGTGGTTGTCTGGCGTCGCGCCCGATGAGGATGAGGCTCCTGGACCTGTACCCTGGACCGCGTCTGGGAGTATGGGAAGTGGAGGGCTAAGAGTTGCAGCAGTCTTGTCTGTTGGGCTCTTCGAGGGAGTGCGGTGCATGGGGCTCGGTATCCGCGAGGTAGGCCCAGACCTGCGGTCAGACGACGCAGTGGTGGGACTGGCGATCACTGTCTCAAGGGAAGGGGAGGTCATTGTTCCAGCGCTGCCAGTCGGCGAACGCACAACTACGGGCGACGGGCCTCGTGTCCTTCGCGGGAGCTTACTCCTAACGTTGACCGAGCTACCTGAAGGGGAGAGGACTTCAGGTGATGTGCTAAGCGTGAGCCGTCGTTGTGCCGCTGTAGCTGCGGCTGCATGGACGAGCGACGCCGTCGGCGGACTGATGCTCTTGGTGGGGGACGGTGTGCGGGACGGTGTGTGGCTTGCCGAACGTGAAGCAGAAGAGCGAGTTTCGCTGCGGTGGATAGCGAAGCCGTTAACACGAGAAGAGCTGTCAGAAGCTCGACCATCGTCAAAGCTGAGCAATGACGACGTCCGCGATGATGTTGCCGACGCCAGTGATGAGGACCGTTCACGCGTTTGCTCGGGGGCGAGCACTTGGGGACTGACGGATCTTCGTCTGGCGGCGGCGAGGGTTGGGGAGGGAGGCTGTTGTTGTGGGGGTTGGATTGTGCGGATGGTCGCTGTCGAGGGGTGGGGTGGGGTGGACTGGAAGATGTTGATGGCAGGCGTCGTAGTCGTCGTGGTCTGTGTGCGCGGGGGAGCCGAGTTGGGTTGTTCGGGTGGGACTGGTGCACGGGGCGTGGGCAGTGGTGATCTGCCTGCAGTGTGCGTGTGCACGGCCTGCCTGACGAGGCCCGGCGCTGACCGTTGTCTGCGGGGCACTGGAGGAATTCCAGACGACGCATGGCTGCTTGATGATGCCGCCGAAGACGAGGGAGAAGTGGACACGACCCGTGGAATGAATGAGCCTTCACCCAACAGTCTCGAGCGGCTACCGTTAGACGAGGTCGTTCGGGGCGGCGGCGTTGTTGTTGCTGCTGCCATGGACGACGACCGCACGCCTGGCAAGCCGATGGTCCGAGTGGGAGGACTGATGGCATTCTTGCGTATCAAGCCGCCTGGGCCCGACCCAGAGACCGTGCCAGCAGACACAGACTCCGGCATGGGAGGGCGTACGAAAGGTATGCGGGACGCAGACGGTGTCGACTTTGATCGCGAGCGCGGTGTCCCATTCGCGACTGGGGGTTTGGCCTGTGGCGTGGTGGTGGTTGTGACTGGTGGTGCTGCTGCGGTCTGTGGTGGTGGTGGTGGTGGAGGAGGAGGAGTGTCTGTGGGATGGGAGGAAGAAGGCTGCTGAAGATGGTGAGATGAAGGCGTGTGGTGCACGGGCTTTGGGATACGGGTGACCGAAGGCGGCAGCACAGGTGACGTCGGAGGCGTGGCAAAGGCGACTTCGATGGACGACGACGAGCTCCGGCGCGAGAGTGTAGGCGGCGCGCCGGGCTGAAGGGCCATGGTTGCGGGGGGGACCGATGGCCTTGTTGTTGTTGTTTGCTGTTGGGACAGAAACGATGAGAGGACGACGATGTGGATGGACGGGGAATATCTCTCGCTCTCAGCGCGCACTAGTGTTTGTTTAGAGAGAGTGATTTCTGTGTACAGTGTGTGTCTTCCCTATCGTGGGCCAGGGAGGCAAGGAAGGAAGGGGAGGGGCAGCCTCGGCGCTGCTTGGGCGTGCGCCAGGCGCCTGGCCTGCGAGGACGAGCGACAGGCCTGTGCGCGGGTGGTGGCGGCGGCGGCGGTGGTGGCGGCGAGGGGTAGGGAGCTGTGCAGGAGAGCAACAGTGATGGGTTTAGGGGGCGAAAGGGAGGGTGGTGATCGTGGCGAGCAATGTGCACAACATCGGCGGGGGTGGGTGTGGGGGTTGTGTGGTGAGAAGGAAGGGGGGGGAATGGGGATATGGGGGACTGGGAGTCAAGTGCGAGGACTGGCCACCGAACAGCGAGCGAGCGATGGGAGGATTGAGTAATGCGTTCTCGTTAACCTTTTGCAACCTTTTTCCTTTGCCACAGCATGGACAACTGTGTTTGCCCCGTTACCGAGCCCCCGCACCCACACACCCTTCTCTCCCCTGCGCGCACCTGTATACGAGTCTCGGCCCCCTCTCACATCTCTCTCGTCTCTCTCGTCTTGTTCGCCGCTCTAGCTCTGGCCGCTGGCTCTCCCGTCAACAGGGCTCTCTGCAGGAGGGGTGTTTCCACCGTTACGTAAACCAAGGCACACACACCCAGTCTATTGCCTCTTTGGGCACATTTGGAAACATCCATCACACACACACACACCACCAGTCAGTCGCAGCCGCCGGGCACACACACCCCGCTTCCATCCTCTGATCTCCCACTCCAACTTTTTTGTCACAACAACAACAACAACAACAACAACACCACCATGGTCGACGAGGCAAAGCCCACATCGGCACAGCTCGCAGGATCCTCGGGCACATCAAGGCCAGCACCCTCCGCCCGTCCAGCCGGCCGCCATCGCAAAGCAGCTGTGCGTACTGCGTCCTCTGCCCCCTTCCCTCCGTACCAACCTTCCTTCCCCTGTCCTCGCTCTCCTTGTGCTTGGAGACGGACACACATGCAATCTCACCCCACACGTGTCCCATCCCAACAACCAACCACCCACACACCCAACCCAGCATCTGCGCAAGCGCTGACCCAGATTTCAGGCCCAGGATGAAGATGCGACAAAGCTCCAGTTCGGCGGTACGTACACCCACCACAGTCCAGAGCCTCCACCCAGCTCGGGTGTTGGCCCTTCCCCCCGGGCCCCTTCTCCCAAAGGATCCAAGGACTCGCTGTACCGCAGTGCTGGTATCTCAGTGCTGACGCAGTTGCAGAATTCGCAGACGGCGAAGCGCTCACCATTGGCGAGGTGCAGACCATCCTCCAGATCTCGAGGCAGGCGCCCAACGTCCCTCCTCCTCCCGACAACAAGTGAGTGTCCACTCCCCCGCAAGCGAAACAACAAGGCTGGTCACCAGAACCGGTCGACGCAAGACTGGTTCAGCGCTGTGTCCTAGCTGCACCCAAAGCTCTGCGACGTTGGCCCTTGCAGAGCTTGCCGCTGACGCTTCCGCGCGCAGGGTGTACAAGCAGACCGTCGAGTACGTCAACGAGTTCACCAACGCCGACGCCAACGTCGCCGAGAACATGCGCGCGTGAGTTGCAACCTCGTCCTTTCCCGCTGGGCCCGGCGCCCAAGCTGACCCGCCGACCACAGTGCCCTCGTCGCGCGCCCCGGTTTCCTGAACATGTTCGAGATTGCGCAGATCATGCACCTTCGTCCCGAGAAGGTTGATGTGGCCGTCGCACTCATTCCTAGGTGAGTCTGGTGAACAGAGAGAGGCAAGGAGGCATCGAGCGGTGCCACTGGAACCTGCGGCCACGAGGTTGCATCCACAGCTGGGATTTCTGGAAGTCATTCAGCTGTTCGGCCTTGCTCATCCTCTCCATCCACCACATCGACGCTTTGCTAATGGCAGTTTGGAACGCTACGCCCAAGGGGACGAGAACGAGGAGATCCTCCAGCAGCTCCTCGAGGACGTCCGCGGCATCGCGCGCTACGGTGGCGGCGTGTAGGCGGGACGACTGGGTAGTGGGCGTTTGGGCGCAAGCAGGGGGTGCCTTGGAGGTGGAGCTCGCGTTGGGAGAGGCTGCAGGGCAGTAGGCAGCGTACAGCGAAAAAATAGAAGCAAGTAGAGACAACAGAGACACTGAGAGACCGGGAGAGAGGAGCACAGTAGTCATTTCCAAAAAAATGTACAAACAATCACATCTAGATTCCACAGCACATGGCCCCCTGCCACACCTCCCTGCACACTCTCGTACTCTAGAATCTAGGCAGCTCAATGACCCCACCTTCCTCGACCCACTGTGCCAGCTCGGGCGTGACTTCGATCTGGCAGCCCAGGCGGCTCGCCTCGTCGTTGTAGTCGACGGCAAACTCGAGCATGTCGAGCTCGTCGTCTGTCGGGTCCGCGACGGGCGCGGGTACAGGCGAGGGGTTGAGGTAGACGTGGCAAGTTGCGCATTCTGTCGAGAATGGTCAGTACGCTTTTTTGACTCGTGAACTGATCCATATTTCCTCACCGAGGTTGCCGCCACACACGCCCTCGATGGACGGCAGGCCGTGTTCCTGCCCGACATCGAGGAGGGTGTCGCCCAGGCGGGCGTGCACGACGCGCTTCTCACCCGAGTGCAGCTTGAACGTGAGCGGCACCGTCTTGCCCGTGTGAGTGTGCGGCTTCTCAGACGCCGCAGCCGTGTCGGGCGGCGCGGCGGCCGCGGCGATGCCGGCCTCGATCTTGGCCCACACGTCCGCCTGCTGCTCCTCGTCCATGCCGAACCGGCCGCGCCAGTGCTGCCACATGCGCGAGCTCGGCGGGCGGTTGCCGATGACGTGGGCCGCGAGGTCGGGCGCGTCGCTCGCGGCCAGGTTCGAGAGCATGTCCAGCGCCGGCACGACAATGGCGTTGGCGGCCCACCTGGCGAGTGTCAGCTTGTGTGCTCCACGATACCAGCTCACTTGTGCCCGCCCACGTGTGCCACCTCCCTCACGGGGATGTTGACGCCGCTGCGCGCAAACTCGGCCCGCAAGGCCGCGACCAGCGGCCCCCCGCGCTCGCTGCACCGGCAGTCGCGCGCGCCGTGCGTGCACACCAGCACCTCGGGCCCGCTGCGCGCGACAGGCAGCGCGTTCGGCGCCGCGCGGCTCGTGTCCAGCGCCCGGTAATCCACGCCCTTGAGGAACAGCGGGTCGGTGAGCGTCTCGCGCGACAGTGCCGGGAACGTGAACCGCCGCCCGTCGGGAAACACCAAGGTCGCAGGGTACACCTCTTCCTCGCCCAGCTGCGGGAACGGCGCAGTGCCCACGCCGTCGTACACGGCCAGCACGGCCAGGCCGCGTTTCTTCAGCTCGGCGCTGGCGTCGGCGAGCAGCGGCGACATGGGTTCCAGGTGGCTCGGCCACGACGCCGGCGGGATGGGCAGCGACACGAGCAGCACGCCGCGCCGCGCGGCGATGTGCCGCGGCAGCGGCTCGTAGCTGATCGCACCGCCAGCACTGGCGTCGACGGAAGATGAGGGTTCCGCAGCCGGTGTCGGTGTGGTAGGGAGGGCGATGGGCCTGCGTCCGGCGCGTGGCGCAGCGGTGGTTGAAGAGGAAGACGGAGTGGGGGTCGGCGAAGGGGAGGGAGTCGAGTAGGTACGTGTGCTGCGGGCGACAGCAGATACAGCCGCGCGCACGCTAGATGGCGCGAGCAGCGTGCTGGTTCCCGTAACGAGGGTGCGCGCGAGCATGGTCATGGGCGCGGTGCCGGTAACAAGAGGAGGGACCACGGCCGCGCGATAAAGTAGAGTGTGAGCGCAAGAGATCGGAGAGGATTGGACCGAAAGTTCAAACGGCAACATCCGCGTCAATGCCAGTGCGGGGCCCAACGTCCACAGACGTCAGCCATACTGCTGTCGAGGATTACTCCGTCATATCTTTATTTCTATTTTACTGTAGGATGTCTCTTGCCGTCATATTTTTGTCGGTGCTCAGTGAGTGACGACATGCGACTCTGTGGGACCCCTACTTGTATGTGGCCGGGACATTGAGGGGAAAAAAAAACACACTACAACCGGAGTTGGTGGCATCGGAGCTTCGTATTGTGTTTCTCACAACAAAACATACTACGACCGGAGTTGGTGGCATCGGCCGTACGGTTCGTGTTTCTCAGCCATTGAAAAAAACGCACTAGGTTTGGAGTTGTTAACTTTGGGGCTACGCATTGTGTTTCATGCCAAAACACACGACAGGCCAAAGGCCACGGGCCGCAGGCTTGTTGGGCTTCGCGTCACTGCGAGGTCTATTCTTCTGCCTCAATGGATCAATGGTGAGCTCCCGGGTCCCCCACGACAACCTCTGTACAGAAGGATAGAAGCGCTTGAGGAGTTTGTCGCAAGGGCTCAGAACAACGATTTGCTCTCGCCGTTCCTCCCACACTGTGCGACGGTGTTCCCTCGCCAACAGACCGGTATTTGCCTTTGCCTCATCGTCGTGTTAGTTCGTCCCGTTGTTCCGATTTATAACTGACTCTGTATGGGCTCCGTTGCAGTGTCGTTGACTCCTTGGTTCCACTACGTCCTGCTTCCACTAGCGCAACGCTGGCTCATTGCGTCGCCAGGAAACGAGAGCCCCCCAGTTAGCTGAACAAGACTAGAAAAGGCTGTTGGCAGGGAGAGACGTGCTATTGCTAGGAACTATGGGCAGTTGCCGCGTCCGTCACAGTCTTCAGCCGGGGAGCGAGCGACGGAAATCAATCTTGAGTAGCAGGTACCGTTGTCAGAGGATCAGAGTGGAGACAGCGATTCCCGTGTACCCGTGTGCTTGTGAGCTTGTTCCATGGCGAGAATGTAAAACTGGGAACTACCTTTGTCGGCATGTTACAATTCCGACCAAACAACCTCCCCCTCCCTCCCTCATCCCGGTCGTCCCTAGCCCCATCCTGAAACCGGTCGCACACACGATCACACGACCGCAAGTTCCTCGTAGTCGCGGCTGGGCGGGATCGACGAGGCATGGAAACAACACAGTGGGGTATGGTGGGAACCGGCACCTCGGCATCGTGAATTGCAACGTCATCTGCCATCGGCCATCTGCGCATCTGCCGTCTGGAAAACAGGCGCTGGCGAGACTGGTGAGAGATTCGTGTTTGCTGGGAACGGGACGAGGCTTGGCAAACGGTCGGGCAGAACGATGACGGACGACAAACGGCAAGAACCGCCTGCAACAGGACTCGTCGTGGGAGTTGGTCCCTGCTTGTTTGGCGCCGTACCAACCGTACTCGACACTGGCGGCCACGAACAGTGTGCGCTCACCTCCCCCCGGGCCCCTCGAGCATTCGTCTGATGACTACGGACATCTCTTGTGCATAGGACGCGCACCGAACGGTGAATCCGCGGATAAAAGAAACAATGCATCGACGGTAAAAGCAGTCGGGTCGGAGATCGGCGAGTTGCTTCGGAACGCGCGCGCAGACGATGTTCCCCGCAAACGTTTTGCCGCATACGTCGAGATATGACATCAATCGCAACACACGCTGGCTGCAGCAAGCTACACCCAGGGGCCTGTTTCGCACAGCAACTCGGGGCAACGCTTCCGCACGTGACGTATCGTATCGCCCGCACTGCCGCCGGTGCCAGACACTGTGCCGTGCCAAGCTGTCGCTGTCGCACGCCTGCTGGAGAGGGCTCACAGCTCGTGGGATGGGAATAACGGTGGCTGCGGGTCGGACGACGGCCTCCGAGTCACCCCCGACTGTGAGGCACTGCCCAGCGCCAAGAGGGGTTGGGCACCACCGCTGTTGCTGGACAGGGCCACTCCGGATTCCGGACCCCGCAAGTATGAGATCATGAGTGAGACACCCATTTTTTTTTGGCTGTGCGCGACGCAACTCGCTTCCGCTGGGTGCCACACGCCAGCAGAGCATATATAGGCACTGGCAGGAGCTCGGTTGCGGCCAGGCCGAGTCTTGGCCTTGTGATTTTAAGGGGGGTGATTTCGGGTGGGCCGAGCTGGGTCGCTTGCGAGCAAAGGTCCTGGCCGCCGTTCCGTGGTGGGTCGGAGGGTTGTGGCAGATTTAAACGTCGTGCAGAGGTGACGTACGAGTGGAAGCACCGTGGTACTAAAGAACTGATTTTTGACCAGGCAAGTGGCCATCTCTCAAGCGTCTTGTTTTCTTCATCGTTCGTCGCAGGCCGCCCCCAAGTCTCTCGCCAAGTGTCACTGGGAGGAATGGACAACCAATCCGCAATGGCTCCACTCGAAGGGCCGCCCAGGTGTTCGGTCGCTGGACCCAGTCGAGGTGCTGCCGATGATCGTTGCCGAGAGGTAGTCGACTACAATTTGCACATCCAAAGAAGAATGTGAGGTCCACGGTGCTGGAAGATGAGTGGGTCTGTGACGGTACCCACCCCAAGGTCCGACTCAAGGGTCGGTACAATCACTGGCTCACTCATCTCCCAAAAGCGGAGGAGGAGACACAAACAAAACAAAACAAAATACGCTGCCAAGGAAGACTCGCTTGACAAGGTGAGTGTCCGTTCGTGTACACCATCGTGATGAACAGGAATGGTCTCAGGTCTCATACCGCAGCAGATTTCGTTACATTGGACCTGCCACGGTATCCTGCAGCCACGTTGGGTTTCCTATAGCTCTGTACCGTCTGGGAAGGTTACGGGGTTTGGGGCTCCTTGACGATGGGGAGTGGTTGGTAGGGAACAACTTCAGCCACGACACAGGCAAACCCGAAGCCCCTGCTCAATCAAATGATTGTCCCCCGCCAGCGACGGGACCCCATACGCTGACCGAAGTGATAGTGCCGGCGATCGGGTCCTACGTTCCCCCACCTGTGACGGTCCTCTGCAGCGTGCACCAGCCCGTCAGGCTGTTAAACACCTGGGCCCGGTCCTTTGCCGTATCTGGTGTTGGTGGCTTTTTGTTTTATTTGTCGGCGCCCCGCTGTGTTTGAGCTCAACCCAAGGGATGGTGGCGTATATGTCAAGTGACATCCCAATCTCCTCAACACGTCCCGATGCCTGGACCTATCGCGTGTCCCGTACGGAGTGCGTGCGTTGGCGGGTTCACACGTCGGACAGACCGGTCGGATATCCGTTGTCTACATACTGGGAACGTGGAGGTCTTACAGGACTCGTCACACCTTGCCCGTCGCAGTCAACCACTGTTCACCCGCACAGCGTGGGAGTACCCGACTTGCGCAGTTGTGAGTCTGGTGGGACAGCCACAGACACTGTAGCTTCTGGAACAATATCCCTCTCTGCCCTCATGATGGCCCACTCCCTCCCCAACCGCATGGCCCATGCCCCGCCACTTGGTCTCTAAATCCTGGGGGCGGGTTGCTGCCACAAGCGGACACCTAGGTCGGTGAACTGGGTGTTGTTGGCCTGGCGACCATGCCATCGCTAATGACTCGAGTAAAGGGCATCTACCGTCTGTCTGCCACCGAAAACAACCCATTGACGGGCGTCGGAATACCGAAAACATGGGTGGCCCAAAACACCACTCAGATTCGCCATCCCACCCACATCGGCGAAAAAACACCCCGCCACCCATCGTCCATCACCAGGGACCCTCCGACCTCCGACCTTCCAACCACCGTTTCTCCCTTTCCACCCGACCATTCTGCATCATGCATGTCATCAATCGGAAGCCACGGAGCTGCTCTACAAGCACAACACCATGGCGGCAATGTGGCGGAGTGGTTAACGCGATTGACTCGAAATCAATTTCCTTCGGGAGCACATGTTCGAATCATGTCATTGTCGGAGCTTGTACAGCTCGAGAGACGTCGAGAGATGTCTTCTCTTTTGCTCTCGGGGTCGTGTGGATGATGCGGTGCGTGGCCGTGGAGGGGGTGGGGGATGTAGAGGGAGGGAAGGACGATACTGGACTGAATGTGGCCACCGGCAGATCGGTGACTCCCGAAGTGCCACTCTTCGGCCCTCGTCTTCATCTACATCTTCCCTGCCCAAAACAGGAAGCCCCAGAGGCCAAAAGAGAAGGCCTAGAGCGGCTTCTACACCGTAAGGGAGTCGAACCCCTGCCGCGTCGAGCTTGCACATGGCAACGACGCATGATACCGTTTCACCAACGGTGTGGACATGTTGATGTCGATGGTGTTTGCGGCGCGGTCCCTAGGCCTGTTTCCAGCTCGTTTTCCTGTGATCTGAGAGGATATGCAGAAAGAGAAGGGTCAGAAACGTTCCCTGCCCTGATTTCCATTGGTAAGAGGGAAGAAACGGAGGAAAGGTGGCCGGATGACGGCCGTCGGAAATTACTGATGCGAATCCGCCAGCCCTTCCGTTTCTTCCTTCCTCACGGTCATCCAACTCTCCTTACCACCACATCTCCTCCAGACTCCTCCCGGTTCCTCCAAACCCCTCCCAGGCCTCTCCAGTGTACATTCACATGCGCTGGATGCCCTGCATGGCGGCTCTCGTGGTGTAGTGGCTATCATACTTTCTTAGGGTCCAGATCATGGTCTCTAATCCTCCTTCGGATTCGTCTCCGCATCTCTAGCTATGGAAGTGGTCCTGGGTTCAAATCCCGGCGAGGGCCTTCGCTTTTGGCCTCTGCAGCCTGTTTCTATGCTTTTGTGACGCTGAAGAAGGCTGAGAAAGGATGGCGGAAGGAAGGGGGGCATGGAGAGTGTGACGGGGGATGAAAATGCCACTTTGGTCGGAAAGATGTGGCGACTGGTCGACACAGGTTACACCGTGCCTCCCGTTCCCGCTGCCTTACTGGCATCATGTCCTCCACACAGCGCACCCTCTTCCCATATCTCCTCTCTCTCACATCTCACTACTGACCGACCCGCTGTCCTCAGCATGGCCGCTGAAACAGACGGCCTCTGAAGGGTCACACTGTACCAGCTTTGTGGCGGCGCCTCGGTCGTGGCGCAGCCGCACGTCGCCTTGCAGACGAAACACTAGCCCGGGCAGACACATCACAGAACCGGTTGATATGGGCACTGTAATCAGTGGACAAGACGCCAGAACAGCTGGATGCCGAGGTTCAGAGGGAGCATGAGGCGTGTGAGCGGTAAATAATGGACCCAAACGCCTACCCCAAAACCGGCCGCTGACACCGGCGGTCGTTGCTGACCTGGTCTCCTTCCCAGCCTGAAGACCACATCTGCGTCCCGACTCAACCGCAGCGGCCAGCTCGAGCTTACCGTACACCACGAACGTCCCCGAATTGCATCCAACTTATCTCTGCTGTATCGCCTCGAAGACACGATGGACCAAGGCTGTGTCTCCCCAAACATATCCATCCAGCTGACGCTCGCCCGCACCGAGAGGCAGGGCTGTGGATGCACATGGTCCACTGCTGCATGCCCCTCGGGCACTCGCACACGCTCAAGCACGGGGAGTGGCAGGCGGTCGTACGTGGGCTTCGCCGAGGCGTGTGTCGATGCAGCGATGCAGTCAAGGAGATGCGGTATGCGCCCTTTGAATGGCTACAGCAGGCCCACATCGGTGAGTGCAGAGCCATATCCATAAGCTGATGTCCCCCGCCTTCCAGTCCGCGCGCTCGACCGCCGCCACACGTCAGCGCCGGACAACCGCGCCCCGCGGTGCTGTACCATGGTCCCTGCCCAGCAGGATGAGGACAAGGCCCACCACAAAACGGACGGCGACTGGCCTGAAGCGGTGTGTGAAGCGGCGTTGCTGCGCGCAGCCGACATCCTCGGCACGGCGGCAGGCGTGGGCACATGGGCAGTGCGTCGAGTCACATAAAGGGATCGGCGGATGTTTGGATGAGAGGCGGGTGCCGTCTGCGTGTGGACGTCGAATGGTGTGGTTGTAGGCTTGAGCATGTACCCTTGTGGACATGGTGCCGATGTGGCGGCTGGTATGTCTTGCCTTGCCTCGCCTCGTCTTTTCATATCCGCTCCGACACCTCCAGTTTCACCTCACGGCATACGGATTGTCATCTCCTTGCGAGTCAGAACAGGTCAGCTCAGTTGTCACACCACGGACGTTGTTGCCCACGCCCGAGCCTTTCGTTCTCCATCGTGCCCCTGCACACCACCGTCAGTCCCTTGGGTTTCTCGCAGCTAGAATGGTATGTGATATGCCATGCTGCTACAAAACTAGACTCTGTCCCTTGATGGAACAGCTCTCTCTCGCTCTCTCTCGCTGTCTTCCCCGTTCTATGCGCGGGCCTCGGAGGCGACGGCCTGGGCGATGGGGGTTGGCGGGGGCACCAGCTCGACGTTCTTCTGGGCCTGGACGGGTGCCGCCAGGTCGCTGCTGACGATCGATCCGAGACGCGGCGGGGTCTGGGCGTTGATAAACTCGGTCGCGACGGGCATCTTGACCTGGGCGAGCTTGAGCGCCTGCCTGGCAATCTCCTCGCGAATGTTGCCGCCTGCCACCTCGAAAATCACGCGGCCGGCCGGCACGCGGCATGCCCAGTACTCGAACGTTCCCTTGCCCTTGCCCATACGCGTCTCGTTACCCTTGACGCACACGGGGACGTCGGGGAAGACGCGGAGGAAGAGCTCGGCGCCCTTGACGGGCTTGATCTTGCGCTTGACGGCCGCCTGTGCCGAGGTGAGCTGCGCGGCCGTCAGGCGCACCGCCGTCAACAGGCGGATACCAAAGCCGCCGTGCTCCAGAGTGGTGCCCTTGATCGAGCCGCCCTAGATAGTTAGCAGAGCTACGACTGGCGCCTCGGTGGATATGTGTGAGCTCACGATAGGCAGCTGTAGAAACGTCAGCAACTATAGGTCTTCGCAAGGGACACAAGACACAGCTCGGCGGCGTGCTGCAGCATGCGGGGAGGCCGTGCAGCCCATTCTGCCTCGCCTAGCGTGTCTCGTCGTGCATGTACGCACAGTAGGCTTGCCCTTGAAGCTCTTGCGGTACTTGACTTTCCTCGGCGCGAGCTGCGAGCGGAAACGGACCTGCTGGGCGACGGGGGAAGGGGTAGGGAGAGCCGCGCGCGACGACGAGGCGATGGGGCCTGCGGGTGCGGCGCGGAAGATGTTGCCCAGTGGGCGGAGGCCGGCGAGGAGCATGGGGTGCCGGACGACGGGGTGTGAGGGGTGTGTGTTGTGGGTATATGCACAGAGCGAGTGGTAGTGGAGGTCGTCTTGCCCAACTTTCCAGAGCAGAGGCAGCGAGCAAGGAAGCGGAAAGAGAGTGTGCCTCGCTCGGCGATTGTCGGAGAAATGGCACCCCCTCCTGTCTCCGGGCTGGCGCTGGCTGGCTGGCTGGCTGGCTCGTTGGCTGGCACACACGGTGTACGCTGGCTGGGCTGCGAGGGCTCTCTCTCGGGCGGATGCGGCGCGCTCTGCGTCTACAGCTGGGACGACGGCCATTGACGACTCTTGCTACAACCTCTAAAACCACTCCTCCCCCAGCCAAAATGTCCTACAACATCGCCGGCAAGGCCATCAAGGTGAGCACCACGGGCGCGCGGCAGGGAGAGAGACAGACACACAAGAAAACAGACATGCTGACCCTTTCAGAACGAGTACATGTGAGTTTGCCGAGCTCGGACAGTTGGTCCGAAAGACGTGCCAAGTCGATGGGGGAATACGATGTGTGCACAACCTCCACGAGGGGTATCGCGAGTTGCTGGGCCCATACACGTTGGTCACGGGCACACAGACCAGCGACGGCGACACCCCACTGTGCATTGGACAGTCGACCGCGTCCCACATCGCACATTGGCCCGTCGAAGATCCTGCAAACAGCGAAATACTAATGTTACCAGCGCTCTCGGCACCATCTTCACCACCATTGGCATTGCCCTCGCTTCGTCGGGTGGTGGTGACAAGAAGGTGGCTGCCGCCCCCGCCCCCGTTGCCAAGGACACCACCATCAACACTGGCAGCAAGGAGGAGGACGAGTTGTGCGTATTGACCCTAGCTAGGCCTTGGGCGACGGCGCTGCAAGGCGCGGCTTAGGCTTGGAACGGACGGGCAGGTGCCAGAGGGCTAGGACGAGGACGAGCGTGCCGAACCTTCAGAACCGAGCCGGGCATGGGCTGTGTTGTGAATATCATTTCGCGACAGCACGCGCCGCGGCTCGACGTTCAGTCCTCGGTACTCACTTGTTTCTGCCGTCTCGGGCCCTATCTCACCCGTCCACTCCGCGCCCAGGTCTTGCTAGCCACCACCCACAGAAAACAGCAGTCGCTGACAGTCCCCCGCAGCATCCGCGCTTTCGTCGCCGCGGCTGAGGAGAAGCCCGCCGCGCACTAAACTAAACGAACCATGTGCAACGTATGAAAGCAGCATTTGAGCATGCAAAATAGATCGAACGCGCGGGACAAAACAAAATGAGCGGGCGAGCGAGCGAGCGAGCGAGCTTTTGGTCTCTTCCTTTTTTCCATCGTCTTCTTCTTGCTGATGTTGTTGTCTCGCCTGAGTTGCTGGTAGACATGGTGCAGCCGGTCCGGTTTCTGCGTGTCTCGAGTGCGTAACCTGCCTCATTGTTTATCAGTCAGCACGCTAGCGAGGGGCATGGCATGGCCCGTCCCACAACATGGTCGGAAGAGTGCTGCATATGTGCTACGAAATGTGTGGTGTGTGTACCTCCTGTGTGTACCTCCTGATACCCCGCTCCCCGGCCTCCTTACTGCTTGGGCTGCTGCTCCTTGCCCGCGCCCGCCTCGATCTGCTCGGGGGCGACCGGCTGGCCAGGGCCGCCAAACATGCCCATGAGCGAGCCCTTCATCTCGGCCATCTGGCGCTGCTTGTCCTCCTCGATCATGCGCGCAAACTCGTCGGCGTGCTCCTTGTAGTACTTTTGCTCCTCCTCGTACTGGCGCTGCGCCTGCTGGCGCTTGACCTCGAGGTAGGTCATGGGCTGCTTGGGGCGCGACTGGGAGAACACATGTCAGCTGTTTATGGCGGGAACGCGACCACTTAGCTAATGATTCAACTCACAGCAGCACCACCGCCAAACACGCCCGAGAGGAAGCCCGAACCCGCACCCGCTGCGGCGTTGGGGTGGGCCTTCTCCCACTGCGCGACGGCCTCGGCCTTTGCCTCGGCCTCCTTCTTGGCGTACTCGCGGGGAATGTCCTTGCCAGCATAGTGCTTGAGCACGGGGCGGACATCGGCGGGGGCAAAGATACCAATGGCTGGAGTAGGTTAGGCAAAGAATATACCATCGGCACCTACACTCAAGGAAGGGGATCATCTCCACGAGACCCTTGTCGCCGCGGGAACCGTCCCATGGCTGGATGACAATGGCGTTGTCGGGCTGGAGGGCCGAGTGGTCCGAGTTGGTGTCGAGCATGACCACCTTGGAGAGGTCACGGTTGAGGTACTCGAGGTCCTTGACAACCTTGCCGTCAATGTAGCGGGTCGACTCGCGGAAGAGCTTGTAAGGGAGATAGAGGGTGAAGGGGTCAAGCTTCTCGGCGACGGGGAGGGCAGTCTGGGGAAGGCGGTCAGAAAAAAAAAGAGCCACAGGCGCAAAGCACGCAGCAACTCACGTAGACGGGCTGGCTGGTGAAGAGGACAATCTCGTAGAACTGGCTCAAGTAGCCGAGGAAGTAGTCCACACCAGGACGCTTGGCCGTACGCCAGCCGTGCTGACGGTCCCAGGTGGAGTGGACGAGGAGGTCCTCGAGGTCCACAAGGAGAGTGTACGGGCGCTGGTGAGGAGCAGGCAGGGGGTCGGGCAGGAGCTTGGTGAACGCAGGCTTGGAGAAGTAGTCGCTGAGCTCGGCAAAGCTGCGCTTGAAGCGGTCAAGAGCGCTGCCGTCCTGCTTCTCCTTCTCCTGCTCGCCAACGTACCAGATGGCACCAAGTCCACCGACCAGGAGCGTACCGTAGGCGATACGCGACATGAAACGGCGCTGGCGGTCAATAGACGACTCGTACTGGGGAGCCTTCTTGCCCTTGCCACCGGTCTTGCCCTTGGCCTTCTCCTTGGGCTCCTCAATCACGGGCTGGAGCTCCGGGTCAATGTCAAGCGAAGGGAGCTGCGACAGGTCCGGCTTGTCCGGGATCGCCTCCTCGACCTCGGCAGGCTTGGCCGACGCGTCAACGGCAGGCTCAGCGGTAGGCTCGGGGGCAGGCGGGGTAACGAGGTCCTCGGGGGCAGAGGCGGGCTTCTCAGCAGGCGAAGGTGTCGCGGGAGGAGTGGGAGTTGCTGGGGTCGCCGACGGAGCAGGGGGAGCAGCACCTTCAGGCTTTTTGATGCGAATAAACGCAGGCGCCGTGCTGGAGATGGGGCGCATAGGCGCACGCCGAGAGGTCGAGGCAAGAAGCCGCGCAGTGGACGTGCGCAGCATGGTGGTGGGTGGAGTGAATGTGAGGTGGCGAGAGATGGAGACGATGTGAGACCGACGTCAGATGGCCCAAATGTCGAGCGGCACACCAACCACCACCAAAGATTTGGTCCCGTCCGAGGCAATGTGTGCAGGAGATGTCGAGCCGCTCAAAGCAAACGGTGGGCAGCAGGGCAGTTCATAGCACCGTCAAATCAATGCAGATATCCTCGGTGCTGCTTCTAAGGACTGCCATACATGTGCATCTGTACATCTCCTTTCCCAGTGCAGTGCAGAGAGGAGAGAACCGCCTGTCAAGACTGGAGCGGCTCTTTTCGGGCAAAGACGGAGGCAAGAGGCCGATGTGGCAGACGTTTTGAAAGCGGGTCCTGTGTGCATGCTCAAGGCTCCACACGGCTCTGCTATGTATGCCCATCTGCACTCTTGTCGGTGCCGTGGCGATACATGCACCCCCGTTGTTGCAGAGGTGGAAAGACGGCGACCTCTGCAGTCGTTGTCCATTGTCTACCCGCCGCCACTCTGTCGCCGCTTTTCCGCGATCCGCCCGAACTGAAAAGTCGCTTCCGAATTTCAGGTCCATCCTGGGTCGCCGCGACTGTTGACGTTTCTTCAACCACACCCACACCCACCACTCTCCCCAAAACACGGCAACATGACCGCCGTCTCGCGCCTCCTCGTGCGTTCGCGCGCCTCGATCTCGTCCCCGGCCCTCGCCCGCACTCCTGCGCGCGTCGCCGGCGCCGTTCGTGCCGTTGCACCCCGCTCGCTCTCGACTGCCGCTGTCATGCGTCCTCGTGCCGTCGCGCAGACCGCCGCCCTCCGCCGCTGGGCAAGCTCGGCTGCCCAGGAGGTCGAGGTCGAGGCCGAGGCCGAGGCTGAGGAGCCGCAGTGGCCTGAGCGTGTGCTCCCCACTCTCACCCCGAAGGACGTCAAGCGCCTGGAGCGCCAGCGTAACATTGGAATGTGAGCTCTCCCGTTGGCTGGCGTGTTTCAGTGTATATGGCGACGTGACTGACCACCGTCTGCAGTTCTGCCCACATTGACTCGGGCAAGACCACCCTTACCGAGCGTGTTCTCTACTACACTGGCCGTAGCAAGGACATCCACGAGGTCCGTGGCCGTGACGGTGTCGGAGCCAAGATGGACAGCATGGAGCTTGAGCGTGAGAAGGGTATCACTATCCAGTCGGCTGCTACCTTCGCCGACTGGAGCGCGCCCCCTCCCCCCACCGAGCTCAAGGAGGGCGACAACCCCGAGCGCGAGAGCTTTGCGTTCAACATCATCGACACTCCCGGTCACGTCGACTTCACCATCGAGGTCGAGCGTGCGCTCCGTGTCCTTGACGGTGCCGTCCTCGTTCTGTGCTCGGTCTCGGGTGTCCAGTCGCAGACCATCACCGTCGACCGCCAGATGCGCCGTTACAACGTCCCCCGCATCGCTTTCATCAACAAGATGGACCGCGCCGGCGCCAACCCCTTCCGTGTTGTCGAGCAGCTCCGTACCAAGCTCCGCATGCCCGCCGCTGCCGTTCAGGTGCCCATCGGTACCGAGTCGGACTTTGGCGGTGTCGTCGACATTGTCCGCATGAAGGCCATCTACAACGAGGGCGAAAAGGGCAACCAGGTCGTCGAGAAGGACGAGATCCCCGAATCTGTTCGCGAGCAGGTCGAGGAGAAGCGCGCCGAGCTCATTGAGCAGCTCTCGGACGCCGACGAGGCCCTCTGCGACAAGTTCCTCAACGAGGAGCCCATCTCGGTTCTTGACATTCAGCAGGCTCTCCGCCGTGCCACCATTGGCCTCAAGTTTGTCCCTGTCTTCATGGGTTCGGCCATCAAGAACACTGGTGTCCAGTCGATGCTTGACGGTGTCTGCCAGTACCTCCCTGCCCCTCACGAGGTCCCCAACGAGGCCCTTGACACCACCCTCCCGGCTGCGGCCCCCGCCGTCCCCGTCATCCCCGCCGCCGAGGCTCCCCTCGTCGGCCTGGCCTTCAAGCTGGAGGAGGGCCGTTTCGGCCAGCTCACCTACATGCGCGTGTACCAGGGTGAGCTCAAGAAGGGCTCGGTCATCTACAACGCCCGTACCGGCAAGAAGGTCAAGGTGCCCCGTCTCGTGCGCATGCACTCGGACGAGATGGAGGATGTCGACTCGCTCGGCTCGGGTGAGATCTGTGCCATGTTCGGCGTCGAGTGCTCGTCTGGTGACACCTTCACCGACGGTACCTCGCCCCTCTCGATGACCTCCATGTTCGTCCCCGAGCCCGTCATCTCGCTCTCGATCCGCCCCGAGGGTAACGAGACTCCCAACTTTTCGCGTGCTCTCAACCGTTTCCAGAAGGAGGACCCTACCTTCCGCGTCCACGTCGACGCCGAGTCGCAGGAGACCATCATCTCGGGCATGGGAGAGCTCCACCTCGAGATCTACGTCGAGCGCATGAAGCGCGAGTACAACGTTTCGTGCGTTACCGGCAAGCCCCGTGTCGCGTTCCGCGAGACCATCCAGCAGATGGCCACTTTCGACTACACCCACAAGAAGCAGTCGGGTGGTGCCGGTCAGTTCGGTAAGGTCAAGGGCTACATTGAGCCCCTCACCGCCGAGGAGAGCGAGAACGGTACCGACATTGAGTTTGTCAACCGTGTCATTGGTGGTAACATTCCTGCCGGCTTTATCCCGGCCATTGAGAAGGGTTTCCGCGAGATCCTCGACCGCGGTATTCTCACCGGCCACCGCATCAACGGCGTCCGCTTCGTCCTCGAGGACGGTGCCGCGCACATGGTCGACTCTTCGGAACTTTCGTTCCGTCTCGCCGCCATCGGCGCCTTCAAGGAGGCCTTTGCCAAGGCAAACCCCACCATCCTCGAGCCCATCATGGACGTCGAGGTCGTCGCCCCCATCGAGTTCCAGGGCAACGTCATTGGCGCCATCAACCAGCGCCGCGGCACCATTGTCGACACTGAGATTGCCGACGTCGAGTTCACTCTCCAGGCCCAGGTCGCCCTCAACGACATGTTCGGCTACTCGTCGCTCCTCCGTGGCCAGACACAAGGAAAGGGCGAGTTCTCCATGGTGTTTAGCAAGTACAGCCCCGTCATGGGCGGCGTGCAGCGCGAGATGACCGAGGCGTACCGCAAGAAGCAGCTCGGCAACTAGACGTCCGTGTCCCTTGCTCCCTCCCCTCTTTTAACAGTGGGCCCACCCATTGGGGCATTCATCTCGGGCTCCCACTAGATGATCTGATTTAGGCGCCTCCCCACACGCGCATGGCCCGACGGCCTTGTACCACCATAGACATGCATACTCCACTCCCATCTCTGCAATGGTGTGGCGTTGTGGTTTGATACAGCGGACAGGAGCAAAAGGTGGTGCGTCGAGGGTGGTAGCGTAACGTTCATCATCGGGGTGACATGCGAGACAGCACGTAGAATGCATGGCATGCTGACTACTAACGATAACACTTCAATTCTCATGCAACTTTATTTGTTCTAGTTCGTTCTTGTGGCGGAGAGAGACACTTTGAGGGTGTCATTTTGCGTTCCATGGGTCGCTTCGCCTCGGTTCAGTCGTACTGCCCGTCAAAGCCCTTGCGCTGCATCGTGAACATGTCAGCGTAGCGTTCGCCCTGGGCCATGAGCTCGTCGTGGGTTCCATATTCGATAATGGTCTGTGGGCCACGTTAGCTCGGCGGATCACCCCCCAGCTCAGCCCCCAACCTCCCAACCCCCCCTACTCACCCCGTTGGCCATGACGGCCACCTTGTCGGCGCGGCGCACGCTGCTGAGCCGGTGGGAGATGAACACCGTCGTGGCGGTCGGCGGCTTGCCGTTCTTCGTGGCGCTGATCGAGTGGATGCGGTTGAACAGGCGCACCTCGGCCTCGGGGTCGAGTGCGGCCGAGGGCTCGTCAAAGACGATCAGGTCGGCGCGCTCGGCGCGCATGAACGCACGCGCGAGCGCGACGCGCTGCCACTGGCCGCCGGAGAGGCCGACTGTAGGGATCTTGGGGCGCTTGCCACTCTTCTTGGGCTTCTGTGTGGTCTCGGTGGCGGTGTGGGCAGCAGCGGCCGCCTCGGAGTCCTTGCCGTTCTGTTGGTCCTTGGACGCGACTTGCTCCTGGGAGTCTGCAGCACCGTTGACTGGAACTGGAGTCGCCGTCTCGCCGTTGATAGCAGCCGATTTGGTGGTGCAGTCGACGTCTGAGTCGCTGGCAGAGTCGCTGTCAGAGTCCCAATCGGACCCGCTGTTGGTGTCGACGTCGTCAGACTCAACGGTGGAAGCGGTCTCGGTGGTAGGGGTACAGCTGTCCGACTCGCTCATCGTGGATAGCGCACCCACCTGGTCGTTGGGTGGCGCGGCTGCTTGATCGACAGTGTCGCCGACCAGGTGCGAGACGGCGCCGTTGACCTCGTGCGAGTGGTCGTCGCCATTGGTGTGTTGGGCCGGGGTGGTGTCTTCACAGGTCTCGGCGGTGTCGGCCGTGCGGATCACAGGGCTGACATTGTCGCTTGGCGTACTTCCTCCGTACCGCTCGGTGGTAGCAGTCTCGCCGCCCCCAAACGTCCGCTTGACATTCTTGTACGGAACGAGGATGGCGTTGGGCGGGCCCGCACGCTGCACGCCCTTTGCACCCGCGCGCCCAATCGCCTTCTTGAGAGCAGCCTGGTCGCCCATGAGGGTGACCTCGCCCACACCGACATTCTCGGCGAGAGGAAGCTCGTACTTGGAGAAATCTTGAAAGATGCAGCTCATGCGGGCGTGCAGCGACTTGGAATTGTACTGTTCGGCAGGACGGCCGTTGTACAGGAGCATCCCCTCCTGGTCGAGGTTGAGGAGACCGAGGATGGCCTTGGCGAGTGTGGTCTTTCCGCCCCCGTTGATGCCGACGATGGCCAGCTTTTCGCCGGGTGCGATGGTAAGATTGATGTTGCGCAGAGCCGGCTGAGCGGCGCCAGGGTACGTGTAGGAGAGGTTGCGCATCTCGACGGCCATCCCGCCGGGAACGCGTACGGCCTCGTAATCATCACCAGTGTCGGAAGTGGTGCGGTCAACGGCGGCGTAGTATGCAGCGAGCCAGAATGGGGCCTGGATACACTTGCTGAGCTCGTTGTTGGTGTACTGCGTCGAAAACACGACATGCTGTATAGACCTGCGACAGGTCTCCATCTCAGTGACGGAGATGGGAAAGCGGAGACTCCCAGAAGCAATAAAGACCTGTGCGGTGTCAGCGAACGACAACTGGGCCTCAAGACTCACGTAGAAGGACGACTCCAGAGTCTGTTTAATCAACGGGAGGGCAACGAGAAGGGGGTGGTCCACATGCTGCTTCTTGAACTTCTCCTTCAAGGACAGTGTTCTCCATTGCGAGAGGATCCAGTCTTTGAGTCCAAAGAGGATGACCTCCTGCTTCTTATCACCATACGCAAACGCCTCCAGTCTCGACTTGCTCATGCGAGGTCGACGTTCGGCTCGTTCCTGCTTGGCCTCCTGGCGGCCGTCCTCGGTGGCCCAAATGTAGTACTCGGCGCAGCTAGCGACAGACGGGAAGACGCCAAACGTGACGAGCGCGGCGATAGTCAGCCAATGCTTGAGCGCCGACTCTGTAGTGGCCGACTTGCGCATCATTTTGCCTCGCTTTGCCATGAGACGGCGGAAGACGCGAACAACAAGGCCAAACTGGCCCACGACCCTTATAGAGCGACTGACAGTCGATTCGAAGATGCCCATAATGTCGGCCGGGGACATACGGAGCTCCTTGCCGTTGACCTGGGCCGCATACCCTCCAGTGAGGATGGCAGCCTCGTCAAACATGGACATGGTGAATGGGTCGGTGGCATCGGAGATGGAGGATGACAGTTGCGTGTCGAGAAAAGCGTACCGCACTGCGACATTCATTTCATGCTGACGGTCAGTTCGGCTCTCTGGAATGTGGTGGTTGTGGTGGCTGCTCACATGGATTTGGCGCTTGTTCTTATGGAATATCCTCCTGCCCACCCCATCCAGGTTGTTGATGACAATGTCTTGGAGGGCGGCAATGGCAACTTGACTCCACAGGACAGAGCCAGGGTCACTGAGTGTCTTTGCGGTAATGTCCTCGAGCTTTGCGGTGGCCATGACGCTGGCTCGTCAGTAAAGGCCATTGCTCGCCACCACTTACCCTACGACTGGGATAACACCCTTCAGGACAATGTACAGCAGGTGGATGGCCCAGCGCAACTTCTGCTGGCGGTTGGTATCGGCCCACAGGCGCGGGACGACAATGCGGAGAATGTCTACTGCAATCAGGACGTTGGCCTTGTTGAGAGGGCGAGGGTAGCCGGCCTTCCGGAACTTGGGGTCGTCTTCTGGCGCAACCAAGCGTGACTGAAGCCAGAGCTGAGTGAGGAGGGGAAGGGCCGCATACTTGGGTGGCAAGGTAGTCTTGCTGAAAGGTTTGCGTTCCTTCATCTGTTGTCAGAGATGAAGTGTGGTGGCAAAGGCAAGAGGCAGTCAAGGACGTCCTTTAGTATTGGAACGAAAAGAAGCTGCAGTGATGGCAACCGGTGAGACAGCCAGGCGGGATACTCCGCGGGTTCTCTAGTCAGAAGACCTGGTAGACGTTTCTTGGGAATGGGAAACAAAAAGTACACAAACACCAGTCGCACCTCCGTGCCACAGTCATGATGGGACAAGTGGAGGTTGTGCCAGTAGCAAGGGGTTTACGCTCTCACATCGAGGTAAAACAAAAAGGACTGGGCTTCGGCCCACAAGGCAAATTCGAAACGAAGAGGAGGAAACGAGGAGGAGGGGATCTCTTGGAGGGGGTGGCGGTCCTTTAGGCGCCGAAGCCGTAGAGGGTGCGGCCCTGGCGCTTGAGAGCGTAGACAACGTCGAGCGAGGTGACGGTCTTGCGCTTGGCGTGCTCGGTGTAGGTAACAGAGTCACGGATGACGTTCTCGAGCTGCGCCGTTAGTGATGTCCCATCACGGCGATTGTGTAAACCACAGACTGCCGCCACCCAGTCGGTCGTCCCAACTCACGAAGATCTTGAGGACACCGCGAGTCTCCTCGTAGATGAGGCCGGAGATACGCTTGACACCGCCACGGCGAGCGAGACGGCGGATAGCGGGCTTGGTGATGCCTTGAATGTTGTCACGAAGAACCTGAGAAGGCACGTCAGCACAAAGAACACCAGAACAATGTCGGAATGCAACAACTGCAGCCACGAGCCCCACAGGACAACAGACGCTGTTACACCGCTGTGGATGCCCCGCAGTCATTCCATGGTGTCAAGTGAGACCTACCTTGCGGTGACGCTTAGCGCCGCCCTTGCCAAGGCCCTTGCCACCTGGACAGTCAGCGTGTGGTCCAGTGATGTGTGATGTGATCCTCCACCGGGCCATCAATGCGACAAGAACGTACCCTTTCCACGACCGGACATTGTTGATGCTAGTCTGAGATGTTAGAATCGCGCAAAGACTTGTACAGCAACACTCACTGTTGAGGTAAGGAGGGAGAATAAGAGAGAGGGAGACTGGATGGATGAAAGAGAGACGGAGAAGCAAAGGAGATGCACCAGACGGCGGTTATCCGAGTGCACTGCCGCGCGCCATTGACGACAGGCACGGGAATCCCACCGTGGGAAAGCATTTTAACATGCAACACGAGTTGAGCCGATCTTTTCCACTTGCACTCCCTATCCCAACAACAACCATGCTTACCGCGACCCTCGGCCTCTTCAGGCCCCTCGTCGCATCGGTTGCCGGGTCATCGCGCGCCTTCTCCACCTCGCCCGTCGTCGAGGTCCTCAAGACCCACTCGGGCGCCAAGAAGCGCTGGCGTGTGACCGGCAGTGGTCTGGTGAGCTCCGCATTAGCATTGTCGTTCCAAGCTGACATGTTCCCAGTTCAAGCGCGTTAGTTTTTCATCAATGCTGTGGGCGGTGAACACAATACTAATTTACATACAGGGCCAGTGCGGCAAGCAGCACCTCAACACCTCGTTCTCGGCCTCGCGCATCAACCGCCTCGGCAAGGCTGCGTACGCCAACAAGGCCCAGGTGAGTGCTGTCCATGGCTCTTGGGACAGCTCCAGCTGACGTATCAGTCCAAGGTCCTCCGCCGCTTGTTGCCCAACGCCTAGATGTATGCATAGATTCTGACTCGGAGACGGTCTTGTTGAGCAGACTGACCGTGTGTATCAACGCCAAACGGTTGGTTAGCCATTGGCCGGGCTCTTGGGCCGTGGCCGACTTCTTCCTTTATGTGGGCCACCGCACTACAGAGCGTTGATGCTTGAGCGGGCCGGTCATCTACATCTGCAGAAGTGGAATTGAAGCCCTTGCTCGCCTTCCAGGAGCCAGGCAACTGCCACCCATGTGCCAGACCAGAGTAGTGAACTGCGGCCGGGTGTGACGCTCCGGCCTACAAGATCCTTGCGCGTGAGACTGCCCAGACGCTGTCCATACCGAGCGGGCTCGTTGAACATTGGACAGGTTGGCTGCATGGCTGAGAGGATGCGGCCTCAACGACGCTGTGCGAAGTCTGACGTGTTGGTCGGGATCTGTAATCGCTACGAAAAGAGCCCAAGTACTCGTAGTGCCATCCCCTGTTTCTCAGTAGACCCGAACCGCCAACATCGGCCTTGGTCGTCTCAAGTGACCGCATGCATCCTGGTCACCAGACCATGCAGACCAGATCCGCCGCAAGTCAGAGCAGATCCATGGCCATCGCGTAGCACGTTGCAGCGTCAGTGTCCGTGTCGGGCCGGCTTGCCGCCCAACATTGCTCACCACTCCACCACCTCTTTATCCCGCGTTCCTGCCCTACCTCCGTCGGCTGGGCAACGCGCCTTGGCAGGATTTGCCAAGTTACCAGCCTTACATGGCTTGCCCCACACGTTCGATGCCCACGCCTTGGCAGCAATGTGTCGTTTATAGGTCGTGAGATCACGCGACCAAGCACGTTCGCGAAGGTCAAGGGTACGCTGGGGCTGGTGTGGTTGTGGCTCAACGCAGATCCAGTGACCCAGCGAGTGACAGGTTTCAGTACTCGATGCATTTTTGGTATTTGAAAGCTACAAAAGAGAACCCAAGGTCCTTTATGTGTTGTGCGGCCGCTGGCGCAGGCTGAGGGGATACGCTCTAAGTGTACCGTTCCCGAACACCAGCACTGTACAGGATGGACGATGCGATAAAACTTGCTGATAAGATTGAAAATGGGGGAATTTGTGTTTGGGGTTTGTATCTTCTAAAACTTCTTTTCTTCGGCTCCATCTTTGACCAGGCTTGCCTTACACCGGGATGGTGTTCTCGATGTGGAGGGTCTTGTCGCTCACGGGGTGGGCGAGGGCTGCGGGCTGCTTGCGACGGAGGATTGCGCGCTTGCAGAACTTGTAAGCCTCGGACGCGGCGAGGTAGACAAAGATCATGCCGAAGACGATTCCCCACTCCCAGGTAAGGGAGCCGATGAGGAAGGCCTTGTCGTTGACTCGGGGAATGTAGACGACGGGGAAGGTGGCCAGGGTGAGGACGACGACACACCAGAGGAGCACCTTGTTGTCGTAGAGGTCCATCTGCCAGAGACTGCGGGACATGTGCTTGCACTCGAGGGCGTGGATCATGAGGACAATGACGAGCGTGGCAAAGCACGTGGAACGCGCCTGGAACACGGTACCACAGGACGCATTCAGGCCCTCGTTACACTTCTCGCCGAGGTCCTTGGGGAAGTAGCCGCCCCACATGACAATGACAAAGTTGACGAGGGCGAGCGAACCCATGAGGAAGCCGTAGAACACGAGGTCGACGTAAAACTCGACGGTAAAGATGCGGTGGAACGCTTCCGGGAGCTGCTCCATGGCGTCGGGGGCGGTAGGCTCAAGGCCGAGAGCGAGGGCGGGGGGTCCGGCAGCAAGAGTGTTGATCCAGAGAGCGGCGACGGGGGAGAGGGGGAACACCGACTCGCCGTTGTCGTCCTTGAACGCAAGACCGATCAGGAGGACGATGATTTCGGCCAGGTTACCGGAAAGAAGGTACAGAAGGAACTTTGCCAGGTTCTTGAACACTGAGCGACCCTTTCGGATGGCACGGATACACGAGGCAAAGTTGTCGTCGGTGAGCACAATGCGAGCGGCCTGCTTGGCGACGTCCGATCCCGTACCCATGCCGACACCGACGTCGGCGCGCTTGAGGGCGGGCGAGTCGTTGACACCGTCACCAGTCATGACGGTAGTCTGCTTGCGGCGGTGGATGGCGTCGACCATGCGGACCTTGGTCTCAGGGGCACAGCGAGCGACAACCAGCGGAAGGTCGTCGAGCGCATCGACCTGGTCATTGGTGAGAGCGTCAAACTCCTGGCCAGTCATGACGGCCGACTTGGCGTAGCTGCGCTCGAGAATACCAATCTGGAGGGCGATGGCGGTAGCGGTAGCGGGATGGTCACCAGTGAGCATGCGAGGCGTAATGCCGGCACGGTGGCAGTCGGCGACGGCGCCGGCCGACTCCTTGCGAGGCGGGTCAAAGATACCAGCGAGGCCGAGGAACGAGAAACCGCTCTCAAACTCCTCACGAGGGACGCCGCGGATAGTTGCCGCAGACTCGATAGGCTCGTACTTTCCGCAGAGGGCGAGGACACGGAGACCGTACGAGGCGAGCGCATCGACCTTCTTGATAATGTCGGCCATGGCCTCCTCAGTGAGGGGCTTGTCGCGGACCATGGTGCAGCGGTCGAGGACGCGCTCCACGGCGCCCTTCATAAGACAGAGCACCTTGCCCTTCTCGCCCGGCGAGGTCGGCCTGTACAGGTAGGCAATGGACATGCGCTTGACGGTCGAGTCGAAGGGGTGCTCGACAATCTGCTCGTACACACCGTGGACGTTGTCGTGGCGCTGGACGAAAGACGAGCGGCGTGAACCGGGCTCCCTGGGGTGCTTGTGGTGGGAGTTAGCGGATCCAGTGAGGACGGGCTTTCCGAAACCAAGCTTGTGGGCAGCAACCTGGAGAGCAATCTCGGTGGGGTCACCGTTGGCCTCCCACCCCTCATCGTCTGTGGGGCGGGTGAGCGTAGCCTGGTTACAGAGCGCGGCGCAAATGGCCATGTCGCGGAGTCCAAACTCCATGGACGAAGGCTCAACGTTGGCGATGTCTTCCGATTCGCAGGTGTCGTTGCGGTTGAGGTCGAGGGTGCCGGCGGGGACGAGGGGCTGGAACTCGGGGACAATCTCGCCACGCGGGAAGAAGGGGTCCTGGCCAGTCTCGACGGTGTACGTCTGACCTTGCTTGGTGTCGGTGGGGGCTGCCTCTGACTCGCGGGGGTCAAGAGCAGGAATCCACAGCCTGCGGACAACCATGCGGCCAACGGTGAGAGTGCCAGTCTTGTCGGAGCAGACATTGGCAACGCCGGCCAGCGCCTCGATGGCGTCCATGCGGCGAACAAGGGCATTGCGCTTGGCCAGGTCGGTGGACGCGCGGGCAAGAGTGAGGGAAACGACAGCGATAAGAGACGCAGGCAGGATGGAGACGGCGGCAGCGACGGCATAAATGGCCATGGTGTCGGGAACGTTCTTGAAGCCGGTCGAGGCGACGACAACGAGGGCAATGACGAGGGCACAGCCGAGCAGGAAGTAGGCCAGCGAGTTGAGCTTGATCTGGAGTGGGGTGGTCTCGGCAAGGCCAAGGAGAACCTTGGTCTTGTGCCAGAAGCGAGCAAAGCCAGTCTCGGTGCGCGTAGCCTTCTTGGAGAGGGCGTCCGCAATCTTGCCGATCTCAGTGTTCATGGCCGTGTAGGTGACAACAGCGTACGCGCGGCCCTTTGTGATCTGGGCGCCCGAAAACACCATTGAGACACGGTCACCGACGGGGCAGTTCTCGTCCTCGACGGACTCGGACTGCTTGGCGACGGGAAGCGATTCACCGGTAAGGAAGGCCTCGTCGGCCTCGAGGTTGGACACGCCGTCAAGCACGCGGCCGTCGGCGGGCACAATGTCACCGTTCTTGATGAGCATAATATCGCCAGGCACAACTTCGTCGACGGCGATCGTTTTCGTAACTGTCTGAGTGGCGTTGTGGCGCATAACAGTCGCTTGGGGTGCTCCCACGGATTCGAGGCTCGCAACAGTCTTCTCGGCCTCCCACTCGGTGTAGGTGCCGACTCCGACGTTGATGATAACCAGGGCGGCAATGACACCACCACTGATCCAGTCGGTTGTTCCGAACGACACCGCCATGGCGCCAACTGAAATTGTCAGCTAATTGCTACTTTTGAAACAGGCAGGTTCCAGTAGGAACGGAAGTGGGTGGAGTGTGAAAACCGCGGCTGTTTTGCCGGTACAACACTCTTTTGAGCGCAAAAAGCTCCACATAATGGGCAGACGACGCCAGGGATGGGGTTACTCACTGAGAACAAGAGTCATGGCGTTTCCAACCTGGCGCGCAAAGATCTTCAGCATGCTGGGTTTGGCGGGGGGCTTGAGGCGGTTGGGCCCATAGATGGCGAGGCGGCGAGCGGCTTCATCTTCAGAAAGACCGATCTTGGGGTCGACTTCGAGAGCAGCAGTCACCTTGCTTGCTGGTACGGTGTGGGGCTTGAAGGGCATGTGGTGCCCGACCACAGTGTCATCGGTCACCGTGCTGGCATGGCGGGGGAGTGATTCCTTGTGGTCGCTGGGTGGTGTTGTAGGGGTCTTCTCAAAACTCATGATAGGTTATGAAGAAGCCCACAATCTCACGACCGAGCAAGTCTTATATATCTGTGTGGCCAAGTCAAGTCGACCCATGTTCGTATGATGCGATCCCCCGATGCCGGCCCCCAAGACCCGAGATCTGGATTGATCCGCTCAGGTTTAGCCAAGCCGCCAAGGTCTCGGGTACTGCGTAAACTGGTTGTCAATGAGGTAAGAACGTGTGTGACGACCACCATTGTATACGTACTCCGCCAAGACATGACTGATAGCGACCCAGGTGGTGGGGCCTTGGCTGTAACTTGGCGTGGACAGGTTGCTACGGGCAGGGCTGCGGCTCTTTCGGCGTAATAGATAAAAAGCGCAAGAGGCCGCTATCCCGCCAAGACATGTCTAACTTGGCAGGCACGGGGCGAAGGCCTCCAATTGCCGCTCCACTCTCCGCCCAAAAAAAAACTCGATTATCCGCGCACCCGCCTTGTCCGGCCGCCGTGCACGTACGAACGACAGCTGCATTGCATGAACACCACATGCTTATCTCATACTTGGCGCCCGCCGCTGCCGCCGGCGGGTGTCGACACTGTCCAACGCGGGGCAGTGGGCGGTTGCAAGACCGAGGCGGCCATTGCCCCCGGATGAATACCCCGCCGGGCCAGGATCGCAAAGCCTTCGCGTAGCGCAGGAGAGTTACTGGACAGAGGAGATGAGGGCACCAGGAAGGAGAACTCGGAAGGCGGTGACGATGGTACGAGTGCCAGTGCAGATGACGATGGCGACGACATGGACATGGTAGATTGTTGTTGACCTATTGTTTGCGCGGTGACTGGTAATAAGGGTTGCTGTGAAACCTGTGCTGGAACCGGCGGAGGACCCAAGGGATGTGTCTGGTGGAACAGCAGTAGATCCGATTCGGATACCCGTGGCCGTTTGTTCTTGTTCACGATGCTGCGTACAATGTCATCACCAGAACGCGTCTGGTGGAATCGCAGCAGATCCGACTCTGATAGCCGTGGCCTCTTGTCCTTGTCCATGATGTCATGTGCGATGTCGGCCCCCGGACGAGTCTGGTGGAATCGGAGCAGATCCGACTCGGAGAGCCGTGGCCGCTTGTTCTTGTTCGCGATGCCGCGTACAATGTCGACACCAGAGCGCGTCTGGTATACACCTGCTGGCCTCTTTTCCTTGTCCGTGGTGTCAGGGGCGATGTCGACACCAGCATGCCGCTGGTGGAACAGGAGCAGATCCGACTCTGATAGCCGTGGCCGCTTGTTCTTGTCCATGAAGCCGCGCACAATGTCAACGCCAGAACGGGCTGGCGATGGCAGTTGCGCGGCAACAGCAGCAGGAACTGGCCTAGGGCCGGTCACAGGACTCGCTGTGGGGCCGCAAAAGCCACTGGGACCTACAGCATCCACGGCCGGGACAGTGGTGGTCAGACGACCTGGGGCTGATAAACGAGGAGCCTTGCGGGCCGCGGCGGCGCCATCTTTGGCTGGGCGCACGCGACTCTTGGCGCTCGAAGAGGTCGAGGAAGGGTGGTCCCTTGAAGCTTCTGGTACGCGCTGGCGAAGGCGAAGGCGAAGGCTTGGCCCGAGGTGCCCATGTGGAGGTGCTGCCGGGATGGGGAGGGCGCCGGTTGTTGCCGGGGTTTGAGACTGGCCAACATGCATAACAGGCAAGGAATGCTTTCGAGGACGTCCACGCCCGCGTTTTGGTGGAATGTGCTGTAAAGGCACTTGAGGAGTCAGAGCAGGGACAAGAGAGGATGCCGTGACGGGGCCAGCAAATGGAGCTGGTGCCACAGCGATGACTGCGTTGGGACGGCCAAGGGAGGAGCGCAAGCGGCGGGGAGAAGGGAGCTCGACGATGACCGTGGGAAGAACATGGCCGTTGCGGCGCACAACAGACGTTTGCTCTGGTTCTGATGTTGGCGCCTGTGCTGGTACGGGCCTGGCTGGTGCCGTGGGGCGCGAGCTGGAGCCTGCGTGTGGGTCAGCGATTACCACCTCCACATTTGTTTGTCACGAGCCAGCGCAAGGTGTGTGTGTTTGTGACAATGTTGACTCACCAACCCCTTTCGGGCGCTCCACAACCGCGATGGATCCTCCTGTCGTGTAGCTTGCAGGCGCAGAGAAGCAGGCTTGGGCTATCGAATGTCAGGACCTATGTAGTTCACTGTCACGTACCTTGCGTTGCTGCGGTGTGAACCGCCGACGCGGCAGCGGTGTCTCCGCTGAGACGGAGCAGGTGGAAGCATTGAAGCTGGGCTTCTGTAAGCCCAGAAGGTAGCACATGGCCGGCCTGGGTTGCCGCTGGTCTAGATCGTTTTGGAGGCATTGGGGAGACGATATGGAGACGATATGGAGACACAATGTTGACGCTCGAGCAATGTCATTCATGTCACCAAAGCGGCCAAGTGGACGCAAACATTGTCGTCACTAGTGTGCTGGGTGGGAGCACGTGAGCGGCGCAAAAACCAGTTACAGTCTGACTCCTTGGGGGATCGAACTTAACAAAAGTGGAGATCCGGCGGAATGCCGTTAACCGGACATACAATAATGGGTAATCCGGATAATTCGGATAAAAATGAGGGTAAATAAGCTCTCACCCAGAGCCTCTGAGACACCCATTACGGTGAATGTGATGACGTTGTGGACGCTATTCTGGGAAAGTGGTGCGATGCATGCCAAGTCTGGAGACGAAGAGAGAAGCAAACATTCGTGGCCCATGGCCGTGGAGCATCTTGGCGTGCGGAAGCAGGTCTGTTCAATGGTGGCCGGTGGTGAACGGATAGGGGCCTTGCCGGGATGTCTGAGAGCCTCTCTCTTTACTCTTACCCTCTTGAAATCTTGAAATTGACCTCCACGTGCAGTGACACCCCTTTGTATCGAGCCCATCGTCTGGCCTGCCTTTACCTCCTACACATACGACGCGTCCAGTGGCCAGTGGACACGGTCTAGACCATTGATCCAGGCGATACACGGCCGGCCTTTACCAAAGGTTGGAATGTGGATCCGGCGCCAGTCAAGGAACCCGATTCCAGCGGACACTAGATGCTGCATCAGGAGCTGGAGACTGTGCATCGCTCTCCTTTCTGGCGGGACATGCTGCTGACGTCTGGGCACCGGCATGACACCTCGCTCATGGCTCACCTTGCATCCAGGCTCTTGTCTGACGCGACCATAGGGGGAGTAGAACCCCGTGAAACCGCGTTGCCCGACTGACCGTATCCAACGGCCCACAGCCAGGCACTCAAAAGCACGATCCACGACCTGGCTGTCGCGAGGTAGCCGTTCGCACTAGCACACCTGCAACTCGTTGTACCTACCCACACTGCTTCCCCTTGTCTCTGTTTCCACACACGTCTTGCACGCACTCGCCTCCGCCAGTCGCGGAGCCCACGACAACCGAGCTCCACGATCTGCGATTGCACCGGCACAACCTGCTGTGATTTCAAAGAGTCCAGAACGCGTGCCTTCCCGGAACACCTCTCGCAGCGCGCGTGGTTGTTGTTTGGAGGCAATCCAGCTGTGTGTGGTGCATGCCAATCTATATAAGCCATGCAGCTATGCAGCGGCCGGACCCCTTCTCGACACCGACTCCCCTCCTTTCTCCACCGACCGACTTTCGACAACCATGCGACTGCTTATCGCCGGAGGATTGTTCGCGCTTCCTGTCACTTACGCCCTATCCGGCCTGCTATCCGACGCGTCCCAGGTCAACGGCCAGTCGTTCGACTATGTCATTGTCGGGGGTGGCCTTGGCGGTCTGGTGGTAGCCAACCGTCTGAGCGAGGACCCAGACACCACCGTCTTGTGAGTTGCACACCATACGAGTCCCGACTGACTCGCGCGCAGGGTTATTGAGGCAGGTGGCGATAGCCGAACAGATGACAGAGTGGGTGTGGCGACCAACTATGGCCAGGCATTTGGCTCCGACCTCGACTGGGGGTGGAAGACCTCGAATGGCAAGTCGTTGATCGGGTGCGTTGCAGGAGACCAGACCACACATGCGTCCAGACTAATCGCTTAGGGGCAAGACACTTGGCGGCTCGACGGCCGTCAACGGGATGACCTACACTCGGGGCGAGGCGGCGCAGTACGACGCGCTGGGGACGCTTCTGGGGACGGATACCACTGACAAGTGGTCCTGGCAGGGCATGTTCGCCGGCATGACCAAGGCTGAGCATTTCACTGCCCCGACCTCGGACCAAACGTCGCTTGGCGCCAGCTACGAGGGCCAGTACCATGGCTCATCTGGTCCCTTGCAGGTTGGATACCCGGACGGAATGTACAAGGGTCCCCAGCAGGCCGACTTTTATACTGTGGCCAGCAGAAACTTTTCCGTGGCCACCTCCACCGACGCCGATGGTGGCAAGGCGGCCAACGTCGCGTATCACCCCAACGTACGTGTGCCCGTACTGAAACCATGTGCTGACAGGCAGACTCTCAAAGGTAACACTCGCTCCTCGTCGGCGACTGCCTACTGGTCGTCCATCGAAGGGGAGCGTTCCAACATGGCTGTCCTCGTCTCGCAGAGGGCTACAAAGATTGTGACCACGGGTGCCAATGGTACGGTGACAGCCACCGGGGTCGAGTTTGGTACACAGGGTGGGGCCTCGTACTCGGTCAACGCTTCTCGCGAGGTCATTGTGTCGGCAGGTGCAATCCAGTCCCCTGTCCTTCTTCAACTCTCTGGCATTGGCGATTCGAACGTCCTGACTCCACTCGGTATTGACGTCGTCGTCGACCTCCCTGGTGTGGGCAAGAACTTGCAGGACCAAACCATGGGCATGATGAGTTGGAACGCCGCCAGCGGGTTCAATGCCGATGGTACGGGCCCCAACAATGTCATTGCGTACCCGGACCTAGCCACCCTGTTTGGTGACGACCTTGAGTCGATCAAGAGCACCATCTCCAGCAACATTGATGCCTACGCGGCTGATGCGGCTGCCAACGGTGGCATGGTGAACGCGTCAGCGGCCTCTGCCATCTTTGCTATTCAACAGGATCTCATGGTCAACTCGGGCGTCGGTGTTGCAGAGCTGTTCTTCTCCAACAGTGACACCTCAATAGGTATCAACGTTTGGAACATGTTGCCATTCTCACGCGGAAGCGTCAACATCTCCTCGACCAACCCCTACGACAATCCTTTCATTGACCCTCGATGTAAGCCCGTACAATTACTGGAATGCTGACTGTGCCAGACCTCTCGGCCGACGTTGACATGCAAGTCATGATCAAGGGGTGCCGCATGGTCCGCAAGATCTTCGGTACCGATCCTCTCCGGTCTTTGGTCAGTGACGAGACAGCCCCCGGCGGTGCAGTGCCCAGCGGCGAGGATGGCGGATCCGATGCGGAATGGCGCCAGTGGATCAGTGACAACTTTCTCTTTGTCAACCACCAGAGTGCGTAGCCTCAAATCGCTCGTAGCATGAGCTGACGAGACACAGTCGGCACCTGTGCCATGATGAAGGCCGAGTACGGTGGTGTGGTGGACGCCAGCCTTGTCGTATACGGCACAACCAACATTCGCGTCGTCGACGGGTCGGTCCTCCCCATGCAGATGAGCGCGCACCTCAGTGCCACGCTTTATGGCCTTGCGGAGAACGCTGCGGATATTATCAAGGCAGGCAGGCAGGCTGTCGAGGGCGGTACTGCAACGACCCAGTCTCCCCACACTGCCGGGGCTGCCGCAACAGACGACCCCACGACCACCATCTCTACCGACAACGAGACGCCCATTGAGACTCTTGCCGCTGCGGGAGATGACGGCGCCTCAAGCAACGCTGCCGGGCCTACCAAGTCGTGCAGCCCTCGCAGCCGGAAACGCGCACTGCGGTGGACCTGAGTGTGATCTATAGTGTATCTTGTAACGGACAGTGCCTTGCCATACGATACGATACTGTACATATACTCGTGGTTATGAATGTACTCGCCCTTGGTGTCACAGGAACGTCTGTTCTGAAAGACATTGAGGATGGTTGCTAAAGGCAACTTACTTTGGGCCTACAGCAAACCAAGTGGTACTGGCCCACGGGCCCGTCCGGTCCTTTTCGACGGGGCCCGCGAGCCTACACCCCCCCCCCCCCCCCCCCCCCATGTAGGCTGCGAGATGCGAGCTTGATAGAAGCAAATGAAGCAGGGGCTCGATATGCAGCCAGTGTGATCAGTGAGTGGCGGCACTGTATGATGAAAGGGCCGGCCATGCCGCTCAAATGGCCCGAATGTGGGACGCCTCGGCGTCTTGATGTTCTGAAATCGCCCAGAACCGCAAGCGCTGTCTCTGCCGTCGATGCCCACCCCAGACCACACGCACGCACCCTCTGAACAGTGCAAGAGGCTGGACCAGGGCAAGCGCCAAGGCACTGTGTACGGACGGGGTCGAAGCGGCCCCCGCGGGCGGGGTTGGCACGACGTGGTGGGTTGGGGGTTATATATGTGCGTGCCGGGGCGGCGACGTCAAGACGGAAAGGAAAAGATCCCTACCACCATCAACAGTCTGCAATGGGCGACTCGAAGGCGGCCCTCGTCCCGCTCCTCCCCGTCGGCGCGGGCATACCGTCCACCCAGGCCACTACCCCGCCCACCACACCTCCTGCTGGCTTTGTGACTGCCCGCGGCACCGAGTTCTGGCTCGACGGCCGGCCATACCGCTTTGCCGGGATGAACGCGTACTGGATCCCCCAGCTGGTCCATGAGTCGCAGTACGACGCGGCGTTCCAGCGTCTGAAGGATATCGGGGTGCGCGTGCTGCGTACGTGGGCGTTCTCAATGGTCGAGGGGGAGCTGCCGACCACCAATTTGACGTATTTCCAGGTGAGTAGTGGCGCGTCTGGGTGGTGCGAGGGAGCCATGACGCTGACGACCATGGGCGCGCTAGTACTGGAAAGACGGCGAGCAGTTTCTCAATGTCGGCGCCAACGGACTGGCGCGCCTCGACACGACGGTCAAGTATGCCGCCAAGTACGGCATCAAGCTGATCATGGTGTTTGTCAACAACTGGGAACACTACGGCGCAATGGACGTGTACACGTCCAACCTCGTCGGCAAGGACGCGTGCCACTCGGACTTTTACACCAATGCCAAAGTCATCGCCGCGTTCGAGGCGTACGTCCACCACATTGTCACGCGGTACAAGGACTCGGCCTCCATTTTTGCGTGGGAGCTCACCAACGAGGCGCGCGCGACGGCCACCGAGCCATTGAAACGACTCGATTTCACGCCCGACGACCTGACCAGGTGGGTCGCGGACCGCGCAGCGTTTATCAAGTGCCTCGATCCGCACCACATGGTCGCCGTGGGTGACGAAGGGTTCTTCAACTGGGACCGGCCCAAGACCAAGGCCGAGTATGTGTATTCAGGAGAGTCGGGTGGCGACTTTGACGCATACCTCAAGCTGGACAATATCGACTTTGGCACCTTCCACATGTACCCCGAGACGTGGGGCATGACACCCGAGTTGGAGTGGGGCAAGCAGTGGATCCAAGAGCACATCGACTCGATGTGGGTGTCTAATGCAGTGGAGAAGTGTTTAGATTATTGCTGACACGGTTTTTTTGCAGGAACAGGCATGGCAAGCCCGTCGTGTTTGAAGAGTTCAACATTGACGGATACGACAAGCAGACGACAATGTTTCCGGCGTGGATTGAGCTCGCCGAGGAGCAGCTGCCCGGTATCATGCCGTGGGGCCTGGCCGCCAACGACATGGACATTTCCGACACGACAGTCTGGCTGGGCAGCTATGACGAGACTAATGATTTCTGGCCCGGCAAGGACCTCGTGTGGGCCATGCTGCAGCAGATGGGCAAGAGGATTAATGAAAAGTGGCCACTCGAGTAAAACGTGTGTCCGAGAGGTTGTCAAACATAGCCATGTCAACCATTCGATGTCAGTCCAGCTGCCCCGCTGCAACTGAGGACGGGCCAAAACAGCCAGCCGCCTGTTCCGCCTTTACCCCACCGGTCAATGCGAAGCAAATGCTTTCCTTTCGAGAGAGCGGCGAGCGATCAAGTGCCTCCAACCAGTGGACACAAGAGCAGAGCAGCGACGCCCGCTTCGTGCAGACACTCACCTGGTCCACCCGCCTCTGTTTGCCGATGACGACGATAACGACCCAGTTGCGCTAGCCAGCGACAGTCGATACATTTAACATGCTATATACATGGTACTACATAAGGGCACAACTTGAATATACACAAGGGCATAAGGGAAGAGCCACTTGCTCTAGAGGGCAGGGACACATTGCTGGGAGACCTGCATCGCATATCGGATGGAGGGTTTCGTCTCGGGGCAGAACCTAAAGGAAAGGTCGGGGTCGAGGAATGGCTGGACATGTAGTGCTTGAGGGGGGAGCGCCACCGCTTGACCAGTACGTTGCGGTCGACGGGAGGGGGAGCAAGGTGTGTGACCGTCCGCGGCGATTGAACTGCAGGACTAGGCTTGCATGCGAAGCTCGAGGAGCTTGTCCATTGTAGCCGCCGAGACGGGTACGATGCGAATGGTGACGGACGGTTTGGTTTCGGGGCAACAAGCCGTGAGTGTTGGATCTTCGTGTGTGGGTGTGTCGACGGCCAAACGCCAATCGGAGATATACGCAGCCGTGCCGGCGTCCAAGGCCGACTCGAGGCTCGTATCGGCGTCATCACCTTCGCTGGAGGATCCGCAGCTGCTGTGCATGTCGTCGCCTGTCCATGACAAGTCATCATTGGTACACTCCTCCAACCTGTCAAAGACAGACTTTGCGGTGGTGGGGTAAAAGACAGACTTTGCGGTGGTGGGGTCACTGACGGACTTGGCGGTGTTGGGGTCGTCCAGGTTCGGGTGACGGGACAGCTTCCGGACCATGATCGAGACGTACTCATGCAGGCGCCCACTCGGTCCCAGGCTTGGCGCGAAGAGCGCATCCAGGCTGCTCTTGAGCGTTTTGAACGGCTCAGGCAGGCTGGCCGAGCCTTCGTCAGGAGCCCGCTGACAGGCCGACTTGCTCTTGCTGCCACCCTTGCTGGATTCGTGGCTGCGCTTGCTGCTGCTGCTCTTTCCAGACTTGCGGCTGCCCTTGTCGCCACTCTTGGGGTCCTGCGTGGGGTCCTCGGGGCCTTTGCGGTCGGCAGCATCGGGATCCTTACCGCGGCTTCCACCAGGTGGTGGACGAGGGTCTCGGGACGCACCAACGGCGTCGGCTCGTCCTTTGCGCTTCTTGCCTTCGCGTTTCCAACCGACAATGACCTCCACGTCTGCTCGAGTAATGTTGAAGGGGTTACCATTGCCGGTGATAGTGTCTCGGAATGCCTTGAAGGTCTCGGATGGGGGGGACAGGCGAGTGGGAGCGACATCCATTGGCAGCCGGGCAAGGAGCTGCACTGCCTTCACAATGGTATTATAAAAGGCAGTGGCACCCGCCCAGTCGATTGTATACATTCGGTCCTGCCTGTGGTATTTGGGTTTACCGTCCGGGTCCAGTTCACAAAGTCGATGACGAAAAGCTCGAGGGAGTGTTTCATGCGCAAGGAACTCTTGGATGGACATCTGTTGGCCGACCATGGCGCGAGCCTCATCGGAAAGCTCGATTGCCACCGTGAAGACCTTGGCGTCATGCTTGATGTGCTCGATCGTCTGCTGTTGTAGCTGCTGCTGTTCGGAGAATCCTTGGGTAGTGTCGCTGGGCGTTTTTCGGCGCACTTCAAACAGCGGCTTGTCGTCCAGAACGCAGAGGCGACTGAAGCATTCGTTGACCATGGCCAACCCCATCCATGTCCCGCATTGCTCAAAAGCGGCAAACGAGTAAAGGATGGCCTGGTACCAGCTTTGCCGGGACTTTTGGACGGCTGTTTTATCTTGCCAAAGACCAGTAAAGACCTTGAGCTCGCCAAATAGACTTGGAAGCATGTAGATGTTGTCTTGTACTTCCAATGTCAGAGACATCCAAAGGTCGGGCTTTGATGTTCCCAGCTGTGACGAGGAAGGGGGTACCTTTAAACGTTAGCCAACGTCGAGGACATGCATACAAACATCTCCCTGGTTGTCGACAGCATGTCTCTCCGTCATAAGAGCCTGGCGGTCAGGTCACATCACATACATGTGTGAAGATGGACAAAACTCACCACAGTTCCCAGGTAGGGTATTCCATCGTGGACCTTGACGTCTCTGAGGCTGCCAGGCTGCTGAGCACTGAGGTCACAGAACGGCTCGCGCGATGTCTTTACCACGCTGTTGGCCAATTCAACCAGTGACTGTTGTTGGGCTACTTCCCCGGCCCGATGCGAAAGGTCTACAAAGTAGTCCTTGATGGCCCGTCCGAAAGTACCGTTCTGCGTCGTCTGATCATTGAGCGCGGCCAATGAGGGCGCGTCTGGAGGGTCCTCTGGAACGCCAAGAAACTCGCCAACTGTTCCAGATGGGGCCATGTTTATTCACATGTACGTCAAGAATGGAATGTTGACAAGAGGAGGCGACGGACGACCACCAGGGAAGCCGTGAGGACAGGATGAGGCCAAGCGGAAGGCGAGGGGGAGTAGGAGTGTGATTACTGAGTGGATTGGAAAGATGTAGGGTATTGTGACGGCTAAGGGTACTTGAGAAGCAGCGTGCGAAGCCGGGTCGACCAAGAGGTAAAGAGAGGAGTGAAGGACACTGTGTTGTTGTTGGGCCGAGAGATACAGGGTGGGAAATGACGTTATGTAATATCTATCATCACCGGAAATACATCCGCGCGGTGCCGTTTGATCTGCAGTCACCACTACTGATCCTCTGACGGTGCTGTCCGGGACCATTCCAGATACACGCGGGCACCTGTTTAACAGCTTGCATGTTCCTGATCCCTGACGTGCCCAGGCGTGATGTACCAAGACCGAGTTCTACCCGACAACTCATTCATCGTCACACTCTTTACGAAAGCTATTTGGTGGGTGACCAAACCCAGGAAACAACCCGAGCCCATCAAAATGGCTCTGGCGTCGCGGTCGTCGTCGTCGTCGTCGTATTCTACGCCAGCGCTTAGAAGCACTTGCGGTGGACGATGCTGGGTCCGCTCTCGTCGTACTCGTTCTTCGAGATCCCTGTTGTGGGTTAGTAAAAGTGTCGCTGGGGGGAAATTCGAAAGTCTTAAGACGTACACATCTGCTGGAAGGTGGAGAGCGAGGCGAGAATGGAACCACCGATCCAGACGGAGTACTTGCGCTCGGGGGGCGAGACGATCTTGACCTTCATCGACGAGGGGGCAAGAGCGCTGGGTAACGCGTCAGCATAATGAGGTTGGCGGGAGGTTGCAGTCGTTCCAACTTACGTGATCTCCTTCTGCATACGGTCGGCAATACCCTGAGCGGTTGTTAGCGCTGCTCGAAGCAAAGTTGTGGAGGTATGCTGACTGGCCGCAGCCAGAACGGTGACAGCACGTCCAAGACGATGACTTCCAGTCCACGACACTTACGTTGTACATGGTGGTACCACCCGACATGACGACGTTGCCGTAGAGGTCCTTACGGATGTCGAGGTCACACTTCATGATCGAGTTGTAGGTGGTCTCGTGGATACCGGCGGACTCGAGGCCGAGGAACGAGGGCTGGAAGAGAGCCTCGGGGCAGCGGAAGCGCTCGTTGCCGATGGTGATAACCTGACCGTCGGGAAGCTCGTACGACTTCTCGAGCTGCGACGACTGGGCGGCGGTCTGGAGCTCCTGCTCAAAGTCGAGGGCGACGTAACAGAGCTTCTCCTTGATGTCACGGACAATCTCACGCTCGGCGGTGGTGGTGAAGGGGTAACCACGCTCCATGAGGATCTTGATGAGGTAGTCGGTGAGGTCACGACCAGCGAGGTCAAGACGGAGGATGGCGTGGGGGAGCGAGAAACCCTCGTAGATGGGGACAGTGTGGGTAACACCGTCACCCGAGTCGAGGACGATACCGGTGGTACGACCCGAAGCGTAAAGCGAAAGGACGGCCTGGATCGAGACGTAGAAGGCGGGGGCGTTGAAGGTCTCGAACATGATCTGGGTCATCTTCTCACGGTTCTGCTTGGGGTTGAGGGGAGCCTCGGTAAGGAGAACGGGGTGCTCCTCGGGGGCGACACGGAGCTCGTTGTAGAAGGTGTGGTGCCAGATCTTCTCCATGTCGTCCCAGTTGGTAACGATACCGTGCTCAATGGGGTACTTGAGGGTGAGGATACCACGCTTCGACTGGGCCTCGTCGCTGTTGTGCGCGTTAGCGGGCCGAAATACCATCCATTTTGTTATTTTGGTTGCAATGTCATATGACGCGCAACGAGGATTGACTCACCCCACGTAGGAGTCCTTCTGGCCCATGCCGACCATGACACCCTGGTGACGGGGACGACCAACAATCGAGGGGAAGACGGCGCGGGGGGCATCGTCACCGGCGAAACCGGCCTTGCACATACCCGAACCGTTGTCGATAACCTGTGCGGGGCCGCGTCAGCACATGGGTTGTTGCACCGCTATTGCAAGCCTTTGAAAGCGCAGCGTCAGCCGAGACAAACTCACAAGAGCAGCGACTGAATGAATGGGGCGTGGTCAGCGATACGTCACAAGCGATCTCTACGTCAGAGCATATTGTACACACCCTCGTCCTCCCTATAGAAATGCGTCAGCTTGCTGCTTCCTACCACAGGGCTCCACACCCGTGTCCAAGTGTTACTTACATGTTGAAAAGTGTCTAGCTGTAAGAGTCGGAAAAGGGAGATGCGGTGGTCAGCGATGCGTTCAAGGCAAGTCAGACAGGGGGGGAGAGACAGCGAGAGACGTGTCGTGGAAACTGATGGAAGTAGGGAGCACAGACGAGGAGGCTGTCGTGCGATCCCGTTTGACGCCACGCCAGTGAATGCCTGTTGGGATGCAGGGCCGCCGAGGCAGGCGTCGACGTGGAGTGGTTTCCCCATCGCACCCGGCTTACAGCTGGCAAGTGCGGGCGCCGCAAGTGCTAGCGATGGCTTGTGTATCCTCTCAAGAGCGCTGCCCGACCTCTTGCCCCTGCTGTCCGAGACGGATGCAGCTTGAATAAGGCTTGAAGTTGCAGTGGAGGTAGCAGGTTGCGGCCATCAGAGCGACGTCAAGAGTCGCCCCGGAGCGTGGTTTGTGTGCCGCGGGGCAACGAGCAGGGATTGAGGGGGGGGAGTGCCAGGAGACGTACTTTGTGTAAAGGGGGGTAGTAGTAGAGAGAAGGAGACCTGGGTGGTAGCGAGGGATGAGACCTGCGGATAGAGTGTGGATGGAAGTTGGAAGAGAGAGGAGAAGTGGGAAAGAGGGGATGGGACACCTGGGGGGGTGGGAGAGAGAGAGGCCACGCTGGCGGGTGGGGGGGGGGTGTGACGCTGGGCGAGCGAGAGCGACGCTGTGGGCTGTGGGCGGGGCGGGGCGGTGACGCTCGGGGTCTCACTCAGGGGGATGCAATTGCCATGATGCCTCCGTCGTACCCGTCGTCCAGCGCCCAGCAGTGGGCCAGCACAGCCAGCGCTCGTCTCAGCCAGCCAGCCAGCCGGCGTTTTGTCGGATGTGGCACTCGTGGCGACTGTACTGCTGGCTCTGGGCGCTTGAACGACGATGACGGCAATGACACACACACACACCTGCGCGTCGCATTAACGCTCTGGGTGCTGACTGCTACCAACCACCACCACCACCACCACCACCCACCACAAACCCTCTTCACCATGCCGCTCGAGTCGTGCATGCTCGTGTACGTACTCTGCACAGCATCTTCTCCAACTGTTTTGCTAACCACATCCCCCCCGCACACAGGCTCGACAACTCCGAGTACATGAGGTACGCGCGCGTCGCATCAACCACCCGTCATCAGCCATTTCGCTAACAACATGTCTCAGGAATGGCGACTACACCCCAACACGATTCCAGGCTCAGGCTCAGGCCGTCTCTGCCGTCTTCACTGCCAAGACAGATGCCAACCCCGAGTCTGCTGTCGGTCTCATGACCATGGCCGGCAAGTCGTGAGTGCAAATGGAGACCGTCCACCACCCCCCACCGCCTCCTCCTTCTCCACAGACTGCTGACAACAACAAAGGCCTTCCCTCCTCGTGACCCCAACCAACGACCTGGGCAAGCTGCTCTCTGCGCTCAACAAGGCGAGCATCGGTGGCGTCTCGGACCTCATCACCTCGATCCAGATCGCCCAGCTTGCCCTCAAACACCGCGAGAACAAGAACCAGCGTCAACGTATCGTCGCGTTTGTCGGTTCCCCACTCGACGACTCAAAGGACGAGCTCGTCAAGCTTGGCAAGCGTCTGCGCAAGAACAACGTCCTCATTGACATTGTGACCTTTGGCGACGAGGGCATGGCCAACGACGACAAGATCAACGCCCTCGTCGAGGCTGCCGGCGCCGGCGAGAGCCACCTCGTCTCGGTCGCACCAGGCCCCCACCTCCTCTCGGACATTATCCAGCAGAGCCCCATCCTGTTCGACCCCGAGCGCGCCGGTCCCTCGGGAGGCGACATGGGCGGCGGTGGAGGCGGCGGCGCCGACGACTTTGACCCCTCGAGCGACCCCGAGCTTGCCATGGCTCTCCGCATGTCCCTGCAAGAGGCCCAGGAGCGGGAAGCGCGCGAGCGCGGCACCACGTCGACCACTGCCGCCGCCGCCGCCAGCGCTGGCGATGACAAGGGCAACGTCGGCACCGAGGCGTCCGAGCTCGAGGTCATCCCGCAGGACGTGGCCGTCCCCGCCAACCCTGAAGCGGGCCACCAGGCCGGCTTCCCAGCGAGCGTGACCTCGCCGCTCCGCAACGCCAACGATAGCACCATCCCCGAGGCCCCCGGAGACGACGAGCACATGTACGACGACGAGGATGAGGACGACGAGGACGAGGAGCTTCGCCGCGCCATGGCCTTGTCCCGCGGCGACGACCCTGACGCGGACGTGCTCATGGCCGAAGACGAGGACGACGAGGACGAGGACGCAGCGATCGCCCGCGCTATCGCCATGAGCCTCGAGGACCAGAAGCAGCAGGACAACGAGTCCAAGTAGGTAGCATGTGTGTATGAGATTACTGCATTTAGAGCGTCTGTCGAGGGTGGTGGTGGTTGCTCACTGCTGCTGAAAACACTGACAAGTGTGGCTCACTGATGACAGCTCACCTTCCAGGTCTGCGCCGAGTGGCCAGTGCACCTCGGCTGTAGGGCCGTCTGGCCCAGACAGCCAAAACCAGGACATGGCTGCCGCACCGGCATTCCCGCTGCTGGCCCACAGGCTACAGGACAGTGGCCGGGTTTCCCGGCCCGCCGACGAGGACACTCGGTGCACCCAAACCTCACAGGCCGGAACGGCACCGACGGGGGGTTGTGTGTGGATGCCGTTCAGTGCGCACAGCAGCGACAGAAGACGCAGCACATACGTATGTATGTATCTGCACGGCAACACGCCAGGACAGCATGGTGTGGCGGCGCCGAGCCCCGGCCTCGACCCGTTCGATCCGTACCATCAGTCGGGGCACTGGCCGCTCGCCGAGCGCCAGCGCCAGCGCCAGAGCCCTCGGCGATGGCTGTGTAGATGACAATACCACAAGACGTGTGCGTACCAGCCCAGTATGCGGTGCGGTACAGCACTGTACAGTACTGTCCTGTACTGTACATCGCATTGGGATCACTCCCACACGTGAGGTACACAACTGACAAGAGAACTGGAGCTGCCGGCGGCAACAATACACACAATTGGCCGTTGGGCGATTGAGATCGGGGGGGGCAAGCTGTGCTGTATGCTGCGTGCCATCTCGCGCGCTTCGGCGCGCCCAAGTGAAGTGATACGGCTGCTCGAGCATCTGCTGTGTGCGATGTGCGCCGCGTTGGCGACGCGACGCGTTGCTTTCGAACTGAACTGCCCGAGAGGTGCCTTCAGTGCGGGGAGGAATCAGGCCTTTGGGGTGGATAACGCGATTCCGACTCGCCCTCTTCCTTGCCGTGAGTCGTCCGTTGGCCCAGGCGCAGTATTGCCACTGACAGAGCAGCGCATGGTTTTCACGGGCACCAACGGCGCTGATACGGCCCATGAATACATTCACCATGTAGTAACGTTGCCCGAAAGTCAGACCAGACTTTGTTCACTCTTTATTTCTCCTGACGTCGCTGTCCCCTTCCGACGACGGCTACGCCGGCATGTCCAGCTCGTTTTTAAAGTAGAATCGTTTCGGAGTGCCCATGGGTACACCCGGGTGGGCTTGTCGTCATAAACGGTCTGCGAGCTGTGGCACGGTTAGTGGCAGATCGTCGGACGCGCAGACGTACGTCACAGATGGCCATTGTTTCGCACATTGTTGCCTTGTGGAGTTTCGTCCTGGTACCGCTATACTGGCCGTCCAAAGCCAATATGACAAGCTGATGTTCGGTGTATTGCTTGTGGGTACCACGCTGTGAGCTCCCGGACTAATGTCAGCTTGGGCCGGCCGGAAAGGCACAACCCACGGTCCATGTGTTCCCGCTCAGCCTCTGAAGCAGCGTGATCAAGCACCGGGCGTCTGCTCGTGGCGGACGTCTTGGCGGATACCCGTTTTCGCCATTCAGGGTTTGCTTCTCCCAACTGCAGGTGTCAGTGGGGCGGGCGTATGGATTTTGTGCACTTGCGTCGTCTGCAACAAGAATGCGGCACAGACTGGTCTTGTGTCCGCTACGGTCCACGCGGAACATGATAATGCCTCGCTCTGCAACAATGTTTTGAAGCGCAATCTGGTCATGGACATGAACACTTGGTATGTACTGCGAGTCCTTTTCTAGACATGTCAGTTTCGAACATGTCCCGAGAGACGCGCACGATATCGCTTCTCCTGCTCGTCCAATGCCTTTCCCCCCAACGGGACGTTGGGCTTTGCAATATAGTTGACGAGTTGGGGCTTGGACCATTTGTCTGGCGTCTGTTGGGTTCCTCTACTCGTGGCTTCCACGCCCTTGGCCATTTGGTACAAGTCCGCGGCGCGCAACACTGCTTATCAGCTGCTTGCGCTTCGCTTGTATACGAGACGGAAAGCCAAAGAACGGACAGTGATAAAAGCCGAAGGGTTAACCGCAGAGCTTCGTGTCTGGATATTTGGTACGGAGTTTGCGAATGGTGACACTGGAGTGTCAAACACATTGGTCGCGTCCGAGGCGGTTCGCCGCTTGATCGCGATGGAGCAGCCTGCTTATTGTCGCGAGACCTGGGGGGGGGGGGGGGGGGGGGGGGAATGTAAGCTCAACAGATATCCATCACATCGAAGCGACAATTGTGGCACCAGGGCCACGGATAAGTTGTCCGGCGTCACCTCGATCCGAAACCACACAAGCATCGTTAAAACGTGGTACAAAGGGATAATAATGAGTAGAAAATCGAACCTTTGCGACAGAGACTGGGCGATTAACATTCCAGAGACTGAAGACAACTGCGACATTCGTCCGTTGTCCCAGTCCTTCCGGTGTCTGTCGCCACACGTACCGGCGCCATGGAGGCGGAGGTGTTGGAGCAGACCGTCTGTCCTCAAGATGGCATACCTTTGACTACCCTTGGTTCGATCTAAGTCTGCCCAAGGACCCCTACCTTTACCATGTCCATGTTTCCAGCCATTCTGCACTCACTGTGACGAGAAGGGATAGGAAGGAAGACGAATTGGGACAGCCGAGGTCGCGGTGGTATGAGATTTTTCATCTTCGTCGAGGGTTCCATCGTATAACGGTCAGTACATAAGATTCTGATCCTGTGGATAGTTCTTGTAATCTGGGTTCGATTCCCAGTGGGACCTGCTTTTTGGCCTGTGCGAGGTCGTTGCATGCATTGCGCATCGTCAGAAACGATCGTGGACGACTCGGAAAGATGTGGACGAAGAGTGGAATGGTGGTGGTGGATGATCGCCGCGGAACCAAAAATGCCACCCCCAAGTGCCACATTTGCCCCGCCCGAATGCGTTCTGCAACGGGATTCCCATTGTATGCAACTCAGACAGGACATTTGGGATGCCTTAAAGGGCCAGAGAGGTAGACGAACGCTCATGCAAGCTTGCACTATGAAGGCAGGCAAATGGCCAACACGACGCGTTTGCACGCGCCTGGCGGACGAGGAAACAGGTCCCGCTTGTTGCGCCCGCGACGGTTGAGTCAACCGTGGATCCATGGCCCACACATGACACAGTTCTCGTCTTGTCTCTGCTCCTCCTCCTCCTTTCAACTCTCTATTCACTCTGGTGCATCTTCTCGCGACCATCCACAACCATGCCCCGTCCACGCACGGTGGCCCCTTTCGCCCTCCCCACCAAGCCTCCGAAGGACACAGTCCTCTCCTTTCGCACACCCATGCCGCCTTCAGACATCGCCAACACATCCAACGACAATGACAACCAGAAGCCCCCCTTTATCGTCCTCTATAACCTTGAATATGGACTCTCATGGCTAAGGGAGCTCCTCGTTATCGGAAAAGACCGTCACAGTGCACAATTTCCAATGTACCTTGCAGAGTGGCACAACAACCCTGCCCTTGGCGGCGTTCAACTCCAAGACGATGTCGATGAGATTTGTGGACAGTGGTTCACTCAACTCAACGACCATGTCTCAGATGGTGACGAGTCGCTTGACGGGGAACAGGACGGCGCATCAATCATATCAACATGTGCTTACGCCTCTCGACCGCCACTCATCCGCAACCCCGATGCCTACGTCGACGACGAGGACAGCTGGGACTATGCCATGGAGGAAGCGGTGCCGGAGTGGTGCATGTTTGAGAACTGTATGCAGCTGGTCGAGTCGCCCACTCTTCAAGACCTCGAGGAAACCATCGACACGATTACATGGAACTCGCTCCCGACAGCTCTCCAGTATTCTATCGTCATTGACTTGGAAGCGGACCACGATCTCGCGTTCTACGAGGCCACCGAGGTAGTAAGTGCAGCTGTGCTATGCAACGAAACTGACTTTTAGCCTGTCGGACTCTGCAAGTATCTGGCCCCGCACAAGTTTGATGGCGAGCTTCAAGCCCTACTCTGGATGGTGCTTCAAGGAAATGCCGAGGCTGCAATTGCCACTGGCCTGCGCGCCCTCCTGATCACACACGACCTCTACGGCTCAGTCTATGGCTCAACCACAATTGGACCCCGCTTTCTGCGCTTTTACATGCTGTCACCTGACCGCGTTGCAGTGGAGCTGCCTCCGCAGTCTGGGACCGTCGACAACTCCGTTCCCCCAAAGGATAGGCCTGGTGTGCCATGTACAGAGCTGCTGGCCAACGACCCATTCGCGCGCCTCCCATGGTCATTCGTTGCTGATCGCGGTGTCCCCCTGAACACCAGTGTGAACGATAACCCGAACGGCATCAACCTTGACCTCGACGCTTTCCAGACCTTTGTCAACTTCAACGTCGCCGCTGTCCTTCGCTTGGGCGCCGACGATTTCACCAACAAGCCGTCGGCATGGGCCCTGGCAACAGTGAACTCGTGGGACAGGCTTGGTGACCTCGAGCCAGAAATCACCGTTCCTCCTTTCGACCCTGGTCGTCTCCCCTGTCCGCTTCAAGAGACGGTTCAGAAAGAAGCCTTCGCCATGTTCCAGAACGTCCGGCTCCCGGCCGAGGTGCGAAACATGATCGTCGACTTTGTCCCACACGCAACCATTGTCAATTCTCAAGTCGGCGCCGCACTGCCCCCAAGTGACCTTACAACCAACGACCCAAACACCAGCCGTCTCAACGCCCACCCCCTCGCATCCTCGCTTGACAAGATAGCATCCTTTGTGCCTGTCACTCCCAAAGAGATGGACGAGCTGGTGAAGCGGCAGTGCTACTCCGATCTGGAGAGGTACGGACCCAACCCCTGGGCCAAGGACGGCGAGTGCTTCGAGCCGGGTCTGCCGAGCCCAGTCAGCGAGTAGAGCAGTGAGTTGGGACCTGTAGCGAGCTTGTGCGTATGACATGTATATACAGTAATATGTGTGTGCATGTGGACTTTGGGCAGCCACGAACGATGTTCTGCTTCGAAACGAAGAAACGTACGGCCAGATGGCCGAGTGGTCTAAGGCGCTGTGTTCAGGTTTTGATATTTCATCAACATCCGCAGTCTTCGGACGTGGGTTCGAATCCCACTCTGGTCAACAGGGGCTTCATTGCCTCCCTACCTTGCTTTTTGAACGATGCAGAACGATGCAGATGTAGATGTTGACGGCGGGAGTGGTTCAAGGTGGTTCAAGGTGAATGTGTGGCGATCTGGTGGCAAGTGCCACATTTGGTCCACATGGATGTGCGCTTGTGCGCCCTAAATTGTTTCACCTCCTTCACTTTTCTCCTGTTGATCACCTCGGTTGCGCGGTTGCCATGACATGGCACGTCCTCGCACCTTGGCAGCTGCATGCTTCCCCGTTGAGCCCTCCACAAATGCTGTCCTGCCTCCCGTGGCCGAGAGGGCATCCTGTCGTCTGGGAATGCCCGCCACGTACGACCACCGGTGGGCACTGACCTCGAGGTTCAACGTGCTCCAACGCTATGGCCTGTGAAGGCCCATGATATGTGACCTCCCAGCACACGTGGTACGCAGCGGACCAGCTCATTCTCCAGCTGTGCCATGCCGCTGGCCGCTGGCGTGACGGACGCTGACGACCAGGGGACCGCGGACGGTGAGAGTGTTAACTACCCCCGCAGGATTCCCAGGGGTAGGACAAGGACGGGCACTGGGAGGATCAGGTATGGCGGGCTGATGTGGAGCTCAGAGCAAGGATGTGGTCTGGTCTCACTGGATCGCAGGTCGACCGCTCATAGGTGTCAACTTGGTGTGCACATGTGCATACGACTTGGAGGCGCCAAAATGTCCCTTTCAGTCTCCATGCCTCTGATCAAATGCTATATCACAGTGACTAGCCCCTCGCTACCTCTTTATCGGCAATGTGAAGACAGACTGGTGGATGGGCTGGACGCGTCCATACTGGGGCTGTACTGTGAGTCTATGGCCCCTCCGGGCGTGAAACACTCACCACAGCTTGGTCCGTCGTCGTCGTTCCAGTCACGCGGGCGGGGGTACCGTACTACTAGTGCGCCGTAGTGGTGCCATACTCCTTAGTGAGGGACTTGATGCCGTTGCTGTTACCGCTGTTGCTGGTGGCCTTGGGGCTGTGGCGGGCGACGAGGGGCGAGGCCGCTGCGCCGCCGCGGTTGCTCTTGCCGAGACGGTAGGCGATGACAATGAGGGTGATGAGGAGGGCCACGGCCGCGAGGGCGACGACAACAATGAGCACGGCGAGCTCGACGACCATGGCGGATCCCTTGGTGTCGGAGGTACCTCCGGCGCGCACATCGGCGCGGGAAGCATACACGGACATGGAGGACAGGTAGCCGTTGGCTACGCTGGCTTGACTGTATTGAGAGTACAAATTGTCGTTGACAGAGCTCAATTGCCTGGAGATATACGACAACGAGTAACCATTGTTGTTAACTGCAGAGTAGATCGAGTAGGTATAGTCGACCTGGCGCTCAACGAGGGTGTGTGGTGCGGCTGTGATGGTGGTTGTGACGGTCACCACTGAGGCGGGCGCGGTGACTGCCGCAACTGCAGAGGCGACTAGCGATTCGGGTGCGGGTGGTGACTCCATGGTTGGGTGTGATGCGTGAACGTGTTGGATTGAGAAGGGTGCGATGGAAGAGGATGACAGGCAGAAGAGTTGACAGGTAGAGAGATCACGACGGGGCCGGCTGGTGGGCAGTCGTTTATATACTTGGTCCGTGAAGAGGGGACCGCGATCCCGCGAGGTGAGAGGGGAAAGAGGATCTCGCGACAGATGCTGCGCCAGCTGCTGAGGACCCCGGAGGCTACGACAAACCATGCATGTTTTCTTGTTCTGGAACGCCGGCAGCCCCTTGCGGGTTCCCAAGAACCCACCCTGTTGTTACCGTGCAACGTGCACTGCCTCCCGTATGACGTGCAAGGAGGAAGTGTGTCTTGTCTTGGCACCGTCTCCAGCGCGTTTCCTCTGCAGTTACGACTTCCTCGTCCTTCGGTTTCGTCTGGGTGTGACGCGCTTGGCGGGAAAATAAGTATAGCAAACGTTGAAAACAGGCACCCCCGGCTGCCACTCGTGCACTCGAGATATCCTGCCTCGAGGCATCTCCTTCCCCTTTCCACCCATAGTATGCGAAACGCGGTGGTCCGTCAGCTCTTTAGCTGTTTATCTATAGAATAAGTCCGTAGAGATGCTGATGTTCAAGTATGGATTGTGAGGCAGGATGTAGAGCAGAGAAGTGGCCGGAGTGGGCCAGCTGATTACCGAAGTTGGCCCGGTCAAATTAAACGCGGGGCAGACATTTACGACTTCCACTGGCCACTTCTGCCCCGCGTTTAATTTGACCGGGCCGAGGCTATGCTCGCCATATCGCCATGCCGACCTGCCGAGCTCCACACTTTTGCCAACTTTGAAGCATACTTGAGCTACCTGTGTCTGCGCGGTAAGGGAACCAGAAGCAAACTGCCGCAAACGGCCTGCCAGCGATACTGGTCATGTGCGTTTCACAGCACATGTGCCGCCAAGCTGCTATCAGCTCCACAGCACCGCCATGTCTCACTTGCCGAGGACACCGAGTGGCGCCATCATGTTGCCGGGATATCGGGCCACACTACTGAGTTTCTGCAATGTTCATGCCCTTCGTTACTGGTGTCACGGGGAAGATCTGTACGCAGCGGCCAGCGACATGGCACTCCGATGTTGACCCTGCAGCAGGTCGTGAACGTGGTCTGTCACGTTATGAGGCGCCAAACGAGGAGGGAAGAAGTACAAAAGGGGTGGTGGCGAATGCCTCCACTGGCCACTGGCCACTGGTGAGCAGCCTAAACTCCATATAGATTGGAGAAATGCATAAAATGCTATTGAACAGCAGTGGTGACTTGGTTGTGTGACTGGGGTGTGCTGCCCGTCTCCCGCTGGCAGAAACACATAGAGAAAGTCGGCCATGTCAACTGCGGCAACAGATGGGTGACGTAGTGTGAATTTGGCGAAAGAACACCCAGTGTCGCCAGTTCACTGATCACCGACACGCCCGAATGTGAGGCCAGCTGACAGACTGTCGCAGCGCATACAAAACCTTCCCCTGGTCGCGATACTCCATGGAAATGTACAACTGTGAGATCCATACGGTGGGCACAGATGGGGACCCTCAGACGAAGGGGACTCCGCTGTGCGTTGTATTGTAAACAACGATCCCACCCTATCAACTAAAAAAACTATTTTGAGAATGACGCGCCTAAATACACCCGAAAATAAGATAAACCACACTACATCTGTCCGCCATGCAAAAGCCATTCCAATTTCTTTTGTTCACGCGGCGCTTGCCCTGTCGGTCGAATGCTACGCTCACGACTCGGCGGCCTGGGCCGCCTGCATCTCCTTGAACTTTTCGGCGGTTTTGGCGGCATCACGAATACTCATGCCCTTTTCGCGGCTGATGACCGTCTTGAACAGGCCCATAAAGTCGTCGAGGTTGGGGGCCTCTTCGCCGCCGGGCGAGCTGGGGGCCGTGGAGGGGGACGTGACGGCGCGTCGTGGGGTGAGGGTTCGTGCGCGCTGCGGGGTGTTGGCGGTGGATGATGGTGCGGCGGCCTGGCCCGAGACGGAGCGCGTCTTGCTGAGCGAGGCGGGGAACTTGCCCGAGACGGGCGGGAGGTTGGCGTCGGCGCTGGACTGGGTGTCGAGCGCAGCTGCATCGCGACCAGAACGGCGCAGGCTCGTGTTACGGGTAGGCGTGCGGACGCTGGCGGAGCGCGCAGGCGGGGTAACGAGTGAGGGACCCGGGGTGTCCTTTGGAGGGACGACGGGCAAGTCCTTTGGTGGTAGTTCAGGCTTGACTGGCAGAGCAGTGTTGGCCTTGAACTCGGGGGTGACAATAGGCGTGTCGCCTGGGGAGATGGGTGAAGGTGGCAGATCGGACAGGGAGTGGTTCGCGTCAAAGTCGGCGTAAGAGCCGACGTTGATCTGAGGAGGCGAGAGTCGGCTCCTGGCAGACATGGAGGAGGTTGGGGAAGCGAGTGTGGGGGACGCGGGAAACACGTCAATGGCCATGGCCGTCGTCTCCATAATCTTGGCCTCTGGCTCCACCTCGACAGCCTCGGGGGCGGCCTCGGTGGGAGAAACGGCCTTGGCCGCCTGGCTCTCTGCCGAGGCAGAAGCCGCAGCAAGGCTCAGTGGCGACAGGGGAGAGTCTTCAAAGGAGAGTGTGACAGCCGGCGTCTCGGGGACGTCGACCTGAAGATCGTCATTGGCGACAGGGGTGGTCTCTTCAGCGGGAGCAGGCTGCTCGACCACCGTCTCGACCACGGGAACGGCAATGGCAGTAGGGAGCATAGAAACAGGACGGGCGCTGCTGGGGGACATGTCGATCGGCGAGGCGACGACGTCCTCTTCGTTGGAAAGAATGGCGGGGGCGGCAGCGCGCTCGGGCGGCGGCGGCGGCGCAGAACCAAACGAAGCCTCGGATTCTGACCCGTGGGACAGTAACGAGGACATACGCTTGGACATGGGTTCGTCAACCCCAAGCGCGGGAACGGGCGGGGCGTCGGCCTGGTCAAACATGCCTTCGCCAGTGGTCGAACCGCGCTTGCCACCATGCGAGGGAATCATGCTGTGGCGAGTGACTGCAGGGACATTGCGCATGGTAATGGAGCCAACGGCGGAACGAAGAATTGGCGCACCGGGAAGGCTGTGGACAGACTCCCCGGTCGCAGAGAGAGGCGACGTAGGAGTGCTGTCGCTAACCAGGCCACTAGGAACCGACGAGACAGTCACAACGCGAGGCGTGACCTCGTTGACGGCGGCGAGTTCTGGCTGCTGCTGCGGAGGGAGTGAGAAACGCGTCTCGCCAAGGAGGTCGGGGCTAAAGCTGAGCGGGCGGTTCATGGCCAGCGTGTCGGCCGCACTGGCCGGACGCGGGGCCGGCGACGCGACGCGGCTGGCAGCGGACTCGTCTGGAGGCGACTGACTGCGTTCAGCGTCGGCACTGGCGGACACTGGACCAGTTGCCAGGGCCGCTGGTGCGGGGGTGGCGCGTGGGGTGGCAGCCGGAGGCGGGGCGATGGCGGCGGCCGCTGCGTTGGCTGTGTCCGGTTTGGGGGGCAAGGGCGGGGGTGCCTCCTTCTCGGACGTTGTCCTCGGTGGGAGGGACGACGCCGCGAACATGGCCGCAACCGGAGTGGTCTCGATGGGAGGGAGGGTCGTTGCCATCTTGGCATACAGCGGAGCCGCCGCTGGGGCGGCCACGGCAGGACTCTGGCGGCCATCGCGGTCGTACGCGCCCGACCGCCTGCGTGCCGCGGCACTGACGTTGATCGGGTCCGGTGCTCGCTTGCGACCAAAGAGCCTGGCGAAGAGACCTCCACCTGAGCCTGGGGTGTGTGAGCGGTCGTGTTCACTGGAACGCAAAGGGCGCGTGTTGTCGGCACACAATGTGACAGACAGCGTGGGGCGAGCGAGTTGGGGACGCGGGACGCTGGGTGTGGGTGGACTCACTACGCTGCTGCTTGGCGGGCTTTGGCTTTGACGAGTTGTTGTTGTCTCGCCTGCTGCGCCTGAGGAGGCCCATGGTGAAAGAATGTGGTGTGTTGGGAGAAGAGGACCGGCCTCTTTGAATTGAGAAATGTGTGGAGTGTGTTGGAGAGAGATGAGAATGTTGATGTGTCTGTCGAGAACGACATGGGACCCACCGACGACGCACAGAGAGACGCCTCGTGCACCGCAGGGAGCACTGTGTCCACCCAGGAACAGAGGGCCGCGCCGTCGCATCCTGTAACGCACGGGGCTCTGTCTGGACATCGCGGATGGACCGTTCGGCTTTGCTGTTGCTGTTGCTCTGGCTGCTGCTGGTGCGTTCTGGTGCTGCTGCATGTATGTATGCATGCATGCATGTGTGCCAAAAGCACCTCCTTGCGAATCTGGACCCTCGTGCTCATGCATCACAGTTCATGAGTGACTCTGCAAGCTCCCCATCGCCCGCATTCCTCGCAGCAGGGTCCATCACGAGTCGTCTCGCGCCGCCCGCGGCCGGACAGGGCCAACCGACGTGTGTAATGGTCCGGTTTCGCGTCTCGTCGCGAGACCGTTTTGTGGTGTATGGTGGTTCACACACGTCGCCGCGTTTTGGCTTTTCAGTGTGCCAAACATTTCAACGTTGCCGGTAACGACATGGTGTACGTTGTGGTACCGCCAATCTGGTTGCACACACGCGCGTACGCACTACCTTTTGGCCTCGTGTTGCTTGTGCGTGGCCAGAGGCCAGAGGTCGTTGGCTGGCGCGTCGATGCCGAGACAATCCAGGCTCGCCGTCGCCGTGAGACTACTGGTATTCATGACGAGTGCAAGGACGCGGGGTCGGACGCCTGACTGCAGCAGTACAGTACGATATGCATCAGACGCGTATCCCGCGAGAACGCGACGAGCCCCAGGTTATAGAAACCTGGGTCACCTGGGTCCGTGACGGCGGCGGCGGCGAGGGTCAACCGATGTGATGCGCATGGACCGACACACACCTAACACCAGAGACGCCGCCTGCCTGCCTAGTTGATCTATACTCGATTCTCTGCGTCCAGTGCTAGTACTCTCCAGTCGCGTACAAGTTGTCTGCACGAGCCACCTCCTGCCGTTTCGCAAGATTGATCTGTATATGACATCGTCATGGTGTAAACAAAGGTTGTCTAAGTATCTATCTACAGGTAGGATCTCGATCTCTCGACCGCTAGACCCCGGTTCGTCTCCTTAGTCCTCCTCAAAACCCTTGCGCTGCAGGTTGAAGCACTCGTGGTACCTGCCACCGAGGGCCATGAGCTCGGCGTGTGTTCCCAGTTCGACGATTCGCTGCGGGTGTCAGTCACTTGATTCGGAAGGAAAGGAAAAACAAGAGGGCCACGAGGGCCAATGCGCGAACGAGGCCCAAAACGGAAGCGAAGTGGGCCTGCGCGGCCAGCTCGGGGTTCAGGACACGACGACGCCATCGTCAATGTCGTTACTGGCCTTACTGGTCTTGCCACTTTGGAGTCGGCGTGCACGAGCACTCGAGTGGCGTGCAGAGGCGCGTCCTGATGCGCGTCGCGTCGTGCGTCACCCGGAGGTCCAAAGTGGCAAGTAGTGGCAGGCTGCTAGCCATAGCCACGCCTGCCTCTCACTCTCGCTCGATGCAGCGAAATCACGGTCCTGGCACTCACCCCATCTTGAACGAACGCGATCCGGTCCGCCTTGCGCACAGTGTTGAAGCGGTGGGAGATGAAGATGGTGGTCGCACCGTTTCCGGCATGTGAAAGCGCGTGGATACGGTCGAACAGCTCCGCCTCGGCGTGTGGGTCCAGAGCGGACGACGGCTCGTCGAACACGACCAGGTCGGCGCTGTCGGCGCGCATAAAGGCGCGAGAAAGGGCGACGCGCTGCCACTGTCCGCCTGATAGCGATGTGCTTTGGACCTTGGGGATATCGGGTTCCGCAGGAGTTGTGGGCGGAGGAGAGCCAGCGGTTTTGATTTCGGAGCCCTCAGAGCCCGTACCAGCGTCAGAGGTCGAACTAGGAGCGGCCTTTTCATCGATGGATTTCTCCTTCTCCTCCTCCTCCTTCTCCTCCTCCTCCTCCTCCTTCTCCTTCTCCTTGGCCCCCTCCTTCTCCTCCGCCACCGCAGGAACATCCCAGCCAGCCCTCGGGTTGGGACGCAAGATACAGTCCAGCCCATTCTTCTTCCAGACTCCCTCGGCGCCGCCCTTCTCCAGAGCGGCCACGATCGTGTCGTCGTCGTCAATACGCGAAATGTCACCGAGGCCGACATTTTCGCGCAAGCTGAAAGTGTACCGCGCATAGTCTTGGAACAGACAGCTCATGCGGCGGTGCAGTGTCTCGGGGTCGTACGCGCGCACCTCGTGGCCGTTGATCTTGAGACTGCCTGTGTATGCGTGTAGACCAAGGAGGGTCTTGACGAGCGTGGTCTTGCCGCTGCCATTGTATCCGACGATGGCGAGTGTCTCGCCTGGGTACAGCTCGAGGTTGACGTTCTTGACCACGGGCGTGTCATTGTCTGGGTATGTGTACGACAAGTCGGTGGCCTCGATGCGCATCCCGTGCGGTACACGATGGGCCTCAAAGTCGATACGGTCGGCAGTGAACTCGGGGCCGTCCTGGGCGGAAAACAGGGCCGCGAGGAAGAAGGGGACTTGGAAAACTGCGTGGAAGCTCTCGCGAATGCGGCGGACAGACCAGAGGAGGTTGCGGCCAGTGCTTTGGTGTGTGTGGATACCACCCAGGGTGAGGTTGGTGGGGATGAGGCGCGTCGCAAGGAGAACGTAGAACATCTTTTCAATTGCAGTTTCGCCACTGCGGATGAACAGGTCGATGCCAAAGTCGAGTCGAGTGTACAGGTGTTTGAGGTTGTAGGCCATGCGACGCAGCTTGACCGACTCCCACTGCTCGATGACCCAGTCACGTAGGCCAAAGAGGACGAGTTCCTGCTGTCTCTCCGTCCGCGTGAAGCCGACCAGGACGTCTTGCGTTTGGTTGTCGTGGCAGTCTTGCCTGTGAGCCGCACCGACCTGCGCCGTTGTAGGGTCGAGCAGGCTATGCAGTTTGTCAAACGACATTTCGAGCGCGGACGGCGCAAACGAGAGGACGATAAGGACCACGTTGCCCCAGTTAGCGAGGGCATAGGTTCCAAGCCCGACGCTTCCACTAGCACCACCCAGCGTCCTCATCATGAGATATATCTGTGAGGCCACTTCGATTGAGCTGGAGATGGCACTGCCGGCCATCTGGATTATGCCCCACGCGCCGTACGGAGGATTGGAGCAATCCTGCATGCCAGTGAAGCCCGCAACGACGCCAGTCTCCACAATGACGGCAGAGTACAGCGGGTCGTCGGACATTTGCATCGCATTGTCGAGGCTGGCCGTGAGGTAGATCTTCTCGAGGCCAAAGACGACTTGGTCCTGGGACTGTCAGAAAGGTACTCGCTTCGGGGTTTCTCACTCGAAGGTAACCGGCAGACTTGGCGAAGAGCATGTCGCGCAGTTCATCGCCGACGTTCAGGAAAACCGAGAGCGCGGCCCACTTGCACACCTCTTGCCATGGAGCAGCCGTGCCGGACAGTGCCGCCTCGACAAGATCCATGAGCTTGGCGGACGCCCAGACACTAGACTGTCAGCTTGAAGGCCGTCTTGTCAATTCAACTCACGTTGCGGCAGGCATGATACCGGTTAAGACGACGTTGGTGACATGCATGAGTACGTGTGGTATGAGATGCCGGTTGCTGTTGATGGTGGACAAGCACCGAGGCCAGAGGGCACGCCAGAGGTCGATGTGGATCCCGACGGTGGTGAGAGTGATGGGTCGCGCCCATCCTGCCAAGCGGAGGGTGAGGTTGTCGTCGGTTTCGACATTGATCAGTGAGCTTCTGCCCTGGGACATGCGACGGAATCGATGGTAGGCGTAGCTGTAGCGGTACGAGTCATCGACAAAGTCATCGTCATCAATCTCGCCCGCCTCGCCATCGCTACCGCTGGCACTGTCGTCGTCCGAGTCGGATTCAACGGCGATCACACGGCTCTGGAGCCAAAGCTTGGTGAGTGGCCGGAGTCCATCGTACTTGGGTGGAAGCGTGAACGTCGTGAAGCGCGGGTTGACCGCGGAGAACGCCGGGAGGGGGAAGGCCGTAGGCAGCGAGATGGGGAGAGCAAGATGGATAGGCTGAGGCTCGGGAAGTGCACCGAGAAGAGGGGCCCGGAGCTCGTCGTCCTCGTCGATGCCTGGAGGTAGTGTCGTGTGCGATGGGTCGGCGACGGTGACGGTATCAGTCTCGAGCACCATCGCAGCTAGAGACGTCATCAGAGTGAATCAGGCGATCACTACTGGTGGTGTGTTGAGAGTGAAGAGAAGAGGTGAGACGGCCTGTTCCCCATTTTAACGGGTCGTGGGCAAAGAAGCAAGGAAGATGACAGTGTGCGATCGGCGAGATCTGACGTCGGATCCGGTCAACCACCGGTGCACCCGCCGCGTTTGGGTGGGTGGCGAAACCGCGGATCGCGGGGCCCATGCCGACGACGGACGGCGTGTGGCGTAGAAGCAACTTTCCTCTTCCTGTCTGCTGGTGATACTCAAAGGCCATGCATTAGGTGGGTGCAGGAGTGAACAGGAAGGAGGCCGCTCCATGACATCCAGCTGTCCAGCCGGCCGCTTGTGATTCAGTTACTGTGGGAGAGTACAGCAGAAAGACGGACAGTTCCAGCCGGATATACCTCCTCACGCGACTCTCCGCACTCGCCATACACTTCTCCTCACTCCACAAACCCAGGTCGTGCTGCGACGGGCCAGTAAATGAATAGCAGCCTCCAAGTTCCTTGATCATACCAATGCCGCACAAAGCGGGCACTGAGGATCAACGAGTCAGGCATGACTCAAACGACCGTGAAGTGTTGACATTGGCGTCGGTGCCGATGAAGAGGAATTTCGAACCACGCCAGAGATTTGAGATATCGGGATGGTCAGAGTGCACAGTGTGGCTTCGTTGACAACACATGTGACGACTGGCATGAACAGCATACCATTAGGCCCCAGAACAGTGGCCCAGTGGCCAGTGGACTGTAAGTGTTCGGAGGTGTCACCGGCCACGTTCGAAATCGCGGCAACACGAGGTATGTAGGTTTGTTCGATCAGTGCCACTCACCATGTTTAGTGCGACGACGGGTCTGGGAGGCCCTTGTGGAGCAGTACGTTTTTCTCCCCAGAGGTTGCGTGTGGGTCGGTATTGTTCTTAAAGGTTCATGGTCGACAGACACAGGTGGCCAAGTGAGGCCTGTGGCCTGTGGCCTGTACAAGGGTGTGTGGGCTACACTAACATTGCCGGCGCCGATCCTCCACCGCCCACAACAGTCGCGTCAACCGTCGTTTACTCCTTCACACTAGACACCTTCCTCTCTTCCTACCATCCATCCATCCCCCACCATGACATTCACGGTCACAGAACAGCTCCTCGCGATCGACCATATAGTCGACCGTATCATCTCATACACCGACCGCCGCAGCTTGTCACGCATGATGAGTGTCAGTAAGGCGATGTACCACCTTGTGGCTCGTCCTCTCTACAGAAACGCCGCCGTCTGGGAAGAGACCATGAACTCGTTCATGCTGGGTGCTACCCAGCAATGCGAGTGTGAGAAGTGTATCGCCCGTTTCAAGGAAGACTACGGCTATGATGTCAAGACGGGCAAGTTTACGCCGTGGGGTGCAGCTACAAACCAGCCTCACCGTTACGGCAAGTACACCTCCAACCGTCCCACCGATGCCGAGCTCAAGGCCCAGCCCAGGAATGAGGCCATGCAAAAGGCCAGGCAACAGGCCAGAAGCATGTGCGCTCATAAAGAGGAAATCGCCACGCCCAAGACCGTCGAGGAGCTGGCTGCCGAGCGCGACGAGTGGATTCCCGACTTTCACAAGACCGGGCGTCAGGCTACTGGCAAGAAGACTCAAGGACGCAAGAACAAAGGAAACAAAATCAAAAGGACGCCACGCAAGGGCGGTAAAGCAGCCAAGAACACCACACCCCCATCATCGTCGTCAACAATCGCCGAGGCCAACGCGGGCGTCAAGCCTGCCTCGAACGACGACAAGGGCAGTATCGCTACGCTGCAGTATCGCTACGCTTATCCCCAAGACGGAGCTTCTGAGCTACATCACTCGGCTTACTCTTGGTAGTCACCATGAAAGCGCTTGCAGTGGCTATGGCAACCCGTTGGCCAAGTACGTCACCAACCTTGAGGTGCTGCGCATCGTTGAGACGCCCGTGGGAGCCACACACTGCTTCTACATCTGCGAGAACATCCCTCACGGCGAGTGCAACATCATCGACAAACTCAAGCCCCACAAACTCGTTATCCGCAACGTTTGGGGAGGTTCGGTGCCCTTCGCCGAGAACTGGAGCCTTCCCCGCGAGACTAAGGAGGTCGTGGTCATACTGCCCACCGCTCGCGATCGTTACCAGATAGGCGTGAGTTAAAGCAGGGTGTTCGAATCTCAACAGCTGACGGTCTGCTATATAGGGACCCACACGTCTTACCCGATCGTACTTTGGTCAGTTCACCAATGCCAAGAGCGTCAAGCTAGTGTTTTGGCCAGACTGGGACATCTCTTTGACTCTGCACCCCCTTGCCAAGTTGCGTCGCCAGGCTTTGGGTCCATTCAACGACGCCGACCTTGACCGCAAGTCTCCCATCTTCGTCGATTACATCGCCGACGTGCTTCGCACCCTCACCTACGCTCGCAGTTCCCTCTCTGGCAGCAATCCTATGGTCACCGTTTATGGCCTTGAAACGCTCCGCCTCACTGGACACAATGGCATGTCGACTTTGGTTCGCGCGTACAACAAGACTCACCCACACGGTCCTGCGCCAAACCTCCAGTCTCTCGTCAAGGCCCACGTGTCCGCCGTGCAGACTACAATGGCCTATCCTGATGGTCAAAATGAGGCTCCCATCATGCTCGGATCCTGCCCAGTTCAGTGGCGAACCATTGGCGCATACATCGAGAACCTCGACGCCCGTGCGGGTGAGATTGACGAGTTTGACTGAACGAAGTCGAAGTCTCGCCCCAGCGTGGACGACCACCTCCCAAGGTTTCCCATGATTAGTTTTTGCACTTTATTATTACCTTCCTTTTCCTGTGAAATATGCATTGCGGTCGTTTCTCGCCACACCGGCCGTGGTATGGGTACGACGTGGACATACTAAATTGTAAAATGCAACAAAAAAGCTCCGCGGTCCACTCTGGTTGACGTGTGTTGTTTGGACGCGATCCACAGCGGCCCAGCGGCCAGCGGCCACAAACATGAGTGTCTTTGTTGTTTTCACTCCCACCAACTCTCTCCCTCTTTCTCGCGCTCTCTCGCATTCCCCCTTTCCTTCAACTCTCAGTTTCCACACATCGGGTGTGCCAAATCACCATGGCAACCGCTGGCGCGCGCCTCTGCGCCATCGACCACATCATGAGCGACATTGCTCGCTACTGCGACCGCCCAACACTTGTACAACTCATGTGCGTCAACAAGCGCACCTTCAAGCTTGCGGCTCGTCCCCTGTATCACACTGTATCCATCTTCGAATTTACAATCGAATCCTTCATGGATGGCACGCCAGGCAAGACGTGCAGTTGCGACTTGTGCTTGGAAATGTTCAAGCAAGACTTTGGCTTTACGGATAACACTGGCCAATTTGCTCCCACTGGAAACCGTGACTGCAAGAGAGGCTTGACCGAAGCGGATGTTCTTGCCGGCAGAATGGCCAATGCCACTCTTAACGATGAATCGTCTTCAAGCACTTCTGCGGCCTCGGACGTGTCCAACGGCGACGACGATGAGGATGAACCAGAGATCGTTCTCCCTATCCCCAAGAAAGAGCTTTTAAGCTACGTCCGTGTTTTGTCGCTCGGTAGCCACCACTACTCCTACTGTTCGGTGTACGGAGAGCGTCTCGCCAAGTATCTCACCAACCTGGACGTCCTGCGCATTGTGGAGGTCCCCAGCTGGTTCCCTACGAGGACCAATCCGCTTTGCACACTCCCACCGTTCGAGACGTGCCGCATCATTGCCCAACTCAAACCTCGCAAGCTCGTCCTTCGCAACGTCTCCAGTTGCTTTCTTCCAGTTGAGCAGGCTTGGAGCATTCCAGAGGAGACCAAGGAAGTCGTGGTCGTCCTCCCAACCGTGCACCTGCGCTACGCGGGTCCGAATGTGAGTGTGCCTTCTACTGGAAGCAATCAGGCCACCCAAACTAACAAAAACAGGGCAAAGGACCCCAAAATCTGTCCACCTCCTATATGGGTCAGTTTTCCACCGCCGAATCGCTCAAGATCGTATTTTGGCCCGAGTGGGATGACTCCTTCCTTCAAAACCCACTTGCAAAGGCCTACGAGATCGAACGCCAGGGCAGTCACATTGTTGGCGAGTTCAACCGCCAGGCTCCTCTTTTCGTCGACCACATTGCCGAAGTTCTGCGGTCGTTCTGCTACGCGCGCAACGCGTTGCTTGGTGGCAGCGCGCCCCTTGTCTCAGTCTACGGCTTTGGAAACGTGCCCCTCACCAACGAGCACCAGGGCAAGAACATCTCCGACCTCGTCACCCAGCACTACAAGACCCACCCCAACGGTCCCGCTCCTGACCTCCACAGGCTTGCCAAGGCCGTTGTTTCCGCCAAGATGATTAGTGTCGCGATGAGCATGGGGAGGAAGCAGTCCATCCATCTGGGCTCGTGTCCGGTCAAATGGTATACTATGTCAAGCTATGAGAACAATCTCAGCAACCGCAAGGCCGAGATTGACGAGTTCGACTGAACGACGTGTGACGTCAATTTGGTGCCGTGTGAGGCGCAACCAGGCAACGTTTTCGTCTCTCATTCATGTACTCGACTCCACGAGTCCCCAGTTGAGCTTTTCCACACCTACGACGCTCTTCTGTCTAGTTTTCCTTATGCATTCCCTGTCTATGCAATTGAGACGGGCCCACTACCATATGCAGGAGTCAAAAGTGTGGTTGAGAGGAAAATGAGGATAAATCGCCTAAAAATGATCGACGGGCGGTCAGCGCGATCAGTGCTCGGTGGCCAGTGACGTCGTCGTGTCACACAGCACACAGTGCACGAAGCATGGCCCCGGATGTCACAAAATGGGACCATGAGAACCAGTCGGGCCTTCTCCCAACCCCCATTTGCTCTTCCCACCATCCATTGCACTCACCTAAGCCATGCCCTCCGCAGTTGACAGCTTGCTTGCCATCGCCCACATCGTCAAGCGCATCATCGACTATGCCGAACGTCCTACTCTTGCGCGCCTGATGCGCGTCTCCAAGAGGCTGTACATGATGGCTGCCCGCCCTCTTTACCACACCGGTCGCCGTTTGCGAGGAGACCATCAACTCCCTTGTTGAAGGACTCAAGATGATTGATGGATGCCAGTGCGACAAATGCGAGGACAGCTTCTTTCAACACTACAGCATTGACAAGGCACTCCGCGAGAAAGTGAAGAACGACCCTGAGCAATATCGCAAATTCCGTCTCAGTCGCCTCGCAGACAACAAGGACGCGTCCGAGGACATGGAGAAGGAGAAGAAAGACATGTCTAAGACGACAAAGGCAGGCTCGAAAAGCTCCTCCCTCGCCACCAACCCCAAGGCTACCTCGAGCAAGCACCACGATGGCAAGACTCCTCGCACTCAACCGGTCCTTCCCATCTCCAAAAAGGTTCTCCTCAGTTACGTCCGCGTGATCAGCATTGGCTCCCACCACGAAAGTGCGTGCGACAGCTTTGGAGAACTCCTTGGTGAACATATTACCGACCTCAACGTCCTCCGCATTGTCGATACCCCGGTTCACTGGGCCTTCTGTGCCCAGATGTGTGAGCACATTCCCCAAGGCCAATGCGCCCTTGTCACCTCTATCAAGCCGCGCAAGATTGTCTTGCGCAACATCGGTGGTTTACACATCCCTTTCCCTCCCAAGTGGAGCCTTCACGACAAGACCAAGGAGGTGGTCATCATCCTCTCCACCCTCCGCGACCGTTACGCTGGAATGAAAGTGAGTCTTGATCTCCGCTCAGAACGAGGCTACCCCACAGGGACTAGGACCTCAGGACCTCTCCCACTCCTACCTGGGTCAGCTTACCAGTGCGACTTCGGTTAAGATTGTGTTTTGGCCTGAGTGGGACCATTCACTTAACGACCATCCTCTTCTGAAGCTTCGCGAAAGTGACTGCATGGAAGTACCCGCGGCCGCCCGCGACGAACTCATCTACGTCGATGACATGGCTCGTGTTCTTCGCGCCTTCACCTACGGCCGCAGCTCCATCTTTGGAAGCAAGCCTGTCGTCACAGTCTTCGGTTTTGGCGAACTCCGTCTGACCGACCTCAACCGCTCCTTCCTCGTTGATGAATACTACAAGCTTAATCCCAACGGCCCCACCCCGGACCTCCACACGCTCGCCAAGAAGCACGCTACCCAGCTCCAGATTATCATGGCTACCGTTGGCAATGCCCAGCCAGTCATGATGGGTTCCTGCGAGGTCCTCTGGCGCAAGATTGGCAGTTACAAGAACAACCTCCAGAACCGCCACGCCGAGATTGACCAGTACGACTAGGTCTACAGCAGTTACCCAAGTGCCAACTTTTCAAGACCTTGCCTACCATGTGGACTGCTAGTGTGACTTGTTCATATTTTTCAATACTCCATGTTCATATTTTTCAATACTCCATGCAGTTACTTCTCTGTGCATCGTGTCCTGGACGTGAGACGCAAGCAGTGTCGGTCGCACCCATGGGCTCATGGGCAAGCATCAGCCCTCGTATGAGTACATGAGTCCTATCGAACCATTCACACACGGAAACGGCACACGGACCTTTCTTGCACTGATCCTCTAAGCACCCCGTCTTCCACTTGCACTTCCCCGCGGTCCATTTCTCTCACCTTCTCTCATCTTCACAACCGTTATCCCTAGCCTTCGATTTGGTCACATCCTCAATACAAACCCACGATGCCCACTGGCTATACACCGGCTCAACAGGTGTGCTCCATCGACCACTTGCTCGAGCTTGTCATCGGCTATGCGGATCGCGACACCCATGCCCGCCTCATGAGGGTCTGCAAGCACTTCTACACCATTGTCGCTCGCCCGCTCTATCGTTCAGTCGCCTTGTTTGATAACAATATCGACACGTTCATGCTGGGAGCCCACAACGGTTGCCATTGTGATGAGTGTTTAGAAATGCAGAATAACAAGTACGGCTTCGATTCCAAGATTCGATTCCAAGACTGGCAACAGAGACGCATGGGGAGAGGCAACCAGCAAACCACACGGATATGGCAAGCACACTACGGGTCGCCCTTCGGATGCCCAACTCTTGAAGGATAAAGCGCCAAGTGGAAGGACGCGATGCTCGGCAAAGGCAGCAATAACGAGGACGATGTCGAAAAGACTCCTACCCGTGTCAAGCAGAAGGAGGTCCCGCAGGCCAAGACCCCGGAGCAGCTCGTGGCAGAGCGCGACGAGTGGATCCCAGAACTTCACAAGTCCAAGAAATCAATCAAGAAGACTTCGGGACGCAGAAGAAGGGGAAGAAGCACGGCACCACCAAGGCAAGCCCTCTCAGCGCCAACAAGCCCCCTCCCTCATCACCCTTGGTTGCCCCGGCCACCGACCTCGACAAGACCATGGGTTCCAACAAAGCTGTCAAGGGCTCAAACAACGAGAACGACGCTTGGAGCATCGATATTGCTGGTGACGTTAACACGGACCCCAACGTCACCCTCCCCATTCCCAAGACGGAGCTCCTGAGCTTCGTTCAAACACTGTCGCTTGCATCCCATCACGAAAGTGCTTGTGATTGCTATGCCAACTCCCTCACCAAGTTTCTGACCGCTCTCGACACCTTGCGCGTTGTGGAGACTCCCTCCATGTGGGCTGCAACCTTCTTCATCTGCGAAAACATTCCTCATGGTAACTGTCCCATCCTCGAGGCTCTCGTTCCACGCAAGTTGGTCGTTCGCAATGTCACCGGCAACCACCTTCCCGTGTCGCCCGGATGGAGCGTGCCCCGCGAGACTGAAGAGGTTGTCCTGTTCCTCTCCACGGTGATGGACCGTCTCGGCAAGGTGAGTACCATGGCACGACTTGGGAAGCCATGTTACTGTAACAGCACTGACTTGAAGGGCGTCGACGGACCCAAAGACCTCATCGACTCGTATCAAGGCCAGTTTTCCACTGTCAAAAAGTTCAAGATAGTGTTCTGGCCCGACCTGGACATGACCGAGGTTAACCACCGCCCTGACAGCCAACGCATATTGGGACCAATGGAAGCAGAGGCCGTGCACCGCGAGAAGCCCATCTATGCGGACCACATTGCGAGGATTCTGCGGGTTTTGACATACGGTGTCCCTCGCTTAAACTCAGAGTCTCGCCCTCTGGTCACTGTTTACGGCTTTGGCCAACTGCACCTCATCGGCTTCGACCACTCCACCCTCGTGCGCAGGTACAAGACGCGTAACCCCAACCTCGCGACGTACGACCTCGCCACGATCGTCAAGCAGAACGCGTCTATGGCACACCCATACTTGGCCGACCCACGCCCCTTTATGGTCCCCTGCGAGGTTCAGTGGCGCACTATTGACAGCTACAAGAGGAACATCGACGACCGCAAGGCCAAGGTCAGCGAGTTCGACTAAGTTCTGCACTACTCACTTTTCGTGCCGATCGACTCGGCGACTCCAGCTCGCTTTCAACATGTGTAGACCCCCTTGTGAACAGAACTTGCGGTCGTTAGCTGCCCGGACGGCTGTTGAATATCCCACTGCTTCCAAACCCCTCTACCTCCGAGTATTCAGCCCACTTTCGCCCCGGCTTTGTACAGACCTCCCATGGATGTAAGTGTACCTGGGCACATGTATACTTCGTGACCTGCCAGACATATCAAATGTGCATCGACTCGCATCTCTATCTCGTATCGCGTGCTATCAAACTGGGTCCTTGTAAAGCTAACCTTGGCCTCCTTCCTCGCTGTAACAACATTACACTCCTCGTTCGACCGTACCCTCCTGCTCGGCGCCGCTCGCTCGCTCTACTCCACCCTCTCACCCCTCTCGCCCCGCTCAGAACCCGCCAGCAAGCAGCTTTGCTGCCTTGCGCTCATCCAACCTCCTGGGCGGGGCGCGGCCGGGCGTCCCACTCCGGCCGGGGAGCATCATGCTCTGCGCCATGGGCGCGCCGCCGAGTGGGTCCACGGGCCCACCGGAGGACGAGGCTGAGGGTGTCATCGGACCGCCACCGAGGGGTCCACCTGGTGCACCGGCAGCCGAGCGGGGCCGGTTGAGATCGCCAGCGCCGGCCTGGCCGGGGAGGAACATGGACTGCGCCATGCCTGCTGCCGGGACTGGAGTGGAAGCGAACCCGGGGCGTGAAGCCTGCTGGGCGGCCTGGTTGGGCATGCCGGGAATCTGGGGTGCGGCGGGGCCAGTGTTGGTGTACGCGCCAGCCATGGGAGGCGGGGGCGCCACGGCCGACTGGCTCAGCGGCGAAGTCACCGGGTTGGACGCGCGTGTAAGGTCGGGACGGAGGGCCTCGAGTTCACGCAGGGTCTGGCGGTTGAAGATGATGCTCATGCGCGCGTGCTCAAGGAGGGAGATGGCAATGTCCTCGTGGGCCGAGCGCGAGTGGCCACGCAGCGCATAATGGAGGTTCTGCGAGATGGCAGTGATGTGTGATGTGAGGCGGGTCTCGATGGCGTTGGCCTCCTCCATGTCGGTAATGGCCTCGTCGACCTTGGCCGGGTTGATGCTCGAGCTGCCCTTGAGGCGCTCGACGACGCGGCGCTTGTTGATGGCTGCCTTTGTCGCGCTCTGGCTGTCCTCGAGAATGATAGAGCGCTGCGCAAGGGCGTCACGGGCGGACTTGGCGTTGGTAGCCTGGTACGCGAGCGAGTCGTTAAGAATGACATTGTCGCTCGCGCCCTGGGCGCTAGACATGCCCGCCAGCTGCTCGTATACGCGGCCCATCTTGCGCTCGGCAGTCGCAAGCACAGCGTCGCCCTCGTCGGTGGCCAGCGTGATGAGGCGGGATCCAACCTCAGCGTTGGCCGTGGCAAGCTGCTTGCGGACCTTGCCCATGTTGCCCACTGCGCTGGCCGCATTCTGCCATGCGGGCTCGAGCTTCTCCAGCGTGACCCTCGCGCTCTCAATCTCATCGTCGTCGTCCAGCGGTCCACGGCGCACGATCTTGGACAGCGCAGCAGTGAAGCTCGCTCCGGCCGAACTGCCCTGTCGCCGCGAGCTGGGCGGGGGCACTGGCTGGTACCCAAAGTCGCTTTCGATGAAGCTCCTCAACTCGTCCTCCTTTTGCAAAACCGGGTCGTCACATACGCGCGAGAACCACCGCTGCAGAGCAATACGCACAAGACGGTCGTCTGGGAGGCGTCAGTTTGATGACCATAGCGTTGTCAACACTCACCCTCCTCGTCGGTCGCAGCAGACGTGTGCGGCAGAGGCAGTGCCGGGATAATGGCTGGTAGGTCAGTGCCCATGCAGGAGGCGGATTGGAACCTACTCTGAGGACAACAAAGCTGGGCCTGCTCTGCAAACCGTTGGAACTCGACATACGAGCGCTGCATGTTGCGGTACAGCGACGTGCGGAAGTTGGGCAGGTTGGTCTGGTCGTCAGCAAGGGCACTCCTCCATCGGCGGTGGGTCGAGCCTGTACAGAGCGCAGCTGGCACGCGCGGCGTTACAGCACACACTCCTGTAAGATAGCGCGACCTCTCTCCCCAGAGCCCGCACAGACAGACTGCGCCCATCCCGAACAACTCACGCTCGCATCGTAACGAATGAGCAGGTCCTTCCTGTTGCGCTCCAGCACGCCAATGCGGACACGCAAGAACGGTGCTGGCGGCGCACCCTGCTCTCCTGTCGCACTGCTGGCCCCACCGGGGTGCATGAGGGTCGTGCCGGGGTCGCCGTAGACGTGGGGTTCGCGAGAGAGGTGCGACGCTGGATGGTGTGGGGCCTGCGCGCCCCCAGCGTTCGCGGCGCGAGCGGCCTGCTGCTGTGCAGTCGGCGAGGCCGGGGATGCCATGGACGACGTGCGCGGCGTAGTTGGGGACGCAGGGGAGGCCGCAGTTGCCGATGGGTCGGCCCAGCCTGCGTTGACGGCGGCAAGAGGGTCCATGGTTGTGGATGGTGTGGTTGTGACGTGACGCCGCGAGGCTGAACGAGGATCAAGCGTCCGTGGGTGGAGGGCCGGCCGAGTGATTTCAACGGCCGCACCCACCAGTAACCGGTCAGTACAATCACAACGTTGGTCTCTCCAACAATGCCTTCTGCACCCCATTTGGCTATACGTATCACACAATGCATGGACAAACTAAGCGGCAACCTCCTGCTCCTGCTCCTGGCGGCGCTGCTGCGGCTGCCGGCGCTGGTGGGTAATAGGACCCTGCGCAGCAAGGCTCTCGGCGTCGTCGACGACCTGGCGGGCATCGGTGACAGCAGACTTCCACTCGGTCAGGCGACGCTCAAGGAGCTGCCACTCCTCGGGGCCAAAGCGGCGGGTGCCGTGCGACGAGACCGAGATGATGCGAACAGTCGAGAGGGGCTGCGAAAGGCGGGCCTGGAGGAGCTTGGCGTGGATGGCTAAATGTCAGCTTCGATCATCATCTCCCTAACTCACCGTCAATAACCCAAGCCTCAACGTCGACCTCGTCAACGGCAAGAGCCTTGGCAATGTCGGCGTACGAGATCTGCTTGGTGGCAGAGCGGGCAGCGAGGGTGGTAAGGGCAACAAGGCGGACCTTGCGGAGGACGGCGTCAACGTCGAGGCCGGTAACACCGAGACCCGAGACGTAGGCGGCGTTGGCGGCAGCCCATGCGGTAGCCTTGGCAACCGCCTCAAGCTCGTCATCCTCAACAAACAGCGCAACGAGCTCGGTAGCCTTGCCGGTGAGGGCATCGCGAGCACCCTGGACCTTGAGAAGGTCGTCGAGCTCGAAACGGTTGGGCTGGGCGAGAGCGAGGGCAAGAGCGTGCTCGGCGGTGGCGGCGACGAGCGAGCGCTCAAGGGAAAGGAGGGTGAGCGAAAGAGCGGTGGCGAGGTCACCGGCGCTCTCGTAAACGGCAGCAGCGGTGGTAAGGAACGAGACCTTGTCGGCGTCGGAAACCGACCACTGGGCAAGGGCAGCGCTCACGGTGGCGGAGGGGAGGGGGAGGGTGGAGAGGTCGTCCGAAGCACCGAGAACCTGGACGAGGGCGAGGAGGGCAGCGAGACGGAGGGGCGACTCGGGGGCAATGTAGTTGTAGGTGTTGTTGAGGCTGCGCCATCAGTACGACAGTCCCATCACGGCATCGTCATTTGTTGATGTAAATACTCACACACGCGAAGCAGCCTCGAGCTTCGCTGTCCTGCCAGCGACGGCAGCGGCCTCACCGCCAACACGAACGGCCTCCAGCACGCTCTTGACGAGCGACGCGTACTCCTCACCCTTCACGTCAAAGTTGGTCGACAGAATGTGTTGCAACAAGAGGTGCGACGACTCGACCTCTGAAAGCGGCGCGTCAGCACAACGTCATCCACACTCCCTTCGGGTGCTGGGCAGGAACAGCCAGCTCGAGCAGTGCAAGGTCGACTACAGCTTCTCGTTGAAGTATGCGCAGGATTACGCTGGCTGTACACTTTTGCCGCCCAGACCACTGTTTCGATGTGGGATTCCAACTCACCGCCCTCCTTGGCGGCCTCGAGCGCGCCGTTGGTGGCGACATATGCGTCGGTAACCTTGCGCACGATGTCCTGGCGGGTAGCCTCGTTGTCGTCCTTGAGCTGAACGTCAAAGGTGTTGAGAAGCTCGCGGGCAGCGACCTGCTCAGCAGTAGCCATGGAACGGGACGCGTGCTGGAGCGTCTCCGCAATCTGTGACACCAGTCAGCTCTGGCCGGGCGGTTTGAGTTGGCGTTGTCGATGGAGGGGCTAGGGCGGAGGAAAGGAGGGGAGGGGGATGCGCACCTGCTGCCTGAAGGCCAGCTCTGGGGCGATGGCGACGCAGTCGGACATGGTGATGACTGCCTTTTGGGTGGTGTGTAGGAAGGTCTATACAGCTCTAAGGGCTCTATGGTGATGGTCCTGACACGGCTCGACAGAGACATCTTTTTAGAACGAGGATCCAATATGCCACCCACCAATTCGCCGCAATTTCCGATGGCCACGTGGAGGTTTCAATTGGCCATTAGACTTGGTATCCTAATGATTCAGTAATTATTACAAATCCGTAGGCTATAGCCGTCGCGCGCCGGAATGGCAGCCTGAGGAACATGGACGTGACGCACCACCACAACGACGACGAGCAACAACACACATTTATCCACAACCACGCAGCCAAAATGCCCCCCAAGGCCGCTCCCCAGCAGCTCAGCCCCCAGGACGTCCCCGTCGTCTTCCAGCGTTACCGCACAGAGCTGCAGAACCTCGCCCAGAAGATCGGAGAGCTCGAGTCGGAGATGGACGAGCACGCGTGAGTGTCCAAGGATGTTCTACACCGCGGGTCACAGTGGACAGTGGAGTGGAGTCGAGATGGCCAGACGAAGCGTCGTCGCTCGTGCAGAGCTATTGGTGACAGTCAACGGTCCTCAACGTCCTTCTCGGGGACCAACCGAACGATCCAACGATCACCTTCGGTCACCTTCCACCTCCACTCTGTCTACAGGCTCGCGTTGTTCACGCTCCTCCAGCTAACACCTCCCCAGTCTTGTCCTCGGCACCCTCCAGCCCCTCGTTTCTACCGAGCCCGAGCGCGCGTGCTACCGTCTTATCGGCGGCGTCCTCGTTGAGCGCACCGTCAAGGACGTCGTCCCCGCTCTGGAAACCAACTACTCTGGTATCAAGGAGGTGCTCGACACCCTTGTCAAGACGTACAAGGGCAAGGAGGAGGAGTTTGGCGCGTTCCAGCGGGAACACAATATTTCGGTGAGTAGAGAAAGTCGAGTTGGAGAGGACGTGAGCGAACCGTTCGTGGGCAGCTTCTTTGACGAAGGGACGGGAAGCTGCTGTACACGGGATGTCCGTCGGTTCGACCACCAATAGCTACTGCTTAGCTGCTCCGCTGTACTCCTCTGCATGGAGTCCATGAGCAGCTGTGGAGGTTGTATGGCCAGCTGCTGTATCGGCATCGTCCTGATGTCACATCCTCCCCGTGGTATCCGGCTAACAACCCCCAGATGCCCGGTCGCGGCCAGTAATGTGTACACCACTACCCATCATTCGATACCCTCATCGTGCATCTCCCTCTCGGCCTCGTAGCGTGCAGAAATGGACGTCCCACAGGCGACCCACCCCGCGGCTCTGCCACTCAAACATTTGGTCATGGCTCGCGCGACTCCACCGGTGCTCCTCTCTCGGTTCTGTTGACATTCGAAACGTGGCCTTTCCCATACCCGCTCATCTCCATGCCTCGTTTAACAATGCATATGCATCTATTACAATTTAGAATGCGGCTGGCGAGGCGGACCTGCGCGGGGTCGTGGACGCGCTGAGGCTCATGGGACGCTTTGGTGTCTGCGTCGACTGTCGCCTGAACAGACCGCCACCGCCACTGCTCTGCTTGACTTTTGCCGCGTTGGCGATGAGTTCCGAGATCATGCCGTTACTGCAGGTTGTGTCAGCTTACGCAAACCTAGTCAAGCTGTGACTCACTATGTCGCCTGGTCGTGTGTCTGCGCATCCTTGAGTTGCAAGAACCACGCAAGGAGGCCGCTCGCGTCGGCCGTACGTCGCACAAGGTCGGCGTGGAGGGCCTCGAGCCGCGCGAGCGGGTACAGTGCCAACTGGTCTTCTTCGAGACCACACAGGTCCTCTGCGCGCGCAACGTCGAGCCCTGGCCTCGGCCCCAAGCCGTACTTGCGCTCATTCTCAGAGTTGAAGTTGCTGCTCGGGACAGCCGATGCTGGGGCAGAGCCCATACCACCAACGTCCTCGCGCGCCTTGCCCTTTGCTGGATCGGCAGACTGGGCGCGGGGAGGAGGAGCATTTGCGAGCCCGGTGGTGATTCGCAAGGGGGGAAGAGCAGAGAGGCGGTGAGAGTCCACCTCGTCCAGGTTGACTGGGACGCCCATGCTGATAAGGTGGTCCCTCCTCACGCGACTGCGCGTCCAGTCCAGCGGCTTGAGCATTGGTGCGGTCGTGAGCTGCGCGTATGCGTCACGGCTAATGTCAGCTACAGTGACTCTTCGCCTCATTCGTACCTGGACTCTGTTGCGAGAACCTGTGACAGGCCACCAACGGCCCGTGGCTCTTCATCCGTGAACGCCTCGGAGTCCGGGACAATCGGCGCGAGCACAGTCGCGAGTCGTTCAAACAGCTCGCGGCCACGGGGAACGGGACGCAGCTCGAGTGCAGCCTGGATATCGCATTAGCATAGACCTCCCAATCGGCATCACAGAACTCACCCATCGCTCCTCGGCGGGCACAGACGGTCCCGCCACAACCTCCTCTTGCACAGGCGCCGCCGCAAACGCGTCGTCGCCCTCTGCAAAGTCGCCAAAGTCACCAAACCCGTCGTCATCGTCAAAGCCGCCGCTGGGTCCTGCGGCGTCAAAGTTGTCGAAATCGCCAAAGCCGTCGTCCCCGCCAGCCGCCGGCGCCGCGCCAAAGCCATCGTCACCGCCGAACCCGTCATCATCAAAGGCGTCGACGGCGCGCTCCGTCTCGGCAGGGAGGGCGGACCCAGACGCCGCTGGGAAGGGAGATGTGAACGCCTCGTCCGCTTCCTCGTCCTCGGTGGCATCAAAGTCCATGTCGTCCGAGAAAGCGCGCTCCGAGGGCGCTACAGCGACCTCTGCGGCTGTTGTGTCGTGCTCCTGCGCTTGCTCAGGCTCTGGCACTGGCTCGTGGGTAGCCTCGGGAACCTCCTCGGCGGGCGTCGTGTCCTCTGGGGTCGCAAACTCGGGGGTGTCGGCTTCAGCCTGCTCGGTTTCGGGCGTGGGCTCGATGACGGGCTCGATGACGGGCTCAACGACGGGATCGACAGCAGGTTCAACGACGGGCTCGATGACGGGCTCACCGGCCGTCTCGACAGCAGGCTCTACAGCAGGCTCCATGCTGTCCTCGTCGGCCTTGGGCTCACGAGCAACCTCCTCCTCAATGGCGGGTACAATCTCGGCGTGGACTGGCTCTGCGTCCTGTGAATCCTCCTCTGCGGGCGCGAGCTCTTCGACCTCCTCGACCTCGTGGTCCTGGCCGTTGGCCTTCGGTTCCGCCTCCTCGGTCGCCTCCTCAGTGGCCTCCTCGTCCCCGTCCTCACCCGGGTCCTCCTCATTGCCAACAGTTGCGGACGAGGGCACGAGTGGAGACGACGGCGTCGACCTGGCCGCGGCCTTGGGCGACGTCAGGGGCGAAGTCACGCTCGCGCTGCTCTGGACGAGCGACGGTGAGGTCGGTGTGGATGGGGCCGTGGGGGTCGTTCCGCGCGATGGGGAGGGGGGCGCGTCGGCCCAGGGGTCGTCCATGGTGGCCGTGTCGTGTCGTCTTGTCTCTTACGAGCAGCCGAAAGAAAGGGAGAGAGATGAAGTGTAGTTGGCGTAGTTGTGGGTTGAAAGGACGGCGGTTGTCTTGACTTGTGACGCGCACTGATCACATAACGTGCGGCGTGGAACAACAGCACCCGCGGAACCAAGTGTGGACGGAGACGGCGATCGATTTAGAATTCTCGGTCAATTGGGGGGGGGGTCGTTTCATATGTGTCACCATTTAGGACTGTCGCGTCATTTGGGGACAGTGTCGGCCAGTCATAGTCAGCAATATGGATGGCAGCATGCATGGCGACGGCGCTACGAGGACTCATGTGTATTCATGTCCCAGCTCCACATCATTTGCTGTCCATACGAAACACGCGCGACTTGGGCACTCTCACAGACCCATGTCTCCCCGAGGCCAAAGGGCATCACAGATCACAGAGCCCGTCAATGGATCAATGGCGTTCATGCAAATAATACATTCTTTCTTCCCTCCAAATTAAACACGCTCAAGAACAATGGCAATACCCTGGCCACCACCAATGCAAGCACCACCAAGAGCGTACCTCTTGTTGAGACGGTGGAGGTTGTGGACAAGGTTACCGGTGATACTGTGGGAATTTTGTTAGCATCAGTCTGGCCGACTTCAAGTAGCTCGAAAACTCACCGAGCGCCCGAGGCAGCAAGAGGGTGGCCGACGGCAATGGCACCACCGAAGACGTTGGTCTTCTCGTTGGGGAGCTCGAGCTCCTTCTGGACAGCGAGCCACTGGGCGGCAAACGCCTCGTTGATGTCAATGAGGTCCATGTCGTTGATGGTAAGACCGGCGCGCTCGAGAGCCTTGCGGACCGAGACGGCGGGGCCGATACCCATGATAGAGGGCTCGCAAGCCGACCAGGCGTATGAGACAATACGGGCGAGGGGCTTGACATTGTTCTTCTTCATGGCCTCCTCGGACATGACAATGTTGGCGGCACCGCCGTCACAGATACCCGAGGCGTTGCCGGCGGTGACCGTGCCGGTCTTGGGGATAAAGACCGAGGGGAGCTTTTGGAGCGACATGAGCGACGTGTGGGGCTTGGGGTGCTCGTCGGCGTCGACGACGTGGTGGCCCTTGCGAGTCTTGATAGTCACGGGCGCAATCTCGTCTGCGAAAGCGCCGGCAGCAAGACCGGCGGCGTAGCGCTCCTGCGACTGGACGGCGTAGTTGTCACAGTCCTCGCGCGAGATGCCGTACTTCTTGGCAAGGTTCTCAGCAGTGATACCCATGGGGGTCTTCTCGCCACCGGGGTTCTGGTCGGTGAGGCAGGCAGCAAGCGAGTCCTCGAGCTTCTGGTCAATGCCGAAGCGCATACCCCAGCGCGAAGCGCCGCCGAGGGTGTAGGGGCTCATGGACATGGCCTCGGAACCACCAGTGAGACACACATCTGACTCGCCAAGACCAATCGTCTGAGCGGCAGTGATGATCGTCTGGAAACCCGAACCACAGAGGCTAGTCAAAGGTCAGCAGCTACAGAGGTCAAGGCGCCTGTGGGCTCTGCTGACTCACCGGTTCACAGTGAGGGCGGGGATGTCGACACCGAGACCCGAAAGGTGGCCAACATGGCGAGCGAGGTAGGGAGTCGAGTTGTCAGTCTGAGTGACACCACTGGGTTGTCAGCTACCAATCCTGTGCTTTGAAGCTCACCCGAAGAAGACTTGGTCGACCTGGACGCTCTCCGGGAGCGTGGCAAGGGCAGCCCTGCCGGCGTGACCGCCGAGCTCAGACGCCTTGAGGTCCTTGAGCTTTCCGCCGAACGCGCCAAAGGGCGTACGCTTCGAGGCGACGATAAAGGCCTCGTTGCGGGCAATGTTGGAAGCGAGGACGCGCGTGGAGGGGTGCATGTCGTGAGGATGAGGAGTGGTGTGAAGTTGGAAAGAGAAAAAGAATGACAAGGTTGTTGTCGATGTGGCCAGTCGGGCAGACTTTGCCGCGACACCTACACGGCGTACGGTCCTCGGGTAGCACAGGGCGGGCACACCGGCGCACCGGCAAAGCGCGTGCCGGGTGACATTCGTGTGTCTCTTCAATCTCTTCATTCTTTCACGTCGCAGCCACCAACGCGCAGCGCCGTAAGGCGACGCCTGCTATATACTGACAAGAGGTACATGTACACCCACTGAAGAGCAGCATGCTTTCTGCAGCATGCAGACGTGGGGTGTCGTTCGAATCGTCAGTCTCCAAGTCTCTCGGCTTTCGGCCAGAAGCAAGGCCCAATGCCGGTTATTAAGGCATTAGAACGCGACTGTTATCCCCGGGATCAAATAACGTAACAACGGAGGTCGCCGACTAATCTGTCTCACGTTGACATCTCACCAGTCAAGCAATGCGCGCTGGCAAGCATTCTGCTTCACAGATCACAGATGCCCTTTCAATATAACGTTGGGCTTAAGAAGTCCTCGTTACACGTTTTATAAGCCCCAACATTGCATGCACCTGCCCTATCAACGCGGCACGCAGCAAACTATGACGTGGCTGACAGAGTCGGAACCGAGGTGGAGGCCTCCACCCATTCCGGTGGTGGCGACATGAGAGACCGAATGTGCCTATCCACATGCCCCACTCCTTCTCAACACACACACACCATCCACGTTATGAGCGGGCAAAACGACTTCAACCCTTGGGAGGACGACGATCTGTACGACGGTGTGGACGATGCCGACCACTTCTTCCTCGCCGACAACGACATTCAAGACATTATCGACGACCTGGAAGTGCGGGAGACGGACGATTCCGACTCCGAGGGCGATGGGGATTACGTCCCACATCACACCCTCTTTCACGATGACGATGATGAGGAACTAGAGGAAGAAGACGATGAGGACGAGGACGAGGACGAGGAAGAGGAATCAGAGGACGATACGCCCCAATACCCGGGCGGCTGGCCCCAGCGAGTCTATCTCGTCGATGACGACGACTCTGATTCAGAGACTGGGGTTCCGCTCGGTCCTCGCCAGCTTCAAGAGCTTGCAACTCTGTTCAACAGCGAAACCGGTATCAGCGCCGACGCTCGTTCAACGCTGCTTCAGCATCTCCTGGGACGCACAGTCGGGCATTCCATGCGAACTCTTCGGCGACCAGCAGAGGATCCTGCGGCCAGGCGCCGCGGACAGCGGTGGTGGACACCGCAACGTGAACCCCACCCCGCTGGCCTTGCCCTTCTCCGTGGTGGCGAGTTTGGACCCGTCGGGCCGTGGACCCCAGCCTCCAAGCCCGAGCAACGAGGTCGTCGTCCTGGTCAACGGTATGGCAGGATGCCCGTGTTCCGCTCCTCCGAGCCCACCATCCCCAACACCCACGGCACGGTCGTCGCTTCCTACCCTTCCGTGCCCTATGTGGGCCAATACTGTGGTCCGGACTATGGTGTTTTCTGTGAGTGCACAATCTTACATATCTCAACGATATGCTTATCAAACTGACGCCGTGTGTCGTTATAATCGCTGGCGCGGTACAGACTCTGCTACACAGCACTTCACGCTTCACCTGTACTCGACCAACCAGCCCAAGACCAATGTCCGCCGACACACGACCGCTGCAGCACCGTCACCGCCACCAGAGGATGCAGAGAGCAGCGAGGATGACATGTGGGGCCGCAGCATGCTCGGCCGTCGACGTCGTGCGGCCATGAGGGAGGATTCGAGTATGCGCAAGATCAAAAACGTGCAAGGCGTGGAAGGCCAGTGGACGGTCACCGACGCAGACGCCGACCGGTCCGGCCAGCGCATGATCTACTCGTCCATCACACCATACGTCCACATGCTCTACACGGCGGAACACGATGCTCAGCATATCCGTCTCGACTTTTCCAGTCGCGATGGAGTGTGGGGCCATGACCACTTTGGTGTACGTCACACCACGCATGTCAACAGTATTTGGCTAACTGTGTCTAGATTTGGAGTATCCGCTTCTCGGCCGACGGCAAGGAAGTCGTCGCTGGTGCAGGCGCTCAGACGGACGGCCGTATCATGGTCTACGACATTGAAGCCGAGCGCCGTATCCTCTCCGTCCCGGGTCACCGCGATGACGTCAACGCGGTGTGCTTTGCCGACGAGAGCTCGACCAACGTCCTCGTCTCAGGAAGTGATGATGGCTACGTCAAGGTTTGGGATCGCCGCTCTCTGTCGTCGAACACACCGTCAGGTGTGCTCGTCGGCGCGACCGAGGGCATTACATACACGGCACCCAAGGGCGATGGGCGCTACATTGTTGTCAACTCCAAGGACCAGGCGGCGCGTCTGTACGACCTCCGCATGATGCGTAGCTGGAGCGAATTCTCCAACGAACCGGACGCCGTGGCTCAATGGGGCCAGGCAAACTTTGACTGTGAGTTGAGACATTCTGAGAGGTTCAACTGACACGAATCCAGACCGCCAAATGAGATACAACGCGCCCAAGCGTCTCGCCCACCCTCGCGACTGCAGCGTCATGACCTACCGCGGCCACAGCGTGCTCCAGACGCTCATCCGATGCCACTTTAGCCCCGTCGAGTCCACTGGCCAAAGCTACATCTACTCTGGCTCGGCCGACGGCCTGATCCACATCTGGTCGCTGGACGGCCGCGTCGTCCAGGTCCTCAACCGCGCCGAGAGCGTACCCCTGCGCGACAGTGCCGGAAACTACAACGACCCGTCGGCTCCGGAACCGGTGCGCGGGCGCAGACGCGTCGGCGCGAACGCGTACGAACACGGCGAGCGCTGGACGGTCCGTGACGTCGCGTGGCACGGGTACGAGCCCACGCTCATGAGCACGTGCTGGGAGCTCGAGGGCAGCTTCCGCCACGGAGGTAGCATTGCCAAGCACGAGTGGAAGGGCTTGGGGAAAGGGGGTCTGCGCTCGCTCGAGGACTGGGTCGAGAAGACTGCTGCAGAGGGCGAGCAGCAGCAGAGTGGCAGCAGGGGCGGTGAGAGGTGGTTGTAACAAAAATGGCCGTGTTGTTTCGTGCTCACTGTTCAGAGTCACCTGATATGTTACCTTGTTAAGCGTACCGTCTTGCGATAGTGCGCACCAGATTTACCCAAGGGGGCACCAATGGCCAATGGAGATGTCGGGCCGATGGGATGGTATACGAGGTCATCTTGCTACCCGAACACTCCTGGTTCAAACACTATTGCAGTTTCCGTGGGATCCTTTCCTTCCACCGCAAACCAAGCGTTCAGTGGAAGAAATCCGTGCCGCGCGGAGAAGCTCTGCAGATTGCTGGACTTGGCTCGCTAGCCAAGGAGTGCACCCCTGGACCAGGGCAAGGGCAGTTAGTTACATACATAGAGTAGTAGGTCATCTCGTGAAGCGGGAAGAGCACCCTGTGCGGACCAGAGTTTGGAGCGGGGAAGGATGGAACCCAATAAGTGTGAACTCTTGACGCGTGACCGCGGGTCCTCAAGGATGAACGCGACGCGTTGAATGTGCTGCTGCACCATGTGTGTCTTTTGACATCGCGTATGTCTTTTGACATCGCGTACACTCTTGACTTCAAGTGACTGGAGCCTGGCGAGCGGACCATACCCCCATCTCCGAACATACAAAGCATCGTGCTCTGTCACCACATGGGGGTCCAACTTGGTCTCGGCTCTTCTCAGGGCGAAGTCCAGTAGGTCGACAGTGAGTTTACGTTTGACGGACCCGGCAGTGGGCTTTGAGTCGTCATCGCGCGGCAAAATGTCACTCCAACCTTTTGGGAGTTTCACCACGGCCATCGGGAAGCCATGCTGTGGTGCTGACGGAGTTGTGAATAGTTTCAACTGGAGCGGGTCGGTTGGGGGTTGGGAGGCACAAACGATGCTCTGTAAAGTGGCTAAACTGGGCCAAGTTGTGCCTATGGATCTGGACCATGGATCCGGAAACAGGCAAACGAAAGCAAACAAGCTTGTTACGACGCGTGCTGATTACGACACCGCCACCCCTCCATGCCATACAACAGGGTGGCCAGGGTGGTCGGCTGGTATCTTCCATCGGCATCTCGGGATCGACCACACATGCTCTGCCACTCTTGTGCTCCTCATCCCCTCTTTTCCCAACCCCGTCAACGTATGCACGAATGCCTGTGACGGCCCGCGGATGACCCCCTGCGGAGCCGGCTCTTCGGCTCTCTGAGCATGCTGTGTATACAGAGTGCGTAACACGCTGGGCAGGTGCTTTCTTTTCCGTAGGAGGCGGACAGCACGGCGTCCAGATGGGTATATTAGAGGTGGTCAAGACACGTCTGAATCCCCATCACGCAAGTTCTTCTCATCTCTCTTTCTCTCTCTCTCCGGACACTCTACCACCCCAACAATCACACTCCTTTAACAATGGGCGCCCCCGCTTTCCACAAGTCCCTCGACTGCACCCGTTGGGGCAACCAGAACCCCTCGGCCGCGGCCCACGACTTCTTCTTGAAGGCCTGCGACACGCTCAAGGCCCAGAAGAATGGCGGAACCGACGTTAACAACATTGCCTATGTCACCCAGTACAAGGAGGGATCAAACACCTGGACCATGAAGGGTGCCGACTACAACAAGCAGTACTCGAACTGTCGCCTTGCCGTCGACACCATCATCAACCAGTGCATGGGCAACTACCAGTGGTTCCACGGTGGCAGGTACGGCACCGGCCCCGACATGTTCGAGATCTCGAAGAACTAAGCTATAAGCCAACGGCAGCAGAGGTGAGTTGGTTGCTACATGTCCATCGCCACTCAAGCGCTGACCCCACTAGCCACCATGTTCTTTGCGATCCACTTCATCCTCATCAACTGTCACTTTTTAACCTCGTCCCACTTCGTCCCCCTTGCTTCCCTTTCTGTAGCCTTGTGGCATTGACTTTATGATGCATGACTGCAGGCTGTTGTCACACACCGAAGTATCCCTATGCCCTTGGCCCCTGTTGAGGATGTATGTAAGCTTCGGACACATCCTGCAAAGAGGGGGCTGGCTGGGTGACGCGACAATCTAAATTCCGGCGCCCCAGATCGGCGCTCAGGCGTCAACACGATCCTCCGTTCACACAACTAGTACAACTCTTCTCCTTTGCCCAGTATCTCTCACATCGGTATACCCTTCTAGAATCTGTCCCAGCGCCATGTCCCACCCTCGCGAGTACGAAATCGCGCTCGGGCCAGACCACAAGCTGCAGTCGGTCTACTGCGACATGAACAGTCTCAACCCCTTCACCACCGGTGGCGACTCGATGGCTATCAAGGACCGCCTTCCTCTCACTGAAGACCACTACACCCAAAAGGATACCAGCATGAACCGCAAGATTTGGGACTTGATCCCCCTCATGGATATGATGCCCATGGGTCGACTCAACCAGGCCTACGAAAACAGGCGTGATGCGGAACGTCACACGTACGTGCCGTGCCGCCTTCCCTTCCCTTGTGGTGTTGACAAGTTCCACAGCTTCATGAGCGCGGATGGTAACAGCAACTTTGGTGCTATTAAGAACATTTCACGGAGGACCTCCTCAACCAAGAAATGAACCGTCTGTCAATGCTCTACATTGCCGATAGGCACATCGACAACTTCTATGGGATTTACGACAACCGCCTCACTTCCGCTTGGACTAGGCTCGAAACCAAGAAGGCCAACGGAGACATTGAACCTCTGGCTTCCGCTGTTACGCGTGCCGAAGCTCTCAAGGCGAAGGGCAATACGCTGTACGTTTGCGGTACTGATTTGTCGCGTCCTCGCTAACGGTACAGGTTCAAGAAGGACAAGATGGTCCTAGCGCTGGAGGCGTACCGCGACGCCATGTACACATTGTATCCTTGGAGCAACAACCCTCTGCTCTTCACTTCAACCGACGCGTTCAAATACGGCATTGTTGACATGTGAGCTTTCCATGTACACCTGACTCTCACTGACGAAAAGAACAACATGGGCGTGATCCTCCTCAGGCACACCAGGATGCCGAGCCCCCATACCTCTCGAGCCCCACAACAGCCTCTTCGCTGTCGTGAAGCTTTGCGCCAAGATGCTGATCAACATGCGCTACATCACTCATCGCCAACTCGTCAAGGCGTATGCTCGTATGTGACCAAGAGTCTGTAGACATTAATAACACAGGTTCCGCCGAGGCCACGTACGGTCTTCACCAGACGCAGTTTGCCTCGGACGATTTCGGTCCTCTCGGTATGAACGTGAACGCCTCGCCCAGTCAGGTCAAGCAGATCATGAGCCCCCTACTTGCCCACTCGGTCTTCCTCTCCCTCTCAGACCCCGCCGACGACTGCTCCGCTCACGCCGACTGTGTCATGCGTCACGACGGTTGTACCTCGCTCGCCGCCGTCCAGAAGCGCATTGACGCGGTGTTCGACAAGGGCGACACGAGCATCCTCCTGCCTACCGGAATTCGCGTCACGTTTTCCACCAAGTAGGAAGAACCAGTTGACCACCACCACAAGCGCCACCCACGAGCACCACCCACAAGCACCACCACAAGTACAAGTGAGAGTTCCCGGAAGAAGACGCAAGGTAGTGCGTGTACATAGTGAAGGTTGGAGTAGTTATGACAAGTTGCAAGTGGAGAAGTGTGTAAAGAAATGCAAGAGCTGTACGCCCCACCACCTACCGCTGCCGTTGACGGGAAAGCCTTTCGCAGTAGTTGAGGGGAAGACAAGCATCGAAACGACCACTCACACAAATCCACACGGCCACACGCGTGCCCGCGCATGCCCGCTGGCCGCTGATCGTGGTCGCGTGGATTGTGTCCCGTATTGTGCCCCATCCCCAATGTCCCCATCCACCACGCCTTTGTGACGCCCTCCCGCCGTCCACCACCTCTGACGTTCTTTGCATCCTTCCTTCCTCCCATTCCACCTCACATCCATCCAAGCGGCATCCACCATGTCTCCTGGGGCCACTTTCCACATTGTCCTGAAGCAGGACGGACAACTGTTCCCCCTTGTGGACGACTTTTCGACCCTCAGCCCCTTCAGCACGGGAGGCGACTCGCTGATCATCAAGGAACGCCTTCCTCTCACGGAGGCTCACTACTCTCAAACGGATACCAGCATGAACAGCAAGATCTGGGACCTCATTCCCATCATGGAACAGAGGGAACTTGAGTCGCTCCACACAATGTTTGAGATGTTCCGTCTGGTGTGAGTTGATTCTACACTTCACCAACAACCGTGCAGTGCGGTATGTATGTACATGCTGACTCGACTGTAGTCACCAGACCAAGGACGGAGTTTACGACCGTAGAGTCGTTAAGAACAAGATGAAGGACCACCTGTTCAACCATGAGCTTATCCGCCTTCACTGCCTCAAGTGTATCGACAACATCCTCCATTCGGTTTGGTATGCCCACACGCCCATCTCCTTCACGACGTGGGGAGGTCTTGAAAACAGGAAGCCCAAAGGTCAAATCGAGCCGCTCCAGGCCGTTCTCAAGCGTGCCGACGCTATGAAGGCGGAGGGAAACAGGTTGTGAGAACCATATGCTCGGCAACGGGGCTAACGTTTGCAGCTACTCTGAAGAAAAGTATGGCAAGGCGCTCAAGACTTACCGCGATGCTCTGTACGCTCTCTACCCTTGGAGTAACAGCCCCCTCCTCTTCACTGCCGTGGAGGCGTTTAAATGTGGAATTGCACAGCTGTAATTTTACCCCTTTGCGTGCACCGCTAACATACTACAGGGAGAGCACACTCTGGAACAACCTTGCCACGACTATCCTCAAGCTTACCGACGTCCATGGCCGTAACTTTCACTTATTTACCGCTGCTTGCCGCAGCGCCCAAGTTGCCATGGATATGCGCTTCATCACCCACCGCCAGCTCGCCAAGGCCTATGCTCGTGAGGGACACGGCACTTTTGTTACTCAGTACACCGCTTCTAACACTGCAGGTTCTGCCGAGGCAATGCTCGGTGTTCAGCAGTCCCAGCCCTCCAAGCTCGAGTTGGACGGCGTCCCCATCAAGATGCGCCTGACGCTGGACGCGGCGACCGACATCAACATGAAGCCCAACACGGTCTACTCGGTCATGGTGTCGCTCGCGGACCCCGACAACGGTTCCTGGGCCCACGCCAACTGCCACGACCGCCACGATGGCTGCATCTCGCTCGCCGTGGCCCAGAAGCGCATCGACGCGGCCCGTGAGAAGGGCAAGAGCAGTCTCGCTCTCCCTAGCGGTATCCATGTTGTCATCGAGGTCCCGCCAGCTTAGCTGCGCCACATGGTTTGACGTCGGATTGGAGTTGATCCGGACCGGAGAACAAAGCGCCACAACCTGTTTGTAGGCGCAGGCGCGCAGCAGCAGGTTTACAACGAGACTTCAAGCCCATGTACCTACAATTGGTCTCACGCACGTCTATCTGATTGGGAGAGGCGCCTATCATTGTGCAGCCAGGCTGCTTTGTCCCAGAGCGACGCCGGGCCTCGTTCGGCTGAATGTACTCGGCCAAAGCAAATCGCGCTCTGGTCGTTATTGTGCGGGTGGTCCCGGAGCTCCCATGGGGTCCACCCGGGCCCCACAAGGTGTGCGGGGAAGACGGTCCATCTACTGACATGACGGTGCTGGTGCTCGACGTTCAAGGCGAAGCTCTCAACCCCACAGGTTCACGACCGGCCTCGTTTATGTAGTCCGTTAATGTACAACGGCCAAGAGACTTTCCGGTCGCGGAAAGCCAATGGGCAACGGGGACGTCATTCACCATCAACTGACCTACGAATCGTCCAGAGTGGTGCTGGAACTTCTGCAACTGAGACTGCTGAATGTGCTCCACAGGCCACAAGGAAATCCATCTGCAATGCATATCGACCGCCTCGGAAGCAGGAGGTGTTCGGCGGTCCTCGCCGAGCTTCGTTTGGTGGCTGCAGTGCGGCATGGGCGGCATGTGACGGGTTGGCCAGGTCCGGACGGCGCATACCCGACCATTCTGCGGCACATACGAAGCTTGGCACACGCGCGTGCAGAAATCGCACAACTGGCCGGACTGGCGTCTGGACCACTCCATAACACACACACATTCCAAACAAACGAACAAAAGGGCTCATCCTCTTTCGACATGGCCGTTCACTCTTAGAACTAGACATATCAAGATGCTCACCACCACCACCCCCACTCACGGGGCTCACGCCGCTCGACTGGCGCGTGCTGCCCTTCTCCGCGGCGCCCCCATGGGCCTCCGGGGCTATTCGCCACCAGCAGCGCTCGACGCCGAGCCGACCCCTGCTCTCCCACACCGACACCACCCCACTCTCCGCACCCCGGCATCGAGCCCCGCACTGAGGGAAGCGGGGCCGAGTCGGCATGTGCACTCACACGACATGGTACCTAGTGTGTCGCTCAGCCGCACGCCAGTGACTTGGGAGACTGTCGCCGAGGGCAAACGCGCTGTGCGGGACGCCCGCATCCCAACCGCCTGGCAGCTGCCCAACAATCCCCTCCCGCCCTTGAACGTGATGGATGTCCCAGCCACGAGCGGTATCCTGACCGACCTCGAGATCAAGATCACCGAGACGCCGGCGCCGCAGCTCGTGGACCTGATGGTCGACCACACGTACACGTCCGAACAGGTCGTCACGGCCTTTTGCAAGCGCGCGGCCATCGCACAGCAGCTCACCAACTGCCTGACCGAGATCTTCTTTGCGCAGGCGTTGACGGACGCGCGCGCCCTGGACGCACATTATGCAAAGACAAACGAGCCGGCCGGTCCACTGCACGGCCTCCCCGTGTCCATCAAGGACAACTTCAACCTGCCCGGCATCGACACGTCGAACGGCTTTGTCAACTATTGCCATATGCCAATGACGCACGCAGACGAGGCGGACATTGCGCGCTCGATGCGCCAGGCAGGCGCGATCCTGTACTGCAAGACCAACGTCCCCACGGGCATCCTCATGGGCGAGACATACAACAACGTCTGGGGCTACACGTCCAATCCGTACAACACGGACATGACTGCTGGCGGCTCGAGCGGCGGCGAAGCGTCGCTGCTCGCCCTGCGCGGCAGTCCGCTCGGCGTCGGCACGGACATTGGCGGCTCGATCCGCATGCCTGCGGGCATCTGCGGCGTGTACGGCCTCAAGCCTGCCGGCGGCCGCTTCCCAGTCATTGGCATCCGACCAGCCCTCCCTGGCCAAGAGACGATCAAGGCCACCGTCGGCCCCATGTCCCAGGACCTCGAGTCGCTCGCGCTCTGGTGCAAGGTCGTGCTCGGGAGCAAGCCGTGGGAGCGTGACCCCACCGTCTTCAACCTGCCGTGGAGGGAGGCCGAGGTGCCCGAAAAGCTCTGTTTCGGTGAGTCCGGAGCAGGTCGGCGGCTCGGTGGAGCCAAAAGAAAGATGGCTGACGAGGTACAGGGATGGTCGTGGACGATGGGATGGTTCGACCGACGCCAGCGGTGGCCCGTGTGCTGCGCGAGACGCGCGAGGCCATCGAGGCCGCAGGTCACCGCGTCGTCGAGTGGAGCCCGCCAGACCCTCGCACCGGCATTGCGCTTCTGAAGCGCTTCCTGATCGCCGACGGAGGCGTGCGTATCGGTCGGGTACTCAAGAGCGACATCCACGAGCCATGGCCGCTCCAGCTGCGCCGCTTTGAGCAGCACTACAAGCGGCTGCGCGACGGGGGTGCGCCGCCGACCGTGTCGGGCCTGTGGGACATGCAGGCAGAGAAGCAGCGATACCTCCGTCGCATGCTCGAGGCATGGACAGCCACGCGCGAATTGACCGACACTGGCCGCCCGTTCGATGCCATCATCTCGCCAGTGTGCGCGTTCCCCTCTGCCCCGCGGTACTCGTTCCGCCACGCCGGATACTCGGGTATCTGGAACATGTTTGATGCCACGAGCGTCGCCTTCCCCGCAGGCTGGGCGAGCCGCCGCGACGTCAAGACCGGCGAGAGTCTGCGCAACGACGACGAGCGCATCGTCTGGGACAAGTGTGAGTAGCTGATACGTGACCGAGGCAGGGAGCATGTGCTTACGGGACGGCAGACGACCCAGACCGCCTGGACGGCATGCCTGTGGGCCTGCAACTCGTCACTCCTCGGCACACCGAGGAGCTGGCCCTAAAGCTGACCCGGCTGGTCGTGGACGCCATTGGAGAGCACCGTCATTGAGTTTCGGCGGTGCATGGAGGGAGTGTGGGTGCTGTTCAGAAGCGAAAAGGAAGAGAGAGGGGGCTATAGGGCTAGTCGTTGTCTTGTCTTATGCATCACCGCTGTTGTATCGCATACGGCAACGGAGCACCACGGGGCAATGTATTTGGCCGACGGCATTCGGCGTGGGCACGACTTTCGGAAAGCGAAGGTAAAAGCGCAAGCGTGTGCCTCTGCAGAGCAGGAAACATGACGCAATGCTTTGCATGTGGGTGTAGCGTCCACGGAGCACACGTGCAAGCACAATCAAAGGTATGGACTCTTATCGCTGGGGATGGAGGTTTGACCGAGACGGATAACGCGTGCCACCAAAGCGCTTGACGGAGCGGCCTGGTGGTTGCCACGGTCTCCGCAACCACACTCCTTGGCACCGGCCTCTCAAGCCCGGTATCATCACAACGTCTTGCTTGGTTGCCGCGCCCTTTCCAGCGGCCACGTCGCCTCTTGCAACAGCTACAGATAGATAGAGTTCTCGGCATACGCTGCTGCTGCCGCTGCCGCCGTCGTAGCCGTATGGGCCGTGTGCACTATGACTCGGAATAATCTCACTCCACTCCCCACTCAATACCACCCACCACCGATGGCCCTAATTGCCTTCCCACGTTGTCCTTGCAGTGAATAACCACCTGGCAACACGCAAGGGATGCTGGGAGCTCCTCGTGCACACCGGTTACTCGTCCGCAGCATGCAGGTTTTCTCCGGCAGAGCACACAGACATCATACGCGGTCCTGGAATGGGTAGACAATAGGCAGATGTCGCACCCACCGGCCAAGCCGAAAGCCAAGCCAGGGCGTTTTTGGGTGACGGCGGTGGCGGGGGCGATCTGCGAGACATGGTGTCTATTATGTCTCTCTCTCTCTGGTCGGGCGGCCGCTCCCCCTTGTCGTCAAATGTCCATGGATCCATGGAGCCACCTGTGTCTTTGCTCTTACACTCACAACACCATGGCTGACAACATGCCCACTGAACCCATCTTACAACACGAGCACGACCTGCCCGACATCCCCCCAGAACACAGTTCACGGCGACACTGTCTCAAGGAGCATGTCGGCGGCAGCGAGAACGCGACCCCGGCCGAAACCGACGGCGAGTCGGATGTGGACGACGACCCAGAGCACGCGCGACAGCTGGCGCTGGAGACGTCACTGCGGCACGCCGAAAGGCAGCTCGAGGCCAAGCCGCCCATGGACGTGGTGGAGATGCGGCACGAGGCCCACCCAACGGGGGCGACGGTGGCCACTGTCATTGCCGTCGCGCTGTTGGTCACAGCCACGTTCGGATTCAGTGAGTGCGGGGTTGTATCCCCCGATGGCGAACGCGAGCGCTGGCTGACGGCATCTCAACGCAGTCATTGGAACTGCCGAGCTGAAGCGGTATTACCTTGCCAACAACGTAGCGGGCGGCGACTACAAGAAGATTGCATGGATCCCGACCGTGCAAGTGGCCCTCGCACTGTGCGCCGCTCCAGTATTCACATGGGTCAAGCACCCCGCCGTTGCTGTGATCCCCGGCACTGTCGCGGCATTCGGTGCCCTTATCGGCCTTGCCTGTGAGCCGTGACCAAATGGCAGTAACACTGACGCACCAGTCTGCACAGAGTACTATCAGTTCCTCCTCGCGCATATCCTCTTTGGCCTCGGCGCCAGCGTCTGGCTTCCAGCCATTCTCGCTGTCACCGCGACGCACTCGTCCGCGCCCAGCCCCTGGTACCATGGCTTCCCGATTGCGCTCGGAGGCGGCACTGGAGCTCTCATCTATCCTGTGATCCTCCACAAACTCTTCGCACACTTCTGTAAGTCCAAACTCGCGCACAAGACGGTGGTAGTCTGACAGCAAAAGCGTTCCGGACCACGATCCTCATCACTGCGGGCATTACGGCAGGACTCATGCTCCCATCGTGGATCTTGATCTGGTCGCCGAGGCGGTTCCAGCACTACACGCTGAGCCCGCCGTGGTCGGACGCAGGGTACGCGTTCCTCGTGCTGGGCACAGCCGTGTTCATGATCAAGTGAGTTGGCGCGCATTATTGTATGCAACTGACAAACCAGCATCTTCTCGCCCATCTTCTACGCACCAGTCCTGACAATGGCCGACCGCATCAGCAAAGGCGTAGAAGACTACGCCGTGGTCATTATCGGCGGCGGCCTGCTCGTCGGCGCACTCGCCGCCCGCGGCATTACCTTCCTGTTACCGTGGACGTGGGCGATCTTTGTGTGTTCCGGCTTTGCCACTTCCATGGTCGCGTTCGCCTTTTGGACCGGCGCAAAGGGCACGGGGGCCATGGTCGTCGGTCTCCTGTTCTACGGAATTACCACTGGAGTGTGGGCTTCCTCCCTGTCTGGCGTGGTGCGGCTCATTTCTCCACCTGAAGAGCTGGGGACCCGGCTGGCCCTGCTGGCGGCTGTCGGTGGACTGGCGGGGTTGGCTGGGCCGCCAGTGTGCGCTGGTGAGTTGAAACTTGCTCTTGTATGCAGCTCTAACACGCAGTGCTCATCAAGGTCCACGACAAGGACGAGTTCCTGTACGCCGGCGTCTACATGGGCCTCAGCTTCCTGGTGGGATCCATGCTCCTCGTCCTGCCGCAGATTGCGGGCAGCTGGGCGCGCCAGGGCGAGCGAGACCATGGAAGTGACTGTAGCAGCCTCGACTCGTCACTGACAGACCTGGAGGCGCGTGCTGAGACTGTGACATAGTGTAGGATGTACCATTGCAGTAGTGACACGAGTATTTTGCAGTCTGCCCCAACGTTGACGCCTGGGGGACGCGCCACACGCGCGGTTTGCCACTCGATTTCCGCCTCGGGCAGTGATTTCCCTAGACGGACGTTGCATCACAACATGCCAACACCACACTCACTACCCAACCCACCATGGCCACCGCGCCCCCATTCCTCGCTCCCACGGCGCACCCACTGCCCTCTCCCGAACGCCTTGCGGCCCTGTACGCGTTCACGCGTGCGCAGCGCGAGTCGAACCCGGACGGCTACGCCAGCAACGTGCGCTGGTGGGGTGATGCGCTTGCTGCTGGTCTCGAGGCCGGCACTGTGGGCGCCAACAGCAGCGATGGAGGGCGGGACACGCTCGTGCTCCGTGTCGACGACGCGCTTCTTGACGCACTGGCAAAGAACGGTACCCGGCCCAAGGGAATCGCTGGCGTAGTGGTGAGTTAGCTGCAGATGGTATCGGAAAACACCGCAGCTGACAACGCAGGACTCGCTGGCGTCAACGCCCGCCCTCCTCCCCCTCGCCCGCTTCCTAGACTCTCTCACGCCCATCGAGCAGGGGCCCAGCATCGCCTCGCGTATCGTCGGTGCCGGGTGGAGCGCGCTCGGCCGCCTGAGCCCGTTCGGCGGCGAGCAGACCGAGGAGGGACTGTACAAGTCTACCAGGGGCAAGGAGTATGTGCACGTCCCGAGCGTCAAGGCGGCCGCGGCCAAGTTTGTCGAGCGCCTCGACAACAACCCGCTCGTCAACTATACCGACTCGCTCTTCTCACGCGCGAGCTTTCTCAAGGAGTTTGGCGATATCACAAGTCCCCAGGCCAACCTCAGCAAGCGCGACACGGACGTCCTGCTCCGCTGGCTGGCGCGCGATGTCGGCAGCGTGGTCGTCGAGGGCGATGTGAGTTGAACAGCTGGGTTGGTCAATGACCGTATCCATAGCTGACGACCAGGTCATCAAGATCATCTCTGGCGGCCAGCTGGCGTCCGACCACCCGATCACCGAAGCGGACCGCGGCGCACTCGCCGTGCTCGGCACGCTATCGCGCGTCGACGCGCAGATCGCCGACATTGAAGTCGAGGCCGCCGACTGCCAGGCCAAGGTCAAGCGCCAGCTGGGTCTGGGCCAGCGCGCCGCCGCCGCGTCATACCTGCGCTCCAAGAAGAACCTCGACGACGTGCTCGCCAAGCGCGTCGCGACGGGCGAGCAGCTGCGCTCGGTCGTGCGCGCGCTCGACCAGGCCAAGGGCGATGCCGAGGTCATGTCCGCATACGAGGCCAGCACGGCCGCCCTGGCCAGTGCGCTCTCGGACCCGCGCCTGTCCCCCGACCGCATTGCGGCCACGACCGACGCCCTCGCCGACGCACTTGCCGACCAGCGCGAGATTGACGACGCGGTCAGGCTCGGCGGCGACCTCGCCAACCCGGCCATCGACGAGGACGAGCTCGAGAAGGAGCTGGCGGCGCTCGTGCTCGAGGACAAGGAGGAGAAGGAGGCCAAGGAGCGCAAGGAGCGCGAAGAGCGTGCTGCAGCGGACAAGAAGCGTGCGGACGCCGACGCCGCAGCGGCTGCTGCCGCTGCTGCTGCAAAGGTGCTTGCTCCCAGCGTGCCCTCGTCCGACCCCGGCTCCAAGGGTACCGACGCCGGCACGGCCGTGACTCCCGAGACGCAGTGGGCCGACCGCCACGCCGACGCGCAGCAGCGCGAGCATGAGGAGCGTGAGCGCGCTGCTGCCGAGCAGCTCAAGCGCGACGAGCGCCTCGTCGCCGCCGAGTAGGAGTAGCCCGAGAGAGAGAGAGAGAGAGAGAGAGAGAGAGAGAGAGAGAGAGAGAGAGAGACACCCATTCCTTAGATCTTCCTACCCATACACCTTCTTCTCCCCCGCTCTTCTCGCCAGAGTACAATAATGCATAGTCTATTTGTTGTACAGTCGCCGTAGTGTGTGCCTCACGAGACGAGAATGAAGACGAGGAACTGGGGTGTGAGCTGCGCCGTCCTGACTTCCGTAACTCACGAAAATGATGAGGACGCCGAAAATCTTGAGCATGAGCCAGCGATTACTGCTGATGTTGGCATAGTACTTGAGGAGCTCGCGCTGTGCGCCCGAGACGTTTGAGGAAATGTCGTTGACGTCGGCGTCGATGCGCTGCACCGTCTCGCGCTGCTCGGCCACCATGCCCGCCAGCTGGGAGAAGATGGAGCCGAGCTCGGCAATGGTCGACTCGATGGACTCGATGGCGGTCGAGCGCGACTGGATGTAGTTGTCCTGCATTGTCAGCTTCTCACCGCACCACCGATACGAAGCAGACAAGGTGGCCGGTTATGCCAACCTCGACAACGGCCACCTCCCCTCGCGCCACACTCACCTGCTGCTCGACCAGCTGCATCTGCTGGTAGTCGTTTGTCTGGCGGTCGCCATCAATGTCGAGGGCGAGATAGTCGTTGCCCTCCCCTGGGACCGCGCGCTGCTTGCCCTTGCGGTCGATACCGGACCCGGGACCTCCACCCTGGGCGAAGAGGAGCGAGTCTGGCGCCAGCGTCAGCCGAGACCGATGGCGGAGAAGGCTCGGCGGGGGATGATGGGAAGTGGGATTGGAATGGGAATTGGCAGGGAATGAACCGGGACCGCCTCCCTCTGCAGAGCGAGAGACGCGTTGGCTTCAACCCCAACACACACACAAACACACAAGCATCCAAGTGCAAGCAAACCGACTACACAAAGAACTCACCTTTGGCCGGGGCCGGCACGGCGGCCGAGCTGGCCGTGTGCACAAACTGCTCTGTCCGGTCCTTGCTGGCCTTCATGTTTTGTGTGCGCAGCTCGAGCACGTCCTTGAACCCCATGCCCATGTTGGCCAGGCGCGACTGCAGCATCATGACGACGTTGCTGTTGTGCTCGTCGACCTGCTTGGTGCCGCCGGACGGTTGGCGCTGCGCGCGCACAAACGCCTGCAGCGCGCCAATCTGCGTGTTCAACGACGCAATGTCCTGTCGGATAATGTACGTGAGCTCGCTGATCTCGACCGGCCTGTCGTCAAAGAGCGTCTTGCGCTTGGCGACTGGGGGGGGGGGGGGGGGGGGGGGGGGTGGTAAGCTGGCGCATTTCATTGGGGCAAGAGCGGCGAGCGAGGCGTAGGGCAGCAACTCTGGCAGCTGTACGTTGACATTGCAGCTACACTGCATGCACCAGACCGCGCACACCACCCGCGACACGAGACTCACGCTGGGCAAGCTTCTGCAGCTTGAGGGTGGTCGCATTAATGTCCTTTGCAATGTTGCCTGCGAGCCGTCCAAACTCGGACTTGGACGTCGAGGCTGCCGCGTTGGCACCGCCGAGGAGGGGCGATTTGGCGCCGTCACGCTTGCCCGATGGCACGGCGGTGCGCGCGCGGATGGAGGAGAGCGCCGAGTGGAACTCGGCGGTGCGGTCGCGTGGGGCCATCGCGATGGAAGTGTGGTGGTGGTGGTGGAAGTACAGGAGAGCGAACGTCTGAATCGTGTTGCTTCGACTTTGTGTGTTGTGGGCCCAGCCGGCGTGGAGGCCGTCCGCAGGCGGCAGAGGCTGCCGCGGCTGCGTGCTGGGTGGCGAGAACGGCCCGCTGGCAGGCGCGTGGGGCTCACTGGTACGGTGGGTGCCACGGACGTATATCGCCGCGGGGTGATCTCGATCTACGCCTTTCATCCTGCTCTCGAGTGGCCATCAACAACAGCGACAGCCTAATAGACAGACAGACACACAACCAGCACGCGACTCGGCATCCTTGCATAGACATCCACAACGCAACAAGCTCGATACAGAGCATAGATACCACCCATCCGCCAAGCCGTCCCATCGCCCAACGGCTGCTAAAAACGACCCACTACCGGTCTTAATCCCTCGCTCGCCTTCCCCCCCCCCCCCCTCCATCACCACATCTCATCACTTCACATCCAACATGTCGCGTCCTTCCCAGCCCGAGCTCAAGAGTAAGTTCAGCGCGGACAGTGACGCTGGGAACATGGGTCTTGGCGAATGCAGCGGTGCGGGTGCCACGGGCTGTTGAGATGCCGGCGTCAAGACGTACGACAGTCGATTCTTCCACGGTTCTTCCTCGGCAGCGGTCGGTGGTCTCGCGCGCAGGGAATGGTCACGACTACGAGCTGGTGGCCGCGAATGTCGAGCCTGCAGATCACTGTGGAGACGAACCATCCCTGCACTGTGGTGCGGGTCGCCTGGAGGCTGCCGCGTGAGCGTGGCCGAGCTCGGCCATGACGTCGCTGGGGCATGTCCATGTCCTTGACGTTGAGGGATTGACCTGCCTCGTGCCCCGCGCTGCCTGCTGGTATCGTCACTGCAACGAGGTTTACCTGTCGGGTTCCATAACATCGCATGGAACCCGGTCCGTGATCTCTGCGCACATGTCCCAACCCGCCTCCCCGTCGCCTTCCGCCTTCCCCGAGCATCGCTGACCCCCTCCCAGAGTTCATGGACCGCCGCCTGTTCATCCACCTGCAAGGCGGCCGCAACGTGTCAGGTATCCTGCGCGGTTTCGACATGTTCCTCAACCTCGTCCTCGACCAGGCGTACGAGGAGGTCGGCGGCGGCCAGCGCAAGCCCGCAGGCATGGTGGTGAGTAGACTTGCGTCGGGTGGTGAACGTGTGTGGTGTGGAGTTGGAGTGGGATGTGGGATGGCACGCAGCTGTGACATTTGTCTCGAAGCTGCTCGTGTCGGCCCAGGAGCAAGAGGAGATGGAGATGGGGGAGATGAGGTATCCCTGGCAAGCGGCCTTGCCTGGGCGAGGTTGCCAAGGGCAGACGAACGGCTACGCTACATGACGCTGCATCTGGCGCGCCTGGGTGCTGCTGTCACGCAGTTCCAAGCTGTGTACCAGTGTCAACAGCTTGCTATCGGCGCAAGCGCCAGCAACAGCCTTGACATCATACCAAGCCTCCCTCCCTCCTCATTCTCCATTCCGTGCCTGCTCTCCCCGTATCTCTAACCCCACTCCAATCGTCAAACATAACACCCAACAACAGAACACCGACTGACTCTCCTCAGGTCATCCGCGGAAACTCGGTGCAGGCAATGGAGCTCCTGGACAGTATGCGCGTATAGAGAGCGTGACACAAAAACGCACACACCGCACCAAACACAAACCCCCAGCGCGCGCGCGCGCGCTCGCTCTCGCTCTCGTACGCCCTCTCTGTCTCTGTAGAATAGATCCCGGATTCCCCACCCGCGAGCGATGTATGGCAGTTCTAGTTCTAGTTCTGGAACCAGTTCTCGGGGACGGTTTCGTTCGGCTTGGCTGGACTTGACTGGGTGCAGGCGTAGGCGGAGGGGGAGGCCCGGCGGCACGTGTTCATCAACCCTCGGCAGGCCATGTCGCCCATGTCGACGATGCCGGTGAGGCGCACGCCAATGGCGGCGACGAGGCTGACAGAGACGATCGCGACCGAAGTGACGAGGACGAAGACACGGTCCAATACCCGCTTGAGGGTGTGTATCAGGCTGCGCGCGGCCGAAGAGGGCCACGCTCACATAAAGGAAACAATATTGCTACACAGGTATTCAACTCAAGTTACTAATGCCTGGAGACTCCGGTCCTCTGGACATGGTCACTTGCAAGACGAAGACTGAGAGTCGCCGATGCTCGGTGCAACGTCTACGCCGTGACGGTGTGGAGCTCGACAACCGTCGGTGCTGTATCTGACGCCGGGGTCGTGACACGAGGGTCGTCGTCGATGTGGTCGCGCGTCTCGGGGTGGTCGTGGCCGACTTGCGTCACGGGTGTCGGACATGAATTCCGCCCATGGCCGGCGGCATCGTGGTCGAGGACCCAGTACCCAGTCGCGGGGTCCAAGGTAAACGTCTCGGCGTATGCCGCTTCGGACACGTCGAGCTCGGCCTTGTGCCGCAGCAACGGGTCGTACTCGCCGAGAACCTCGCCCAGGCTGTCCTCTTCCATGGGAGCCGGCACGAGCGGCTCGGCGTCCACGAGTGGTGCGGCGCACAGGTCCATTGCGGCACGGCAGAACGGCGAGACGAGTCCGAGGCTGGGCATGCGCTTGTCCTGGCCCACAGCGTGCAGTGCGCGGCCGGCACAGAGGTACGCCACGGCAATGTAGCCGTCCGTCTCGCGCTGCCACTCGGCGGCGGTGGGGCATGGGCGGTGGCCCCACTGGGCTTGGTTACTGCACGCGGGTGTCAGCTACTGCTGAGAGAGGAAGGGGGTGGGGGGACGGGGGTGGCAGTTACTGGCGAGCGAGGCAACAGAGTCAACGACTCGTCTCGGCGCCGCATTCGGCGATCCACACTCACAGCTCGTACGCCTTGTCAAACACGGCGAGACGGACCATCAGCTCGTCCATGGCGTCCCAGCACTGCGCGGCAACGGCGCGTGCCCACGCCTTGCTCGCATCGCGCGCAGCCCACAGCACGCGTGCGCTCGGGCTCGCGACGGGGTGGGCGTAGAAGCGCAGGCGGGCGTACTCGGTGCGGGGGAAGTGGTCGGCGAGGACGGGAGTGTACGTGGGACGCGGGCCCGCGGTGGGGGCCGCACTGGTGCCACCACCTGGGGCCATGGTCGGACAGTGGAGGTGAGTAGCGGCGATGGAAGCGGCAGGGTCTCCTGATGGCAAGAAACGATGGAGGGGTGGATGGATGATAGGATGCGTGAGAGTGAGGTACGCTCGCGTACTAGGATCTGGACGTGGTGGATCTCCCGTGTGGTTCCATAATCCACGAGGATGACGGCTGAGGTATAAGGGCGGGCACGAGGGACATGTGAATGCGCCTAGTGGTGCAAGTGGTGACTATCTTAGTAGATCACTTGCAACACTTGCATCACTACCAGCACCACATTACGCAGACGTGCTCAGTCCAGCCACTCCCAGCGGAGGTGAACAGCTCCATGCCGTACTCTTTCACCCCCAAGTGCTTCCCATCGCTCCGACATTGCACAATTCTCCCACGTGTGAGCCGCAGGCTATAGCGCGAAAACGCGAAAGCTCGAAAGCATGTTTGCAGCGGCTAGAGACACGTAAACAATACTGTCCCCACTACGTACCACTTCCGGAACCCACGCACGCGCGCACAAGGTTAGGCAGGTTGGGTTAGGTTTAACATAAAAGTCCGGACCCCGCGGGTTAAACTAAGTAAAAGCACTGTTGCCGTGCGCGGAACGAGCTGCGTCAGTGCAGTTCATGTAATGTAATGTCAAGGACGTCGTACGCAAGCCCCAGATCCCCAGATCTCCAGACCCCCCAGCAGATAAATGGAATGGGGAGTGTGGACGACATGCGTGCGGCGGATCCCACTCGAGGCACCCCACAGCAGGAAAAAAATCTAGAACAAAAGCAGAAAAAACAAGCAATGAGCGTCGACGGCGGTGCGGCATGCTGCTATCGGGCATACGGTACATCCCGACAATGAGCCCCATTACAAAGAGAGACGAGAGGACAAGTCCAAATGGACGGGACGGGACCGGGAGGGGTTGGCAGTGGGGGAAGGGGGGGGGGAACTAATGGACTAGCGGGTGGTGGCGATGTCTACGGGGAGAGGGGGATGAAATGCGAACGGGATGTTGGGCCGGGTACTGTAAGGTAACTGTAGTGAATTACTGTGGTACTCTGTACGATGGGTGCGCGAAAATGGTCCGTCTAACGAGATAAGATGTGAGGAGAAATGGGGATTGGGATGCCGCCGAGGGGAGCAGGGCGCAGGTGGTGTAAGCCAAGGCGGACTGGACGTGCCAGGTGAGGGTGTGGCGTCGCCACAGGGCTCCAGAACGCGGTGCGAACAGGCTGCGCTGGCTGACTGTGCCGGTTGTGCCGACTTGCCGACCTGCCGACGGTGCTGGCGACTGAGCAAGGACCGGACAAGGTGAGGCTGACGGCGCGCTGGCGCCGCCGCACGCCCGTGAACTGCGAACGAGGTGGCGCGGGCACCGCGTGGTCGACGGGGACGCGATGGGCTGCGCCGCCGCCGGGTTGGCGTCTGGGGTCCGGATGTGCGGTATGCGGTGCACAAAGGGCGTGCACTGGGGTATGCACTCCCTGTTCACAACGAGAGACACAACAAGTCATGGGGTGCTGAGAAGAGATGGCGGGGGATGACAACAGTCGCCGATACAGGGAGAGCGTGGCAGAGATGGAGAGCAAGGGTGTTGTGGCGGTGGCGCCGGGTGCCGGTGGGGGTACATACCCTCGGTGGTGGCGATTTGTTGACTTTGCAAAGGACAACACGGCTACGACGACGTAAGCTGCGACCGGCGGCGGGCGAGCAGGCCAGCCAGCAGGCCGACGATCAGGATGATGCCGACAATACACGCAAACGCGACGATGAACTTGCATTTGCGCGCCGACTTTGGTCGGATGTGTTCGTCGCAGTACGGCACGTCACCCCAGAGCACGCTCAAGTTGCGGCTCTCGCGCGGCTGGACAGAAGGCGACGACGAGAAGAATGCCGAGGGGTGCTTTTCGTCCAGCCAACGAAGGTTGCGCAGCGAGTGGAGCGAGCGCGACGACAGGCCCGTTCCGTGGCTGGCCGGCGGGGGTGGTGGCAGTGGGTTGTACGGGATCGCCTGGGATGGGGAGAGGCAAGACTGCGCACACAGGTCGCCATTGCGGTTGACGGGTTCCAGAGGCGGCAGCGCAGCCAGCTCGGGAAACACAATGACACCAGTGCCGACACCTGGGGGTGTGGGCTCGCGCTGGTCGCGAGTGAGCGATGTGGAAACGGCACGGCGGGGCGGTGTCGGGGCGCGCGAAGCATGCGAGGTGAGTGACTCGTGGTATTGCTCTGAACCGAGGTCGACACGCCCGCCGCCGCCGCCGCCCTCGTCCTCATCCCCACTGTCGTCAAGGTCGCCATGACGGTGTGGCGGCGAGTCACCGCTGGCCTCTGAACCCAGTCCGGCAAAGGGACGTTCCCGGTTGCGTGCAAAGCGTCGTGCCAGGCGCGCCCTGATAGAGTTGGGACCGGTACTCTGTGCTGACCTGCGGTTGTGGCTCGTGCTCGAGCTCGGCGGTGGCGGCGACTGGGAGCCGTGCGGGACGCCGACGCCTCCGGCGCCGCCGCCGCCGGCGCGTGATGTCGCCGATGTGCCGTGCCGACTCATGTTTGACCCGCCATACCGCGTGCTCGTGCTGAACGTGCTGAAGCGCTTGTTTCCCGTGGCCCCGGATGCGCGCTTGCCGGCGCGCAGCAGACGCTCGAGCACCGCGGCCCGACGGACCAGCACGAGCAAGTCTGCGTCGTCTTCATTGACCCATTCGTCGCCTTCGTTGGCTGCGAACGCGAGTGACGCGTGTTTGGACCGTCTGCGGCGCAGGGATTTGGACGACCGCCCAGACTTTGCAGACTTGACCGACCGTTGGCTGTCGCGCCGGCCCCATGCAGGTGGCGGGCCGCCGGCGAAGACGTTCCATCCGCGTCGGCCGCTTGAATCAGGCGTGTCCAGACCGCCGCCGAGCGCATACGACTCGGAGTAAGTGCTCTGAACCGAAAGGTGTTTCGGACGAGGAGGGTTGGCCGGCTCGGATGCGGCTGCACTGGCGCCACTGTGCCTCCGGACTGGCAGACTGGTGTAGGTGGAGCCACCAGCAGCAGCAGCAGCTGCTGCTGCTGCTGCTGCGGCTCCAGCTCCCCGGAGACTGCTGGGCGAGTCGGACCGGATGAGCGCTGGGTCCTGTGCGAGGAAGGGGTACCGGGGAATGTCCTTGCTGGGGAGCGGCGGAAGGTCGGTGGAGCCCGTTCCGCGCGTGGACGCTGAAGCGAGAGACAGCGATCGGTGTTCGTCATCATCGTCTTGCTCGTCGAATGCAAGCGACCGCTCAATCTCCCGCGCCTGTGCAGCCTTCTTCCTGCCCAACGACGATGCACTGCCGGGGCTGCCCCATGGCGATGACGAGAAGGATGGCGCTGGCGGTTGCAGCGCTTGGGCGGCGGCGATGGTGTTTGGCGACAGGGGCGGGACGGGTGGTGGTTTGTATGGTTTGTCTGGGAGTGGCGGGTTGGCTGAGATGCGCTGTTTGCGTGCAACTGAAAACTGAGCTGCGGCAGAGCCAGCAGACTCGAACCGCCAGCTCGAGCGTCCCGAGCGTTCGTCATATGAACGTTCTGACGCTGCCCAGCCGCTGGTGTGGCCGAGCGAGTGGCCAAGTGAGCTTTCTGGCCCTTCGGATTCGATAGGGCTCCCGGGAGGGGAGTCACGCGAAAACCCTGCGAGGCGTGCCAGGCCTGCCAACCCGGCTAGTTGTTGTGGGCCACTACCACCACCACCGCCTGGCCGTGATGTTGATGACGACACGGTAGCGGCAGCGGCAGCAGCAGCAGCAACCGTGCTAGGACCGGGTCCAGCAGTCGATGGTGAACTGTGATGTGCTCCGGCGGGGACGTTTGGTGTGTTGGGCCCAAAAGTGTCCTGCGGGGATCCCGGTGGCGGTGTGCCCTGTACTGTTTGTGCCGGGGACATTGGCAGCGGCGACGCGCCGGGCAGCGACAGCGAGTCGGAGCTCGGCGGCGACGCGGGGTCTGCCATGACGCCCGAGCGACTGGGGCGGCGAGGGAAGATGGGTGGGAGAGATGGGGTGAGATTGGGGGACGGTGGGGAGGGAGGTGTGGAGGATATGGCGGGCGACAGGTGTCGGGTGGCCGGGGTCGTCGATGGTATCGACGAGTGCCCGACGTTCAAGGGATTGGTGGAGGGGAGGAGGGAGGATGGGGGAGGGGGAGGGGAGGGGGGAGAGTTGAAAGAGCGTGTGTGTGTGTTGGTACAACGAGCTGCTTGATGATGTGTGAGAGGAATGAGATGAAAGACGACAAGAGCAGACGCACGCACACTCATGGGCACACCCCACCCAGCCAGCACTCTCTGTACCTCTGTGCACCCACTGTGGACCGGCGCTGGCGAGCATGGATGCATACAGTTACAAACGAGGTCCTCCCTCCCCCCCCCCCCCCGGTTGCCGCCCCCCAGCCGCCCCCCAGCCGCTGCCCAGAGGCGCGCAGTGATGGCCTCTGTTGACCGCCCGCAAATCCCCCCCCCCAACTCTCTCTCTCTGCCCGTGCCTCAACCGCCCCCTTGCTGGCTTCTCCCCACCCAGCTGCGATCTGCATATGCCGCCCCTCCGTCCGGCCTCTTGCTCGGTCCGCGTCCGTGCAAAAACAACAACAAGCACAAGCACAAGCAGCCACCGCATGTTGTTCCCACCCCCACACTCCACTGTGCCTCGGAGCTGCCTGTGCGTGCATCATGCACACACACACACACACCCGTTCTCCATCTCACACCGTGTCTTGTTGTTACCTGTCTGTTGCCAGTCTCTGGACACACACCCTTTGGTCTCTCTGTGGGTGGAATGAGTGGGGTGCCCATGGGTTTGTTTACGCCAGGGTAAAAGATGGACGCGAAGGTTTCGGTACAACTCTGCCCTCCGCCCCCGCCGTGTTCGTCCCCCCCGATAGAGCAAGCAGCCTGTCGCGCCTGTCGTGTCCTACCATCCATGCAATGCACTCTCCTGGAACCTGCCTGTCTCTTGTGCCCTCTGCCTTCAGCACCTCTTCTCGTCTCTATTCCAAGCTGCCTGCGCGTCCAGACGCGCCAGACGTCCAGACCTCGCTCTCTCGTTGTTACTCTGCATCGAGCATCCCCCGGGCCCCTCGTGTTTCGCTACAGTTTGTCCGCGGTCCGCTCGCAGGCCCCGCCCCGCCGTGCGCCACACACCCGACGCGACTCTCTTTTTCCCTGTGTCCATGCCTTTCCTTTTTTTTTGCCGCACCTGCCAGAACGAGCAGTGCGCGCAGTGACGCGTCCACCCATCCTGCCAGCGAGTTTGTCTACGAGCGACAGAACCCTGCTTTTGCCTGTGCACGATTGAACAGGTGGCCAGGTGGCCAGGCAGGTGCCAGGTGGGAGTTGCACGCAGGCAGGGCCACAAGGCGCGGAATGAGACGCTGCCGCTCCCCCAGGCGGCCCTCTCCCCAGCCTCTGCCCACCCAGCCCATGCCGCAAACATGCCGACACCCGTTCTCAGCCGTGTACGCAGGCAGCCACCAGCTTCCAGGTGGCCAGGTGTGCAGGTGGGGCCGGGCCATGATCCATGAGCGGCCATCCCCACTCTCCCAACCCTGCTGTGGTATGATGCTCGGATTGCTAGCAAGACGGCGTGTGGTGGTGGTGGTGGTGGTGGTGGTGGCGTGGGGGCGGACCGACTTGGCTCCCAGGCTTTGGAGCTTGGGAGCTTGCGAGGTGGCAGCTTGGCGGAGGGTGTAGGATGATGTGATCCCAACTACCTTTGACGCGGCTTCTACGAGACACGACCAGTCGTGCATGTATGCAGACGATGTAAGTACAGGTAGCTTCTTGTACACTTTCACGGCAATGCATGCATGCATGCATGCACGCATGCACGTTTTTCCCTCCCCCTCCACCGCCCGCGTTCGGAAAATTAAAATTCACATAGCCGCGGTAGTCAAGCCGTTAGCGCGGCGGCTATCCCTCCACATGGCGACTTTCCCCCGGCCATTACCGCCGAGACCCGCCAGGCCGCCAGGTCTCCATTAGCCGCGGTAGTATATCAGGCCACAAAAACCTACCGTATCGTACTAACCCTTACTAACCCAACTCGGTAGCAGACCTTTCTAATCACATAGGTAGTTCTGTAGCCCGATGCGGGGGATGTGACCGGGGGATCGATTCGCGGGGTGGCAATTCCGTAGGATGTAATTTGGGAGGACTGGTTGCAAAAGGGACGCAAGTAGAGCACTGACTCTACTTACTGCAGTCCCTTTTGTCGGTCGTGGATGGGATTTTGTTTTTTGTTTTGTTTTGCGCCGCGAGGTGTGTGCGGCGATGTACAATGGCCATGGCGTCTGTCCAGGCGCCTGGGTGGAACGGTTGCTGTTACTGTTACTGGTACTGATCGGTGGAGATGGCAAGCGCTGCTCAGTGGGACGCGGCCCAGATGGAGAAATGAGTTTGACAAGGCATTTGTTGGTGGTGTGCCGGATGGACCCTGTAAATGCCGTCGTTGTCGTCGTCGGTTTAAAGGTCGACTGAGTGGCAGTACGGCACAGTTACCTCCTCCCCTCCTCCCACGTTGCCATTCTCCCGCCACAGGTACTTACTTCACGTGCATGGCCCACCAGCCACGAACTGTTGCCTTGTGTGGTTAGGCAACCTCGGCGCAAGGGGGGTTCGAAAGTGCCACGACATGGCTATAGTCTGGCACATGGCTCCTGTTCCACTCAAGGATCTCGTTCCAGTCCCCATCAAGCCCCTCTTCGCGCCTCACGCCCATGATCATATAACCACGTCCTCGTCATGCCCTCGTTCCGCCCATCCCAACGCTCAACACTCCCGTGGCCCGGTCCACGCCCATACATATGGGCAAATATGAACTAAACGCACGTACGCGTTTCGGCAAGCTAGCCATCTATCATCTACAGTAAATCCCCCCTCCCCGGGCACCACACCAATACCCTCCGTGGGCGCCGTGTTACAAGCCCTGCACACGGGCAATCTCCGCCTGCACCACCTCGAGCCCCGCGGCCGTGAGCACCGGCCGGCCGTCCGTGTATTCCTTTTCGAAGAAGCGCGGCTCGTGCCTGTAGCGAATCGTGTCAGCGGCAGTACGGTACGGATCGCGTGCAGACAGGAAATGGGCCACAACACCGTGGCACCAGCACAGAAGAGGGGGGGATGATTCCAGGATAGATGAAACGGCACATGATGGGGAACCAAAAACGCGAGCGACAGTTTCGGCTTTTTTTTTTTTTTTGTTTTCGTTCTCGTAATCGAGGAACAAGAGGCAACCACACACAACTTGTTTTGGCGTTTTGGTCGGCAAGCACGCAAGGCCCACGGGTCCAGTCATGGAGACGCTTCCAGACCAGCACTCCGAAACAAACATGGGCCGCGTCCGGGCCAGACAGGGAGACATGGCACCGGCGTTCGCTGCCCCGAGTCCGGCCCGATATACCAGACGTCGGTCCCCGACCCTCCCTCCCCCCTCCCCCCTCCCCCCTCCCCCCTCCCCCTCCCCTCCACTCCTGACGACACCGCAACTCACAGTTCACCCGTCGCCTTGAGCTTGGTGGCAATATCGCGCTGTCGCTGCTCGATGATCTGCTTCTGGCGCGTCGCCTCGCCCCAGTTCTTGGACACGAGGTTCTGCGTCACGGGGTCCCACAACCGCCGGCTCTCCTGCTCCTCCTGCTCGTCGAGCGGGCGCACAATCTTGGGGATGAGCGCGAGCTCGTCCAGGTCCAGGAGGATCTTCCACTCCTGTGGGTGTGGTGTGAGTAAGGCTGATTCAGTAGACGGGCGTGGCAAAGGAGAGGGAGGCGAGGTTTGACGCAACGCCTATACTCTTCCTTTGCTTTGCTTCCTTGACTCACCTTGTCGCCCTTGTAGCGGTAGCGGATCTGGCGCATCCAGTTACCCTCCAGCTGGGCCACGACCTTGTCCGCGGGCACCTGCTTGCATTTTGTCCAGCTCTCCGCCAGGGCCGCCTCGTCGGCGTTGCCCACGTTGTAGCGGTAGATGACGCCCTCGATGAGGAAGCGCGGCTTGCCGAGCCACGACTCGTCCTTGTACTCGATGAGACAGCGCAGGCGCGTCTTGGCGTCGTCGGTGCCGCGCACCGTCACCGAAATGCTCTCGGACATGGTGCCATAGTACGAGCCCTTGAGGATGCCGTTCACCTGTGCGGCAGGGTGGGTGATCTGGTACTCTTCGCCCTTGCCGGGACCGTCGCGCGTGATGCGCACAAAGATGCCCTTGTTCTGGGGACCGGGGCCCAGGCGGATGGCTGCGGAGAGTCAGTTGAAGTACTCGGGTGTGGCGTGGACCGTTGTTCAGAAGAACTGTGGTCCAAGGGAAACTCACAAGGGAAGGACACCTTGGCGACAATCTGGTCGATACCGACCGCCTCAATACCGCGCTCGGGGCAGTGGTAGTAGGCGGCCGAAACGGGCGGGTGGTGGCTGGTCTGCTCGCAGAGGAAGACCACCGTCACCTTTTCGCTGTCCTTGACGCCCGCGTCAGGCTCTCGCGGGAGCACCTCGTCGCCGGGACCCGGGATCGCCTGACGGAGGGCGCTCATGTCAAAGCTCGCCTGCGAAGGCGTCGCGAGACCGCGCTTCTTGTCGGCCATGGCCGCAGCCTTGATCGAGCTCTTGTCAAACTTGGACGACGTCGTGGACCGGATCGAGCTCGACTCGCTGCCGTCCTTGCTCTTGCCGCCGTCCTCGGGCCGGAGCACCGGCGTCGCCCAGCCCGAACCGCCCTGGCCGCCGTAGGGGGGCTCGTTGGGCAGCGGCACGTGCACGTGGGTGCGGACGATGGGCACACCACTCTGCTTGTCCAGGATGAGTGGCGGGACACGCCACGAGCAGCGGAAGTGCTCGCCTGGAGAGTTAGACGGCCGCGACTGTGCGTCAAAACTCACCAAGAGCAGAGTTGTACGGCTTGCCAAGACGCGAGCGCACAAACTTGAGGTCCTTGGAGAAGAGGAAGCGCAGGACGGCAATCATTCGCTCGAGGTCATCGTCGCTGTCGCCGATGCTGTGTGGCGTCAGTTATCGCAAGTCGGCGAGGATGCACGGTCCATGCTTCCGAGCACGTGTGACCGCAGGGGCAGTCGCCAAACACAAGCACCACGAGGCCATCACCACAGCAAGGAAGAACCCCGGCAGTGTACCTTCCCCAGCTCCCTGCAACTTCCTCCTTGGACACGCAACTGGTACTCACGCAGCAAAGATGTCCGCGCGGTCGGCATACTGCCAGTACTCGAGGTTGGGAACTGGCTCGAGAAGCGAAGCTGGGAGGGAGAGACGGCTAAGCGGGTACGTCAGCGGCGTAATCTTGTTGACGGTGCGATGGAGCAGTAGTGCAGTGTCGCTCCAGAGTCATCGGTTATGTTGACGCCAGAACGGGCTTTTTCTTCGGCTTCTGAGAAGCGATGTACTGCAACTGGACCGGGATGGGGAGGGAGGGGCACTTACAGGTTGGCAACGTCCTTGACGCCGACGAGCCTGCACAAGGTCAGTTCGGGGAGCTCGGAGGAGAGGGGGAGACACAAGGCACCACTGCCAGTCTCGGAAATAAGGGGCAAGGTGGTGCAGTGAAGATGGGCAGTGGGCAGTGGGCAAGATGGGACCGACAGCAAGGTCGAAGGCGTCCCGCGGGTCCAGGCCGCCCACCACGCTGGCAGCCTAGACGCCGGAAAAGCCTAGACCGCTTGCGCGCATCTGTACCACGAGCCACGTTTGTAAACTCACTTCTTGAGCAGGCCCAGGAGGACCTTGAGCTTGCCTTCTTCGCCGCCGCCGCCCACCTCGGGTAGCGTCGCCGGCGCACCCGTGTCGTCTGTAAACTCCTGCGTGGCTGTTTCGGATATCGTAGGCGAGGCGGGGGCAGCCAGTGTTGGCGGGGTAGCAGGCGGTGATGGCGGAGGGATCGCAATGGACAGTGGTTTGGGGGCCGGGTTGAGATTGGGGTGGAGTTCCGGAGACGAGTTTGGGGTGGGGTACGCGGTAGTCACCATGGTTTGTGGAAAGAGAGACACACAAGTGTCAGCAAACAGCAATATGCAGTGAGGAGGAGGGAGGGCCGGGAGAGAGAGGAGACCAAGAGAGCACCTCGCCTATGTATAGCTCTGGCAAGCGGTAAACATGCAACCAAAGCTCAGAACCCAGTGGCGCACGAACGTGTGCTTGGATTTCCGGTCCAACGTGCCCCGTCTCCACCAAGCATGCTCCCATGGCAGCCCGTACGTCATTTTGGAGTCTTTGGTGCTGCTCTAAACACTTTGGAAAGCACCGTTTCGCTCCACGTCGCCGTCGGTGCTGCCAGGGACGGTGCACCCCTTCACTCGACCTGGCTACTGTCGGGCAACAGGGGTGGAGCCAGCCTCCCGAGTTGGAGAGGGACGATGGGATTTGGGGGTTGGGTGTTGGGGGGGGGGGGAGGCTCACTGGGGTCGTCGTCTGTGGGGATGCGTCCGTCAGAGTCTGGGTCCTTGTCCTTGCCCATGGTGTTGAACCTAAAGCCGGTTGGGGAGTGTGTGTTGAAAGAGGGTGTGGGGAGTGTGTGTTGTTGGTGCTGGAGATGGGGTTGGAGATATGGTCTCTGACGGCCGCGGACCGATATATTCACAGAATGGGCCAGCCAGGCAGCCACAGCCCCGCAGCCGCCCCGCCCGCCCGCACCGGTGGCCTGTACGCCTGTGGTGGTGCGTCATACAAAACGCAAGCTCAAAGCTAAAAAGGGGGGGTCCGACAAGCGGCAGGCTAAATGAAATGCACCCGATTTGGTGGGTGGGCCAGGTACGCACACCCAGGTTGCAGGCAGAGAGAGCAAGTGGCGCACATCGGCCCATCCCATCCGTTCGTGGCAATTCCCCGCGGGTCAGTCACGAGTTGGTGGCCAGCACAGCAGCAAAAGAGGCAACAGCGTGACCCCATGCGAGTGTCTCAAGGATACAGTGCACTATATTTACAGTAGTGGGAAGAGCGTGGGTCACATGTGTCCTCGGTCTCCTACAACAGATCGAGACAAAACACATCTCGCAAAAAAATACAAAACGGTCAATTAGGTCCAATTTACCTCCCGGCGGCATCCTTGCGCAAACTTGTGGCCTTGTAGCTTGTGGCATGAAGATTTGGCCTATCCCTGTCGAATGTGCTTCCAATGCAGAGACCCCAGTCATGGCACCATGGTCCCCCTCGCGCACTGGAGTGTGCATAAGACACATGGATGTGATCGTGAACCACTGCAGCAGCGGCGCCGAGGCCGTGTACCACGCACCGCACGCCCATACCCATACGCCAAGCAAGGGAAAATCGCTCGTGTGGCGGGCGGGGGCTCATGTTTGGCGCAAATGCTCGGCATTCTTCCGCAGCGCCGCACTTTGATGGTATGCACTGTTTTTTGGCGGCTCTCTCGAGTCTATAAAAGCGCGCTGTTACTGCAGAGCCATGGCAGAGCCACTGCGGTACCACTTGCTCACTTCCACGTCGAGCTGAGCAGCCTGCCGCGGCCTCGCCAGTCACGAGACGTGGCGAGGGCCCGTGGGTGGTGCGGCGAGTTGATGGGCTACTGAGGCGCCCATAGCGCGGTGCGAGATCGCGAGAACACCGACGTGCCCTGTCTCCGAATCACCGTTGCACCGTTGCAACTTGCAACTCGTTTGTTTCGCACCGCGCGCCTGCTGCTCGTTTCTCCGCTACCAAATGCCGATTGTTCTTTTTACATGCACGCCCATGCTCCTTTCCAAAGGACTAAAAGACTATTGCTATTGCTACACACCTCTACACCGAAAATGTGCGTGCTTGCGCCTGTACCAACCCCGGCTCCGAGCTCTACACCTCCATCCAGCGCCAGGGCTCCTCGACGAACCGCTTCCACGTCTCGGTGAACGCAATCAGCTCGGCGCCCTCCAGCACCCTGTGGTCGCCGCTCCAGCCCACGGGGCAGCGGAGCACCGCCCGCGGGCCGGCCTTCTCCACTTGTCCGGGCTCGACACCCCAGACGCCCGACAGGCCAAACTGGTCTTTACCACGGGTCTTGTCGCCGCCGCGCAGCGCCCACTCCATCTCCCATGCGGCGCGGCCGACGGCGGCGATGGCTAGTCCGCCGCCGGGGGGCAGGACGGGCATGGCGCCGCGCGCCTCGCCCAGTCCGCCGACGGACGACAGGGTGATGTGCGGCAGGGGGCCTGGACGGGCGGCGCGCGCGCGCAGCGCCGACAGCTCACCGGCAATGGTGGCGACGGACGAGGACGGGTCGAGGGCGGGGAGGGAGGGCGTGAGGAGGCCCAACTTGGGGTCGCTGACGGCAATGCCAATGTTGGCGTCGCGGCTCACGTCGAGCCAGCGCTGCTCGCCCTGCTCGCGCACGCGGGCGCGCATGATGGGGTGCTCTTCCAGCGCGAGCGAGAGCGCCTTGACGAGGAAGGCCAGGAGAGACGTCTTCTCGCGCTCGGGTACGGGGGCCGGGTGAACCAGCGAGCCGGGCACGTCGGACGCAATGTAGCCCGAGGGCTCGGAGCGCGGTGCGTTCGCGGCCTTCATCAAGGGCAGGAGGTTGGTGAGGTCCAGAGTGTGTGCGTAGCTGTCTGTCAGTTACAGGTCCCCCAGGAGTTCCAAACTCACCCAAAGTGGGGGACAGAGCCCATCGAACCCATAGCCTTGTACATGACTTTGCGGGTGCGGCCCATCTCCATGCGCTCGACGTTCTCGCCGCGGTCGACGGGGGCGGCAGACGACTGGCGGGGAGCAGCGGCTGGGCGGGGGGCAGAAGCAGATGGGGTAGGCGCAGGGGCCGAGCTGGAGCTGGCAGCCGAACCCTCGGCAGCGAGACGCTCAAGGTCTTCGCGGGTCACGCGGCCTCCGTCGCCGGTCGGGGTAGCGTCCTCGAGCTCCACGCCGAGCCGGCCTGCCAGGGCGCGGACGGCCGGCGATGCCTTGACAATACGCTTCACCTGGCCACCACCCTCGCGGCGGGCCTCGACCGAGTCGGGGATCTTCATCTGGCGCTTGGGGGCCTGCGGGAGCACAGAGGCCTCGCCCTCGAAGCGGACGGCTGTGTCGTCGAGCGGGTGTGGGCGCGGTGCGCGCTTGGGCGGAGCGGCAGCGGCAGGAGGTGAAGGAGGAGCAGGTGCAGGGGTTGGGGGAGCGGCCTCACGGCGAGGAGGAGGTGGTGGTGGTGGGGTAGCTGCCTCGGGCTCTGGTGCAGCCTCGGCCTCAGCCTCTGCCTCGTCCACGGCGTCCGTCTCCAGCTCGCACAGGGTCATGCCGACCTTGATCACCTTGCCAACATCGGCATTCAGCTTGGCCACCTTTCCGGCGTGCGGGGACGTGATCTCGACACTTGGAAATGTCAGCTGTGGACGTATCGCGAAGAACGCAGCTATAGACTTACACGCTCTTGTCGCTCTGAACTTCGCACAGCGAGTCAAACTCCTCGATGACATCGCCGACCTTGACATGCCACTTGATCATCTCCACCTCTGTGATGCCCTCTCCGATATCGTGGAGCTTGAAGTGGAAGAGACCGAGGGAGCGAGACGAGGCGTGGAACGCGCGTGTGCCGCTTGGGGCCAGCGATACATGGCGAGGCAGAGCGCGGGACGCTGATGCGAGTGAGAGGACAGGCGTCGAGAGCCGGGGAGCACGAGGGCGGGTGTGGCGAGCGGCACGCGCGCAGGCGGCGGCGATGCGAGACATGGTCGTGAGTAGTGAGAGCAGAAAAAGGTGTCACGCGTCGATGATGGATATGTGATGTGTGTGGCTCTGTAGCTGCGTACTTGAGTGTTGCTTGTGTGCTGTCGTTCTCTCTTGGTGTCTACGGATCAGCACATGAGAGTCGGCCGGAACATGACGTATGGTGGGGGGCACCCAGGTGTTGCCAAGCGCCGGCCATCAGCGGCCAGGCTCCGGGGCACACACAGTGGGGCGTGTGGGGTAGAATGCGGGGTAAGTGGCAGGGAGATGCGTCGACACTCCGTTCCAATGTCACGTGACGCGATCCTTCCCGCGGCTATCTCCGGCACACACACAAACATAAAATCCGCCCGTGCGGACTTTTATGACGGGCCGAGATTAGGCAGAAAAGGCCGCCTGCCGCCTGGTGCTGGGTGTGTGGAGACTCCAAAAAATCCCCCCCTTCGCTTGGCCCCCTTCATCCTATCTCTTTGCCCTAAGCGATCTGGCGACTGGACCGAGCAGACGACGACAGAGGCCGTTGCCGACGGCTAAAGACTATACAATCAGGAATAGGGCGACGTTCCAAAAAGGTCAAAGAGCTCCACATCCCCCCCACCTCGTATCGTCGCTGCCGAAGCGGTCCTGGCAGGTGACGTCCTGATGCCTGATGGGAAAGGCCCCGGGCAGCATGACGCAGGCTTGCAAAATTCCACTCTCTATCCAAGCGATACGTAGGGCAGCAAAGGGGGGGTGGGGGGAGAGAGAGACACAGAACACCAGAGACACAAACCACAAGCGCCTAGGCAGCAATCCCACCCCTTTCCCCCCCGCTCCTAAGCGCTGGCCCCGCGCACCCAAAACGAGCCCACTCGTCCGTCAGTAGCGGCGGCTTGAACGGCGCTGTGCTTGGCGACTGACTGGCGTTTCCAGGGAGGCCCACCGGAGACTGGTACGGCCGTTCTGTAGCGCGCTTGCGTTGGCAATGGTCGACCCGATTATCTGACCTTTTGGTGGCGCAAAGGTCAGATTCGTCGGGCAAAGGTCAGATTCAGGCATGCAGAGGCGAGACTGGCGACGGGCAAAGGTCATAACGCAACCCGTGTGGTGCCGTCCCCAGCTCTTTCCTTGTCTTGTATATAACCCCTGCCCCCCTCCCCATCGCTGTGCCCACAATGACCCCCATCGCGTCTCGCATCACCTCCATCACCGCCCGCCAGCTTAAGAACACTCGCGCACTCGCGTCCCTCCACTCCAACCCCATCACCTCTGCCCCACCTCCCAAGATGCCTGTCGCCCAGACCGACCTCAAGCCTCTCCTTGAGCAGAACCGCAAGCACGTCACCCCCGCGCTCACCCGTCTCCACGATGCCATCATCGTCAAGGGCCAGGGATGCACCGTCTGGGACCAGGAGGGCAACGAGTTCCTCGACCTCACCGCCGGTATCGGAGTCACCAACCTCGGCCAGTGAGTAAAAAGGAAAAATGACTACTGTGGAGCGGCCACCTCTCTCACGACCTCGTCGCTAACAAACTCTTCAGCTCGCACCCCGCCGTGACCGCCGCTGTTGTCAACCAGGCCCAGCAGATCTCGCACGTCCAGTGCTCGGTCGCGTTCTCGCTCCCCTACCTCCAGCTTGTCGAGTCGCTCCTCCCCCTCATGCCCCACCCTTCGCTCGACACCTTCTTCTTCTGGAACTCGGGTTCCGAGGCCATTGAGATGGCTCTCAAGCTCGTCAAGCGCGCCTCGAACCGCCCCAACGTGATTGTCATGCAGGGCTCGTACCACGGCCGCACCCACGGTGCCTCGGCCCTCACCAAGTCCAAGAACGTCTACACCATGGGCACCGGTGCTACCATGAACGGCGTCTACACCACTCCCTTCCCTTACTGGCACTCGCTTGGTGTCGACCCTGCCACCCCCGAGGAGGAGCTCGTCAAGATGGCCAAGTTCCAGCTTGAGCTCCTTATCAAGCAGCAGACTGCCGGCGGCGACGTCGCTGCCCTCTTCATCGAGCCCGTTATCGGTGAGGGTGGTTATGTTCCCGCCCCTGCCTCGTGGCTCCAGTTCCTCCGCGAGTTCTGCGACAAGCACGGCATCCTCCTTGTCATCGACGAGGTCCAGACTGGCTTTGGCCGTACCGGCAAGATGTTCATGTCCGAGTACTCGGGTGTGCGCGCCGACGTCATGATCTTTGCCAAGGGTCTCGCCAACGGCTACCCCCTCTCGGGTGTCGTTGCCTCGCGCGAGCTCATGGCCAAGCAGGAGCCCGGCACCATTGGCGGCACCTACGCCGGTAACGCCGTCTCGTGCGCTGCCGCCGTCGCCGTCGCCGAGGTCTTCAAGACTCAGCCCATCATTGAGAACGTCAATGCCCGCTCGGCCCAGCTCTTCGAGATGCTCAACGGCCTCAAGTCGAGCCCCAAGACCGCCAACCTCATCGCCGACGTCCGCGGCAAGGGTCTGATGGTCGCGTGCGAGTTTGCCTCGGCCGGCGACGCCCTCACCGTCAAGGACGGCGTCACCATCCCCGCCAACGTCGGCAAGCGCGTCCAGCAGAAGTGCCAGGCCGCCGGCCTCTTCATCCTCACCACCTCGTGCTTTGACACCATCCGCTTCATCCCCCCTCTCGTCATCACCGAGGAGGAGATGGCTCGCGCCTGCAAGGTCTTTGCCCAGGCCGTCGAGGAGGTCGCTCGCGAGGGCTAGATTAGAAATGAGACACGGAGCACGGAGCGTAGGTGTAATTGAGAGTTTTGTACGATCCCCCAGGCAGGTGTATGCATATTACAAGCACAAACAGGACGTGTGGAGCACACACTGACAGAGAAGCACGAGGCAGAGTCGGGCTATTCGAGGCCTTGTCGTCTGTCACACACATCAGAACATTACCAGCGATCCACACTTGACCCAGGTACACAAAAGCCCACCCCCCAGCCGACTGCTTCGGCCATGAGCGAATCGCCACCCACAGCCCTTACTCGCTATCGCTATCCGTCGCTTAGCCGCGAGCCGCGACGCATAAAAAAACAGCGCCACGCGACCAGAAACACCCGCGCGTATTCTTCCAGAGCGCCAGAGCTTGAATAATAAGGGACAGTAGGGAATCACAGGATCACAGGGAAAGCCCGTCAGCTCTCGAGCTCGCAGCTTGCATGCAGCTTGTGAGGGGGGGAAACCTTTTACCGCTCGTGTGCAAGGCGGGGGTTGGGCCGTTGGTCCCCCCTACACTCCGCGCCCGGTGAATCCGAAGGGTTACCCGAGAGGACAGGTTTGATCAGTTGGCAGGAGCTGCAGAAAACCGGGCACCATGTGTGGAGAGGGACGGGTGTCAGCCGACGCAGACGATATGGCAGCCGAAGGAAAGAGTTAGCTCCTCCACCCCCCCGCACCCCCGCCGCACCCCCGCCGCACCCGCCGCTCGACCACTCGGATATCGGAAAGAAGAGAAGAGACGCTGGTGGGTTTGGCAAGGTTGTGTGGTGCACGGGCGCTGTCAGCCAATGTCGACAATGATAAACCGGCCCAGCAAATGGAGAACAGGACGGCCGAGGCGCGACTGCCCGTCCGAACCGCGAAGAACGAACTGCGAAGTGCGAACCGCGATGCCGAAATGCGCACGGCGACGCCTGCTACACGCTTGCAAACCGCTGCCCCCCGCTGCGAGCATCGCCAGCCGACGCCAAACGACGGCACGCACGCACGGCAGACCCAGAAGGAATCCCAATAATCCCAATCCTGCGCGCACGGTCCTAAATTTCAAGACGCCGGGCAATTTTGGCCGGGTGCCGGCGCTCTCGGTAAACCGTGCCAAACCCGCCTGTCGTTTAAAGTCGTTTACCTCGGGTGGCCATGCGGTTACAGGCCGGGTCTGGGCTCTGGACTGGCTGGCCGTGTATGGCGCGTTTGCATGGGCTGGTGGCTTGCCAAGTGATGCAAGTGATGCAAGTGATGCAAGTGATGCAAGTGATGCAAGCAACAGGCGTTCGGTAACAGAAAGTGGGTGTCTCTTGTCGTGGAACTGGAAACCTGGAATGTGGCAGACAGCAATGGGCAAGGAAGCCGAAGATCGACGGCCGGCCGACGGAATCCAAACTGTCCTTTGAAACAGTCCAAAGCCGTCTTGCACCTGCATGTTGTGGTGGTCGGCCCAATACGGACGAATAGAATCGTACGTCGGGGGTAATGCATCGTTACTGGGCCAGCAACGGAGTGGCAAAACGGGAAACGAGCTCAACAACGCGAGACAGGACCAAACTCTCCCCAGACGTCTCATCTCTAAAATCAGGGGAGAAACGTATCCAGATCCAGATTCAAAGACAGACCTTGCCTGTTGTTCATCGACCCATCGCTCAAGTCCCCCATGTCGGTGGCAGCCATGAGTGGCGTTCCAAGAGACAAGCATTGATGAATGACGGCCATAAATGACCCACTGGCCACTGACTCCCACGACCTCCGAGACCGCACCATGCTGACCGGCCTGTTGCAAGTATTGTGTTTCCGTTCGATATTCTGAACTGTTGGGCATTTGCCTTCCCGCGTGATAGATTACGAGACGTGCGGCACACCAAAGTGCACGCATCCGCCGTTTCACCTCTGCTTTAAAGCTTCCATCCTCGGTTCTTGGTGTGCACTTGACGTTTGGACCTGACGAATAAGAGGAACACCCGCGGTCCAGCGTCGTCGGATATTGGGACCGAGTTGTGCTGGGCTTGCCGTCTTTGGCACCGTTAAAGTGTCGTATCTAGGGCGGCAACAAGCTAAGCTCATCGATCTCCCCGTCTGTGGAATCCAAGTCCTTCATCTCTGGGTGTTGTGCACTGGCGGACAAGAGGCCCCCTCACATTGCCGCACACCATGCCGGCATGTCAGCTGGATCCACCAACAACCCCCCCGGTGCATCGGTCGTTCGTAGATTGTTTGGACAGTCACACCTTGCACACTTGCCGCACCCCTCGTGATGCAGCTCCCTCCGACCTCCCACCTCATTACCCTTGCTGCGCTGGGCCCGCATGTGCCTCGGGTGGAGTATGCTTGTGAGCTTGTGTAGCCCAAACGGCATGAGTCTAGGGGGTCGACAAGACGTCACGAGACGAAACCCGACATGAACGAGCGGCTGTGGCCATTGTCCGCATCCGTCGATATCTCTCTGATCTCTCCACTACCCATTCTCATATCATTGCTTGCACCTCTTCCATTCCCTTCAAAAGGCTGTATAGAGCCTAAAGAACGGTACAGCCCGTCGTACAAAGCTCTGGCCCGCCCAGCAGTTCACTGCATCACTGGTCTTGCATTCCTGCGGGACGCTAGACACGACAAGTCGGGACGCGCCACATTCCCACCCCGCGCACCACCGGCAACATCCCAACGCAACCGTCCAGTTCAGTCACTCTCCATCAGTCATGAAGCTCGCCATTATAACCCTCGCGCTTGGTGAGTCGCACTGCTCATCAGCGTATCTGCCTCGCTCGCGAGCCGGGTCGAGTTGATTCCCACTGTACAGCACCGTTGCTGACGACCACAAGTCTCCTTGGTGACTGCCGCACCCCTCTCAACCCACTGGTCGCAGGGCGTTCCACTCGATCGATACCTGCCTGGCGAGGATGGATCCGCCGCAGAACCGCAACCGGGCACGCTTCTGGCCAACGCAGGTGCTGGGCGAGTGCTCAGTCTGCCTGCAACGTCCCGCCACCACAGCGACACTGCCACGAGCTGGCCCGCAGCCGTTGGCGAGCGACTGAGCGCCATCCTGAACCACTTTGGTATCTATGTCGAAGTGTGGTCCGAGACCGAGGAACACCTGTTTGTGGACATGGTCTACGGCGACGATGCGGGCAGAGGCGACACTGCTGCAGGTGACCGCTTCCAAGCACTGTCCGCCGACGCGCTCGAGTACTACCTGTCTCAGCGCCAGGTGGCCGAGGGTATCCTGGACCAACTGTGGGAGACCATGGGCCACCGCCGAGTGTACGCGCTCGTCTTGCTCGTGGTCGCCGTCCTGAACATTACGGCCATTGCCCTCGCGCGCCAGAGTTTGTCCCAGCACCAGCGCTGCGCTCGCTGTGGGTACGACGCTGAGCTCGAAGCACCAGGCCGGGCGCATTCGGAGCGTCTGCCTGCGACCTCGAACGGGGTCGCAGTGGATGAAAAGGGACGACTCGTGTAGGATGTGAAACGGTAAGAGGCGGGCCGAGTATGAAACGGGAGCATCAGAGACATTGCCGGTATAATGGTGACGGGGGAGAGCAAGGACAGAGGCAGCTGGGCTGTTCTGAGCAAAAGAACAAGAGTCGACAGCGTATTATAGTAGTGATTGTACACGATCAACGAAACACGACCTGTCTGTGCAGCTGCTGTAGCACACACTGGTACACTAATCGGCCGCGAACGGATGGAATCCGTGTGATTACCTAAGCACATAATTGAAATTTACTCCCGCGTTCCCGTGTTCGCCCAGAGTGTGCTCCAACAACACCCGCCGTTTGTTCACCTACGTCGACCTGCACAGCAACCTGCCTCGTTCTTTCAACACCGTTATATCCTGCGACACCCCCAGTGTACAGCAAGGAAACACTCGCCCACACTCATTCAACCCACCATGAAGATCACCCTCGCCACCGTCGGCGTCCTCGGTGAGTGTGAACGCCTCGGAAACTGGGGCCAGTTGAGTGGCGACAACGCGCCATCACGTTTCCCACACGATGCGCAGACATTTGTCGTCCCCAACTCCACCACCCCTCGTTCTCAACTTGCAGAGCTAACCTCCTCTCAGCCGTCGGCGCTAGCGCCGCCCCGAGCATCTTTGACAATGCAGGTGTCCGTTACGGCCACGGTGTGCAGCTTGGCGCTCGCGAGGCCGAGGCCGACGCGAACGCGCGCGCCCCCGCCGCCGAGAAGCGCATGATGCCCTGCCCCGGCAAGGCCGCCATGGCCGAGCGCATGCGCGGCAACGCTCCCATGGGCACTGCCTCGTGGGCGCCTGGTCCCCTCGGCGCGCTCCTCTCGCGTCTTGGCCTCAACCGCCCCCACTTTGAGCACATGGCCGACTCGGCAGTGGTCAAGTACGGCAAGGGCAAGCACCACGGCGAGCAAGGCTCGGACCACTCCATCTTCGTCCCCGAGGACGTCGAGGGTGTTGTCCAGGAGTTTGAGCCTGCGCTCCCCATCATGGAGGGCGGTGTCGTCCACATCCTCCCCATTGAGGGTTCCTCCGCCGTCGGCCAGGCGTCCGACGACGACGACGACCACCACCACAAGTCGCACCACAAGGAGCACAAGCACAAGGAGCACAAGCACAAAGAGCACAAGCACAAGGACCACAAGCACAAGGAGTACAAGGCCAAGCACAAGGGCCACAAGCACGGCAAGCACCACTCGCACAAGCTCTCGAGCGTCCTTGCCAAGTGGAACGACTTCTCGTCGCGCATCTGCGCCGGCTTTGCCAACCTCCCCCTCGAGGCCCGTCTCTTCGTCTTTGGCGCCCTCATCGCCGTCCTCCAGGTCTTCTTCTCGCTCATCTTCCTCGCTGTCCGCCTCCGCCGCGGTCGTGGCCGCGAGGCTCGCCGTGAGGCCCGCCGCCAGCGTCGCGACGCCCGTCGCCAGGCCAAGGCCGCTTACAAGGCTGGCAAGGCTGCCCTGAAGCAGAACCAGACCGACGCCGCGGCCGCCAAGCAGGCCGAGGCCGGCTTCGCTATCGAGTCCGAGGAGGAGGGCGAGGCCCTCCCCTCGTACGCTGACGGCGAGACCGACCAGCTCGTCGAGCGCCGCTAAGCGAGAAGCAAGTATTCTAGACAGACGGCGGGAGTGTGGACACACGTCTCTCCTCTCCCCACCCTCCACCCCCTCTTCTTCATCTACCCCCAAGATGTCTGCCAAGAGCGCCAGGTACTTCGACGCGAGGCATATCATCCTGTAATTCCGTATCCCCCCTTTCCCGATGTATCCGTTGTTTATTGAACCAAGCATGCGATCAGCCATGGGCCGACCAGGCGGTGTGGTGGTAGACTGGCGAGGGCTGTTCAAGTGCAGCCACGCTGACGCGGCATTGTTTCCCCATCGACTGAGCCCCGCAGCTCGTTGCCAACTTTAAACAAGCATCCCATGCTATTTCTAGTCCATTACGACCCCTCTCCAGTTACATACCATCATGAACACGTCCGCGCCGCCTGCTCTCCCCACTTCCCCACTCATCTCGTACCCCCCCCCCCCCCACTGCTTACTTGTCGAAAGTGAACTTCAGACTCTTGCCACTAGGAAGCGCGACCGTACCGCCCGCGGGCGACATGTTGTCGAGCTTTTGCTGAGCCTTGGCGATGGACGTGCAGCCGTCGTGGCGGTCGTGGCAGTCGCGGTGTGCCCAGCTGCCGTCGCCCGGGTCGGCGAGCGCCACATAGTTGCTAATGAGGAGGTATTCCTGCGCGCGCTGGTACATGTCGTCGCGGACGGGCGGGGACACGGGGAAATCGATGAGCGGGCCGACCTCGTGCAGTGCCATGCGGGCTTGGTACGCGCCTTGCCGACGTCAGCAAGGCGGAGGGAGGACGGACGAGGGAGGAGGAGCTAGAGGAGCTGCGCAGATCACTTACGCCAGTACGCCTTGGCGAGCATGTTGTGGGTAATGAAGCGGAAGTGGAAAGCCGCCTCGCCGCAGTTGTACGCGGTGTTGATCCAAAGTCCTCTACTGACGGGATGGAGGGTGGCGAGTTGGAGGGCTGTGGCGGACATGTTGCACCAGAGGGTACTCTCGCTTTGGAGAGGGTGGCTAAGTCAACGCCGTGCTGGGATGTGATGTGATGTAAGGTGCGGTACTCACAGCTGAGCTACACCGTACTCAAATGCAGCGTTCGATGTGAAGAGCAGAGGCGTCGAGACCCAAGGATAGAGGGCCAGCGCTGCGTTGTGATACTGCACCATTGCCTGACCGTATTTTGCCTCCTTGTAACTAGTCGTCTGTCAGCCGAATCCACACTCTCACCGTTCTCGCGAGCTCACAGCTTGTTTCCCTCCAGCTTCATTGCCATGGCGAGCGCAACCACTTGGGGAAGAGGATCCAGTTGGCGTACATTGGCACGTGCCACGAAGTCGTTCCATGCCGGTGCGGCGAAAAGACTGTTGACGCGGAGGTAGCCATCCATCTCGAGGCGGATACCGATGACAAAGAGTATACCAAGGTTGCAGGCAATGCGGCCACGCTCATATTTGCTCATTCCCAGGGGGATGTGGCGACGGTCCAGAACTCCCTTGGCGCTACGGTGGCATCTGCATGCAGTATTAGACGTTTTAGAGGTTGCTACGTGGGAGGCTAGAACCGGCCACGGCAGACTCACAGGACGTCGCATGCCGGGCTTATCTCGTGGAGGAACTTGTCCTTGAATTTGGCTTTGTCGCAGACGATCTGCATCGGGGTTGGAAGGACACCCCATATTTGAGCGTTCATGGTCTTGTCAATTTGAGTGTAGTGGGAGGCGCTGAGAGGAACGCGGTCCAAAACTGGAAGGGAGTCGCCACCGCCAGCGTACGGGACGTGCTGGAAACAGTCGACTGGAAACGGTACGGGAAACTTGCGGTCGGCCTTGAGAGCAACCGCGAGGCTGTCGCCGTTGGATGAAGTGGTGATGTAGTCTCCAAGCGGCCCGAATGTCATGTTGAGATGATAGGGATGAGCAGAGGTATGTTGTAGAGACAAGAAGGAAGGCGAGAACGCAAAGTAGTCCAGTCACCTCCGTGCCCCGAGCGAATTGTGACGATCCTTCCCCTCGCTGACTGGGCGCAGATTCGACACGCCCATGGTCTTCCCACTTCGCCAAACATTGCTTCTCTCCACTTCACACATATCCATCGCCTACTCGACTACCCTCACGTGACACCCATCCCACAAACCATGAGCAGCTCGACACCTGGGCAGAGCAACCCCGGCCAGGCAGAGCACAAGGGGCCATCCTATACTGTGGGCATCCCCGCGACAGCTGGTGGCGACACATTGGTGATTCCTCGCGCCGCACCCCTCCAAGCCCAGCACTACTCTCAGGCCGACGCGACCTTCAACTGCGCTATCTGGGATATCTTCCCCTTCGTCAAGGATGGAGCGGTCGCCCCTTTCCCGCTCGCCGCAGACAAGCCGTACGTTTGACTGTCTGTGCACACTGAAGGGACACTGTTGACAGTATATTCCAGCTTCAAGACGACCGACTTCACCCCAGAAAACATTGCTAGCAGTGTTCCAGCTCATGAGCACACCCGCATCTCCACCAACTGGACCGTACTCAAGCACCTGCGCGCCGTCTTCCACGATTATGGCTTCGTAGGCCCTACAGACCTTGACAAGCTCGAAAACGCCGTCCTCAAGCGCAAGGAGTTGGCGACGATCGAGCCCGTGGCCCAAATGGTTACCCGTGTGGAATCTCTCAAGAAAGAAGGCGACGAGTACGTTGGTCTCGTGGACATGGCTGACTGGAGGCACTACAAGCAACGCAACTGGGGTTCGGCACTTTGGACGTATTACACCGCTCTAATGGAGATGTATCCTTGGACCAGCACACCTCTTCTGTTTACGGCGGGCGACGCTTTCCAGTATGGCGTTGCGCTCCTGTAAGTTGAGTAGGAGAAGCTGTAGCTCACCAAAAGTGAAAGCCAGCTGTGGACCAACATCGCTACCACTGCCGCCAAACTCGCCTCGGCACGCAGAAAGGAATGGCACCACGTGACCATCGAGACCGCTGGTGTAGTTATCAACATGCGTTTCACCACCCACAGGCTGCTTGCCAAGGCCTACAAGAGTAAGTTTAACTCTCTCAGTCATGATGTTGACAACAGTCTCCTTTGAAGCGGGAAATGTGCTCAATCCCATCAAGAGTCTGGACTGGATGAGGCTCCCAATAGCAATAAATCTCTGGTTCGCTCACCCTCCCACGGCATACTCCGCCATTTACAGTCGCATACATCTCAACGACCCCAAGGATGGCTCATGGGCCCATGCCAAGTGCCACACGCAACACCTGTGCATGTCCGATGCTGCCTTCAGGAACATGCTTGCCGAGAAGGCCCAGAGAGAAGGTGGCCTTAGTATTCAGTTATCCAACGGCGAATCAATCAGCTTCAACCCCGAAACTCAGACCTTCAACGCGACTGTGTAGACATGGAGCTCTAGGCAAAGGAAGAAGTCAAGTATGTAGCACTGTGCGTCTAAAAATGTATATACCCAGTGCAATGTGTCCAATATTGCTGAAGAGGAGGGAAGCGCCAACTAGGCTCGGGGGGCCACTACATAGTTTGGAAGACCCACCTTTTGACAATTTCGGGCTATTTTTTTGGTTTAATGCTGGACCGTCACCCCAAGTGCATACTGTAGACTGTGCAGAGCACCAGAGTGTCCTATCATCATGTATTTCACTGTACACTCGTCTGAATGCTATCACTTTAAAGACTGGTTGCAACAACGGCCTCGCTGATGCTCCAAAGCCGCGGCCCGCCGATCCGCCGATCCGTAGCTGACTGGACTCCTGGGCGATCCTACCCCCAGGTGACGAAGGTTTACAGCCTCCTTCACTCTCCACGTCCCAACCCGTTCTTGTTTCCACTCACTCTCCTATACTCCTATCAACCATCCATCAACCACCACCATGTCCGAGGAACTGAACGACATGTGCGGAAAGATAGCAGAGGCACTGGACAAGCTGGGTGTGCCCTTCTCCGCCTTGGAGCACATCAACGACCTCCTCCCTTGCCGCCTGGGAAAAGACCGCAAGTTCAAGAGCCCATTCCCAACTGATAGCTATGCCCACTCGTACTTTACTGGCGGTGGAGACTCGCTCCCCATCGAGCGTGTTCCTCTCACGGATGCGCACTACAGGCAGCACGACACGAGTCTCAATGGCCAAGTTTGGGGCGTTCTCCCCACGTTTGATGCTCTCCTCTCGGGCGGCGACTTTAGGGACAGGTTCTACCGCAATATCATTATCAAGTGTGACAAAGAGTGAGAATAATCCTACCCAAAGACTTCATATGTCTAATCTCGTGGCTCAGGATCGGTGTCGGGCCTAGTGGTGTGTTTGACCGTATTCTCATCGCCGAGGTCCTGCCCAATTGGGAGCGTGGACGCCTTGCCTGCAATGTCTTCAGCCTGCGCACTATTGCCAGCCGTCTTGCAGCCGACAACTACGACCTTGTCCCCACCCAGACCCCCGAGGAACCTGAGGAGCAGCGCTCTTGGTCCGCGCCAACCCGCTTCAACCAGCGCTGTACGGCTCGCCGCGCCGATCCTCTCCAGGAGGTCGTTGCCGGCGTTCAGAAACTCAAGGTGGCTGGAAACGACCTGTATGTTTCCCTCACTCTCAGCAGATATTCACACCCAGGTACAACCAGCGCAAGTTCGGCGAGGCCATGGTGCTGTACAATTATGCCGCCTTTGAACTGTACCCTTGGGTCTCGTCCCCGCTCCTTTTCACCTCGACTGTTGTCTTCGCGTGCGGACTTGCCCAGCTGTACGTCCTGAGCCCCGGAGTCGGCTGACCCACAGTGAGGCCAACCTGTGGCACAACATGGCCGTCAGCGCTCTCAAGTTGGCCGAGCTCCACTCCAGCCACAAGGCCGGTTGGATCAGTCAAGCTATCGACTGCGCCGAAGCGGTCACCTACTCCCGGTTCGTCACGCACCGGATCCTCGCCAAGTCCTTCTACCGTGAGTCCTGTCCCCGGTCATCCTGTCTTTCTTCCTTATACCAACTTGCAATCTACAGGCGCCCACGAGGCACGTCACAAGTTGGTTCAAGAGCGCGAGGTCAACCATGCCAGTTACCCCTGCACCGACGAAGAGGCTGAGAAGGTCTACGCTGCTGGATTTGCGCAAGGCATGGTGTCCCAGTTCGTGGCCATGTCCGACCCTGGCGACGACAGTTGGGCCCACCGCGACTGCATCAACTGCCATGACGGCTGCACGTCTCTCGAGAAGACTCAGCACAAGATCAATCAGATGCCTCCTTCAGGCGGCTCGATTAAGTTTCCCGGCGATACGTCGATGCGCTTCACATTCGACGCGACTGGTTAACTAGGCGAGGAGGGTTGGAGGGGGAATTCGACTTTGTGGTTTGTGCATGGCTCGATGACTGAGGATGGAGCGCTTCATAACCTGTTGATAGCCAGAGGACATGGAAATATGACGTAGCCGGTCATACAAAGGTCACCTTTTTGGGAGCAGGTAGGACGGGCAACGGCGAGTTAACTACCACTCAAAGGTGAGCCACATGGCGGACGGCGATGCTGCGCGTCACAGTGGTACAGTGGTCTCCCATGTTCGAACAATGTTTGCTGCGAGTCGTGAACACGACAGCAGGGGCAGATGGAACCAGCGTTCTCGGCCTCGGTCATGCCTGAACGGAACTGGCAGGCACCAATGCAAGCATAAGTAGCAGGGTACCGTAGTCGACCGCGACCGAGATGCATGCATATCCCATTGCGGGCCGTCGGGTAATGCCCTATTGAACCGGTCATGTTTGGTACGGACAGGGTTGGGAAACCACGCTTAAGCTATCGTGCTTAGCTTCGCCTAATGTTTTGCGAATCCCGGCATGTTGTTTCCGAATCGTTCAGATCACAGCGGACCCATGGCCGACTTACTGTATTTCCAGCAGGTGAGGAGTAACACCGCAGAGCAGCAGATGTTAGGCACTATCGGCCTATCATACCAAATGCCATCCGCACCATCGTAGTGGCATGGACGCCGAGCCATGGACTCACGGGGGAACGCAAGCGCGTGGCGCCACTATGTTATACGGCCACTGTCTCGTCTGAGATCACTACAACCCAGTTGCCCAGACCGGACGAACGGCACGCGGAATGGGCCATTCGCGATGCACAGAGGTGCATAGGGAAAACGCCCATGGGTCCACAGGTGCTTGACAACAACAAACAACACGAGAGTACGATGCCCCCCTACTCCTAAGCTATCTAGAGCTTGTCTTGGTAGGGTCTCGTCCCCCGTCAGGTCCTATCAGATGTCATAGATACCAACCGAGTTGGGAAAGCAAGGTCCGACTACCAAATAGCGCTTCTGCCCACGGGGCTCAATCCTCTGTCATGCTCTTTGCGTATGCATGCATGGGGCAAGCAAGGGGGATGCAGGGTGTGATCAGCCGCCAAGCGATCTCAGACCCGCAAACAGTGGTCTCAGCCCCCCAGCCTGTGCAGCCTAACGGATTAGCACCTCAATTCTTTCACTGACAGCCCAAGCCCTTCGCCGACCCCGGATGGATCCGGGGAGCGTCCTCCTCCAGAAAACCCTTTAGACTGCTGTTGTGTTCTGGTTGCTGCCGCGGGCATGGAGGACGAAAGGCCAGTCCCAACCGGCTATGCCAGTTTGGCGCCACTCTCTAGTTCTGTGACCACCGAAGAAGACACTAACCGGGTTTGGGAGCTGGCGTGTTGTGTTCAACAGAGCAAGACATCGCGTACAGGTGCGACTGACTTGTTGATGCATGCGGCGGTCACTGAAAACGCCGGAAATCTTGACCCAATCCCAGAGCAGTAGGCAGTACACATGTATATTAACAGGCAGTGCCGGGGTGGCTCTTCTCAAGCCCCTCTCTCTTCTACATTTCTTCTCCGTTCTCCTCACTCCTTCACAGTTCCCCCGAGCCCCTCCATCCACGATGCGTCTTGCTCTCCTTGCCACCATCCTGGCCGCTGCCAGCGTCTACGCCCAGACCCCAGTCAAGTAAGTACACGCGCGGACTCTCTTGCCCACGGATAGCCTACCTAACAGTTCAGCCCCAACACTGTCCCCACCTGTGTTCAGTCGTGCTCCGTCAAGGGCGCCAAGGCTGCCGGCTGCATCAACCCTCTTCAGACCGACTGCGTCTGTAACGAACCCGGCCACTCCGTGTTTTTGAACGAGGCTGCTAACTGTCTTATCGAGTGAGTGCTCATCAAGTCACCACGATACTAATTGCCCAGCAACTGCATCACGGAGATCAACGCTGCCGTCGCCATCCAGTCCAACCTTTGTGCGTACGGTGTGGACTGCCAACCCCCCTTCACCATGTGTGGCACTCTCTGCATCGACCCCTCGGCGGATACTTGCGTTTCGGGTGTCCCCACCCGTCGTGGATTTGGTCTGGCTTACTGCAAGCCCAACGAGAAGGCGTGCCGCGTCCCCACTTTCGGCATCCAGCAGAAGCGTGCCCACCAGCCCGCCAACTACGAAATTTACGAGTGCATCGACGTCATGACTAACCTCGAGGCCTGCGGCGGCTGCCCCGACGAGGGTGGCGAGGACTGCTCGACCATCTTCGGTGCCCTTGACGTGGCTTGCATCCGCGGTCGCTGCGTCGTTGCCGAGTGCGAGGAGGGCATGAAGCTCCACAACGGTCGCTGCCGTTAAGCCCCCCGAGACCAACCCCCCAGAAAGGACATTTTTTTCTAGGCAAGGCGTACTGTACATACATCCACCAGTGTAGCGTATAGTACAAAGCTCCCACCCGGATAGATGCTAGATCCGGCGTTTCTTTTGATGGACAGTAGTAGTTGGTTACGTACAGGTTTCGAAATGGTGCAACTGCAGCGAGAAAATGGATTTTAATGTGCTGCGCCGCAACGGTAGTTCATGTCAAACAGGCTTCAGTGGAAGATCCGGAGATCTGGAGGGTTAGAGCCAATATCCTTGTACTTTAGTCCTCCTATCTGATCTCTGAGAGGCCGTGCAAACGTCCGACGCCTTTTTCGCCGTTCTCATATCTCCAGGTCAGGCTGAACAGGCTGAAGGCCCAATGTCCAATGGTTCGAATCCCCCTATCCAGACAACCTGGAAGTTGTACACCTTCGACACGGTCGACTCTGTGGTCCTTAAGAAGCTGGCCGCAGGTCTTCCCAGCACCCTTCTTATGCAGCATGTTTACACAAGTTTCCGCAAGTTTACGCAAACGGTAGTCTTTGCCACAGATCCACAGATCCAGACAGCAGACACACAGGGTGTGCTCATGGCGACGTGACGTATGACGGAAGTAAACCCACGTGGCGCTGATCACCACGCCATTATCCGACGCGCCATGCCATTGTTGATTTCCGAACCACCCAACTCATCTAGCATCTTCGACCTTTGGCCACCCGACCAGATCGGGGGCACACAGCAAGATGCCGCCTTCGAGCGACTACGAGATACCCGCGCCTTCAAAAATCAAGCTGTGAGTACCCCTTGTCACTCTCTACTCGACGTCGACGACAATGTTCTCATCATCTCAACGACACGAGAGTCTGTCCTCCCATCACCCATTACCCACCACCTCTTGCATCCCCCCACCCCGACAGAGGCCCCCACTTACACGTCGCAGCAAGGAGACCAAGGCGGAACAGGCCTCGCGCGTGTATCGACGCGAACAGCGGCGCATGGCGCGCGAGCAAGAGCGGATATCCCGCGCAAACGGAGGCGGCAGCCGCAGCCGCGGGTCGCCACCCAGAAACCCAGGACGTGAAGAGTCCATCTCGCCGCCAAGATACGGCCCTCGCGCAGGCAAGCGGCCGGCCACACAGCTGAGCGACGACAGCGACGACGACGGTGCCGATAACGCGCACCACCGCATGGGGCGCGAGGAGTGGGCCGACAAGATGGCTTGGATGGCTGCCGAGGCCATGGGCGGTAACCCGTTTGGTGACTATGGCGGACTTGGTGGTGGTTTGTTCGGCAGGCTTGGTGGCGGGTTCGGCGGCGGGTTTGGCTACAGCGCAGCGCGTTTCGAGCCATATGGATGGGCGAATGCTGGGCAACGCATTCCGAACCGACACCAGCATCCCCATGCGGGCCCGTCTCGTCCCGCCTTCCGCGACGCCGCGCGCGAAGTCAACCCGGACCCCGCTGGACCAGTACCCCCGCTCGGTGACATGACCGAGAATGAGTACGCAGAGTGGGTACGCGAAGGCATGTATCGGCGCCGCCACAAGGCCGAGCTCGACGACATGGAGCGCCGTCGTGCCGCCAACCGCGAAAAAGAGCGGCAACGCGAGATTGAGCGTGAGAACGCCGCGCGCGAGGAACGCAAACGCATCGACAGGCTCAAGCGCGAGCGTGGGCGTGTCGAGGAAGACCAGAGACGGGGCGAACGACGCGTCTGGCGCGCGCGCTGTACCGCTCTCATGGACGGCGAGGTCGTATCGATGGACCTCAAGTTCGCCGACATCCCCTGGCCAGCGTACACGGCTACTGGAAGTGAAGGGGTCAGCTTCGTCCTGAGCCCCGACGACATCGCCATCGACAACGTCCGCACGTTTCTGTTCGCGCTCGCCGACGACGAGGCAGCTGCGACCGAGCCGAAAAAGTCGACCGAGAGCGCGCGCCGAAAGGTACTGCGAGACGCCATCCTCGTCTTCCACCCCGACAGGTTCTTTGCCCGCGTCCTTCCGCGTGTGCGACCGGCCGACCAGGAAAACGTCAAGGAGGGCGTCGAGAGGTGTTCGCGTCTTATCAACGAGCTCCTCGCCAGCAAGTAGTACCAACAACAGCAAGATGTTAAGTGATATTCTAGACAAGCAGGAAGGGAAATAAACAAACAAAAGGCGCAGCCACAGACCACAGCGCAGAATGCACTCTAGATGTTGCATCAAACTCCAATTGTAGAACTACATGTATCTTATCACACCGCCTGGTAATCCCTGCACACTGTCAGCGAATGTCTGTTGTACGTCCACAATCAAGCTACTCACATGGTCGTCTCGTGCTTCTTCGCGTCGTTGATCTTGCGCACCGCCTTCATCAGGTCCTCCTGCACAATGGCGTCGCGGTCGTCGCGAATGGCAAACATGCCGGCCTCGGTACAGATGTTGCGCAGGTCCGCGCCGTTGAAGCCGTCCGAAAGCTTGACGACCGCCTCGTAGTCAATGTCGCCGCTCTTGTTGATTCCCTTTGCGTGAATCTTGAGAATCTCGAGACGGCCCTGCTCGTTGGGGAGGGGGATCTCAATCTTGCGGTCGAGACGGCCGGGACGGAGAAGCGCCGGGTCGAGGGTGTCGGGGCGGTTGGTGGCCATGATGAGCTTTGTGCGGCCGAGCGAGTCGAAGCCGTCCATCTGGTTGAGCAGCTCCATGAGCGTACGCTGAATCTCACGGTCCGCCGACGTGCCCTCGGAGAAACGACGACCACCAATGGCGTCAATCTCGTCCATGAAGATGATACACGGCTCGTGCTCGCGCGCGTACGCAAACATTTCACGGACAAGGCGCGCCGACTCGCCAATGTACTTGTCGACAATGGCCGAGGAGACGACCTTGAGGAAGTTGGTGTTGAGGGTTGCGGCGACTGCACGCGCGAGTAGGGTCTTTCCGGTTCCTGGTGGGCCGTAGAGAAGGACACCCTTGGGAGGCTTGATGCCAACACGCTGGAGAGTTAGACATGTGAAGGGGGGCTTAACTCACCTCGAACAGCTCGGGGTTCATGAGCGGCAGCTCAATGACCTCACGCAGCTCGCGAACCTGCTCGCCCAGACCACCGATACCCGCAAAGCTGACCGATCCGGGGTCCTCCAGGGACATGTTGTACACCATGGGGTCGACCTCGCGGGGGAGGATACGCATGATGGTGAGAGTAGTCATGTCCAGCGAGACACGGACACCGGCCTTGAGCTGGAACTGTCAGTTTGGGTGAACGGCTAATCGTCAACGACACCTACCTTGGCAGCGGGGAGAGTGGGGCGGTACGAGACGACGTAACGGGGACCGGACGATGCCTTGACAATAACTGTATGGGTAAGCACTTGCGCAAGAAGCCGAGCCAGGTACCCACATCGCTCGTCATCAAGCTGCTTGAGCACCTCGCCGATGATCTGGCCGACACTCTGGAGCGCCTTCATGTCGTCCTCGGTCTTCTCATAGTCGTTGCCGAGCGTGCGAATGTTCATGCGGACTGGCAGTCAGCTTCCATTATGACAAAAAAGACAGCTGTTCACTTACTCTTCTTGAGGTTCTCGGACATCTGCGAGTGCTCCTTGACCTTCTGTCATGGACGTCAGCTTACTCTCTTCTCGGAGCGGACGTCAGCAACGCACGGCACGGTAGGCCTTGAGGGCCTCAATCTTTGCGGGCTCCATAGCGGGGGTGGACGAGGAAGATGCCTCGGCAGTGGCCATGATGACTGGATGTAGGTGGTTGGAGAGGGTTGATTGCAGCAGTATGATGAACAGCGTCACTCGCTCGTCAGTCAACGCGCGTCGCAGTATCCGTATCCTTATCTGATCCTCCTGTTACACTTCTTATATGAAACCCCCGGTTAATAATTTCCGGGCTCCATCGTCTCTGCGGCCCAATGTCCTGCAAGGGAATGCAGTCCGTCAACAGTCCCAAGTGTCTACTTTCATCGCGCTCGAGCATATGCGACCCGCAGCTCGCGCTCTCTTCTACACACTCCCAAGAACCACCTTTCGACCTCACGCAACTCCCCTGTTCCGTACAATGTCCGTCGTTGCGGACTCTCCCTCGCGCTCCCCGCCTCCCAAGCGCGTCCGCGCCGAGTCGCCCGCGGCCGCTCCAGCTGCCGTCGATGCCGCTGCTCCTGCCGCTGCGTCCACTGCCGCCGCCCCGTCCTCGTCCAAGCCCGCTCAGAACAAGGGCAAGAACTTTCAGCAGGGAAAGGGCAAGAGGAAGCGTAACCGCCACATCCTCCCCGACCCCTACTCATCCGGCGACGTGCTGTACCGTGACGTGGTCGACTTTCTCGGCAAGGAGTATGTGGACGAGATCATCGCCAAGGGCGACAGCAGCGAGTGGGACGCGCCCGCAGACCTCGAGCTCATGTCGGTGATTGAGCTCACTGCCGGTGTGATGACTGTTTCCGGTAAGCGCCAAGCCGATCGCATTTCAGAGCTGACAGTTACAGGTGAGAGCCTCTCCATGTACGAGAAGGACGGCAAGAAGTGGGCGATTGTGGTTCCCTTTGCGCACCCGGGAGACAAGATCCGCGCCAAGGTGTTCAAGCATGACCGTCTCTGCTCGATGGCCGACATGGTCGAGATTGTCGAGTACTGCGACGACCTGCGTGGTGGCGAGGGCGACCGCCGCGTCAACCCCGAGGCTGGCTGCAAGTACTTTGGCGAGTGGTGCGTATCACTTGATGATTGGAAACCTGTCAAATTATATGGCTAACGCTTTACGCAGCGGCGGCTGCCAGCTCCAGTCGGTTCCCTACGCCAAGCAGCTGCTGCACAAGGCTCGCACCGTCGACCTGGCGTACCAGCGCTTCTCGGGGCTGCAAGGTGGCAAGGTGCCCGGTATTCTCCCTACCATCGGCAGCCCGAAGCAGTGGGGCTACCGTACCAAGATTACGCCGCACTTTGACGCCCCTCCCAAGTGGGCTCAGCGCCCGGATCAGAACGAGGAGGACGCCAACGACGTGCGCGAGTGGTCGTGCCGTATCGGTTTCGACCGCAAGGGCAAGCCAGGAGTGCTCGACATTGAGGAGTGCCCCATCGCCACACCAGTGTTGAACGCAAAGCTCATTGACGAGCGCCAGAGGATCAAGGAGACGATTTGGTCGTTTAAGCGCGGCGCTACCGTTTTGCTACGCGACTCGCTGCCTGCCCCCGAGCCCATCCCTACCGCTGAGAGCCCATACGACCCTGCGTCGTCGACCGAGGTCGCCCATGTTGCCATCACCAACCACAAGGAGCTGGTTTACGAGCGCGTCGGCTCGTTCCTCTTCTCGTTTGCTGCCGGTTCGTTCTTCCAAAACAACAACTCGATCCTCATTCCCCTCACCGAGTACGTCAAGGAGGCCATCTTCCCTCCCGGCTCGACTGCCAAGCGCCCCACCCACCTCGTCGACACGTACTGCGGTTCGGGTCTGTTTGGCATCACCCTGTCGACCGAGTTCGAGCGCGTCGCTGGTGTGGAAATCACGGCCGACTCTATCACTGCCGCCAAGAAGAATGCCGCCATGAACGGTCTCCAGGACAAGACCACCTGGCTGTGCGGCAAGGCCGAGCAGATCTTTGGCGGTCTCCCCGAGCAGGGCTTTGCCGGCGACCACTCGTGTGTCGTCATCGACCCCCCTCGTAAGGGCTGTGACACGCCCTTCCTCGAGCAGCTCCTCGCCTTCAAGCCCCTCACGGCCGTGTACGTCTCGTGCAACGTCCACACCCAGGCGCGCGACATTGGATGGTTTATCACCGAGTCGGAGAAGCGCGGAGAGGGCAAGTGGCGCTACGAGCTCGAGAGCCTGCGTGGCTTTGATCTCTTCCCGCAGACCGCACACGTCGAGTCGGTCGGCGTCCTCCGCCTCGTGGAGCTCAACTAGACAGGTGTTACAGTACCATGCATCGTTATACCCAGGGACAAAAGGGGTGTGAATATAGGAGAAGAGTAGAGTAGAAGAATGGGTAGAGGTTACACACGCGACTCGCGGAGAGGAGAGACGACTGACTATATGGCTAATGGGGGAGAACTGACAGACTCCCCGCAGGAACAAGACGGACAAGAAAGTAAAAAGAAAAAGCGGGGCAGAGACCGTTTAGCTAGAACTCGACGAGTTCTGCTTCTTGATCACGACGACAACCACGGCGACGAGGACGGCGGCAAAAATGACCACGCCAGCACCGACAATGACAAAGAGCTGGGCCGGTCAGTCGCCTGGCTGGCATCGAGCGAGCACACTTACAGTCACGACGCGGCGACGATCGCGGCGCTTGGCGTCAAGCGCATTCTGGACGTTCTGGTGCTTGGTCTGGTGCTTGAAGTTGGCCGAGCCCTCTGCGATCGATTCTGCGGTCAGCTTGTACTACAAACTTCGAAAAGCTCACCAGAACGCCTCACACCGACACGTCCGGGCTTGCGGCGCGGCGTCCCGGGTCCATCGTCGATGCTCTCAATGTTGTCGTCGAGCACGCCCTGGGCCTTGTTGAGCTGCTGGCGCGCCTGGCGCAGGCGGTCCTCGTGCAGCGACTTGCGACCGTCCTGCGACTTGCGGCCGTCCTGCGACTGCCGGAGGATGTCCTGGGACGGGCGTTCGTCAATGACGATTGTCGCTGGCCGCGGCTTGTGCTGCTCGTACTTGCGCAGCACCTGCTCGCGCTTCTGCGCCTGGTGCACTTGCTGAGTCTGTGGCGACTGCGCGGGCTGTGGTGGTTGGTGGTTCTGGTGCTGGTGCTGGTACTGGTCCTGCAGTTGCTCGGTCTTCTCGCTCATGGGGTCTGGGAAAGGAGAGTCGGGGCTGCTCACGAGGCCGTCCTCGGACTCGTCGACAGGCGCCTCCGTCACCGAGATGATGGGCACGACAAAGCCGGGCTGCTTGGCCTTTTTGAATGGGCCTCGGCGGCCTGGCGACGCGCTGGTGGAGGGTGCTGGTGGCGAGTCGCTGCCATGGTATGGCTGATATTGCTTGCCGCCCCTGGCGTGTTAATACATGGCGGCGACATTAAGTTACGGAAACGCGTCGCGCCGTGTCGCGGTGGACGCGGCCAGGTTTGTGGGTGGACGTACATTGTTGTTGTGCTGGGGAGGTGGGGGATGCCCAGTGCGTGCGTTCAAATGTGTGTGCCAGCCGCTAGGGAGAACGCAAGACACGGATAGAGGGAGTGGGTGAAGTGACGCTGAAGAGATGGGAGTTGAGAGAGAACGGAAAAGTGGAAGTGGAAGACCAGGGGTGTGGGGGATGCGGGACTGCGGGGGGTGTGAGGTGTCCCGTGTCCTCCAGTGTCAGGAGACGTGGACGAGATGTGAATGCGGGGAAGGAGTGAGAGGAGGTGCAAGACGAGACTGTCTGCGTACTCTGCGTTGTGTGTATGTGTGTGTTATGCATATGAAAGCTGCGTCACCCGCCGCTGCATATTGCTGCACATGGGGAGCGCACATGAGGGGTCCGTGTGGGTGGTCCGAGAGCTTGTTCGCTCTTAGCGTCGTCAGTAGAGACAGAGGGACCGTGCACACGCCAAACGTCGGGGAGAGAAGGGGTGTCCCTTCTGCGTCAACAAATCCGTACTATGACGCCGATATCAGGCTCGAGATCGCCACTTCTGGCACATGGTCTGTATTTCCGCCACGTGGAACTCCCGTGGCAACGTCTTTATTTAAGCCCCCCTCGAGGTTCGAAGCCTCGACGAGCCAGCGAGAGGGCACAGCGGTACAGCAGCGATGGTCCCTGAATGCACCGCGAGAGCGGTGACGCTGGCGCTGGCACACACCCTCGCGCGCACACTCAATCGCACACGTCCAACTGGATCTCTTGCTCATATCCCCATCCCCATCCCCTCCTCCTCCCCCCATATACCTCCTCCCTCTCCCCGCTGTCGACTTTGGCGGGCGCCTAAAAAGCACATCACCTACACCTTCTGAACGGGAGCGACACCCGCTCGTGCACCCACACCGAGTGCCTCACCAGGCTCTCCATTCCACGTCGGCAACCACCCTCCCCTCTCCAACCTCTATCCTTGTCGCCTGAGCACCTGCCGAGCTCGTCAACATGGCTGACAAGCCTATCGTCGTACGTAGACTGGCTGTTTTGGCATTACTGTGGTTGCTTGTATGCTGACTCTTTCCCCCGCAGTTCACTGAGCATGTCCAGGTGGGCGTTGTCGCTCAGATCCGATCGGAGGAGCCCCTACTGACATCTTGCAGCTTACAGCGCTGGGCATTCAGCCCCAGTCCATCTCCTTCCAGTCGCTGACTCTTGAGTCGGACCACTTCATCTGCGTGTACGTGCTACTCCTTGAAACTGACTGCATTGGGCTCACCTCTACAGTCGTGAGACCGTCAACGACACGAACCAGGTCGTGATTGTCGACCTTGCCGATGCCAACAACATTATGAGGCGGCCAAGTGAGCTGCTACCCATCCAAGTCTACTTGAGCTGACCATTGCAGTCACTGCCGACTCGGCGATCATGCACCCCAAGGAGAAGATCATGGCTCTCAAGGCCGGCCGCCAGCTCCAGGTCTTCAACCTTGCGACCAAGTCCAAGCTTGGCTCGCACGTCATGAACGAGGACGTGACCTTCTGGGCGTGGATTAACGACACCACTCTCGGCATGGTCACTGAGCACACTGTCTACCACTGGAAGGTCATGGAGGGCCAGGCTGCTCCCCAGAAGGTCTTTGACCGCCACGCTTCGCTTGCTGGCAACCAGATTATCAACTACCGCATCTCGCCCGATGGCCAGTGGCTCGTGCTTGTCGGTATCTCGTCCAACCCCGCCGCTGGACAGCCGGGCTCGAACGCCTTCAAGATCAAGGGCTCGATGCAGCTCTACTCGGTTGAGCGCGGTGTCTCGCAGCCTATCGAGGGTCACGCCGCGGCGTTCACCACCGTCAACGTCGACGGTGCTGCCAACCCCACCAAGCTCTTTGCCTTTGCCGTTCGCACTGGTACCGGCGCCAAGCTCCACATTGTTGAGATTGGTCACCAGGCTCCCAACACTCCCTTCGCCAAGAAGGCCGTCGACGTCTTCTTCCCTCCCGAGGCCACCAACGACTTCCCCGTCGCGATGCAGGTGTCTGCCAAGCACGGCATCATCTACCTCGTCACCAAGTTTGGCTTTATCCACCTCTACGAGGTCGAGACTGGCCAGTGCATCTACATGAACCGTATCTCGGGCGAGACCATCTTCACCACTGCCCCTTACGAGCAGCTCAACGGTATCATTGGTGTCAACCGCAAGGGCCAGGTCCTGTCGGTCAGCGTCGACGAGGACACCATTGTCCCCTACATTCAGCAGTCGCTCAACAACCCCGAGCTTGCCATCAAGCTCGCGACTCGCGCCGGTCTCCCCGGTGCCGACAACATGATCATGGAGCAGTACCAGCGCTACCTCCAGGCCGGCCAGTACGGTGAGGCCGCCAAGATTGCCGCCAACTCGCCCCGCGGCATCCTCCGCACCCCGCAGACCATTGAGACGTTCAAGAAGCTCCCCAACGTCCCCGGCACCCTCTCGCCCATTCTCCAGTACTTTGGTATCCTCCTCGAGAAGGGCGAGCTCAACAAGTACGAGTCGCTCGAGCTCGCTCGCCCCGTTATCCAGCAGGGCAAGAAGCAGCTCCTCGAGAAGTGGCTCAAGGAGAACAAGCTCGAGTGCTCCGAGGAGCTCGGTGACATGGTTCGCACTGTCGACATGAACCTCGCCCTCTCTGTCTACCTCCGCGCCAACGTTCCCAACAAGGTCGTTGCCTGCTTTGCCGAGCTCGGCCAGTTTGACAAGATTGTCCTCTACTCGAAGAAGGTCGGCTACACCCCCGACTATGCCAACCTCCTCCAGCACCTCGTCCGCATCAACCCGGACAAGGGTGCCGAGTTTGCTACCCAGCTCGTCAACGACGAGTCTGGCCCCATGGTCGACCTTGACCGTGTCGTCGACATCTTCATGGCTCAGAACATGATCCAGCAGTGCACCTCGTTCCTCCTTGACGCCCTCAAGGACAACAAGCCCGAGCAGGGTGCTCTCCAGACTCGTCTCCTCGAGATGAACCTCGTCAACGCGCCTCAGGTCGCAGACGCCATTCTCGGCAACGAAATGTTCACCCACTACGACCGTCCCCGTATCGCCAACCTCGCCGAGAAGGCCGGTCTTGTTCAGCGTGCCCTTGAGCACTACGAGGACATTAACGACATTAAGCGTGTCGTTGTCCACACCAACCTGTTCAACTCGGACTGGCTCGTCAACTACTTTGGCCGCCTCACCGTCGAGCAGTCGTTCGAGTCGATGCGCGAGATGCTCAAGAGCAACATGCGCCAGAACCTCCCGATCGTCATCCAGATCGCCACCAAGTACTCGGACCTCCTGGGCCCCGTCAAGCTCATTGAGCTCTTTGAGCAGTTCAAGTCGTCCGAGGGTCTCTACTACTACCTCGGCTCGATTGTCAACCTCTCCGAGGACCCCGAGGTTCACTTCAAGTACATCCAGGCTGCCACCCGTACTGGCCAGATCCGCGAGGTCGAGCGCATCTGTCGCGAGAGCAACTTTTACAACCCCGAAAAGGTCAAGAACTTCCTCAAGGAGGCCAAGCTTGCGGACCAGCTCCCGCTCATCATCGTTTGCGACCGCTTCGACTTTGTTCACGACCTCGTGCTCTACCTCTACCAGAACGGCCTCACCAACTTTATCGAGATTTACGTCCAGCGCGTCAACTCGGCTCGTACCCCTCAGGTCATTGGCGGTCTCCTCGATGTTGACTGCGACGAGGCGACCATCAAGAACCTCCTGCTCTCGGTTACCGGCGCTTTCCCCATTGAGGAGCTCGTCGAGGAGGTTGAGAAGCGCAACCGCCTCAAGCTGATCCTCCCCTGGCTCCAGCAGAAGGTTGAGCAGGGCTCGACCGACCACGCCGTCTACAATGCCATTGCCAAGATTTCGATCGACTCGAACAACAACCCCGAGGCGTTCCTCAAGGAGAACAACCTCTACGACCCCGCCATTGTCGGCAAGTACTGCGAGAAGCGCGACCCGTACCTCGCGTACATTGCCTACGCCAAGGGCTTCTGTGACGAGGAGCTCATCTCGGTCACCAACGACAACCAGATGTACAAGCACCAGGCCCGCTACCTCGTCAAGCGTCGTGACGTTGACCTCTGGACCCAGGTCCTCAACCCCGAGAGCATCCACCGCCGTTCCCTCATCGACCAGGTCATTGCCACTGCCATTCCCGAATGCACCGACCCTGATGACGTTTCGGTCACTGTCAAGGCCTTCATGCACATGGAGCTCCACGGCCCTCTCATCGAGCTGCTCGAGAAGATTATCCTCGAGCCCTCGCCGTTCAGCGACAACAAGTCGCTCCAGAGCCTCATGTTCCTCACTGCCATCCGCAACGACAAGGGCAAGGTTATGGGTTACATCAACAAGCTCGAGGGCTACGACGTCGAGACTATTGCCAAGGTCGCCATCGAGTCTGGTCTCTACGAGGAGGCGTTCACCATTTACCAGAAGCACGACATGCACGCCGAGGCCATGAACGTTCTCGTCGAGCACATGGTCTCGATCGACCGCGGTTTCGCTTACGCCAACAAGATCAACGAGCCCGCCGTCTGGTCGCGTCTTGGAAAGGCCCAGCTTGACGGTCTCCGCATCAAGGACGCCATTGACTCGTACATCAAGGCCGAGGACCCGTCCAACTTCCGCGAGGTTATCGAGATTGCCAACCGCGCCGGCAAGCACGACGACCTCGTCCGCTACCTCCAGATGGCCCGCAAGACTGCGCGCGAGCCCGAGATCGACACCGAGCTCGCTTACGCCTACGCCAAGACGGACCGTCTCCACGACATGGAGGAGTTCCTCTCCATGACCAACGTCGCCGACGTCCTCAAGGTCGGCGAGAAGTGTTTCGAGGACGAGCTCTACCAGGCCGCCAAGCTCCTCTTCTCGGCCATCTCCAACTGGGCCCGTCTGGCCACCACCCTCATCTACCTCGGCGAGAACCAGGCCGCCGTCGACGCCGCCCGCAAGGCCGGCAACACCCAGGTGTGGACCCAGGTGCACGCCGCCTGTGTGGACAAGAAGGAGTTCCGTCTGGCGCAGATTGCGGGTTTGAATCTCATTGTTCACGCCGAGGAGCTTCCTGGTCTTCTGAACTTGTACGAGAGGAATGGATACTTTGACGAGGCTATCTCTCTCCTCGAGGGTGGTCTTGGTCTCGAGCGGTAAGTACGAGAACCGATCGGCGTTTTCCATCCGCATTTGCTGACCCTCCACAGTGCACACATGGGCATCTTCACTGAACTCGCCATCCTGTACACCAAGTACCGCCCGGAGAAGCTCCTGGAGCACTTGAAGTTGTTCTGGGCAAGAATCAAGTGAGAGAGACGCATCTGGTGCACCAGAGGACCAAACTGACGCAACCTTAGCCTCCCGAAGATTATTCGCGCGACGGAGGCCGCCGCGCTTTGGCCCGAGCTTGTCTTCCTCTACATCGTGTTCGATGAGCCTGACAATGCCAGCTTGAGGTGAGTACCTGGGCCGGACGATTTCTCGAGAGTCTTGGCGACTGGAACGAGGAGGATGCTGGACGACACGGCTGGAACGAGGAGGATGCTGGACAACAATGATGTCGAGTAATGAGGTGGAAGCGTGCCGGAAATTTGATTCCGTGATGGGGTCCCCACATTTCCTGTTCCTGGATATTGGTTCCTGGGAATTTGATTCCGGGACCCTCCACCTCCACCCCCTCCGTCCACCCTCGACTGGTTCATTGTGGCCGCGCTGACAGTTTACAGCATGATGGAGCGCATCGGTGACTGGCAGCACGACGAGTTCAAGCGCATCTGCGCCAAGGTCTCGAACATGGAGATTGCCTACAAGGCTGTTTCCTTCTACCTCGCTCGCCAGCCTCTCCTTCTTCCCGACCTGCTCGCCACTCTTGCTCCTCGTCTGGACCACGGTCGTGTCATTAAGATCCTCGAGAACGAGGACAACCTCCCGCTGGCCAAGACCTACCTTATCGTGCGTAATTCACCCACTGGGACCCTTACCCGATACTGACCATGTACTAGGGCACGCAGAAGCTCAACCTCAAGGTTGTCAACGAGGCCTACAACGCCCTGCTGATCGAAGAGGTGCGTATTTCATGCTGTAACTGTTCTGACATGCCCAGGAGGACCACGTTACCCTTCGCGCTAGCCTGCAGGAGTATGACGCGTACGACGCCATTGAGCTTGCTCGCCGTCTCGAGAAGCACGATCTTTTGGAGTTCCGTCGTATCGCTGCCCTCCTGTACCGCCTCAACTCGAAGTGGGAGGAGTCCCTGGACCTGAGCAAGTCTGACAGGCTTTGGTCTGACGCCCTGCAAACGTGAGTTTCTACGAGGAGAGGGGAGAGGGAATACAATCTCCTGTCCAAGCCTCTTCCATGTTCTTCTACACTGGCTTACCCATTCAGCGCCGCTGCCTCCCAGTCGATTGAGGTCGCCGAGGGCCTCGCCAGCTACTTCGTCCAGATTGGCAACAAGGATGCCTTCGCGGCTTCCCTCTTTGTCTGTGTAAGTACAACTGCCCCATCCACTGTCTATACAGGAGGCTGACGTCTGCACAGTACGACTTGATCCGCCCCGACTTTGTTGAGGAGCTTTCGTGGAAGTACGGCCTCGGCGACTTTGTCATGCCCTACACCCTCACCGCCAAGCGCCTCCAGGCCGAGAAGGTGTCTTCGCTCGAGAAGCAGCTCAAGGAGCTGCAGGCCAAGCAGAAGGCGTCCGAGCCCGAGGAGGACACCAACACAGGCCTGGTCGGCCTCGGCGGTCGCCTCATGATCGGCGGTCCCGCAAACGGCTCCATGATGATGGGACAACCTACTGGCATGATGAGCCAGCCCACTGGTTTCTACTAAGAGTTCCAAAAGCTGGTCGACGCGCCACTAGTGGCTCGTCTACCCCCCAGAAGCAGTATATGTGCGCGATACCCCGCCGCCGTTTGGCATAGCCTCCCATTACGATCAGTAGACATGTGAGAGATGAAATTAAGTCAGAGTCTCGACTGGAAGTGTGGCCTGCATGGCCTGGATCGTGCTGCAGGTGCCCGTCTGCCAGGACTCTTGGACGGGCGGGGATTATCCCCAAGATCACGTCGTTCACCGATTCCTGCGGATATTTCGGGCTCCGTCTTTACCACACACTCCCTTTCAACTGACCTCGGTGGTCTTACGTTTATACGTTTGCTGCTCGAGCACGAGCTTTTTCGCCCCAGGCTCAGTAGACCTCCAGCTAGCCCAATGACACCCGGCCTACTGCAAAGGTGTGCTTGATGACACCTTCTCTGCCGTCGAAGTCGTCATATTTCAGGGACATCCACACATTCGGTCCCGTTTGTTGATTGCCGGTCAGCTGCACCGGTCGGGTCAATGTGATCGGTTAAGTCAAATCAACGTCTGTTGCTCTTTCAACCATACACCTTGCCATGCTCGTCCACCCCATCAAGCGCGTAGCCGTCATCGGTGCCGGGCCCGCTGGCGCCATTGCCATCGATTCCCTTGTGCGAGAGCAGGCGTTCGACCTCATCCGCGTCTTTGAACGGCGAGAAGGCCCTGGTGGCTGCTGGTGGGTCATTGTCAGTGTAGGAAGCAAACGCTGAACGCAGGGTAGGATTGGTGACACCACGCGACCTCCAACACTGTCCAACTTTGACGCGCTCGCAGCACGTACTGCCGACCCTCCTCTGCCGGTGCCCACAACACTCCCTGCCTCGACCCCAAGGAGCGACGTTCCCCGCTTTGACGAGTCCTCAGTCTACCCGTATCTCGAGACCAATGTCGACGCTAGCACAATGGAGTTTAGCGAGGAGCCGTTCCCCACCGAGCCCAGCGACTGGTCTGTCGCGCACCACGGCCCCGATACCCCGTTCCGTCCTTGGAAGGCCGTCCGGCAGTACGTCACGGACCTCATCGAGCGCAATGGCTACGAGGACCTTGTGAATTACAACACCTCGGTCGAGAACGTGGAGAAGGTGGGCGACGAATGGAAGGTCACGTTGCGTCGCATAGGCAGCCAGAGTGACTACTGGTGGGTTGAGTGGTTTGACGCCGTCGTTGTCGCCAGTGGACACTTCTGGGTCCCCTATGTCCCCAAGATTGAGGGGCTCGAGGCGTTTGAGAAGAGTCAACCGGGGAGCGTCATCCACAGCAAACACTTTCGAGGGCGGCACCTATACGAGGGCAAGGTGGGTTGACCCATATGTGTACTTTTTACTGACGATGCCAAGCGCGTCGTCGTCGTCGGAGCCTCAGTATCGTCTGCCGACATTGCAGTGGATCTCGTCAAGTCGGCGCAAACGCCTGTGCACGCCATCACCGTTGGCCACAATTTCAACCCATACTTTGGCGACCATGCGTTCAAGCATCCAGGCATCGAAAACCACCCGTCCATCTCCCGTGTGCAGGACCGCACAGTCTACCTCACCGACGGCAGCAAGATTGACAATGTTGACCACCTTATCTTCGGCACCGGCTACAGCTGGTCGTTGCCGTTCCTGCCCAGCGTCCCGATTCGCAACAACCGCGTCCTCGACCTGTACCAGCACGTTGTCTGGCGCCACGACCCGACACTACTATTCATTGGCGCCGTTGGCGCTGGTCTGACCTTTAAAATCTTTGAGTGGCAGGCAGTCCTTGCCGCACGCATCCTCTCAGGGCGTGCCAAGCTGCCTCCTGTCGAGGAGCAACTTGCGTGGGAGGAACAACGCGTCAAGGAGCGGGGTGACAGCCCTAAATTCAGCGTCATTCACCCCGACTTTGAAGACTACTTTGAGACTCTGCGTGCGTTCGCCGGAGAAGAGGGTGGCCGACAGCTGCCAAAGTTCCGCCGCGAATGGGTGCGCTCCTTCATGGAAGGTCACGACAGGCGCATTGCCATGTGGAAGAAGTTGAATGCCGAGGCCGAGAAGGAGGCTAATCTGTAGCACCGCTGTATGCACATACGTCAAGCTCCCTAGCATACCCACAAATGACGTTGGATGGATTCTGGTCTCATCACTCGCAATGGCGAGCCCGCATAAGCTGTTGAGCTGGTGACCTGGTGGAGTTGTTCGTGCCACTTAGATCAGCGATCAGCGATACAGCGGCGATCAGCAACAAAGTGCCCCCGTGCGGTACACACGACATGACGTGTGCGCCCGGCCACCATTCTTCCTCGTTTACACTCTTCTTCTCACCCCAAAGATATATTTCTCCGTCGCATCCACCACAACAACAAATCGAACCTCGGCCTGGTCCCGCATCCGCAGTGACGGCCCAACGTCACGGGAAGGCGTGACACCTCTTCCTGGAGCTCAGCGCTTTTCCAAACAACATGCCTCCTACCACCAGGTCCCGTACACGCCAGTTGGCCCTCAAGAAGACTCGCAACGAAGGTCGCCGCACTCGCAAAATAACGGTTACGATCGACTTCAAGTACTTCCCTCACATCATCGATGGCATCATTGCCGCGTCCGACTGGAACACGCTCATGGCCCTCCGACAGACCTGCCGTTCGTTGTGCACCGCCGTCGATACTCGGATGTGCTACCATGTCGTCTTGGATATAGAAGAGGAGGGGTATGAACCTCGCTTCATCTCGCCTTATGGTCGCATTCCGGTGCTCCAAGACTGCCTCTCCAACTGGCACGTTGCCCAGCCTGGCCGTGAAGCCTCCCGCCATCGGGCGTTCACCGCACTGTCCAAGACCAGGTTGCTCGAGATCCACTGTCCTCGCTCCTTCCTTGAATGTATGGAACCCAAGTCCGAAAATGATTACAGTCCAACACCGTTCGACTACCTCCAGAGTATCTCCTATCATGACGAAGAAACATGGACCTACCTAGAGCCAGAACTCGGCCTCAAAGCTTCAACAGTTGTGGTCTTTGGAAAGATTGCATACCGCGCCTGGTTTGACGAAGACGAACGGGAGAACCGCTTCATGGCAAAAGTACTGCCCATGGACCAGATTGATTGCGGCACGCGCAAGTTGGTCATCAACGTACTCGGGGACATCCTTGAAACTGTTGAATTGGATGACGACCCCTTCGACGACGCCAACATTATTCCAAGCGAGCTCCCTGAGCTTGTGTTGATCTTCACCAACTGCATCCATTTGGACGATTCTGAACACGAAAGCTGGAACTGGCCAATAGATGGCATTGACCGACGGGAATGGGTCTTGCATGTCGTCTTCACCGTCTTCAAGTTTCAACCTACCAGTCACGTCACCATTGTTGACCTCGCCGATGTCGAGTACGACTGGATGTTTGACGACATGACTCGCAACCCATCCGACCCGTTCCCACACAAGACGGCTCTAACAAACGAACTTCACAAGATAGCCAACACGGTAGAATCTATTTGGGACCCCACCGCTGCCAACAGAGACCTTTTTCAACGCGTTCGCCTCGCCATCGATTCCATCGATTTCATCACCATGGACGAATACGCTGAACGCCTGGAACCAGGAGAGCTGGAGTGGGAAACTGAAGATAGGTTGTATCAGTGAGGTAGCGGTACTGTGAATAGCGCACTGTGTATGGATGAGATCACTCTTGTGTGGCACAGCCATTGGCTGGGGAATGGAACAGGTGGTACACGAGGTTTATGACCCTCATGCGGCTCATGCGCCACCTGGGACATTTGTTCACTTCATTCTCCTTTGCGCTCGCGCTTCCTCCCAGTCTCAAATCTCCCCAAGTCAACTACTTACAGTACTGAGTCCCCCTTTAAGGGAAACGCAGGGTCCGTTTAAGAATCCCAATGTGGCACATGCATACAACGCGCGTAACATCGATGTGTAAACACTAGATTTCCCCGTTGATGGCCAAAATTCTCCTCCCACACCTTCCCCGTCTCTCCACCTTTCCAACAAGCAAAAGGAACGTTCTCAGCCTCAACAGCTGTTGTTCTAATGGAGCCAGAGTGGATCGAACACCCGACCTAGCGATGATCTCAAGATTTGAGTCATGGTGACTGTACTTCAGTCGCTCGCTCTCCCAGCTGAGCTATGTCTCCAATGATATCATTGTTTTTGGACCTACAGAGTCGTTCGTGTCCTATCTACGTGCTCAAATGGGTACTACATGAGGGCCTACGAGACTCTCATTCTTTCAATGGCCTTGAGACCTGCATGTCTACTCGGGATTCTGCTGGCAATGTGGCGAGGAAGCGCCAAGGGAGCGGGACATGGACATGGGTCCCACATTACCGCTATTCACTTGCCACTGACCATCCCAGTATAAAATCGCTGCCTCAGCACGAGGAGGGCATCCTCAGACGTCCAACAGCTCTGCTCGCCATCTCTCAAACAGTCTACAACGTCTCTTCGCTAGTATATCGGTTAGTATAACCGCCTCTCATACGAGAGAGTCAAGGTCCTCTGGACGACGACGCATCGCGGTAGAGCAGGGTTCAACTCCCTGGCGGAGAAGCAGAGCACTGCGTAGGTGTTCCCTTTTGCCTCTGAGACCTTCTGGACCTTTTGGACACAGCAGTAGGCATGTCCCTCTTGATGAGCGGTGGTAATGGACGATGGTTGTCAGCGCCGCATCAAATAGTGCCACTCGGAAATAAAGGCGGAGAGAGGTGAAGGATCCGCAGCAAGCGGCATAACAGACTAAGTCCCACGCCACATCCTTCATTTCTTCTGTCATTCACACACTTCTTGTCTCAGGTTTGGCGAGCCTTATAGTCGTTGGTAGAAAGGTTGTCCGGCTCTCAGTGTGTGGCGATTCTGCTTCCGACAATGTCGACTGCAACTGCACCCTCCAGCGCCGGCAATGACCCTCCCATCAAGACAATCGACGTCGATGCGTTCCCCCATATCCTGGACAGCATCCTCTCATACACAGAATGGCACGACCTTTTCAAGTGGCGCCAAACTTCTCGCTCCATCTGCGCTCGCATAGACCAGATCACCACGACCCGCCTCGATGTGCGCGAGGACTTCAACTGGCTGCGCATCAGTTGCCTCGCCTCTCCCTACGGTAGTGTCCCTGCACTCTGCGACCACATGTATCGATGGCATCATGGAGCTGAAGCCCTCAACCGGCAAGAGGATGACCTCCGTGACCGCATGTTTTCCACGCTGGTGACGACCAAGGTACTGGACGTGTACAGCCCACTCGCTGCGTCCGAGGCCTTGGGCCGTCCCATTCCTGACCACCCTGGAAAGTTCAGCCGCTTGACACACGTTCGCCTGCACCCCTCTCAGCGTGGTGATTTCAGTCATCATTGCCTTGCTTTCACAGCTCCTACCCTGGTCGTGTTTTGCAACATGAACGTCCGCGTCCTGTTGCACAAACATGAGTTTCCTTCGGGTGGACTCCTCAGATTGCTGCCCACAACTTTCATTCCAAGGGCCACATCAAAGCTTGTTCTCAACATCACATACGTCCAACTGGCCTATCATTTTGACAAGGCTCTGTGGGATGATAACGACGTTATTCCTGTAACGGTCGCGGAAATTGTCTTCGTCTTCAGCAACTGCGGCCCGAAGCCAAGAGGGCAGCCCGATTGGGCATTTGATCAGAACGTTGAGGAGCTGCGAAAATGGCTTGTCAAGTTTGTTCTGCACACTGTTGCCACTGGCCGCCGAGACGTCGTCTTTGTGGACTTTGAAAAGGTCGATTTCAAGTGGTGGAACAAGGTGGGCCCGTTCCTAACCAAGCCGCTCTCGTCTCCGCCACGCTCAGCATTCTCGAAACGGCCCACGAGCGGAAGAAGCAGACCCTCGACCCCAAACAAATCCAAGAATGCCAGGACGTGTATGAACTCGCCTGTAAGCGCATCAAGTCTATTGAATTTGTCACTTTGGCCGAGTACGCGACTCGTCTCGCGCCCGGACAGCTGAAACTCGAGACTCGGGAGGACTTGTAAAGAACCGGTTTCCTGTACAATAATGGACTGCGTGCACATGGGTTTGATTGTATCGCCATCTTGCACACCTTACATCCCAACGACCTGTATCTGCATTATGCACACCTACTCTACCCAATCTAATCCTTGACGACCCTCCACACCTTGACACTGCCGTCGTCACCTGCGCTTGACAGCAAGCCAGCACCCTTGCCGTCCTCCCTCACGTTCCAAGCAATAGAGTTGACGTCGGCAACGCCGTGAGCGTCGCGCATAGCCGCCACTGGCTCAATGGTCGCACCAGGGACGTCTCCGTCGCCCGTGAGAGCCTTGACCTGCCAGACAATCACACGGCCGTCGGCACCAGCGGATGCCAAAAGGCCGGCGCCATCCGCGGCGCCACCGGGTCCCCAGCTCAACGCATAGCACGCTCCCCTGTGCGCGCTGGTGTGGATCACCTCGTGCAGCTCCGAGTCTGGGTTGGAGCCCATGCGCACCCACAGGCGGATACCACCGCGGTCGCCACCCGAAGCGAGGAAGCGGCCACAGGGGGACCAGGCGAGGGACCAGACGGTCTCGGCCTCGACGAGGGGAGGGACATCGATGGCATTCGCGGCCGCTTCAGCGGGAGAGTCGCCCATGGCGGCAACAAGTGCCACAGAAGAATGAGGGATGTGCAGGTCGGCAGCGGGGAGGGTGGGGGTGAGACGCTGGAAGAGACCCCAGTCGCCGTCTGGGTCGTCGAACATGACGTTGATGTGCGCGTCGTACGAAGCGGAGGCAAGGATCTAAAAGTGTTAGTCCAGAGGGAATAGTGGGGCTACCTACCTCCTCTTTGGGGTGCCATGCGATATTCTTGACGTCGGCGCCGTGGTCCATCATGACGGCGATGCACTCAAAGTCGGCATCTGGTTGGACTGGCGAGAGCGTTAGCAAGGCTCCTAGCTTCGTTGGCTTGACTCACCCTCCCAGACCCAGACAGACCTGTCGCGCGAGCACGACGCCAGCAGGCCACCGTCGGCACTGAAACCAACGCTCTTGCACTCGTTCTCATGTCCCTCGAGCGTGGTGACACACTCCCATTCCATCTCCCCTCCAGCAGCACCGCTCACGCCCTCGTCGCCCATCTCGCCCGCTTCCACTTCCTCCCAAACGCCAACGGTCGAGTCGAAAGAAGCTGTGGCGAGGGTGCGACCTCCGGGAGCCCACGCAACGGAGCGAACAGTGCGCTTGTGCTCTGTCGGGATGGACTGGACGAGCTGGAGCTTGGGTGTCGCAGCGTCGGCAGCAGGGAACGGGTCCGACAACGTCGAGTCGGACGGGAGGGTGTAGCTAAACAGACGCACAGTCTTGTCCGTGCTACACGATGCGAGGAGTGGGCGGGACGGGTTGAAGGCGACGCACCATGCGGCCGCCGAGTGGCCGGGCAGGTCGGCCACGAGCTGGATCTGAGGCATGGTGTAGAGGTGGGGTGTGGTTGGGAGAGAGTTGGGTGATTGATAAAGTCGGCGGTTAGAAGCCGCAGGGTCTCCGTCGGCCGGCGGCGATCGGATGCGGGGCCGGGATTTTGGACACAGTGACGAGAGAGCTAGGCCGCGTCGTGGGGCAGAACACTTTTTGACTTTATACTGTCGACCTTTTGGGATCAAAACATCTGCTGACTACAGTTCATACGGTACAGACGACACAGCACTGTACTTAGGCTGGTCGGAAAAGCGCGTCGACATTCACCAACAACGACAAAAAACGACACTCATCTAGCCCACACCATGGCTCCCCAGGTTCCGGTGAGATGAGATGGTTGGATAACTCGAGAGCACAAGCTAACACCACAGGTTACCTGCGTGACAGGCTTCCTTGGCGCCGTAAGCTAATCCCACTCGACTTCAACTGACCCTCAGGGCAAGACGTCCACGATTCTCGGCCTCCTGGGCCAGCTCCCCAAGGACTACAAGGTGAGCCCCATGTAGCTGTCCCATCTGACATTCCAGGTCGTCCTCGTGAAGAACGAGTATGGTGACGTCGAGGTCGACTCGCTGCTGGCTCAGCAGAGCAACATTACCGGTGTGAGCGAGATCCTCAACGGCTGCCTCTGCTGCACCATGGTTGGTCTCGTGGAGAATGCCCTTATCGAGATCAAGGACAAGTACCAGCCCGACCGCATCTTGATCGAGTCGAGGTGAGTTGAGCGGCTCATGACATAGCAGCTAACTCTGCAGTGGCTCAGCGTTCCCAGCCACGCTCGCACTCCAGATCCGCGAACTCGAGCCCAAGGGCTTCAAGCTCGACGGTGTCGTCACTGTTATCGACTGCGTCAACTTCCGCGGCTACGAGGACACCTCCCCCACCGCCAAGCTCCAGGCACAGTACACCGACCTCATGCTACTGAGCAAGTATGAGCTCGTGTCTGAGCGTGACATGGACTTGCTCCTGGACCGCCTCTTTGAGCTCAATGACGGCACCCCTCACGTCAAGGTCGGACCCAACGCCCCTCTCCGTCCAGAGCTGGTGTTTGGTCTCGACTCGAAGCTTTTCCTCAAGGGATCTGAGGAGGCTTCCAGCTGGGAGGCCCTCGGCGGACAGGGTGCACACATGGACGAAGTGGAGACCAAGAGCGTGTGGCGCGGCGGCCGCAAGCCAGGCAAGAAGCACGACCATGCCGAGGGCGAGGCTTGCGCTAGCTGTCCCACCGAGACCGAGACCGCTGCCTCTGGCGACGTTACACCGGTTACCCGCGACGAGCTCGAGGGAGAGCTTAAAAAGCTCAGCCACGCAAGTGAAATCTACCGCGTAAAGGGCATTGTGCGATTCCCCTCGCGTCCAGCTACACCTGCCACACCCGGTACTCCCGGAAGTGGCTCGCGCACCCCCCATGAGACCCACGTTCTCAACTGGGCCTTTGGACGACACGAGCTTACGCGTACCCCTGCTCTGGACGACTCCGAGGACCTCGCCGGTGTTGGTCTTCGTCTCACCGTAATGGGTGAGCGTGGCGAGGTGACGCGCAGGGCCAAGAAGCTGGCCGAGGGGCTCGAGGCGGAGGTTGCGTAGGTACCGTTATAGATGGGGGTTTGTTGTAAATCTGCACTGCGTGTACTCAATAGAAGGCCGTAGCCCTGACTTGGTGGTGCTGACTTGCTGTCGTCCGATTGACGCGCCTTGGTAGCCGAGATCTGACAAGCGGACACACCAGGCCCATGACACTTAGGCAACGCTCCCCAGCGTACCAGCGTCCTCACCCTTGGTGCCTCATTTTTGAAGATGTTGACCCAGATTCCCACTGAGTGCATGCAGTTGTTAAATGACCACATCCCAGAGCATCCTGAGGGTGCTTTGGAGACGTCTGAAGTGGAGATCAACAGGTGACTTCCTGTGTGGATTGTGATTCCGCTACCTGCGCCCGTCGGTTGACGCGACCGCGAATATTAACTCGTCCTCATCACATCTTCTTCTCTTTACTACTCTCTGTCATCATCCGTCAACATGCCTGCAGACATCACCCCGAAGCTTCCTCGTTTCTATCCCAATGGCGCCCCTCCCCCTGGTGACCTGGAGGCTGATGCCGTCCAGCCTTGCCTGGACCTCACCGACGTCAATATCCCACACACCTCTGGCGGAACTTCAATCCCTATCGACCGCCTTCCTCTGACCCAGGAGCACTTCTCCCAGAAGGACAAGACCATGAACAAGGCCATCTGGGCCCTGTTCCCAATCGACAAGACTCCCCAAGAGCTCACTGCTATCCATGCCCAGGCCAAGGACCAGATTGTCGAGTGGGTATTTGCCATGACGGCGTCGCCGCTGACGACCAGCACCATGAAGGGACACTCTCCTAGTGGTGACTACAACCGCGACATGCTCATCAAGACCATCCCCATCCACGAGCGTGGTCGCATTGCCGCCAACCTGGGCACTGTCGAGCGCGTCACTCGTACCTTGGCTTGGCATGGAATTGACGACGCCTTCCTCGTCGCCGACATGTGGCGTGGCCTGAACAAGCACATGAAGGAGACCGGCATGGTCGAAGATCTTGAGCCCATGATTCAGCGCATTATCGGGGATAAAGACAAAGCCAACACGTAAGGTAGCAGAGTGTCAATACGCTGACCCCCAGTCAATTCTCCAATGGCAAGGCAGCCTCTGCCGCTTGTGGTTACGTCTACAACCTTGGTGCGCTCTACCCTTGGGTCTCGACACCGCTTCTCTTTACTTCGGAACAGGCGTTTGGTACTGGCATCGCCCAGCTGTAAGCTTGCAAGGCTTGAGTGGGGAGACTGGAATTGACTCCTGCAGCGAATCATCCCTCTGGTCGAACCTGGCCATTTCACTCATCCGCTTGGGCGACGCCACCTTCTCCCCAAGCACGGCCAAGCTGTTTTATGCCCTTGCAAATGACTGTGCCGAAGCAGGTATCAACATGCGTTTCATCTCGAACCACCTGCTTGGCAAATGCTATGAGCGTGAGTAGCGTATTGCTTTGACAGACTGACGTTCCAGGCTCCGCCGTTTCTCGCCGCAAGCTGCTCGGTCTGCCCAGCGCGATTGAGACCCTGCGTTCTGGCAAGACTGGTCCTGACCGCGGTCTTTATGGAACTGTGGAGACTAAGCTGTCCATGGTCGCCGGTTATATCAGCACCAACGGCACCAACAAAACGTGGGCCCATGAAAAGTGCTTCAACCGCCACGAGTGCATCGACATGGGCAAGGTCCACCAGGCCATGGCCGCCCCCAACATCTCCGAGGTTGTTATGCCCAATGGCAAGACTGCGAAGCTTGCGTTCGGAGATCACAAGGATATGACTTCCGAGGACTTTGCGCAGTACCCGCCTGAGGTCATCGAGTATATGAAGGCGATGGGCGCGAAGCTCCCTGAAGGTGTGTGAACATGAGACGTCAACGAGGGGGTTTGCTTTGTGAAAGCGGTGTTTATAGTCTTTATGCATGGGAAGAGAAGAGAAGTACAGGTGAGGCAAACGCCAGTATGAGACATGGAGGTAGCATATGAACAAACAATAACAAAGAATCATTTGGGGGTTGTCGCAATCACATGTGCCGCCAGTTCCAGACTTTCCTTGAGTTTCTCGACTACAGCCTCTGGATAATCTTGTGGCTGGCCCGTAGTGAGGCTGTCGAGGTAAGGCTGCGCAGTGTTTATATGCTTTGTCGCCATGATGTCAAGCAGCTCGTTCTTGGTTTTAATTCGACTCTGTAAGCCCTCGATCCTATTCGCGAGGTCGATTTGACAGGCGAGGCTGCTGTCGAGTGTCGCCCTGAGGCCCTCAATTTGACCCTTTTGCACCCGCTCGATTTCACCTAGGTCGCCCACCTTCTTGTCGCTGAGGGAGGCTCGGAGACGGTACGCCTCGCTCTCGTCGTTGGCGGCGCGGAGCTTGTCATTGGCGGCGCCGAGCTTGCCATTGGCGGCGCCGAGCTCCTGCTCTAGTTCTGTGATCCGCCGCTTCAAGTCTTCGACGTTGTCGCCACCCCTGTTGCGCTCCGAGTCGGGCGAAAGTTCACGGACCATGCTAACCCCTGTCAGTAAAACTAGTCACAAAGGTTGTATTCGCCGCCACTCACCTCTGGCTCGACGATTTGATCTCCTTCTGGTGCCAGTTGGCGTCGCGGGGACCCTTGCGCAGGATGGAGGTCGGCTCTGTTGTTACAGCGGCCTGGACGGCACCCGCCGGGCACGGTGTGGTTGGCGAAGACAGAGGGGAGTAGTCCGTGCCATGTGTGGCTGCATGGTGGGGAGTGGGTGCCGACGAGAAAGAGGAGGAGGGGGTCTGCGACAGCGGCGCGCTGGGGCCAAAAGAGCTGACGCCTGCGAGTCGCTGTGGAAAGAGGTCTATCGTGCTGCCGTCGCGGTCGTAAACAACCGGGATGCGTAGGGGCTTGGCCAGCGAGGCCACAAACGCCTGCGAGTTCTGTGGAACGGGCATGGTCTTTACTGTCAGTCTTGGGCTTCGTCCTTTTGGTGCGTTACTCACAGCTTGCGCAGGTTCGCGCATGGCATTGTTGATCCAGATGTGCTTCTCGATCTGTCTTTCGTCCATTATGGGTGAGTGGTGAGCGGGAGAAGGTTGAGGGAGAGTGAGAAACAAGACAAGAAGGGAGGTCGTCCAGGTGCAGACTTGGTTCAAAAGGGGGAGAGAGGGGCGGCGAGAAGAATGAGACGACATGAGGACAGTGCGTGCCCAATGCATACAAGTGACGTAGTTGAAACTTCTTGCTTCTCCCTTCATGCTTCCTTGCTCCTCTGTAACTACTCCTTGTTTGTCGGCACGTAGACGTGTGACCTGAACGACTGGCGCAGCATACTCTTGCTGTAGAGCATGTGCTTGATCTTGTTCTGGAGGTCAAGCAGCTCCTTCGCGTCTGATGGAACGAGTGGCGTCGGGATTGACTGCAAAGCGTTGACTCGGGCACGACGTTCAGCGAGCAGTCGGTCCCACCAGTAATTGGAGGACTGGACCGCATCCTCGCCCATCTTGAAACGGTCCTCAACGCCCCTGAGTCCGAGCTCGACTTTGAACTTGAGATGGTTGTTCTCGATGCGAAGCTGTGAAATATCGTACTCCTGGGAAATGTTTTCCTTCACCAGCTTGTCGCGCTGGCGACCACGAAACTCGGAAATGTCCATCTTGCGGTCGAGCTCATCCTGGAGCTTGGCGTACGCGGCATCTCCCTCCTTGCATTGCGAGAACAGTGACGCGTTCTCGTTCTCGAGGCGGTCGTTGGTGGCGCGCAGGCGATCGTTGGTGTCGCGCAGGCGGTCGTTCTTGACGCGCAGGTTGGCCACCTCGTCGCGCAGGCGCGCAAGCTCGTCGCCGGGGCTGCTACGCTTGGGGTTGTTCAGCGCCGTTGGTGCAGAATGAGAAAAAGCACGTACGGCACTGGCACTCGACACTTTGCCCTTTTTGCTCGTCGAGTTGGACACGCGAGTCGGACTGGGGACATTTTGTCAGGTCAGAGGATCAGCGGTTGGAAACACCAAACTCACCGTGAGCTAGCGGTGGACGAGGTAGGACCGGCACCAGACTTGCGGTTCTGCTTCGGGCGTCGCGATGGTCCAGAGGAAGGCTTGACGCTCGCGGTCGAGCCAGAGATGATGGATGTGTCTGGCATGGTGGAATGGTGGAATGGTGGAATGAATGTAGTGGACGTGTAGTGGAAGAAGGAAGAAGAGAAGAAGGAAGAAGGAAGAAGGAAGACGCCAAAACGGCCGTTAAACACGCCAGCCTGGAAAAGAGAGACACCTTGCAGCTTGCAAACTGGCGGGTCAAAGACTGCGGTTAGACGCGCGACTGGTCAAAGACTGCCACAACAACTGAAGCAACAGCCCTCTCGCATCTGCGCATCTGCGCATCAAATATATGCACAGCCATACTGAAGAACAGAGAGCAGCTAGGAATCGGCATGCAAACGATGGTAATGGCAATGAGTGGCGTGTCGTGCTGTGGCTGTGGCCAAAGCTTGGGGGGGTGGCGGAGCCGGCTCAGTTGCTGCGCGGAAGGCTCGGAATGGCTCCTCGTGTCTCCGGATCCTTGATCCTAGGGACCCCTCCCCATCTCTGCCCTCTCTCTGCATCTTTGATTACTGCTTAACTGCTTGTCGAGCTAACTGCAGCCTCGAGATGACAGACGTTATGACGTCTGTGGCCATGGCACGATGCGGGCGAGCAGATACGCCCTCATACCAACCCCCGCCCCGTCCGTTCCGTTCATCCTCCACACCTTTCAGCTTCTCAGCTCCTCCAACCACCTTCACCAACTCACACGCTTCACCTACTCCAACATTTTGGCCACACTCACCCTCCTACACCAATCAACCAACGTGACCGTGCAGTGCCGGCTTCAAAAAGCGTTGGCCGAGACCCACCACCACAACCCCGCACCCGTGTCAACGACCTCACACACACACACCAACGTACGTTATGGGTATGAACTGGCAGTGCACGAGTGCTGACTTGCAGCTGAAGCTATAGTCATGTCGTCCCGTTCCAGAGCGCATATGGAGGCACGCATCTCACACCTCGAGCGGGCAGTCGAGAGCATGCAAGCCGCGCTTGACACGTTGACTCGCGACCAAGGCAACGAGAGCACACGGTCGCGGTCCGACCACACCTCGCTCGAGACCCGCGTGGCATTCACCGAGGGCGCCATCAAAAACGCGTTTGGCTACCACGCGCATGCGTGGAACGCTATGTGCCCCGAAGGCATCCAGCTCCTTTCGGATGTTGGCACTCATCGCTTTGGGGCCCTGGAGGTGAGTACGGACGTACAGGAAACAATATGTTAACCGACCAGCTTCTCGTTGCTCGCGCTATGCATAAGCATAATGGTGGCAACGTGCATGCTCCATTTCCCCAGACACGCCACAAGTGGGGCCACGTCGACTGCCTGACAGACATACCATGTTCCCACTTCGACTTTCGCTACACGGCCGACTATTGTGTCAACAAACAGGCCCTCGAAGCGATTGTCGGTTGGATCATGGCGTCGCCTCCCACCGAATGGCCAACCACAAGCTGCGTGCGAGAAATTGTGACGGCGGACCCCATGTTAAAGAACCGCCGGGCCATGTACACCATGGCCCGTATGGTGTTCATCCGTTTCCGCATGGTCTTCGAGACAACATCGTTTGTTCAAGGCACATGGGAGTGCTTTAGGGCCGGCGACGAGTGTTGTTACGACCATCAACTTCTCCATGGTGAGACGGACAGTGTCCCAGTGCCCGAAGCCGGCGGCGGCGGCGGTGGTGGCCACGACGATCCCGGTCACGATGCCGGCGATGATGGCGCCGATGATGGCGCCGACGATGGCGCCGAAGACGATGAAGACGCCGAAGACGATGAAGACGATGACGGCGATGACGGCGATGACGACGCTGGCAACGATGACGACGCTGGCAACGATGACAGCGAGGGCGACCACGAGAGTCAAGGCGGCAAGGGGCCCTCTCGTATTGACGATGCCGAGACTGGCGGATCCACTGCCACGCCGGACAGCCCCGAGACGGATGAGGACGACTTCTGCTCTTTCGAACCTGGGGCCAACGAGTGGTACCACCAGGACGCGGAACCACCTGCCGGGTCCGAGGCCGCCAGTCTTGCCAGCCTGCCAACGATGGGATTCTCTGGCAACGACGCATACTTTGCTCTCCACAATCACGCCGGCGAGTTAAAACTTCCCCAAAAAGAGCTTCACTCTGTGAGTCATCAATGCAATGCTTTTGGCAGCTGACTTGTCACCGAAGGGCCCTATGCGGACAGGTGTCCCTCCCTCCTCGTCTCCTCGACGTTTATAGGCAGAGGCCCCTTCTGTCCCTGCTTCGGTGGCAAGGCTATCGCCCGTTCCGTCGCTACTCTCGCTCCCCCCTGGGGACGGTGCCGGTGAACGCTCGCCAGCCGCCACCGCCAGCTCGGCGCCGGTACTGTGCCCCCGCCTGATGCCGAAGATGACCGTCAGTAGCGTCCCCGATTGCTAGTGGTGCTGGAGGTGCACCCTCGCCAGCCGCTGCCGGGAGCCCGACACGAAGGTTGCGTTCGGCGATCACAAGGATATGACTCAAGAGGACTTTGCGCAGTACTCGCCTGAGGCTATCGAGTATGTGCAGCCCGTGGGCACGAAGTTCCCTGAATGTGTAATGAGTTGGGTCTGTTTTGTGCCATCGGCGTGTTTATGGTCTTTATGCACTCTCGTGTTAGGGAAGTACAGGTGAGGCAAACGCATGTCCGTCCGTGTGCCAGTGGGCACTGGCGCAGTGCGCAGATGTGGCACGACGACAACAAATGAGATCGCGGCTATTTGCTCTAGGCTCCCCGCGGGCGCGCATGATTTCTGTTCCACCAGCGGCCAGCTCCCATAAAGCTAACGCAGAGTCACCACAATGTGCTGCCCATCTCACGTTACCCTTGTTCCACTATACCAATGCACACCCAACCCCAGAAGCCAGCCCCGAGGCAGACCTGCCGCAAAGCAGACGCCATGTCCGAAGTGCCGGTGACGTCAACGGTTGTTTTCAAGTCGCCGTGTGACCTCGTTTTGCCCGTGTCAGTCGCCGGAGCCCACATCTGTTCGTACGAGGGCCATCTTCACAACTCCCATCATCTCTCCCACGTCCAGCCGCCATGAATGCGACCGCACGAAGTAACCAAACGCTTGCGCTCTTGGGCGACGCGTACACGTCCTGGTCGTCCCTGTCCACTGGCAGCAAGCTCATGACAACCTTTCTCGGCGTGGTTGTCACCCTCGTCTTTGGAGGCTGCATGGTCCTCCTCAACGCACCCCTCAATGCTCCACACACCAAGGAAGTCGAAGCGCTTCCAGGCCCCAAGCGGCCATGGGGTGGCTGGCTCCTGGGCAACTGTATCGAGATTGCCGACCACCGTGACTCTCTCATCCACCCCACTTGGGCTGCGGCAGGCGCTACTGGAAGGTATCTCTCGCTGTTCGCCCAGGAGAGAATCTATACGTTTGACCCAGCCGCAACGAGGTATATCTTTGCCCATGTGGACGAGTTTGAGCGACCCCGCGACGCGCGCACCATCCTCCAACGCGTCATGGGCAAAGGCTCGCTCGTCGGCGTCAACGGGGCCGTCCACAAGCGCCAGAGACGCGTGATGGACCCGGCGTTCTCGACGAGTGCGATCAAAGACATGGTGCCTGCCATGTTTGACAAGGCCGACGAGCTCGAGAACCTTATCCAGGTGCTGATCGACAATAACTCGTACGAAAAGTACGCCTCGGCCATCCCGCCCAAGGACATTGACCGCGTACCGGGCGCGCGCAAGATTGATATGCTCGGTCTTATGAACCGCATGACGACTGATGTGATCGGCCGCGTCTTCTTTGGGCACGACTTTGACTCCATCTCTACCCCGGAAGGGTCGATTATCGTCCAGGCGTTTGACCGTATGACCAACGCGGCGCACGAGTTTGCACCGGTCACAGAAGCACAGAACGCGGTCCCGCTCTTGGACTTGATAGTGGGTGGCAACCGCGTTGTTAAGCTGACCCGTGCAGCCTATGAAGAACAGGCGCGAGATTGATTCTTGCAGAGAGCTCATGGGTCGTATCTCGGATGTGAGTTGAGTTCACTGGACCTCCTCCACTGACAGCAAGGACTTGGTGGAGAAGCGCAAGCGCACCCTCGGCGAGGACGACAAGGACCTTCTCGCGCTGCTCATCAACGCCAACGGATCTACCCGTGAGGACCAGAAGATGAGTGACGAGGAGGTGCGCGCACAAATGGCTACATTGGTGAGTGCTATGACGTTGCACGACGGTCTTGCTAACGACCAGCTCTTTGCCGGCAGCACCACAACAGGCGCGACCATTTCCAGCGCACTGCACAATCTCTCCCAGCATCCCGAGTTCCAGCGCCGCCTGCGTGCCGAAGTCGAGTCCGTTGGCGAGGACAAGCCCAGCTTGTGAGTGTCGATAAGGTTTGCATGCTCACACCAGTGAAACCCTCAACGCCCTTCCCTTCCTCGACAATGTCGTCCGTGAGACTCTTCGCTACACGCCTCCTGCGACCTGCACTGCCCGCGAAGCGGCCAAGGACACCACCCTCCCTCTCACGTGGCCTGTCCGCGGACGCGATGGAAGCTTGATTGAAACCCTGCCAGTGAAGAAGGGGTCATACTTTTTGATCTGTGAGGTGCCTGTCCTGGGTAAAGCTGACAGCCAGCCATGATGATGCTCAACCGTCAAAAGGAGGTCTGGGGACCGGATGCCAATGAGTTCAACCCGGACAGGTTTGATGACCCGAACATGCCGCTCCTATCGGTGCCCGGAGTCTGGGGAAAGTGAGTTGGGAAGTCTTGCGAATGTCGTTGACTCGTCAGCGTTGCCTCGTTTATTGTCGGCCCCTACTCGTGCATGTGAGTTGCTTTAAGTGGCACACAACTAACAGGTCAGTGGATACCGCCTCTCCATTGCCGAGATCAAGGTCGTTCTCTTTACCGTTCTGCGCCGTTTCCAGTTTGAGGAGCTGCCGAGCAAGCCCGAGGTTGAGTACCTCTCCAGCCTGGCCACCAGGCCGCAGGTCAAGGGCGAGCCAGGTGGCCAGTTGCCCCTCCTGGTACGGCCGCTGGCCAAGGAGAAGCAGTAGTGGGGTAAGGATCCAGTGTGTGAATGCAGAGTCTTTGGGCGCATTGGCATCGAGGGCACGGTGACGAGACGTCAAGAGGGCGCGGGGAAACGACACGAGGGCACGGGGAGACGTCGAGAGGACACGGAGTGTGACATCGAGAGCGAGCACGCTTTGCGACGCGCCCACTTGGATATAAGATCACTTGGCAACAGAGCAAGACTCACGCGGTCCCACTTGCTCACATATCACAACCACAACAACACCATGACCACCGTTGTCGCCATCCCGCAATGCCTCCTCGAAACCGTTGACGCTCCCATGTTCCCAGCCTTTGTAGCACTCCAGGCAGCGTACGGCGGTGTTCCTCTGCCTCCGACCCCGGAGCAATTTGCGCTCGTTATGAAGTACATTGCGTACATCCTCGACGACTGGTTGTACCCCAAGGCCATTAAAGGTTGGGCCCGTTGGCTCCGCCGCTCGGTGTACAACGCGACCATTCGTATGTTCAAGTAGACTGTGTCAACTTGCTGAGTTCCAAGCAGGTACTTCCAACGTCGTCCGCGTCCCAGAGGTCCTCCTCACCCACCCCCGCTCCGCCCACTATCATACATTGGCGGGGCACCAAGCACTCACGGGAGGTGTCCCCATCCCCATTCCCGAGCGCGACTTTGTCGTGTTCCTCGAGTTCACGACGGATGTCTACTGGGAGCACCTCTTCCGCAAGAAGGAGATTCGCAAGGCTGCGGGGCGATTTGCGGATGAGCTGTACAAGGCTGCATGTGAGTCACACAACTGGCCGGGGAATGTGTGAGAGGCGGGGGAGTATGCCATGTGTGCGGGGGCGACATGAGGAAGCAGCTGACCTCGTAACAGGCCGCAGCCCGGTCCACGCCCTCGAGAAGGTCAAGTGCGCGGACGACCCGGCTCACCTCCTCAAGGACGACGACTGCGCGAGTGCCACCACCGTCACCGAGTAAGGTCATGTGTGGCGGGTGGCTGGGAGTCATCGGTGGGGGTTAGGCCGCGGCCGAAGTTTGGAACGGAAGAGACCGGACTTGGTTATGTGCAATGCAAATCACATGGTGTCGGCATTCTAGAAGCCATGTTTCTGGATCTCTGGCCTCTGGCGTCGGTCAGACGCGATGCAGTGGTACGAAAGTGGCTTGGGGACTATTAAAAGAGGAGGAGGCTTCGGCCATTTCCGATGGTGGCGGATGTTAGACGGCGTTGGACCGGCGGCGGCCGGATGACATGCTCTGGCCCCTTGAGCGCATTGGAGTATGGATGAGCGGCGGGATGTATGCTGCGCGCATTCCTGGCGACGATATCCGCTGCGTGTCGCATCGAAGCATCACTCATCTGATGCCACATCCAGAAACGCAGGTGCTTCCACTGGCCAAAACGCAGTATCAACTTTACGGTGCGGCACAATAGGAGGTTTTCCAGGCGTAGGTGGTTTTTCGGCTGGGTGCATAACGCACTATGAACTTGACAGTTCTGCACAATGAAAACATTGTGTGCGATAGTTGGTTTTGCGATTGGGCATCACACAGTGACCAGTTCGCGTAGCCGCACACAACGGTACAATGGGAACGTCGACACACCACAGGGAGCACCCTCAACGCCGCCTCTCGTCGCCAAATGCTACTCAACCCTGCCAGCCTCCCGGACGATCCACTGGCCCTCACGGAGAGCCACCTTTTGGCCCACCTCCCAGGACGAAGGAATCTCCGCAGGGAGGCTTGGGATGATTCCATGGGGGTCGACGTGGTAGAGGCGCTGCCACTCGTTGTCCCTCTGCTCGTCGCGGTAGGCCGAGTACACGCCCTTGGCGTCGACCGCATGGCCGAGGGTGTAGACACCGAGACGGCCAATGAACGAGCGGCCGGTACCACCTTGGCCCCAGCCCTCGCCGACGCGCTCGAGGACGCAAAACGACGCCCCCTGGACGTCTTCGCACTTCCACACCTCCTTGTACGCCTCGGCCTTTTCGCTGCGGGGATTGTACATTGTGCCCGTCTCAAGGACGTGGCCGTCGGCCAGGAGCTCGAATGACGCCTCGTCCGGGAGCTCGACAGGTGGGGGCTCGCGCGAGTCGATAATGTTGTCCCATGCGAGCATTGGTGTGTCTAAATGTCAGCGTGAGCTGGGCACCTTGTGCACTCACCTGGGGTCGACCCGGGAGGGTCAAGGACGTATCCCACCATGCCCCATTCTATGCTGCCCTTGAGGGGCCCAGATGCCCACATTCTCAAGTCGACAGAGTAGTTTTGGATCGTGAGGACGAGCGTGTCGGTGTCCTCGGTCGGAGCGTTGCCGGACCAGGCGATGGAGACTCGAGAGAGGGCGCGAACGGGTGCGGTGGCCATTGCGTAGGTGAGTGAGTGAGAGAGTGAGTGAGAGTGACCTTGTCATACGTGTCATCGTTGTCAGTGCTGAGCTCGTCGCCGCGCTGCCCACTCGTCAGTTGTAATTAACCGAGGAACCGAGCCGATCCATGCGGAGAGATTACCCGGGTGATAAGGGAGGTGGTAAGTTTTGGTGATGGAGGTGGGGCACCGTAATTGTACCGGCGCGTTCGGGACTGAGAAGGTTGTTTCCAAGGTGTGAGGAGAAAGTTGTTGAGGAAAAGTTGTTGTCGATGGATGGATGACTGGCAGGAACGATCATGACGCGGAACCACACAAAGAGACACTAATCGGGCCCCGGTTAAGCCCCGCTGACTGATGTGGAGCCAAGGAGCTGTCCCCAGGCAGCGTCCAAAGATAGCCGGCCAAGACATTTGTTTCTGCATGCATGCCATGCACGTCATGTCGTGCTTGGAGCTTAGCCTCTATAGCGCACCGCATGTAACCGGCCGATGCGGGGGTGGAAACCGGAGCCCAGAGGCGGAAGCGCAGCAGCAGCGCAGAGGCTGAGTCAGTTGCCGGCCGCGGGAGTTCGGCCGCAATGTGCTGACTGACGCTACAGCCGCTCGTGACCTCTACGGCCATCTAATCTTGAGTGGCTCGCTCTTGGCCGTGTGTTGGCAGCATGCACAAACGGCCCCCGCTTGGTCATCGCTGTGGGAGGGTGCGGGTGCTAGGTGTTGGAACCATATATGAATGTGCTGTGGGTTCTCCAGAGCCGCTCACACTGCTCTGAGCCCCTCAAACAACTAGCCCCTCACAACTCGTCCTCCCCCGCATTCCCTACACCATGGCCCTTGACACCAACACTGTCATTGCACTCCCAGCGGCACTCGTTCCAGACCGCCCAGGCATGTGGCCCCATGTGGCGTGGCTGCAGGCCCGCTACGGTGGCATCCCGACACCCATGGACCCAAGGGACTTTTGCCACGTCATCGCCGCGGTCCGCGCCAAGTTTGAGGTCAGCATGTCCAACAAGACTGCGACGGTGCTGCTGGAGTTTGCCCTCAAGCTCCACGACCTGACCATAAGTGAGTCGAGTGGTGTCTGTGGCAGTGGACTTTTTGCCAGTGGTGGCGATGGGGATCGGCACGTGGGCCGGCTGTGCCGGTGCGCCCTGGGCCCAGGGCGCCAGGGCGCACGTGCACACAGATCGGCGGGAACCGGCCGGCCGCGCGGCCGATCACAAAATCCATCTCCGTGGCACCTCTTCACCTGTTTCATTCCGCCGCACTCTTGCACAAAATCCATCATTCCTCGCCATCCACCCGCACAACATGCCCCAAATTTTCTGCAGGAGAGACGTCTGAATCTCCTCTACAACAGGCAACGGGCAATGTGGCGGAGTGGTTAACGCGATTGACTAGAAATCAATTTCCTTCGGGAGCATCTGTTCGAATCAGGTCATTGTCGGGCGAGCTTGTGACGAGCTCTTCATTTTTTGGATGTTCTTTTTGCTGACTGGTGCAGCGCAAGGCGAGGCGCGGGGCTCGTACATCCACAAGCCTGTGGCGATCCCGATCGAGCTGCTGCTGTTCTCCAAGATTGCCGAGTATCCGGGTCTCGTGGCGAGCCAGGCCAAGTTTGGCGGCATTGTTGTGCCGGTCGAGTCGGACGATTTTGTGGCTGCGAGCAACCTCGTGGCTCTGGCACAACGGATTGGCGGCAAGCCGACACGCCTCGCGGCGACCACGTTTTGGGACCGGGTGTTTGTTGCCACGCAGTATCCTCGCGCGATTGGATACGACAGCGGAAGGCTCAAGAGCGTCCGTAGCTGCGACACACTGTTTGAGGCATAGGCACGGGGGTGTTCACCGGGGGTTGTACATTTACATTACATGTAGTTTTATTTATTTTACGACGATATGGAATCCATTGGCAGCGGAATCCATGACAGCAGGATAACGTGAGTGCAAGAGTGGTGCCGCGGCTAGCCATTGCAACCATGTGCTTGTGGTGCACAGCCCCGATCTTGCAACGAGTCCACACCCCACCCACTCGTTCGTGCGCTTTGCGAACCTCAAACCAGTGAAGCAGCGACCAATGGGGGCACAAAGGTGACCAGAGGATATGCATAGCCAAGTGCCAAGGCAAGTTGGAACAACTGACAAACCTGACTCAAAAGTTCCGGACCGGGCACTAGAGCCGTGTTTATGTCGACAAAGGACGGTTCGGGACAGCACTGAACCCGGCTCTTGTTGCTCAGCCGGCCTGAGTAACATGCGGGTCAGCGTTAGCCCGTTCCTTGGCTCCCACTGTACAGAGGCTGCCTCATAAATACTGGCCTCGACAAGAGCACGCATATCCCTGTTCACAACTTTACACACTCACTGCGTTTTCACTGCGCCCACTGCTCGCTTGCACCCACAATGCTCGCCAACTGCACGACCAACATTCCGCACCTCACGCAGCGGTGCTGCAACCTCACCATGGGGTTCTTGGGAACCATCCCCGACCAGTGTACGCGCACTCAGTACATTGATTTCTACACTTGTGTTGTCGCGTTCTCCGAGGCCAACACCACCTACGCCAATGCCAACCTGTCTTGCAAGACCTGGGGCGGCAAGAAGGGCGCCACATCAGAGGCCGCCTCAACCGTGCGACTGAGCAAGGCTTACATGGTCGTCGCTGTGGCCACCTTGTCCATGGCGATCCTCACTGCCGTCTAAGAAGAGCTCGTAGGTGTGTGCGAGCTCCCTCGGCGCTGATATGACAAAGTCCAAGGCGCGTGACCATGTTAGTTATTTCCTCATAATACGGAGCTGAGAACCATAGACTTTATGAATTGTTGTACATCGGAACAATGGAAAAAAAACCCGGTGGCTGGTTTCCCACCTTTTTTCTCACATTCAACAGTGTCAGTTCCAGTGCAATCAATATCCTCATTCAGCGGCAACCACAGCGCCAGCGTCTCAGCCATCATAGGTGCACGCTGCATTCAACAACAACCCCCAACGTCACCAGTAATCTTGACGGCAACCTTGCTTACGTAATGGGCGTGTAGCTCAGTTGGTAGAGCGTGTCATTAGCAAGCACAAGCATCTATCTACTTGACAAGGTCTTTGGTTCGATTCCTAACTCGTCCACTCTTTTTAGGCCCCTGGGAGAGCATGGGGATGCATGGAGGGACGGTAGGTGTCGAGAAAAGGAGGTCGGAGGTCATCCGGAGCCACCCGTCAACGACCTGTGGCTTTGACGTCGTGGATTTTATGAACATCTATGGTACATGTCTCTTCTAGAGTCCTCTCTCCACATCAAACTCGGTTGGGCCGATGGCTGCGCTGTAGTCTTTGTATGTGATGACATGGAACTTGACGCTCGCGAATTCCGCCCTTTCCGTCGAGCAATTGTGGGGTTGCCGCGAGAGGAGTTGGACAACGTACTTGCGAAATGGAGTCGTGTATTGCGCTGAAGAGTATTTGCCCTCCCGTTGGACCACAACCGTACACTTGTGAACGGATGGAACACCCATACAGCTGAGGCATCGGGCAAAGTTGTTGAGAACGTCCTTAGTTGGGTATTGATCGGGGTCGTGAGTCACAATGTACACGACCTCTTTGACACATGGAGCGGTAAAGAGTTCAAAGGGGACGTCCAGCATCGCGTCGTTGCTGTAGTGGATGTTGACGACAATACGCTGGATTGCGAGCTTCCTCCAAGTGGCCCAACTTTGGGGAGCAGGTGTCGTGAGTTGCTGCCGGTTGGGGGGATGCGAGACGATAAGGCTCCGGGTCTTGTAAGTGATGTCGAGACGAGAAGTTGAAGTGCTGTGGCAAAATCCATAGCGAAAGACGGGAATACCGCAGAGCGCATCGGCAACCGACGACAGCAGATGTTGGTTCTCCCACGAAAGGTCGACCACTTGTGAATGTCTTGTAATACAATGCGTGTTCAGGTTGCTTTGAGCTGGGCGCTCGTCTGCTTTGTTCTCTCGCTGGTCGTCCTCGTTTTCCAACTCGAATTGGCCCAGTTTAATCTCAACATCATTGAGCATGGTGTACAAGGTGGGGCGTGGGTCTAGTTCGGTTGAGCGGAGGATTAGGCGCCTGTTTAGGAGGGCTTCAGCCTTGCGGCGATATTCGCGACAGGTCGCGCGGATACGGAAGAGGGCACGCTTATCAGGGTTGTGGAGGAAGAAGATTGCCTCCACGAGTTCTGGAAACATCCTGTGGTCGATGACGAGGACCATGGTGATGGTTGAGTGTGTTTGAGAATGGACGCGAGTAAAGGTGACGGAAGGTGACGGTGTTGAAACGCGACAATGAGAGCGGCATCAAATATTAGGCTGTAACGGATCGGCAGTCAGCGGTTACGACCGCGATGTGGGGGGGCATCATCAGGCTTTTTCTACTCTCCGAGCAGCCACTAAGACGTGCATGAGCTGGACCCAGTGAAAGAATCCAAGCTGAGCAAGTACATGTGCAGCCCTTGGCGGACACGATTTTATTGCGATTTTTCCCATTTTCACAGACCATTTTTGGCTGTGTATTGTCTCGACTCACATGTACCTTATCATCAAACACACAAGACCACTACCATATACCACACACATATGACACAAGTGTGTCTGTTGTAGGTTGGAATGTAGAGGGCGGCTAAGTCCCCGTGGACACCCACCGTTTGGATACACATGTTGTTAGCGAACACATCCCAACCGTGTCATCATGACTCATAACGAGATCTTTAGGCGTAGCCCACTCCATGAGTCCTCGCGAAGACACATATATACTGATACTACCCAAGTTTGCGACTGCCGCGGCCCAGTCCCAGACTCCCACCTCGATGCTCAGCAACGTCACCATATCGCTCTCCACTCATCTCCATGATGCCTGCATTCCCGGTACTGCAGGTGGAGACGCTGTTCACATTCCGATGATTGGACCTCTCGGTGGTGCCAACTACACCCAGATGGACACAACCCTCAACCAGGTGATCTGGAGTCTGATTCCCGCTGAAAAGAATTGCCACCAACTGGACGCCATTGCGAAGAAATCCAGTGCCGCTTTTGAACGGTGTGTGACCCGAACTGTGGAGATTGAGCTAAACCTCTCTGACTCGTGCCGTACACCTGGACCTATGATGGAGACCAACTTGTCAAAGCGGTACCGCTGCATGAGCGCGCACGGATTGCCACCAACCTGTTGGAACTGGACAAGCTCCGCCGAGACCTGGTTCAATATAACATTTCTGGACAGAACGGCCCTCTCGACAACCATTCCCGCGTTCGGCTCAAGCCATGCAGACTGTCGTTCCCTGGTGTCCGCCCATTTCTGCCGCTCGAGTCAGATTCACAGTGTCAGCTCAGAAAGCGGAAAGCTGCCAGCGTTATCCAGCCTGTGAAGTCGGTCGTAGCACAGCTCGAGAGCCGGAAGGACTGGGCGAACCAACAGTGCGTGTGTTTGTGTGCATCTTCGTCATTGTCCTCCTGGGCGGACGCTCACATGACTACATAGGTACTTTGCCGAGTGCCAATGGACCCCCGCCCTGGCGGAATACCTCTGTGCGGTATGGGACCTGTACCCCTGGACGGCCACTCCCCTGTTGTTCTCGCCGCAGGATGCATTCCGCTACGGTGTCGCCCAGCTGTGAGCCCACTTTCCCGCAGAGCAGCTCCTAACGGTCAGTGAGGTGGCTCTCTGGAACAACATGTCGGTCACATGCATTCAACTGGGTATGGCGACTAAACGGCTTGTCTGGTTTGACCACGCTATCCAGTGTGCCGAAGCGGTCATCAATATGCGCTACACAACACATAATGTGCTCAGCAAGGCGTACTCACGTGCTGCCGAAGCGCGCTCGTGGGTGAGATATCTGCACAAACTGCCACTGGTTCCCGAGATGGACCCCGAAGACTCTCTCAAGACAATGGTGGGCAAGCAGACATACCTTGCGACACTCATCAGACTCCGGGAGAGTCAAGTTGGTTGGGCTCATGCAAAGTGCCATACCAGCCACGAAGGATGTGTTCCACAGACATACATCGATACGAATGCCGACAGTATCACGAGGAAGGGGTTCTGGGTAGCCGTCTAGCCTGTCCCACGACTATGCACATGCACACTACCTCACTTAGCCACTGTATGATGTCAATACCGACCAGATGCATCTCAGCCGACAGGGAGGCATCGCAATGAATGACAGACATGACTTCCAGGCACACTCATCGCCGGTCATCTCACCGGTCAACCGCGCGGACCACGGCCCACCCGGCCCGCGAAACGATCACGCCGAAGATGCCAACACCGACCGGTGCCGGTCGGACAAGAAGAGTTGTGTCATTCGATGTTGAGTGCCCTAGCCAACACTCCTGGACCACCTGTACCCTTCGGGCCCCGGGTTACCTGACAGCAGTTCCTGGGATCCTGGGCACCGTGCGGCGCGTGCGGACGGCGGCCCGCTCCTCACCATGGTCTGTACCAGAACCATCGTGGGACCTTGCACGTTCCACCTTGGCATTCACGGAACGTTCTTACTGCGCACTAGTATGGGCATGGTCGTTGGTTGCTCTTGGCGCATGTGCTGTTGAGCCAAGAGTAAGCTTCGAGGCGGCGACGAACAACGTTCCTATCCCTTGAGCTGTGTGTTTAGTATTAAAGCGTGCTGGGGGACGTTTGTGCTCCCCCAAGCACACAAACAATGAACACCGTCACCCTCTTCACTCTTCTCGGCACGCTTGCTTCGGCCAGCCCGCTCGTTCCAAGGGGTGTGGGCAGCTGCGACACTGCGCCACTGTCCGATCCTCCCAAGGTTTCGACTCCCTCCAGCACCCTCTCCAACCTCGCCGGCTGGGGCCCCTACATCTCTCTGGAATCACCTCTGTGCCGTGACACGCCAAGCGGATTCACCATCGACCAGGTTACGGTCCTGATGCGTCACGGCGCTCGTGGTCCTACTGCCTCGTCCTATCCAAGCATCAAGGCGGCAGTTGCCAAGGCCGCCAACGCCACTGTGATGGACAGCGCCTTTGACTTTGTCAAAAACTACTCTGCTGAAGGGTTCACTGCGGACGCTCTCACCGACTATGGACGCAAGCAGATGTACGACGCCGGCAGCACCTATGCTAAGCGTTACAAGAAGCTTGTCAAGAAGTACTTCACCCGTGCCGCCAGCCAGACTCGTGTCGTCGAGTCGGGCCAGTACTTTATGCAGGGTTTCAACGGCGACAAGTTCGCCATCAAGAACACCACGCTCTTGCCGACGATGGACCTGATCATCAACGACGACGGTACCGTCAACAACACGTTGACCCAGGTCGCGTGCCCCGGTTATGACGACTCGACCGACCTCGCTGCGGAGGCGGAGACCAACTTCAACGCGGTAAGTTTCCCAGGGGATAGTGGGATAGTCCAGCACTGACGTGGCAGATCTGGAATGCTCCCATCACCGCGCGCCTCAACGAGAAGCTTGTCGGTGCCAACTTTACCGACGGCGACATCCGCCAGCTCTTCACTCTGTGTGGTTATGATGGTGTCAAGAACCTCCAGTACTCTGCTGGCGCTTGGTGCAACGCCTTTACTGCTGCCGAGTTTGAGCAGTGGGAATGTGAGGCGTTAACATGTTGGGTCCAGCTAACAGTTTTCAGACCTCTACGACCTTAGCAAGTACTGGGGACAGAGCTACGGCAGCCCGTACCGTGCGGCCATGTATGACGGCTACGTCAACGAGTGAGCTGAATGTGTCGACATCATCGGCTGACCCTCAGGATCATCGCTCGCTTCACTGGCCAGCCCGTCGTCCTCGGCGGCTCGGTCAACGCCACTCTCGACACCAACACTGCCACATTCCCCCTTGACAAGACCTTCTACATGGACTTTACTCAGTAAGCTTGAATGATTGGGGACAAAGCTGACAATACAGTGGTTCGTTGTTGGCTATTAACAAGGAATACACTGACCCACAGACAACGACCTCGTCTCAATCGTCACCGCATTGGGCCTTTGGAAGGTAGGTACTACGCACGTCCAGCTGCGCAGAGCTAACGCCACAATAGGATCTCAACCCCCTCCCCACCACTGTCTCCGTTGACGCGATTCCCAATCGCTTCTTCCACATCTCTCGCATCTGTCCCTTTGGCTCGCGTATCGTCTTTGAGCGCCTCTCCGACAAGAAGGGCACAAAGTACATTCGCGTGCTCATCAACGACGCCGTTGCTCCCCTCAACTTCCCCGACTGTGGCGCCTACTCGTGGGCCGGCATGTGCGAACTCGACGCCTTTGTCGCCGCTCAGTCATATGCCCAGTCTGAGCCAAAGAACTTTAACCAGCTCTGCTACAGCGCCCCCCTCAACACTACTGTTGTCTAAATCGATAGAGACGACTAACGATGTGGCTACAATAATAAAAAGATGTTATTTTGGTATTTTCTCCATTTTCTCGCTTTTGGTCGCCTCCCAGGGCTGCCGCTTAGTACTTACGTCCAACAAGATTGGTAGGTATACTGCGACTGCCTGGACCTGGTGGGATTCCACTATGGAAGCGTCCACAGGCCGGCCACAGGGGTCAACAGATCGACGGGGCGCTTTAGCGAGCGGGGTAAAACGGACTCGGTTCTGTCGGTCTGCACTTTTGGTTTCACACTCGTCTTCACTCCTCCTCCGGCCACCATGCCCCTCCCCTCCATTCCCAGTCTGGGCCCCATTGTTGACCTCATTCCAGACGTCTCCACCGTTCTCGTACCCTATACGGCTGGCGGCGACACACTCCCGAGCGATCGTGTCGGTCCTCTCGGAGCTGACCATTATGCACAACGCGACACGAGCCTCAACCACGCCGTCTGGTCCCTCTTCCCCGTGAACGACGAATTCAGCGTCAAGAACATTGACAGACTGGGAGAACAGTATGTGGAGACTGTGGTTCAGTGTTCAAAGTAAGTGCCTCTCCCCCAACGCCGCTGACATTCAGCATCACCCCACCTCACAAGGACGGAGGATACGGACCAACTTTTGCCCGTAATCTGCTTACTCAAACCGTCTCCATCCATGAACGCGGTCGCATCATCGCCAACCTCCATACCCTCAATCTGATCTTCTCGGGACTGGTTTCAGGGTCACATTACTTCCCGCCAACAGTGGACGGCGAGCTGCTCAGCTTTTGGTCGGTGATTCGCGATCGCAAACACGCCAACCTGGCGGAACCAGTACTGGACTTGGTGGAGCGCTTGACGAGACGCAAGGACAGCACAAACCAGGTGTCCTTCCAGAGCGCCCACTACGCGGCTGCGATGATCGACTATTGCCTTATCCTGTGCGACCTGTACCCATGGACCGCCACACCGCTGCTCTTCACCAGCAAAGACGCCTTTGAGCTGGGAGTAGCTCAACTGGAAGCAAGCCTCTGGAGCAACATGAGCGTGACCGCCTTACACCTTGCCAAGTCGACAGGCGATAACGGTTGGCTCCACATCGCACAGGGCACAGCGGCAGCGGTATACAACATGCGCTTTGCGACATCCAAACTCCTTGCTCGTGCATATTGGCGTGAGTGCCGGATGTGTGGTTTAGCTGACTTGAAGGCTCCTCCGATGCGCGCTTGCAGCTCATGTCCAAGGACGGCAGCATGCTCCTCACCAAGCAGGTTTTCGAGTCTCAAGGGTCAAAAGAGTCATTGCTCAGTATGCTCATCCACTGCGCCGAGCCAAACAAGTGGGCTCACGAAAAGTGCTACGACAAGCACACCTGTTGGTCATACAAGTTCTTCACCCCTCACTCCGAGCTGTGAGGAATGGGGTGTCGGGTGCCTTCGCCAACAACAACCAAGATGCATGATTAATGAGATGAGTATACTGATGCTGTAGCACAAAAAGCCCAAGTGACCCTGTACACTCAGAGCTTCGCCTTGCGCTTGTTGCCAAAGTCGAGTACGGCGCCGCCTACCAAGTCGGCAGCCTCCTTGGCCATACCCCAGCTGGCCTGGTATCCCGCAGGACCGATACCGTAGGCGTGGACGTATGCAACGTCGTGGCCGTTGATCTTGCGGTTCTCACGCTCGAGGCGGGGTCCACCAGCGCGCGACGGGCGGAAGCCAACGCACTCGCGAACAATCTCGATGCCCTCGACGGTTCCGTCCTTGGACAGCTCGGGGACACGGGCGAGGCAGTTCTCCAGGATCTTGCGAGAAAAGGCCGGGTCCGCCTTCCTCTCCCAGGAGCCGACCTCGTAGCATCCACCGCAGATGGTCTCGCCGCCAGAGTTGGGGCGAGGGATAATGTAGGTCGAGCGGGTGGGGTCGACGTGGGCGAGCGAAGAGTCCATCACACAGCGCTTGACAGGAGCGCGAACAACGACAATCTGGCCCCGGATGGGCTCTACGTTGCTGTCCTGGACGTCGGCAAGCTTGAGCGCGCCCAGACCAGTAGCGTTTACGACGGCCACGGTGTTGCGGCGGACAGCGTCGCTGAGGGCACGGAGCTCGGCGCGACGAATCTTGACACCAAGGGCCTTGGCCTGAGCCTCCAGCCAGCGCAGGTAGACTGGAACGTTGACCGAGACCGACGTGAATGCCACGCCAACAGAGCCATTCGGGCACTCGCTTGCAGGGAGCTGACGATACTGTCTCCGTTAGCTCGGACATTCACATTTGACACTCACATCGGCAGCAACATCCTTGTACCAGTGCTTGTGGAGACCGTCCTCGTTAGGGGCGTACCGCAAGATAGGGAGCTCCATAGCAAGGCCGGTTGGGATGAGCTCCTTGATACGTGCACTAACGATTAGCTGCTGGCTGCAATGACAATCGGACCACTCACAGGCCCTCGGTCTCCCAGCGGCAGACGTCCGGGTCGGAGGAGAAGGGACACCAGTTCGCGCCCTGCTATCAGTACAGTTTCAGAGCCATTAACGACACTTACAGCCCAAGGAGACGCCCAGTCCTGGCTGAGGTGGTCGCTGGGGAGGTTGCGAGCGATGATCTCGACCTTGTACCCGCGGCGCGCGAGGATGAGGGCGGTGGTCAGGCCAATAACTGCACACGACGTCAGTGGAGCCCAGCTTTGCGCGACTCACCTCCAGAGCCAACAACCACAATGGTGTCCTTGGCAAGGGGGCCAGAAACAGAGGAGACGGGGGCCATGGTGATGCGAATAGATGGGGGAATGCAGAAGAGCAGCAACACCACCACCTTTTGTATGGTTGCAAGCTGGAGCAGCCCCACATTTGAACTCTGAGCATCGTTGCCCGCGGTCTTGCTCCAGGCCTTTTGTCAGTCGGGCAACTCTGGAGGCTGCGGGCAGCTGACCATGGTCGCTTGCCCGTTGGAGGTTGCAGCCAGTGCGCATCAGAATTCGTAGTGGGTTCAGCAGGGTCACACGAGGGACCTGTTATCGTCCGGCCAGGGTATAACCCACCCATTCACGGCTGTCTCTCACCTGATCACAACCGCACAGCCAAAGCCCACCATGCGCCAAACAGAGGGGCTCCTTGTCCCTTCTCCACCCACTCACCCACCAGTTCCAACAATAATGTCGACCCATGCAGGCCGGCATGCGTGCCCAGAGCCAGGTTGCGGCAAGGTGTTCTCGTCCACAAGTGCGTAACACGACGAGTTGTCCAGACACTGATGCGCCCAGGTCACATGCGCCGCCATTTGCGCAACCACAATGGAGATCGCGCGTTTGCCTGCTCACACTGTGGCTTGACATTTGTTCGTCGAGAAGTCTGGAAGCGTCATGAGGCCCTTCACGTCAACCCCCAATCGACACGACCTCGAATCAAGCCTGTCCATCGGCAAGATTCAGCAGCGACCTCGCAAAGCACGGTCCTGGCAACTCCAGTTACGCAGATCCGGGAGATTCACGAGGTCATGGGCGAGCCGTCGTCCTCCAAATCGGCGGCTCCCCCGATGAGCAGCGACGACCCACAAAGTGAGCCAGAACGCTCGTTCCGCGCACCACAGCTATCGATGCCGTTCGCATCTTCCTCCTCGAACGGACACGCTGCACAGAACCAGATGGTGCAACCATGGCAAGTCTCCAGCGAGGCGGCGTTCAGTCCCATGGCCATGACGTCAACCAACGCTCTGTTTCCCGACCTTGGTATCGAGTCTTGGCTCGACCAGATCCTCACCGATCAGGCAGCGTTCACAGCTGTCATGGCCCCGCAAACATCTCCCCAGCAGTCGATGCAGTCGTTCTTCTGGGAGCAGACCTCGTCCGGCCCCTCATCGCAAGACGCCGCCGGCTGTGTACGCCTCCGGGAATGGCTCACAGTGAGTTTTTTAAGCTCGTGATGACTCCACTAACCGACAAGGACAAGGGCGGTAGACAGGAAGCCAGCCAGCTCGACGCAGAGAGGTTTACTCGCTGCTTTGGTGCATACTGGAACCACGTCGACCAACAGTACCCAATCATCCACCGACCCACGTTCGCGACTGCCGACTGTCCCCCCGCACTCCTTCTGGCTATGGTGCTCGTTGGAGCCACGGTGACGGCTGTGGAGGACGACTTTAAATGGGCAGACTCAACTTTTCCGCTTGCCCGTGGACTGGTCACTTGTGCTGGCTTCCGTGATCCCCGAGACCAGGTGCACTTGCTTCAGGCCATGGTGATTGCAAGCCTGGCTGGCCATGCCATGGGCCAAGAGGCTCAGGACCACGCACACGCGCTCGTCAGTACGGCTCTGACAGTAAGTGACACATCTGTGCTTTACACACCTAACGGGACAGCTTTCTCGACGAGCCAATCTCTACGAGGACCGTGGCCGTGCCAACTCTGGGAGGGCTAGAGAGGGCGACCTCGAGACGCAGTGGAAGCAGTGGATTCTGGACGAGTCGACCAGACGGTACGTGTCTTGGTAGGAGAGCAACTCGCTAATCTGCCAGCGTCGGGTGGGTCATCCTCATCCGCGACATTGAGTATGCGAGCTTTTTCCAACAGCTGCCCAGTCGCGCGTCCTCGCCCTTCAAGCTCCCGGTGGACCTCCCGTGCCCCGAGTCCTGCTGGGACGCACCAACCGCCGACGCGTGGTCGCACGCGGTTGTACCAGGCGAGACGCTGGCGGTAGCCCTCAAAAAGGTGATCCAGGCTGCGATGGGCTCGAGCTTTCGCCTCCCTGCCTACACCGAGTTTGCCCAGCTCGTCCTCACATACGGCCTGTGCGCACTCGGGTGGGACGTCAACAGGCGCGACCTCATCGCGCCTGAGATTTCCAAGTCTGGTCCTACCAGCTTGAATGGCTTCCTCCTCCGGGCGTTCACAAACTGGGTCATTCACCCAACGTACCCGCCACCCCGCAGCCGCAAGCAAGAATGCCTGCAAGGGTCGATTCAGGACGCGGCGTTGCTCGGTGCGCTGGAACTCCACCTCAACACGTAAGTGCGGTGCCCGTCTGGCCCGCCGCTAACCGACACAGGTTGCACCTCCAAGTGTTTGTCGGTGTCACCGAGATCGGGACACTCCAGCCCGTTCGACCTACAGACTGGGTCGAGGCCAGCAAGGTCATGCGAAAGTGGGCGTCCTCGGACGACAGCGGCGCGGCCGTGGCGCTGTCTGCTCAGTACCTCGCGACAGTAATCAAGGTGAGTTGGGCCTTGCATAACAAAGCTGACGAGACAGGCTGAAGGAGTCATGACGCTGAACAGGGCTTGGGCAGTCTACTGCGCTTTCGTAGGTGTCCCCACTGATGCCCGACGTCACGCTGACACTTCTAGCTTGTGTGCTGGTCCTTTTACGTCATGTTGAGGACACCGCCACGACCGCGCGATAGGTCCACAATCCCTACCAAGGTATGTTCATGTTGAAAAGGTGTACCTGACATTCCAGAACGACGCTCTCCGCTGTTGTGACGCACTCGAGACATGGGCACGAGACAGGGAAGATGAGCCCTCGCCAGCGCAGATGCGTGCGCTGAGTACCCAAGTGGTGATGCTGCTGTCGTCTCGACAGGAGGTGATGGTCAAGGCGGCGTGTATGCTCGTAGATCGCAATGCTGTAGGATAGTACATGTATAACAAACAGTGCTTGTCAACGTCAGTTTGTGCAACTGAGATGACGCACAATCGAAAGTAATACATAGGCCCATATCATAGTCCCATATGCGCTATTCGCTTCTACCTTCTACTTGCCAACGTCTCTTGTCAAAGCTCGTCGTGCGAGTGGTCATGGGCAGTCCGCCTCAGGTAGTCCTTGACGTCTCGCGGCAGGTACTGTCCAAGCGGCCCTCCCCAAGTGCAGGGCAGATCAGGGCGAGTCATCAAGACAGCCGAAGACGCAGGCATCGTCGACATTTCCTCCTTGGTCTTGTCGGCACCATCGAGGATACGCATGAGGTTGCCGCCCAGGAGGCCCTCAATGTCCGAGTCGGTCCAGCCACGCATGATGAGCTCGGCAATCTTAGGAATGTTAGTGGCTACTCGCACTCGTTCACCGCTGTGCGCCACTTACGAGGTTGGGGTACTTGCTGGCATCCTCGAGACCGACGACAGCCGAGTCCATGCCGTCAAAGTCCGAGCCAATTCCGACGTGCTTCTTGCCACTGATCTTGGCAATGTGCTCGATGTGGTCGGCGACGCGCTGGATGGTGGGGTTGTTGGGGTCGACAAACTTGGGGTAAAAGACGGCCATGACGATGCCGTCCACCTGGTCGGCACCATCGCCGATCATGGCGAGGACATCGTCGGGGACATTGCGAGGGTGGTCGAGAACGGCCCGGGCTCCCGAGTGGGAAAACATGACAGGTGCACGTGTGGCCCTGATAGTGTCCCGCATGGTCTGGGCGGACGTGTGCGACAGGTCGACGAGGATACCCAAGCGGTTCATCTCTTCGACCAGGGCATAGCCAAGGTCGGTCAAGCCGTCACCAGGGTACACACCCTTGAGGGGAGTACCACTGCCCGCAGAAGAAGCAAACACTGGGCAGGTCAGCGTGTCCACCACTGGCGTCTTACCATTGTGACAAGTGTGGGTGAGGGTGATATAGCGTACACCCAGCTGAGCATACAACCTCACAACGGACAAGCTGTTACCGAGCTGATGGCCACTGTCTCGTCAGCGGACTTTTCCTTGACCAGGGAAACTCGCCCCTCTACACCAATGAGGGTCCCAATCTTTCCTTCGTTGGCAGCCTTGACAATGTCCGCAGAGTTGGAAACAAGTGCAAAGTCCTGAAGTCAGTCCCCACGTCGGCGTCCCTCGCAAACTCACGTTGGGAGAAGTCGCGACAATCTCGTTGATAATGTCGATGGCTTCAAGGGTATCCCTCACGCCCTCTCCGGTGTCAATGTACTCGAGTGGCTCAGTGTCGATATGGCTCGGTGGGCAAGGAGTCCAAGCGACCATGAAAAGGGCTCCAAGACGACCTTGCCGCATACGCTTTAGGTCCATGTGGCCTGGCATCGTCTCGTTGTGCTCGCGAATGCTCTCCAGGGGGTACTGTCCTGATTGTCAGCGCTTATTGTCAACACACTCTTACACTTACCCAAAGACTTGATAATGAAAGGCAAGTCCACATGGCCATCGACCAGTGGAGCGTGCTCCATGATGTCAATGGCTTGAGGAAGGTAGTCACGGTAGTCACCGCCAGCGGCGGCGAATGTGCCCCCGAGCGCCAACAACAAGCCAAAGTAGTAGCTGCGTGAACGCATGTCTATAGTTGGTGACTGGGGTGTGTGGGATGTTGAGAGACCGGTACGATCGTAAGAGTATAACATACGAGGTTGCCTGCCTGCTGACGACATGGTTCTTCATGTGTTGCCAAAAAGCCCACCATCGGTGTACGCCGAAGAGTGGGGTTGTGGACCTTGAGGCTTGATATCGGGTTTATTTTCCACCCCGCCGAACAGGCCGAGTAGTGGGTTGCGGAGGAGGACGTCCATTCCCCCCCCCAGTCAAGCGGGCATTACCACACTCAAGTTCCCGCGTAGGACGGTGGACAGATGAGTGGGTTCTCTCGTCCTCAAGGGGTGCCCACTTTCACTCACGACCTCCTTTATCATTTCTATCTGACAGTACAGTGGTACAGTGGGGCAGCGCCGACCTGTGTCGAGTGAAGAGTGGCACCGTCCCTAAATATACCTGCCGGGAATGATAAGAAGGCGGGGTGTGACCCTCAGCTTACCTTACCATTTGGCCCTCTATCACAATCCCAACGTGCGGCCCCTGTGCGGCCCTAAATGCCTTGGCAAAAGGTGGGGGTCCCCAGCATGCCAATCGTTTAGTGGGTCGTGGGGTCTGTGTACGCCTCCAGGTGACGAAGGTCGAAAGTTGATGTTGTATAAATAACAAGCGGAGGACATGTCGTCCCCACACCGAAGCTACTAACCCAGGCTCCTCCCAGCTGTCACCTCCTCACACGGGCCACAAGATGAGTCACTCGCACGATATCGCCGAGAAGGAGGGCGAGGCAGTCGTCACCACCAAGGCCCTTCACAGCGAGCCAACCCTCAAGCGTAACATCTCCGCTCTGGCCATTGTCGGTCTTGCTCTCTCCAGTACGTGTCGCCTGTGCCCACCTTGCAGTGTTGGAAGGTTCTTTAGAAGTACATGACAGCTGACACCGTCCCAGTCTGTGTACGTGTACTCTCACACACTTGCCCTAGACTTGGCGCCTTTACTAACGCTCGTCCAGAATGGTTGGGCTGCCATGTCCTCCACCATCGTCATCGGTCTCAGCCAAGGCGGTACACCTGTCATCATCTACGGTCTCATCGGTACTTCGATCATCAACGTCTTCCTTGCTTCCACGCTTGCAGAGCTCTCGGCCGCTTGGCCCACCGCCGGTGGCCAATACGTCTGGGCTTCGATTCTTGCTGGTCCCAAGTGGCGTCGAAGCGTCTCGTTTGCGGTCGGATGGGCGACCATCTTTGAATGGATCACCACCACTGCTTCAGTCATCATGATTTCAGCCGAGGTCATAGTTGGCCTGGTGGACACTTACCACCCGGGCTTTGAGGTCCAGCGCTGGCAGGTTTTCCTCATCTTCCTCGCCGTCAACTCGATCTCGACCTTCAACAACCTGTTCGTCCTCTCGAGGCTTCCCAGCATTGGCACCATGTTCCTCGTCTTCTCGACCCTCATCTACCTTTCGATCATGATCACCTGCCCCGCGGCTGCCGAGACTCACCAGAGCAACGAGTGAGTTTATTGACCCCCAGGGTGCGTGAGAATACGGAGTTGACAAACTCTTTTTTAGGTTTGTTTGGGCTACATACCGAAACGATATCGGCTGGACTGAGAAGTTTATCGTCGTTGCGACTGGACTCGTTAACCCGGCGTACGTCTTTGCCGGCATCGACGGTGCTGTCCACATCGCAGAGGACTGCCTCGACCCGGCCCGTTCCGTTCCTTACTCGCTCTTCGCCACAGTCGGCGCCGGTCTCTTCACCGGTCTCACCTTTTCGATTGCCCTCCTCTACTCGATCCAAGACGTCGACGTTGCCGCCGCTGCCGAGCTGCCCTTCCTCGAGATCATCGTCCAGGCTACCAGGAGCCGTGCTGCGGGTGCGATTTTCATGTCCGCCTTCCTCTGCGTCCTGATGGTCTCGTCCAACTCGGTCCACCACGCCACCTCGCGTCTTATCTGGTCGTTTGCGCGTGACAAGGGCATGCCCCTGTCGGACAAGGTCGCCCACGTCCACCCCAAGCTCCGCGTTCCGGTCATCCCCATCCTCATCTCGTGGTTTGGCGTCACGGTCCTCGGTGTGCTCTACGTCGCCTCGACCACCGTCTACGGCTCCATCATCTCCTGCTGCATCATCCTCGGAAACATCTCGTACGCCATCCTTGCCATCCAGCTCATGATGTGCGGCCGAAACATCAACCCCAACCGCTGGCTCAAACTCGGCTGGTTCGGCTGGCTGTCCAACGTTGTCACTGTTCTGTGGACCGTTTTCACCACCGTCGTGTGGCTCTTCCCCACCACCCCGCACCCTTCGGGCTCGGAGATGAACTACTCGGTGGCCGTCCTCGGCGCCATGGCCCTTATCGCCGTCATTGACTGGTATGTGCACGGTCGCAAGCACTTTGTCGGCCCCGACGACACTCCACTCGCCCACGAGCCCAAGGAGGGAGTTCTTGGCACACCGCAGGACCACGAGTCGGGAGAGTATCATCAGTAAATTGTACCAGAAGGGTGTTGGTATTGTCAGAGGGGTCAGCTAGGCTTAGCTGTGTGCAGTAACAGTAGATCATGCTTCGCTTGTTCATAATAGAATCATCAATGCAGATACATTCATCGTCGCAACTGCGTTATTCCGTAAGGTTGGAAGTGTTATTTGCTGGCTTTAATCACTCCTCGCCTCTGCCACTTCTACCCCCTATCGTGAACCACGATTGATTCGACGACACTGGCGATATCCTGATCAGAGCTGACCGCAATGATATTCAAGGCGGAAATCATTAATGCAACAACAGGATACTTCACACCAACAGAACCAACTGCGTTATTCATCAAGGCTGGCAGCGTGGACCGCCTTCCTAGGGTTACGGACTCGTTGTTGCTGCCATTTCTACTCGTGTTGTGGCGATCGTTGTCACAAATTGATTCGACGACGTTGTTCTTTTTGTGATCTAAAACCTTTATGGGCCAGACTCGCACAGAGACGGTCCCAATGCGATTCAAGGTATAAATGCCTCACGTATGACCCAAAGCGGCCTGAGTGCTCGGCGAGTCAAAAATGCGCGATATATAACGTCGTGCTGCGGTGACGTAGGTCTGTCGATCCGTTGGCCGTTGGCTTTTACCTAAAGCTGGAGGCTGTTGTTTTGTCGATTTCTAACTGGGGTCAGTGGATCAGTGCATCAGTCTCTCTCTCTGCTGGCGGTCGATGATGATGGCTGATGATGGCAGAATGTGGCAGGGAGGTTGGCCAAAAGTTTGGTTGTATCTGCACAGCAGACCAGTCCACTGATGCTATGAGATCTCATCCGCAGCAGGGGTGGTAGTCTCCCACGGATTTTTCTGTACCATGTTCTGTCGTCGGCGCCTCACGGTCCGAATCCCCGATCACCCGAATCTCTAACCTTTAACCTTGATGACGCGGGATAATCGCGACGCGCGGATGGCCAAACAATGTGGCCGTGCTTGCGCCTCTGCGTACGCCACATGGCACACGGTGAGCAAGTTGGTTGGGGCAGCCTCGACGGTGCTCCGAGCGCCATGAGCTCGCCACCCGCCCGTTGTGGTTGGCTGAGCAGAGCATGTGGCCTGCAAGGCCTGGGCGATGACGGAATTCGCACTCTCGATCAAGCTCTCCCACGGGTGTGCGCGGTGACCTTGCAGTTGGTCGCCGCGGGCCACACGGGGCTGGCCGATATGGGAGAGCGGGAGGAGATTTGAGTGAAATAGGGAGGGATCACTTAATACAACACGCCGGCCGCTAACGGCCTAACCATCCGACACTAACTCCAGTCCACCGGCCCCCCCCATTCAATCCCCCTCACCACATCCATATACCACATCCCGTGTTCCCATCCACCTCTCAACAGGCAGGCGTGCATCCACACACCTCCTCCCACAGGAGGAACCCCAACCACCCCTGCCATCTCGACAGCGTCGCCAAAATCAGTCTCGACATTTCGTCACACCCCCTTCCTTCAGGAAACAAGCTCCACCACAATCCACCTCACCTCACACACACTCTCTCTCAACCGCACCCCCCACCGTCTCTTTTGCCCGGCATGCCACAAGGACCGGGCTCCAACGCCAAGGCATACGGACGCGTACCGCCTCTGCCACCATTTCCCCAACTCATGCACATCAAAGACTCTCCTCCTCGATCGCGATCCTTTTCAGGGGAACCGGTGGACGATGAGGGAGCTGCGAGTGGGGAGGATGACGAGATCGAAGACGCGGCGAGCTCAAAGGACGCCAAGAAGGAGAAGAAACCGCACGCAACGCGTCGCCGAGTTGTGCAGAGTTGTTCAGAGTGTCGCCGCCGGTGAGTACCCCATGATGACGCATCGCTGCCTCAGGTTCCCACAACTGCTTGCTGACCTGCGTTCCCTAGAAAAATCAAGTGTGATAAGAAGTGAGTCGCGTCCGCTTGTCCCGATGAAGAACAATCCTTGCTAACGTGCTGCAGGTTTCCATGTGGTGCGTTGTGGCTTTAACCCACGCTGTCGCCCCGCGCTATGCTAACCGTACAGGTCCTTGCATTCTGAGGCAAGATCAGGCCCGTTGTCACGAGGTTGGAACTGTGAGTCAGGGAGATGTGTCCCACCTGCATGTAGCTAACCATGTCAGGCGGAGAAGCAGTTGGTCGCGTCGTGAGTAGACCGTGGCAGCGCCCGCGCCGCCCTGCTAACTTTCACTAGGTCAAACTACGCCACAACCCAAGATCTTGCAAACTTGGCACACCGTGTCGATGCGCTCGAGGCTGCTCTCCTCAAGTCGGGTTCGCTCATCCCGGCGGATCTCGAGCAATGCCTGACAGCAGTGCGCTCCAAAATCTCTGCAGCGCCAGCCACTGAAACGCCGGCTACAAATGTTAATCCGCCAATGGGCGGTACCGCGCACGGCGAGGACGAGGACCCCGTCAGCGATACAGAAGGTGCCGCCCTCACCCTTGAACATCTTGCGTTTGGCCGCTCTCGGGTCGACGGCTCTCACTCGCTTCCCCATTTCCGCGACTCTCGCGTTTCTTCGGTTAGCAAGCCTGCTCCCGGTCAAGGTTACCATCTTGCCCGGACGGGCTTGGCAGCCGGCGAAACTGCGGCCAACGCAATGAACACTGGTTTTGCGCCGGGTGCGAGCCGCAGGTCCTTCGACTTCAAGCCACCCCTCAACAACGATGACCGTGTAGCCCACATGCTGGCTCTGGCCGATAGCATGGCCCCCAGCGACGTTTTCGACATGTACTTCAAGAAGACGGAGATTGTGATGTACGCGCTTACTCGCGTGCTGCCGTCCAAGGAGCGTGGCGAGTTGTTGGTGAATGCCTTCCTTGATCGCGTGGACTGGCTGCATCGACTGTTTCATGTGCCAACATTCCTGAGCCAGTGCCGCGACTTGTGGGCACTCCCTCAAGACCGCGTGGTACACGAAATCTCGATGCCCTTCATCGCAGTGTACCTTGTTGTCATGACGGTGAGCGTTATATGCCGAGACCTCTCGCTAATGTACAGCTTGGACTGCACTTTATGGATGCGTCCGAGGCCAACCAGCACTTTACTCCCGAGGAGGTGCAGACACTGTCCGATGTGTGGTACAGTGCTGCGCGCTCGGCCCAATGGTCCAGCGATTTCATCGGCACGCACACCCTCGAGAACCTGCAAGCGGTGATCCTCATGACGGTGCTCATGAACAACCGCGACCGTGCGGACGCTGCGTGGGCCCTCCTGGGCGCCGCCATCAAGATGGCCCAGGGTCTCGGTCTGTCACGTCTCGGTGCCGAGCAGCAGAGCGTCGAGGGCCGCCCCTTGCCCATGTGGAAGGGCCGCTGGGAGAGTCTTATCCAGCGTGAAGTCGGTCGACGTATCTGGTGGAACCTGGTCTTCCTCGACTGGTCGCTTGCACCAAGCTACAACTATGCGTCGAGTATTCAGCCCGATCAGATCAAGGCTGCCCTCCCCGCAAACATTGAGGACGAGGACCTCATCGATGGCCAGCCTCTTCGCCCCCAGGCGATGAATGTCCGCACGCGCATGTCGTTCCAGCTCGCCAAGCTCAAGTTTGCCGAGATTAGCCAGCGCCAGATTTGGCAGGCCAACAACAACAACCACCCGCCATACTCGTTCATCCTCAGTGTTGACCGCGAGCTGCGCAAGGCCATGCTCGAGATGCCCGCCTACTTTCAGCCGGACAACAACCCCGGCCCCGTTTCGCAAGATTCCAAAAAGCTCGTCGAGCATTATGAGAAGATTACACTCAGTCTCGCCATCCACTCGCGCATGCTGCGTCTCCACCGCCCGTGGCTGTCGCGTGGCTACGAGGACGAGCGCTACGCGTACTCGAAGGAGCAGTGTATCCGTGCGGCTCGCGCCAGTCTGCGTATGATGTCGGACACGAGCGGTGTTGCCCGTTTCTTGGAAAAGTGGTGGATCCCCCTGTTCTACGTCACCGTCTCGGGCATGGTCGTCATCATCGACCTTTTGAAGACGGCCAAGCGTGAGATGAAGAGCAAGGTGACAGAGGAGAAGATTGCCGAAGTCAAGGGTGCGCTCGACCAGATGAGGCATATTTCCCAGACGTCGGTTCCTGCAAAGGCGGCCATCAAGGTGATGGACTTCCTTATGAGTGAGTCAACCCAATACCTATGTACGCTAACTTTCAGACGAGGTAGAGGAACGCAGGCGCCCTGGTGGTTCTGCGCTTGGCAAGCGCAAGCTTACAAATGATGGCGAGGGTGGGGACGACGAGGAGCACAACCTGCAGCGCGCCGTCAAGCGCCTCATTCACCAGGCCCAGCTCGAATCCGACAGCCCTACCTCCAACGGTCCGGGGACTTCATGGGTGTCGCCGTCATCCGACCCTACACCGATTACGGCTAGCCCCCATGAAAGGGCCGACCCAACTCCCGAGCGACCGGTCTTTGGCGCGTACCCCATGCCCCAATCGATCCCCCCAAACCAGCCTCAGTTTGATGGAAACAACCAGGCCCAGGCTGGTACCGCCATCGGAGCCTCCTTCCCGGGCCAGTTTGCGCTGCAGAATGCGCAAGGAGCATTCAACTTCAACGTCGACCCAACCAACCTCTCGGGCTTCCCGGCTCTGGACCAGGCTCCTGTGTTCCAGCCCCAGCAGGGCCCGCACCTCGACCCGGCCGTCGAGTCCATGCTCGCGTCCTACTTCCCGGCTCCGCCAAACAACCCCAACGCCGGCGAGGTTGGCCCTGCCGGTCAATCGCAGGTGCCCGACGACTTCCTGAGCCGCGTGTTCAGCTTCTCGTGGGACAACAACAACAACAACAACAACAACGTTCAGCAAGGACAGCCGAATCAGCAGGCCGGCCAGCCCCAGCAGCCCCAGCAAAGTGGACAGACTCAGCAGGTAGTGGGCAGCAACCAGCCCACCCCTACACCCATGGGCCGCCCTGCCAACGGCACCGCTGGTCCCAACCCGCCGCAGCGCCAGGACTCGTTGCCTGGTTACGGCGCGTTTGACTGGTCGAGCTCTGGGTGGATGGCGTAAGCCAAAGGAGAGGAGAGTGTGAAGAGGAGCCGGACCGGATAACATGTAGTAATGCTTATCTGTAGATTAGGGAACGCAGGCTACGTTCCAGCGTACATGGTAATGGCCTGTGCATGGTGTGTATGAATGGTGCTATGGGGGGATAGTGTCTAGTCTTCGTACTCGACGTAAAACACGATCATGTCGCGCTGTCCACGACGGAGGATCGCAAGATGTTTGTCGATGAGGTCGGAACGCGTAATCTCGCGCCGAGGATCGTTGACGGGCGTCTCGTTGAGGTACATGCCCGATTTGTTACTCTTGCCAACGAGACGAGTGGCCTCGTTACGGCTGTTGACCAGACCGTGCATGACTGCAAGCTTGGTCACAGGGAGGCCCTTGATGTCGCGGCGCTTGACACGCACGAAACGCCTGTCGCCCTCCATGGCCGCCAGGACGTCGGCAGACTTGAGCTTGCGCGGGTCCTGGCCATACAGGATCTGGGCCGACACTTGCGCGCGGCGCACACCCTCGGGACCATGGACAAGTTCGGTCACCTGCTCGGCGAGCAAGCGCTGGGCGCTACGGGCCCTGGGATCTTGCTCGTGACCCTTCATAACAGTGCGGATCTGTTCTGGTGGGACGAGGGTGAGGAGCGAGAGGTACTTGCCCACGTCGGCGTCGTTGGAGCGGTAGAAGAACTGGCCGTCAGAAGAGGGAACAAGGCAAAACCACCCACCTGGTAAAAGTCTGGGATGCTGGTGCGCGATGGGTCGATCCAGACAGCGTTTCCTGCGCTCTTGCCAAACTTCTCGCCCGTGCTGGTTGTCAGGAGGGGCATTGTCAGACCGAACGCCGGGTCGATCTGAGCCGCAAGGTTGGCTTTGGCAGTGTCGACCTTGGGCGTGTCAACCTCGACCTTGGCGGCACCCTTCTTGCCCTTCTTGGTCTTGTTCTCGGCCTCGGCAGCTGCGGCCTCGGCAGCCTCATTGCGCGCGACCTCTGCAGCCTCCTGTGCGCGCACACGCTTGATCATGTCAATGCCAGCCACAATGTTGCCCCACTGGTCCGAGCCTCCGAGCTGCACACGGCACCCGCGCTCCTTGAACAGCGTCGCAAAGTCGTGCGCCTGCAAGAGCTGGTAGCTAAACTCGGTGAACGAGATACCCTGCTCCGAGTCGAGACGGGACTTGACACTGTCGCGGGCGAGCATGGCGTTGACGCGCGCGAGCTTGCCGACGTCGCGCAAAAAGTCCAGGAACGACACGTTCTTGAACCAGTCATGGTTGTTGACCACGTCAAACCCGCGTCCACGCTGGGCAGCCTCGGGGTCAATGTCGTAGCCCCACTTGGCAGCGTATGTGATACCCCGCTCAAAGAAGGTCTCCACCTGGGACGTGATTCCCGCAACGTTGTGCGCGAGCTCCTCCGGCGAGAGGGCGTTACGCTCTGTTGACCTTCCCGAGGGGTCGCCGATAGATCCAGTAGCGCCGCCAACCTAACTGTTAGCTCGTGCACGGGAGGAGTCGGAGTGCTGGACGGGTCCGACCCCCCAGCTCAACTCACGAGAGCGAGCGCATGGTGACCGCGCGCGCGGAAGTGCAGGAGACCGATAAGCGGGAGGAGGTTGCCAACATGCAGTGACGAAGCTGACGGGTCCACACCGGCGTAGACACAGCTCGGCGAATCGAGGTGGGCGGTGAGGTCGTTGCTGCGATACCATGTTAGGAAGGGTTACGACAGACGTTATAGGGAACCCACCTGGTAACGGCCTGGATGAACCCGCGGCTCTTGAGCTCGTCAAGCACGTTCTTATTTGCTGGTGCAGTCGAGAGTCGGCGTGCGAGCGGCATATCTCGCACTACCCGGCGCAGCTGGTGCAGGCGGCTGCTCATAATGGTTGTTGGTCCAGTTGTGAAAGTGAGTGGAGGTAGATGTCCCGACTTTTTGCATCCGTCGTGCCATACAATGAGACACTGTGACATCAGCATTGGGATGACCGCCTCGCTCAACAGGACTGGCACTTGTAGCGCGGTGTGAAGGCTACAGATTGGATAGATGAAGCATATATACACGCATGTGTGCTTCTCGATTAGTCTAACACCTTCTGCATGGTACAGCAGTATCCCTTTGAAGCAGAGTGGCAATCACCACCCCAGCCAATTTGATACACGGAACCGCATAAATGTTACTTCCCCATTTCTGCTATCATTCTCCCTACCTCGCATACATGCCAGGCAGATCTAAATATCTATAAACTTAGGCCATGAGCTCAGTCCAGACGGGGAGAGTGGAGATCTCCTTCCACCAGCGGGTGACGTTGGGGAGCGATCCGTCGGTAAGGCCGGGAGCCACACCAAGCTGCCATGGTCAGCCTCTGCTTGTCTATATCTCAACAGCACCTGGACTCACGTTGACAACCATACGGCCGTAGGGGAGGTGGAAGAGGTCGGCGATGGTAAGCTTGTCACCGGCAACGTACTTGCTCTTGGCAAGGATACGCTCGTAGCCGATAAGACGCTTGGCGAGGAGGGCCTTGAGGACCTCGACGCGCTTGGGGTCGGTCTCGCCGCCGTGCATCTTGCTGAAGACGAGCTCGAACGCGAGGCCAGAGGCGGCGGGGTCAAAGTTGGACTGCTCGACGGAGCAAGCCTGCTCGAAGCGGGCGTAAGCCTCGAGGTCGTCGGACGAGGGGACGAGGTCCGAGCCGGCCTTGCGGGCGATGTCTGATCATTGTGGTAAGACACTGTACACCATCACTGCAGATCATTGCCACTCACACTTGGCGATGGCGCGCGACTCAAAGACGGAGAAGCCAGTGGCCTCGTCGACAAGGTAGGGCATCTGGTTGAAGGGCTGGAACTCGGCCCACTCGGCGGTGCCGACCTTGGCAAAGTCCTCGACGACGAGGTTGATGTCGGCGCCAGCAGCGGCAGCGACAACACGCACGCGCGAGGTGCAGGTCGAGAGGGCAGCGCCGTGGAGAGAGAGCGACATGGTTATTAGACTAGATTGGTTTTTGGGTTTAGAGGTGGAGAAACTCTTGGCCTGCAGTGTTCAGTCCAGCTTATATGTTCATGCGCTCCGGAGACTCGGAAATGAGAAATGATCTTGGAAGTGGTTTGCCACGTCGAGCCAACCCCGCCGGAAGCTGTGGCGTGCCGATTATTGGTGTCCCTGATGCTTGATTATTCAGCGTGCCATTCTCAATGTCGGTGATGTCCCAATGAGCAGGCTAGCCTGCCCGCCTGCCTGCTTTGGTGGGCAAGCAGCCACCGGGAGAACATCGGGACCAGCCCCTACAGGTGTGCGGTGCCCGGAACTAGGTGCGGACGGTCGAAGACAGGGTCGTGAAATGCCGCAACACATATGGCCTGCGGAGGACGTTGGACGACATGGCGTGCAACCTGGCTGGTTACAGCATCGGTCGGCTCGTTTGCACCAGCTCAGACTTGTCCGGCGGTCAGGGTTATCTACCCACTGCTGAGTCACCCGTGCGAGTATCAGTGAGGGTTCCCTGGTTGCGGTGATCTGCTTGATCATGGATGCCACAGGCTTGTAGGCCGGCCTTGAGATGGCCATGTTTGGGATCGTGTTCGCAAGTGGAAAGGATCTCACTGTTGCGACATGCAGGCATGTTACGAGAGGTGAGTCTGTCAAGGAGGGTTGGAGACAACGCCAATGACTTATGTTTGTGGTGGTTATGATGAGTTTAAACGATCAAGAGTTTGTGTACAACAGCGACGTCTGCGATAAGATGATGGAGTCTTTATAGCTTTTAGATCTCTCTTGATCTCCAGCCGGATCCGAGATGGGTGGGACCTCCGCTAGAGGATCCAGAGCAGGGGAGCACACTCCGACGACTCGGTGAAATAGTGGCGACGTGGGCCGGGAACGGAACCACTTGCTGCCTGGCATTGGTGTATTCGTCCCGGATCCCTTCCACATGTCAATCTACCATGGTGTTGCGCCAGTACGTCTCGTGCGTGAGCCGCTCGACGTTTGGACCCAAGGTAGGCGGCAGAACGTCAACGTTACTACTGTATTAACAGTGCCACTTTGAAAAGGAACGAAAAATCGAACGAAAAATCACCGGCACCCCCGATCGACAAAAGACAGTCAGTAGACACAAGCATTCGTCCTGTCGCAGCTCTGCGCGTCACAGAGAGGTACCGTACTTCTGTGTAGATTTGTCTGTGGCATGGGCACGGACCCAAGTCCGTGATATGAATACATCCCGGCATCATCCACTCCCGAGCTCCCAAATCCCCCGGTCGAGCACTTGCGACCCCCGTGTCCCTTCTGGGGACTACAAAAGTCGAGATGCGCACGCGCACGAGCAGGACAAGACGTGCAGAAGCTTAGAAAGAGATGGCGGCGCCGCGCTGCTTCTTGTCGCCGCCGAGCTCGAAGTGCTTGCAGCGCTTGAGCGAGATCTGGTGCTTCGACTTGCACGAGGTGCACTCGAGGCGGAGGACGACCTTCTTGGTCTGTTGTTGAGAAATGTCCGAAGGAAAGGCGTTGGCAAAAGGCAGTGGGGGGACAGGGGAAGACGCGCAAGGTCAGCTCTCAGAGTCTCGTTGACAGTACACGACAGTACGCACGGTCTTGGCCTTCTTGTGGAAGACGGGCTTGGTCTGACCACCGTAACCGCTCTGCTTGCGGTCGTAACGGCGCTTGCCCTGGGCGGCGAGCGAGTCCTTGCCCTTCTTGTACTGGGTCACCTTGTGGGGGGTGTGCTTCTTGCAGGCCTTGCCCTTGCAGTAGGTGCGGCGAGTCCTGTACGGTCAGACCACAGTTCTTGGACGAAAGGTTCTTCCACCGTGTCGTTGGACGAATCTCTCCGCTGGCTTCCAGCCCTCCCTCTCTCGTCTATCCAGCGCGTGCCATCTCTGCACACGCACTCGGTACCCATGCGACCGCTGAGGAAAGAGATTCACCCCTCCCAGCAGTCCATCATGGGTCCCTCCCTTCGTCGACTTTTGACGAAACTTCGACATCTCCCGCCGCCCGTTCTCCACTCCATCTCGTCCAACGCTCGCGGGAAGAAAGACGACGATACGCACTTGGGGATGTTCACCTGTACATGTCAGCTACACCGTCGCCGACGCTGGAGCATGGGCTCTACTCACCATTTTGTCGAGATTTGTGGACCGCTTGAGGGTTGAGTTCTGCAAAGCGACTTGGGCCAACGACTCGGCAGCAGGCGGGCAGCGTCCCCCCAGGCTCACACCCAGCCAAGTTTCGCGGGATCGCCGGGGAAACGCCGAAATTTCGTCCAGGTGTGGCGCGAGATCAAACCCCGCATGGAATTCACGTGGCTTTTCGGAAGCAATTGTAATGTGGGTGGCCCGAATAGTCATTGGGTTGGGCCGATCGCCCGCCAAGCTGGCGTATGGCTCTGACGCACCTCTTGCGCCCTCTTGCTCACACCATCCTCTGTCTGGCCTCTGGCAACGCCCGTTGTTCTCATAAACCCTGCATAAATACATTCTAATCTAGTCCGCGATGACGTCCAGCTGCTCCTCTACGAGACGCACGATGAGATCCGCGTCAACGTCAACCTCGGCGTCCTTCTGCGGTCCACGCTGACGACCGTGCTTGCGCCACTCCGCCTCGGAGAGCACCTTGTCGTTCTGGACGGTGATGTGGTTGTGCCCAAGGATGGACACGAACACCTCATAGTCGCGGTGGAAGCCTCCTTCCTCAAAGATCTCGATCACAGTGGACGCAGGAGGCATCCACGCCGTCTCGTAAAGCTCCTCACTGGTCAAGGAGATGACAATGTCGGCATTGGCGAGCATGGCGATCTTCTGCGGACGCGTCATGGCACGCATCTGCGCAACGTGGACCTCGGCCTTGGAAGTGAGCTTCTTGAGGCCCTCGACGATCGCCTCGTGCGACTTGGCGGCAATCCGAGGCAGATATTCCCTCTGAATGTAGACGACGATGGGGAGGTGATACTTGCCGATGTGAGGCATGGCATTGCCAACGGATGCGATCATGTTCTGGCGGAATGGCTCAAAGAACGTGCTGGGAGCGTTCATGGTGGGGACGATCATGTTCATCTGGAGGGTCAGCTTGGCGACTGTCGTGGTCCACCCACCTTGCCCCAGGTTGTCGTGTCGCCCTGTGCGGTGTGGGCCGAACCTGTGAGAGTCAGCACGCAATTCGCGTACGCGTATGAGCGAGCCACCTACCGCGATCAACAACGACAACCTTCTCCAAGAGGTAGGGCATGTCGGACCCGGCGCGGTCCTCCCAGCTGTCCTTTTCCTCAATGTCGACGCCAGGCAGGACATGCTGGAGGAACCAAACGTCTGCACGTTAGCTACATCAGACCCAGCACACCGCCGCTCACTCTTTCCCAAATCGTCCCTCCACCCAACCCTGGCATCACAACGCGGGAACATGAGGCGCGAAGGGATCGCGCTCTGGGGACGACCCGACTTTTCACCAGCATGCGCAACGGCGCGAATCGCCGGTACGAAGACCTCGGCGAGGAAGTGTCTGTGACGGAGTCAGGCCTGGTGCATGAACGTGTAACGTACTCGTAGAAGGCTGCAAGTGGACGAGTGGTCAGTGGCTGTTAAGCGGGTGCCCCGGATAGTTGCGCTCCCAGAGAGTCTTACCGAGATATCCGGCTGTGTGGGTTAGCAACTGTGGGCAACAACCACGATAACCCACCCTTTCCTGGAGGATCGTTGAAGATGTACTTTTTCCGGTCAGCACTTGACGTCCCAAACTCGCGCTGGGTATACTCACTGTGACGCCAGGCAGGCGGACTGCACGTTTGCCCAGCTGAGCACGGGCGAGCTTGTCGCCCACGATAGGAGCCCAACGTTCGTCGCCGGGAACACTGCCAGGCCTCTGGGACCCGCTCAGCACCGAGCGACCCTTGGGGATGTCTTCGGCGGCCTCGTCGTCTGCAGACACCGGCACGAGTGCACCGCCAGACAGGTACATGTTGGAGAAAACGTTGTAACCGGGGAGACCTGTGACGTCCGCGTCAGCTTGGGGCAACATTAAACGACGCGACAGGCTTATGCGTACCGCCATCGTAGGTCGTGTGTGGGATGCGAGACTCGAGGTTGACAATCACCTCGCCTGTCGACGCATCAGGGCTGGGTGCATGGTAGATAGGTGGTGTCCGCTGCGCGTTGTTGTCGTAGTGCTGGTACTGGAGCCCCTCATGCGGGTCAGGAGGCAGGTAGCGAACGACCGTGCGCGGCTCGCGTGGCTGTAATGACAGGAAGAGCAGACACAAGATTGTGCTGCACACCAGTGCGACGCGGGTCATGAGACGACGCGACATGGTGAACGAGAGTGTGTGTGTGTGTGTGGGAGTGGTAAAGGAGGAGGTGTAGAACGAAAGACCTGCGCGCTGATCCTGCAGGCAATGTGTCAATTGTATCGACTGGCTCAGGCTGCCCGGACAAAACGCGCTACGGCCAGGACACCCGTGATCCCAGTGATCGCCCGCAATTCAGCACAAAGGCACCAATACATATAGACTCGCGTTCCGTCACAGTCTCGAAGCCTAAAGCACTCACACATGTACAGTCTCGCACGTCGGGGGACTCTTGTATATATAATATCTACAGGAACCATGCACATAAACACAACTAGTCACTGTCCTCGTCGCCAAGGAAGTCCATGACAGCCGCCATTGCAGACTCCTCCTTCGCGCCGTGGGAGCGAGTGTCGACGTCAGGGACGGATTCAGCCACGCGCCGGCGGCTTGGACGCGTTGAGCTCGACAGGCCACGGGCTGCTTCGTACTCTTTGACATCGTCTGGAGGAAACCGCGTTTAGTAACAGAACAACAGAGAACCTGTGACATTCGCAACTCACTCAGCTCGGCAGCAAGCTCGCGCGTCTCCTTGAGCTCCTTGGCCTTGCCCAGCGTGGGCTGGCCCTTCATTCCGAGGCCCTGCAGCAACGAGAGTAGGTGCGAGACTTGGGCGCGAGGCTGGGGCGCGTTAGTGCTGCCAGGGCAACAGAGAACGGCACAAGCTCACAGTTGGGTAGTCGGCAAACTCCTTGGTCCTGGTGGGGTCAGAGGATCGCTCCATTTCGATGACAAGGACTCACCAGACCTTCCGCACACCGCATGCGTGAACAATCTTCTTCAGCTTGCCCACGCGTGCCTCGTCGGGCGACAGCTGGTGATGTCAATACCTGTGCTTGGAGGTGACAACTCACGTCGTCATTCGCATTCTTCTTGGTAGGCTTCGCCTTTGGAGCAGTTGTCTTGGCCTTCTTGCCGTTGGACTCGCGGCGCTTCGCGGCAGGCGGTTCATCGTACACGCTCGACATCTCAGACACCGCAGGGGACGCAGGGGCCGCCTGTGGGGGTCAGTCTCTTTTGAGCATGGTTTACTCACCTGCACGTTGTTCTCCTTCGCCTTGCGCTTGCCCTGGGCACTGCTTTCAGCCTCGTAACCGTCCGAGTCCGATTCGATAGTCTCCTTGGAGAGAGTAGACATGCGCTGCTTGTTGCCGGCGACTTTACTGGCTGGCTTGGGCGCTTTCTTGGGGGCAGCGTCAGAGGGCGCGTCCGAGTCTGCATCGCTCGCGACATCTTCTTCGCCCTCGTCATCGCTCAAGAGGACAGTTTCCGTCGCGCGAGACGTGTTGGCCTTGGCCGTAGCCTTTGTCGTGGTCTTGTTCTTACTCGCCTTCGACGTGCTGGGCTTGACGGGGGAGGCCTTGGTGGCCCTCTTCTTGGGCGCAGGCGCGTCGTCCCAATCACTCCCGACGACCTCGGCTTCCTCAAGCTCTTCCTCCTCCTCCTCCTCAGACTCGTCTGCGAGAGCGGCCTAGAATGATGAGCGTTGCAAACTTGCAAACAGACCCAAACTAGCTTACAATCTCGGCAAGGACCGCTTCCTTGCACGCCTTCTTTTCCTCGGGCGCATCCAACGCGTCGTCGTCCAGTCCCATACTCTTGGCCACCAGAGCACGCGCCGCGCTCAAGGTGAGCTCCTGGCGCTCGATGGCACCAGTCTTGTTGGCATGCTGCACGACCCTTTTGGCGTGTTGGCGTATCTCGATGGTCGTGATGCCGTATATGTCGTCGATGTCGGTGGTCATGGTGGTGTGGGTGGTTGAGAGATTTTGACTCCGCGAGGAACCAAACAAGAGGCCGCGGCACAGAGCCAAGTGAGGCCCATGCTCTGTTTCTTTTCTCAACCCCTCTCTCTCATCAGCACACCTCGCCCTCCGTAACCCTCAGCGACTGCTTGCCACCTCGACGACCCCCTGCGCCTCAACAGCCTCTCTCGGCCCCAACCGCACCTTGATGTAAAAGTCGTCCACCGCATCGCAGGCTTCTGAGGCTTGTCTGAGGCTTGGAGGTTGGAGCCCAGGTGCGCACGTCTAGCGATTGCGAAGGCTGAGGCATCGAATGAGGACACAGGCCTTGTTTCCTCACGTTTGCACGCTGCGTGTCGGACAGAAGCTCCATCATCCCTCTTACTAGGAACTCTCGCTCAACCACAAAAAGCCTAGGGGACTTGAGGCCAAGGCGTCCCTCGATCCTGGCTCGATTGGAGGGGTGCACCCTCCTCGAATCGAACCTCGGCTAAGAGTCCCGATCACCGGGTCCTGCATTAAGAAAATCCAGGCTCTCCCAACTATTCGCAGTAACCGCTCTGCGAACACAATCGCTTTGGTTTATATTGTGCTGGGACCCTCATGATCGGTGGGAGGATAATTTTTTGTAATGCAAAATTATTACGCATTATTACAAGTTCAAAATTGTGATTTCCGGTGGCTCATTAGGAAAGCAAGGGCACATGTTGTGTGCCTATCGTTTATAGGCGCCAATTTCTGGCCGCATACCTAGCAAATGTTTCATTGGCAAATAGGCTCGCCATTTGATTCATGAGCTCTCTTTGACTCGGTGTGGCCAGAAAGTCCACGCCGAGGACCAAAGGAAGTGACGAACAACACTAATAACCCACCCCAAACCCACCCCTATCCCCCACACGCGCACCATGTCTCTCCCCACTGTCGAGGAGGTGCAGTCCGTCATCCTCCAGACGCTCGCCGCGTCGCCAGAGGGCGCCATCCCCGACTCGCGCGTCCTTGCCGTCGGCGGCGCCTCGCTGTCCGCCCCCGAGGGCCAGGCTGTCGTCAAAGCCGCTCTCGACTCGCTGCTTAGCAAGGAGGTGCGTTGGGCTTGAGCTTGAGAAAGCGAACGTGCAAGAGCTCGTACAAGCGGCACTGTGAAGAGGCATGGTCCATGACGCCGGATACCTCACTGCCTGCAAGCCAGCTGCCGTCAACCACGAGGCTTAGCTGACCCCCTCCGCTCAGATGATTGCGTACCAGCAGATTACTGCCAACCAGTACCTTCCCACCGAGGAGGGTAACCAGATTATTGCGTCCGGCTCGGCCGAGTACCGCCTGTGGTCTGCCCTCCCCGTCAAGGGCGCCGGCGAGCCCGTGACCATCCCCGAGCTGCAGGTGGGTATAACATGAACTGCTGATAGGAACACGAACAGTGCGCTGATGCCCCCGTTCAGAAGCTGCTCGGTGCCGACGCCTGCAAGGTCGGCCAGGCGCGTGCGTTCCGCAACAAGTGGATTTCCAAGGAGGGCGGCAACGCGTTTGTGCGCGCCAAGGAGGCTGTCGAGGACGAGACTGCTGAGCAGCTGCGGACGGTGTCGAGCACGGGCACGCACGCTGGCGGCGACGCGGTGCTCAAGGAGCTGGTGAAGCGCAAGCTTGTGACTGCGCGCAAGCTCCTGCACTACACTGTGCAGAAGGGTGCCAAGTTTGCGACCGAGGTCAAGACGCTCGAGACGGACCTCACGGTGGACATGCTTGCCAACGGCGCGTGGAAGGAGGCCGAGTTCAAGCAGTACAACTTTGCGGCCATGGGCGAGCCGACCAACGGCGGCGCATTGCATCCCCTCCTCAAGGTGCGCGAAGAGTTCCGCCAGATCTTCTTTGACATGGGCTTTTCCGAGATGCCGACCAACAACTTTGTCGAGTCTGCGTTCTGGAACTTTGACGCCATGTTCGTGCCGCAGCAGCACCCTGCGCGCGAGATGCAGGACACGTTCTACGTCAAGGACCCCGTCCAGGCCGGCAAGCCCGACGAGGAGTACTTCCAGCGCGTGTCCAAGACGCACGAGGTCGGCGGCTACGGCTCGATCGGCTACCGCGCGCCGTTCTCGCGCATCGAGTCGGAGAAGCTGCTCCTGCGCACGCACACCACCGCCGTCTCGACCCAGATGCTGTACAACATTGCCAACCAGCCCGGCGGCTTCAAGCCCGCCAAGCTCTACTCTATCGACCGTGTGTTCCGTAACGAGGCCACGGACGCGACCCACCTCGCAGAGTTCCACCAGGTGGAGGGTGTCGTTGCCGACTATGACATTACGCTCGGCCACCTCATCGGTTTCATGAAGGAGTTCTTCGCCAAGACGGGCAACCACAAGCTGCGCTTCAAGCCCGCGTTCAACCCGTACACCGAGCCGTCGATGGAGATCTTTTCGTGGCACGAGGGTCTCGGCAAGTGGATCGAGATTGCCAACTCGGGTGTCTTCCGCCCCGAAATGCTCGAGCCCATGGGCCTGCCAAAGGGCGTCCGCGTCCTCGGATGGGGCATGTCGCTCGAGCGCCCCACCATGATCAAGTACAAGATCCAGGACATTCGTACCCTCGTCGGACACAAGACCGACCTCGCCGGCGTCAAGACCGCCGCCGCCGTCCGCCTCGAGAAGGGTGACGAGTAGAGTTAGATATTTTTCTTTATATGACCAGAGGAGATGCACCTTTTAGCGAGAGAGAAGGGGAGAGCAGTAAAGGTGTATTCTTATTTCTAATTTGGGGCCGACACAACTAGCACAATGATATGGTTTCCTTTGTTTTGTTTTTCCTCTGGACAGTTCATTTAATTCTTGGCCGCCTGCCTAGCCGCCACGCCAATCTCGTGCAGCTCCTCGAGCAAGTCCAGAATAGTGCTCGCGCTCCACGCCTGTGTGTTGCACGAATCGCGGCAGTAGCTGCCGTCATGGTTACACAGCTCGGGCAGGCCGCGCCACATGTCGCCGTCAATGTGCTCGCGAAGGCGGAGGAGCAGCTGCGAGACGTGGTGGTGCGTCACGCCCGCGTTGCCGCCCTGGCCGTCGCCGGCGAGCACGTCGAAGCGCAGCCACGCGGTGAGGAACCAGCCGAGCGGGAAGCCCCACTCGGGGCCCTGGTGGTAGTTCCACCCCTTGGCGACGCTCTGGTCGTCGCCGTCGTTCTGGTTGTCATAGTCGGGGCGGTACGCCCAGTCGGCCGGGTCGAGCGTCTTCATGCCCAAGGGCCCGCGGATGGTGCGGTCGGCGAGACGCAGTGCCTCGACGGCGTGCGCAGGCGTAAACAGCTCGGGCGCGACAATCATCGGCAAAGTAAAGTTGCAGCGCAGCTGGTAGTCGCTGTACTCGCGGTCCTTGGGGGTCCCATACACGTCCTTGTACATGCCGCGGCGGTTGACAAGGGCCGTGTTGACGGCGTACTTGGCATCGTCGGCAGGGTCCGAGGGGACATAGTAGTGGGTTTCAAACGCAGCCTGCACGAGGTCGGCCCACTCCTTGTACGTGACGAGCCGCTTCTGGCCGTTGACAGTGGCGTCGACGCCCTTGAACGGGAACTGGCCCTTTGCGCTGAGCCCGTCGAGCCACGACAGTGTCGACTTGAGGAGACCAGTAATCTCGATGGGGGCACCGTCACGCGGCGTGGCAGGGAGGCCCTTGTTTCCCGCCTTGGCCGACGAACCCATCTTGTCCATCCACGTACCGCAGTTGTAGCGGTTACCACCATGAATGAAACCCGTTGTCCAGTCGGTCCAGATCTTCTGGTTGAAGCCCTCGTCGGCCATGTCCATGTCGAGGTTGGGCCCTGCGTTGTACTCGCGGAACTCGATGCCGCTCGCGTGGCGCTGGAGGATCTCCTGGATGAGCTCGGCGACCGTGCTGCTCCACGCAAACGCGCGCTCGTCGTCCCACGCCACCCAAGTGTCGTCTGCGGGGAACCGGCGCTTGACCGTGTCCTTTAAGATGGCAAGACCGTCGGGCGCCATCGTGGTGTAGTCTTGAATGTTCTGGATAAACCACCACGGCGAGTCGCGCGAGTTGTAGCGCGGGTTGCGCGTCGAGTCGAGCAGGTTGGGGATGAGGCCGTGCTTGAGCGTCGTGCCAAACGCGAGGATATGGTCGCGCGCAGCAGAAAAGTTGCCCGTGGTGAGGAACAGGCCGCGGAGGGAGATGAACACGTCGCGGCCCCAGCAGCGTGCCCAGCCGGCAGTAAAGTGCGGCAGACCAGCCGCAAGACTGGCCACGGGCTTGTTGGGGTTGATCGACGCGGACTTGACCAGACCGTACATCTGTACGGCGCACAGGGCGAGGTCGTGTGTAAACTCTGTGCCCGAGAGAATAAAGTCGGACATTTGCTCCATGACAGCTCGGCGCGCGGCCTTGTAGCCCTCAAAGATGACGAGGGCGAAGTATTTGGGACGCATGAACGAAGGGACAGTCGCCTTGATAATGTCAAAGCGCTCCTTGTACCACGCGGCAGGCTTGGCGAGGTGCGGTAAAGTATCCGTCTCGCGCTCGAGGCGGTTGCAGACATTGTCCAAGGCCCAGGTACCCTTGCGGAGATGCTCGCAGATGGGGTGGCCGAGGTCGTTGTTGGCCATGATGTGGCGCAGGGGGCCCATCCAGCCCTCGAGGCCGCAGTAGACCAGCGAGCCATAGTCTGGGATCGTGTACACGCCGTCGCCGCCTGTGGCATCGCGCTCCTCGCCGTCGGCGCGGTGCAGGACGACATTGAGGTCGACGAGGTCCAGGTCGGCCATGGCGGCGTCTGCGCCGTCGCGGATCTTCTCCTCGAGGTCGCGCGGCACTCCGGCCATGTCCGTCTCAAACACGAGGATGCTTCCCGGGTCAAACTGGTCGGGCACGTGGATCTCGGTGTAGTCGCCGTTATCGTCGTGGCCCGACGACAGGTTGACCTCGGTGATCTCGGTCAGCGTCGACGGGATGCCGTAGTGGACCTCGGGGTCATCCTTCCACTCGCCCATGCGGGTATGGAGCGACGCGCCAAAGATAAACTTGGCTTGCGTGCGCGACAGCTTGACGGGGTTGATCCACCCGCGGCCCGACGAGCCCGGGAACGCAGTGTGCGCGAGCAACAGGTAGCCCTTGTGGGTGCGCGGGTGCACACGGTGGATCATAATGTACTGGCCCTCCTCGTGGACGTGGCCCTCCTCGTAGCCGCCGTTCATCATCGTGACATGCAGGTGGTTGAGGACACGCTTGACGCGGCCGATGCCTTGCTCGTCGCTAGCGTCCGTGACGTTGTACATGCGCGTGTCCGTGACGAGGTTGAGGAGCTGCGGGTACAGGTCGTCAAAGCCCTTGTTGGAGCCGAGCGCCGCCTTTGTAAACGTCACGAGGGCGCCAGTGGAAAGCGCGTCCTCGGCAGTACGCTTGTGGGCCGGTGACTCGTTATCGTGGGTGACGTCGTAGAAGACGGCATGCGGCTGCGATCCCTGCAGCGGCGTGATGATGGCCTTGCGCGGCGCACCTGTACCGTACAGCGAGGGCAGCTCGCCGGGCGACGACAGACACTCGGCGTCCATGGAGCCGATAGGCTTGCCGACACCAAAGCGGTAGAGGAGACGCGAAAACTCTTTATTGTCTCCACCGTTGTACGCCTCGCGCACGAGCGAGTTGATGCCCAGCTCGCGCACAAACTTGAGGTCCATCGCCTCACTGCCCGTAAACAGCTCGGCCATGACGTAGAGGTTTGGGTTGATGCGACGACCGGCATCGATAATGTGCGCGCCGACATGGAGCGGGGTCGAGTGGCAGTTGTCCAGGCGGAAACCATCAAACACACCCGCGAGCAGCTCGGCGTACTCGGTCATGTGGGCCCAGAGCCACGGGTTGGCTTCCTTGCTGTCGCCGTAGCGCAGCTTGACACAGTCGCCCCACACAATCACCTCGCGGCGGAGGTACGCCTTGGACGGGTACTCTGCAAAGTTCTTGAGCGGGTCGGCACCCCACATCCAGCCGTTGTTGGCGACCGTGAGCGATTTCTGCGGGTGCTTGGCCGTCTGGGCGTTCTTGGCCAGGCGCGTAAAGTACGGCTCAACAAGGGGGTTCTTCTTGTTGATCTCGCCCAGCTTAGGTCCACCGGAATCGAGGCGGGTGTACCTCAGACGACCGATCACGCCGTCCTTGGCGGCAGCCAAGTCGTCGTTGGCCTCCTTGTAGAGGTCGACGTTGATGACGTCGAGCACCTTGCCCCACTCCTTCGCCTGGGTGTGGGCGTCCGCGTCTGGGAATGCCACTTTTGCAAACCCAGCAGCGGCGGGTGCGGGCACTGCGGTGCAGTAGGGCCCGCTCCATGCTCGGTAGCCCTCGATAAAGCCCGGCTGGTTCTTGATAATGACAGCGAGCTCCTCGTGGGTCTTGCCACCGAGGTGCTGCTCGCCGGCCCAGAACTTGGCAGACCCGGCCTTGAGGGACGCCTCGACCTCCTTGACCGACGAGCCCACGTCAAACACATAGTAGCGCCAGATGGCCGCGTCGTTGATCGCGTCCTGGACAGCAGCGGCAACCTGGGCCAGGTCGTTCTCATTCTTGATGGTAGTAGGCAGCCCAAGCGACGCGAGCTTGTCGCCCAGCTCAAACATGGCGTCCTCGAGCGCCACAGCGGGCGCGAGGTGGGGCGTGTTCTCGGGCGAATATCCTGTGAGAGAGAGTGTCAGCTGGCTGAGGGTTGCGCGCGAATTGGCTTCTATTCCGGCCCCACTCACCAGCCTCGGGGTGCTCGAGAAGCCATGGCGAATCAAACGCCGTGTGGTTGAGGACCACGTCCGTGATGCCTCCCAGGCCATACTTTGCCTTTGCGCGCTTCATCGTGGCCTCTACCTCGGCGAGACCGCCGTCCGCTGCGTCGGGGTCCGAGAGCATGGTGGGCTCAAACGCCAGCTGCTCCAGGATGGAGTATGGCGATCCCGAGGAGCCGCGCGGCTGCAGCGGGGTGTAGTGGATCATGTTGTAGCCCCTCCTGCTGGCCTCGGCGAGGTACGGGTCCCACTCGGTGACCTTTCCCTGCCACTTGGCAATGACGGAGATGATGATGAGCGAGTCGAGCGTCAGCGAAATGTCCTTGGCCGTGACGGCCGCCGACGACGTGTCGTGCAGCACATCGGCGCCGTGCGTGATCGCAAACGGTGTGCGCTCGGGCACGGTCATGATGGGGTCGACGTTGAAGTAGCCCTTGCGGCCCGTCACGCGCTGGCCGTCGGGCCCGTCGTGCTCAATGTAATAACAAAACGCGCCGGGGGCAGAGATGGCAAGGTCCACCTGGATCGGCTTGCTCAGGTCCGAGGGCAGCTTGCGCTCCTTCCACACGCCGCGCTCAAACACACCGCCGTCGACGGGAAAGTCGCTCTTGAGGACACCGTTGCGCGCGCAGTTGGATCCGGGCTGGATCGAGAAGCGGAGCACGTACGGCTTGACTGGCGCGGGCAGGCGGACGTACTGCGAGTGGGGAGAGGGTCAGCTACGGAGCTACACCCGTGTGGTAGCTGCGACTCACCGACTTGGCCGCATCGGGTCCGCCGTCGTCTTCGAGCCACAGCTCCCAGACCTGTACGAGGTCGCCGTCGCCCTCGCCTGTGAAGAAGGCGATCGCCTCGTCCTGGGGAGTCTTGGGAGTCTTGGGACCTGTCGACTGGCGGTGCTGCGGCTTGGGCATGGCGATGGGGTCTGGGCGGGGCTTGCCGTTGGCAAATCCCTTGCCCTTACCGTTGGCCTTGCCGGCGGCGGGCATGTTGGAGGTGTGTGTTTAGGGGGTGGAGGGTGGAAAGTGTGGAAGAGAAGGTCGAGGAAGAAAATGCAATGCCTTTGGTTGAGATGAAAAGGGAGATAAGCGGCGCTGTCTGTGCCGTTTGCTGGGGGTATTGAGTCGCGGAAGAGATACGAGTGTGAGGGTGAGGACACGCACACAGGCGTGCTGGATACGGGAGATGTGACGGGGTGATATGGAGTGTGGGTTGTTGTGTATGTGGGCGAGAGAATGCCGAAGAATGGGAGAATGTGCGCCTGGCTGTTCTGGAGACGCGTTTGGGTGTGCGTGTGGAAGAGGACGTCATTGCCGATCCCCCGCCAAGTGGGCCAGGTGTCTTCAGGGCCGTTGACAGCCGCCGGGACGGCCACAGCCAATTGATCGTGAGAATGGCCCCATCCACCCCCGCGTTTGGCCCCTCATGCTGCACGTTGGGTGTGCGTTGCACTGCTTGGCCTCGACAGTCGTGTAGGTGTGTTGGAACAAGGTCAGCTGGGTGGTCACGAAGAGGCTGTACTGGATCGATCTCCGATGATGGTTTGCTCGGCAGCGGACAGATGGAATAAGTAAGTAATCTGCCCCACAGTACGGGAGCCAGTACGGTACGAGACTGTGTCGAATTTTGCCCCTCCGTCATCTTTGTGTCAACACGGTCTCTGTGTAGCGATGAAAGCAACTGCGTACTCGTTGGGCTTATGGTATCTTCCGTCCTCCATGCCAGTCGTATTCTTTGCATGACCCTGGTAGAGACATCGTACAGTAGAGAGCATCTAGGATTGTCGTTGTCAAGCAGGAATAATGTCGCCGCCGCCTGGCACCATATGTGGCTTCTGAACCACCAGATAATATTCTGTTACTCTCTTTTCTGATCAATGGTGGACTGGCGGTATCTAGCAGACTTTTCTGCGCCAAGTAGAGGACGATTTGTGCATGTCAACGACAACAATGACTCCACTCATGCCCACGGACGTTTATTTAATGTCCTTCAGCTACTATCAACTTTTCTTGTTTGTTTTATCATTCGTCCTTCAGTCCTCTTTTTAACTAGTGTGCAAAGCCTCGTACTTAATGACCATGCGCTTTAAGACGCAAAGAAAATGGAGACTGGGGCAGCTGCGAAAAACACGACTCTCCATAGCTCGTTGCATCGACCACCGCCAATGTTTCGTGTGGGGATGGATGATTCCGCCTATCAATATATGGGCATCCAGTCAATCGTTTCGTGTTTACACTGATCAGACTGAACGAGGGGGGGTGCTCCATACTGTAACTTGACACGCAGTCACATTACCCCCTCGATCCCACGACCGGCCCGCCCCGCATGACAAACACGGACTGAATTCAGACTGAACGAAACGACACAGTGTCCCCTTTTTGCCACCACCGACCAACCCATGACGCCCAACCTTGCACGAATGACGCTCTACATTGCCCACCCCACAAGCATCCATACAGATTACACATCTGTCTCAAAATGCTGTATACCGTTGGAGCCTAGCTTATGAATGGGACCTCGGTTAACCCCGTTGCACCAGGTGACACAATCCGCGCGATAAGGGAGACGTGGGGTTCTGCGGGTTGGGCCACTTTGCGCTCTGCCCACCGGCCACTCGTGGAACAAACACTCTACGTGTGGGTCCCTCCGTGATCCGTGACGTGTGTCTGTGAAGGCGCTGGGTTTGGGTGTGAGTCTAGTGCAGGATCTTTGCTATACAGTCGTCATTTGTGGGACTGTGGACCGCGTGTTTGGCTGTGCGATCACATTGATGACTGTAACACGATGACGCTGGCCGTCGTTGCCACCCTGCACCCCGCGCACCAGTGGCACCAACGTTTCCCACGGTGGTTGTTGGCGTCACTGTACCACTGTACCACTGTACCACTGTACCACTGTGTGGATGTGTTTGTTTGGGCGCGGGAGAGCGGAGGCAAATGTACGGTGTGTGTGTGTGCGGTCGGCGTCCAGCATACGCCACCAGGTTCTCCCACCGGGCGCCACCGCACACACACAGCCGTAGCGTAGGAGCGTTGCATAGGGGGACATGGCAGGGTCAACAAAAGGGTAAAAAGGGTAAAGCACAGGGGAAAGCAGGTGAGTGCGATTGCCAACATCTCCCAAGCACAGGGCGCACAGGTCACCGCCCACACCCGACGGAAGTATAATCAGCTGTGGCAATTTGCAATAACCGCCAAGCTGTGCCTGAGCCTCCAGGGCGTTGGGGACAGGACTCTCTTCTGTTGTCTTGTGTGTTGCTTCTTGCGCGCACTACCACACGCACAATGGCACCGCGGCGTGCGCGGCGTGCGCGGCGCGGCCGCCGTTTGCAGGCGGGTCGGGTTGGTCAGTCGGGTGCGTCACCCAATGCACCCAACGACTCATCGCCCCGAATCGGGGCGTCGGGTGTGGTCGAATATGCCCCCGCTCTCTCCGCTCGCCGCCCGCCCGGTCCGTCCCCCGTCTCCCACCCAACCCAAGCCCCCCCCGCGAGTCGTGCCCCCCCAACCCCCGTCTCCCTCTTGCCACTGCCCACATCCCCCCCATATCTACATCTACCGTCCACCCATCTCTCCCATCTTCCCCATCTCCCTTCCTCACACTCTCTCTCATCTCAACTCAACACACCCCCGCCAGTGTCCAACGACACTCCCCTCCCTCAACGGCCTTCCATGGCCCGCACTCTTTCGACACACTGTCTCCCGTCACTTCATTATTAATCGCCCGAGAATAAGCGATGAAGCGAATCCCCGGAGCCTTGAGTTTGGGTATGCGGCCTCGTGAGCCTTCATGACTAGCTGGTCAATGTTGTCCACCAGTGCTGAACCAAGTGCGTTTTTCGTCGGCATCATAACAGGTGAGGTCCATGACCCATTTGAGCCAAGCAAAACAGTCGGGCTACTTTTTTTTCTTTCCACAGCTGTGACAGAGCCTCAAAGGCACCTTTCGTTTCTACGCGCTTCAGCAAAAACTACCTGCCGATTCCAAAAAAAAAACGTAAGAGCAAGCTCTACCACACGCCGAACAAAGGGAAAATTGTCATTCGAGTACCAATCTCACCAACCTGGGACAAGTGTCATATTGCCTTCCCCCGCCTGGCTGCATTCGCGAGCATAACAAACGGTCATCCCCCCCTCCCCCCCTTTTTTTGGTCGGTGCATAAACCTCTCGCTGGGTTCCACGTCTGTGGCCCCGGATGATGTTTGTGCGTCGGCCTCGACCGTGCGTGCGTGAGCGAGCCCATGTGAGCCGGGTTGTGGCGTCGGGATCCACACCCCCAACCCAACCAACCAAACAGTCAATTGAACAGAGCAAACCACACACGAACAGCTGAGAGGCCCAAGACTGCCAAGTGACCCACGTGGGTCCTTGGGGGTCTTGTACCTGCTCGTTACTGCACACCACATCACACGGGGGCCATTTAGACCCAGATCATCGATCTCGGTTTTTACTTGGATTTTTTCGTCGGGAAACGGTGCGCTATCGCAAAAGGAAAAAAAAAGCAGAGAGACGTTGGCGTCCTCTGGCTGGACACTGCAAACCGAGTAGGCGTATTCTTTCGCTGGGGCTTTCCATTCGTAAGGGTGCGCAGCCGTCTTTTCTTTTCTTTTCTCCAGTGGTTGTGTGTGGAGCCATGTTGTTGACACATGTCTTCTTGAACATTTGACTCTCGATATCCTATCCTCTCCCTAAATCTTCTCTCCTACCCTATTCTCTCTCTCCGAACTCCCAATTCTTCTTCTCTCCTCCTCCTCTTCTCCTCCTCCTCCTATTATCTTCTTCCAACAGCCGCCCGGGCCTCTTCGAGACCACGTTTGGTGTTGTGCAACTATTGCCCGCTCTCTGCGGGACCCACCTTTATCGCTCTCGCCCATTTATTTGGGTGGGTGGCGACAAAAGGTGAGTCCTGTAGGGAGTGGGCTTTTTTGCGTATTGGGCCGTTTGTGTCTAGTTTGTTTCCGAGGCCGCCGCAGCGTACCACTTGGGAACAAACGAGTCACACGGTCAAGCCATCTGGCCACGCCTTGACAATAGACAGCGCTCTTCGATGCAATGCATTCGCAACCGGCAGAACTCGAAGTATGCACCAAAGGATGACTCATGACTCACCCTCGCGATGGATGGCAACGGGGTGGCGGAAACCGACTACGGGGGTCGACGACGCTCGTGTGCGCTCGGACCTCTCCTGCCATGTGGCACCAGTGGCGACGCCACCTGCCCTCGTCATGTCGGCCATCCATGTCTGCACGCCACCGCACCCGGCGCACAGACCGCACAGGCCTCCTCCCCCGCGGTCAAACATTACTCGAGCAGCTCCTACATCAATGTTACGCACACCTCCCCCCACCTCTCCCGTCCACCACACCAAAACACCCCAACCATGACCAACAACCACGCATCCTCCTCCTCCTCTTCTTCCTCCACACACCGCGGCCACTCGCACCGCCGCCAGGAGAGCTGGTATACCCCCAAGCACTCGCACTCGCCGCTCCCGCCCCTGCCGCACGACGAGGCCGAGGACGAGGCCGACCACAGGGAGTCACACGCGCAAGCGCAAGCACCGGCACCAGCGGCCGGGTGGCTCGGCCGCCTGCTCGCACACTCGTCCCGCGAGAGCATGAGCAGTACATGGGCGCGACCGCAGCCTGTCGTCGACAATGCATCGTGAGTGTGGGTGGGGGAAGGAAGTTGATGGGCGGAGGGCGGTTATGGCTGCTGTCGTCGAGGGAGGCTCATGATGCCCAATGGCCACGGCATGAGGGATGAGGCAAGAGCAGTTGGCAGTGAGCTACTGGCGCACGGCCGCTCGTCTTGTTGCATGCTGCCTGCCTGCCTGCCTCAAGCGACCTCTGAGACATTGCGGCAGCACAAGGTCACTCGAAACCCCCCTCGGGCCGCTGATGACGCTCTGACGGTGTAAAAAGTGGTTCTGTACTGACGCCACAGGTCTGCGTAGAACGAGGGCCCAAGCCAAACTGGTGCATCTGGCCATCAGGCCACAGATCCCAGATCCGTCATGTCACTGCATGTCGGCCTGGAGCCGGCTGGCATGGCTCGTGTACATCTGTTCCCCACCCGAACCGCCGTCATGCAGGCCAGCAATTAGCAAGTAGAATGTCCCATTTCACGTACACGCAAGCGTAAAAACGCACCTCGACACCAGCCCACGGCACACGCCAAAGCCATCAATCTCATCACGCGCCGGTTCGCGACTCGTCGATAAACGCTCAACGCCCGCCCGTCTCCCATAGTAGTAGCCCATAGCCCATAGACCATAGCCCATGACCCAGCCAGCCCTTTGTCCCCCCACACCCCCTTGTCCCCCCCCGCTTGTCCTCTTATCCCCCCCGTGTCCCCAATGCCCCCCGTGTCCCCAATGTTCAGCCTCACACGAATGCATATTACAGATTGTGTCAAGGACGAGTGTGGCGTCGGCCGTCTGCTCGAGAGACGGGGACGTGAGGGCGTTGGGGAGAGCGGGGGAGGACAGGAGGGGGAGGGGGAGGGGAAGGGGAAGGGGATACACCAAATGCTTTGCACGGGGGAGTCGAGTTGACCCATGGCACACATGACACGCGACGGGTAGTGGTGTGGAGAAATGTTGGTATGGGTAGGGTGTATAATACGGAACTGGCTGGCGCTGTCCACGGGGCGGGCCACGGGGCCACGGGTGTGCGTGTTGCGTGTGCGGGCTGGTCGGAGGACCGGGGGGAGGGTGGTGGAAGAGAGGGATAGGGATAGGGAGTGCGCAGGAAGAAGAAGAATAGTGAGGATAAAAGACGAGTGGAGGAGGGATAAGGAGGTGTAGAGTGTACCGAAGAGCAGCCTGGGGCCGCTTACACCTCGCTGTCGGCTGCCCGGGGCGCCTCTGGCGACGCCGTCTTGCGCGACTCGAGCGGCGTGTGCTCTGAGATGATAGCAGAGAGCTCGGCAGCGACCTTTGGCGACGCAGTCTGTGCCAAGCGTCAGTCCGTGTTTGCCTGCCCGCCTGCACCAGTGGCCAGGTATCAGCTCTGCACCCACCCTAAACGTAATGTGCCTGCGCTCCTTGCCCTCGAACACGGTGGTGCGGACGTGCTTGCCGTCTTCCAAGCAGGTCATACCGACGTACAGCGACGCATTCAGGATGACGCGCAGGACTCCCTCGGCGCGCATCACTGCGGGGTGTTAGCTCTTGTGACCAGGATTTGTGCTTTCGCCACAACTAGCTTACCGAGACGCGCATGTGTGCCGTCTGCACGCTTCTTGTTCAGCTTGAGGGCGCCGACGCCGCGCTCCTTCCACGCGTTACCCTCCATGGCGTACAGCTTGACGCGCGTCTGGTACACAGTCTCCTCCTCCTCCTCGCCGGTATGCACTGGGGTGGGTTAGCCAAGCCACGAGGAGACGAGTTGTAGCTCACCATCTTGCCTGTCAAGCGTGACCTTCTTCTCCTCTGTGTCGTCGTCGTTTCCCTTCTCCTTCAGAATGTCACCAAACGACGTCGACGACGCAGCCTCAGTCTTGGCCGTCTCCTCTGTCGCCTCGGGCTTTTTGGCAAACGGGCTGAACGCAGACGAGTAGCTGCCAAAGCCAGATGCCGAGAACCCAGACGCAGAGGATGCCGGCTTGGCCAGTGCGGGCGCCGCAGTCGCTGGGGCAGCAGCGGCACCGTCAAGAGCCGACGGGCCAGCGGTGGTGGCCTTGGCAGCCGCGCTGCCAAACGGCGATGGGGACGCGCTCACAGACGCAAAGGGAGATGCAGAGCCGCCAGCGGAAGCGAAGGGCGATGCCGAGCGGGCAGAGGCAAAGGGAGATGCCTTGGAGCTGAACGCGCCAAACGTCGCCATGGGCTTCTTTGGTGGCTCAACAGCGGCAGCAGCGGGGGTGGTGCTAGACGACGACGCCGTCTCGGCGGGCGCAGGCTAGTGCCGGCCATCAGCATATTCCCATTCTTACCGCACACAGCCCAGGCGCGCGACTCACCGACTTGCGCTTCTTCTCGTCTGAACCAGGCGACGCAGCCTCGACGTCGTCTCCGGCCTTGCGCTTGAGGGATGGAGTGTCCGAGTCTGCGCCGCCCTCGTCGGACGCTGGCGCCTCGGGCTTGTCGACCTTGACCCAGTCCGAGCTGTCTCCTCCATCGTTTGATCCCTTGGACTCGTCGTTGCCATCCACCGACTTGTCGCCCTCGTCCTCCTCGGCGATGGACTGGTTTTCTGGCTGCGGCTTGGGCTTGGGGTCGCCCTCCTTCCAGGTCATCTCCTCGACCTTTTTGCGCACCTCGCCAACGGTCTGGCCCTCGATAGCCGGCGCAGTCGAGTTGGCCGCCGTGGTCTCGTCGTCCGTGTCGGCGGCCGTGTCCTCTTCGAGACGGTTCTTCTTGGCTGCGATAGGCGTGATGCTCGGCGTCTCGCTCGCTCCTGGATCCTGTTTATATGGTCAGCTTGGTGGCCAGTTGTCGAGCTTGTTTGGTGTGTCCCGCGCGCGCGCTCTCTCTCTGTCTGTCTCTGTCTCTCTCCAATCTCCGGGCGCATGGGCCCCTCCTCGTTCGGCACAAGACAGAAAGAGAGCAGTGACACGAGACCAGACCAACGCCACCCACAATGGAGCCTTCGCGGGCGCGCTTCAGAGACATGGACTCTGCGGACATTGTGTGGTCAGCGAATGTTTTGTTGCATATGTATTAGGATGTAGATGGAGCGCGAGAAGGAGTGCGGAGCGGCGGCGGCGCCAGCGGCGGGGTGCGCGCGGGGGGGTGCTCGCGCACGAGGAAGGAGCAAAGGAAAACGCTTACCCCGTGCAGGGGTCGTTTGCCCTGTAGGCGACGCCGCCTGCGAGGTCGGCGCGTTGGGATTCAAGTTGTCTGCTGTCGAGGACATGTGGGCCCGAATGCACTGTGGCGAGCAGATGGATCCGGGGCCTGTAGCGGGAGGATTGGATGTGGGGGTGGTGGTGTGAAGGGGTGTGGGTGGTTGTGGTGTGTGTGGGGATATGAGAGCGGCGGCGACACGATGGGCGAGGGGGTGTCTCAATCAGCCCGGGTGGTGGACCGTTGGGACGTTGGCGGCATGGCGGTATCGGACGGAGGCAGAGAGAGGGGGAGCCAGGCTTCGCAGCTCGCTTGGCCCACCAGCCAGCCCAGCCCAGCCGCCCCACCCAAACCATACACGCGCGCCATCTGCCGCCGCCCGTCCTCTTTCGTCACCACATCTCTAATCCTAAACCTCTCCAACCCTCTCTCTCTCCACTCCCCCCCGCCGGCTACATACGCCCATCTGAGCAGGTCATCCCATACTCCACAAACATGGCATACCTCTCGTACTACGCAGGCTCAGGCGCCTCCCTCGCCATCCTGTTCGGCCTCTACCTCGTCCTCACAGGTGCGTTACAACCCCCCCTCCCCCCGTTGCTGCTCGATATCTTCCTCCTCCTCGCTCTCTCCTCCATGCGCGCTCCTGCTCACACACCATCGCAGGCCAGGGCGAGCGCTTCAATGTCGGCAACTTCCTCGCCGAGTCGAGCCCATACCTGTGGGCCATGATCGGTATCGGACTCTGCATTGGTCTCAGCGTCGCCGGTGCTGGATGGTACGTCATTTGACCCCCAGCCAACACCTTGATTGTCAACTGGAAGCACAACCGTTTGCTGGTCCATCACCCCCCGTCAACATCCATGCTCACACCTGCACAGGGGTATCTTCATCACCGGTGCCTCCATCCTCGGCGGTGGTGTGCGCGCACCCCGTATCCGTACCAAGAACCTCATCTCGTGCGTACCGCAAACGTGTTTGACACGTTGTCGTCGTCGGCCTCGTCGCCGGCGTCGTCGTCGTCATATCTCCGTTTCAGACCAATGGGCTGACCATGTTTCCTCCAGCATTATTTTCTGCGAGGTGAGCCTGGCCGTGGCCGGTGGAGTGGGAGAGCACAGGACGGACGCTACGCGCGTCGTGCTGGCGATAGTGGTTGTGGTTCATCTCGGTCGAGATGCCCTTCTGCCAAGACTTATGCTCTGCTCCTTCTTTCCTACAGTCGACGTGGGATACTAACAGCACAGGTTGTGGCCATTTACGGCGTCATCATGGCCATTGTCTTCTCGTCCAAGCTGAACGGTAGCGTCGAGAACATTTACACTACGGGCAACTACTACACTGGTGAGTCCCACTTGTCCGTCAGTCCCCTAACCACTTCTAACAACAACCACAGGCTTTGCTCTCTTCTGGGGCGGTATCGCTGTTGGCGTGTGCAACCTCCTCTGTGGTGTTTCGGTCGGTGTGACTGGCTCGAACGCTGCGCTTGCCGACGCTGCCGACTCGCAGCTGTTCGTCAAGATCCTCATCGTCGAGGTAAGCAGACAACTGTGCGGGTATGAGACGGCCGCTCACTTGACTTCTTATAGATCTTCGGCTCGATCCTTGGTCTCTTTGGTCTGATCGGTGAGTGTCTAGCTAGAGAGTGCATTCCGCTTCATTAGCTAACAGCTCCCACAGTCGGCCTCCTCATCGTGAGCCTTGCTCTTCCTTATCGTCGATCGCATCCACTAACCGTTGCAGTCTGGAAAGGCAGAGGAGTTTGCCTAAATACCTCCTCGGACCCCCACCACCACTACTACCTCCTAGAACAGAACAATAGCTACTGCATGCATGATATCACTTGCGTCGTCTCCGAAACCGGGGGTATACTAAAACTGTAACTGTGGGACTTGTACACTATCCTGTGGCCGCGTCTCCCGTCTAGAGGAACTTCTTTGCGCTTGCCCGCACCCTCGTCTCAAAGAGCGGGTTGCGGATCGGGGTGTTGACCGAGTGGAATGGGTTGAGCGCAATCTGCCCATTTAGCACAAACTCCTTTCTCAAGTTCCATTCATTACCTTGGTGTACAGCTCCCACACATCGCCAAAGAACAACCGGATGCCGTCGTCGTTCTTCTGGTCGTGTAGCAAGATGAGCTTGACTGCGTGGGTATCGTCAGCGGGGGGAGTCCAGATGGATAGTGTCCAAGGTCAGGCGCGCACGTACCGTTCGCAGCAATGAACGCGGACACGGTCCACTCGTTGTGTCGGTCCACGGCCTTGAGATACCTGTGTGCGGTCAGTAAACTTGTCCCCGAGATACACTCGAGGCCAGATGCCACAGCAACTGTCCAACAACTCACAGCGTGCCCGTTCCCTCGGACGTCTCCTCGACGGCATCCAGGCTCGCGTGCGCGACCATCTGCAGGAGATGCTTCTCCCCGCCGGGCCCCGATCCCAGCAGGCCCAAGTTGGCATTGGCGTTTGCAGCGAGCGCGCCCGCACCGCCTGCACCGCCGGGACCAGTGCTGCCGCTGCCGCTCGCACTGGCACCGGCACCGGCGCCCGCGCCGGCAGCCGCGATGCTGGCGTCTGACCCGTTCGAGCCCGTAAACGTCGACCAGGAGGGGAAGGACGATGTGGACGACGAGGCCGAGTTGCTGGTCGCTGTGGGCTTGGCGCTGCCAAACTGCAGCTCGTACAGCGGTGTGTCGAGCGGCGAGACGATGGCGAGGTAGAAGGACATTTGGTGGGGGCACAGAGGTGTTGGGTGGAGAGAGAATGGATGTGGGTGAGATGAGGCCAAAGGCCCAAAACGAAACGCGTCACGGAGGGTTGCTGGTCGTCCGGTGCGGTGGAGGTCTGGACGCGGAGACTGATTGAGACACGGTTCAGAGCTGCCAAATGCGTACGACCACACCTGTACACTGTACTTTGGTGCCTCGGCAATCAGGCTCAGGCAGCCCTTGTCGTCTATGATCCCAGTGTAATGTGGGTGGTACATTTCTCGTGGCAGACATGAATGTACAATGGACGTGTCAACCGTCAACAGTCGTCACCCAGTGTCAGTCGCCCTGCCGCCTGGCCTCTCGTCCCTCCTGAATCCCAGCAATCCCACCGAGGTTGTTGACACTTGGCGTCATCTCAATGCAATTACAACGGGTCAGAGGCCTCTAAACTACAGCTGGGCAAAATGCCGCATGGGCTAAACTAGGTAGTGATGTATGTGTCGTGTCGTATGCGTGTGTGCGCAGGAGCGAAGGGTGGGTGATTGGAGGGATGAAGTGGGTGCAGACGGGTATCCCGGCTGTCGTGCTGCGAGTCAAAAAAGGACGCTGGTAAAGTCCAACGAGCTCCCGTGCACCTTCGCGTCCTCAGTCGTAGATGGGGTACACCATGGCATTGGAGGTGTTGGCGAAGCGGTGGGTGGAAAGGATGGAGGGGTTTCCCGAAGGGCTCGGAGCGTGGGGGTGAGTCGCAAGCGCCTTCCGCCGCGCCCATACCATCGCCGCGCCCGGTGTCGCGGTAAGAGGGATGGTCTACCGCTTCTGGCCCGCGGCGACGACAGTGTTACGTGTACTGCGAGGGTGTCAGTTGCAGGTTCATTACCGCGTCACGGCGTAAAGACGGGGAGCGGGAGTTTGCTCGCAAGCTCTGGCTGCGCGGCAACTCTGCCCGGGCTAGGCAGACAGGTTGGACCTGTCTGCCCCACCCCCCCTCCCAGGACATGTCTGTAGCAAGCTAAGCCACAGGCTGCACGGTTCCTTTACCAGAGGCCAACAGACAGCACAGCACCAGGGGCCTGTCCCCTCCTCATTGCAGAACACCACCTGCTGCGCGCGAGCGTGCGAGCATGCCAAGCTCTGCCAACGCGTGCTGCAATGTGTCCCACTCACAGGTTGTCAATGTATGTGCCGAGGAACTCGTTGTCCTTTCGCAGCTTTTCTGTCTCGCCCTCGACCTCTGTGACGCGCACCATGAGCCCGCGGAGGCCGTCCCGGAGCTGGACAATGTCCTTTATGATGCGCTCCTTTGCGATAGTCTGCTGGACGGTGGGCTCCTGGGCTGAGGGGGCGGCGCCGGCGTTGGCAGCCGACGCGGGACCAGACGACCAGGCGTTGGCGAATTCGTTGTTGTCATAGTCGTTGTCGATGGGGGCGGCCATGATGGGAATGTGTGTGATGGAGAGAGGGAGATGGCTGTCTGTGGGAGTAAATGTGACGACGACGAGGAGATGTGGAGAGAGAGAAACAGAGACACAGAGACAGAGACCGAATGCAATGTGCCTGGTTGTACAGAATGGCAGAGAGCACCGACCGAAGCGCGCACCGCGCCGCCGCCGCCGCCGCCGTTGAGCGCGCGCCGCCCCGCCCGGTTCCCCGCCCGTCCCTTCTCTCTGCTCCCCTCTCCCTAAGGGCGCGCGCGTGCATTCCGTCCATCCACGACGTCTACCCACACGTCTCACGTTCAACCACACACCCCCACCACATCCTGTCTGTCCCGTTCTCTCTCATCCTCCCTCTCTGCCGCTTGTGCATCATACTCGACACCCCCCTGTATTCCCCACCCCCTCCACGACGACGACGACCGCCACCGTCCAGCGCAGGCCCCCTCTCCCCCTGCCCGCCGGTCAGTCGCCTCGACACTCGTGCTACCCGCTCCTGGCCCGTGTAGCATCCTCAATCGGGCTCCCGACCGGGACCACGGCGCGACGCGCGCCTCCGCTCGCCGTTCACAAAGGCCGTCTGCTGCAAGAATCGTCGTGACAGAATGAGCTCCTTCTTCACAGCAACCTTGACTGGCAAGAAGGGTAGCGGCGACAAGAGTGCCAAGAATCGCTCCAGCGGTTCGCGCGCTTCTGGCTCGTCCAACACCGGTCAGTCTTCATCATCATCCCACGCAAACGATCCCAACTCGTCCACATCTTACAACCGCACGGCCCAATCCCAGTCTCAGCCCGCATCCTCTAGCTCTAGCGGCTACACAGGCTACAGCACAACAAACGGGCGTCGAGAGGAAGCGGCCGCAAAGGCCAACATGACAAACGCTTCCTTCGATGACATGGTGCGGTCCGCCGGCATCGACATTATGCCCGTGTCCAACGGCACAATCCGAGCTGTCCCGCCGCCCACCGCCGAGTTTGGAGGACCTCCTAACTCATACGCTGCAAGCAGTATGAGCGGACACTCGTCTGGATCTGTCAGCACTGCGCGTCGAGGGTCGGACACGGCGTCGCTGCGCTCCATGGCGTCGACCGTGAGCGGTCTGCAGAGGCCCAATGACGAGCTGGGACGTTACCCGAGCATTACTCGAGCGACCCCGCCCCAAGTCTACGCTGCAGTCCCAACCGTACGCGGTACAACACCCACGCCCTCGTCATACACTACCACGTCGTCCGCCGCGAGCTCGTACAAGGCTTCAATCACCACGTCGTACGCTTCGTCTCGCGAGGCGGCGGCACAGGCAGCGGCAGCAGCAGCAGCCGCGCCCAGCCTGAGTTCAAAGCCTTCGATGTCGAGGTCGTCGTCTGAATCCCAATCGCACTCGCCACACCCTCCCCTCCCCAACGCGACCTCCCCCTACCAGACCTCGACCTCGTACCAAACGTCTACAACGTCGTACCAGTCGACCACCTCGACCTCGTCTGCCCAGTCAACGCCTCGTCCGCCCTCGGCTGCGGGCTCTCACGCCCCGTCAACATACACACCGTCAAAGGCAATGTCAATAAGGTCGGTCATCACCCCATCAACCGCGGCCAGTCGGCATACGGATAATTTCCACTTTCCTCGCCCAGACGATGAGACTGTCGAAGCCATGTTCGCCGAGCTGGTGAACAACCGCGACATTGAGGGCGGCTCCATTGCCAACGCGTCTGTCTCGTCGCGCCATTCGACCCAGTCTGTCGCCTCGGCAGTGGCACGGACGACTCAGACCCTCGGTGTCAACACCAAATGGCAAATGGTCGAGGCCGACGCTCGCTCGCGCTTTGAGACACAGAAACGTCACAAGGCCAAGGAGGACGAGGCGGTCAGGATGGGACGTGGTCGACGCTCGGCAGCCGCTCTGTCAAGAGACAGTCCCGAGTACATTATCCGCAAGGTCCTCGACAACCAGCTTGCCAAGAACCACCTGGCGACGCTCAACGTCAGTCTCCGAACACAGCCGTTAGAGTGAGTAGCATTTGTTGTTGCGTTTGTTTGTCGAGAACAAACATTGGGGCGCAGCAGTCAAACTGATCCCCGACTCAGCTGGATACGCGAATTCATGGACTTGAAGGGCCAAGTCGTCCTTGCGAACTACCTCAACACTCTGACCCACCGGCGGAGCAAAGGCGGCATCGACGTGGACATGGAGCTTGAACTGCTCAAATGTCTCAGGCGCTCGCTCAACAACAAGGTGAGTGTCCAACAGAGCAGGAGTAGGATCCAGTCGCTAACGCTGTGTCTCTCAGATTGGCGCGACCGATGCGATCAAGCAGCCGCAAATCATCTACTCTATCGCCCACTCGCTCCTCTCGCAGCACGTCCAGTGTCGCAAGGTCGCAGCCGAGATTCTCGTCTTCTTCTGCCACTGGGACGCTCAGAGCCCCGACCGTGTTGGCCTCTCAATTGTCCTGCGAGCGTTCGAGCAACTCGAGTCCCAGCACAACGCCCAGGTCGGCGTCAACAGCAAGGTGTCCAAGTTTGAGCGCTGGATGCGCCAGACGGAGGACTTTGCCCTCAGCCGAGGGCGGATGGGCAGCGTCGTTGGAGCCCAGGGCGTCGTCAAGGGCATGGATGCGCAAGCAGCCGTGGACTACTGCGTGAGTCGAGGACGCCTCTGTGCACGATACGTTTGCATATAGCTAACGTCTTTTTTACAGGTCACCATGATCTGTCTCCTCCAGGGCCTGACCTCGGCCACGGACCTCCGCACTCGTGTCTCGGTCCGAGGCCAGCTGGACGTGGCAAACGTCCCGCGTGTCCTGGGGACGATGAAGGAGTGGAACGACGCTGGTATGGCGCGCCTCATCCGCCAGTACGAGGAAGAGGAGGAAGCCGACCGCCGCGACCTCGCCGCCGAGCAGAACCGCAATACGTTGCAGTCGTTCAAGTCCCCCGAGGATGTTCTGCGTGCTCTCCTGGAGAGCACAAAGGGCACCAAGGCCAGCGGATACCTCATGAACACGTTCCGCCACCTCTTGCTCATCAAGGAGGAAGGCGCCGAGCGCGACCGGTTCTACCAACTCATCGACCAGCTCATTCAAAGCATTGTCATGCACGACTCGCCCGACCTCAACCAAGAGTTTGGTCGCGCATTCGGCATCTCAGTGTCGCAGTTGGTCGGCAAGTTTGTCGAGCAGCAGCGCATGAACGATGCGCTCGTCGAGATCCGCGACACCAAGACCAAGCTCGCTCAAGTCGAGCGCGAAAAGGCCGACCTGTCCGAGGAGATTGCGCAGGGCAACCAGGGTCTTGTCGGTCGTCTCAAGGCCCAGGTGGCTGATCTCGAGGAGAGGTTGAAAAAGTCGCGTACGGCCACCGAGAACCTTCGTGACCAGATGGAGGGCATGAAGCGTGACTATGAACAGCGCATCACCGACCTGGAGCTCTACATCCAGGAGCTGTTTAACATGCTTCGCGAGACCAACCACCTCGACCAGGTGCAGTCCATGACCAACGGGCCCATCGACCGTGCCAGGCTCATCCACGATCTTCGCGAGCAGTGGGAGCGCAAGAAGACTATCCGCAAGCTCGAGGGCCGCAAGAAGAGGCGCGGCACAAACGCAAGCAGCGCTGCCGGCGACAGTGACAGCGACTCGGAGGAAGAAGGCGAGGACCACGGTGCTGATAGGTCTGGCAAGAAGGAGAAGAAGACCCGCCTCGTTCGTCCCAAGGACGGTAAGGGTGGCGACGCCAGCAGCAGCAGCAAGGACGCTGCCAGGGCTACCATTGTTTCTGGTTCGCAGTTTATCGACGCCGAGGAAGACTCTGTGCGCGTTCACATCGAGAATGCGCTTTCCGAGGGCGCCGACCGCGTTTCGCCTCCTCGTTTCGGCACGACGTCATACCGCAGCACGCGTACCGAACGTCGCACTGCTTTGAACGCACCTCCCATCCAGGAAAAGTCGGCACTGCGCTTGTCCAAGAAGCCAGCCCTCCCACCACGCTTCCTCGAGGAAATCCGATACCGCGCCTTGTCTCGCAGCTCGTCTGCCCCAGCCAACATCAACTTGAATCTCGACGAAGAGGACGAGGACGGAGAAAACGGCCCGATCGACCACGAACTCTTGCGCCAGAGCTTGCTCAACAATGTGCCCCTGGAATTCATGCAGACTGTCCCCATGGACTTTATCAACAAGCGCGACAGCTTTGCTCAGCAGGTGCTCAGCCGCGCAAGGACCATCCGCTCCGGTTCGGCCGAGCCCGACGACTTCCTCCCCACTGGAGGATCTCCCGCACTGCCCACTCTGGACGAGGACGACGAGGCCAGGGCATTGGAACAGGAGCAGGAGCAGGAGCGGGCTGTGGCGGACGGTACAGTGGCTCATCCTCCACCCCCTCCTCCTCCACCACCTCCTCCACCCCCCCCTCCGCCTCCGCCTCCGCCTCCTCCTCCCCCGCCGCCTCCTGGACCCGGTGGACCTCGCTTTGGTCTCGGAATCAGTGGTATGGGTGGAGCCGGAGGACCACCACCTCCTCCACCGCCGCCGCCGCCACCACCCCCACCCCCACCTGGTGGATTTGGTGGTGCTGGTGCCCCTCCTCCTCCCCCACCGCCTCCGCCTCCCCCGGGTGGTCTGGGCCTTCCTGGAGCTGGCGGTCCACCTGGTATGGCCGGACTTTTGGCTGGTATCAAGGCTGGTGTCAAGCTCAGCAAGTCGGAGGGCCCCACGCCGCGGTCAACTCCCTCGTCCACTCGCTCACCTACCCCGACCTCTTCGACTGTTCCCCGTGCGCCCAACCAGGGCATCGGTTCACTTTTCTACGGTGTCAACGACTCGCGCAAGAATGTCGCGCACATGGCGTCCAAGAAGATGAAGCAGCTCCAGTGGGACAAGGTGTCCAAGACCCAGCTTCAAAAGACCATCTGGTCTGCTCCGGAAAACCCCACTGTCGAGGAGACGTTTGTTCAGCGCTTCAAGGCGGCCGACCTGTGGTCCGAGATGGAGGACGAGTTCAAAGCGCGAGAGATTGTCTACGACGCTGTCAAGAAGAAGAAGGAGGCCGAGCTCCTCAGTGTGCTTTCCCCCGACCTTCGCAAGCGCATCGAAATTCTCATGGCGGGCAGCACGGCCAAGTCGTTCAAGGACCCCGAGCGACTCAGCGAGGCCATTGCCAACTTCAATGCCGAGCTCTGTACCGAGACCTTCCTCCACGAACTGCTCGGTGTGCTCCCCAACGACGACGACCGTGGCAAGCTCCTCACTCACAGTGCCGACTCGGAGGCCGAGCTCGAGTTGCTCCACCCTGCTGACCGTCTCATGGTCCGCCTCATCCAGCTCCCGCACTTGGCCGACCGTGTCAAGGGCATGCTGTTCCAGGTCCGCTTCCAGCAAAACGTCGAGCTGCTTCAGCGATCATTGGACCTCCTCATCGAGGCCTGTCGCGACCTGCGCGGCGCCAAAAAGTTCCAGACGCTGCTCAATGTCATTCTTACCATGGGCAACTATCTCAACGGTACCAACTTTGCCGGTGGCGCCTACGGTTTCAAGATTGGCTCCATCAACAAGCTTGTCGACACAAAGTCGTCCAACGGCCAGAACCTTCTCCACTTCCTGGAGCGTACCGTCTCGCAGCATTTCCCCGAGCTCGAGGGCTTTGTGGAGGAACTCGCCAAGCCGTCCGAGGCCAACAGGGTCAACTTTGCCGACATGCAAGCGACATCCAGGTCGATGCTTGAGGAGATTCGCAACATTCGCAAGTCGCTGGAGAACAACTTCCAGTCCGCCAATGACGGCTACACGCGCAAAATGTTCCGCTTCTCTGCCGCTGCCGAAGAGGACCTCCAGGCTCTTCGCGACGGTATCGTCAATGCCGAGTCGTCGCTCCGCGACGTGGAGACGTACTACGGAGAAGGCGAGGAGCACGGCCGCCCTGTGCAGAGCCAAGACTTCTTTGGCGTGTTCAGGACGTTCACCTCGTCGTACAAGTTCTGTCGTCAGCAGAACCGCGCCAAGGCCGAGGAGATTGCGCTGCGCGAGCGCCGTGCCGCTGCCCGTGCCGCACTGTCGCCTCAGCCGACTGGTGCATCTACGTCGTCGGACACCAACCTCATCGACGCACGTCTCCAGCGCCTCAAGCTCGAGGGTACGCCGCGCATCAAGCGCGAGCGTCGCCAGCCGGCTCCCCCGCTTTCACCGCTGCCGGTCACTACCGACTTTTCCGATTTCATGCTGCCAAGCGTCGACTCTCAGAACGTCGACTTTGGTTCATTGGCACAAAAGATGATGCTCAACATTTTCGAAAGCCCAGCATCGGCAGGTGGTGGCAGCAAGAGCGACAGCCCCAGCCCCATGGAAAGCCCTACCCGTTCCCAATTCACTGCTACGCCCGAGGTGCCGACGCTGCTCGCTGACGATGCGCTCCTCGAGCAACCCGAGGCCGAGCTTCGCGCAGAGGTTGTGGATTCAAGACGGGACAGCATTGCGTCGTCTCGTTCTGGATCTCGTCGTGAGAGTATGGCTTCATCTCGTCGTGAGAGCATGGCTTCATCTCGCCAATCTCTCCACTCGCGCACCTCGTCCGCCCGGGAGAGCACTTTGTCTCATCTCTCCAACCGCGAGAGTATCCACTCCCACACCCGGACCCACAGCACGCGATCGCACCGATCTCATCCGTCGCAGGCCAGCTCGGATTTCAGCCTCTCGCATAGCACCGATATTTTCCTGTCTCACAGTACCATCTCGACACCGAACGACGTGCCTGACGAGGCTGACGAGGACGACCAGCACGACCATGATGTGCCCATGGTGATTCCACATCTCGAGGTGGAGGCGCCAAGCTTTGACGATGCAGACGAGGACGAGGACGACGACGAGTTCCAGTTACCGGAGGGAGCGGAAATCATCTACCATTCGGACCATGACGAGGACGAAGCAGGCGACGACACAATCGTCCTTCACACCCTTCACGCGGAGAGCTTGCTACTCTAGCCTCCATCTGATACGCAAACCATATAGTTACCCAGCATCTTGTCCCCTGTCTTTTTTTTTGGTGTACACGATCCACAGTAATGTCTCGGGGCGACACTGCCCACTTTATGAACGGATCATTAGTCTCGTGGCACGGAGCACTTTGTGTTCAACGACATCAAAATGCATCGAATAATCCCCAAATCATACAGTGACAATGTGTGTGCGTGTGCGCGCATGCGGGCTTGCGCGTCGTCGTGCAAGTCTACTCTAAGCGTCGTCGGCGGCAGTCTCGAGCTCGAGGGCGGTGGTCAACAGACCGTTCTTGACACCCTTGAGGTTGATCCACCTTCCCAGACGGGGCTCACGGCCAAGTGCAGCGGTGAGAACGGTGCCCTCGGGCAGCGAGAGAATCTGGATGCCGTTGACGAAACCCTCGACCTCAACCTCACCGGCGGGCTTGAACGACCGGAGTTGGGGGTCAATAGCCCACAGGCGTATCCTGCCGTCCCACGAGCCCGATGCGAACAGGTTGGTGCCTCGGATAGATGCGAGCGAGGTGATCCAGCGCGGGCTGGGCTTGGCGGTGGAGGGGAGAATGTTGTGGCCCTCGGTATCGAGGCCGTGGGCGAGCACGAGGGAAAAGATGGGCTTCTTCTTGCCCGTGCTCCAGAGCGCAATGGTGCCAGTGTCGCCACCAGAGACAAAGTGGCTGTCGTCGAGGGTGCACACGACGTCGACGCTGCCCTCGACCCAGCTGCCCTCGTCGGTGCGTGTCTTGCCTCCACCGCGGAGCACAAGCTGCACCTCCTCCTCGACCTTCCACCAACGACATGTCCTGTCGCGGCTACCAGCCGTCACTGCCGCAGTTGGCTTCAGGGCCGACACAGAGTTGATGCTGTCCTGGTGACCGAAAAAGGTGTCGATGGCAGACAGCGTCGCCAACGAGTGAAGAGTAAGGTGTCGTCCGAGCGATGCGGTGAGAATGTGCGCCGACGGGTTGGACAGGGGAGGGAAGACGACAGACTAGGCAAGGGGTTAGCAAACCATATACCCACAGCTCTCAGATACGTCATGCCTGTTACTCACCGAAACCGCATCCTTGTGTCCCCGCATACCGGCCACCCACTTGCTCTCCTCACCACTCATGTCCCACACGCCAACAATCTTGTCCTGTCCACCAGTCACCAGCCACTTGCCGTCCTCACTGGCAGCAATGGACAGGATCGGGCCCTTGTGACCACCTTCCTCTCCTGCCTTGACTGGCGCGTTCTTCAGAGTCCCACGGTCAAAGCGGAGCACCTGGCCCGACTTGGTAGACAAGTAGACCACTCCTGTAGCCGTCATAGCCACTGAGGTGGGGACATGCTGGATAGTCTTGAACCGCGTTGACGATGCCGAAGCCGTCGAGTAAAACCGGTGGATGCGGCCCTCCGCCTCGTCCTAACACAGTTTAGCTCTGACATCTCTCAACCAGCAACCCCGGGCACACTCACAACCTCCTGCCTCAGGCGCGATGCAATGAGCTCGCGATCAATCTCCGCCGCATCGTAGTCGTTCTCTGCCCGCTCTGTTCTTGTTAGCAACGTGGGAGTCCAAGAGACGAGCTCACCCTCGGCAACATCTTGGCGGACCTTGTCGAGGTATCCACGCGCAAGACGGACACGCTTCTCGGCAGCAGTCTCGTTGGCATCGACAAACTCGTCGTCGTCCAGGGCGACAGGTTGGCGGTCGCGCTGAAAGTCCATGTCGTCAATGTCGCCTCCCTCAATGTCGCTGTGGTCCAGCTCCTCATCGCGGGCAGCCTGGACGCGGCCCTTGGACACGCGGGGCATGCGGTTGGCACCGCCCGAGCCCCCTGGGCGAGAGCGCTTCCTCTTCTTGTCCGAGGCGAAGAACGGGTCGGGCATGGTGGTGCTGTGTATAGGTTTGCTGGAAGCTAGAAGGTGTCAAGCTTGCGTCTACAGCACGCAGCGGGACAGGGTGGACTGAACTTTTCTGTTGCCACTCACGTGGCAAAACATAGGCGCAGTGATTCCGGCGCAGCGATCAAACGCATGCCTATATTTCCTGGCTCGATAGGCCCGCGGTGACGCGCTGGCTGGGGGATCCACGTCCATGAAGCGCCACGACGTTGCAGCACATCGTGCTTCTCTACCAACAACCCCCTCTACTCTTCTCTCTCTCATCCCCCACATCTTGGTCCGGCAGCATGAAGCTAAAGGACATCTCGCGCACAGCGACCTATGCGTGGGACCCCTCCTCGGCTTCGGAGCCCTACATTGTCACTGGTGCAGCGGCCGGAGCGCTCGACGAGAGCTTTAGCAACGACTCGCAGCTTGAGATCTGGCGTCCCAAGTACTATGACGCCGACGGCGCTGCCAACGCGCAAGGCTATCAGCTTGGTGGAAAGGGTGCCGGTCCCGAGGGAAGTGTGACTGTCAGCAGCCGGTGAGTATCGCTGCAAGGTCCTGTCGAGATCACTGGTGACCTGTTGTTTGTTTGGCTGTGCGCGCCGGCTGACACGACACCTCAGCTTCAACCGTCTCGCATGGTCGCAGCCTGGTGCTACTGCCAGCGGCCGCGGCGTGATCGCCGCCGGCATGGAGACTGGCGAGGTTGTCGTTTACGACCCCGTCAAGATCATCGCTGGTCAAGAGGCCTTGGTGTTCAAGAGCGACAAGCACACTGGCCCTGTCCGTGGCCTCGACTTCAACCCTATCCAGAAGAACCTGCTGCTGTCGGGTGGTATCAATGCAGAGGTCAGTGCCAACGCCATTCTGAGCCATGCATTAACCAGCTCAGCTCTACATTCACGACCTGAACAACCCTGGCACGCCCATCTCCCCCGGTCCTCTCTCCACCAAGCTCAACGAAATCACATCGCTGCAGTGGAACACCACCGTGTCCCGCGTGTTCGCTGCCTCGTCGTCCTCGGGCTACACCTCGGTCTGGGACCTTCGTGCCACCAAGGAGATTGTGTCCCTCCAGTACGGCGGCGGTGCTGCCAAGGGTGAGACCGCTCACGGCATGGCTGCTCTGCAAATGGGCAAGCGTCGCGGCATGAGCGATGTCTGCTGGCACCCGGATTCACCCACTCGCCTGATCACATCTTCCGAGGACGATGATTCCCCCATCATCATGCTCTGGGATCTCCGCAACACCCGTGCCCCCGAGCGTATTCTCAGTGGCCACACCAAGGGTGTGCTTTCGGTGGCATGGTGCAAGCAGGACCCCGACCTTCTCGCTTCGTGTGGCAAGGACAACCGCACCCTCCTGTGGAACCCCCAGACCGGAGACATTGTGGGCGAGCTCCCTTCCGCCCGCGACTGGTCTTTCCAGACCTCGTGGTGCCCCTCCAACCCCAACCTCCTCGCCACGGCCTCGTTCGACGGCCACATTGGCATCAACTCGCTGCAGGCCACCCGCGCCGAGGAGGAGCCCAAGGCTGTCATCGCCGAGGATGCCTCCGCCGAGGACGTCTTTGGCGCCCTTGCTGGCCAGTCGTCGTCCTCGAACGATGACAAGTTCAACGTCCAGTCGCTTGGCCAGGCCCCCAAGTGGATGTGCCGCCCCGTGTCGGCCACCTTTGGCTACGGCGGTCTTTTGACCAGTGTCTCGAACCTCCCTGGCGCCAACGGCAAGCACCAGAGCGGTGTTGTGCACCTCCGCAACGTTGTTACCGAGGAGTCTATCATCGACCGTGCCAAGGAGCTCAGTGAAATCTCGAGCGACAAGGACAAGCTCTCCGAGTTTTCTGCCACCAAGTCTGACGACCCGTCGTGGAAGGCTCTTCAGACTCTGTTTGACGCCAACTCGCGCGACGAACTTGTCACGCTCCTTGGATTCTCGAAGGAAGAGGTCAAGAAGCAGGTCGCCGAGGCTGTCAAGAAGTACGGCAAGCCCGAGGACGCTGAGGAGGAGAAGATTGGCGGCGACGAAACGCCCAAGACCGACAAGGCTGACAAGACTGACACGCCCACCGTTGTCGTGGCCACCGACGGGTCACCCTCTGAGACCAACTCGCTCTTTGAGGATCGCCCCTTCACCCCGGCAACTGCTGGCGGTGACACCGACTTTTTCGCGTCGATGGCTTCTGGCAGCCTCCGCAACCCCCAGCTCAACGCCATCATTCCCCACATGAACGAGCGTGCCGACTCGTCGGTTGCTGCTACTGTCGGCTCTGGTGCCTCGTCGCTCCGTTCTGAGATTATCAACAAGGACAACAACTTTAGCATTTACCCTGCCGGTGAATCGGACGTTGACAAGCTCATCACTCAGGCTCTTGTGCTTGGTGATTTTGCTTCGGCCGTCGACCTTTGTGTTGCATCCGACCGCTTTGCCGACGCTCTCCTCCTTGCTGTCCGCGGCGGCCCAGAGCTCCTCCAGTCGACCCAGAAGGCCTACTTCACTCGCAGGACCATGGCTCACCCCTTCCTGCGCGTGTTCCAGTCGATTGTGACCGAGGACCTCACCGACATTGTCCAGAACGCCGACCTTGCTGAGTGGCGCGTCGTCTTTGTTGTCCTCTGCACTTTTGCTAAAGACACTGAGTTTGCCAACCTCGCCGACCAGCTGGGCCAGCGTCTTCAGTTCAAGTGGCAGCTCCTCGCTGCTTCGGACAGCCCCGAGGCCAAGGAGTCGGCCAAGAAGGCCCGCCAGGATGCTACTCTCTGCTACCTGGCCGCCCGCAACCTCGAACACGTCATCTCAATCTGGATCTCGGAGATGCACGAGGAGGAGTCCTCTACCGATGCTCCCCGTTACTCGGCCCACGCCAACGCTCTCCAGTCGTTCATCGAGAAGGTGACCGTCTTCCGTGCTGCCACCGGCTATGTCGACAAGGACCTCGACTCGCCCGCGGACCCTGCCCGTACCTACGCACTGTCGGGTCTCTACGACCGTCTCCACGAGTACGCCGACCTGCTTGCCACACAGGGTCTTGTTGATGTTGCTGCCAAGTATGTCAAGATGACTCCCAAGGACTATGGCAGCGGCAGCTCCATCGGCCAGTCTCGCGACCGTCTTTTCGCCGCGGCTGGTCTCCAGGAGCAGGCTGTCGCGTCGTCGTCGACTTCGGCCTTTGGCGCCGCCGCCGCCGCCTCCTCCTCGCAGGCTTCCAAGGTTCGCAGCGGCGGCCGTCCCCCCGCGCCCGCTGCTGCCAGCCCCTACGCTGCTGCCCCTAGCTACGGTGGCCCGTCGGCCTACGGTGCTTCGGGTTACCAGTCATCTCCCTTCCAGGCGGCTCAGACCACGTCCAACCCGTACGCTCCTCCTCCCTCGCAGCAGCAGCAGCCTCCCGCCCCTACCAGCAATGCCTATGCCCCTCCCCCTACGTCTAGCCCCTATGCTGCCACGGCATCTGCTCCTGCCATTTCCAATCAGTACGGTGCGCCCCAGACTTCGACGTACACACCATACCAGCCTAGCGGCTACTCGAACGGTTACGATGCCAACCCTCAGCCTGGAGGCTACGGTGCGCCTGCTCCCAACCAGACCTACCAGCCGGCTTACGGTGCTACTGGCACTGTCCCCCCTCCCCCTCGTGCCAACGCCTCTGCTGTGTCGCCTCTTGCCGAGAACCTCATCCCTGCCTCGCAGCGTCGCGACTTGCCTGGATGGAACGATGCGCCAAGCATGGCCCCTCCCAAGCGTCCCACTCCCACTGCCCGTGAGAGCACGCCCAAGCCCGCTGCCATCACCTCACCCTTCCCCATGGGCGACCCCTCGCAGGCTCAGTATGCTCCCCCCGCGGCTGCTAGCCACATGGCCTCGGCGCCGCCACCTGGCCGCGGCGGACCCGCTCCAGGTGTTCTCCCTCCCCCTCCCAAGGGTGGCCCCCGCCCACAGTCGGCCGCGCACAACCGTCCGCCTTCGACCCAGGGCATTCCCCAGGCTCCTATGCAGACACCGTTCGCCCCGACTGGTGGTCCTCCTCCCCAGCAGTTTGGACAGCCGCCATCGCAGTACCAGGCTGGTCCCCCTCCCCCGGGCCAGCACCAGTACGGCGCTGCTCCAGCCCAGGCTGCCCGTCCCCCTCCTCCCCGTGGATCGCCTCGTGCCGGCCCTCCTCCGCCCGGTGTGATCGCTGGCCCTCCCCCAAGGGCACTCTCGCCTCTGGGCCCGGGTGGTGCTAGTCAAGCGCAGCCGTCCATGTATGGTGCGCTCGCGTCTCCTCCTCAGCAGACTCAGCCCCCTCCCCCGGGCGGCAGGTTGGCTGGCCCTCCTCCCCCTGGCCGCGTGCCGACAGGCTCGCAGAGCCCCCAGCCGTCTGCACCGACTCCGCCGCCCGCTGCACCGGTGAAGTCGAGGCACGCTGCTGGTGACCGCTCGCACATCCCGCAGGGACTGCAGCACATCGTTGATACCCTGTCAGGCGAGCTGTCGCGCATCAAGGCGCGCGACCTTCCTGCCCACGTGCACCGTATTGTCAACGATACCGAGCGCCGTCTGAATATTCTCTTTGACGAGCTCAACAACGACGCGGTTGACTCCAGCACTACCGGCCAGCTCGACCAGATCTCCAAGGCGATTGCGGCTCATGACCCCAACACCGCACTCGCTCTGCACGTCGACCTGGCAACCAACGCCACTGGCGAGGCTACCCACTGGGCTGTAAGTTTATATTCATTTTCAACCTCTGAAAGACCAACTGTGCTGACAATATTTCCAGCCCGGTGTGAAGCAGCTCATTCGCCTGGGCATCTAATGAATATGGAAGGAGATGTGACGGATGACGAGCGAACAAATGGTGTAAACGCAGACGTAAAACTCGGGAGTGTCATGAACAGCCATACTCACGAAGTGATCCATGCAACCAGCTGTTTAGAACCCATTCACCCCGCCGCCAACGTGGAAACTCTTCGAGTACTGACGGATCCCCCCCTCACAGCCCTTCACACGGCACCCTGAGGATGGGCGTGTATAAAAATGCATAGTCGAAAGCAAGGGCTACAAGGTGTATTATGGAGCGGATCTAGTATACATACGGTACAACATCAATGGCCTCGGCATAGCTTGGGGGTGCAGATAGCCATCCATCCTCGCACGAAAATGCCTCGCCGTCAATCATGGTTCCTCCGTCTCCTTGTTCGTCAAGCTGGAGGTCGCTCCACCTGTGAGCATGCATCGCATCACGCGGCTCCGAGACGGACCCGACAACAATGGGAATCGACAGCGAGCAGCTCGTGGATGGTGCTCGGCGCTCGATCCTCGCCCACGCCCGCGACTGCGCGTCGCTGCCACCAACTGGAGGCCGCAGCCCGGGCCCACCAAACCCAAGCTGCCTGGGGGCGGAGGCGGGGAGGAAGACCGAATCGATATGCAGGTGGAACTTGCTGGAAACGTTGACGGGGTGGGCGTCTGGTCCGCCGTCAATGGCCAAGACGGTGGTGAACCCGTACCGCCAGGTGCTGCCTACGTTGAGTGGCAATGTAGGGCGGATTGTGACGGGTTGACGATTGGGACCAACGCGCTCCCACCCTATGCGGGTCGAGACCACTGTGCAGGTCGAGCTGGTCGTGCCAGCCTCGACAAGTTCCTCGCGGACCAAAGACACGCGAACGAGCACAGCCGTGTCGTCGTCTGCCAGACCGTCAATCGCACCATCATCTTCAGTCTGAGGTGGGGTGATTGTCAACTCGATCGGGATGACCGAGGTCGGCGAGTACGCTGTCGTGGGGATCCGCGGGTGGATAACCCAGCGGGCGGTCTCGCCGCCGGCGCTGGTCGTTGGAACCCAGAAAGAATGAGGTATCATACGGGGTGCCCGTGTAGGCAGCGTAGTGGGCAGGAGGTCAAAGGGCCGGGCGGCGTGGGCCACCACCAGCCGCCCTCTGGTACCTGTACCGCCGCTGTCCGCCTCGTCGCACGTAAGGTTCACGCAGAGTGCGTAGCTGAGTGCGAAGCCGTCGCCGTTGAAGGTCGGGGGCAGCCGCGGCGTAGAGGGCACCTGGGCGCTGAGGGGAAGCGTGTACGTTCCCGGGGGTAGTGCGTTGGGGGAGGCATTGGCGACGGAGTGAGTATCGGCACCTGGCAGGCGGACAGCGGCACGACGTGCAGCGGCACCGGCGTCGCGGGCCCACAGTGCCAAGCCCTCCGAGAGTGACACGGAAATGTCGATGATAACCCGCGGGGCTGCATCACGTACCCGCAGAGTACCGACAAGGGAGAGCGTGAGTTGTGGTCGCAGCGCATGAGGGAGGGAGGCGCCACGGGGCAGGAGAAACGTGAGGACGGTCGGAATTGACTGGCCAGGCTGAAGGTGGGTTGTCAGAAACAGAGTTCGTTCGGTTTGCACCTTGCTCACATAGAAGGCCGGTGGGAGCGCCACATCCGATTCTGTCGCATGGAAAGCAATGCTGAGCGCACCACATGGAGTGGGGAGGGGACACGGCGGGCTATCCTCGACATCTGTGCAAGTGGTTAGTAACCTCGTCCAAGACGCGTGCCACATCCTCTCAACTCACGTTGCCGAACTTGAGCCCATGCTGGGCCCGAGGTGCGCGTCTTCGCTGGACCGGGCACACTACAGCGGTTTGAGGAGTGGGACGAGTGGAGGTCAGCCGGGGTGGCGATAGTCACCGCTCGCCGACGGATCATGTCTGCGGATATTGATGCTAGTGCTGGACGTGTTGGCAGTCGTTAACAGGTTATCGGTACACAAAGGTGTATGCGTCCGACCTTGGCACAATTTACATGCAGTGGGGGGGTGGGAACGAGCCTGGTGAGAGATGGTGCGGCGACGGGCTTGGGGAAGGTTGTGTAACAAGACAAGGTGAGAGGGAAGAAGGTGGGGGATGAGGAGGACGTGAGTTGAGACGTGTGTTGGCCACTCGAGGGTCTGACGGGCTTGTCTCTCCATCCCAAGCCAAAAGCACGTCGACGCACTTCTAGTGTTCCCCAGCTCTCGATGCGACAAGCCGAACACGCGGTACCGTGAACCCGTCCCGGATCGAAGGATGCTAGGATTAAAGCGGCGTCGACTTCGCGCGTGGTGATCTTGCTTGCAAGATTAGCCATGGCGTTTCTGGAGACGCGCGTCAGCCGATCAGCCGCGGACGTCCCTCGACGGATGCCGCAATGCCACAAAGGGTACCACTCCCAGTCATGGCTCTCCACCACTGGCGGCGGCGAGCGTGCGCGTAACGGGAGACAAGTCCACGGCAAATGTTGCCCTTCGCGGTGGACAGTGACACGGCTTGCTCTCAGAGTCTGGCAGGCAAACGCCACTGCGGCGACGTGTCGTGAATGGCGGTGAGACATCAGCAGGACATGGTAAGACAAGCACCAACGCGCACCAACGCCAGGGGAGCCAAGGTATCGGAACCGGGAAGCGGAAGTGGGAAGAGGGCTCAGACGCGAGAAACCGCAGAGCAGCAGGAGGACAGGACGCGAGGAATGGGTTGGTGGAACGAACAAGGATCCACACAGGGAAGCCCATCAGTCCCGGGAACCAACAAATGTCGGGCCCCCCGAGACATTGACCCGAGTACGCAAGTCGATCGAATGACCCAAGAGTGCATCCAGGATCCAGTGCGCAATCCAGTGTCGCTTATTCCAAGCCAGTGGTGTATGGTGCCGCCGCTACGTCACCTTTGGTAAAACTGCTCGCACCTAAACATGGCCTGATCCACCTGGCACCACATTTCCGAACAATCCATCATCCCGGCGCCATGACAAGTCGAGCGGGAGTGACGCCCTGTAGCGCTGCCGCTATTGCTGGTCGTGGTGCTCCCTCCTCCCTCTGTCGCCTTTCTTCTTCCCCGTTCCTGTACCAAAGACAAACCGACGACCCAAGGTTTACTGTTTGCCCGATTTCGCAATGCACCATACCATGCCTAAAGCTTAGAGCAGAAGGAACACCACACACGGCAATGTCGATGTCATTTTCATCGTTCAGACAGAAGCCTCAAAAATTACACGTAGGCTTGCTTACTACTTATGTATGTACAACTCTAGCCCTCAACCTCTACGAAGTGGTGGCAGTCTCAATCTATTACGAGTGTATATGAGTACTAACAATGTTCTTCGTCTACCACTCCTCGTCGTCGTCGTCATCCAGCCCCGAGTCTTCGTCGCGGATCACACCTCGACCGGCAGCACGACGACCCACGCTGCACAGAACCGACACGAGCTTGTGGCGCGCGTCGTCAAAGGCCAGGCCCTCGTCCTCGTCCTCTTCGTCGAGACCCACAAACGTCGCCTGGGTGAGGACAAGGCGCAGGCGAGCAGCCTCCTTCTGCACACGCTGGCTGGCCTCAAGGCGCTCCAAGCGGTTCTGCGTACCGTGGTACGACGACGACGAGAAGAGCAGGTCGACAAAGCCAATGCACGCCATGGCGAGCTTGTCGATGGCCTGGGCGTTGGCGGGGATGAGGGAAGCAGCGGCGGGGGGCATGGGGTTGGACGAGCCAGGATACAGGAGCTCGAGCATGGCAGAGACACTCGCAAGCGAGGCACCGGCACCCTGGACCTCCTCAGCCGCAAGAGCGCTGACGAGAACAGCAGGCTGCGAGTAACCAGAGAACAGACCCCAGAGACCAAGCAGAACAAGGCTGAGGGCGTGTGAAGGGCTGTGGCGCGGCATGCCGTGAAGAACACCGCGGATCTCGCGGCCAAGCGAGTTGAGCTCGGTCGAAAGGTCGCTCTGCTGGACGTTGACAAGCATGGGCGAGAGCGACGTGGCATCACCAACCGCGCCGACGAGGTGAATAAAGAAGCGAGTGTAAAGGTCGTAAAGGTGGACGAGGTTGATCTGCTCGGCAATAGACGCAATCGGAGCAGCAGTCGCAGGAACAAGCTCGAGGCTGTGCGAAGCCTCCTCGAGAGGAAGGCCGAGTACAGCAGCAAGGGGCGAGTTGGGTTCACACTTGGAACGGGCGTCCACCCACGCCACGCGGGACGAAGACTTTTCGGGAGCAAGAAGCGCGTAAAGAGCAAGGGAGTAAGGATCGTTGGACGCCAGACGAAGACGAACGGCGACGTGCCACCTAACGAGAGCAGGTGGGTTGGCAAGTCCGCCAACAATACGAGCCGCGAGGTTGGTCCACTCGGACGAGCCGCTGACCGGCGAGCCAACAGCGAGTTGAACAAGGTCCTTGCCGAGACCGACAATGTTACCTGCACCAGTCTTCTTGTCTTGGTACTTGCGCGAGATGCGCTCGAGGATGGGACCGACGAGGGTGATCAAGGTGATGGCAATAATGAGGCGGAAGGTCCAGTCGACGAGCGTGTGGGGGTTGGGAACAATGGCGGCAGGGAGGGCACGAGCGAGGAGACGCGAGCTGTGCTCGGCAGTAATAAGAGGAAGACGCGAGATGACCTGGTTGCGCGAGAGCGACTCGGCAGCGTAGACGGTCCCCGCTGGACCGGAAGTAGCCGGGGAAGCGCTGAAGAGTTTGGAAGCAGAGGGCACAAGCGAAAACGACACGGCAAAGGCAGCAAAGGCGCGCACACCAGTGGCAGCCTTCGTGTCGGTAGCTTTGGCCTTCTTGGTCACACGAGGACGTTTCCTGCTGCGCGTGTCCTCCTCTTCCTCCTCAGACTCGCCGTCGTCCGACTCGTTGGCAGCCGCTGCGGCGGCCTGCTGCGCGGCGATGACGGCCTCGCGACGGTCAAAGTCGGTACGCCACGCCGTCAGATCCTCGGCTCCAGCAACCTGCTGGCGCCACGCCTCGAGTTCCGAGACCTTGCGCTGGAGCATGGCAGTGCGGCGTTGAAGAAGCTCGATGTACATCCTAGCGCCAATGAGGATGGTTGCCTTGGCACTCGCGTTCGGGCGGGTCACCTCGCCGAGACCATCGACCGTACCGTCAGGAGCACGAATGTCTGTCGTCTGCTTCTGCTCATCGCTTGAAGTGCCGTACAGGACACGCAGGGCAGGAACCGCGTCGCGCAGATCAGCCTGGGCCTGCTGAACCTTTTGGCGGTAACGACGCTCAGTCTTGTTGTGCTTGCCAACGTTGGCAGGGGGCGAGCTCGTGACGGGCTTGTTGAGTGGTGCGTTAGGTGCACTGCGGCGAGGAGGTGGTTGAACTGAAGGCTGGGCGGCCATCTCGACCGGGACAGCAACAGGTGGCGGAACCTCGACTGTAACCGTCAGTTGCCACCCAAAAACGTTTAAAAGGCGTGTTACGCTTTGTTTTGAGCTTACCCTGCTGCTGTTGCTGGTGCTGCTGCTGCGGCTGTTGCTGCGGCTGGAACATGGGACGGGAAGGAATGGGGACCTGGGACTGGATCCAGGCAGCTGCCTGCGCGCTCTGGCTCAGGTCGAGGCGCCACTGGTGGAGGAGACCGTCGAACGCGGCGGGCTGGATGGTACCCATCGGGGCTGTCGGGATGGGGGCCTGCTGTTGCTGCTGCTCGAGGTTGGGCTTGGACTCGAAAGGGGAAGTCTGCCTAAAGTCAAAGGCCATGGATGCATTGAATGCCGACTGTATGGGCACGTTGAGCGCGTCGGCGAGGTTCATGTCGGGCTTTGAGTCTTCGGGGAAAATGAGCATGTCGAGCTCATCCTGACCAAAGCTGTTGTTGAGGAGGTACTCGTCGGTAGCAAACGAAAGACTCGAGCTGGGGCTGTCGCCTGAAGCAGGAGGGGAGAGGGAAGGGTGTGTGTGGTCGGCGGAGCGAGGAGAGAGAGTGTTGGGCGAAAGGTACGCGTTGTCGAGCGCGTCGAGGCCATCGAGGCCTGGGAACGACAAGGAGGGGGGGAAGAGAGCGTTGGAGGGCGAGACCGAGTCGTCGCCCTCGTCGAATGTGAATATGTCTGATGGCAGGACCGCAGACATGGTTGTGCGGGTGGTGGACGATGGAGAGTGTGTGGACGCAGCAGAAAGATGCATCAAAAGTGTCCGGTCATGAAATGCTGTCCCAGGATGTGGCCGGCCACAAGGTGGGACGACTTCAAAGTCGTTCGATGGCCACCCGCACGCCGCGCCCGAGGGTCCCTGGATTGCCAACCACCGCCAGCTTTTGGTTCCGCAGCAACAACAATGAATGTACCCGGGACACACATTTAACGTTTGTCAACTCGTGGGTGGCAGGCATGTATGGCAGGTATGCCAGGTCACATCTCACGTCTGCCTCGCACGCTGCTTGTCCTTCTTCTCCTGCTTCTCCTGCGCCGCCAGCTCCCGTGCCTTTGCACGCGTGTCAATGACCTGTGCCATCGTCAGATCGTGGCTCCAGCGTGTCCTTGTCCCCCTCCGCCCAACTCACAGTATAGTTTTCCTCCGCGCGTCGAGTCTCGTCCGACACCTCGTGCTCAAACTTGAGCGCATGTCGCAGCCATCCCACGTCATCGTCCACTTCTTGACCCCCCTCATCCTCCCCATCGCCCATCTCCTGTGCACCGCCATCGTTCTCCATCTCGGTGATCTTCTTGGTGAACATGCCCAGGTCACGCATGAGGTCATCGTCATCGTCGCGGCGTCCCTTGCGGCTGTGGCGTGTGGCCGCGCGGCCACGGCCCTTGGAGTACTTGGCCAGCTCTTGCTCGAGCGCAGAGGGACCCTTTCTCCTCTTACGGCGCGTGCTGGACGTGTCCGAATCCGAGTCTGAATCTTCTCCCATGCGCTTTTTCATCATGCGGAGGTCCTCTTGCATCCTCTCAATGTCCGTCTTGCGCGACGAGCTGTCCGTCAGTACTGTTTCTTTCAGAATATGGGCTAACCTGTCACCGAGCTTTTGGCGCTCGTGCTCGGCACGGATGGCCTTCAAGTCCACAGCCTGGCGCTCTGGCTTGCTGGTGGATGCCTCGGGCACAGCTTCAGGCTCGTTGACTGGTTCAGGGGCGACCTTCTGGACTTTCTTCTTCTTCTTCTCCTTGGGTTCGGAGCTAGTGACCACTGAGGGTCAGTGTGTGGAATGAGGGTCAGCACTCACAGTCTTGTCGTCCCAGGTCCTTCTTCTTGATGGTCACCTGCGACGCGTCTTCCTCCTCGGCCTCGCCAAAGGACAGCAGTACGGTGTTCCTAGCTGTCAGCGTTGCTCGTCAACACATGATGACTCACTTCTTTGCCTTGGCGCGCTTTGCCCTCTTCTCAGACTCCTGCCTGGCTTCCAAACGTGCTTGTTGTTGTGCGCGCTTCTCGGCGGCCGTGATACGGGGTACAATGTCGTCAAAGGGGTTCTCGATGATACGCACACCCGTAATCTTTGGAGGACTGCGGTTTGGTGAGCTAGAAGACTATCGCTAAATCGCTTACATAAGAGGTCTGTCCTCGGTGTCGATATCGAGGTTTCCAATATTCAGAACGTCTGGCGGTCAGTGGAAGGACTAGGCACCCAGCAAGTAGAACATACTGTAGTACGTCGGGCCGTTGATGCGACCAAACATTGTGTGCTTTCCCGTAAGCTCGTCGGCGCGGTCCAAGGTGATGAACCACTGCGAGTTGTTCGTGTTCCTCTTGCTGTTGTTGGCCATGCCGATCAGACCACGCCTGAGGGTCAGCACATATCCCCAACGGGGGCCAACTAACCTGTTGAACTTTAGACGGCTGTGGACCTCGTCGGCAAACGGTTCACCGTACACGCTCTCGCCACCCATGCCGGTACCCGTTGGGTCACCGGTCTGGATGATGAACCCCTTGACGATTCGGTGGAAGATGATACCGTCATAGTACCCTGGAGTAAATGTCAGTCTGTGACATGACCACAATGAAGGACGAAAGGAAGTAGGAAGGAAGCAAGGCAGGTAGGTAGGCAGAGGAAGGCGTACCTTCCATTGACAGCTGGAGAAAGTTGCGGACAGCTTTAGGACATTCCTTTCCCCAGAGCTCAATCTGGTAAATGGTGTCAGCTGATCAGCTGTGTGTAGCTGTTCCGCATGCGAGCTACAATAGCATACCTCTATCTCGCCTGACGTGGTGTCAACAATGACCTTGCCGTTCGGAGCTGGCTGTGAGGGACGTGTTAGCAAGTGGTGCAGAGGGGTCGCTGGGAGATGCGCACCTCGGTGGCGTATCTGTATATATAACATTCCAGTGTCAGAAGCAGCCACCGTTGTTATTTCCTTGTACGCACAGGTTGGACATTGTGGATGCCGGACGATGGGGGGTTTATATGTATCTATCCATACCACACATTGTCATCTCAAACGTCAATAGAAGGGGACCGACCTCCACCACCGGGACCCGCCACGCGTTCGGCAATAGCGGTGTTATGGCAGCAAAGAAGCGCGTGTGCCCGGTCGGTGTGCGCGGGGTGTGTGGGGTGGTGTTGTGCGTGTGTGTGTGTGTGGTCATTTGGTTCCGTCGCATTGTCGCCTGGGGGGTACCCACACCACTGCGCGTGCGCGCGGGGCAGCGGGGGAGAGAGCTAGTCGTGTCGACACGGCACCGGCCTCCTCCACCCATCCATTCCATCCATCCCACATCCCTCTCCCACTTCCCTTTCAACAAACAGCAACAACCCCCAACAGGCAGAGCGCAGTCCCCTGCCACAAGAGCAGCCCCAATCCCTCCTTCTCCTCCCCACCCCCTCCCTGTCCCTCGCCTTCCCCTCCTCGACCTCGTGTCCAATGTCTGAGAGCGGCCTCACGCGCCGTCGCGGCGCAGGGGCCTCAGCAGCTCGTACCTCTGGCGATGAGTTTGACGGTGCGGGCGCGTCAGGTGCTGCTGCCGCTGCACCCAGCAACGAGTATCGCAACGCATCGGCCTCGCAGGGTGCTCTTGAAGGCCGCGGCAAGGTGGCCTACGACCCCCGCGACTTCAATGACGACAACGAGTCCAAACAGCAGCCCCGTCTGACTCTCATGGAGGAGGTCCTGTTGCTCGGTCTCAAGGACAAGGCTGTACGTTTTCGTCCTGGCCATCGGGGCCATGCCCATTGTTGTACAGACTCACAAGCTGACCCCCCAACTACAGGGCTACTTGTCATTCTGGAATGACAACATTTCATACGCGCTCCGTGGCTGTATCCTGATCGAGCTTGCTCTCAGGCGGCGCATCGCCATGGTCCGTGACCCATCGAGGCGCCGACTCGCCCTCTCCGACCGCCTCATTGAGGTCATTGACGAACGCCAAACGGGCGAGACCATCCTGGACGAGGCGCTCAAGATGATCAAGAGCAGCGAGAAGTATGGCGTCGGAGCATGGATCGACCTCATGAGTGGTGAGTTTTGGGTCGTGGCAGCGCCTGCGGAGCGCGCAGCACCTGCATCATTGTCAATTACATTGCCATTGTGCCTGCTATGTCGCGAGCATCCGTCGTGGTGGTACAGCTGCTGACTCCCACTTAGGCGAGACGTGGAACGTGATGAAGATCGGCTATCAGTTGAAGCAGGTCCGCGAGCGCCTGGCCAAGGGCCTCGTCGACAAGGGCATCCTCCGCACCGAAAAGCGCAACTTCCTCCTGTTCGACATGGCTACCCACCCCATCGCCGACATGAACGCCAAGGAGGACGTCCTCCGTCGCTGCCTGTCGTTGCTCACAGCGCGCACGGCCGCCATTCCTCCACAGGCTCTCCTGAAGGAGGGCGTCAAGTACCGCCACATGCGTGCAGTCAGTCTTGTTTGTGCCGGTAAGTTTGCACTATGTGGTTGGTAGTTGTCAACAACTGACCCTCTCGTTAAGCCTACGCGTCAAGCGTCCTCGAAAATGCGCTGCAGCGCCTGTCGTATGACTCGCGCGAGGCAGCGTTCGTCCGTTGCGACGAGATTCTCGCCGAATTCTCTACGTGGCCATTCGGCATCGGCACTTCGCAGTCTGCCGGCCCGGTTCAGATTGGTGGTGGCTCGAAGCGCCGTGAGGGTGGTAGTGGCATTGGCCGTGAGAGTGTGCAGGAGCTCGTGCGGGAAGTTAGGAAGGAGATGGCTACTGGAAATGGAGGAGCCGGCTCGGGCGGAGGGGCGGAGGAGCAGGAGGAGCTCTGCTTTGAGGTTATTGCCACGGTCCTTGAGATCTTTGGCCGTATGGACAGCCTGGTAAGTCCCAAGAGCGAGATACTCTCCCTCGTGGCATCGCTGACATTTCTGTGCAGCTGTAAGCTCATTCTCGCTCACTCCCACTGGCGGCAACCCGGACCCCACTACTTAGACTTGTTATGTGAAGATGGCGGCGACTCTGTTAGGTACAATGCATATGCGCAGTATGAATGCGATTTGAATAGCCTAGGTATGAGACACACGTGGCCGCCATGCGTTCTGGCCGTTCTGGATAGGTGACGTCGTTGGATGGCGCTCAAAGCGCGCTAGGGTATGAGTCGCTGCGCTACAACTGGCCTGCTTACATGCACTTGTGTGGTGCATGACTAGAAGGCCAGGCGCAGCATCAGAGCGCAACAGCGCCAACACGCATGCTCTCAGTGCACACGCGCTCAACGTCAATGACATCAGACGACTGGAGCTGAGCTCATCCTGGGGCTCCTGCGGCTCCGATGGACACAATGCAGAGGCTGTGTAGAAGAGTCGGATTTCCGTGATTTGTCCATTTTGCCGTTTTAGCGTCCATTAACGGCTATTCGACGGTTGGCCATTGGCGGTTGTAGAGCCTCAAAAGTCGATGTGTTTGGCGCTATGCTCTAGTCGTCGTCGCAGACGGGGAAAACGGGCAAACGAAGCGCACAAGCGACCTTTCTGTGGAGCGTCAGCGGATCAGCGGCGCCTACCAACATGCCGGCTCTGCAGCTGCACGTTACATACTCTCGTGTGTGCTTCCCTGTCGAAGATACGGCTGTCAGGATGTTGACATTTTACCCGACGTTTCCCTAGATCGAGGATGGTGATGGCAAGATCGAAAAGGACAGCTTGACCTCGTCCTTCACACACACACACCAGTAAGCGAAGTGAACACGATGGCCAAGTCCCTGTGAAGATCGATAAATATCTGCTGAGTGATCCGTGACTGGAGCAGCTCCAGGCCTCTGCACACTCATGCGCTCTGCAAGCTCGTGGGCCTGGGTTCGAGAGCGTCGCTTTACCCGCGTCTCACTCACCTGCCCAGGCAGCACTCTGCCCCACTCTGGACTGGACCGTCTCTTTGACCTAGTCTAGGCTGTGAGGCGGAATTTGTGGAGTCTAGGCTATGTGCTGCTCCATGCAGCCCACATTTAGACTGTATCTTGTGTGAGTCGGCGAAAAATCGGCACAGGAGACCCACACACAACTAGTGGTGCAGCGTTCCCGAGTGGACGGACGCCAGTGTGGGGTATGCACACTCTACTCGCATTTGGTGCACTTGATCGGCGGTTACATACACTTCGGTAGGTAGTTGAGCCGTGAACTATCGAGTGTGTGAGACCGGGACAGCACACGCCCCAACACCTGGCTGGACCCCTCTCCCCCACATCTGCCGCGCGTACGCGTGCGTGTCTTGCAAACTAACGGGGCGCGGGTGATAATTATTGCGCGAGCGGAAACGATAGCCGTCCGAGGAATGAACGTCAAGAGGAATGCAACTGGGAAGCATACGTGCTCACACACGTTGTCAAGCAGCCTTTGGGCGCTTTGGGGATGTCCTGCAATTGCTTGCTGGATGCGACCAAAACAAAAAAACACAGGGGGAACGTGCGAATCAATGTCTGTTGCATTCCGGACACAACACGGATAGTATTGTCCTAAGAGTCCAGTTGGGGTTCGGCGAGTCTGTACACTATTACGTTTACAGGATGGTATTGTCAAAGGAGTAGAGTCAAAATCAAAAAGAAAAAGGGTTCGAGGTAGTAGCTAGGTTTCGTCTATATGGGGGGAAGGATCCAGTCTTCGCGCGTGATGTGTATTTAAGGTTGATCCGTCTAAAGGTAGGGCGAGTGCTCGACAGCCTGGTTCCAGGGATTGGCAACAGAGAGATACTCGTTGCCGACAGTACTGGTGTAGCAAGCGGGCTCGTCGACGGTGAGACCAATACCCAGGCCCACCAGGGGCTGCTGGGGCTGCTTCTGCTGCACGGGAAGGCCAGGGCAGAGCGTTGGGGAAGTCGAGAAGGTCGACTGGGCAAGCGGCGAAGGAGAGAACGGGAACGGCTGAGGCGTGTATGTGAGAAGGTTTGGAGTGGTCTGGAAGTAGGCCGTGTTTGGGGTGTGAGGCGGAGTTTGGAGCAGAGGCTTGCGGACGGGGGTCACGGGCATGGGGTACGAAGTCGACGTAGACGACTCTGTGGGCGAGACGGGCGCGGTGGTGTACGCAGCATAGGCGGACATGTCGTCGGACTCGGGCATGGTGGTGGCGTCCGGGGCCATGGTGTAGTGGACCATCGGAGAGACATTGATGACCGGCACGGGCGGGCCCTGGAACCAGGGGGACTCGAAGTGAGCAGGCGATGTCATGGCAGGCGCCGGGGGGAGGGGCGAGTAGGCCGGGAGGGCACCTGCACCGAGACCTGGGGTGGAGAAGGCGCGACGAGGAGGAACATGAGTGCCACGGATGGGGCCTGGTCCAGCCAGGTAGGGCATCGAGTAGACAGACTGGTCAACATAGTAAGGAGTGACGCGCTGCGTAGTGTAGGCAGACTTTGCGGCCTTGGCTGCCGCCTTCTTCTCGCGGGTTGCGCGGTTGACCTCCTCGGGGACGGGCGAGTAGTCGCAGGTGCGACGGGCGCGAGTGCAGTTGGCACAGGGCGACGAACCACAGCACTTGATCTTGCTAGAGCGGTGTGAGTAAACATTACAACCATGGGCGCAAGTGGGGGTGTAAAGTGACTAACCGATGGCGGCAATACTGGCATGCCATGGCAATACGCTGACGGCGGGTTGAGGATTCGGCGCCGCCGGGCATGATGGAGGAAAAGGATGAGACGGGTGAAAGGGTGGGCACACCGTCGAGGACGGGGGTTGCAGTCTTGTCGTTTTGCATAATGTTTGGCCGTTTGTGTGGGGGAAGGTTTAGAGCGCGGAAAATGCCGGCGCAGTTATAATGGGAGAATAGGTAGTGTGTAGGAGCGAAAGGACTGAGTGGTTGGTGCTGGATGGGACCGAAACCGCCGTTGGTGTGACTAGGTGGGGTTGGGACGAAGGTGGTCTGGACTTGGAGTTGTTGACTGTTGGTTGGGGTGGGTGGTGGGGGGGAGTGGTGGTGATGGTGGTGGTGGTGGTGGTGTAAGGGTGTGGGTGTGGCAGCTGTTGACAAAGATTCCAGTGTTCGTTGTTCCGAATGATCCAAGAGAGCGCGGAGAGATAAAGGAGAAGGTTGAGGGGAAAAGACGAGACGGGGAGGGGGATGGGAGTGGTCGGGGAGGAGAGAATGCTACGAGGTTGTTATACTTGAACGACCACCGGTGGACTCTAAATGGTGACCAGCGGCCAGCGGGAGAGAGTGCAAAACTCTGGAGGCATGTCTCGGAAGAGACGATAGACGGTTGCAGCGATCGACGGGTAGGGACGGGAGCCGAGCGGAAGCCGGCGTGGCTGAGACACGGCTGCCACGCGCGCTCGCGCGCAAGACCGGAGACCAGAGAGGTCTTACGTTGGAGAATGTGCGTTCCTCTGCTGTTGGGCCCGTCACAACACCTCTCTCTTCCGCCATCTCCGCTCGCCCACAGATAGGGGAGAAAAAAAAAAAAAAAAAAGGACGGCAAGAGAGGAACAGCACAGGGACATTGCGGTGAGAGAAAGAGAGACCGGCCATACCATTACGGCACGCACGCGACGGAACCGGCCTCCTCGGCACTTACGTCACAAACGAGAGCAAACGCAAGCGCAAGGGTTGCAGACGATGGAAAACCTTGGCTGCAGAGCCCCCCAGCCCGCGGTACCACACACAAGTGTGCACTGGCAGAGGGAGGGGATCGGAACACAGGCTCACACAACCCGGCTATGGCGCACGCCTGCCCCTGGATCCAGCAGACCCATGCCACGGCCCTCTTGTCGTTCGTTCCAACCTTTCATCCCCCTGTGCCGGCCTGTGAACCTATGTCACGTGTGTAACGGTGTGGTCCTTGTTCAGCTAGAGCAATACGGCTTCCTCCCCAATCCTCAACCTGCTGCGCAGCTAGTGGCGGAGGGCTCCTCACCGACAACGAGGCACAAACGGAGAGAGAGGGACCAGGGACGTTGCAACGCGCACGGTCGCGTGCTTTTACGCGACTTTACAGCATCTTCGCCCACCCCACTTGGCTCGCGGACCTCGTCTCGCAGTCTTGGCTAGAGCGCTAGAGCGCTAGAGCCTGGATGTAATACACGGTTCTGCGGTTCTCCTCTCGGAGGATCGGAGAGGCGTCTACCGAAATCCGCGATGGACACTGGCCCCTGGGTACACTGGCAGAGGGCAGTTCACACCGAGGCTATGAGATGGTGCATAGGCCATTGCCTGCGCCTCGTCGTCATTTCGCTCATGATTGGGAAGCGGGCCGCTGTATCCGCTGATGTGTTGGTGAGCCACATTGGACGGCAATGTGCGACCAAGTTGAGGGTGCTAGAAACAGATCCAGACCACCTCGCGACCGAGATGAGCACCGAGTGACCCAGGCTCGCGGGCTGGCAGGGCTGGCCAACACATATGACTCACCCGTGCGCGCGTAGAGGACACACCCGCGGAACAACTAGACTGTCGGCCCTGTGTTTATTACGTCCTGGAAATGTGGCGCCCATTATCCCCCTCGGTCCAGCCTGGGCCGGTAGAAAAAAACAAACGAGTGGCTGTCTTGACGCTAGAGGCCTAGAGGCCCTTGGTTGGCCAGGCGTGCGCGGCAGGTGCAAGCCTCCGCGGCTCAACGTTTAATGGAGCCGGGGAGAGAGGTGAGAAACCATTTCTCTCCGGCACAGGGCGGAGGCGGAGGCGGCTGACGCCGCGAGGCCTCGTAGTGTGTCGTCAGGCGCCAGAGGCGCGCCAGGCAATTGCAGGCAACGAGCCCCGCGCGCACATCGGCTCCACGAGCGAGACAAAGAATCAGGGCCCCCACCTTGCGCACTTGTACACACCTGGCGCGCGCCCAAGAAAACGGCGTCAGGTTTCCGAGCTGTCCAGCAACCGAGATGACTCGGAAACCAGCGCGCGCAAAGGGCGGCGCTTGCTTCATAAACCTGCGCTGGCGTGCTGTCCGACACTTTTACTTTGATTGGGGACGACAAAACCCTGGAGCAGTGACGACCCGGTCCGGCGCCGCGATGAGCCACCCCTGCGCGAGAGCCACACGCCTCATCGGCGACTTTGATCGTCACGACGACCGTGCAACAAGCGCCACGCAGCTGCACGTCGACGGTAATCACAGCAGTCACACACGAGCCGCACTTTTGACGGGGCCTCGACCGCAGATCCACATCAGCGATGGTGTTGGCAGAAGACAGAGCGCTCGCTCGGTACGCTTGGTACGGAAGGTGCGGCATGCTTCATACCTCGCGGCCACGTTGGCCACCAACATGTCGTACTGTCGTAGACGGCGTCGCCAACCGGCCCACAGACACAGGGCACGTCGAGGCTCAACCGTCATGAGCGAAGTGGCGCTGTCAAGTCGCGCTTGCGTTGTCGTAAATATGTTGTCAACGGCGTGGTGTGGGCCAGAGGCCCATTCCAACTGTGCCTGCCCACACAGTAGTAGTTGCACATGCTGTGAAGGTGTCAGGCGGGCCACAGTTCCAGGTCCACACCGCTCTGTCACTCGATACCAGGACACCTGTGCTCGACGGCTAGCAGGGGGCAACAGACAATGAGTCGGCGCCCATCCCCAACCATCACACCTCATGAAGCTGTCACGAGCCATAGGCCATGCCGTGATCAGATGGCCACCATAACCTTGTCGGCAAGAGCTCCAGGTTAGCGTTGGAATGATCCTCGCGTCCTTTTGTGTTCATTTTTTACCCGTGCCTACAGCCCAATCTCTCACAAGATGCTGTTTGTTTGCCTCTGGGCTCTGGGCCTCTAAACCTCTGAACTTTTGAAGCGTGCGCTCCTCTTCTCGGCATGCGCACGTATAGCTGTAGCGGTTGCTTCAATATTAGGCGCGGATGCTTGGGAACAAGTAAGGAGCTCGGAGCTTCACAGCCGTAGCTGTTGTGTCTGTCGTTGCCGTGCCGCCCGTAGTGCCGTGCCGTGGCAAACCACATGTATGCCGTACAGCCCGAGTCGCCTCCCTCTGGGCCTGTTCTGCCCCATGGGCCATTCCGAGCGGACCAAGATGCGCAGTGCCTGTGCCGGACCAGAGGACACCCGGTTCCGCGCAACAGTAGTTTGGCTCACCTCTGCCAGGAACTTTGGCCCTTTGGCTGCTGGCCTACAATACAAGGGGGGGGGGGGGGGGGCTGCGACGCGTGATCCCTGCCGCACATGGAGTGCCAGGGACGGAAGAGAGAGAGAGAGAGAGAGATGAGCGTCGCAACCGCGGCCGATCGACTGAGACTGGTTTCGCACTCCCTTTTGCCGCTCATCATCAATGACCAGTGGCCAGTGGGCTGACGATCTCCAGATCAGACGCCGGTGCGCATGGCCAAGCGAACGTGCCACCCTGCCACCACATGGTACATGGTCGTCTCCGCCGACCAGCCATGGCCAGCCATACTGCTGTTTAGGACAATCCTTCACAATGTCCGTTCATTGTTTCACTCTACCGCCCATCAGCATGCATCATTAGGTGGCGGCGGATGAGTCGGTTCCCCGTTGTGGCAAAAAACACGTTCAGATGTTCCATTCATGCCACTCACAAACGAACATCGACCTCGATATTCTTAAACAAAGCAACATTAGCAAATGTTCTTGGACTGCGTCATGCAGTCATTTCGTGTGGGCGGGCAGAAACAGAACTCATATCAAGTCAGCATAATGAGGCGCCATCGCTTTTGATTGCAGATATCCACTGGCGGGGCAACAAAAGTGTAGGATTCACAGGACGAACGACCACGCACGTAGCAGAGAGAGAGCGTCGGTGAGTAAAGACTCGTCTCACGGCCCTCACGGTGGAGCAGGAACCACAACAGCACACCAAATCCAAGCAGACCACAGAGTCAAAGCGTAAACGAAGACGGGAAGACCAAGTAATGATGTTGCGGTGTCAGCAGTTCAGAAGTCGTGTGCCTTGCTCGCGCCACGACACGTACCGTAACTCACTACTTGATTCTCTCTTCGGATCCTCCGGTTTTGGCTCGGTACCTACCTCCGCGCGTAGGAAGCCGTCGACGGTGCGTTAAGCAACTATGTGAGCGGTCCTAATTAACAGTCAGAAGTTAGCAATGGGCACAGAGCGGATGACAACGTACTGTACTATGTGCCCTCGGCCAATCACTAACATATAGTTTCACTGCACAGTCGTGGAGGTGTTCCGGGAGTGACACAATGCCCGCTTGAGGGCCGGAATCGAGTAAGAGCAGCGCTGCCAGCGCGTTAAAGCCAGTGGCTGTAATACACGTAGACGAAGGCCGGGACCCAGCATCCGGAACTCAACAATCCGCCAGAAAGGGACGGTCAGGTCAACTCACCTGCCCTCGGTCGCTGATTTCCAGAAGGCATGTGTCGCTCGCAGATTGCAGACCATCGCCGTCCCCTGTGTAGCACCCGAAACGGCCGGGCAATGTATCGGGGATGACCACTCAATGAAAGGAGGGCCCAATTTCGCCCAGAAACTCCCCTCGTTCTGGATCTGAGTGCCTTGGAAATGCATAGCAATTAAAATCACGGGCTCTGAGAGGAGGGTGTGAGAGGGGTTGCAGAGCAACTTGTGTGCAGCAGCGTGGAGCGGAATCGACGGCGAGTATCGGACAGGCGGATTGACGTCGTTGACCTACTCATACGCATCCAAGGACCGAGGGACACAGTTCCTTTTTGTTGCTCAGTGCCTGTCACTCGCCGCGTGTGAGGCCCACAAACAGAGGTCCTGTTAACTCCTGGAATGGGGTAACGACGTCTGCGGCGCGTCGCGTGGCCTCTTCTGAGGGTTGTAAAGGACATGTGGCGGCGGTCTATGTACAGTATAAGCGCATGATCTCATGACAGGTCGCAACGCGTTGCCGCTCTCGCGCTGCCCACCACCGCTCACTCCGTGTAACGTTTTCACCGTCGCTCACACTCACGGTCGCTCAAGCATCACGCATCTTTCAAGTTATTCCTCGTGAAACTGATATGGCACATACTAACCAGATGCGGGCTCACCATCACTGCGGCAGACTCCATGTAACACCGAGTATCGGTTTGTCCCCCCGTACATGATGATTCGGTCCACTGCTGTCCACAACGCAGTGCCATGTGGGGAGGGCTCCAGCGATGCATTCTGGCGCCTGGCTGCCGCCCTGCCGCCGTTCCGTTCCATGCCACTCCGCGGACCGAAACTGGAAACCAATCCGTCTTGGCAAGGTACCATGTCCAACATTTGGTGACGCGACAGCAACCGAGCAAACACGCACACGTGCCGTACTGGATGCCGCGCATGCCTGTGTTTAGACGCATCCAGCACGCGTCGTGTACGTTGGACCGTGCATGGGGCAATTGAGACACCGAACAAGCAGTGCACCTGTACTGCCCCCCAATTTCATTTGGTACCTATACCTGAGGCTGCTGTGTTCGTACAATCAATCTAAGGCCAGCAAAGGAGCAAGAGGGGGAAGGCTAGAGCTGGAACGGTCCTTGGATGCCAACATACCTAGCCCACAACACAAGCCACGAGCTACGAGAGTGGGCGGATAGCGGAGCTGGGAACCCGCATTCCATTTGCTATTTGCCTCCCGCGTTCGACGTGCAGATTGCAAACGCACGCGTGAGAGTGCTGCGAGGCCCCTTGCGGCCCCAATACAGTGTACAGTGACGCGCTGAACGTGCCCAAGGAATCCAGATAATCGCGTAATGACAGTACAACTCCCCCGTCGTCTTGCCAGCTTGGCAACCCGCAGGGAGCGCGATTGCTTCCGCAGTCATCACACCTCCCCCAATGCGATTAGAATGCCGTGGTATCACATACCATGCGGGCGGCTCACACACTACTTTCACATGCCACAAGCGACAGCGACTCCGAGATTGGGTGACTGAGGGACCAAATTGCTGAGACCGACCGCTTCGTTATGTCCCTTTTGTGATGCAACATTGCATGCCATGTATGTTCACAGTAGGCCGCCTCTTCACTAAGGTCGCATAGGGCGTAACCACCTGTCTGCCCGCTCGAACTGCTCAATGACATCGGGCTGGATGACCGTGTTTGCGACGGAGGGGTTGGGCCCCTGTTCCTGATTGAGCGTGCGAATGGCGACCATAATCTTGTCACAAAGTTAGGCACAACTCGGGGGGCGAATACAAGGTCACGTACAGCGTCCCAGAAGCGGAAGCCTCTGTCCACCTCCAGCGTCGGATTCTTGACTCCCGTAAAGGCTTGGTCAACAAATTCCAGTGCTGACTGCTTGGCAGTGTTAACTGCTTCCGAATCGGCGTTTTCTTCCGTAATAGTGTCGCCAAAGTGGAATGTAGCGGCGTCCAGATACGTCTTGGCAAGGATGCCAAAGCCAGTGTTGACGTCGGACTGGAACGGAAGGCCTAAATAGGAAGGTGGTCAGACGCGATCCTCCGCCATTCAGATCCAACGCGGATTCGACTTACTGATGCACATGTCCAGGTAGTCGTCACGTTCGCGGTTGCGTCGTGCGTTTCCGGCGAGAAGAATGTGCACGTTGATTGCCTCCAACAACTGACGCAGCGCCTTGGTAGTTGCTTTTACGAATGAATTGAAGACGAGCAGCTCACGCGACAAGGGACCTGCCCACTGCTCTGGCTGATCTTGTCAGCCACGTCCCGAACGATGAGCTTCTTACACGGAAGTTGAGGGGCACAGCGGAGAGGACACGCATGATGAGTAGGATGTTACTCTGCTCCTCATCGGTGCCAAAGCTAGGGCCACCAGAGAGGACAGGCGCGGAGTGTCCACCGAAGCGGTGGCCATGGACAACACCAGCGCGAAGCAGCTCGAGAATGATGTAGATGGGTTCTTGAAGTTTATCGGTGACCCTCGAAGTGAGAGACGCGGCGTGGAAGGCCTTGCCCATCTGGGTCTGGTGGTGGCTAGCATTGACGAATCTGCCGGTAAGCTCACATACTTGCGATCTCCTCACTCACCCTCGAACGTCAATGAAGCGCCAAATAATGTTGGCAACGATCTCGTCCTTCTTGTCCAGGACCTTGGCACCCTTTTCCTTCTTGGTGTACGCAATGGTCTCCTCCTTCTCGAGCGTTCCGATACAGAGCTTCAGGTCAATGGTAGACGACTGCCATGTCAGAGAGAACCACGGCACATTGTACTCACGCCCTGTCGCCTCAGCTCGTCACTCAGCACCTGGTGGGGCACCATCCATGTCGCGCACTTCTCCACCAACGACTGCGTCAGGGGGTCACCGATAGGAACAGCTGTGCCCATCGGCGGGGCGTATGGAGCGTCAAAGTAATAATGGGCAGTCTGAAATACGCGGTCAGCAACAATGCTGCAGTTCGTATGCGATCTCGATACTCACGACACGCTTTTGAGACCACTGGGGATGAAGGCCAGCGGTGAGGAGAGCTAGGGTGGTGCACTTGGGCGAAGTGGCACCCTCTGTGATAATGTCCTTGATGAAGCGACGGTACTCTGGCGAGTCGGCAAGCGGCTGGCGCTCATCAATGAAGCCAGATGTAAGACAGCCCACCAAGCTCGACGAGACCATGCCACGGCAGATGAGGAAGTACAGCTCGTCCGGCAAGCGGGGTGAGAAGATCTCGTCCAGATCCGAGGGAACATCCGTGGGAGTGACCACTGCCCCTTGTGGGGGGACGACGAGGGGTAGAGGAAGGCAAGTACCTTCTGTGGTGAGCACGAGAGAGTACTTGACCGCTAGGCGAGCGCGCATGAACGACTCGGTGTACCCGGGAGCCTTCATCTGTGGCATCTGCTGGTACGCCTGACAGGTTGCAATACCCGACTTGTACTGGCGGATGAGATCGATGGCGTTACGCATGGAGAAGGCATCTGAAATGGGCGGCAGCGTGCGAAGAAGGGAGCATCCTGAGAGCAGGCAGAGGTCAAGGAACTGGTCTGCCGTGAAACCAAAGTCGCCGAGCACACGCTGCTTGTCGAGGAAGGTAAAGCTACCCGACCACTCGATGGAGGTGATGACCTTGTCAACGGTCCAAAGAAGTGCCTCGGAGTCGGACCAGATTGCGTGAATGTACCCCTTGGGGTGGCGAAGGAGATAGGAGAGCTATCATGAGCCTTTTGTACATCTCTTTCCGTTCCACAACACTCACTTGGGCAGCAGAAAGGTAAGGGGCAATGACGTACTCGACCTGGCGGTGCTTGAACGCGCGGAGGATGAGACGCACGACATCCTGTGTGTCGACCCAGATGCCACCCTTGATCTGCGTAAGGGCAACAACCGCACGGTCGACCTGACCATCCTCGTAGTAGGCCCAGGCTTCGTTCTTGACAGCATTCTCTCTCTCCATCTGCGGATTGGGACCCTTGGGGGGCGGACGCTGGGCAAGCGGCAGACCGGAGAAGACAAAGACTGGCTTGATGCGGGCCTTGTCGAGCTGACGAAGGTCACTCTCAATGCGGTTGGCAAGCGAGAGAGGTAGGCCACCAGTCGATGCGATCAAGGGCTCGCGTTGATCGGGGTCCTGCAGCAGTGTGCGAACATAATAGTTGACGTCGATGCCGAGTCGTGTGCCTTGCAGCGCGCTCAGAGGAGCCGACTGAATCAGCTTTCTTTCGCGGAGATAGACTGCTCGGTAAGCGGGTTGCCAATAGAGCGTTCAGTACACTTACCATCAAGATTCCTGACAGGCATCGTTGGCTAGATTTGTTGAGAAGTGCGAAGGGGTGCAAAGGGAGTTCGAGTTGGAAGGGGGCGGGACCGGAAACCAGATTCGCAAAGCGATATTGTGACTGCCGGTGGGCGACCAATCCTTTCAGCCAGCGACGTGGTATAACTTGCTGCTGCTGCTGCTGCTGTGGCGATTCGAAGAAGCTAGAGGTGAGGAGGATAGGAGTGGACAATTGAGACGAAGATGCGGTGGCGCGCGGCTGTGGGGGGTCGTTGATGACACCCAGGCTGCCGCAACACGCAGCGCGCGGCGCGCGGCACACATGCGGCCACGTGGAAATTCCCTGAACGTCCACAGCCTCAAACGCTGGCAACACGCAACATTCCACGCCAGCTGCACCTCTCTCTCTCAGTTCACAGAGCACACGTCCGTTGGCCGTTGGCCTCCTTCCTTATCACACATACAGTCCACATACAGTCCACATACAGTCTCATGCTGCTACGTACATGCGCTCACTCATATGTGGCAATGGTAGTTGTCTATTTACATTGGCGACTCTGCGACTCTGTCGTGTTCGTACATCCTTGCCTCAGGCTGGGGACCAGGCGCCTTGGACAGCAGAAAGCGCAGAACTGGGCTCAAGGGAGCGGTCCAGCGACTGGTTAAATAGCTTGTCCTTGACAACCTGGGCCGTCATGGCATTCTTGGCTTCGTTCGCAATCTGGAGGCTATGCCGCATCAGTACGCGCGTTTGACCAGACGGCACAGACAAAGCACTTACCCGTCCTTTGACGGCGCCGTAAGAGCCGAGGCTTCCATCTCGACACCAGCAAAGTGGCTACCTCCCTTCTTCGGCTTGTCTTCCTTGCTAGAGGGGGGGAGGGAGCGGAGCTTGAGGTCAGCCGAAGACTCGCTCAGCTTGTTGGCAGCCGATGCGAGCTTTGCATTCAAGTCCTTCAGTTGGGACGTGCCGTACGAGCGGTTCTGTGGGGTTAGCATGAACAGCGTCTGCCGACAAATGTGTACACTCACAGAGAGGATGTTGCTCTGGCTAAGTGTCGCCACCCAGTACTTGTTCCAAAGGAGATCAAGGAGTTTTTCATCGGTCTGCGTCTTGAAGATTTCAATCTTGAGTGGATAATAGGCGTTGGCATGGGCGCCAAAGTCCTCAATCTTGTCCATTGGAATAGACTGGTACTCGGAGCTGCCAGCCGAGGGAGGAGTGTATCCCTAAAGAGGATGAGCTCTCTGAACATGGAAATATACCCGGCCACACGCACTTCGGGGTAGGTACGGAAAGCCCCAATCTCGACCTTGCCGGCGGACACAGTTCTGTTGGGGTCGATCTAGTCGTCAGCATACTAAAGCATATAAATGCGTAACATACCACCACAGCCAGATATGGGTCGGTAAACTTCTGGTTGTGCAGTTGGGTATTGACATCAATGCCGGACAGCCAGCAACCATATCCGGGGTGGCTTAACAGTCAGCTGGTTGAATGATGCCCTGTGTAGCTTACGAGTGGTACCATCCACGGAGAAGCTCGGTCTTGCCCGCTCTCTCGTTTGCTGTCTGGAATTGGACCATGTACTCCATTGCCTGCGCAGGTGTTAGTTCAGGCCGCCACCATTGACCCCTCGCAAACGGGACCGAGACTTGCCTCGTTACCAGCGTTAACGCGGGTCTCCGTACCCTGCACTGGAAGAGCGGCAGCGTCCGTAATCCAGAAGGCGCGATCGCGCACTTTGCCGTACATCACACCCATGATTTCGTATTGGCCACCAGAGCGTGCGTGGATGGCCTTGGAGGTAAGCAAGCGGGATGGTGAGCGAGACCGAACACACCATTTTGATCAGAGCCACGGCCGAAATCTTTACCGTCTGAAAGTAGTGGGGGCTAGAACAGAGTCAGCAACAAAGAGTAGTAGAGGTCTTGAGCACATACTCAGTCTTCCATGGCGCGTCGTTGTCAAGCTGAGCCTCCTCCTGGCGGTCGTAAAGGAAGACGGACTCGGCCGTGTTAAGCAGCTGATCGTCAGTGTCGTGCTAAAGGAGCAAACTCACGTTAACGTTGTTGTTAATTTCGAATGTTCCTCTGGCTGCCTTCTCCATCGTGATAGAGTGGGCTGTAGCCGCTGGAGTCGTTGGAGGAGAGCGAAGGCACAGAGGAAGGTTGTCTGCAATGAGTGGACTCGGATATGAGTGATTCGGTGGCCATGACGCGGTTGACCGGACCCATTCCCTACCGCCGCGTCCATCACGTGACTTAACCTTCTTCCGTTAATTACGTAATTGAGTTTTATCTTTGTCTATATAACCCCCCCCCTTTCTACCACCACACGTCGTGTCTGTCTGTCACGATCGGGCGGGGCCTCCCACACATGGACGTTGCACATATATGCATCCCCCGCTTAACGCTTCCTTTGTGGCCCGTGGCCTGTGGCGTGTTTCAACACACGAGTACAAGTTCCATCGCATGAGCAGCCGGCCCGTGATACCGTGGTGAGCTTGGACCATGTACCACCACCTCGAAACCACTTTGGCAACGCAAGGGTTGCCTTCTGGCTGCCAAGAAACACCCCAATGCACTGTCGCTCGACTTACGACTGTGTATAGTTCATGCGCACACTTTCTGCGCGCTGCCAAGATCGCCACGCTTAGACCACCAGAAATCGCAGTCGCTCGCACCTCTTCATCGGGCTTGTTTGAGAGTCGTCTTGGGGAGGGTATGCACCCACCGCCACCATGACCATGCCGGGGCGAGAGGCCGAGAGGGCATCAATGGCACAGGCCGCAGACGATGCACCGCCCAGTAGTGGATGCGGACGTACGTCATTGCTGTCCAAAAAGGTGGGGAACATGTTGTCCAGTGGCCAGTGGCCAGTGGTAGGCACACTACAGGAAGCACGGGTCGTGCACGCGTCACAACAGTACAACAGACACATTCGAAGCACATTCCTTTTGCCTGCTCGCGTTGTCCTTCTGCTCCCACTCGCCCAATCCCTCCCCGGCTCCTAATAACCCCTGGGCAAAACGCAACCGTGCGGTCCATCAACCTGGAGGGCATACACCCACCTGACCCTCTCCTTGGCTTGGCTATTCCGGGTTGTAGCAGGTATCACGCTGTTTCAAGCGCACCCGTTTTGGACTTGGCTTGACTGGCCGCCTGGCAGGTGACCTTGCTCGCCAATGCCTGGCCTTGGACGCGACCTCCGCGCGCCATCACCACAACAGGACAAAGCGCGCGGCTGGGTGGCGTCTGTCACCACCCCTCTGCAGAACCAGCCCCTCTAACCATGACGCTCTAACACCTTGCCGTGTGCTCTGGCTCTGGCTCTGGCTCTGGCTCTGGCTCTGGGTCCCTCGCGCTCCAACTCTTCCCTTTGTCTTGGGTAATTAACGTCTCTCGTTCTCCCACTGTCTCGACGACAATCACCCACGCTCTTTACTTAACTTATCATTCTGTCTCTTGCTTGACTGCCATCTTTCCACGACTTTACGACCCCCTCATCTCCATAATGGTTGCCATCCACGCCTTGACCCTGTTCGGGCTGCTTCCAGCTCTCGCACTCAGTGCCCACATTCCCCATGACTCTCGTCACGTCAAGGTCTCCGTCGCTCCCCGTAATGGTGCCATTGCCGACGGTGCCAACGCTGGTCACCGCTCTGTCTCGCGCGCCATCAAGAAGCGCAGCTGCAAAGCGAAGACCGCCTCCGCTTCCGCTGCCACTTCGGCTGCGAGCGACGACACCTGGTCGGCTTCAGCTACCGAGGCCGCGGCCTCTGTTACTGAGACAGCTAGCTGGAGCCAGACTACATCGACGGACGATGCTTCCACGACTGAGGCTACTGTTTCTGACGACGCCAACGAAGCGTCGATCACGAACGAGTCGAGTGCCGACTCTTGGTCGTCGTCATCGTCGGATGAAGCTACTGCCACTTGGTCCTCTGAGGTAAGTGGCTCCTACCCCTTTCTGTTCATGAAAGGCAACTGACTCTGAGCAGTCTTCCAGCGCCACCCTCGCCGTTTCGAACGCCTACAGCAGCAGCGGTTCGTCGGGTAGCCTTCTTTCCGTCACTGACGCGTGAGTATGCGTAACAACTGCAGATGGGCGCTTGTATCCAAACTGATCAACAGGACCTGTGGTTGGTGCGAGTCATCCGACTCGGCTCCCAACGGTTCGGAAGACTGGCTCAACTGTGGTATCACTGGAAGCGGTTGGACCCCTCCCATGGTGACCATTGACCAACTCGTCTCTGTCGCGCTCACAAGCTCCGGTCCTTTTGCCGCTTGCGCCGACTACTTTGACAAGTTTGACACCTATGGATCGCAGTATGGCCTCCCTCCTATCCTACTTGCATCCATCGCCCTCCAGGAGTCGAGCTGTGACCCTTCTGTTACCGGTGGTAACGGCGAGGCTGGTCTCATGCAGCTTGCCAGCGGCAACTGTGCCGACGCACCTGACGGCAAGTGAGTCCCACGGTTTCCCTTGCGGTGCTTGAAAAGAACCAAGCTCATGCCGCGACCAGCTGCTACGATGTCGACTACAACATTGAAGGTGGTGCCAAGTACTTTGCCCAGGTGCTCTCTGACAACAGCGGTAACGCTCTGGCAGCCCTCGGCTCGTACAACGGGTGGTTCGTTGGCATGACCGTTGCCGACGCCACGGCCGCCAAGGCTGCCGGCGACTGCCACGCTCAGGTGAGATTATCCATGGACAACATTTGAATTTGGTACTGACTTCAAAGAACAACCTCGACTACCTCACTCAGACCTTCAACGGCTGGATGCAGGGCATCGAGGGCTACAACCTCGGCTCCTACCGTGAGTTTACACAAAGAATGTTCCTGACAAATGCAGGCAACCTCGACGGCTGTTAGTACACTGCGCAACCTCGAACATCAATTTGGTTTTCCTTCTCTCATCTCTTCTTTCCCCCCCCCCCCCCAGCTTGCACCACTTCCCTCTGGTGCCGCCGTGACATATTATATGTTATCCCTATGCAATGGGGCGAACTCGAATTTCCCTCTTGTCTTAGCCTCAGTCCTCATCTTTCTGCCACCTCTAGGGTATATGGCGTGGGGTCGCAGGTTGCACTTGCATTTCTTACACTCTGCAGGCGTTCATTGACTCAGCAAACCAACCCTGTGTGTCATAGCGTACAGCAAAAGACATATAGGAAGGATGCTTGCGGTTGAAGGTTGAGAGCGTGTGGCACTCAGTATGGGCGCATTACTGCAAGCCCTTTGGCAGCTTGGCATGCTTTATTTTATGTAAAGCGTAGCCTCCCTCTGCGTAGATAGATATCAGGAGCATTTACCTGACAAAACAGCATGTTTTCATAGTGTCTGTCCTTGGTCACCCGCTAATGTCCAGTTCTCCAGAGCCCAGAGGAGTTGCCCCCTCACTTTGCTACTGCTCATCGTTGGCTGCCGTTGCCCGCTGTCGAATGCAAAAATTTCATGTGGGGACTAAGTTGATGCTAAATAGTGTGGGATATGCTACTCCTGATCCTCGCTCCAACCCCGCTCCCAGACGTTCTTTTCTGGCCACCTTGACTCGAACCATCGGTTCATAATCTTGCGCACTTCCTCGTAGCCCCTTTCAATGTCGTCGTTAAGTCCCAGGATTGAGACTTTGGGGTTCTTGTCTAGCATATCGTTAAACACCTTGAGAGCGTGGTTGGGGTCCTTCAGCATGTGGAAGTGGGATACAGATTTGCCTGTGGAACAGTCAGCCAAGGGGTGTCTCTCAAAAGACTGTGGCGAGAGTACGTACCGTGGCTATATTGGTAACGTGAGAGCAGATGCATGGTATATTCGCGGAGGTTGACAGCCTCGCCGGGCATCGACGTTGTTGCTAGAACGCGTGACATCGAAAAGTCGGCCTCTTGCCATGTTGGTGTGAGTGGCAGGTGCGCGACAGGCACAAATGAGGGTGAGGGGTTGGTTGACGGGTTAACAAAGGTGGCATCCTCTGCGGGGAAGAAGGCGGAGAGACCCTTCGGGCCAGACGCAGTGACGAGTGCCATGATCACTGGAAACAGTCAGCACTTTAAGAGTTCTTTGAACAGCTCCGAAAGACCTACTGCAGTCACCGCACTCCGGATGCTGGAAGGTCAGACGCTTGAACATTTCATCCGCGGGGATGCTGGCGTCGGTCTGGTCCCAGAACGGGCCAAAGCAATGCTGAAGGTCCAGATTACACCAGTCGTTTAGGTTCTCGTTCGATCCCGGCTTGAGAATGCGAGGAATGTGGCCATCCATCGAGGAGAACTTGAAGTCGGTCGCCTTGGGCGCGGCCCAACCGGCCTTGCCAAAGGTCTCCTTCATGCTTTGGAGCGTTTTGCGCTCGCCCCGATGAACCTCGATTTGAACGACGTCCTCGTCGCCTTTACCGAGTTCGAAAAGGTTCTTGATTGCAGCGCGGGAGTCGTCACCCCATTGACCATTGGCACCACCGAGGTTGGCAACGGCCCAGGTCCACAGAAGGGCTTCGCGCCATCGCTCAACACGAAGCGCAGTCAGGAGCCACTGCATTTGGACGTCACCCTCCCCAAACTTGACCTCGCGGAAACGGCGCGAGCCACTGATGGTGAGGGCCTCCTGGAACATGATACTGGCCTCGTGATGAAGACTGCGAGTGATGATCTTGGGCGCATGCGCAAAGTAGGGACGCAGGCGATGAGGGAAACGTTGCGACAGCAAGTAGTTTGCGTGCCACAGACCACCAAGCTCGCCAGCGTCGTTGAAACGGGCCTCTTCGAGAACCGGGCGGACCTGTTGGAACCACTGTGAGGTTAGCAAACCTGTTGGGACACAAGAAGCTCACCCCCCAATCAAATCGAACAACGTTTCCGTAAAGCGGCGAGTGAAAGTCGGAGACGGCGTGAGGACGAAGGATAAAAAAGTCGTCGTTCAAGGCCAGGGCGACGTCTGCGAGCCCAGGTAGCCATCCGATTCGGCTCTCAATGGCCATCGAGTTGTACGACGGAAGAGCCTTCTTCCTCCACTCCTTCTCCCTCCACTCGGTTTCGCCAGCATCATCGATATCTGCGCGGTCTCGCGTGGGGAGATGGAAGATTTCAGAGTGCGCAGCGTACCGAAGCTGCGGGTATTTGACTTCGCCCCGCCACTGGGTCTCTGACTCGTTGTGGGGCGACTGCTCGGCGGGGTGGTCTGGCGAGTTGGGGTCGAGCTTGGAAAAGTCCAACCAAGTCGGTGTCTGGGAGACCCTCCAGTTCTCAGACAGGTGGCTAGCCAGCGCATTGGAGATTTCGGTCTCTGAAGTACCATTGTACCTCTCGGCCGAACTGCGATCTGCGCGGTGGTGTTTCATCTCATCCTCAAGGAGGTCAATTGTCGACTGTGGTAACAGGTCGACATCCCGCTGAACGTCAAATGCGTAGTCGTAGAGAATGAGATGACAGGTGCGGATGTGACCCTCAAGAGCCTTGACCACGGAGCGCATCGAGTACTTGAGCTCGTTTTGCTCACGGAAGTGTCGCTCTGGCGAGTAGACGTTGTGGACTTTGCGCCAGGTGGCCATCTCGCCCGCCCACCTCGAGTCTGAGCCGTTGACCCAGAGCCACGTAGCATCGAGAGTGTCCTCCTCACCGAGCTCTTCGGGAGTGCACGTGATCTCGCCGTCCATGAACCAGCTCTCCATGCAGTGTTTTGGGAGGAAGCGAGTGGGCCTCAAACGAGGGAAAGGTGACGGAGGTGGGATGGGGGCGAAGGGTCGATAACGGGGGTCAAGCGAGTCGAGGCTGTCCTCCCCTTGTCGGTCTGGCGTTGGGGGAAACAGCGACTCGACACGGACAGTGGTGTCCTCTGGCGAGAGTGTTTTCCACGACGGCAGGGGGAGAGCGTAGAGATATCGGTGGACCAGCCATAACGATACCGACCAGAGGAGTAAAGGAGTGAGGATGCGGGGCGTCAAGAGGTGTCGCACGCGAGAAGACATGTTGAGCCGACGCCTGGCAACATGGGCTCGTCGATAAGTGGGAGAAGAAGGTGATGGCGACCTGTCGGTATAGCTTGAGGACCTCGTCGATGAGCTCGGTTCTGAGTTGCCATAGCCAACTGCGGGAGGCGTCATTTGCGCCGCAGTCGCAAGGACGGGGTCGTAGGATCGTAGGAGGCAGAATTGTCAGGCGAGCGGTCGTAGAGTGTAGGATAACGGGCGGATTATTTGTTTGGTAGGGAGGGGGAAGACAAAGGCGGTGGCTGCGGATCGCGCACTCGTCCTGCGAGGGTGATGGGAGCAGCTTGTACGTGTGTGGTGTTGATGGTAGTGGCAAAAGGGTGAGATACACTGTGGTACTGTGGTGAGACGAGAGAGTAGAAGGGGGTTTGCTGGCAGCGAGCGACGAGGGAAGCGGCGGTAGGAAAGGATTGAATGCAGGGAACTGCGGCGGGGGTGTGGGTTGAGACACACACACAGAGTGAGCTCCGGGGGTGGAAACATGACGCTGCTGCTTGGTCCCATGTCTTGCATGCGCTTGGCGGGCGATGGGCGGGGGGGGGGGGGGGGGTGGAGCCCGACAGACTGCATGCCCACACGCGCCCACACGCGCGCCCACACGATGCACAACGCACTCGACCACCAAAAGCCGACTGCGGTCTCCGTCCTGGCGCGTCAGCGTGTTGTCGCCTGAGTGGCTCGAGGATGGGGGTGGCCCGTCGCTCTTTGACTGCGCAGCAGAGTTTGCATGCAAAAGGGGGCGGCGGCGGCACACGACTGCCGTTGGAGATGCATTCCGTGCGCTCCAGCCGACGCACGCGACCCACCCAGTGCACCAGTGTCTCTCTCTACAGGCAACAAAGTAGTGCCAAGTGCCCGATCTCAGGGGCTAAAAACAGCGCGCTGGTCACTGGATCACTGCTGCGCAGTAGCAGACCAAGCCCCATCATCCCCCCCTCTTCATGCATTTCCCCCGGTGTCGTGGCTCCCTCTCGACGCGTCCACAGCCTCTCGCCGCCACTCTCGCGTCATGCACAAAGGGGGAGGTCACAGCGCCGCTGGCCGTTGGGATCTTTTGGGTCGTCAAATTCTGTGAAACAAGCGCGGTCATAACGCCAAGCAGTTACCGGCTTTTCAAACCCTTTGACCGCAAAATCGCAGCCAACAGTGCAACAGGCCACAAAGGCAAAAACCCTCACCCCCCCCCCCCCCCCCCCGCGGCCGTCCGTCATGCGATCGTCATCTCTCTCTGATACCAGCGGGTGGAGCGGGGCAGTGCGCACTGCCCAAGACATTCGGCGTCTGCGTATTCACAGTTTTTGGTCGCTCTTAAATCACTCTGCAGCGCTCCGACGGCTATCGCAGCATAGCACTGCCAGCCCACGGATATACCCGGTTGTATCGCCATTAAGAAAACATATAAACCAAGGAACTATAGCACTACTGTATAGAAGAAATCAACTACTGTACTGCGTAGCAGCACCGATCAAACCACCCATTCTGTTACAAGATGACACACAGCGGCTTGCGCGACCGCCCACCCGACGCACGGGACCCCAAAGCCACCTGCGCAGCGGTTACGATTGCTTCTTGCACGCCCCGGTTATACTTGGCTGAGCACTCTTTTGCCGTTAGCACTTGTCATCGCCACAGACCCGCAGACTCGCAGCCTCGCAGCCCCGCAGACCCGCAGACTACTGACCGAGGTATCTCGTAGCTTTGATTTTGCGTGCTACTGCGAGCCCTTGACCGTACTGCACTGGACGCAAGCCCTGCTGTGCGAGCGTCTGGACCACATCTGGGTCGTCGCGTAGGTCACATTTTAAGGCTTGACGCGAATCAGCCATGTAAGGTCCTATCCCTTACCAGCCAGAAGAATCTTGACGCCAGGACAATTGTCATTGACTTCCGGGATCCACTGAGGTCGTGTCAGCTCAACTACTTTGCTGCGCGTACCTTTGTCTCAATATTGTCCAAAGACACTGGCCTATCAACCGAAAAACAGACCAGAACTACGTGCGTGTCTGCGTAAGACAAAGACCGTAGCATGTCAAAGTCTTCCTGTCCTGGAACGGTTCAGCACGGACTCTTCAGTGTCAACGCAACAAACAACACACCTGCCGTGTCCCACAAGCTCAGTTCGACCATCCGGTCGTCGACTATCAAGGTTTCTACGTAATTTTCAAAGACTGCTCTGGTGAGATCACTAATGCGACTTGTGGCTCACCTGTGGGTTCACTGTGAGAGGTCAGTACCCGGCTGCAGTGTATGGACCTACTGTTCCTTCGGAAAAACACCTATCCATGTTTGTGGTCAGCATAGCCGTCTTGGCGCAAGTCACACCTTTTGTATACACGGTTAACAGTGACGTCTACATCGTCCGTCAGTTTCCATATCCCTCCCATATGTTCTCTCACCTTGCCACATCCACCATCACCCAAGGCGACCAGCTTTCGGGAGGCCTGCATCCTGTCAGCCACCCGCGTGGTAAGAAAGGCACAAACAAGTTTGCCGCCCATTGGACTATTGTCCGGTCTTCCCAAGAAAAGTGGCGAGGGCAGGGAGTCGTGTGTTGCTGTCGTTGAGCCGTTCAGATTACAGCAAGGCGCCCAGGTATACACGAGTGGATGATGAGGTTGCAAGACGTCGGTACGCCCGGGCATCTCGCCCATTGTTGTTGTTGACGTCCGTACCACCCAGGGGCGCCGGTGCTCGGCTCGCCTTATTTTGATTCCGTTTGCCACCCGAGGGTCGTGATGTGCCGTCATTCGATCGTCCACGTCCACGAGTCTAGACTTGTTAATCTGTCTTCAACCCAATACCTACAATGTCACAGCAGACACCCGCATACGTGTCCTCCACCGGACACCTCACCAACCAACCTCTCACGAAGCGTCTGTACGATGCCGTGAGCGGCTATGCCACCATTGGCTATCTCTTCTTTGAGACCCTTGTTGCAGTGAGCGTGACTGCAAAAGCACCTTCACTGACGTGCCAGCCCCTCATCAACCCCAACGGCCAGACAACAACATCCCAGCAGACGCGCTCAGCTTCTTCTCCACGGGGCGAGGGCGGCCCCGGTACCCGTGGAGGAGGCTCAGGTGGTGGCGGTGGTGGTGGCTCCAACCCTCCCCGGGGAGGAGGCTTCATGACCATGGGTGACCTCCGCGGCGGTCAAAGTGAGTTTTCCAGTGCCAAGAGCTTACTGACCGAGTAGCTGTAGACGGTTGCCGTGCGACTTGCGGTTAAAGAGAGCCGCCCTATGTAGTGTTGTAGTTGGTTGTGCAGAATAGTGTAGGTTGTCTCCAGCGTGGGAGATGGAGGATCAGTTTGTTGCGCGTGCCCGATGAACGCGGTGCGACGTTGCGCGTAGGACACCACTGGCGCCACTGGCTCTCAAGCAGAAACTGCCGTGCCGAGGGAGGTTCCAACTGGTCGTTCCGAGAGTTGCGTGGGTGTGCTATCATTGTTCCGTGGTTGTGAAAGGGATTGGCTCAGACGTTCAAGTAACTGCTCATTTGATAAACAGCTGTACCGTCCTCCTCCAACGATGGCCCGTCTTCCCTCGTGACCCGTCTTCCTTCATGCGCCGTCTTCCTTCATGCGCCGTCTTCCCTCGTCAACATCCATCAAAAAGTCTCTGATCTGCTTCCTGCAGTGAATCATCCACCTCCTTCTTTCATTACACCACCCATCTCCTTCACTCACCCACTATGCCTTCGTTCCACAGGCCACTGCACCCCCATCAGGAACGCGCAAGCCACCGGGGGTCGCCCAACCTTAACAACGCCCGCCACATCGCCTATCACATCTTCAAGCTCAGTGGTCAGTGAATGTTCACCGTCTGCCGCCGCCACCTCACGTAACCAAAGCCCTTGTGGTCATGCGGTGCCGCCGTGCCCTCCCATCAACCTATTTCTTCCAGTAATTGGGAGGGACCAAGGGGGGCATGGCGTGCCGTATGCTGCTGCTCGTAGGACGATTACAATGCTGCCACTTGTGTCAGCTTGGGTATCAGTCAATCAACACTACACAAGATGGGCGACGCCGCCGCCGACGGCACAACCAGCGGCGGCCTCTGCCCATGCCAGATCTGTATCAGAGATCGCGCTGGCGCTGTGAGCTTGCTTTCGCTATGTGGTGTTTGTTTGTTGCTGACGCTCGGTCTCAGGTGGGCAACCACAGCGGCTCCTCGTCGCAAGCACACAACGACTCTCAGGCCTTCCAGGCGGCCTTCGACAAACACCTGGAGAACAAGTACATCTACGCCGCCGTCACCCACGTCCAGACGTTGGGGGACACGTCCGCGGAGATGTCGGCCGAGGCGATCGGCATCTACCTCGAACACGATGACGTCCGTCGGTTCGCGGCCTTCCTCCACAGGAACCGCGAATGGGTCCGCGACCTCAAGCGCCCGTCGCTCGAGGTGATCATCGCCATGATCCCGGACGACCGCCCGTAGCCTGGCAAGGGCAAGATGCCGAGCCAGGTCGTCGAGCGTGACCCGGAGGACGCATTCAGGACGACGATCGTGTCCTTCCTTCGTCGTCCCGCCGTCCAACTTGCGCTCAAGGTCCTCAAGGACGCGGAGGTGTGTGGGGACACTCTCCCAATGCTTCGCCCTCTGGCCGACGGGGAGGACATGAAGGGCCTTCTTGAAAAACTCCACGCCAACCTGGAGTTCTTCGTGCAACTGGGTGTGCCGGGCAACCTGTTCGATGTCGTGGAGGAGATCAACTCTCCCCTCGTCATCGACCTCACGGTGTCAAGCCCACCATCGTCACCGATGGTCCCCGTCGCATCCCGCAAGCGTCCCCGCAGTGCGCAAGGTAACCCCACCAAGCGCACTGCACTCTCTGTGGCTGTGAGGCAACACCTCACCCACACATCCTCAACTCCCATGGCTCCTCAAGCGTATCGGGCTCTTCAAACTCTCATGGCTCCTCAAGCGCATCGGGCTCCTCCAAAACCTATGGCTCCTCCAACTCCTATTGCTCCTCAAACGCATCGGGCTCCTCAAACTCCTATGGCTCCTCAAACCAATCGGGCTCCTCAAGAATCCATGGCTCTTCAAACCCCCTCGGGCTCCTCAAACTTCCCAGGCTCCTCAAGCGCCCCATCCTCCTCCAGGCCTCCTGGTTCACGTGAGAGCCTGGCGTGAATCATGGCTCAGCGACGAGGATGGACCGAATGGGAAGCGGAAGCATTAGACAACGTCAGTACAAGGACAAAAGAATTGACACCTGCTACGCCCTTGCGTGAGATGTCACTGCCTTTTGTTTCTGAACAAGCATGCATAATGCGACCAGCGCTGCGGGGGGTATACAAAAGTCCTTGAATGGGGAGATCGAGCGATGAAACGCACAGATACACGCCACCGATGCTCCACCATCATCAGACCAATGATTTAACGAAATTGTGTAGAACAAGGGTCTTTAACCACGCCAGATGCGGAAACGGCGGGCAAGGGGAGTCTCCGTGGCATCGGGCACGCTAGAGTCGGTAGTGGACTCGAGAGTGGTCGACTCAAGAGCGGGAGTGGACTCAGGAGTGAGAGCATCCGTCGCGTTGGCGACATCAGATCCAGTAACCTGGGCGGCCGAAGCCTCAGTCACAACCTGGAAGGGAAGGGGTCAGTGAAGCTGCACCCTGGGGATTACATGGAGCATGTTTGCGACTCACGGGAGTGGCCACGCCAGTGGATCCGACAGACTCAACCTGGTCATCGTCTTCACACTCGTCGTCTCCAGTCTGGACCGCTTCGGGAGATGTGGCAGTGCCGCTGGCAGCCACTGTCGAGTCGTCAGACTCCTCGTCACAGTCTTCGTCGTCGACGCTAGTCTCGGTAGAAGAGGGTGCCGTTGTCTCAGTGGGCTCGTCATCCTCTTCGCAGTCCTCATCGTCACTGTCGGCTGTCTCAACTGGCGATGCAGCGGTCACAGATGCTGTCGGGGTGTTGACACCATCGGTGGGGGAGCTGACATTGCCAGTGGACACGGTGGTGGGGCTGGTGCTGCCAACGACCGAGTTCGAGTCGCTGCCGCTGTTCGAGTTGCTGCTGCTGTTCGAGTCGCTGCTACCGTTGGAAGTTGCCTGAGCGGCGCCCGCAGTAACGGTGACAGTGACAGTGACCGTAGCAGCCTTGAAGAAGAGTCAGCAACAGTACCATGTAGGTCAAGCCAAAAAAAATCAGGATAGAAGAAAAAGAAATCCAACGCGAGCACTCCCCAGACGACAAGCGGAGGCAAGGGGCCACGTTCCGAGCACTCTGGCCATCCCAAACACAAGATCAAGCAAGACACTCACATCGCCACACGAGGTCGCCTCCGAAGGCGTGGCGACACTACCACCCGATGAGTTGGAGTCGGACGAGCCAGTCTGGGCGGTGGCTCCGGCAGTTACAGTCGAGTCCGGGACCGCCGCTGGCGAGGTGTTGGCCGAGGCAGTGTTGACAGGGTCGCTCGATCCAGTGGCCGGGGTCGCCTGGGTGCTGGAGTCTGTGGTGACGTCTTCCTCGTCGCACCAAGGGAGGTCCTCGTCATCGTCGGTTTGAGTGGGGTCGGTGCTCGTCTGAACGGCAGTTGGGGTCGAGGTTGACGAGTCGTCTTCCTCGCAATCTTCATCAGTCTCAGTGGGGACCGACGCCGAGTCTGTGGACGACGCAGTCGTGTCCTCGTCCTCGTCGCAGTCTTCGTCATCGTCCTCGCTCGAGGTCGAGGTTGCCTGGCTGGCGGGCGTGGTAACCGCGTCAGTGACGGCTGAGGCCACCTCGTTGGCGGCCGCCGGCGTGGGGTCAGCCGATGCCGACTGTGAGTCGTACGTGGTCGTGGCGTCTGTAGGAATAGCTTCGGTAGTGACGTCGGCAGAGGCCTGGGTGGCATCAGGAGTGTAGGTAACGTCCCTAGCGACCATGTTGTGCTCGCCGGCACGGCGGTAAGCCATGCGGCGCTGGTGGGCGGTGGCCTGGCTGGCAGTGCCGAGGGCGAAGAGAACAGCCCAAAGGGTGTTGGCAGTGAAACGCATTGTGGCTGTTGGTGTTTGGTGGAGACGCGTCTAGCAAGAGTCCAGCAGACCAAAGAAAGAGAGAGAGAGAGGGTGAGTGAGAGGGAACCGGGGGTGGCGGAGGACAACGGGGAGGGGCGAGTAAACTGCGCGTTGGTTGTTGGAGATCAAGCGCCGGGCTTGATGGGGGGAGTCTTATAGGTGGAGAACAAATGAAGGTGAGGGTGGTAACCGTGTGAAGGAGGATCACTTGGTTGACCGGGTGAGAAGGAGGGTGATGTTCGTCGAGGGGAGGAGGTGACGAGGAAAGGAGAATGGATGGATGAGAGAGAGAGAGGGGGAGAGAGAGACAGAGAAAGAGAGCAAGAGCAGGAGCGAGAAGAAGGCAGGTGGTTGATTGAGGGAGGGGAAAGGGGGGGGGGAGAGGACGGTGGGCGTGTGGCCGTGTGGCCGTGTGGGCGGTGCGTTTGTTAGGAAGGGGAGAGCGGCGCGCGCCCGCGCCAGGGGCCAAACGAACGTCTTGGACGGGCCGTTGCACCGTTGGAAAGAAAGGCCAGGATCCAGGAGAGGCCAGGAGGCCAGGAGAGTGCAGGAGACCCGTGCCAAGACCATTGTACGCGTCCTTGCCCCCATCACGCCGAAACGGGGGCGAGCGGTGTTTCATGCCGTGCAACACGCACTGGGTGAGACCCATCCCGTGCGCAACGTTGCATCCACAGGCCCACAGGCCACAGGTCGGACGCCCGGGTTCCACGGGCGTTCACCCCCCCCTCGCCGCCCAAGCGCGTAAGGGCGCGCGCCGGCGCGTCTCCACACACGGCACGCGGCAGGCGGGTTACCCCTGAGCACCTACTGGCATGGACAGGCCCGTCCCCCAAGCCTGCGCGCGCGCGGCCCCCGGACCTTTTGCCTCTTGTGTGCATGATGAACACACGACACCCCCCTGTACACTGTAACTGCACGGTATTGTACATTGGTGTATAGCCAACTGCTGCTTCCGCCGCAAGAGACGGATTGTCATGCATGCAGAAGGGTGGTGGAGGCAGTGTTTGCATATGAACATATGTGCACAGCTGCACACAGCAACGCACGCGCCCGCGGCCAAGTGCTTGGCTCCATGGGTCCGTGGGTCCATGGCTGGAGGAGGGCTCGCGACGCGGCGCACGGCACACGGGTATTACGCGTCAAACGACGCACAGGGCGCCCACTACTGTAAACAGTTCAGGGCTCGGACACAAGGGCCTGCTCGGCGTGGCGTCTATATGTAGGTGTGCAGCGCGCCGCGGTGTGGGACGTATGTAGGTTGTGACAATGTGTGGCATGTGGCATAATATGCGCGCATTGCGGCTGCCTGCGCTGCCCCCCCCGGGCCTTGGTGACCCCACCGCGCCGGCGCGTAGATTGCGTGGAATTACTGCGAACAGCACAGAAATGGCATGCATAGGACGGCCTAGCTCTCGGGAGTGCAATGTGGCGCACTTCTACCCATAGAGCCATAGTATCCATATATCCATAGACCTTGGCCACGCAACCCTTCCTCTTCCTCCAGCCAAACGACATGCAAGGTCCGTTCCAGTCTCTCCCTTATACCGCATGTTGTACAATGTCCAGCGATGTACATACTGTATGGACGGGTGTGCCGTTCTCGTGTCCCCGCCTGAGCCTCCGTCCGGGCCCCATGTGTGTCTATGGGTAGGAACCTCGAAACCTCCACTTTTGGTTGGACGGGAGCACAAACCCCGCCGCATTACCCAGAACGGCCCAAGATGCAAGAAGACTACCAAGCACAACAGCTAGCGGTACAGTCACACGCCACAGTACCGCAGTGTTTGTCTTGTCACTTCATGAATCCTTCTGCCTGACGCGCGGGTCACACCTTTGACCTCCAAGCTTGGGGTTGGAGGCCGCAGGGGAAGCTAGGCGGGCGAACGTCACGTCAAACGCGACCGACGGCGCGCTCGATGGGATCGATGGATCGATGGCCCGCTCAAACCGCAACGCGCGCAACGGGCGCAACGGGATCGAATGGGAGGTTGTTGTCCACTGGCCAGTGGCCACTTTCCCACGGCAGAGCCCCTCCCGGCGCACCTTTTTGCTCTCCCACCGCGCCACCGCTCTCTTTCACTTTCCCACGGAGGTATCCGGTCTGACACAAGGCCACTGGGCCACTAGGCACCCGACGCGCGCCGTTGCGGGCCACACTCGTCCAAGATCCAAGCTGCCGCAACCCCCGGCAGCGTAACACACCGCGTCAACAATGTTCCACCGTCGAGCCCCCGTCTTGCTCCCCCCGACAGCTTTGCGTCGTGGTCTACCTCCTCTGCGCCGCCTTGTTTCAACTGATCAGCCCGACCCCCAGCTAAACAGGTCCCAGACGCCAAGTCAACCGATTCCGTCACCGAGCCTGTCGGACCGCATTCCAGACGAGTATCGGAAACGCCTCGACGACTGGAAGACCACGCTGGACAGGAAAGGACGAGACCTTGCAGTCAACGCAGGCAAAAACTTGGCCATCGTCGGCCTCAAGGTCAACGAGGCGACTGGCTATCGCGAAGTGGAGCGATTGAAGCAGGCAGTCAAGGACAGAGGTGAGCCCCGCCGGTCACCCAAACATGCTGCCCCCCGGCTGACATCCTTGCAGAACAAGAACTCACTTCGCGGCGTATCGAAGTCAAAGCAGCAAAACTGGCGTACGAGGAGGCAGTGTCGACTCGCACTTCAAGCCAGCAGAATGTCAACTCTTTGCTCGAACGCAAACATTCGTGGACGGACAGCGACGTTGCCAACTTTACTACCCTCGTCCGCTCCGACCATGCCTCTCGACATGCGGTGACGACGACTTCAGAAGAGCTCAAGCATGCCGAACTTGCCGTCGACAAGTCGTTCACTTCCCTCATGCAGGCCATTCTCGAACGCTACCACGAGGAGCAGGTCTGGAGCGACAAGATTCGCAGTGTCTCGACGTGGGCAAGCATTGTCGCTCTGGCCGCCAACTTGATCGTCTTTGTTGGGGCCATTGCATTCGTGGAGCCATGGAAACGGCGGCGACTGGTACAGGGCCTGGAAGAGCGCATGTCTGGCATGATGACGCGTGTCGAAGCAGAGCTTCAGACCCTATCGTCAAGTGTTGGCGACCTCGAGGGCAGGATGGCTCCAGTTGCAAGTGTGATAGCAGCAACACCTGAAACGCACATGGGCGACCTGGAGCAAGCACCAGCTACAGCCCCCCACTCTCCTTGGATCGCGTCGCCATCACCTATAGAGCAACTCTCTGCTCAAGCACCACCGTCCTCGTCCCTGTCCAAGGTCCTCACCTGGGCGACCACACAGCTGGCTCACGTTTCCCCTCCGTCTGCTGAGCGTGACCTCGTTGCAGCAAGCATGGTTGGCGCTGTCGGAGGAGCTGTCACCATTGGACTAGTTGGCGTGGTGTTCAGGTCACTGGGCCGCTGAAAAAAGGTCTTCAATTCAACAGACACATTTGCATATGCATGTTCAATCAATCATTTTGAGCACCGCCAAAGAAGGCTCGGATGTCACTCTGCTTTTCGTCAAACCCAGAAGATCCGATACCTCCCTGCTGTCTGTGAACACCTTCGAGGTGGGTCGTCACGTCAAAGCACAGAGTCTCAACTGCCAGTGGTGGCGGACGCGAGAGCGCCTTGAAAGTGTCCGCGCCGAACGGCGTGCCGTCTAGAACTTCACCCTACCCATGTCAGCCGTCCAGTTTGCAGAGTTGATACTCACAGAGTAGCCCACTTCAAGTCTGGTCCAACCCGTGTTGGTCATGCCTCGGCCGTCAGCTCACGTTCCCCTCAGCACATTAAGCTTACCTCGGTAGCTCCAGTGGAGGTCAATGCCTTCTGGGCGTCGGGAGAGTAGGGCTCCGACTGAAAGCGGGTCAGATCACAGTTGGTTATTCCCAACGTACGTAGTTCAAAATTGAAGATACCGTGAGCCACAACAATGAGATGCTTCGAGTCTGGGCCTTGACCATACGTCTCCTGAAGAGCGGGCTCGATAAACTGGGTGATTCTAATACCGAGTCAGCAAATAGGGCCGGAACAGACAACATACGCCTCGTTGGCACGCGCACGAACGTCCTCGAGCGTTTCGCCCTCGGGAAACCTAAACGTTCGACCAGGCTTGCGGAAAAAGCCATTGCCGTCTGATGTGCCGAAGGTCTGCTGTTCAGCAACACCAAAGTGCTGTTCGCGAAGCAAGGGCGAGACGGTGAACGCCGGCCTGTGGTGGTTGGCAGCTTCGATCTGCTGACCCTGCAGAAGAGGTTAGAGATCTGTTTATTCTGTTGCCCGACGTACTGTCCAGAGGGCACGTTTCAACGGAGAAGCAAAAACGGCGTCAATCTTGGTAGTGGCAAGGGACTGGCCAAGAGCCTTTGCTTGCTGGGCATTTAGCACTAGATCAATGGCGTTCTTGGACGCACGTTCATGCCTGTGCGGGTCAGCGTGGATCGGGAACCTGTCGGGCGACTCACCATGGTTAGACAAAGGTGCATCAGCCCAACCCGCCCAAACAGCGCGGAGATTGTCTATGAGAGGTTAGCAAGGAGCAGCCTTGGGTTGGGAGCAAGTGGGAGGGAAGGGGGGGGCGGGAGACGGAGCGAGGAATTCACCTGTAGATTCGCCGTGGCGCACCTGAAATGAGTCAGCAAGAGAGACCGCCTCCGACTTGCAATTGTGAGGGTGATCATCGGGATCACAAGTTATAGAGGACAATAGAGGTGTGCAAAGGCCAATCGCAAGGCAATGCTGTGCGCAGGACAAGGTGTGTGTGTTGAACAGAGAAGTGAGCGAACCCGACTCGCAACACTGGTGGTATTGGGGGTCCGTCTTCGAGTCATGCCCAGCAATCGCGGCAATTAGATGCCGGAATGGCCGGTCCGGAATAACCCCCAACGGCCAACGGCCCACGCCGACAAAACCCAAAACACGGGGGACCTCCACCTTCCAGGCCTCCACGGCCTCCACGTTCTGGTGCACGCCGCTGAGCTGGCGAGTTGGCGAGCTGCGACTTTTGCGCCAATTTCCACAATAATTACCTCTTAGTCTTCCTCTCTTCTCAACACACAATGCCGGAAACATCAGGTATGGGCCATCCGCCACCGGTTCTTCTTATCTCCACCCTTATTCCAATCTCTCTCGTCCTCATTGTCCACCCCTTGCTTCCGCTTTGCCTCCCTCAACATGTCTTCGACCGTCTCCCCCTTCCACCGCAGCCAACCTTCCCCGCACTCCAAGCAAACATTGGGTTCGCAATGCTGGCCTTTGTTGGCGCTGTACTGTCTGTGCCAATGGTCGGAAGCGCATTCATCGCCAAGGGATTGAAGGGACGAGACCTTTTGAAGCCCAATGGCCGTACATCTGGGCCTTGGATGTGAGTAATCCACTTGCGAGAGCAGACGCTGACACAGCTAGCCCAGAGTGCCTCGGTCTCCCTCTCGCTGCAATCTATTTGGGTCTCATGATGATGTTCATCCCGTTTCCATTCTCGCACATGTTCCACACCTCAAGTAGCCTCAGCATCGGACGCGAGACCTTCCCCCAGGGAGAGGTTCGTTATTTTGAGCTCCTTGCAAGACTGCTGACGTTTCAGCTTACTCTCTACATGACATCCCTCCTGTCGCTTCTGACAGCTACCCTTCTAGGGTTTATCGATGACCTGTTCGATATTCGTTGGAGACACAAACTCCCAATCCCACTCATCGCTGCCATTCCTACCTTGATGGTGTACTATTCAGAGGGAGGATGGACATGGGTGGTTCTCCCAGCCAGCCTGGGTAAGCTCCTCAGTACTTTGGGGCTTCCCGGATGGGAGGGCACCAAATCAGTGGACTTGGGTACGTGCTCTTGTTGCATGTACACATAACTAATAGATCACAGGTTTCCTCTACTATGTCTATTTGGCGTTACTCCCCACATTCACCACCAACTCGATCAACATTCTCGCTGGCGTCAACGGTGTCGAGACCATCCAAGCACTTATCATCGCACTCTCTGTGGCTTTCAATGACCTTCTCTTTCTCCCCATTTGGCCAGACTGGCTCCTTGAAGCCCTTCATATTGGAAATGCCGAGGAGGGACGCATTCTGTCGTGGGCCGCGGGTGAGGTCGTCAAGCGACATCTCATGAGCCTGTACTTCATGCTCCCTCTCATTGGCGTCTGCGCAGGCTTTTTGACCCACAACTGGTGAGTTATTTGATGACCCTGACTGCATTACATGCTCATTGTCAGGTACCCTGCCAAAGCTTTCCCGGGCGACACTCTGTGCTACTTCACCGGCATGGCATTCTCTGCCGTTGCGATTCAAGGCCACTTTCCAAAGACGATGATCTTGTTCTTCCTCCCCCAAATATTCAACTTTGTGCTGTCTTGCCCACAACTCTTTGGTCTTGTTGAATGTCCACGTCACCGTCTCCCACAGTAAGTCACGGAGTCGTAGCGATCGCTGACATTCTTCAAGCTTTGACGCCTCCACTGGGCTTTTGCAACCATCGTTGACCGTCTTCAAGGAGCCCCCTCCCTTCAAGACGAAAATCGCGCTCGAGGTCATGGAGGTTTTTGGCCTGACAAGGCTGGAGCGAGGCTCTCCAGACAGCGGAGCCCAAACGAAGACAGAAACAAACGGACGCAAGACTGACGGGTCCTCAACAGCACCGCCAGTTCGCATTGTTTCGGCAACCAACCTCACCATTTTGAACCTCATTCTGGTGCATCTCGGCCCGCTTCACGAGCAGTCTCTTTGCTTCGTGATGGCGACAGTACAGCTGTTGAGCAGCATGTTGGCCTTTACTATTCGATATGGCGTGGGCTCGCTGGTTTATGGTGGCGACCGCAGATAAAGATCATTGGATGTTACATGTACACGTGTTGTTTCTACTTTTGGAAGCGGAGGTTATAACCACCGCCAGCCTGTTCGTCGAATTTGAACATATCGGTGCTCAGACCAAACTTGCCAAGGATGCCGTTGCCAAGCTCCTTTAGCTTGTCCATCATTTCGTCCTTTTCCTTTTCTTGCTGCGCTGAAATTCGTCGAGGAAGAGTGCTGAGAGTGCGACGAATGGCGGGCAATTGGGGCGAGGACTTGGATATCAGGGATAGCAACATGGTATAATCTGTTGGTGTATGAGGCTCTGCTTTTGTCTTGTAAAGCTCACCTTCTTGGGCCGACGTGAGTGATGACCATGAACCAATCTCTTCATTGGCCGATGCTCGGCGATGAAGTGCCTTGGTATAATGGAGGTCAATCTCAAGTGCTGTCATGTGGTCAGTCCATTCCCGCCGTCATGATGGCTACCCACCTTTGGTACAAGCGTCAACAACAGCTTTGTACTCTTTCTAACGGTCAGCAATATAACTCCCATCATGCTGTAGTTACTTTGGCAAGGTAAACGGCGCCAAGGTTGCCCCACACCGCCTTCATACAGTCGCGGATGTCGTCCTCCACCGATCGGCGCTCTTGATCTTCTGGATGAAGACGTTCCGACTCGATTGCCTCTGCTTCTTCGTCGGTGACTTCTTGAATACCACTGACTTTAGGAGCTCTGGGCTTATACTTCGGGACCAATGCCATGGAAGGGAGATTATCGAGAGCTGCGAGATACGAGTCACGAGCATCGTCTAGTTGTTGAGGTCTGGCTACGAAGCGCTTGTTTCCTTCGTCCTTGAGTGCCGCAGCCCGAGCGAGGAGGTTCTACGCCGCGTCAGCGTTGTGAACACGCATTATCTAGTAGCAGAATCTACCTTCAATTCTGTCGTAGTAAACTGCAAAGTGTCACTGTCATCAACCTCGACACCGAGATCAAAGGCAGTAGGCAGCTCCTCGGGGGCTTCTTCAGCATTGTCGTGGTCGTGGTCGTGGGCGTGAGCGTGGTCATGGTCGTGGTCGTGCGCGTCTGCCTGCACTGGTTCACGAGATGACGATGCTTCCCCAGTCTGTCTCGCACGTGAAGCATGGAAGCCATCAGTCGCCCATGTTGGCGGCTCAAAGAGGCGAGCGTCAAATGTTGGTGGCGGAGGTGGGTCCGATGGCCTCGGTGCCATGGTGGTGTGAAGGGAAGATGACGGAACCTTGTCCAAAGGCCAAAGGCTAACGGCCACAGGCTGCAGGCTAGTTGCCATTTAAGACCGCGTTTCAACACGGATATACCCGGACTACGATCGATGTCCGCCGATTATACATCCGGGTTTGAATCAACACTGGCACCCAGCAACCGCAGTTAAAACCACAACCTATGCATCACACCCAACTACAATGAGGCCCTAATGAAGCCCTCGAGGCCACCGTTGACCCAGAGCTCCTGCACACTACGACCGACGCGGGCAGAAGGATAAACCTTCTCGCCATCCGCACCCATGGACACAGTCACACCACCCCGGCGCGTGTCGACCTTGATCCTCCAGTCTTGGGGAATCACGGTGAGCTCACCGTTGACACCACCTTTGCCGCGCACACCGTCGCTACCAAAGCGAGTGGTAAGGTCCTCAATGAGCTCGGGGGCCTCGACCAGGATCAATCCGTTGTTAATGCTGTTGCGCTTGAAGATGTCACCAAAGGAGCCACAAATAACCAGTGGAATACCAGCGTTCTTGATAGCGGTGGCGGCCTGCTCACGAGATGAACCAGTGCCAAAGTTGTAACCGGAAAGCAGAATAGGAGTCGTGGGAGCGCTGGCGCGCAGTGACTTGACGGTGGACGCGAATTCGGGGTCATAGTTCTCCATAACGACTTCGGCCTGGCGCTCAGGCGTAATGTCGTCCTGATACGTGTACTTGCCTGGGTACATACCGTCGGTGGTGAGGTTGTCCTGGGGCGCGAACACCAGGGGGCCCTCAAAGTACTCGGGGAAGCCCGCAAGGAGAGGCTCAGGCTCACCCGTGGCAACGGCGGCTGGCGCGGGGAACTCCTCAATCGCAAACTTGGGGGTCTCGTACTGGGGAAGGCTGGCGAGGTTGAGCGAGTCGGGACCGCAGATTACACCCTTGGCAGCCGAAGCAGCCACAACGGCGGGGGAGGCGAGATAGGCCACCGCGTCGGGGCTACCCATGCGGCCCTTGTAGTTGCGGTTGGTGGCACTGATACCGACCTCGCCCTTCTCCAGCAGACCAACACCGAGACCGATGCAAGGGCCACAGCCGGCAGGAAGCGTCTTGGCCCCAGCATCAATGAGAGCCTGCCAGTCGCCAGAAGCCTCAGCCTCCTCCTGGACGCGGCTAGAGGCAGCAGCAATGTAAAATTCGACGCCGGGAGCAATCTTCTTGTTGCGCAGCACAGCAGCGGCTGAGGCAATGTCAGAAGCGCGCGAGTTGGTGCACGAGACAAGATAGGCCTTGTTGATCTTGATTGGGGGGTCCATAAGCTTGGGGAGGGCTGTGGCAATCTTGACCGAGTTGGGACCAGAGACATGAGGAACAAGGGTGGAGAGGTCGAGGGACAAACGAGCAGCATAATGAGCTCCAGCGTCGGCGGCAACCTGCTCCTCAAGGCTCTCCTCAAGGCGCTTCTCATTGAGACGAGGGTGGCCCTCCGACGAAGGAGTCGAGGTTGAAGGCGAAATGAAACCGCGGAGCTCTGCCTTGCGGATGAGGCCACGGTACCAGTCGATAAGCTTCGAGTCGATAGGGAAGACACCAGCAACAGCTCCCCACTCGGTGGTCATGTTTGCAATCGTCAAACGCTCGTCGACCGAAAGATGCTCAATACCCGAACCAGTGAACTCGATGGCGGCGTTCAAAACCTGGTCCTGGTTGAAAAGTCCAGCCAGGGCAACAATAACGTCCTTGCCGGTCACACCAGGCGAGAGCTTGCCGTCAAGCGAGACGGAGACCACGCGGGGGATCTGCCACCAGAACTTGCCCGTCGCCCAGATACCACTAAAAGATGATCAGCCCAGTGCAGTCAGACAAACATACGCAACTCACGCGGCATCCGTACGGACAATGGCAGTTCCCAGGCAGCCTACACCGCCGTAGTGGTTACTGTGGCTGTCGCTCGCGACGACCATCTTTCCTGGCCATGCGTAGCCCTCCTCCACGACAATCTGGTGGCCAATGCCGCGACCGGCCGGGTAAAAGTCAACACCGTGCTCCTTGGCAAAGGCCTCAATTCGCTGGTACTTCTTGACATTGGTCTCCGACTTGTTCTGAACATCATGGTCGAGGGTGTAGACGGGCTGGCGAGGGTTGTCCAGCTTGGAGCAAGAGAGGGACAGGAACTTGGAAATGACAGGACCGGTGTTGTCATGGGTCATGCTGCATGTACCTTGTTAGTGCAGTTGGGCGTTGCAAGTCACCTGTACGTACACATGCTCAGGTCGAATCATGACATAGTCGCCCGAGTGGACCTTGGAGCCAGCTGGGAGATCGACGGCATACTTTTGGACAATCTTCTCAACTAGGGTCTGGGGGTTGGCAACGGTGGCGTAGGACCTGGTGTAGAGGGGCAGTCGTTGCCTGGTGATAGCGCGGAGAATGCTCATGGTGAGCAGCAGTGACAAGCAAGAGAGCAAATGTCGGAAGAGTGGTTGGCTGAACCGACTCGACTTATTTGTATAAGATCGCCAGGCGGGGCCAGCCATGGGCTGCCAGGTAGCCGAAAAGTCCGAATGTGCTAGGCGTGCCGTGTGGCCGTGCTCTTTCTGGCCCAAGACCGATTGCAAGAGACCCTCGACGCGCCGTTCGGGCCTATTCAAAGCCAATAGGCCTGCCAGCTTGCGTACCAGGCGCGGCCAGGCGCACCACATATATCACATCGGCCTGCTACTCCACGCCTCCACCCATTCAACGCCACGCTCTCGCTGCTCTGCCTGCCAGGTGCACATCCAGGATCCAGGGCGCGCCCTGGCACGCGCTTGCTGGCCGCATCGAGAATCTCCCCCCATCTTAACGTTACACTCGTCCTCCTCTTCGCTTCTCAACACCCAAACCATGGCACGACCTCACAAGGCCATCGCGGCCTTTAACAACCTCTCACCTAGAGGGCGTCTCGGCGCCATCGCCGGTGTCTTCATCACCCTCATCTTCTTCGTCAACATCCTCTTCCCGTCTTCAAACTCGCTCTTCTCCAGCGGGCAGCGATGGACCACCGCATCGTCGTCTATACTGCGCTCCAAGTTCTTGCGCGCAAAGGCCAAGGCTCCCCGTCGTCCTATCCACCACCCTATCCCCAAGCTCATGGCCGACGCGCATGAGGCTTTTGACAAGAAGCTCAAGGGCCAGTCCAAGTCGCTTTCCGAGGCCGCGGCCGAGTACCGTCGTCGCTACAAGCGCGACCCGCCCAAGGGCTTTGACCTGTGGTACGAGTTTGCGGCCAAGCACCAGCACGTCATGGTCGACGAATATGATCAACTGTTTCGAGACCTTGAGCCTTTCTGGCAGCTCACTGGCCCCGAGCTCCGTCTCCGTTGCATCGACGTTGGTTATCTTCCGTCGGTGGACCTTGTTCGCATCGAAAATGGAACGACCAAGACCATAGACTTTAGCAAGAAGGGATTTGAGGACAGTGAAGTCGGTGCTCGTGCCAAGGGCTTCCGTGTCATGCTGGAGAAGTTTCAGCACAATCTCCCGAACATGGACTTCCCCATCAACGAGAAGGCTGAAGGCCGCATTTTGGTCCCATGGGAGGAGAAGCTCTACCAGAACCTCACAGCCGACTCGAGCAGTGAGGACCAAAGAGTTATTTATCTTGCTGACCGCCTACAGAGGGAATCAATCACGTCCTTGGTGGCGAATTCATTCCCGACTGGCGCGGTGACGGAAATGTCTGGGAGGCCTACCGTCGCACCTGCGACCCGTCGTCTCAAGCCCGTCGACTGTTTGGATCTCTGCGCGCCCAGCTGAAGGAGGGCCAGGTCCCTATTTCGCGCCTGGCCAAGGCTGGTATCACCACTGACTTTGTGGACGAAGACTTCAAGTTTTCGGAGGACGTGGACGACAAGTACGACTTTTGCGCTCACCCTTGGGCACACTACAACCAGGGCCACTTCTTCTCGGATTGGCGTACCATCCATGCCCTGTACCCGATGTTCTCGCCAGCAAAGGGTGCGGGTTACTCGGACATTCTAATCCCCAGCCACTACTACTTCTCGTCTACCAAACGCTACACTTATGGCTGGGACCCAGTCAACCTGATCATCAAGGACGAGGATGACATGGAGACCCCATGGGAGGAGAAGTCGGACGACGTGTTCTGGCGCGGTGCCACGACTGGTGGTGGATCTACCCCTGCTGGCTTCCTTGCCCAGTACCAGCGCCACAGGTGATTACAGCAGCGCAATATTTCTTGCTGACTTGCAATCACAGGTTTATCCGCATGACTTCAGACGACTCAAAGATTAACAAGACGGTTGTTTTTGCCGACCCGCCTGGTACCAACAACTTTATTTCTGCGCCTGTGCCGGTTGACGAGCTCAACGCTGAAACCATGGATGTCGCCTTCACCAAGGCCGTTGGCTGCACGCAGTACCCAGGCGGCTGTGATGGTATGCGCAAGGACCACCGCTTTGCGGACGCCGTGCCTCTTGGCGAGAATTGGCGCCACAAGTACTTGATCGACCTCGACGGTATGGGTTACTCTGCCCGTCTTTTTGCTCTTGTTAGTGTTGTTGTCACCAGTTGCTCCTATGCTCATGCTTCAATAGCTCAAGTCGGAAAGCGCGGTCCTCAAGTCAACGGTATACACTGAGTTCATGTCGGAATGGATCCAGCCTTGGGTAAGCGGCCGCCGCACAGTCGTACGTCTGGACGTCGCTAATGAAAACAGCTGCACTACATTCCCGTATCGCAGCTGTATAGTGAGATTTACAACATCCACGCGTACTTTTCAGGACCTTCACCATCGATGCTCAAGGCTGCCAACGTAACACGCGACCAGTTCCAGTCGTCTGGCTTGAACACACGCAAGTTGGACGGCGACGCTGAGCTCAGGAAGATCGCAACTGCGGGTCGCGAATGGATGTTCACCATTGGCCGCAAGATTGACATGGAGATTTATGTCTACAGGCTCTGTATCGAGTGGGCGCGCCTCAACTCGGATGACCGCGACGCGATGAGCTACAAGGGCTAAATATTCATCGTTGATAGCCTATCTTAGTTGACCTACACATAGACCATTCTCGGTTGGGGCACTGGCCATGTACGAGTTGTGCGAGCGTTTGTGTTGAGAAGCTGATGGCTAATAGTCACCGTGACGTGCAGACCATACCAATATATCGTTACCGTTACGCTCGATGTATCACGGGCATACTGCAACGGCGATGAACTGATGAACGAAGGAAGCACGTGGCAGTCACGTGTCTGCACCACCGACAAATGCGGGACCCCGCACAGGCACATCCAATCCATCGTTTTTGCCGTCCGTCTGCTGCAGCTTTAGTTTCCACTTACTCCGCTTACTTTGGCCACCAACCACATCGAAGTCCATGGCCACTTCCGCTGGCCCCCAAGCTGCCAAGATGGCAGACCCAGTCTATATTACCACTGGTGCCGGTCCTACCTCCGGAAAGCCTTCTGCTTCGCCCAATAACCAAGAAGAAGATGAGGACGAAGAACACATGGATGTCGCCTTTATCCAGGGGTTTGCAGAGTGAGTTCAGACATGTCTACGTGCGATATCACAAGCTGACAGCGTGCCTGTAGCAAGATTCAGCGCATCCCAGTAGAGCTCCTTGATGGCGTTGAAAGGTCGCGGCCAAAGATCATCATTCCCAAGCGGGGCGAAAAGGACTTCGAGCCGCTGCAAGAGACGGTCAACCTGCAGGAAATGATGCTCCAGAAGAGCAGGCAGGCTCTTTTTGATGCGCTGGAAGGTGTTCGTGGTGTATCTGGGTGAGTAAGCGTTTTTACGTTTCAGAGGGGGGCAGAAGTTGACGACCGTTGCAGCAAGGCTCTGTCGCATGCCGTCGTCACTCCATCATCGCCTTATCCTCAGCTATTGGTTTCACGAGGACATGTCCTCGACTCCCTTGGCATTACTGTCCGTCGCACCCCTCCGTTTGGGTCTTCAATAAAGCCAGTATCGCGCGTCGAGTTGCTCCCCGAGGAGGTCCTGTACTTGGTGGAACGTGGTACACTTCAGCTGTGGAACGGTTGCGACCCGCAGACTGAAGACGAAGTTGCTGCTGGAGTTGGGGCCTGGTGTGACGAGGAGTTTGGAGTGAAGGGGGCAGTGGAGATGAGTGTTCTTGAGGCGTTCGGCGCATTCATGGGCCAAGATGGCCTGACATGGCAGCGCTATCAGGTGAGTCAAGAATCTGTTCGATGGATAACGAGTCACTGACATCGATACCAGGCGTACGCCTACCTGAAACGATTGGGCTACACCGTCCAACGTACACGCCAGTTTATTCCTCAGCACTTCCTTGCCACTACCTCTCCCCAAGCACCGGCTCCCAGAGTCGACCTTTTGGCAGTCTTCCGCCAGCTGCCACAGCAGGTGCTGCAGGTGTTGAGGCAAGCTTGGACGACCGTGACCGACGTAGTGTTCAGCCTTGGCTCTGTGGGTCTAGGCGTGCTCTCATCGAACGGCCCTTTCGTGGGTACGACTATCCAGCGCTGGAGCGGAAAGACATACTGTGAGACTATACAACGTGTATTTGGGTTTGATGCTGAACTGCCCAGCTTCTCTGTTTGCTCACCTTCGGTTCGTGCCCTGCGGTCACGACAACCCAATTCCTGTTGTAGCCCCGAGGAGCTCTACATCGATTTACGCGCCCCTGGAACAAAATCCCTACATTCCTTTCTTCCATGTGTGGAAACCCGTCACCCAGTGGAGCAAAGCTAAATGGGACCGTGGCAGTCCTGATGGGCTGACTCAGCAAAAGCCAGATTATGTCGTGGCAGTTGTCGAGTGGGTTGCCTTCTAGCTAGCTGTCGACAGCCGCTGACGCTTGCAGGTCTCGAAACACTGCCATGCCGACGTTGACGCAATTGGATGAGGTGTTCCGCATGCTCCCAGACGAGCCTAGGGGACCTACTCGGCGTGTCGGCCCACAGTACGAGCAGAAGCGCCGCAATGTTCGCCCGAAGACTGCTGTCGAGAACAGCTCTTCGGGGGCCTTCAAATGGCTTCCGTCGTGGCTGCTTCGTGCCAAGCCTGCAGCCCCCACTCCCAGCGGCAATGCCCTCAACTCGCTCAGAAATGGAGACCGCGCCCTCATTGTGGCCGTTAATGATTCTGGGAACACTGGGTGGGTGCGGTTTGGCCGCACTGGCTTTGAGAATTGGGCCATGATGTAGAGACTCTGCATGCATATGAAGTATGTACATTCATCACCTGGCGACTTGCCGGAATCAATGGGAAACTACCAAACAAGTTCACCGTTGAATCGGTCGAGTTGAGCGACTGCCGCAGTGACCTCCTTCTGTCTGGCGGTGCGGCGATAGAAGATGGGACAATCAGCAGAGGTGCAAATGACGTCCTGGACGCGTCAGCACTGCCTATGATGTCCTAAATAAAACCCACTTGGTGCAGAGAGCCCTGGCAACGTTGACACTGGGTCCATAGACGAGCAAAGTCAATCTGGAGTTGCGAAGTAGTGGTGACCTGAGGGTAATGTTAGTAGAATTTCGCACTCATCAGCCACTCACCTGCTTCTGATACAGTTCGGGCAGTTTAGGACGGCAGTTGACGCAAACTGCACTCTCTGATACAGTTAGCGGGTGTACGGCCGCACAACCAACCTTTCGAGCTCTTCAACGGGGTTCGGCAACCGATGCAGGTGGCAGTCTTCACCGCAAACCTCATGAGACCGCCGATGGTTGGCGTCGCAATCTGGATACTACGAGTGTGCTCGCCGGCGACTGTGATGGCAGTCAGCAGTGATATTTAAGGGCATACTAACGAAGGCTGCCAGCCCTCTCGCCGAGAATTGGCTCGAAAATGCGCATCAAGGGCTTCGACAACTGATTTTCCAGATAGTACCGAGTGTCAATCGGGACATTGTGCTCGAGCACGTAGAGGGGGTCTTCCGACTTTTCGTACGCGGCAGCACCCTTGATGCCCTTGACAATAACGTAGGCAACACGGTCACCAAGTGAAGGTGCGGAACCTCGCAGGATCAGCGTTAGGTTCCATTCATACGACCCACCTGCATCACGCTTCTTCATCCTCTCAGCCAGCTCAACATGCGCCTGTTTGCCCGCATAGTCTGGCAGAAAGGTCAGCGTCTGGCCACCTTCACATGTCCTGGCCTACCCGTTTTAGCCAATGCCTTTGTGATGACGAGCTGCGACATGTCGATCTTGTTTTGAAGGAGATCGGCTATGGTGTGCTTTACGTAGCTAGAGGACACGGTTAGCATCGGATGCCCCAGGATGTTAATCAACATACTCCTCGGCACCCTTCACGTCGCGATCGATAAGCATCTTGAAGAGACATGTCTCGATCATGGTAGAAACCAAGCGGCAGTTGTCACGTCGCACCGTCTGCCGTTAGCTCGGAAGACTTGCGGTAGTGCTCACCTCGATACCCTTGGTGTCCATTTTGTCGTATTTATCGGGCTTTGTCCAATACAGTCCAGCGTAACGCTTCTTGCTGATGAGGAGGTAGGGGAAGTACACCTTTTCGAATTCCAGTTTGATGGGCTTCTTGAACTTGGCGGACACCAGTTCAGCTGCCTCTGCACCTGTGAGTGTCAGCACATGCATAAGCGCACTCACTCACCGAGCCTCATGGCCATCGGTAGGTCTGGGCAGCCGAATTTAACCATCACCGAATCCGTGTCACCATAGATAACCTTGGCGTCATGCTCGTAGCCGTTTTGGATCGAATATTCAGTCTCGACCTCCTGCTTGGTAAACTCAATCATTTGACGGCCGTATGCAGTGACGGAGGTCGAAATGGCGAGACATGGCAACTTGCCGACAGTGGCACCCGTGAAGCCGTAAACGGAGTTGGCACTGATCTGGTCTGGTTAGTTGTGCGATGCATCTTCGACGTGCCTTCAACGCCAGTTGGCGACCATCCAGAACGGCGCGCTTGAACGGGTCCTTTTCGACTTTCAAGTCGGCCTTGGCACGTTTACGAGCAGCAAGAAGGTTCTCAAGAACATGAGGCAGCAGACCCTTTCGGCGACTTGCCATGACAAAGAAATCTGTAAAGAGTGAGCTGGAGCACGCAAACAATGCGGTTCGGCTCACCGTTGTTGGGTGTCTGGACGTAGTCGACGCCTTCAACCAACTTGAGGCGCTCAATGGTGGCTTTGTCGAGGAGGGTGGTATAGCACAGGTTGTGAGCCATCATGATGGAAGGATAAAGTGAGGCGAAATCAAGAGTGGCAATCGGCGTGTCGTAATAGCCCTTGCTCGGCTCAATGACGGTTGCACCTTCGTACTGCTCATCGGTGCCTTCGCTGCGCATGGCGGGGATAATGTAACCGGTGTCACCTGCACTTCGATAAAGCTGGGAGATAACACGAATTTGCTGTCCACGTGTAAGGACGTCGTTGAAAGGGATTCCCGTCACCCTTGCCAATTCAGTGTAGTTGATGAGGCACATCAGCCTGTCGAGGAGCCTTTGTGGCAGGTATGCGTCCTGAAGTACATTAGCGACAAAATGTCGAACACCCAACCCACCTTCAAGCAGTACACGGCCAGACGGCGACGCGAATCAGCAGTGCCATTTTGGAGCTCCGTAATGATGGAGTGGTGTACGTCTTCCTTTTGTTCGCCTAGAAATTGGGCACACACGGCATTGAGAGTGTAGCTTCGCAGCTTGTAATCGCGCTGGATGACTTGGAGAATGTCCATCTGAAGACGACCATCGATGTTGACGGCCTTGGAGTCCCTCTGGCCAAATGCCTTTGACGAGAAATGCGTGTCCCTCACTTCGGACCGAGTGCCTAAGATGGGTCAGATTTCACTGTTACAATGACACGTACCCAGAATCCTTCCAAGGTAAGCAAAGTTTGGGATCTTGAGAGCCTTGGCGCGATCGATAAGGTATGGCAAATCAAAGTTCACAATATTGTACCCAATGATGAGGTCGGGGTCAACCTTTTCGACGAACTTTTGCCACTCAAGGAGGAGGTCACGCTCGTCCTTGAATTCCAGGACTTGAGAGCCAACAATGTGTGCGCATGTGTTGAGTGTAAACACATTGCGAATGAAAGGCTTGGTTTCACCTGGATATGGTCAGGCAGTGTCACTGCGGGACATGACTTACCGTGACGAGTGACCATCGAGGCAATCTGAATGACTGGGTCGACATTTGCCTCGGGGAAAATGCCTTTGCGGCCAGCACACTCAATATCAAAACTCAAGACACGCAATGGCGCAATGGGGAGCCAGTCACCCTCCGGAGCATGGGAGACGAGGTCCTTGTAGCTGCGGGATGTTAGATGTGAAAGTTGAGTTGGGCTTACTTGAGCGAGAATTCCAGTTGGCAGTGAGACCTCTTGTCAGAACTCTTGAGCAACTCATACTTTCCAGCGGGCGCCTCTACCCAGTTCATGCCGACAAGCTTGCAAGGTTAACACAGTTCATGGTTTCAGCTCACCTTGGTATCGACCATGAAACGTAGAGGATATGCAATGTTGCTCTCGTAGGTCATGACCTCCTGCGGAAAGAGGCCATTGAAATCAATTTGGCCACGTTCAAAGAGGCGTGAACAGCCGTCAGCTTGGGCAGAAAACAGACAGCGCAAAATGAGACTCATCTTTGACCTTCGGGATGCCTTTTGGCTCGGCACAAACAATCTTGATGAAGGGGACCACCTCCTCACCGCGGTAACCCCAAAGGGATTTGCGGTTGACTATGAGACAGCGCACCACGGCATGGTCGTTTGCCTGTACAGAGGACTGGATGGTTAGCACACAGGAGCAGATATGTGTCTCACATTGATTTTGTCCTTGAAGGCCTCCAAGTCATCTTCGAGGAAGCCGCTGGGTGCCGCAACGTAGAAGTATGGACGGAACCCCCAGATGTGAGCCAGAACAGAGTTTCCCTTAGAGGTAACTCCAAACAGCCTCAGCGTAGTGCCATGCTTGTGGTGCGTGGACTCTGTAACATCCGTTTGTTGGAACACTGGGCGTGTGTCAGTGCACATTCTACAGCGTTTGCCGACTTGAAGGGGAGTAGTGACTAACCGATAGTATCCACAGATGGGTTTATACGTGGTGGAGAAGGACGCGGCCATGCTGCAGAGTTCTCTATGGATTCTATGCAGCGTGTCAGCGAGTTCACGACGCACAGGCTGGGCAAATTGGCTGTTGGAGCTCACCACCATTGTTGTCTTCCTCAGCCTCAAGCTGCTCCAGTACATCGGTAAAACTCTGCTGTTCTGAAGGTCGGGGCTGCCCATTCTGCTCTAGCCTTCTCTTCTTCGAGCTTGGTTCGGTCATGTCGATAGTTGACTGGCCGTGGGAAGGGTGTCTTTGGCGTGAGTGGATGATGATAAAACAATGGCTGGGTGATCAAGGCGAGGGCACACTTCGTCACGTACCGTCAACCTCCACCTTCGCGTGTATTACGTAACAAGTGCGCTCGACACGAAAACTGGCAGCCACAGGCGGAGGGTCGAAGTTCTGCTAGTTCTGGCGACTGGCTGCGCCAGTCCGTATGACCGTATGACTAGCGAAGACGCGCTGCGACGTGAAATGTGCAGTGCGGTTCGTGCACTACATAAGCAAGTATTTGACTCTGTGCGTGCCAATTCGCGAATTTGTTCAATCGACTGCAAATACAAACACGCCAGATGGCCAGTTACCAGACATTAATGGCTTCTTGTAATGGCTCATGGCTGTGCCTGACCACGGACCACGGTGTATGTACGGTGTGGCTGACAGGCGACCCGGCACGGCGCACACACCGGTGCCCGCACAACGAAACGCAACGCCGATACACCGGTACGCCGGTACGCCGGTTACGATGAACGGCACCATAGCCGGTCACCGGCCACCGGCCACGACACACACGGCCACTCTGATAGACCCATGTTCACTTTGCGCCAACCTTCACGTTCATACATCCCCTCTCTTACCCAACATCAACTGAACCATGCTTGCGAAGCTTGGACTGCAGCGCTGCGTCTCGCTCTCTTCCAGCCGTTCTGCGACTGCCGGACGTGCTGCCCGACTCTATGCCACGGCCAGCAGCTCGGGACGTAGGTACACAAATCACACGCAACTCAAAAGCTGATGAGATCCAAACAGCCGTCAGCTTTGGTTTAAACGAGGAACAGGAAGCTATCCGGGGTACGTAGTTGTGGCGCCTGTGGAGCAGGCTGACTGACTTGTCTTAGAGCTTGCTCAGTCCTTCTCACGCGACAAGATTGTTCCTGTTGCAGCCGAATATGACCGCACCATGGTGAGTGGTGATAGACTGACTGAGGAGCCTCGAAAGTTGTTTGGCAACTTACTCATAGGCTTACCCCTGGCCTCTTATTAAGGAGGCCCACTCCCTTGGCCTCCTCAACACTCACATCCCCGAGGCCGTAAGTCGTTGAACCATTATGTGCTCTAACGGCACAGTACGGTGGCCCCGAGCTGGGCCTTCTTGAGTGCGCGATGATCTCCGAATCGCTCGCCTTTGGATGTTCTGGAATTCAGACTGCTATGGAGGGTGCGTAACTGAAGGTCGTACTGTACTGTTCTGACCCAAAGCCAACGGCCTGGCGGAGGCGCCGCTTATTGTCGCCGCGTCCCACGAGATCAAGACGAAATACCTCGGCCGTATGACCGAGGAGCCGCTCGTGGCATCCTACGCTGTCGTAAGTCATGGCTTCCAGAACAGACGAGTTGACCTGCCATAGACCGAGCCCGGTGCAGGTTCGGACGTTGCTGGTGTCAAGACCAAGGCTGTCAAGACCGGCGACAAATGGGTCATTAACGGTACCAAGATGTGGTAAGTCATTACTTTGCGGCCCCCTCTGACCGTGGTCCCATGGCTAACACTCCTTAGGATGTACGTTAAATCAACCGCACTTTGAATACAAACTGACCCAACAAAGTACCAACTCAGGTCATGCCAACTGGTTTGTAAGTCAAGGTTGCCCCGCTGGGTTGCCACGCTCATATGTCGCAGTTCGTTCTCGCTGTCACCGACCCTGCGGCGGGTGTCAAGGGCATGACCGGATTTGTGGTGGATGCCGATACCGCCGGCATTGTCCTTGGCAAGAAGGAGATCAACATGGGCAAGCTTTGACCAATACGTTTCCCACTGCTAACATCGACAGGTCAGCGTGCCTCTGACACCCGTATGGTCACGTTCCAGGACGTCGTCGTCCCAGAGGAGAACGTGGTCGGTGCCGTTGGCGAGGGTTTCAAAGGTATTTCATAATATCTTTTGCCTCTATGCTGACGTCCAGTTGCCATGAAGGCGTTCGACATCACTCGCCCTTTGGTCGCTGCCGGAGCTGTTGGCGTTGCTCAGCGTGCTCTTGAGGAGGCCACCAAGTATGCCCAGGAGCGCAAGGTAACTACGACCTCACCATGGCGTAAATGCTGACTGGACAAGACCATGGGCACCAAGATCATCAACCACCAGGGTGTTGGTTTCATGCTTGCGGACATGGCGATCAATGCCGAGGCTGCTCGCGCTCTGGTCTGGCGCTCGGCGTGGGCCAAGGATGCAGGGCAGCGCAACAGTGTGTATTTTTGGCAAGCTGGGTACTAACCGCTAGCCTACCATGCGTCAATTGCGAAGTGCTTTGCCAGCAAGGCCGCCGTTGAGAATGCCAACCTCGGCGTGCAGGGTAAGTGACGTCCGCGATAACCTAGTTCTGACTTGCCCAGTCTTTGGCGGCATTGGCTTCAACACGGAAATGCCCATGGAGAAGCTGTACCGCGACGCCAAGATCTTTGAACTCTGTACGTCTGCACGGCGACATGTCTACTCGACTGGAGTCTCCGGTTTCCGTCCATCCACCTGCTAATCATTCCACAGACGAAGGCACCTCTCAGATCCAGCGTCTCATCATTTCACGTCACCTGCCTTCCATCTACCCCGCGTAGCTTGTTCACAACTTCATACATATTGGTAAGACGTATCACGTCTGTGCCTTCTTCCATGCCCAGTTGTGCCACGTCGGTAGAACCTGATTTGAGCTAGATTCTTGTTTTAGACTCACCATGTGGGCTCCTGGTTTGCCGATGTCCTCGATGTACCCTTTTACAAGTTCCTGGTAGTCTTCCTCACTGAGTTGACAGCCATCCACGATGAGAAGGCGAGCTGAATTGGGCAACTCCTTCGTGTCATGGACCATGGTACTCCTGTGGCATCAGCACTGCTCAATGGCGTATGCGACTTGCCCTGCCTTCTTCATAGCGGGCTCCTCAGACCACGGCCACATCGGAACATTGATTTGAACTTGGTGCGCGTTCTCCAGGGACGTAATATCGTTCATGTGCTCGATCACCTTTTGGCCAGCTGCATTTTCGAGACCCCTGCTTTGCGTAGCTCTTGTGTGTGTCAGTGACCAAGCCATGGTGAGTGTGTCGTGTCTTACTGGGTGACAGCCTTGAGCATCTTGGTGTAGCCAGGGGCAATCCGCTGAGCTTCGTCCTCGCTTACCCCCACGATGGGCCATGGCAGGGTAATGTCGACCCAGAGCAGAAGGCCTCCGGGGCGAAGGATACGCGTTGCCTCTTTGATAACAAACGCCCAGTCACGAACCTGCATCGTCAGGATTGGGGCGGCCAGAGGTATGTGAACCCACCCCGAGCAGAAGGAAACGTCCATGGACAAAGTCAAAAGACTCGTCTGGGAAAGCCAAGCCTTTGGTGATGTCGTCTTTCACAAACTGGACATTGTCCGGAATGTCATCACGCTGAACTGGCACGAGGTCCACACCCTTCGCACGTCAGTCCAGGAGGTCGTCGGGAAGGCTTTGATTAGTATGCCTACGATCCATTCTGCCTTGGGAAACTCTTGAGCCATCTCGGTGATCCTGAGGGCACAGTGAGTGCAGGTACCGACGTTGTCTGGCGCATGCCATACCAAATTCCAGTTCCTGTTTGTGAGCGGGTTGTCTGTGAGCGAATACCGCTTACCAGTGCCAATGTCAATCGCGCGTTTGCCTTCACCCTGGTTGGGCAGAGCTTCCGCAACTGGAGCGACATAGTTCTTCTCGCCTTGAATCTGGGCCATGAGCGGTGCCTTCAAGACCAGTCCAATTCTAAGAACACACCGTCTTGATACCGTAGTGCTGATTGTCCAACCGCTGGAAAAGGTCAATGGGTATCTGGCGATGATGTGGAAGCTCACAGCCTGCTCGGCGTCGTCTGGGGCCACTTAGCTTTTAGCTCTGGCGTATCACGTACCGGCGGGAAGCTAGAGGATACTCAGCAAGGGGTTATCAGTGGAATCACGAACCGCATAGTCATCTATCGTCAGTTGGAAGAACAAAACTTGTATACGCACCATTGGCAGCCTGATAGATCCTACCGTCGTCCACTGCGGTCAGTTGTTGTTGACGCAGATGCATCTGCGCACCTCTGAATCTACAATGCTGGTCAGCATTTTGTTATCTGTCAGAGATCAGAGATCTCAGCGAACCCACACTCTGGCATCCAACGTGCTTGTCATCGAGAAGGTGGCTAGATTCAGTACGGAATCAAACGAGAGACGAACAGTAACTCGATGGACTGGGAGGGTATGCGACTGTCTCATTGTCATCCAACGCGTTGGGGCCGCTTGCGTAGTGAATGCCGTCGGCGTCGGCCAAAGCCGAGGGTACGTCTTTCGAGGGGGCGTGTGGATCAACTGTCATGGTTGTTGCGTTGTTGGATAACGAGGAGGAAAGAACAGATCTCAGTGGCCCAGTGGGGTGCTCTTTATGTCGTCTCTGGTGGCCCGCGGCCCGTGCGATCTGTGCACTGTGAGTGAGACATGGTTCTTTCTTGTGAAGGAGATAACCGGCCCGGGAACCGGCGTCCTGTGATCCTGTGAGGGTCGGTCGGTACCTTGTTCGGTCGTTATTGTGCCCCCCATTCAAGGCGTACAACCCGGGCACAGCAGCGTACGATATATCTCCACGATCCATGCATCTATGACTAATTGGCGTAATGCTTAAGACTCCAGAGCAGAACAGAACCCTTGGTGTTACCAATGGCCATGTAATCGCCACCTGACGAAAAGCCCGTGCAGCTAACGCGTCCAAGTGGAGTGGTGAGAGTGGGCCAGTTGGAGAACGCGGTGCCTGACGGGAGATGGTACTGACAGCGTTAACAGTGTCTTGCTAAACACCACCACCATGCTACTCACCAGCTTCAGCGCGTCCTTTTTGGCCGAGCTGGCCGAAACAAACAGCTCTCCGCCCGGGTGGAATGCCATGGACGTGATTGGTGTGGTCAAGTGCTCAAAGCTTTTGTGAGGCTCCACATCAGGCGCCGATGTGTTGGCCGAAGCCGACAGTCCAGCTGAGCGGTACAGGCTCACAATACCTGTGCTAGATCTGAAGAGTGTTAGCTAACGCATAGAAGCTATCAACCCACCCAATTGCCGTGTAGTCTCCATTCTGCCTCATCAAGAGACCTCCGAAGGCAGCGTCATCCTTCCACTGGCGGACAACCCTCCTCTCTCCGACATCCCACACTTCCACCTCACTACCATTCCGCCCGCCCAAAACGCTCAGCCGGGAGCCGTCCTCACTCCAGGCAAGGTCAGCCACAGAGCCGCCACGACCGCTGCGCAGTTCGCCAACCACCACGCCCGTGCTGCCTCCGTTTCCCCACTCAAGGACTGTGACACATCCTCTTCTGCCAGCCACGGCCAAGAGAGAGCCATCTGGTGAGAATTTGTGTCGGTCCAAAGACTGAGGACTCGTGGGGCTCGGCGCTGACCCGAACAAATTGCGGGGAGAGCGGACACAGACTTGAGCCGCGAGGTCATACGTGTAGTAGAAGGGACGAGAGCCCGTCAGGAGCAGCGAAGATCCCGAGGGGTGGAATGTCGAGCGCGTCAAGGGAAGCGATGGGATGTGAAGCGTCAACAGTGCCGAGTTGGTATGGCCATCAATCTGTCTCGTCAGTTACCTTAACGACTTGTATCACTCACGTTGAAGAAGCGAACCCTCCTGTCGCCACCGGCGACCGCCATGACCGACAACCTTGTAGAGGGGTGCCACGCGAAGTCGACAACACCTGACCCAGCGTTCGTCGCCTCTTTTGAACCAGTCGTGGGGTTCTGCTCATTGGCGTTGCGCAAGCGCTGGATATCGATAAATGTGGAGGGCAGCGGGGCGCGACCGTTGCTGTCCCCAGCTGACACGAAAGATGAAGTGGAAGAAAGGAGCTTTTGGATCGTGGGAATCCCCTTGCCGACACGGCGCGACGCCCATTGAGGCTTGGGATGTATACGCTCAAACCTAACAAAGTGAGTTACAGTCACAGAGAACACAGCAGCACGTACTGCTCGCGTAGTTTGCGGCTAAGGTCATTGCCACTGACTTGATCCTCCTCGCCACGACCACGCGCCAGTTTCCGAAGCCGCTTGTTGCTCTGAAGGGAGACAGAAACAGCATTATCGGCAGGGTCATGCCAGAGTGAACCTTGGCTTGTCGTCTCCTGCTCGTCCAGCTCCAATTCCTCGGGGAACTCGAGCGTGGGCTCCATTTCATCTTCCGAGATGTCGCTGCCAAAGTGGTTGAATGCGTTCTCATCGCCGGCTGCTCCTGCTGCAGGAATATCCACCGTAAAGAGCTGTGAAATGTTAGAGAACGTGTCTGTGCAGGACATGAAAGGCTCACCGCGTCGTCCTTTACCCATCCCAGGCCGGTTTCGCCCTCATCGTCCGAATTGTCATGAGCCGCAGTGAAGGTGGGTTGTTTCCGCGAGCCGAAGAGACGGGCTTCGAGGTCCCTTTCCTCATCCTCCTCGGTGCGGGCCATGGAAGGCACTCCAAGCCTCCTTTTCTTGGACTGGGACGCGCGTGACGGCATGGTCGATGGGTGTGTTGTGAGAAGTTGACCTCAAGCTTCTTCGTCTTGACCAAGCAGAAATCTCGAAATCTCGAAGCCATCACGTGACCTTGTGGGGACCCCGGGTACATACCTTTATTCAATACCCCCACTTTACATTAAACTGATTACGTAATGCATCTTGGAACGGAACTATAATGGGTTTTGCGTTTATTGGTCCACCGATCCACTGGCCCCTCACGACCTGCCGTCGAATGTGGCTGATTGACAGGATGCAGTCAATGCAGAACTGCATATCTGCATACGGGTCTGGGGATCTTGGGCTGGAGCATTTGCTCACGACAGCAACGGGTTGCCACATTACATTGACCGACAGATTTATTTCTCGAACCATCAGTCGCGTCTGTACGGATACGAAAGGTCAATCATTACCCTATTTCTGGCAGCCTGGCTTTGTCCTTGATCAAGAGCCGTCTCATCCTAATGCCTAAGACATCAGGCCCTTTCCAGTTACTGTTCTTCAATCCTGTCAAGGATTCTACGAAGATCTATTAATGAAATGGCAGGCTTCCTTGTTAAAGACATCAAAACAATGACTGCCTGATCCGACTGCCGCGACTGATCTTGCCTGCAATTGAGATACAACATGCAAAGCAGAAATTCACCGCAGAGTGAAGACCTACGAATGGACGTCACTTTTGGCTATCTCTGCAGCCGACTTGACAGAATACGTCGTCACCGCACTGAACGAGAAGGAGGGAGGTTGAAAGAATGTATGTTAGATAATGTCACATCCTTGGTGGGCCAAGGATGTGACATTGCCGCAGAGACATACCAGAGGCCACGCGTCTGCAGAGGGCATGCGATCATGCGCTCGGTTTTGGTAAGTTGAAAGCGAGGATTTCAACCTGCATGTCACAGGCCACAGTATCAAGCATCTTGCATTGCCGGTGACAGTTCTATTTCAACCTACCTGTTGAGGAAAGACGAGGGAGGTTACGTACGTACAAGCCATCCCCTTATCACCATCAGCAGCTTCAACGCCGCTGACCCTCCTGTTCCCTACCATTCCTTCCAGCTGATTGAGAGCCTAGCTGTTGTTCAAATTGCAAGAGTCGAGTATCAACACCCTAAAAATGCAGTGCATTATGAAAACCATCAGCCAAACAAACAAAAAGCAACGAACCACCGGTAAGGAAATTTTCAATGAATATATATGTAGCCAACCTCGTCAGAATGTAGCAATGTCAGCACATTGTTCAACAACGATTGGTTGATTAGGGTTCAGGGGCATGAAATACGTACATGGGTAAATTAATTTTGCAAGTACAGACAGACATCCGTGACAGAAAGGTGGTGGGGCCAAGGACCAAATAATGACTTGTGCCATACCTTGCATTGGAGTCTCAGCTGGTTCCTCACATGGTTCCACGGACCACCATGGCGATGCGTTGGTACTGTTCTAATGACATTGGAGGTTTATCCGGTCATGATGTTGTCGCGGAACATACTTATAGTCGTCATCAAACCAGCTGTTAGTTTGTGTATTGATCGGCGCAGCTATATAATGCCTCAGCAAACTCATTGGATCATTGGCCTATTGATAATGCAACTGACAGGGTGAAGAGGGTCTTAACAGTCGGGGTGGAGGACTGTTGCAAACGAGGGCCTCCCTTTGCGCATGCCTATAGACTGAGGCTGTAATGTGTGTTTCCGTATGTAACGTTGCCATGGGGTGGAACATGCGGTTCTGCACACGATGTGCCACTGATCCACTGATCACTGACAAAGGGAATCGACGTTGTTCCCGAGTGGGTGAACGTGTTTATGTGGACTGGTAGGAAGCCTGGGATAGTCTGCCCACTGCCCTTACGGGAAGCCACTGATCCACTGAGTAGAGGTATGAAGACCAACTAAATGGGACCATGCCATCAAGGGTTGGGCGGTAAGTGCCATACCAGTGGTGACCGTGATACACGCCACATCTATCAGTCAGCCTGAAATGAAGTCTGGAGTTTACACCCAAAAAGTGGCATTCTAGCGATTCTAGCTGGGTTACGCCATGTGGACCTCTGCGTGACACCCCACCGGTATGGCAAAAAATGGGGACACTCGACAGACGGAAACGACCACTGGGGTCTGGGGTCTCAATCAGCTCCTCACGGTACGTTCGCTAGCTTCATAAATTGTCATTCTGTGTGTCAGACTGAGGCAGACTTGATGACATGTGGAACAAACACTTGAATGCAGTTTGTTTTTGGTTGCGATTCACCAACATTTGATGGAAGTCCTCCTGGATAATGGATAGAATTTTAGTTACTCGGGGTCATGTAGAATCGTTAAACGTTTGGTTCTCCTCACAGCGCCACCGGTACTATACATGGGCGAGAGGATCCAGAATGACTTGTTTTGCGGCCCACTAACGCATTGTCATCACATCCTAGTGAGTGGCTTACTGGGACATATCTTCCTCTTTCAAACTTGTAGACACTGACACCCTTACCCGTCACTTCAGGCCGTACGAATCTAATACCCCGGAGATGTAGGTGGCAACCCATTCTAGGAAGCAAAAGCCGCAATGGGCGGAGGATGCTGATAATTCAATACGGCATTTTTAGATGCCATTTAATAACCCTCAGGCTTTTCTGTATTGGGAGGTGCAGATGCCGCGCCTAAGACACTGATCCACTGACTTCATAGTGGTTAGGTGTGTTGCAACACCCAATCAATATCACTGCCTAATCACAGACACTCGCCCCGCCCATCTCAATCTTTTCATAAGGTGGGGACGACCGTTCCCAAGGCGCATGACTCGTGCGGACCCGCGGTGGATGTCAACAGGTTGTTCAATACACGTCTGTGAATCAATGCTTTGGTCAATCAGTTGTGCAATCCCAAGTTTGTGCATGTGTTCCCGTATCTTACACAGCCCAACACACCAGCCGATGCGTTCCGTCCCATGCACAGATAAGCCCCAAAGGAAGATGAAGGTGCACGACACACTAGAATCGCCCCCAGTGGCCGGCCATTGAGAAAAACAAATATTGCATTTGAGATTCATGCCGAGGACAAACTGACTTCTCGGGGCGCACATGGTAAACATGAGCGGTCGAGGATGTGTATCCCGCCCAACTAAGCTGTTGGGTGACAGAAACCCACACCAATTGATTTTCAGGACACTGGCGTCATTATTGATCAATCGCCCTCGTTATGCCTTATTGGCCTCGTTTTCTTGGGGTTGGTTCATGGAACCGGCAATAATTGAAACATTGGAAAAATATGATAGGTATTCAGTATTACCTACTGTGGTACTGTGGGTAAGTTAGCATGCCCGGATGCCAACCCTTCCATTATATTTTCTATCGAGCCTCAAAACGTCTTTTAAACAGCGTCATCGCATCCACTACAAAAAAATGTGTGAGCCATCCGCAACGTCCGTGGGCAAGTCGGCTCTCGAAAGGAAGCTTATACCAACTTCTGATATCCTCTGGAGAGCCTGGGCGCGCCCCTTAGTGTTTTCCGTTTTTACCGGCGGCCCAAATGCTCAAGGCAGGTCGTCCACGAATTTTATTGTGCTCAATTCGATCCCACACCGCTGACCACAACCCCGTGTGGTGTGCCCGGTGCCGCAAATTAGTTGAATCCACTGATCCACCGAGGCGTACAGTGCTGTATATCTGTATACCCTATCTCGTTGTCTCTGCCACCTTCTGAATAATATTATCGGCAGTATTGATGTTTCAGATTCTCTTTCACTCAGCAGCGTAAGAAGGAAGAAAAGTTCGGTCCCTAACCACGCACCAGCTAGGCCAGACGTTAATGGGGTTATTGAGCAGCGTTCAACAGTGCATACATAGCGCTAAGATATTGAAGACCAGACTCACGGCCACCACAATTCTCGGGGTTGTAGAGGATTGCAAGACATCCGGCATAATAATGGGCGGCATCCATCTCGATGCAGCTACAGACTGGCACACGCAGGAGAATTCAAACGAGGGCATCTATCTATTTAGGCAATGGCCCTGGTGTTCCCAGGAACGGTATAGAAACCGCTGCAGAAAGACAAATGTATGACTGGTGCAGAACCATTTGGCGGGCGATATTCATCCACCGGTTGGAATTATTACCCAATAAAGATAGCTCGATTATAGACCATTGTGTGCGATACGTTTGCAGTTGGCCCATCGTTCCAGATGTTGTTCCTATGGAATGAAGAGTGTTTCTGTCAAATCGAGATAAAAAGCGATGCAGAAAGAATAACTATAGCGGAATCAAATAAAGGCAGTAGGGCGGAATTGTGACACTACCACTCGCCTGCAGTGCCATTATTGAAGTATCTTCGAGTTCCAGGGAGTTTCGAAGTACCGTGAATTTATCATGACTCAAATACTTGGTCAACAGGTCTGCAAGATTTTTCTCAGAGGGCACATGAATTAGAGAAATAAATTTCTCAGCCACATTTTCGCATAGGAAATGGTGCCTAATGCAAATATGTTTGGTTTTCTCATGATTGACCGGGTTTTTAGACAGTGCAATGCAGCATTGGTTGTCATTGTAAATTTTGAGGGCATTTTGAGAGCACCACTTTCAGGTATCTTAAAATGTGCTTTGCAGCGGAAATATGCTTGCTGTTCCATTTGCTCATCAAGCGGCACAAGGTTCCGGCAGCATGTGACATATCAGGTCTGGTAATGGTAGACAAATAGAGAAGTGACCCAGGAGGTTCCCTGCATGGAAAGTCTTGGGCAATTTTGGCTTTGTCGTCTGTAGCAGGAAGCGCCTCAAAGCCTTGTGGTAAAGGTGTTTGAACTGGATTGCAATCTGCCATATTGAATTTTTCGAGTAGGGCTTCCACATAGTGATGCTGGGACATCTGTAGAAGTCCCTGGGCACAATTTCGATAAATATTAAAGGCCATAAAATATCCAGCAGCCCCACAGTCAGAGCACTCGAAAGCATTATTTAGCTGTACTCTTAATTCATTCAAGACCTCTCATGTGTGGTTCCTTTTCAACAACTTC